GGCTTTCTCAAAGAGTGTTCGCAGTATATAAATTCTGCAGCTCTAGAAAGCCTAACTTTGATCACTTAGTGTGATGGTTCGGGCGTGATGATGGTTGAGCTCAACATTACCATGGCATCGTATCACCATCCATAAAGATGGTCAACATTGATAGCCTTAGGTCTGCGAAGGGCAACATCTGGCACGATTCATGAAAATCTCAATGTGACTGACCGGTAAGGAGTTCGACGGCGTTGACCTGTTCATGTATGGCTGCATTTATCAACGTAGCCTGATACAGCCATTGGATTCTCTACCATCAGATTCTCCCCATCAGATTCCGTGACACAAAGACTGGAACTATTGGTGTCGAATTTTCCTCACACTAGTTGCTCCTGTCGGATCAACTCATCTTCAGTTATCCGAGATGTCCTTTATTCGGTCTTGGTGCAGCAGGGAGGCCGCCTGTTTGGCGCTTCGCTCATATGTGTTGGATACCCATATGCTAGGCCTCTCCTCAGAAATCTGGAGGGAGCACGCGTTCGATATCTTCCAAGTGTGCAATTATATCACAATAGCCTTCAGCCGAGTATCATATTCTAGGGAGGTTGATAGTGCTCGAAATTGTTTAGAAATGGACGGCGTCTCCCTTAGGGGAAAGGTCACCTGAGCATTGTGTTCCCAGAACATACTGAATGGCGAGCAGTGATGATAAATCGATGATTGTCGCCGGACTGTCGTAGTGATAGCTGAGTGAAAATTCTTAGTGAGGCTTTTGGCATGGACATTTTGGTGTGATAGAGATTCTTGAGTCTGATCTTTCTTCGTTATTTCGCCAGACATAGGTCTGTCTCAAGACTCTCCAAAGTTTTCACCCGTGAAGTATAAACTGGGAAGGCCACCACTCCTTGTTGTTATTGTGAAAATGGCATAGTCGCAAGGTAGTTCGCAAATTTCTGTTTTTGTTGTGCATTGGATACAACATCGGCTTCCGAATACATGCATCATGCTCAATTGACACTCGCATACTGAAGTAAATTGTGACTAGGCCGAACGTTTCGTTATTCTCGCCTGACTTTCACAAGAGGTAGCCGACCAACTTTGCTCAGAGTCCATAGTGTGGAAGAACTTCAGCCCAGATCAGCAGATTGCACCTTTGAATATCTCGTATGCTGCGGATTTTGGCTTGCTAAACGAAGAAGACTGTTCGTCCAGGCCCTCAACCAAGATACCAAAGGCTGAGCCCAGTGAAATTTTGACTCCATCCAACATAGCACCGAAAATGAAGTGAGATTTTTTGGATATGACATGAGCCACCATGATGGTCTCTTTGTACCGTTGAATAGTCCTCTGGCTGATGTACCAGCATTTTGCAATTTCGCCTCGGCTATCAACTTCATTGAGTGTGCTGGCTCCCTGTCAAAAAAAGCGGGCAACAATTTCACGTGCTGAAAAAAGCTCCTGACTGGGGCAAAGATAGCTTACAGGCTGGACATAAGCTTCCTAGAGATGCTGTGACTCTAGATAATTAATGATTGAGTTGTGCTGTGACACAGACATTATCATCAAATTCAGCCCCACAGTCTCAATATCAACTGCAAAGCTCATCTGACAACATGTTGGCTCAAATTGTGTCATCAAAGGCTGATTCTTCGTCAACAGACAATTTGACTGCGACATGGAAGCTCCTCATTCACCGGTCTGGATATTGAAAACCAAACCCATGCTAGCCTGAGGTACTGAAACATACCTCACAGCAGGAAAGTAAAGGAATATAAACAGTAGCATCTTGGGAATGATTGAAGGTTTCCCATTTCCAAGCTCATTTCTTTGAGAGAACTTTAGAGCAAAGAAAATTCCCCAAATAGCCCAGGCGCTTGAGGCTTATGGGCCAAAGCTGCAGCTCTCTTTATATCGAACCAGTAGTGAGATGTGCTTGCATCTTTCTTCGTTTATCGCAAGATGTTCGTTTTTTGAGTTTCCCTCATCAACACTGTTATGAACCGTCGTAGAGCAACTCTGTGACTATGATAGAATGAGAAACTTGACTTCGCAAGGTATTGGCGAGCCAATCAACTATCAACTAGACTTACCACAACCTGGGAATCCATCAAAAAAACTTAGTCAGAGGGCTTGATAGGTTGATAGTAGCTGGGGCGGGAAATCCTTAAGAGACAATAAGAGTAGGAACAGTGGTGAAATGAAACGAAATAAAAAATTGACACTGCAAGTCTCGAGTAAGTGGAATTTCAGTAGTTGATACTAGACGAAGAAGAGTTGGAGAGCTTCAAGTTGCACATGTTTGACACTGGTACTGGCATAGTAAGTAGTAGCACCGTGACGTGGAGTAAGCCCGATCCAGGGTGTTTGAAGTACTAGTAAGCGAGGGAGGAGGAGATTGGAAGAATACGGCGGGAAGAACATTTAAAGACATCTGAGACTGAGGTGGAAGTACTCAAAGAAATAAAATATTTGAACTTGAATATAGAAGAATGAGAATCAGCACTTCCAAGGTTGAGAGCTTCAAGTTCCAACTTGAATACTACTACCTACTACCTCACTTGAGGCTGTTCAAGTTGAAACCCGGTACATACATATATACTATTGATGTATCATTGACACCTGATCCCACCTCTCTTATGGATATCATCTTCCACTCCAGGGCTGGCATCACACTCCTTTCAACGCAGCTCATTCCATCCATCAATAGGTCCTCCTCCTCCTCCCATTACTAGATTCTTCCACAAAAGTTAGTGCTGGTGGATGATGGCAGTCTTTCTAAAGCGCAGTCAGATTGGAATCCTGCTTACGTCGGGTCGCCTAGAAATACGGCGACCTGGCTGATATGTCCCCATGGCGACCGACCCAGCCTATGCTGTCCTCTGAACAGAGATGGTCTACCAAGCGATCAAATCCCTGATCACTGCTTTCCGAGGCCGTCGCCCCAAAGTGAAATTTGACATGAGCGGAGACACCAGTAAGTTCTATCATCTGTCCAGTCCCGTTAATCTGGTCAAATGGCCTTGCATTTGCGCTTATTTACAAGGCGTGCTAGATCATGTGGAGCCAAAAAATTGCGGTAGAACGCACGCAATCCGACAGAAAATACTATACAATTGTTCAACAAGACGCTGAAATTGCCAATACACCAGTCGTCATCGGTCAGTCTTGTTTATGGACACCGCGCGTGGATTGCCGAATCAATCCCATCTTGACAACGAGCATATTTATATAGAAGACTACCGCAGCCTATAGTAATCTCGTTTCAAGCTGCATAATGTTGGACAGACCATGGGAGGCGTTTTCGGAATTCAAAGTCTCAATATAAATTTTGCGGCACTGAGTCTGAGAATATCCTTACCCCCCCCCCGGCGTGGTGATTATGGAACTGAATGGGTCTTGTCGTTGGGGAGCTAAAGGTTCCATGGGTTTCGCAACATGACTTTGAGCTGATGTTCTCATCGCCAGATGATGAACACATTCCCCGTGCGTTTGGACAGTCAGCCTGGTATATGAAGGGCAGGTCAAGTGAAGAGCATATTCATGACGAGATCGGAACGGAAATTACTGACTTGAGCTCACACTGAGGCTATCCCGACTTGGCAGATACGGATTTTGATGTGGATTCTGGAGACAGCCATGAGCATACAGGAGCATCAGGCCCTACAGATACTAAATCCCTCGTCGTCGCCGCTCGATTCCCATTTGAGAGTGAGTAATACGTATTATCCCCAGCCAACTGCTCAGTCATGAGTCCCCAGGCTCCACGTCGTTAAAAAAAGACGAATCCCATACCCAAATGCACAAGGCCTAGAGGAAATGCTCATCCAGGTCACACAGCTACCGAACAGAGTACGATGGTACTACCTACTCTACTTCAATACGAGGATACATCAAGTAAAAACTTGAACTCAGGCATGAACCTTGGAAGCGATGAGAAATTGAAATTTATGCTCCAACTTGAGGGCAACTTGAGGTTGATGCCTATGGCAGGCACTGGCAGGGAGGTGAATGCCTTGTTGAAAACTTTACCAAACGACGATTTTTGTCTATCCAATTACAATTTTATGGGGATAATTTCAAACTGTATCCGGACTTGCAGAGGAATATACTGGGGATCTACCTAATTCCAAGCTGCCTACCAGAGAAAGAAGGTCGGAAAGGTGTGAATACATTTCCCCTTACATTGGGGCTGCATGGCTCCAACTTTGACGATGTTATCTCGAACTCGATAGCTTTGTCGTACCTTGATCGTGGCATTGACATCCAAAATAAGATGGAGGAACTATCTGGGTTTTTGTCAGTGACAGTCCCACTAGCCCAACCTCAGTTCAGCGATGACATTCAGGAGCACTTTGATGGCTTTATTGAGGTCACGGTAGATGAGCAAACCGCAGGGATCTCAATTTTGGGGGGAAGCGGAAATCAATCACAATCTGAAAGTACTACCGTGACCACTATTATTATTAATTGAAGAATGATCTCGGGAATAATGAAGCTATATTCAAAAGAGAGTTTCAAGTTGATGAGTCTGCATGTGTATGCTGTCAATCCATATATATTGAGCACTTAGTACTGACTTGAACAACCACTGGCATTGTAATTCAGAGTCGGCTTCGTAACTCACTTTCTTGGGCTCCACCGTGAGATGTGCACATGTGCTCTTCTGGTAGTTAAATAGTACCACTTAATACAACAGTCATAATAATTTTCAAATGTTCAAGTTTGAAGAGATACAAAAGGTTGGCAAAGAATTGGGAAGTGGGTATGAAGTAAAACACCTTGGAATCCTGATCGATCAATTTTCGATGGAACTTGAAGGGTTTCTCTTTAACTTGAAAGGATACCCGCATTAAATGTTCCATCTCTGCCAGAATGACTCTCAACTTAGGAACGATGATCTAACCAAGCAACGGATGTTGGAGTGCAGGTTCCCCGCATGGCTAACTTTGAACCCCGCTCATGTATATCACATCTCATTCTCCACTTCAACCTCGGACTATCAATCAACATATTACACCATGTCAGAATTTAAACTCGTCAACTCCAACGAGCCAGTTCCCGGCGCGGGGATTCCACCTTCGGAATTCACCCTCAAAGCAACGCCTGTAACAGACGTCTGGGCCAAACCTCCCTCCACAATTTCCTTTAATGCGCCGATCTTCTACCAAGAGATCCCTCTCGAATCATTTAAGCGAGCCAGCGTCAATTTCAATGCCAAATGGGTTCAAAAATACGACCAAGGTGGTCTGATAATGGTGCTCAACAAAACCGACGGGTCTCAGAAATGGGTTAAAGCCGGGATTGAAATGACGCACGGTAAACCACACATTAGTGTTGTGTGTAAAGATCAGTGGGCAGATTGGAGCATACGTCCTGTGCCATCTGGGGGTCAAGCTGCGAAACTGGAATTGGTTAGAGAAGCAGATGATTCTCTATGGATTTACCTGGTTGAGGGTGAACAGAAGTCGCCTATTCGGGAGGTAACGTGGCTTTTCTTTGAGGAGAATGTACAGGAGACTTGGGCTGGAGTTTATGCGGCACGACCTTCGGAACATGGTGGGGAGTTGACTGTTAACTTTGGCAATCTTGTTGTTGATTTGGCATAGGGTAGACTATACAGGTGATCTGGACCACTTTAGTGGGAGCTTGATATAGAAGTTGAGGCTCGAGCTTTGTATCACAGAGATTTGTTCCAGGCAGTTGTTCCAGATATGGCCCTGGCATATATCAGAGAATCATGACAATATGTTTTAGATTGTTTGTGTGGGTTGCAGATCGAAGTTGTTACTGGTAGTATATTGTATCATGGTCTTCATGAAGACCCGCCAGTTGACCTTGCTGCTCTTCACTATGCATGTGCCCGCAGGTGCCCAGGTGTGTTTGCTGCCTATGTTTTAAGCAAGCCAGTGCACAATTATTTGCTGCAAACCGGGAAGATCATGCAACTTGAAATAGCTCATTTAAAGTTGATAGGCTTCATATTGCACCTACTATAGCCCACCCACAAATGTGGCCCACGCCCCCTGTGGCGGTGATGTTATCAAGGGCGATCATAACCCGTACTAATGTAGTACATGTACAGCCCTGAGGCTGATCACCCGCATTGTAGTGGAGATCATTTGATCACCCAATTCGGAAGCTCTTACATTGAGACTCTTACTTTTGAGATGTCATTCAAGCCTCATTATGCGGTGAGACTCTGTATCCACTGTATTACAATTCGGGTAGAGATATTGGGCATCATAGTGTAAGTTTGATTTATTCACAATTTTTTCATAGAAGGTGGGATCCAATAATGTTTCTTAGATTACTCCTTTGTCCCACTATTATTAACCACGTGCCTCTTAAGCCTTCAAATGATGTTTTTATGCGGAAAAGTCACACGATTGTTGAACACTGCAGTGGAATTCTGCAGGGTGATATTTGATATGTTATATTTCTTCTAGAACATCTAGAAGTAGCAATTGATGCTAATATATTGATTATCTTTCTGCAGAAGTGAGTCAAAAGTCGGATTTCGGGCCATCAGGGCCATCATATGGGCTGCATTTAATAGCCCCACTAACACCTAATGACCAGGGATACACAGCCAAGCGGTTCCTTCCGACGAACCAACTGTCTTCCAATCATCTTATCATATCTGATTTCAGCCATTTTCCTGACAATTGCGTGTCCTGTTATTGCTCTGTGACACATCCCGATTATCCGCATGTGTGTTGACTCCATAATGGAAAGAGAAATGACTCCCCCGCTTTGACTCCTGGTGCCTGACATCTTGCCACAACTCCACTTTTGCTTTTTTTCCTTCATTGAAAGTTCCCTGTTTCGATGATTTTTCTCCGTTCTGTTCGGAGTAACTTGATTCTGACTCGATCAGCCTGCATAATCCGATCGTCAACTTGACTCAATACGTCCAGGTGCATAATCTGCCGGAATGCTGGGGCGCGCTGAACTTGGACCGCGCCTCTCATCTTCCTCACCTGAGCTAACACTCCATCGGCTTGCATAAGTGCGACCGGCGATCGTGGCTACGTTTCATCATTCGCGGTGTCATCCCGCTGTCGATATTTCGAGTCCTTGCCGGACACTTGCCCCTTACAGCTGATTTCTTACAGCTGTGTGCTTTGTCCTCTTTCTTTTTTTTTTCTGCACACAAAGCTGAAGAGGAATCAAAGATCCCAAATTAAAAAAAGAGGGAGAGACGGATCTATCCTTCGCACAGACTTCTCCGTTGCCTGATTCTGTCAAGTGGGTTCGGATACACTTAGTCTTCTCTATGGGGACTCAGGATATAATCGACTACCGCGCTTGCCTACAATTCCCTTACGCCGAAGCTATCTAAGGCCCCATCTTTGATTTGATTTGAATTTTTCATTTCATTTTTATTTCATTTCCCCCCCATTTTTGTTTGATTATCTTTCCCGTCTTGTTCAATATCCCCCTGAACGTCCCGCTGATTTGTTACTATCTCGTGTTTGCTTCTGTTCCACCTTGACAGTGGACCTGACTGGCTCAGGTCGCCCCCAAATCCGTGCCCAAGCGGTTTAGTCAACGGATTACTATCCCCTTTTATATGATACGCTAGAGTCGCATGCCTATGGTGCATGAACTTTCTTTTAAATGGTCGTGCTGGCGATTATTTGATTCTTATCGAGATCGCTTCTGTGTATAAGCCCTGTCGCATTTTTGAGATCTTTTTGAGATTATATGGACTCTTCGAAAGTTGTCTGCATTATTGTTTAATAGGTGGTCATGCCACTACTCGACGCGCGCGACGGTCCTGCCTACGGTACTATATGGCAGGAGGACAACCAGACCAATATGCAGGAGCCTGAACGGGATCAGTTACTGGATGGTTATGACACGGAGGAGGATCGGAGCGATGTCTCGACTATGGGAGAAGCGCAGGAGGGAGTGCGGAAAATTGAGGCGATCAATATGACTTGGACTTCCCGATCTTTGATGATCGCCTACGTCAGGTTCGTTCCATGTGTGGCTTGCAGCAAAGCCCCTTTTAACCCCCGCTGACTTGGCACAAAGTATATTCCTCATGGCATTTTGTACCTCTTTGGAGGGCCAGACTGTGATGTCCCTGTCGGCTTATGCCACCAGTGCATTTAGCAAGCATTCGTTGATTTCCACTGTTCTCGTGGTGCAGAATGTAGTAAATGGTAAGTTTATATTAATACTCTTTTTCTAGTTGGGTATTCATTTCGAATATTTTCAACTTCGGATGAATATGATATCTAGATTAGTGCTAACTGACTACTAGCTGTAATCAAACCGCCCATGGCAAAGGTTGCCGATGTCTTCGGTCGCTTCGAGGCTTTTTGTCTCAGCATTCTCATCTATATTCTGGGTTATGTACAGATGGCCGCATCGACCAATGTGCAAACATACGCATCTGCGCAGATCTTCTACTCCGCTGGATCCACGGGTTTACAGATCCTGCAGCAGGTATTCATTGCTGATAGCAGTGACCTTTTGAATCGTGCTTTTCTGGCACTTTTGCCGGAATTTCCATTCCTAGTCACCGTATGGCTCGGACCAACGATCGCAGATGCTGTGCTGCGGAATACCTCATGGCGATGGGGATATGGTATGTGGGCCATCATCTTGCCCGCTGCCTTCCTGCCGCTCGCCCTTTCACTGCTACTGAACCAGCGAAAAGCTCAGCGACTGAATTTGATCAAGCCTTCTAAGGTGAGACGTCGACGAAGCGTCTTCAGTGTCATTCGACGAACCTGGTATGACCTAGATGTCGGTGGCTTGACGCTGCTATCTATTGCAGTGACTTGCCTATTGGTCCCTCTCACTCTGGCAGCCAACTCGAAGAACGGATGGAAGACACCGAGCATTATCATCATGATGGCAATTGGTCTTATCTGCTTGATTCTCACTCCCTTATATGAATCTTCGAAGAAACTGGCTCCCAAGCCACTTCTTTCTCTGCATCTTCTCAAACAGCGAACTGCCCTTGCCGGCTGTGCATTAGCATTTTGGTACTTCAGTAAGTTTATATGTGGTCTCTTCTCTGCTTTACGCAGCCAGGTCATTAACCGAGACTAACCTTTACAGTGGCATTCTATTTCTCCGTTCAACCATACCTATACTCCTACCTCCAGGTGGTTCAGAACTACGATGTGGCCACCGCTGGCCGTGTCACTCAAACCTTCGCCTTTACCTCCACGATTGCTGCGTTCACCGTTTCTATTCTCATCAAATATACCCGCCGATATCGCATCTTCGTTACCATCGGCTGCGTCATCTACATGACTGGTTTGGCATTGATGCTCATGTATCGTCAAGAAGGCGCTTCTCATTTCCAAGTCCTAGGCACCCAGATCTTAGTTGGTTGCGGCGGTGGCTTACTGAACGTGCCCGTACAGCTCGGTGTGCAAGCATCTGCAAGCCACCAAGAAGTCGCCGCAGCTACTGCCATGTTCCTCACCTCGATGGAGATGGGTGGTGCTGTCGGTGCCGCCATTTCCGGTGCTATCTGGACTTCTCTCATCCCGAAGAAGTTACAGCAGTACCTACCCGAGGAAACCAAATCCCATGCGGAAGAGATCTTCGGCAAATTGACTACAGCGCTGGAATACCCCATGGGATCCCCGACTCGAATCGCCATCAACCGTGCTTACCAAGAAACCATGAACCGCCTTCTCACATTCGCCGTTATCGTGACTCTGCCTCTGATCCCGCTTAGTCTTATTATGGTGGACTACAAGCTCGATAAGGTGAGAACTCCAGCAAATAATGACAGTGTATCTGAATCTAAAGATAAGAGAGACTGACTTGTTACCTTGAAGATGAGTGCTAGCAGCCAAGATGACGGTTCTTCGACTCCACCCTCTGTGGACGCTGAGACTGAAGACGATCAGCGCCACAAACGAACCTAGACAACGACTCGTGTGCATCCTCATGATACATGTACACCAAGTTACGATTGTACGACCTGTTTTTGATTCTCATTTTGTTTTTTTTTTCTGAAGTTTATGTTGTGATCTTCTTGGACATTGTTCCACTGCATGAACATACCAGCAAGCCGGCGTTTGGTTAATGATTATTCTATGCGGATTCCCTATATTATGGATTTATATATGGACATGAGCCGGTCGGCTCGATTGCATTCGGCGTGGTTGATTTGAAATCTTACATTGTAGACGCATCTATCCGAATGAACTGATGATCAATTCAGACTGATCTGTTGTTCAAGATTTTCTGATCAAAGTTTTCAAGACGTAATCCGTACTACCAGCACCTAGCGATGTGCATTTCTCTATACATGGGTAGTTCTGCTGCTACTAGTAGGTAGAGGGCACTGGCACTGGACTCAGTCATGAATTTGTGTTCATCGGACAGCCAGCTCATATTTCAATCCCCATGACTCGGACCATTAAATCCCTCGTCTCAGGGTGAACTACGTGTCCAGCGCAAACAAGACTAGCCAACTCAATCATATACTTAGAAGTACCCAAGTGTTCAAGTACCAGTACTAATGTACTATTACTCAGTACTAACTACTGCTATTAGTGGTATAGTACTTTGACAGCAAATATGCAGTAGTACCCAGATCAAATCAACCCAAGACCAATTCCAAACACAAACACAAACATCAGCTCAACGCATTTAAGCTCTAATAGATTGCCATGCATGTACCTGCATACGCTGCATGCACGCCTAGGAGCTTACGAGTGTTTCACTGATAAGTCCATAACTTCTAGAGTTACTAGTACTTACTACTTGGAGTACTCCAGTGTTACTAGTACTTAGAATGTAATTAGAATATACTATTCAGTGATAAGTCCAACGGTCTCTGTATTCATGGCCCCACCGTCACCTCTCAACTTGAAGTTCGGCGTGGGGGTTCTCTGGGTCGGCCCGTGCCAAGACGAAGCTTGGGCTGATTTGACTCTTATGGACATCTGGAGGAGTTGACTTAAGATCTGAAATTGAGAATACTAGTCTAGGTTAAGTACCTAGATGGTAATTCCGAGTCTGTAGATATTCAATTTGAGATTGAATCATCTTATTGCTAGTTAGTGGTTCAAAATGAAGTTCTAAGGTTGAGATGAGATGAGATTAAGCTCAAATGTTCAGATAATTCAATATTCTAGTTACTCCTTTATCTTAATTATAGTTGATAGTAACTTGAAGGAATAGAATATTATAAATTACCCCCGAGGTCCAGATATCCGATCTAAGCATTAGCTCCCCCTTAATTATCAAAGCCGAGCTCAGGAGATGAAGGTATAATCCACAGGGAGCGGTGTGGGCGGAATCGAGATTAGCGTGTCTGAAGTGCTGGCCCCATTCCATTCAGAGACAGAAATCCGTTTTTTTTGGGACGTGGCTTTTATGGCTTGTTTAGAGGTGGATTCAAATGTTAAGAGGGTTATATCGTAACAGAAAAGGGGTCAGGATATAGGCACGTGTACTAGTAAAGTAGTTTACTGTACATGTCTCTTTATTTCTAGGGTTATGAATGTGAACATTTAAGATCATATGTGCAAAGTACATTTAAAGTACATAATTAGAGTGGATATGACAGGTTCAATGTCAATGTTAAAATACTAAGTGTTGATAGTAAACACTTAAGTGCTGGTAGAGGTATGCTTAGGAGAAATACTCCTTCATAAATTGGTGCTTTTACTGGTACTTAGTATATTAAGTATAGAATAATTTCTCTTTCTTCTATATAATTAAATACTATAAATATTCTTTCACTACTATTCTTGTCTCTCTTATCTTCTCTATATAATAATCATGATTCATCTTAGCTTCATCCCCAACTCTTAACCGACGAGGGACTCTTGGCATCACTTCGACTCTTTAACAATTATACTATCAATGGATAACCACCTTTATAATTTAATAGATCTATGAAGATCTATTGAATCATCTGAAATAATATAAAGAAAATTTCTCAACTTATTTTATCCTGGTTCACTCAAAGAGAAACCTGGTACCCGGCCGCGTACACGAGACTAACTTGTCTAGACTCCATCACTCTGCGGGTGTGCCCCATTCAATCCAGACCACAGCTTCCCTCTTCCTCCCTTTTCCCACCTTCTCTCTCTCCCATTTTCCCCATTTCTTCTTCCATTATCCATCTGGCTCAATATGGTTGTCGCTACCATCAAGTATGTCTCCTCTAACCCGATATCCCCCTATCTTGTCTACTCTCCCCTAACCCCGATTCTTTTAGGTGTGTCGTGGTGGGGGACGGTGCAGTCGGTAAGACCTGTCTGCTCATCTCCTACACAACCAACAAGTTCCCGTCGGAATATGTTCCTACTGTCTTTGATAACTACGCTGTGACGGTAATGTGAGTGCCTTATCTACTCCCTTTGCAAGGAATCATCAGGAAACCACGAGGAGAATGAGGAAAGAGGGGGAGAAAACGCTGTAACCGCCAGCGATCACACTCCTCCCAAAGATCATCTCAGAACCACATCGGAAAGAAATATACTGAGATAAGCGCATTTCTGACATTTTCATTCTTATAGGATCGGTGATGAACCTTACACTTTGGGTCTCTTTGATACCGCCGGTCAGGAAGATTACGATCGTCTCCGCCCGTTGTCCTACCCCCAGACCGATGTTTTCCTGGTCTGCTTCTCCGTGACATCCCCCGCCTCATTCGAGAACGTCCGTGAAAAATGGTTCCCTGAAGTTCACCACCACTGCCCTGGTGTTCCCTGCCTGATCGTCGGTACCCAAACTGATTTGCGAGATGATGCGAACGTGCGCGAGAAGCTTGCCCGTCAGAAGATGCAGCCTATCCGTAAAGAGGATGGCGATCGCATGGCTAAGGAGCTCGGTGCAGTAAAGTACGTCGAGTGTTCTGCTCTGACACAGTACAAGCTGAAGGATGTCTTCGATGAGGTAAGATTTACGATCGTGCTTTGTGATTTCTGCGATTCCTTTTTTTTTTTTCCTTTCCTGTGCCTCCCTACTGTGGTGGTGCGGTGCGGTGCGGTGGCCGATTATTTCCCCTTCTGTGCTTTCTTTCTTTCCCCCCTTTTCTGTCACTCTCAGCCTTATCCTGGTGTCGCTCACCGCTAATCCCTATTATAGGCCATCGTCGCTGCTCTCGAGCCTGCCCCTAAGAAGAAGTCTCGGGGCTGTCGCCTGCTGTAAGCAGATCCTCCGACAACGGCTGCTTACAGGGTGGTTTTTACATGACTCAGGTCGCCTACCTGGTTCACGCCAGGACAAAAAAAAACCACAGATACGATGGAATGAAATTGTTTTGTTTTTTCATTTGAAGAAGGCTGGTTGGAGGGAAATTCGGAATTTGGGATATTTACTGCGAAATCGGGTCTATGACACTATGAGCTACTGAAATGACTATCAAATGGGTTTGATAGTCCGTTTCTGCTCAAGGTTGATGGGGTCTGTTTTGCGCTGATATCCTGACCTTTCTCTTCTTCTGGCCTTCTCGTCCTTTGTTGCTTTCCTAACCCCTTTACCCCCAACTTCCTTTATTCTGTTTGACTTCGCCTGCGTCCATCTGTCGCATCCCTTCGACTCCGATCCGCGGTATCTCGATTCCACCTGGGCTTTCTCTCTCCCTTCTCCTTCTTCCTGTCCTTTCACGACCTCCAACGATGAGTTTCGATCTTCCCTCCTATTCTCCTCCCCTCGTGTGACCTCGATCCCCGATTCCACTCTACTTGATCCCATACTTCAACTTTTGTTCATCGTCTCTCTTGGCGTTGGTCGTCAGGGCGTCGTGTATCTCTTTTTTTCTTGGCGGGTCGAGAATATTTATCTTACCTCTTACCCTCAAACTTTTCAATTCTCCATGCCTCGGCCTTGCACTTCGGAAATATGAATTTGAGCTTGCTTGCACCTTTTCTTCTGCTTTGTAAACCCGGATTTACCGCATGCGTTTCTTTTGCCCCTCTGTGACCGTGTTCTCCGATTTTCCATCTCGATTTTTTTTTCTCGTTAAGACATGAACATCTCTGCTGTCGGCTGTTGATCTTATGATTTGTGTGTGTGCCCTGCTTCTGAAATGCGCCAGACCACATCCTGAATATTAGAATCTTGCAGAGAGTGCGAATTCAATTGACAAGTTCTATGTGCTCTGGTTCGATTGTAGGAAGACTGTTGCTTTCTAGATCGGCGTTGATATCCCCTTCAGTCCAGGTGCGACATACTCCTATCAGTGGGAGATACAGCGGACTACATGGTAAATATTGAATATAATAACTTGAAATCCAGTGTGTATGGGCATTTCATTCATTCTTCGTCTACATACTACATTCATGTTCTCGTATAATCTATACACTTAATCTCTCCCATGACTCATTTAGAGCTCATCCTTGTCAACAGTCTCCGAGTCAGACTCAGACTCAGTTTCCACGGCTTCAACATCCTCGGCACCAACCTCATCCATGCGTCCATACCAACCACCAAGCTCCTCATCAACACCAGACTTGACCATGCTGGTAATGATCTCAAAGGCAACCTGGGCAGCAGCAAGAGCGGTAGTCTCACCCTTGTTATCATACGCAGGCGAAACCTCCACAATATCAGCACCAACCAGGTTCAACTTCTCCAATCCACGCAGAATGCGAATAAACTCGCGAGTAGTCCAACCACCAGGCTCGGGGGGTACCAGTACCCGGAGCAGTAGAAGGATCCAGGACATCAATATCAACCGACAAGTAAACCGGCTGCTCAGGATCAAGACCAATGCGCTGCATAATAACATCGACAACACCCATAGGACCAAGCTCATCAATATCATCCGCATGGATACGAATAAAGCCCTGCTCAGGACCAGGGTTCGTATAATCGCCATCATTAACACCAGTCAAGCGAGTACGAAGTCCCGCATGGGCTGAGGTAGAGTTACAAATCAAACCCTCCCGACTAGCCTTGTGGAAGAAGCTTCCATGGTTGAACTGCGTCTGCTCAGACTGCCAGTACGCACTATAGCGTACAGGATTCCAGGTATCAAGATGCGCATCAAAATGCAACACCGTAATAGGCTTCTGGTAAATCTGATACAATGCTCTCAAAGCCGGAAGCGCAACACTATGATCTCCACCAAGTGTGACAAGCTTAGGATGTCCAGTCCCAATACCCTGACCACCCTTCGGCGCAGCATTCACCACCTTCCGTGATCCGAGCTCTAGGAAAGCCTCGTACATCTGACGCTCGGCGAGCCCGTTATCAAATGGTGTAATTGGGATATCACCACAATCTGTGATCTTCGCCCAAGATTGGTATGGATTGATTCCCGCACGGGTATTATAGCTTGTTCCTGCCATTTGACGTGCGCTCGCAGCACGGATAGCGCGAGGACCAAATCTTGCACCGGGTCGGTAACTAACGGCTGTGTCGAATGGAGCGCCGATTACGGCGATGTCGTAGTTTTCTTGGGGTTCGATAAGACATTTAACTGGGCGGAGATGAGCGAAACTGGCAATACCAGAGAAGGACCACTAGGCAATTGGTTAATTTGGGAGAATTATTTAATTTGTGCATTGGGAAGGGTTTACCTCTTGATCCCACTTCTTGAGTAATTCCTCTCGCTCATGCTCGGGTACTACTTCGGTTTCACCATGATGAGCACAAGAGACGGCGGAACCCGCTAGAGCGAGAACGCTTAAGAGGGATTTCCAAGTATGCATAATGAATGAAACTGGATTAGAAAAAGAGAGAATAAGAAGAAAGAAAAGAAAAGAAGAAGAAAAAGAGCGAATATATAGAAGTACAATCTCCGCTGAACTTCCTAATGCAGAGAGCTTTATCTAAGCTGGAGAATGAAAACCAAAGTCCCCGCTATTCTCCGCCCAATTATCATCCGTGGATCGCGCGTTCGTGCAGACTTTCCCTTCTTGGAACATCCACCTCTTCAAGTTCCTATTCTCTCCATCTTTTTGTTTTACTAAATGCCATGCGTCGGGTTGTTGTAACAGGTTTGGGTGCTGTTACGCCATTAGGTGTTGGTGAGTCCCTTTCATATCCCTCAGTCTGGAACGTGAATGAACATATACATCAATGTGAACTCGTCGTGCTTGGAGGATCCCGACTATACAAGCTACATCTCTGTCCCCAAGTCTGGACTTCACCGCCTCCGTGAATCCCTTGGATCGCGAATATTCTCTGCCCCGGAGTTGGAGTCGCGATCCCGTCGAAATCACGGCTCCACTTGCTCAAAGGGGAAGGTCTTGACAACCAATGAGGGTTCATATCTTGGCTCTGCGGACTGAAGACCGCATACTTGGCAGTACTGTGGTAGTATTGTGAACAGAGTGACTTGATCTGTTATGTTCTATTCTGTTCTGTTCGGCGTCGATTGGAGTGGGGTAGTTATATGGATGAGCTAATAGTATATGGATAGGCATTCGGCGATCTTGGAAGCGTCTACTAGATGGACAATGTGGTGTCGTGAATGTAAATCATCGCGACAAGCGCTTTGCTGAACAGCCATGTCAGATTGCGGCTGTTGTGCCACAAGGTTCTAAAAATGATGGTGGTTGGATGGCGTCAGAGTGGTTGAGTCGCAGTGTGAGTTATCTTTTTCTCTACTCTGATTCTCAAATGGGTGATGCTGTAGAAATTTTATAGCAAACCTGAGATCCTTCCCAGGAGATTTTTTACTGATACCTTGCAGGATGAGCGCAAGATAGCCCTGTTTGCTCAGTATGCCATGGCTGCAACTGAGGAGGCCCTAGAAGATGCAGGTTGGAAGCCAACGGAGTTCGAGCAGAGAGAAGTTACAGTGAGTTCCCAAAATACGAAAATTCTCGGTTATCATTTGTACTAACTTGCAAAGGGAGTTTGTCTTGGTTCTGGAATTGGCAACTTTGAGGAGATCTACAACACTGCTATTGCCTACGAGAACGGAGTAAGTGACACTGGAAAGCAAAATTAGACTATCAATCTAACTGTTTTTAGGGATACAAGAAAGTAAATCCTCTTTTTGTGCCCAAGTTGCTCATCAATCTTGGGGCTGGTCACATTTCCATGAAACATGGGTTTATGGTGATTATATCAATCAACACCTGGCTTGAGCTTTGCTAATTAGTTTCAGGGCCCGAATCATGCAGCTACAACAGCGTGTACCACTGGAGCTCATTCCATTGGCGATGCAGCAAGGTTTATTGCCTGCGGTGACGCCGACGTGATGGTTGCTGGAGGAGCCGAGTCCTGCATCCACCCTCTTGCCATCGGAGGCTTTGCGCGAGCAAGGAGTTTAGCTACTGACTTCAATGACAACCCCGAGAAAGCATCACGGCCATTTGATGCAGACCGAAAAGGATTTGTTGTCGGAGAGGGAGCTGCCGTCCTCATCCTAGAGGTATGTATTTGCTTCTAACTCAATACCGTCTCATACTAACATCAATATTCAGGAATTGGAACATGCCCGTGCTAGAGGCGCGCATATCTACGCCGAGCTTAGAGGATATGGCTGCTCCAGTGATGCCCATCATATGACAGCACCAAAAGAAAACGGCGAAGGTGCATACATGGCTATGAAAAAAGCTCTTAAACAAGCTCAGCTTCCTCCTTCCGCAGTCGATTATGTCAACGCACACGCAACATCTACAGTTGTTGGGGATGCCGCCGAGAATGCAGCCATCAAGACTCTTCTTCTCGGTGCGGAGGGCAAGCAAAAGCCCAAGGACGTCAATGTCAGTAGTACCAAGGGCGCGGTTGGTCATCTCCTTGGCGGCGCCGGCGCCGTGGAAGCAGTCTTTAGTGTCCTCGCCATTCAAGACGTAAGTTCAATGCTTTTGTTCTCTATCCACACGGAAAAGCTGATGCTAACTATTCTTAGAACATCATACCACCTACTATCAATTTAGATCGTCTTGCTGATGGGTTTGACTGCAACTACGCGGCAAAACACGCGCAGCCGAGGCAGATTGATGTGGTTTTGACGAACAGTTTTGGCTTTGGAGGAACAAACAGCAGTCTTTGCTTTGCAAGATATGCGTAAAAGTCCTGAAAGAGTGTATGTGTAAAATAATGTAATGTAAAACTTCTACTACCTGCCTAGGGCTTTCTATTATCTCTCTGGGCATCCGTGCGAGATGATCTCTGTAGTATGGTCTTACTTCAAGTTCTCACACATGATGTTCATTTGATAGATTGTTCTTCATTAAGTCGAAAATAGACTGATCATAACCGAAAAAGGAAAATGAAAACAAAACCAACGCCGAGCCGCGTCCCGTCATGTCATTTAGCTTGAACGTTTGTGATGCTTATTTCTCAAATAGGCCCCCGGGCCGTGATAAAGTTCCAGTGCTTCCTCAAAAATCCGCTTTATCTCATCGTGCTGCTTCATCTCTCGCTGTTTCCACTCATCTGGATCTATTTTGCTTAGATCCGCATGGAAAGGTACATCATGCCAGCCTCCTAAAAACAATAACCACTGGCAGTCATCTGTTATGTCAACATGTTTTCTACTATAGGGATACAGGAATTCAGGTTTGATTTGATATTCGAGCCCTTTGCTGTATAACAGGCCAACATAATCATGTAATGGCTGCTCTAATCCAGGCATTATTTTATCAAAATCCCAGTCAAGCCTCGCTCGGTCAAAGAGTCGCCTCCAACGGAGGAAATTTGAAATTCTGGTCCAGAAAAATTTGCCGGTGGGATCGGGTGCGGAGACATCAGGATGGCCAATCCATTTGGAATACAGTTTAGACTGGGTCTTTAGCACTTGGTATTGACGATGAGAATCTTTATCGGAAAGCTAGAGGGGAGTCAAAGTTAGCAGCTGGCATTTCAAGAATAAACAGGAGACGAACTTCATGACGTATTACTTTCCAACCTGACGGTCGTGCAGACCGAAGTTTTGATTTTGAATGGCTTGGAAATTTTGGAACAAAATCAACACCTTGCTTTCCCTCTCGATGGGCATCATTAGTCTGCTCAACAATATCTTGCTTATTTTGCTCGGGATGGGCTTGTTTGGTCGTAGCTGGTGTTCTTCACGTCGCTTGGTCGAATGTTTGTGTTGTCGAGTGTTTTTAGGCCTGGTAGGCCTAATAGGCCGGCCTAGTTCCTGTATCTCGTTCATTATGACAGTTTTAAATTATTTGGCGCGAAGATTTGTAAAAATGAATAATCATGAAAGAAAGAACAAAAAGTGTTCAGGGTACCTGAGACCCCAGAGGTTCGAAAGTTGTTTACGGGGTAACTAACGTAATTCCCGGTCGATCTGGACACCCGGCCGTCCTGGACACCAAGAACACCATAGTAAATGCGATATTTTACAACTTGATTTTTCAACACCCAAGGCTTAGTATTAGGTCTTAGTTTGTCGTAGCACTTAGTATAACCATCTCATTATATTTATTTGATCAACAAGAGTTTCAAGTCATCTCAATGTAGAGATATATATCAGTGTCACTAGACTAGAGTTTCTTTTTGGTTATGCAAGTAAGTAATAACTTCTTGCTTATTTTTAGTCCAGCTATTTCATTTATAATGTCAAGAGACGTTATAATATTAGGAATTGAATAAACACGGCATCTCGTTGTTGATGTATTGCGACTGAAGAAATTACATTTAGTATGCTGTTTTGGGGTGTCCAGATCGACCGGGAATTACGTTAACGTATTCCGTAAGCGAGCCGCACACCTACCAAATTTCCGGCCGCGAAACACAACTCGCGATCTTCAACCAGCAACCATGCCACCAAAGCACGCTGTCTTGGCCGAAAAATCAGATAGCCGAGAAGGAAAGCTTTTACTTGCTATACAAGCTATGAAAAATGACAAAGATTTAACGCTCAGACGTGCTGCGCGCCTATATGACGTCGCTGTATCTACACTACGCGACCGCTGTAACGGCGCGACACCCCGATCAACCACACGCGCAAATAGTCATAAATTGACCCAATTAGAAGAGGAATCACTTCAGAAATGGATACTCTCTATGGATACACGCGGGGTAGCACCCACACAGCCTATGGTACGAGAGATGGCAAATCTATTGCTTGCAAAGCGTGGAGAGACTACCCCACAGACAGTTGGGACCAAATGGGTATATAATTATATCCAACGGACACCTGAGCTTGCGACACGTCTATCACGTCGATATGAATATAAGCGTGCTTTATGTGAAGATCCAGCTACTATAACGGAGTGGTTTAACCGTGTACAGCAAGCTATTCTCACATATGGTATCCTTAATGAGGATATTTATAACTTTGATGAGACTGGCTTTGCTATGGGTATGACAAGTACAGCCCGTGTTGTTACACGTGCTGAGTACTATGGAAGAAGACGCCTTCTTACATCTGGAAACCCTGAGTGGGTTACTGCTATTGAGACAATCAACAGTAGTGGATGGGCACTACCGCCATATATCATCTTTAAAGCAAAGATGTTTAACCAAGCCTGGTTTTCGGCCGAAACCCTACCATCTGATTGGCAATTAGATGTTAGTGATAATGGCTGGACTACCAATCAAATCACGTTAAACTGGCTCCAGAATCACTTTTTACCGCTTACAAATAAGCGTGTAGGTGGGAAGTGGCGGCTTTTGATTATGGATGGCCATGGTAGCCACTTAACACCTGAATTTGATCAAATATGCGAGGAAAACCATGTCCTACCATTATGTATGCCAGCCCATTCTTCCTATCTTCTTCAACCTCTTGATATTGGGTGTTTTAGTGTGATAAAGCATACCTATGGGCAGGCTATCCAGCAAAAGCTTCGATATGGCACACACCACATCGATAAGCTTGATTTTCTTGCTATATACCTATCTACCCGGGACCAAGCTTATAAGCCAGCTACAATTTCAAATAGCTTCTTAGCAGCTGGTTTAATTCCGCTTAGCCCGCAGCAGGTGCTTGAGAAGCTTGATATAAAGCTACGTACGCCTACACCACCCCCTAGTAGCGGAAGCAGTAACTTTACCCCCCCATACGCCATACAAGCCTACCGATATCCAACGACAGGCTTCATCAATCAAAAGGCTCTTGAAGCAGCGGTCATATACATCTCCCAGCCCAGCTAAAGAAGCGCTTGAGCAGCTGATTAAGGGATGTGAGATTGCTATGCATAACGGCGCATTTCTTGCTCATGAAATTGAGCAATTACGCGCTGAGAATGGGCGGCAGGCACGTAAGCGTGCCCTACCTAATAGGCAGATGGCTAATAAGGGCGGAATGACTGTGAGCGAGGCAAGCCAGCGTATACAGAAGGAGGATGATATAGTAGAAGCAGAGCGGGTGGTAGATGCAGAGCGGCGGGAAGCTCGAAAAACGGCCACTGGGAGAGCGTTGCCAAAGTGTACGAATTGTGGAAATATCGGACATAAAAGAAACACTTGTACTAATTAGGATAGATGTTATTTTGATTATTTATTTTTGTTGCTGCTTGAATAATAGTATAAAATATATATGGGTGGTAGGTAGCTGACCCGCCCGCTTACATGACCCGCCCGCTTACATGACCCGCTCGCTTACGGGTTACGTTATTAATTTCGATTACGTCCTCGCAAATGAGCTCCAGGCCTTTGAACCTAGGCGGCCCACCTGGAGACTCTTGAGTGTTGAGATCAAACCTCATTCCATTTTTCTCTCTATTTGGTTTTCTGCTTCAGAGGTCCTATCTCTCAAATGTGGTTTTCACTGCGGCCTGCTTTAAGGCTCAGTGGAAAACTTTGCGCACCTTCTGCTGGGCCTGCCGGAATCTCTTTTCTTTTGGGGATGGGCGCTTAGTAGTAAGTGAGTACTGGTCCTAACTCCTGCATATCACACCTGGGCATATAGATCTCGGGCACCTTTTCTTTTGGTGGGCGCTTACTGCTAGGTCCTTTACATGATCACATTCATGGATCTCTAAAATTAGGCATCTCTTTCCAAGGTTCTTGTAGATAGGCGCTTACTATTGAAGTTAAATATGATCAGGGTAATATAGCAAGTACAGGGGCCTACTATAACGGCCACGCGGCCAACCCCCATTTTCAGTAATGAATTTTGACTCACCGTTGGTTACTTTCCAAGGTTATCATCATGATGTAAAAACTTCCATAATACATAAGGCTAAAGTAATATATAGTTAGAGTGAGAGATAACCAAAGTAAGAGATAGCTGAAGTAGGAGACTGTTGTACATACTTCATCATATCCATAGATGGATTGCTACCATTGGATACTAACTCTTCTTTCTTTCAGGTAGGCGCTTACTACTGGCAGGTGCTATACATGATCATAGTCATGGATCTCCAAAATTAGACATCTCTTTCTTTTAAGGGCTGGCGCTTACAAGTAGCAGGTGTCAGTGCACATCGCCTCCATGAATATTTTACATACTGCATATATGTCTTATCCCTCTAGTTTGGGCCAATTCATTTTAACATTGAATACCGTGACACTCTCTGGACTTATTTCTACTACTCCATTGTTGGAATACCCACCTCTTCTATATCAATATTGCTTTCTACCTCTGAAAGTGACATCGGACTTTTCAATCTCGTCCCAAGGTTACAAACACGTTCAAATCCTGCAATGATGTCCGAGTCTTTGACCATCAATCAATTCCTTGAGCCACTGCGAGATGAAGATGCAAATGAGCTACGACACACACTTGCAGACTCGGCTCGACCTATCTCTATTAATGACCGTTATCAAGTGCTTGGACAGCCCGAAGAATGGCATTCTTTCACCTCTCGGAGTATCCTCTATGCCCGTGCTCTTCAGAGTTTACTAGGGAAGCGAATTAGTCCCAGTGGCAGCCATGGATACCAGATGCTTTCCGGGTTATATATCCCGAAAGAATGCCGGAAACTCTGTACATCGATACTTTAATTACCCGAGTTAATGTCGCTCTTCAGCATGCTATCCCGTCTGGCGATCGCTCTGCTACCATCATCGTGTGCCCTGGTGCTTTTGATAGCCACCTGCCTGATGAAAAGGGCGGTAATTCGACTATTTTACCCGACTTGGTTGTCTTGGAGGGTGAATATAAACCACAGGACAGATATTTCGATACCTTGGATGAACTTGCTTCCAATCACAAGGTGCTTGCAGTTGGTGATGTAAAATTAGCGGATAGAAATGGCGAAGACACTGTTAGAGGTGCGCATTCGTGCCATCGGAGCTATCTGGCTCAGGTACAGCACTATGCAGTCATGACCAACACACGTTTTGGCTTTGTTCTTACAAACAAAGAGCTGGTTCTGGCCCAATTTCTACGTAGTGATGAAGCTTTACGACGAGGTCATGACCAACGGGGGCTAAGGTCCACAACTACCTATCCACTTGAAGAAGGCCTTCGATCTGACTTTAAGACCTCTGATATGGGGAGATCGGATAAGTCGACCATGGCTGGACCACAGACTTCAATTCCATCGCGTCCAAAGAGGAGACATGCGAGTAGTGACAGTCAAAGCTCCCCATCTCGTTTCTGAACTCGTGTTGAGCATTCACAAGATCAGTAAATTGCTGAGTTGCCTGCCACTCCACCACATTTTCGGTCAAGTCCTCCTACTATTTATCCTCAAAATGAGGAGCAATCTTCACCTGGTTCACCTGCATCCGAGCCAAGCCTTCCCCAAATGAGTAGCAGCCAAAACTACACAGAGAGTAGTCGATACACGTCATCTGTCCGTGATATAGAGATAGAGCGGGTTTTGGTCAAGAGCTTCAGGATTCCAAATCCCGAGGACAACGAAACCAATTCAACTTCAAACTTACACCCCGCAAAGGCCAAAGGCTCTGTTCATATTGGGGATGCATGCCTCGTCTGTTGGATCTGCGGGAAGACAGATAGGAACAAACGAAGTCGCATTTGGAAGTGGTTCAAGTTTCTAAGGAGATAAACTGTGAGCTTCGAGTCCCTTCCAAGTTAACAAACTTGAAGTATCCTACTGCGAGTGTTGCTTTTAAGTTATTCACGTTATCCATCTTGTCTATGTTATTGATATTCCTGCTCTAAGCCTGATTTACTGATTTTCTGCGTCTATATATCTTTTGCTTCGCTAGCACCAGTATGTTATGTAACATCATGATCATTTGAATAAATGTTTTGGCCATACCTACCTACCTAGTAGTAGTACTAGTATCAATGTGACCGATCACTGCCAGTGGCATGACTGCACATGTGATTCATTGACATTTTAAGTTGCTATAGTATGCCTCTTTTACTAATTAGGTTCCTGGACACTGAGCACTCAAGTACTGAGAACATACCTTTCCCAAATTTCAAGTTGCTGCTACAGTGCCGCGCTTCCACATGTGCAAGGTTCGTGAGGAATTGAGGGACTACAAGAACTACCAGATACCAGGAACTTAGTAGTAAGAAAGGTGAAAATTAGAACTTGAAACATTTGAACCTCTAGGGCTTCAACAATTGAACTTGAAACACTTCAAGTTGAGTCCAACTTGGATTAAAAAAAAGAAAAAAACCCACTACATACTAAATGGGTATACTAGCCTGAGGGTCTACTACTACTAGTAGTAGGAAGGGACTCGGAGACATCTGGATTCTGGAGCGTGTTGTCTACCTATACCCGTGGTCCGTGGACTACAACTCTATAATTAGTATGACCAATATTTTCAAACTTGAAATATTCCCAAAAATAGCGCCAGTAGTGAAATTCGAAGAATTAAATCAGTTTTTCCCCCATTAAACATTATTTAACAGCCCTAGAGGAGAAGTAGTGAATTACCACATAGTTTCCATTCACTCCAGGGCTGTGAATGGACACACGTGACCTACCCAAATGCGGAGCCCCAGCCCGTCCTTTTATCCTGGATTGTAGATGAGACACAACATCTCCAACCCTCCTCCCTCGATCTGAAATCCATCGAACTCATCTCAGCACGCAGAATTGTCTGGTACAATCAAAATTTGCCCTCATTATGGCGGCCAACGGTGACTCCGGCCGAGGTAAGCACCGCCCGTCTGCTGGAAGCGTGATATCGGAGAAGTCCACATCCTGGGCTTAAGATGATATGGCCCTCGACTTAGTTTTGAGACGATTGGGCGCCGAATTTCAAGACTATATGAACAGGGCTAATTCAATCACGCGGAAACAGTGTCCGGAAGCCTTGTCGATGCCTCGGGGTACAAGTTCACCGAAAAAGATACAAAGCCTGGCAAGATGAAGGTCAAGAAGACATCCAAGGGCTCCACCAAGAAGAAAGCAGATGGTATGAGCAGCAACAATGCGATCGACCCATTATTGCAAACTCCTGGTCCCAATCATGACCCGTACTAATCCCATTCTTGTTGCTAGACATCAAGGACGGACCTGTTGATTCTTCGCCCACTTCGCCCCTCCCTAAACTTGACGACAAGCTCGCAACCTCTTTCCCCACTGGCAAACCACGCGAAGAAGACCTACTTGAGACCCTTGTCTGCAAACACTGCAAACGACCAATCCTGAAACAGATCGCCCCCGAACACATTCGCGGCTGCTTGAAGGCTAAACAGGAGAAAGCACGCAAAAAGAAGGAAGCTCGTGACGCAGCAAACCGAGCCAAGGTCGGCGATGGCAAAGACGAAGAAGACATTCGCGACAAAGGTGACGGTGACGACTCCATGAAGGGACAGAAGAGCGCCAAGAAGAGCGCCATCAAGGGCACCGAGGACGGGACCAAAAAGGGCAAGAAACGCAAGGCTGATGAGGATGACACCAATCTCAACAAGGAGCCCAAGAAAAAGAAGAAGAAGGACGAGCCTAAGGCGAAGACTGCCAAACCCAAGGGCCCCGTTGATGTTGAGAAGCAGTGTGGTGTTACCCTACCCAACGGAGCCCAGTGTGCTCGCTCTCTGACCTGCAAGAGTCACTCGATGGGAGCAAAGCGTGCCGTCCCAGGTCGTTCTCTCCCGTATGATATGCTTCTCCAGCAATACCAGAAGAAGAACCAAGCTCGCCAGCAGAGTAAGTCTCAACTTTAATCCCATGAAACCTAAGTACAAGGCTGACACAATGCTTCTTTCGCATTCGTTTTACAGAAGCTGCTATCGATGCCAATGCTCCACTCCAGGACGAAGTTGATACCAATGGCCCTGTCGATTCAGACGAAGAAAAAGATGCAATCATGGCTGCTATTGCTCGTTCTGATCCCCGCCCCCTTGTTGAACACTCATACATCACCTCGAAGATGAAGTACAGCAAAATCCGCATCAAGGAACAGTTTGCGCAGGCAATGGGAGTGCGCTCTGGAGCTTCTTTTTTCGGCACGGATGAAAGTCAACCCTTGTTTGGCGGAAACATGTTTCAGACCTTCGATCCTGAGCTTGATATTTCCTCAGACCCAATCCTCGCCTCTACTGATCCCGTCGATGGTGTTATCTCCGTGGATGGCTCGAAGAAGACCCCTCTTCAAGGCGCACGCAAGACCTCCGGCGCCACTCTGTCTTAAGGTCCTGCAGTCTAGATGACGATTTAACGACTTTTTTTCTTCATTCTCTCATTGTGTCGAGTCTGCAAATGTTCCCCGATACCACGGCATTCCCGGCGAAAAGCCTCGCATTTCCCTCTTTATTTTAGTTCTCTATCATTATTTCCGTCCAGACAGGCTTTTTCTGTGCGTTTTTTTGTTTTTTGTTTTTTCTTGAGTGATGAATGATACCCCTGCTCCTAGCGCGAGTCGCAGGAAGCCTGCAATGAAATTTTCTTTTTCCAAGTTGTTTCTTTAGTACGAGTCCAAATGAGATAAGCACGTAGTACCATTAATTCTACGCTGTAGTTCTACCTATACTATATAGAGCCACCTAGGCAGGCGCCTGTGCAGCCCTTAAAGTGAGGCAGAACTGATTATTAATTGTCAGACTGCAAGGTCTAATGCAGTAGGCGGTCGCAATGGGACGTATCAACAGGTCTGATTCTCTCATAACACTAATTTTACACGAATAAGCGTCTGCTGCGACCGTAGATCACGTGGCTAATCATGTGATCCATTCTGGTTCGGCCAATCAGAAGCCAGGATTTAATCGTGTTAAAACCGTCCCAATTGGGCCTAGTTTATCACGTTATTTTGGCTGACATTAATTTTGTCGCCTGAGGTGTCTAAAGACCAGCTCCGTCGATCATGGCCTTTGAACTCTCAAGCAATGCGAGAACACTTTGGCTCTTTTTGAGCTTACATTTGCATCTCATTACTTCACTTCGCCTGCCTTGACATTCCTCTGTGTAGGCGTGCGTTGCTCAGCTCCATACAAAATCGGATTGAGCTTCAACCTGTGCTCCAAGGCCTCACCTTGACACTGTCAGCGACCCCTCGTCGCATCCCGAAAAACAAGGCACGTCGCAGGTGCCTATTCGATCTAGATCCTCCCTCACTTCCCTCCGATCTCACTTTTCACCATGAGTCACTCTGTTCCCGACCTCGACCAGATTGGCATCAAAGCCGAGCCTGACCTCGCGGACCAGTTCCGCCGCGAAGTAGCACACCTCCTCGGACGCAGCAATCTCAATTTCCCCGGCGCGCAGCCTGTCAGCTTCTCATCAAGACACTTGACCGAGCTTCAAAGACAAGATTACTATGTTTGTGAGAAGACAGACGGTATTCGGTGCTTGATGTACTTTGCGCGCGGTGAGCCCGACTCCGACGCGCCCGAAATCCACTACCTGATTGATCGAAAAAACGACTACCGCTTCGTTCCGGGCCTTCATTTCCCACTACCAGAAGATCCCACGTTCCAGTCATATCATGTCGATACCTTGATTGATGGGGAACTGGTCAACGATATCTACGAGGATGGATCACAGCAGCTCAAGTACTATGTCTTTGACTGCCTTGTGTTAGATGGTCAAAGTCTGATGCACCGAACACTGGATAAACGACTAGCATATTTCAAGGAGAAGGTTTTGAAGCCATATAATGCGATGTACAGCAAATTCCCTGAGGAGAAACAACACCGAGCATTCGCCGTGGAGGACAAGTCTACGCAGGTCAGCTACGGCATTGAGATGATGTTCCGCGAGATTATCCCCCCAAGTGAAACAAATCCATGGGAACGACGGTCTTATTTTCACCTGCCGTAGCACACCATACAAAATCGGCACAGACGAGCATATTCTGAAATGGAAACCCCCGGCCGAGAATACTATTGATTTCCGTATGCGACTAGAGTTCCCTGTGCTTGAACCTGATACCGACGATGAGGCAGATGGTATCTTCGAGCCTTACCCCGACTACGACGCCCTCCCTATCTTCCATCTCTTTGTTATGCTGAACGCGGGTGAATACCGCCACTTTGCCGAAATGTACGTCACGCCAACTGAATGGGAGGATTTAAAGGCAATGTGTGTTCCCTTGGATGATGCCATTGTTGAATGTTCCAAAGATGAAAACTCACACTGGCGCTTTCATCGACTTCGTGATGATAAAAATGACGCAAACCATATCTCGACGGTGGAGAAGGTGCTGGAGAGTATCGAGGATCGTGTCACAGAGGAGGATCTTATTCGGTTGGCGCCGGTCATTAAAACTGCTTGGAAGAAGCGCCAGGCAGGACCGAGCTCGGAGGGTAAACCTCGTGGTATGCCGCCATCGGTGAATGGAGGTGTTAAGCGGAAATTTGAGGAATGAGACATCAAACACAGAGAGAAAAGAATAATTCATTGGATATTTCTAATTTTTTCTTTCTTTTTTGTTTTTTTTCCCTCTTCATTTGCAAGGTGTCTGGCGTTGTGGATTACTACTAGTTTCAATCATATTTAGCATACTCATCCCGGTATCCATACCTCCCTATATTCATCTAAACATCTACGATGGTGATAAGAGTGAAAGGATTGGCAACATGCCGGGATGAAAGGTGAAAATGGCGTTTGATGAGGTATCTCGATCTATCGTTATTCCACACCACCTGTCACGAATAGGGCGTAAGCACTTGAGACATCTGGACGTGCATCCCAACCTTGGAAGTAACACTAAAATAGTAATAAGGAGGCTCCCCTTGGTGCGCTGGCTATCACCCATACCACTTGAGCGCTCTAGCAATGCTCTGTCTCTTCATTTTGCACTGCATTACTCCGAGTCGCTATGAAAGGGTCGATCTTGAAAACCTAACAACATAAGAAAGCTATGTACATGGCCTCAAGTGCCTGTTTTCTCAACTTGAACTTGAATGGCTGAATGATGTTCAAGTTTAAGTGACCTAGATGTCAACTTCAGGTTTCATCGGAATTTAAGGGGAGTCCTCTGCTATTTTGACAAAATCTATACAAAAGTTTATATTAGTCCATTGAGAGTATCTCACAATCCACGAGCCTCCGCGGAACCTTAGAATTGGTCACACAGTCATTTTTTTACCTATTGCGAAGAAGTAAGATCCAGAGTATCATGTTAGCCTGGAAATAATCATCCTCAAATTATGGTCAGTGTGGTCGTAAAGCCCAGTGGCTTGGAATTGGGCGTATGAAGGATTGAAGGATTAAGTACGGTGAAGCACAGAGTCAGGTTAAATTGCCGACCTTGAAAATCCTGTACAGAATTTAGCATGGTGGGGAGATCAAGTGTTAACATCATGGTGAAGGTTGAAAAACATTGGAAGTGCTAGTATTTCGTAACTAAGTACGAAGTACGGATTGGGATAATGCACAAGAGCTCTATAGTGTTTAGTGGGTCTGGTGGGCTCAGCCTTGCCCAGGCGCCGGGGTAAGCCGGGGCCGCGTCATGGAATACACTGAAATCTGGATATAACGGATATATCACAATGTTTGTGCGCATGGAGCCTTGGAAGGTTCATTCTGAACTCCAAGATTATGGATACAAACCTTGGAATTTGTTAGTGAAATTTATACTAGTATTGGAGTGTGGTGGAGAACAGGCTTAGAACTTGAAGCTACTGGGATATTAATTAATGAACCTCAGATTGGATTTACAATTAAACTTAATAGTTACTTCAAAGCTTTCTTTCAAATTGTTCTTTGACTCATCTATTTACGGTAATCAGTAGATAATATAATGCGTCACTGTGTACAGGTGAATATGCCAGTGTGAGTGAGTAGATAATTGAGCACTGTAGTAGGCAAGTCACACTGGCACTGGGCAGATCTCAAGGATCTCAAGTGCTTACTAGTAGCTCGATTTCATGATATAGAGCTGCCTAGATCGCTTCAAATTCCCTGGGATAGCGCTCCGAGTGTGTTTTTGGATCCTGGTATTTCTGATGCTAGTCTATGGTGTCGTGTCGTTCTAAGTGGGTCAAAGGACATCATCGTACAGATTACCAAACTAGTAACCATTGCGGTAGCTTCAAGTTGGGCATAGCAGAGATTATTTACTGATCTGTTCTTATTGCTAGTAAATTGATCTTGCTTGAACAGTTGAATGTTTAGTTTTCACTTTGTTGCACAATATTATCTGAGTCATGTAGAGGAATAACCTTGTAGTAGTACTATGGGGCTCTCCGAGTCTATGTAAAGTCGAGCCTCACCTGGACAGACTTTAACTCGAAGTTTAGTGATCAGATTAGTGATCGTACTAGTAATGAACCCCTCAGAGTCAATATTCTTAGTCGCACACCTAGCCATCCTCGCCTTAGTCCAAATGGTACATCCATAGGGTGCCCAGGTGGCTATGCTTATTCCGTTTATGGGGAGCGCCGCTGCGGTACATCCTTCGCCCCACACCTGCATTGTCCAACTTGGGATTGGGCGTTAAGAGGTCTGATCATCTGAGGGGTTATGTGGGCTATGCGAGCTCCACATTTGAATACCAATTATCTAGCGGCCTAGTACTAAAATTGAGTGCCTGACAACTTTCTTTGTTCGACATGGAGCTCATATCGCCATCCGCAAATGAGAACTCCGATCTCAACCCAGCTCGCCATGAGGCGTAAGCCAATATGTGACCAAAAATAAGTGCGTGAAAAGGTACGATGAATCTTGGGGACTGATCTTGGAAATGGCGGAGGCTGGTATGCCGCGGCAACGTCATCCACTTATTGCGAATATATAAGATGCACGTCTTTGCCATCTTTGAGGATCAGACAAGATAAAACAAAACATCCTACCTTCAAGTCCCATTATCACAATCACCATGAAACTCTCTCAGCTTATCCCTATCTCCATCGCCGCTGGCTTGTTGGACTCTGCCAGTGCTCGCAGTCACAGTCCTGGTGGGCGGTCTTTGGGCACCACATCAAGTCTCATCGCCACGGAATATGGTACTGTGTTTGATGTTCCAGTGACCATCGGCAGCCAAACCTTTATGCTCCTTGTTGACACAGGTAGCAGTGACACATACGTTATGCAAACCGGCTACACCTGTGTCAACAGTAGCAGCAACATGATTATTTCGGAAGCAGATTGCGAATATTCAAACAAGACCTATCATAAGTCTGAAACCTATCGAAAAGTCCATGGCGAGTTCTTTGGAGTCGAATATGGAGCAGGACTCGCAAGTGGTCTCATGGCCTACGAGCAAGTCTCCATGGGCAACATCACCGTGGACAGCCAGAAAGTCGGCATTGCAAATGACTCCAATCCTATGGGTGATGGAGTGAACAGTGGACTGCTCGGCTTGGCTTATCCATCTCTCACATCAGCCCACCCGTTGAATGACACCTCGAACTCGAGCTACTGGGAGAACCGTCTGGTCTACAATCCTCTCCTGTTCACAATGCACGATGAAGGTCTCATCGACCCCTACTTCAGCCTTGCACTGGCACACACACCTCAGAATGAGTCCACTTCATTCGGTGGCTACATGACACTTGGTGGTCTCCCTCCTGTTCCTCACAGCTCGCACTTTTCAACCGTCCCCGTTGAGATTACCTCTGAGATTCCATTGTGGTACACATCCGGAAAGAAAGTTCGATCTTACTGGTCTATGACTGTCAGCAACGTTACTTTTGGCTCATCGTTGAATAACATGACTACCAACTCCACCTCTTTCCAAGCCTTTGTCGACTCGGGAAATTATATCTCATACCTTCCTAGCGCTATCGTTGACCCCATCAACGCTCTCTTCTCTCCACCAGCAGTTTACGACTCTGACCTTGAGCTGTACGTTGTCGACTGTGCTGCAAAGGCCCCAGAGTTTGGTATCTATCTCGGTGACCAATTGTTCTTCCACAACGGCTCAGACCTTATCTACCAAACTGGCGATGGATTCTGCGTCTCAAGCTTAGGCTCTTCAGCCGATGTGTCACTTGAGGGTATCACATTGAATATCATTGGAGTTCCTTTCCTGAAGAACGTTGTTGCTGTCTTCAACTTTGGAAATGATGAGATGCGATTTGCTAAGAAATTCAACTGAGTGGTACTACATTCCACTACGCTCATGACATCGATGACTCGACAATGAAGCCCAGAAGCCCAGAAGCCTCGCTGGTATCTGGTCTCATACTTTTCTCAAGAATTGTTAAAAGAATTTTCACGCCCATTGTCCTTTTGTCTGTATATATAGATTTTCAATATACTTTATTTCAATCCAATCTGCAACTTGAACATCTGAAATCTTTGCCCAGCCGGCCACTAGTATCCAAAATCCATACAGTAGTGTACTTCTAAAGCCAGTACTCGAGTGCTACATGTAGTAGTAGAAGGTATTCGCTGGGTTGCCCATAGACCTAATAATACTTATATTAGACATAGGTACTAGACCGACACTTTCAGATAAGTATGAAAGATTGGAGGAAAGGAAGAGCATGGGCCTTCAAGTTGCCGTGATCAACTACTACTGTCCCTCAAGGACGAGAACGCCAATACGATTATACGAGGACTCGGACATTCAAGTACAATCTAGTTAGAAGAGTACCCGGTTAGCAAGACCCGAGCCGATGTCGCAGACTGGCAGCATCCCCACATAGTACGTCATGCCATGTTCGCTGATCCTTAACAATTCAGGATATTTTCTATTAGCGAAGTCACCTCCGGTAGATTAGTTCATCGCTATAGTTTTCCTAAGCTCAATCAGTAGTATATTCGGAGGGGCTCGGCAAAGTTTGAGTGACAAAGTATCCAATAAACTGCATTACGGAATAAAGATTAAGCCCCAGAGTGTAAAGAATCCCCGCAATTTCTCCACAAAACTCCATTTGATAACTAAGAGGGCTAGTATTCGGATAATTAAATCTTGACATTCGGCTTATTTCACTGTTGACAGGATGGGCTATATAAACAAGAAAATTTGTCTCGATTTTTCATTCAAAAGTTCAGACAAGAGCTCAAGGTCAAGATGAAGTTTAACCTAGTCAATGCTGGCTTGTTCCTCGTCGCAGCTGTTCAAGCAGCTGTCGACTCTTCATTGACAGTTCGCACTGAAACCGGTATTTATACTGGACTCCGAAATGAACAATTTAGTGGAGTGAGAGAGTTCCGTAACATTCCATTTGCTCAACCACCTGTTGCAAACCTGCGATTCCAACCTCCCCAACGTCTACCACCATCCACCCAGCACCACTACTCTACTCGCTTCCCTCCATCATGCCCACAATTTGTATCCAGTACAAAGAGCTTCTGGAACCTCTTCATTCCTTACCTTCTGGTCGACAATGGAAACCAAAACCACCACAGTGATCTGAGCCTGCAGACTAGCTCAGAAGACTGTCTCAGTCTTGCTATCTGGACCCCATACAATGTTTCCTCTGATGCCAAGCTTCCTGTCATCTTCTTCATGACTGGCGGTGGTTTCGAAACTGGTGGAATCCAGATTGCTGGACAGATTCCAGCTCCTTGGGTGAACCGTACAGGCGAGCACATCGTGGTGACCATCAACTACCGAGTCAACATCTTCGGATTCCCCAATGCTGCGGGACTGACCAACCAAAACCCTGCTATCCTGGATCAACGCATGGCTCTCGAGTGGGTGCGGGATAACATCGCCGAGTTCGGTGGTAACCCAGAAGCAATTACCATGTGGGGACAATCCGCTGGTTCGCAAAGCACTGATTACCACAACTATGCTTTCTGGGATAACCCCATCGTCACGGGTAGTTTCTCTCAGTCCGGAACCGCACTGAAGGCTCTTGCTTCTTCTGATTTCTCCCACTCCAACTTCACATTCGTTGCTAAGAATGTGGGCTGTGACTTCCCAAACAACCCTACCGCCGAGCTGGAGTGCATGCAGCAGGTTCCCATGGCCATGATTGAGAACTTCGTCGGCCAGTACGACGGCGATGCTACACTTAGCTTCGGTCCCATCGCCGATGATAACCTGATTTTCTCGGATTATCCTGCTCGTGCCGCAGAGGGCAAGATCTCTCCTCGTCCTGCGATCTTCTCCGATGTTGCAAACAACGATGCCAGTCTCGTTGAATGGCCCGTTTCCAATGCATCCGCCGGTCCTTGGCAACCTGCTGTTAACGCTGCTACACTTTCCGGCTGGGTTTGTCCTACCGCAAATACCAGCAGAATTCGTGAAGCTGCCGGTGTTACTACATACAGATACCAGTATGCTGGTAACTGGAGTAATGAGGATCCTTACAGTTGGATGGGAGCGTACCATTCCTCGGATTTGATGATGAACTTTGGTACATGGTTCTACAATATTACCAATGCTACTGCTGGCCCATCTGCTCGTGAGATTCAGACTAGTCACACGATGCAGGATCATATTCTGGCTTTCATGAAGGATCCTGTTAATGGCCCTCCTGCTATTGGTTGGAGTCCGTATACCTATGGTAGCAATGTTCTGCGCTTTGGAGCAAATGGTATCCCTGTGCAAAATGCCAGTGGGTATGCAATTGATGGTCCTTGCTATGGCAATGGAACTTATAATCCGTTCCCTTGAACCGACCTTGTCATATCATAAGTATGAGTTATGAAGAGAACGAGTATATGAGAGTGAGGGACTCGGATAGAGAGAGTGTGTATATTAAAGAGTATGCGCAAAATAATGGCAGAGGGCACAGTCGAGATAATTATTAGCATACTAGTAGTTCATGAAATGAACGCCTTTCCTCAGATGAAACATTCTTCCAATGTATTACGATTGAAACTACAAGTATATATGCATTTACGGGGAAGTGAAACTAGAGCTATCAAGCGAGCCTGATTTTGTATTTGGAGTTTCCCCCTCATTGAATATAAACTCGCACAAACTTCAATAAACAGACAATATAAAACAAATGCATCTTGCAAAGACGCGCATTTACCGCTTCTTAATACTGGTATCAATACTTCCAATGAACCAGATAGCAACGAACGTGGTAAGCAAACCACCAAAGATAGTGAGGGGCTTGCGAATGGTATCCATGAGGGTGTGGTCATAGGTAACCTGTATTTCTTGTCAGAATATTGCTTAATCAAGCCGGGGAAAAGGAGGATGAGGGTTAAAAAACTTACCAGTAGCTCGGCGTTGCGGGCCTCATCGGTCAGGCTATCAACCTCCAGGGTCAATGTAGTCCGACCAAGAGTATCCATGTAAGTCTTGAAAGAGGAAAGGCTGGCATGGATCTGGTTGTCGCCAGGAAGACCATTGCTGTTGGCACCCTCAACAGTCTCATAGCGAACGTTGTGTGCACCCTCGGGAAGGATAACACGGACGACGACGCGCTCGTACTGGAGACCCTCGTTCATCTTAGGGCCCTGAAGGAAGGGTACCCTCAGAACGTAAGAGTCACCACCAGCGACCTTGCGCAGGAACTGGGAGAGGTCGTTGTTCCAGCCCACCTTGAAGCTGTAGTTCCAGCCACCGAAGATAGGGTAGCGAGGCTTGAGCTCCAGGTTGGCGGCGGTCTTGCCATTGCCAGGGCGGTAGCGGCTGGTGGAAACATTGCCAATGTCATCGATGAAGTATGGGTCCGCTGATCCAGGGAGCAGAGGATAAGTGATCTCACGGATAGCAGAGGTTGGGGCCTTTTGGTAGCTAGCGAAGGTCCATTCGACCCGCGAGAACTGGTTAACTAGCTCGGAAGCGTTGTTGCGGATCCAGTAGCGCTCTTCGGTGGCCAGGTTGCCTCCCCAGTGGGAGATCTCCAAGTCACGCTCGAGGAGGCTAGCAGTGATCACAGGGTTGGTGAACTGGTAGCGGACGGTGATGGGCTCCTCAGTGCCGGGGGCGACCTTGGCGGTCTCGTAAGGACCGTAGGTATATGTAGCACCCTTGCGCTCGGGGTCAGCACCAGACTTGAGTCCTGATGTCTCAGTGAAGTCGGGAACATCAGTGCTGGGGAACTTAAGCTTGGTCTTCTGGGTGACGGTCTGGTAGGCAGAGGGCACGTAGGCGGAGAACGAGTAAGTCAAGTATTGCTTTTCGTTTTGCTGGATAACAGCAGGGCGCGGGCTCAGGGACTTCAGGACAGAGTAGGAGATTCCGAGAGTGATCTGGGCTTTCGGGGCGAGGGGCTCAGCGAGGTGAACCACGAAGTACTGGGTACCGCTGTTGATGATTGGTGAGCATTGAATTGAATAGAACATGCATTGGTTCATCAAATAAGAGCCATTGATATCTCCAATTAGTACTTACCTTGACGAAACAGGCTCAGTAATATCCACCTCAAAGCGTCCCTCCTCAGTGGACTTCTTATCCCGAACTTCGAACCCTCCAACGCGGTCGAATACATCAACGGGAAAAGGGATATAGTAGTCGCTTTGCGACTGCTTATCAATGTTCTCTACAACGACATTGATGGTTTCCCGGACATAGCCCTTCTCCAAATTGGTGTTACGGACCAAATTCGCGTTCTTGAATACCTGCGGGGGCTTGAAGTCGGCAGGGACAGCGAGTTGAGTTGCAGAGCTAAGGTTAGATGCGGCAGCCAGGCTGGGCACAAGCAAGCCAAGCACTGTGGTTGTGAAAAACCTCATACTTCCTGAGGATATCACAGTGGAGAACACAATGTCTCCAAGCTTAAATGGGATATCAAAAAGTTGAGTGTTGATGTGGAGTGGTTCTAGTTGGACGAAGCTGATGAGGTGTCCCCATCTGTATACGCAATACGGCGGGCGCGGCGGCCACAGCGCGCACTCCGCTTTCTTATCGCGCGATAACAGCTTTCTCCTCTTTTTCTGTACTTGCATGACATTTTTGGCTTTCTTCATCCTTCTATGAGCCAAAATGTTTGCTTCTAGAGCTTCTATTTTGTCTAGGTGCTGTAGAGGAGCTAGGGTCCCTCGGGTCCGGTCTTTTCATGACCTTCCTAGCTCTCCTCAGAGCAAATTCTTGAAAGTATCAGAAGAGGTTCGCGATGCTATCGCAACTGGAAAACCGGTCGTCGCGCTAGAGACGACCATTTACACTCATGGTAAGTGCTGAATCATACTCGGGAATATCTGAGATCACTCTAAGTGCAATCTTGCTCATTATCAACTAGGATTTCCATATCCAGAGAACATTGCCCTAGCTTCGCTGTTGGAATCTGTCGTTCGAGCAAACGGTGGAGTTCCCGCGACTATAGGTATCCTTGGAGGTGTTGCCCGGGTAGGCATGAGTGCGGAAGAAATCGTCGAGCTGGCCTCGACGGCAGAGAAGAAGACCGCACTGAAAGTCTCTCGGAGGGATTTGGGCTACATCTGTGGCATGGTTGGTTACCCCGCAAAGTTATTGGCAAGCACATGTGCAGAAATTAACGTATGTTTTCAGGGACTAGCTGGAAAGCCAATTCACGGTGGTACAACTATCTCCGGAACTATGATCCTTTCGCAGCTTGCTGGAATTAAAATATTTGGAACTGGTGGGCTAGGTAAGTAAATTCCATGCTCATACAATCTCGGTATATCAAGTCTAACTTATCTCAGGTGGTGTTCACCGTGGTGGCGAGAACTCCATGGACATTTCTGGTAGGTTACACCTTGTATGCCCGCATATGAGCGGGCCGTGCAGACATGCAGCCGACTGATCTTTTTCCTAAAATAGCCGATCTGACGGAACTGGGGCGGACCCCAGTCACGGTAATTAGTTCCGGGTGCAAGAGCTTCCTAGATATTCCGCGTACACTTGAATATCTTGAGACTCAAGGTGTATGCGTGGGTACCTTTGCTGATGGCCGCGAGGGATCTGTTGATTTCCCTGCTTTCTTCACCAGAGACAGCGGATTCCGCAGTCCGCGGATAATTCAGAATGAGGCCGAAGCAGCTGCTATAGTTTGTATGTTGTCGAAGTACTGGTGTGTTCTTCTAAATGCTAATCGTCTTCCTAGATGCGCAATCCAAGCTTCTCGTCTCGTCAGGAATTCACTTTGCCAATCCAGTTCCATTAGAGGCATCTGTCCCCAAGCCTGAGATGGACCGCATCATTGAAGAAGCTGTTCGCCTCGCAAATGTTGAGGGCTATCATGGAAGCGACAACACTCCATTTGTTCTGGGTAAAATCAAGGAACTCAGCGGTGGAAAGAGTGTAATCGCCAACCGTGCTCTTGTCGAGTCTAATGTCAAGCGAGCTACCCGCGTTGCGGTGGAACTCGCCAAACTCGAGGAAATGGACCGAGGAGTCGCTGCTCGGTGAGTTTGGAAAACATAGATACAGAATTAAATACGGCCAATACTAAGTTCGAAGAATTGCTTCTGCATAGACACATGCCTGCTTTCCCGAGTATTCCTCGGTCAGATCAAGAGGCGCCAAAAGTACAAGCTACTAAGCTAGAGCCAACTCCCGAGACAGTTATGACTCCCGAATTACCAGACAATTCAGATGTTTTGGTTGCTGGCTCCCTTGCTATTGATCTATCTTGTGATTACACACCATTCGGTGACGAGCGCGTGCAGGTAGCACCTATCCCGCATACCTCCAACCCTGCCATCATTAGCCAGAGTCTCGGAGGCGTTGGCCACAATGTGGCTCTGGCGGCCAGCTACGTCGGTAGTGATGTGCTTTTCTGCAGTGTCGTAGCAGACGACCTAAGCGGGCGAGCTGCGCTTGCATCCCTTGAAAAAGAAGGACTCAGCACTGCGGGTATCCAAATTCTTCCACCAACATCAGGCACTCGCACAGCGCAGTATGTATGCATCAACGACGCTAAGAAGGACCTGCTCGTTGCAATGGCCGACATGGGCATCGTCGAACTTCCAGAGAAACAGCTGGATTTCGACGGGTTCTGGGAACCTCTGGTCGAGCGCACGAAACCGAAATGGGTTGTCGTTGACGCAAACTGGCGTCCTGAAGTACTGGCCAAGTGGGCTAGTCTGGCTCAAAAGTATGGCGCACGTGTGGCGTTTGAGCCTGTTTCTACAGCTAAATCTCGTCGCCTGTTTACCCGTGACGGTGATTCCAGTCCCGTTATTGGACCCGCACAGACTATTCCCTACCATGCGATCAGTCTTGCTTGCCCCAACCGTCTCGAGCTAGGTGCCATGTACATGGCTGCGCGGGAGGCTCTCCTTTTCGATTCCCCGGGTTGGTGGGATGTAATCGACGCCATGGGCCTTTCACAGAGCGGTTCCCGTGAGCGACTCGTCTCGATTACCTCTGCTTCTTTGGTTGATGAGGGCCTGCCTCAGCAATCTATCCAGCTACTCCCTTTCATTCCTTGTCTTATTACTAAGCTTGGGGACGCTGGCGCTTTGCTGACGCAGCTTCTACCCCCTGGTGATTCTCGTCTGACGAATCCTGACTACGCCCCGTACATCCTTGCCCGTGCGTCTTCATCGAATGGTGTCTCATTCGGAGGTGTATATATGCGTCTGTTCCCACCTACTGCTCAACTGTCTGCTGAAGAGGTCGTTAGTGTGAACGGAGCTGGCGACACTTTGCTAGGTGTTGTGGTGGCTGGTTTGGCCAAGGATAGTTCTGCCGCTCGCATTGAAGATATTCTGTCTGTCGCCCAAGAGGCTAGTCGGAGAACCCTTGCCAATCCAGGTGGCGTGAGTAAAGAACTAGTGGGTCTGCGGGAGAAGCTTGGTCTATGATGGACCTCAAGTTCGGGCATGTATAGCGTTGATCTATTGCATTCAAGCGTTGATTATAAATCGAACCTCTAAATTAAAAAAAAGACTCCAAAGTAGAGCATCTAATTCAATAAAACCCACAGGGAGCATTCCTTGTCTCCAATTGGAACTTGAAGGCAAAACTGACCATCAGAATTCGGGATCCCATTGGAATTTTCAGGCATCCCAGGAGGTGTAGTTAGATCCGCAAACTCCGTTCCAAAATCACCACAAAATCACCACAAAATCACCATATAGAATGATCTCATCAGCTTTTCTATCCCTCCAATTCCGGTGATCTCCATCAGATCAAATGAAATGAGCAGCAATACGAAACTGGGTTAGCGTGGGATCAAAGTTGAAGAAATGTGGAACAAGGCTCTTATCTCCGTTTCTTAGTTCCGTCCGTCTCTTCTATACCAGAAGTTCGGAAATCCGATCTTCTCTGGTATATAAACATCAATTCTTGTCTTAAGATCAATATGAATCAATCAAGCTCAGAGATCAGAATCAATCAAATCTTCATTCCAAATACCAATCCCAACTTCCACCATGTCGACCAACTTCATTTCGAAAGTTGCAATCATTGGCGTATGGCACTCTTCATTATTACCCTTTACTTGTTTTTAACTCTATAAAAAAGAGCTATTCTAACTGACTACTTTACAGGCTACCGGCCGAATTGGTGGCGCATTCGCTGAGGCACTTGTCAAAACAGGCAAGCACACCGTCACTGGTCTGACCCGCGAAGGTAGCGATGGTGTCCTTCCAACAGGTGTCAACGGTGTTCCTGTCAATTACGATGACGAAGCCTCCCTTGTCAATGCCTTGAAAGGCCAGCAGTTCCTTGTCATCACACTGGGTGCCCGCGTTGAGGAGGAAGTCCATCAGAAAATCGTCGCCGCTGCCAGCAAAGCCGGCATACAGTACATCATGCCAAACGCATACGGATACCCCTTGGATTTGGATACAGAAAATGTCTACGCGCAGACAGTTGTAAAGCGTGTCAAGGATACCAGGAGCACTGGCGCATCCTGTATCACTCTTCCCTGTGGATTCTGGTACGAGTGGAGTCTCGCTACTGGAGAACAATGGTTTGGTTTCAGAATCAACCAGCGCAAGGTTACCTTCTTCGATGACGGAAAACGAGTCATCACCGTTAGTACATGGGACCAATGTGGTCGTGCCTTGGCTGCGCTGCTGAGTCTACCTGAATCAGGAGCTAGTCCCTCAATTGCGGACTATGTGAATGATGAAGTGCGCATTTACAGCTTCCGGGTCTCTCAACGAGATATGCTGGATAGTCTGCACCGTGTTCTGGGCACCACAGATGCGGACTGGGAAATCACCTATGAGCCTGTTGTGCAGCGTATCAAGGATGGAGCAGCGGAGATGGCGCAGGGATCCATTCTTGGATTTGGAAAGGTCTTGTACGGTGGAGTCTTCTTGTCCTCGAACGAGTCGAGTGATTTCGCGATCACTACTTCGACTGCAAATGATGCTCTCGGTTTGCCTACTGAGGAGCTTGATGAAGCGACAAAGCGGACCGTTGAGATGGTTGAGGGCGGATGGAACCCTTTCAACTTCCCACAGTGAAGAATTAACTAGAACAGGAGGTTGCTAGTATACACACGACTCTTTTTCGGGCTTCTAGTTATCATTTATTTCCTCCAATTTGGTGCTTTACCTTGACGATGCAGCTTTAGTACGACTTGTTATCTCGTTCAATATAATTGCTTTGATTCCAGATTTCAGTGTTAAAATCTTGACAACCCAGGTGTGATCTCATCTCAGGAATTAATCAAATTTCCGTCTAATTGTTACATGCAAATATGAGGGTCGCACTCAGACGGGGGATTTTTATCTACAGCTGTTTCTCCGAGTCCGAGTCTTGCTTCAAACTTGAACTAGCTTGGATCATCCTACTCACTTGCTTGAACAGAACAAAAATTCCGCATCTTTCACTTGCAACTCTTGGAAGGCAAGAAATTGTAAATCTTTTTACTCGACCCAAAACACCTGGGCACACAAGTGCTCTGAGTCATCCCCTACTAGATAGTCTAGAAAGTTTATGACAGCCTGAGAATGTGCATAGCGGCCTACTAGTAAGTAGTAGTAGTAGTAGTAGTAGTAGTAGTAGTAGTAGTAGTGAAATGTGACATTCAGAGCGACCACACCTGCGATCGAGATCGTATCATTAAGATAATATACAAAGGTTGATCATACAAAGAGTTCGTTCTAGCAAAAGCGCTCAGCTTCATCCATCCACTTCCATAGGCTCAGTTTTGGGAATCACCGTTTCAGTGGCTGCCGCAGGAGTGGCATTTTTGGCTGGATCTGTCTGTTCTATGACAATCGGCTCCTTTGGAGCTTCTTTTGCCTTTGCCTCTTCTTTGGCTCTCTCTTTAGCCTCAGCCTCAGCTTTAGCCTTCTCCTTAGCCTCCTCTTCCTTTTCCTCAGCGTTTTTCTCTCCGCCCAGAAATCGAGCAGGAACACCTTTGGCTGCAGTCTCTGCAGGCCCAACAAAGCAGCCTAGCATGCCACTCCAGGTGTAATCTTGCGATTCTAGCCGCCGGATTTGCCCATATGCATATGAGTTTGCGTATGGGAGAGACGTCTCAGGATCACGATAGCGAGATGGTAGTGAAGTGATGACACATAATGATGACGAGATTTCTGGACAACGTTAGGTTTTTGTCAATGCGAATTGAAAGAAGGCGGAGGGGAACAACTTACTGGACAATCGAGGTGGTTTTCTAGCGTTGAAATACATACTGAACTTCTTGCTGTGCGCCGTTCGATCATCAAAGTTCTCCAGGATCGTCAAGTTGCGTCCTGTGTGCTCGATGATTTGCGGGCCTTCCGGAATATTTGGTGTTTCAGCATCTGCAGGCGCTTGGCTGGGAACCTCAGGATGAGGGGTGGGTTGTTGGTTTTCAATCGTCTTAATCTCGCCCGGCGCAGTTGGAAGGGGTACTGCATTGGCTGACGGAGCTTGAGGAGTTTCAAGGTTCGATGTTGTGTTTGCAGATGTCGTCGACTGACTAGCTAACGGCCCTGGCAAGGATGCTGGTACATTTTTAGAATCGGTCGGGGCAGAACCCCCCCGGAGCTGTCGGTGCAGGGATGATAGTCGTAAGCTTGTCAGTCTTAGTGGTTGACTCGACTTCGGGCTTCTTGTCGATGTCCATAGGGTCTCCATTCTCAGTGGGTGGTAGATTTTCAGAATCTTCACCCTTAATGGAATCTCGGCGATTCACAATTTCAACAATAGGTAACGGATAACCCTGAGAAGACTTGCGTGGGGGCGCGCCAACAGGTTGCTGCGGCTCCTCCCTCTCCTTTGCTTCCGCTATTGATGTCTCCTTTTCTTTGTGTTCATGGATGGTAGAGGTTGTAGTCGTCTGTTGTTCAGGATTAACTTTTTCAGGAAGATTTTCCTCTGGTTGAGTTGGCTGCTCAGTCTGTGTGATACTGGTTGTGCTTCCTGGCACTGGCAAATCCTGAGTGGCTGTACCCTTAGACGATTGTGAATCAGACGCTGGGGCTGCATCAGGTGGAATAGTTGTCGGAAGGGCTGCTGTCGGTATAGCGGCAGCTGATGTTGAAGCGCTTTCAGACTGCGCCGGCGCGTCTGTTGGTTGGATAGGAACAGCCGTAGAGGCATCCGCAGGAGGTGCAGAGCCGTCGGCGGGGTTCGGGATAGGATTAGAAGTTGAGGGAGCAGAAGGATCAATTGGAGGAAGTTGAGCACTTGGAGTCCCTTGGACTTCGGCAGGCTTCTCATCCTTCTCCGTCTTTTTCTTTTTGGCGACCTCCTTCTCCGGCTTCGGCTTGATCTCGACTTTGCCCACTCTTGTGAGACGACCGTTAACCCATGTAGCTAGACCACTCCAGTAGGACATCACCGGTCCGTCAAGTCGACGATTCTGAAGTGCTTCAATCCTGGCCCGTCTCTCTTCTGCCTTCTTTCTTTCCGCCTGCTCCCATCGATTCAAACTCTTGCTGTTGGTGCGCTCGATCCGCTCTGCCTCTGCTAGATGGTCCTCCTGTGTCATCTCTTTCGGCTTGAGATGGGCCTTCCTTTTCTCGGCTTCTTTCATTGTCGCAATAATTCGGACCCGCTTCTCCTGGCTGTCCTTCAAACGTGCATGGGTCATCTCTTTATTAACCATTGTCTGTCGACGGGACGAAGAGCGGGTTGGTCCATCTTCTGGTGTCGGAAGCCACGAGATTCGCTCGGATTTCTTCTTTGGACGTGGAGGTGCCGGGATAGCTGAGACAGCTGTCGGGTCGATCTTGACGCGCTTTCGTAGGGTTTGGAATCGGAGGTCGTTCTGGGCGCGACGCTTCTTGCGTTCGTCCTTCTGCAGTTGTTGTTCCCCCTCATATTCGTTCTGCGCATTCGGTCCCTGGTCATCATCATCATCATCTGATGAAGAATCTAAGCCCAAGTCCTCATCTTCCGCAGCCTCCTCTATCGCGAACTCATTATCATCCTCCACTTCCTCGAATAGTAGAGTTAGGTCATCATCGGCGGCGGCGTCAATTAGAGCAGCCATATTTCGACCAGCAGTGCTTCGTTTTGCGCGTCCCTGTACCAAAGATTCAATCTGAACCTCCTCCTCTTCATCCTGCTCGTCCTCCGAGGACAGCAGCCCTGCGGCAGGGTCCTCCTCCAATACTGTAGTCATGATCACGGTTTATTCCTGGAGCGTGGAAGAGCGTTATTTTGTGGATTTTCGATATATCATGAGCTATCAGTGATAACAAGAATCCCCGAAAGTGCAGGTTAAAATTATGATTAATAGAGTTGAGTACTCTTGACACGGGAGAATCCAATTTAGACGCGACAAGACAATCCTCCGCGCTAAAAGGACAAGTGTGGCGGTCGTTGATGCCTTGATGCCTTAACATCTAATTTATCGGGCAACGAACAATGATGGCACGTGACCATATCACTTAACCTTGGAAATTACTATGTAGAGTACTATACTCGGAGTAAGTCGGACTCGATTTCTAAGAGAAAACCTTATGAATAGTGGAGTGACCGAAAATGAGATTCTTTCATCTATGAAGTAGATGCCCCCCCAATTATTCACAATCATTCCGGTTGGTCACTGTGGACTCCATTTGGTTCAGTGCCTGCATAGGTCCGAGTCTTTCCCGGGTCTTCCGCTCCCGCAGACTAAGCCCGACCTTCTTCACGGTCATGCCCTGCAGACTCGGACTATTGATCCTACAAAGTACGGAGTACATGTGAGGCCATTTTCTACTCCCTACAGAGTAGTATATAGTTCAAGTTCACACTTATGTGAGGCGTCTCAATCACCCAGTTCCATCACACAACTGGTCAACATGGCGACCAATACAAGGTCTAGGACACGTACCTGACCCATCCCTTGCGGCGCACCACTCAAAACCAGTCTTTTGGCCGTTTCGGACCAGCACCATAACCCCCCAAGTCCCCTTGCATAGCCAATTGCATCACTCGCTTCTCAGGTACCTCTATCACCTTGAATTCCCATCACCCCCTTGAAGCTTCAAATCGAGTGGTTCATACTGGATTTGGGTCTTGTTGAGCGACATGACGCAGCGGAATGCGGGGCTTTCGGTTGGTTTCCACGCCTTGGTTCTTCCCCGAGTATGCCATGCCACAGTACTCCGTAAGGAGTAAGGGAATATATACTGTAGCAAACACATGTTCCATGACAAGGCGCTTGGACTGATCCAGTTCATTTGAACTATCATGGATGATTGGATTCTCTCGTTTCATCTTTCACACTCTCCACAGCCATAATGGGTACACAAGGCAGAAAGAGTTGAATCTCTGGAACCTCCAGAAACAATGACATCGATGGGGCTGTGTCAATCCACCGGGGAGCCTGCCGATTCCCGAGTGTATGATATTGTGTAGTTGCAGAAAAACAATCATAGAATGGGATTGTCAATGTTATGAACTCGATAATATAGAGAATCAATCATTTGAAGCAAGTAAAAGGCGAAAGTTATTAATAATTCAAATAAATAAATCATTCAAAGTGAGAAAAAAAAAAAAGGAAAAAAGTGAAGCTGAATGGTTGAACACACACTATCCACTGCTCCCTCGACCATCCGAACCTCCCTCTTCTTCCTCTCCCCATTGAGCATCTTTCTCTCTCCCCTTTCCCATCCTCTTCTCAACCGTTTCTTCTTCCACTTCTTCTTTTCTTTTTCTTCCACTTCTTGTTGTTCCTTTTTCTGCACTTCTTTTCTGCGATTGATCTTCGGTAAGATCTTTCCCTGGTGCCCCCTTCTCTCCACGGTTGGTTTTGCCTCTCGGAGCCGCGCAAACTAACGGGTTCTCCAGCCACCTCGATCCCTTCGGTCGTTGATCAATCCCGGCTTTGAGTCCTCACTTGACGCTCCTTTGTGTCAGGACCTTTTTACTCATCTTCTTTCAAATCTTTGCACCTTCTCTAAGGCGACCTCACGACGTGATTGAAAACGAGATTTCTTGGAGTTAAACGGCTCGATTCCATCATTTTTTGGGACTACGAGTCAATACATGACGACGACTTAAGATTGCTATCTTCAACAGTACTTCTCCCCTCTTTTTGGCTTGGTCAGCATTCGTTTGGTGAAAATATACGCCTTTTGGAATAATATCATCCGCCCCTCCCCAAATTGCACATTCATTCTCCCTGTTGCGGTCGAGCTGCTTTGTCAACCCCTCCCCCCGTTTTCGCGCCTCCCGACTGATTCCTATACCACCTACATCGACACTAACATCGACCTTGAAGATTTAGGGTCTCTTCATCTCATATTTTGACGAGCATCCTCAGATTCTCCTTATCCTGCGGTATTCCCTGTCCCAAACTTTGTTTTTCCCCACCAAACCACCGTCTCTCGATCCGAAATCCCACCACATGGTGTTTGCGACGTACAGGCGCTTCTAAGCAGGGAATCCATAATCGAGTACCAAACTCCGTCGGTCCCTTTTTTGATATCTGTTTGGGATAGAGCGGCAGAGGATAGAGTTACCCGCCTTACTGCGAAGCGTCTCTCTGGATTAAAAAAATAATGTTACCAGTTTCTCGACCTGACAGCCAAATGAGTTTCAACTACATCCCGACCTCCCAACCCATGTCGGGGGCCTCGACTGGGCGCAGCTCGCCTAGCGATTTGGCTGGATCCGGAACTGCGAAAGCACCCTTTGGCTCTGCTGGATCTATCGGGGCTGCAAGACTCGGGGCTGGATCCCCTTCTGAGTTGGGAACACGTCTTTATAAGCGGTAAGTGATCAACGACACTGGGAGACAAGGCCATTTGGGATAAGTAGTTGGCTGACCAATGGGGTGTCCGATTTTACAGAACCCGCGAGATTCAAGCACAAGAAGGTGTCTCCCCGAACATCTGGGGTCCCCCGACTAGTGGACATTCCACTCCGCTTCGTGAGAACATCCCTGAGTCGCCTAGCCAGGATAGCTTCCCCGACCTGATTCCTACCTCCAATGGCTCAATCACCGGTTCTGGCCGCAGGGCTCGAGCTGGCACAGTCCCATCTCGGTTCCCTCCTATGGCGACACTCAACGAATTAGACCTTCAGCAACAGTTCATGTCTCAAACCTCCCGGCCCACACCTTCTACCAGTCCGTTCCGGCCTCAAGGTGTATCTGGAATTGATACAGCACCGAAAGTTGCAAGCTCGGGCGCACCAAACCCTGCCATGTTATCCCGCCTTCGAGCTGGCTCGATGCCGCAGAGGGGCGGCTTGCTTAATTCGGGTAATCCTTTCGGACCTTCATTGTTCTCTTCGCATTGGTCCACCGGTCGTGATCGGGCAACAACCTTGAGCAGTATTCGGTCCTCGGAAGATCCCACATCACCGAGTGTATCATCGTTCTCGCGAGATGGACTTACCGATTCTGATAGAACATTGGACTACCTTGGACTGGCAGAGACTCCCCAATCTGCACGGGCAACCCTTTCGCACCCGTCGATGGAGGCTCTCTTGCAGCAGCAGCAACAGCAGCAGGCTGGTTTACCCGGCCTTCTGGCTGGCATGGAACTGATGAAGAACAGCAACCGTTTCCGGTCCTACTCGGTTAACGCTAAGGAGAAGTATGCTGACGACGAGGATATGGAATACGAGAGTCGCTACTCTCAGCTTCCCTCTGGATCGCTCAACCCCTCCGCCGCTGTGGCAGCCGCTCACCTTGCTCAGACCCAGGCCCAGATCCATCAGCACAACCTGGCAGTTCAAGCTTTTACAAACCACGCCTCTATTAGCCGGCCGCGAGCACGCACTGCCGGTATTCTTGAGGCCCCTCCCACTCGATCGTCCATTCGGAACTATCTTGCAACCCCATCCCGCCTCGACAACTCTTTCAATGCCGATGATCTCATGGTGGAAAATGAATATGATGACCTGTCGGATGCTGTACTCGGACTGCGATTAGACGCAAGTGGTGGCCCCGTGGCGGGTATGCGGGGTGCTGGTGATCTGGGAGACGAGAACAATCAGGACGGACCGACACGAGCTCTGTGGATCGGTAGCATTCCTGTGTCGACAACTGTGACTTCTCTAGAGGCTATCTTTGGTATTTACGGCAAGATTGAGTCAACTCGTGTGTTGACTCACAAGAACTGCGGATTCGTCAACTTTGAGCGTCTGGAAAGTGCAGTCCAGGCAAAGGGCGTTCTAAATGGCAAGGAGATCTTCCCTGGTGCTGGTCCCGTTCGAATTGGATATGCCAAGGTCCCTGGCGCCTCTGCTAGTGGTACCCCTGGTGCCAACGGTATCCAGTCCTCCCCGACCCCCGACCCTGGCTTCAAGTCCAACTTCGGCCCCGGAGATGGCCTGGAGCGGGCAGACACTACCTCTGTTCCTCAAATTCCTGCTCTGGTTGACCTACTGCCGGAGATGCTTGAGATTGTTCAGGAGTTTGGCGCCAACGACGAAGATTCACGTAACATCAACAACACCATTCAGAGTGCTATCGCTTTCCAAGATTTCCAGGATGAGATCCCTGCCGTTCCCGAGCCTAGCCAGACCCGGATGTTCGATGCCCCTCGCCTGCGTGATATTCGGAAGCGAATTGACAACGGCGCTTGTTCCATCCAGGAGATTGAGGAAACAGCCGGAGCAATGCTGCCTGAGATCGCTGAACTGTCCTCTGACTACCTGGGCAACACTGTTGTTCAAAAGCTTTTCGAATTCTGCTCCGAGTCCACGAAGGAGCAGATGCTCACCCACATCGCACCGCATCTTGCTGAGATTGGTGTACACAAGAATGGAACTTGGGCTGCCCAGAAAATTATCGATGTCGCCAAGACACCCACCCAGATGAACATGATTGTTGACGCCCTTCGTCCATATGTTGTTCCACTTTTCCTTGACCAGTACGGAAACTACGTGCTCCAGGTCTGCTTGCAATTTGGCGCTCCCTTCAATAACTTTATCTTCGAGACCATGCTTAGTAGAATGTGGGAGGTGTCTCAGGGTCGATTTGGCGCCCGAGCCATGCGGGCTTGCTTGGAAAGCCACAACTCAACTAAGGATCAGCAACGAACACTCGCTGCTGCCATCGCCCTCCACAGTGTACAGTTGGCGACCAATGCCAATGGTGCTCTCCTGCTCACCTGGTTCCTGGACACTTGTACATTCCCCCGCCGCCGTACTGTTCTTGCCCCAAGATTGGTTCCTCATCTTGTGCACCTTTGCACTCACAAGGTGGCTTACCTCACCGTGCTCAAAGTCATCAACCAGCGCAATGAGGCCGAGGCCCGGGACATCGTTCTTAAGGCATTGTTCTTTAGCCCTGGTGATGAAGTTCTGGAGAAGATTCTTAGTGACCAGACCTCTGGTGCTACCTTGATCTTTAAGGTCCTGACTACTCCGTTCTTCGATGAATCGATGCGTGGTGAAGTCGTCAAGAATGTTGCAAAGGTTTTGACCAAGTTGAAGGCATCTCCAAGTCAAGGCTACAAGCGTCTGATGGATGAAGTTGGTCTCTCCTCCCGCGGTAATGGTCGTGAGCATCATCATGGACGCGACCATGGTGCCAGCCACTCCTCCACCCCCGAGAAGCCCCACCGCCAGTCATCCCGACATGGAAGTACCAACTTTCCCCAGCAGCCCTCCATGGAAAGACAGTACAATGGACAGTTTCCTCCTAACATGCTTCCCCACTCGGCGGACTCACGCTCCATGTCCATCGATCAAAGCACCGCCCCACCTCTCGACCCATACGCTAGCAACGGCCTTAATGGTTTTGTAAACCCCTTGAATGGGCTTGGTGGTGCTGCTGGCTTCCAGGATCCAACGAACCAGCTTTCTCAACTACAGTACCAGAATTACCTGGCCGCACAGGCTCGCGGAGTGTCTCCCGGTGGAATCTACGGTGGCATACCAGGAAACAACTTTGGCTACCCAACCGGATCGCCATCGGTTGAGAATCTACGTTCTATGCCAACTCAGCAGGCGCCACTGTCAGCGGGACCCAACCATATGCTTGGTCAGTCCAACTATGGCCCGCAGCAGTTCAGCCCTGTGATGGCTCCTGCCCAGCTCTACCAATACCCTCCGCAGTTCTATGCCCAGGCACAACCCGTGCAGGGACAACCTAGCGGAGGTCGACGTGGACGGGTGAGTAATTTTCAACATGTCTAGGCATATTTAATATTTGCCGCATATAGCGTGAACTGACCCTCCTTCCAGCGCTGATCTTCGCATATGATTTTTTTAATCACATTTTCCCTGCTTCCATCTACTGTATAAACTCATTTTTTTCTCGTTTTTTTTCTCTTTCTTTTTATTATCATTCTTATTTTTTGGCCATCTTATCATGGAGATTCAGCGGGTTACTAGCTTTATGTGTTGTCAAGCCATGTCCCTCTCTCACACTTGATCGGACGCTGGATCGCCGGTAGGAGAGAGAGGACATGGCTGAGGATTTTGGGAGGCGGCTGGAACCAAAAAAAAGTGCCTGGTGTCTAGGTGGATGACACAATCATGTATCTTCATGGAGACAGCGTTTCTTTTCTTTTTTTCAAATGACCATGTATCTTCTGATCTGATGATCTATTTCAGGACTATATGTGCCTGGGAGGCTGGGCTAAACCTCAAATTATGCCCGTTCGTTTCTGTGTACGCTGGGTAAAATTCCAATGGGATCAGCTGCATGAGATTGTACCTGTAAGCGTGGTAGAATGTCATTTTATCTATAAACTTCCGGGAACTTCAAGTTCAAGTTCAATGTTGATATTGAGCATCTGGTACTAGTAGTATAACTTGAAGCAATTCATAAATAAGATTGCAGGAACTGGATCTGCCCGTTCCGCCCGCATTGCGTCCCATGTTAATTTTCAACGTTGTGATATCTAAGACATCTCGCTCCTGAACTTGAACCTCATCACCATGACCAGGTATCAAGAAAATGAATCAATCTTGTTTCATAATACAGAAGAAACTGTCTTCCTGGTCGATATCCCACACTCAATTGCAGAAGCCCAATTCTTATCACCGGGTCAATTCTCCCCACAGGCATCCGTTTCAGAGCTAGGGGAAAGCCATACATCATCTAAGCCAAAGCCTAAAATCAAAAGGCTTACATCAACACTTCCCCTGGAGAATCCTTATCCTTCTTCAACGGAGCCAAAGACAGAGGCAGCACGCGCCAGAATCCTATCTAGAGTATCGCTAGGTGAACGTCGGTATCATGATGAATTCATTCAGCCCCTCGTTGCTGCTGCTTTGAATGAGCTCCAAACTGCCTATAAGCCATCGGACCCAGATAGTCATTGGTGCCTTCCTAGGGCTGTACGTGATGAACAGATGCAGCAGCCCAGAACGGAATCGACCCCGGATGCCGTCACTTCTACTACGGATAAGAAGCGGAAAATAGAGCATTTACAGCATGGATCTGCCACAGAAGGCTCTGATGGAAATGAGTTAATATCTGAGATTCCCTGCTCATCAGATGTCCCACCAACAATTCTATCATCTTCTTCCTGCAATACATTTTTCTTGCTCACAGATCTTTCGGGTGGTGTAGTGAAGAATCCATCATCAGAACAAAGTGTCCTATCTATCGGTACCACTGGGAATGGAAGCGAAGATGACAGACCAGGCTGTTCTATGTATATGATTCCTCCTCAGTCAGTCTTCTCGCTTTGCACGCTTCCATTATCGGATACAGAAGGCATGAGCCCTCCAATTCCAGGATTTCCGTACACCAAGCGCTTTAACCTGATAGTCTTCGATCCACCTTGGCCCAACCGCTCTGTTAAACGCAGCAAGAAATACCAGACCCATTCATACAACGAAATGGAACTTTTGAGTTCCTGGATCCAGAACGTACTCACTGTACACTCGCATAATCCCCTTTTTGATTCCCAGCCATCAAACACAACTAAAAGTTCATCTCCGGAAGCTCATGATACACAAGTCCCAAGTCACCAAAGCTTCGCAGCTATCTGGATCACGAATTCCGAAAAAGCTAGGAGAGCCGCGTACCAAGCCTTATCACAAAATGGATTCGATATCCATGAAGAGTGGATCTGGGTTAAAGTCACAGCTAAGGGTGAACCCGTGTGTCCGGTGAATGGGGTTTGGCGAAAACCCTATGAGATTCTCGTGATAGGGCGAGCAATTCAGAGTCATGCGGAGGTTACCATATGTCCTCTGGGTTCTGGCTTGATTAGCACTGATGAGGTGGTATTAGAGAATAATAATATCGACTTGCTTGGTCTAGACCCGGGAACAGTTTCTCGACGAGTTATTGCAGCGGTCCCAGATCTTCATTCGCGGAAACCGAATCTGAAAACAATTTTCGAGCGGTTTTTGTTCAGTTCAAGCAATGATACATGTGTATCCGAGTCTTCTTGCGAGTCATATACGGCGCTGGAAGTTTTTGCTCGGAATTTAACTGCTGAATGGTGGGCATGTGGGAATGAAGTGTTGAAATTCAATGCTAGCGATTGTTGGACAGAACTTGATGAAGATAAATGATCTGACTGATATTTGCGAGGTTTCCAATCAATGATGTACACCCGACTAGAATTTCATTCTAGGATGATCCTCGTGCATAGAACTTGAAGCTTCAACGTCCAAATTCTAACATCTTGTCCGAGTCTGCAATCGATTGAGTTTAAATGGCACAGCCTATGTTCTGATTCTTCAATATGAAAAAGTTCAAGTTATATCTATTCAAATCAACTTGAATACCTCGATCGGGATGTCCGTATATGAAGTAGTAGAATGTTGATGGTCATGATCTCCATGTGTAGGTACCCATGGTCTGGGCACGACGCCACCTAGCATAGGGCTTGAGAAGTCGAGAAATAGTCTGGACCAGAATCATGGATAATTTGACCTAATCACATACACCCAAGAGATGTGACTAAAACAAGTACCTATTTATATGTATTTCTAAACCTTTGGATTACTAGTACTACACAGAGTAAGTTGAAGTTGAGTAGGAACAAACTTGGCTCCACAGATCCTATCTAGTTCCGAACCAATTACCAATTTAATACCAATTGGGGGCCCAAACTTCCAAGTAACACTTGGAATCGCGGAAATGTAGCGCAGCTGACAAAGTGATCTTCGAGTCACCTTGGAAGTCATTCATTTGTCATGAATCGCCCATTGTACTTATATTGGTGAAACATAGGACATGAAGAGGTTCAAAACCCTCACAGAATTGAAGATCTGGAGTTTCGAGTCTGGAGTCTGGAGTCTCTGGACACACCCCACTTAGTGCAAAAAACGCGAATACACTTGTGACTTGACCCCTGGAAATCCCCCCCGAAAGAGGCTAATCTTTTTTAGTAACTTTTAATCGGAATCGGGATCTTCACTTGCATTTTACCCCGTTCTTCTTTCTCTCTTTCCCGAGGACTTTGACTGCCGCGCGTCGCAAGAAAACTTGAACTTGAACTTGAACCTCAAGTTCACTGCAAAATTGCGACCCACAATGGAGTCGCAATCTGGCAGTTATGATACTTCCCAACAGGAAAAGGGCCCCGATATCACATTAGCCGTCGATGAACAAACATACTCGCAACGACCATCATGTTTCAGTTCGACTATTCAAGAATGTCTCTTCGTCTTGACAGCTACCATGGCCATTGGGCAACAATCATTTTACCAAGGCGCTATTGTGGGTGTGACTGCATCCATTGGATCAGATCTGAACATGAACTCAGCAGAAATCACATGGATTAACGCCGGTGCTTCGTAAGTCGATTCTCATTCTCAAATACAATTGACATCTCCACTGGCACATAAATCTCCACTGTCTACTTCTTGAGATACAAAACACAACAAATAATTCCAATTCCAATTTCAATTTCACAACCCCCTACTCTTCTTCATGGAAATCACTAACAATAAACCACAGTCTAAGCAGCGGTGCCTTCCTCTTATCATTTGGAAAATTAGCCGACATGTTCGGCCGCAAAGTACTCTTCATTATCGGTATGGCCGGCTTCACCTTCTCTCTTCTAATCGCAGGCTTCGCCACAAACGCTATCTACATGGACGTCTTCTCCGGTATTCTGGGTCTCTTCGCCGCAGCGGTAGTACCACCAGCCGTCGGCGCATTAGGCGCAGTATATGAGAGGCCATCAAAACGCAAGAACCGTGCATTCGCCTGCTTTAGTGCTGGAAATCCACTGGGCTTTGTGGGCGGTATGATTATTTCAGGCATTGCGTCTAATGAATATAACTGGCGAGCATCTTTCTGGGCTCTTTCGGTTATTTATGGAATTTTTACCATTTTGACTATCTGGACTGTGCCACCTGATGGGTTCGCGAGGACACCTATTAGTAGAGAGGCCTTCAAATCATTTGATCTTCTGGGTACGGGATTGATAATTGTTGGATTCGCTTTCTTTTCGAGTGCATTATCGTATGTGGTCCTTCTCTATGTGGTTGCTTTTGAATATGGATGTGGCTGACAATTCAAAGGCTAGCTGGCGATGCCCCGGATGGCTGGAAGACGGGCTATGTTCTCGGTCTGTTTATCGTTGGCTTCTTCATCTTGGTAGGATTTGTATGGTGGCAGTCTGTCGCGACACACCCATTGATGCCATTATGGGTATGGAAAGATCGAAATTTCTCATTGGTAAGTCCCCATCTACTATGTTCTCACCATATACTACAGTGACTGTCGAAGAGACGCTAATACGACGTAGCTCATGGCAACCTTCTGCCTCGGCTTTGCAGGGTTCTCCGCTGTCACTTTTTACCTATCCCTTTACCTCCAAGATGTTAAGCATCTCACCGCACTGGATATCACCGCACGCTTACTCCCGATGGTGGTCAGTGGTGTGACAGTTAACGTAGTCTGCGGACTGATTCTCCACCGCGTCAGCAACAAACTGTTAACCGGGATCGGTGCTCTGGCATATACGGCCTCGTTCCTGATCTTGAGCTTCATGAAGGAAGACGCTGTCTACTGGGAATACATCTTCCCTGCACTGATCCTTGTGGTTGTTGGTGCGGATATCCAGTTCAATGTGACCAACGTACGTACTAAACCATATCAGCTACATCCTGGCTTGACTCAACCTTCATCTGGCGAGTTTACGCGTCCGTTATACTAACATACTGTCATGTTTCAGATGTACGTCATGTCTTCGCTCCCGTCACACCAACAGTCAATCGCCGGTGGAATTTTCAACACAGTCAGCAAGCTGTGTAATAACCTTGGTCTCGGAATCGCTACTTCTATCGAAAGCTCCATAAAGGATAGAATGACTGCGTCAACGCCTGCTATCAAACCCTACCTCGGTGTCTACTGGTTTGCAGCAGCAGCAGCAGGCCTTTCTGTCATGATGGTGCCGTTTTTGACGCTTGGCACTCAGGGTCATGATACCTCTGATTCAGAGAAGACTGAGATTGGGGAGAATGGAGAGTCAGTTGAACAGAGAGCCGTCATTGAAAATGGGCCTGTGGCTCCGGGCACGGAAACGACTGTGGAGAGTCAGCCTATTATTGAAAAGCAATAGTCTGAGCGCTCCCAAGGTTTACCCAGGGAGTGGAAATTGGCCAATTTGATCAACCTGAACCGTGATCTGGTCATTAAAATGGAGAGACAATTGATACAAAACTGTACTTAATGAAAAGCCTTCGCCTTATAGATAATAGAATCCACGAGCCAAGTCATGCATCTCTAAATACTATCTAGTATAATACATGCAAATACCAAAAAAGAAAAGTGACGAACCCCATAGAAACGATTTCCAATCTATGTAGTTAAAGTTCGACGCCGAATAAAAACCCATCCACTGAGAATTCTCCCAAATTAATCAAAAACCGGGCCCAGGCTAACAAGACTAAACCTCAAATCCGGATTCCCTCCCTTAGTCTCCATCTCCAAAAACTTCTTAACCCCAAGTCCCAACGCAGTCTCACTCAACGCATCCTCCTCATCTCCAAGAACACCTCTAGCCAACGGTCCCTTCCTCCTTCCATCAAGTTCCCAAAGAGTCCCATCCGCACCTTTAACAAAAGCCACGAAATGCAAATCCACACTATCCTCGGCCTCAGGAGCAGCAGTATCACCCAATTTGGCCGCATCAGCATGCGCACTTTCCAGCGCCTTACTTTCGTAGAGCAAGTCCGCCCGCTTAGCCGGCTGTAGATCCTGGGCCTGTCTAAGCAAGACATCTAGATCCGAGCCTGGAATCACATGCTTGCGGGGTTCGCCGTTCGAGACAGCGTGCAAGAGACCGATAAGCCCACAGGCGTTACGGATTGTTTGCTTGAACCATGTTACTGGCTCTGAGGGACCGTGGCCTGTGTATTCTTGGAGAGAGCTGTCTTCTTCTATGCGGTGGGTTTCGTAGGTTTTGGAGACGGGGAAGACGAGGAGAAGAGCGTGAGAGGGGCGGGGGATAAATGCAAGGAGGTCGGGGTCTTCAATTGAGAAGACATCTGTGAAGCCCAGAGTTTCTGGGAGGCCTAGTTGGTGTACTAGGTGGGACATGACTTCGGGGTTGTTTTCTGGTAACTGTTAGTGCGGGCACTGCGGGGTGTTGGGTTGGGATATCGTGGACATACCGAGAGGCACGAAGGCCTTTTGGGTATCTGGGACGTCTGGATTTTCGGACATGATGAGAATGGATGTTTGGTGTTGGTCAGTTGGTTTAGATAGAGTGTGTGGTAGCTTGTTGTTAAGGTAAGGTCTGTTTGAAGGTTGTGGTGAGGAGAGAATTGCGGGGTCGGCTCCGAGGGATAACCGCATCTAGATCATGCTTATATAGACCCACTTATTAGCCACTGATTGATGCCTCACTGGTATTTGATAGATAATATCGAGTTAAATGTAGTAATGTCGGTTGAATTTCTACTATACTGACTTGAAGAACTATTCATAGCAAACTGGCTAGCTACAGTGTGGGGATAAAACACTGCCATTGCACTGGTATAGATTGCTTACTGTAATAGGAAACTTGGATTCCAATTTTGCCTACTACCTAGGTATAGAGAAGATCTTTCTACGCTTGAAGGCGTTTGCAAGTCTCGCAAGTCTCGTTTGTACTTATGGGAGATTTCCATTAGAATCATTCATAAAACCACCTGGGCACCGCCTGCCCATCGCCAGTTTCTTCCTTCATCTTGACCTGGGGAAATCCAGAAAACTATATCATCATATGCATCCAACCATCACGCTACATGACGCCAAATTTTTCATTACATTTAAGATATCCACCCAGAACCTATCCAAGTTGCAAGACAAAGTATGAGTATCAATCGGGACGGCCATGGGACCACCTCTGCGCCGGTCTGAGCATTTCAAGAACCTGGTAACCTATCCTGCCTTGCTAAGCTAGCTCATCGACATCTTAATTATAACTGGACTCCTAATTTGGGGTAGTTATATAGCCTTCACTGAACTCAGTCACGCAATTTGGTACAGGTGCATCACCCAATGGCTACCTTCAAATGTCGAATCTTCTCTATGCCTTTGGCTCTCAAGTGCTTCTATTATACTAGTAGTACCATCACAACTTCTAAGGAATGCTATCGATGCTCACGTTGGTCAGAGTCACCAAATTGTCAACACTGGCACAATTCAACATCTGGGTAGTCTGTCATCGTACTCAGATGAGATAGAATCCAGCTTAGATTCGAGCTGCCCATTGGTGCAGAGCCTCTGCATCTACTCATAAGTTTATCCGTCATCCATGAGGAGTCTGATGAAGCCGATAATCAGAACTGGAATACACCTGGGAGAGAGTCCAGAGTTTGATTGCAGAATAGCTTTAAGATTCAAGTTGAAGTCTGGAAGTTTAAGATTCAGCCATGTCAATCGTAGCTTCAAGTTGCAGTCCCCCATTTTGACTCGTCGTATCCTTTTGAATTTCCAGATGTTCTCCAGGGCTCGGTCAATTATAATATGCCATCGCCGACATTCGTGAACACAGAGCTTAATCCAAAGCATCGAGCAAGGTCCAATATTATTTATACTGTTTCCCATGCAAATTCCGAGCTAGCCCACTCATATTGGCTTCTTGGGGACATTCAATCATGAGGTTCGAAGTTGAAATTTTTGAAGTGTTACCGAGGAGTAGAGACATGTAAAGATACTGCAGGGCTACTAATATTCCTCATTTTCAACATCAAATAGTTGACATGAAGCCCTGGAAGCCAAGGCGCAATCAGGCAATATCCTGAAATTCAAGCTGCGCCTGAACTTGAACAAAACGCAGTGCCACCGAGTCAAAATAAAAAGGGGAACCAAAGCAGAGAGATAGTCGATACAAGGGAAACGATGAAAAATTGCTCCTTCATTTTTCAAATTCAACCAAACAAGAGTGAGCAAGGATTATGTGTCTCATTGCAGAGGCAATTTTCACCTCTCTGCTAGTGCACAAGTGTTCAAATGTTCTACACGTACTCTATTTATAATAAGGAGGATGCTATGAGCACCTACTCTGTCGCTGACTCACAAGACACTCAGTAGAATGGAATTATTTCGCAGGAGGTATTCCGTCAACGTGCTCACTTATACCTCGGACACATTTTCCTAGCCGTGGCTAGCCCACGAAAGCTAGGCGAGTCTCTGAGAAAGCGAGATAATCAGAAAGCCGAACGGGAAAATACGAAAAAACTAAAGACAATCTCTATCTCTTTCTGATTCGAATCCAGATGAGACTATCTTCGAAAGGGTACAGTAACTTGAAGTATGAACTTCAATCATTGACACAGCAGCTGATCAGACAAGATATTGGCTATTATGCAGCATATGTCACTGTGCACCCAGAATATCAGTGGAAACTAATCTCATGACCCTACTACACCAAATTAGCATACCCTGCCAGTGGTGAGGACATGAATTTCATCCATATCGATCTTGCGTTAGGCGACTGTGTGGCTATCGGAAGAGGCTACAATGCTGTCCAAGGGTCAGTGTCTTTCACCGACGAGGATGCACAGAATTGCTCTGTGGTTTTACCTGGAATCCAAAAGCATCTTGCCCGCTGGTGGGAGATCCATAACAATATCCGGGCTAAGAGCCAGTTTATGGTGAGTACTCTGTATCCACTTGGTCAAGATGACAGTGCACATAATGTCCTCCGTGGTTCTACTGCTAATGCTCTCGCAGACTAGCGCAAGCCAGCAGGCTGGTTCCGATGCAGCGACCGATGCAGCAAAGAGGGACATGTGTTATATCTCGTGGCTGATATAGATCACTGGCCTCGTAGATGATAGCTCTCGACACGCTCAGTAGAACTTCTCCTCACGCTTCCCCACACATACAGTTTCTTCCTCTTATGATCAGTTCTCTCTCCCCGCAACAGGTTATGACCCTCTATCCCTGAGAACATACGAGCACGCAGTACTGCACCTTGCCGGCTCATGCGTCGAGCCAACCCAGCAGTTGAGAGAAAGGTCTCGACCTGCACCCGAACTGAGAGAAGAGTCTCCGAAACAGACCAGTAGCTTTTCAAGCAGAAACACGCTAGCTGCTCCTAACAATGGCGAATAATTTTGTTGAATCCCACCTCGATGGGTGGGGAAGAGCGACAAAAGCTGACTATCTCCTTACCATATCAATATCGTTCACTAAGATGCGAATGGCACTCGACAAAGATAAAGCAAGAGAGCACTTTGAAGACTGGGATAAAGCCCTCCGACGAACATGTCCATTCCAAATGAATTCGCAATTCCTTCTCTAGGCCTTCTCAGGTTCGCAGTATTCGCAATATGAGGAAAAAATAAGATCATTTATTAAGCTCAGCACAAACTGACAGTCATATCGAATCCTGACATCAAACCACATTCATGCAATGGGTATCAAAATCTATCATCAACTAAACCACAATGCATCAAGGCCTCTATTCCTTGCCTCCATTTGTAGCTGCTATAGGCGTCCCATGCATCTACAAAACATATTAGATCCATCATCGGAAGCTTAAAATCTACATGAAACGAAAAACTTACTGTCTCAGCAAACCCCATCCACTCCTCTACACCCTTAACGAAAGTATCGTCTGCGGCAGGAAGAGCCTCATGCCCCCATACAATCATCTCATCGAATGTTCCCTGCATCTCAAGAACCTTGACTGGCTCCTCCGGTTGAATCTCAATAACGTCCGAGTCTTCTCCCGAATCAGCCTTGTTTTCCTGAGGTACTTGCAGGATAAGATCAGTCGGAACTGCAACGACTCCTATTGAGATAATCCATTAGTTCATGCTTATATTTTTGTCTGCAATTATCCAATGGAGTTAGTACCTTGATACCCCTCCGGAATGGCAACTCGTCGCCCACGAAGTTTACGCCCTCGGAAATGCGAAGTCTGTGTACCGTCTATTTCCCCAAATTAACAACTTATTCCGTCATCTCTGGTAGCAGGAGCTTTTCTGCTGGAATAGGTCGTGCATACCTTGCGCGTCTGATACGGGTGTCCAGAACCGGTCTGTGGATTCGATTGGGCCATCGTGATGGATTTGACAAGGGAGGATATTCGGTGTGAATTGAGGGGCTGAGGTCTTGTCTTTCTGGTCTGTTGGCTGAACGCCTGCTTGGAAGGCGTACATGTCTGGCATTGTTCTGGTCGAGCGCGGCTGAAGTTTCGTAGTGTGGTCTATCGTAGGACCAGCAGGCTGGTATTCAATTGATGGAGAGTTTGGGGTATTGAATTGATTTTGGTCGAATTGGATTGACTGTTCGGTCGTTGTTGAGTAGGGTTGAGGATGTTAAATTCTTTGCGGAGTTGAGTTCAAGCGCGTCGCGTTTCCGCGTTAAGTGTAATTATCGGAGCGGGAACTACAATGCCCAACTCAAGTACATTATGGAGTACTCGAAGAAGATCGACTACGATGCAATATCAAAGATTAGACTATTTCCAAGGTTGAGATTAAAAAAAATTATTTTAATTAATTCAATTGTATATGCGATTCAATTCGGACCGTAAATGCAAATCCGGGGTATACAAAATATCTCTACTAAGTACAGTTGCGATGCATGTCAACAAATTATCTCAATCACCGCTTGCGAGTAGTCTTCTTCTTCTTCTTTTTCTTCTTGTCTCCCTTATCCTGGCCCTCCACAGGAGCCCGAACAGGCCATTTCTTCAAGTGTTCCCGCTCAAATCCATCCTTCTCTCGTCGATACAGAGCCATAGTTGCCCGTGCATCTTCCACCGATGAATGCGCTCCTTCCTGGATCTTCAACCCAAGGAAATGCTCTGCCAGCATCTTCAACCGTGGTGATCCACCACCGGCAATCTTCCGGTACTCGGGATACTTGCTAGTGTCTCGAATATCGCGCTTGGGATGCCCAAGCAACAAAGCGTCTAGATCATTGCTCACGGCGTGACCGACGAGAACCCGACCTTCCATTACCTTGGCAACTTCCTTCTGTGCCTCCTCGAAGGTCCGCGCTTCAACCATATGTTTCGGAGCAATACCACTGACGTGGGTTCTCCAATCTGTCACCATTTCCTTGGGGCGTACATATGAATCGTAGACTTGGTCTCCGTTGAAGTTGACAATACTGACACGTGCGAGGACAGAGTCGTTATCTGGGTTTGGTCCTACACCAACCATCTCACAATCCATGGCGATATATTTTCCGAGTTCGGCACTGAGTTTCAATGGTAAGCTATGTTATCCAGGAGAGGGCTTCTAGGTATTTGAAACAAACACTCACGTTGGAGAACGGCCTTCATTAACCTTATTGCGGGACTCGGTCGGTGTTGGCTTAGAGATTCCCGCACTGGACTTTCGTCGCAAAATGGGAGCGGAGTCTCCATCGCCGGATTTTTGAGTTCCGTCGCTCATCCTTTGTCGCTTGTAAGTAGTTGACGCCTGTCGAGACGGTTGATATTTATCTGTAGACTTTCTGTTCTCTGAATCGCGGTCCGATGCTTTGCGTTTTGTGGTGGTTGAAGGGCTCTCCTTCTTGAGCGTTGCCTGTAGCTTCTTCCAGTTACTGGAAAGGCTACTCTTATCCATTCCGACGGTGAAGTCTCTTATAAGAGCTTTGGCATAGTGGAGAGGAATTGGAGGAGATGGTTGATCTTCTCCGTTCACTTTTTTTCTGGCAGAAAATCGTGATAGGGACACCGCCTTGATATCCATCGGACTAACTGAAATAGGCAATTTTATATACAGACCTCGGGACCGGTCCAGAGTCTCCAAATTTACATGGCTGCCCAGGTGATACAATTGATTTTTTTTATGGTGGATATCTAGTACGCGAAATATTTTGATTTTCCAAATAATATTTTTGGTGGTGGTAGATGCCTGTTTCCATTTACATGTACATCAATAGAAACTCAACCTCCGAGTCATCAATACTTGTGTGGTGTTGTATAACTTGAAATCAATTGAAACCCATTCATTGTGCAAGAATTTTCTATGTCCAAACGCCGATGCACGCTTTTATTAGTTACAAGATCAAAATTAGTCAAAGCCCGGGACCTTGAAGTCCTTCGACATCCACTTCTCGGTAATCTTTCTCTTGGCTTTGCGAGCCTGTGTGACCGGCTTGCGGGATTCCAGCTTTCCTTGAACAATGAGCGTCCTGAATCGATCATCCAACAGGTTACCCTCTGGCTTGAGTAATCTTAGAGAGTCTTGAAGCTCTTCAGGGAGGACCAGCTCCAACCGTTTCTCGGGAGGTCTAAAAGAAGCATTAGTAAAAGCACATACGGCGAAAGAACGTAGAACACATACGCAAGTTTTCCTCCTAAAGCCTTTCGTCGGAGCTTGGTATCATCTCCCTCATCAGAATCATCGCCATCAGACTGGTTAGCCGCCAGCATTTCCCGCTGTCTAGCCTCCTCTGCGAGCGATTCAATCTTCTCGGCCTGGGCCTCTTTAGAAGCCTTGTTGGCCTCCCACTTCGCCAATCGCTCAGCTTCCTTTCTCCGCTTAATCTTGTTGCGCTGGGCCTTGGTCTTTCGCTCAGGTCGCTTCTTGTTGAGCCACTCGGGCTTTTCGTATTCACTCTCGAAGCCCTCCCAGGCACTCTCATCATCGGACTTGACTTCACCGTCGTCGCCTTCGGCCTCCTCTCTGAGGCGCTGCTTCTCATCCTCCTTTGCTTGTTCTGCAAGGCGAATCTTCTCAGCCTCAACAGCCTCAGCACCATGTTGCTCTAGCAGAGTATCCCACTCCTCGAAGACAGGGTTGTAACTAGTTCCAGCGTGCGGTTTTCGGACAGCGGGGATAGGCTTTCCATTGGCGGCAAGTGACAAAGGCGCATGCTTAAGGGTCTCTGGGGCAACCTTGGCCTTGGGCTTCACCAAAAAGTCGAAACGAGGGTCATCCATCTTGGTGGAGGTTGTATCGACCTCCTCCGCCCAAGGGTCATAAAGCTCACCGCCATGGATCTTGCCAGTGGGGTTTCCAGCCTTGGCCACTTCCTTCAAGCGCAGAACTTCCTTCTTGGTGACCCAGTCCTTCTTGTGCTTCTTAGTCCTTGGCTCGATGACTCCGTCGGTGATATTAGGGTTGATACGCTTGCGACCGTCAAGCGCGGGAATAGCAGACCGCTGAGCGATGATTTCGTCCGCCTTGAGCGGCTTATGCTTTCTGGCGATTTCTGTCCGGACTGTGTCGTTTCCAGTGCTGTCGATGATGAAAAGCTCATCGGAAGGCTTCTCTGATAGCAAACCACTATCTCATAATTAGTTCAACTGTCAATGGACTAATATAGCAAAAATAAGACAAAACATACCCTTTAATCTCTTCATCTTTCAACATGCGAAGGCCTTCCTGGACTTCAGTAACGTCGACATTCTTGCGCCAAGCCTTCTTACCCTTACGGGAGGGCTGCTTGAACTGCTGAGGGGCATCTACCGATTTCGACATGGTTGATGCTCTTATCGTCGATTTGCAAAATCGGAAATTTTGGCGCAAAAAAAAGTCAGAAAAAGTCAACTGACCGCCCGCCCGGGCGGTGAGGGAACGACGCTTGGCATAACTTGTCTTTTCTTGCTGTAACCCACTGCGCGTCACTTCACTTCTAATCCGGGGACTCTCAATTATTCATATCTCCCCGGAGACAGAATCCTAATTTATTTTACGGACTAGAGCTGAAGTTAACTGGATAACCAGCTCGATTGCGCATCATGCCTGTCGTCAAAGGTGGTGTCTGGTATGTGTCTTCCGTGACCTCCTCTACTATCTTTAATGATCGCTAATAGCCGGTTTCTAGGACGAACATCGAAGATGAAGTTCTTCGTGCAGCTGTAAGTATACATATACTTTCCAAATCACTTTGTTCAATTCGAGTACGAATGATTAACACGTTGATAGGTCTCCAAATATGGTCTGAACCAATGGGCCCGAGTCTCCTCTCTCCTTGCACGGAAGACACCAAAGCAATGCAAAGCGCGTTGGATCGAATGGCTGGATCCAGGTATTCGGAAGGTCGAGTGGTCGCGGGAGGAGGATGAGAAGCTTCTGCACCTTGCCAAGTTAATGCCCACACAATGGCGCACAATCGCCCCTATCGTCGGTCGCACCGCAACACAGTGTCTTGAACGATATCAGAAGCTTTTGGATGAGGCCGAGGCGCGCGAGAATGATGATCTTGGATTGGGTGGACCCGAGGGTGGAGAAGCATCTGCTCCCAGTGCGGATGATGTCCGCCGACTACGGTATGTTTTATCCATAGTATATGTGAAAATGACTCTCAGCTAACGAGTGATGTAGCCCTGGCGAGTTGGATCCTGACCCCGAATCGAAGCCGGCGCGCCCCGATACCATTGATCTGGATGAAGATGAGAAAGAGATGCTCAGCGAGGCGCGTGCGCGTCTTGCCAACACACAGGGTAAAAAGGCGAAGCGAAAGGCCCGAGAACGCCAGCTGGAAGAGTCTCGTCGACTGGCAGTGCTTCAGAAGCGTCGTGAACTCAAGAATGCCGGCATCAATGTTAAGGTCGTGACGCGGAAGCCAGGTCAGATGGATTACAATGCAGACATTCCATTCGAGAAGCCGGCTGCGCCAGGATTTTATGATACCATGGAGGAGGAGAAGCGCAACGAGCGCCAACGAGAATTGTTCGACCCTCGAAAACAGCAGCTGGCCAACAAGCGAAAGGGCGATCAAGATGAAGATGCCGAGCGCAAGAAGCGCAAGAATGATAAGAACAGCAACGCGGCTGCCTTTGCGGCTGCAGCCCGTGCAGGTCAGATGCAAAAGATCCGAGAGGCTGAACAAAGCAGCAAGCGACGAGGTTTGGTGCTTCCTTCGCCCCAGATTAGCGAAGGCGAGATGGAAGATATCATTAAAATGGGCATGGCTGGAGACAAGGCGAGCCGAATGAGCGCCGATGAAGAAGCTACTCGAGGACTTATTGGGAACTACGGCGCAATTGTTGGAGGTACACCCATTCGTACTCCACGAGCGGCCCCCGAGGAAGACCGTATCGCCAACGAGATTAAGAATATCCGAGCTTTGACCGAAACACAATCATCTCTGCTTGGTGGAGATAATACTCCTCTCCATGAAGGTGGTTCATCCACCGGTTTCGATGGAATTGCCCCCCGAAAGCAAGATATTGTCACACCCAACCCTATGGCAACACCATTCCGACACGCCAACGGTATTGGCGCCACTCCTATGCATGGTGGGATTGGTCCTGGTGCTACCCCGCTCCGAACACCGCGCGATCACTTTGCATTGAACCGTGAAGGTGCGGGTGGACAGCTTGTTGGTAACACACCACGTGATATCAAGATGCATGAGAACTTCATGCGCCAGCAGATTCGCAGCAGGCTATCTTCACTACCTAAGCCCAAGGAGACCGAATGGGAGCTTGAGGAGCTTCCATCTGAAACCGCCGAGCCCTCAGCGTCTGTGGCATTCACACAGGAAGATGCTGCTGAGCGAGATCGACGTGATCAAGAGGCGAAGGAACTGGCTGCTCAGGCCGAATTCAAACGTCAGTCACAAGCATACCAGCGTGGCCTCCCACGGCCTATTGTTCTCGATCTTGATGCTTTGATGGAGCGTGCCTCCAAGGTTAACGACTCTATCGAAGGCCTCATCGCCCGGGAAGCCGCAGTACTCATCGCACACGATTCTCGGAAGCACCCAGTCCAGGGTGCCCAGGTCAAGGGCAAGGCTCCCAAGCTAAACAGTTTGGACGACATTTTCTTGGACGCAGCCCGCGCTGCTATTGCTGCTGAGATTGCCTCTGAGGAGACTCAGAAACACCAGAAGGAATGGCAAGAGAATTTTGATGAAGTCTGGTCTTCAACTCGCGCCAATGCCCTCCCTGGCCTGGATGGCTACGCCGATGACGAGGAGCAAGATCCTCTCGAGGAAGAACAACGCATGATCACAGCATTTGACGGTGTCCAAGCATCGCTACTCGCCACAGCCGAACAGGGCAACAAGCTTGAAGGCAAACTTGCCAAAATTCACGGTGGATACCAGAAGCGTTCTAAAACACTCCGAGCGAAGATTCTGGAAGCCAGCACCGCTTTGCCAAAGTCCCAAGATGACCTTGAATCTTTCCGCACCCTTCAGATCTCTGAGGAAGCTGCTGTATCGTCACGTCTGGAGAAATTGCGCGAAAATGTGTCATTTGTTATGCGTCGGGAGCGGGAAGCTCAGGAATTGTATAAGGCCCGGAAAGATGAGCTGGATGAGCTGGTTGCTGGTACAGCTAGGGTTAATGGATGGCATTGAAATTATACCTTGGGAACTGTTACTTATTTTTCTCTGCAATTATGACCCATTGCTTGCTCCGTTTTGTATCATTAGGGATATTCAATTTGCGAAAATCATGCAAATGCATTAGAGCTGAAAAGACATCAACATGGCATTCCGTTCTAGTAAACAGTAATTCGAAGAGTTGCAATCTCAATAAAAGAAACTTGAATGACACGAGAATCAACGCCAACACCTGGGCATAAAGTGAAGACGATTAGATCTTGATGATCTTCAAATGCTCACAGACCTCCAAGTTTCAACTCATATCCCAATGAACTCTTCGGAAATGGTCATCCAGGTTGTCCTTCCGATTAAAAGACTTTCTACAATACGCAACCAAACAAACAAACGAGCGTGGAGAAATGTGCTGTGTCTCGACATGCCTCATAAGAATCGCTTTTCTAGTAAAAGGACCTGGATTCTGACAATTCTTCCATCCACACTCGAAATCACCCTGTGGTTTTCTATAGTGAAATATCAGATGATTAGATATCAACCACAGATTCAAAATTTTAAGTTGTTAACAAGGGTAACATAGGAACTTACTGCGGCTTAGGTTCATAGCAGGAAGAGCCGTGCGTCTTATCTTGAACAATCTCCTTCTGAGGCCCTCTCGCTTGTTCATTACTTGTTGAGAAAAGTGTAGATGGTAGAGAGGATGCAGCGGTGCCCAGATCCATCCAGGGACCCGTGAAAGACGGATCGCCGTAATGGACAGGATTGGTGCTTTGGGTCTTGTCTGGGCGATTGGATACTGTGTAGTTGTTTGTCACGTCCAACCCTGGAACTTGGTATGATGAGAAAACGTTTGGGAATATGGAACTGAATTCGGCTAGTTGGTCATCCATGGAGTTCGAGACCGTTGAATTCATGACAAGACTTGGATTCAAGTGTGAGGTAGATGGAAATACTGGATGAGGTTCAAGTTCAAGTTGATAGCCCCGAGATGTACTAGTAGAGCTAGTACTCGATTCATTCAAGTTGGAGGGACTGCTGGATGAAGTAGAAGACTGTGCCATTGTATACTACTAGTACTCCGTAGTAGTGTAGTAGTAGTGTAGTGGAAATAGATTAGTATAGGACTGAAGAGAGAGGTAAAAAGAACTTGAAAGGGGCTCGAGTCCCTTATGAGCTTAGAATTGAAGGACACAAGATAATGAAATTGTTAAAGTCCCAACTTGAAGACGAACCGTTCGTTTTATAGACCAAAAAAAGGATTCCCTCAAACATAACGTCTCAGTCCCGCCCACAATTACACAGCTTCAGTGACATACGCTTCATTGGACGTCGCGCCTTGATATTTATGGGGACTTCTGGGCAAAATATTTGGAAATCAAAATAAAAAGTGCCTGTCTTGGGGTAAGCTGTAAGCAATCCGAAGTATGGCCAATCATTACCCACACTTGAAGCCTCCTGCACCTGCGCACGGGTTGTTAACGTTGTCGAGTCGTGTGTGTGTGGACTCGTGGTCGTGCTCCTCGGCACTGTTATGTCCAATTTACCAGGTTCAAGTTGCGACCCGAATTAAACCTTGGAACCTTGGGGTTAAACTCACATTAAGCAATTTCCTTTACTCTCTTTTACAGGTATGTACACATATTCAGTGAGTGATTTCTAAACGTACATCATGCAGCCGCTTCATTGGCCAGCATATCTCGCCACCTCCCTAAGTTTCCTGTAACTCCAGATGTCCATGAAAACCTCTCTGTGTAGTAGGTAGGGGACTGGTGGGATTTAATCCACAGTATATAGATTTCTGAAGTTTTATTGGATTATTGCATCCACCTGATTTTGATTGATATGGGATACATAGTACTTTTCTATTACCAAAATATGAAAATTGGAATGAACATTCCAAGGTTTGAGGCTAGAGGGAAGAGCATCTGGGCAACTTCACTGCTATTGCCAGTCTAATCATCATAGTGAAGCGCTTTTACCGGAAAGAAGGGGTTATCTCAAGTTCAAATGTTGTGGCCAATGCGAGATCTGGGCCTTCCATTTTGAAGCACTTAAGTACAATTGCTATGGAGTTCTAGGGTGTATAGATAACATAGGCAATTAATTCATCAGAGTCTCTGCATAATGGGGAGGAGGCACCGGGAGGATAGCATGGATTATTGTATATGTACTCCGTAGTAAAGATTAAATTGAAGGAAGTTTCATCTTTAATGTTAGATGTGAACTTGAATGACCCTTTACTGCCACATAGAAGATAATCTCTATACCTCTCTATACCGACCCCAAGCGCCGTGATCAAGGCTCTAATAAGTACCCCCAAGAATTTCTCGCGCTGTCTCAAATTTGAAAAGAATCAAACAATCGAATAATAGTGCTATCAGAGGATCCAAATTCAAATGAAAACGTGAGATATATGTATATGGCAGTTGTAAGTTGTAACCATGAAAGCAACTTTGAACCGTGGAACTGATCCCAATCCGGCACCGCTTACTTAATCCGTCTCAGTGATCCGATCATCGCGACCATTATCAACCTCAATCCATCGCGCATCGCGTCAAATCCATCATATTTATCAATCTTCCACCTGAAACCACGCCGACTTATCGCTGACCAGAATGGGTGTCCGTGATTCCCATGGTGAGGCGACAGGGACGCCCGACCCTGTCGAGAAGGGGATCGCCACCCTCAATACCATCAGGTGAGCCCACTCAGAGGCCAAAGAGAGGCCGCGAAAATTGTTTCCAGGTCGCCGACTTCACTTTTCTCGGTCGCATATACTGACTGGTTCGATAGGATCGGTGTGAAGGCCATGGTGCAGAAGGTGAGTTACGCCGGCGCAGATTCTGGTCTCTTGTCACGTGATATCATATTGACCACAAGTATAGGATGGTGAACTTCGCAAAGCCGAAATCCTTTCTATCAGGCAACGCAAAGATGGACCTTCATTCTAGTATGAAAATTATTTCTTGGAAGCCTAAAATTTGAAAAACTAACATAAATGACAGCGTACACTATGTTGACTTCAACAAGCGTCTTGACGGTATGTTCCTCATACATATTGAATTCCTCAAATTTCATTTTTAAACCAAAGGAGTTACGTTGAGATTTGAGTGTACTCACGATTATTACAGAATGGATTCCAGCTGCAAGAATCGACCTTGCTCAGGAAGTCGAATGGCCTCAACCAGAAAAGGCTGAAAAGAAAAAGGCCGCCGCTACAAATAAGGCCCCTAGCAAGAATGCTCAGAAGCGTCCACGCGCCGATAGTCGCGAGGTCTCTGGGACACCAGATGCTCTTGGTGGCAAGAACATGAACGTCGACAAGACCCCGCGAGCATCTCAAGCCGGTGGAAAAGAGAACCTTGATGCCCAGACACCCGGCGGCGATGTATCTCTATTTCCATCTGAGGCGGCCTCTGCAGTAGCGACACCCAAAGCGGCTGAATCAGAGGATGTGGAGATGACAGACGCAAAGGATTTCAAGGAAGACGAAGTGAAAACCGCCTCAGGCGAGGTCATCAGTCGCGAAGAGGAGATTGAGCGGCTTCGTACAAGTGGTAGTATGACACAAAACCCAACTGAGATCCATCGTGTTCGTAACTTGACCCGTCTCCAAATGGGCAAGTACGATGTCGAGCCATGGTATTTCTCACCATATCCGGACTCATTCTCCGATGTGGATTTGGTCTACATTGATGAGTTTTGTCTCAGCTACTTCGATAACCAGCGCGCGTTTGAACGCCATCGTGCAAAGTGCACACTCGTTCATCCGCCTGGAAACGAAATTTACCGTGATGACAATATCTCTTTCTTCGAGGTTGATGGAAGGCGGCAGCGGACTTGGTGTCGCAACTTATGTCTTCTCAGCAAGCTTTTCCTCGATCATAAAACCCTTTACTACGATGTTGACCCTTTCCTTTTCTACTGCATGTGCACTCGTGACGAGACGGGATGTCATCTTGTTGGATACTTCTCCAAGGAGAAGGATTCAGCTGAGGGCTATAACTTAGCCTGTATCTTGACACTACCCCAATACCAGCGTCGAGGATTCGGTCGACTCCTTATTTCTTTCAGCTATGAGCTCAGCAAGCGTGAAGGGAAGCTAGGATCCCCGGAAAAACCGCTTAGTGATCTTGGTCTTCTTGGCTACCGACAATACTGGCGTGAGACGCTTGTTGAGCTCTTGATAGAGCCAAATCGGGAGGCTATGAGTGAGAATGAGCTTGCTCTTCTTACCTCGATGACTGAGAAAGATGTCCACGAGACGCTGGTAGTCTTCAATATGCTTCGATACCATGTATGTTTACACCATTTTACTCTCCAAGGTTAGTCACTGGTCATTACTTTTCATGATTACTAACTTCCCGCAGAAAGGAAACTGGGTTATTGTTTTGACAGACTACGCCGTTGGGGAACACAATAAACGACTGGAAAAAGAAAAGGTTAAGGGTGCTCGCAGGATCGATCCTGCTCGTCTCCAATGGAAGCCTCCAGTCTTTACTGCATCCAGTCGGACATGGAACTGGTAGAACAATCAACATCGTCCCATTTTCGGGCTTTGTTGTTCTTCTTCCAATATGCGTGTTTCCTTGACCACATTTTCTGGAGTAAGGGTGAGGGAATCACAATCAATTTGAGCATGGATCGGAGATAATGGACTATTTTTAAACCGGTGTTAGGATGATTTGCAGGCCTTATTTTTGTTTGGAGGGGAGCTTTTTTTTTGTTTCTTTGTTTACTGTCTCTCTGCCTGATACCTCTCTGCCTTCTTGTACAATATGACCTTTGAATTCTCTGTGTTTATTCACAGAGTCAACTAAGAAATTGATCTTTTACAAAACTATTAAAAGCAAGAGCAAAAATAACTGTGAGATGGTGGATTGCTAAGGCTGCTTGATACGAAACATGACCCGGCACATGGGTTGATGGTGAAGTTTGGAAACGGTGTAGATAGTTGTCGATATGGATAGATGTGTTATTTGCAATGTTCTTTCTACCCCAAGAAAGGGAGAGAAACAATACACAACCAGAGCCTTGAGATCGATCCGTCCGTGTCAATCTAGCTCCAATAGCTAGATTCCCATGGCCATGCAAAGAAAGCTAGAAAAAGGGAATGAAAAAAAAGAGATAGAAATAGAAACATGAAGTGGAGTCCGGGGTGTATGAGAGGCCAAAGCCAAAGAAACAAAAAAAGGGAAAAAGAAAAGGCAACAAGCAATCTCACTTGGAGTTGCTGCTATCGCGAGGACCCCAGGACGGATTGCGTGATTGGTGGCGCGAAGAAGAACCTGATGCACCAGTTTGGTGAGAAGTAGATGACTTCTTGTTCCAGTGAGATCCGCCGCTGGTTGCTGCATCGCGGGATTTCGGCATCTTACGCTGGGGGCGATTCGGGTTTGAAGGGCGGCGATTGCGCGGGTGATGGCCATTTTTCCGGTGCATGATGAATGTAGTCTCTGAGTCTTGGCCAGGAAGGTGAATAGTAACGCGCAGATTGCCATGGTTATCTCTGTCACTCTGTCCAACCCTGAACGGCTCGATACTGCATACTTGCATAGGCTTAAGGTGCTTGTGACGAGCCTGGGAAGGCAGAGGCGCGTCAGCAGCGTGCCAGGCAGCCGGCGGAGCCATATTGGGCACACGAACTCCTGGCTGGGAGCCAGGTTCACGATCCTCAAAAATTTCTTCCTCTTCAGCCACCTGGCGGGCTGCAAGATCACCATCCCCAGTCTGCACCGAAACCTCTATGGTGTTGGGTAGAGATACAGATACTGCTGTAGCAGACAATTGAACATCAAGTGGTTCCTTTGAAGCAGAAGCCACAGCCAAAACGCCGGTTCTCTCTGGAACAGTTTTCTTGCCCACAAGAACATTGAACTTTTCTTGCCAATCTATCTGAGCGACCTTGGGTGCTGGCGTAACTCGCCGAGGAGCAGCAGCAGCCATAGAAGCAAATGTGGGTTGTTGCACAGGCTTAGCAACTACTGCCTTGGGAGGCAACTTGACGATAGGCTTAGGGTTAGGAAGATGAACCAATGGCCGACCAGAACCATTCGAGTAAACGGGGTGATACATTTCCTCAGGAGGAGGTGGCGAGGGAGTTCGTTGCGCATCTTGATGCTCGAATGCGAGACGTCGGGGCTGCTCCGTGGCGTTGGGGAAAAAGCGTGAGCTGCGAGCAGGAATGTTGGCAATAGGACGGCCTTGGTTCTCCGTGAATGCAAGACCATCTGCAGGTGTCTCAAGACCGTTCAGAGGATTCAAAGGATTTTTGGGCGGAGGAACAACTGGGGTGGTGTGCTGAGGAACAGCTTGATGACGGGTCCCATTTTCTCCAACGCGAATTTGTTGCCAAGGATGCAGTGAGCCTGACTGCGTGGAGGAAGGCTCAACAACAGGTTCAACGGCCTGCTGAATAGGAGGCTGGCCAGTCAATTTGGCGCTGCGATCCAATATCTGACCTTCACCGACATGGCGTCTGCCTCCACCCTTTGACACTTCAACCTTTTTCCATTCACGAGTAAAGGTAGGTCGGTTAACTTGATGTTGTTCCTGGTTAGTCGGAATCTCCTGGCGAACTCTCTGTGTCTCGTTAAATTCCTGGCGGAACCGCTCTCCAGCTTCTGCTTCACGCTGCCGAGCAATAGGTCCAAAGCTTTTCCACGCGCCAACACCGACACCAACGCTACCTGGGTCTTGTGTTTGCCACGGCTGGTTGTGTGAACTTGGTGGCCCGATGGGACCAGGTCGTGTAATAGGACTCAAGGGGTCGTAGGCAGGCAACCTAGTCTCAGGGGAGGGCAGAACAGGAGCTGCCTCTTGAGGAGCCGAAAAAGGCTGGGTAGGAGCCATCGTGGGTTGGTCCAGACCAAGTTGGCTACGCAACGGAAGTTCGCGCGGTGGGAAGCCACCAAGACCTTGATCGAAAATGCCGTTACCAAGCGTGCGGTCACTGCTTAAGGGTTTCCAGAGATTGTTCACAGTTGCGGGGTTTGCTGTCAAGTTAGGACCGGTGGACCAGGGGGCGTATGAGTTAGAAACGTTCAGGTTTCCACGCCACTGGCCACCTTGATCGTCAACCTTTGTGTCTTGCTGACGAGAGTCAGGAGAGTGTGGTTGATAAGAAGACGGATGGGATTCAGGAGATTGTGGTTTGTAAGAAGAGGGTCGGGAGTTAGGGGACTGCGGGGTGTAAGAAGAAGGAAGAGTTTTGGGAGAAGGCGGTTTGTGAGACGAGGACGAAGCGAGTGCGTCGCGTCCGGGGGCGTTGTTGTGGGGGGAGATCGGACGACGGTAGTGAAGTGAAGTCTTCTCACTTTGCTTTTCGGCCGCACGTTCTCTCTCATTCGCCGCCACCAGTTTCCTCACTGTATCGGGGTGATGGACCTTCATCATTCCATATTGCTTCGGCTTGCCAGTAGGTTCTGGAACAGGCGGTTTCGGAGGAGAAGAAATGGTGGCCGCCGGTGAAGTGTTCAAGGCAGTTGTCTGTGGTTGATGTCCCTCAAGACTATCTTTGCGTTTCTTATCGGGAGGTGGCCCCAAAGCTGCGAGCTTCTGACGAATTCTCTCCTCTCTCGCCTGTTTCTCTTTCTCCTCCTCGTCTAATCGGCGCTGTCTAGCTTCCAGACGCTTCTCCTTCATTATGCGCTCCTGAAGGACAACAGGATCTTCCGCGGGTACTTCTGGTGCAGAAGGCGCCATGGCTTGATTCTCCACTGGTGACGATTCACTGCCCACACTTACTGATGGGGGTGCATGCCAACCTGGTCCACCATGCTGGCGATGTGGAGAGTGTTCACGGAAGTGACCTGGTTCGCGACTGGAAGTTGACTCAACAAAGTCATTGATCGCCTGGGAGCCTCTTCTACCTTCCATGTACCGTGGATGAGGCACATCACGGCCGAACGAAGTACGACGCGCAAAACTACCGCTTCCTCCACTAACACTTGATGATGTACGACGGCGGTTCCAACCCATACCTTCCTGGTGGCTTTGACGATGCGTTTGGAATGCTGCAGATGGCTCTGCATGCCCGCTATGTTCACCATGGCCAGGTCTCTGCAGCACAGCAGGTGGACGAGGCCCTTGATCCTGACGCCATGGTCCCCTTCGTGTCTCGGGGACGGGCTCATAACGTCCCGATCTCGAGTTAAAGAGCTCTCGAGGTGCACCCGACGTTGATTCTCTCCAGGTGCGATTAAAGTCATCTGCCGCTATCTCTTGAGGAGGCATTTGCGGAATATGACCATCCTCCCGGTGTGGATAATTGGCATGGATACGATTTTGGGATGCTGGGGGAGGTGGTGGCAATAACGGATTGACAGGAGACACTCTATCCACAGGAGGTAAAGTCGCCCAGGGCGACTTTGCTGGCAGAGGAGCTGGACTTGTAGATCCAGAAGGCAGTCTATCATTTATCCCCTTGGACGAGATGCTAGCTGCCTTGGCCTGTCGCTCAGCATTGGCTCCAAGACGTAGCACCGTTGGATTGGGACCAACAGAAGTGGTTGGCTTTGGTGCTGCTATCCTGACAGGATCCAATGACGCTCCAGTTCCAGTCTGCTCAGGTTGATGTGGTTCCTTTGACGGTTGGGAGCTTTGTTCTGGCACCGGTAGAGATTCGGTGTGTGTGAGGGTAACCTTTGTTCCATCAGTCCATTCAATCGTTTCAGGTGCCCAGTCATCTTCGTCGTCATCAATGTCCGCCCATTTCGCTTCGGTATTGCCACCATCTTCCTGGATTCGGGAGGTCATATGAATGCCATATTGCTGCTTTAATTCCTCGTCCGTCAGGTGCTTTGGTGGTGTCGGCTGAACAGCTATATCAAATACACAATCAGCATGTCATTCTATTGACCAAGGCAACCCGCTCGATCCACAATATCAAGAAACATACGTCGGTTTTTATTCCAAACCTGGTTAGGGTCTGGACCCGATCCGCCGGGCTTAGCACCTCCTGCGCCGGTCTTCAAAATGGAATCACGCATCCCACCAGTGGTCTTCGCGACCAAGCGCGGTCGTGAGCTTGGCTGTGGGGTCCCAAAGGGAGTTGTGGAGGCAGAGGATACTATGAAGAGGTGTTTGTCAGATACAGGGCTCGGGATTGACCACAAACAACAAAGATAAGAGATACACACCTTTTTCCGGTACCTTAGGAGGTGCAGAAGCCCCTGGTGCTTTGGGCACAGCGAATTTCGTAAATGACACTGGCTTGAAAGTAGTCGGCTTCTTCACAGACCCAGTCCGTGTGTGATGTCTACTATCTGTCCGGCTAGTGTCCGACTCCGAGCCACCCTGTGAAGCTGTGTCGTCTCCAGCATCCGATCCTGATGCCAGTCCATTGAGTTCGAGTGCTCTGGATGCAACCAAACCAATAGCTTGCTTTGGAACCTCCTGCGCTAAACTCAGATGGTGGTTTTCTTCCATTTTACCCGCAACGCTCACCATGGAAGAACCTCCGGTATCCTTGTCACCTCCAGGTCGCTCACTTTGAGATCTCAAAGTATCTCTCGTAACGTCGTTGGAATTTTGATCAGATGATATCTCGGTTTCGGAAGTACTTGCGATATGTTTGGTCTCCCCCACGTCCCCTCCAGCAGAAATCTTGTCGGTTGTGCTCGTAGGAACGTCGGAAGGCGAAGGCTCGCCGCCCGACAGGGTCTGATCTACCACATCGCGGCTGCTCTGCTCTGCCATAACAATACTCGAGTCTGCAAAAGTCAAAGTTTGCGCCATAAGTCAGAACTTGGAATGCTGTTTAAAGGAATGTTCGAGTGGGACACAATCATGCGACGCGAGAGGCAGCTGCGGGTCAAGCTCGCATATTAACGGGAAGGAGATAGGTCGTCGTACCTGTTGTCAGGTTTCAAGAATCGCCACAGTTGAACTGCTCGCTTGACTGGTTGCACCCTGAAGAATCGGGTGATTGCACAACCAGGAGGGGAAGTTGAGCGGGCCACCTCCCGGGGGGGCTAGACGGAGATTCGGTGACGGGGGTCGTGGGTTGGAGAGTTGTGCTCGCTGGATTGAGATGGCGCGAGTGGGGAGTCCACAACCCAGAAAAGAGATTTCCCACGAGATAAGGGAGAGGAACTCGAGGAGAGGGAGGATGTACTCGGGGATGAGTGATGAATACGAAGGTATTCTGGCTCGTTGAAGATGGGTTCTCGGGTTTGAAGCTGAGAGAGGTGGCTGTTTTCGGTTAGCGTGGCCCCGGGACTTGTCGTGACAGGGCCTTAGGCCGTGTTCCAACTACCTTACAAGCGTGCAATATCCTTGGTTTTGCTCAGAAAATAAAGCAATTTTCGATTTGTTGAGGTCTCAGTTGACGCCTTTTTATGGGGAGAAGAATAATTGTTGAAGAAAATTGAATTGGAGAAGAGAGAGGTGGGAAACCTTTCAAATGATATAATAAAGATACAGGTAATGACCACAGCGCTTTATAACTGTACCAGGCCGCGATATTTACTATGAGTTGCATATGCAGCATCTCATCTTTTACTTTGTAGGAACAAATAGGCTACGATGAAGAAATCGAATACTTAAGGAAATTCAAATAATGAAACATGAGATTCAATCCAGGATCTCTAAACTCCTACACACACTGTCTTGCTCTGGGAGGATCATCGGATGCAGTATATACATCAATGCTCCTCCCATTTTAACCAAAGGAAAACAAGTTTAGTGGGGGTGGTTCTTGTGGTGACCTGTAGAAAAAATATTAGTATACCGGATGTCTCAAGCTTCTCGTGCAGTTAGGGTTAATAGATGTCACGTACGCAGGTGGAAGTAGTACTCCATGCTGTAACCCAGGATCAGAATACCGGCAATGGCGTGGGCGAGGGCTAAGGAAGTTAGTATTGAATTTTGTATTTTGTATTTCTCATGACTCTCAAAGCCTGAAACTTACGAGCACCAGAGTTCTTGTTGAAGAAGCGGGCCTGGTAGCGGCCGAGGAGACCAGTGGCCTTGACCTGGGGAGCGGGGCCACGGGGCAGACCAGCGTAGAAGTTCACAACGCGCTCCATGCGAGCAGCATCCTGGGCAGCACCGATGGCCTTTAAATTGGTGTTAGTTTCGATTCAAGGTGAGGGAACGTTTTATGCTGTGTTTATTTCGCACGAAAAAGACTTCGGGAAGGGACGGGGCCATAACGGGTCATGGGTGGTTGCTAGAGGTGCGGGTTCACACAGGACGATTTATATGGTACTCACGTTGGGGGAGGCAATCTGAGAAAGAAGTTAGCGTCCTGTGAAAACAGTTTCCAGTGTGTTAGGATGTTTCAGTAGGTGTACAAACCTTGGGAGGGATCAGGGTCGAGAGACCACGGCGGGCGATGTAGCTCATCTTGTCTGGACTGAATAGGGTCAGAAATTGATCGCATAGAACGGTATTGGGCTATAGGAAGTCAGAATAACCCAAATTGAAGACTCACGGTAGTTCGCAGCGCAAGTGAACTAGGAACGTCTGATGATGCAGAAGGGAGAGAACCTTTGGCCGGAAAGCGGGTGGTCGGATGAAGTTGAACGCGCTAAACCCTTTTGGGTGGAGCCGTGACCTGCAACTCGGTCTGCAATTAACCTCTCCTACAATCGTCGTGTTGAACCTCTCCGCTCCCCGCCATCCAGAACCACCTACCATGTCGCTCTTCAGAATTGGAGGGGCTACTGGCCTCCGTGCAAGCCGTCTTCTTGTCCCTGCCAATGCCCGCTTTGCCTCGAATGTCACCCAGGGTACTCCTGCTGTCAAGACCGGCACCTCAGATGCTCCCACTGCCACCCACAGCGGTAGCTCCTTGATCAACAAGGAGAACCCCTCTGAGGCAATGGCTCGTCACCAGCCCGATTATGAGGCCACAATTGACCACGCAACTTCGTGCGCCGCCCCCAGTCTCACCAGCCTCTAGCCTAGTCTTATCGCTAACCTTTTTCCCTCCCCATCCAGACAATTCTCACCAGTTCCCAAGCGTGTTATGGATGGTAGTGAGCCTGGTGACACTCTGGCTGCTGCTGTTCTATCTGGCGCCCCAACCGACCTTCAGGCCCGAACTGTCAGGTACTCGCACATCAAGAATTGATTCACCGAAAGTATTCATATGCTTATCCGTATATTCACAGGATCTTCCGCCCCACAAAGGCCGCGACTCAATCTGGTACCTGGCACCAACACCACTGGCGTATGGATTGGGATATCTTGCAGAAGGGTCACCGCTGGGAGAACCCATTGATGGGATGGCAGTCTTCTGCGGACGCAATGCAGGGAACCAACCTCAAGTTCAAGTCAAAGGAGGATGCCATTGCTTTTGCTCAGAAGCAAGGTTATGAATACTTCGTTCAAGAGCCTAATGAGCGCCGCTTCGTTCCTAAGGCCTATGCGAACAACTTTGTGCACGAGCCTAAGAAGCTCAAGCACATCAAGACTAAATGAGTTCTTCCCGGTGTATGATGTACATATAAATGCAGGTTTTCTTTTTCTTCTTTCCAAAATCCCACAAAGCACATCGAATTTCTATAAAGCCATATATTGAAACCAGAAGATTGCTCAAGGTCCCTAGGAAAGTCCCATCTGGTGCTTCCTAAACGCGATACTATTAGCTCCTCAGTGGTTCTCCGTGATTATGCTTTTATCAAGATCAACGTGAACTTGGATTAAAGTGATTGTCCTAAGATCATTTCAAAACTTCGAAGGTTTCAGGCTCTGAGCTGCCAGTATCAGTGGCATTACTATACTACATATAGCCATCCCACCTTGAGCTGCATTCCCGAATGTACGGGATCTGCCGCTTAATAGACTTTGCCCATGTTTTTATTACCCAAGGTGCTGGAAGTCCGTCATTTGGGCAATGATGCGCTCATTGGTATCTTGATAGCCTATAGCAAGACATTCAAGTTTTTGCCATTGAGATCGTTCATTAGCACTCCAGGGCGGGGCTGCTTAGTTCAAGTTTACTATGACGGCATTGTTCCACCTGCCAGTGGCCCAGAGTATATATTTCAGTTGCAGTACGCATTTGCTTGAGATTGCCACCCAACTTCTACTAGTATTTGTGACTAGTATTCATCCAAAGTTTTCTGGAGACAATCTAAATTGATTATTCAACTCGAAAATAATTCATCTGAACCCAAGATTCGAATTAGATTTCTATCACTATATCAGATATTACCAAGACAAAATGGCTGATAGTGAGTCTGGTTCTTCCTGAGGTCCTTCACCGAACGGTACTAGTACTAGTAGTACTGCATTTTACTCACCAGGTTACCTGAGTATACAACTTGAAACCGTCAATGACTGATTCTTGAAGACTCGAGCTCAAAGGCCAGACCTCCCATCTATCCTACTGACCGCGAGGGATTCTTCGAGAGATTCCTTCGTCCTAGCTCCCATAAAACCAAGACCGAGGACAAGGAGTATGGGCATGAGAGCGAGGCCAAAAATCCAACCCAACCCCAAAAGCAGGAGTCTGAGATGGAAAAACTCAAGGATGATCTAAAAGAGCACGAGAAGAAGTTCAAAGACTACATTCACAAAGATGAAGAGTTAAACGAAGATGGACATATTTATGCTGGATTGATGTAACTGGCCGGGCGTGAGGCTTTGAAATTGTTGTATGATCTCAAGTTGTTTCCAAATCCTTTTTGTTACTTGATGCTATCTCTCCAAACTTGAAGTTGAAATTGATAGTCTGGACCTTTTATGGGAAAATGGAAGGGAAGTTTGATTAGTTTGATTAAATTAAAAAATGGCATACCGTCAAAATCTACAACCATCAAAACGTTGACCTCACTAATCTGAATAAAGCTGTCTTACGCATACATGTACACACTACTGTGTTCTAATTGAAATATCGGAAGTTTCAAGATTGACCCAAACAATTTCACATACTATAATGTTTCTGTTTTTGGCATAAGCAGAAATGAAAAGACTAAGTCAGGAAACAAAACGTGTCACGTCGTGATCAATCCGAGAGAGGGATTAATGAGTGGATAGCATGTGATCAATAAAGATCTTTGTGGGCGAACTTGATCGCATCGGCGCCTTTTTCGCCGATCATATAAACCGAATTCTGAATACGACAGTCAGGAATAACAGGAATAACCGAAGCGTCAATGAGGCGAAGATTCTTAACCCCATGAACTCTGAGCTTTGGATCAACAACACCTTGCTGGATACTCTTTGACAGACGGGCCGTGCCACAAGGATGGAAAGCAGTCTGGCAGCGATCTAAAACTGCTCTCTTCATTTCCTCATCGTTGTCAAGAGGCATCTCCCAGGGGTATTCGCTAATCACAATATCTTTGAAACCATCTCCATGCTTCAAAACATCGTAGCTGAAGCGGATACCCTCTCGCATGGCGATGATATCCAGATCATTTGAGAAGAAATTAAGATTTATATTCGGCTGGATCAATGGGTCTGCGCTATTGAGCGTCACCTCACCCGGGTCAGATACAGGTCGAACAAGGTCCACGACCACACATGTATGTTGACCCTTCTTGGGGGTAGGGAAGTGCCACTGGAAGGCGCTACCGAACATGCAAACAAAGTCAAGCTCGAAATGAGGCTGGCCAAAAGGCGAGAAGGGATCCTTACCACCATTGGCCTTTTTAGCTTGGACGAATTGTGGGTCTTTCTCGAGATATTCATCAATGCGAGGGAAGCCCACCATCTCCAATAGGCCAGATCCCATAGGACCCTGGTGACCTTGCTGGTAGGACTCGAGGCAAGCGCTATGCTTTGGGCCCTTACGTAGGAGATGATCTTCCATGCCATAGCCCTCTTTGACCTGGAGAACGAATGGGACACCAGGGTGATCAAGAAGGTGTTGGCCGACATGTGGTGAGTCAACAATGGTGTTGATGCCGTGTTTACAAAGTTCATGGGAGGGACCGATACCACTAAGCATCAAAAGTTTTGGACTTTCGAAGACACCCTGGGATAAGATAACCTCGCGACTGGCATAGATGTTAAGCTCATTGCCAGAAGGGTCGATAACGGTGACTCCTTTGCATACACCGTCCGCTTCGTCAATTATCAGGCATTTTGAATGTACATTCGGCAATATGGTGATGTTTGGCTTGTCCTTGACAAATAGGTAGCTTCCAGAGCGCTGGCCTCGATAAATGGTATCACAACAGTGGGTAAGACCATTCATCTCTCCATCATAAATATTCTCCGTCATTGGCTGACCTGTAGACTTCCAAGCCTGTGTCAGCAGACTCCGGAAATCTTTCATCTCATCAATTAATTCAGCATGAGATATAGGAATGGGGCCTCCACTGCCAAGTGCGTTGAAGTCGGATGAATAGAGCTTGGCATCGTCATGATAGGTGACGCTCTTGCGAAGGTAAGGGAGCAGGGGCTCCCAGGTCCATTCATCGCCGCCATATTCAGCCCACTGATCAAAGGTAGCCTTACATCCTGGAACCCAGGTGAAGTAATTGAGCGAGGAACTACCACCGAGGGCCTTTCCGCGAGTATTCGGTTTTTCGATACGTTCGTAATCATCACGCTTGACCATTGTGGTCTTATAAGCCCAATCATGCACGCTGTTGCGAAGATCCATGGCTAGAGCGGGTGTAGTGATATCGGTTACATCTTCAGGATTACCGATTCCAGCTTCCATAATGAGAATAGTGACATTGGGATTCTCTGCGAGGCGACCAGCAACACAATTACCTGCTGTGCCTCCTCCAACAACAACGAAATCAAAGTGAGCTCCGTCCAAAGTCACCATGATGGGATGCAATGACCTCAGAATTCAAATATGATAAGTCTGTAGTATTGGAAACCTCAGATAAAATGGAATTGGGGATTTATCTTTCTGTCAAACCCCTTCTTATACTTCTGCTATTTGCCATACTTACTCATCCCAGGACTCCATGCATACAATACCCTGGCGGTCATAGCACGGAGAAGCAGCATGTTTCACAAGTATGCTTCATGATGCCACCGAGTTTCCAGTGACCAGGTAGATACTATTCTCAAGTCAGATTTATCCCTCATGTTGCATGTTTGGAAGCGTAATACTTTGGGGCCAAACCAAACATAGTACAAGAGAGGTTCCAACCACCACTAATTCCAAAAATGACTCAACCCTGAATTCAGGCCTTCTAGATGATCAACATAATCTCTACTGGCTTGATCATCTAGTCTGAAGAGAGCCATTTATCAGTATATTGCCAAAATTAGTGATTTTAGTTCAGATATGAGCTCTATTTCATCAATAAAATCTGTCTAGATCACTTTTAAGGCTCTAGTCTGTTCTTGTCTCGGGAAATCGGCACATATGCAAGCTTCTCATCATTCATTTTAGCGATATTTGGTCAACGCCTTTGAAACAAACCGAGAACAACCAAGAAATAGCCGTGGCTGAACTGTGGTATCAAAGCTGCTTGTGTGGAGACGACACGAGTCAGTCATCTGAGTTGGCATGTCCCGTCTTGAAGGCAATTTGTCTCGAGATTTTCAAGAAGCAGAGTTGAGATGAGAGTCTTATCAGATGCGCATTTCTTTGTTATGATTTTCTTATTCTCAAACTATGCGGCTCTCTAGAGTATACAACCGCAGGGTTATAGTTTTCTATTCGAGCTTGAGGTCATAGAAAATATTGAGTCATGTATCTCAAAAAGGTTCATACTCATCTGTTTCAACCATGCACGTGGGTAAATCCAATAAGTACACTATCAATTTGAACTTTCCATGGGATACATAATAGTAGGGTTTATACAAGTAATCCATATGATTCAATGCCCCAAGACTCGTGGCGCTAACATTGAAAGCATACCAATACCTGAACAGCCCTAGGATCACCCTCAAACTTGGGTTGAATTGAGCACTGGAACGACTTGGTTCTTTGACATTTTTGACAGCTTTTTAGATGAAATTCACTTAGCAGACACCAGAAGATATAAATGTGCAAGATCAATAGTATTAACTTCTAATCTCAATGCGTATCTAGCACCACTAGTGCCTAGCAGCTACTGGGCCTAGAAGCAGATTCCAGATAAAACGGAAGCAACATAGTGCTGCCATTACTCCCCATTAGAGCATTACGCATTATATTTCTGGCTCTGTGACACTTGGGCAATAGTCTTTCGCGTGGTAAAAAGGCATCTCAATGTGCTAAACAAAGCCGATCCATGGGTAGCCTTGTTTAAGCTTTCGATATGCCGCGTGGAAGGCCTGGCTTCGGGAGATATTCTGGGTGACGCAGTATGTGTAACTGAAAAGAACCATAGAGTTTGAGATAGCTTTCCTAGACATGTGAATTGGAGAATTACTACCGATAGAGAATGTGAGGCCATCCTGAGAAAGAATCGAGGCTATAGTCATGACGACAGTGACCCACCCTCAAGAGGTCTTCCCTAGGGCTGCAGGCCTTTGGTAATCAATCAGAATTTGGATCATCAGACAACTCGAATGAATGATTAATAGATGTGAACTAAATCACAGCTTACGTGTCTCTTTTCTCTTAAGATCGGTATCCTCGGATGATGGATGAATGGATAGATCGATGTAGATGATGTGATGTTTTTGTACCTAAAGGCGGAATGAATTAAGCAGAGAAATATTCAAGCACCGAAGGAGACTTGGGTATTATCACTTCCAAGGTTGCCATATAAGAATCCAGGAGCACGCAGTCTACATACCTTGCATTGTTCCAGAATCCTCAAAGAAGCATCAGGTAGGAGTTGCCCTATGTCACAGGCGATTCGGATTCGGAGTATCAAAAGAGTTAAATCCTGGAATTTCCAATCTTGCGCAACTCTGTATATGGTAGGCTATAATATGACCTCCATACCATGAGTTGAATCATACTGATAAATCACAGCTCTGTTTGCTCGTGTTCAAAAAGATCTTGGCGCGAAGGTCCAGATGGCAACGGAAGAAACCATCAAGCAGTGACTTTCAATTTCAATGATCGAGCATTGAAATCTCATTCTGTACCTGCTGGTTGGAAAAAAAATTAAAGTAATTGACTGCTCATTGCCTGGATTTCGCGCTGTACGTTATAGTGCTTAGTATTTACTATTGATAGATAGGGCTTGTCGGAAAAGGACTCCATTCTAGGTATGTAAAAGTTTTCACGGGATCTTATATTCTATAGGCTACCATACTCAATTGTCAATACTCAAAGTGGCAATCAGAAATTTGGGAATAAATTTTTGGGCCTCAAAAATCCACCTCATAGAATTCAGCCCTAGACTCTCTTAGGGAAAAAGGACGCTATACAAAATAGTAGAATTTGCGCGGATCAACCAGACCCGAATCGGCGCAGCCCCGCCACCCCCCCACTCTAAAAATTATTGATAAGATCTCAAAGATTGTCCCGCCAACTTTTTTTCAAATACCACTTTCGCACTCTAAAAGCCCTTAATTTTTACATAAAGCCTTCGTTATGGCTCCTTCTGCTACCGATGAGTGCGTTGACGGGACTGTCCTGACCCTTCGTAAGGTCCTCGTCTCCGAATCTGAGCCCCTCGCTCGTCGCTTCCGCGCTCTTTTCTCTCTTAAGCACCTGGCTTGCCTGCAGCCTCCCACCGAGAAGACTCTCCCTGCTATTCAAGCGATCGCCGCTGGTTTCGCGTCCCAATCCGCTCTTCTCAAGCATGAGCTCGCATACTGCCTTGGTCAAACCCGCAACCCAGACTCCGTTTCATACTTGCAGCAGGTCGTTAAAGATGTGGAGGAGGATGCGATGTGTCGTCATGAGGCCGCAGAGGCTCTCGGTGCCCTTGGATACGCTGAAAGCTTGGAAATTCTGAAGAAGCTGCGTGATGATGAGAACGAGTTGGAAATTGTTCGGGAGACTTGTGACATCGCTGTTGACCGCATTGTCTGGGAGAACTCCGAGGAGAGAAAGGCGGAGAAACTTAAGCCTAGGTATGTTTCTGAAAGCCAAAATTACATTTTACATACAGAGATTTCGCAGATCTTTCTAATCCATTTCTTTGCAGTGACTTCACCTCTATCGACCCTGCTCCTCCTATGCCATTGAAAGCGAACGAACCCTCTATTCCCGAACTTGAGAAGACCTTGCTCGACACAAAGCTGCCTCTTTTCCAAAGATACCGCGCCATGTTCGGTCTCCGCGACCTTGCCTCGCCTCCCGATCTCCCCACAGCGGTCGATGCTATTAACTCATTGGCCAAGGGTCTTAAGGACCCCTCTGCTCTGTTCCGTCACGAGGTCGCTTTTGTTTTCGGGCAGCTGTGCCACCCCGCATCCATTCCCTGCCTCACAGAGTGCCTTGGTGACCTGAAGGAGGTTGGTATGGTACGACACGAAGCCGCTGAGGCCCTAGGCAGTCTGGGTGACGAGGAGGGAGTTGAAGATACCCTGAAGAAGTTCCTGAATGACCCCGAGCAGGTGGTGCGGGATAGTGTGATTGTGGCTCTTGACATGGCGGAGTTTGAGAAGAGTGGCCAGGTGGAATATGCCTTGGTACCTGATGGAAATGCCGTCGCAGCTTGAAAATTTTCTAGCATGATGATGGAATGAAAAAAAGTTGTAACGTTGTTATTTTAATACTCTACTCGCGCATTGTTATACAGCAAATATAGACCCTTGAACTTTCGAATGTTTTATCCTTCTTCCCTTACTTATGTTTCCCGTAGAAGAGAGTAAAGATTGAGGACAGCACTTCCTTCGTCGACACTATAAAGCTCGAAGATGATGGTATGGAGTATCTCTTTTCTTCCATATCGGTTACATCCTTGTGTTCAAATGTTGTCTAACAGCCTCGAGTACTCGGTCTTTCGGTCTTCCGCGGAAGGAATATAGGCAGCGGAACCCTCCGCTCGAAGAGCTGAATGGGTTGCAGAGAGATGGTGGGACCTGGAAAGTAAATCTGGGGAATGATATACATATTGGAATTAGCAAATAAAGGGACCCGTGAAGATTCCAAGGCCACAGTTAGTTTCCCCGCCCTTGTTGCAAGTTCCGCATACTGTGCAGTGCAGAATGTCATTAATATCTCCAATGGACTTGCGAAAGCAGATTGTGTCTCTGGAGACTGAATGACCAAATATCCTATCTCAGATATTATAATAAGAAGATCTTGAATTGAGCACTTTAATTAATTGCAAAAGCACTTGGGTAATTGATGAATTGTCTGAACTAGCACAAGTTCAGATTTATGAAGTTGCGGAATGAACGTATGTCTCGAGACGCACGGACCAAATTGATATCCACGCAGGCGGTAACATCCGGCAGTATAGGGGTCACTGAATGAAATGATGAACGAATTAATGATCATCGGGAGCTTCTCTCCGTTCCTTCTTATATAGTCGAAATCGAATTCTGGAGACCCATAAAGCATGTCATAGATGCGCATTCCACCTGCCATGACTCTGCTTCAAGCAGGTCTTTTTTCCCGTGACTAGCACCTTCCTTTCTTGGGTCTTGCCTGATAACCGCCCATCATGGACCAACACGGCCACGCCGTTCAAGTTATTGTGAACGGCCATCTTCAATCGCAGCCCGGTCATACCTCAAATATGTCACTATCCAATCGATCTCGGCCACTGTCAGTGGATGAGGCGCTTCAGTACTCTTCCATGTCTAGTGCGCCTGTCTTTGGCCTTGGTTTGTCCACCTAAACCCCCAACCTCGATCAATCAACCATAAGATCAGGATCTAACGCGAAGCAATCCTATGATAGACTGTATCATTCAGCCCGATGTTGGCCGGCCGTCAAATACCACGTCGATCAACCATGTTCTTCAAGCAGGTCGCAATACATTGAATGAGCTGGATGCGGAGATTGAATCAGGGCAGGATGACTCGAGTCGCCCAGATACCTCTTGCAAATACCTTCAGCAATTGTTAGATGGAGACCAGTTGACCGAGTTGTAAGATATTTCTTCCAACTTCACAGACGTTGTCTTTCACCAAACTTATCTTTTCTTTCTCTAGCAAGTTTAAGCTCCCTCCTGCTCTAACTGGCAGCCAGAATTCGAACCCTCTTACCCCAAATCCTCCCTCTAGTCGCTACCAGCTGGGATCGTTTGCGAAATTGATGCTCGATTCGACGGATATAGCATTCAGATGTGAGAGAAGAAGAACGCCAGAGGTGACTAGGACAACGTGCTGACTACATTTCAGATCCCGAGACATCGACACCGAAGGTGAAAGTAGACAAAGAAGCCGTCAAGAAGGCTTCCGCCGCATGGAATAAACAGGCCTTCGCTGCGAACAAAACAACAAAGTCTGTCCCATTTCTACCGATCCAACCAACTCAGCCATCCGAAGTAATCCAACCAAACCCCCCCGCTTCAACCACCCCATCCATATCAATCCCCACAGCTACCTCAACAGCCGCAAACTCCACAACCGCCTCGATCATCTCAGCCACCGTCTAGCCAGTTTTCGATCGTGATTCCCGTGAAGTCCTCGCCAACAAAGTCCTCGCCAGTCAAGGATGAACAACAGAGGAAAGAAGCATTGCTTCAAATTCTGATAGATCCCGAAGAATCGATGAGTGCCATTCGCCTGAGAGATCAAAAGGCTGAGGCCGATGAGGCTCTTATGAAGCTTCAAGACCTTCTTGGCGAGGTATTTGAAGCAGAAGATCAAATCGAACCCGAAACCACAATTGTCGCAACCACAGACAGACCGAATCCACTGTTCGTGAGTGCAAGGTCAATGGAAGTACATGGCGCACTGCTGTCATCCGATGCCCACGGCCGCCTACAAAAATCCATTCAAAAAGTGGCTAGATTTGATCGACTGCAGGATGTTCCATCGGAATACCTCACAAGAATACAGAAACTTTGCGAGAAACCCATTATTGCATCACAATCGCCAGATCTAACCCTGAATGATCCATCCAGTGAAGCAGAGGCGCAAGAGTGGGTTGCAAAGGTTGAGGATGTTTTGAATGCTCTTCTTTCCATCAGTACCCTATTGGAAACGATGTCTGGGCGTCGAACAGAGAGAGATCTTTGTCCAGAAGATCTCATAGAAGCCATTCCCGTCGTCTTGAATCAAACTTTTGACCATTGCATCATCCCCGCGGTGGAGTCACGCTCTGGCGGGAAGAATGGCGAACTTTTTGCGTTTTTCTCCGGACAGAAGCGTGTTATTGGAAGCCTGATTCATCAAACGAAGAAAGTTCTGGCTCTGTTCGCAGACTTCCTGTCTCGTGTCGAGGTCTCGGAGGGAACGATAACTGCAGCAGAATTCTTTGCGACAAAGTTGATCTTCGTTGAAAATGCGCACAATGACAAAGATTCCGCGATTGGATACCAAAAGTACGAATCAGCCAGACGTGCTGGCATGGATGTGCTCGCAAAGATCTTTGCGAAGTATCCTGAACAACGCCCATTCATTCTGGATGAAATCCTGGTTTCCTTAGAAAAGCTCCCCTCCACCCGCCAAAGTGCTCGGCAGTTCAAACTTGGAGATGGAAAGAACATCCAGCTACTTACCGCATTGGTGCTTCAGCTGGTGCAAACAACTGCTCTTGACACTCCTATAAGATCGAAGGCAAAGAGGCGGATTCACGCCGACGACGACGACGAAACCATGGGCGATGAAAATGATTCAAAGAACACAGAATTGGACGATGAGGAGCTGGACGAATCATTGGAGCGTTTGGCAGCCAAAGTAAACCGACTTTGCGACGATGCAATGCGCAGTGCGCAATACATCGTGAAGTTCATCGTGCAGCGAGCGATGACCTCGACTAAGAGTGGGGACCAACCGTACAGAAATATCCTGGATCTTTTCACGGAAGACTTGATTAGTGTCCTCGGGTCTATTGACTGGCCCGCTGCTGAGCTGCTCCTCAGAATCATGGCATTACACATGGTTGGAATCGCAGAGCTCGATAAGAGTCCTGCAACAGCGAAAAGTATGGCTTTGGAACTTTTGGGTTTGATGGGATCTGCGATTTCCGATTTGACCACGAATGTACAACACATGCTCCCTGCGATGGAAGATCTAGACAGTGACCTCACAGATTTCCTGAAGCAGCAATTCGAGGACTCCTGCTCGCGCGCGCTACATGACCAAGACCTCGTTGCACCGCGAGGACCATACAGAATGGCCCTTGAGTATCTGTCGCAAGATAGAAAGTCAGACAGCTCACATTTGACAAGTGCCCGGGGCTTCTATCTGGCTCAATGGGCAAAGACCGTGTGTTCGTTGTATTACAACTCTGACGAGAAGGAGGAACTTGTTCACGATGATCTTACCGATGATTTGGTCGTTCTTCTATCACGGTCATTCTCGGACACACGCTGGTTTGAAACCCACAGACAATTTGACCCCATTTCCTTCACCCATGCACGATTCGCCTACAGCTTGACTGTCTTGAACTCCAACTTTGGCAAGGCTTTTGACAGGATTCTGGGGGTGCTTCTTAAGTCGATCGCAAGCGACCAAGCCAAGGTCCGCAGTCGAAGTTTGAAGAGTGTCATATCTTTACTTGAAAAAGACCCTACCCTGCTCGATCGAGATAAGTCCATTATGCTTGTCATTGTTCGCTGCACCAAGGATGCTTCGCCTATGGTTCGGGACTCAGCATTGTCTCTCGTTGCAAAGTGTATTGGGCTTAAAGAAGACGAACACTTTGAAGAGGAAGGTTGCCGTCACATCCTTGCGTGCACGTCCGATCAAACCGCAGGAATCCGCAAGCGTTGCATCGGTCTCTTGAAAGAGCTGTACCACAAAACAAATAAGCGAAAATTGAAGTTGGCCATATTGGATAACTTTCTTCTGCGTACCGGCGATCTTGAAGAAAGTGTGGCAACCTTGGCTCGCCAGACTTTTGAAGAAATGTGGCTCATGCCATATCATGAATCTATTGACTCGGTATCGGAAGCTCCCAAAATCAAGGTGGCGCTTCAGGAACAGGCTCGTTTGATCGTCAAACTCGTTGCGGATAGTGAGACAGCCTTGGATTCCCTAGGTATTTGTATCAAAGCCGTTCTTTCTGAGAAATCCAAGTCAGCAGCTATGAATTTCAAGGTATGCAAGACTTTGGTGTCTATCATGTTTCAACAACTAGTCGACGATGCGGAAGACTCTGGGAAAAAGCTCCAACAACCTCGCGTGCAGACGATTACAATTTTTGCCAAATCCAATGCAAAATTGTTCAGCCCAGACCAGTTAGAGGCTTTGCAGCCCTATATTGGACATCTGGCAACAGATGATGATCTCAAAATATTCCGATCGGTAGTGATCATTTATCGCTGCGTATTGCCCTATCTATCTTCATCTCACGACACTCTTCTGCAAAACGTGCAAGGTCTTCTCCTAAAAAATCTGGGAAAGCTACCCATTCCCGAACTTAATGAGGCCATGGCATGTTTGTGGACAATCGGTGGAATCCGACGAGAAGACAACACGAGGCTATACAAATTGACAAAATCGGTTATCGGCCCGTTACAGCAATATAAAAGAGTCGACCTTTCAATGGACGCAAATACCGTTGTTGCAGGCCGTGTGAAGAGTTACATCCGAATTTTGGGCTGCATCGGTCGACAATGCGATCTTGAAAAGTTTCTTGGTACCTTCAAGGGCGCTTACCCCTCATGGAACGGGAAAAGCTCTGCTGGTTTAATGGTTGACTCCATTCTGCCTTATGCCTCGTCGAAGCAGCCATTGGACGTCAGGGCCATGGCTCTGGAGAGCTTGGGCTCTATCTGTCAATCTTGGCCAGGCCAGTTCGACCGTGAAGCTACACGCAAAATCTTCTCGGAAGTCTTCAAAGAAGATAGTCCCAGGCTACAAAACATCGTCCTTGGATCATTTGCAGATTTCTTTGCTATACACGAGGGCAAGTCTGAGAAGGCGGTCATGTCCACCGCAGATACAGGGTCCCAGGAAAACCCCACTCGACTTGGAGGTTCGCTCAAAGCTAGCGATAGTGATGGTGCAGCGGCATTGATCGCTCAGCATTTCCTTAAGAATATGTTGAAGGTTGCGCAATCACGGCAAGATGTCTACTCTCTGACCGCCATTGAGCTCATCGCAAGTATCAATCGGCAAGGATTAGTCCATCCTAAGGAGTGTGCAGGTGTGTTGGTCTCACTGGAGACTTCAACAGTGCCAGCCATTGCTAAGGTGGCTTTCGACACTCACAAGATGCTTCACTCTCAGTATGAGTCCATGTTCGAACGAGAATACATGCGGGCAGTGCAAGAAGCCTTCTACTACCAGCGAGACGTCGTTGGCGATTCTACTGGTGCAACTGCTCGTCCCTATGTCTCTAAGCTTGCTTCATTGTTTGAGATCGTTAAGATCAGCAACAGCAAGTATCAGAAAAAATTTCTCTCCAATCTTTGCGGCAAGGTTAATTTTGAATTGAAAAAGCTTGATGCCACAGGAGATCCACCAGAACACCTCCTACTCACCAGATTCATTGCTCAAAATCTTGCCTACTTTGATTATAGCCAGATGGCTGAACTCATTCCTACTATCCTGACTTTGGAGCGAATTGTCTCTTCAACCGGTACTGTCGTTGCCCATGCTATCGAAACCGATATTTTCCCAAGTCCCATCGGACCTCCCATGGTCGAGACCCCCAGCGGGATGATGGGTATGACTCCTGCCATTCCCATACCTCCCCCTATGCCGCAACTAGCAAATCCGGCCACTCTGCGGCTATTAGCTACTGCAGCCGCGTCGCTATCCATCTTATGGGAGGCCCGGACTTACTTGCGACGGCTTTACGGAGTCCATTCCCATGGCAAAGAGGGTAAACTTGGGACTAAGGAACTGAACAAGACTGCAACAAAGGTGCATGGTGTGACTGGTGACAGGTTCTGGGAAGCTGTTGCGAAGAATATGGCCTCGCTGAATAGCGAAGACTCGATGGTTGAAAAATGCCGGGAGTTTTCCACTTTGCTTGCCATCGATGAAGAGTTCAAGGTCGCTCCCGGTGACGATGAAGGAGATATCGATGCCATTGGAGATCTCGATGACATGGATGCTATGCCCAGTGGGTCTCGCCCCATGAAGCGCAAAAGCTCTGTCACAAGCACGGGCGCCAACAAGCGTCCTAAGAGCCGCAAAAGCTCGGTTGGGAAGAAGCGATCCAGTACCGATCTCGAAGATTGGGACTAAGCGGGTCTCTCAAATATTGCCGAGAAATTAGTTCGGTATTGAATTTCACTGTATCAAGAAGGTTGTTTTATTTGCATAGGAGGCGGGAACGGCGTTGACAGGTTATCTTCCATGGAAACAAGGTTATTTTCTTGCTCATATGTCGATTTACTCTCTTGTCAAGTTCGAAGAGCCCGATTACAGGCCTTGTTTCTTTCTGCATGCGGCGGCGCATCTTGGGGGTGGATGGTTTATGTTGATTTACAATTTTTAGGCCGGTCTTTTCTTTATCTATTCCCCACATCTCAATAGTACATATAATAGAAATCATTTCTCACGTCCATAATTACTATACAATCCTGTTTTGCCCTAAAATCTACACCGGCTGAAACGGCTGAAGCTCACAGCGTGCCGATGTCCCGTTCTCACGTGACCTTAATGACGTCGGAGTGCAAGGTAGACTGCCCGATTCTTGACCTTTTTGTTTCCTTAGATTAGCTGTAGGGAGGGTTCTCTAGTTTGATTATTGAATTATCTCCCTGCTATCTTCAGACATCTGCCTTGTTTCAGCGCACCTGGTTTTACTTTCTTTGCTGCAAGTGATCTGCGCTGTTGTGCGAGCTCCCTCATCATGAGCGCGGCGTTGCTCCGGAGTCGTTCGGACGGGCCCGCGCTGCGGTCAATTGGACTGCTGTCGGCTCGATTGAGCAGCTCGAGAGTTTCACTGAATAGCAGATTCCCTATTGCACGTTCTCTCAATACCGTTGCTCGACGCCCCGTACCCCGTCATGTTTCCAGCCCGGCCCTGCAAGCGTCAATCGCGATCCGATTCAAGTCCGATGTCGCGCCTGGAAAAGTGGCACCTTTGAAGCAGTCTCGTATTATGAAGGTAATTGGCAAGACCTTCTCATACTGCGGTGTTCTTTTCGCTGGTGCGACTATCTGGGTTATTGGGTTCTTCATCTATGATGCTAGTACCTACCGTGAAACGCCAAGTGCAGAGGATATCCCTGTTTCGGAATTGGCGTTGAACCCACGACACGGCGGCCCAAAGAATTTGCCAATCGCTGATTTTCTTGTCGGAGATTATGACTCTGAGTCCATGCTCCAGCAGAAGGACAAGCCTCGTTTGGTGATCTTGGGTACGGGCTGGGGTAGTATTGCCTTGCTTAAGAACCTGAACCCTGGTGACTATCATATCACAGTCGTTTCGCCTACAAACTATTTCCTTTTTACTCCCATGCTTCCTTCTGCTACAGTTGGTACCTTGGGTCTCCGTTCGCTTGTGGAACCAGTTCGACGAATCATTGACCGTGTCAACGGTCATTTCTTGAAGGCTGAAGCTACGGATGTTGACTTCTCCGAGAAGCTGGTTGAGGTTTCGCAAACTGATAAGGATGGAAACAAGAGAAACTTCTACTTGCCCTATGACAAGCTCGTTGTTGGTGTTGGTATGTTTGATTCACTCCAAAACTTCATTCCAGCCTACCAATTGTTGAGGCTGGTCTATCTGTGTGATGCTAAAATTGGTATATAGGTTGTGTGACGAATCCTCATGGAGTTAAAGGTCTTGAAAACTGCAATTTCCTGAAGACGATCGACGATGCTCGCCAGATCAAGAATCAGGTTCTGAACAACATGGAAATGGCCTGTCTACCAACTACCTCCGACGAAGAGCGCAGGCGTCTGCTGTCGTTTGTGGTATGTGGTGGTGGCCCAACCGGTGTTGAGTTTGCTGCCGAACTCTTCGATCTGCTCAATGAAGATCTCCTGCATTCATTCCCTAAGATCATTCGCAATGAGATTTCAGTGCATATTATTCAAAGCCGAACTCACATCCTTAATACCTATGATGAGGCCCTTTCCCGATATGCCGAGGTCAGTATTTTATAAAATTAAAGCCTAGTATACCCATCTGATACTAACTTTAAAAGGGTCGCTTCTCCCGTGATGGGGTTGAGGTGCTTACCGGTGCTCGTGTTAAGGAGGTCAGGAATGACCGCGTCCTTTTCAGTCAGATGGAAGATGGCAAAGAAGTCATCAAGGAGATTCCCACAGGATTCTGCCTGTGGTCTACTGGTGTTTGTGAGTTTATCCTATTCCACTTCTATATTGCAGTACTAACATACTACGTATAGCCCGTGCTAAGATCTGCGAAACCCTGTCCAGCCGTCTTGACGGACAGAATAACAAGCACGCTCTCGAGACCGATTCCCACCTTCGCGTGATTGGTGCACCCCTTGGTGACGTCTACGCCATCGGTGACTGCTCCACCGTTCAGAACAACGTTGCTGAAAACATCATTCGATTCCTTCGCACCGTCGCCTGGGAGAAGGGCCGCGATCCGGAGAAGGTCCATCTTACTTTCTCCGAGTGGCGCGATGTCGCCAACAGAGTCAAGAAGCGCTTCCCGCAAGCCTCGAATCATCTTCGCCGTCTCGACCGCCTCTTTGAACAATACGACATTGATCACTCCGGTACCCTCGACTACGGCGAGCTCTCCGAGCTTCTTCATCAGATTGACACGAAGCTCACCTCTTTGCCCGCCACTGCTCAGCGTGCCAACCAGCAGGGCGTGTACCTGGGTCGCAAGTTGAGCAAGATTGCTTCCGCTCTCCCGGGTCTCAGGGCTAACGAGATTGACTATGGTGACCTTGACGAAGCTGTCTATCGTGCTTTCAAATACAAGCATCTGGGCAGCCTTGCGTACATCAGCAACGCCGCCATCTTCGACTTCGGTGGATTGAGCTTCAGCGGTGGTGTCGTCGCTATGTATCTCTGGCGTAGTATTTACTTCGCTGAGAGTGTCAGCTTCCGCACCCGGTGCATGCTGGCCATGGATTGGGCTAAGCGTGCTCTCTTCGGAAGAGGTATGCTCAACTTGAATCATCGAATTTCGAACAATAATACTAACATATATTCTCTCCAGATCTGATGAGCTTCTAAGGAGCACGGTCCTTTCGACTTTCATAACCAAGAATCTACATACACCTTGGACTGCGCATTTCCAGAATATCCCCAAAATCAGGCGCGATCTACATATTGATTTGCTGGTTTGAGCGATCTTAATAGACCATTTATGTCTTTGCTCATCTTTCTTATCATTTCTCTTATCTTTTTCCAATTTTTCCCTTTTTGTAGCTTTGGATGAACTTGGGCGTTCGGATATTTCCAAGGTTGTTTCTTGGTGCTGATCAATGCCACAATACTACCTTCAAATGAGGTGTCATGACCTCCGTACAATATCCTTGCTGCCTCGCATGTACACCGATCTTTTATTCCATCTTGCTTCTTGTCTATCTAGCTTGCAACGTGAATGTCTGGAAAGTGGCTTCCCGTCGGGTTTCTCGCAGGTTTGTTGATGTCAAACAAATATGTATCTACTAGTACGGAGTTGCGGATCTTGAATTGATTTTTCATACCAGATATCATTGTTTGAACTATCAACTGCCAGTGAACCACTGGCAGTACTACTTACTAGTACTAGTAGAGACATGAGCTTGGGGAGGTTGGAATTTCAACTTGAAGTTTAAACCTTGTAAACTTGAACTCAAGCTTCGAAGCACTGGCAGTGGCAGCCTGTGTCAACTGGTGGCAGCGGTACCAGCTGCCAGTGAGCAATGTGGACTTCCTACTGGCAGTAAAGACTTCAAGTTGGTAGATGGATTTCAAAAAATGTTCACGAGCACATAGAGCGAGCACTCTTGCCCAGGTGAGGGCAGGAGAAACCTACAGTGAAAAAATAATTTACAAGGATGATGCAGTTTTCAAAAGAAATAGTTTTTCAATTCGGTAGAAATTTCATACTGGCTATCAAAGACGAACAAGATGGAGAGAAGCTAATAAGTGAAGCGAACTAGCCAGTATGAGGGTATCAATCATTTCGGCGAGAGACCGACCTTGAACGCCATTAGAATATGTCCCATGATGATACACCAAAGCGCCACGCTAAAGACTGAGAGGAAAACGAAGGATGCCAAAAATGCGAAGACTCTGCGCCAGATTGCGCTAGCAAACAAAGCTTGCGACAAATGCTAGTTCAAAAAACCGTGCCTTCAGCATCTCCGCTGTTAGACATGACGGTGTCATTGGCACCATTGGAGACACGACCATTGGCGCCGTTACTGTTATTATTGCTGCCGACCTCTTGGGAATCGCTGATCAGGCCGATGTCCAATTTATCCGGGATGTCTTTTCCGACAGCTCTTGCCTTTGCCTCGGCATAAACGCGAAGCTTGACCAGGTTACGCAATCGAGCCTCTTTTTGGGCATGCTGAGCATCTAAGATGGCCTCGTTCACACGGGTGGCGATATCTTTACGGAGAGTGGGATCCAGAAGGGCAGCTAGGGAGGGGATGATATGCTCGCTGGGGAACAGAAGGAGCGAAAGGGTGCACTCCAGATCATCGAGGAACTGTGGGTTGGTAGTGGCGCGAGGTGCCAACTGCGACTGGGCAAATTCGAGTGCAGCAGTAACTTCTCCAACTTTTTCCTCGGGGTTTGGAATACAGGGGCGGATCAATTCAATCAAGTGAAGACGGAGGAGAGCAAAGTGAAGAGACGCATCGCCATCTAGGATCTATTCAACCTTGTTAGTCTTGACACAATAAAAATTATTTGGTAGACAACAGAGAAAGTTTGTGAATGCTGCTCATACTGAGGACTGAAGATGTTTGACTATCCGCAACTCCCCGAAGGGTGTAATAGGAGTGGTGCATGAAACGTTGAATAATCATCGCAGCGAGGAGAGGAGGGCAGAAAGTGATTGGAAATTTTGCAGGGATATGATTCTTACCTCAGGGTTCAACTCATTGATTTTCTCAATGGCCAACTGGATGTTTCCAGAATTGATGGCAGTTCGGATCTCTACCCGCTCCCGAATGGCCTCATCTGCACGGAGCTGAATATTCGCTTCAACGGCAAATTTATTCGCGGCGGCAGGGTATCCATTGGTGATCAAGTAGTCCATAACCAAGTAATTGATGTCACTATAGCTTTCAGTCAGCTACCATACTAAGCCAATTCAATCGAACAGAATGAAGGCAAAATGAGTGAATCAGATAGACAAGTTAACATGTTCTCCTCAGTATATTTCAGAGAGATTCCCAACTTGAGTTCAAGATGCATCATATCACAGGAAAAGGCAGTGGTGTAGGGTATCAACTCACGTTTTGGATGGCTTGACTTCATCAACCTTCCGCTCGAACTGGTGCCATGTAGGCGTTGTAGTTGAGGGAGTGCGAGACATCTGCGCAGTGTTAAAAGTCAACAACCAGAACTGTTGTCACAGCAGGAAGTCATACGAGATTAGCAGAAGACATAACGAAAGCCGTGCCACAACAGAGCTTCGAGGCTGTTCGTCAAGTTAAAAGGCGACCCGGGAGACGAAAGCCATGGGAGAAGGCAGAACGCTGAAAGTGGGTGCTGGAAAATTTTTTCTCAAGCTCTTGAAGAGGAGAAGATGGTGGAAGAAAAGAAAATGCGGAAGGAAAAGCTCGGAAAAGTTATAAGCTCTCGATTATGTCAGCACGAAGCGAAAGTCACGCGCTAAGCCGAATCCATCATGGACTTGGAGATAAACCGAGATACACACCTTTTGATCCCAGAGGTGTAAGGTGGAGGATCTTTGGGATCATGGAGTCAATCTCACCTTTTTACTCTTCCACCCCGGAGGTGAAGTACTCTCCGCCATGGCAAGATCTCAGCATTATTGGTATTGCTGGCAGTTCTGGCTCAGGCAAAACCTCAGTGGCCATGGAGATCGTCAAGTCGCTGAATCTACCTTGGGTGGTGATTCTAGTAATGGTATGAGCGTTTTCACAGCATTCATATTGATTTGCTCAATCTAATACTGTACTGCAACAGGATTCGTTCTATAAGAGTTTGTCTTCAGATGATCATCGAAAGGCGCATTCAAACGAGTATGATTTCGATTGTCCAGATTCAATTGATTTTGATCTTCTGGTACAGACTCTTAGAGATCTGAAGAAAGGGTACACAATCTCCCAAGTAGAATATTTCATTTCCCTCCATCTGACCAGCACTATGTAGAAAAAAGGCCCATATCCCAGTCTATTCATTTGCAGAGCACCAGCGTCAACCACAGACTACCACTCTGTATTCCCCTCGAGTGTTGATCTTGGAGGGCATTCTTGCTCTGCATGACCCCAGGATTACCGAAATGCTGGACGTCAAAGTAAGCCCCCTTCCTCATTTTTTAGCCTTTATCGAATTAACAAACAGGCTAGATCTTCGTCGAGGCCGACATGGATGTTTGTCTAGGCCGGAGAGGTATGTTTCTTATACTTAGGTTGCAACGATTTATGCGCTAATGTCGCTTGTAGTCCTTCGTGACGTGCGGGAAAGAGGCCGTGATATCGAAGGCATCATCAAACAGTGGTTTACCTTTGTCAAGCCATCTTACACTCGATTTGTGGAGCCTCAAAGAGGAATCTCCGGTGGGTCAAACTATGAATGGATATGATTTCAAACCCACAAGAGTTCTAACTTATTAGATATCATCATCCCTCGCGGCATTGAGAACTTAACTGCCATCGGTCAGTCAGCAAGTTATCTTTGCAATTTTCTTCAAAACTAATAGTTGATATAGATATGGTTGTCAAGCACATCCAGCGTAAGCTTCAAGAGAAGTCTGAAAAGCACACGGCAGAGCTTCACAAGCTGGGCCTTATTGCAGCCAAGGTGGAACTTCCTCCTAATGTCCATGTGCAACCCTCAACGCCTCAGTTCCTGGGTATGAATACCATTCTGCAAAACCCTGAGACGCAGCAGGATGATTTTGTCTTTTACTTTGATCGACTTGCCTCCATCCTCATCGAACGGTAATTCTTTCATATCAGGATGACAGTATAAGTGTTGAGAAGCTAATAATATCCCAGTGCCCTGGATATGACACAATACATTCCTGCCAGTGTGGAGACACCACAAGGAAATAAATATCTCGGTCTCAACCCACTAGGAACGGTGTCCGCTGTTGCTATCCTACGTGGAGGCTCTTGCTTAGAGACTGCCTTAAAACGGAGCATTCCCGACTGTATCACCGGGCGGGTATTGATTCAGACAAACGACGCTAGTCAGGAACCGGAGCTGCACTATTTGAAGTTACCTCCACGCCTGGAAGAACACACCAGTGTTCTATTATTGGATCCACAGATGTCTAGCGGCGGAGCTGCACTCATGGCCGTGCGTGTTCTGCTTGACCATGGAGTTCAAGAAAGCAGGATCGTCTTCGTGACGTGCGCGGCCGGAGAAACAGGCATCAAGCGCCTCATTGCGGTCTTCCCCAAGATCAACGTCATCGTTGGTCGGATCGAGGAAGAGGGAGAGCCGCGATGGATGGAGAAACGTTATTTCGGATGTTGATCGTTTATGCATTAAAGATTGTCACGTAGATAAATGCCTTCAACACATATTGCACAATTAGTACTGCGTCATGGTTTGGTTTTTTCCTTTTACGACTCTGGTTGTTTTCAGCTTCGCGATTCTTTGTCGAATACATACATATATACATAGTACGTACCTTGCTCGTGAACTCCATATAAGTATCATCCATCATAGTCTCATATGTAGATCATCTACTCCGTACCTTGCCTGATTTGGAAAAAGAGCACGTGTTTGTTGACCGCCCTGAAACACTGGCAGAAAAAAAAAGAATTTGTCCGCACTCCGAGGCGACAGGTCACTTTTCAACTGGATTCACGAAATCTATTCCAGATTTTTCGTTGGATTTCTGCTCCTTGTCTCTCTCCATAAACCAGGTTCAAGAATTTGGAGATCAAGATGGCAGGCCAAGACAAGAAAAAGTCCAAGAAGGGCGGCAGAGGTCAAGGCGAAGCCGGCAAGGTGATCAGTATGCGCACTCAATCCCATCTAGGAAAAAGCCCTTTCCAGAAAATCGCAATTGATTCTAACTGCTCATTTATAGCCGACCCTCGTTTTGCCAGCATTCAGTCCGACCCACGTTATCGCCTCCCCAGCAAGCGTCAGACCCATGTCAAACTCGACAAGCGGTTCGCGCACATGCTTGATGATGAGGACTTCTCTCACAACGCCCCCGTTGACCGTTATGGACGCAAATTGGCTCGGGATGATACTAAGGAGAAATTGAAGAAGTTCTACCGATTCGACGAAGACGAAGACGACGAGGATGATGATGAGGATGAAAAGGCCGACGATAACATCAGTATCGACGACGACAACGAGGTTCAAAAAGAATTGAAGCGGATTGACGCTCGTGGCTACGATCCTGCTCGCGACGGTGGCTTCTCTGATTCATCATCTGAAGATGACAGCTCAAGCGATGAAAGCGACGAAGAAGAAGAGGCAGAGAATGAAGAGGAGGAACTGGAATTCCCAGACAAACAACGAGCGGATGTCCCTCTCGGAGAAGTCACCGACCGGATAGCCGTTGTCAACTTAGATTGGGACAATATTCGAGCTGAGGATTTGATGACTGTATTCTCAAGTTTCTTGCCAGCTGGCGGCCGTTTGCTGAAGGTTTCTGTCTACCCTAGCGAATTCGGACGGGAGCGCATGGAGAGAGAAGAAATCGAAGGTCCCCCCAAGGAGATTTTCGCCAAGAAGGCCGAGGAGGAAATCGAGGAGGAGGAGGAACTTGATTCTGAAGAGGAGGAGGAGGAGATTAAAAAGTCAATGCTGAAAGGTGACGATGGCCAAGAATTCAACACCACACAGCTGCGACGCTATCAACTTGAACGACTACGCTATTACTATGCCGTTCTTACATTCTCCTCCAAGGATAGTGCCAAGCATGTCTACGACCTTGTGGACGGCGCCGAGTATCTGTCCAGCGCCAACTTCTTTGACCTTCGTTTCGTCCCCGAAGACACCGATTTTGATGACGACAAGCCGCGAGATGCCTGCACCCGTATCCCTGACGGCTACAAGCCAAACGAGTTTGTGACAGATGCTTTACAACACAGCAAAGTCAAGTTGACTTGGGATGCGGATGACAAGTCACGGAAGGAGGCCCAAGCACGCGCATTTCGAGGTTCACGACAGGAAATTGAGGAAAATGACCTGAAAGCATACCTGGGAAGCGACAGCTCCGACAGTGAAGATGAGGAAGATGGCGGCGTGGAGGTCGTTGACAACACTATGGACCAAGGTGCAACCACCAAATTGTCCAAGCGGGAAGCAGAGAGACAACGCATGCGGGCTTTGCTAGGCCTGAGTGCAGAACCCGCCCCTTCATCCAAGTCTAAGGGTCCTGTCGGCGAGATGGAAGTTACGTTCACATCTGGTCTCGCGGGTGCTAAGGGCAAGGACAGTATTTTCGAAAATGAGCCAGAGATTGAGGAGAGCACAGTCGATAAATATGTGCGAAAGGAGCGTGAGCGCAAGAAGAGACGAAAGGAGAAGCTCAAGGCCGGTAAACAGAGCGGTGACGCCTCTGCGGAAGCCAAAGATGCAGCGGACCCCAGCGACAATGAGGAGCCTGCTCCAGTCGAGGCCGCAGCCGAGGAAGATCTTGGCTTCAACGATCCGTTCTTCGATGACCCTAGCGAGAAAGCTACTATCGCATCTCGTCGTAAGGAGGAGAAGCGCAAGAAGCGCGAGGAGCGTGCTGCTCAAGAAGCTGCCGTGGCTTCTCAACGGGCTGAGCTTGAACTGCTGATGGTGGACGACACCAAGGCTGGTATCAAGCACTTCGACATGAATGAAATTGAGAAGGCCGAGAAACAACGACGAAAGAAGGGCAAGGGTAAGGGCAAAAACAAGGAGCCGGCTGTTGCGGATGACTTCAAGTTGAACACCGATGATCCTCGTTTCGCAAGTCTTTTCGACAGTCATGAGTTTGCTATTGATCCTACCAACCCGCGCTTCAAGGCAACATCTGGTATGCAGGCCTTGTTGGACGAGGGTCGCAAACGCCGGCGTAACCAAGATGATGGTGAGGCTGAGATAACGCCCGCTGCTCAAGACCGCAAAAAGAAGCAGAAGAAGTCATCCAAAGCATCTGGCTTGGATGATCTCAAGAACTTGGTTAACAAGGTTAAGCAACGATCAAAAGCTTGAAATGGGGTCCATCAATCTTGCAAGAAGTTCCCCTCAGGCTCAAATGTTCAAATGATCTAAGGTTTTGTCTCATTCGATACCATATGTATGTACCAGTGTATGTAATTGAGCTATTACATTTTAAAATGCTCCCAAGCCTTCCAAGGTTCTTCTTTAAGTTATTTCCTCTCTCTAGTGCTACTCTAACCCTCAGGCTGCCCAGATGTAGTACTACCTAGCCTAGAGGTAGTAAGGCAAGAAAGATGACTCGGATTCAACTTGAACTTGCCCAGGTGAACATGAGCTCGTCAATAGTAATCCTGTATGGATCATGATGCTAGTATGCACGTACTACTATCCATCCACGAATGTACTGTCACGGTCCAATGTCACAACAACTTGAACTATGTAGTTGGAACCTTCAAGTTGGAACATTCATGGAGTGCCGGGATATATATAGTAGATATCGGTCACCACAACATCTCAAGGCTCGAGCCACATGAAAACGATTTGTACAGCCTCCAGGGCTAGACATTCTAGTGTGACAAGCAAAAGCTCTCACCGAGTCGAAGTCCGCGTAACCTTGTAAAGTAGAATCTATGATGCGGTGTCACAGTGAGGCTGAGATCATGTGGTATGCCCGTTGTCCGTTCCTTCACCGCCTCTTTCATCTTGCTCTCTCCACCCTTTCTTGTAGAGCCCACCTCCCCACTCTCACTCTCTTTCCTCGAGAACCTGTCCCTATTCTCATCTCTAGGGTTTTTTTTTCAATTCATTTTGCCTGAACCTACCCAGTTCGCTTGTGGGGTGCCTGGTCCGCCAATTCCCAATTGTACCCTCTCCATTCGCCCCACCCCCGTCCTGCAACCCATCCCACTTCCTCTGTCTCCCCTCTCACGTCCTTTCCCCCCTCCTACCATCCTTCTATGATGGTACCCGTCCAGTGGAATTAAAGAAATGGGTAGATGCAGTCTAGTTCTATCTAGCTGTCTGATACCCATTGTTACACTGCGTTTTTCAACCGGGCCGTTTTTGTTTCTCTGCACATTCGAGCACAATTCTACCGGGCTTTCCCGTAGTACAATCTCAGAATGCTTGGCCGACTCTTAAGCACAGCTGCTTCCAGCTTAAACCCAGCAACTTTCTCATCCCGAAACCATGCAACCCCTCTTGAATCGGTAACTGAGGAGGAACACACTTCCGGTCTTCTCTTCCCCGATGCCAGTCTGCTCCGACGCTCCAATACCCATGCATACCCATTGCAGACAACCTTCCACTCCCCGAATGCTTCAACAGCCGGCGCCTACGATGATCGTGGGGGAATGGAATTGGATGCAATTAGGGACTTTAGAGTCGTTGTGGCTCAAAATGCGTTAGGAGACAGAGATGCCTGCATCCTACTGGACACACGTGCATCATCAGATCCGTCGCCCACTGGCCTCGGAATCGATTCACAAGGATATGATCAATCTGGTGCCAGGCATGCTCGCACTGTGTCCAGTTTCTCACGTGGCTCTCGTCGAAACATTCTTGCACAGTCCTCTGTGGTAGAATCTAGCCCTCTCTCATCTGCTGCAGATGCACGGAGATCATCGATCGCGAGCCCTGGAGCTCTGGGACGCGCTCGAGGGCGCAGCTCTACCCTAGCCCAAAGTGGAACATCACACGAGCCTAGCCAATCGCGGCATTCGACGGATGCCAACGATACTGGTCTGCTCAATTGCATTTTTGGTAGCAGCGCATTCAGTTACCGTGGATCCTCTACAAAGATGCACATCATATCTGCCGATGATGAGCCTCAGACAATGGCCAGCCCATCTCCTGCAGCACGTAGCCCACTCGCTCGTGCATATACCACTGGAAGCTCAGCTGGATTCTCAGGGCCAGCGCGAGGATCAGACAAGCCGCCCGCCAAGGTCACTGTTCTACTCACTCGCATGTTCAGCGTTAACCTACCAGAAGGCGCTGAAGCATCCGCTGATCGTCAAGATTATGCCACTGCGCTCTACCAGGAGTCATTGCCTGAAATGGGATTTCCTTTCCCTGATGTCTCGAAGCGAAAAAAGATAAAGGAGAAGAAGACCCCTATGTATGCGGTCGCCATCACCATACAAATCCCTCTATTAGCGCGTAATGCTCCCCGGTCATTGTCACGATTCAGCACTCTGGGTCCCGATTCCCCTCGTCCTGGACTCTCCAGCTCTTTGGATTCGGACTACCGCATGCCTGGGTTTCTTTTAGATGATAGCCTATCGTCGGCGTCACCTCCTGCAAGCTTAGACGAGCGCTTAGACCTGTTGGTCGACCACTGGGATGTGATCACACGAACATTATCTCATCTTGAGCGACTTGCACGGAATGAAATTCTGTTTCTCTTGAGGAAGGTTGATTCATTGTCTGGGCCGCATCCTAAGCCTGCCAAGCCACCCAATATGCAGCGAACCAACCAAACGCTTGTCCATCTTCCTGCCAATATTCTGTCGGTGAATTCGAAACTCAAGGAAGAAGCTATTCGGAGCTCTCGTCGAATCAGTCTGGCACTCCAGACTCCTTACGTAGTGACTGGCCAAAGTCGCTGGGGAGTGTGGCGAGAAGAAGGACGTTCAATTGCTCGAGGTCTTGGTGACAAGGAGAGTAATTTCTTCTTCCTTGTGCTGCTCACTGCATTTCTTGGCAACCATACAGAGTGGCTCAATGCTCTTGGTCTTGAGTGGTACCGACGTCGGCATAGCCAGCAGCAGAAGGCGCAACAAGATACTGACCCAGTTCTCAGCCATAGAACTGTGGTGATCTGTCCAGATAAGATGACCGCTCGTCGTCTTATATTCCTGCTCTCCGCCTTCTTCCCATCTAAACGCGTGGAACCGATTCCTTCGCCGCTTCGACCAGGGACATCGGCATCAGTGCGTGCTATTTCCCAGAGCCCACCGACAGTGCCAGTACTTCGACAGGAGTCCCTGAGAAGAGCTATAGAGCGTCGCGCACGCGCCCAACGCATGTGCCAAGGAGATAGCAATAACCACTATCGTTCGGTAAGCGTATCTTCTCAAGATACAGCTCATCGATCATCAGATGGGACCGATCAACCTACCGCAGCGGAGTTCACCTCCGCATCTGCTCGGAGAGGCTCTGATGCTCGCTCGATAAAAACAATAAGTGCTCCAATTCAGACCAAGGATCCGCGAGCCAAAGCCACGAGTGGGGCGACTACTTCCATGACAACACAAAGCAGCACGGTCCCCGTACCACACTTTACATCACAGCAAAGTCGGACTAGCCAGGGAGGATTTGATCCCAGTGCAGCAGATGCCAATGAAAGTTTGGCATCGGAGAATTTACTTAAGAACCTCCAAAGAAGTGACACCTCTAACTTGGCTTCCAATGGAAGTGTCCCATCTGCTGCAGGTCGTTGGGGTGGACTGTTCTCTGGTCTTTGGAGCTCGCGGCAAGAATCTTCAACAGAAGGCAGTGATATCTATTCCCCAGCCGACGCACGTAAACGGTCGGTTTCTACCATAGCTGGACCGCCTATGCGTCTTCCACCTACATTGAGCCAGATGGTTAAGGAAGTCACAGAGGACGAGACCAAACACCGTCCTGATACTGCACCCACGAGTGGCAATATTTCCATCCCAGCTGCTGCAACCCACAGTGCTGAAAACGAAACCCCCGAATCGTCATCTTTCACAAGTCAAGCTCGCGAATCCCCATTGAAGCTGTCGGTCCGAGCAGACGAAGGCGTTGTAGATGTTGACCTTCCCCTTCCCGGATTCTTGTCATTGTCTTCCTCAGGGGACTCGACTATTGCTTCACCAAAGAAGACAAGAACATCAGTCACGAGTGTGGATGCTCTTGCATCTACGCATAGCAGTGGCTCAGGATTCCACAGCTCTACCAAGGATAACGATGGCCCCAGCACACATGTTGCTGGATGGTTGAAGTTGTTCCATGAAGATTTTTCTCTGCAAGCCGTAAGACCATACGCTTCTTTGGAAGCAGATATTAAACGTGCGATGCAAGCGGAACCTTCTCCGTACATCCCATCGACTCCTGATGCCGAGGGCTCTGAGAGATGGGTTGATGTCGCAACGACTTTGATTGCAGATACCCGATCATCTTCTGTCAAGCGTCTTAGACTCCGACGAAAGATTATTGTGGGTCATCACTACGGTTCGAACAATACTCCTCCATCTCCACCCATGGGGCATAGTCGCACTTCTACAGCTACTTCTTCCCACATTTCCGGGTTCTTTTCCGGGTATATGAAGTCAGTGGAAGGCTCCGTTCTCGAGGACCAAGATCCCCACTACGTGGAAGAGCGATTTGTTGAGGAGCCTGTCATGGATCTCGATGGTATTCTTGTTGATGCTGTTGAGCGAGTCCTTGGCCAAAGTGGCTATTCATCCCTTGCTCACTCACGGGCTCCATCTCCGACGCGTACTCGCCGAGGAGAGGATAAAGGCCAGACAACACCGCGTGTGGAAGATCCACCTCCGGTTGAAGTTCCTCGTGCCGAGTGTCGAAAGATGGTTCTCGGTGCTCTTGAGGAAGTTGTTCGTATTGTTACTGCTGAGCACTGTCGCGAAGATGTAGATACTGAACTCGGATTGGCTGACCGGGAGCGCAGAAGAGCCTTGGCCGGTGCTGATAACACACTACGTGAAGGCATCCGGAAATGGCTTCTTGATGTTGAAGAAGCTTGGTAAATCAGGTTGCATCAGGTTGGATTGTTTACGTTCCTGAACCTTGCACCTGGTTACCTACTCAGTACCCTACTTGGGTTATCCCTTTCCCTTTCACTGTCCCAATGATCCTGCATGTTCATTTCAGATGGATCGGCTCAACAGCCAGGATTGACGTGATTGGCATTTGATTTTGTTTTCCTATTTTACTCGCATACTTTCTGCACTTGTTTTTGACTATGATACCCATTCTTTGTCGAAGCTTGCAATTCTCTTGCTACAGCTTCTTGCTCAATTCAACCTGATATTAGAATAATTTCGCTCTCCAAATCCGAACAATAGAATCAATTCTTCATATCAAAAGTTCCTTGCTAACTCTAGATCAATTTGCCTGGTTGATAGTCACAATCTCAACAGAATGTCCCTCGCACTGGATAGTGTGCCCATCCTCATTGTGCGAGATCAGAATATTTTTCAATATCTCTCCTGTCTGACTCGGGTTGACGATGTCTAAGGTAGTCTCTGCATTCAAGGTGCCATTCACCAAAACCTGGATTCCATGCAGAGCATCATCTTCAGGTACTTTGAGCATGGGGTTCATCAGAGTGACCGATCCAGGACGAACCAGGATTGGCAAAGTATCAAAGTCATGAGTCTCAGTATACCAGCGCCCGGCCTCATAGAACTTTGTATGATCAAACCAAGAAACCCACTTCCCATTTCCAGCTCCCTCAACATATGGAACATAGAAAGTCACTTCACCCTCCTCCGAGAAGACTGGTGCAACCAGCAGGTTCGGTCCAAACATGTACTGCGTATCGATAGAGTACGTATTCAGATCATCCGGGAACTCCAAGAAAAGTGGTCTCATTATCGGAGCTCCATCCTGTTGTCCCCTCAATGCTTCTTGGAGGATATACGGTGTAAGCAGAATCTTCCGTTTCACGCAGTCCCGCAAGACAGCAGAACAATCCTCTCCATATATCCAAGGCACTCGGAACGAGGATGATCCATGGAGGCGAGAGTGAGAGGAAAGTAATCCAAATTGCACCCATCGTTTATACAATGCAGGTGGTGGAGTTCCCTCGAAACCACCAATATCCGATGCCCAGAAGATGTATCCAGATAACATGAGACTCAAACCACCACGAAGAGACTCTGCCATGGCTTCGAATGTACTCTCGCAATCTCCACCCCAGTGAACAGGATATTTCTGTCCACCTGGAGCAGTGCTCCGTGCGAAAAGAAGACCTTGATTGTGGCCTACGCGGTTGTTGAGTGTTTCGTAGACAATGCGGTTGTATAGGAGGGCGTAGTAGTTGTGCATTCGCTCTGGGTCCGCACCATCGTGATACTTGATTCCCTTTGTAGGGATTCTTTCCGCGAAATCAGTCTTGAAACTGTCTACGCCCAGTTCCATGAGGCGCTCCAGGTGGCTGCTGTACCAAGAACAGGCGGCTGGGTTGGTGAAGTCCACGACGGCCATTCCGGCTTGCCAGAAGTCCCATTGCCAAACAGATCCATCAATGCGCTGCAAGAAATTAGTACTTAATCATACAAAAAGGGCGAATAGATAGATGAGCTCCAAATAAATGGATAGGAGTGATGACATACCTTGATGAAATACCCATTCTTCTTTCCCTCCTCAAACAAGGGTGATGCTTGTCCAACGTATGGATTAATCCACACACTGATTTTAAGTCCCCGTTCTTTCAGTCGGTTCATATATCCTCCCGCATCAGGGAACATCTCTTCATCAAAGTCAAAGTCACACCACTGGTAGGATTTCATCCAGAAACAATCAAAATGAAACACGCCAAGCGGGATGTCTCTCTCCTTGAATCCATCCAAGAACCCAGTAACAGTCTGCTCATCATACTGGGTTGTGAAACTCGTCGTCAACCAAAGATTGTAGCTCCAGGATGGAACAAGTCCAGGTCTACCAGTCATTGCAGTATAGCGTCTTAGAACATCCTTGGGCGTCTCACCATAAACAACAAAGTACTCAACCTCTTCACCAGGCACGGAGATATTCACTCTGGTCGTTCGCTCGGACTGAACTTCCAAACTAACTTTCCCGGGGTGGTTGACGAAGACGCCATATCCCTTGGAGGACATGTAAAATGGAATATTCTTATACGCCAGCTCCGACGAGGTACCGCCATCCTCATTCCAGATATCGACTGTCTGTCCATTCTTGACTAGCGGGCCGAATCGCTCGCCGAGTCCGTATACCTTCTCGCCAACTCCTAGATCTAGCTCGATGAGCATATATCCTTGTCGTTCGGCGTAGATCCCATCCTCATATCTGTGCTTCTCGCTGCGTTGATCTCCGACAAGGCCAATTGAGCGGAATGAATGACCGGTCAACTTCTTATTTTCGGGAGAGCGAAAAACGAAGCCGAGTTCGTTGGAAGCAGTGTTGATATCAAGCTTCAGTGATCCGCTGTTATAGTTGAGAGTATTCGCGGTCTTATCATGCAGAACAGTAGCATGTCTAGTGGAGTTCTCGATATCGTAATGCGGGCCATTATCGACTTGCCCTGCCCTGAAAGAAGTGAGCAAAACCGATGAATTCTCCTCGAAAATGTGGATAGGATGAATTCGAAGTATATTTGAGGACTCTGATTGGTGGAGAAATTCTAAACGTACCAATGAACTAATTTCACGCCGATAATTCCCTCCTGTGGAGAAGTCACCTTGGCGGAGATGGTAGCTGTTATTATAGTCAATTAGTTTCGCTTCATGAAATTTAAATCAAAGGTTCGTACGAGAATTCAGAGTATCACCGCGATGACGCTGTAATTTGTTCAGGAGGAGATTCACGGTCTCCTGCTCGACCCGCAGTCGCTCCACATTGCTCATCCAGTCAATGCGGACGCCCTCCTATAGAGTAATTTGCTTTTAGTTTCTAGAATGCTTTGGTTCATTCTTGAACTTGAAAAGGAAAAATGACTTACCTGAAGGCACCACATACCTGAAGTGAACTTCATCGTGGTAGAATGGTAGCTTGGAACAGCTGAAGCTCGGAGTATAGAAGTGGGGTAAGACTTGAAGTCAGGTATTTAACGTCCGTAAAAGACCAAAAGAATAGTAGTAGCTCAAGTGAATGAATCGAAGCTCAATTCTCAAGTGTTCATATTGATGATGATGAAATAATTTCAAAAATAAGCAGACTAGGTGATGGGAACGTCTTCAAGTAACCGTTCAAAAGCTGGTATTCCCCATTCGACACGGAGTATCACCCAAAAATAATATAATGCTGATCCACAGCTGGTTACGCGAATGCAGATACAGTCCCTGCAAGAATGGGGAACAGACTGATTGAATTGGTCTGGAGAAACGAGTTATGCGGGGCAGCATCCACGCGCAGAAATTGGGGAACCTATAATAAAGCTCGGATCTCGATAGCAGTTAGCTAAACCTAGCTGAGAGTGTAATTGCAATTAGCGCAGCCACTTAACACCATGATCAAGTCTCGGCTGAATTCGATTTTATTTGGCTAAATAGCTTTGGAGTGCATGTGGCGTTCGGCCGACGGGTAAGTTGCCGGGATATTGGGTTGGGATATTGGGTAAGAGTGCGTCGGACAGTCGATGTACTACAAGTAGTAGCACTTTGAAAGTTGAAGGATCCATGGACGTGACAGTGACTCGGAAGTATGAGTGGTACAGTAATACAGATCGATTCAAGATGTTTGTTTAATAGATATCGAATAATGAACACACTTTTTGGGCTACACAAATAAGTTCAGGGTATCAAGAGTGGTACATTGCATCCGTGGTCATGTCGGTCTCATATCAAAGGTCGTAGGCTTCCACTGCGTGGGCTGCGTGTATAGCTCAAACTTTCACCTCGAGCCCGAGCTCTTGTTAATTCTGGGGATTTTAAAATATCTCGTGACTCACGGGGCTCACCAGTCACTCTAGAGGGCAACCCCGGCGGAGGAGAGATATGGTGGCTTACGACACTTGCAGGAAGTTCAAGAGACGGAATAGAAGTGTCCATGATATGAGTACTCGCAGGTTCAACCTTCGTCGAGACAGGACGCACATGAGACTCGCTGTAGAATTGTTCAAGTGATGCTGCATCATTGCAAAATTCAACGAGACCGTTAAGAATATGCTCTGGTGCGCGGTAAAGGTTTGCCGAGTCAATACTCGGTGGACCTAGAGCTGACATCGGACTTCCAATATCGTGTAAAGGACGAGTTAACGGAGACAAGCGTGGAGAGATACGGTCGAGCGGATCGTGGTTTGGTGCTCGCCCGCGGTAATCCGAGCGACCATGATGCTCATAACGGCCAGCATCTCTGCTTGCAGCACTGCGGGTGCTGACTAGTCGATTGGCGAGAAGGAGAAAGTCGCCTTCATCTGTGATTTGGGCGAGAACACTGCCTGTTCGGTGGATAAACTGTGGGTATTTGTAGTCCGGCTTGCCCCAGGAGAATGAGACTTCGACATCCGCTGGGAATGCACTGCTAGCTTCGAAATCTAGCACAAAGTCAAATTTACGCAGTAGATACTTCTGGTAGTAAAGGCGATCTGGTGGCCCCGGTTGTGCAAATGATGCGTTGTTGAAGACTGTGTGAACTGGCCCCTTGGGTGGTGGAATCTTCAATTTGACTCGATAAGGTTGTCGAAATGGCTGGGTTTTGTCGATAGCGCATGCTTCGGCAATAGGCACCTGGACAAGCTTCAAACCGAACTTCTCTGCAGTCGCGGCCCATGAGTGCGCTGCATCCTCGATCATCTTTGGTGTTGTATTCATCCAACTGAGCTCAATGTGGAAGCAATTCTCGGGGTTGTGTAGTCGATCATAATGGAGGTCAATCACCTCAGGTCGATTTGATCGTTTGCGGGTATCCACATCGTACTTCAAAGATTTAGACAACATGATGGCGACCTTGTTCTTGGTCTTGGATGGAGTGCTAGGGGTCTGCGGTGCACGTTCATCAATGCTGTCAGAGCGAGCCCGAAGACTGGAAGGCGAATCCTTTCCAATGGCCGGAGTCGACGGCATCGATTTATCTGACCGAAGTTGAGGGAACCAGCTACCTCGAGATTCTGGTCGCGTGACGCGATACTCGGCACAGATCTGATAGAAATAGTTTCCATCTCGGAAATTGTGTCGTTTCTCGACGTGCTGAAATAATCCATGCTTCATCAACTCGTTGCCAAATTCGACGGCCTCGTCACGAGTGTCAATGTCACGGAAATTTTGCATCAACCAGGTGGTGAATTCGAAGCCAATGAAACAGTTGTAATGGAGTCTCCAATGCCAGCGGCGATCCATCATGCGAACTCCATTGTCGCTTTGAATCATCTGAGCAAGGTTCGTCAGATTAACACCGGATCTCTCCAGCAGCTCAGCCTCAGGTAAGAGTTGGGCTGGTGGATTATCAAGGCCAGGATCAGTGAGTAGTACTCGATCGAGCTCCGCTGCAACTACTTCAGATGGATTTCTTGTTTGGTACATGATGTTGAGTGGGTTCTGGTCTCTCTTTTTGTCTGCTGACTCGAATCGCTTCTCCTCGGGTGACAGATATTTATTCCGTTGCCAGATATGGGTTAGTTGGCTGATCCCAAGTAGATGAATCTCTTCTTCGTTATCGTCATTCATTGATTGTAAGTGGCGTCGCGAGTGAGTATGAAGCTGCATTGGAATCAACACGTAGCGAACTCTCCAGAAATGGAGCTGTTGCGCAGGGTTGTGCAGATAATCGCGATGACCAGCCACATAATTGTCTGCGAGGTTCCAATTGTACTCTTCCGCAGTAGGATCCAGCTTGATGTCTTTTATCTGGTACTCATGACTCAAAATTGTCCTCATGGCTGGCTGATAGAGTGTGAAATTGACTCGCTTCGGCGAAAACAAAGCCGCAGCTGTGTGATGTGTGAAGCGCGTAACCTCGATTTCGCCTCCATCCACAGTAATGAGACGGTGAATGGAATTTCCTTTTGAAAGGAAGACGGTGACACCATTTCGTTCGAGTCCTCGTGTGTCAAAGACATTAAGAGACTCAAGAGTTGGTTGGCCGGAAAATTCCGCGATATTTTTGCCAACAATGATCTGGAAGCCATGAGACAACCGGAGAGATATCATTTCACGCAGAAGAACACCTCGAGTCTTCGGTGCCTCGATGCCATCTGCATCGTCATTTGCGAAGACGCGGTATGGAGTCTGTAAGTAATCAGAGGCGAGTTCAGCCGCCGTTGGAAATTCCTCGGTAGTCAGGGGAAGAACCGCTGGAGATTTCAGACTCTTCCACTTGACAACAGCGACGTGAGGCGGACGAGGGTATGCATGTTGCCAACGACCAAACCAGCTTGTTTTACGCAGCACATCTTTGGGAGTATTACAAGGGTTGACGGATCGAACCCAGGGTGCCAAAGCTTTACCCGGGGAGTCTCGCGCGAAAGGATCCCGAGAGCTGTGATTCAAAGTGATCTCGATTTTATGATCGTTTGGCTGGCCTGGTGTTCTTTCCTCGCGGTTAATGAAAATGGACTCGGTGGCAGCTGGCGATAATGAGCCCTGGGTAGTTCCAGGACCTGGTCGTTCTGGGCTTTCTGTTGGTTTTTTCAAGGGGGGTCTTTATAGAGATGGGTTTGGATGGGGTCAGTCGGGTATCTGGTGGAAGTTTGGGAGGTGTCGATGGGCGAGATGGGCTATCAATGATAGTTGCAATAGATGTAGTTTCCGAAGGACTCAAGGAGATTATACTCTTGGTATCAGAAAAGGTTCCGCCAGAAGGTCTTTGGTTGGACATGGGGAGCGCGTTTGCATGCTCTACATGTACTCCGGTGCTGGCTTGTGCCCTTGGGGGTGTGGAACTCAAGCCTCGAAGGGCAAAGCTAATTGTTCGAGAGATGCGTGAAGCCGTTGGTGCTGCCTTTGATTTCAATGCTGGCTTTATCGGCGACGTGCTCTTCGGAGATGCTGGTTTCTTTTGAACAGGGATGGAAGATCCATCGATTCTGCGAGGACCAGCACGCAACATCGAGTTGCTGGGATTCGTATTGTTCTCCTGCTCTCGTAGACGCAAGACAGATCGAGCAGATATTCTTTCATGGGCACCAGTCCCCTGAACTTCTGGCTCGCTTAGTCGTTTAGTTTTAGCCTTTGGAGCCTGTCGCTTCTTGGGCGTTGCAGCAAATAAGTTGTCATCATACTGATCCATCCAGGCCATGATAGACCTTCGAGACTTTTGCGATTCTCCTGTGTGAATCTCACTTTGATCGGTGACATTTTCGAGGAAGGGCTCTGGCCGTAAACTGTCACTGAACTGCGCTTTTGCCGACGAACTATTGGCAAATCGAGCTCTTGGAGGGCCACGCGTAGTTGTGACTTGCCCTGGCCAAGAGCTGCGAGAGCTAGTCACGTCTCGACCCTCGAGAAGATACGGGATAGAGATATTTGATTGTTCACTCTCCATGACACCCATCATTTGGATTTCATACATGCGGACACGAGGAGTGAAAGCTTTGAATGGGCGGGTGACAGTAAGTGGGATAGGCGCGTTAGGGTCATTCTTCAAGATGCGGCGAGCTTCTCGGTAGGTCTCAGGATTCCAATATGAGATATCCAGCCAGTGTGGAATACCATAGCTCCATTCTCGCGAGCGAGGATGGCCTCGTTCACGCATACGAGTGGCGGACAAGTAGGATCCCGGAGAGAGATAGGACGATCGACTAACAAGACTAGAGATGGAATGATGGATCTCGGGTGACAGTTTAGGAGTCTCAGCGACACTTGATATGGAACCGCTAGGGCGTTCCGCGGGCTCCCGGTATTTGAAAAGAGGCACCGAATGGAGCGGCATAGGACTTAGACAGACCAAATCAATTGCAATGCCTCGGTTCGTCAATGCTTCAGTTGTGGATGCCAACGACTCGTACGACACCTCGAACACGCCACTTCCCGGGGTGATTACAATTATAGACGTGCCTGTATGAACCATATCTCGGTCAATATGGTCATACGCCAAGTGGGCAGAGGCCAAGTGGATAGCCTCGAGGATATTGCCCCGCAAGGCCGTACTAGGGCGTCCAGCAATTGTCGCCGTATGAGGTTTAGAAGGGGGTTTGATCCCACTTCCTGAAGCAAAATCCAAGTCATCTGCCTTCAAAATTGATACATCCCTCAAAAATGTCCTGAAATTCTTCTTCAGCTCGTCCAAAATGGTAGTCCAATGGCCACTAGCCATATCGTTTACCACAACGCGATAAAAGTCACGAGTTGGAAACTGACTTGGGCCAGCGGCGTCTTTGAGGCTGCCAGATGTAAGTTTAGCTAGATTGGAGTGAGCTGATACATCATATTCAACTCTTGTGAAGAGGACAATTGTCACGAGATGTTTTACATCAGAGTTAGCCCATCGTTTGAAAAGCTCTGGTAAGAAGCCATTGATCACTCGACTGAATAAAATGTCACCAGAGCCTTCGGAATCAAAATCCCACATCTCCCTGGACATTTGAATAAACAGGACATATTTGGCAGATTCGCTACGGAAGACAGGGATTGTATGAGGCGAGAAATACCCCGATAGGACCTTCTTTTCTCGAATGAAGATGTTTTTGATGGTTGCTTTGATGCTTCCCATGAACATGATTTTTTGCCCCTTGTAGATGATCTTATCAACGAGCTCAGACATGACAAATCGCCACATGTCGGATCTAACCATATACTGATCACGGAAAGAGATATCCACATGGGATGCGGCACATTGGTCACGATCGACGATAGACAGAAGAACCTGAGTTCGATTTTTGAAGCCAAAGATATTGGCTACGCTCGCAGTGACCGAAACCTCCAATTTGGGATGGCGCATCTTGACATCTTGCGGCAAGGGTTTCACCACAAACAAGCATCGGCTCTGTAGAGGTGTCTTGAACTTGGACGTGCTATCTGATTGGGAGTTTGAATTGAGATCTGCATGACTTTCGCGAGGGATTTTCAAAGCAGCATCAGGCTTTAAAGAATTCTGAGCAGTATCTCCTGGCGCGCGAACGGGTAGAATCTCCACCACATCCCCAATCTGTACTCCGCTTTCTCCGAAGGCCGATGGATTTAACAAGATATCCTCCCGGGCAAACATCTCATCATGGACCCAAAGCGTACATTGGTGGCGTGCCAAGCTGGCAGACAATCGGACGGTGCGTTCATCAGGTGTGGGGTTATTATCGCGATGTGACGTTTCGGTGCGGACAGTCGAAAGGGTCTCCAAGCTGGCGGCACTCACCTGCCTTAGGTGGGACCGCCGCATGGGCCCGCGAAATGACATGCTGTATGGTTCAATTTGGTTGCATTGCAAAATGATCCTTGCTCCGAAGCTTTGAGGAGTCGAACGGTATTGATTTGGGGAAATTATGCGGATGAAGCTCTCTCGCGATAAGATGTCACGGGGAGCTCACGTGGGGCTCATTATTGATGCCTCAGGTGTCAATGTATATGATTGGCTCGTTAGTGCCTGGATTTTACCTTAATAGTGTATAATGTAGGTGTTGTATATACCATGTCCTTTTTTAAGTAGAAAAAATAAAAAAGAATAGTAATGTGATCAGATCTTATTGCAATCAAGCTAAAAGTAGAAGTCTGACAATTTTAAAGATTTCAAGTCATCATACACAAGTGCCGGTGGCACCAGTTGACTACTAATACATATGGATCACGAAGAGACGGGGTACAGTGCAGATGGGAGTAACAATGAATATAACGCATTAGTACTATTTCAGGCTTATATCAACTGTCGGCTTGAAGGTTATTGCACCAAACATAATTTTACTACTAGTAATAGCACTTGAGAATTACTAGTATGATTCTGCCGGGGCAGTTCAAGTTGTTATTCATCCAATTCCGATTCCGATTCATGCCAGTGCCCAGGTGGATCCAAGGGATTTCCCAGTAGTATATCCATGCAATAGCCGATGCTTATACTAGTAGTACTGATCACTTCCAAGAGTCAACTTGAAGTTTATTTTACTTAAGAGTGTTTCCAAGTATAGTAAGGATTATTTAGTCAAAATATATCACATGTTGTCCCTGTATGAAGTGGCGGTTTTTGATTACTAGCGGTTCAACATTGAAATTATAATTTGCCAGTGAATGACAGCATGTCTCCTGCGCGGGTGGCAGTAAGATGTTGTCACCGCTGTGCCTAGGTATTAGATACTCAAACCTCGAGAAATGGTCAATATTACATTAGTATACATCATTGTCAGTGGCATTGTTGTGTTGTAAACATTTCAAAGTTGAATGAGCCAACTTGATCATAACGTGTGCATCCATGGATGTGTGCATGTGCACAGGTGGAGTCTCTTAGCGCTACGAAGAACCCGGAAGGAGGCATTAGTATTTGTGAAATTTAATCCCAGGGCTTTGTCTGAGACTCTCTAAGCATGACAATTATCGACACATCAATGCAGAAGATTGAGCATACATATAACTACATTCGCTCTGAAGAATTGATGGTTCAATTTGATCATTTTTTTACTTTGATCAATTTCAAGTAAACACTTCAAACCCGGCTGAGTCACGACCCGACTGATTGGAACCCACAGAAGGGAAAAACTCCTAAGTGGCCTTAGCGAAATTTGAGCAGGGATTGATTGCCGATCTGTCAAAAGCAGAAGAATCCCGGAAATCAGACGATACATTCTCCTTCCATGAGAAATGAGACCCCCTTGGGATTGTGTTATCCAACGTATTGCGAGGGGGTAGATCACCCATCTAGATCAATTTGGTGGGGAATCTCGATCTTCCTCCAGCTGAGCCCACCAAAAGGTGCCATCAGACCCCTTGGACCTACAAAGTCCGGATTTTCATCAGTTCATTCTTCACTTTGAGTCTCCTTGTTTATCATGCCAAGAGAGGGAAGAAGAACAAATATGATATCAACTTTTTCTCCAAGTGGCTCATAATCGACCTCTTGGAAGGGCTTGGCTCAAGATTGAACCCCCTTAGCTGTCTCAAAGACACAATCATCACGGTTATGGTTCCACAAAGCGGAAGAAGTTGGATATTGTGGGAGTTGGTGGTCAGTCGCGATACATAGCTCCGGTTCTACTCAACTGCCGCTTTGCCTTTAATTTCATCCCGTGCTTAAACTCTGGAGGGCTTGAGGGGTGGAGCATTCCCGGTAGGCGCATGATTGACCCGCGCGCCTGCGGAAGCCTCTTCCGGCGGACTTCCACACTTTGCGGTATATGTAATCCCTTTTATCCTCACAAATCACCTTGCCACTGTGTTCAAGTTGTGCATCTGATCAGGATTGGATTGTTTCATTCTTGGTTTCACCGAAAGAGTTCAATCAAACCTGGAAGGTTCTCATAAACTCCTTCCAAAATGTGGAAGCTTCAGCTGTGCTCCGTCATGCCAATGCTAGCGATGAATATTTGGGACTGCCTTGATTACATTCTCCTTTTGAAATATTTTTGACACCAAAGCATAACCCTGATAGATCCCAAGCTGACCTTTGAGAAGGCAAAGATAATCATCCACGATGTCGGACCTCCTCTAGATGAGTTGATCGAGCTGGCACCAAACGCCAAGCCGGTAGTGAGCAACGGCACATTGGACCAACACCAACATCAATAACGCCACCATGGAATCTTGACAGATATATAACGACAGAGTATCAAAGCTGGAGGTGGAGTGAGAGATAGATGATTCTCATATTGATACGTCAGGATGAATCACCTTGCGCCAATTCTCGGTACGACACAACTAGGCAGGCTTTTGGCCGAACCTTGAGCTGATCGTGTTGTTACGGCGATCTTCCATCACCACCCTCCCTTTAACTTTGTCTCGCCCTGACAGCTTTAACATATGACGAGTTTGAAGCTGAGAATAATATGGTGTGTTCCGCAGCGACGATCTGCTGTTGATTTAGTATGAAAAAAGACGCCGTTCACAATTTCCATGATCTTAAGAATGATTTCCGGAGTACAGTCACTTTTATGAAACAAATATCATGACTGTATAAAACCTTCCTCCAGCTTGAAAGGCTTCCGCCAACAAATCCTCGTGCCATATCGACCAGAAACCAGGTTGACAAGCCAGCTCAAAGTTGGTTGCGCTTTCAATAAGTGAAAGATCGAAATAGTAATCCCACTTTACTCCCTGAATTGACCAGGCAAAAAAAGTTGCGGTGAATGTGAACCAGTCGACGCTCTGCCTGCGCCCTCGAGATCTCTCAAGGTCGATCAATCCTCAGCGAGAAGCAACACATTTGGTCAAGTACCTCTTGCCACGCTACACGCAGCACGATCCCACTCTTGGTATCCCAGAAACTTCACTGGACCCCCTCCATTGTCTTTATACTTTTCATAGTACTAGCAATCCTTCAAGATTGCAAATGGAGTCACCTCGGGGATCCCACCGCATCATGATAGCAGTACAACATTGCGGCTCGTCTCGGCAGATTAGGTGGAAGGTACACGCCGTTAACCCGAATCATAGCCATTGTGACGCCATTACCCACTCACGAAAATGTCCGCCATCAATCCAAGCTTTCTTCATTATTCGTTTTTTTTATATGGAGTAAATTTTGGAAATGAGTAAGGTGTATTGATCGTATGTCTCGAGGATCGGTCGGCTTAACGTCGGAGCTGATACATTTCGCAGTTCGAGTCGTCATCGTGTTTCGGTCTCGAATGAGGTCGATCTATTTTTTGAACTCGAATGATGATGATCTGAGAATGGCAACCTCTTGAATGATTCTATGCCAGGTTGGTATACCTAGGCCTGACACAGTCCTGTCTTTCTGCAATGAGGCGAAGGATGAGATCACTCACCACGTCACCCTAGTTGTACGCGTTGATTGCCATATCTCAATCGATCGACAACACAGCTAACCCTTTTCTCTTGAATTTATCCTGGGAATGAATTCGGCTGCAAGTTGTAGTCTTCTCCTCAGTCCTGGAGTGACGTTGTCCTTGCGGGTTCATGTTCCCGGAAGCATCTTCTGTGCTCCGCAACAACCCAACAATACAGAAACAGAAAAAATGGAAACAACCACATATTAACCTGTTTGATGTGCCGAATCCTCGCACTATGATATCTTTTCACTTCTTGCTCTGTACTGGGAATAGTATCGTCAGTTGGTTCGTTCCCACATCGTGTAATCTCGAGATGTCCCCTGGAGATGGTGGATCTGTGTGTCTTGCATTCGACGATGATGAATGGCACGAAGGCACGTATGAGATTTTCGAATTGAAAGAAGAGATAAAAGAAGGAAGACCGTGATCACTTGGTATGCAGAAAATTTGCCTGCTATATTGTGTTGGGTGATGAGTTGCAAGGGCGAAACGGGATTTGAGTTGGGAGGACCCATTTCGGATACCTTCTGCGGAATCAAAGGCGGCATTGCTTCGACAAGAACATTGTTATTCTACAATCGGACTTCAACCTTGGGAAGCTTCATTTGAACAAAATCTTTCTCTACTATTGATATGCTTCCAGGATATTCTTATTTCTAATGTTTGGTCTACTGTCTTGCACGACCATGAAAGCTTCAAATATTTCAAATCATGCTTCATGCATGACAAGATCCAAGTGTGCCATACACAAAGATAAGAGCCACTGTTCCATCCTTATGCCACACATCATGACGGATATGTGACAGGAGAATCGACTAACCAACCTTGGAGCGTGCAACGTGAGGCAGCTACCTCTCTTCTTAAAAGAAGCTTGTCTGCCCGACATCCGGTCAACTACCTGTCAAGCCATTTCGGCTAGGTATTCTTGATACACACTCCTAGTGTATGAATGGTTATTGAGCTAACAATACAGAAATGCGATATTACTCCTCGTGATTCTATGCAAGCCACCTCATCTGGGGGCATACCCCAATCTACGCAACCACGATAATTACTTCTTCTATCTTACCAGCCAAATACGAAAGATTCTGACCCGAAGAAATAATCCAAATATTTCCACTGCTTCAGCTTTACTACTACTCTGAATTTTAATTTTCACATTTTCACATAATCCACTACCAACTTCGCGACACTACGTTTTTCATTGGGGTTGGGCGGATACGGGTTAGTGGCAAATCCAAGCGGCTCGCGGAGCCGGCAAAGCACAGTGCAGCATTTATCGTGGGTCTAGCCCACTTCGGCTTTTTGTTCGTTCGGGCTGGGACTACTGTGGACTTTTCACACATGCGTGCCCACGCGCCGCTGGGGGGAAAATTAGGCGCAAGAGGAATGGACTTATGTCTATAGCCTAGCCCTTTTTCTAAGTGCCTTTTCCCCTTCGTCCAAATCCCTTGGCCCGAAGGAGTGTCGACCCCGTGAATCATTTTATCTGCATTGCATCTCGTTCGAAATCAAAACACCCGCACACAATGAGTGGCCAGTTTCCCCCTCGACCGTCGAAGACCGAACCCCGCTCGGATATATTAGGGAATGACTCTGCTGCATTCCACTACGATTGGCCCGGCGCGGGGTCACGGTTCCCTCAACAGGTTTCTACGGAATTCCAAGCCAATATCGATCCAGTCTCCGGCGAAGAACTTCTAAGGCCTAGTTCGGGAGAACAATCCATTAACGCTAAAGTTCCCATTCCACGCTCTGCTCAAACTATACCTTGGACCAGCACCAGCCGAACAAGTCGAGCTTGCGAGAATTGTCGTGAGCAAAAAGCTAAATGCAGTGGCCACCGTCCCACATGTAACCGTTGTAAGGATTCTGGGATCCGATGTTCCTATGGAGATCGAAAAAAGGAGAAGATAATCAAGTGCGTGGGGAATGCCTGAGTAATAAAATTATCAACCAACATCTAATAGTACGATGACAGGGAAATCGATACTTTAAAAGCACAGATTCAAACCTATGAAACTGTACTACGCGAGGTCTACCCCAGGCTTGACTTATCATCAGCACAATACGTCGATCAGACCATCGGTGGTCAATTAGTCAGAGTGAGTCCACAATAATCATCCACCTATCTCTATTCCCCCTTCCCTTCCAACAAAGTTCTGGAATCTAAAAAGCCTGCTTTGCTGCGTTAATCCTTTACTCCTCATCAAAATACTTACAAACCAAATCCATGTTCAGCCATCAAATTCCCCTTCCTTCCGTTCTGATTCTGGGGCTGGTATGGATCACCCATTGGCAACGATCGACCATACCGAGGAGGACTTTAACCGCGATGAAAAGCAAGCTCTAGGATTTGTGGGTGAACACTCGGAGATGATTTGGCTATACAGACTCAAGCGTGATCTCGACCAAGACAACGTCACATCCCTTGGAGAAACCCTCGATCGACCTTCAATCTCTTCTATGAACTATTTCCAAGGGAATATGGAAATTTCAGTCCTCGATGCCATCGATGTTTTAGGAATGCCTGCCCAGTCCACTGCCGATAAACTTGTGGACGCCTTTTTCGACTTAGTCCATCCTGCATTCCCTGTCATCGGAAAGCGTATATTTCTCTCTCAATATAGGACTTTCTACTCGAACAACCCCACATCGACATCGCGCCCAGGAAAACGTTGGATGGCAGTCCTGAATTTAATCTTTGCCATCGCTGTCAAACACTCACTTTTGGTTAATAATGAGCCAGATGAGGAATTGGGTAATCATTTGGTGTATTTTACACGGGCGGGGCGATTGAGCTTGGGAAATGTCGCACTCCTAGATCACCCCAATCTTCAACAGGTTCAAGTAGAGGGCCTCACAGCATTCTACCTTCTATCCACTGCACAAGTGAACAGGTATGTTCCCGTCCAACAGAATCTTCCCTCATCCTGTCTTTCTCTCTCTTCCGACATCCCCTTTCATAATTTTTTTTTCTAATCCTGCGGACTTTGCGGTTCTCACAGGTCCTGGCGAATGATTGGAATCGCGATTCGATCGGCAGTGGCTATGGGCCTGAATCTTCGTAGCGAAAGTGACGATGTTCCTCCTCTGTCAAGAGAGAGTAGATATCGTGTGTGGTGGGCGCTGTTTATGCTGGATACATTGTTGTGTGTCATGATCGGCCGTCCTCCCAGTACTGGTGACAATTTTTGCACGACACCCCTACCGATACCATTTCTCGAGGAAGACTTCGAGAATGAAGAAGTGAAACAGCTCATCATGGATTACAGCATTCGACAGAACCTGCTAAAACCACTGGTCACCCAACTTCATTATTCGCCTCAACCAAGTCACCAGACTATTGACTCCCTGTCACCGGCTAGTTTGCTTGCACCGGGAAAGGCAAAGCAGCCTGCTCAGGCCTCCCCTGTGTCTATTGAGAACATCATCCCCAATATCTCATTATACTTCTTATATGCGGTGGACTTGACATTTCTGATGCGGGAGGCTATTGAGACTCTGTATGCGCCCGGCGCAACGCGACGGTCTTGGCTAGAGATGGAAAATGCAATGTCTACATTAAACAACACTGCTGACAACTGGCTCTCTCGTCTACCTACAGAGTTCCAATTTACGAAATTCGATAGCGATCAACCATTCGCACTCCAGAGGGTGAGCCTCAGCTTCCAATTTTACACAACCAAACTCGTTATCGCGCAACCCTGCCTTCGCCGCCTTGCCCACCAACCCGTTGGGGATTCACCCTCTGGATCTATCTGCGATACAATGGCATCTATGTGCGTACAAGTTGCCCGAGATATGCTTTCTCTTCTCCCAGATGAGACAGACATACATTTGCTATATCAGGTCTCCCCATGGTGGGGTATTCTGCACTACATGATGCAGTCGACTACTGTTCTCCTAATTCAGCTGTTCATGCGCACTGAACCTGGTACTACGGAGGCAGTTGGGCTTACGAAGGATATCCAGAAAGCTATTCAATGGTTAGGTGAAATGGCTAAACGTGATGCCTCTGCTCGGCGAGCTCTGTCTGTTTGTATGGATATTCTTTCGCAGCATGGCCAAAAATTTGCCATGGAGATCGATTGACAACCAGCTCTAGGTACTATGCCTCCGGACTCCAGCTATTCTGGTATGGCGATCCTGGAGCTCACATCTGCTCTGTCTCTGCTCTGTCTCCACTATTGAACACGAGATTGAGATTCAGGCAATCTGATTTTCGTAGCCCTTTCTCTTCGTGGATATTGCCTCTTCTCGTATCCTGAATCTCTCACGTGTCCCTGGGCTCTAGTCATTTCTGTTGTGCCACTGTGCCGCTGATTTGTTCCTGTTTTGTACACATCTGCATCTATCGAGCTAATTTAGCAGAGACTGTGGACCCTTGTCCCAGCTTTCATTCTCTTTTTAGAGTCTGTCAGGGGGCCATCATTTTATCTGATGATTTCCTGATTTCCTAGTAACTACTCCGTACAACACTTACATCTCCACCCTTGGGTACCGGCACAGGCACTAATAAGCCCTCATATGGGTCCTAAGTTGCTAATAATGATGAATACAGGACTCAATCGACAGATCGGAGCTAACCAATGAAATTTTTGAATATTTTTGAATATTTTCAACCCACTTTCCCAAATGCACCAAAAGTACCGAATAAGGAAATATGCTCACCATTTGAAATAAAATTTCTTCACACTAAACAGTTCTATCTACTCCATCATATCCAATCAGAATACTTCAACATTCGAATGTATCCATGCATGACTCGATCTTGGACATAACATTAAGAAACTGGGAAGAGACCAATGAAAGTATCGGTTGGTCCCGGCTAAAATTCCCTTATATACAACACCAAGACATAACCTCGGGATTTGATGCCCCATATGGAGCATTCATCGGGTTCCTGAAACAATTTATTGTTAAATTGCAAAATCAGCACTTATGAACTGAGGAAATGAGCTATCTGACTTTGAGAAATCCGGTTTTTTTTTTAACCTGGGTTTTTTGGTACTTGATATTACTAGCACCAACTTGAACCCTGGTACCTCCCGAGGTTGGATCGAGATCCGATATCCCAGTACTGATCGCAAATCCCGTGCAAATCCTGCGAGCACGCGATACAAGTAGTACTACTAGTACATGTACTAAGGCGATCATAACTGATTAGTGGAAACATTATTCATAGCCTAAAGTAGGAACATTCAATGTGATGTCTCATATGTAATATTGAACCTTATCGAACTCTATTGAGCCTCTACTCCGTACTGTGAAAGATTAAGAGTAAAAAATGAACTCAAACTATTAAAGAGCCTAGTTAAATGTGCACTTCATGAGCTGCATTAACAGAGCTCTAGACACACAACCCACCCATTCAAGCAAAAGACCAACACCCAGTATAATTCACAAAGAAACTATCAGGATCATACTTCTTCTTAATCTCCTGCAACCTGGAGAATGTTGAGAAAGTCTGTAACGGATTCTGATCATAATTCGCATCATTGATAAACAGAGGCAAACCCTCGGCATTGCCTGTCTCCTTTACCATATCCCGATAACTGGCTTGCACAGCATCATAATCCGCTTCACTCATACCCAAAGGCGTAGAAATAAGATAATTCAACCAGAAATATGGCCCATCAGGCATTTGCATCGCATTCTCACCTTGCGCTTTACTAGCATCTGTGAGGCTTTTCGGAACAGGTTGGAAATCCAGGGAGAGAAGCTCATAGCTCCCCTTATTCGACTCTGCCCAGTTTCGCCACCCATCTAGCGCGTTAGCGTACGAGTTATTTCCTGGTCGATGCACCCCAACACGGAACATGTTGTTTCCGCGAGAGATTTCAGCTGAGAATGGGATGGGCATGTTGACTACCTCCGTATAGGTCTTGATACCAGTTGTATCGAGTAAAGCAGAGATATCGGTGAAATTCTTGAATGCATCACCTGGATCTGGACCATTGTAGACGAGGAACATGATGATAGCTTCGTCGAGATTCAGATCTAGGTCTGGAGTTGGTAGTTTCTCGTAAGTACCGATAATGGCAGCTTTGGGATCAGTGTTGTATTCTATGAAGTCTCCGATCGCTTCAACAACGGAATCCGTTTGATCAAATAGGTAAATCAGATTCCCAGCCCAGAACTCGCCAATAGGTCGACTCTGTACCGTGTACTTCGTCACAATCCCATATGCGTTTCCGCCGCCACCACGAGATGCGAAGAATAGGTCTGTGTTTGTCTCGTTGGAGGCTGTCACAATCTGACCATCTGGTAGGACGATTTCAAGTTCACGGAAAGAATCACACGCCATGCCATATTGAGGTGATAGGTAGCTCATCCCACCACCCAGCGCAAGACCAGTCCCAACGCCTGCGAGTCGCGCACCGACAACTGTGCGATTCCATTCCGCGAAATATTCATATACATCGCCGAAGACACCACCAGGCTCATACGTGGCCAGTGTTGTTTCCTCATTGTAGGATTTCGCTGTCATATTACTCAGATCCAAGAGCACGCCCTTATCAACCGAGGAATAGAACGTGTTTGGATTATGGCCACCTGCTTTGATCGCAAAACGACTACCAGCGGCGCGAATCGCCTGAATAGCCACAGAGACATCTTGAGCGGAATCAGGATAAACAATGCAGGTAGGCTTATAGTCATCCTGGAGAGTATTCCAGTATTCGGTGCTTTCAATATAACTCAAGCTCAGCTCATTACTTTCGACTTTGGATGAGCTTAATTGAGTGCTTATATTTGAACAAGCTGATGCACCTGCAGTTGCTGCTGCAGGTACTGCTATACCAGCTATCAATGGTAAGAGGGCTTGAAGAGATAGCATTGCGATGATATGAGCTCGAGGGATGAGTGGTCAACATACAAGACAAAAGAGGCACATCTACAGCTCTTTAATAGGGAAAATTCCTTCTATAGTCCTTCTGTTATTTTACATTCACATGAATCTGTGATGAAGTTAATGAAAAAGGAGAAGGAAATATCCTCGGCATGGATAGATGGGAATACGATGGTCTTCGAAATTGGAAATCCTTACCTGAAGGGGTTCAGGTTGTTGGCGATCATACTCTCACATGGGCCACGCGAACCCCCGAGCTAAACCATTTGGAGCTTGGGGCGTTCGCAACGGTTTAGCTTGGAGATCAACCCGCGGTTCCCCAAAGATATCACAATCCTTGTCGGTTTTTTGCGGGGAACTTTCTCCATCTGGTTTAGGGGTCGGCATTGTCAACCTTCTCTCCACACGGAAGACCCTTTCCCAAATGGCCTGATTTATAGCTAATATCGACTCGGAATTAGAGAATGGGAACATACATACTAAGAGGTATGATTGTTATTCAAGATGATCTCATAGACCATCGTATACATAGCGTATGCAAGTAGCAGGTCCAAGTCCTGGCCCCTAAACCACCACCATATCCACCTGTACAAAGGAGCACTTCTATACAACCCTGGGAAAGTGCTGGTAACTAATATTGACTTTGGTCCGGATTTATTATTATCTAATTTTCCGATTTTCGATTTATCTGATCTCAAATCATATCCATAGTAAGGACAATGCGTGCCTGAGTGTGTGCCATACTGACGTATGCAGTACTAGCTAGTAGCTGTATTACTACTTAGACCCACTGATATCCCTGTAGGGCGCTATGATACTAGGGTCCCCACTGGCAGGTCGATATAAAGTCTACCAAGGAACATTTTCCAAACAACGTGCGCGATTATTGAATGGGATTATATCTCAAACCTGAATCATTCATGGGTCCTTGAGCTACTATCCACTCAGCGTAGATTAAGATAAGAAATAGTCCAGCAAATAGGATATCAAAAAAATTCAAGCCGGTATTCTATATCAACGATATTCCCTGGGAATGTCTTCCATGACAGGCAACTCAGAAGGAACTCCTTTATCCGGTTGTTTCACGGAATATGCCTGATAACTAGGAGATGTATCTGGCAATTCCACAACTCCACTCTTCCTATACCCTTGATCATGCTGATAATAGTTGGGAGCAGCCCGAGGCCCCGAAGAAGAAGAGGAGATAGATCCCCACCGCGACATTCTAGTCGGCGACTGCGGTAACTCAGCCGAAGCCTGAGGAATATGCGTCTGTACCTGAAAAGGAGTCGTACTTGTCCGATCAGCTGGATTAAACGTCCTCAACTTCCCATCCTGAAACATAGCCTGCAAGACACCCGCATCGAGAAGCTCAGCCTTTTTAATCAACCGTTCAACAAGAACCTTCGACGCGGCTTTTAGTTGACTCTTCACAAATGACATCAGCGTCATATTGCATCTGATCTCCACCTCTTCAAGAAGATATAGTCCGCTTTCCGGGACACCTAATGGGCGGGTTTCCTTCGGATCGGGTTCCTCATGCGGCTCATTCCCTGCGACTCGCCATTTGCTCTTCAGATCGATGCCCATAGGCGGGTATGTATGTGTTTTTAGCCCCCAGGGAACATTTTCGAAGCAGCCCTTGAAACTGATTTTTCCTGAGCCCATTTTTCCGAGTCCAGGGACGTATTGGACTCGCTGGATTATTTCATACCATGACGAGTAGTATTCATCTGCGTTTGCATGGCGAGGGGCCTTTATCGGGTGATGAGAGAGGACGAGCGGGCTCAGTGTGATGATTTCACTGTGGCTGTGTAGGATGTCGAGGGCTAACTGTCGGGGAACACTGGAGGGGAGGAGGGTGATGTTTGTGTATAGTTCTTTTCTTTGCATCATTCCAAGGTTTCAAATGTTCTGAGAAATCTTTATTTGAATGTAAACTGAAATTTGATCCAGGTGGAAGGGGAGGATAAATTTTGAACTTCAAATCAAATGTTAGTGGGGTGAGCAAGAGAGCCCTCCAGGGCTGAAGATGAACATCCGTAATTCCTCGTATTCTTGTGCTTACGGCGATCATCTCCAACTTTTATAGGGCGCTGCAGGTTCCACATGCTGACGGCGTACGAAGTTTAACGATTGAATAATCTAAACTAGATACTGTGATTGGTCTTATGGATGTCCTGGATGTATTTTCCGGAGTTAGAATCGTTGAAGATTTATCATTCAGGGTTTCTATTAATATATTTAAACTTGATACACATTGGCATGTGTACTGGCAGTTTCGAACTTGAATTCAAGTTTTAAGCGATTGTAAATCCCAGTGGATACGAGTCTCAAGTTCAAGTTCAAATCCATGTTGATTTTTGACCGTCATTTTTTGAAAAGTATCGGAGTTGTGTGATGGGTATTATTATTTTGTTTTCTTTTTTTAAAAAAGAAAAGACATGATCAGAAGAGGAAAAAAATCAAGCCTCATATGCTCATCATGATGACACTGCAATTATCATTATAGAAATATTTTCTAAATTTTCACTATGGCGTGAGCTCCGTGTCACAGCAATTTTAATCAGTGTAGCCATCTATAGCTCATGACATGTGTACAAGTTCTCAGCTTCACTCAAAAAGGTATCAACAGGATGTAGCAAACCAAGATCAATATCAGACTGAGCCAGGAAATCCTGCATGGTCGGCTCCAAGAACGCCATCTCAGTGGTGTACCCACTAGTTGTGTCTCTTGTTGGCAAGGCATTCACCTCGGCACTGCCATGTAGCTGTCCAGCCAACATATCATTTTCATTCGGTAGCATATGGGGTGCTGCGAGAATATTCGGAAATACCGTCGATGAAGTCCCCATCGGGATTGACGATGGTACAGAATTTGTATTCAGAGCAGGACCAAGGCCAGGGACGGTAGTATTAATGTTTGTTTGGATAAGGCCTGGTGTAGGTTGTCGATGGGCTTCTAGCACCGTTTCACTATGTCGCGATTGATTCGAGGTGTTTGATGGATAGTTATCAAGGCATAGCTTCACCTGCTCAAGATTATGATAGAACTCGGCAGCTGCCAGGTTTCCATTCTCAGTCATCGAGCGCAGTAGATCTAGTGCCGAATCAAACCCACTCATATCAGTTGGGTTTCCGATTGGAACGAAGCTTGACATGGCGAGAATCAATGCTGAAGAGAAAAGGTAGTGGGCGTGAAAGTAGCCGAATGTAGGCATTGTACCATTAATCCAACGCGTAAGGATCATCGAGTGGGAATGTCGGGCTGCGTGGATACATGCCTCACTGAGAGTTAATACAGGCTGTGACACTACTTCTGGACCTGCGTCTGTGGATTCTGCTTTGCGAAGAGTAATGAGGAGATGAAGGAGAGTCGGTCGTGTAGTCAAGATGATACACTGGTTGAATGCCATGTGCAACGAGACAAGAGGTTTCTTGCTAGATTCCAGATCTTCCATATTCAATCGTAGACTCTCCGGTAGTGTTTCCACCCAGTTTTTGAGGGCCTTGAGGAGTTTCTGCACGCGTTGTAGGAATGTTTCTTGGTATTTCCGACGGCTGTAGAGTTTCGTGATTGTTTCACCAACTATCCGAGCTAGTTTGATGTTGGCTGTCATATATTCCGGATCTGACAACTCTTCTTCATGTTTCCATTGCGGAGAAATAGTGCTTGGCATGTCGACGTGAATGTCTTCATCGAGGATTTGCATGGGTAAGCCCATTTTGGAGCCCCACATACGGTCGAAAATGTATATTGTCCACCAGATTTCGATGCGATGCTGTCGTTCAACGGGATCAATGAGTTGAGACTCAGGGATATTATGATTAAGACCTATCGTTAAGCTCAGTCGCATGACTGTTCCAATTAATCCGTACGCAGAGTGACGTCGGTTGAGGTAGTAAGAAAACAGAGACTAGAAGATGTGTGAGCCCATCGATGAACAAGCAACATTGACTCAAGCGACCAATTCAACTCACCAGCAATAACAGAGTCTCCAGATGAGTAACACTCGTTCTCTCCGGAAGAATCTGAACCAAGTTCATAGCCTTTGCAAAGTAAGCCGTTCCAGGCACTCGGGATCCAGAGGTAGACTCCGAACGAATGGAATAAGCCTGCCCAAAAGCAAATAGAGCAAAGAACTTGCACTTATTCGTCAAGCAGTCAAAGTCACCTGTGAGGTAGATCTCTTCCAACTTATCCAAGGTGGCTTTCCGCATCATGAGATGATACAGGTATCCAATCTGATGGATCGCAATCCTGACGAGTAGTCGAGCATGATGCAGACTGGGCCATTGGACATCTGCCTCATTCGCAGCAGCAGCGATCGTCTGTTCACGCGTCCATTGTGTTCGGGCAATATGTGCCAACGCATTGTTCCCTGTTAAGAATCGGCGAAATCGCGTTGCGAATGCCGAACATGCTGCTTCGCCGATGTAGATAGGCGGGGAAGACGGGTCGTACCGATGAAACCAGGCACGATCGCCTATGAGTGGGTTCTGGATACTTGTGGCGTCCGGAGCCTCCACTGGACGGGACGCCGTGCTAGAAACTGATAAGTACGGGGTATCTTGGTGTTACTGTTAACAGAATACTACATACTGTTCCGCTTGTGGAGGATCTCGGGTTTCGGTGGCATCGGCCGAGGTGACCGATTGCTCTTTCAAACGCCGATTCTCAGCCACGAGCTGCTCAAGATAACTGTATTCGGTGATCGTCAGCCCTGTCAAAAAAAGCAGCTTAACCATAAACTAGATTTCGCCCGGTGTTTCGAGTCGAGGATCGGGCCGTCATACTTCTCACTGACTTTGACCTGACGATCACGAGGCGCAAAGGTACATTCATCCGCAACGCCTACAGAAGTGCATTTAGTGCATGGCTGTGTACCGGAACATTTTATTTTATGTGTATGGCATCGCTGGCAACTGTATTGTTGATTAGTGGCTCGGTCTTGCAAGGGGTTGAAGTTCGGCCCACGCACGCGACAAACTTTCTCCTTTGCTGTCGGCTGTCATCTGTATCGGTGGAATGAGGCCGCTTTTTTAGCCCTGTGCTTCGTGTCATTGTGTCAGGCCCATTATCACCCTCGGGATTGGTCGATGAGAAAGAAGGAGTGGTCGTGCCACTCAGGAATTCCTTGTCGGTAACGTTTCAAATCAGCCGAGATATCGGAGTTCCTCGCCGAACCTTGGTACTTAGACCAATCAGATCAGTCTTATTGAATAGTGGAATCTCGCATTGAACCCTTGATGATCGGATAGAAGACCGTGTGGGATTATTATGCATGATGATCGCGTGGATCTTTATTATGATGTAGTAGAGCCTTGACAAATAGGAAAAATTGCATTCACCACTCTGTTATACCGGATATCTGAGAATTTCCATTTTTTCTCATATTAGAACTAAGATCTTGGCCTGGTAAAAGAATAATAGTTGATCAAGATATTATTGAATACCAAGTGAAATAAATCAGAATAATCTCAGACATCATCTTCGCTCCCGAAATTCAAATGTTCTATATCTATATGCTGTGGGTCTATTTTCAATCATAAATGGCATCTCATCATAATCATGATCATGTCGGCTTTGCTTCGATTCCAAATTTCCCTTCCACCCATCGCTGCATATCAACACCCCATCTGGTAATGATCCAGACGTTGACACCTCCAAGCAGGGCAAAGAAAACGCCTAATAACGTGTCAGACTCATAATTCACTAAGCCTCTGCTCAAGGTAAACTTACAGATCGTAAATGTCCATCCAACGCCTATCGCCCCGATCAAGGGGTCAACAGCAGCGGTAGAACCAGCCGAAAAAAGATACTGTACGACATACTTTCCACTGATTACCTCGGAACGGATATGTGGCATGACCTCTATAATATCTTTAGTAGAAGATCCCTGATTTTAATAGACCATATGCCGGTTTGCAAGGACCTACCCGCTGAGTATGTATTTAATCCATTGAAGGAGCCCATGAGTCCAATGGCCGCAAAGAACGCAGCAATGATTGGTACAGGCATACCGCCTACCCCCTCTTCTAGGGTCCAGGAATATATCAAGATACCGATGGGTAGAACTAGAAACAGTGTGGCCAGACCACTGTTGAGTCGATCTTGAGGGAGACGGACACCGTTGCGCTTGACGATCCATTTTCGTACGGCTCGATCGGATAATCTGCCGCCCAGCACACTTCCGATGAAGAATCCAATTCCTGGGGAGAGGTAGAAGAGACCGCTAACTAGTGGTGAGGTTAGGTTGAAACGGAGATCGAAGATGGAGCGGGCTGATGTGAGGAGAGCATATTGAAATGTTGATAGCAATCCACAGGTGAAGTGCTATTTCTTGTTAGCGTGGACCAACATTTGAAGTATGGTAAACGGGATACATACGCAAAGGAAAACATTTGGATAAATGAAGGGGCCGAAGATGCGGAGGGGGTTGAACATGCTTAGAATAAAGGATATGGTACGAGCAGGCTTGTTCTCTTTCTTCGTTTCGAGATTCGGGACGAAAAGAAGTGAAAGGACGAGACCGAGTGCGGTCATGCCGAATTGAAGCCAGTAGATATTGCGCCATTGAGAGTAAGTAACGATAATGCCTCCGATACAAGGACCTGGATATAGTTAGTTATATACGACAATATAGAGTCTATATGTTAGAACATACCAATCGCAGGCCCGCTAACAGATCCGACCATCATAAATCCCACAGCAGTTCCACGCACAACCTAGAACGAGGTTGTCAAAAATTGCACAATGGATCACTGGCACAGGCATCTGGGGATAAAACTAACCGGTTCAAAGATATCCGCAATAATGGTTTGTCCCGCGACCATGAAGAAAGTACCAGTGAAACCACTGAGAAGACGCATCGCAATAAACATATGCAAATTAATTGAGGCAGCTGTGCCGGCAGAGCAAGCACAGAGGACAATAATAGCAGCATTATAAGCTACCCGTCTCCCCCAAACATTAGTGACAGGTCCCCAAATAAATGAGGAACATCCCATAGCAATGAGTACCCCCGCATTGATAACATCGAGAATTTCCGATGTTGTTGAAAATTCATTTGCGATTTCTGGCGTTGCTGGTAGTAAAGATGTGCTAGAAAATGTTACAGCGAGAGTCATCCAACTGACAACGAATAGAATTAAGCATTTTCGCCAAAACGGTATAGAGTAACCAGATGATTGTGGATGTGGCTTGGGCTTGAACTCTTCCAAATCTGAATCAAGCGGGGAATTGAGTTGCGGTAAAGGCTTTTCATTCTCAACTTGGGTTTCTAAGTCGGATGCCATGCTGATAAAGCACTTGAGCTTGAATAATTTTATAAAAACCCCAAAATCGCACAGTAATTACTCTCACATGAGTTAATTCACCTTTCTATTCTCTAAAATAAAAATTTGGGCACTTTTGTATGTTGGGTTTCTCGGCATGATGATCCTGTGGCCGAAGCCGGTGTGGGTCTTGAAGTTTTTTTTTTCTTCTTCTTCTTCTCCCCGATGTGGAGATTTGGAATAATTTTATCGGGATCAGGCTCGTTTACCGATATTGAATACCCTCATTTGAATGGTCCGGGAATATTCTCAGATTTTATCTGGGGCATCTAGAATCACAGTGAACTGTGCTGTTCCTGTTGACTCCACATTACTATATTAGTCTAGATAGCTTGAACCTCAGGGTCCAGATGTCTGATCAGGACCCTTGAAATGGATCAAGATCTAGGCTACTGCGGAACTTGAAAACAAAGCTAGCATTATGCAGATATTCAAGTTATGAACTCCAATATCAGAATGCTCAAGTGCTGACCGCTACTTGAAAGCCAAGCTTTATAGCCAAGCCCATCCAGAATTAACTCTATCAACAATATACTCACCACATATGTACGCATTAACGTTTCACGTCGCCCTCGGAATAAGAATTAATCCTTGCCAGCCCTGGAGTGCACATTTCAGCTGCAGGTCAGCTGAAGATGACGCGGCTTCCCTAGAGCTCGGCAAATCACAGCGTGGGCCGCCAAGACAGCTCCTTGCTCATAGCCGCATCTCGTAAAAGGGGGAGAAGCTCCTCCTGCACGAGCTTCCTATGAGCGAAATTTGCCAGGGAACTCCTCATCATGGACGTGAAGGAAGTAAAGGACGTTGAATCGCCCCAGGCTGTCACCAGAGATGGTCCAATCCATGAAGAGCATCTAGTGCTGATTCCTCAGCCTAGTACCCACCCCCGCGATCCCCTGGTATGTCGTGCTGCAGGATGATTATCGCGAATCTACGGAGATATTAACCGAATTTCCCAATACAGAACTGGTCCTTGAGACGGAAGTATCTCATCGCGGGTGTACTATGCCTGGCTTCTTTCTCTGGTGCGGTTGCTCCGTTATCGGGTCAGCTCAATCTTGCTGACCAGGAGGCGCTTTATGGCAAGTCGAAGTTGCAAGAGTCTTATGCGGTATGATATTATCTCCCTTTCTATTATTTCTGCACCCATGATATCTGGTTTTTCATATATCTTCATTTTTATTTATTCCACGCGAAAATACGAATACGTCTAATCCTCTCCAGAATTCCGCCGCCTTGGCGGGTATGGCAGCGGGCCCATTCTTCTTTGCGCCTCTCTCCCATATCTTTGGCCGCAGCTCCGTCATCTTCTGGTGTATACTATGCACACTTGTTTGTCAGATCTGGGCGGCTGTCATGACCCACCATGACGACTATATTCCATTTATCATTTCTCGTCTATTCGCAGGTTTTTTCGGTGCAGTGCCCACAGTCCTGGGTCCGCGCATCGTCACCGACCTGTTCTACCTGCACCAGCGTGGTCGAGCATTTACTGTGCTGCACATGGCTTTCCTGTTTGGTACTATCGCAGGCCCAACCTTCTCTGGGTTTATCTCGGCCAATGCCTTCTTCCCAGTGGAATTCTGGTGGACAGTCGGTCTACTTGGCTTTACGTTAATCTGCTGTTTCTGCTTTCTTGAAGAGACCGGGTTTGACCGTGAGAATTTCGACCGCAACCCTGATATCCCACAAAATCTTGTTGCGAATCGTTTGGCGACTTTCTTCTTTGGCTCGCGCGTCGTGCTCCCAACTACTTGGAAAGAAACGGTACGTCTTGGCTTGCTTCAACTTTACCCATCTGATTTAGAACTAATTTGTCCCTATAGGCTTGGATTGGTGTGACGCCTTTTCTTATTGGTATCTGTCCTGTGACCATCATTATGGGTACCTTTACACTTATTTCCTTCGGTTTCTATGTTGGTGTCAACGCGTTGACACCGGTATGGCTTCAAAAGCCAGTTTCGGAGGGCGGCTACGGTTTCTCACTTAAGCAAAATGCTGCATTTACCTTCTGCCACTGGATTGGAATTATTATCGTCCAATTTTACGGCCACTGGCTGAATGACCGCCTCCCACTCGCACTCGCCCGTCGCTTTAATAACGGCGCCTGGAAGCCAGAGTACCGACTCCACGTCCTGTGGATCCCGAGTCTGATTCTGAACCCCATTGGACTGGGAATTTTCGGTGCGGCACTACAGTACCACCTGCATTATATGGTATTGGCCCTTGCCGTGTTCCTTGTGACAATTGGATCATTGGCTAGTGTCCCTGTTACGGTGAACTATATCGTCGAGTCTTTTACGCATTATCCTGCTGAGGCGGGTATTGTCATCGGTGCCTACCGTATCGTCTACGGACTGACAATCAGTTTCTATATCAACCCATGGGTTGCGGCTGTGGATGTTGGATGGGTTTACGGAATGATGGCTTTCTTTGCTATCTTCTCGTTCCTCTTTGTCATGCTTCTTATGTGGAAGGGCCATGCCATTAGGAGTATCCAGTTTGCCCACCTTGCATCTAGTGAGGAGGGAGAGAAGTTGATGGAGTAGAAATTGGTGATGAATAGATCATCGCATTGGGGGCTACTTGTAAAAACATCATGATGATATGGATAGCATACATTGTTCAGTAATTGATAAACATAATATAGCATTCAAATTTGGAATATAAGTTGAATGAAAAATTGGATAGAAAACTTCGACATCAAACTGATATACAAATTCTTCAAGTTTTCTGCTCATTGTCAGACCTCCGTCTCCTGCATCAGAGAAGGCAACATAGCTGCCACTGTCTGCACATCTTTATCACCTCGTCCAGAAAGACAAATCACCAAATCCTTCTCCGGTCCAAGCTCCTTTGCAATCCTAACAGCCCCAGCAATAGCATGCGCGCTCTCCAACGCAGGAATAATCCCCTCTGTCTCACTCAAGAGTCTAAACGCAGCCAAAGCCTCCTCATCAGTAGCAGAAATGAATCTCGCTCTCCCAGACTCCTTCCAAGAAGACAATTCCGGACCAACACCCGGGTAATCCAAGCCCGCAGAAATAGAATGGGTCGAACTAATCTGCCCATCCTCATCCTGAAGCACATAAGTTCTCACACCATGAAGAACACCCACACTCCCCCGACTCAGCGTAGCAGAATGTCTCCCAATATCCTCACCATCTCCACCAGCCTCAACACCAATCAACGCAACATCCTCATCCTGCAAGAATGGATAAAACATACCCGCAGCATTCGATCCACCACCCACACACGCCACAACAGCATCAGGTAACTTCCCCTCCATGTCCCGTCGAAACTGCTCTTTCGTCTCAGTTCCAATAACAGATTGAAGTGTTCGCACAATAGTAGGATATGGATAAGGTCCAAATGCGGATCCAATAACGAAATGTGTAGTCTTCAACTCCGTTACCCAGGTCCGGAATGCCGCATTCACCGCATCACGTAACGTGCCTTTCTCACCCTCCTGAGCTCCAGGAACAGGAATAACAGTCGCTCCAAGAAGTCTTATCCGGAAAACATTCAACGCCTGACGCTGAACATCCTCTGCACCCATGAAGATAGTACATTTCAGTCCGAAATGCGCGCACAATGTTGCGGTCGCAACGCCATGTTGTCCTGCGCCTGTTTCCGCAATAATAGCCGTCTTTCCAAGTCGACGTGCGAGCACAATTTGTCCAAGTGCGTTGTTGATCTTGTGACTACCTGTATGATTGAGGTCTTCGCGCTTTAACCAGATCCGTGCGCCACCAGCGTGGGCAGTTAGTCGGGGTGCAATGTGTAGACTAGATGGTCTGTTCGTGTATGCGGCGAAGGAATTGATTTCAGACCAGAAGGCCGGATCGCGTTTTGCTTTTTCGAAACCTGCCTCAAGTTCTGTGAGACATTCCATTAACGCTTCTGGGACATATTGGCCGCCGAATTGGCCGAACCGCATGTGTTTATCTGTGGATTCTGGATTTGGCTCTGTGGGCTGAGTAAGAGCTGGAGAGGCATCATTTGAGATGGTGCTTAAGGTAGGCTTGCTAGGGAGACCAATCTCTCTTGCTGTTGCTCTGCCAGACACTTGCATGCAATACTCCTTCACTTTCTCAGCGCCGGTCCCGAGAGTCGCATCCCGGAGAATAGTAATAATCTTACTACCAATCACTACACCCTCTGCCATCTGAGCAATCTTGGTATAGTGTTCTCTGGTGTGAATTCCAAAGCCAACAGCAGCTGGAACGCGATTCTCGGTATAGATGTGCACGCGCTCTAAGAGCCTCTCAAGACCTTGATCGAGCGACTCGGTGGAACCAGTAATTCCCATCTTTGAGGCAACGTAAATAAACGAGTCCGCGATCTCGCAGAGCATCTTCATGCGGGAATCTGGTGTTGCGGGTGCAACGAGTGGAACGTAGGATAATCTAAGAGTTGTTAGCCATATTCCAGATTCAACAATACACAACGTTATGTATGATGAGCATGGAAGTAGGAAAAGAATTGACTCGCCCATCTCGTTTACACAAATCTCTAAATCGCACCGCCTCCTCGGGCGGTAAATCCACAATAATAAATCCGTTGACACCTGCATTACGACAATCACGAATGATTCGCTCTTCGCCGTATGCACGAACAGGATTATAGTATCCCATAAAGAGGACCGGAGCTGTAAGCCCACGTGCACGAGCAGTACGAACCATATCCAGCATGCTTGGGATACGGACACCATTTCGGAGTGCAAGGGCATTGGAGTTTTGGATTGTTATTCCGTCTGTCAGAGGATCTGTGAATGGGATTCCGAGCTCGATGATATCTAATTTGGCACTTCAAGTTAGTACTTGTGGATCAGTTAAGAAGAGTGAAAAAACTTACCCGCGCCACCGGCTTGCATTGAGAGCATTATATCAGCTGTTTCAGCGATGCTGGGGTACCCGGCTGTCACATATGTGACCAACGCGGCGCGTTGCTCTGCTTTGCATGTTGCAAAGACTTGCTTGATTGCTTCCATTGTGTATGCTACTTAAGCTCAGGTGCTTCAACTCGCTGAAGAGAAAATGTAGCCAGCAAAGCGAAGAAGGAAGTTGAGGAGATCGATGAAACTTGTGAAGCATAGTCGAGGTACCCATCTCCTTTAAATATTCTCCATATTCTATATTTCTGCTCAACTGTGAGTCAGAGGTATGTCGAGCCAGAATCTGGATAAAGTGGGACCGTCGATGTATAGAAGGATCGGATGCTAGGACCTTACATGTCTTTACTCGATGAATTATTGGTCAATTGCCAGTGGGAGTAGAATCCGCAACCGATCTGACCTGATCCACTCTTTTTCACTATATTTTCATTCCTTTATGCTGTGAAATATGAAAATTTGGGTCTTCAATTACAGTATACTAAATTTAAAGGTGTAAGATCAATTAAGTTTCGTTATATTCTAGGCCATCGAGTCGAGTCTTGTAGCACTTTAGATGTATTCAAGTAGAGGTTGTTCCCGCCAGCGGATCAATAGGAACTTGGACAGTGCATCATCCCCTGATCATTTGGAATACCTATTTTCAACAATCTGAAGGAGTGAACTTTTCCTGATTAAAATTGAAATTCCATTTCAATCTCGCATAGCTATTATCGCAATGACTCACTTCTTAATATAAAGAAAATGAAATGCGAAAAACTACACAGTGGAGATTATAGTGGCGGCCCGCGTGTCGGTTCCGACCCGACGGCGGATAATGCACTCAGCTCCCGACATCTGGACATGAAGTACTTATTATGGACTTGACTCATCTCTGACCATTGAATGATGAATAAGAATCAATTGATACTATGAAAAGATGCTGAAATAACTTCAGTATTTAGAGCAGCTACATGGACGCCCTCAAGTTATAGTCCAGGATATTTTGGTTGTGGTGAATTCAACATGGATTTGAACATTGAAGCTGGTAAGTATACCAGTTGACTGCTGTGTCAAACTTCAAACTTGCAGCTTGTCCAGATGAAGCTAGGACCACCTGTCAGCACTTGAGTGTACATGTGGGCATTGAAGCTCTAGATGTCGAGACAAACTACAACTTGAACCAGTTGACTTAAACCTTGGAATCATCAATTGAAGATATTGGTGAAAATTGATGTTAAGCATTACGCAATTGTAAAGTAGCTATGGAAATGGATAAGATATACGATTCACTTAGATCAATATTTAAAAAGAAACACCGGCTTGCTATTGACCAGAAGAAAGATTATATATGAACAGTTTACCGAACAAGTGACGAGTACAAGAAAAGGCGCCATTTTGTGCGTCTGTAAAGCAATGGCTAATACATGGGGGCACCGGGGGGGATTCAAATCACATTGCAAATAGAAAAGAAAAAAAAGTCAAATATTCTTGAGCTGATTTACAGCACGATCATGAAAGCACCGGTGGCCAAGGCAACCAGGGCGTAGAGACCAGTCTGCCACGCGCCAACGTGGACAGCCTGGGGAATGTTGAGGGCACTACCAGCACCCTTGGAGGTGGAGGTAGAGGAGCCACCGGAGGCGTTGAGGGAGCCAGTGACAGTGCCGGTACCAGCGGTACCAGCGGCCGCGAGCTGGGAAGTGCAAGAGCTAGCAGTGGTAGCGGACTTGGTAGAAGCAGCACCGCTGAAGTCACAGGCGGAGGCGGACTTGCCGTTCTTCTTGTAGTACTGGTCCATGGCCCAAGCAAGACGCTGGTTGGAGTCACAGGCGCTGTAAGAACCGTACTGGCCGGAGGTAGCGTTACCGGTAACACCATCCATGATACCATCAACACCACCGAGGAAAGAGTAGACACTGGTCATCTTGCTGGTGGAGATGCCGTCAACAGGAACACAGGTCAGAGAGTTGTACATGCAAGAGCAGAGGTCAGAGTCAATGGAGGGAGGCAGAGAGCTGGCAGCAAGCCAGTCAGCGTCAACGGTAGGGCAGCTACGGCCAACGGTGGTGGAGACAGTGTAGTCGCTCATGGCAACACCAGTAGGGGTGGCCTTCTTCATCTGGGAAGAGAGGTTGGCGAAGTCTTGCAGAGTGGAGACGGAAGTGCCGGAAGTAGAGACCAGACCGTAGTCGTTGCCAGTCTCGAAGTACATGTAGACGATACCACCGCTCCAGACGTCCTCCATGTCGGGACCGAAGAGAACGGGGACATCAGTGAAGGTACGGGGGCTGGGGTTGTTGCAGCCGTACTCGGAGAAGAAAGCAGGGACAGGGTAATCGGCGAACTCCTCAGTACGAGCCTGGTATCCGGAGGTCTTGAAGCTGGAGTCACCGCACCACTCGTAGATGTTGTAACCAAAGAAGTCGATGGAGTCGGAGGCATCGTCACAGACCAGGTAGTTGGCAATGTTCTCACGGACAGTGGCATCGTCGTCGGTGGCGTAACCAATGGACAGAGTGTCACGGTATCCCTTCTGCGAGATGTATGTCTTCATATCACGGACGGCAGCCTTGACGTAGGCCATAGAGTTGGTGTTGTTGACGGCGTTGGCAACCTCGTTTCCGGCGAAGAAACCAATGACGTTGGTGTAGTTGGCAAAGGCATCAATGACAGAAGAGTAGCGGTCAAAGATATCGGCGTTCCACATAGGGTCGTTCTGCTCAATGGACTCATCGGGAGACGACAGATCACTGATAACGTAGATGCCAGCGTCGGCAAGGGCGGACATACACTCATCGTGGGAGGAGTTGGGGTTGACGGCGTAGGTACGAACGACATTGGTACGCAGCTGGGTCAGGTAGGGGATATCACGCTTGCAGCTCTCGGCGTCGGCCAACGGGTCAACATAATTGTCGCTGGAGTCACCACCGTTTCGGCCATCATAGTCGGCCTGGTACGCAACACCACGAATGTAGAACTCTGTACCATTGGGGTAGAAAAACTTCTTTCCCTTGATCTGAATTGAGGGCAGCGTAGTGGCCATGGCCGATCCCAGGAGGGACAGGCCCGCAACGAGTGAGTACTTCATTGTGAACGAGCGTCAAAGTGCGAATAGAAATGAACCTAATAAACGAAAGACAGGAAGGGCAATGAAGCCGTTCTAGGAAGAGTAAAATTGAGGATGAGGAAAGGGAGAAGAAAAAAAACGAATGAAGAGAGGAAGAAGAGGTTGAAAAGAAGGGGAGTACAGGTCTGGGCCGAGAAGGGGGGATTACAATACAAACAACTTCTCACCTACCACCCGAGCAATCCGATGTACCGTTTGGACCAGGGGTACTTACCTCCACACCCAGATTTTCCTATTAATTCCAGGTCACTTTTCTCCATTGAGTTACATCTGGACAACATCTTGTACCAGTATGGTAATAATGCATCGTCAAGTGGGCTGTGCTAGTGGGCTCCGCACATCAATGGAGCCGGTTGACTGTCAAAATGAAATGATTGGCATGGATCCAGCCTCGCAAAGGATGATTCTGAGACTGGATTATATCCAGGGGATCAGGGTCATTCAGGGTCATTCAGGGTCATTGGTCCCTGAGCTCCACTTCTCATTTATTCTGGAGTCTTATTGATCGTTTCAGTATCCCTAGTGGATCCTCTTAATCCCACAGCGCCCATGACCCTGCATGGCTCTGGCGCTCTTTTCCCTGAGACATCACATCCTCCACCGCGTATTCGCTAGTAATTCGCCAAGCCGCCTCGAGCCCCATATTTCGGCATTATTGGACCCTGACTGGGCCGCTCCAGGGTCTTAGAGGGTCCAATTTCTTGGAGGCCCGCGGTTCTCCACAAATGAAAAGACCCTGAATGGCCAAAGGGTCCAGGATCCACTTTTTGATACACACTTCCTGTTCTATGCGCGAATTCGATACATACGAAAATAAATAGAACAGGAGAAAACAAAAAAAAATCCATTGCTTTATTCGGTGCATACATGGAACACGGTTCATAACGGAAAGTTTCTAAATGCCAGATCATCCCCATATTCATCCCCTTTGCACGGGTGAATCGCGACACAAAAAAGCTTGACTTGAATTGCCAAGGACGATCCATGTTGCCATGATGTCGAAAAGAATGTCAACTGCCATAGCGTGGCCGGGACATTTTCTAAGACTTGATCCATGTGTGTCATCAATGCTGACACCACCTGGGTAACACCAGATCTCCCACCTGGGCAGGTAATTCGTCGTCGGGATTGGGATCCAAGCAGAGACTCGGATACACTGCTTACACAGATCATCTGTACCCATGGAGACCACAAGCATCGATGATCTCGCATTTTCCAGAAAGTTTGTTATGGAGATTATGGGACTGAAGATGTACTCCGCACTTCGTACTCGCATGGAGTATCCCATTCCCGAATGGGATCAATCTTCATTACTTTTTACCGTGTCCTTGTCTCACCATGTCCGATACCAGGCAGAAACGTTTTGTAAAATTTCCCCAACCCCATGTGCACAAAAGTCTGGCTCACAAATCTTACTCCGTAGGGTACGCAATATGAATCATCAAATTAAATTGTCTACACCAGCATAAACGGCGTGGAAGCTGTGGAAGCCCGGAGTGGGGGTAATTATCCCGTCCCCGAAGAGACGGCTCACCACCTCAAGGTTCTGAAATCGAGACTTCGATACTTACTGTAATTAAAAAGCCCAAATTGCGTCACTGAAAATTCCTTTGATTCGAGTCGCCACTGGTTCAAATTAGTAGGCTTTCCCGATTGTGATGACCGCCCCTGACTATCACTAGGTGTGGGTCGCGCATATCAACTACATCATTGGGGATGATCCCCTCGCGTTCAGCATTGCCACAAACATGTGAGCTACACTCGACGCGCGTACATACTATGATTTCAAATGGTGAGAGTTCTCTGAACTCAGAGTCCCGTCGAATTGAGTCAATTTATACGGTCGCATGTACGAAGTAACTACCCAATAAACCTTGGAGGGATATGGGCATGGAGTAGATGCCTTCGATCTCAACTACACCAGCTTTGGAAACCCATCAATTCTGAACTGCATGCTGGTTACTCTGTATAAAATAGCGGTTTAATTTATATCCCCCGTGCACGAGGATTGTAATAGAAGCTTTTCATGGAGTACCAATGTTCGATCCCACGAGCTTTGTCTATCTGGCTCCATTCTCGCTTGATCTGTAAGTACTAGTGCCTAGCCAAGAATCAACTTGGAATATCAAAATTACTAGTAAGGCTCCGCTGGGCTCATGTTGATACAAAACATCTTGTGCATATCCATACTGAGTTTGGAGGGGATGCTTTAGTCTAAATTTGGAACCATTCGTGGTACAACATTTAAGTATATGTACGGAGTACAGATGAAAACTCACGCAGAGCTTGAAATAGATACATAGCTTCTTCTATGAGCCTGGCAAAAGCAGATGTCCCCAATTGGGCAGAACTTCCTTTCAAGTTTGCTCCCCCGATGCTGGCTCGAACAGGTCGGTTAAATATGCGATGAAAATGCGAGTGAACACAGATCTCGGACCAAATTTCAGTAGAGTCTTCCACTAATCAGCTCCACAGCTACACTTGGGCGCTCTTTATCATGGACTCAAGTGCTACTCCATACAGGCTCGCAAAGGCGACTTGAAGGATCCTGCCTAGCAGATGGTGGGCCCAGCCCTGAGACTAAGCATGCATGTTTCCATGTCCATGTATCTAACATTTCATGCCTTTCAAATGCCGCGTCCCATGACCGCTTAGGACGGATGAAATTCAAAAATTGAGCTATTAATAAAATTTTAATGATAAGTCTTCAGATTGAATGTCACAGTGCCAGGTAGTATGTACTCTGTACTATAGATATGTCTCTACCTAAAAAACTGACTACGCGAAAGTCTACTGATTCGAAATACGAGTCAGGCCCACGGATGACACTCATCGGTCTCAGATGCTTAAATCATTCCTATTTTTGGATATCATGTCTTAATCCGAGTCTGTAGCTTCGGAATATTTTCCCGCTCAGGCAGCCTGTTTCAACTCAAGGTGTCGACATCTTAATTTGAACTTGTCTCATTCTTCGTCTCACCTTCAGGAAACAACGCCGCCAGCAGTATGCCGCTGTCTCCTCGTAACCTCTCTCCACTCCATAATCGCAGTGACAGCAATGACCCTCATATCAGGATCCAATCCCGATCGTAGCGTAAGAATTCATTTATCCCTATCAGAGGCATTGGCAGTGAAAGTAGCAACGGGATCACCGTCTTTTTCAATAACCTTGTAATCTCGCCATCCTTTCTTCAACTCTGTAGTACCCCCGACATGACGATTCTCTCCCCGCATTCTCGCCAAAATATACATTCTCCCGTTCCACTCGAACGAATAACTCTTATTCAGTGCCGTGAGTCCCTCTCTTTTCATCTCAACCCACTGCATCCGACTCTCGTCGCCTGATCCCTGACGATCAACTCCAATCTTGTATCCCGTCATCCAATGATGAAAGACATGTGCGATGGGCTTGCCATCGTGAGACAGGACCAGTTTCGGTTTCCGTCGATTGATTGAGATGTGTGAGGTGACCTGGTACACTATTTTCGAGGGATCGGTGGCAGAACTTATGAGTACATCGCCATTGTTTGGGCCATTTATATCCTCGGATAGGATCAGAGTTTCGCCATTGGAGATGGTGGAGGGCGCGATAGAGGGGTGAGCAATTTCATCCTCAGAGGGCCTGTTATCGGGTTCAAGTTCTCCTTCCATTTCAATTTTCATCACAAAATATCAGGGCGGAGTTGACCAAGTTTCCAGGTGAAAACAATGGTCAAATGGCCGGTGCCAGAAAGTTGGTGTGGTCGCGGTGTTGGTGTCGATCTTTTTACCGTTCTAAGCTGACTGGTCATGCGGGTTCAAATATTCAGGTTGGTAAAGAGCCTTTAAGTTGAAACTTCATTCTCAATAACTGGCACAAGTATGGGACCTTTAAGTATTCGGCATTCAAATATCACTTTTGAGCCCTGGAGCACTGCCAGTATGTACTAGTATGTAGCGCGACATAAGTATATATCGGGTTAGCGCGCATCAATTCAACCCCGGGCCAATGTTCAACTTGAAGTTGGAACTTGAAGTTGATGTGCACTGGTATGTCACAGTGTTACTAGTACTAGTAGTCCATAATGACATTCAAGTTTGAATGAAAATGGATCATATGTGGATATCGCATCTGATACTGGATCGCGGTATATCATGACCTGATTGACCTTGCATTTAATAGTCGAATGTTGAGTGTAAATGTCAACTGGTGAGACCGCGTCATGATAGTTTGATCATTCAAACCTGGGAATGTATATGTTCGGCAGAATTACTACTGGCAATAACCTGAATCTACTAGTCCTACTAGCAGTAGAACCATCTGTATTGACTAGTACATAGGGTGTTTGATCAGCTATAAAAATGTATTCTGTCAATAGATTTCAAGTTCGTGCATGGAGAACATTGTGCCTAGAATTCGCGTTTAGAGCGCGCGGGAAATGACTCGGTTTCAATTGATCTCAAGTTGGGACTGGGGCATCTTGAGGCTCACCTTTATGCATGAATAAGATCTCAATCAAGGGTGGTTAATCAAGTTTCATCAAATTGAACAGGGCAATGTAGGCGTTAACCAATAGGTTCAAATGTTAGAGACGCTCCACACCTACACTAAATATAGCACAGTAAGCGCAGGCAGCAACAATTATTGCAGAAAAACCCGGGCGTAAAAGAGCCTCCATGATCTCCAGAGATAAAATGCCCCAGGTTTCGCAAATTAGCGCATGTGTTTTAATTTTCACAGGGAACTCTCCCTATATCCTATCCTATATTCTTGGGCCTTACCTCTCGAAAACACAACCTCAGAGTCCACGTCACGGTCACGGCTAGTGCGTCGTTGGGTCGCGATGGGCGCTAAGACCGACATTCATTTGACATTCATTTGACATTCATTTGACATTCATCTGACATTCGTCAACGCTAGGAAAATCAAAGGATTTGAGTTCTTTCACTTTCAAGTTGGCGCCTGACAGGATCTGGAGTCTGGGGGCTGTGGCTAATGTCCGGGTGTGGACGGGACTGTGGCCAGGACTGTGGCCAGGTCAATCCGATCTTTTCCGTCCGTGCAGCAACCTTCAATATCCAGCGGGTCATTCCCCAGTTATACAAGCCACCAACGTATTTAATGATCTGATTTGAAGCCTCATGCTAATCTGGACTAATCTAACGAGCCACGAACAACCTGGGTGATACTATCCACAACATATAAGGACAATCCATTCCCCTCCCACTTTGCCCTACCGCAAGAGCAAGGAATGACCAACATCTCGCACTCACAGGGGTTCAAATACAACTCAAACTACGTATGTTTCACGTGATAAACTACAGAGGCGACTGGCTGGATTCTCGCACCATTTTACGACAAGGGGTTGTGGCGTCTCAACATTCGTTATGTGTTCTCTCCAATCAGAACGTGGACCCACGGGATAGAACGGAGACAACGCCACATTTTAACCCCCTGATTGGTTTACCAGAAGACCTGCACAGGAGATCTTTGATTTACTTTTTGTTGTCCCGTCTGGTGCCACAGGTGTCAACATCAGATCCAGAGGTCAATCCGCGGTGTGACCTCAACAAACAAGAATTGGATCAGGGGTTTGATGATTTAATTATGATGATGGGCTTTTTTGCCAAGGTCCCAAGAGCTTAGAAAATGACAATGGAAGCTTCATCCTAAGAAGCCTTTTTCCGTTTTCTTTCCTTGGTTTAATAGACTTTTTCAAGGTCAAGTTGACAACGCACCTCCTGTCAGTCCCCGGGGCCTTCCTTGGCAATCCGCGGCCTAATATACTAAAATATATCAGCATTGGCACCCAAATTTGTGATATAACGATATATATAATATCGGCCCAAGGTCAATTGGATTTCCTGGTGAAATCTCTGAAACTTGAACTGGTTTCGCGTCGCAATCCCAATTTACTCTTAACCTCTAAGCGCCAAGCTTCTCATCTCCACTCATCACAATTCCTCAAGGGGGCACAGCCACAATCCCCAAGTTTCCAGCGCCAGTTGCAGTATTGACGGTCAAAAAACTTTCCGCCCGTAAACGAAATCTCTCCTGTTAGACTCTTCAGCTATTGTTTTTTCCCCATATTTTCTCTTTCCCCCTATCCTCGCACCATTTGTTGTTGTTGTGTGTGAATGCCACTCTTTGTTGGAAGTCCGCCCTCCCTTGCTTACCGCTAGCTTCATTCATTTTTTTTTTCATTGGGGAGAAATCGCCGGACTTATTTTCTTTTCAATTTGACTCTTTCATCAAAATTCTTTGACCCTAGCCATACCCACTGATAATCTCCAACTGTGGCTTACAAAACCTTGAGGCTCAGCCACCCTTACCGTATCTCGCAAACCTCCCAACATCCACTGAACTTCGTATCGAATTCCTCTTTTGAAACATCTTCAACATTTACGGAGTGAGTGGTCCCTGTCCCGCGCGGCTGTGAGTTGTTGGCGAGGCCACCTACTCCATAGTACAGCACAGCCCAAATTAGGCAGTAACCTCACTTGAGCCTCTTAAATTGACAAGGACAAGCACCCAGGGTTTAATTGGAGCCAACAATAAACAGAGCGAAGACGAGGCATACTGACTGAAACCAATACCAGACTTAATATCAAGCCCAATTATTATACCTCACTTTCATAATGCGTGAGTCAACCATCCTTCACACTGATATAAAGTGAAACAATGGTCGGGGCTGCAAGATATCATACTACAAATCAAAACAGTAACAACTACATGGTTTGGCGTAAGATATCTAGCAGCCTGAGTGATTATTTTGACAAGTTTGACTCTTTTAAGGCCATTGGCAATACTGACATTCATAAACTTGAAGATAAGGCTAAACGTGCGGCTCACAAATTGGCCTGGTACGACGGAGAGGGCGAGCCAACTTCTCACAACCCATTCAGAAAGATCCATCGACGTCAACATCGCCGCACTGGGACTATGGAATCTGTGGAACTTGAATCTCAACTGCCCCACTCAGGCAGTCTTCGCGATCTTTCTTTGTCAGGAAACCGTGATCGTCGACGAGAGCAGACGGATGGTCTTACAGGGCCTGAGTACTCTAACAGCTTTCCTCCTGACAGCGAAGGGAAATACACTACAGGTGGCGCTGAGCGTAGTGCTCCAGAGCCATCAAATAGCAGCCAAACCCCCATCAATGTCCCCGAGTCTCCAGAGCAGGATGACGGTACGCTCAGGAAACGGAAAACCGCCAATAGTCTCGATCGGCGACAATCGACGGATGTCAAGGATTTGGAGGATATGAAGAATAATGAACCTAAGTTCACGGTTGCGTCGCAGTTGAGGGCTACTATTCTCAACTCCTGGATCAATGTTCTTATCATTGCCGCGCCGGTTGGAATTGCTCTGTATGCCGTAAAAGCCAACTCTGTTGCTGTCTTTGTTGTCAACTTCATTGCTATCATCCCATTGGCTGCTATGCTGAGTTTTGCGACAGAGGAGATTGCTATGAGAACCGGAGAAACGATCGGTGGTCTGTTGAATGCCACCTTCGGTAATGCTGTGGAATTGATTGTTGCCATCTTGGCTTTGGTCAAGAAGGAGGTTACTATTGTGCAGACTTCTCTGATTGGAAGTATGCTGTCCAACTTGCTTCTTGTCATGGGAATGTGTTTCTTCTTTGGCGGTGTAAACCGCTTGGAACAGCACTTCAATGTCACGGTTGCGCAAACAGCAGCAAGTCTTCTCGCATTGGCTGTCAGCAGTCTGATCATTCCTACTGCTTTCCATAACTGGTCTGATGGTAAGTTGAATCTTGACTGAGATCGAAACTTTGAGTATTAGCTTACAGTGATGAACCTATAGGAAACAAGGATAAAACTCCCGCTCTCTCTCGAGGTATGTCTAACTCCATGAAGGCCAAGCAAGTCCATAGTTATTAAGAACCAGCAGGCACCAGCGTCCTTCTTCTAATCGTCTACGGCTGCTATCTCTTCTTCCAGCTCAAATCCCACACCGAAATCTACACCCAAAAGAGTCCCAAGGTCGAGAAACGAAACAAGCGACCCTCGGAGGGCGATGCGAACCGCGGTATCGCTCAGATCGGCAAGATGACTCTCCAAACCATTGGCGGTGAACAGGCACAACAACTACAAATGAAGGATCCAGAGGATGAAGAGGAGCAGCCCCAGCTGTCTGTCACGGTTGCTGTTCTTACACTTGTGATTTCCACTGCACTCGTTGCTGTGTGTGCCGAGTTCATGGTGAGTCACTTTTGATAGATAACAAGATTCTTTTACATGTTACTAACAGTTTTTTTTCGTGTCTAGGTCGACTCCATTGATGCCCTCACTGCTACTGGTAACATCGGAACTACCTTTGTCGGTCTGATTCTACTTCCCATCGTCGGTAACGCGGCGGAGCACGCTACTGCTGTCACGGTCGCATGCAAGGATAAGATGGATCTGGCTATTGGTGTTGCCGTTGGATCTAGTATGCAGATTGCTCTGCTTGTTCTACCGCTGATTGTCGTTATTGGTTGGTGTATGGGTGTTGACACTATGGTATGCAAGATCCTTATGAACTCCTAGATTTCGGCCCCTTGAACGTTTGGCATTAACTAGTTGTAGACCCTCAATTTCGACGGATTCCAAGTGATCTTATTGTTTGTCGCTGTTCTGCTGGTATGGACCTCTCAAATTCCAACAATAACCGGACATATTCTGATATTCTTACTTCCAGGTCAACTACCTAATTTCGGATGGAAAGTCTCACTGGCTTGAGGGCGTCTTGCTTATGATGATGTATCTGATTATCGCCATTGCTGCTTGGTTCTTTTGATAGGCTCCGGGAGTAAGTATCTGTGTCTGGTACCCACGATCTTTGTTTTCATTTTGGTCCAAGTTCATTCTCTTCTATTCTTTACGTATTTTCGTTTCTATTAGACCTTATAACTTCTTGCTTCTCGAAAGAGCATAATAACTAGCAATACCACACTTGGTAATGTTACTTTTGACCCACACCTGTCTTGTTTAATAGGCAGATCTTATCTACTAGGTAGTACTTTATTTTTTCCCTATAAACATTTTGAAGCGCGTTAGATATCACTTCCAGATGGATTGAATCTTGGAACCTTGGAATCATCCGAGCTCAGCACTGTATGTATTGCCGAGACCCTCCCTTGACACATTCCCCTCCAACTTCTAGTATGACTTGAGATGATGATGCAAAATGGTGTTTTTGATAACTGACAGAATTTCATACAAAAACAACTATCAGTTCCAACATTGAAAGGTTCCTTATGGTAGGCTCTTTCACTAGGATCTTGTAACCTTTCAAGTTTCCACTGTCTGACGGAATACCCACTAGTTGACTTGATATCTCAATATGTATAGCCCCAATAGCTCCTACCGTCTTCTTGATAGTTAACTGAACTTGCGACTATAGTGCATCTACATCATTTGTCTGATACATACGACCACAAGGTGTGGAGAACAGGGCTTCCCGTCCGCTCAGCCGTACTTAAGTCACATACTAAACGCGGTTAATTCTCAAGAAGCCCTCGGCCTTAAAACAGCACCATGTTTGCGTTAGGGTGAGTAAGGGTGATTTGGGTGAGAATTCTGGAGACTGGGGGGTGAGAGAGGTGAGAACGGGGTGAGAACGGGGTGAGAAGACCCATCGTAGTACTTGCATTTTAGATAAATAGTAGCCTCGGGGCGCTCATTGAGGCCTACTATTTTTTATTTATCTTTATCTCTTAGCTGAAAGAAGATACTTGTAGAAAATATATAGAAAAATCTCGCTGAGGGAAACGCTTATGCTATACTATATAGGTTTATTCTTAACTATTAGAACGAGCAGGAATAAGAGGGAAATACTATTTGCTATAAAGAGCTAGCACTAGCTACGGTCTAGAATTATGAAAATACTATATTAAACTGCGTATTACTATAATTTATAAGTAGTCCTATGAAAATTTATCTTTTTATTATTAGCCCTAATATATTATATATTGAGGCTATCTTATAATAAAGTAGCTAATATTAACTTTATAAAAGAGGAGCCTGATCCTACCTTATAACTCCTTAAATCTTTTGTAGAATACTTTATTACTAGAAGGAAAGATTTCTCATTATAGAAGATGGTCTATTAAAATTTTATTAATTTTATTTTATGTTAGATCACGTGGTCTGTATAGTTCAGACCAAGGTGGCTAGGTAGATAGCTCTCGACGTGTCGGGGCAGACTTCCCCTCCGCGTGCTTCCCCCCATACGTGTTCTTTCCTGTAGCTGTTCCAAAGGCACACCTCCTAACATTTTAAGATAGGAGTGGGAAACTTCTTATTCTTTATTAAACTAAGTTAAAAATGATGTTTTGAATGTATAGTTGAATAATAAGAACCAATCTATAAATATTTTTATAAATCTATTGTGAAGGGCTCTATAAAGACTGAAACAGAACGATATAGGCCACCATGCAGTTTATATTTAAGCTTAAGGAAAGGAAGACTATTATATATGATTGGGGGTTTATGCGTCTTCCTATGGGTCACGTGCCATACGGGTACGTGAGTGGCTAGTCACGTAGGGTTCATTGGGAAACCTGATGAATCTCTTTTGAGCGTAAAAATTATAATACTTGGGATGGTAGCAGTCGTACGTATGCTTGGGCCTGTTAAGGTAAGCCCCATTCGGGTTTAACCTATAACATTACCCCCCTTCTTTAGTCTGAAGCTCCTATGAGCACTCTCTTCGATGTGATATGAGTCCGTTTGGACGTCAACGCCATCGTACGTTCATACTCATCCAAAGCTGTACAATCTCCAACTAGATACGCTGGCTCCTAAGTTATTTTGGCGTAACCAGCCCACTTTATATGATATTCTGTCCTCACTCCATGGCCTCTCTTCTATATATGGTGTACCATGATCTCCTCGATCTTATACTCTATCTGTCTGTCGACTTTAGTTGGGGGTGGTTGTGGGTTATCAATAACTGAGGACAGAAATAGGTCTGATGCAAACGGACGTATTAGATCGACGTAGAACGCAGGGTGAATTCCGGACTGGACTTCTAGTTTCACTGTATGTGTCTTTAGGATATTGACGATCTTATAACATATATGAATCTAGTGAAGGGTCTTCAAGAACCTTTCCGTTTGTACGTTCCATAGGTTTAACCAAACCATATTACGCTTTATATATACTAGTGCCGCTTATCTTATATAGTTAGCTGATATCTCTTATTACTCCTATGCTATAGTGATAAAGCAGAGTATCAGCCTGATTCGTAGAGTCCAATAACAATAAGTAAATAGCCGCGAAGAACTAAATACATAATGCGGTAAAGAGAGTCCCTTATATACCCAGTCCTCCCTATCATCCTGTCCTGCTGTCAGGAGTCAGGACAGGTCCATTCCGTTCCGTTCGAACGGACAGGACCTATTGTTGGAATAGATTGTCGGATAGAGGCCTTACTGCCTGAGATTACGTAAACCTACACTGTAACTAACTAACGTGAAGTCCGGTTGCGCGGGCGACCCGGTTGCGCGAGCGACCCCACCAAATTTTCAAAAACTACCATTTTTTAAAAACTATTAAAACCACAAAAATAATAAAATATTGACTATTAAACACGTCCAGGGCACTTAGTATAAGCATGACCTTTAATCCCACACGCAGAACAGGTTATTTGTCGTCGAACCAAGGGCACAGAGGGTAAAGTTGGCTCAATTGTTGGTTCTGCCTGCACCTGTGGTAAAGATATATCTTTGCTTTCATCCTTATCCTCGACCACCACATCGTCCTGACCACCTTCTAGACCCCCAAAGATGCCTTTCTGGGTAGTAAACTTATGTTTGGTCTCTTGCTTTTTGGTCTGTCTCTTATTGGCAGCCTCTAATTGAGTGCAGCGATTCTGGAGAAAAATATGGTGGTGGACCACTTTTATAGTCATCTCGTAGGTCTTCTCAATCTCCTTTTTTGTAGGCGAAGAAAGGATTGAAGAAGAAGATTGTAGACCTTTTTTGACCCGAGATTGCGATTTTATAAACTTTGAAAGGGTCCAGAGAGTATTTGGATCGCTATCGCTACCAGAAGAGACTGGTCGCTGAGAAAGGATCTCCAAAGAAGGAAGGGAATCCAGGTGTAAATTTAGCTGTTCCAAGACCCTATTAGCATCGAATGATGCTAATCCAGTAGCTGAAAAGCTATTCTGTATAGTAGAAGACTTAAAAGTACCCATTCTCGCATCTGCGATCAGTTCAAGGAAATCTTCCTTGTCAATAGAGTTAACTCCGTTTCGTATCAAAGTCGAGACCGCTCCTCTATAAAGCCTCTTCAAAACCGAAAAACAACCCACATCCAAAGGTTGTAAAAGATGAGAAGCATGAGGAGGCATACAGATTGCGATGATTTGGTTTTCTTCACAAATTTGGTCAAATTCAGGGGTTAAATGACTCCCATGACCATCAAGGACTAATAAGCAATATTTTCCCACTCTTATCCTAATGTTTGGGATAAAATGATATTTTAACCACCATAAACCAATTATATTGGTAGTCCAGCCATTTTCGCTTATAGTCAAACGAGCTCCTTTTTGATTTAAAAGGAGATAAGGGCGTAGATGCTCTAGAAACTTTTTTCCCTTAAAAATAAAAAGCGGCGGGAGAACACTTCCAGAAGCTCTAATATACTCAATCGAAGTCACCCAGTCACGATTTCCAGCTTGTAAAAGAGCTCTTTTCCCATGATATTCCGCTAAAGTGATAATCTTTTGTGTTGCGCCAATACCTATCGCAAAACCAGACTCATTAAAGTTGAAGATATCGTCTGAAGCGATACCCCACTTTTCTATCGTCCTTTGAACCAAATCAAACCATGGTTTAATGATTCGAGGGTCTTCTGAAAGAGCTCTCTGATAATCGTATCTACGAGAGAGGCGAGTAGAGAGATTTGGGCGTCGTTTGATAAATTCAGCAGGCCAATGTTTACCCACAGTAGAGGGTGTAGTTTTTCGGGCATCAAGTAGAAGATTAGCCATATCTCGCAACATAGGCAAAGTAAGAGCTGCCCCTCTAGAATCCATATCCAGTAGCCATTTTTCAATCGATCCCTCCTCAGCTTCGGTAAAAATAAAGCGATTGTGTCGCTTTTCAGTAGCAGATTCGCGCCCATTGATCCGGGCCTTCAAAGTTGAGACAGGTATCTCAAAAGATCGTGCAGCAGCGGCAGCAGAGGGATACTTGCCATCTTTTATAGCTTTTATAGCTATCAAAAGGCGACCCTCCTGCTCCGTCAACTTTTTTTTTTATCAGAGCGCTGGGGGGGGCATTATTGTGATGGTTAAAAAAGAGGTGTTGTTATTGAAGTGTATTTTTGGTGGGGTCGCTCGCGCAACCGGGTCGCCCGCGCAACCGGACTTCACGTTAGTTAGCCGTCAAAAGGGCCGTCTATTGAAAATGATGATGTTTCAAATTAAGCACAATCTGATTTGAAACAGCCAGAAGCTTTTCACACAGAGAGAAGTGCCAGATAATAATTTCTTCCTTGGCCTTTACGCTTCAAAAATGAGCATCAAGAGATCTTATATGATTTTCTTGGAGGGAATAGCAGTCTCAAAATTGAGATATGCAAATATCTGACTGCAGTCCGCTATGCACAACTCCAATTTCATTCCAAAAGCGACCAGGCGTGCTCTCCCTTTATTTATGTGTTTTTTCCACGTCTTCCGAGTGAGTCGCTTGGACACCATCCATTAGACGTACCTACATGACCCTGACCGCTGATTGGAGTGGAAATCCCAAAAGAGCGCGGATTCAAATATTGGCGCACTGATATCACTAGAGGTAATCGAAAGAAGGACTTAACTCCAAAGCTATCAAGGTGGGCATGGAACCACAATAACCCAGCTGATTACTGACTGAGGCTTTGATTAAGTCCAAGCCCTGGAGTAGTAAGAGTCAGCATTATAATCTCAGCTCTAGTGCCGCCGAGTATAACTACTGGTGCCTTCAAATTTTGCTCTCTACCTAGAGACACTATACCTCCAAGAGATCTATGGGGCGCAAGAGGTACTATACTCATTGGTCTCTGTAGTCTTTAGAAAAGCAGAACTAGAGAAAAAAAATAAGAATGATAGCTATCAGTTCCTTTCTCGCACCCTATCAGCAAAGGTACTATTCAATATCATGCAATGAGGAAATGCCAAGAAACATACTAATGTCTTGTGCGTGCATGAGGAGGGAGAGGAGATGGTGACAGCCTGATGAGAAATACTTCGCGTCTACATCCGGGGAATCAGATGTGTTCACCCGCATGTGTATAGGGAAAAGTTTAGTATTCCCTATAAGGAGGCTGAGATTTGCGTGGATACTACAACGCAAGGTGAGGTGTCATAAGGCCAAAGGCGAATGAAAAAGTAAGTTTTGGTGAATATCTTTCAGGAGATGGCGAGGTCACAGCTCAAGTGTAGCACTACATACAATATTTAGCAGTCATCCCTAAGGGTAATCTTGTACTTCTGCGTATCAGACTACTTTACCATCTGTGCAGCACAGCACCCTGGAACCTTGGTTTAAAATTTTTAGTCGACTCCCCTTGTGGAAGAACACAAACTTGAACTTCAAGTCAACATCATATCGGCCTATAGTACTAATTATTATAATATTTCACTATTTTATTGATGATTCTTTTATTAGATTGCATTGAATATTGGCTATATATTCACATATGCAATAATTAAGGCGTGAACAATGTGAACTCCCGCATGAACAACGTCATGGTTTCTAACCAATAGGATTCAATGGATTATGTGCACCAATGATACTAGACTATGCGTCATTTCAAGAAAGAGCAATCTCCCAAGATTCGCACGTTCACATGGAGATGATCTATGATATATTGCAATATCAACAGCATGGTTAGCATTGGTGACTGCTCAAGTGCTGTTCCATGCTGTCAGGGTTAACCTGATTTGCCTAAATGACCGGATTCCGGACTCCAACAGGGCGCAACTTGAATGCATCAGAATCCATCGGAGGGGATTGTCTGGACGAGGAAGTAGAAAGGTACAGATCTTCCTTCTGGGTTCTCGTGAAATAAGAGTAAGCTACAAGGTCCTTCATGTGGTGTGACTATTCTATCCCCAGAATCTAGGCGGCATCTAAATCCTCTTACCTGCTCTTTCCCAGCATATTTACTCCAAGAGTTCCCGAATTTTCTCCAATCTATCTATTTTCCCATGCAACCTTACATCAATTTGTCTTTCTTTTACTCCGAGGCTACTTCTGAGTCCAATATGGGTATTCTTAGTGAATTTGATTCTCCACTCAGCCAAGTTTTGGCCGGCCCGTTTAAGGTCGTCACAATCACCAACATTCTTCTCTTAACGATAGCCTTTGCTATGCTTCAGTTTTTATACCAAATTATATACTACAAGCTTTTTCATCCATTGAAACGTTATCCTGGTCCATTCTGGGCCAGCGTCACTCGACTATGGCAGGCCTGGCACTTCTTCCAAGGCAGCGAACTGGATGCACAATGGCAAGCAGTTAAAAAATACGGTATAGATATGAATTCTGGACTTTACAGAGGCTGAGATCGCCCACTCACAGACAACATAGGTCCGGTTGTCCGCGTGTCGCCAACAATGCTCTTGGTTACCGATAGTACCCTCCTACCCACTCTTTACCATCGTCGTGATGTAAAATCTAAGCTTTATATTTCTGAATATTTTGAGACACCAGGAAGTATCTTGATCAGGGATCCAACTAAGCATGCAGGCCATCGACGCCTAGTCGGTGCCACCTATTCATTATCCAATATCATGAGAATGGAGCCTTTGCTGGACAAACATATCTCAAAATGGCTTAATAAGGTCAAGTGCAAGTTTGCTGAAGATCAAAAGCCTCTTGATTATCCTATGTGGAGCTCTTTCTTATCTTATGATACCATCACAGATGTGGCGTTTCGCAATCCCTTAGGATTCATTGACACAGAATCCGATGTTGGTGGATTGATGAAGGCATTTCGTGTGGGATCTGTGGCGTTAGGCCTCGCAGGGCGTCTTCATACATTTTTCTCATGGCTTCCCCAGACATGGCTAAGAAGATATATTTTGGTACAACCTGAACAGACACAAGGGTTCGGGGTCATATTCAAACAAGCCAAATCAATTCTCCATGAGCGTACACAGGCTCTCGCTGAAGGCCGCACAATCAAGCCTCAGAAAGGTGATGGATCCTATGATTTTCTCCAGGCGTAAGTACTACACTATTCCCTCTCATATATCATCAATTATGGCTGATAGTCCCTTGATTATAAAAAGTTTTATGGATACATCTACCCCGGAGGGCGAGCTTCTAACATCTCAAGCCATCCAAAACGAAGTTTTTGTGATCTTAGGCGCGGGTACAGAAGGGTTTAGCTCGATGTCATCCGCTTTCTTTGCTGAGATCCTATCGCGTCCCATCATTCTCGAGCGTCTGCTGGCAGAGATCAAGGCCGCAGTAGAAGCAGGCAAGCTCTCTCAGCCAGTGCCTACTTACACAGAAGTCTCCCAGGGTCTACCATTCTTTGTAGCTTGTTTTCGTGAAACCATGCGCATTCATCCTACTGGGGCAGCTATGCTCCCTCGGCAGATCACTGCGGATGGTCCGGAACTAATCCTTAACGGGTTCAAGATTCCTCCTGGTATCGAAATTGGAGCAAATCCCTGGATTTGTCATCGAGATAAAGCGATATATGGAGAGGATGCAGAAGAATTTAACCCGGACCGGTGGCTGGGTGACCCCGCCCAGGTCAAGATATTTGAGAAGTACAACCTTGGTTGGGGCTATGGCTCCCGAGTCTGCCTTGGCAAGCATTTCGCTTTGATGATGTTATACAAAGCTCCGGTTGCGGTATGTTCATTTCTTTAGCCTGTACAATAAGATCATTTATTGGACCTCATTCTCTGACACCTCAACTTCTATAGCTGTTGATGCAGTTCGAGGCTAGTCTGTGCAGCGAGACGCTTGATACTCCTAAATACAGTGTTCGACCCTACGGCGCAACGCTAAATTGGAAAGATGTCTGGGTTGACTTGAGGACTCGTGACCCCTGGATCTCAACGAATGGGCACATAACTCACGCTGAAAAGAATTGTTTAGAGCGTCCTCACCTTGAGATAGCCACCTGAGTCGATGAGAGTCTCCTAACAGGAACTGTCGCACATACCTCGGATTGTCTATGTGAAGTATCGACACTCACCAGATTCATCGCTCTAAATAATTTGTCAGATATATTTTCCCTTTCCTCGCTATGCTAGTTAATCTAGGTTGTATTGATGGATATTCGATGGAGCATCCCTCAAAGGGTGAAACATGCCTTCCCAGCTCTCTTTTACCGTCTCACCAACTGCGCTCCTTTGACTAATGTTCCGTGGATCTGAAATTTCAATTTAGTTATCAAATTGAATCTCATCTGAAGGTCTACTAGTGTCACGGTCTATTAAATTCTGTACATTTGATTGCACTACTAGGACAAGGATTATTTATGACCCTATAGACACGTCCGGCTGACGTAGGTCTATAGCATCTATAGGTTGAACCAGATGAAGAGCCAGCATAGATAGATAAAACTGAGAACTTGAATATGTCATCTTGAGAGATTCCCTAGCCAATTCATACCCCTTTTTAATTCAGCCTTGCGAGTGAGCCGGGTCGTTCATTATATACATTCTTCAATGATTTTTATTTCATCAGAACACGGAAAGAGATATGGAGCCTCTCCATGCCTTTTTATCGTAAAATATTACTGACGGAAACTTGATCAGATCAGATCGCCGCCACATTACTTGCCACAATCCACTCAGTCTTTCTTTATTTGTCCTCTTTTAGCAAATAAAGACAGCCCTTGCACAATCTACGATATCTTCCTTGCGGCCTATAGATGGCATCGACCACTTTTGCAACAATCTATCGTGGCAAGAAAGAAAAACATGCAGTATTGGACTATGTTTGCAACCGCTGAGTGGTCAATTCTGGGGTACCCGGCTGCAGTTCAAGTCTGGGGGAGGCGAGCGGGCGGTTTTCCGGACACAACAGTTTAACCGAGAGGTAGACTCGCCAGTAAAGCCGCTATATTGAGCCAACACAACACCGCTTAAGTGTCGGAGACAGTTTGGCTTTTGTTCAGATCCTGGTAAACGATAGCCAGATCACTCAAAAAAGGATTATAGAAAGAAAAGGGGAAAACTATGGAGCGTTTGCACAGGCGCAAACTGATTTTGAATGTGATATCCAGATGTCTGATGGCCTCTCACAATGCAGAGGATTGTATGATTGATGTTCAATGTTCTCTGGCACTACCAGTGGAAATCAAATTTTACATTGCAACAGGGATTTGGGCGGGATTGGATTTCTACCGGCTCAATACTATTTCAATGGGTTGGCTTGAGGACTTGTGAGTGGGACGAAGCTACAGTAAGTGAGGAACTAAATACATGCTCAAGTTGTTAAATCAAAGTTCTGACGCTCGATGAGTCCATGTGTCATCACCTGATTAGATCCGGTATTATCACTTGACAGGATTTCAGATGACTTGTCTGGTGATTCTAGAACTAATCATTCGGCGGTTAGGGACAGTAATATTTATAGTGATTAGTCGGAGACCACTTTTAGCTCCCCCTTGACATTGCTGGAATGCCCTGTTACCCAACACTGGGTTGCTTGTAGTGTACTATGATACACCCTGACCATACTGACTCGACTCTATATCACTTGGTTGGCTTTCAACATCCCTCGCGACGTTGCGGCGTTAAGGGTCATGCCAAGCTTTCGGATAACTGCTGAGGGTCAAGATCATTTGCCTTTGCTTTGGTGTCGTCTGCGTCCGATTCCAAATTCTCCGTTTCCGTGCCCTCAGTCTGACCGTTCTTCTCGACCTTCAGAGTCTTCGCAATATCTCTGAGTGACCATATATAGGTCTGGATCCCAAGCCAGCACCCTGGTTTCCATCTCTTCGAGCTTTCGTGCGACGAGTCTCTCCATCTCTTCTTTTTCTGTGTCATCCAAGAGGTCAAGTCTCTGTCTTCATGCATCCTCGATATTGTCTCTAGGCCCAAAAAAACGCCGGTCGATCTTATGCCAATATACCGAATCAAAGGCAAAGTTACCCATCATGGCATAGACAATCCAGAAGTCACCACTGTCCCAGCTCTCTTGCATAGGCCCAGAGAGTCGTTCATTCTCTTTTAATCGCCCCTCCTGGATGGCATTGTCTTCGCATTTGACCATTGCCTTGAGAAATGTTCGAAGGCGGCGATCAAATGAGTCGGTCCAATCTTCGAGGCCACCACGCCAGTACTCAGGTCTTTCTAGAAGAAGCCACCAAGGCGGTGCAAACGAAAATTCAACTGGGGCTGCATATGTAAATTCCAAATCCACGACACCCACGATCTTCATCTGTTTATTGATGAGAACATCGCTTGGTCGGAAATCATCACTCCAGAGTTTGAAAGGACCTTTATCATATACTCAGTCGATTCAATGTCAGCACGAAGATGATATTGAAAATGATACATCAAAAAAAATTCGTCACAGAGAACTGGGTATATTACATGCGGTGAGAAATGCAAAATTCGATTCTTGTACATGGGCGTGCCGTAGGACTGTCCTTTCATTTCTAGGCCCCTCATAAAGGATATATATCCAAAATATTACCTAGAAGAACGACTTAAGATCGTATATGAAGGAATGTTTTCGCCTAAAAGTGAGCTAGTTGTGAAGGGTCGGAGCAAGTTTGGTCAAAGCGAGCAGGACCTCGAACTGTTTATATTAAGCTTAAGGAAGAGAAGGCTATCTGGGTGTTCTTGGGAAATTATATACATACTTGGTCACGTGCCCGTACGTGACCACCACCGGGCTCTGGCCCGTTACACTAATCGCTATAAAGGCTCTCGTGCTAGTCTTGCCATTTACTCCTGTGACCCCGTTACGTTTTTCTTTGATAGCCGGATCAAAATTAATTAGAAACGACGGCCATGAAGGGTTTTCTTGTCCTTATTAATCAAGAGATTATCGATAGAAATATCTTAATAGAGAATTCCTGCGTTTCGTAGAGACTGATGTCTAGTAATGCATCTTCCTAAGACTGTAAGTAAGGCTCTTTAAGTGCTTGCTTTATAAATTGCTTTTCTATAATCTTGCACGACAATGCGTCGATAGACTTAATTTAGTATTAGGTTGCTGGATGCCTTAGTAGGAGACGTTAAACAAGATTGTTTACAAGGAGGTAAAAAGACATTAATCCCACTAGAGGAACGCTTTATGCTGGACCTACGACTATTCCAGCCATTTCGTGAAACATCAGGCTTGGTTCTACCAGGCAGAACAGCTAAGCATTTAGGTTAATAATTACTTATAATATATATGTCCAAGCCCCCTTAAAGGTTTTCTTGGATATCATTAGCCTTATCATAGATAGACCTGGCTTTGAACCTCCGCATGAGTCCCTACCCCGGAACCTCCAACCGCCCATTAACCTCCAGAGGTTCGTTGAGGTTCAACCTCCATCGACCCGCATGAACCTGCATATGCATAATTTCTTGACGCGTTTCCTCTTTTGGCTGGATAAAATTGATGACTCATCTCTGTTTTTATAGCTGTTCCGTCAACCTGTAGACTTTTCAATGAATAATCTATCGACAGAATGAACTATAAAGAAATAATCATGCAAAAGTAAACAGTAGGCGTGGTCATCTATAAATTACAGTCAATATTCAATGATATCGACGTGGTGAGTGGTTAAAAAAAGTCATCGATAAAATAGCACGTAAAGTTGTGGATATATATATCGCAGACAGTGTAAAGCATGTGGATCTTTATCAGTAGAACTGATTTCTTTTCAGAAAACCATTAAGACGCAACTTTAACCCCCCTACCTTTATATCATTCAAGCCGCTATGTGTCAAGGAAGACAAAGGAAACACTATATTGAGGATCATGCAGATCTATTGCCGTATTGTCTACGGGATTCGGCACCAAGTCCGGCCACACATAGAGGGGGATTCCTGTAGGGCCCGACTTACACTCCTCAAGTGTTAGTCGCTGTATCTAAGTGAACCAGCCCCTCGTACTCTCCTCTTAGTATATCTCGCCTAGCCCACAGGTGTCACCCTAATCTGACAAGTTCATTACAATCAGGATGAAATGATTAACGTGGTCGGTAAGCGAGTGAGCCACCCAACCAATTTTTCGCGTCTCCAAGCACATTATCTTCCTTCTATCCACCACCATGCCTCCAATTCGCAATATATCAAGCCAGGATTCTCTCCAACAAGAAGGCCGCATCTTATTTGCCATACAAGCCATCAAAAAGAAAGAAATTACCTCTATACGGCAAGCTGCGAGCCAGTTCCAAGTGGATCGCTGTACGCTCACGCGTCGACTACGCGGCACTACAAATCGGGCTGAATCTCGCGCCAATGGTCATAAATTGACTGAAATTGAAGAGAATATCCTTATACAACGGATATTATCTCTAGATTCTCGTGGAACAGCCCCGACACAAGCTTACGTACAAGAGATGGCTAATATTCTCCTCGCAAAGCGTGGTTCTACCCAAATTCAAATCGTTGGCGAAAAATGGGTATATAAATTTACTCAACGTCATCAAGAGCTTAAATCACGCTTTTCACGACGATAGGACCACCAGCGAGCACTACAAGAAGACCCAAATATTATTCAAGAATGGTTTAACCTTATCCAAACCACAATCCAGCAATATGGTATCCTCGCGGACGATATCTATACCTTTGACGAGACTGGATTCGCGATAGGGCTTCCTTCGACATAGAAAGTGATTACCCGAGCAGAATAATACGGTTGGAGATCAGCTTTACAACCAGGAAATCGTGAGTGGGCGACTGCAATCGAGTCAATTAGCGGTTCGGGATGGGCGCTTCCACCGACAATAATCTTTAAAGTAAAGCAATATAATCAATTATGGTTTGAAGAGCTTCCACATAACTGGCGCTTTGAAGTTAGTTCAAATGGATGGACAACTGATGAGATAGGCCTTCGCTGGCTTTAGAAACAATTTATTCCATCAACAACTCACAGTACATGTGGGCGATATCGACTTCTTATTCTTGATGGACATGGAAGCCATCTTACACCAAAATTTGATCAAGTCTGCACAGATCATGATATTATTCCAATCTGTATACCTGCGCACTCTTCGCATCTTTTACAACCACTTGATATGAGGTATTTTGCTGTGTTAAAGCGTACCTATGGTGATTTAATCAGCCGAAAAGTACGAGCTGGAATCAACCTTATCGATAAACTTGATTTCCTTACAGCTTGTCCACAAGCTCGCACCAACACATTCAAATCAGATACAATCAAAAACAGCTTCCAAACAGCTGTAACAGTACCATTGGACCCTCAATCAGTACTATCTAAGCTTAATATTCAACTTCGAACACCTACACCCCCTGGAAGCCGTGGTAGCCAATCAAGCGCTTTTTGCCCACATACACCTGCAAATGTTCACGAGCTTTTAAAACAAGCCTCTTCTATCAAAGCTTTTCTCAAACAACGCTCAAATAGCCCACCATCGCATTAAATCAGCTTATCAAAGGCTGTCAAATCGCAATGCATAACGGTATACTACTTGAGCAAGAGGATAAGCAATTACGAGCTGCAAACGCCGCTCAAAGGCAAAAGCGTACTCGTGCTAATAGATGGGTTGAATATGATTATGGTATATCTGTTCAGGAAGCTCAGGAGCGTGAGCAAGCTCATGACCAGCTCTTCCAAGCTAGAACACCATCAATGATCGCAGCACAGCAGGCTTCTTATACTCCGGTAGCACGGCGCCCACTCAAGTGTAGCAAAAGTGGCGAGCTAGGGCATAAGCGAAATATGTGTATAGCTATAGATTAGGCAATTTAACGGCGTTATGGCTGATATATATGTATTTAAGTGTAGGAAAATTGGTTGGGTGGCTCACTCGCTTACATGGCTCACTCGCTTACCGACCACGGTATGTTTGGACCAGAACCGCATACATTATTTGCTCTGGTCCCATCTTCCCCATTGTAGTACTGTTTAATCTGATAGATCACCTTTTTCTCTGGTCCGAGAGCCTAGTTCATTATCGGATGAAAAGATCTTCACTGGTGCAATTATTGGATCAATGATTGCATCTCGTATGGATTCCGGGCTGTTATTGTTTTCTTTCGGGTTCCGAGTCCTCTCATCTAAGGTTTGTGTTTGTTTTATATTGTTTCATTTGATCATTAATAATGATCTGATCTCCCTTAGCTAAAATAGCATCGAATTCAATTGTTCTACTTGGTACAACGTGTTTGTCTTTCCTTCTATTTTGTCTGATAATAAACCTTTTATCCGAAGGCTGGACAGCTCTTTGGTCTAAGGTCATCTGCCTTTTGGTCGTATCTGGTTTGTTTCCTCCGAACATTCCTTGGTAGTTGGTCTCAGGACTCCCCTCCAGCTAGCACCTCTGCGGATCCCTGTTTTATCCAAAATGAACTGGTGTCTTCCCCGCTGAAACTTATAATAAGTATTAGATATATACTTATATATACTTCCGTTACTTATCAGCTAGTTTATAAAAACTAGCTAAAGATATTAATCATACTTATAATTTCAACATGTGCAGGGATCAAAGGTGATGATGTCACGCAGAGTATGCTAGCTGAACAAGGGATCTAAAGCTGCAGGGGTTCGGAGGAATATGCAATTCAGATAAATAGGGAGACTATCGGACCAAAGGGTCAAATAATCAATCGTACGACCAAAGGGGTCACAGTGATCAGGCCAAAGGGGCGGTGTGAGACCAGAATGGAAGGAAAGAATCAAAACTGTCTAGTGATTCAGGGGAGTTGAATTCGATGCTAACCTAGCTATGGGAATCCTGATCATTATATGAACAATCAGACTAAAGGAAAGACATGAGACTAAAGGGTCTCAGAACATGGGACAAAAGGTCCTCGGAATCCGAAAATGAAGATCTTTCGTCGGAACCCGCGATGTTGAATGAATTGAGATCAAGGGCTGGATCTCGGGATGCGGTGTTCTCGTACGAGAGAGAAGGTGATCTTATCAAAACAATGTTAACTAACGTAATCCACAAGCGAGCCGATCACCCACCCAACTAGAAACTTTTAAAATTCAAATATTTCAACCAACAGCAATAAATTCGACTAAATATAACGCTTTTTACATATATTAGTCTTATGTCCAACCTCTCGACATCCACTACACCTAGGTTGAGCCCTGGGGGCTGGCTGATTTGGCTGAATAGGCAATTCAACTTGGGTGTGTGATTCGACACCAGCAGCTCTATCCATTGATTCTAGCTGCTGAGCTAGCTGTAGGCCTTCTTCAACAGTCAAGCCCTCTTCATATGGCACCTGCCTAGTTGATCGACTGCGCTTCTGTCGTTTCTTCTCGTTCGCTGCACGTAAATTGGCGTTTTCTTGTGCTAGTAACGCTGTGTTATGCAGCGATATATAGTGGCCCTTGATGATTTGATCTAGCATCAATTTCGATGGGCTTGGAGGGCTGTTTGATCGCTGTTTGAGAAGGTCTTTAAGCATTGAAGCTTGTTTCTGAAGCTGAACCACAGTTCGAGGTGTTTTGGGTGTAAATTGACTAGATCTGCTGCCTGGTCTGCTGCCTGGTGGTGTAGGTGTTCGAAGAGAAATATTCAATTTAGAAAGAACTTTTTCGGCGTTGATTGGTACTAAGCCAGTAGCTAAAAAGCTATTCTGAATAGTACTAGGCTGAAAAGCTTCTTGCCGGGCACGCTGGTAATCAGCTAAGAAATCAAGCTTATCAATATGGTTATAGCCTGTACGCGCAAGATCACTTATAAAGCAACCATAGGCACGTTTTAATACCGCAAAACAGCCAACATCCAATGGCTGTAATAAATGTGATGAATGCACAGGCATACAGAGTGGAATGATATTATTCTCTGAGCAGATTCGGTCAAATTGGGGCGTAAGGTGGCTTCCATGGCCATCAAGAATTAATAACCGAAATCGACCACGGACACGTGAATTTGTTGATGGGATAAATAGCCTTTCTAGCCAACGTAGGCCAATCTCATCGGTAGTCCAGCCATTAGCTGAGACCTCGAATCGCCAGTCTTTTGGTAGATTATCGAACCAGCTAGCGATACCAACCTTTCCCTTAAAAATCACACATGGTGGTAATGAATAGCCATCTACACAGATAGCTTCAATTGCTGTCACCCATTCACGGTTTCCAGGCGGTAAAATAGCTCGCCGACCGTAGTATTCTTGTCGTGTTATAACCTTCTGTGTTGAAATAAGGCCCATTGCAAAGCCTGTCTCATCAAAGTTGTAAATATCCTCAGGTTGGATACCATTCTCATCAATAACACGTTGTACGGTGGTAAACCACTCTCGGAGGGACTTAGGGTCTTCGTTTAAGGCAGGTTGATAGTCATATCGCCTAGAGAGGCGTATTCTCAGCTCATCACGGCGTTTGATAAAATTTGATGGCCAATTAATACCAACTGTAGGTGGGGGGTGGCTTCCGCGTGCAGCTAGCAGAATATTGGCCATTTCTCCTACAGTAGACAGCCTAGGTGCTGCACCACGTGAATCCATAGAGTTAATCCATTCAACAAGCGATTCCTCTTCTAGCTGGGTTAATTTATGGCTGTTGGGGCGCGTGTCAACGCGTGCTGATACGCCGTTCACGCGGTTGGCCAAGGTTGTATAGGGTATTTCGTATAGGGTATTTCGTATAGCCTCGCAGCTGCACGGAGAGACTTAAGTCGACCATTTTGAATATCGTCAAGCGCTAATAATATCTTGCCCTCTTGGTTGGCATTTTTTTTCTGCCGAAATATTGCGAATTGGTGGCATGGTAGGTGTTTGAATTAGGCAGGGTGGTTGAAAGATGTGATTTTTGGCGGGGTGATCGGCTCGCTTGTGGATTACGTTATCTCGCGTGACTAAGCGGACATTTCATTTCCATTATAGGAAATGATCGACTTTCGCGAAATCGATGTGATGTGACGGCATCTGGGCACATTAGACATAGGCAACCAAGGGAAGACTGCTAGCAGGTTCTAAATTCAAGCTGCTAGCAGAAATCTGGATCATTAATCTCTTACTCTCAGATTTCAGATTTCAAGGTTCTATTATGTTGTAGGATCCGTAGGGAAGTAAGTCACTAATTCATTATGCGGGTAACGAAGAGCTACATGTATGAAGTTCTATAAAATGTGCAACTTATTTCATTTCTTTCTTACCTCTAAAATCGAGCTGGAGCATTCATGACCTTCTTGCAAATTCTAAACACAGTCGGTTTGTTTCACTAACAATGATTTCTTCCTTTGTTGAACACCCGAAGTGCACCATGCAAATGTGGGGTTTCAAGTCTCCTGGTTAGCGGCTATACGCTGCTGTGGATGTGATGAATGTATATCATCTGCACGAAGTACCTTTCACCGCTATGCAAAGCCAATCAAACAAAAAGTTGAGCGGAAAATCTGTACATGTGAGGGGTCCAAGTCATTGAGTGTAACAGCTGCCAGTGGACATGTTCCCCCTCCAGGGCTGCAATACCCACCTGGCAGGTGGCCGGCTAAACCCCTCCAGATTACCAGACCAAAAGTCAGCATCGCGAATCCTTTAACCACTGGCATTATTCCTTCAAATTAGACAACACAATTCAAATAGAGAGCAACATTGAATATTAAAAGATTGCGATTCCAATCTCATCACTGCCTTTGATCCATCATCGCTGAGCCTGATACCAAATTCTATTCACCATGGCACAACCAGTAAAAGTTGGCATAATCTCGATCGGCGAGATGGGTGTCGGCATTGCCAAGCTCCTCGCAGCACATGGTTATGTTGTTCTCACCAATATCACAGGCAGAAGGTTTGTGCATACCCCCTTGATTTCCTCATCCAAACATCTCTAAGCCTCTACAGTGATTACACCCACCGGCGTGCAGCGACCGCACCCATCACGCTCCTCGATAGTGACACCGAATTGGTAGCCCAAGCTGATTACATCCTCTCCATTGTTCCCCCTCGAGATGCGATTGTCACAGCGAAGCGAATTACATCCGTGAAACATGGCGAGCGTGCTACCCCACTCTGCTACATCGACCTCAATGCAATTAGCCCCGGCCGTGCGCGTGAGATCGCCCAGGAATTCGAGACCAATGCTCCTCAGGTCATATTTGTTGATGGCGGAATCGTTGGTGGGCCACCAAAGCCCCTAGAGTCCAGTGGAGACAATTCTGGAGAACCCGGTGCGGGCTGGAAGCGACCAGCGATCCCCCTTGCGGGCCCACCCTTACCCAACGTCCACCTCGCACAAACTCTCAACTCCAAATATTTGGGTCCAAACATTGGAGCGGCGAGTGGTCTGAAATGCTGTTTTGCGTCCCTTCTCAAGGGTCTCATAGCGCTTTCGATTCAATCGTTCAGCACTGCAGAGGCACTTGGAGTCTATGACGAGTTACAGGGATTCCTAAAGCACTTCCAGCCTGCGCTTCAGGAGACCACTACTCGAATGGTCACCGAAATTCCTCCCAAAGCTGGTCGTTGGATTGATGAGATGTTGGAAATTGGAAGATGCTTTGGTGAAGAGGGTGGTTGGGATAATGTGACAGGCACTGAAGGTGCGAATATCTATCAACGCGTCGCAGAGCTCTATCGAACAGTTGCGGAGGACACGGTACTGGGACAGGAGAGACAAGAACATCGCGTGCGAGGCAATACTGCTAGTGATATTGCGCTAGCAGTGGAAGAGTCACTCAATCCCAACTACAAGAAATGATCAGTTAGGGCTGCTGATACGAGGTACTGCGCGTAGGACTCGGAATGGATACTCTATAGACATGGATTTTCAGATATGATATAGGTTAAAGTTGAATTGATATCTGCCTTGCGTTTGAAATTGTTTCTTTACTCTGAATCATGATGTGAACGCAATTCCGGCCTCAGTTGGTATTAGTTCTGTATTACTGAATAAGTCTTAATCTTCTTCTCCTTCTACTACTACTATGTCTTCTACTACTACTATGTCTTCTACTACTACTATGTCTTCTACTACTACTACCACTAAGAAGTGTTCAAAATCTCACTGGCAAGACGATCAGTAGTACATAGAATGCCGAGTCTCCGCTCTGAGAATACTCTAGAAGTTTGTCATTCCATTCAACCAGAATTATCAACCATTTATTTTAACCTCGCTCAAATGAATTTTCTAATTCAAATGTTGAAGGTTGATTTGATGAGGATATCCCGGTAACTAACTAGCTGTAAAACTGAGATAAGCCGATTATGTACGGAGGTCGGTCCGGAAAGTTCTCGCCAGAAATTATAATTTCTTTTTCTTGATATATTACCGGCCCTGTATGTCAGGTGTATAGCCTGCTGTATATTGGATGTATTGCCGTGTTACGTACTAGGCTAAATATTGCTTATAACACCCGTGGACACGTAGATCTTTATCTTTTACCCCGCCTACAGTCCGTACACCCCTTCACACTTTTATCCCACCTACACAGCTACACTTTTGTCCCACCTATACAGCTACAATGAAGACCAATATTGCGCAACGTGCTGTCATTGTATACCTAAGGGCCCAAGGACATGCCCCTAAGGAGATCAGTGAATTTATGAATATTCCACGGCGTACTATAGGAGACATATGGAACCGTGCACTCGAACGAGGTTTTCAGCCGAATCAGCGACCATTCAATATATCAGATGAAATGTTAGCTGATAAAGCACGTTCTGGGCGTCCATCTAAGCAAACAGATGAGCTTAAAACCACACTTGGGGCGAAAATCCGTGTAGACCGCTATGGGCGTGAGAAAACATGTGAACAGCTAGCTGCAGAGCTACGCAGTGAATCAGGTTAGTTATTCTAAGATTTGATATTTTATTTAGTGTGTTATTTAATATGTTATTTAGTATAATATTTGATGTGTTACTTGGTGTGTTATTTGATATGTTATTTCCTCTAATATTTCTTCTATAATTAGGGATTAATATATCAAAAACAACAGTTTGGCATGTACTACGAAAAATTGGCCTACGAAAAACAAAGCCTACACGTAAGCCTGGGCTTGCCGCTGAGCAGAAAAAACAACGTCTTGAATGGTGTTTAAAACACGCCCATTGGACTATAGAAGACTGGAAGAATGTGATTTGGACTGATGAAACTGCGGTTGTTTTATTACACCGTCGGGGTGGATATCGTGTATGGCGTACTTCTAGTGAGCGGTTCGTCCGAAGCTGTATTCGAGAACGTTGGAAGGGGGCCTCTGAGTTCATGTTTTGGGGTGCTTTTTCTTATGATCAGAAGGGCCCCTGTCATTGTTGGGTACCTGAAACTACAGCCCAAAAGCGTGAAGCAGAACACCAAATCGCCGAATGGAATACTGAATTAGAGCCTATTATGCGTGCAGAATGGGAGCTTAATTCAGGTATACAGCGATTAGGGCTACGCAATAAGCCTGGAAGACAACCTCAGTGGAGATGGACTCAGAAGAATGGAAAGCTTGCACGCAATTCGAAAGGTGGAATCGATTGGTACCGATACAACACCGTGATTTTAGCCCCAAAACTACTTCCATTCGCCCAAGAATGTGCTCGAATTCGAACGAAAACAATAGTTCAAGAGGATAAAGCACCAGCCCATTCACATCACTACCAACAGCGAATATTTGATATAATGGGGGTCCAACGAATGATCTGGCCTGGAAATTCGCCTGATCTAAATATGATTGAACCTGCATGGCCTTGGATGAAGAGATACACTACGCGAAAAGGAGCACCTAAATCGCGTAAAGAAGGGATTAAAGTATGGGAGGCTGCGTGGCGTGATCTACCACAGGCGCAAATTCAAGCTTGGATTGAACGTATACCATGGCATATACAGCAAGTCATTAGACTAGAAGGGGGCAACGAATACGGTGAGGGGCGTGATAAATTAGGTGAAGTAGCCCCTAGCGGGTTAGGTGATAACGCCTATAACAGCGGCAGCGGCAACGACAGCGACAGCGACAGCGACAGCGACAGCGATATATGGGAAGATATGTGAATATTTACTGTTTCAAGCTGTTATTATATTTCAGTACTATATATTTCCGTTTTATATACATCTTGATTACGCGATATATTTCAATATTTACTGTATATAGCCTAGTGTGAGAAAAAGAAATTATAATTTCTGGCGAGAACTTTCCGGACCGACCTCCGTAAATCCCCGGTTAAATGTGAATGATCAGCACTGGCAGTGGAAACCCAGGCCAATTGAGACAATTAAAAATAATCACTCAAACGCTGGTACGCACCAAGGCATACCAGTACCGATCAAGTCAAGTGAGTCGAGAAAGTTGAAACTTATTGTGCGCTTGTAAAGCCGCAAATTCAAAATTTCAAGTTGATCCAAGTTCTTCAACCCAGATCAGATACATGCACTATATTTGACTCCATTATCCTGATCAAAACCCGAACCGGTGCTACAAAGAACACGACTACAAACTTTGAATCCTCATTTTGGCGAGCCAGCAATAATTTCCAACCTATTCTAACTTCCAGATTCAATCGGCACCCGCGGCTACAGTTCTTCTCAAGGAAGACAGTACCAATGCAGCATCTGGAGCCCTCGGTCTAGCGAAAGATGGCAGAAAACTCAAGATTCACTCATGTCCCCAATTCAAGACACCTCTCGAAGAAAGAATCTACAGGAAGCAACATCTCGCTGCTGCCTTCCGTATCTTTGCTGATAAAGGGTACGATAAGGGTATTGCAGATCACATCTCCGTTCGCGATCCTATTCTAACAGATCATTTCTGTATGTACTTTCTTACTTGACAATAAGCGTGTGACTGCGATCAGGAATTTCTAATGATAGGTCATCCAGGGCTTAATCCTCTATCTTGCACATTTTTCACAGATCAAGGTATCCGACCTTATTTTGGTTAACGAGGAGGGTCAAGTCGTTGAAGATGACGAGCCTATCAATGGAGCGCATTCGCAATTCATTCCGAGATTCACAAGGCTCGACCAGAGGTTAATGCTGCTTGCCATGCGCATTCTGTTCATGGAAAGGCCTTTAGCGCACTTGGTCGCGAGCTCGATATGATAACTCAGGATGCGCTAAGATTCTACAAGAGTCATGCAGTATATACCGAATTCGAGGGTGTTGTCCTTGACCGAGAAGAGGGACTGAGGATCGCAAAGGCACTTGGAAATGGAAAGGCTGTGATCTTACAGAACCATGGTCTACTCACAGTGAGTCAAATATAGCTCCCATGATTATTTAGACTGTTACCCAAGTCCCTAACTTGAGAAACTAGGTCGGTAATACTGTCGATGAAGCGGCATTTTGGCTTACTAGCCTGGACAAGACTTGTCATGCCCAACTTCTTGTTGACGCAGCTGAGCTAGGCAGTGGACACAAGAAAAAGATTATCAATCAGGAAGAAGCTGAGTTTACAGCAAAACAGGTCGGTGGTCCAGAGAAAGGATGGCTAGCATTTCAGCCTTACTATGATGAAATTGTGGCAAAGACCAATGGAGGGTTTCTTTCGTGAAGGGGGCTCTTTCTTACATACTTTACCTTGACGCGAGTATTATGATCATGATGAGAACTTGAAAGAGAGTTTCATGTTTCTAAGTACAAATTGTATCAACTTCTAGAAGCTCGAATGAACATCCGAACTGCCATTTTACTATTCAAGTGCACATGTGCCTGTAAGGGCGCTCAAATGTACAGAAAAATGTCCATCCCAAGCCTCAATTCCAGGAAAGTAAAGTAAAAAAGAAATAAGTTCAAAGAGCGGCAGTTTATTAACTGAGACTTGAGAACCTTTAACCGTAAAGAAACTCGACTGGTTATTTCGCGTATCGAAACCACTACTGGGAGTTTGATTGAAATTTGAGATACTTCACGATGTCTAGATGATTTTTTTGAGGGAGGGATATTGGCACTTCCCTAATAATACGCAACCAATGGCAGAAATTAAACAGCACTGGATACTATGTAGACAAAAAGGTCATACTAACTCAGGCTCCGAGTCCAAAGTTAACATGAAGTGTACTATGATGAACCATGGACGTTGCACCCTGACATGTGCGTATGTGAATAGTTGGAAAGACCTGTTCAATTTTGCAATCCTGGGCAGCCCAAGGATAATGTCAGGATCCGCATTCTATGATCGGTTAAACTCGAATCAGGCATCATGAGATATTTCGAGTTCCCGTATTAGGATCAAAATATCCGGGAATCACCTAATCTGACTGAGCGATAAGCAGTTATCACATAGAATAACAGACTGCAAAGATTATCCACAGCATCGCTCGGTGCTAGAATCTGCCGGTTCAAGGGCCCAGCTGAGTAGTAGTAGTACTCGTAGTAAAATCTCTCACTTTTCTTATATATTCAGACTGCAGAACTAAAACGTATCATCCACTACAGCATTATTGTACTTACAGCTCGATATCAGGTGACAACAACATCAGTATAGAATTTCATTAACATGTCGGGTCCCAAATTTCAGCGACTCTTGCGTTTTCGAAGTGAGAGTGGCAACATTCACTTTGTAGAGGTTCCCGAGAATCATCCTTGGGAGAAGGAATTGATCGGCACTGAAGTTTTCATCTACTATGGGAACTCTCCTTTAGATAGAAACTTGATCCTCAGCGACCGGAAAGCAATTGTGAAAGAAGTTCTCGCTCCTTTTGCCGATGTCCCCTTCATCTATGGCGTTGGTTTGAATTTCAGGAAACATGTGGAAGAGTCTGGCGTGAGTACACTCCATGATGAAGAGGCAATATTACACACTACCTGGAAATCGAAGCTTACAACGTTTAAACTGAGCAAAGTCCTATCCCAACATATCCGAAAACATTTGTGAAATATTCTGTTGGGTGCACTCGGCGTACTGGAAGAGCTTGAGCTCACATTGATTGTTTTGTTAGACGCATTGGCCGGTCCATACGAGGATATCCATGTCCACCACACCGCAAAGGATTTGGATTACGAAGTCAGTATCTTCAGTCACTCCAACTGAGGGTCAGAATTTTATTAACGAGTTTAGGGTGAACTCATCGTCGTCATCGGGAAAGACGTCAAGAACCTACCGAACGATGCCAACGCTCTCGATTATGTTCTGGGGTATACTATTGGAAACGACCTCTCTAGTCGATGGTGGCAGGAGGCAACCAAAGGCGCCCAGTCCAACTACGCTAAGTCATTTGACCAATTTGCGCCTTTGGGTCCCGTTCTAGTCTCGACCAATGTCATCCCTGACCCCGCGGTACTCACTTTTAGAACGCATATGAATGGCGAAAAAAGACAAGAGTCTGGCATTGATGATTTGATTTTTGATGTTTCGGCAATTGTTTGGTTCTTCAGTCAGGGGCGAACTCTACGCAAGGGCTCCGTGATCATGACTGGGACACCGTTTGGGGTCGGAAGCTTTTTGCCTGGTGGACCGAAATATTTGAAGGATGGCGATGACGTGGAAATCGAAATTTCGCAGATCGGAAATATGCGGAATAAGTTTGTAATTGATCAGTGAAAGGAGAACCCTGGAAGAAAGCAGCGAGGACGGAGTGTACTGCTCCGTTATAGATTCTAGCAGCTTGATTGTGTTTTCAACTTGACAGAATCCATGGATGGAAGAAGCACTTGGAGGAGGAGCTCATGATACTAGCTAAAGATATATTTCTTCATCATCTGGTTTAGACAAGACTTGGAATTTCTTCTGGTGGATGAAGGGCTTAAGTGACCACGGCAACCCTAGAATTACTATATTCATGGATGATTCATCTCTTAGCAATTCACGAAGAACCCTTTGTTACCTTAGCATCTATTATTTATCCTATTGCCCCCACAGATCCAAACTGCATTAGGGAGTGTAGCCCGCTTAATAATATCTTACTCCACCAAACAAGGCAAGGATCTGTGTTCACTGGGTGGTTCGAGCCTCTGCCTTGCTCCACATAGTGCTCCCCCCCGCATTTCTCCGCAGTGAACATTGAAGAGGAGATCATTGATGATCTGGAGTAAAGGCTGCCGATGTCAAATAAAATGCTCTCTCTTATAATCTGTGGACTCTAAACGTTCCTATCTTCTATCCTTGTTTCCAATCACCAATATACGTGGATCTTTGACACCATGGTTTCCACAGGCACAGAGTCACATACCAACGCAGATGATCTATCAGGGGGCGCCAAGCGCAAGCGTAGTGGAGTAAGTTGAACCTCAAGACTCTCTTCAGTAAGAACACTCAGCATCTGGGTCAATAAATGAACAACTGACGTGTGGTTATTATAGCGTGCATGCGACCGATGTCACCGGAACGCAAGTCGGGTATGTAGGATCTTAACCTCACCTCTTCTGCAGTGTCTTGTTACGTGGATACTAATATGATATCTTCAGTGCTCCCCAGGAATTGAAGGAACAGTTTGCTCAAGATGCGAGGACCAGCAGGTTCAATGTACATATAACCGCCCAGTCAAGCGACGAGGCGTAAGTCGGCTCCTTTTCCGCTCAGCTGAACCATGAATCTTTCAACAGGATCAGGTCAGAGAAAAACCCAAAAGTCCAATGGAAGCTTTAACAATTCCTATGAAAATAGCCACCTGCCCGTCGAACATGCAAGAATGCGAATACACACGCTGTGATAGCCGACGATGATCCACCTGCGAATACACAAACTACTGCAATGACGGAGTCCATTAATATATCACCCCTGATGGGCATTCAACCGATGTATAATTTGCCTCCAGCAACCTTCACTCCTGAAGATGGAAACAGTGCTCATTCTCCACATGCATCCATTCTCTATTCTGAGATAGAAGATGTGTTAGAACCGAAGGTCATCGAGAAGCTAGTGGATCTTTTTTATCACACAATTTACCCTATGTAAGGGATATTTCGGAGTTCCAAATACTTATGTGCTGACTCATTTGCAGACGATCCTATTTCCATTGGCCCACCTTTGATGCTCAAATTTGTCAACAACTATATCGGTCCTATTGGGGGTCTTTCGTTGTCACAATGGCTGTCTGTGCATTGAGGGCGGGAAGATTGTATGACGGTCTCTTGGTTCCAACGGCGTTAGCTTCCTTGTCCCAGAAGCCATCAATCTTTCTTTTCAGTGCTATGCTGCGGCTGTTAAGGCCATGCCTGCTGACATTACAACAATTTCCGATTACTGTCAAGCTATGAAAGCGAGTGCATTATTGACTTCAGTGTGCCTTCAGAATGGCAAGCTGAAGAGACTCGTCTCTCATCTGTCAGATTATATCTGTCTTTCTACAATCCATAAGTTTCATCTTGAAGCTCACTGGCCTGAGGGTCTTACTGAGATAGAGCGACAAGAACGGCGCAGATTGGTAAGTCGAAGATTGAGTCCTCCATCAATGGACTGCCAATATTTTCAGGGTGCCATGGCGCATTGGAAATCCCAAACATTAACATTCGATAGTTCTGGTGTGTCTACCAGCAAGAGCGTTACCTTTCAAAGAATTTCGATTTGCCAACTCGGCAGTGCGAGGGAAAATCCACGGTGCTTTACCCAGCAGAGGTTTTTGACGATAGCGACATTACTGCGACAGGCGTACATTTGCGACCAGATCGTGTATCATTCATCCGTGGATGAAATTTTTGTACAGACATGTATCGGCTTCTCTAGAACATGGATCGTATCGAGAGAGTAAGACAGGATGTACAGTCAGACGAGCCGGGGTCACTAACAGATTCGTTTCTGGCCCGTATGAGTGTACCGAAGGACTTTGTTTCCGATAGTCTACACTTAATTTCGAAGATGTATGCTGATCTGCCTCCGCGACTGAAGACGGTTCAGAACTTGACAGGAGATCCACAAACGGACCGGTACAGATTTGTTGGTGAGGAATCCTCATTTTTAAGCTTGCAAAAATCTAATGATCTAGGATGCTAATGAATTTGTAGCATCTAATATTCTACTTACAACACAAAATCTCAAAATGCATTTAGTTGGAACTGAGCAACCTAGCATGCACTTGCGGTGTGCTATTGCCAGTGAATTCCTGGACGAGCTAAGCGCTGTTCCTCTAGAGTTCTTCCATAGTTTGAGTACTGGCTCGGTATGTGACCCCTATTCCGCGAAGAACTCGAGCTCCGATAATGAATGCTAATTGTTTACCCAATAGCTCCATCATCTGGCACAAGTTGCTCAAATGCTTGGCGATGCCACTCAGCCACCTCTTTTTGCCTGGAGATATCTACAAGTCAGGAACATCCTGATAATACTTGCTGACTTCCTGGAGAAGATTGAGTCAACTCGAATCTCGCCTCCTGGGCTGGCTGTGGAACTTCGTTCCAAAATAAGTCACATGGATAGAGCAATGCAACAGTCATCAAAATGGAATCAAGTACCCGGCTTACTATCTATGGGTCGGAGTCTCCTGCTGGGATTGTCGGATCAAAATGGGATTGAGAATGCAAACTCTCTGAATGTAAGTGACCGCAATAAATTTTCTATCTATACCGGCCTGCTTCCTTTCTTTGCAGAAACGGTGCTAACAGGAGAAATAGGGCCCACAAGAGGATTTTGCATCACAGTTTGTGAATGGGATTCGACCCATGTCACAAAGCTTCTCACCAAGCATGGCACATTTCAGTCGTCTACTGGGCCTGAATGATCCGATGCCTGATCAGTTCTCTACACAAGAGCTACAAAGCTCTACCATGTCAGTCGATGCCATCACTGCTGCTGAGGAGCAAAGAGCAGCATCCGCACTCGATATGACACAACAGGGGGCACATCAAACCCAAGAATCTGATCTTGGATTTTCTTTGGCACAAAGTAATCCAATACCGACCGGTATATTTGACGGCTGGCAAAGTCTTTTACGATGAAAAGAAATGAACTTCTATGGACGACCTACTTGTTTCAAGTTTCTATTAGTACTTTATCAGATTTGAGGTACCATAGATTCCTGCTAAGCCTTTTCTTCAAATACAGAGATAGATTTAAATAGGCGTTGAACTGAATACTAGACGATGGATATTCGCAGAACATAACCACATTTCTACAAAAAAGAAATGAGTACATTGGACGAACACTGTTGAATGATAGCACAAAAGACGGATGGCATAAAACGGCGGTAAGGGGCAAGTTTCAACTTGCGCAACTTGAACAACTTGGAACATTGCCCAACCAGAGATTCTACCACTGGCATGTTCGTGATATTTCCGTACTGTTCCAAAAGCACTGAGAGGAGATTAACTTTTTGAAATTCGTTGGCAACTCTTTCAGTGGTATGAGATGGCGGCTCGTCAGAACTTTCAGAAGGTCGACCTGCACGTAAGATCAACTACCCAATAGAGACCCCTGGCGCCTAAATTTGGTCTACTAATACCACAGGCTTCCAGGATTAAAAATGAAAAATCATTATGCATCATGTGATCACGCTCCCTAATATTGGAACATTTGAAGACTGGTTCAGCCTCTGTTCCAAGGCTCATCTGTTCCCGATACTAGTTCTTTCACAGGACTACAACTCTGAACATGAAGTCACGGATGCGCTACGATGATGCCGCTTCGGAAAAAAGCGAGGAAATTGCCGACACCTGGGTTCGTCAATTTTTCGATCCCAGCATCTCAAGACCGATCGGAAACTTTATCGTTTTACATTCACGAGACTAAGGGACTTCGCATGGATCAAATGAATCTTCTATTTGGTGCTGTGGATGGTCATGAAATTGATTATGAGGCTCAAGCGATGAGAGAGAAGAGTCAAGTACAGATGGTCGAAACGGTTGCTTGATCTGGGTACAACCTCATGGTTTAAATGTTTCTCTTGTCTCTCTGTTGCCAAATGTCTTCAAATGTTACATCGGCCCCCTCGTTATATCAACTTGAAATCGATGACGGTCACATTTGAGTTGAAGCTTCTCAATATTTTAGCGATATGGTACATTAGAATATTTCAAATAATATCTTGGAGGAGATCATATGGTGTTGAATATCAGTTTAAATGTTCTGCGCATTCCGAACCCAGGAAAATCGAAATACTACGACAGATTCTGACTGTATTATCTATCCCATTTAGACCTCGGGAAATCTATTTCTACAATATCGAGATAACACATTGGGAGCCTTCAAAGTTCAGCCTCTGAGGCGGCTCCAAATTCGAAGTCGAACACTAGAAGCCCTGGTAGTTTCCATTCTTGCTAATTGACGTTCACTTAGATACAAACCTAATTATTCTGATCCTCTTCGTACCTACTTCAAGTGCTGGTCCCACATTCTAGTCAAATTTGGGCTCTATGACTCCAGTCTCCGAGTCCTAGGCTCTAGCACCGGCAAGTGGATTCCACCCCTTTTTCGCCCTTGTATTCTCTATTCCGCAAGGCTCTAACATGCTAGTCTTATTCTTTGATCGCATGATACTATAAATAGAGATGAAAATATTGAAATTTTAGCAAGAAAATTAATGCCAGTGGCATCCTAGGTAGCGTGGATTCCCTTATCGTTGGGCGTTTTGCGTTTTGGCAGATCTACTGCCGGTTGAATAGCCGTACAGGGGTGTCAGTCCAGCCCGTTTTACAGACCAATCCAAATCATCTGGAATAACCGGTAAATCAAATATACTAGAGATAAATGGATCATGGCTCCGTATTTGAATAGAATATCCTATTCAGCCGGTTTATACCAGTAGTGTCTTTCTCCTCCCATTTCTACCAATGTTCAATCCGCTTGTATAGCATTTGCGAAAAGGTTGAGATATTGGGATTAAAGCGTACATATAACGGTGCCTCACTTCTTTTTCTCGCCGATAGACCATCCATTTGATACGCAAATTCTGGAGTCAACCTTGGAAACAACTCAGAAATTATGTCTACCATCCAACTCAACAAACTCCTCAAATATGGAGCATGCGAGGTAGGCTACCATGATTTATTCTTGTGCCATACCTATATTCAAGTGGTTATTAACGAGAGGCAAAATTTAGGTCGCAGATGCTCTGCTCAAGCTACAGATTCCTGGTGCAGGTTATCTTCCAGATATAAGTACTGGAGACTGAAAGGGAAAACTCAGCACATTGACTTAAGTGCTGATTTTCAAATAGGACCACTCAACACATCGACGAAAACAGCCGCCCCAGCTACCACCGTTCTGTTTATTCTAAAATCAGTCCTTCTTTCGTTCCGTCAGAGATAGACTCCTCTATAGAACCACCTGTTCCTTCAAACATGCCCACTGGATCGATCTACTCCCACCTCATCGTACCCGAGACAATTGCTGTTTTGAGCCAGCCGAAGGGTGCCAGAACAGGAACTATGGGCGGGATCATGGCGCTCAGAATCAGCAAGCTTGGTGCGAAAGGAGCGCTAGTAGACGGCCGGATGAGAGACGTTAGATACCTCAAGGAAAGCTTGGATATGCCGGTGTGGTGTAAATTGACAAGCATTGTGGCTACTAGCGGGGAATGCAAGGCACATGCCGTCAATGTGCCAATTTATGTGGGGCCTACAAAGGTTGAGCCGGTCAGGTTTCGCTGTTAATGTTCCAGATGAGAGACAATTGATTAATTTTATCCGCAGAATGACATCATACTATTGGATCCAGCAGAGAATGAGGCTATCTGCATACCGAAGGATAAATTTGACCAGGTTCTTGAAATGTTGCCAGGCATTGCTGCGGCCGATGAAAGAAAAATGGGCCATGTTCTGAATGGAATGTCGGTGGAGGAAGCTGCAAGAATCAGCTAGACTGATAACTCGAAGCTCGATATTACTACTGTCAGAACTCAATTACATCTTTTTATCTTTTTGGTTGCATGTTCCATTATCATATCATATACTCTCTGTCTTTGCTTTCCATTTTTGCTACTGGTGGCATGGAATGTTAGACTAGACAGGAATTCAACCATTCATGATCTTGAAACGGACTCACTGAACACCTGAGTCGGAAAATTGGTGCCAGTGGCTTTAAGCAAGTGAGAGTGACTTCCACAGTTTGTCCAATATTGATTGAAAGCTTTCGCCTAAATAAAAAGCACTCGCAGCAGGACTAAACATTCTTTCAAATGTACGAGACACTATCTGATCCATTTATTTCAAATCATTGGAATTACTGTTGTAAAATCCCTACTGATGCAACTGGAAATGACTAAATTCTAGAGTTCCTTCTCAACCTCTAGAGGATTTAGTTGCTAGCTTAGACGATGAACTGACATTGAAGGAGCTTTGGCGGTTAAACTATCATTTGGCCTGATTTTGGCTTTTTCTAGTCAGTTTAACCGTTTTGTCACCATTTTATCTGGAGAACTCCAGAATTCTGAGCGATTTACTGGTTAACATTCATCATTTATTTGTTCCAAGATTCCTTAACTAAGGGGATCATATCAGAAGAAACCCCGCATTTTAACATCAATTCTCCACTTTGTTTGCTTTCCTGTCATAGCTATTTCTCCGATCATGATACTTGGATGCTCTGGTGAAACAAAAACCATTTAATAATGGATAAAACGAACGACTTTACTCACTGGGAAGGCCGAATTGAAAATTGGGAATGAATTGGCTGGGAAATCTCTCAAGATGATATCTTCTCTGCTTTATCTGTCTATCCTGGCGCTCAATCTGGTTCGATATACAGATGCTTTAGACCCACGAGTTAAGCTTGCTTTTACTATAGACCGTCCATCTCAAGGCTCCAGCATCACCCCTGATGGAAAGCGGATATTTCTTCAACTGGTCACTTTTGATGACTCAACAGGGCCTGGACTTGTTGAGAGGCAAGCAAATGGCTCTCTTACTGCTTATCCGAATGAAGCCTGGGATTCCTGGACTGAGGGAGATGATCCGACAACAGCCTTTGTATCAGTTGCAGCTCAGCGTATCGGTCCGGATGGTCAATTTTGGGTAATCGACAATGGTTACGGTAGTGACGGTGTCATTCCTGAAGGCGCAAAAGTTGTCACTTTCAACCTGACGACTAATCAACGTACTCGAACATACCCATTCGGAAATCTTACCCACTCTGCCAGCTTGCTGGACGATATCCGATTCAATGGCAATGAAGCGTACTTGACCGATGCAGGAGTTGGAAGCATCATCGCTCTCGACCTTGTCACTGGCCACGGTCGGCGTCTTTTGGAGAATCAACCAGCAACGGTTGGGTATATGGCTACGTCAAGTGAAGGATATCTGATGCGAAACTCGACAAATGGGCTCCACTTTATCCAGGCCGATCAGCTAGAGGTTTCCCCTGATGGAAAATGGCTTCATTTCCAAACAACAGCCGGTGGAATGTCTCGTATTGCAACGAAATACCTCCATAATGCCTTGCACAACCACTCGATCGCCGATACGGATCTGGCACTGAATGTGAAACCATTTGCTCCTACTAGTTGCACCGGCAGTACCGCGACTGATTCTGAAGGTGTCATGTACGCCAGCGATACGAATCACCTCAACATCATGAAGATCCTCCCTAATGGAACCATGACTACTTTTATCCACGACCCCAGCCTTGTTTGGGTTGATGGTATGTTGCTTGATGGTCAAAAGCGACTTTGGCTACCGGCTGCACAGTTTAATCGTGCACCAGAGTGGCATAATGGGACGAATGAAATACGAAAACCCATACATATATACACGGTTGATATCGAGAATGGTCCCGCATCTCTTGATCATGCTTGATGCCATAGCTTCTACTAGTATTGTCATTTGTGTTAATATAAACACTTGGATAGAAGATGTATCAGCCCGAGTTTCACAGTTAACAGGACGTACGTATAGGATCATAAATGATTCGTGTGCTAGTGGTGCGATCAAATATACAGGATTAAAGAGAAATCAGTGAACTCTAAAATCAGATCCAATTTGATAGCTAAATTGAGATGTCCAAATACTGGGTCCTCAGAGCATGACTCAAGGAAGCGCGTTGGGGAGGAGATAAAGGAGTGCAGGAAAGGCATGTTCCACCCTTCGAGGAATGTTCCATTGAATATTCACCAATAAAACATTTGAAGCTACATTCACAATTAAAGCTCCGAGGGGCAAAATAGATTTGACAAATGATAAAGAGTGATGAGCCTGACGAGTGATGATAACTTCAAATGGAAAATCTGAGGTATGCACGATAGCTAATGTCAGGAGAATCTCATTGACTCAGGCGGGGATCTCAAGGTGGGGACGGTCCAGAGGATTCTTCTCAACAGGAGTCATAGGCCCTTTCTTCGAGATCCAGGGCTCACGAGTCTTCAAATCAATCCAGAGATTGTTCCAACGTAGAACTGGGCCGTAGGGTTGGACATAGTGTTTAGGGGTATCAAGCGTCTCGCTGCAAAGACTAGCCTCGAACTGCATCAACAGCTATAAAAGTTGAGGTGTTAAAAATTGCAGTCCAATTAAGCTGGTATTACAGGGTGAAAGGATGAACTCACTGCAACCGGAGCTTTGTATAACATCATCAAAGCAAAATGCTTGCCAAAGCAGACCCGGGATCCATATCCCCAAGCAAAGTTATACTTCTCAAGTATCTTAACCTGGGCAGGATCACCCAACCACCGGTCGGGGTTAAACTCTTCTGCATCCTCTCCGTATATTGCCTTTTCACGATGAGAAATCCAGGGATTTGCCGCAACCTCGATACCAGGAGGGATTTTGAACCCGTTAAGGATTAGTTCCGGACTGTCCGCGGTGATCAGCCGAGGGAGGGGGGTTGACCCCGCAGGGTGAACGCGCATGGTTTCACGAAAACAAGCTATAAAGAACGGCAGATTATGGGAAATTTCCGTGTAGGTAGGCACTGGCTGAGAGAGCTTGCCTGCTTCCACCGCAGCCTTGACCTCTGCCAGGAGACGCTTGAGAATGATGGGATGCGACAGGATCTCAGCAAAGAAAGCGGATGACATAGAACTAAACCCGTCCGCACCGGCGCCTAAGATCACAAAGATCTCGGTTTGAATGGTTTCAGACATCAGTTGCTGGCCTTCTGGGGTACGTGCATCCATGAAGCTTCCACAACCGGTGATTATTAGCCATAGTTGAGCGGTTATGTGAGGGACAGTGCAATACTTACGCTTGTAGAAAGTCGTAGGACCCGTCTCCTTTTTCAGATTTGATTGTGCGGCCTTCAGCAAGGTTCTTTGTACGCTCATCGAGGATTGTCTTAGCCTGCTTGAATACGACCCCAAACCCTTGCGTCTGTTCAGGTCGTACCACGAGATACCTTCTCAACCAAGTCTGAGGAAGCCATGTAAAAAATTTATAAAGACGCCCTGCGACGCCGAATGCCAGAGCCCCCACCTGAAATGCATTCATCAGTCCTTTAACATCGCATTCGTTGTCAATGAATCCCAAGGGATTGCGAAACGCCACATCTGTGATGGTATCATAAGATAGGAAAGCGCTCCAAGAAGGAAAGTCCAGAGGCTTCTGATCCTCGGCGAACTTGCAGCTCATCTTATTCAGCCATTTTGAGATATGTTTATCCAGCAAAGACTCCATCCTCATGATATTAGATAATGAATAGGTAGCTCCGATTAGGCGTCGATGGGCTGCATGCTCGGCCGGATCTCTGATCAAGATACTTCCTGGTCTCTCAAAGTATTCGGAAATATAGAGCCCGGATTTTACATCACGACGATGGAAAATAGTGGGTAGGAGGGTACTATCGGCAACCAAAAGCATTGTTGGCGATATGCGGACAACGGGACCTAGTATAATCTTGTGAGTGCGCGGTTTCAAACTCACAAGTTCATATACTAATATTTACCATATTTTTTAACTGCTTGCCATTGTGAATCCAGCTCACTGCCTTGGAAGAAGTGCCAGGCTTGCCATATTCGAGTCACGCTGGCCCAGAATGGACCGGGATAACGTTTCAGTGGATGGAAAAACCTGTAATAAACAATCTGGTACAGAAACTGAATCACAAGTAACCCTATAACTGAAAGAAAAATGTTGGTGATCGTGACGACCTCAAACGCACCGGCCAAAGCTTGGATGAGTGGGGAGTCAAATTCACTAAGAGTACCCATATTGACCTCAGGAGTAGTCTCAGAGCATACAAAAGATGAATTAGAGTGGATTCGCATGGGAAAACACATAGATTGGAACTTGAAAAATCCAAGGTGCTTTTGGAGTAAATATGCTGGGGACGAGCAGATAAGGAGTAGATTCAAGCCTGAGTTTGGATGCAAGCCTTGATACCGGGGATGGAACACTTGGGCAGTTACACCGCATGAAGAACCTTGTAGCTTAATCTTACTACTAGTATTATTTAACTCGAGCCACAAAAGCAATAGCTTTAGCATCTTACAGTACTCTATCAGCCAGATCATCCCCTCCCATAGATTCGGATATTTGGATGCATTCAAGTTGCGCCTTGTTCAAATGTTGCATGTGGAATCCGGAATCCGGTCATTTAGGCAAATCATGTTAACGCCGACAGCACTATAGAATAGCAATCATGGCCATTCATTAATCTTAACCATGCTCTTACTACTGCAATGTATCATGCAAATGTTTTATGTATGTCACACAGTCCAATCTTCAAGTTGAGGGGCTCATCTTTATTGATACGGCGCATATTCTGTCAATAGTGTACATATTCCCTCGAATCCCATCGGTCGGAAACCATGTCGTTGTTCATGCGGGGATTTCCGAGTCACATAATTTATGCCTCACTATTTGCGTTTCAAATGTTTGTTGATCTGCAGTCCAAGCCCTGGAGTCGGTGTAATTGGTTGTAAGAATTGTTAATTATCTGGTTCTATTGATATGGGCATATCTAGTTTGGGCACCTGAGTGGATGTCAATATGAGGTTGACGTCAATTTTATGTAGGTTATTCTAGAGCGTGCAGGAAAGTGAAAAGATTATCCCAGGGTGTCATGCTAGGACTTGAAATTATTCAGACGCATTTCTCCTAGTGGTTGTAGATACACACATGGGCAGTCACAATTAATGACTACTAGTAATGGTGGCACTTGAGCTGTGACCTCTCAATCCCCTGAAAGATATTCACCACCCCTAACTTTCTTATTCAGCTTTCAGCCTATTGATGAAGCCCCATTCTATGTCAACTCTCTTTTGAGGCAGGATTCCTTTAAGCTAATAAGTGAAAAAACTTCTTATAGGCAGTACTTAGGTTTCCCCTATTGGGGGCAGAGGGGGAGACGGCGGCCAAATTCCCGCAAGTAGACCTGAAGTATCTCTCACCTTGTTTTCACCATGTCCACTCCTCATGTGCACACGAAATATTGGTGCCTTCCTTGGCATTTGCTGGTTCCATGATATTGAATGGTATCTTTGCTGACAGGGAACCAGAAAGTACTGACAGCTATCGGTCTCGGTTTTTTCCAGTCCTAATTTTATAAAGACTACACGCGGTTTGTTTGCAATCTGTTGGTGAGAAATGAGCTTTGGGCTCTTGGTAAACCAGTAGAAAAGGACTGTAGAGACCAATCACTACAGTACCTCCGGAGTCTAATAGGCCTATCGGAGATATGACTCTTCAGGGAGAATCATTTGAAGATACTACTTATAATTGGCTGCTCTAGGGCCGAGGATATACTGGTTGCTCTTCTGGACTTATTACTTGAAATCAATCAATCAAGGACTCAGTCAATCATCAGCCCTAGAGCTGGGTTACTCTACTAGTTTCATATCCACTTCCAAGGTTTGGTAGCTTTGAAGCTCAGTCTTCCTCCCGATTACCTCCGCTGAAATCGGTGCCCGATATTCAAACCCGCGCCCTCTCGGGATTTGAACTCTTATCAGCTGCTGGCGTCATTTATGTACGTCTAATGCTTGCTGTCCAAGCGGATCACTCGGGAGATGTGGAAAACAACGCGTGCATGAAGGGAGTGCACGCGTGGTTGCTTTTGAAATGATATTGGAATTGTGCATAACGGGCTGCAGTCAGATATTTGCATACCACAATTTTGAGACTGTTGTTTCCTCCGAGAAAACAATATAAGATCTCTTGAATTTTGTGTTCGAAGCCTGAAGACCAAGGAAGAAGTTCTTATTTGGCATTCCCCTTCGTGTTTCAAGCGACTGGCTTTTCAATCAAATCGCACTTCATTTAACACATCACAATTTTCAAACGGCCTTTTCGGCGGCTAAAATGTCTGACCATGTCGTCCCCATTCCCGATGAAATCCTGCAGCAGGCGGGTATAATTTCGATATTCCCTGCAGCAGTTCACCGGGACCATGAGCTTGCTGTCGAAGACGCTCGTCAACTCAGACACGAGTTCAGCTCCGAAATTAACATGGATTTAGATACCAAGACTATCGCTAATATTCCAGGATTTGGCCACAGTCATGTCACAGCTCTGACAATGCCTGAGTGCCTTCCAGAACGACTTTCTCTCATAACACTCTTCACTGAGAGCACGTTTCTCAATGATGGTGAGTTGTATCTTATGTCTTATGATTGAAAATCGAAATTTGAATAACGACTGGAATTAGATTATTATGACAAGGCAGGCGCCGAGAAGGTAAGTGAGATTCTTAGTATGATGCCCTGCCACTATCGAATTCCATGTTAACAAAGAATTCATAAACCAGGTCGACATTTACAACCAGCGGCTGAAAAAGGCGTTGCGCACAGAGAATCATGAAGGGAAGCCTGATCATACCTCTGGTCTGTACAAAGGAAAGCAGCTTCAAGCAGGCTTTCTCATCAAGATGCTTCAAATTGATCATGAACTGGCATCCGATGTCATGTCGACTTATAGCCGAATTCTCGATGCCGCAAGTGTCCTCGGAAAATCAGGCCTCCTCACTCTTAGGGAGTACTGCAATTTCCGTCTTTTCAATTCGGGCATGGAGTAAGAAGCTATTCATTCTATCACACAAGTCTTTGTATCGAATTATCCGTCTAATTTGCGTTTCAGAACGTATCAGGATATGTGCTGCTTCGGCATCGGTCTCAAGATAGACCGGAAAGCCAAGGAAAAGCTAGCTCTAATTGTCAATGTCGCTCACACCTCCACATTTTTGATCAATGACTATTATAGCTGGCCAAAAGAGGTAAGGGAGTATTTTGAAGTAGATGAAAACCCTAATCTCCCTGTTAATGCAGTCTGCATTATGATGCAATACCATGGATGCTCAGAGCAAGAGGCTTTGCAGGGGGTCCGAGATGAGATTATCACTCAACAAAAGCTGCATCTGTCTATGATCAAAGAACTGGAGGAGAGTGAAGGTCCGCTTCCAGAAACCTGGCGGGTTTATATTGAGGCAGCTCAATATCCAGCAACTGGCTCTGAGATCTGGAGCATTTACAGCCCTCGTTATCCGACAAAGTCTGAATTAAATCAGCCAGAGTGTATCATTGTGGGGAATACTCTGGAATACAAGACTATAAATGATATACCACATGGATTAGTGGAAAGTGACACGGAGGTGGAGACCAGATGTGACATAATGGGAGACATGAAGTTCCACCCCATTTCCTCTTCTCCCGCCCATATTTTCGCTGCCAATGGTGAGAAAACTGCGGAGTTCAACTCTTTTCCCATCATTACCCATGCAGTGGAGAACAACGAGGAACTCACAAACGGCGACAAAGAAACTTGTATCGAGTCTCCAGAAAAGAGCCAAAACAGCAGCAACATCACGGTGTCAACTAATGGAGATTACTACTCCCACGAGGAGGGCTTGTGTGGTCGTGAGCAGAACAGCAGTGATACCTTTCTGCAGAAAGCAACCGAGGTTAGTCTTCTATATCCAAAGGGAAGTTTTGAGAAGAAGCTAAATAGCGAGCAGACTGTAACATCCCCGTCTAAATATATCTCCTCTCTGCCATCCAAGAATATCAGAGACAAATTCTTGGACGCCTTGAATGTATGGTTTGGAATTCCAGAAGAACCTCTCTTGAAGATCAAGAGAATTGTCGGCTTGCTCCACCATTCCTCATTGATGTAAGCTCACCTGTCTTGAAATCTTCTTTATTCCTACTAATTAGTCAACTACTGCGTATCAGGCTGGACGATATTGAAGACGACAGCATGCTCCGACGGGGAATGCCATGCGCACACTCTCTTTATGGACCAGCCCAAACAATCAACTCAGCAAATTATGCCTTTGTAACAGCATTTGCCGAGACTCTGAGCCTCAGAAACTCCTCTGCAACAGATATCTTCATTAGTAAGATGAATGCCGTCCAGCGTTTTTGACTACTACTTACTGAAATTTGAACTTATAGACGAGGTCCAGAATATGCATCGTGGTCAAGCCATGGATTTACATTGGAAGTACCACACGCAATGCCCCACCGAAGAAGAGTACATGCAGATGATTGATAACAGTAAGTAATACTTGTCCTCAAGTTATCACGCTGAAATCAAAATTCTGACAATTTCTTCCAGAGACTGGAGCGATGTTCCGCCTGTGCGTTCGATTAATGCAAGCTGAATCCAGCCTTGCTTGGTGAGCTAATCTCTACCATCAGTTTCCCATCCCAAAGACTGACCTCCGGATAGTCAACACATAAATCCCGATCCTCTCGTGCTACAGTTAGGCCGGTACTTCCAAGTTCGGGATGATTACCAAAACCTACTCTCCGATGAGGTGAGTCAAAATTTGACGAGTCATAAACACGTTTTGCGTCTCCATCTGTCTTGGCATATTGCAGGAAGACTCCAGGTCAAAGAAATATCGCTAATAAAGTTTTAATGTGTGCAGTATTCGAGTCAAAAGGGTTTCTGTGAAGATCTTGACGAGGGCAAAATTTCTCTACCAATCATATATACCATCATGAACCCATCTTTCAACGGATCTGTGATAAAGGGCATCTTTCAACATAAGGCGCCTGGCGAGATGTGTCTCCCTATGAAAAAGTATATTCTAGAGGAGATGAAGCAGACAGGGGCACTGGATATGACTCTTTCATTGATTCGAGATATGCAGAAAGATCTCTTGGACAAGCTCAGTGACGTGGAAGATGCGTTTGGGTCAAAGAATCCACTTGTCGAGCTGGTACTGAGGCGTCTATGGATCTAGTAGCACGAGTTGTCTTTTTCGCTTTCACCGACCGGAGAAACTGAGCCCTGATGAAATGTACTACAGCTCTAGTGGACAGGCAGCCAATAGGATAAACGATTCAATGAATTTTAATACATCTGGGAAGATGGGTGTCGGTCCTGAAGGGGGGAACTCTCCTTTCCCCCACTCTTCCCTAGAACAGTCAACTGGTCTATAAAAGTGGTTGACTGTACAAAACCACTTCTCACTAGCACGTTCAGGATTTACTGGTAAGTATGGGTAAGGAAAATATTTGAAGCATTATGATCAATTTCAACCCTCAAAAACAAACAAATCCCAAACTTGAAAAAAAACAATAGATACAATCAAAAATCTCTTCCAATATTCCATGTCTTCAATCAAACCTCTCGGCAACTTCTTCCGTAGGCAGCCAACCTCGAACACTATCTACTTGTAAGGTGTAGAAATCTGTCAGAATCAATACCGAATAAAATCAGGCCTGGCTTCCCAATGGCCGAGTTGGTTCCCCTCCCAGTGGACTCCAATGTGGATCGTACCATTGGAGTCTCCCAGATGGGCGGAAACCAGGCAATTGACCAGCCAGACAGAGCGTGTGCCTGCTGTGAAGTGCACGCAGCGGGAGAGGTCTACTCCCGAAATGTCGACTGCCAGAGCGGCAATCCTCGAAGAACCTGCCAAGGGGCTCAATCGTTAGTTTCCGAGAGTCAACTTGGCGGGGAGATCACATACCTTGCTCACCGACCGCGGTGGGGGATCATCTCTGCCTGAGTTAAAGATATCGATGACTTTGATGGGGAAGTCTCCCTCTTGGTGGATCAAAGTACCTCCGAGTTCGATCCTTGCATTCAATCGCAAGCGATCTCCCTGAATATACGCGGGATTAGTTTGGATTTTCACGACATGGGTAAATTGGAATGTCCTGGTAATCACAGGAATATTACCTTTTTCACAATCCAATTAATTGGCCCGTTCTGGAAACCAAAGTCCGGAGTTGCGTTCATGAGAGAAATGTTTTCTTGAAGAACCAAACCGAGTGGGTTCACAGTTGCGAAGCCGAAGTGGCATGGACTGCGCAGGCTTCTCAGGTTAACGTTACCACTACCCCATGCAATCGCACCACGGACGACACTCGTCAAGCTGATGAAGACTTGTTACAAACTCTGGCCAGAATCAAGAGAAGTCACATATACATACGCATGTTGACGGTCTACGATAATGGCCGTATTGCGAAATACACGTATGATCTCACTCTGAAGGAAAGGCGAAAGAGAGAATCCTCCCACAAGCAAAAGTTTCTAAAAATTCGTCAGTACATTCCAAATACCATCTTTTGCTGCAAGCTCACATACCTAGATGGCTGGTACTTGTCTTTTGACGGCATTAGCTTCTGTCATATGACAAGTCAAGCAATCGATCATTGCAATGACAGAGGGTTGGAATAAATTTCGAACATCGGCACTGAGTGTGGCAATTTTAGCATCGCTCCCTTATGTTATATCTGTATAGAAATCTTGAAATTAGAGAAGGCTGTTTACCTAGATAGTATCACATGTCTTGTGATTTGATCGTACCAGTCTGGGTTTGAAGGTTGCGACACGTTCATACGAAGGGGGAGTTTGAAAATCGCATCTCCACATCCAGTAAAAGCATGATTGAGGTTCATGAACTCGTCCATGAATTCGCTTCTGAGCCCAATCAGTTGCGATGGTAGGCTAGAAAAGGCACCACCAAATCTTTCTTGCATGAGTTTGTAAAACTCCCGGTCCACCGAAGTGGAGCCGCATAGTTTTCCTTCAGCATTTGATCGGCTTATCTTCAATATTATCCCAGGGACCCTGAAATTGAGAGCTTATCTAAGCTTGTAGTAAGCTGGTCGTATACAAGAGGATCTTGTTCCGAGATCAGAAAACTCGCAATGTCCTAGATCGTAATGTTAGGTGTAAACAAAATGAAATCAGGCTTGTGAAGGAAAACTGACCACTGTTCCTCCGCCACAGTCGCAGACTAAAACTCCGTCTCCAGTCTGTAGAACCTCATCAACCGCCTATTCAAACTTCAATATCGATAAAAGTGTAACATACAATAAGATCTAAGCTTCCTTTACCACGTCGTAAGTTCGATAGAGCGAAGATAATGGCAGCGCCCGACTCTGTAAGAAGACAGACATTATCGCAATCCCTTGATCCAAAGCCTGCTCTTTTGATAGCAATGAGCATATCATCCTTAGCTTCCTGGGACCAGTACCCTGGTATGGTGAAACAAAATCTGATGGTGCTTGTCTCCAGGCTCTTGTCCGCCCTGGTAAGTTTTTCTTTCAGATGGTTCCAGATGCTGACCTTAAGAGCGACCAGATAATCCGAGATTACATCAATTGGGGACATTCCACTAGGAAGAGACAGAATCCCTAGAGAACGTGCCCAATGTATTGTCACCGCTTCCCAGCTCGCAATCTCGTTCTCATTATCACCATCGAGGAAGAGTTTGAACCAAGAGATCGCATTTGGTTGATACTCAGCGGAAAATCCCCACACCCTTTCCTGAAGATTTGGGTTGTCTTGAGTGTAAGTCAGAACGCTTGGAATCTTTTCAGCGCCGTTCTGAATGCCAGGTTGTTTGATTAAAATGGGACGATAGTAAGGCCTACCTAGCAAAGGGCTAGAGTAACCAATGGCTGGAAGTCTTTATTAGAATCTAAACCTCATCAAAAGTCTCCTTTGAACAGCATCACTCACCAGAGGCTGTAGTGCCAAAATCAACTCCGACCACAATATCGTACTTAGGTGTAGGCATGATGAAAAAATAACCCTCAGGTGAGAACTAACTTCAAATGTTCCTGCGATGATCGACGGTTGTCTGAAAGTGCGGATTTGATCTTGTATGAGAATCGTTGAAAGTAATTGAATGACAAGAAGATTCAATGATTTGGGGGGGGGGGATTTTCTTCTTTTTATGACCGATGGGCTCACAGGGCTTCTAGTCTACAAGTGACTTTTTTTATTTACTCATGAGAAACACAAATTCCCAGAAGGCAATTGAATCGACGAGGAGCCCAAAAATAATCAGCCCAATCCATCATTTCCCATCACTGTCAGTTCTCGCGACATTTTCTTAAAATGTTGACTCAGGCGAAGAAGAGTCTTACGATCACATAGATATGGGCAAAAAAAAGGGGATTTTTCAATGCCGTCAAATGCGCACCGACATTTTGGGACTTCACTAAACGCTATGTAAGACGCAACAGGGATCAAGATGTCTTGCATTCATTGCAATGAAGACCACATCTTCATTCTAGGAGCTTGCATCCAAACCTGATATTCTATCGGTTTCCATTCGTATACCATAGTGGCAACCTTGGAATTCATCCTCATGTGCATGACTATTGAAATGTGGTCCAGCAATCCATTCCTTTTCAGGAGGCAAGCTTGATGCACTCCATACAAGATCCGAGATCCAGGATCCGAGATCTGAGATCTTGGAGGCCTGGAACTTGAAGTGGTCTCAACTGGGATTTAGACGTCCGGATTGCCGTTTTTATTGAGTTTGCTCATCCTAGTCTCTAGTGTTTTATAATGCTTTACTGTACGTTCCCGCCTGGGCAAGTACTCTATTATACGTGATCTGGCTCAGTCCACAGCGTCGGACTCTCATGGAAAAGATTATGGATGGAAATAGATATATTCCTTGAAATTTGATATCCCCTGTCAAGGTTTATGGCTCGAGCAGGAATCTGCATGTAATTGATAGATGTTGCGCTGTTCGATTTCTACAGCTGTCTTCGCCCCTTTCTAAAACCTCTGGTTCATGTCTGGGGCGGTGCATGGATAGGTGGATCTCTCCAGCCTGTAAAAGCCCGATTCCGGATGTCTTCCAATTTCGGGCTTCAAGCCATTTTCAACTCATACAGGGGTTCATATCCCCTCAGGCTGTTATGTAGATCCCTCCAATGATGGAATGCGTGTTCTGTCTGAAGACCCAACAGTGTGTAAGAATTGACCGCTACTTCAATTCTGTGCCCTAGCTCTGCTCGTGATTTTACCCAGGTAAAAGAAAATTCACATCTTTCTTTCAACAAACGAGACACGGGTTTCTCCGGGAGTAAGGGCTTTTTTCTCATGAATCCTTTGACCAAAACCCTTGGGACCTCACCCAGTCCATTTTGAAAGAAAAAAGAAAAAATAATTGAAAGGAATGAAAGAAAACCCCGGTCTTCCGATTTTTAGTGCAAACGATGGCATCCATCAGTTCAATATTTGAAGTAATGTCTTGGGTGATCTTTCTCTCGGTGCAACATCTCCCTCTTCCTGTCTTTTCAACCCCTTTCTGGCTTTTGGTCTGAATTATTTCCCTACTCCATCTCTAGTCCCTGTTTCTGAAAAGCAGGATGGGCAAAAAAGAGAAATCTCGAATGAGCGATACCTCAAGACGAAAGAAACGGCAGCCAAGTCCAGAGAAGAACATGGTAGGTTGAATGAAATTGTTCCAAATATTCTTGATACCGGATGTGAAAGACTAAATATCACGTATAGGCTGACTATGACATTCCGTTGGGTTCTGAGTTGGACGCTGGGCGTGTCAAAGTCGAGACCGACACAGAAGAAGAAATTCAAGGAAGATCTGCTAAGGTATTCCAAGATTACTGCATCTCTCATGAAATGAACTAACAAGTGTTCTATAGGAGCGGAAGACCAGTTCATCTTCAATGGATTCCTTGGTCAACGACACGCGCCTTCCCTCGACCGTTGAGGGCCATGATAAGTCATCGGAAATATCGTGCCGGGGGCGATCAACACCTATTGCGAATCAATTCGAAAGACTACCACCTGTCCGACGTCAAACTCGCTTGTATGGAGAGAGATCTCCGATAGTTGGAGATAGATCCTCAGATGAAGACGAGGACTATCGAGAGAGGGACAAGCTGTCTGGGTGGGAAAAAATATCCCGTCCTGCCCTCCGCGACGTGTACCATCCTGATTACCCCTTCACAAAGAAAGACCCATCTGTTCAGCCACAAGAAGTCCTACCACTTCCAACCTTTACCTCTTCCTACCGTGAGTTTGAGGGATTTTGCGATTTTATTTATCCTGTGGATCCGAATGATAAAGTTAGTTGGATTTCAATCGAAATGAAAAACTGGACCAATGATTACTGCGGGTCTCCAGAGGACATCGAAAACAGAATGACTGCAGAGCAGAAGCAGGCTGTACTTGACTTTCTGGGAGATTGGTGCCTCTACAATGACTGGGACTCTCTGATTGCCACATTTCCCAATCAACGTTTTCGATTCCATACATTCACTCAGGCCGTCATCATGAAGGATATTTTTCAGAGTCTTGTCGAGAATCCATTCTACTATATAGACTTGGACACTCATTGGGATGGGCGCTCAGAGACCCTTCCTCCTACATATGGAAAGAAGCTATATCAACACTGGCAAAATCTTCTTCGCGGTGAGTTCTGATGATGATACTATCTCATCGGAGTATCATGATGTTTGCTAATTCCTTTATTTTCCAGTGGATGAGCTAAGTGCTGAGAGGTGGCGCATTTCGACTGTTCAAATGATGAACAGATATCTTGAGCCCATTGCTAGGCCAAAAACAGAGCCCATATGGCCTGTTGAGGCGTGGGACTGCACTACCGGTATACGAAGCTGGAATATTAGGCAGAGGTATGTAAATCAGTTGGTCCGCAACATGCTGGATCGATCCAGTCTGATTTCGCCCATGCTACTGGACCACGTTCCCGAGAAGGAGCTAGACACCAAGGAACCTTTCCGTCGTGATGGACTGCTGCGTCGATGCTATGAGCAAGCCTGTGAATTTGCTGTCCAGATGTGGACTAGAGATGGATCGGCATTCCGTTTTGATGAGAATATCAACGAGATAGGTCCATTCACAGAGCTGGAAAACCCTGAAAGGGATAAACGCCACTATAAAAGGTGGTGGACCTCCGGATATGATCACTATGATTGTCCGTTTGATCACTCGAGCGAAGACTCATATAAGGGACGGGAAACTGCGATTATCTTTTGGCCAACGATCTGGACTATCCACTACAAACACCTTCACGTGCCTCCAAGATCAAGGGAAGCCTTTGGAGGAAGAAGTAGTATTGAGGGCAGGGAATGGATTTATATGGATGATAGAGACTGGCTCTACGAAGTCCTTGCCTCTGGGCGCGTTTATCTTGCGGGCAGAGGGTTAGTGAAGCCGACCGATGCTCCTTGCGAGTGATCATCCAATCATTTCCTGAGTTCTCAAAGGGAGTAAGACATACTATACGGGCATCCCCTTCTCTCCCTTTCGCACCTGTTTTCTTTCTTCTTTTCGTCTGAATTTATGCTCTTGGCTGCGTTATCACCGTTATTGTTGTTTTGAATGCTGAAAGATAGGACGACTCCATATCATATCGTGGGAAATTGGCGGAGGAAATTCAATTCTGATTTTTTTCGAAAGCTGCTGAATGCATGATTTCAATTCTTTATTCCCCATCCCATAGGAACTCGTAGCTGCACCTGGATACCTTGCTTCTACATTGATAAATCAAGTTCAGTAGCTCCGACTCGATTTGAGGTGAACTCTTGCAGTGCCTTCTAATCTTGATATAAATGCGGCCGGGTATTTTATCCTATCCCCTTCTTGGAATTTACAAATTGGCCATTGGAAACTTGAAGTTCAAGACTCATCTCACCGTGATGCCCATGGTATCAAGTACCAGTCTGCATTTCGGTAAACCATACACATTCCAAGAGCCTTTCAAGGTTGGCTGACTCAAGTAGACTTCGCACAGAACCAGTTCATGATTTATGGATGAGATTGGTAGATTTGGGGCTTTTGATCTTGCCCAACTTGAAATTGTTAGACAGAATACATATCGTAGCATGACCTAAATTTCCGACTTGCCGACTAATACATACTCTATGTATCGTATGGGAGAGCGCCGATTCCGGTAAACCATGACTAGGTAGGCGTGGAAGGAAGACCAGCTGATCCTGATACTCTTGTAGAATTTCATCTGTCAACCAATTCAATATCGCACAGCTCCTTTCTTTCAGGAAAGTTTCCCTGCTCTTAGCGCCACCATATGACTTCACTGCAGAAGGTATTGGACTCTTAAACACATGTCCTCTTATACTTGGTATCCTCGCTACCCTCTCCTGTTGGTGCCAGTGGTCAATGATCCTATCATTAAATAGGCCAGTCGCAGAGATAGGAGTATATTTGAGTCAGAGTTTTGCCTGATTATACTCATTCTTGGCCTCACGACCAGGCCAGGTATTGTCGGATTTGGCTGCCTAGCACAAAGGGGTGACTCATACTATGCCACATCCACCTGGCATGGAGTGGCAATTTTTGGGATCACAATTGGTGCTGTCTTGACATCAAACTACATTCTTGATGCTTATCGCAACTTCAGTACTGAAGTCTTAATCTCCAGTATGATGTTCAAGAAGATTCTGCTCTTTGGAATAAGCTATTTCATCAAAAACGTTGTCTCTGGAAAATGACCTTGGTATACTTCGTTTTGGTTTGGAGGAGCTGTCGTTCTTATGAGGATTACTACCGTTCCAGTTATGTGTTATGGAAAATGTATATTGATCGGAGCTACAGGCACCGACATAACATTTGAATATTTTGGAGAAATGGGGTATGTATCATGGCACATGCTGAGCAAGGCCTTTCCGACGTCTTATCAATGTGCTGAGTTGAAATATCCTTCCAAGTTTGACAAATTGCAAGGTACAGTTGCTCCCATTCTGTTCTCATTCAGCTTTCCAGCGTATGGAATTTTGAATTGCTACTTAGATAGGACAGGTCATAAAGAATCGGATGCCACCATCAAGAGATCTTCTTTGAGGAATTTAGGTCTTTTTTCATGCCGTGCACAGGATGGGATGATAAAATTCAAGCATTTTGCCGTGTTGACTTGATCTACTTATGGGAATTAGGGCTTAGTATGTCTCGGCGAAGATCTCCAATTGTCAGGTAAGGAGGGGAGTAGCATCAACCTGTCTGATACATCTGTAGATGCTAGTTGAACATAATCCGTGTGAAGTTTATGGGCCGGACTCTTTGAAGCAATATTTCTTTGGGACATAACATAGAACATGAAAGCTGTCCGCCATTGTCATTCTGCAGGCAATGATGTTGGGGTGATGGCTGTTTCTTTCTTTAAATTTGGGTAACGTGCACGAAGCTTGTACTTCAAAATAGAGGAATCTCTTTAATGAAAAAGGCCTGATATTGGATATTTGCGAGAACAAAATCAGTGCAGACCTGGGGAGAGCTGGTGGAAAGTAATGGTCAGTCTAAGGGTGAATAAGGATACGAATCCAGTATAGGGAGCGATTTCCTCTCAACATACCTTTCAAAGGCTCTCACTGAGCTGGCACTTTTTAACCTCCGTTATAACTAAAATATTAGATCCAAGCTTTGCTTACATGCTTGTTCAGCATTGAGTTCCTATTTTGTTTAAGTTGGGCCAGCCTATGGGCCCTTTTCTATACATCAGCAGAAGGTATATCAGCACATCATAATTTGGAACCCCTGATAGATTCAAAAAGTTAAGAATACTCAGGGTTCTCTGTGATAAAGAAGATTCCCCATACTGGTAACTGTTCCCGGATGATAAAGATAAAAATGCCATCTGCAATAAACGAGCGAAAGACAGGTGGGCAAATCCGTGAACAGGTCTCCTCAAAATAGTTCCCCATTCTCAAAACCAGTATGGGTTGAGGCGTCACTAGACACCATAGATCCGATTGGGGGTTCCTTACTCCTCAATAGAACGGTGCTTGTGCTTGTTCTTGCGAGCCTTCTTCTTCTTCCAAACCTTGTTGGAATTTGGAGCACGGGGCTTCGGGGTAGGGCGAGGCGGAACGGGGTTCTCATCAGGAACCGCAGCGGGAGTTTGAGCAGCTGAGATTCGAGCAGCTAGGGTAGGGCGCTCGTGCTGAGTAACGTTTCCCTGGCAGCAGCCGCAGCAGGTAATGGCGATACAATCATGGCGTGGGACGTCCTTAAGGGCAAAGCGGTTGTTGCAACGCATGCAGGTTGCAGCACAAACGTGCTGGCGGGGGACCATGGTCTCACAGTCACCGCACCAGATAGCTTGCTTTGCCATGCTGGAGTTAGGCTGGGAGCCTTTAGGCTGAGGCTGCTTAACCTGCTTCAGACTGGCAGGCTTTGCTGCACCGGAGTAGTTGCAATTGACATCAGCGTGCTGCTTCTTAGCCGACTTATTCTTTCGGGCCATTTTGGAAATGGATCAACAGTGGAACGGTCGCTAGGGTGATGAAAGAGTTGTCGCGTGAAGAATCAGGATGTGCCTTTCGACACAAGTGAGAGCTGCTAGCAATAAAATCAGGATGTGAGCCTATATTAGCCGATTCAACATGGAATATAGTATAGAACACAAAGGGGGATGATGGGGGACATACATGATGCGGTTTGGGGACGAAGATGAATGAAAAGCACACCGTTGCGAAGGTTGGAAGAAGGAGGACGCGTTGGGAGGGTAGAAAAAGATATGAATGGGCGCCTGGAGCTGCTGTGATGGGTGTTTGATAGCACCTGTGGCGCACGTGATAGCCGTTCTCGTGGTTATTCCCAGATAAGTTCTTCAGGAAACCAATGATCCATGAGCCACAAATATTTAATGGTCTATCACAGAGGGAAGACCTGGGATAGAGCTAGTAGCTTCATTTCCAGTGAGAAGGAGACATAAAAGAATCAAGAACTTCTTTTTTATTCCTTAAATAGAATAACTTTTGCTATGCATCGAGGAAAGTACGAAGCCTTTGATGTGAACTTGGAGCTTGGAAGAATCGCATACTAAGATAATGCAGAAAATTGACCTCTTTCTAACCATTTGAAGGCTCGGATATGATCAGGCCAAGTACGATGTATCCCTCTGGTATAGGGAAACAATAAACAGATTTCAAAATTAAGATAGGATGATGGGAGTAAAGAAGTATCACATTAAGGCATAAAAATAGGTCATCCATGGATTTGAATGACACTTGTGCATGGTGGGACTGACAGCATGAATGAATAGAACCTTAAAATCTGAAAACTGCCCGCATGCTCTTATCATTTCTAGTAACATTGGAACAAGAAGTTTCATATTGAAGGTCCAGGCTTTAAACGTTCTGAGGAACCTTGGAAAGTGTGTAACTTCAATGTTCAAGTTGAAGCATTGACTTTTCTCAATACGAGGATCCAATAATGTCAAAATATCTCCTAGTCTGAATCCATTACACATGTGCAGGATTGAACCTCGAGATAACTTCAACTTGTCCACCATATCTCACTAGCACCTCAGGCTACTATAACCAGATAAAACAAAACTTTAACAGTTGAACTAAGTTCAAGTTAAACACCTGAATCGGCAACAACCAGTTGACAGCCTTAAGAGAGACCTCATTTCACCTCATTTCAGCACACACATGTGCAGTGGTAGGGCTGGACTAATGCATGCACAAAAGTACGAACCCGGAATAGTTCGTGATCAATATGTGCCATAATTCCTACCATATGCACATGCGTGTTCAAACCAGGCAGCATAAATCCACTTGAGATCATAATGACAGTATATCCACATACCCTCATGACGAAGCGAACATGAACCCTCAGAATAACCGGAAGCTCAGGATGGCTAAACAATCAAGCCCGGTAACAACGGTGATGACATAGCCCGGGGCGCTCGGAATCGGCATCCCACCGGTACCTGAATTTTTTTTACCCGAACCGATGTGGGGATGGGCATTCTGGAGTGATCGAATCACCGGGTTAAAGAAGCTGCTTACTACTTCAAGATAAAGAAGACAAGAACTTGAATTTTCTAGAAGATTATTATATGGAAAAATTGGATAAACTAGTATATCATAAATAATATCTACGGGAATCAATACTGATTATCGGGTTGGTGTACGGAAAAAGCAATTTCCTTAATTTTACGACTTTACGGGCTTCGGGGTCGGCTCCGCACCAAACTGGGATAGGTTCCCGCAGAACCCGATCGCTTATTCCGTGGGGGTTCCGGTGGAAGGTACGAAAAGAGTAAGAAAATAACATAATTTGAATAAAATGGATATTGGAATAGGTAGGAATTCCGAATATACAAAGATGGGATAAACATTGAAGTCAGGAATCCAGATGAGTCCACTAGGATCGGACGACATTGAATCATGTAACTTAAATTAGCTGCATCATCAGGAAGCACAGCTGATAGCCTGATACATAATACGAACCTATGGCTATTCACTCGTTCTAGTCTATTCAAGTCAACTGGTCATACCATCAATAACATTGAAATCTTCCGGCAATGCACTCCGCAATAGCCATAGCTTTCCTTTCAAAGCCCGAGAGAGCCTACGCCAAACCGATTCGGTAATCCGAAGCGCACGGGATATCTGCTGAATTCCCCTTTTTTTTATGTCCATTTAAAACAAATTGACTGGGGCTAGGGTCCTGGTTCGGTCATATGGATTCTAGCCCTGTTCAAATCTCGGGTAATATGCAAGTCCATTCCGTAGAGAAGCAGAAGATCGGGATAAAATGGGGGTCCGAATTTAGCAATTGGTTAAATTACTAGATGAGAACCACTTTTTTTCTGGTCAGCCGGAGGACTTTTTTTTCTTTTTCCCTTCATTAATAGCTATGGGATGGGGGTTATGAATTGGGGCGTCAGATTTGGTTCTTTGGTTCTTCAAATGTTCCGGGCCGGGTTGTCTGGTTCGTTAACATTGATTATTGTGGTTTCGTCGGCTTTTTTACTTCCTGTCATGCCAAGCCGAGCAAGTTAAAGAAGAAAAAAAAGGACGGAAAGTGTAAGGAACTGAGTTTTTATGATATTCCGTAAGGGAAGTCAGGGTATTGGCCGAGACCATTTGGAAACGGGATTCATTATATTAAGTAGTACCACTTATTAAGTATTTGTGACAATAGATTACTACGTACAACTTACTAGGAACATTTGAAAGATACAAAAGGCACAAATTATCGGAGTAAAGATGTGGGGAGATGTATACAACATAGTCGGCATGGTAGTAATACGTGGAGAAATCGGGGATACGTACTTGTTAGCCGGTTCAGCCGCTGCTTAATTTTCCCTTTTAAGCTATTGGACTTTTGAATTTCTCCGCATCACTTTGTTTCCGAGGAATATCCAGAATATCCAGAATATCCACCGAAAAAAAGTGAGACCCACTCCGGGCTTCTTGACACGAGGCAAAAGGAATATCCCCCCGGGCACATGATCATTAGAGGATTTTGATTTAATTGGATTTTTGTCAATTTCTTTTTTTTTCAGTGAATTCTAATTTGTTCATAATTTGTTCGGCATAGATCTCTATTCTGGGAATCCTGGCCCTAATATATAGGGTGAAATGTTCAACTTCAAGTTAGAATTAGTGATTTCCCCAGATCCATCTGATATGTACATTCAAGTTATAGCAATCCCTGGAGTAAGTGACATTCATAGCAGGGTTTCTCCATCCCACTTAACAATCTCCCATTTTCTACTAACTTGAATGTGGACACTCGGGATATAGCCGACTTACCTAATATGAATTCAGTAAATGCGGGGTTGCCCGGGGTCGGTTCGCTGACGCCTCGGAGGCTGGGGGCCAATCAGTAGTCTGACGGGGCCGAAACTCGAGGCGAATTTCTCGGTGTATGACTTTCCCGTGTGTCACCTTTGAGCAAGGGGTGTTTTTTTGGTATTCTCTCCGTATGATAGTATTAAACATTAAAGAATTTGTTGTTAATTGATTTAATCAAATAAAATTACCTGGAAATCTCATAAACAAATCTACCGTATTCGTTTCGTTTGCTACCTAGGTACTACCTGTAGTATCCCCTTGTTTTCACTTTCCTTGGCTCTACAGTAAAAAATCAAAGGTCTATTTTTTTTTAAGAAAAAAAAACAGGTCATTCTTCTGCATTGATCGGATCGCCGATGCAGCTCGGCTTCGGCTTCTCGTTTGCTGACCGGATGAGAGCCCAAAGTTAGGATCAGTAGATTTGACAATGGCATAGCGGTGAGATTACATTTTCTGTAATCTCCGAAGAAGTTTGAACCATACGGATTCACGGACTACCGGAGGCATGACGATGGCATTGTGTACTGGCACGGACTCCCTTTTTTAGAGGGGGGTAACACGGTACACATACGGAGACCGCCGTCAGGAATCTAAGAGAAGGGCCGATCCTGCCACAGTAGGCACCAAGACCCTAATTGATGTAACTTCCGGAGTGTAGGAACGAGGATCAATCGTGGATCTCGTCTCCCCGCGGGGACGGTTACTCCTCTCGATGACATCCATTGGGTGAATGGGAAGAGTGGGAAGACCAGGTGGGTTGATTGGGTTGATTGGTATGAGAGAGGGAGAGAGAGAGCAACCTTGGAAAGTCCGGGGTTGCGTATTACGAATCAAATGTAAAATTGGGGGAAATCATGGAGAAATCATGAGTTGTCCACTTCGTACCCGAGGCATCACAGTAAACTTGGGCCTCTTTTATCCTTGTGCTCGGCTCGATGTATCTTATTTGGGATCCTCCGGGGACATTGCCATGTGGGAAAAGGTAAGAACCAGAACCCCATGTCCACTCATCTTCAAGGATGTGGAGTGCATTTGGGTCTAACCGTCCCCAGCCACCGTTAAGAATCTCGCTGTACTCTCCGACCTTGGGGTGCATTTCAATGGAGATCTTGACCTATTTGTTTTTTTTCCTGATCTGGAGTTCCCGACCCGGTTAATGGACAAGAACCGGTGTCATGTTTGGGTCCGTGATAGATTACTCCGTAATTATGAGAATTGGATCTGTCCATTTGCCGATCGGGCATCAGTCCAAACAGCCAGGGTCTATGTCGTAAGGACGGGATGATCCTGGAGGACTGAAAACCCACCGATATCCCTCCCCTCTTGGTTCTTCTTGGCCCTGTCATTCCCGAGAATCTCTCTCTATTTTTTTTTCTCATATTCCTATGGGATTTTTTTTTTTCCTTGGGTCACTTCCGTATCCACGGTGGGGTCATTTTTTTTTCTCTACCCGAGAAATGATTTCTTCCCGAGGGTAGAACGGAAAGCGACGGTGAGAATTGATATTTCAGCCGGGCAGCGTTCTCATCTGGACCTGGACCAAGTGTACGACTTGAACTGGTTGATATGTTCCACGGATTTCCCGTGATAGTTTCGGTCTTGAGTTGACATCGGGACGATATTCGGGTTGAGCAAGATGACGATCATGAGATCATGGGGTCCAGGGTAATGTACTTTTTTTTGTACTCACCTGGGCAGGTGTTAAGATAGATAACTTGTCAAGAACCGATTTATTTCCTTTAGACTCGGACTTATATTCCGAAGATGATCAAATAAAATAAACCAAAATATGGGGTAAAATGTGTAGTAAATGTGTTAGTGAAAGTGTGTTGTATAAGTGAAAAATGCACACGACTCGGCCCCAGTATCGGCATCCGGGGACTCCACCAGCGCGCGTCCTTGCATCTCCGCACTTTCCAGCGGCTCTGGGTAAAATTGGATTTCCTTTCCCCATATTTTCATCTTTTCTTACTTTTATCCATTTCTCGGTGCTTGTTACTCCGTTCCCTCCCGATTTTCCCCCTTCCCGGTCCCGACTTTCTCTTTCCCCCACACCCTTGAAATCTTATTGCATAAAGGTATGTCCATGCCTCTGCCGCGCGCGCATCTTTGACCTCTAGTGTCTTATTTTTCCCCAACTTCTGAACTTTCCCCGGGTTTTTTTTTCTTCCTTCCTTTTCCATCAATAAATGGAATATTCCACAGATTGATATCCTTACTCGTCGATCCTCTCCCTTTAAAACCCGTAGACGTGGGGTCTACCCTTCGCTACTACCATGCGATCCAGTATCGCTTGCGCTCGATGCCGGCGCAGTAAGATCAAGTGCGTCAATGCCGGTATCGATACCACCTGCCGCGCCTGCGAATCCTCCGGTCGAGATTGTGTCTACCCAACGCCCGCCATCGGTGTCAGTGGGAATAAACGAGATTTGGCAGCCTTAGCTGATGGGGACGATCGGAATGGGGACTGGGGTGATGGACCAAAACGACCACGCCAACGCAAAATCCCCGGCATCACTGGTACAGTGCCGGGATCTAAGACCGGTCTGGATGTCTTGGATGCCTCAATATTGACCGCTAAAGTCTGGGAAGCCGTCTTTGATCTATTCCAGTCCCATTTCGCAACACATCTACCCTTCCTACATCCAGCAACCTTTCTAAGCCAGATTCGACAACTCTCAACACCCGCTCCGCCAACCCCAGTACAACAGGCCGATGGTCAGGAGGCCGTTCGAAATTCAGCGTTCAAGTCGGATCCATCCTCGTCACTGATTCCCTTAGGTGTGCTCGCGTTGACCGCTCGTTTCCACCCACCGCTTGTCGCTTTCCACTCTCCCGTTACGCCCGGCCACGTAGCAAACCCTCTCGCGGCCTCCGAATTCTATGCAAATGCGCTACGTAGCCGGCTGGCTGGCCTTGATGGCGCTAGCCTGGCTGTGCCTGACCTGGCCCGTGTACAGGCGTTACTGATGTTGGCGCTTCATGAGTGGGGGATGTGTCGGGGTAAGAGCGCTTGGCTTTATGTGGGTATGGCAATTCGGCTTGCTCAAGCGATGGGTCTGCCTTTTGAGTTGGAGAATGAGTTTCCCCCTAGGGATTTCTCTCGCTTATCGCCAGGGTTGAGGACGGAAGCAGATCATTTTGGTCTTTCACGTCGCGTAGAGCCGAGGGAACAGACATCTGATGATATCATCGCCCAAGAGACAAAGCGTCGAACATTCTGGGCCTGTTTCATACTGGACCGCTGTCTCAGTAGTGGCAAGTATCGCCCACGCATGATCGACGTGAAGGATCTCGGAATCCAGCTTCCGAGTGATAATGCCTTTGCATTCGGCGAGCGTGTGCGAACAGCCCGACTGAACGAGCCAACAGTTCGTCGCCCGCAGAGTTTCAGTACCCAAGGCGTTCAGATTCCGAGTATTCGTCAGAGTCTAGGATTCGGCGATGAAAAGCTTCCCCCATCAAATGCGACTCCCGATGGTAAGGCCTGGTCTCCAATCTCACGTCGGAAGGATTCAAGTGAGGATGAGGTTGATCGTTGGGAGGTTGGTGCGGAAGAATCAGTGTTAAGTCGAGTGATTCGAATCATCCGTATCTGGGGAAGCATTTCGAAGTGGTCTTGTGCTGGTGGCCGAAGGACAGAGCAACATCCACCATGGCACCCCGAATCACGCTTTGCAACTCTCCACATGCAGTTAAATGAGTTTCAGGATAGCCTTTCGCGAAACCTGCAGTACTCAGTTCGAAATACGGATACTCATATCATGTACAAGACCACACTGGCCTCCTACACTGTTATGCACGTTGTCTACTTCTTATCTGTCATTGTTTTGCACCGTGCTTATATCCCCTTCTTGCCTCTTCGTTGCAATGAGCCCACTGGCCCCTTGGATGAACCGTTGTTACCCTCGGATAAGGTGAGCGGCCTACCGGAAGGATTCTGGCGTGACAGTTCCCGTGAGCTCTTCAAGGCAGCACGACAGATGATCGACCTTGTAACGACCTGTCAAGCACGTGGAGCATTGGTTGAGAATCCTTTGGTCGGGTTTGCTATCTACAATGCTGCATTTACTGGAGTCTATGGATCTCATTTCCCACACATGGATCCCGATGGTCTCTTAGCTGCCAGGCCCCCACCTGCTAGCCACGACAGCCATCTACCTGGTGCCGTGCAGGTTCGAAAGGTCTTGGATCTTCTCAAGGACATGCGGCCACGTCTGAAGATGGCTATTGGGTGGTTCCGCACCTTGAACCGTCTCCATAGTTACTTCTCCAGGGTCAGGCGGGATTTCCGCCGGTATTCCCGCAACCGTCTGGATAGCATGTCCGATGCCTCCGATCATGCCGGACTGAACGGCGTGCGTCTAGTTCGAGAGGGTGGTCTCGGTGGGGGTTTCGAAGAGTTCAAGCTCCTTGAGAAGCTCTTCCTGGACTTCGGGTCCCTTGAAGATCAGCTTCAAGAATCGATAGAAGAGGATGGAGGTCTGATTGCCATGGGTGGGGAGTTGATTCCAGATAGAATGGCCAATCTCAGCGATGCCGGCAGCAATGCTGTTAAGAGTGAGATGGGTGACGTGAGCGAGCATCAATCAGATGGTGCTGGTGGACGTCGCGAGTCATGGATCCCCGTTAATAGCCCTGGTATGCCATTACCTGGCCACGACGGAGACCGCCGCCCCAGTCTTCCTTTACCAAACACCAATCGCCCGATGCCATCTCAATCACCTTATTCCCTACCATCCCTCCAGCAACACCACCCAGACGGCCCTATGTATGCTACCTCGTCACCTCCGAATCTGCCATCCTTGGCTGCAACCACCCAGTCTCCGTCACAGTATCTTGCCGCTACAAGCAACCGCCTCCAACCCATCAACTCCTGGCTTCCTGCCCGTCCCTCAGCTCCACCTCCTCCATACTCGCAATCCCTGCCTCCAATCAATGCTCCCGCTCCACACGTCCCCGTCCTACCACCACCAGGAACTGTCACTCAGCTAGCGCCTTCACCTCCATTGACCTCGACCGAAGGTCCCGATACGAGCCTTCTATCTACCAGTCTCGGCGGTGACGATATTATGGCCTTCCTAGACGGAGGAGACTGGGGACAACTGTCCCTAATCCAACCTTCCGAAGTCGGTATCCCGACTGGATGGCTAAGCGCTTTATGGACTACCTTCAGCCGGTAGATAAATAACCCGTGCTGTGCAAATACCCTGGTTATAATCGAGCACTGCATGTTTCTCTGTACTATTATTCATTTCACGACACTTTCGTCATGTCTTACGCTCTGTACGACTTGCCATTATCTACGATCGCAGGCGACTCAAAAATGGGAGGCTAGGATTCCGTGATTTTGCTTTATCTTGTCATGGTGTTGTGGCTAGTCATTGCCAACTCCAATTCCTCCAACCTTCCAACGGACTAGATCAGCGGACGCTATCCTCGCTTATCACTACATCCATCCCCTCCACCCTCTTTCGCAGTTCCCTCACTACGGACTTGCTCTTCTGAATTCCCTGCACAATTTGATTTTATCATTTTTATTAAGCGAGCGTCGGGCTGGTTAGGCGGGCTGGACAAGGATCGTCTGCCCTTTGTTTACTCTGTCTCAAAGTTTTTGCTTTCTTCCCTTGACTGGCAGTGCTTTTACCACTTGACGCAATTACGATAAGCCATGGCGTTATGTCGAGTTGAGTTTTTGATTTCTTCATTTTTGGTGCCGGAATGGCTCTGTTCTAGCCTTTGTTATTATAACCTAGCTTGGTTTTCAGTCACCGTTTGCCAATGATCGCCATTAGGCATTTCCGGAAACTCCTGAATTCCAATCTTCCCTGAGATTTTTGTAGTTTTTTTTAATCTCACTTGCTCCAAATGTATGCAACTAACTTGTCACAATTTTTATTATGCTGGTTCGCCACGAGGTATGGAATACCTATAGTAGCCACACCAATCGTTCGGTTTTCCAGATATCTTCCTCTCTTAATATCTCAGCTTCGAGGGACCTCACGATTTTGCGAAAGCAAAAACATATCTAGCCTAGTTCTCCTGCATCGGTAGAAAGATTTCATCAATGTCTTTCTCACTCCAAAATAGTCGTGGTATCTCTGGTCATTTGGGACCATACAATCTTCCTCGTGAATCCCATTGTGCTTGTCCATTCCTTGATATCGTTTTACTAATCACGAAGAAACCTTTGAAATCATCTTGAGTGATATTTCACTCCTGAGATCCATTTCTTGCTGGTCGCCTGGGGTTACAGCTCGGTAAAATTTGGCTTTCCAGGTCTCGCTCCAGTCTGCCTGAATAGGTCGTATATGGCTGTGTGATATGCCATAAGCGTAGGAGGTAATCTCAACCTGGAAATAAAACCCAAGGGTCGTGAGCTGGAGGGAATGTTAGTTCGATACAACCACCGAAAGCTCGTGAGTTATAAGGAGATCTCAATTATCCAAGCCTTGAAGGATCCTTTGAGTTCCTTACTTGGGACTAGGAGTAGCTAAAGCTAGGAAGTAAGAGATACACGTACCTTGGATTTGGCGGATGATGAATGCATCATTGCCGACGGTCCTAGGTATTATCCTTCGGCATTGAATGGTCGGAATTTGCGTGGTGTTTTGATGTGGGAAGATATTGACTTGAGCTGACGTGGTAGCTGCCACACATCCTTGATGTATGCCTGCCCGCTGGCAAGCGGGAGATGGAATAGGGGCAAGTCCGAAGCAATTCACTCATCCCAACTCCTCGTGTATATGTGTTCATGAGTGCTAATTTCTAGCGAGGATCACTTACCAGAAGTAGAGGGAGTGTCGCAAGGGCCATAATACTGCTGCCAGCTATTATCAAAAAGGCTTTTAATGGTAATAGTGGTTGTGGCAATGGCAGGTGTGAGTGGTCCTGGTAAGCTGAGGAGGGGAAAAAGCTCTCAGGTTCACGACAACCAAGTGTCCAGTCATGAATGGACTTGGTGCTATTATCCAAATATGGATAACTGCCAAAAAGGATATCCGGGATTCTTCTTCGGCGTCTCGTTATACTTGAACTCCAAAGGTTTCTCGGAAGAACGTGTATCGGCTGAGTTGTGCAGTTGACAACAAATTAAGCTTGGTATTAAATTGAGGAAAGGAGAGAAGGTAGTAAGTCCCGCCAGTCTTCTCTCCTGCTCTCAATGGATTTTTGCTTTGATTGAGGGAGATCTGGTTCTACTTGCCTTCGACTTGGAAATCCGGACGTCATAGGGTATTGACATGACCGACACTCGATATTGGGTCCCTCACTTGCAATTCGAAGTGCCACAGACTTCGCAAGCGCAACAAAAGGACTGGTGTATAGCCTCCCAAGCCTAACTCTGTATGGTTTCTGACTTTTCTTTTGTCCATACGGAGGTATGGATCGATTTTGGACCCCATACCCACCACCGATTTTTATCGTTTTGCACCGTTGGCTTTGACACCAACTTTATCAGGTCTGTCTTAGACAGGTTGAAACATCGCCAAGTTGGAGCTTGGCTATCATTGCTTGGTCAAGCTTTGAATATGCTTGGATGTTGTTGCTTTCGATCGCTTTCAAGCACTCAGTAATTGATGCTGTGGTGTGTCAAACTACCTATTCTTCTCTAATAGACATAAAGTTAGAAGAGTCATAAGTAAGATGCCACTTCACTCGGATGCTCACTCTAAAATGCCCACCGCCAGTGTGAATTCAAACGCTTTCTGTGGCTTTGGTCCCCTTTTCTATCAGCCTCGTTCTGGGGCTTTGTCTTTCACTTGGCCTGTGACGCATTCAGATGTCACCTCAATATGGTGGTAGCGCAGTTCATTTGGAGGCTCTTGAATGCATGGCAATTGTGCAGATTGCAGTGATAACAAAAATGGGGGCAAATTACTTTGCATATCCCGCAAGTTGTATATCGTATTGCTCGAGCTCCAGCGCTCTCTTCAGTAATCAGTTAGTCACCATGATAGATATTGACTTCTGCGCTTGACTTGCCATGAGTTCGCCAAGATAGCTATTGCTTTTAAACTTCTCCATTCAGCCTTCGCTAGTTCTTTTTTCCTCCGGACAACTCTCTGCTCTATCTGTGCAGAGTATTCCGCCAGTCTCCGAAAGGGATGATGTGTCCGGTTTGTTTGCTGGTGTTCTCGATGAAGACCCAGCCAATTTGAAAGCTGTATGAGTGGCCAAATCACTGGTATTTTCATTGGGAGACACCTCTTGTTGATGAAAGTCAAGTCGGTATGTAAATGTTCCACTTCGCGATGTCTTTTGACTCTTTGAAGAATGAAGGTCGGATTTGATGATTCTCAAATCCACCGAGCCTTCCCATGCAGATGAATATTCCGCCTTTCATGAAGAAAGTCTTTCGGTCGAGGACTGCGCTGCAAATAGTCAGGAATAGTCTTTCATAAGGATGGTGTGGCGTTCACTGCAGCTGACTCTGTCTTGGTGAGACGTAAGGATGATAAGGGAAGAGGAGGAAGGCTGAGAGAGGAAGAGAAATGATAGCTGACTAGTACAAGGTGTGAGACATACTTCACGGGATAGTTGATCGATGAACTGCTGATATCTTCAGAGCCGCTCAACGGCTAGTAATGATGGTACCGGTTCATTGATGGCTTGAATTTGATCTTGATCGATAAAATTGAAGAACTCTCAAACTGAAATCTGGAAGTTGTCGAGTTGAATCAAGATGAGTAAAGGAGCTTCATGGTAGTGAAAATTGAAGCTTCTTCAGCCTTTTCTGAACTTCGATTCTTCACTTGAGTTTCATATTAAATTTTACTCTTCTAGCGAACAATCAATCTCAAATAATTTCCAAACCTCGTGGGCCTCATTTTATTTCATTCAAGACTAGTTGATTGTTAACTGTCTATTTTCTATCTTAATTGAATCTCAGAACTTCACGTCCTGGTTCCTTTCAAGTTATGAGTGTGAGCTTCGAAGAATGTCGACTGTCCATGTTTCATGATATGGTACTAATGAGTATCCTCTAAAGCACACCCACTGACAGTGAGAGTAATTACAAGGCTTCGCCTACTGATTTATGTCACATAAACATGAATAGTAAATTATTAGCTTGATAGCATTGCTATTACTTAAGTCTTCATTTCTTCATTTCCACTTGCTCGGCGTTGGTGATGCACCAGCCACACCCGAATCCCGCCTAAAATCATGGCTGGCTGAAGTGACGCACCATGTGGAGAATGCTCAGGAGACTGAATGCAAGATATGATCCAGTGGATTAATCGATGAATAGACTCAGATTGAGTTCACATGACATTTTTACAACTCCGAGACTGCTAAATATTGACTAGACTCAACATTTGAACGTAGAAATTAGTATTAGGCATAGAATATTGTGCCCAACTTGAAATAAATTCAGGCTCTCATTCCGTCCCATTATATATGAAACAATTATACCTTATTCTAACCTTGTTAAATAGTTTCCACAGTCATCCATTCCTAGATCTCAATACAGCTCCAAAAACTATTCTTCAAGCTGCACATGTGTATGGGTCCTGCTGCAAATTATCGGCTGTTGTACCTCAGTTTGAGCTCCCCACAACTCCACAAAGGCAAGTGAATGGGCCTAGAATTCGATTACCGACCTTTTTCTTTGTGAACACCTCTTCGGGGCTGAGTTCTGGGGCTGAGAGTTCACGTAAGAGTGGATTTTATTCCTACTATGGAGTCCTGGGACTAATGCTTGAAGACTTAATAGGCTCAAGTTTATCTACTAAACATTTAGCTTTGTTTAACATTAAGATCCACCCCGCTCCACATTCAACATTTGAACAAACTCCCCCAACTTATAAAATCATCACACCATGAAGAGCCTTGTTAGAAAATTCCTTCGTCGCAGGAACTTCAGAATGGCTCGTACATTTATTGATATTCTATTTCGCAAGGAATTAGCTTCTCTACGCGATGAAGAGCTTGTTCAATTACTCTACGCTGATTTCGGCCCGGAAATCGATCACTTGAAAGGAGTACCACGCGCAGTTGAAGGAGACGGGAGTCCCCCCCAAAGGCAATTTGACGGAGAATGGACTCAGTCCGTCCAGGTTATTATTCGCAGAAGATTTTGATGAAGTCAATCGAACAATCACCAACGTGCGCGCGGTCAAGTGGCTCCTCGCAAATGAATATGAGGCATTTACAGCGAACCAGCCTGCAGTAGTCAAGTTATCACCGGAGACTTTTCAGGCATTGAGAGAACGAGTTCTTCCCTCCTGGGATGACCCTGACTATCTCCTGGCCTTGATTGTGGCTTTGGTGGTGGGCGATATGGGAAAGGACCCCCACCTAGGTGATGAGATTGCCGCGCGGCAGGGCACAGGCGATAAGCACGACCACGAAAATCACGATGAGTGTCTTGCCGAAGCTGTGGAATGTGGTATTTTGAATAAAACACTTAATCGACTTTCTGATGCTCGGCGCAAAGAAGTTGTACTCGGAATCAATGTCGGAGCTACTTTGAACATCCCTCAATTAACACAGGGTGAAAACGTCCCAGGGAGCCTACAACCTCTGCTTCAATTCCGTGGCCATCGTGAAGCATTCAACCTCAAGTATCAAGAAATTATCTTTGATGTTTCTGGTGCAGGTGGACATCTGGATAGCCGGGGCGCAACTCGAATGATCGAACCAGTGTGTCAATCTTTCTTGCAGGCCTGGCCTATCTTAAGTGATGTCATCACAAATGAAAGGTCCCTTCGCGAAGCATATGATGCTGTTTTACAAAATCGTGGCGAATTAATTGCTGAGAAGGGCTTTCCACTTTTATCGCCCACCGATCCATCAGATCGAGCACTACTTCGTCTATTTGCTATGGGCCGCGTTGCCGACCAAGCAACAGCAGAGCAGTTCCAGGACGCGTTTCGTGGTCTACCAGATACAACTCGCGACGCACTTACCAATGGACTGAATGTTGACGGAATAAATGATGGCGACGCAGTGGTTATATATTATATGCCTGCCCTATTTGCAGAAACGCTGCGTATCTTGCGCACGGCATCTTTTGAGGATCGAGTAATTGCTTTACAAAGTCTGATGGGATTTATGGTCCGGACTTTTGATGGCTCACAGCCGCAGCCTAATCAGCCGGGCTCTATTAAGGAACGCAATGTCTCTCCTGCTGTGGACCTTGTACGGACCCCGGCTTTTCATGATAACCTTCGTCTTCTTGATGATTATACCTTACCGGCAGATTCCTAGTCACAATTTCAAGTTATGAGCGGTTTCATTCAATTTTTTATTTACCTTTAGAGTATTCAACCCTTCCAAGGCTCTTTGTGGAAATAGATTTATTTTCTAGATTTAGCTCTTGGTACAGTAGTGCCTAGGTGAGGTGGGTTTGGTTCATTAACCGTCTTCAAGACCTCCAACCATGGCGCTTCTTGCGGCTCCTCTCTTCTGCTGATTCATGCTCTACCGCGTATCACCATCACCCTGCTCCATAGACTCCAGCCTATGACTCCTGGGGTCCTGCATTGGTTTTTCTGATTTGATCATAACAAAAGGCGCGACTCGAGATAACGATGATGCGGGGGAGGACTTCAAAGCGATTAAGTAACTGTCAAAATGATTAGTGATGGCCTTCTCAAAGGAAAATATACTATACTTTTGACTTTACCTCTCAATAGCAGAAAGGTAGTCACCGTTTCCCTCGAAATGGCGGCCTCTTTCAATTCCAGAAAACTGCTCCATTCACTGACACTGTCACTTCTTTTCTCCAGGGAAAAGGAATGAGCTCACTTCCATGGGCCAGGAACAAGACGCCTGTGCGGTAATCATACTGAACCGTGCAGTAACCATCGTCCTCAAGTTCAACCCTAGGCTCCTTAACGATGAAATCCGAATCAACTTCAAGCTCTTGTGTGTCCCACATTTCTTTTTCTTCGTCGTCGGGCGACGACTTCAGGAACAGAACATTTTTGTCATCTTCCATTCCGAAGGCAGCCGACTTCATGATCACTGTGTCTGTCTTTGTGATAACCTTCAACAAGAGATATTGTTCCCGATGATGAGTAACGCCGCATAGATCAGGAAGCATCATTTGCTCGAAGGCATCCGAAGAGAAGATAGGTGAGGGCCATGTTGATGGTTCAGGCGAGTCAATAGGTATCTCCGAAGCCAACAACACACTATGCTCCCTGGAAATTGCTCCTTCAAACACCATTTTGGTGTCATCATTTCCTTCGTGCTCGAAAGGATTCAAGTGCTGAGAATCCCTTAAGGGCGAAACTTGAAAAAATGTAGCTTTGCTGGTTGGCACAGTTCAAGTTAGCTTGAGCGCTCGGTGTATTTGAAAACAAACTGAGCGGGATGTGAAGCGATTCGACGTTTGGATATGGGTAAGTATGAAATACCGGTAAGGAAATTTGGAAGGAAGAATGAAGATGAGGGTTGGTGGAAAAGAGCTGGAGTTGAAATAGATGCGATGTGAAATTGAAAGTGAAAGTGAATATGACTGGCATTGAATGTTTCAAGTAATTTACTGAAGCGATAGTCCAAGTTATGCTACCTACTGCCCAGGTGGTGGTGCGTGTAAGTCACACGCTCCCAGTGACACTAACATAGATAACCTAAGCACCGAATGTCAAATGATAATACATCCATAAGTTAGCCAGCATTCTACCATTAATTAGCAGCATGTTTTGATACAATAACTACAAATCAATGATATCACTTGAGCAAGACCACAACTGTTACAGTAGAGGGACGAAAGAGCGGCGGCATGGATGCCAATGAGAGAGGAGGACTACGCGTGTAGAGAGCTATCTAAACAATACGTGCAGCCTTCAGACCAACACTGCATACTCCGTACTTGGTCCGATAACTGGAAGAGTTCAAGTTCGGAGCCCCTGCATAACTATGCATCGGCGTTTTAGAATTCCTAAATAGGAAATGTTGATCTCCGACAACTGCCCAAATCACATGTTTTGCCCCTACCATTTCATATAAAGGATCTGCTTCGTCTTGTGCAACTATTGCTTTTCAAGATTATTGATTTCAGGGGCCCGAGAAGGTGTCACGACCACGGAGAACTCGGCATGGCTTTCAAAATATCTCGTGTCCAACGACTAAGCGCTGTGCTTGGCATATCGCTATGTTTCTTTATAGCTGAAATATCCGGTAAGCCTTGTTTTTATGGCAGCTAATATGACCCCAATCATTGAAGAGTGCCCTCACTTATACACTTGCCTTAATAGTTGGATTCTACACGCACTCCCTCGCTCTAATCGCCGATGCTTTTCACTATGTATGTTGGACCCACCTTAAACTACTCTACAGAACCAGGACTGACGATTCACAGCTTAATGATCTTGTGGGATTTGCAATTGCCCTTGCTGCGACCATAGTCAGTAGGAGCATACAGCTTTCTTTGGAATATACTAACTTTAATAGATCGCGGAGAAAGGCACACCACCAAAGACTCTCACGTTTGGTTGGCAACGCATTCAGCTACTAGGTGCCTTCTTCAACGGAGTTCTCTTATTTGGTCTAGGCATCAGTGTTTTTCTGCAGTCCATTGAGCGATTCGTTTCCATGCAGCGTAAGTGTTGAGCCTGCATATCTTGACCGCCACAAACAACCGGAAAATCTAACTCCGCCCAGGCGTTGAAGAGCCAAAGCTGGTGCTCATCATGGGATGTGTGGGTTTTGGTCTTAATCTTCTCAGCATATTATTTCTTCACGGTGAGTTTCACTCTAGTCCAGTTTCTTTGGTAGTCGTTACTAACGATTATCATAGACCATAGCCACGGACATGGACATGGGCACGATCATGGTCACAGCCACAGCCACGAAGCACATACCCATACCACCGAGGATCCGATAGCTCTTGGACCAGTAGCGGTAGACGAGAAGGTCAGTTTCTGTTCCTATATTACAAAATTGTTCTAACACAATCGCAAATAGCACATTCATCATAAACACCACACAAATACCAAGACCACCGACGGAAAACATAGAGACCTGGCAATGATGGGGGTCCTGATTCATGTCATTGGAGACTGCGCAAACAACGTCGGTGTCATCATAGCGGCGGCAGTAATCTGGTTCGCCAACTATGGTGGAAGATTCTATGCCGATCCCGCCGTGAGCATGGGTATTGCGATTATGATTTTCATATCTTCCATTCCACTGAGTATGCAGACATGTCCTCCTATCTCCCGCCCATTGACAGAATGCTTACCGCATACAGTTAAACAATCCGGTCTTATCCTTCTCCAGAGTGCACCACAAGGAGTTGATCATGATGATGTGAAGCATGATTTGGAAAAGGTATACTCTGATCTTCTTAACATCCATCTAGTTTACAAACTTTTGCTAACTGCCAATATTTTAGATTCCTGGGATCCTCGCCATCCACGAGCTACATATCTGGCGCCTCAATCAAGAAAAGGCTCTTGCCTCTGCACATGTCGTTCTAGATGGTGACCTTATGCCTAATTTTGAGAGCCTTGCACAGACGATTAGGGAATGTTTCCATGAATATGGCATTCATTCTATTACATTACAGCCGGAATCATATACTCAGGAAACCAAAAACACTACCAGTGTGTCAGTTGGTAGCAGTACTGGTGTTGATATGGCTGGTGTCACTGGTGATAACTTCAAGAAGCGACAGAGTCTTGAGAGTGCTTTGAATCAGTGTAAATCGGGGTGTGGCAGTTTTTGTCTGGAGTTTACATGTTGTCAATGATTTCAGCTATAGAGCTTAGAGTGTGTTGAAGTATCAGAAAACAATCATAATCTTGTTTTTTCTCGGTTCTCGTGCCAAATCTTGTTGTTTGGTTGTTTTTGGGTGAACTACTCCGTACTGCCTTCAACACCTCGGTCGAGGGAGGACCCACTCTCGGAGATCGTATATGCCTAAACAGGAAATGATATACCCGGACGATGGATCACAAAGCCACACAAGATTCCTATAACACAACACGAATAAATGATGTCAATTATTGATTCCATCACGTTCTGGACCTTGGCGATAGCACTTGAGTACTCCGCAGATATGCCACTTATCTGTCGAGTTTTCACAAATAATAGTAACCTTGGAAGCATTTTTGTAGACCTAATTTGGACTAGCGCGGTTAGACAGAGCATGTGTATTGTAATTTGTGATCACCGTGAAGATTGTCCAAACCCATGCTTGATCCGGTCATATTGCTTCCTCTTCACTAATTCTTCCCAAATCTTTGATAGAGAAGGCAAGGAAATCACTCTTAATCAAATTGTAGCAAATGGAGCAACCTCGGTCGTCTTACATCCAGACGATAGCGCCATCAAAACACCTGTATCTTGAAGATACCTATGCCAGTGTGGGACAGATGACCCAGTAAATTCTGCACTAACCGGTGATCTATATCAACGGATCCATCAACGGCCACAGATTCCCCGTTTCATTCAGATATGCTGGGTCAAGATACATCCCCCAGTCAAATGAGATGTCCTGCGTGAAGTTTTAGCATGGAAATTCCAAGTCAATTCAGCTGTTAGAACTCACAAACAGGTCAGGCCCGGCATTCCCTGCGTCAGTCGTGCCTGAAGTATGGTCCGTCTGAGTCGTCGACGACGAATTCTTCTGCGAACATTGATGTCCTTCGCCAAGTTCAGGGGCTTCCTCGTTCTAATCAGGACAATATTAGCGTCATCCCTTTCCAGTCAATATATCACTGGAAATCTACCATGAATGGATTCCCTGGGTAGCCGAGCCAATTTTCCTCGGAATGTTGACACTCCGCGCGGCCAGAGCCCTCGAGGAGTAGCTGCTGACATCTTCGAGCCGCCCGCGGACAGGCATTTTCAAGGGTCAGGTGGCTGGTATCTGTTTCGCAAGCTGTGTGTGTATCCGTTCCTAAGAAGAGCTCACTTTGTGCCGATGCATATACCATATTGAGCAGCATGAATGCTTTGCACGCTTGCTTCTCTGTCCGGACTTTGAATGCAAAGTACTCGATGGCACTCTCGACAGTACGTATCAAATTTCCACGCTGGCTGGTGTTCCAATCTGTGTCGCCTGTGCTAGCTCCTGGAAGCAAAGGTAATATCTTGTCTGTCACTTGTAACCGAAGCTCAAAACAAAGTGTTGCAGCTGCATGGAATAGCTCGCTTCGAAACATGCCTCCTCTGAGCCGAAGAATGTGTGGGTATATGACATGATCTGTTGATGCATTTGTAGTGCCTTTGAGGGGCGATAGCAGAGAAATGCAGGCTTCTGTGCATATGCGTCGGGAATACGTGTACATCTCAGTTCGAGTCTCCGCAAGACTTAGGACAAAAGGTCTGTGAAGAGCGAGAAGATATCGATAGACTAGAAATAAGTAAACCGATTTTCAAAATTCCGAATATGCAGCATCTTTATCGCAGTTGAGGCCAGTTAAAAACGAGGACTGAGACAGATCCGTTGTAATAACTTGACTCAGATCTAAGATATCCTGATAGGTCGATGTTAAGCCAATCAGGTTGATAATTTTGACAACCTTGATCCGGACACTCAAAGTTTGCGCTAAGGAGATTTGAAAAGATGTTCTGGTCAAGACTGTGGACAGCTTAGCAGCGGGAGGTATAGACGATTCAATAGAAAATTCCTCATCATTGAGGTTCGACGGCGGCACGCAGTCAAATTCATCATCCGAAATGGTTGCTGGGACGCCAGTATCCAAAGCCGCCTGAAGGTCTAGCTCAACGATCGTGAACCAAAGTCTCCGACGTATCTCCGCAAAGAAAGGTGATATGCCCTTGAAATTACTGGGGTCACGATGTAGACCAATCATCATAGCTTCTCGAATGAGAGACCCAGCAGCAAGCCAGGCAAGATCGCCTTCATACGCGATAGCCTGTCGCGCTACTAACAGTAGACACATTACTTGAATAAAGTCTAGATCCAGCTTCGCATATGAGGTTATCGTTTTCACCCAAGAACCCACTGCCTGTAACCAGCCTTTTGCCGCTCTATTCGAAACTTGAGATCGGTCTTCATCGGTCGATATTTCAGTGTCAACAAGAGGTGTCGCGCATATCAGTACTCCGAGCAGCTTGGCTGCAAATACATCTCGAGACCAATCATTTGAGGACGGCTGGTCTGTTGAATTCCAAAACTCTTCATACTCGGCCAAGAACTGAGGGACATGCAAGATGCGGAGTGTAGTTTCAAAAGTCGACAGATAGATCTGAACAAGTTCATCGGTTATCGGGCGAGCTGGAATCATGCTTTCCAGCCCCTGTGGTTCTGAGTTCATCTGGGCATGTGTTTGATATGTTCTTTGCAATCGCCTTTGCTTCGTGCGACTCACGCCTTGGGCATTATTCGAGTCCGCACCAGAAAGTCCTTTCTTAACTTTATGGTGTTTTTGAAGATGAGCTTTGAGATCGGGAAACTAGACCGCGGTTAGAAATGTATTGATGTATTTCAAGGTATGAGGCTCGGGTACCATGTCCATTGTCAAGGCCCAATGGCTTCGGCCAAAGAATCTAGTTCTTGTCCCTGACCCATGAAAACAAGACTGGGTCAGTGTGTCAACGGAGCCCATTTGAGCCGATATAATAGGACTATTATTATTGCATGACGCTGTTAAAGTGATTGTAGGGCCCCGTAGTGTATTTGTATGCTGTCGTATATCCACTGGGCTCACTGGGTACACTTCTGTACATTCCGCATCATTAGGTATTGTGGCACTGTTCTGTAAAGGCGATGGTGAAGTGGAAGTTGGAATATCTGCCTGATTAGAGATGGGTAGATAGTCGCACGACTCAGCCGCGCTGCGGCGGGTGCATTGGCTACAAGGTGCCAGGCGATCACACTTCACTTTGCGTTGTCGACATGGAGTGCATGAGAGGACTGTCCGGCTTTTCCGTTGTGTATCACGCTGTCGACTGACTCGCATAAAGCTTTGCTTGGAGTTCTGGAGCTCGCGGAGTGGATCCATGGTCACGGTGGAATCTGCATTCGCATTGTTCTGAAGGTGATAGAAAGCTGCTTGTTTCATGGAGATTCGTTCTTCATACATGTCTCCATGATGCAATAGCCAGTCTGTGAGTCTCCAAAGGTTGGTTCGGGGAAATATAATGCGATGAAATGTTGTTGGTAAAATCGCGCTGCTTTACCGCCTTCACGGGCTGTAGTTTTGGTGTTGTTGTTCCACCAGCACAGCTATGATATTACGCGCTTTTATCCTTTGGGTCAGTAACTGTTCAAAAAGACCGTGTTTGAATAATTGACAGCTATAATCAGGGAATATTGAAATTTGGACTTGGAGTTGCATATGCCAGCAGTGAAACAGGGACATCTTGACCACTGACTCGGAGGTCTATGGCAGTCCTCTAGGGCTTGTATATCCCTATCCGAGACCGTGACCATTGTGGATCTCACACTGGCACTGACAAGAGTTGAACCCTTACCCAGTGCCGTCTGCTATAAACTTCAAGTTTTAAGGTTGAACTTGAAGTTTTCAAACATTTGGACCAATCTCATCATGATGTACCACCGTGACCTTACTACGTGCAACTTGAACCTTTACTACTAGGACCTCGGGAGGACTAGTGATCAGGTACTGTGATCGCAGCCCTTTAGCGCTCATGGCCCTGTACGACGGATATTGACAGGAACGAATACGTGTCAAGGCTACAATTTGCATTCCATTTATCCGAGCCCAGGCCCCCAGAGCTCAAAGAACCGAATCTCATACTAACCAGGGCCGACACAATTGAATTTCCAATATCTACAATACTCCGCATATATCCCACTCTCTTGAGGGGTAGGTGGTATACTTCAACTCAAATACAACCTTATCCACAGTAAGCACATCTCAATGCCCACTAGCACCTGGGCAAGTGGAGTACGAAGTTTCAGGGTTCAAATGTTCTGAATAGCCAACATTGAGACCCCTTGACTCCCAACCCCTCCCCGAGCTCCAACCTGAACCCCCACTTTATGCACTCCACCGCAATGCAGTAACATTCAAACAATATGTCGATCCATTCCAATTAACTACAAATATCCCGCACAACAGGACTCGGCGCTCGTCATGGTGTCCACTTTGGGCTGCACGGGATCCTGAATAACACTAAAATATCTGCGGCATTTGAGATCGGTTCAATTTCGCGTGCGCGTTGTTTGCATGCCAAGTACCTGAACTTGAGCGATACAACATACTTGCGACTCTCCCCAGGTGTGGTACTTTGTTCACAGCCTGAATTTGAATCTCGAGTTACCGCGTCCCAAGGTTCTCAGTCTCAAGTCTGCGAGATAAGGACTGCTGTCGCGATTTCAACCCCACGATCTGGTCTCAATCCGTTGACAATATCTTCACCAACTGGTAATTGATTCCAATCGCGCTGAGTTTCGGAGATCCACTGAAAATATCCTCAACTCGCGTCGTATTAAAACACCTAGAACTATTACTCGCTCACTATTGACACGAGAATACCGGCAAAATGCGCCTAAACAGAAAAGCATCAATGCTTCAAATCCTGTCAACCCTCCTATCCCTCTCAACCACTACTCTCCACGTCCATGCGCATCCTCACCAAGCTCAAGCAGAGACACAGTCACCAGCTGTACACGCAAATCCGAGAAGTAATGCAAACGCAAATTCTGTCTCTGTCACTGGTGGCCATGAAGCGACCCTCTGGGCAACCCATTACAATGGAAACATCTACACCCTGAGTCTCAAGGGAGACAACCTCTCCCTTACCGATACACAGAAGACATGTGGTGATATGCCAAGCTGGTTAACTTTCGATGCGGAGGCCAAGATACTCTACTGCTCTGATGAGAGTGGAACTGCGGATCCGGATACGCATGGCACGTTGAGCGCTTATTCTGTTGGTTCCGGAGGGAAATTGAACCAGGTAGCCAAGGCGGAGACAGTTGGTGGTAGTGTGAAGAGTGTGATTTATGAAGCTGGACAAGGCCAGAAGTATATTGCCATTGCGCATTAGTAAGTTATCTTCCCCTCTCAGACTACCTAGATGTTCCCTATCCAGTTTACCTTTTTGTTTTGGTTCGAACGGAAACTTGGTTTAAACCAGGCCACATCAGATCTAATCAGATCTGATCCATCTATACCACAACCTTAGAACAACACATAAATCTTTATTGAAACTTCTTCTAACAAATTTACAGCGAAGGCTCTGCCGTCTCAACCTTCAAACTACCCCTCACAAAACCCAAAAACACCCACGCCAAACAAGCCCTCCACTTCACGATGTCCCACAACGGCTCAACCCCACAACAAGACTCTCCACACCCCCACTCTGTCTTCCTCGATCCCACCGGCTCATTCCTAGTTTCCCCAGATCTAGGCGCCGACCTACTCCGAATCTACAGTATCGATCCCCACTCCGGACATTTACATACCTGCCAACCGGTGAATGTAACATTCGGGTCGGGTCCACGACATGGATTATTCTGGACAGATGGGACGAATAACGAGACTGCGAATGCAGGTGGTGAGTATGGCAGACCGACGCATGAAAGACAGATGGCTGCTGTTGGGAAGACAATCCTGTACCTCGTCAATGAGATTGGAGGGACGATGATGACTTTTGATGTTTCTTATGCGAGGTCTGGGTGTTTGGATCTACAGCTTAAGGATACAGTTGTTCCGTATCCTGGAGAAGGTTCTCAGGATGGTATCATGCCATCTGGTGCGACGCCTGCTGAGATTCGCATGGTTGGGGATCGGTTTTATGTTTCCATTCGCAGTGATGATGGTTTTGCGCCGAATGATTCGATAGTTACCTTGGAGCGGGATGCGAAGAGTGGAAATGTGGATGTTCTGAGCAAGAGTGATGCGTGGGGAAAGGTGCCACGGACGATGGTGATTAATCGGGCGGGCGATTTGGTCGCGATTGGAAACCAGGCTTCGTCTACCGTTGCTATTGTGAGACGAGATCGTACCACCGGGGATCTGGGGGAGGAGGTGGCTATTCTGAAGGTTGGAGAGACAGGCACGGTTGGAGCAGCGGAGGGATTGAGTAGTGTTATTTGGGCAGAGTGAGATTTCGGGATGGCTGAATGATTCAAGTTATTGTTGGATGTTCAATGTAGATTGATCGACTTTTTGGACAGAATGTAAATTCGAGATGGGCAAGACGAGTACTACTCCTAATCTTCAGTAGAAGCAAGGTCAATAAGTAAATCTCTGCTTCGTCTCTTTCTATCTCAGTAATAACAGAATGAGTTGCAGTACAAGATTGCATCATATCAGCGTGAAATCAGAGAACCTAAACCAAAGAACCAACGGAAATCATGGCCAAGGTGGCCAGATGAAGAATAACCCACACATGAAACCTCATGAACCCCAAAGATGCCCCCAAAAAATTGAAACCAAACCGAGCCGACCACAGAAAGGAAAGACATGACGTGAAAAAGAAGAAAAAAAGAGAGAGAAAAGAGAAAAAAAAGGCCAGCTTTTTGCATGGTGGATATTCGGAAGCCTGTACCGAAAAAAAAGGATATGAGAAGAATGTATGAACGGGTGAGACGACGTGTCTGATCTCAAGTCTTCTGATCTTGGTCTTGTCATATCATCAAAAAGATGGGATCATGAAATATAAATAAAAGAACGACCATGTATAAAGCGTTAGTCATAACATGCATAAGCCATCAGCCTCATGGAGGGAGAGGGAAAGGAAACAAGTTGGATCACTTGAAATCCAACTGGAAAGATTTCCATTTCCCTCCCACCGTCTGACATCGAGGGCACCCTCTAGCACTGGGGTAGCTGGTCGGGCCATGCTGAATATTGTTCATCCCATTGCCTGGGCTGCGGTAAGAGGTTGGTGGGCTGGCGATGAACATGGTGACACACTCCCGGCAGACACCACAGATGCATTCTGTACAAGCAAAACACTCGTTCAAGACCCATGGACGTTTACATTGTGCGCAGTAAATCTGAATATCCTTGTTGCGGAAGGATGCCGGGGTGGGGTTGGAAAACCGATGATGCTGGCGCTGTGAAATGGGCGGGATAAGATTGAGGACTGGACTGGAGTCGGAGTTGACGGAATGGGCCATCCCAGACGCCGATGACGGGAAGTTCTTTCCAGATGCCGTGGACATGGAGTCAAGTGAAGATTCAATAGACGGAAATGGTTCTAGATCGCTATCTCGATGGCTGCGAGGTCCCTCAAATGGTGGAGGGGTAAGGGATTTATGTAGAGGCGATGCAGCATAGGAATGGGGTGGGAACGCCCGATGGGATCCAAGAGGAGGCAGACCTCCAGATTGAAATGCTGGGGGTAAAGATGATCGGTTCTTGGGACCAACTGGGGCTGAAGTGACGTTGGCGAGTAGCGGGGCAATGGTTGGGGACCGACCAGCCTGAGGGAGTGTCAGTGATACAGGTTTGTAATAGTAGGGAAACTGCCAGGATTGTGTGGAGAAAAAAAAATTCAAACGAAACACATGGGATGAAATATACCTCTGAATATCGCTCATCATCAACTTCAGTAGCCGAGGTTGCTGCTTCGATAAGATCTTCCCATCGTTTGCCTTGCGCCCAAGCCGCGGTCTGCGGTTCTGCTGATAACGCTTTACGGTCGCCTGAGACTAGGGCGCCGACCGAACTCTTTAGACTTTTGACGTTCATGCTTAGGCTTACGAGCTGATTGTGTAATGGATGATTTGCGCGGACGAGCGATTTTTTCCTTGCGCTGAATCGGGGGCAACGTGGATGAGCGACCGGGGGTGAGTGGTTGAGGATTGACGGAAGAAGACCACGCGGGCGCGCTGAGAATGGTGGCAACGATTCTTGCTTAAAATGGTCGCGCAAGGAAGGGAGTTCAATCGATGAGCGCATACGGTCCTGCGTGATATCGGTATCGGAATGAGTGTCCTAGGGAAAAATAGGATCAGCGAATTGCGCGGGGCAAAAAAAAAGTAGAAGGTAAAAAAAAAAATTTTGAGTCTCCTTTTTTTTTTCCGGCGTAGGGGGGAAAATAGAAAAAATAATCCAGGAATTCGACACAAGCCTTACCATGTCAGTATCCCAGTCAGATGCTAGGCGATGATGGTGCAATTGTGCAAGTGCGACAGCCGCCGTGGCCGCGGCCGGGTGGGGTTCATCAGCTCGAGGTGTGGCCGGGGAGCTGGCATCTGCGACATATATGTCTCTATCCGCTAAATCTGTAGGTAACCGTCAGTCATCTGGAGGCCCAACTGATACATTATTGCACTGACCGTGACGGCGCCTCGGCGGAGTAGGATCTGGAGGAGAAAGATGAGCTCTTTGGTCCGGTGGGGTGTTCACCATCAAGAGAAAGCTCTCCTCGGTCGCCGGGAGCTTCGGGATATAGTGATTCGGATGCGCCCGACGAATATGCTCTTGCATGGAGCGATACCGCTTTTCCTGTAACCAGGTGATCAGAGTGGTCCTTGTACTCAGCTCTAGCATTCTTTTATTTATAGATCATAATCATAGATCATATCGATATGGATAACAGTGTCCTCGACTGCAGATGGCGATAACAGAGTGGGGCGGGGAGGGACGATGAAGCACTCACTCCCAAGCATCGTTTGCGACAATTGGAACCATCATTATTCTTGAGAGGACAGACGACTTCATTGTTGGCATCAGTGACCGAGAAGGAGCTAGTCAACGAGCTTCGAGGAGGCATGTTGCATATATAGACCCTCTGGGGGTTTTAAAGAGGATAGATAGAGCCGAGAGGTAAATGGGAGGGAAAGGAAGAAATGAGGATCACTTTGAGACCCAAAATCACCAGAAACACCAAAATGGAGTCATATGAGAATCACCATTACTAGGAACTCCTCAAAAGGTTCAAAGGTTCAAGTGCTGGGGGAGATTTGTGGAAGAGAGAGAGAAAGAGAAGATGGAGGATGCGTAGTGCGGTGCTGGGTGTATTTACCGTAATTAACGTATTCTATTTCCCCCGCTTGCATTTTTTTTTCTCCTTTTAATTTTTTGGTAATTTTTAATTAATTTTTGGATTCTATTCTATTTTCATTCTTTCCTTATTGTATTTCTGATTCTTTTACATAGAGAACATGTTCCATGATTCTTCCATGGAGTCCCGCCAAAAAAGAGGGGGTGCATGCATGAGCTTAGCCTAGAATCAACGAACACTGGCAGTTATGCCACCTCGACACCTGTAAAAAAAAAATTAATTTCAAGGCTCCTATATAATTTTAGAAAATGGATGAGCATTTTTATTAATATTAAAAGTCTTCTGGATCATAAATATTTCTCCATAGTCTCCAGCTATAGCTATAATTCCACAATCCCACAAACGGAGCCCCTCCAAAGCTCTCCCCAGCTCCAGAGAGCTAAGGAGGGGAGCTCCGGGTGGCGAACGGTAATACCATTACCAGCTGCCTAAGTGGGATAAGCACTTGAGATAATAAGGACAAAGAATAGAAATAAGTAATAAAATCAAATCATAAAGAGAATAATAAATTAGATAGATTCAGATCGATCTCAAAGAGAATGTCTTAAAGAATATCATGAAGGTCAAATTGGTCACTCCATATCTATCAAGTGCTCAAGCTTCTCTCTCTCCCCTCTCTTCCTTCTTCCCTTCAGCCGACCTCACCCGTTTCCCCCCAACTCAACTTTTCAACTTTAAGTCTCTCAACTTCCCGTATTACTCTCCGTACACGGTAGTACCGGGGCACATGCCGATGAATAGCATCTCAAAGCAGTCTCATTGGTCCAGCGGGGCTCATGACCTCCAATGATCTTTTATCTATTGGGCGGCAAGGGCGCCATCCCGGATGGGGATGGCCGTGCAGGGCAAAAATTCTGCTTCAAGTACGGATTAACCTGGTGCAATACCCCCCCAAGAAGGATGTTCACCTGTCAATTTGTCCACCTGGTCAGCTATTCACAGCAAGTACCTAGTCATGATTTGACTGACAAGGTCTTGGGACTAATGTTGCTCCTTCTGCTGGCCTAAGTCTCCCGAAAGCGGCGGGGGTGGAGCTGTGCTGAGCTCGAGCGGAGACGGTTCCATGTTCCGGAGCTGAGCTGGGTTACGTTACATATCGTTATTACAACCTATTTACAAGCTATCACTAGACTGAAATTGTTCGGAAATACGCTGCCTAGCTGCGAAGCTGCGAAGCTATCAGATTCATCCGATGAAAATGTTCAGCTCCTCATATTTTGCCGAACATACCTCTAACAAGGCAACCCATTTCCTTTTTTTTCTTGCCACTACCGAGGGGTGATGAGTGCTGCTTACTGTCTATGCACAGGGTGTCTCAGCTGGACTCTGCCAGATATCAACCCTTGCGGCAGTCGTAGATCCATCGGGCATCCCGGATTCGTCATGCAAGTCATGCAAATTTCTCGAAATGTGTTTCACATCTTAATCAAAAACCCAAAAAAGACTCCACATGCAGATCTTGATACCGATATAATGAATCTACTAATAACTAACAAATGCCCTCCCCCAACGTTAATTTAAGGTCATGTCGAATCAAGCGGAGGTGTAAGCATACCACCAATTGTGAAGCCGCTACCATTCACAGCTCCAAGGCCACCCTTTTGCCGACCATCCTCCCCCGCGAAAAAAAGCAAAACAACATCGGCAGCAATTTTCGCCTCATCCTCATCTTCACCATCAAGTCCAGAACCAATCCCCCGCTCAATCTGCTCTATAGATGAAGCTACCATTTCCGCCGACCAACCCCGCCGCTTCCCAAACTCAATACACAGCGCACGATTCCCGAATACATCGAATTCGAAATGGCCTTGGTAGCTGAGCACACGGCCGGGATAATAAAGTCCTTGTATGTCGCACATAGCACTGCATCCGACATTCACCCATGGTGATGGGAGGGAAACCTCCGCTGTTTGTGTTTTTGCCTTAGCTGCTGGCGTAGGCACGACAATATCGCCATGGATTAACTGGATGCAGAATGGCTGAACATCACGCTCTGGTTCTTTATCCAAGACAGCGAAATGCGCCTTGAATTCTTGTGTAAGTGTTATTGGATGAATGCCCATCTCGAAGCCTTTCTCCGAGCGCTCCACATGAAATGTTGAGGATGGATCTATCGCGGGGTTTGAGAGTAGAGCCTGCGCGATAAGCTGGTGTCCGAAGCAGGAACCGAAAAGCTTAACATGGGGAAAGTTTGCATGGACAGTCTGGATGAAGGACTCTAGATTTCGAATCCAGGGATCTTCATCGTAGGCTGAGGCTGCGGATCCAGTAATGAGGATAGCATCAATGGCTGGAGGACTGAATGTATCGAGTCCAACCTCTGCTGCGGTATATGATGCCCTGCGGAGATATCCCAGCGGAGGTAGACTACCACCGACAACGTCGTAAGCTGTAACATGTACACCTAACGGGCCATTTTGAAATTGTAGATTCGCGTTTTGGTTTAAACGCCCCGCGGCTGCTTGAAGGAGGACTCGAAATTGAGAACTGTAGAGACCTCGTTTGGTGTAAACGGGTAGACATGGGACGTCGGCATCTAAGACTGCGACGTGGATTCGACGACCGGCCATGTTTTTTCGGTCTGAATAAAGTTGATACAGCGAAAAAAAAAATTGATCTTTACCAACATTGAGGGGCCATATTTACAATCTACACCAAAAACCGTCGCGCAATCGGATCGGCATACCTGATAAGGATTCTGTGAGTTATTGGGGTAATTGGGTGGAGATGTCCCGAAGAGGAAGCCGAATCCATACAGATGAAGAGGAGACAGAGATTAGATGTTAAGCAAGAGTGAGAACATTATCAATATCTGTATGGAGGCAAAGTGGACTTAGGTCCATATATTTTGCGTACTATATCGCATAGTAGTAGCCTTCAAGTTGGAGATATACCGCTGAGCCTTAACCTGAACCCCAGAACAACATGTATGGACAAAGACAAACTTTGAAGAGACAGATTCTTTCATAATAATCAACTAAGTCTTCAACAGGAGTTATGACATTATAAAGACAGCATTCTCGCACGAGAGATAGTGGGGAATGGTTCTTTAATCTTTCGATGCCGAAGTATCGGCTCGGCTCACATACGCCAGCGATCATATACAGGAACTATGTGACTATGGAGAAACAAATAATTTGAGTATGGAGCATAAATTTATCGGCCGAGTGACCCTGCAGGAACTAGATTTCATGTCCAGGCCTTTCAACTTCAAACAAATGAATCTGGGGAGAGCCGCAATCTCCAGGCTCTATTCCAACATCACTCCATGCGTCGACAGATTGACCATTGATCGTACTTTATCTTTCATACTGCATGCATACACAATCAAACTGCATATAGGTTCTCAATTTCTACTGCTTTGTGTTATCAATCTACTTCAATTTTATGACCCGAAACAAGTCGCGATCGGCTTAGCCATCACAACATCGACCCCCGCAAATTGCGCCATAATGCTACCAACCCCAATCAGCCTGCACGAAACACAAACTGACTCAACATGTTAACCCAAGTTCCAAGGTCCAGTATTACTGGATCTGGGTCTGACGGGAAAACACCGCGATTCGCAATCCCTTCATCCTATAGGTGGCCAGATCAACCTTCGCACGCCATACCGTCCACTTGATTCCTCACGATGACAAGCACCATAACGACATTCTTCAATGTGTAGATCTCGGCCGGAAGATTTTGAGAACAGAAATAAATAGTCCTCGATCACCCTGTTCAATGTATTTCTCCAAAAGTTAGTCTCATACAGCGCAGCTCTTGTTTTATCCTAAAGGCTTCATTTCATTATGGCTCCTGCCGCTACCTCTATTGCGCCTACCGCACCCCACAACCTCGTCAAGGATGCCCCTCTACATATTTTCCCCGATGGTCTGAGAACCACAGGTCAGCACGAACCTCTTTACGACCACATTGTACCCTTCGACAAATACCCGAAGCAAATCACGGGCCCTACGGTTTGGAATCCCGAGGAATACCGCTCCAACCCGGAGAAATGGACACATCAGTTTACGCCAGACCAAATTGAGGAACTCAGCAACGCAGCTGATGCTTTCCTTGCATCCAAGACCCCGCTTACCGGTATCAGCAAGGTCCGTGCTACACAGAGCAAAACTATACCAATTATACGACAGTGTGAACTAACTTCGCGTAGGGCAACTTCCGTGTACCTGTACTTGCTCCATACCTCGAGGAGCTTCGGTTGGACTTAATTGACGGCAAAGGCTTCATCCTGTTCAAGGGATTCCCAGTGCGGAAATGGGGAAACCACAAATCTGCTGTTGCGTACATGGGTCTGGGAACGTATCTGGGTTACTTCGTTAGCCAGAATAGCCGCGGCCATGTGCTCGGTCACGTCAAGGATCTCGGCGAAGATGCTACACAAATCGATAAGGTCCGCATCTACCGCACGAATGCTCGGTATGTTAACCACTACCCATCAAGCCTAAGCCGTAGCCAGGACTAGCACTAACATGATCATCTTCAGTCAATTCTTCCACGCCGATGATTCTGATATCGTCGGTCTACTTTGCATTGCGAAGGCACTAGAAGGCGGCGAGTCAGACCTCGTCTCCTCGCACAATGTCTACAACACACTAGCTATTGAGCGTCCCGATGTGTTGAAAACCCTCACAGAGCCAATTTGGTACTTTGACCGGAAGGGTGAGACGAGTAAGGGACAGGAAGAGTATATCCGTACCAGCGTGGTATACCTTGAGCGCGGCGAGAACGGCCGTGTTTATACAAAGTAAGATTAACCCAACCACTCTACCAAACGAAGAAATCAAAAAATACTAACACTATTGTCAGATGGGATCCCTACTACGTCCGCTCCCTAACCCGCTTCTCCGACGCGGGAATAATTCCCCCATTAAGTCCCGCCCAGCTAGATGCTATCCAGGTGTTAGAAGATACCTGCAAACGACTTTCCCTGCACATGGTGCTAGATATTGGGGATATTCAATTCCTGTCTAACGCGCATATCTTGCACGCTCGCACAGAGTACACAGATCATGCACCTCCTGCGCCGCGCCGACACTTGATGCGCCTTTGGCTTGCCACACCTGAGAGTGAGGGTGGATGGAAGTTGCCGTTTTGGGATAGTAATGAGAAGAAGAGAGGTGGAATTCAGGTTGATGATCAGGCTCCTGTTGCACCTTTGGATGCGGAGTAAAAGATTTGGAGATGGGCCAATGTGAAATGATTATTGATAGTTGATAATGATACCTTTTTGATTTTTGTTAAACTTCGAGTCATCTGTATTTGGAAATCATCATCAATGGTGGTAGTAGCTTTGATATGAAAAGTTTGAGCACCGACAGTGTTGGGCCCGGGAGTCCTTTTTTTCTCCTTTGACGGATCTTGGAAGCAGTTCCCTTTTTCCCTGGCTTAGCCTGCTAGTACTGTCAACTGGTCCAATTCGGCTCCAGATCAATCCAGTTTTCACGAAGCAAAATTGATCACCATTGGTCAGGTTTGACTTCTGTCCGATTCCGCATCTTCGCCATCAAATTCTGCAGATGTATCAACGCACACGCATCATGGAATATTTTCAGGCAGTACTGCCCAGGTGGCTAGACCAAAAAAAAATCAACAAAATAAAAGATGCAAAAAGAAACTCTCCCTCGGGGAATCGAACCCCGGTCTCCCGCGCTTATCGGTGTTAATGACAAGCGGAAATCATGACCACTAGACCAAGGAAGATGAGATAGTCGAGTTCCACTCGACCACTTGGGGTGGTTGATGTCTGTTTAGCAACTTTTGGCATTATACTCACCACTTTGCAGACTAGCTCATCCAAACACTGTCAACATTGAACCTCCCAAGGATAGCCACAATCAGCACTTGAGGTGACGGCAAATGCTTGTGGGTCTCAAGTGCTATTATTTGATCGCTTAAATCTAGACAGGAACTAAATAAAATTTTGTTCTAGGCATCCAGAACCTTGGAATCTATCAACTTCCAAGGTTGAAAATTTTCAAGTTGCTCCAAGTTCAGAGGCGTACTCTCATCCGCGGATATATCATGGGTTGTTCTATGAGCATCCCGACCTCCAGCATTTCAACTTGAAGTTCAACAAGTTCCAACATTTGAACTTGAAGGCTGACTCGGAGATCGACCTCGGGAGGACTTTCAATCAAGATGATGCCGAGGAGATGATACTGGGAAAACTCTCAGTGTGTCTGGAGAACTCCACTAGGCATTGATGGATTGGCTTTCTGAATGTATTCAAGTTATGCTACGCTCATCATAATGCTCTTCTATACATAGGTAGGAACATTCAAGTTATGGCAGCGTAGCCTTCTAAGTTGCTAAATAGTGCGTCAGGAAACATGACCGGGATTATAGACTTATCAATTAAGAGAAACCTTGGAAGTATGTCAAGAGAAAGTATCCATTGATTGATTGGACATCAAGTTGGTAACTGAACGATGGAATTGCCCAGGTGGGAATTCAAATTATTTCGAGGCAAAAATTACCCAGGACTCGGAGGTATTGATTCTCCCTTCACGGGCTTCCAAGATTCAAATGTTGAACCTTCAAGTTGTGCATCTCAGCGCTTCCAGGGTTTAAAATGGACCCTATTATTGCAAAATTAGCAGCCGGGACGAGAGACGCATTCAGTGAGGCAAATTTCCTACAGGGATTATTCCGCCGACCAGACAGGCCTTGTCCACAACGTTCCCTGCAACGGCTAGAGCTCCTCCACGGCCATATTTCTGAGCGACATTTTCAATGCACGTCCAATAAGTACACCCAGCAGCGCTCCCAGTTCGACCAGCACTAAATCCATTAAGGAAAGTATTCAAACATGCGGTCCATTCATTTACTTCGGTCTGGGTTGGGGCAGAGGAGGTCTGGCCGGACACGGAGCTGGCCAAGAGAGCGATAGTGAAATGCAAGAGCTTCATTGTGATTCAAGTTGCTATAGTATATTAGTTCAGATTAAAATTTCTGGATGTGGAATATCAGGAGTGCTAACACAGCTTATATCTGAATAGGATTCGGAGGCTTCAGTTTTCAGCACTTAAGTTTGCCAATTCAGAATTTGAAGGAATGTTTTTGAGAAAGATGAGAGCATTTATAGTAGAGCTAATTGGAGATTGAACACTGTGACATACTCGGACTCTTGGTATTCAATCCGACTCCGAGCCTAAGTCCTTACATGTATACTCACTGGCATTGGCTCCAAACTTGAACCTCATCCGTCAACAGATGAAGATCGTGATTGCCGAATATTTTCTTTCATTATCCTTGTTCCTAGCCCCCAGATACAGTCTGTACTACATGGGCATACATAGTAAGTCTTTCTAAAGTGGCTATGCGCAAGCTCTGGCATCCAGATGGATGGCTCTTTCAACCTCATATTGAGTGAGACGTTGTACGATCCCACTTTTAATTTTCTTTCCCTCAAGTGCATGCTCTCAAGTACCACTATCTGCTATGGGAAATTGATGGATCTATTTAGATCACTAAGAATAATATTGTTCAATTATGGAAATAATATTGCCTTTATCTAAAACCGAGAATTTTTCAGCATTTTCCTAGTAGTATGTTTTGATCACTGGCAGCTAAAATGCAGGTACAAACCCAGGTGCCTGAAACTAGGAACTGTTAAAAGTCTCAGGCTCCAGACCATGATCGATTGATACTACACTCACCCGTGGACATGCGCCGTAGTGGATTCATGTAAGTTCTATTCAACCCTGATGCTATTCGAATCAAATTAAAAATTCCAGTCATTCCGTATGGATAAGGGCCGGACTGATCCTCGAGTTATTGATAAATTTACATAATATCTGAAGCCAGTAACCTATGATATCAGTCCTTGATGTCCGGGGCCTCGGGAGTAAGAAGGTATGGCAAACATGCGGGGAAGATTCATAGATCGTACACCTGCGCATGAAACCTACTATTAACCTCACGTTACTTCCTTGTATCGTGTGCTACGGACATCACTTGAGAGTATCTGGCTTCACTGGCACACTTACATAGTCTGGCCACTTGAAATTGGCACAAGCAAACCCTCATGCCCACTGCCTGGGCAATCGACTGTAGCTATAGCCCGTCTAATTTGCCTTTATTAGCAAAATGACGACCTCAATTTCGAAAATCTTAAACTTTAGCTGGACTTTTAGTCGTATCTATAGGTAAATGGTTGCCGGAGGGACCCAAAGAGCCTCCAGTACCTAAGTAGTAAAGAGGTCTAGTAGCTCTACTGGTATTCATGTGGTCAGTCGTCAAGCACTGACAATTAACAGAACATGACCAGCTCAGACACTCATAATATTAACATTGAAGATTCATATCAATTCAGGGGGTATATAATACATAAGTGACAACCAACGCCAGACCAAATGCGATACTGCTCCATCATACTAGTGTACAAGCTTGTAATTTCCTCCACTGACAATCTCCAATTTCCCTCGAGTGACCATCCCAGCTAAGAATTCACGCAACTCTTCATTACTGAAGGGGAAGCCACCAGGGACGACAATTTTCAACATCATGACAATGCGCTGCAAGGGCATTGCACCTTGGTTCGTGAGCATACCCACAATAAATTGCCAGTGCAGATTCATCTTCTCCATCGCGGCAGCCTCAGTCGTTTCCTTTACCGCGGCGGCGGCAGCGGCTTCGGCTGCAGCTGCAGCGTCAGCAGCATCTCCCACAGAATTATCGTCTCCTGTTTCGGAGCCAGCATTCGCTCCTGCGCCATGATCATCCTCCGTAGGAAGGGTCTCGAGAACTCGGAACCGGTCACGGTGGATTTCAGATAGAATACGCTTACTGACCCAGAATAGACACGCGCTGCGGACGAGGGAACGGCCATCTCCAGTGACTGTGCGAGTTCATCTACCGTTTTCACGACAGGTTCACCGGAATCGCCATCCTCTTGGAATGCGTATATCACAGTGGCTTGCCAGGTGGTGACTTCATCGGTGAAGCTACGATCGCTCAGTTCTAATTCCACAGTAACCTGACCCAGACCATTCCGCCATGTAAGTTTCCGTGATTGCTTGAGTGTTTCAAAGCCCGCAGAGTATTTCTCCTGCATTGAGAAGATCTCAGCAGGGACCTTGAATTCCTGGTCTTGGAGCTCAGGCCAGAAGAAGCGGGACAAGATCTTTGTATGAAGCTCTGGGATACCCGGTTTGGGGATGGGTCTGAGGGCGACGCTCTTCAATGTCATGCGTTGCGGCTGTTTACTAAATCCTTGATCATTTCGCACGACAGCATCGACTCTTCGAGAATCGGATATATCACGCAACATAACCTCACATGCCTGTAAAGCGGAGTCGCCGAACCGCACCTTGAGAAGCTCCAGAACCGATATCTCTTGATCAAATTTTTCACGTTTCTGTATGAGACGATCTGCCAGAAGAGTTTGAAGTTCTTTCACAAATGTCTCTTTTGAGTCAAACAAACTCACAAGACTATCGATTACATCTGCACTTTTGGACTTTCGATAATCTGGTGCGGCATCGATAGGGTCGGGCACCCAGGTCATGTCATTCCAGTCCAATTCGCCCTTAGTCTGATTTAGTGAAAACTGGTGGGCTCTAGTTAACTCCGTCGCCAACTCGACCAAATTTTCTCCAGTAGAGTGTAGCGGAGTTGATTCGGTTGCCGCAGTGGCCGATGGTTCAGCCAATAAGCCACTAACAATCACTCGAACTGTATCATCTCGCTCCCTCAGATATCGTCTTATGGGCCGGGCAATTCGATCAAGTAGGACGCCCTTGGGATCCAGGAGGTGGAAGGCTCGAATGATAGATATGTAAAGTTGCAGAATCTGAATTGTAGAAGCGCCAGGGTGCAAAAGACGCTGGTTGATAAGGGAAATAAAGGTCTGCGTCACATGGGCTCTCGCGGCAGGATGATATGTAAATTGCCGAAGATCTTCAATGGCGCCGGAGCTGGCAGGCCAGGAAATAATGATGTCGAATAGTTCACTTGTCCGGAGCGCACCGAGGCGAGCAGTCGCAATCTCTTGCCATTTTCCCACGTCGCCGAAACTGACATCCAAGGCAGATGGTAACTCTGATCCGGCAGATGGCCCTTGGATAATAGCAAGAACTTGCACTGCGAGTCGTGAAAAGATATTCTCAACCCAGCATCTCAAATGATGGGGCACGGCGCTCGGTCTCTTCCACTGATTTGTGTATGCCGCACGTACAAACTCGGTCATCATAAGATTCATTACACTGGCAAAGACCTTTTGAGCCTTATCACCGCCAAGTCCAACTAATTGTAAGCCGTTCAGGAAAGCAAGAAGCTGATCTCGGGCCATCGTGACCGCTGGCATCTCGCCACCAGTCATCATAACCGCACGAACTTCTGGGCTTGCGTGTTTCCAGTCCTTGTAGGAAACTGAATAGAAACCATCTAATTCCATGTCGTCTTGGCTACTATCTTCGGAATCTGAGCTTTCGAGCATCGTGTCAATTCCCAAAATGATGAGCGCGTCTCGCGACAGCTCGTCAGCGAGAAGCGTGGACATCTGCCCCCAGGGCAATGAATACGATACAACTGTATGAAAGACACGCTGAAGCTGAGTCAATATCTGGCCTTGCTCGGAGGTAGCTATGAGGGGCATCATGTAATGCACGATCGGTGCTAGATAGATTCGTCGAGCTAATTGCAGACAATCGACAATTGCTCGCAAGAGGCCTTCTTTCTCCGAATTGGCAAGAAGCTATCATTCCACCCCAAAGGTTAGCATTTTCGTCATATCAACACTCTAAGCTGTAAATCGTTTCATACCTCACAGAGTCCGCCCCGTAAATTCGTGAGGAAATGTCTCCGCATCTCATCGCCATACCAATCAAACAAGTCTTTCTGTTTAAAAACCTGAGCCTGCTGAGCCGAAGCAGCCAAATATGCAAGTGCTTCCCCGGCTTCCTTGGAAGGTGGAGTAAGCCTGTCCCAGTTCTTCAAGGCTTCATTGCCATCCATTCCTCTTAATTTGAATACGAGCGCGAACCCCCGATCGGGGATGGCTAGGAAAGCTGTCGCGGCAGACCATGCCTGTTCACAGGACTGGCGATCCAATGAACCGCCCTGCGTCTGATACAACGGCTCAAATGAATCATTTCTAATCGTGCTTGAGGATTGGAAGGACGCAATCGGGGTCTGGTCGTGATCGAAACTCGATGCGAACGGTGGTCGGGCTTCGAGCGACGCGGGGGAGAAGACGGAGCCGAAGACGCGTCGACGTCCCGCATTAAGTGGGATTGAGGACATCATGGTGATCAGAATAGGTTCAGCATTGTGAGGCTGTGGGATCTGGAAAATAGAATCATATCAACTCCGTGTACCAGTTGAGTTCTTTGATGTTGTTGATGGCCCATGATGGGTCGCGCGTGATCACGTGTCCCTCATTCTTGGTGCTGCCCAAGGTTCTAACTCATAATATTTAAATAGGCAGTTATGTAGAGTAAAGGCATATTTGAATGATATAGAATTTAAAACTAGCATCGTTTCAGGCAGAATGCAGGCAGTATAGAAAAAGTTATATTTATTCTAGATCACCGAAGCTAAAGAGCGTGCTGAGATTGGCCCATATTGAGTAGCATCAACCTGATGCGGTAAAGAAACAACAACGCCAGAAATTCAATCAAGAAACATGTGTGCGACAATTCATGGGTTGAACGCTGAATGACATATGACAAGGGGGTATCGTGTCACCTCGGACATAAAAATCCGCAGCTCATAAATAATGCAAAAAACAGAATGGTTCACCTCCAGGGCCACACCACCAAGACCTGTATGGTAGAATTCAAGGAACCACCAAATTCTAGTTCTCCTCCACCTTCTCCCATTCACTATCAGTGCTGCCGTATCCAGAGCTGTCACCACCGTTACTGACACGTCTCTTGGTATCCTGGTCGCCCGGTTGGAGTCTGCCCGATGTGGCGCTGCCGGTTGCGACGGCGGAGGGAGAGGTCTTCTGGGCCACAATAGATTCGGTCTCTGTCTCGCTGTCGGCGCTCTCTAACACGGAATCCTTCTCCCTGTGACTATCAGACCCGGTGGCCTCGGCCTCGGCCTGTGCTTTCTTCTCGGCTTCCTGTGCTTGGTGCACAGCGCGAACTTCTGTTGCAAACCAGTTGATCGAGTACCATAGTCCACCACTCAGGAAGGACAGGACGATGAAGTGGATGCTGTGTGTCGCCAGCAACAGGACGAAGAAGAGGAGCTGAAGCGCTGCGAAAGTGACATTGGTCGCGATCAACAAGGTCGGGGTGGGGCCAGGCGTGAAGATGCTCGACCATAGCTCTTCCATGAAGGACGCCATGGTACTGGTTTTTTGATGAAGGGGGGTATAAAGTGCTTTGCAGGACCAAGCAGAGTGACGTCGATGGAGGTTCGGAAACAGGAATCCGCAAAGAACGGGGACTGAACGGGGATCGTGTTCCGAGCTTTGAAGAATAAGCAGTCCCGAAAGGCGGAAAGGAAGAGAGATGTGATAAGGCAAAAAAAGAGGGGGAGAAACAATCAACCCAACTCCAAAGAAATATGGATCTACAACGCTACCCCATGGGGCTCTCTTTATTTTGCTAACCGGAATCCACTGTGGATGAGATTCAGTTATATAACTACACACAATATTTCACTGCCTAACATGGCGATCAGATGCAACTATCATCCGTTTTGTCGCGGGGCACTATCATGCTTCTTATTCTGTCGCTCGACCCGAATGTCCAACGTGACCGGATATGCGTATATCCTTCTGACCTGCATGGGATCTCCAAGAAAGGTGCGTCAGACTAAGACTACTCCTTATAGTGATCTGGAGAGTTTCGGAGTGAGCCCGAACTTGAAAGCATGGTGAGCTTGGGTACGGAATAAACTGCCCCTCCAGCCTAATGCGGATATTCTCGGGTGAGATGATGCGATGATGCGTACAGGCAAGCCACTTTATATAGACTACGAGTAGAAGAAAAATGTCTCGTTCAAGTTGATGACACCTTGTATTCTAGTAGCATCATAGTATTTGTCTCTAATCACACGTCGTAGACTGACACACATACTACTCAAGTACTCCAGAGCTTGAGTGCTCCATACTGAATGCTCGCAGCTCCAGTCCATGATATCTCTCCAACTAGAGGCTAAAAGGCAAGAGGATCCCCGAATCCTTCAACTTTCAACATGAACTAAGTCCCAAAGACCCGCAATCTCATCCAACCACAATCCCTGTCTCTGCTCTCCAATAACCGTCCGAGAATGCCAATTGGTCTCACGCGATTACCCCATTACCCCACGCATAACCTTAGTTGCTGATCCACCTCCGTCTTTTCCCCATACAGCCACAGTCCGGTTCTACCAGTAGACCGCGCATTGGCGTCATTGTACACCCCAGATTCTCCCGACTTGGAGCCCCGCAAACTTCATCGGCCTTTGGCCTATTCACCAATCACAAACGTGGAATTTGGAACTTGGAATTGGCATGGTGTCGTATCAGCAGAGAGGGGGTAAACGATATAGTGGACTCTTTAACTAGCGGGGGATTTATATAAATATGATCGGGAAACCCCTTCATACCTGGGATATTGAGAATACCAGAGTCGTGGTTAGATTCAATTCATTGACCTTCAAGACCTTTCTATAGGTCATCCTAGGGATCAATCCCTTTTAATCTTCTTTCTACTATATCATATCAACTTGAAGTACTTGAGACATGGCGGACAAGCCAGACATCACTAAGACCTTCTCACCAGACGACGGCGTCATCGAGGGCTTCACACACCATGCAGAGGATATCACAGCAGATCGGGAGCCATACGGGCCACCTGGTCTGCGTGGACTAGCAAGTAATCCCTTTGTCCTGATGTGTGCAGCATGCTCAACGCTGGGTGGTTTGATTTTCGGATATGATCAAGGTGTCGTATCTGTTATTCTGGTGATGGAACAATTCCTCGGCGAATTTCCACGCATTGCAGGCTCAAGTGCCGGATTCTGGAAAGGCCTTTTGACAGCGATGATTGAACTGGGTGCACTTATTGGTGCCCTGAACCAGGGGTGGATCGCAGATAAGATCTCGCGCCGCTACTCGATTCTCGTCGCTGTTGCAATTTTCACGGTTGGCTCGATTTTGCAGACTGCTGCTGTGAGCTACGCCATGTTGGTGGTGGCTCGCTTGATTGGAGGGTTGGGGATTGGCATGCTGTCCATGGTGGCACCACTGTATATTTCTGAGATTAGTATGTGATACCTTTTGGATATTTCAAGTGGTATGGAAACTAACATTCTTACTCGCGATAAGGTCCCCCGGAATGTCGTGGAACACTGCTCGTTCTTGAGGAGTGGTGCATTGTGCTTGGTATCGTGATTGCTTACTGGATCACGTATGGTACTCGGTACATGGCGGGAGAATGGGCATGGCGTCTGCCTTTCCTGCTACAGATGCTCCCTGGATTTATTCTCGTCGGTGGGGTGGTGCTTCTGCCCTTCTCACCTCGATGGCTTGCCTCTAAGGGCCGGAATGAAGAGGCTTTGCAGAGTCTCTGCAAGCTGCGAAATTTACCTGCCACTGACCGACGCATCCGCCAGGAATTCATGGATATCCAAGCGGAAGTGCAGTTCCACCAAGAAATGAGTGCTGAGAAGCATCCCAATCTGCAGAGTGGATCAGCAAAGGACTCCTTTCTTCTGGAGCTTGCATCCTGGGCCGATTGCTTCAGGAAGGGATGTTGGCGACGAACCCACGTTGGTATCGTTATCTGTTTCTTCCAACAAGTGAGTCGCAAGTTTGCTCAGTCATATACTGATATAAGTACTAATGGCATTATAGTTCGTTGGAATTAACGCTCTGATCTACTACTCCCCTACTCTATTCGGTACTATGGGTCTTGATTCTAGTATGCAGCTTGTGATGTCTGGTGTTCTCAATGTTCTTCAACTAGTTGGTGTCACAACTAGTATCTTCACCATGGATAGCATTGGCCGACGCAAACTGTTGATGATGGGATCTGCCCTCATGGCCATCGCCATGATCATCATCGCAGTCCTAGTTGGAGTATACAGCTCTGATTGGTCTTCGCACCAGGCACAAGGATGGACTAGCGCTGCCTTTTTACTTTTCTACATGGTTGCGTTTGGAGCTTCTTGGGGTCCAATTCCCTGGGCCATCCCAGCCGAGATCTTCCCTTCCTCGCTTCGTGCGAAGGGTGTTGCGCTGGCTACCTGCTCCAACTGGTTTAACAATTTTATTATCGGTCTAATCACTCCTCCACTTGTTGAGGACACTGGATACGGCGCATATGTTTTCTTCGGCGTCTTCTGTGTGCTCTCTGGTATTTGGACTTACTTCTTTGTTCCTGAGACCAAGGGACGGTCGCTTGAGCAGATGGATCATGTCTTCAGGGATAACTCCAGCGAGTATGAAAAGGCCCGTCGCACTGCTATTGAGGCAGAGCTTCTCGAACGAGAACTGCTGAATCCTCACCGCGAGGCTGTATAAATATTCTCATGTTGGTTTCTTTTTCTTGTAAAGCTACTGTCATGGGATATTGTGAGCATAGCGATGGATTCTGTTTTTTAGTTTGACAAATATTAGTATTGCAGGGCAGATACACCAGAATGCATTTTATTTGAGCAACATCTATAATAGGTATCTGGTTTATTCTGTAACACCTGCCAGTGCCTACACCAGCACTAAAGGGATAATTTGCAACGGTAGTATCATGATGCATCACAAAAATTTGAATGTCGGAATTAAGCGCCTTTGCCATTGGGGCTCGCTGGAGGTGAGGTTTTGGGAAATCTCGTCATAAATTGGTAAAGCCAGACTCAGACAATGTGCATCAAGATAATAAAATTTGAATGTCGTGATATCTGGAGAATGCCCCTCAAAAATAAATCAAAATTGCAGAAAGAATGAAGAGTTAAATGGAATGAAGCCAGAGGATTAGAAGCAAGGGCGAAGCAACAAAGCGTTCTTGAGAGCCAAACACATGGTCTGATCGAGATCAGAAAGATGGAGATCTCCCTTTCGACGCTTCCTTATATGATATGTGATGAAGTCCATTCCCTTGTCCGACAAAAGATTTTTCTTTTCTGTATCTCTCATTACTAAGATAGGTTAGGTTGCGAGATCGCAAATCTTCGAACGACAGAGGAGCCATCTCTTCGAAACATTCGCGAGGATTTTGTGTGATGAGCGAGTTCTCGAGCCGATCTGGAAATGAATCAGAGTGGTATATATGAATTTTCCATAAAGGATCCTCCCTGTCTTGACCAGTGCCTAGGTTGACCCATCTTGTCATGATAAAAGCAACTCTAGAACCAAGCTTACGGATCTCGACCAAGGATTCTGTATTGCACTTGCGACAAGTATATGGGAAGAATCCTCTTCTTCCATCGTACACAGACTCTATATCAGCCGCTTTACTTTTAATAGATGTGTGTCTGCAGATTTCATAGTCTTGAAAAGGACTTGAGCCTGCTGATGGTTTGATCTTTGAATCTTCCCATATTCCAAAAAGTATTATATCCTGCATCCTGATATAGAGTCCAAGAGGCTCAGGACATATTTGCGCTTGTATTGAGAATAGTGTTTCGATAGGTGGGTAGCGCAACGCCTCGGAGTGATTTTGGAGCGCGTCAAACGGGTGGGGGAAGCGGAGGACTTGTGTATATGATAGAGATTCTATATTAATCCCAGCTTTTGGACCATATTGAAACCTTCTCATCGCAAGCTTGAGTTGGAGGAAGGAAATACGATTCTTTGAATGTGCGAACCTCGAATGGGTTCTCATACTCATTGATGAGTCCCCAAACCAGTCTTCCTCCATTTCATATCCTTTCCTAACACAAGGAAGTCGGCAAGTCCTGTTTTGTACCACTCCACTAAGGCCAAAACTTTCAGATCCGTCATAATGATGAAGAATGTTGCAAATATCGCAAGAAAAATATTCTGGAATATCCCTTTCAAGTCGGGCAAAGATCGCGAGTTTGTTTTTTCTGAGAGAGGGCAGCCGATAGAATATTCTAAAGATCGTATGGAGTCTACGACTGCAGAGACAAAGGCAAACGCAATCGACAGATGTGAGTAAACCACAAATTTGTAGCAATAACTCCGTCGGAAGTCCGGGAAGTGTATTCCTGCAGGAGTAAATTGACCTGGAATACTCAGGACTGATATCCTTGCGTGAGCGCGGAATAAAATATTTGGCGAGGGCTTTCAAATGATGCATCATCAGATGATTGTCAGCAGGTGTATGGTCAGAGGTTATGATGTTGACGGTTGTGGTGGATGAAGCCAGAAGGTATAGAAGGATGAGGAAAGGCAGAAATATCAACCTTGGAAGGTCATGGCTACTGGCAGAATTAATAGGCTGTTATCCGAACGGCTGATCAGACTAACCTTGGAAGGCTAAAAAAGAGGGATTAGAAATTTGCTAGTATTCTCCCATGGAACTGCAGTGCTCCTATTCCATTTGGAGGGTTGAGAGTCGACCCAATCTGGATGCGGTCAATTAGATGGCGGTGGTGAGTATGTATAGACCTCAACTTGAATCTTGCTCTTTGAATATTCTGGTAATGGAGGTATTTTGACCAGCTAGCATTTCAATCAGTTGAAATCGAACTCTTCGGAGTTCTGTACAGCCTCCAGGGCTGAGTTATTCAATCGATACTTCTATTCTTCATTCTCATCTCACTGTATAGCGGCTAGCCTACCCCTTTAGCTACCCCTGTAGGTACTTCAAGTTGCATACATAACTTGAAGCATTCAATGTTTGAACATCTAAAAGACTTACCTAGGTAGGTACCGATATGACCACGAGTCTAGCTGAGTATGCCCATAATATGCACATGAGAATGCGTACTAGTATGTAGTTAAAATCTTATTGCCTAGATGGAATACGGACAGCATCCATGGATGCAATCTCAACTCTCTATCCCTAGAAACTGCTGTTATTCTCAAACTCCAAATTTCCTTTCAAGTGATATAATCCTTGGAAGTTCTCATCGTCTCAATCTAGTTTAATGATCTAGTTTAATGATAAACATTTGCTGCATTGTACTTACGCGGACTGCGTTGCCAGATTGAGAACGCCAAGTCCACCTGGGGCAGAATATGATGATCTTCTCTGAATACCCCACTTTGATTGGTCAAGCCTAAACATTATGTAATATTTATTAGTCATATTCCAGGGTCCACCGTGGGTGTATAGGTATCATCTATGTCTTGGCTATGAAATTTTCATTCACGACCACGATCATGTACATATGGAGTATTGTGTAGAGATTTATGATGATCTCGTCAGTAGCAGTGAGAAAAAAACTTGAGATGAATATGTGATTTCTCTGCAAACTTGGAACTTTGGTCTGAAATTTGGAAATTTCTGTGGTCTTAGATCCGCCGAACAGCCAGATCTTGAATAGAAACTTGTCATACTAAGTAGATGTCAATGAAAGTCAATCATTTTATTTTCAATCCATCGAAGATAAATACATAGAATTATTTGGAGTACCAGGCAATATTCCACATGTCCCACTAAATCGGCCAAGAAAGTGCTGGTCAGCCTATCGGTGTGGTTATTCCAAGGCTCGGTGTAGGTATGTTGGAGAAGATCCACTTACCCTATGAGAAGTGACAGAGCTGAAATTTTGCTCTCTCATCCTCTCATTTTCATCACTAGTTTGATTCAGTCTAATCTTAGATGCTTATCATGGGTAAGGAAGATCCTGAACGTCATATTGCAGCCTCGGGTGTCCAACAGGATGACTCGAGTAGCCAAAATGATAACAAAGGAAAAGGTTCAAAGCTGGCGAATGAGGATCCCTTTGGCTCAGAAGAGGTAGCAGAAGTCAAATATCGCACGATGAAATGGTGGTACGTACTTGTTGCTGTCTTGTGCTAAAACGGTAGTAGTGATGGCTCTAACAACTCAATAGGCACTGCGGAATGCGTGAGATAAATCCTTCACTGAGCTTCAGGTTCAAATAGCGCCTTACTAACTTGCATATCTCCACAGTTATGATTGCGGAGAATATCTCTTTGGGTATTCTCTCAATTCCATCCACTATCGCAGTTTTAGGAATGGTTCCGTATGTATCAACAAATCCCAATTCTCTTCAGCAATTCATAGCTTACCCAATCTCAGAGCCGCAATTCTGATCGTCTTCCTTGGCGTGCTATCGTGGTACACAGGCTTCATTATTGGACAGTTCAAGCTCCGTTACCCACATGTTCATAGCATGGGTGATGCGGGAGAGATCATTTTCGGCCCTGTGGGTCGTATATTGCTGGAAATTGGTCAACTCCTCCTGTTGGTCTTTGTGATGTCAAGTCATATTCTCACTGCCACGATTGTCCTCAGCACTATCACCGACAAAGCAGTTTGTGGAATTGTCTTTGGTGTTGTTGCACTAGTGATTTGCTTCCTTGGATCGCTTCCACGTACGATGGCGAGAGTATACTGGTTATCTTTAATTTGTGAGTATCTTTCATCTATAAGGAACCTCCTCACGCTATTAGGTTAAACCGGCTAATCATCACATTTCGTTTTCTCATCAGCATTCGCGAGTATTTTTATCACGACCATAGTCACTATGATCAGCATTGGGGTCCAGTCCAAGAGTGATATTCAATTTGAGGTGGTTCGCCAAGTAAGCTTCTATGAAGGGTTTCTTGCATTCACCAATATTATGTTTGGGTTTAGTGAGTTTCATCTCTAGTGTATGGTCTGAATCTAGCTAACCCTCACTAGTCGCACATGTGACCTTCTTCGGCCTTATATCAGAGACTCAAGATCCCGAGTTCTTCCCCAGATCTTTGGCTATGCTCCAAATCACAGATACTGTTCTCTACCTAGTATCAGGTCTGGTGATTTATCGATACGCTGGTGTAGATGTCCAATCGCCCGCTCCATCATCAGCAGGTCCGCTGATGAAGAAGATTTGCTATGGTTTGGCCATTCCAACGGTTCGCTCTCAACTAATAGCCCATTTCTTCCTTACAAAAACTAACATTCAATTCAAGGTCTTTATTGCTGGCATCGTCGTCGGGCATGTCGCATGCAAGTATGTCTACGTCAGGATTCTACGTGGATCCAGCCATATGCACAGAAATAGTTTCGTCGGCATTGGAACGTGGGTTGGAATTGGGGGTGCACTTTGGGTTATTGCATGGGTTATTGCCGAGTCAATTCCTGGATTCAATGACCTGTTGAGTTTGATCGTATGTCCTCCTGCCTCTAGTCTGATATTTCTTGCCGCTAACAATTTTCAAGAGCGCACTCTTTGGAAGTATTTTGAGTTGTATGTTTCCTCAATATTTTCAATGTTCGAACCTCGGAACTATGCTAATATGGCAATGATATTATAGTCGCCCTCCCCGCTATCTTTTGGCTCTACATGAATAGAGGCAAGTATTTTTCAACGGTGTCAAAAACTTGTTTAACTGTCATCAACATCTTGATCTTTGCTATAGGATGCTTCATGGTTCGTGTCCATTTCATCATCACAGGTTCCTTTACTTACATCTCTTAGTGCGGTGCTGGTCTATACGTTTCAGGAAGAGCGCTTAGCGAAACCGCTTCACAAAGCAGCTGGTCGTGCAAAGTAAGCACTTAATCAATCCTCAGACATGACGCCCATGAGTATCTGAGTGAAGGCGAAACAAAATGTTCATTTTAATTCAATATGAAGGCTATCTCACTTTATTAACTTGATTCATCTACGAGAGCAATATGAGAAAGCAGATAATCGACCAATGCCTGGATCGTAGAGGTTGCCTCATTTGAAATCAAATTAATTGGTAGTAGAACACCAACAAGGTGGCCAAGTCTCTCACGAAGCAGGTTACCCATGAAAGAATCACAACCAAGATCTGAGAAAGGCTTATCCCACGCTAATGAAGGTATGGATTGGTGATATTGATAACCGGCAGAGACCTGGCTTAGGACTAGCTTCAACAGTTTAGGTCGACGCTGATCATGTGGGACTTTACTGAGCTGGTCTTCTCATGCGCAATTATCTGCACTTGGTTGAATAGACGGCGTTTTCAGATGCGTGGCCTGAAGTTTGGGTGTTACGACGCTGGTAGTCGAAGAGACTGGAGATAAAAGATTGGCAGATTCATGTTCAGAGCTTGAGACACCGCTGACAGATCTTGGGGAGGATGCCTTCAACCAATACGTCTGCCGTTGAAAGGGGTAGACAGGCAGGTCGATTTTACGAGCACCACTTCCCTTGAATATTGACTCCCATTCCTCCCCGACTGTGTCTGCATGAGGCTGGATACCCTAAACCCAGAGCTGGCCGAGTGCCATGAGTAGGGCATTGGCTTCGTCTCGTTTGCTACTAGATGTTGGAATTCCATCGGGCAGATAACGTGAGAGTGGTATTGAGGGACCGATCTCGACGAACGTACTAACTTCATTGCTAGAAAGTGTGACAATAGCATCTGCGAACCGGACAGGGGAGAGAATATGGCGGAGCCAGTGATCGGTTGTGAGATCATTAGCGTTCACTAATTTCCCTGTCACTGTAGATACCATTTGGATCCTGCGACTAGCGTTGCTCCTCAATGGAGAGATATGAGCGATTGCTTCATGTAGAGGAGCCGGGACTGGTGCCATCATTGGGGAATGGAAAGCGTGGCTAACCCTGAGCTGAGTTGTCGGACGCCCTTGGGTAACAAAAATATCCTTGATGGCAATAATGTCATCGGTTGGGCCAGATACTACAATGGAATCTTGAGCATTAATAGCAGCAACTGCAGTAGTGGCTACCAGATCCATATCCCTTAGCATCTCAATGATTTCATCTTCGGTAGCCGAGATGCTAAGCATTGACCCTCCTTCAGGCAAAGCGGCCATGATAGTTCCCCATGCAGTCACTAGAGTGGCAGCATCTGTAAGAGAAAGATAACCTGCAACGTGGGCTGCAGATATCTCGCCTAGTGAATGATCTGCCACGTAGTCTGGTCGAATACCAAACGACTCCAACAGACGGTACAAGGCTACTTCGAAAGCGAAGACTGCAGCTTGAGCAAAGTCGGTACGATCCAGAAGGCTCAAATTGCACTCCTCATTGTTTCCGGAAACATTGATCACTTCAGATAGTGGGCGCTCAAGACGCGAGTCTAATTCTTTGCACGCCTCGTGAAAGGCTGCTTTAAAGCAAGAAAAGCCTGCACACAGCTTCCGGCCCATGACAACTCGCTGACTTCCTTGACCGGAGAAGATAAATGCCAGTGGTGATTGGGATTGAGAACGACCCAATCTCCCAGCCTTGGCCAGGCCGGTGAAGAGACCTGAATGTGTTCGACCTCCAGCAAGGGCCACTAATGCTTGTTGTATCCCGTCAGCCGATAGAGCTGTCACGGCTGCCCTGTTGGAGTAATGTGATCGTGTGGTAGCGAGCGAGAATGCGACATCAAGATGATCTTCGGTCCTGCACAGAGGTATCATATTACGCGCTTGGGCCCTCAGTGCCGCATCGCTCGCACCAGACAGGAGCCAAGGATAGGCGTTCATAGACTTTGCACGCAAGTTTTCTTGATTTTGTTCGGGTTTGAAATCAACGTGTTCTAGGATAATATGGGCGTTTGAGCCGCTGAGGCCAAAGGATTTAGAAGTAGATGGCCACTTCCTAGCCTCAGAAAGTATTTCAACAGAGCCGCTTTTCCAGTCCACATGCGGTGTTGGCTTCGAGATATGCAGCGATGCGGGTGCAATTCCATGTTGCATGGATTTGACCATCTTTATCACACTTGCCATACCTGCTGCAGCCTGCGTGTGACCTAGATTTGACTTCACGGATCCAATAAGTAGTGGACTGGATGCATTTCTGTCTTTCCAGGCCTCAAGCACTGCCCCTAGCTCGATTGGGTCTCCCAGAACTGTCGCAGTGCCATGTCCATCGAGAACATCCACGTCCGCCGGTGACAATGCTGCACGCCTCAGCGCTGAGCTTATTACATCTTTTTGGGCCTTTCCATTGGGGCGGTTAAACCGAGAGAGGCACCGTCTGAATTTATAGCAGATCCACGGATTACGCTTAGAATCTTGTGTCCTTACGTCGTGCATCTGATAATCGTTCTAGAAGAAGCAGCCCGACGCCCTCGGAGAAGCTAGTTCCGGTCGCATCTGCAGAGTATGGTCGGCAGTATCCATCTTTTGATAGAGCTCCTTGTCTGCTGAAAGAGATAAATGTGCGCGGTGTAGACATGATAGCTACGCCGCCTGCAATGGCCAGGTCGCTCTCTCTTGTCAGCAAAGACGCGGCAGTAATATGAATCGCACTAATCGACGAGGAGCATGCGGAATCAATGGCTAGGAAGGGTCCTTTGAAATCAAATGAATAAGAAATGCGACCAGCGGCAACACTTAGTGATGACCCGATATCAATATGGGCTTCGTGTTCGCCGGCTTCTCCATTTCCTATATTCAAGCGACTGGCGTAGTCATTGTACATGACCCCAATGAAGACACCCGTCGTCGAAGTACCACGAAGCGACACTGGAGCAATACCAGCTCGTTCAATCAGCGAATGTGTCGTCTCGAGGAGGAGTCTCTGTTGGGGATCAGTAGCAAGGGCCTCTCGAGGTGACATCCCAAAGAATTCTGCATCGAAGTCGGCCATGTCATGGATAAAGCCCCCGTTCGGCACAATGCAATTGCCAGTCTTGTTTGATTCTGGGTCATATAGTGCATCAATTTCCCAATCTCGGTTTATGGGGAAGTCTGACGTCACGCCCAGGCCCTCAGATACGACCTTCCATAGATCGTCAGGCGACGAAATGCCACCAGGATACCGACAATCCATGGAGACAATAGCAATTTGCTCTTGACCCTCAAACTTGGAAGCTTCTTCCGGTAATTTCGCCGCTTTGTCCTTATCTTCAGTCCCGAATAGCTTCTCCTGCAGGTATTGGCTGACTGCTGCAGGAGTAGGATGATCGAAAACAACTTGAATGGGTGTTAGGCTCCATAACCTACGTACGCTTGAGAGATATAGAAATGAAGCTTACTTACAGGTTATAGGCAAATCCAGTCCAGTAAGAGAGGCGAGTCTGTCTCGAAGAACAAGACTTTTCATTGAGTTCAACCCAAGTCTCATGAAAGATTCATCAGGATCCAATTGCTCTAACCCAACGCCACTACCACAGACAGCAGTGCATTCCGTCAACACAAGAAATTGGATGCTACCTCTTGTGAAGACTGGAGGGGCAATTAGTCGACAAGCCGTATTGTCGCGTAATAAATCTAGCGTGGCGAGGCGTTTCGGTTTTCCCGACGCAGTGCGAGGAATTGAAACGATTTTGTAGAATTTCATGGGCACTTTATAATCTGGCAGTAATGCACGACAATCTTTGAGGAAAATTCGTCATATCCAAGTTCGTATTAAACTCCGCCTCAAGGAAAGCTATAGGCATCTCTCCGAGCACTAGATGAAATCAGTAAGATCAGCCTCGAAGTAGTCTGGTGGAGGATGAAATGCTTACTTTCGTGTGGAATCCCTGTAACGACAACATCAACAACTCCATGAGATCCACGTAGGACATTTTCCACTTCCAGAGGGTGTATATTCTCGCCTTCGCGAATAATCAGCTCCTTTATCCGCCCGTAACCGTCAAGATCCTTTGTCCTGTTCCTGGTATACCCTCTTGACGTCCCAGATCACCGGTTCGGTACCAGCCATCTTCGATTGTGGAAGGAGACAAGCTGTCATCATTGTATCCAAGCATAAAACTAGCACTCCGAACACATATCTCGCCCTCGTCTCCATCTGCTGCTTCTGCTAATAACTGCCCATTCGGTCCCAATGTTCGGATTTGAACATCAACGCCTTGTGGAGGTGATCCGCATGAGGCTCCCAGATACATGCCTCCATGTATGCCAATATCAGTAGCAATTAGACCGCATTCCGTGCTTCCGTATTGGAAGCTTAAAGGAACTCCAAACAACGATTGAACCTCAGAACTTAGTCCTGTTGGTGTAGCTGCCCCACCGGCTATGCATGCTCTAGGCCGAATTTGAGCTAACGCTTGTCGATCTGCGGATTTTGTGATTTCTTGGAATATGACAGGGGCTCCTCCGATGATAGTTGACTCTTTGCTCTGCAAGAGACTGTTAAGTAAAGGCTGCTCGCCAACAAGATGAGCGCTCGCACCAACGGATAGCGTACCAATGACACATAATAAATGGCCAAATGCATGGAACAGAGGCAGCGGCCAGAATATTTTATCGGCGGCTGTAAGATTGAGTGAAGTGGCAAGTTGAAGACTATTCACGGCTGTCCACATGAACGCGTATTGGGAGGTAAAGACACCCTTAGCATGGCCTGTAGTACCTGTCGTAGAAAGTAACCAAGCTGGCTCATTCAGTCCCAAGTTATCAAGTGGCAGTGGATGATGATGGTTGAAGTTTGAAGTAGTTAAATTATCTCGAGATCAATCTTCATATTGTCCAACACTGATTCCTTCCACTTCCGTGCTGAAGTCAATGGTGGTGCCTTTTTTATTGACCACTAAAACGATGACCTTTCTTTCAATTTTCCTCCCTTCTGAGAGTGCAAGACAGACCCTGCTCAACCTTTTATGGTCTGTGATAATGACCTGGGCACGACTGCTCTCAAATGCCCTGGTGAGCTCAACCTGTGATGATCGTGCATCAAGAAGAACACCGACCGCAGCGGCGCGTGTAATAGCGAAAATGCCCTCAATAGCCTCAATGCTGCTCCCAAGCACTATAACTACTCGACATTCCCGAGATATCCCTGCATTTAAAAGGTTGAGAGCGATTTGACGTGTTCGCTTCTCGAGATCGTTATATGTGACAGTCTCTCCAGTAGCTGTGAAAAAGGCTATCTGGTGCCCACGCGTCTTTGCATGCTTCTTGAGAAGGTCTGCTACTGACTCAATTTGGGCCATCGTGGAGTGTTCACTTGCCTTGCTGGCTGAATATGGGGAAATTTTCTTTCGTGCTCCAAAGACCGATGATGGATAATATATGATAATTCAGTCAGGTTGTAGGCATCCCAGCCAGGTGCTGGCTGAGCGACACAGCATGCTTGGAATTCATGTTGCACTCCAATAGCTCTATGCATTGTATAATTCCAAGCTTCAAGTTGTCAATTAATAGGCAAGTAATTCCTCAGATTCTTGGTAATGGAAGTGTTATGACGTTTACACGCACCCATCTGGGATAGTATCGGCCCTATCAGGCATGTGTGCATTTATCCGCCCCACGAACTGTGTTATGATTCGTATGTTCAATGTGATAGTTTGGGGGCTTGCATGCTGGGCATGCAGGGCATGCAGTATGTACTACTACAAAATGCAAGGCCTCGGGTTTAGATACCAAGATTGTTCAAAAAGAACTATTATTCTGATGATCACTTAGGTTGTTGCATGCGGTTGTGCAGGATATTGAAGCGTGTAGACCTTAGAACATTCAAGTTTGAAAGAACCTGGAGGTCTGGTGTTGCTAACGGGACAGGCCAATTGAAAACGTAGTCCGGCCAAGTAATATCTCGCTGTTGATTTTATGAAACTGTGATGATAATGTACATTGTAGGGAAGAAAGTCTCATCTAAAAGCTGGCCATCTCAATCCAACTAGCTACAAAGGCCAGTCGGCGACTCTTGTCAGCGGACATCCGGCGCGAGAACTCATCTAGATTGAGTCTTGCTCCATTGCCACCACGTTCTTTAGCTTCACGCTCAACTTGGTTGAGATAAGCCCATCGTGCAAGAGTTCGAGGAGAAGGTCGGCGGGGCACACTGGTAGTTTGGGGTGGAGTTGCGGACTTTTTAGGAGGGGGCAGTGGCTGCATGGGAGAGGGGGGTAATTTCGGAGCTGTCGCTTCTGCCTCTGGAGAAGCTGAGTGGGGTGAGGACGGAGCCGGGAGAGATGTGGTACCATTAGGCTCAAGGCGAAGACGACCAGGAAGATCGGAATTAGAGGTGTGAGGTGAGATGTCTGTATCTTGAGCTTCGGTCATTATCTCTGGCTCGGCGCGGAATGAGAGACGAGGCCGGATTGTGTATGTATCAGGTCGGAACTGAGGGAGAGTTGGATCATAATCAGGATTCCCTTCAATGCTTGACTCGGCGGCTTCTTGGGTAGATTCCTCCAAAGCGGGTTCAGGAAGCTGGGCTTGTTCTTGGAAATCAGAACTCGCAAGCGACTCGGTTTCGGCATTGTGGTAGACTTCAGATTCTTCACTTAAAAGATATTCTCGATCTTCGTATTCAGTAAGTGTTAGATCTGGAGCTAGGAGATGATCATCTGATGCTATGGCTTCGGCAGACGGAGGTGGTAAAACTAGACCCGAGTCAACAGCCTCTAGAGTTGGGCTTTGTATGCCGTAGCCAGCGCGCTGTAATAGATCGTCAAGAGATCTATCACTTGTGATAGCCTCTAGTTCTTCTTCATCTCTTGCGTGGATGGGTTCCTTGATGGATGGCTCGGGCGGCGAAATCTTCTGCACTTGTTCAATCTCGTGGGCCCAAGTCTTGCGATCCGCCCGTGTTCGGTAAGCTTCCATTAGCACATCTTCCTTTGGCTTAAATAGGAGATCGAGTAGTTCATTGAAGCCTTGTTGTGTAACTTGGTACAATATCTCCTTGCCAACGTCTCTCTCAACTTCTGGGATCTCAAAGCCACCCCATCGTTCGCCCACAGGAATGCTTCGGGAGGATGTCGAAGGGTTAGATCTGATATCATATTCTTCATCGGCAATGTCATCCTCGAATCGCACTTTGGATGAGGAGCGTGAGCGAGGGGATGGTGGGTGTGAGTCCATGGTTGGCGAGTCGTCCATTGAATCTTCGTCACTTAGGTCGTCAAAAGCTGGGTCTCTCTGGTAGCCTTCGGGGATTGTAGCGCCATCCTCTTCATCGGTGTAAAATGCACGGCGTCTCCATCGTTCGTCGATTCCACTTCGGCGAGCGTCGTCGTATCTCCGGCTATCATTGTCGCGCATTCTGTCGAGCACAGTTGTCATGACACGAGCCCTATCGATCGGGTCGGTGATTTGTTGAGGGGGTACATACGTTCCGAGGGCTTCAATGATATCCTCTTCATGGATGTGTTCCGGGGGTGGCCAAGCTCCACTAGCAACTGACGATCCCGACGCATCTGATTCACCGTCGTCCTCCTCCCCTTCTTCATTATCACCGTCTCCATCCTCTCCAACCTGAGCGGAGGTAGGCTCAGGCTGAATCGGACGGGCCACAATTCGGGTATTGGGAAGCTGCAATGTGGATGGGAACAGTGGTCTGGTCCGACCGAATTGCTCCCGGACGGCAGCATCTCCTATTACCAAGTTCCGATCTCCAATGTCAGGGCCGTCTTGTCGGAGAATACCTTCATTGTCAATAATTTCCATGTCACCATCGATGTTGACGCGTTTGCCTTCGCCAGTTCGTGATCTTTCGCCGGCGGGAATGCTGCCAGGGAATGCGGAACTAATGGGCTGGCTACCAAGAACAACATCTCGAGCTCCGCCTTCAAGGAAGTCATCTTCCATGCCGGCGACCATGTCTCTGGTGAGCTCTCTACTGAGTGCATAGTATGCCCGGAAAACGCGTAGGAAATCTTTACGCTCGACGTAGCCATCGCCGTCAATATCGTATCCACGGAAAACACGTCGCATGCGCTCATCATTGCTTTTATTGTTTAAGCTGGCCAAGCCTCTGAGGAACTCCTCAAATCCAATCAGATTGTTATCGTCGGTATCGTAAAACGCAAACATGCGGTCGTAGATCAGACTCGGCGGAGGTGGTCGGATAGAAGTGTTGGGGACGAAGCATCGATCAAAGGTCTTGCGATCAATTGCCATGTACAACTTATTCGGGTCATCCGCCCATTCATAATTGGCAAGACAGCGGAATTGATCCCACAGCGCATCGAGCTCTGTGTTTTCAAAGTTCGTTGCTCGCGCCAGGCGTTTTGCTAGAGGCCGAGGCAGACTTCGTGGAAGCATTGCGGGTTTACCGGGGTACCATACCGGCTGCGACTGGCGTGGGTTGCCCAAGAAGGGAGCAGGAATTCGAACTTTGTAGAACAAATGCGTCTTGATATGAACTTGCATTGCCTCACAGGTCTCACACAGATCATAATCAATGCAGTTCGCACAGCGATAACGGATCCCTTGAATAGGCATGGCCCCACAGCTGTTACAAGTAACACCCCGATGGATGTATCCATCTCGTCGTGCCTGATCCTCCGCAATATGATAGAGTAGATTGAGCAAGTTCTGGCCTTCTCTTGTAGGAGAGGAGTCGTTGTTTCCATCTCGCCATGAGAAAACACTCTGATCATCCACAACGGTCTCTCCACCATCTGGGTTCTGAGGCGGAGCGAGCTCGGGGAATGTAGACGTTGACAGAGTGACGCGCTCGCCATTCTGTCTTCGCATCCGCAACTCATCTCCATAGTTATTGTCGGCGTTAAATCGAACAAGCGCCCGCTCGATTCCGGCTCGGGAGATTCCTCGTCGCTGCAGCTGCTCCATCAGGTATGTCCGTTCAGCTGTTCCCTCTGAAACAATATGCGATGATGGGAAATCAAGAGCAAGGAACGATTCTAAGAATGTGTCCTCCATCATCTCGCGCATGCGTTCAGCATGAGCTGAAGGTACGCCAACTTCCTCCATCAGTTGATCGCGAGTTGCGAGCAACGATGGAAGCAGACCGCTTTCAACACGTCGCCCATCCTCGGTCTCGATGCGGAATGTACCGTAGACTCCATTTTGACGCTCCAGTTGTTCCAGGTGGGTTATTGCTCGATAGGAGGGTGTGTCGACGATCCCCAGTTCTTCAGCCTCGGTTCTTCTGCTGGTACGGCGCACGGCGCCGCGGCGGCGGAGGGAAGCGCCAGAGGTATTAGGTGAAACGACATTGTTATGAATGTAAAGAAGGGCATATGCAGCTGCGACACCGGTGAATAGGTATAGAATCGGCCGGTACCGCGCCAGTGAGACTGGTCCGGACCGCGACTCGGACATGGCGGAGATAGAGCTGGTCAAAGCTGGGGGGGAAGGTTCGTCACGGGATGATGGCATTCATAGTTTTCAAGGGGTTTCATGAGGTAGATAAGTTAAAGAGAAGTCGGTAAGACTCAATGCCTCACTTCCTGTTGACTTGGAAGTTGATGTGTCATGAAGTTCGAATTGCACCTGCAGGTGAAACGTCACGGGAGCGGAGCCCCAGAAATTAGGTGTCACAACACCACGCTATTGAGGCACTACTTGATCAACACCCAACTTCAACATTACCAGTATCTGTTTCAAGGAAAGTATTCAATTTTTTCATTCTAGCTGCGATTATACATAATGGCTTACCCGAAAGCTATATCAATATCTCCCAGCTCAATGATGAGCAAATTTTACCCATGCCTTCCAGTGCAGAACATACACGAGTGTTGCCCAGGTGCTATTCTAAGCATCCATTTCAGTCATGTCATCGTGTCAACTTATACAACTTGAGTTCATGCAAGAATTCAACTGATCAAGGTAGCTTGACATTGGAAGACCAATATTGAAGCTCTTTGATTGTCAGAAGCTTATGCATTATGCATACCGACTATCGATTCAGCTTTGCCTCCTTAATGAAGAAAGCGCTGAAGAGAGCAAAAAACACCACTCCTGTCAAAAAGGCAAATCCCTTGTTCGTGGACCAGCCGTAGCAGTGACGGACAATATTGGCAATATCTGGATCTAAACGCTTGATATAATCAAGGCTTTCTCTCACGCCAGCAACGATCTCATCAATGTTTTTACTATCATGCAGATCAATCCGAAGCTGCTCACGCAACAATTGTTGGACAACGGTGGACGATAGGGAAAGTCCAATCACCGATCCTAGAGATCGGAACAGGTACGAACAAGCAGTAACAACTGCCTGATCTTCGACGGTGGCATTTGATACTATGCATTTGTTAACAAGATGAAGCTTCTGAGATCAAAGGGTGAATACTCACTTAAGCCAATCAAAGTGGTAGTGACGCCGATACCATTTCCAAAAGAAGACATGCACATTCCAATTATCATAGCGATAAGGCTAGTAGTAGCGCCACCTGATGACAGGTAGATCAGAAAACAGCCAGCTGTCAATGATGTGTACGACGCTATAGTCAACCAATAATACTTTCCGGACCACCTCATGATAGCACCAGCAAAGAGTGATCCGGATACACCAGTAAGAATACTCGGTAAGAGGCGCACTCCAGCAATGGTGGCTGAAACACCATCAACAGCCTGGAAATACAGCGGGATATAGAATAATGCTGCAAGCCAACCTCCGAAGCTGAAGAAGTTGCAACAATAGCAGGCGAAAAATGTGCGATTGAAGATGATATGACCCGGTGCGAAAGGCTCAGCCGCGATGTAGACTTCGACCAAGACGAAGAGAATAAAGAAGACCACCGAGATCCCCAGGAGATGACAGTCAAGGGCATAGTCCATGACACATTACTGCCACGGTCTAAGCCAACCAGAAAACCTAGAACAGCACCAACAAGGACAATCGCTCCAAGGAAGTCAATCCGTCGAAGTTTATCCTTCCAATGAACATTCTCACGGGCAGGAAGCTTAAGCATTAACGAGACAGCGATAAAGGCGACGATACACAGAGGGAACTGTGCTAGGAAAGCCCTGTATGATTCGTTAGATGATGCTATCAGTATTGACACAAAAGACTGTATAACATACCAGCGCCAGCCGATGTAATCAGCCAATATACCACCCAGGGGTGCACCCATGCCCGATCCAGTAGCCCAGATTATGTTGATGATTCCTTGCCAAAGACCTCTATCACGTAACGGGACAATATCACTCATGAGAATACTGACGACAGTAGTCATACCGCCGCCTCCAATGCCTTGGAAGACCTAGATTCTTGTTAGTCCAGACCCTTGGAAACAAATTTCTCTTTGACTTACTCGTGCTGCGATAAGCTGATAGATGTTTTGCGCCAGTCCACAGAACAGACAACCAGTTCCGAAGATAGCATAAGCGAAGAGTAGACATCCTTTTCGGCCAAAGATGTCGCTCAGCTTTCCGTAGAGTGGTTGGAATGAAGTCAGAGTCAAGAAATATGAAGTAGCAATCCAACTGGTCAAATTCAAGGCTTTTAAATCACTACCAATTTGGCCATAACTGGCCATTATAATAGTTTGATCTGCCGCCGATAGGAAAATCTACATTTGTCCATTATTAGCCGAGGGTCATGGACTCAGCAGAGCAATGAAAAATGAATGAGAAACAAAAGTGAAATTTCTTACACCTAATGAAATTGCCGGGATGATATATTTGAGCTGCTTCTGTGCATCTTTAAATGGCTCCTTGCTCTGCTCGTCGACATCATTTCTGTGCTCTGCTGACTCCTCATGGGGTAAGTCAATTGCTCCGGTAGACGCAGTCCCGTTGCCGTTTCCCAGCAGTGGGGAGGTCTCGGAGAGGGTCCTTTCTGGCGCCATTGAGACAAAACAATGCGTCCACCGTTCAATTGCCCCAGATTCCCACCTTTAGAGGATATATACCTCCAAGTCTTGAGTCACAATCTTTTCGTGAGTCAGAAGAAGGAACACGCCCTTTAATGCATCAGATTCAAGAAATTCACGTGGTGATAAGCGGACTTCCCCCGCCCCAATCGACAATTTGGCCAATCAATATTGGCGATGAGTCGGAGTTGGCTCCGTTTGCGTGCTCAGGCCTATCGTCGGCTAAACAAAAGATAAGAGGACCGAGGTGGACCAGGTGGTTATACCTTCAAGTTTGGAATCAAGTAGATCTCATTGAACAAATTGAAATCAGATGAGTTTCGAGTCCAAACTTGAACTAAGCATTCAAGTTGATGGATACCAACCCACTGGCAATTTGTAAAAGATCAGTATAACCTCGGGAGTACTGGCAATTGTAGTGCCTATAGATGAGATATGGTCCTGTGATAACAAATATTTGGACATCTGAAGGCATTTTCCGAGTTTGGTATGGGAAATACTACCAATTTTCAGTTGTGACTCTCGTCATTTGTATTCTCTTTGATGCGGTTGCAAGTTGGCATCATCCCGTTTGTCTATAGATTCAAGCATCATGTATTTAAAAATAGGTCAATCCCTCTTTGAATCGCTGTATCCTGGTGTTCTCTTCAAGAAAAATAGAAAGCCTGCTGGCAGAGAATAAAAAGAAAATGACGATTCCCACACCAGAGCAAATCGACCAGGAGTACAAACAGATCATCGGCTTCCTAGAGTCCAAGTCAACTATTTTTGCTGAGCTAAGATGTGTTCAAAAGGAAGTAAGATAACAGTTCCACCACCTTGAGCAAATGACGCATAGTCAACAGAGAATTGACGGAATGAGTTTCAGGTTTGGGAGAGCCCAGATGCCGACGAGCATTACAAAGCCCAGAAAGAGAAGGCCGCATCGACAGCCCGCAAACAAAAGTCTTACTTTTTCCAAATGATGAAGAGTATTGGAGACAAGCTCCAGTATAAACACAGGTTGATTCCACCCGCATCGGAAAGATCTGACTTTGAAGCTCTGGACATATGCATGGCCCCTGGAGGATTCACCTCCACTGTGCTGAAGCATAATCCCCTTGCAAAAGTGTACGGTCTCACTCTATCACTAAAGGAAGGCGGAAATGAGATTTTTATCAAGAAATGGACAGAAAACCCAAATATCGAGATTCAATTCACGGATATTGCCATGCTTTCTGCCGAGTTGGGATCCCCGGGCTTTGTTTCGCCAGGAAGCTCTTCTGGGCTCCAGTTTTCAAGTCTCATTCCGTTGGAAGGACGCATGTTTGACCTGGTAATATGTGACGGACAGGTAGTGGCTGGAAGATACGAGGGCTCAAAGTCCAAGCATGCAGCAACTCGACTCTCCTGTGCTCAGGTTATCTTGGGACTGCAGCGAATTAAGCCGGATGGAACCTTTGTCATGTTGCTCCATCAAACTTATCGACCTCAAGTTGTCCGGCTTTTAGAGGCTTTTAGTCACTTTTCCAACATCGCGCTCTTCAAACCTGTTCCTTGTCATGCGAAACGGAATTCGTTTTATATCGTGGCTAAGAACGTGGATCCTCATAATGAGAGGGCGTGTCGGTTATTGCGCGATTTGAAAAGCTCCTGGAGAGCATGCACGGCTGAAGCGTTTGGGATGGATCTCGGTGAGACTTCAGTGGACGAAGCCACCACGGAGGATATGGAGAATATTTTACAGTCGTTTGGAGAAAGCTTGGTCAAGCTTTCTAAGCCTATTTGGAAAATCCAGAGAGATGCGCTGAAGAAGCAATTCTTACGTTAGCATTGATATTTCTCAATCAAAATGGCGGCGTTACTACTTCAGAAGATATGAGTTCAGTTTGAGTTTTTTGAGAGAGTATGTTAAATATGAGAAACATTAAATACCAAAGACGACTCAGATTCAGCTCTCTTCCAATATTGCCAGCAGCCTTCGAAACTCTCACTTCATGGTATTGAACTTGAGTACTGATATCCCGAAGTCATTTGTTGTAAGTTGTATAGAACGAGTATTCAGTCAACTGGTCTATATATTGTCGCCTTAGGCACCAAAGTCAAGGGTTTACGCTGACTAATTACCCGGTCGATCAATTGGGAAAGATCGCCCAAATAGGTAAGGGCCGATGTCGCAGCACGTGACTGGGGTGAATCTATTCCGGGGTTTTCCATCTCCAAGAACCTTCGATTGTTCTTTACGATATCCTATATCCCGCATCATGGCGGCCGGTCTCCAGAAGCAAAAGGTGGTTGTGGTGGGCGCGGGTCCAGTGGGGTCTCTAGCGGCGCTGTATGCGGCTTCCCGTGGCGATGAGGTTGAAGTATACGAATTGCGAGGAGGTACGTATCGATTTGGTTTGAAGTCATTGCCCTTCGCGATAAATGAGGGACCAAGATATCAGAAGATCACAAAAGCAAGAAAATACCACTCCAAGGCTGTTGGATGGAGGGGTGGCATGCAGGCCGACGGAAACAGTCAAATTGATAGCCCGCCACTATCACCCAGGTCCCCCAGTCTTACTGATGAGCAATTGTTCTCAAGTCCCAAAGGTCTTAGGGAATAATTTCTATGATTCATTCAAGACATTGTTTCTCATTTCCTATGCCATGCATCCCTGTCGCGAAAATTCCCGAAGAAAAACCAAATAACTTATTTATTTCCGCTCCGTAGATCTCCGCGATCCGACAACAGTGCCATTGAACTTCACCAAGTCGATCAACCTGGCTCTTTCAGAGCGCGGCATCAATTCCATCCAGCAATCGCATCGAAGTGGACTGATCGACAATATCCTCCGCGAGACGATCCCGATGTACGGACGGATGATCCACGGCCGAAACAACGGATCCTTGTGGGAAGCCGCTCAAGCCTATGACGTGCACGGACGGGTATGCACATATGCACATGCATAACAGATCTCCACCAGGTTACACGGAAGAAATACTAATTCAATCCTTGTCTATAGGCAATTAACGCCGTTGATCGTGGTTCATTGAATAATGCCCTTCTAGACGAGCTGGAACGAACACCGAATGTCAAGCTTTTCTTCAACCATAAGCTGACGGGCGCTGATTTCCGTACCAATAAGGCCTGGTTCGAGCGTCGCATTCCGGGCGATACGCCTCAAGCCGATGATGCAGGCGTTGCTGGCCGCGTGCCAGAGATCGAGGTTTCATTCGATTACCTCCTCGGTGCTGACGGAGCTCACTCCGCTAGCAGATTCCACATGATGAAGTTCGCCCGGGTAGACTATCAACAGGAATACATCGATACGCTCTGGTGCGAATTCCGTATCCCTCCGACCAAAGATGGCGACTTCGCCATCTCTCCAAATCATCTACATATCTGGCCAGGCCGTGAATTCATGTTCATCGCCATCCCTTCCGCAGACAAATCTTTCACTTGTACTCTCTTCGCGCCAGCTGCCCACTACGCCACTCTTGACAACTCTCCTTCCGCCCTTCAGGCCTCCTTCGATGAACACTTCCCCGGTGTTTGTCCGGAATTAATCGAGCCCCAAGCTCTCGCTGAACAATTCGCCGTGAACCCTCACTTACCACTCATAAGCATAAAATGCAAACCACACCACCACAGTTCCAGCGTTGCGATTATCGGCGACGCCGCACACGCCGTCCTTCCCTTTTACGGACAAGGCCTTAACGCCGGACTGGAAGATGTCCGCGTTCTCTTCGAGCAGCTAGATAAGCACGGTGTGTATGATACTGATACAAGCGTCTATACACGTAGCGTGCGTCGACAAGCTGCGTTCCAGGCATACACAAATGAGCGTTGCGATGATACACATGCGATTAATGATCTCTCGAAAGAGAATTATGTGGAGATGCGATGGGGTGTTAAGTCACCACTTTATAAGCTGCGGAAGATGGTCGAAGAGACTATTGACCGAAGACTCCCTTTCTTGGGATGGAAGACCCAGTATGCGCGTGTTAGCTTTAGTAACCAGCGCTACTCGGAGGTCGTCCGTGCTGTGCAGGAGCAGAGTCAGATGCTAGGTATTGGTCTTACCTCGGCTTTGGTTGTGAGCGTGGGTGCCTTGGCCGTGCTGTTGTGGAATTTTCCTCGACATGCTCGGCCTGCGGGATTCTTCGGGTGTGGCTTGAAGCAGTTGACGAATCTATGGAGAGGCATTGTGCATAGGTGAACTTGAAGGGATAGCAATATTCCAAGGTTCGACCTTTAAGCCCAAAAAGTTTGGACCTCACAGATTCACCTGCATCTGGTTTTATTTCTAGCTTTGCATTATAGAATTCCTAGTATATTTCCTGCATCGGTTTGGCCAAATTGATTTTTATCGCAGGTTCAAAATTTAAGCATTACCACAGAGGATTCTTTCAAGAGTGCCAGTAATAAAGATTACCACAATTGGATTTTGTCAACGCCATGAGGCTGGTATACACATGCATAACTAATCAAAAGACCCTTAATCCCAGTACTTGATAACACCTTCCAACCCACCAGTAACCACCTTACTAGTTTCCTGTGGATGCCAGTCCAGACAGGTAATAGCACCACCCTCCTTGCCACCAGCAAGAATCTTATGATACATCTTGCCAGTCTTCCAGTCCCAGAAACAAGCATAACCACCGCTATCACCAGAGGCAAGGAACTGACCATCAGGAGAAACCTTGATATCAATACCATAGCCAGCGTTATTGTGACCACGGAAGCTCTTCTTGCGGTTCTGTCGGAACTTATCAGTTGCGCCGTAGACAACGATCTGGTTATCACCCGACTGGAACGCAACATATTTCCCATTCGGGATGGGGCGTAGCGCGAGTAAGCGCAAACATGTAAGGCTCCGCAATGAACTTGATAGGAACAGGAATGCCGTATTCCCAAGCACGCAACGACTTGTCGTCTGACGTAGAGATGAATCGGCGATTATCGTCCACGAAGGTAATGGTGTTGATGGCAGCCAAGTGATGATCGTATTCTTGAACCAGCTCCCCAGAGCGAGTGTCGAACTGCACGATCTTCTTGTCGGACATACCGGCCAGGAACTCGTGCGAGTGTTCGGGGCTGGGGTTAAAGCGTACAACGTGTGGCGTCTTGCCTGTTGAGAACCGACCGATACACTTTCCGTACTCTGTATCCCACAGCTTGATCTGACGATCGTATGAACCAGTGAGGAAGGTTTTTCCTGTTGGGTCGAAATCGGTATCTGAGATCGCCTTGGAGTGTCCTGAGAATGTACGCAGCAATTCACGAGAGTGATACACATCCCAGATTTTGGCTTTGCCATCTGCCGCAGCGGAAAGCAGCAAATGTCCTGATTTGGGAAAGAAGCGGAGCGAGGTGATAGGCTTTGTGTGTGATTTCCAGGTTTGAACGAGCTTCTTGGGCACGTAATTCTTGATACTGCCAGGCTCCTTGCCGAGATCGATGTCCAGATCTTGGGGCACATGCATATATGTACGGCCCTGGTAATCGAACTGCTCTGAACCATGGAATTCTGTGGTTTCCTCCTTGGAGAAGTCGCCCGCATAATCGGTAGCCTCTTTGCTCATGGCTGGCATGAGCGGGGCGGGAGCAGAAGCGTCATCGTCCTCCTCCACGTACTCCTCATCACTGGCCAATTCACGATCTTCGTCTGAGCCAACCTCAATCTCTTCATATTGCTGTTGATTTTGGTATTTCGCCCATGGTCCTAGGTACGCGCCTTCACCCTCGACAATGCTTGAGTCGCCCTTCTTTTGGCGCTTAGAGCGCCATGCAGCAGATGACTGTTTAGAAGGCTTCATCTGAATGATATCTTTCCCACCGTACTGTGCGACATTGTCCATATTTCCAACGAACTGATCCGGTAGAGTTGGGTTGCGGGTGTATCCCAAGCTCTGGAATGTACGGTGTTGAGTATTAAAGGTAGACTTGCTGATAGAGCCTTCCTCAGCATATCCAGTTGGGACATTCTTGCGCTTGATTCCATTACCAGCGCCGTCAGTTTTGAAGGGGTTTGCGGGTCCTTGAGCAGGCCGTGTCAAGTCATCGTAAGTGGCGTTGAAGGTCAGGGCTTTCGAGGAGGAATTCGCGAGGGTCATCTGCATGTGCGCCTGATCCTATGGGGTTGTTAGTATTATCTATACATCAAGAGAAAGGCAATTCAGGCCATTTCCGAGAAGAAAAGCTCGAGAATGAGCGTAGGGAACCAAACCTCTGTATTAACTTCTGGTGCAGCGACCACCTTGGTTGCAGGGGTCACTGTAGGCTTGGAGATGCCTGTGGTATCATCATCACTGGAATCATATCCAGCGCCCAATAAGCCCGACATGGTGTAAGTTTTCCGAGCAAAGTTGGGAATAATCAACTTTACTTGCGACAAGCTGAGATTCTGGACGGAGATGGTTTGGCGGTGGAACTTGAATTTTACGGGCGACGGCAGAACCACCGAACGAAGACCAGATCTGCACAGCTTGGGGAGCTCAACTACAAGTGCAGAACTACCAGCTTAACTTGATAATTATATATCCACTAGTACAGTGTTTTGTTCACTTGAAAAGAGCACACGTGGACTTGAGCCGAGAGAGCTCCAGCTCCTCGCAAACTTCAAGTTTCACTTCAAGCTAGAAGATAACAATATATATGAACTTGGACCAAACTGGGTATCGTACGCTTTCATTGCCAAACCGCTTGGGAGATATATACAACTCACAGGCCGAAAGACATGGCAAGATCAACAGAATGACAATAACAAGAAAATAAATGAACATTTGAACATACAATGAGCAACACACCAGAAGAAGGATACGTAAAACCTCTTCCAAACGCCCACTCAAAGCCACCCCACACCACCTTCCAGTACGCGACTCTATCCCCCATCGCATTCAAGACCCGAAACCCTCTATCTCAAGAATTGAAACCAAAAGATCCATCATATCTGGCATTAATCCACTCCCTCCACATAGGCAGGGTAACAAAAACTAGTCGTGATATCGTAGCTGTCAAGCCTGGTCGTATGTTTAGACAAGACTGTCAAGCATGGTCGTAGAATTTGATAGGAAGATGCTGATGCGGATTATTTGGAGTGACCTATGCGACTATAGAATCTTTTGAACTAGGAGGAACGACCATTGCGCATGGCATTATCAGTCTTATCGCGAAGTCAGTGTCCCTCATCGCGGATCAGGGCAACGATCATGCTGTAGAGGTAGAAGAAGAACATCAGGAGGTGGAAGCCCAGCTTGATGAATGATTCCTATGGTACACAGGTTGGATTAGTGACCCAATATTACAACTGTGGTGGCAACTTGAAAAACTCACCTTCTTGTGCACGTTCAGCTTGCGGAAGATCTCGGTCGCATCCAACAGGTGCTGGTTGTCGTAGATCCTGAAAAAATTGAAGATCAACGATTAGTCCTCTTGATTCCATATATTGGGAACTTTCATGCCCGAGCCAACGAGTGGACTTACTTCTTAGCGTTGAAGGCAAGGAGTGGCAGGTTCAGGACGATAGCCAGCCAGTAGCCGTTGATGATGAAAAGGAAGGTCAGGAAAGCGTGGACAGCGGCTTCGGGGATAATGTAGGCGTTGAGACGGTTGCATAGGTCGATAGGGTTGATGTAGTCACTGCACGGGGAAAAGGGGAAGCACCGGTTAGCTATCTCCAGCGAGAGAAAATATAGTCGGAGAAAGATCTCTCTCAAACTAGAAGATTAGCAGCAGAGGGAACTCACCACTCGAGATCGCTGTACATGATCGTGAAGAAAACCTGGAGGAACAGGTTGACGGCGTTGATCAGCACCGACAGAAGGTAGAGCCACGCTTCACCGGACATGATGGGCAATATATGGATTTGCGAAGAAACTGAACGGCTTCAATGATCGAAATTGAGACTTCTGTATAGAGTCAGTACAAGGGCGACAACAAGACGGGTGTGGGAGTTGCAAGGTGGTTCAATGCAAGCGGAGGCGGAAATTGGAGATAAGTTTTTGTGGGGTCCGAGGCCGAAGGAACACAGAAGAATAACTAAGACATGGTAGGTAAACTCACGAGCTTTGGAAATGGGAACTTGCGATAATAGCTAAGCTCCTCTCGGTGGGGACACAGATGAGACAGAGGAGGTGAAGTGCGGAGCTTTGATTATTGTAAAGTATTGGGTTCGTGGATTAGCGAAGTTGAGCCAACCTGAACGGGTCGGCGGTGGGCAGCTACTGACGCGGGCATTAGCGTCATTGGATAAAATAGAGGGGCTGGGATAATCAGATACAAGGTCAAGTTGGAGTATATTAACCTATGAAGCAATGATTAATGTGTCGGATCTGAAGGACAAACAGAAAAATGAAACTAAAAATACTGATCCGAGTGTTCAGGATGTTGAACTGTGAAGATGGAACCTCGGGTGTGAACCCGACGCATGACGTCGCACACGTGTCGCTAATGCAACATGTATAAAGTCGCAGATTTTTCTTTGTCTTTAATGAAAAGAGAGTAAGATGTTTATATGAAGCCATTGAGTTTATGTGAATAAATCTGTAGAGCCAAGAGCTTGATCTATTTACATAAATCGACTCGCCCAGAAAGAGGCGGCCTGGAAACATGGGATTCTTCTACAACATAGACACAGAGCTAGGTCTGATCAACATAGACACAGAGCTAGGTCTGATGAGTTAGGAAAGTCCTAAAGCATAATAAAACATGAAACACCAGAAACAAGATACTAAGAAATCATGGCTAATGGACGGGAAATCATTGAGTGTAAGATAATCGTGCACCTAACGCTTCTCGACAAGCAGGAAATGCATGGCTGCATATGCGATGATGATGAAGGAACCTGAGATGACAGCTAGGCCAACCACATCATACCAGTAGGCAAGATTGTTGAAACCAAAAGCACTCAGGATCGAGGCACCGGGAACCTCGATATCCAGACCATACTTGTGGTCAATGAGAGTGAGGAAGGTGACCTCATTGACAATGAGAGCCTCGAAACCATAGTGGAAGATGGATAGCTAAAAGGGGTGTCAGTAATTATGGAACAACCAGATTAAGGTGAGACATGACTTACACTCTGCAGCCACAAGGCGGACTCGGGGATGGCGTCGTGGTTCAACAAAAGACCGGCAAACAACAAGCTGAAGAGCATCACCAAGCTGCCAATCAAGTTGGCAACTCCGCCATCGCGGAACACAATACCAATAAACAAGCAAATATTGGCGGCGGCAAGGTTGAACAGCACGAGAACCAACATGAACTTAAGGAACTCGGGCCATGCGGGAATCAACCCAGTCATGGGATACACAATGATACCCATGATGATGGGAGGGATGAGTCGCAGGGGCACAATATCAAAGATCACTTTAGATGCAAAATAGGTGACGGGGTGGTAGTAGCCATTTGCCCGTTCACGAACAAATAACAATCGCTCAGTGGAGAACACAGTGAGACTGGTCAAAGTGCTGAACCCGAACAGTGCGAGAATGAAGAAGAAGAGACCCAGGCGATTCTGGAAACCCTTAATATCATCAGTCAACCCATAGAAAAGGTACCCTGAAAGCACAGCGAGAAGAATAGAAATAGCGTAGTGTGTAAGCATCAGCATCGGGTTTCGATAGAGATTGCGCCATGTGCGCTGAGACAGAATGAGGAACTGTCGCGCCAGGCTGATTCGAGCAAAGTTCTTTGGCGGCACTGAGCCTTCCAGGTGTGAGTTCTGCGAGCCGTTGGCGGTCTCTGCACTTTGTACTGCCGTCGAAATTTCGTCGCGAACTGAATGAGAAACATAGGAATCCGCGTAACTGTCGACAAGAATATCAAGGTCAGTCCGACCAGGTGCGGGTGGCGGAAGCTGATCCGGATCATCAAGAATCTGTGGAGGGACACCGCCCTGTTGGCGAGACAGACGCAGCCATTGCTGAGTATTTTCAGCTACATCAAGTGTAGCATCTTCTTCGTCTGTCTTGGGAGTAGCCGGAGGTTCGGGATCCTTCGTATCTCTGCGTCGTGAATAGAGCTGGCGATCCTGCTGTTGCTTCACAGAGACGTGGCGTTTACTCTTGGGTCTTCTGGCCGCCTCGGTATTGCTACTAGAGTTCTCCTCGATGCTGACATTGGAGACGCTAGCAACTGATTTGATGGCTCGCAGGCTGCTTGATGCAGTCTTAGGCGGACGTCCATCTGCATAAGAAACAATCTCATCTGTATATGAGAGCGAAGAGCCAGCGTGCATCGTCAAGTCGACAAGATAATCAGCGATGTTAAAGCCTGGGGGACAAGTGTATCCAATTTGATCGAAATATCGTTGGCAGGATGAAAAGGGGCCGGAGTAAACAGTGCGACCGCCGGCAAGCAAAATAAGTCGGTCAAACAGGGCAACAATGTTTGAACGAGGCTGATGAATAGTGAAAATGACCGTGCGATTATACGTCTTAGCGAGAGTGACCAAGCACTCAACGACATTGAAAGCGTTGTAGGCATCCTAAAGAAAATCGTTAGTTCTAACCTATAGTCGCCAACTTTGTGGTTCAACATACCAATCCACTCGTGGGCTCATCCAAAAACAGGATACTTGGGCTGGTAACCAGCTCACAGGCAATACCGACTCGGCGTTTCTCACCACCGGAGATACCGCGGCCTTTGCCTTCTTCAGATCCGATCAATTGATCCCTGATGTGGTAGATTCCAAGTTGCTTCTCGACTTCCAAAACTCTCTGCTCTTTGGCCGCCCGGCTCATATCCCGGGGCAACCGCAAAAGAGCACTAGTTTGAATAGTCTCGTGAACGGTCAAGGTGGGCAACATAGTGTCCTCCTGATCGACAAAACCAACCATTTCTCTGAAGTCGTTGTCACTGATCTTCTCACCATTCACATAGAAGTTACCGCGAACCGCACCACGCTTATTCTTACGTGCCAGAATATCCAGGAAGGTTGTCTTTCCCGCGCCAGAGGCACCCATAATGGCCGTGATCTGGCCTGGAGCTGATGCGCCGTGGATATTGGAGAGAATCTCTCGTCCGTTGAGATAATACGAAACGTCTTCCCAGTACATTGCTGCGGGGCGGTGATCTGTAAGCAGTTTTGTTGAGTCGTCGTCCGAGTCGTCTGATAGAGCTAGATGAAGATAATTATGGCGCGCAGCCCGACGGGAGAGGTACCAGATAATGAGGATCATGGCAACAACGAATAAGGCACACCCTGCAATGACACCAGCAATGAGTGGGGTGTTGATCTTCTTGATAGGGCGCGAATAGCCAGGCAGATCGGTCTTATACAGGCACTCTCCCGAGTTACAACTCAAGGTAATGCTTGGATCGCCGAAGACTGCACTGATAAGACCGTTCATTTCGGGCTCGGAGAACACACTCTTGCTACCTTTCGCATCCGCAGTAGTCCGGAAGCTAGCCGGGCCTTTGATTACTTGGTCGAGGAAGTCACCGAGATCGATAGATCCGTTCTCACCGCACAAGAAACGGCCTGGGACACACTTGCACTGAACATTCTCACAGTTGTATGTGGTGGTATTTGAATCCACCTCCGAATCCATGTTCCAGTTGCAGGTATCCAATCCACAGAAAAATGACTCTTTCTGATCTACCCAGAACTGGAAGTTGCAGGTGTGATCCTCTGCGTCGCAGGAGAAGTGACCTGAGGCTTTTGAGAGCCCAGCTGGTCCAGAATCTTCCGGTTTGTGACATCACACATTTGGAAATTCTGCTTAACAGTGACGCCTTCCTTATAGCATACTCCATCCTGACCTTCGGGCATCATCGTATCACAAGCACTGTCCTGTTGACACACGTTGCAATTGATACCGCCCCAGCCATCCTTACAATCACAGGTTGTACCAGTTCGGGGTGGACGATTTTCGCCATCGGCTAGAGAGCCACATGTCGGTATGGAACAATCATCTCCTCCGAAACCAGCGGGACAGGAGCATTTTCCGTTGTATTTGTTGCAGGGAGCGTACTGGGTACAGTTATAGGAATCTAACTGGCAGTTGAAGCACGGAGGACAATCAGGAGGTCGATCATCGAATATAGAGATGGGTTGGTAGATAAAATTTGGGTCGGAGAGGTCGGTGAAGTCGTCCCAAGCTGCCGTGGGGATCACCCCAGAGGCCAGCGAGATCCCCAACAGAAATGCGGAAGCTGACTGCATGGTGAGCAGGGGAATGGGGGGGTACCCCGTTCAAAGATGCTGAATTCCCAGCTATCGAATCAAGCTTGCGAGGATCGCCGGTGATAATGGCGAACCAGGGTGAACATGAGGTGGTTGGAGGAAGCAAGAGCCAAGTGCGGAGTGGAGTTGTCAGATGGGGCCGATGACGCGGGCGGAGAAGTGAGGTGCCTTCCCAAGGTTATTTGTTGGCCAGGAACCCCCGGGCCGCAACCCGAGAGGCGTGAGACAGTATGGCTCTGCTATTGGTTTTTATCAATGAGCCTCGTGCAGGTAATATGTAACTTTGACCTGTAGATTTTCATAGCTTCAAAAATACTCTATTTTTCTCCCTTTTCTTCACATTTACTAGTACACTCATCTTGACTTGACCCATGTGCTTATGTGGAGATACCACGTGATCTTTTTGTCGAGTCTGAAGCCATTATTGATGATTATTGATCACTAGTTTCATAGATAGAAATAGAGATAAGCATCGAAATTTTTTCTTTTCGTATGGACTGATCTTGTACTTGAAAACCCCCAGCTTCACCGTGACATTCAAGTTCAAGGTCTGGTTGAGTCAGATAGTATGTGATATATCAAAACGGATCCGTATATATTCAAGAAGTTAGTGCAGTGTCTCTGCAAACGGGAGATCTTCAACGTCCTGCATCGGAGTACAACTTGAAAATCAAGGGTCATTTCAAATCGGGTTGAACATTAACATTGAATATTTTGAAATCTTGGGACTAGCTCAAGAACTTTTTGTACCACCTCAGGTCTCTTACAAACATAACCGTATTATAATTATTTCTCTTGCGTCAATTTCCCTGTAGTAAGTTGGTGTGTAGTTTCATGTCTTATACTCCCGTTATAGTAACCAACTGGCTAATATAGAGTGGGCCTTCACGTGACGCGGGGATCGGGGTTTAGTCCGCGATGAGAACTTGAACATTTTAAACAACCTGGAATTTTCTCTTCCGCAAATACTTTTGTGTGATTGTATATTGGTGGAAGCAGAAGGAACAGGAAAGTTACCTGCATCTTCCTTGCGAGTTTTTATTGCACACCCAAGATATCACAATGGTGAAGATCGAGGAGTTCGCTGTTGAGCAGGTACCACCCCCGCATTCTTGTATGAAATCGATATACTTTGTTTCTGCCCTTACTTCACCGATGATATAAAATGCTAACAACTCAAAAGTGGATGGACAAGTATGAATTGACGGCCAAATACAACACCGCCGAAACTTGCTGCGCCTCCATCTCCATTGACGACCTCCGAGAGCTTTCCGAGGACAAAGAGACCAACCCATTGACCCAGCTACAATCCACGAAGCTTACTTATGGAGCAATCAGAGGATCCGATAAGCTGCGTCAGACCCTCGCGAACTTGTACTCCGTGAAGACACCCACCGCATTGCCGAAGGATAATATTTTGATTACAGCTGGTGCCATCCAGGCCAACTTTCTTGCCCTGTATACCCTGGTTGGGCCTGGAGATCATGTCATCTGCCACTATCCAACATACCAACAACTTTACTCAGTTCCTGCATCCTTGGGAGCTGAAGTGAGTTTGTGGAAATCCAAGGAGGCCGACGGATGGAAGATTGATATCGAAGAACTGCAAGGATTGATTCGTCCTAATACCAAACTGATCATTATCAAGTGAGCTCAGATTCAGTTGAAACCAATATTAACATACAGAGCTAATACTAACGTAGTCACTCACAGCAATCCTCAGAACCCCACTGGAGCTATTGTCCCGCGTGATACCCTGGAAGACCTGGTAGATGTTGCTCGCGCGTCTTCCATTACCATTATGGCCGACGAGGTATATCGACCTCTCTTCCACAATATCAGTCCTATGGACTCTCAATTTCCTCCTTCCCTTCTATCGCTCGGCTATGAGAATACGATTGTCACAGGTTCCACGTCAAAGGCATACAGCTTAGCCGGGATCCGCGTGGGTTGGATCGCATCGCGCAACAGATCCATCATCGAAGCGTGCGCGAGCTCTCGCGACTATACCACAATTTCGGTTGGACAGATTGATGACGCGATAGCTAGCTATGCGCTGGCCCCACAGTGCATCCACAATCTCCTAGCGCGCAATATCGAGCTTGGTCGGACCAACCTGGCAATTCTGGAGAAGTTCATCGAATCTCACCGGTGGGCCTGTGATTGGGTTAAGCCCCGTGCTGGCACGACGGCCTTTGTTCGGTTTAACAAAATGGGCAAGCCGGTGGATGATGTTGTTTTTTGTGAAAAGTTGCAGGAACAGAGAGGGGTAATGTTTGTTCCGGGTAGTCGGTGCTTTGGAGGAGGAGAAGACTTTCAAGGCTATGTTAGAATTGGGTATGCTTGTGAGACCGAGGTACTCGAGAAGGGACTCGAGGCCTTGCGCGAGTTTATGGATGAGGACTTTGAGGATGTTCCGGTGATCAAGAAGAAAAAGGCATCTCAATAACTACCGTCTGTTGACTAAAGTAGATATTCCATTTTAAAAATGAATATTAAGACACCACCCACGTTTCCAAAGTTATGACGCATATCCGACAGTTCATTAAATTCATAGTTATTCTACCTAACTAACCCCACTTATTATTTTACAAATAATATTCGACCCGTGCTTACACGAGTCTGCCAGTTACCCATGCAATACCTCCAGGTTGTGTTATCGAAAGAAAATCTAATGGATTGGTTGTTCGGCTTCAGGCATCTGAGGATAATGGAGGACTAATACTACAAGAAAAAAAAATAACCTCAGGCTGGTGTAATGTTAGAATGAACTCTTTTTATAGCTGGAAAACTAAGTAGGATATAGACTATGGCTCGCTCGCTTCGGAAATAAAAATAGAACAAGTACTGGTTTTATCTAATGTAGGGTGATTAGGTCGAAATTTAGCATTTCAATAAGTATGGCAATAACTTCCGCTGGACTACTTGTGTCTCGTGGCTTCACGTAACTCCAGTTCCTGCCAGTAGGCTAGCTTCTTAGACTGCAGCTGTCGCGGCGTCTCCCCCGCTTGATTGGTCTGATCCATCATAGCATCGCCCCCGATATGCAACAAAATATTAATCATTTCATCCAGGGCTTTTCTTCGATCGGCGACCGTAGGAGCAATAGGTCCGTTCGCAGTCTCCCTTGACAGGATTTTTCCCATTGCTAAGCATTCGTGCAGGGCTGTATTCCCTTTGACATTGATAAGAGACACATCTGCACCCTGAGAAATTAGAAACTGAGTTGCCTTAGTTTGGCGTAAATTCCTAGCCATGAGGTGCAATGCCGTGTTCCCATTTATGTCTTGTTGGTTGATTTTGGCACCATGTGAAATAAGCATCTGCATTAGAGAGGTATTGATGGGATCACCATCCAGGCAGTGGAACGCCATCATATGTAGCACGGTCTGATTATTATCAGCGACCGACCCTGCGTGCGCTCCTTTCTCCAGAAAAAACTTCAACATGTTATCGATGTGTATGCTTTGACCACAGCAGATGTGACCGCGTATGGCGTGGTGTAAAGGAGTATTTCCCCCGTTATCCCGAGCATTGATATCGCTACTGGAGCAGAGTAGCTTGAGGGTGTCAAGAATTCGTTTGTTGATTTTCTCATCAGGTAGCCAACATTCCAATGAGCCTGGGCCCGCGGCTGCCCAGTGAAGAGGTAGACGTCCATAACTGTCGCGGCATAGTAGTTCTTCAGTGGTACCTCTTCCACTGTGGTCGAGAAGCGTCTATAGAACTTCCGAATTCCAATACGCACTGCTAATGTGAAGTGCAGTTGCACCAGATGGATTTTCCATGTCCCAAAGTCTGGATGAAGCGTGGAGTTGGTACTCTTCCGTCGCGTACACATTAGCTCCTTGCCCAATAAGTCGTTTCACTAGCGCGGGCCCAGCTCGCGAGGAGGCTCGGCCAAGGATCGTTCCAAGACAATGCATTGGTTGGCTGTCTTCAAGCGGTTCAGTCGCTTGAGCAGATGCACCACCATCAAGGAGCAGACAAATCAACTCTTCCCCTTGGGCAGTGCGCTTGCTTACCCAGTGGTAGCAACCTGCAGGCGTCTCAATCCCGCAATCCGAGGGCAAAGAACCCAAAGATCTGGCAGTTGCCAGCAGCGCTTCATCGCGATACACCTGGTCAATGTGGGCTGAATTGAGGGCCGGCTGACTGTCTATAATCAATCGAGCCGTCTCGATCTGTGCCTCTCCGCATGCTGCGGTCAGTAACGAGCACCCCCGCTGATAGAGAGGCAGCTGTTTCCAGTTGGTATTGTAGTAGTCTATAAGAACGCGAAGCACCTCAGTACGTCCCTGCGACGCGACAATACAAAGCGGGTCCTCAAACACTTTACTTTTCATGTCCAAGCGTGGGGAATAGACAGAAAGATATTGCTTTAGTCTGGGGATGTCATTGTAGCGAATGGTTGCAAAGAGAAGGTCGCCAAGGTCGTTCTCGTAGAGTCTGGTACCGTGTTCGTCACGGAGAGCGTTCTCTGCGAATTCCAAGGGATTTTGAACCCATGGAGTGTCAAACTTGCTATAGGACATGGCTTAGATTTGCGGCAAGATGAGGAAGGAGTAAGGAAGAAAAAATGACGGTCTTTAAGAAAAGAGCCACCCCCACTGCTCAGGTGGTGTTTCTTCTCTCCTCCACGGTAATTCTTGTTTTATGACAGATGGCCCCACTGCTGTATTGTCATCCAATTTCAATACCGCTGGCCCCAGGCATCCACCTGGGCATACATAAAAGGAATTTTTCGATATTACCTAGAGACAGTAAGAGATTATCAACAAGGGCACTATATACCATAGATGTAACGTTGAATCCCCTCCTGAAGCTATGAATTATTATATGATTCAAATGCAAGGTTGCCTACATCGCGATATGGCCCGCGTTAGTAATTGCCATGTCTACCTAGGGCTCTATTGTACAGTAGTACTCTCGAATCTTGGCAATCCTATACTAGATCACCTGGGCAACAACATTGGAAATTTTGTACTCTATCGGTACATACGGACAGTATATTCAAATGTTAGGCCTGTGTATAGTTCATCAGGAATCTACCAATGGTACATACTACTCGTCCTACAAGGACTGTCACCTGCAGGAGTCGACGTTTTGGTCTCTCAAGCATCAGCATCCCTTGGATCTAGTGGAGTATCCCCATTTGGCAACCAGTCATTATCAAATGCACCATCTTCAGGGCTGTACAAGGTGGCCCAAATTGTACGTGGGGTGCCCCAGCCAGTTGTAGCATCGACGAGCTCAGCCCCAGGAAATACCCGCGACAATATAGCGGTAGTAAACACGCCTTGGTATGTGAGCCAGGCATTCTGTAGTCAAATTCGTATGTTAGTCTCGATGCTCTAGGTAAAAGATTGAATGATAGAGAAGACAAAAGGGCCTACCAGTCTTTCTAAGTTCAATGCGTAGTTTGGAGTGTTTTGTTGCAGTGTTGGTAAACCGTTGATGATACTAGCCCTGTTATTGCCAATATACCACCTTCCGGGAGATAAGTAGCAGCCCAACGCTTCAGTGCGAGAGTTATAGTTTCGCAGGGAGCGGGTATTTTGACCTCCACCCGCATAGGTACTTGAGAGTCTGTATTCGGCCCGGTAGTCTGGGGTTCTTCCGTGTGTTACCATAGCTGGGCGCGCGGTTCCCTGACTGTGGTAGACGTCCATGGTATTGACGGCTATGTACCACACAGTGGTAGTCCCCCCGGGTGATTTGCCTGAAGGTGCTTGTGTCCAATGGAATATGCATATGGAAAACGATCCAGCGGTCGGTAGCTGCTGTGACTACGATCGGCATATGTGGCTCGAGTGGCTGAGTCGGCGACTCCCACTTCACTGCCGATCCAAAAAAGCCGATCCAAAAAGCGATTTTAAGAATCACCTGTGTAGGTATCCCATTGTTATCTCATTGAGTGGATCAAAGCCACCGGAGGTAGTGAAGGCTTAGATACCCCTAAAGACATCTCAGATCAGCAAGAGAGATTGAAGCATCGGATGGAGACGATAGCACTTGATGTTGTAGCCGTTAGCCCGCCCGTAGGTGCGACTATTACTAATGGCACCATTACTGATTGTAGCTTATGGTATGTCACCTCTGTAAGCGAAAATATCACCTGTGCACAGATCTACTTGTTGAACTTAATCTCTATCAAATTATTCACCTAGATGAATCCATTACTGGGCAAGGAAACGTGTGACAGCGACCTGGTTTTAGGAGATGCCTATTATGTCAGCCCAGTATCTGGATGGAATTTAGGGTCGAATTTGAATTATACTACCTCTACCACTAGTAGTATAACACTGACGGCCGCAAGCACTCCCGGGACAGCGACTCAGACTGGTATTCCATTAAACTGTAACACGTACTATATCGCCAAGGGTGAGTAGCCCCTGAAATTCCCGTCCGATTATATCCTTGTAGACTCTACTAACGGATTTCTCTAGGTAGCAAACGACACCTGTGCCATAGTTGCCGCCGACTTTGGTATCGCAGAAGCTCAATTCAAGGCATGGAACCCGGCTATCTTATCAGATTGTACATCAGGCTTCTGGGCCAAGGAAGCATATTGTGTAGGAGTATCCAGCTATTCCTCTTCCATCACATCCTCGACTGCCACATCCGCCACTTCCACGACTAAGACGACTGCACTCGGATCGTCGACTTCTGTGGTCGTGCCAGGTCCTACACAGACTGGTATTCCCTCTAACTGCAGCAAGTACTATGTTGCTTCATGTGAGTATATTTGTTTTCTTTCTTTTTCCACGCACTTCTCTTGTTCAAATATTATGGATGTTAAATGTACAATATGACTGACAATTGTTAATAGCTGGTGATGACTGTGCAACCGTAGCGGCGGCCTATGGAATAACGGAGGCGCAGTTCCTGACCTGGAATCCCGCTGTTTCGTCTGACTGTGAGACTGGATTCTGGGCTGATGATATTGTGTGGCTGTTTCATCCTAGAATTAAGTGTATCCATAAGCCATACATATGAGGTGGTCACGGTATAGGTGCCAACCACGTCTGATAAATTTCTTATGGAACGGAATGAAGACGATGTATAGTTTTGTGAAAATGAACTTATCATATCACTGCCGAATACCTTGAACCACATCCTAATATATTTGTTTTCGTGCTTACTTCGTATGTGGAAAATGAAGACCTCTCGCATTTCTCTATTTATCTGATGCAAGCGGGGGAACAACGTTGTCTTTTAAGTGTATCTGGGTGGACTGCAGGAAGTTTGAGCCTTCGTAAGATTTCCAGATATCCCAACCCGTGTGACTGAAAATCGATGCAAGGCCTAATCCCTGCTTGGAGATATTTTTTAAGGCTTCTGCTATGATACGTACGGCGGATGCGTTCATTTCACCTCGCCAAGACTACGTCTGTGCAACTCCCATGGGAACAGAACTCCCAGGACAAGAGTGATTACATAAGTGTTTTGGGGTGTCCCTAACTAACTAACTAATAATTTCAAGGTTTTCAGTCAATCTTGGAAATATTATGTTATTATGCACACGTACCTCGCACCTTACATAATTAACCCAAAGGACGATTAATGGGGAGAATGCGGGGTGTCGCTCAGTGGAGCAACCCGAGGTCGGTTAGATCGGGTGGCTTGAACCGAGGCATCTCAGCACTTGAAACTGCCTTGCGCCTAACGTTTGAACTCATTCAACACCCAAGGTGGCATTTTGCTCAGTCTTTATAGCGATTATTCCATCGGAGAGTATTTTCAGCTTTTACTACAAGGTAGCATTCAACATTCTCTTTGAGACCTCGTCACGGCCCCCACCGACTATTTGCTCCGGCAACCTTGGAAGGCTCTCAGCCTCGTGCTAAGCAATAATCAGCTTGACTGAACGATACCGGAACACTGACTTATACTGTCAAGATGCCTTTCCCTTTCCTACCAGGTAGATAGTTTATTCATACAACGAGAAGGATCAAGCTGACTATGAGCTTGTCATAGATATCCCATTAAGTATTGCCCTTCCGGCAGTTACCACAGCTCTAGCCTATCTAAACGCGAAGCACTCCATTTTCTACGATGTCAGTCTCATCAAATCTTCAATTAAAACGGCTCGGTCTATCAGGAACTCGGAGGCAAAAGATCAGTTGAACCTGTTCTATACCTTTGAAGAACACGCTCTTTCTCCCCAGACCGCGAATAAAGAGTTCCTGGTGTACAATGGAAATTCATGGACATTCAGCGAAGCATACAACATCACTCTTCGTTTTGCCGAGTGGTTTAAACACAAGCACAATGTGAAATCGAAGGATGTTGTTGCTCTCGACTGTATGAACTCGGCGAACTTCCTTTTCATGATTCTTGGAGTGTGGAGTCTTGGAGCAACCCCTGCTTTAATCAACTTCAACTTGACAGGCAAGCCCTTGACTCATTCCCTGAAAATTTCGACCTCCAGAATTGTCATTGTTGATGAGGAAGTTCGCGACAACTTCACGCCGGAAATTCTTCAAACCCTCGCCGCGCCGGATTTTTGCGAAGGAAAGAGTCCTTTACACGTAGAATTCTTCACCCCAGAAATAGAGGCTCAGGTTCTACAAACTGAGCCCGTTCGAGAAGATAATACAGCGCGCGCTGGCGTGATACCACGAGATATTGCTCTCTTGATTTACACAAGTGGCACAACCGGGCTTCCCAAACCCGCGATCGTCAGCTGGAACAAATGCCACAGTAGCGCTGTTTTTGTATCAGGCTGGATGGGACTTCTACCTACGGATCGACTCTATACAGTATGTTTTAACGTGTCGTTATATCACAAATGCAGTTTTAAACTAACATTCTCCCCTAGTGCATGCCTCTATATCACAGTTCCGCAGCCGTCCTAGGCTTCGTGAACAGCATGTACTGTGGCGCCACATTGATCGTGGGACGCAAGTTCTCAGCCCGAAGCTTCATGAATGAGGCGCGTGAGACAAACGCAACTGTCATTCAGTACGTAGGCGAGACGCTTCGATACTTAATGGCAACACCTCCCAGCATCGATCCGGTCACTGGGGAAAATCTAGATAAGAAGCATAACATCCGCATGGCAACTGGAAATGGTCTCCGACCTGATGTTTGGAATGCGTTTAAGCAGCGCTTTGGAGTCGATACCGTTGCTGAGTTTTATGCTGCAACGGAAGGTCCTGGTGGATTGTGGAATCGGTCGTCGAATGGCTTTTCCGCCGGTGCGATCGGTCGAAGTGGTAGTATTGGATCTTTTATGATGGGAGGCGCTATTGTTGTTGTTGATGTGGACTTGGACACACAGGAACCGTGGCGGGATCCGAAGAGTGGTCTCTGTAGAAAGACTCCTCGTGGGGATCCGGGTGAACTTATTTACCGTCTTGATGTTGCGGACCCGCATGCTTCCTTCCAAGGTTATTTCAAGAATCCCGAAGCAACGAAGAACAAGATCTTGCGAGATGTTTTGGTGAAGGGCGATGCATACTTCCGGACTGGTGATGTGGTTCGATGGGATACTGAGGGTCGATGGTACTTTTCTGACCGTCTGGGCGACACGTACAGATGGAAGAGTGAGAATGTCTCAACGAACGAAGTAGCCGAGGTTATGGGAGCTCATCCGGAGGTGCACGAGGCTAACGTGTATGGCGTTGCTTTGCCCAACCATGATGGTCGTGCTGGGTGTGCGGCACTGGTCTTGAACCAGCAGATCGCTAGCAACATCACTACCGGCCTGGCACTGGAGCCTAGCCGTGCTATGTTGGACGGAATTGCTGCGCAGATACTCAATAACTTGGCGCGATATGCGGCTCCTCTGTTCCTTCGTGTCATGCCTGAAATGCCCGCTACCGGCAACATGAAGCAGCAAAAACATATCCTGCGGAATGAGGGCGTAGACCCTTCCCAGGTCTCCAAGGACCACCGTCTCTATTGGCTTAAGGGTAACACTTATGTTCCTTTCGAGCAGAAAGATTGGGACCGGTTGAGTGGTGGTCAGGTTCGTCTATGAGCTTGGCTATTGGTTTGAATGAATCCCTGAAGTGCTTTTGTATCTATGATTGTGAATTTTAGAAGCATGAATATTCGATTTTAGTATGTAAAATGGTCCCCATTGATTGGCTCCATACCATCTACTGTTCTAACATGATTCAATACATGTAGATAATGATATGATAATACATAGTAGCTTTAAATGTGGAAGCCATCATGATTGATTGATTGATTGATTGATGATATCAAATTGGACATGGAAGACTTAGAAGGAAAGAAAAGAGAGACAGACATAGGGGATGGAAGATGATCATTCAACACGTAACTTCAAGGCAAGAAAAGAAAACAAAACAAAAAGAGAGACATGGGGGATGGGGAATAGAATGAACACGGAGAGTGTTGACGAATCCTTCAGAATATATGATACTGGTGGCAGAGTTGAATCTGACCACACGGATCGAAGCCATCAGCCCCATCATTGAAATCGAGGATCTCGCCGATCAAGGTTATCCAACTTCATTCATCAGCAGGATCCGGAACTCGCCTGACTAGCGTAACCACACAGACAATCCCTTATGAAAACACCTCCTTGCAAAAACAACAACAACATGCATACTAGTTTCTTCAGGGAATCTGCAAATTAGTACCGATTTAAGGGGAAGGTGAAGGAACCGGTTTAAAATGCAGGAATGTGTGGAGCCAGAGGAGTGGAAGAAGGAAAGAAAAGAAGAGGAGGGAAAAAAGAAAGAAAGTATTTATAGTGAGAGAGATGCGAAGGCTCCCACTGTCATTCACTGCCAGGTGTCACTGTCATGGCCGAATTAGGAAATCCTCAACAAAGACGGTCACCTGATTATATTTGTTTGCTTGACACGATCCCACCTAGAATGAGTCATTAACTCTCTGAAGCCTGCATCTGTAGACTAGTTATCCCACACAAATGACGCCAGTTCAAGGAACTTGAAGCTATCACCGCGGTGGAAACAGCTTATGGCCGGGCCGGGTATTACGCTACCACCAGTAGAACTGCTACTAGCAGCTCTGGACTAGTCCATGATCTTACTATGTGGTACTTGTATTGATGGTCACTGACAATTACTACTAGTAGTATCCAGTGCTTAGACTGTAGCAAAAATATACATGTTACTAGTACCAGATATAAAGCCCGGGCCACTGCCAGTGGCAGCTTGACCGTGACTCAGGCTCAATGAAGCCTAGATAAACTCTTCTTCAATGACTTTATATTCTATCATGATGGTGGCCTATCTATGGATTACAAATGGTTGTTCTTGATGGCCCATTGACTAGCTCGAAGGTGCATCAATGCAAACATCATAACCAAGCCATAGAGATGCACAGTCTGTCCCAACATACGGGTTCCATTCATTGAGCTGCTCAAATTAGTCATGGGCATTATAACTCTCTTCATATCTTCCACCAGGAGAAAGAAAAGAAAAATGAAAGAGATTACGCACCTCTGCTGCGGTGATATCGTATTCGGCTTCGATAGACTCGCAGTCGTCCCCATCGACGACGAGGTGATACTCTGTGCAGTCAGCAACGGTGCTGGGCTCTACATCCACGGCTGTGGATGTTGATGATGTTGATATCGAAGTTGCAGTTGGTGTGGCGGACGAGGTTATCGTGTAGGGAGCGTCGACGCAGACCAGATAACCTAGCCAAAGGGACTCACACGTCGTCCCGACAGTCGGATTCCACGCCAGGAACTAACAATATGATCAGTAGTCCGTTTTGTCATACAGCAATATTCAGTGCTATGAAGTCTCAATTTGAGTCTGCCTACCTCAGCAGCAGTAATGTTGTATTCCTCCTCGATGCCAATACAGCTGTCTCCATCAACTACTTTGCGATACTCAGTGCAGCTAGAGTCAGTACTTGGTTCCGCGGTTCCTGAAGCTGTCGTCGTGGTCGCCGTTACCGTCACCGAGGATGTAGAGGTACTGTTACTGGTCGTTGTGCCGATACAAACAGCATCACCTGTACTAGTGAGTGAGCTATGTGATGAAATGATTCAAGAGAAGATATGAAAACAATTTTCAAGAGAGAGGGAAGGAAGAAGGGTGCACCAACCAACATCAAGGTATGCGCAGCTCGATCCAACCGCCGGATTCCAGCTGTAGAATTCGGTAAGAGTAAAGTTACCGAACTCGGCTATGATCCCGGCGCAAGTATCATTACTCTTAACGACATAGTACGCATCACCTACAAATTTTAGTACTGACAGTCGCCAAACTCTAAAAGTCCTGAGGGGGAACGCCACTTACAATTAGCTGCGATTCCGGTCTGTTCTGGGGCCCTTGAGACGGACGTTGAGGAACTGGTGGCTGTTGTGCCAGAAGTGACAGGGTAGAAAGAAATCCAGTAGGATGGGGAACATGTTTCCGGCAGCACAGTAGACGCGGACATTGTGGCGTTTGCCAATGGATTGCAGTATTCATCCAGGAGATCCTCGCAACCTTCTGGGAGATCATATATGGTCCAGCCATTAGAGAGTTCATGTTGGGTAATGGGGCAGTATTCGGTCAGATTCAGGTACAGTGGAACAAATGTCTCGTTCCAAGTCAGGCAGGCTTTGAGCTGGTGGGGTAATGGTGGTGACAGGCCATGCGATGTCTGAAGTGTTGAATACGGGGAACGTTGTCGGCTGGGAAGGCAGCGTCGTGAAGGCCGTGGGGGAATGACCCAGGTTCTGGCAGCGCCGCATCAGAGGAGTTTAATCAATAAACGGAGTTCAGGAAGCAAATGAATCTGTCCGAGAGGAAGGTTTCAAACTTACACATTCCAGCTTGTTGTGATGTTTGTGCTGGGGACAACCCAGCTTGAGGTTCCTGGGGGACTGAACACACAAAATCAGTTAGCAGTATTCCCGTTCACCTTAGCCAGCAATTAAAGAGGGACAAAGAAATTAGACCCACGAGATGCAGATAAACTCTCCTACCATGCTATCTAAATTGTCACAGTCGGTCCAAAGAGTGCTAAAGGGGAAATAAGAGTAACAGTATTAGCTATGACACCACAATAAGTGATGTTTCACTCATTCAGACCAAGATCAGACATGTTATGAGTTTAGTTTACAAAAAGAGATTTGAGGGAAAGAATTATTACTCACGGATTCCACGAAGTAAGTTGGACTTGATAAAAGGTTTGATTCTGCAGGATAGAAGAGCAGGTGTCGTTTTCCTGGACCTCGTACAAGGCGCACTCAGCACCCAGGCAGACCTGTTGATCTACCTGAACTGAGCAGTTGAGCGTGCTTAGGTTGTTGTCGATGCCGAAGTTAGCCGTGGAGATAGAGTTAGCTGTAGCAATTGACTGACACGTGTCACCGGACTCGACGGTGTAGTAGCTCGAGCATGTAGCCGTGGCCGATACCGAGACTGTTGCCGAAGCCACAACCGAAGGAAGCACGGTAGCAATTGCCGTGTCGGTAAAAGGGTAACTGGATGCCACTGCTCCACAGGAGGACAGCAGTGACGAGTATGTGTCCGGGCTATAGCGCATCTGGCCGTATGGCGAGTCCAGCATGGCTGCTTCATATTTGTGCATGCATGGTAAACAGTCCGAGACATTTCCCGTAGCCACATCTGGCAAGCAGTAGATGGAGCCGCTGGTAATACAGGCAGTATCCAATGCCCAGACGAGGGGCTCGACGATGGTCTGTCCCGTCTGTGAGACATTCCCAGGGAAGTTATAAGTTGTGTTCCCGCAAGCATCGTCTACATCGGCCTAGAAGGACAGCAGCGAGCTTGTGCAACTGGTCGAGCACACATCACCGAGAGCAGCCACGCTAACATACCCGCCTCCAGCAATGTATCATGCAGAAAATAGCTGACCACAGGAGATATTCGCGGCCAGTGCAGTTCCACAGGCTGTTGGAAGACCGGTCGGGGCTGCATCAAACAATTGATATGCACAACTGAATGGAGTGAAGATGGCCAAAGGAAGAATTGATGTAGCTCTGGCGTGGAGATGCCGCCACGGTGCTGGCATCATGATAAGCAAAAAGAGTGACTTGGATGGAATGAAAATATAGTAACAGAGAGTAAAGAAAGAGTGACAGAACGAACACCGGGTTGGGAAATATGCTCCAAATGTTCTAGTATGTGATGGACATCCTGATTTGAATCACTTGATTGTCCTGATGGCCCTGGGGTTAGCCTGAGAGAGTGTATGATACCGCACAGATCTACTACTGGAGGAGATGTATAGATGCCAGTGAGCAGCCTATCGGACCACATGGCTTTACATGGCCTAGTGCGAAACAAGTTTTCAACGTTAAAGGTTGTAACTGCCCCCATGTTGTATCCAAGCCTTCGCTAAATCCTAGCTCCGAGCATGTGGCGTCTCCCGCGAGTATAGGCCCCCACCCCTGCAGCCACTTGCAGAGCCCTGGAGGCTGAGACATCGTTGGTTTCAACTACTGCTAGGTAGAATATCATAGGTCAAAATGAAAATCAATATGTCATGATCCATGGATTTTCTTTCTTCAGTTATAGCAAGATTATGATTCAAGTTCGAGTAATGAAATTCAAACCGGTCCTTCACTGGCAGCGACTCGTGTCGGAATTGAAATTAAAAAGGGTGTTGAAGAACTTGAGCACGGTCTTTAGCGTTAGCGCCCTTCCAAGCTTGGACCCCCAGACTCTCGGCACGCCGTGAAGGGTTCAAGGGGTTCAAGTTTTCAGGGACCTTCAAGCCTGCTCAGGTGAGATTAAGGGTCAGAAGGAAATGAGTGACTTTCTATGAGTGGGCCCCCACATGCAGGCACCAAACCTTCCAAGAATGCCCACATGTGCAGGTGGATGTAGTGGTTACTATACGGTACTGTCATGAAACATATCCTTACCCAGCCATAAGACCGTCAGATGTGCACCAAAGTACAGCAAAGGCACGTGGAATAGACACAGGGTCGTTTGAAAATTTTTATAACTACTAAACGTCTAAAAGTGGCTTCCAAGATAGATTCCAAGGTTCGAATGTCGTTGCTTTGAAACAACCCTCCGGGGCGATGATTGAGTGTTACAATACCCGTACTGGATGAACCCCGGCCCGACCCGACGCCGCTTCCATCTTATCTTGATTCTTGACCCTTGACCCTTGACCCTTTACAACTTTCCAACATTTGAAGGTTATAGGCGTCCAACTTTATTAGGCGTCCAACACTTGCAAGGTTGTACCAGGTTAACATTTCCTATATTCCCTATTTAACCGAAATGAGCTGAAATTGCACATTCCTTCGTCAACTCATTCATTCGTTTACCCCTCTCTGTCACGATGCCTAGCGACTACACTCGGGAACGTACTCATGGTCAGCAGACGGTGCTAACCTACGCCGCCAACCTATATCCACTGATAATCAGCCGAGACTCCTAAAAATAGGAGTGAGAGCAATATTCATACTAATTTGATTTGATTTGATTGGTTACTAGGAATAATGGCAGGATGAATCTACTATCTCGGATGAAACCCAACGCTCAGTAATCTCTAGCAAATGGCTGAGATTGGCTCATATGGCCGCATGGTTAATAATTATTGTTAGCCACTACTGGAAGCTCCATAAGGAAAAGCTAGATGATATTACAGATAATGAAGGAACTCCTCGCTCATGTGCGGAATCCTTCGGACCAACGGGGCTTCAGCTATACACGGCTCATGAGCACTTTCTACGGCGAAAGCTCAGATGTAAACTTTGCGGAGCTCATCTCCGAGTCTGAGTTTGACCAATCTGTCTTCGGTAATGTCACCCTTTACGATGCTGGGTCAAATGATGGCTTACACCCCTGCACAAGATTCTAAACTGCCTCTCGCAGATTACCGAGGAGACACCACTGGCATCTGCTACAATCTTTCTCAATAGACAGAAGCATCAAGAGAGCTCTAGAGAAAGCTACCAATGTCTAAATATATGATTAAGACTCCGCTACAGAGATATCTCACATAGCAGCCAGATGAGACTATAACCTTACCGGTGATAAGGAAGCAAATGATAATAAGAGGAACGTGCTACTAGCATTTGAGCGTATATCAACGATCGGGGGTACGTCCTCCGTTACTCCCGGGCGAATTTTGCTTGTGACTTGCAGAATGCCGACGATACGCTACGTTCAGGCCTGGATGCCCTGCATAGATGGAGTCACTACGGGGAGGACTGGGAGCCCCACGAACTTGCTAAGCGACGTGGCGAAACTAAGCCCGAGGGCTTGCAGGACGGCTTGCAGGAGGGTGCCAGGACGAATGTAACCTCCGAGGAACAGAAAGGAATAAGCAATTAGCGTCTGATCTAGTCGCAGAGAACTTATGCTGGTACATAACCGCTATTCCATAAAATGGCTAGTGTATTATCATGGTGGGCACCCTTGACCCAACACAATGCAAGTGCTGCAGCGATATTGAGGGCCGAGCACCATTAACATCTTGCTGTGACAAGAGGCCGCCGGAGTTTTTGACAATCTGGGACAATGGGTCCTCGAATAGGCCCTCGACCGACGGAGTCATAATATCTCGCTCGCCGTTTAGTTCCTCGTTCAGGAATCCCGTCTCTTTACCTCAAGATAACTTGAATTGCTTCCATTCTCTTGTTTCCAAGGTTCACGACATACGCTCTTTCATTTTCATTTTCATTTATATTCCATCTCAATCACTATATTACTTGGTTCAGCTTTTATACACTCATTTAATTGACCAACCTGCATTGTCACGAATGTGGCGATCAGCAATAACCACCTGGTTGGCAGCTTGCCTGCTGGCTTGGGTGGTGGTCGGCCAACAAAGCACAACTTGTTCCCTCGCAGAACCTTGCGAAGAGGGCTGCTGCAGCCAATACGGGACGTAAGAAGATATCCTTTCCTCTCCCAATACTATCTATAATTCACCCAATACTGAGGCCTCTCGGCTAATTTTTTCAGCTGCGGATTTGGGACTGAATGGTGTGGTGATGGTTGCATTAGTAACTGCAATGCCACGGCCCAGTGTGGACCTTGGGGAAATGTGACGGATTGCCCTCTCAATGTCTGCTGTAGTCAGTATGGCTTCTGCGGTACCACCTCAGATTTCTGTACGAACAACTGTACTTCTGGTTGTACAACCGTAACGTAAGTTCCCTACCGAGCTCGGAGCCCCGAATGAGGATGAGCATACGCTGATGATAGACAGTGAGCCCTCATGTGCCGCAAGCACCGATGTCTCGAATCTCCGGAGAATTGGCTATTACTCGCTCAGCACTCTGGAAAGGCCCTGTGATGTCATGGAGCCCGCTGATATTCCCGCGGGTGCCCTTACACACATCAACATTGCCTTCATCCAGTTTACTGATAAGTGGGAAATTGATGATAGCAAGTATGGCTCCCAGGTGGCTGAGATCGCCTCACTCAAAGACTCGAATATGGGACTACGGGTTAGTATCTCTGTTGGCGGGTGGGACTTCAACGACGGTTCCACAGCTACCTACTTCTCTGATATGGCCTCAACCTCGGCCAACCGTAAGACGTTTATTGACAGCGTCGTGAACTATCTGGTAAAATATGGACTGGATGGCATTGAGATTGGTGAGCATTACAGATCTAGGGGATTGTGACAATGATTTTGCTGACTATACTCAGATTGGGAATATCCGGTGGCCTCAGATAGATCCGGTACGGCGGCAGACAAGGAGAACTACGTTTCACTCGTCAAGGAGATGCAGGAGGCATTTGCTGCTTATGACTTTGACCTGACGGTCACATTGCCCTGTTCATACTGGTACATGCAGAATTTTGACATTGTGTCCATGGAGAAGTACGTGTCGTGGTTTAATGTCATGAGCTACGATATGAATGGTGCCTGGAATGCCGATAGCGCATACATTGGCCCATATATGTATGGGCTTACCAACCTGACTGAGATCGAAGAGGGCTTCGATCTTCTGTGGCGCAACAACATCGACCCTGCCAACGTGGTCATGGGAATGGCCTTCTATGGCCGCACCTTTAAGATGGAGACGGATGACTGCTACCAGATTGGCTGTGAATTCGATACAACGGGCTCTGCTGGCCAGTGCTCGCAAACGGCTGGCATTCTCATGTATCCAGGTACCCTTATTGATCAAATCCGTTTCAAGTTGGTTCCGAGACAAGACTAACTCCAAGTTTACAGAGCTATTGGGTGTGAATCAGACCGGGTAAGAAGACATTTACATCACTTTCGTGACTGTATTGACGATTCTTTTTCCGTTTAGGGCATCGAAGACCTATTATGATGCAGTGTCAACCATAGTTTAGACGGTCTACAGTGGAGACCAGTGGGTCTCTTATGATACTGCTGAGTCGTGGCAAACTAAGCTGGAATATCTAAATGGCCACTGCATCTCTGGTCTGAGGATCTGATCTCTCGATTTGGACTCTTCCACCTATACCGCATTGGCTGCACTCCTCGGCGACGACGCCCTCACTATCGGTCTTCTAAGCAGCGGTGGCAATCTGAAAAGCGCTAAGAAAACCGCGCTTGCGGATCAGTATAGCGCTTATACAGTACAGGATTGTATGGTGACTCAATTCTGTACCGATGGCTCCAGCAATGAGCAAGGGACAGGCCAGGTCTGCCCAAGTGGGTATACGTCTGTTTCAATGGCTCATGCACCCACTCAGGCGCCCGGCTACGAAATCAATGGCACATGTGCCCTAGACTGGTATCGTCACATTTGCTGCCCAACTAAATATATTCCCACGGGTTGCGAGTGGACGGATTGCGGGACAACCGTCTGCAATAGCAACACTTCATTCTCGTTGAACACCGGTACATATAACGACGCCGATGGCGACAAGAGCTGTGGCGTCAATAAGGAGCGTTCATTATGCTGTGATAGCACAGGTGTCATTGACTCATGTTATTGGACTAGCTGCTAGAACGACGATCAACAGCAGGCCCCAACTTGTCCGTCTGGTTATACATACATGACAGAACGTCATGACGACGGGAGTGGTGGCTTATGCTCCACCGAAATGGGCAGCTCGGATCCAACCAAGTATGAGCTGTTGTATGCACAGGCCTACTGCTGTCTCAACACCAGTGTACCGACGAACTTCTCGTGGACTTTCTCTGACAACGAATATACATACGATCCAAAGTCTATGTGTATACCCGAGCAATGTCCCTCTGGTAAGGTAGAGTACACGTTTGCTTTAGACCCTGATGATCCAGAAGTTGGTACCGCTGGTAGTCTGGGAAGCATCAACTGCGACGCTTATCCTATTCCGGCCGGCACGAGTGATTACTTCAGGTATTGCTGCGATCCTACAACTTCCGCTGACGATGACGGTGAAGACTAGCCTGTTGATCCTGATGATTTATGGGAGGATGCTTATGCTAGTGAGGGCTCCGATGTCGACTGGGCTTATTCTGACGATAGTGATGGTGGCACGAGCTCAACCGACTATGGGGCTGACCCCTATGGCTTCGTCATGCTGGACGGTCCCTCGGGCTCTATTGACAGCACGTTTGGCGATACATATACTGTGGTCCAGACCGACGATAGCAGCGCAACCGAGAAGGTCAAGCGTTTAGCTATGCGTTCGCTGGTCACAAGCAATGCCACTGTCATCACCTCTAATTTTGATAATACGTCGGAGACTCTCTACGTTTACTGTCAGTACGCCACGGGTTCAGACAGGTGCAACCGCATTTTCCACAAGGGTCGCCGTTGATACCATCATCCGGCTGCCCAGCCACGTCGGCGAGGGCCCCTGGGCGCGTGTTGTGTCCATGACTCCCGTGGCCCACACAGAGTCAGCGCTACCCTCCTATCACCTCCACAAGCGCGAGGCCCAGGAAAATTCGAACCCTGTTTACGCATTGGTAATCGACTACAACTTTCAGGACATTCAGGATACGGCGAAGCAGCCCGTCAATATGAGAGTTGACTTTGCTAACCTAGAGGACTACTGGCAAACTATCGATGACTCGGCTGCCAGAAAGGTCAAGAAGCGTACGGCATTTGGCGGCGAGAGCCGTAGACATATACCTTATCGTGACTGGCGCCGTCATGTGGACATTGCTAAGAAAAAGCCCGCCTTCACAGAAAGGAGCTCTGATGACTTTCACAAGCGAGCGACTCGGTCTTTTGCCCCAAGCGAAGTTGTTGCGCACGACCGCAACGTAGCTATCACTAAGCGGTGGTTTGGGGCGCTCACGGCCTGGCTCAAAAAGGTTACAACAATCACCAAGACTGGACAGGGTGATCTGCCGATCGACCTTGAATCCAACATTCTGCTATACAGCCAATCGATCGGTTGTTCCAAGGCCAACGCAGAGATGAATATCTACCTCAATACCAAGCTCGATATGGCCGCCAGCTACGCCTACTACTTTAGCGGAACCATTGTCCCACCCGCTGTTACCGACACATACGCTGCCAGAACATGCAGACCTTCCTCAACTGGCGTAATCTTAACTTCAACCCGGGCGCTACTTTCACCTACGACACTTCAACGGGCTATGCCAAAAGTCAACGGGCCTTCACATGCGAGGACAGAGCGTACTGGGACCCGCTATCTAATAGGAATGCTCTCCCGTCCTACTGCGGCGCCGCAAATGAGCAGTTAAAGACAACGTTCGGCATAACGGCGAAGAATGCAAAGAATGATCTACTGGCTGTAGTCACTTGCGACGAGCTCCCTCCGGCGTCTGTCGAGGAGGGTGGCGACTGGTACGGCGATGTTCCTGTCGCACCGGCCTTGGAGTGCGCCCCAGCATGGCAGCAGAATTCGCAGGGGGCCTGCAACAGTAAGCCATTAATAAAAAATAGCCCCGTTTCACTTCATGAAGCTGATTCCTCTTCTTTGTCGACAGCGCTTGCACGTAACATAAAGACCAATGCTCAATATGCTGCCGACCCTGAAGCAACCCCTTTATGGGTGAATTGGAAGGATAATACCAAGTGGTTCACGGCCAATGCCTGGAACGAGATCACTACGTACCCATATGCTATCCCTCAAGCAGAGGGTATCTCCGCAGATGTATGTGAAAATGCCGCGCAACTAAATTACTGTCTTCGTTTCCTATTTAAACGAGCTAAATTCCCCTTTCACCTTTTAATTTTTCCCATGCGGCAACCTCCCCGTCATGTATCCAGGCCCGAGACTGACTGTCCTCGAAATTATTTAGCAATGGGGCATTGATGAGACCGGTGGCTGGCTCCAGAGACGCAGCTTTACGTACTGGATTGCCAGTCCTTCTTCCGCGACCGACTGGAGTGTCTGGGGTGGTACTACTGGATCATGGAAATTCAAATCTTCTGCAGGAACCTCTACTGACGCCATAAATGTCATCTGCGCCATAAATCTGTGGGACCAACCCCAAGGATACGGTCTCATAGATGAGGATTTCAATGCCTATTGTTATAGTGGCACTAGTGACGGTGTATTTGACAGTATGTAATCATCTACTGTTGCCTTTCCCCTACTCCCTCTTATGCTCACTGCTTTCATCCCTGGTCGCTTTGCTACTTTCATCCAGGGCTGAGAAAAGCCCCAGCCCCGGATGATCTACGCTTCGTGATAATTGGCAAGATACAACGGGCTAATGTTAAAGCATCGAGCAGAGATTGTCACATATCCCAAGCTGAGCCGTTGCCTCGTTACTCTCGGTGCAACCGTCGCCACCCGCGACCAGGTTGATGTTGAAAAGAATCTTAGCTCTCTCTACGGACGTGTCATTACAAACATTACCATGCTCGATGATGACGATGATGACGACCTAACGGAGGCTATGCAAACGCTCGATATACAGGATGTAGATAAGGTTCCAACCCTTCCACTCGATATCCTCGAGACAATTTGATGGAACATCCTTGGAATAGAGCATACGTGATGCCTTGGTTTTCACCTAGAGCAGGGATATGGGCAGCTTCAGTACGGCTTGAACTTCTCCTCCTCGCTAACCATAGATCTTCATGGAATCGCGACATCTGGACATCCGGCCCTGCCCAGGTGGAGGCTTAATTAAATGTTTTATAGGACTATCTGTTGATTTTTCGAGCATGTGATCTAGTATATAGTTGACTTGTTCAGAGCACAGGCAAAATTGTACATTTGCATTCAAGATGGCCAACCTTGGAACCCACTAAATGAAAGTCCGCAATAAATCCATAGTACAGCAAGAGCAATCTTTGAAGAGTATTCAACTTGAAGCACTTGAGTTTAGAAGCAGGAATAGATAGTGATATAGAGAGACATGTGGAATGGGCATAAAAACATTTTGAATCAAAAATGATAACGGATCCTTCAGAATACTTTGTGATACAGGTCAGGTGGAAGAGCGAATCCATACACACTGACCAGAAGCATGATAGTAGCCTGTCATTGAAATTGAGGATTTCTTTGACAAAGCTCTATTACATTTCACGAGGATCCAGACTCTTCTAGCTAGCGTAACCACACAGACAATCCCTTGTAGAAGCTCCACCCTGCGAAACATCAACAACACGCTTACGAGCCCTGGGGAATCTGCAAATCAGTACCGACAGCTAAGCCGAGCTGAACGGGGGTATTAGGGGAATGCATATCGGTTTGATAAACAGGAATGTGTGGAGCCAGAGACTTAAAGAAAGAGAAAAGAAGAGGAGAGGAGAGAGGCAGGAAACACTAGTATTTATAGTGGGGATGTGAAAGGAGATCCCGGGCGCAGTATTGTTTGTCAAATTAGTAAACCTCTCTAAACTTCAGGTTGAAGACAATATAATTATCCTTGGATATAATTCTATCTCATCTTTCCTAGCGTTATCTTTAAGTCACTCACCTGTACGGAGTAGAATAATACTAATATCTCTCTCTAGGTAGTAAATAGTCATTGGAGCCTTCTCCGTGTCTCCGAGTCTCCCGAGGTCACTTCTCCTGCCACTACTCTGTACTCTCACTTCAAGTTCAAGTTTGCCCCCACAACCAATAATTTTATTTTTCTTTCTCTTTCTTCTTCTTCTCATCCCTTTATTCACCTAGAGTCATGCGACTCTCTGAAAGACCGTTCCTGCAGACAGCAAGCCGTTATCGATCTGCATCTCTTTGTTCCACGCGACCATGTCAATTTTGAAAAGAATATTTTCCGAGGTCCTAGTCAAAAGTAGCCAAAATATCAATTTCATGTTTACTTCACACCGAAGTTACAAACTTGAAGCGCGACATCCTTGGAAAATTGATCCTTCAAGAAGTCGCATCTGGCAAACTCCCTCATAATCTGAGGGACTACGCCCTTGATCCTCGCCTTCAGCGCCGGAGAAAGTGTCAAAAACTCTTTGACAGCCAAAATCCCCATGGTATCCACAGTTCCTTTTACTGTCAAAGGAGTGGAGCCACATACAAGGATAATCCCTGTTTACCTGCTTTTACTAAGCCAAAGACCGAAATGCGCGCATAAGCCCGATGGAAGGTGATATTTCCGAAGGGCGGAATATTGAGAGTGGGGAGCATCTGGTTTGTGATCCCTCCAAAAAATATGAGAAGATCTTGATCAAACTCCTTCTCAGAGCTTGGAGAGTCAAGATGGTCTTGTGAGCGTTGAGATATTGAAGCTGGGGCAAGGGTCAATTTAGGTTCCTTTCAGTTCAGATTCTTTCAGGGGCAATATTCAAAAAATTCCAAATATCTCTGTTTATTGCGTTCAATCCTGGTAAATCAATTTCTGATGCATCCAGGGATCATGGACAGGGGCCACAATGGAAGAACCAATATTGGAAGGCTTGCTCTGGATTGAGCCTGCTCACATGGGCCCTAGGTTCAAGTTTGCCTTAATAGTAGTACCGATAATGAAGTTTTTGATTGCGAGCAGAACTTTGATGATGTGGAGCTCCAAGTTGTCAGGTATGAATTGTGATAAGTCTTCCAAGGTTGTTGTGACAGGCAGCCTATTCAATGTGCACAGCGTGGCGTAGATCGAGGGCCCACTTAGCGCCGGCGGCTACTTGGATTCATTTTTGAGTCCGACTTGACTTGCCTCGATTATGAGCTGGGAAATGATCGAAGCTATCATGGTGTTGAAATTGGGCATATTTTTGTTGCCTCCACGTCGAAGAACCGATGCATCAATGCCCTGAAGTCCGGGTGCCTAGTCAACCGGTATATCCACGCATAGATCTAGGCATAGATCTAGGATAATGTTGCCCTGAATATTTGAATCGAAGAAGCTGCCAACATGCAAGAAACATCCAATTTGAACTCGGCTAAAAGGGTCTGAATCCATAGCTATAAGCTCCCCAATTAACCGCATCCGAAAACCGGGGTTCACGCCCAGTAAAATGAGCTAGAGCTCTGGAGTCCCCGCCCCGCGGCTCAACTCCGACTGTGGTACTCAATCGGAGGAGAACGCACCGACATAAACGGGCTAACGTGGGGTAGTATTTCCGACCTTGAAATACATTCAAGTTGCTGAACAAACTTCTTCCAAAGCTGAAAATACAGAGAACCAAATACCCAATTCAAATTCATCCCAATCACAACCATGTCTATGAACTTCGATGATTGCGGCGTCGTCCGCGATGGATTCCCACGTCCCTTCCCAAATACACCTTCAAATGTATTGGAGCAGCTCCGTATGGATGGAAAGGTGGTCGTTGTTACCGGTGCAGCTGATGGAATTGGCGCGGCTGTGGCAGAGGGTATTGCTGAAGCTGGCGGGAATGTGGTATTTTGGTACAACTCGTGAGTTACACAAAGCCACATCCAGAAGCAAAGTAGCATGAACTGATGTGTAAATAGGAATGATGCTGCGATTCAGAGATCTGAGGACTTGGCTGCGTCACACAATGTGAAGACATCCGCTTATAAAGTTGACGGTAAATGATCTTATCCTCCCGCTTGATTATTTGGAACTCACCATATACAGTCTCTGTTTCAACACAGGTTCAGGAAACAATTGCAAAAGTTGTGCAGGAATTCGGCACGATTGATGTTTTCATTGCAAATGCCGGTATATAATCCCGCATTCTGTATATCATTGATGTTTCTGGACCTGATACTGATTATGAGCAGGCATGGCTATCTCAAAGCCGATTCTCGACCAGACTCTCGATGAGTACCGGAAGCAAATGTCTGTGAATGGTGAGCAATCTTCAAAATTTTTACATTTTTGATCCTGAGCTAAAAGTCCTAGTCGACGGCATTGTTTACTGCTCAAAATACATCGGTGAAGTATTCCAGAAACAAGGCTTCGGCAACCTGATCATCACATCCAGTATGAGTGCACACATCGTCAACGTACCCACTGATCAACCCGTCTACAACGCGACAAAGGCATATGTGACCCATTTTGGAAAATCTCTGGCTCGGGAATGGCGCGAGTTCGCTCGTGTAAATATTGTCTCGCCAGGCTTCTTCGAAACCAAGATGGGTGCTAGTCCATTTGCTATCAATGAAGCGTACAGAATGGCGGCTCTAGGTCGACAGGGCCATACTAAGGAGATTAAGGGTCTATATCTGTACCTTGCAAGTGATGCGTCTACTTATATGACTGGTAGCGATTTGCTTATTGATGGCGGTTATGTCCTGCCATAGGTTCTGAAATAGTGGAAACTCTAGCGAGTATAGAACTCAGGATCGTTTAGAAACTTGAAAATAACACACTTTACTTAGGCCAGTTGTGCATCTTCGAGTCTGTCATTTCCGTATACTAGTACTAGAATATAAGAATTCATAAAGAATTCAAAATAAACATTATCGAAATTAGTAACTAAGGAATATTGAACACCTTGATATGGGCCTTAAGCAAAGGCAAAAACGCCATCAGATTTCGTTTCCCATCTATAGGAGCATTTCTCTCTTTCTTGATTCATCCAGCAGTAACAACTGGAGATGACGGGCTGCTGTGCACCGGTAAAAGTGGGGCATCGGGCATCGGACGTCCGCCGATATCAGGTTATACCAGATTCAAGTGCAGGAATCACCAACTTGTCCGGAATACAGGTGACCGAGGTCGCAGATCATACTCTCAAGCACTTGAATGAAACTTGAGACTTTAATCCTAGCATTCAAATAGATCAGCTTAACGAATATCCTACTCAAAATTCCATTCCAAACGTCCAATCCAAGCTTCCAAGGCTCTCTATTTCCCCAGGTTCCCCACATTCAACTCACTTGGAGAACCCACTCTGTGATCCACAAACTCGAAACATGGCACAATCAAACGAAGTAACAGAGCGTGAAGCTTTGACATCTCGCATCGTCCCATCCATGGTCTTCAGTGATGGCAGTCCATCATCTATGACACCTGCCCCCAATGTCCCAATCGAGAGTGACCCCGCAACTGGAGCCCAGAAACGATTCGCCGTACGCGGGAATGCAGTAGTGACCGGTGGTGCAGGAACATTAGGTCTTCGGTCCTGCGATGCGCTCCTCGAACATGGTCTTGAAGGCCTAATGATTTTCGACGTTAACCCTGCAAATTCTGAGAAAGAGATTACTCAAATGCGAACCAAGTTCCCCAACGCCAGGATTCTTACTCGGACAGTCGATGTAACCGATGAAGAAGCTGTGCAAGTCGCTATGGAGGATACAGCCCAAACACTTGGATCCATCGATACGTTGGTATGTTTCGTCGGAGTCGTGGGTTGTGTCGAGAGTCTCGAAATGCCCATTAGTCAGTGGCGCAGAATCCTCGATATAAATACTACTGGATCGTTTGTCTGTGCTCAAGCTGCAGCACGACAGATGGTGAAACAGGGTACGGGTGGCTCTATTACATTTGTGGCTTCTATGTCTGCGCACCGGGTCAATTTCCCACAACCTCAGGCTGCGTATAATGTGAGCAAGGCGGCTCTCTTAATGCTTAAGAGTTGCTTGGCGGCTGAATGGGCGAGATATGGTATCCGGACTAATACTGTTAGTCCGGGATATATGGATACTATTTTGAATGAAGGTGATGGCATCGCTGAGCATCGGCGTATTTGGGCGGAACGAAACCCGACTGGGAGAATGGGAAGTCCGTCTGAATTGACGGGGACGATTGTTTTGCTTGCGAGCAGTGCTGGTTCGTATATCAATGGCTCAGATATTGTTATTGATGGAGGCGCTATTGTATTGTAAATGATAGAACGAGATGCAGGAATCATAGGATGTAATAAAGGCTTCTAGTATAATCTTGAACAATGATACCATATGGGCCAGGACTAATATCATAACAACGAAGTGAAATGGTCATTTCAAACGAGGAAATACAATGCACCTTGAATCCAACCATAAACGCCAAATCCTTTTGAAAACAGTCAACCTAGGAAACTAATCCCTCGGCCTTCTCTCGGCGCGCTGGCTACTGATTTCCCCAGTCTCCCGATCCTCGCGAATACCCAAAGCCCTGCGCAACCTCTCACTCTCCTGAATCTTCGCCTCCGCAAGCTCATGAACTTGATAAGACTTCAACCTCCGATCCCTCTGGTTCCCAGACCCAGAACCAGAACCCAAATCCCACTTCCTCCTCGGCGCATCCCTCTCCTTTGATCCACTCTCCTCCATTTCCTTAATCAATTTAGCCCGTAAAGCCTCACACCGTTCATCGATCTCTTCTTCAGTGAGAATCTTCTCCTCGGATTCATCTTCCTCTCCTTCCTCAGTCGTATCCTTCTTCTTGTTCTTCTTCGCACACTCCTCTTCAATACGTTCATTCTCCTCTTCTAGTCGTTCCCGCTCCTCCATAACCTTCACTTCGATTGCGCGCCGGCGATCATGTTCCAGGATTTGCTTATCGGGAACACGCTGCTTGAATCCACGGTCGGGGCCACTGCCTAGAGGTGGGTATGGTGCGCCGGATCCGGTGGACCGGGGCTTGATGAAGGCGCTGTTACGTTGCACATAGCCTGATGTGCCACTACCGCGAGGTGTGGTGAGTCCGACGTTGGAGGACATTGTGATTTTGGAGGTGGTTTGTTCGTGATGCGAAGATTCGACGAACTGGAGGTATTTTTCGTGGTTTGGGTTGAGGTGTAGCTTTTTGGATTCAGTTCAAAGAGATTTAATGATCCTGAGGATCTCTTGTTTGAGAGTGAAATTGGTGACTTTGCTTGAGACTTCAGTGGTAGGTCTCTCTTTTGAGGGAGATGCTGTGGAGCTTGAAGATTGAGTTGGAATTGGTGGAGCTTATCAATCACGTGGTGATTGCACGTATTTTATCTATGACTTTGCCTGAGTTATGTCGATGCTGCCCTGGACATCTTCACTATGAAATACTTATTGAGCCTTTGAGGTTACCTAGAGTTTACTTGATTGATAACTGGAGAGGTTCAGTGGCTGTCATGATAGTTGATATTGAATACATCAGCCAGAGCAAGATATCAACACATCGCAAGTGCAGGCATAAGCAACACCGTAAGTGCAACTTTGATACCTGAAAACACAGGTAGATAGCAAAGCCCACAACCGATATGTCGAGCATCTGAAATATAAGATGCCCCCTCGGGTATGAGGAAATAAAATAATGGACCATGAAATAAAATGGAAAGGAGATAAACAGGGACCACAAGAAAGAGAAGTAACAAATAATATGGAAAAAAGAAATCACAGTAACAAATAAAAAAGAAAAGGACCGTGCCATGCAAGAGGTAGTTTCTCTCCCTTATTTCCATTTCCGAACCGAATCGAGTCTCCCATGTCATATGCCGAAGATCGTTGAAGAGCAAATATCCGATGCCCCCTTAAAAAACACACAGACGCCGAGTCAACCGTAGATCGATTCTCAAACCCCGCAAGCGACACCCATACTGATAAAGGTGAAGGTGCAGGAGAAAGTCAACACCGTCGTTTAAAAAATGAACAGTTGAAAACAGATATCAAAAAAGAAAAGTTGTTCGGAAAGAATAAGAAAGAAGACAGAAGAATAGGTCGTCGAGGATGTCGACACACGTCCGAGATAAACACACATGAGAAAAATAAGATAACAATGAGGCCCTTTTGTTGCGCCACAAGCCATGGTAAAAGGGGGAAACATTTGACGTTTTTGATTGAGTAGGTATATCCCGTGCCGGATCCCCTGTATGTATACGCCCATATTAGATAAAGCAGAAAAATGACGGACTTCCGCACATCGGAATTAGAACGGATATGTGGAGGGCGAGCGAAGTAAATTATGCAACGAATTAGTGAGCGCTGGTGACATCGACCGAGACGGGAACACCAGTGTCACTCGTCTCGGGACTGGACACCGAAGTCACAGTGCTCTTAGCAAGGCTCTTGGATTCGAGAGAGCCATCGACGGTGTTCTGGTTGTCCGTCGGAGGAGGGGTAGGCGGGGCAGTGCCAACAAATGGAGCACGAGTCTGTTCCATAGTGATCGACCGCTTAGAGGGCTGAGGGGAGGATTTGTGAGAGTTGGGAGGAGTGGTAGAGGTGGTGTGAGACAGAGGGCAGTTTGGGTCGAAGATCAGTTTCTCAATAGCCACGATCTGCTTGCCGTAGCTGAACTTTTTCAGTTGACTGAGTAGGGGCTTGATCTGGTCGATGAGAGCCTCGCGCTCTTCACCCTTCAGCTGGCCAAGAACCTTTTCTGTGAGAAGTTAGTATACAAATCAAGGGGTGTGGTGTAACAAATGTGGCAGAGAAAACTTACGGATGACATAGTTGCCATACTGGTCTCGCATCAAGCCGAGCAGAGGGCTCTCGCCACGGTCGTTGGGAGAGGTAAGGGTGGAGATGATGTGACGACGCTGGCTTTCTTCACCAAACTCGATGCTCTTTTCCACGACATTGCTAGCAAACTTGTGCTTAGAGTAGGCAAGTAGCTGAGACATGACAATGATAATCATGCGATTGCGGTCCTTCTCGTCCCCATTCTCAATCACGTGTTGAATAACGTAGTTGCCAAACTGGTCAGGAATAAGGTTCGAAGTGCAAGCGTGAAGTTCTGCCAGAATAGATTCACGGTCAACCTCTTCACAATGCTCAAGCATGCGCTGGATGACGCGGCAACCATATGGATGGGCAGCCAGGCGGTTGACTTGGCCACGGAAGGCGTTGATGATAAACTGCACGTACTGCGACGGCACACGCTCGATGGCCTTCTGGATGACATGATTACCGTTTTGGTCACGCACACATTTCAAAACGTGGTTCTCGAGCTCCTTCACCATGGCAGCTTGCTGATCAGTGAGAATGTGCTCTAGAGCCTTCTGCACGACACGACACCCATACATCTGTGTTGACAAAGCAAGCACGTGTCCACGCATCTGATTTGCGAGGATCTTCTTTTGTGTCTGGTTGCCATGCTCGAAGAGCTTCTGGACGACGTAATTGCCGAAGACATCAGTCATCAGCTGCAAGCAGTTGGGTTGGATCTCGCGGAACACTTGCTCCTTCTCATCACTGTTCGCGGTCTCCAGCTTCTGCTGAATGAATCGTGAGCCGTGCTGGTCTCCGCTAAATTCAACCACGTGGTTGTAGATATCCTTCAGCTCGTATCGCTTGTTGCCTTTGCTGTTGGCACGGAATTCCTCCAGAAGCGGGCTGCGAACAACTTGAGACGGGTCGTGGTCACGGTGTACGCGAGATGCGAGAGCGGCTGCTCCATTCATTGCTCCGAGCTGCGCCATTGGGTAGAAGCCTTGGATCGCGTTCAGTCGAGCAGCATTCTGGTAGTTGGAGTAGTCGTATGCGGGTGGCATCTGCATGCGCTGAAGGGAGTTACCCTGGCCTTGAGCAAACTCTTGCTCTTGAAGATTGCGCAGGCGACGTTCGAAGGCTGCAACCTGGTTGTCGGGCATACGCGCACCGGCATTGCGGTATTGAGCTGAGGCATCCACACCACCATAGAGGGGGCTATCCATCCGAGCATAGTCAGAAGGTGAGATCGAACCAGTCTCAGCACCGCGAGCGCGGGCTTGGTATGCGAGGTGCATCTCTTGGGCACTCTCGCCATATCCAGCCAAGGATTGGTAGCCACCATCCTCATTCTGGTACTTGTTACGCGGCATAGTGCCATCAAAGGAGGCGTGCGGTACGAACTGCGGTCGTTGAGCTGAGCCTTGCGAAACGAAGCCACCGTCGTTCAATTGAAGCTTGTTGAATCCAGCTGAGAGATCGATGGATCCACCATTGTAGCGACCGTCGACACTGTGGTTATCAGAGTAGAAAGAGGGGTGAGCGGAGTGCGCTGGTCGTTGAGCATAAGAGGCGGAGTTGTGGGGGATGTGTGACAGAGAGGTGCGGGTCTGAGGGGGAGATAGACCGTCTGGGAGAGCAGAAGGCAGCGATGTCATGGCGATGTTGGCAGCCATCTCATCAGCCCGCGAACCATCCATTGATCCGTTGTACCCAGACTTCACTGGAAATTGGGTGCCTACAGGGCTGCCACTCAGGCCAGACGAACTCATCTGGCGTCTTCCGTCTCCATTGCGCAGAGCAGGAAACCCGCCAAATGTCATTCCATCCCCGGATGGAGAAACTCCCTCTGAACCCGAGTTGAGGTATGGGCGATGGCTCACTGTGTTTGCAGGGTTCGTGATCCCTGAACTGCGGGGGAGGAAGTAGGAAGAGTCGGGCGCATCGTTCATGGCGGGCGCACTACGATCATTCGCACGAGTCTGAATTGGCGAGGTGGCCATGGTACGGTTCTGGCTCATCGCCAGAGATGAGTTCACCGTACTCCAGGGAAGGTTGGGGCGACCAACCCAGCCATCCGACTCAGATGTCGACAGCAGGGAGCCTGAGCCTGACTTTCCTCCAAACGCCGTCTCAGCCATGTTTTGTTCTGGGGATAATGTCAGTACTGTCTCACATATCTGGAATCTCTCAATGCGCGCCAATTCGACGTCGGGCCTGAACTTACCGTCTGCAAAGCCACCACCTAGGTTTGAATCGCCCCAGATGGTATTGTTCCAGGTTGATTTGCCACTGAATCCCTTGCCCACGCTGTTACCGTGAGATCCATGCGAACGATCATTGTTCATGCCAGATGAACCCATGTTGCCACCTCGATTCGATCGTACGTTGTGTACGCCGGTTGCATTGGCCGCCATAGTAGAAGCCATCACAGAGAGCGCGATCGATGGACAAGTGAGAATTCGATATGTACTCGAACAGCGACTATTTGCAGGGAGTTCGAGTGGGGTGTTGCGATTTCACACAACCGAATGGTTTGATTTGACGGCCGGTACTTTGAATCGGGCACCAGGCACCAAGAAAGGCGAAGATGGAGGACTATAAAACTATGGATGCGATATCCCTTTGTTAGCGAAGAGCTCTCACTAAGAGGGGTCGAAGATATCGGGAGGTTGCCCTTCCCATTTTCTTTCCCCCAGCAAAGGCATACAGGGTGTTCTGAGGAGCAACTTACCAAAGGAGGGGACAGAAAGGGATCCACCGATAAGCGACAAGAGAAAGTAGTAAAGAACGGAATGGGAAGCTTCCTTTCTTGACAACGGGTTCTCACTTCGACAGGTCTTCTTTTCTCAACGGCCACGGAACTCAGGACATATACAGATAGAGCGGGTCAAGTGAGAGACAGTGGGGTTAGGATGGTGAGAGAGAGCGAGGCGAAAAGAGAGGGCAGGGATGAAGGATATGAAGGGGAGCGAGACTCAACGTCCTTAACGTCAAGACAGAAATGCGGGAAGGGCCGAAGCAAGCAGATGCAAGGCGACAAAGAATTGGCAGGGAACAAAAAAAAATCTCTGGGAGATCTCTCCCCTTCGTTTGTCGAAGCGGACAATAGCAGTGAGGTCGGGACGCGACGTTACTCTGCTCCGTGCATGCTCCAGGAATCTCCCAGCTTGCCGATCGTCCTCATGTGCCTTGTGGAGGTCGATCCCCGAGAATGAGCAGAGCGTTTGGGTGGAGGACCCTGGATAGGAATTGCGCAAGGGATGGGAAGAAGATCGGGAGGGATGAAGGTGGGAGGGATTCGGAGAGGGATGCGATAGTCGCGATCCAAGACGCAAAAATCAAAGATCGGAATGCGCTTGGATTTGGGTTGGTTTTGGCGCGCCAAAGATTTGAGTTAAAAAAACCCCAGTGGGCTTTGGAGTGGGTCGAAGTGGATGAAGAAGAGCAGACACAATCCGTCACACAACCAGCATCGTATCAACTGGATGATGACTTTTGATGGATTTGTGCCTTTTCTGAGATGGGGGAGGATTTTAAGAGAGGGGTGAAGGGGGGTGGAAGAAGGAAAAAAAGAGGAAGAGGAAGTGAGAGAAGAAGAATTGTGAGAGAGCAGAAGAGAGAAGGGGAATCAAACCCACGTCACACGAGGAACAGGGAAGTAAAAAATAAAATAAAAATTGATAGATAACCAAAATGATTTCTACATAAAGTAGACAAGCAGAAAATAAAGAAAATAAGAGATTTGAAACGAGAAATGAAGAAAATGTCAGAATTAACAAGAATTCGAAAATAAGCGTATTCTTCATAGTCTTGGTTAAAGATGCTGTGGCAGATCAGCCGCGTGTATTGTAACTTTTGTTACTCGCATGACCATGAACATGGCTGAATCTTAGTGGAATACTTTTCTGATATATGTTTCTCATATTAAAATCAGGTACTGCTCACAGATGAACGGCCCCATTTATACTGTATCTGTATTGTCACGGATGATCACTGGATCGCCCTACGGAGTACGAGCTTCTTTTTTTACTTCATCAAGTTCATCATCACCCATCATCTATATCATCTTGAATCCTGTTAAATCAGAAAAACTACTCTTTTTTTGACCTTTACCTCTCCTCGGTTCTCAATCCATCAACATCCTAAAAGAAGTCGGTGTTGTTCGGAAATCCCCTCTGACCGCTATCTGGGTCTAGATGCATGGCCATGACCCCTAGGATTGGGCCTATACATAACCAAATGAGCCAGTCCCACGAAGACACCGAAGCAGTCTACAACATCATCCCACCTTCCACTTAAAAAAAAAATCATCGGTCATAATGAAAGCCTGAAGTCACCCACCTTGTTCGGCCAACAGTTCCTGTCCACTTCTTCGGGTAGACCGACCTGATAATCTATCAACCACGGTCCCACATTATGAGGGTCAGAGTATATCGGCTTCCTTAAACACCACCAAGGCTAAACGATGACCTCGATCCCGATCATTTTTGGTCTACAGATAAATTACTCATTCAGCTACTCCGTATCCAGGTGCTCGTATTGACACCTCCCCACATCGGACTGCAAGAAAGGGCCCTCGAACTGGGCTCGATCACCACGTTAATTCCCCGTGAGAGCTACTCCGATCAGGGGGGGATCCACTTAGCTGGACCCTAGTCTGAATCCGAGCAAGGTCATCCTCCACAAGACAATCTCCATGAATCAATGAAAGAGGTAGGATGGAAATCTCCCATGGATTCCCCAGGTATTCTCGAAACCCCTAGTGTTCCAAGGTTGTTGATTTTTATTTTACTCGGACCGGTTGAGCCCGGAACGAAACATTCTTGAGTTAAGCACCTAAATAGAAAACCCATAATAAATAAATAAACCCAAGACAAGAAATCACAAATCCAAAAACAAACAACCCAAATCCAAGGACCATCACTAGTCTAGCCTATGGATGAGCAGGACCTCCCCATTCCAGACTCGGTGCGTTGTTCTGCCAGTCAGAAACTCAATGGCTCACTACATTGATTCGAACCGCATCGAATCCCCTATGTTATTTTGTACTAGTAGTAAGATTCAATAAAACACTCTGGGTTTTCTTTGTTTTCTAATTCTCTACTTGATAACTTAGAATCTGAAATCAGATCCAGGTACAAAGTACAATACCTGATACTGCTACCCCTGCGAGTCTCAGTGTGCTCGGTAAGCAACAGTACTGGCGAATGCAGGTTCACAGAGCTTCCAACTCGGGAAACCCCTTGCTTCTTTCGCCTCGTCCCAATGATCCTTGGATCTAAGATACCTTTCTTCTCAGAATAACGAATACCATAAATGACCTACACGCGAATCGCGCGCGAATAAATGCGTGGTAATCGACTCGGGAGAAACATCCCCATCAAGACTCGGACCTGGGCCGACGACCAGTAAGGGTAATGTAGAACCTAATCACTTAATTGTTTATTGCGGAGTAGAAAGGAATAACTTCAAGTCAGTTTATACCAGTAGAACACAGTCAATCATGCTGCTCCAAGAATCATGAATATAGCACATGTGCAGGTAATATTATCGCGTCTCTCTTAGTGAGTCTGAGGTCCTACATCGTAATGCTCAGGTCGCATGTCTGGCACTCCAACACTTAAGCAGCATCAGGAAACCCCATTCAAACTTACCCCGGTGGATTTCCAAAGCGCCCGAGACATGGCTCGGAATAAAGTCATACAGTCCTCGTCGAGCAAGGAAATGCACGTCCACATCCTTGCACAGGGGTCACACAGGCCACTGTGTCCATCTGTCGATCTTCCCCGGATCTACGACACATGTATAAAATACAAGTTTGTAGTACTTCCAATAATCAACTGATCTAACATTTGAAGTAAGGTTATCTACTCGATCATATTCAAATGTTCTAGTGTGTACCTTATCTTCATGCTCGCATGGCTCGATTGGAGGTTTCCATAGATACCACGCACTGTTATTACTCCCCGCTTCAAACATCAGTATATTTTAGGTAGTATTAGCGCTTAATGCTTAAGCAGTGACTATTCCACCTTGCATTCAATACCCGCAATCTTGGAACACGGTACATCGATGTATGTAGTCAGATAAGATGAGCGAAGTGCCGTGCAGCCCTGGAGTGCTGCAGCCGGACTGGGCGATGATGATCGGATCTGTGGGGAACCCCTCTCTTCTTCTCCACGGTGACCGTGGGTTTTATTCCGGTTTTTTCTCTGTTCTTCTGTAGGGGGGTCGATTACTATTTTTCTTTTCTTGGCGTGTGTAGACCCGTGCGTTGAAATGCCAGTGATAGTGGGTAGATAGTGCGGGTTGAGATCTGTGCATGGAAATTAGTGCATCTGCAAGTGATTTCCAGGGTCCGATGGGTTACCTGGTCGATATGACAGCCAGGGCTGAAAAGTTCTTTTCGAGTTTAATTGATTTGTTGAGCCCGTTTTCGTGAGGGGGATGTGATATATCACTTTTTCAATACTCCGAGGTCGCTGACTGCAGGATATATAAGGCTAGTCTTTGCCCGGTAGACGTATCGAGAGCATGTGTGGAAACTTGAGATAATGAGGTCATCACTCACACCCAGAACTGGGCTGTGCCAGACCCATGTCGGCTTGAATCTTTTGGGATGAGGTGAATGGGTTGGGTGTCAGGTGTTATACTGGGCGTTGGTTGTGTTTGCAATGATTTGCGTCTTGTGAGCCCAGCAATCAGACCGCTCCCTATTTAAGACAATTCAAGTTGGTACTACCTTCAAGTCGGTACTGTCCTGTACTGCAAGATCATTTAGGCATTTCATTCTCATGTAAATAATTAGTTGAGTCTATGTCACTGGCTTGGGTCGAGTATATAATGGCAAATTGGAGCCATCTCAAAGCGGCCTCGGCAGATCGGATCACTCTAACGCCGAGGCGTCTTCGAGGCGCTTTTAGCTATTTTGAGGTGCATGTTTGAAGGTGGCTTGTATGTCTCTAGGCTGCAAGCGCTCAAATCGTCACTCTATGGCTTCCTTGGAGAGATTCCCTATTGGTAGGACATTTTAGTCAACGCTCAAGATGCGCATACCCATCAAATTCTCCTGTTTCCAGTCTAGATCGCACTCACGGATTACTGTCCATGTCCAGCTGACATGAGATATATCAACACTAATTCTGATCAATTGATGGAATGTCAGTCCCCTCATTCTGCACTCAGCGTTGGGTTGAACGATATTCATGCACCGTGACTGGAGCTGCAGGTATCCGAGTGTAGTTGAAAATCGCGACCTCTCTAGCACGCCATGCAGATCCAGCGGCCCATGGCTACGTGTCAGAATGATGTGTTCATGCGGGGTCTGCTGCCCAGCGCTGGAGGTGGGCATGGGCTGAAGATCTGAGCAGGTACCTAGGAGTACTAGTACTAGTAGTACTGGAAGTCGATGAGTGCACATGGATGTGGGTACCTGCTAGTGGGGGTAAGAGTGTACCTACGACTGTACATCAGTGTACATAACCTTGGAAGTGCCCAGGTGTACATAAGTGTTCTAACTACTAACATTTGAAGTCACTCAACACAGTTCGAGCAGTCAAGTTCAAGTTGACATTTGAATGGTCAACTTTTATATACATATATGTCACGGTTCTACTACTAAATATGCACCTGGCCACTGGGCAGTAATCTACATCTACTATTTACATATGTAGTATGTATCCATGCTCGTACAATTCTCTTCCAATGCGAACATGAAGTTCGACTCGGAGCTGCTAATGTTGAAGATTTTGCATCGATTTCAACTTGAAGTGCCAGTGGGCAGTAGCAGCCTCACATGTGAGTTCAATCTTCAAGTTCCGAGGTCAAGTGTTCAACTTGAAGTTCCAGGCCTTACCTACTAGTAGGTTATATATCCACACTGGCACTACTAGTACTAGTTAGCGGCACTACTTGCCCCGCACTAGTTGATGGATTTGACCACTGGCAGCCCGGGAATTCGCAAATAAACCTTGAATTGTCTCGAGGGCTGGATTTGGCTGAAATTATGTTTTCAAAATAGATCAATAATTTGTGTATAAGAATAGTAGACGAAGCTTGAAGTCCATCACTGCCCGACCGAATGCACCACGTGACTAACTACTAAGATGAGCCACTATTCGACACATGTGCACAGGTGCAGTACATACTACAGTACTAGAGGGTATTCTACTATGGTAGGGACAGAACCTTGGAATAGGATGATGTAAACTTGAAGTTGTTCATGGAGATCTGTATTATTCAATTGAATAGGCATCCCTTCACACGATATAATTGAAGTTTGGTTTATCTATGAAGTCGCTTTGGTCACATAAAGTTGAACATTCAAATGAAAGTGAGACATAACAACCTGACAGTGTATGGTGGACCAATGTTGATTATGATTCACCTCTAATCCCTTGAAATCTGAAACTTACCCTAGACTCCCTCAATGCTTCTAGAACATTTTAGCCCTCCTGGCAAGATCTCCTGGAGGTTCAACTTGCTTCGTGTAATCTTGATTTTAGCCCGACCGTTTTGGCCCTCTATTGCATCATTGAGTTACCTACCGAGCCGTCCGTGATCCTTCGGTGAGAATACGGAGTACGAGTACACAAGCTGGGCATATAGAATCTGTAGGCCTAGAGTTTTATTAAAAAAATGAGAAACTACTTATAGAGTAGCATAATTGGTATAACTAGGAGTGGCAGATTATGTGCATACCAAATCCCTTGTTTTACATGTTTTACATACTCAGGGGGGAAAGAGAATCTTGGAATATTCACCAACGGAGAGTAAACAGTACAAACAGTACAAACACTAAGTCTTGAATAGTACTAGAGTAAACAATTAGTGGAACCCATCATCTCCCTCTTCCAACTCTTCAACCACTCATATCTCATTCTAATCTGCACTTGGACCCATCTCCAGGAACCATCCCTTTCCAATTGGATTATTACTTTTATTCATCTCCACTTTCTAGTCCACTGTGGACCAAACAGAAGAACCCGTTCATGCATACTAGACCGGGAAGAGGCTAGGGTCAACAAATCAACCCAAAAATACACACCCTAGAAGCCCTTTCACGAGTCTGGCCGTTTTGTTTCCTAACCGCCCTCTTTTCCCCTTTCTCATTCTCTACACCCTCATCTCTCCACCTCCCTCCATTCTTTTCCCTTGAGCAAGTGTCAGCTTCACTCTTTCAGCTGTGCTGCCATCCATTCTTTCCTTTCGGTCGACTTCCCCTTTTCGACCCTTCCCCTTCGTTTTTCTTGCTTCTCGCCTGAGCCTCGCTGCACCAGTCCGCGACTATCTTGTTTCGTGTGCTCATTCCGATCTCTTCGCCTCCCCCGGATGATATCCGCCACACTCTTTGGAATTTAACATCGACGATCACTTCTTTTCTGATCATCCTTGACCTTTTTACGATCTCGAATTCGACCTCTCACCACCAAATCAACAAACGACTACTCAAACCCTCCAACCGACAACCCCATTCTCCTCATCGACATTATGGCCAATTTTCTTAAGATTGCTAGCCGTGATAGCAGCAATGATGGTCTCACCACTCCCATGGTTGACCTGCTGATCGCGCTCCTGGTGCTGATCTTGATCGCGCTCGGCCTTGTCGGTGGACTGCTGATCCTCCGCCGCAAGCGTCAGGTCCAGAAGGAGTCTCCTCCCAGTCTACAATGGCCAAGCTCCCGCCCACCAACGCCGATTAACCATCACAACCAACAAATCCGACTCAATTCTTGTCATCGATGAAAAACGCAGCCTCATGGAGAACTCCGATAGCCCACCGCCCAGTCCTGTCCCAGAGATCCGCATCACTTTCCCCGAGGAGGAAGATGCATCTGGAAGACGCAAGTCCGGCCGCTCCGTCGTCGTTCGAATCAGCGACGCCGGCAGTGTCGGCTTGGAACCCTGCAATGATGACCTACCGCCGTACCAAAGCAGTGACAGCGATCGCTTCCAGTCCCTTGATATCGAGCGCATGGGTGGATTGAAAGAGAAGAGTGATGTGAACCATTACTCTTAGAGCGACAGGATTTCCCTCCCGGGCGACCATTTTAACCAGCGACTCTTCAATTGTCTCCCCTGAACCTCGCTGTTATCACTCATGACCACCAATGCCCGGTCCCACATTCGCAAACCTTTTTCACTTCTACGACCCAAAAGCATGACGAGCATCTTGGCGAACCTCTTTTTCATTTCTTCTTCAATATACCTATTTCTTCTCGATCCTGCCCCCCGTGGCTTGCACATACTCTTTGAGAACCATTACAATGGTTGGCAACTCTCAATCAAGCACCGGCTGATCATGACGTGCCCACAACCTCTTACTCCGCAAGAGAACCTGGCGACATCAGCAGCTATTCTAGAGAGATTTGCTGGACCCGGATCGTGTATAGCGAGGGCCTGCCGCTTATCTGCTTATTTCTTCTTTTTCTGAATATCTTATCTGGATTTTATGGCGTTTCCTTTCTGCGGTCTATGTTATCCTCAACCTTGCCACGTCCCTAAGGTTGAAACACATCACATATTATCTGATTTTTCTTCTATTACTATCCGATTATCTTCTCTTCTCCCATCCTCTTTTCAAGTGGTGTCTATTTTGATCCTTTTTTGTCCCTTTTATTGGACCCGCTCTCACCCCTTACCTTCTTCTGTGCCTGTATATGGTACACCCGGCAGCTGGATAATGTATTTACTTAGTCCTCCTAACTTTCCTCACAAGCAAATCTGCAATCTATCCTTCGAAAGCATGTTCATACGAATTATTTGAATATTATTGTGCAATATCTCAATTCGCTCATAGTAGGCAGTAGAGTGTACAGTAGGGACGAAAAGAGACACACTTAGCGAAGAGTCTCCGGGTTATTGTTTGCCTTGCTTTGGCAGTGATCTTAGCAGCTACAACACAATCTGTCAACACAATCGCCTTCAATCTCCACCACCACAATGTCTATTGAAGACGCTAACTTGGGCGACTTTGAACAATGGAATTGATCTCGAACTCTGGTACAAGTACGAACACGAGAGAGAATCCAGGTCTTCCCTATCTCATTCGCCTCCGTGAAGTTCTCAATGAGAGATACCTAACCCAGCATAAGCTGGGCTTCTGAGCTGGATCAACCGTCTAGATGGCACATGACCTTCATAAGAAGGATGTCGCCTCGAAGGTCATGTCCCCGGGGGTGAGGACACAACGGATTCATTCACAACTTCCGATATACCGCTCGAATTGTGACTTATTTGATGACTTCCTACCTCTTGGGATCAGCATCAACATAGGGTTCTAAAAAAACTGACTTCCACAGTTGTTGCAATCTTCTTCTATTGATTTAGTCTAATGAAGACATCGCAGACTTGAATGAGCAACTATATGGGGGATTTCTTTCATCATTCTAATGGAAGGGCCAAATATGAAACATCTGGGTGGCCAGTGAGAGAAGTTAGACGATTCGTCAATATCTGGAAGTATAGCTTGTTCGGCCCGCTGAGACCCCTGAGACTTCTACCTCGGCGATTGCGGTCAAAGAAACTTGACGATCCTATGATTTAACTTGGTCATCCGCCTGATCAATTCAAAAGAAAGAACATCAGCAGACCAGCCTCTTTATGGCCACTCATTCCAAGCAATTATGCAAACAAAGAATGGTTGTTGATGTGCCAATTCACAGCTCAGCTCTTTCTACTCTATATTGTTGAGTATACCTATACCGCCTTTCTTACCGCCATTTAAATCCGGTCAAAAAAGCACCAAGCATTTCTCCGCCAGCTCCCGCGGCACATTTCGCATTTCTCTTTATCTTTAATTGAGACGTTCATTCCTTACATCTTTTTTCCTTATTGTTTTAATTCTTTAACGTGGTTTTTAATCAGTGACAAGAAATGTCCAGCTTCTAGTGTTTTCACCTTCCTGGGAAGCCGCTCTTCTGCAGAGCACAGACAGGGGCAACTATAACCCACTAATTTCACCCTCCAACCGTGCGCATTCTCCTCTCGTGGACCCGACTTCTTCCAAAAACGCGTGAATTGCCCAAATCCCTGCTTGCTTCCGGCTTCCCTTTTCTAAGCCAACTTCCCCTGGCCTTGTTCCCAATTTCTCGTCCCGTGCTATCGGCTTCCTGCATCTTACACCCCGATCGTAACTACCAGGAGCCAATAGCCGCCATTTCGGCGGTTTTAGTATAACGGAAAATGGCGCCAAAGAAAGCTGTAGGCGGCAATGTTCCGACGCTCAATACTCCCCGCAATCAGTCACAGTCTTCAAAGAGACAGGATCAAGTGCAAGATTTCAAGTCTCTCCAGCTTGAGCAAGAGTTCAAGAGCAAGCACCTTGGTGTATTGGGTGTATTAGTATGGATATTGTGAGTAATATGATATCTATTGGAGCTTCACAGCATATGCGCTTGAGAACTCGAACCATGGAAGAATGATTAAAAGCAAATAGCTAATGCTGGGGTGCTTCCTGTGGTTTAGGTTTCTCCACCTCGCCGGTATCTACTTCTTTACCAAGGGCTTCCTTCTCACACGTATGGTTCTGGACAATAAGTCATCATGTGAACTACTTCCTTTCGACAGCTCGACTGCAATTGCGGGAAATAAAGACAAGGGTTGCTGGCATGATAAATCTTTCGACAAAGCTATTGTCATCATCATTGATGCGCTCCGATACGACTTTACCGTTCCATTTGTTCCTAAGGATGAAACCGAAGCCGCTCATCACTTCTACGACAATATCCCAGTTCTGTACGAAACTGCCGTCAAAAGTCCTGCCAATGCATTCTTGCTGCCATTCATTGCCGATCCTCCGACTACGACCCTACAACGATTAAAGGGCCTGACCACAGGTACTCTACCTACCTTCATTGATGCCGGCTCCAACTTCGCCGGAACAGCTATTGATGAGGATAACTTGGTTGCACAGCTGCACAGCGCTGGGAAGACTCTGGTTCAACTGGGTGATGATACCTGGCAATCATTGTTCCCTGGGTACTTTGATGAGAACCTTACTCACCCTTATGACTCGTTCAATGTCTGGGATTTGCATACTGTTGACAACGGTGTCAATGAGCACTTATTCCCTTTGCTTCAGTCTGAAAATCGCAACAAATGGGATGTCATTTTTGGCCATTACCTCGGTGTCGACCATGCTGGCCATCGGTATGGTCCTGATCATGCTGCCATGGCTGGAAAGCTACAGGAGATGGACCGAGTAATCCGCGATATCATTGCTGCCCTGGATGACAAGACCCTTCTTGTGGTCATGGGTGACCATGGGATGGATACAAAGGGTGATCATGGTGGCGAGTCAGATGACGAAGTCGAAGCTGCTTTGTGGATGTACTCTAAGCGTGGAATCTTCGGACGTATCAGTAAGGAGACTCTGCTTCCACCTAAGCATGCTCGCGAGCGTCCCGTTCCTCAGATTGACCTTGTTCCCACCTTGTCTCTGCTTCTTGGAATGCCAATCCCATTTAATAATTTGGGATCTCCAATCGAAGAAGCATTCGCTGGACCTAAGGGTAATGACTGGGTCAACTTGGCCACAGTCAATCAATTGACTGCTGCGCAAATCAAAAGATATCAGCATGAGTATGCGACCGCTCGGGGTGCAGGAGATGACGAAGAGTCGTTTAATCTTTGGTCCGCTGCTGAGGAAGAATGGAAGTCTGCGTCAAAGGGCTTCACCTCCAAGTCAACTGCCGTCCGCGCTTCCTATGATCTTTACCGCAAGTATCAGCGACACACGCTGGATATCTGCCGTGGACTCTGGGCTCGATTTGATGTTGCCAGCATGGTTCAAGGTGTGCTGCTGCTCTTCGGTGGTATCATATTCATCGTGCTGTACGCTCGGAGCATGAGGGCGGATCGCACTGAATTCACCGGCCGACTTCTGTCACTTGCTGCCGTTGGATCTGGCTTGGGTGCTGCTGCTGGTACCAGTTTGGCTCTGTTTGGACTCGTGGATATGACTATCATTGACTCTGCTGTTCTGTTGGCCGCTGGTGGAAGCATGCTTGGTGGATTATCTGCTCTGGTTGGAAAGTCAGCACAGTTGACTCTGCCTCTGCCTTCTGGTCTGTGGGGGTGGCTTGCCTTCTTCTTTACTGTTTCTCAGTCTCTCGGTTTCGCGTCAAACTCCTACACTATCTGGGAGGATGAGATTCTGCTTTTCTTCCTCACGACCTTTGGCGTGTGCGCTGGTATCTCGTCTATGCGCCAGAAGTTAAACACCGACCGTATCCTTGGAGTGTATCACTCTGTTCTCTTCGTCATTCTAGGTCGCGTAGCGTCAATTTCTCGTCTTTGCCGTGAGGAGCAGATGCCCTTCTGCCGCTCAACATACTATGCCTCCTCGACTTCCTCCATCTCTGCACCTTGGCAATTGGCTATTCCATTTGTGGTCATGCTCTTTCTTCCAAGCGTCGTGCGGTCCTTCTATGTGGGCTCTAAGTCTTACGAAGATAATGCGACTCTGTGGATTGGATTTGCTTTCCGTCTGGGTCTGCTGATCACTTCGGTATTCTGGGTACTGGAAGGTGCTGACGACGGCGGATGGCTGCCTCTCAGCAAAGAAACACTCAAGACTGGCCGAGTATTCCTGGCCCAAGTTGTCCTTTCTCTCGCGTTCGTGGCAGGTACCTCAGCATTCATCTACTCAAAACCTTGTGTCAGCATCAGCGTAAGCAAGCCACAAGATGACCCGAATGCTCCCCCAGCTCCTATCATTGCTGGTCAGGAACAGAAGCCCCGAACCACCGTGACTATTCTCGGATTTGGAAATGTCTACGGTACACGTTTCTTCTTCCTGGTTATTAACTTCGCTCTCGCCATTATCCTAATGTCCAAGCCCATGGGACAGGGGGCTATCGCCCTTCTGCTCTGGCAAATTCTTTCTCTCCTTGAAATTCTCGACACAAATGCCCTCACTCTCACTAATTCCGCCATCGGTCCCGTCATTCTCGGCGTCCTGGGATCCTTCTACTTTTTCAAAACCGGCCACCAAGCCACACTCAGCAGCATCCAGTGGGAATCCGCATTCATTCCTCTTTCCACAATCCAATACCCCTGGTCTCCCCTGCTCGTAATCCTCAATACCTTCGGCGCCCAGATTCTCGCCGCTCTCGCCGTCCCCCTTACAGTTCTCTGGAAACGACCTCTCCAAACACACGACCGTGTCTCCACCTCACCATCTAGTACTAAGCCTGCGAACCCAGCTACAAAGCTGCTCTCTGATGTCATCCAGGCCGCCAGTACTCACATCCTTTACTTAGCGACTATCAATCTGGCCACTACCATGTGGGCCGGTCATCTACGCCGCCACCTAATGCTTTACCGCATTTTCTGCCCCCGTTTCATGATGGGCGCTATTGTGCTAGGTGTGATCGACGTGATCCTTGTACTCTTTGCTGTACCTGGAATCCGTTTTAGCACTGTTAGCGTTGGTGATGTGTTTGGCTGGTAATGCAAATGCGAGTCACTTGTATACGGAGCATGTTATGAGTACATACTGAAGAGGGAAGCGCTCAAGTTGGGGTGATCAAGTGATTCAGCTGGAGATTCCCTGGGAGAATTCAAGCTTCCATACAAGTATACTGGAGCACAACGCTTGGTAAAATGAGGTTCAAAATGTAAATAGAAATCATTCGGCCAGATAATTTTGTTTCAAAAATACAATGCACACTCAATGTTGCCTACCTACCTAGTCAGTGCCATTTAGAAACAAACCTCACGTATGCTCAGCCGTAATCAGCCTGGCTTACCCAAGCTCTGCTTTACATGGATGCACCGACTTCAAATTTCCAATTTATAGGAAGTAAGTGACGTTCATTACCTTTCATTTTGCTCTATAACTACCTAGGTAACCATCTTAGCACCAAGGAGCCATGTTTGTTTATCACACAATAGAAATGGACTGATGGTGCGGGTAAATACAGTCTTCCTTCTTGTCTCTGAAAGGAAAGCAAGCCAAGTTATATTGCAACATCTCTCACTGCCAATGGCAACAAATATCTTCACATTATGTTGCAATAGTCCGTTTTGCTCTTTTCACGACTCCCCCCAACAAGATACCACCTTGAAGTGTTCATGCGAGTCATCAATTGTCGATATCTTTGTTTTTTCTAGAAAGAATGAATTACAACGGAACAGTTCCTCCTCCAAAGGCTGAGTTTGAATTGATTGTGTCTCAAAACGTAATCGAGCATACAATAACTCATGACTTTCCAATCCCTCTGGTCCCCCAATTGAATGATGTACACTCCACCGCTTATCCTCAGGACTGAGTCCAGACCCTAAGTCAAGCCATCGGGTAGAAACAAGAGAGATACAGCTTTTATCTTGTGAAGCACATACCTCTAGTTTCCAGGTAATACCACATCTGCTGCAGGTTTGCCAGTGGGTTGGAGTGGTATCAGGATTCGAGCAGAATTGATCGATAAGAGAAGTGATCTTGTTCGTAGAATAAAAACCCCGGTGCGTTTCTATTGAGTATTCATATTCAAATTGGTGATGAGACTTCAATATGTCGACACACTACCATAGTACAGACGTCATACCAAGGAGTTGGAAAGATACGTCGTATGTTCTCTTTGCTAGTTTGTGCAATTTCTTGTATTCGCACACAGAGGGTTGGTCCAGGCGTCATGGGGCACACTCTCCCTTCAAAAGAAATCAACGAGGTCATGAAATTCTTGTGCAGCTTTGCTGCAGAAATATTGGAGGTGCATCGGAGACTATTGTCGAGGAGCCAGGTGGATACCTCTCTGTAGCAGAGCTGTTCAGTGTCAATTCCAAATCCCGGTCCGTAGTAGAATCGTCTCATGGCGAGTTGCAGATGAACGAAATGGAAATTCAAGTCCGTATAGCATGGGAATAGGCTGCAGAATACGGGCAGACGCTCCGGTAGGCCTTTTGAACACTTAGGTAAGGACATGGTTGGACTGGGTAGACGGACGTTGCGCCAGGAATGTAGTCGGGAACATTCAAAACAGAAATAGTATTTCTCCCAATCCCGTGAAACCCTGTTCAGGAACTTCGTTCGCATATTACGAGAATTCTTTATATTCGTAGTTGCAAATTTGAGGGCGATCAGTAGATGGCGGGTACATAACGCTAAGCACAGAGTATCAACGGGAGACAGTAAGTCCTTGATCATGAAGATGAGCTCAAGCGGAAGGAATAAAAGACTCGGAGGGGATGGAGTTTGAGCGGTTGTCATTCTGCGAGTCATATGTTTTGAGGCTTTGAGGACGGTGTCGCCGTTTCTAACGTTCCAAGATTTTGCACAAGTCCCGGTAGGCATAGGTAAAGAGATTCAGGTTGGTCAAGAGGTAGCTTTCAAGGCTGTGAAGAAGAAAGCGCGCTTTTACAGGTATAGTCAAGCTCTAGGGGTCACTGACAGATAGAAACTGATGAATGAGGGATAAAGAATCCATTAGTGGTAGCCAGGGAGTTTGGTTGAGATAGCTGCAAGATTATGGGTGTATGAAGCTATCTAGAACGGGCGTTGCTTAAGTGGGCGACGGCTCAGATACACGAATCATCACCTTCCAAGGTTGGAGCATTTGAATTAAATCATGATATTACTACACCATCATGATGCCAGCACCCCTGTTTTTCTATTTCTTTTCTTTCTCTTCTCTACTACCTACCCTATGACTTCCAGATGTTTATAGCAGGATGCTCGGAATGGTTAGAAAAGAATAGTCGGTTTACAGTCAAATGGAGCCAAGAATTTGAAAAATCTGGTATTGCTATCTCATATTCAGGATTCCGAATGCTTTCTTCGCCGAGTGTAAAGGCAAAGAACAGAGCGAAAGGAACATTGGTTTAAGCAATTCAAGTTCTCAGAAGAAAATAGCAGAGCAAAATATCCATTGCACCATAACCATAAGGATAAATCAAAGACAAAACTTTTGAGGGCAATAGGGGTATTCACAAATGCTGCCGGCTGCATTACAAGAAGCAAATTGATGTACATGAAATCGTGGCGTCAGTGTCGTTTAAGCAGATTTGTCGTTTCTTTTTATCGGGTTGAGAGTTGGGTCGGTAGTGACAGGTGATAAAGTGGAAGGGGAAAGTGGGGAGGGGGCAGGACGAGGGGTAGGTGGAAATAATGGCTTTTTTTTTGAATCATTGAGATATGTTCGTCAGGAGGTCGATTAGCGGCCCCAGCGAGAGAAATCCAAGTTCTGGAGAATGTTGCCCCCAGAAGCGGCGTCCCATTCTGAAGCAAAGTCCGTTCGAGCAGGTGCTGCACGAGTAGGTAGTTCTTCAGAGAAGATGTTGGGCTTTGTGTTGCGACGTTGACCTGGATAGGCACCTTCTGCGGCTTCAGAGCTTTGCGTTTGTTGTTGGTTTAAGGCACGCTCGCGGACTTTCTTGATCTCACGGAGACGAGTGCGCCATGAAGAGGCATGTTCACCACCCTTGTTATTCCATACAAGGGAGAAAGCAGACGCACTGAGAGACAGAATGCGAACGAAAGAAGCAAGATTTTTACCAGAGATGACCTTTGGGGTAGCGGCAGCCGAGACGTCAGGGAAACCGGGCTTGCTCATAACCCTCACACTGTAGTAGAGCTTATCTGGATCTGCACTGCCCTTGACAGCGCCATTCTCATCATAAGCAATGCGACTGGAAGGGGTGATGACAATATTGATTGAGTTGAACTCGGAGGGAATGGTGTCGAAATTGAAGGGTAGATTGCTCCGGTTAAACACAATGGTGACATGGTTGTTGCCAATATTGCGCTTCTTGTTGATACAGGCAGGGTCGTGTTCAAGGTTCGTAGGCATCATGGTTGCAACGTGGTACACTATCTCGGTGACACGGTCTCGCCAGGCATAGGTAACCTCGCCGTCAGTATCGGCATAGAGACCCTGGGTATTGAACTGGGCATTCCGAAGTGAGACTTTAGTTCCCAAACCCGACAAGAAATGCTCGTAGTCCGGAGAGCCACCAGTGTTGGCAAGAATCTCGGCCTCCTTGGTTTGACCATAATCCAGGTAGACAACTCCAATCCTATGCCCATCGACGATATCAGTTCGATCAAAGCTAGCGATTGCACGTCGGGTGATATCATCCTCAGGGACTGGAATTGGTTGCATCATCCCGGGAGTAGGGAATGCTGTAGTGGTCATCTGAAGCATGATGTGACTGGGAAGGACGGCTGTCCGCATGTCATCAGAGTGGATATGGGCATCTGGCGTAGGGGGAACTTGGTGTGGTAAAACAGGTGCAGTTCGTTGTTGATACACAATGTACGTTGTGCCCGATGCCTGGCGCTTGGAGACCTGGGTAAGGCCAGACACACCGGCGGTCTCAACAGTCACAATGCTTAGGCCTACAACCCAAGATTTCTTTGATACTGGGCCATCTTCAGGAGTAGGGGGAAATTTTTCAAATGGGACTGTTTCGCCCAAATCCGAGAAGGCAACGCGTTGCATCAAATCAACGAAGACTTGGCTTTGTTCCTCGACGACTTCTTTCCCTTGCTCATCACGGAAGATTAGTCGGCTGGTGATCCAGTTGACATGTTTCGCCCGGTCTTGCAGCTTGAGAGACAGGTACCAGAATATCATGACATGATAAGTCAGCGTCATGATATAGTTTGACATGGCGTCAGCCGAGGTATTTTCGGCCGCTTCTGCTGCACCAGTGGCAATCTCCCGTGCACCAGCACTGAGTCTTGACGGGGTTTGTTGAGGTCCACGTGCGGTAGGCGATTCAGCGCCCTTGTAGCGCTGTTCCCGAGATGTTTGCAAGAACCGAATACAGATCCCAAATACCGTACGAATCTCCTCTTCGCGCAAGTTGATGTAGACATCTGGTAGTCGCGCAAGAAGTGCCAGGAACTCCAAGATGTGGACAGCAAGATTCGACATAGTGATCACCTTGGACATCTTGTCTAGAATGCTCATCAGGGATTTTGTCACAGAGGCTGGGATTTCATGACAGCAAAGAGAAAGAGCTTGGATACATCCACGAGATGTCGCACCCCAGGAACCGATAATGCCAGTCATGAAAGCTCGCACGAGGTCGTCCTCTTCACTTTTGGCAAAATGCTCGTGATAGCTAATAAGCATGCACAGCGCATCGAAGATACAAGCAGCCACATCACTCTTCTTAAGGCCAGTAAGACCAGGAGGCTCATGGAAAGTCTCGTTCTTGACTTGGTCACATAGAATGCTGCGAAGAAGCTTGATTTGAGGAGTGGAGCTGTTGAAGAATTCTTTATTGCCGAGCTGAGGACCAAGGTGTGTAAGCACGTAACTGTAAACGTCCCAGTCGGTCTCACGCTGGAGAAGCAAGATAACCACTTCTAGCCACATGTTCACTTTGAGAACGCCAACTTGTGATGGAATTGTTTCACTGAGAGGGCTTTGTGCCTCCGCTTGGGCATGGGCGTAAACTAGTGGACTAGATTCCCCCGGCGGCTGCTCTGGAAGAACTTGTGGCAAAGCATAGGTCCAAACAGGAGGTGTTAATTTTGAGCCACCACGAGCAGAGATAGAGCCTCGGGGTCCACTTTTAGATAGAGATGATGGAGGTAAGTCTCTTCCAAGAAGCTTACTGCTTGGAAGAGGCGGAATATTCTCATGTTGGGGTTCCCTGCTAGGGCTATCGCTTGGAGCTCGCATCTTGACGCCCACATCCACATTTCGACCCAATACATTCATCAAAAAATCCCCTTCGGAGGTTGAGACTACTGATACAGAACCAGCGGAATCACATCGGAGTCGGAAGAGCAACTTCAAGACGCTTAGACGAGCATCGGTAGGACGATCTGGAGACTGCGCGATCTGCAGAAGAGCTTCGTAGATGATGACAGACTTTGTAGCAGAGGAATTCAAAGCGCGAAGCATCATCTTTACCAGACCCACAGCGCAAACATTCGCCAAAGTTAATTCCACAACACTTGTGGTAGATGTGCGACGTGGCGAAGACGCAGTTCTTGGCGATAACTCCCGAGGCTCGTCTTTGATGAAATCATGTTTCATAGGTGCGCTCATAGTATCCACTAAGCGCTTGAATGTATCATCGTTGCTGATATGGATGGCGGGCTCAGTGAGAAAAGAGATTAATGACTCTAGGAAAAGTAGGTCGTGTTCAGCAGGGAAGTCTTGCAGTAGAAGATCCAACAGGCCGTATTCTTCAGAGAAGATAAGGTGCTCGTTTCCAGTGAGGGATTCCTTCAGGGTGTCTAAGGCCAGAATTCGAATATCGGAAGACTGCTTTCGAGGTTGAATGAAGCGTTCAATCAGCTCACGGCTACGCTGCACCCAGGCATCACCTTCACCCGGATGACAGTATTCATCCTGTCTCATCATGTTGATAATCAGCTCGGACTGAGAAGGCTCGATGTGTTTGTGGCATCTTGCCAAGAAGCGAACGGTCTGCTGTCTTTGTTCTTTGTTCAGCTGCTCCCAGAGCGACCCAAGAACCGACGCAATCCGAATCATGTCTGCCAGGATGCTTGACTTGGTATCATCATGAGTTCCTTTCTGAGAAGACTGCTGAGGGCTTGTTGGTGAAGTGATTGAATCTTCATTCTCGTAGAACACTCTTCTAGAACAGAGAACTAGGAGGCTGATAAATGCTGTCCAGTCGCAGCCCAAAGCAACGCTAACATAGTCTCCTTCCAGAATATTCAAGCATAGATCAAGAACATCCGCATCAACGCGACCGTCATCTTTCTGCGCAACGATGGCGAGTGAGGTGATCAGCGGCTCGAAAGGAATCTGAGGCATGCCACCTTGGCCATACGCCCGAACAAGGTCCGAGATAACGTAAAGGCTGCCACGAACAATGTTGAGGTTACGCGAAGAATCCGCATCACAGCTTTCTCTCATGAAGTCATGAAGAGCGCTTATCATCTCATCGTGTCTTCTAGATTTAGCTAGGCTGCGGACTGCACGAGACGTAGGCCCAGAAAGAGACTTGACAGAAGCATGGATGCTGCAGAGAACTTCCAGAAGAGGAATGAAGCTATTATCTGGGACGTCGGCGTACAGGATGACAGCATCGAATACGGAGAGCGAATTCTTGATATCGTTGGCGACGCTAGTTCTCCTACAGATGGCGAAAGTCTCTGCGAGAAGTAGCTCAATCTCCTCTTGGGTCGGAGGTTTCCGCTGGAGAGTAACTAAATCCACAGCGAACTGGAACAGATCCTCGAGAGCCGCTTCCTCAACAGTAAGTCCACTTGTTTTGGGTGACTTGACCTTCTTCGCCTTGGAACGTGACGTGGCGATGACTCCGTACAGCGGAACAATCCAGGAAGAGATGATATGGAGAATAGAAGTGGTGGTGAAATCCAATTTCCGGCCATGATCCGACAAAGATATCAAGGACTGCACGCGCGGGGCAACGACTTCAGCTTCGGTTGGGGCAGCGATTGATTCGAATATTGAGCGTCGGGCCGATGAAGTTAGGTCTTGACGAGCTGCGATTGCTTCCAACACTTTGGCGCCGCTTTTTTGGGCATCAGGGGATGACTCATGGTGTAAAAGGTACTCGGTTGCCTCCCACAACACCATGGACTGCTCCGGAGTAAACCACAGCAGTGTTTTCCCTAAAAGCTCCGCTTCCTCAATAGCCTGGTTCAGATTCTGTTTCTGTGACAAATTGCGCAACGAAGATTCGAAGTCCGGGCCACTCGGCCCATCCGAGGAACTGGACACAACGCTGCCACGATGCATGGATTCGAGGCCCAGCCTGTAATGGGAGGAGTCGGTGTTGTTTTCAGGGATCAAAACTGGGGAATGCGATTTGGGGCGTCCAACAGCTAGAGTCTTGAAGACATCTGCAAAACTGGTGGAAGAAGGTTTGTGTTGGGGGACTGAGGGAGCATTGTCTGAAGACATCCGCCTTGTGACGGGGAAAGGTGTCCAAATTCACAGTGAGTGAGTGTGCCTGTTCGCCGCGGGCAACCGTGTCAGCTTATCTTGTCGCATGACATACATTGATTTAGGAGAGATCAACCGCCCATAAACGCATCACCCGGATTAGGTAAAATCAAAGAACGTACCTATATCAGACTCAGTATCAAAGGAGCTATATACCACAAGGGCAGCTCTCAAAGGAATGCACTGTACATTCAGGAACAGGGATGACGCAAAACGTGTCCTTGCAAAAGTACGACTCGAGTTGATGTTCAAGCGGGATCGTGGCGGCGTAAAGTGCAAGGAATTGAGCTGATATATTGAATCCCACGAGGGTAATATAAGCAAGAACAAAATACCCTACAGGTAGTCACAGACAACGATGGGCAAAATTGGGGCAACAGCTCAGGATATGTAAAAGATTGTCATTGGGATCACGGGGAATGAGGTTATTCCAGCCTAAGTCACCTGATAGGTAATTAACTAAGAGGCTTTACCGCCTAATATTAGAGGCAGAAAACTTAGAGGTGGGGGGCGGTCAATAGCTCTAAAGCACTGACGCCCTATAAGTTCCATGGTTATACTACCTCAATAAGGTTGTCTTGATGGTTAAAAAGTTCACCTAGGCGTATTTGAGGTTCTATGACTGGTTAAATAGGTCATCAGGGTAGTGTGGCAAATTTTTCATTCTTAAAAAGTGGGTTTTGTAGAGCACAATGACGATCTTTAATCATTTGGTGACAGACGAATTTTCTCATCGGCGGGGAAGGGTAAATCACCAAGAAATAACTTGACCCTTGGAAACCTTGGAAGTCAGCATCTAAAATACTGTACTTGAAACAATAGCCCTGGAGGTTCCTAATCTATGAATCATTCAACTTGAAGTTGATCAACCCATCTACTAGTACCAACATGTCCAACATGGGAGGATACTGCAATGACTCGGAACTCAGCCTACGTATTAAAGGAGGGTATGTAATATCTATAGCTTTTATGGAGTACTTGCTATAGCATTTACAAGGAATTGGAAGAATTGAAAACAATCCAAGGTCGTCATACCGATTAGTGATCCAGCTAACTATATAACCCCTTAAATTATACAAGAAATTGAGACAAAAAGGAATTTTCAAACATCGCTTGAAACATCAAAATGAGAAGAAAAAGAAAAGGACAAAATATTCAAAGAACGAATTTACAGCTCCTCCTCAATTTGGGCGGCAGACTGAGTGAGATCAATTTCCCAAGAAACGGTCTCCAAGTCAAGAATGTCATCCTTGGAAGAAGCCTTGCCAGAGCCGAAGCTCTTCAGGTTCCACTTCTCGACACCCTCAACACCCTTCAGGTCGTCAGCGTACGCAAGGAAGAGATCAGCGTTGAGAGTCTCGTATTCACTGTACTCCTTAGGCCAGTCACCCAGACGCTGGAGAGACAGCTTGAGCAGCTGGAGGTGCTGACGGACGTGCTCCCCTTCAGAGATAGCGGAACCGTTAGGAGACTCCTCGATGTTCAGATCATAGGCAGAGCCATCCATGCTGAAGCTGGAGTCGAGGCCACCCTCCAACTCGGCGAAAGCGGGGTCAACGAAGACACGGAGAAGGTTCTCGTGCACGGAAGCGCTCTTCTTGAAGTACTTGTTGCCCAGATGCTGGCCACCCTTCTGTCCCTGGTAGCGCTGGGCAATACCAGTGTACAGCTGGGTCAGCAGAGCAGACATCTCCAGAGTGCTGGAGTGGCTGGCACCGTTGACACGGCGGCAGTTGTACAGGATATCCTCGGCAAGACGAGCAGCCTTAAGGTGATCATCGACAAGGTAGCGGGCGATGATGTAGCGACGGGCAAGGCCAAGGGTGACATGCGCGGGCCAAGTGACCTGCTTATTGCGGCTGTTCCACAGGCTGGCAAGGAGCCAGACAAGGGTCTTGTAATCCTTCTGTCCACTGAGGAGGGCAATCAAGATGTTCAAGTAGGACAGGCTGATCTGGGAGAGATCGATCTTGAGATCGCTGATGACTTGAAGGACAACCTTGATGATGTCGCCAGACACCTTGAGGAGGTTCTTCTGGATGGCAGCATCGGGCTGTTGGGTGGTAGTGCGACCGGAGATGGAGATACCCAGAGTGAAAACGAACTTGACGATCGCAGGAGTACGGAATTCACCGTGGGCAGAGATATACAGGAAGGCAGCACGAGCAAGGTTGGCAGCTTCCTCGTAACGCTGCTCCTCGAGGTACTTCAGCACGTTGAGGTTAGCAGCAATACCAACAGAGCGAACCAAGTTAGAGGACTGGTGAGTGGTGAAATGCTCCAGGATGACAGTAAGGAAGACCTTCACTTGAGCAGCGTCGGTGACCTTGGTACGCTTGCCCTCAGTGGCCACAAAGTAAGCAGCGAACTCATCGAAGACACGAGTGGCGGCAGCCTGTTGGTTGGCACTGCGCAGGAAGTAGTACAGACGAGAAGCGGACAGGGTGGCACTGTGGAAAGAAGCGGTCTTGCTGGAGGTGTAGCTGCGGAACTCCTGGAAGTAGACGTACTGAGTGGTTAGAGAAGCAAGGATCTCGGTGACACTGGTAGTCTGCTGGCGGAGGCTGTGCTCAAGCTGAGCAAGGAAGACGAGGCTCTGGCGACCCTTAGAGGTCAGGTCGAACTGGGAGGTCTTGGTGTTGGTAGTGTCCTTCATGACAACCTGGCGGTAGAGCTCCTCAGACATCTCGGTTGCCTTGTGAACCTGGCTGGTGGCGATGTAGCTGCTCGCAATGGCAATGGCAGCTGACACCAGTTGAGTAGAAGAGGACTCCTGCTGAAGAATGTTCACAGTAGACTCCTTGAGCTCCTTGGTAACAGACTCAGAGGAGCTGTGCTTGTGGAGGAAGGAAACGACCTCCTCCATCTTGATCAGAGAGTCCTTGTGGGCCCAACCGTGAGTTTCACGGGTGGTGGTGATTCGCTTGCGCAGAACGCGGGAGGCAGTCTCAATTTGCTGCTTGGAGACAGATTCGGACTTGGTAGCGATGGTTGTCTGCTCTTCGTAGATTCCATCCAAAGTGGCAGAGATCTCATCAAGATCGATCTCCTTGGATCCAATCTTAAGCAGCTCCTCGTAAAGGGTCACAGCCTCACTCTCGTAGCGCTTAGACTCCTGGCAGACCTTGGCAAGGGTAAGAGTGGCCTGGATAGTAATCGAGGCAGTAGCGGTAAACACAGCCTTGACCTTCGCCTGGTAGTCCACGGTGATCTTGTGGATGTCAGTGTACTTAGTGTGAATGGAGCGCAAACAGTGAGTGTAACGAGTGAAGATCTCCTGGATGAAGGAGGTGTTCTCGAAGCGAGGCTGCTTGGGCTGGTTCAGGAAAGTAGTGAACAGCAGAGTGAAGTATGGCACAGCGTCGGAGTAGCGGCTCTGGTTCCAAAGCTCAGTAGCAACAAGAATCAAAGGCTCCAAAGCTTGAGGCTTGCAGGTAGGGGAGCCCTTGTTCAGAGCCTGGATAATACGCTGGTAGTATTCTACGAAGATAGGACGAGGGCGAGTGAGCTCAGCCAGGGTCCAAAGAGCCTTGATAACAATGTCGTGCTCAGGACCATAGTGCTTGATGTAGTGCTCCAGCACCTCCTGGCGGGTAGAGATGACATTGTCAGGCTGGGAAGAGCGCTCAAAGTATCGGACTAGGGCCTCGGTAACACGCTCGCGCACCTTGTCATCGACAGGGCGAACGGCGCTGACAGAGCGGTAGACGCGAATGCGAATGTTCTCCTCACGAGGGAAACGACGACGGTAGTGGTAGCATTGGCCGAGGCGCTCAGCAAGCTCAATAGCCTGGTCGGCGTTTTGGGCGGGCAGAACAACATCCTCAATGGAGGGAGCAAATAGAGTAGGCCAGAGACCTTGGAGCGCCTTCTTGATAACACGGGTGGCATCCTTCCAGCGGTGCTCAGTAGTGTACTGCTGGATCAAGACGCTAGTGACAGTGAACAACTCCTTGTCAATCTTGTTGGAGGAGAAGGCCTCAGTAATAATCTCCTCGGTAGTAGTAGTCTCAGAAGAGGAGGACGAAGAGCTGACAGACTTCATCACCTGCTCAGAAGTGCTGGTGATACGCTTCTGAATCTCCTCGAAGTGAGAAGACTTGGTCTGGCTGGTGCTCTGGTAGTACTGAGACACCTGTTTGTAGATTGCGAGAGCCGCAGCAGACAAGCCCACGGTGGCCATGACAGTGGCAATCTCCTGGAAGTGCTTGGAGGACTGCTCAGTAAGAGCCAGGCTGGTGTGGCGGTGCTCCTCCCAAACACTGGAAAGGATGGAAGATGCCTCAGTCTCGCGCTTCTCCTGCTTGAGGAACTTGGAGTAAGCAACAACAGCCTTCAGCTTGATCTCCTCCCAGAAAGAGGTGGACTGGACACGGCTCTCCTTGTTGGAGCGCTGCCAGATCTCAACGTAAATTCTCTCAGCCTCGGAGATCTTGCCCTCAGCACGGTACTTCTCAGCCTGCTGAATGAGAGCCTCGTAGTTGAAGCTCTCATCAATGAACTCGTCCTCCTCGGCGTCGAGGATGAAGCGGATACCACCTTCGCTCTCCTGGCGCTTGTGACCCTTCAGGTGAACGTGAAGGTCACCACGAGAGTCATCGCCACCGTCGTAGGTGGTGGTGATGGTGAGAAGAGTGGCAGTGATTTCCTGGATCTTCTTCTCCTCCTTGGTCAGGCGATAGTGCTCAATCAGAGTCTTCAGAGTGGTAACAACCTGCTCGGAGGTTTTGCCGTAGTGAGTCTTGTAGCATTCCACGATAAGGAGAAGAATCTCCTCGCGCTTGATCATGATATCAGTGCGAGAGGTGGTGGTCTGCTCAGAAGTCAACTCCAGGAAAAGGCTGGCGATCTTCATGGTGACAATGTGCTGGGTGGTAAGCAAAGTGCGGCTCAGGATGGTAATCTCGAAGAAGAAAGGAATAGATTCAGAGACCAAGCTGATGTCACGATGGAAGAAAGCCAGGGAGATGATGGACTGCAGGGTAACCACACTCTTGGTAGTCAGGATAGTGCGGCACAAGTTGGTAACCGTAGTCTGGTAAGTGAACAGAGTAGGGGTGACAACAGTCTGCCACAAGGTGTTCTGAAGCAACAGAAGAGTAATAGTCGCGGGGAACACCTTGCCAAACTCCTTCGCAGTGGAAGCCTCACCACCAGTGGTGTAGACAGTAGTCTGCGTCAAGTGACGTGGCCAGTAGCGGACAGCGAAGTCGAGCAGTGGGTTCTTCAGCACAAACATGGAGGTGTCATGGTAAGTAAGGGTCACAAGGGAAGGCTCGTGCTGTTCAGGCAGAACACTCTTGATGTAAACGAACAGGCGGGTGACAAAGTCCGAGTGGCGATCCTTGATAGTAGGGAGCAGCTTGCCCTTGGAGTGAATATCCAACACGGAGGAGCGGATCAAGCCATGACGCAGGTACACCAAGCCATCCTGGATAAAGACCAGCTCGGCCACGGGGCGCAGAATGTCCCGGATCTTGACAACACGGTCTGTGACAGTGTGCTTGGTAACATCAATGGAGAAGAGAGTGGTAAGCTCCTTCAATGTGAAGGGGCGATCGGCGGTGGCAAGCCACAGCAAAACGAGGCGGCTGTCATCGCTAATGTCGGTGGATTGCACAGCATGGAGGACAAATTCAGTGACGGTAGACTTGTTGTTGAAAACATCCTCGACGGCCTTGTGCATACCCTCCGGTGTTTTCTCGCGGCGAACACGCTTAGAGGCAAGCTTGGCCCACAGGAAGGAACCGTGGGAACCCTCAGTGATCTGGTCAATGATAGTCTCCTGTTCCAGCTCGGGCAGAGATCCGAAGGTCTCGTGCTCCTCAAAGCTGGAGCGAACGACAATAGAGACATCATCGGCAATTCTGTCCTCGGTGATAGGAACATGCATAACACCCTCCGCACCCTTGGGCTTCTCAGCACCAAGAGTGATCAACTTGACGTTGGTACCATGGGCAGTAGCAGTGAGCAGCTTCTGCAGAAGAGGGGCCTCTCCACCAGTAGCCTCGTCAACACCATCGACAACAATGACAAGCTCCTTGGCATTGCGGAGAGCAGCAGCCAAGGCACGCTCGAGAGCAGTCCAGAGAATACCCTGGTACTCAGACTCGACGGTGATCTTCTTGCTTTGCTCGTAAGCCTCGCCAAGGATGTTGAGAAGCTGGACGTTTCCAATACGCTTCTCAAAGAGCTGGTAGAGAATAGTCTTCGCAATGGCAATAGGAGTAGTCTCAGCAGGAACACGGGCATTGATGGGGACGTAGAGGGTCTTGTAAGACACACCACCAATGGAATCCTGGAGTCGGTCGATAATAACGGAGGCAGTCACAGTCTTTCCGGAGCCAGGCTTACCGGTAATAGCAAGAGCACGGTTAGAGCTCTTCAGGAAGTGAGATAGGTAGGAAGAGACCCAGATACAGGTCATTTCCTCACGCTCATGGGCGAGGTGAGAAGTGTTCTCGGCCAAGTGAGCCAGAACGCGGTCCTCAGGAGCGAGCCAGGCGCGAACAGCCTTGACAACAGAGACACGACCAGCATCAATGTTCTGCTCAGCGAGCTGATGGCGCCACATAGCCTCAGCAATCTTGCTGCAGCGGTCCTTGAACGCAGTGATGGGACCGGCAAACTTCTCATAAATGTTGACAGAGACCGAGGCATTGCTATCCTTGTTAATAGCTTGGTGGAAGTGAGTAGACACGCTAGCAACAAGGGTCACTAGGTCAGCAAGAGCCATAATGAGCTGCTCCTTAATCTCGGCAGAGACCTTGAAGAGCTCAGTACGCTCCAGCAGGTTGACCAGGGCAGATGAGGTGCTGTAGAAGAATCCAAAGGAGATCATGAGAGCAGGAGCATTCTCCTTGCCGAGCTATAGCATTCAGAGTAATTAGCATTTTCATTAATTTTTTGACTGGTCCATATATTGAACTCACGTCAAGCAGCAAACCACAGTATCCGTAGGACAGCTGAGTTGCAAGCCAGCTGTCACCAACAAACTGGCTGATACCAGAGTCAAAGTGGTGCAAGCGGTCAATGAAGAGCTGCGCCCAGGCGAGGACCTTGTCATAGCTGCTTCCCTCGGGGGGAAGGTGGCTCATACGCTGAATGCGGATCCATTCCTTCAGTGACTCGTAGCTGACACCACTAAGCTTGGCCGAAGCGTGGGAACCAAGCTCGTTGTCGCTACGCTGGTAAAGCGACTGAACGAGGCTGGAAAGGTTGGAAGTTCCAGCGCCATTGACCTTGCGGGACTCCCGGCGCACGGAGCGGCCGTTTTGGGAGATATTGTCACTGTCAAAGTAGGCAGAGAAAGTAGAGACCTGACGAGAACCGGCAGGACGCTCGCTGTAAAATGAGGAGGATAAGTTACCCGGGATGGGAGAAATGGGGGAAGTAAGACCGGGAGCCATGGTGATCGTTATATGTTCACTTGAGGACTTAGATTGCGACTTCGAAGGAGGTTTTTGTACAGAGGACGGGAGGGAGGCTTTTTCGACGATTCGATTAGGGTTAGGAGGGAAAGATGACGTTTCTCGTGGCGGAGGATTATAATCTGGTATAACTTCCTTTGAGCAACAGCCCTTAAAGCAACAGAGTAAGCGACACAAACCGGCAATGTGTCTCGATGTAAAATGCTAAAGTTACAGAGAAAGCATTCGAGTTGATAGAGGGGAAAATAGAGAGCTGGATCTGGTTTCCGAAAGAAAGGGGATCTATTTGCTTTTTGTAGCAGCAGTAACCAGGGCGGCAACCATCGTCAAGCCCTACGCTTTTCCATTTGGGGAGAACTGGGTGGAGGTATGTACAGCAGCTTTCCAAATACGATTACGCCTTTTTCCAGGTGGCATCGTGCAGTGGGTACTATGAGCTTCAGCTTTGATGACCACTATCACGGTCACTACTCCGTAGATGTTCTCCACACCCAATTGACTAGTTCGAAGACCTGCAGAAGAACGGAGCATGCGTCCATAGTTTCGGTGCACCTTGGTACCGAGGATATGAGCCAAGAAAAGGAATTGATCCTCAAAGAACAAGTGTCCGCGGGCATTGTAAATTCTCATTAATACCACAGACTAAGCGTTGCAGCATGCATTGACTCGCAGCTACATACATGGTGGTGGTTCTGGGGGCGTCAATTATCCAATGGCAGTCAATTGCATCACAAGATACGAAGCCTTCATGTATAGTACGTGTATTGTAATGTTTCTGTTTGATTTTCATGTTTATTATTACTTCTTTTTTTGGTCTTTTTTTTCTTCGCTCATCTCCAGATATCCCGTGTGTGTCCCAAGAGAGTGGAGGAACGTGGATCAGCTCAATATAACCTGCAAGATGACGAAAAAATTGACGGATCATACCTCTCCACTGAGGCATCATTGTGCCCCATTATGTTTCCGCAGCGAAAAAGACGGCAAATTGGAATCCACCTAAACTCGGCCTCAAGGTTGGCAATCTGGCCAGGTCAAAAAAAGCAGTCTTCGGAGTCCCCGGCTAAGAGTGAGCAAAAAGACAGCCTAGCCATGTCTGGACTCGAACTATTTGCTTTTTTGGCTTGACTTGTGTCGTTTGGCGCCTGTCTGTGTACGCCATCCAAAGCAGAGCGACAGGTGGTGAACCGTGCACCGACAATGGCTGGCTGGATATCAAAACTATTCCTTTCTGTGTGCGGAGCCAATCCTGAGTGAGCCCCCTGTTTGATGGCTGGTAATACTCCAATCAACAAGACAAAGAAAAAAGTGGACATTCCTTCATTTCGGACGAACCGCCGATCGATTGGTATTGATCTAGCTGAGATCATGGTCCTTGCTGCCTTTTTTTTTTCTCGCTTGGGAGCGGGGTCCAAAGGTTGGGGCCTGCCATAACCCAGCCATCGCCGATCGAAGATGGGTCTTTTATGAACCATTCCTGATCACTGACGAAATGGGGGGGTCCACTTAGGTTCCGTCTCCCCCAAGGCCGTGCTCCCGATCTCCCGAAAGATTAACCTTGGGGCCCCTTGGCATTAGCTGATATCACAGGCTATTCTTTTTGGCAGGTTCTTGGGGGGTGTGAATAAGCTGAGCAGGTCACACTTGCAGCTCCCCCAAATCAAAGGAACCAATGCATTCTGGGCCAAGAGATAAAAATTGACGTGTTACACACCACCCCTTTGACCCCCTGTACTTTTGTTCCGGTCAACTCCGGTCCAAAAAAAAGGAGAGCTGGGCCCCGCCTCATCATGGGCCCTTCCCGTCTAATCGAGGTGCATTAGTATGATGGGGCTTGTGGAGGAGGGGGCTTGGGAGGAGGAATGTGAATAAAAGAACTGGTTCCCACGGGAGGCTAGCGGCTCCACCCGCGCTGCACAGAGAGATCCGCATCAGAATACTGAGCAATAACAGGCGATTCCGGGGTGTTATATGAATGGTGAGCTGAACATGGACCCGCTTATTCCCTCCAGGTGGTCCACTTCTCGATGGTTCTGCCGATACCAAACTTCCCCTCATCTTGGGACCGGGATCGGGTTCATGCGATAAAACCTTGGTAAATAAACATACGCCACCAGCTGTCACTCAAACAGTACATACTAAATACAGCACCTAGGCAGATTTGAGGAGGGCTCCGTAATTTGCATCTGATTCCCAAGGTTACTGCTACGGAGTATTCTTTTATTTTGATTTTTTTTTTCTCGTTTCACACTTTTTTCTTGAACTATTGTCGGTTTCCCCCCAAATTTCTCCCCGAGGTTTCCATATTTTATCCAATTGACCCCTAAAAGTGTTCTCTTTTTCTGTCTGATATCATCAAATAGCGCATAATAGCATAACACTGGCTCCATTCGTATATACATCGTCCATACTCTCTTACATAGTAATGGATCCATAGTTCATAATTTCAAGTTATAGCTACAGATTTGATGTAATAACTTTGTCCACTTTCCGCAGTTCAAAAAGTCAGACCCTTTTTCCCGTGATTCAGGACACATTCTTCGGGTCTTGTGGATCCTTGATACGGAGTAAGCCGTACATCGACTCCGTACGGAGCAAATGCAGATGCAGAATTGACGCCACTAAATTACAGACTTGGGTCCAAGATAGAATGATCATCCTAGATATGGTGGAATGGTACGGAATGTACATGTGGTCGGTGAGTGTTCCAAGCGCCATGATGATACTACATTATCCCCTCAGCCCCGTAATGCTCCATAGAGTGTGTCAAAACTTGACAGAATTTTCATCTACGCACGGGTATTACGGAGTATTTTCTCTTTTCATGATTTTGAGTTCTCGTCATTCCGAATCACGACATGCAGATGAGGTGTGGAGAGTATCCCGTAACAGGGGACCTCAAAAGCAACTTAACCTAATTTCAGAGAATCCAAGTGATACATAAAACCCTAATTTCGTATTTAATTGTGGATTGATTCAAAATTCCAAATAATAATTAATGCACAAAGAGTAATGTACTTCTGTTATTCTGTTAGCTCGGTAAGTATTTCCTCCTCAGACCCACGGTGGCTCAGCACGCGCGTACTACAGAGCAGCTGAGAGCCCATCAAAGACTTTCTGTGCAGTCTAGACTAGTGATCAGGTTACTTGCAGATGGCAAATAATATTAGGTTCATAAGCTGCATATCAATACTATCGCCACGGCGGGGAAATATGCACATGTGCAGGCTGTCAATATCTGGTCTTCATGGTCAGGATCTGCCTATCCAAACCGCGAATCTTGGTTGATGCAATGATTTTAATGACTATCTCGTATTCCATGAAAGCTTTATGTAATCTGATCATGCTTCGAGAGCGCTAATGAGCCCCCCTCGGTTCGTTCGTAGACATGCGCTAACATAATTCGGTGGTACTCCTTTCCGCACCTTGGTCCTTCAATGTTGATAATAGGGTCAAATTTCAGCCTACCCTGAAGAGCAAATCTGAAAGATTAGTGTAGTTTGATTATCTGTATACGCTCGAGTAGCTTAATTGAGAATCATGTACGGAGTACGTTCATCTTGTTCAACATACTCAGGCATACACCTATTAGTGGTCGTCAGTCATGTACTCCGAATCCCGTATATCCCGTATAGGAGATTCAATGCAGGGGAAGCTCTATCCCTGTATATTGGAGCCTCTGGAGCTTGACAGATCAGTGGATTCAAGCTCAAGCTGTCATCATGGATCATTACGCCTCGACGTCAGTGATGGAGCCCACGGTTAGCGGCAGACATGAACAGCCCTGAGAATTTTCAGATAAAAAGAATTCAGAAAAAAAATACAAAAATCCCCAATGTAGAATTAACATCATGTAGCTGCCAGTGGCTTCTCGGGTCTCCCATAGATCCACAGCCACCTTCGGGCCGTCACGGTACACTGATCTGGGGACTCAATCGGAGGTTGATCAATTGATGGATCCTGTTCCTGTGTGTAGGACAGAGGCTGCATTGGGGTATTCCAAATTCGGAAATCACAGTATATTGGAGATATCTGTCATATCGAACCTTTCACCGAACTTGAATATGTGCCAAAAGTAGTATCATATGCAAAAGACATCCATGGATGTTTTAGTATATCCCGACATCTCTCTGCAGTCTCTACTTGAGTACATCTGGGCTCAATGTGCCCATGGGGCAACAGGAATGCATCCAAAAGCCACCCGAGATGCTCGGTGGATCTTTCACCACGCGACTCATACGTACTCCATGCATAAGACATCTGGTGAAACGGAATGACCGAAGCTTGAATGGGTCTATTCCTCCTGGGTCACCCCTATGTAAGCCGTCTCCGCCATGGTCCACTTGTGGATTATGCAGTACTGGACCTCGATTGACACCTAGAGAGGCATTAGTCTTCTTACCTGCAGGGTGCTGGGTGGACCCTGCGGTAATACCGGGATGCTAGTTTTCTAATAATACTATTTTTTGCTCTTTTTTTTCTAAATAAAAAGGAGGTGGCCATGCAGCTGCGGCGTAATGGCTCCCAGACATTGAATGGACAATATGCAGCCACACTCGGGGGAAAGGACCCTCAAATGATCCATCAATTCTCCGAGTTGGCATTTTATTGGATCTTACGTGAAAGTATGCTACTCATGGCAGTACATGTACAGTTTATACAATACAGGGAGCCCTCTGTTGCTGTATGCTTATTTGGACCTCAGCCTGGGGAGAGTTTCCCGAGGCATCCAATCCATCATGCCTGAAACTTGCCTTAATGTCCACGGGTGCACAATGGATGTTACTGCGGGCTTAGTCAATACATCCATGGATATGCATCAATTGATGTTGTGGAACTCCAACTAGTACATACAGCCTAAGGTACCTAGCACTCCAGGCCCTACCCGTGGACATATGCACATGTATGTAGTAGATCAACTTCAAGTTGTGAACCTACTAGTTATTGATGATGTTCAAGTTATAGGTACCAAAGGAGACAATATATCTATCGAATATAATCACTGCTGGTAACCAATTTGCATATTGACTTCAAGTTGAACATTTTGAAGTTCCAACAAGTTCCATTTTTTGAAGGCCGGGGCCGTCGATAATATATAGTAGTACTCTAGGGCCACACCTGGCATATCCACTCAAGGGCATGACTCGACCTCGGAATTTGAGGTTGGAAAATGCCTGGAGCTTCCTTTAGTCAATTATTCAATCACTAGTTCAGAAACTTGGGACTCGGAGTCGGAATTTTTTATATATCTCCTTCGTGACTACTATGGTGTTGCTACCCGAGGACATTTCATAACCCTACCTAGTGGCCAATATTGCTGCCTCAGGTGTCATTACCTAACGTATTTCCCGCTTGACCGGGCCGCCCCATCGAAAATCGCGTCTTTCTACCACCCTACCTAATTCAAACACCTACCATGCCACCAATTCGCAATATTTCGGCAGAAAAAAATGCCAACCTAGAGGGCAAGATCTTATTAGCCCTTGATGATATTGAAAATGGGCGAATCAGTTCTATTCGCGCTGCAGCGAAGCCATACGAAATACCGCGTTCAACACTACAAGCGCGTGCCAGTGGCCGAATCGCTCGCGCTGATATGCGCCCAAATCGCTGTAAATTAACACAGCTAGAAGAGGATTCGCTTATTAAATGGATAATCTCTATGGATACCCGTGGAGCAGCGCCTAGGCCAGCTACTGTACAAGATATGGCCAATATTCTACTAGCTGCGCGTGGTAGCCACCCCCTGCCTACAGTTGGTAAGAATTGGCCATCAACCTTTATAAATCGACATGAAGAGATTCGAACACGCTTATCTAGGCGATATGACTACCAACGTGCCTAAAATGAAGATCCTAAATACTTACAAGAGTGGTTTACAACCGTACAACATGTTATTGATGAGAATGGTATCCAGCCTGAGGATATTTACAACTTTGATGAGACAGGCTTTGTAATAGGTCTTATTTCAACACAGAAGGTTATCACTCGATCAGAATATTACGGTCGGCGAGCTATTCTACAGCCTGGAAACTGTGAATAGGTGACAGTAATTAAAGCTATCTGTGTAGATGGCTATTCATTACCACCATATATGATTTTCAAGGGAAAGGTTGCTATTACTAGCTGGTTCAATAACCTACCAAAAGATTGGTGATTTAAGGTCTTACCTAATAGCTGAACTACTGAGAAGATTAGCTTACAATAGCTAGAAAAGCTATTTATCCCATCTACAAATTTACATATCCATGGTCGATTTTGGCTATTGATTCTTGATGGCCATAGAAGCCATCTTATACCCTAATTTGACCAAATCTACACTGAAAACAACATTATCCCACTCTGTATACCTACATATTTATCATATCTATTATAACCATTAGATATTAGCTGTTTTATAGTCCTTAAACATATATATAGTTGCTTTATAAGTGATCTTACATGTATAGGCTTGATTTCTTAGCTGATTACCAATATATCTGTCTTAAAGCTTTTCAGCCTAGTACTATCCAGAATAGCTTTTTAGCTACTGGTTTAGTACCAATTGATGCTAAGAGGGTGCTTTCTAAGCTAAATATCTCTCTATAAACACCTACCCCGTCTAACAGCAGGCTAGGCAGCAGGTCTAGTCAATTTACACCTAGAACTATGGTTCAGCTACAGAAGCAAGCTTCAATGCTTAAAGATCTTCTAAAACACCGATCAAACAGCCATCCCAGCCCATCGAAATTGATCTTAGATCAGATCATCAAAGGCCACTCAATAGCACTACACAACACCGCATTACTAGCACAAGAAAACGCCAATTTACGTGCTATAAATGAGAAGAAACGACAGAAGCGCAGTCGATCAGCTAGGCAGATACTATGTGATGAGGGTCTAACAGTCGAAGAGGGCCTGCAGCTAGCCCAGCAGCTAGAATTAATGGATAGAGCTGCTGGTATTGAATCACACACCCAGGTTGAATTGCCTATTCAGCCAAATCAGCCAGCCCCTAAGGCGCCGCCTAGGTGCAGTGGGTGTCGAGAGATTGGACATCGGATTAATGTATGTAAGGATCGTATTTATGACTGAATTTATTGGTGTTGGGTTGAAATATTTGAATTTAAAAAATTCTAGTGCGGTAGGGTGGCCCGGTCAAGCGGGAATTACGTTATCGGGAAAATGCTTAGTTAATAAGTGTTCCTGCCTGAGGCACCGAGAGAAAATTCCGCCTGACTATTCGGGCTAAAAGAAGTCCTAATTTGGGATAGCGTTCAACATGTGATATTCTAGCTGTATTGGGACTAGTGTGTTGATGCGGTGGGCTGCCCGTACAACAATTATCGGTGCCCTCATTATTTGTTATGCTCTTTGTCTTTGAGCCTTTCTGCAACTTTGACCCTTCAAATTGTCCATTGACAGACATCTTATCTCCTTCGCTTGGTGTACTGAATATCTTCTAGACTTTTCGTCACCTTCCATTCCTTCACTTACTCTCCTCTAATTTGCTCCCCCTCGCTTGTGTTGATACCCCACGTACCTGTGAAAATGGCGGAGGCTCTTGGAGCTCTGTTGGAGGCGAGCTTGGATCCCCGACGGAACAAGGAAGGTAAGGCTATACTATTATCCCGGTATTTCTTACAAAGTTTGCTAAACGTTATTCACTCTTGCAGCTGAGAGCGCCCTTCGTCAAGAAGAACAGAAGCCCGGCTTTTCTCTTCAACTTCTTCATATCACAGCCTCGGAATCCCACCCAAACAATATCCGCCTTGCGAGTGCTTTGTGCTTTAAGAACTTCATCAAGCGCAGCTGGACAAACGAAGATGGAGAATACAAACTAGCTCTGGACGAGGTTGCGACCATCAAGCGCGAGCTGATCTCTCTGATGATCTCTGTGCCTCCTGCTATTCGAACTCAACTTGGTGAGGCTGTCAGCGTGATCGCCGACAGTGATTTCTGGGAGCGCTGGGAGACTTTGGTGGATGTAAGTGCTGATCGAAGCGGCCGTATCGCATGTTCCACATGTTCCACAGGCTAACATTGGTTTTTTCTCCCTCCTAGGATCTTGTTTCCAAGCTGTCTCCGGAAAATCCCACTGTCAACATTGGAGTATTGCAGGTCGCACACTCTATCTTCAAGCGCTGGCGGCCACTATTCCAGTCCAACGAGCTTTACATTGAGATCAACCATGTCCTCAACAAGTTCGGCAATCCATTCCTTGCACTTTTCGAGGTAAGATGACATTGTAACTATTTTTCTCACATTTACTGACCTGAAAATCTGTACAGGGCTTGGACAACTACCTCGAGCAAAACAAGGGCAATAAAGAGAATTTGACACAAGGTTTCACCCAGCTCAATCTTATGATCAAGCTGTTCTACGACCTCTCCTGCCACGACCTTCCTCCGATGTTTGAAGAGAATATCTCCGCAATCGCCACAATCCTCCACAAATACCTGACATACGATAACGAGCTGCTTCACACCGATGATGATACCGAGGCGGGTCTTTTGGAATATGTTCGTGCTGGTATTTTCGAGGTCTTGACCTTGTACGTGCAGAAGTTCCTGGATGCTTTCGGACCTCTCGTTGGACAATTCATTCAAAGCTCCTGGGGTCTTTTGACCACAATCAGCCAGGAAACCAAATACGATATTCTGGTGAGCCGGGCTCTGCACTTCTTGACCTCAGTGGCTAGCATGCCAGAACACGCTGGAGCTTTCCAGGCCGAGGACACTCTGGGTCAGATCATCCAGAAGGTCATCTTGCCCAATGTGAGTCTGCGTGAGTCGGACGAGGAGCTCTTCGAGGATGAGCCCATTGAGTTTATTCGACGAGACTTGGAAGGATCTGACAGTGAAACCCGGCGTCGTGCGGCTACCGATTTCCTCCGTCGTCTGGCTGAGAAGTTCGAGGGCTCAGTGACTAAGGTCGTTCTCGAATACACCAATCACTATCTCCAGGAGTATGCTAAGGACCCTGCCTCAAACTGGAAGTCTAAGGATACTGCCATTTATCTTTTCTCCGCTATTGCGGCCAAGGGTGTGGCAACAGCAGCCCACGGTGTGACTGCCACCAACAGCCTGGTCAGCATTACAGACTTCTTCCAGCAAAACCTTGCTGCTGACCTTATTACCGAGGACGGTGTGCACCCGATTCTCAAGGTTGACGCCATCAAGTATCTGTACATTTTCCGGAGCATCATCACAAAGGAACAATGGCAGCAAGTGCTTCCTGTTCTAGTGAAGCACTTGGCTTCCTCTAACTATGTTGTCTATACATATGCTGCAATTGCTGTGGAGCGCGCTCTGTTCCTCAGTGATGGCCAGGGTCAGCCGGTCATCCCTCCGACTGAAATCATCCCCCTCACCAAGGACCTCCTGGAGCACATCTTCCAGCTTATCCAGAGAGATCCCGCCCCCGAGAAGGTCCAGGAGAATGAGTTCTTGATGCGATGCGTCATGCGAGTGTTGGTTGTTGTTCGGGACGGCGTGGTTCCGTTCACCGATGTTATCCTGCAGCGCTTCATTACCATCACTCAAATCATCAGCTCAAACCCTAGCAACCCCCGATTCTACTACTTTTTCTTTGAGGCAATGGGAGCTTTCATTCGATACGCTGCTCCTGCAAACCCTGGTAAGCTGGAGCAGGCTTTCTACTCGCCCTTTGCGACCATTCTCCAAGGAGACGTGCAAGGTAAGACTATCTCTCCGCATTCTAATCTACCAAGCTAACCCTCTCTCCCCAAGAATTCATGCCATATGTTTTCCAACTCTTCGCTGCCCTGCTCGAGGCCAACCCATCCGCCGACCTGCCTACTTACTACCAAGAATTGATTGGACCGATTCTCATGCCTGTCATGTGGGACTCCAAGGGAAACATCCCTGCCTTGGTCCGACTTCTCTCCTCAATAATCCCTCGCGGAGCCCAATACATCCTCGAACACAACCAGATCGAGCCTGTCCTTGGTATTTTCCAAAAGCTTCTTTCGACCAAGGCCAACGAGGGCTACGGATTCGACTTGCTTGAGACAGTGTCTGCGACATTCCCCCCGTATGTTATCCCCCCATTGATCGCCCATAGTTGACAAACAGTTATTGACATATACTTCTCAGGGCTGCGACGGAGAAATACTTTGGTTTGATCATGGAGATCATTCTCCAGCGTCTGCAAAACTCCAAGACTGAAAACCTGTCCCTCCGTTTTGTCCGCTTCTTCCATTTCATCACCGCCCATGATGACAAGGGATACAACCCCGACTTCATCATGCAGATCACGGAGAAGGTGCAGCAAAAGTAAGTTTTCTTTTTCCCCGAAGAGAGACTTTTAACTCCTAAGATCTTCGTATTAATTTCTTCCTAGCCTGTTCACTCCTGTCTACCTGAACGTCATTCTCCAGGACACCCAGAAACTTGCACGACCCTTGGATCGCAAGACTGCTGTCATTTCCCTGACCAAGACACTGGCAAACTCAGAAGCCTTTGCCACGCGGTACGCAAAGGGATGGGGTTTCACCTGCAACACCCTTCTCAAGCTTCTCGAGCTTCCTCCTGATGTGACACACAAGGACGACTTTATGGCCGAGGTGGATGTCGAGGAGATGTCCTTTGGTGTTGGTTTCACTCCTCTCAACACTATCAAGGCCCAGCAGAAGGACTCGTGGCCCGAGACTGGTGCTGACCTCAAGAAGTGGGTTGGTACGTATCTCAAGGAGGCTGACAAGAAACACGGTGGCCGTATCTCCCAGTTCGCACAGGACCGATTGGATGATCAGGCCAAGGCTGTGCTGGGTAGCTACATTTCTTGAGTCTTTAGATGATTGCAATGTTTTCCATTTCACGCAAGAAGAAAAAAAATACCGTGGAAGCTAGTGTTTCTTGTTTTGAGGATAGCACCACTGCCATGACGAGTTTAATAGATTGATGATCAATTTTTTCATTTTGATAAAGTAAAATGCTCAAGTGCTGCCTCCGACCACTTAGAGAGTTTGGATTGTAGATGCTAACGCCGTGTCATAATTTGGCGATAAATCTCGATATGGACCAGATATTAGTCCGAGATGTACCCAAATGCTAGCAGTTGGGATCGATAACTTTGGAATATTCAAACTGGGATCCTCCGATACAACAGTCCGCAGCGGATCCCGAGACGTCTTAACTTGAAGTCAGCACGGCACCTGGGCCGCTATTCCACCCATATGTAACATTATTAATCTACAATCGATTTCAAGTTTACGCTAACTCCAAATTTAACTACATCCATGCCCAGGTGGTAGGTATTAGCACCTGCGACATTCTAAATATGGACCTCGTAAATATAATGAAAACTTTGACTAGCCCTGGAGGTAGTGGATAATACTTGGTTCCTTGGACCCATCCTTAACTCCGTTCCTCCGCGCCCATGAAGTGTCAATAAAGGCCCGGGTTATACTAGTAGTATATAAATGCCAGAAATATCATCTAAGGAAATAGAAATTATATTCAAAATCAGTTACTGGCCCATCCATGGGACCAATAAATCTCCGAGTCACATCCTCTTTAATTCGAGTCCCTCGAATCGTTCATTCGTCAACACTATTGATATCGATTTCAAGTTCCTCTCTTTTTCGAACTTCATCCACACCCATCTACAGGTATATATGCCAAAGTATATCCAATACCGCTTGTTCACTACACGCCAAATCCTTGAAGACATTCGATCCAGCGTGGCAACAAATCCCAAAATGAAAACAAACTACGATGTCATCATTTCAGGAGCTGGTCCTGTAGGCCTCATGCTCGCCACCGAACTCCAGCTACACGGTGCCAATGTCTTAGTTCTGGAGAAAAGAGTCTCTCCTGATACGAGTGTGAAAGCAGGTGGTATCAACACCGCCTCCGTCGAGGCACTTGAGCGCCGCGGTCTTCTACCTGCTATCCACGCCGCAAGGGGACCACTATTCATGTCTGCCTCTAAGGAGTCTGGTGGTAGGAAGTCTGTTTATGCGGGCTCTGTGGGTCATTTTGGAGGAATTAATGTCCCTGCAGGGCCTGTTGATAAGACAGATCCTTTGTTGAAAGGAAGAGGAAAAGATGGATGGTATCTGATGATACCTCAGGTTGAGTTGGAGAAAGTATTGTTTTCCAGAGCACTGGAGTTGGGTGTTACTATCTGGCGAGGTGTGACAGTTCAAGCATTCCAGGAGAATGAATCGGATGTGGCTGTGCAGATTGCTGGAGAAGGAGAATCACGTGGAGAAGAAGTGCAGGTGCGTGGGAAATGGCTTGTTGGGTGTGATGGAGGACATAGTCTTGTGCGTCGCCTAGCAGGATTTGAGTTCCTGGGAACGGATCCCAAGATTACGGGTCGTGCAGCTACAGTTGAGATTGAAGGTGGAGAGGATCTCCGCGCAGGTTGGCAATATACATCGACTGGAGTTTATGTATATGGAGCAATGCCAGGTCGAGTACGCACTGTGGAATTTGATGGACCACCCGCGGACAAAAATTCCCCTGTCACAGCCGAGGAGATGGAGAGCAGTCTGCGACGTGTTAGTGGTGTGGACACGATTCGGATTACGGGGATCAACGCTGGAACTCGGTTCACCGACAATGCGCGACAGGCGAACACGTATCAGCGCGGACGAGTATTTCTCTGTGGTGATGCGGCACATGTACATTCCCCTTTTAGCGGTCAAGGGTTGAATCTGGGTATTGGGGATGCTGTTAATTTGGGATGGAAGCTTGCAGCCGTGGCTTGTGGACGAGCATCCGAGGACCTGCTTGAGACATATACTCGCGAGCGACATCCTATTGGGACTCGTGTCCTGGACTGGACAAGAGCCCAGGTTGCTGTCATGCGTGGTGACCCTGACGGATGTGCAATGAGGGGTGTTATGACGGATTTGTTAGGCACAGGGGACGGAGCAACTCATTATGTAAAGCAGATCTCTGGGCTATGGCAGCGGTACGATTTCGGTGATGAGCAGCCACTGGTTGGGATGACGATGCCTGATATCCAGTTGGCAGATGGGTCTCGTCTTGTCAACCATTTCCACAAGGGACATGCTGTACTCATGGATCTTGCCCAGCATGATGGAGTCGCAGCCCTGGCCAAAGAGTTTGGTGGACGTTTGAAATTGGTTCGAGGGACCTCTGTCGAAAATCCTGGGATCGACGGGCTATTTATACGCCCTGACGGTGTTGTTGCATGGGCAGCCAAGGAGGGCTCCTGTGATATCAAGAGGTTAAAAACCGCAATGGCTTGTTGGTTGCGAAATGATAACCTGGTTACTTCTAAGTGACTCGGACGGATACCCAAGGAATCAAAACGATATATCGAGAACATTTGAACATGTACCCTAAGCTGCATTGTGTTAATCTGAAAAGTTCCTTCGAGTGCCCAGGTGATCATGTGTTTGTGTTTATTGGTACATAGTATATACATACAGCAGGAGGTTCAAGTTGGCATTGAACCCCATGTAGCATCAGGTCATGAAGATGAGCCTTTATGATCAGTACTTCCCTCTGTACTGATAGCTCCATCATCTTTGTCACCACCGCCTGTTTCAATTTGTTGATCTCCATCCCGTTTTCCCTCGGCATTCTCTGGTTCTAGCTCATCCTTCTCCAAATTGCGATATTTCCTCCTCGTCTTCTTCAACTTGCTAGCTTTTTTCTTTCTCGCAGCTTCCAATTTGAGCGCGGTGCGACTTTGATCACCCTTCTCCAGCTCTTCCACTTTATCAGCCAGTAAGGCGCGGGCTATCTTCGCATTTTGAGACTGAGAGCGAGTGGCTTGGCACTTTACGACCACGCCGGAAGGTTTGTGGGTGATTTGAACAGCGGAATTCGTTTTATTCTGATTGAGCACCACATTATGAGCTTCAATTACACACTGGTTTCAATGAGTGCCGAGTATTCCACATACAATCTTTTGGCCTCCAGGTCCTGTGCCCTTTAGGTAGGATATTGTTAGGTCGGCTTCATCGAACTTCATGCGGGGAGGGAAAGGTTTGGCAGGCAGTGCGAGAGTTGTTGTGAATGTTTGACATGGTATCAATGATATTAATGGTAAGCCCAATGGTTTTGAAAGGGCCTTGATGGCCCTTGACCATGGGAGTGTTGACGGTAGTCGCATTGCGCGCATTGACGAGGAAGTTGTTAAGTTAGAGAGAAGATAGGTACATACGCGATAAGACAAGTGATAAGGAGTGCGATAATGGGCTCATCGAGACCGGAAACGGTTCGCGCATTTTTAAGATGTTACTCCGTATACGGAGTAGATATAGACCAGTCCAGATGAACTTGATCTATGGCAAATCTATAGAGTCATTGGAACATTTGATATTCTACTGTTTAATGGTTGAAATGGTGATGCTCTCAATCTCTTTAGATGTCTACCCTATGTAGACTTAGTATAATTAATCACCAGTCTACGAAGTATAGTGGCACTTGAGGAGCCCTTGAGTTGAGCTGTGCAAGTTTACGCTGCAGCCTGATCCTCTTTCATATAGTCCGTTCAGGCTCGCATTCTGCATCTTGATGGTTGACGCGTCTCAGTGGAACTGTAGGGACCTTACAAGTTCGGTCTGAGGGTACCTAATCAGGGACCTTAATGTGAGGCGAAGCAGCATGAAAAGGGCTTTCTTATTATCTTGATTGAAGTATTGAACATTGTATATAAAATAAAAATAAACATAAAAGAAATATTATCTCCTAGATCGATTTCTCATCTTACCCCTTTTCTGCTATCCAATCCATGGATATATTGAATTAAAATTTTGCTTACGGCTGTTTCAAATCCCCCCCCGGACCGCCGGCACTCCGTACTTGTACCTCAAAAAAAATTACCAACTTCATAGCCCCCACAACCTACCATCTCTATCGCTCATCAAGTCTCGTCTCCTAAGGTCCCTAAGATACTTTCATCCTTCGCACACTCTTGACCCGCTTTCAATCGTCTCATACGACTATGATCGCCTAGAACACGATCCATTCCCAATCCCCACACCCGAAGCAACGGCAGTCCCGCAGCGCCACAGGAGACCAACGCTCTTTTTCTGAGCCTCTCACTTCGTACTAGCAATCTGTGCCAAGTCTGCTGCGCTAGTTCACGAATCCAACTTCCCACTAGGACACGGTGACTGCGTCTTATCTTTCCAACGAGGCCACCGTTCGAGGAAACATCGCGTGACAGGAAATCCGACAATTCAGGGACAAGAAAGCAACCCCTTTGCGCTCAAAGGAAAACCCGCCAACCAGATCTCCACGCCATTACGAAATTCGATTCAACTTGACGAACTATCGCAGTCATGTCTCTTCTTTGGATCCTGAGCAGCCTGGTCCGCTGGATACGCCTCAAGATCTACCAGTATGAAGTGACCTTCGCCATCTACATGCTTACACCCACCGAGAAATTGGTCTTCAGTATGTTTTAATTCCCTCACGATCTTCCCCTATCTTGTCTGGTCTGCAGCGCACTAATCCTCATATCCAATTAGACTCCTTACTCCTTACCCTCATCACCCTGATGGCGACCGGAATCTACGTCTACCTCCCTGATCACATTCGCAAAATTTACGGCCACCTCTACTACTACTGGGTTGGCGAGCGTCCCTTCATCTCATCGCGACTAGCATCAATGAACTCTGTCTTCGGCGAAGCCACGCAAACCCTCGAAGTGATGTACGAAACTGCCAAGAACGCAGCCGCGACAACGACACAACGGATAGCGGAATTGTAATGTGATCACTGGCCCGACGATAGACGATCTGGTTCGCAGGATGACCTGAGTTGATGGAGTTGGGATGGAAGCGGGTGTTGGTTTTTACGGCATCTTCATCACTGGAGGCAAGATGCAGAGTCAGTAGCCACTGATTGGTGTCAAGTACACACTTGCTCTTCAGTCGGCGCATCCCAGGCGTTTCTTGGATGGGGTTTTATTTGTTGGTTTCTCTGCAGCTCTTGCTTCTTGGCGCTCGCCGATTGGGACATGGTTCTGCTTTTTCGAGCCGTTGAGACTTCTGGGTCACCGGATATTCTTATACGGCATTGCATTGCATTGCTTCTCCTTTGGCTTCATTCATCATGAAGTCTATCATTACTTATGACTTATTTGCTGGACAGACTGGGTTCATACAACGGCAGGACTTGAGATTCTCTGGGTTTATACACAGAGTTTTCCCTTCCAATTGATACCCTTCTGTTTGACCTGGTTTCGACAATCTTGCACATAACTTTACCATGGACTTTTAACGTGGAATATGTCCCCCCCATATAATAATAATAATCAAGAATATGAATAAGATGTGAAAAAGATAAGAGAAAACGATTTCCTCAAATTCCAATTTTGGATACTGTACAATCAAGTAAAAGTCCCTTCCCAAACGCCTAATATGCCCAAAGTAGGGTGCTGTTATTCAATCCATCTCCAAATGTGCAACGCCCTTGCTGAACCGGTCTCATCTGACTCCTTCAGACTCGCAACAAGGGTATGCATACAGCACCTCCAGCCCCTTTACCGGGTTTTCCATCACGTGCATACAATCCATGAAACAGATTATTGTTGACTTGACTCAGTCTGCGCCTGCGCCTGAACCTGAGCCTGTTGAGCCTGCAAAGCCGCAACTTCCCGCTCCCGTCTCTCCCGACGAACAGTTTCCACCATGCGCATGCGCGCCAATTCTTTATCGATCTCTTCCTTGTCGAGTGGGATCTTGTGTGATTGTTCGGCGGTGGGCCAGAAACCCTTTACGCTGAAGCGGTCGTCGAGGTTTGTGCCGAAGTAGTACATCCAACCGATGGGGAAGAGGACGTACATGCCGAACTGGAATGTTGATGTTAGTTTCACTTGATTGGATCTTGAGTTTGTATATGGTGGGTCTGATAGAGGGCGGAAGAGTAACAGTATATCGGTGGAATATTGGTGTATATGCACTCGATTCGAGATTCGAGGTTCGGGTCTTACCTTAACGACTTCCAGGTTTCCGCCCTGGAGCCGGCGAATAAATGAGGACATTATGGTGGTATGTGTGGGTTTCTCTTTGATCGGTGAATATGAGTATGCGCAATGCAAGCAGTAGGTTGGGTTTGCAAGTGCCTCTGCGATCAATCAGTGAGTCTGGAAATAATATCAATTGTCAATGGGCTGATCATTATTTGTCTGGTTTGCATCCTTGATTACTCACCCACAGACACCTGAATAGAATGGCACCATTTAATGCACGTAATGTAAATCACCTGACCAACCGCGGGCCTCGGCTCATTCCCCGCATCTGCCAGGTTAATCATTACGGAGTGCATAATCGGACAATTCTCTCCAGGGCTTGCATGGTGGATATTTAAGCATTGTAAACGTATTTCTCGCCCCCATCGTCTCCTTGAAAGTGATTTATAAAATCCTCGAATCCCCTCAGTTAAATTTTTTTTTTCTCTTTATTCTATCCCTGATATTATACCCCCTTATCATACATAACAATGTACGACGAGAACTGGATCAAGGTCTCCTACCAAGATCGCATTGCGATTATCACTCTCAATCGTCCTGATAAACTAAACGCCTTGAATGGAGACCTATACTACAAACTCGCTACAAAGCTTCAAGAGATCGACCAGCGCGATGACATCTTCATAACCGTCCTAACCGGTACAGGCCGATTCTTCTCCGCGTACGCCAAACTCCCTCCCAAACCAAAAACACCCAGCTAACAAATCCAAATAGCGGCGCAGATGTGAACACCACCCGCCCAGGTTCCGGAAACGAAGGCGAGGAGTCCGAATCAGTCCGCCGACTTCTTATGCGTAACTTTGTCGCCAACAACATCGACGTAACCCGCACCTTCTACAACCATACCAAGATTCTCATCGTCGCACTCAATGGCCCAGCAGTAGGTCTTTCCGCCGCGCTGGTCGCACACGCGGATTTCATTTACGCCGCTCCGCACGCGTTCATTCTCACGCCCTTTTCCTCAATTGGACTTGTTGCCGAGGGAGGCGCTAGTCGTACCTTTGTTCAGAGACTAGGGATTGCGAAAGCGAATGAAGCGCTACTAATGAGCAAGCGGATTACCTGTGAAGAGCTCGTGAGCACTGGATTCGTGAATAAGGTTATCAAGGCGGATTCGGGCCGATCGGATGATTCGGTGGGTTTCTTGAAGAATGTTCTTGTTGAGGTTGAGGAGAGATTAGGAACGCATTTGAACCAGACCAGTCTGTTGAAAATTAAGGAGTTGGTTCGACGGCCTGAGAGAGAGGTCTTGGATCGTCAGAATGGTCTTGAGGCTTTTATGGGACTGGAGAGATTTTTGAGTGGAGCGCCACAGGAGGAGTTCCGGAAGTTGGCCTCTGGTGAGAAGAAGCATAAGCTTTAGAGTGTCTAGATTCGATTCAAGTTTGAGATGATGCGTTGTGTATCAGATGATAGACATTTTACCTGGAACCCCTGTATATAGTACCGACTCAAATTGAATGCCTTGGGATATTCAAGGTTACCAATGGCGGATTTGCGTTATAAGAATTGATCCATCCTTTGATACAGCTTCCAAGGTTATATTGGTTGAAAGAAGGATTCATTTCCTAGACACCAAACTGGCAGTCACTCCGGGGCCGGGGTCAAAAAGTAATGTACAAGCCTAAGAAATTTACCATACGCTGGAAATAGATTTGAGGGCAGTCATGAAAGTGCTTTCAAGTATATGTACCCTTGGAAGTCAGCTTATTTGTATTAAATGTGATCATATGATTACAGTAAAATCCCCTCAAATAACCAAAGCGAGCAATATGCTAATGATCCCTGTAAGACTAGGAGAGAAGGCAGAAATTGCCCCGTTAAAGAGAGGGGCACTTGTCGAGAGAGGGGACACACTCTGTGTAGCTGCCGTGGAGATAGAAGAGACAATCAAAGAAGACCCCGTAGTGGTCAATCCACTGGCAGATTCAGATATGACATTCACTGCTGTGCCTTCAGCAGCGGTGGCCCCTGCAGTTGTGGAAACGTCGGATCCAGTTTCAGTTGCAGCTGACGACTTCTCAGATGCATTGATCGAGCCAGCTGACCCGGTAGCCTGAACGGGAATGTATGTGGTGAACGTGAAAGCTTCACTCTCAGAGCTGAGCGAGTCGGAAGAGCGGGTGGATTTAGTGTCGGCAGTTTCGATGTACCCAGCTGAAGCCACTCCAGACAAGACCTGAGAGGTTTCAGCGGAGGCGGATTGAGTGGTAGTGGGAACCGGAAGGGTTGAAGTATATTCAGGACTAACAGAGATGGAGGAACCGGCAAAGGAGACAGTCGAGCTCTCAGCAGTCTCTATAGCAGTCTCCGGACAGATGGTTGTATACGATATGATAGTATCAGTGATCACATAGGTGAAATGCACGTAGGAGGTAAAAGTCTCAGACTTGGATCCCGAGACTGGGCCTGGAGAGTAGGTTGATGCCATATAGATCGGTTCTGAAGATTGAGAATGAGGGAGAGAGGTAGACTCGGAATGGCCAGGCTTCGTACGAGTATGAACCACAGAACTGCTTCCAGGTGCAGAGGACCAAGTATGAGGGTGACCCTTGGCTGAAGTAGAAGAAAGCTGACTCGAAGTAGAAGTAGTCGAAGTAGAAGCTACACATTTTTCGTTCACAGATGCACCAGAACCCACAGCCAACTCGGAAACTATGACAGTTCCACCAGATCCATTGCAATCGACCAATATATCCACAGTATCCGAGGAGTCAGCTGCAAGACAGGCGACAAACGAGGCAGAGGATCCGGCGTCAACTGTAGTTGAAGAAATCTCTTCCAAGCCTTGATAAACGTATAGGGTACATGAGAGGGTATCTCGCTTCCGTGATACAGAGCTGCTAGTCACTGACACGGTGCCAGAGACGGAACTGGTTGAGTCATCTGAGTCGACTGATATACTTGCCGAGGCAGAATCACCATCGGTAGTGCTGCCAGTCAATGTAGATGTCCCATCATCATCTGTGGTAACTGTACCAGTAGATGCGGTCCAGGTCGAAGAAGTCGTAGAGGTGGCTGTAGCGCTTGCGGACACGGTGCTGGCTGAAGAGGTAGCGGTGCTGATGGCGTCAGTGGGAATGAGGCTGTCACTGCTAGCAGTAGCGCCTGAAGATGCCGGCGTGGTAACTGAAGTGTCACTGGTTGTAGTCACTGTAGATGATGTTGATGAGGACACAGAAGTAGTAGTATAGCATGTAGAAGAGACCATTGAAATATCAGCCACTCCAACGATAGGACTATCCGATGATTGACCCTCATAACAGCTAATATAAATTTCAAATGGAATGCTGGTTGAAGCGGTTGGTGTGTAAGTAGCTGTGACTGTCTCCCATGCTCCAGTGAACGGACGGACGCCAGCTCCAGATTGCCCAGAGCCAAGAATAGTTGTGGAGTCAATTGAGATCTCCAAGAGGCAGCTCGCTTCATAACTAGAGGTATTGCTTGACAATGACCAAGCCAGAGACACCTCATATTCACCTCCCACATTCAAACTAGAAATCTCTTGACTGACGGTAACATAGTCGTATTCAAAGTCGGATATCTCTCTGAAAGTTTAGTCAGTTCAAGTTCTCATGTCGACAAGATTCTGGGTCAGTTATCAGTGCTTTTCACATACAGCCAAGTACTATCATCTGTTGGTCCACCGGTGGTCATAATCGGGAAACTCGCCGTCTCTGTGCCAGCGCTCATGGTCCAATACGATGAATAGTCAGAGGTACCCCCCCTGGATCACATCAAGGGGTATGCACACCATTGAAGCAGCCATTGTGAGAAAAAGGTCCTCCTGATCCTTCCTGCAGTCAATGAAAAAGAGTACTTTCCAACTCAAAAATGAAACGAACGCGGATGGGAGTCAGACAGCGCTTCAAAAAGGAGTGACTGGACTACTCTGGGGGAGCAAAGGCTTTATAAACCTGAAATTCAGATAGCGAAAATCCATGGTCTTTTTTTGCGAGGCTCCTGAGAAAATCCGGTTGAAGTGGAGGCAAAAAGGAGCTATTGACTGTTGATGGTCACAATAGGCGAGCAGGTGAGCGGCCCTAGCGGAAATAGGAATATACCATACGGGAGAATTCTTAGTTTGGAAAATAGTAAATTACCTACGGTAAAATGGGTTTATACCAGGGTTCCACCCCAATACAGGCGATAATTTTACGCGCATTTTTCAAACTGAGAATTCTCCCGCATGGAGATTTCAGGGCAGTCATGAAAGTGTTTCCAATGATAGTTAATGTTAAAAACCAGAGTAACTGTATTGAATATGATTAAATGATTAAAGTGAAATCTCTTTCAATTATCAAAGCAAGCAATATTCCAATTATCCCTGTAATACTGGGAGAGAAGGCAGAAACCACCCTGATAAAGGCAGGGGCACTTGTCGAGAGAGGGGAGGCACTCTGTGTAGCTGCTGTTGAGATCAAAGAAACAATCAAAGACTCTATAGTGATTGACCCACTAGCAGATAGACCTCTTTTTTTTACTTAATTTGTAGTAGTTTTCTAAGTTTCCCTACCATCTGGTAGAATACCTAAGGAGGCAGAACCAGCCTATCTCTAATAGTCGGGACTAATACCATATATTTACTAAGAGATGAGATTTTTATTTGATTTATTCTATCTTAGTGTTAGTATATTCCCCTGAGTTTAGCTATTGATCACTTTAGGATATCTCTTACTTTGGCTAGCCCTTATGTCAGATATCTATAGGGCTGCTCAGGTGGTAGCTAGCCTTCCCCTCTAGGTAGTCATCTAAGTAACCCTGTAGATAACCCTATAGATAACCCCGTAGGTAACCCCGTAGGTAACCGTAGGTACTGGCATATCAAGAGGTGTAGGTTATTAACTACCTGTAGATGCTACTAACTTCAAGTTAGACTAAGCTCTATAATTAAATATGTGAAAATTCCTCTCTAAGAGGATGTGGATGTATATGACCAAGTAGTCGGGGGCTGAGGACACATCTTTCCCAGTTTTGCTGTTACAGTGCCACGTGAACCGTGACAGGAGGACTTGTAGTATACGACCACCGGGTATTTGCCTTCGAATTCGATATTCATTTCAACATTTTGAATCTGGAACCTTGGAAGTTCTATGTAGATAGCAGATGGAACTTGAAGTTCTTATATTTCCAGACGGGCTCGCCATTCATTAACTCGGAATATCCAATCACGAACAAGAGCCTCAAAAACGCCAGTCTCATCAATAGGAAGGCCATGGGTCCCACGATCCAGAACAATGTACGTTGACCGTGGATAAAGCCCCAACAATCGAAGGCTGTCTCGATAGCCCACACTCTCATCTTGTCTTCCACACACAACAAGAGTGGGTGCAAGAAACTTAGCACCTTCGTCCAACGAAAAAGATAACTGATATCGCTGTGGATCCGCTCGAATGGGATCCAATACCTTAGCGTCCGATGAATCCTCCGCTGGAAGGTAAACACCCTCATATTTTGCCTTTAAAGCTTGAATATAAGCCGGCGTTTGAATAAGAATGTTCCCAAGAAGTGCCCTGTCTTGGTCCGACATGCTCGAGATGATCCCCTTGTCTTCGACCAAAGGCCTGAAGGCATCGAGGTCGCGCGCACTGTCCCTTGGCTCAATGATCGGTACGCGCAAAAGTAGCCCATCGACTTGCTCACTGTACTTTTGAGCTATCGCACGCGCAAGGTACCCACCACACGATGAGCCAACAAGCAAGAATCTTGAAGTCCCAAGTCGAGAATCAATGAATTGCACTAAGCGATGGTATATGTCGTCCAGATCCTTGACATTATTTGCGGGTGTTGCACCCATGCCTGGAAGGTCCACATAGATTCGTCGAAACCCTGGTAGTTTGCTGAAGATTGGCTCGAAGTCTAGTTCCTCGACTCTGGTATCCATCTGCCATCCATGAATGATCAAAATGGGGAGCCCATCGCCAATTTCATGTGTAGATAAAATGGATTCCGAGTCAGTCATGATGGCTCTACTGGATATTAGAAACAAGAATCAGATTAGATGATGTCAGGAGTATAGAATGTTGAGTCACAATCACGCCTCCAGGGCTCGTGTCATCTTGTGGTGCTGACAAATTCAAATGTTGCTCCGGTGTAATGCGATGTAATCACTAATTTTGGGCATACTCGTTAGTGAGACTACGCTGGCTAAGGCTTGTCTCCCTATCGGGCGCTTGGGAATCCGGTGACAGGGATGCGATTTTATTTATTATTTATTTTTTTTTTCATTCATGGGACATTTAGAGTGCGATCCTCACTGGCAGTCCAAATATTAATTTGAGCTGGTGATAGGAGTCGAGACATCCCTGCACATATGAAGCGTAAATTCGGCCTTCCCGCCCCCGCGCTGCCTAACTCAGACCTTCAAGTTTTCCTTTCCGTACCAAGATCGAGATATTCCAGCTTTCATCAAGGGAAGACGCTCTGCCAACATTCTTTCAGTTTCCAATAGAAGGGGGAAGAAATTCAACATCTTCATCTTTCCCATAGTTTTCCGCATCCAAGTCCCTGGATCAGTCTTCGAAATCGAAATAATGTCTCCCACCATTCCTCTTTCGGTAGCCCTCTACGAAAATCCTGGAATTTTGCATCTGGAGCCTCTTCATTGAAACTGAGAGCGATGACGACAAGACAAAAATCCACGTCCTTGGTGCGCGTCGACGGTATTTCCCTGTGATCAGCCCCCGGTCGGACGCACGCAATTCGGACTCTCTTATTGAGCTTCTGCCGCTTTGTCAAATTGAGGAGGCCAAGATCGAGATCATCAAAAACATCGCACATATTACTCCCATACGCAATGATTTGGATGATTGGAGCTGCCAGGATTATGTCCTAAATATCTTGGACAGGCTCGAGGAGGCATTGATTCTCAATGCCGAAGACAAGGATTACATCAGAAACAAAGAGACTCTTGCTGCCAAACGCGAGTCCTGGCCGTAACTTTCATATTAGAACAGCTCCGCTATTACTGAAAGCCGGAGGTGATGGAGATTTATGTGTGCAAGGTTGCTTAGACGATTGTCGATCATCGGTTGAAGGCCTTGGATTTTGGTTCATTCAGTCAAGGATTCAGCAAGAGCAGAATATCTAAGAGCCAAAGATGGAAATTTTTAATAAGCTTCCCTCACACTTGACTATGGATGGCAACTTGAATGGAGCTGTCATTGAAGTTGAATAACTAGGTGCCCAGATGTAATGAATCGTGATTGTGAATCATCCATGGACTTCAAGTTGAAACACTAGGTAAATCATCCTGAAGTAATTAAGCATATATCTTCTCCCATCACCCAGCACATATAGTACTCCCAAAGCCAACCAAGAGGAAGGCTCACTTGAAGAACTGGATGTAGCTGGAACACCTATACAGCATCGTCAATATGGAGAGACGGTGCTACTGGTACTAGTAGTAGTAATAACTTCAAGTTGAACATTGGGCTACATTTGAACCTATTGATGTTTGGAGATGACCTTCTATAATTGGCTTGGCTCAAAAAACAACTAGCATTCTACTTGAACATTCAAGTTGCCCCGAGGTCCCCACCTATACCCGGGTAGATTACTTAGAAAGCTCCCGAGGTCAATACTATGGTATAGAGATAGCCCTGGAGCCCTGGGGAACCGTACTCCAGCACTGGCAACAACACCACTTTCTAACAACAGCATGACTTTTCCTCCAACAGCCTTACTTTTTGACAATAACACCCATTTTTAACAAAAGCCTTACTTTCTGACAATACCATAGCTTTTCTGACAACAACACCACTTTTTGACAACATCCTAGTTTTTTGACAACAACATGGCTTTCTGACAAAAACACACTTTCCTGACTCCATAATAATTCTGATACTCCATAATAAATCTAGCACTTTAAAATGATTCTAGCACTCCAAAACGGTTCTCGAACTTCAATCCACTTCTTCAACTACGAGAAAATCCTTGAAGTAAAACAAGCATGGACAGCTTTTAAGGTTGGAATAATAGGATTACTCGCTCAGTAGATCCTAGCTCAGCCCTTTCAACGATGACAAAATATTTACGATGACTATTAGGTACGCTCCAAGGGCTGGCTGCTTAGGATATAAGGGAAGATGACCAGGGCTTTTATCCAATTTAAGAATCCATGTATTAATTGGGAAGAAAGCCTTGCCGCAGGCGTTACTCGCCGTCATATCTCTTCCCTTTCCAGGTCTGTTCATGGATTGAATGAATGGCATGAGGATTATTCTCCTTTCCCCCTTCAAATGTTTGACCTGGAATTTTGTAATAATCCTATGGTCCAGTAACTTAGACCTAGTGGGATTTGGGTAATTAACTCAGTAGACTGGCCCAATTCTACAGGCGAGGCAAGCGAAGAAGCAAACATGGTGAGAGGGACCACCGAGATCGAACCGAGTACGCGGATTATTGCAAGTGAAACAATCAATGGTATTCCTTGCAGACTGCAAAAGAAAGCGGGCCAGAAGTACGCAGCTCGCATATGGGGCCATTCAATTTATTATCGATCAAATGAGAGCAAGCATAGAGACCGGGGCCATGGAGCCCTAACATATTGTGAGAGCTTCCTTAACTCCGAGTCCCGTCTGTATCTCCGGCCCGTAAAGACCGCCAGTAAAGACCGTCAACGCATTACTGAAAAGGGTTTGTTGTGATCTGGAACATGGCCAGATGTATATTCATGTCGCGGATTATGGACATTGACTCACAGCCAAACTTAAAGTGTTTGTCTGACAGCGATCCCACGGCCGGGACGGTTCCAGAAACACAGAAGGCGACCGTGCCCAACGACAATGTTGCTGAAAAGCAGGACCAGGGCCAAACGAGCCACCCTGGAGCTCCACCAGATGGTGGCTGGAGAGCGTGGCTCCAAGTGTTGGGGAGTTGGATGCTGATATTCAACACCTGAGGTAGTCAAACCGTCCCAATAGAATAACCCTAAGATATAAAGCTAACTGCAACCGCATCAACAGGAATTGTCGTTACATTCGGTGACTACCAGAACTTCTACGAGTCCGGCCAGCTCTTCGCCCAGACCTCATCCAATATCTCATGGATTGGCTCGATCCAAACATTCTTGGTGTTTGCGACTGGAGCGGTGGCAGGCCCCATTTTTGATCGCGGCCAGCTGAGGCCCTTACTCATCGTGGGGACGTTCTGTCTAGTATTCGGTCATATGATGCTTTCGCTTTGCAAGGAGTATTGGCAAGCATTGCTGGCCCAGGGGTCCATGGTAGGCATCGGTGCTGGCTGTCTATTCGTGCCGTCGCTCGCTGTCATGCAGCCCTACTTCAGTCGGCATTTAGGTCTGGCGATTGGAATTGCAGCCACCGGAAGCTCGATCGGTGGAGTGGTATATCCTGTCATTTTCATCAATCTTATTGACCGACTTGGTTTCGGATGGACTGTTCGCATCATGGGTTTTGTGAGTCTGGGAACCCTGCCGATCCCGATCACTATCTCCAAGATGCGGGTTAAGCCAGCTGGAGTCCGTAAAATGTTCGATCTGTCTGCGTTTTTTGATGGTCCATACCTGCTGTGTATATTTGCCTGCTTCTTGGGGTATACAGGCTGCTATACAGCGTTTTATTATATTTCACTGTATGGGAAGATGCGTGGGTGGATGAGTCCTCACGCTTCTCTCTATCTTGTGCCCATTCTCAATTCATCCTCAATCCTCGGCAGGACCATTCCCAACTGGGTCTCAGACTGGACTGGACCGACGAATGTTGTGATTCCTGGTGAGAAAATCTTTTCACTCCCCATTTCCGTGCGCTCATCGGGTTGCTAATAGCTTCTGGTAGGGTCGTTTCCCACCGGCGTGGTTCTACTCTGCAATCTGGCCGTTAGAAGTGAGGCTGGAATCATTTGCACGGCCATATTTACCGGATTCTCCTCGGATATCTTCATCGCCACCCCTCCGCTTCTCTTCGTTGCGCTCACCAAGGATAAATCCAAGATCGGGACACGGATGGGAATGGCATTCGCACTGCTTGGTCTTGGCGTCTTAACAGGAGGCTCGGGCAGTGGGGGCGTCCTTCAACGAAACCCAGACCATCTGGACTGGACTGGCACCTGGACGTATGGGGGTGTGTTCACTTTAGGATCCGGGGTGTGTTTCCTCATTTTGAGGATCTGGTTGGCGGGGCTCAGAATTAACAAGAGGGTTTAATAGCAGAAACTGAGGGATTTGGAAAGTAAAGTGGTCAGGACTCAGCATATTGTTGGTTAGGTCCACGGGTACTATCAAAACCCACTATAACCTGGGGAAATGATCAACTGCAATCGAGAACCAGCTCTTGGGCCTAACCCGTGCATCTTTTGATCACACAATCCTGGATATTTATGGACTGTCAATACTTTACACAGCATCTAACATCTAGGTCAAATGAGGAAAATGAAGCATAGAAAACTACATACTGTAACATGAATTACATGGATCAGAGCGGTGATTTTAAACAATTCAGTATACTAGCCTGCATCGAGCACAAAACAATCTGGGAAAGGAAATAACAATAAAATGCGTCACAGGGTTAAACCTCTTTCCCATCTAAGATCTCCTTAAAGATTTTGAAATTGCCATCTTTCTTCGGATCATGAACAGCAAAGCATACCTCGCGCCACCAATTGCCCTGGAACTCAGGCTCCTCCAGAACCTCAAGCCAACAGTGCGCAATCTCAGCAGGAGGATTTGCATAAACTCCACAGCCGAATGCCCCGAGAATTAGCACCTCATGCTTACAAAAACCTGCAATACGGAATACCAGCCTCATTTTGGCTTTCGTAAGATCGCGGTCCTTCTCACGCTCGAACTTTTCATTTTTTCCACGGTAGGATGGCGATGAAGCTGATGATGAGCAGGAGCTGAATGATGATGCATTGCCACATTTCCTTTTTTTAGGATGCTCCTGCATAATTATCCGGGTTGCAGGTTGATAGAGAGCGGCAATTGTAATTGCGCTGACAACGGGAAGCTCTTCTGGAGGAAAAGGAGGAGACAACAACTCATGTCCGGATTGCAGATCACTGCGCATGATCAGGACATAGGAACTGTAGATTGCCTCATCAAGAGCGAGTGGGTAGTCATCAGTGTCAAGGCTTAGTCCCAATGAGCTCCGGTAGCAGATTGATTCCTCCTGTGCCATCGCCCCATTCAACCAACCACCCCCTGGTTTGGTATGCGAGGCGAAGTTGATGATGAGTGGATGGTTTTTTTGAAGGGAAGAAGCTGCTTTTGGGTCCTGGTAAACTTCCATGGCGGCGTTCAGGGTATCACCGTTGATTACTTTGATCGTCGCAGGTGATGGAAGGCAAGGACAATTCTTGAAGTTCAAGCGCGAGAGGTCTTTGAATGACACCTTCACCGAACGTTCTGCAAAAGAGGTGGTAGCAAGATGACTTAGGATATTTCTGAGCTCCTTCTGGGTCTCCTGAGCCGTTTCTCTCAGGACCTTTCTCCGGCAATCCTCTTCAGTATCATCATGGTGCTGACGTGAAGATAAATGGCAGAATCGTTCTGCAAAGATTCGGAGTGTAGAGACTATAGACTCTGAGTGGATACTCATTGCTTCTGACATTTTTGAATCAATGTCAGAGAATAAAATGACTGCAGGATAACTAGTAGCTATCCATGGATGGTGATGGACTAAGTGAAGAGATTTCCAGGTTTTGAGATTTATGTGAGTTGTTGTTCGACGATTACCAGGCAATCTCTGCTCAATCAATCAATGTTGATGAGAAACTGATTCATTGTAGACGAATTGCAAAAGGATTGCAAAAGTATTTTGCTAACTCTAGAATCTACCATGAAAGAAGGCTCAGAATATTGAACTGGGTTTCAATCTTCCCTTTAACACCAGGTACTCTTCAACCCTTCATACTGTAATTAATACCTAGTGATTAGCCTCTTTGAACCTGGAATTATGGTAAGAGGCATTCGAGAAAGAAATGTGATCTTCTTACTAATTGGGATCTGTCATAGGACGTGGAGCTGATTCACCTAGACACCGGCAGCCGGTTTTACAAAAAAGGTATGTAGACTAACATCTGTGAATATCAAAGATCATTACCTGATTCAATAGTTTCCGAGATGTTTTATTCTGAATGGAGACACCCCAATACAAAGGCTGAACTTGTCTCTATCTATGCCATGTGTGTATTCCCTTTGATTCCTTTCATGAGTCTACCCAGGCTAGTTATTGATACCATCACTTTTAGAAGAGACACCAAAAACCCAGACCTAGAACTTCGCTTCCATGGAACCCAACGTGCATGCAAGATTGGGAATGGCTCTCTAGAACCGTGTGACAAGATTGAATGCAAGCTCTGTAGCATACTCAAGAATGGATTCTCCGTCTCGCACTCTAGTGAGTAAGAATTATCTAGCTTCATGGTGATATGATTCTGACATGCAGACAGAGCAGACGTGCATGTTCGGCCCTGGAATCTACTGCAGTGTTGTTTCATCCAGTGAGACCCTCAATTTTCTTGGCTTACCTTATGTTGTTCATTGACCGAGCAATTTAGAGGCCAACCTCTATGCCAAGAACTATCGCTTGCATTCGAGAAAGCATGTTCTCATTCTTTGTGGAGTTGATTGTGGAAATGCAAAAGAGATGAAGCTTGCCGGAGCTCCAGGCCCCTGTGACTCTGTATGTTTCTGCTAAGAATATACTGCCTCACATCCATCTAACTAAACTCTCAGGTAGAAGGGGTCACCAAGGCCAACGGTGGCTCGCTCCTCTACCCAGAAACTGTGATATATGACGCGGCAAGAATAAAGCCTCTGGGTCTCGTCGTCTACACGCGAGAGGGGTGGGAACCACTTCCATGAAGTCAACTTGAACTGATTGATCACCATTATCCTTGCAATGATCTTGGAAGCATGAGATATCTTGTATTCTGCTTTCCTGGTTCAAGAATTGAAACTTGTTATTTTCCTGTCATGGCCTCATGGTGTCATCACTTTTCAAATTTGACAATGATGCTAAGCACGCAGTAGAAATGATATGAAGTGTCTGCTACCATCCATGTTCCCTCACATACTCCTTAGATTTGTAGAGATAGAGTGTTTTTGAAAGTTTTTGTTCCTTGAGATGCAACGCAATCACTATATAAAGCAAATAGATATTCTGGTAGTTGTTCACATAAATCCCTTACAAATCTGCCTCCTTTGATATTGAGCAATCGATTTGTAAGGTGGGGTGTACTCCAAGGTTATCTACTAGCAGTCAACATCACTCAACTTGCTCTGCTCACATTGATCATTATATGTATGGAATTTTAGCTCTGCATCAAAAGCTATTCTATTTCATCATTGTCCAATATGGTCCAAACCCTTTTATTTTCTCTTCCCGCAATATCCGCCAGTATTTTTCTCCTGTGGAAAGTCTTCAAGCCTAATTCTGACAACATGAAGAGGTATAATCCCTACTTCCAGCTTACGGAACTCAAAAGAAGCTTACTGAAATAGGGAGATCTTATTTGACGAACAGCCTCTGCTTCATCCATCTGTTGATGAGGATACTCCAGTGCTTGATTCTGACTTGACTGATTCAAGTTCCCAGACTGAACCTCATGGTGGGTCTATGAATTTCTCCGGCAGTCTTACAGGGAACCTCTTCAATCATAGACTGAGGAGTCAATCTGTTGAAACCGAACCCTACCCCTGGCAGCGCTTCGGTGGACCACCGAGAGGTGGCGAAAGGACACAAGACGATCAGAAATCGTTCAAAGCAATCCCACAAAGTATTCATCGATCAGGGTCGAGTGTGAGAACTGAGATGATACCGGTACATCCTCATCACATATGGTCTGTTTTTACAAATTGCTTACTAGTTGTAGGAACTGAGTCTGGTGGGCAGAAGGGCTGGCTTTTCACAAATCAGTGAGTAGATTCCGACCCTTTTTTGTTTCATTTACTGACTGATCATGACAATCCTTAGTCAAAAATTGCTTCGAAAATTCGTGGGTTGATAAATCCAAGACTGTGGAGTTTAAAGTGTTCTATCTCTTCGATATCAAGATTGTTCCATCTCGCCTCAACCGGCAAAGGCTGAGTACTGGCGAGCCATCTAGGTACACACGCTGTCTCGAAACTTGAAGTCCTCTGTGCAAAATGGGAAGCTGTAGATTAGCTAACTAATTTTTTAGTCGCGATCATCAGCTTCTCTCGTTGCTAGGAGGTTTTCCACTTCGGTTTTATGGCGTTCCTCGTGCTTGTCATATCGGAGATCGCGACCACCCCTTGAAGCTTTGCGGGAATGACAACTGCGGCATCTGCTCGGCTTTAAAGGCACAGTTGAAAGCCCGAAAAGATGGTGAGTGCTTACTTGCAGACATGGTATCCATTTTGAGTATTTTGAATATCTCAGCTCATTGACCAACTTAACAGATACATCATTTGAATCGGGCCCCAGAATACGCGCCAATCCACAATCCTCTCGTAGGTATTTCCCATCCGGCTTTTATGAAACGGGATATTTTAATTGATGTGCTCTGCCATATACAGAAGCCGATGCATTCGTCGCGAATGATCATGTCCGTTCGCAGCAGCATGCTATGATCCTCTGCGCATGCCCAGGACTGGTGAGTTATTTTTGATCGTGATACAGTAAACGTTTACTGATAGTATATCACCAGGGCCAATCAAACAGTCAAAGCAATTCCTCGATGGCGAATCGTTCTTACATATCGTCCGCGTCTTCAATGAAAGCTATCCTTCCGATTGGACTGATTATGTATGCGAGGAAGGGGTGGAGTCCATCTTAGACGTCTTCTGGCTGCGTCAACTGGTGCATTTGCTCGGACTCTTGATTCAATGCTCAAGGTGAAACATTTGGATGAGTTTGAAAAACTAAGGAAAAGCCAAAAGTGATTTTATTTCAGTGTTACCTTTTTAAAGCAACCTTGGATCCTAGTTAAACAAATTGGAATATTGAAAAATTGATTTATTTAATATGCAGTTGGAACACTCAAGTGCTCCAGAATGAATGCTGAGCATTGATAACACATGCATCTTGAGGGCTGGCCTACTGTGCTGGAAGTCCAGGAATAGCGCGGCGCTGTTCTCAAGTTGAAGGACATCTGGATTTCTTTGAAAGTTTCAAAGGTTTCTACGAGCTTCGATGATGACTAGTTAGAGCCAAAATTTCTCAGACTACTCCTTTCCATTGTATGACTTAGAGAGAGAGACGCTGATTTTGCAAAAACGGGATTTAATTCTTCAACCATACTTTCAAAGATTGTGCGAGCAGGCAAATAAATACGATCAATATAATCAGGCCACATACCCCAGCCCTTCTTAGAAAACAAATTGAATGTTGCATTTCACCTGGGCGTGAGACAGAAAGACTGGTAAGTCTAATCCCTTTTCCGTTGCTTTCCCGAGCGTGTTCGCCCATACCGTTCCTTATTCTCTTCATCCTGTGTTTCCGCAGCGCGTTTCAGAGCCATAGTTTCCCGGTACCTGTTGTATAGCCTATTCTGGGCTTGTTGAGCGGCGGCTCTATCCTCGGGCTCTTCAGAACTTGAAGGATAAGGTGTTACTGGCAATCCCACTGGTTCCTGAGTTGGCTCCAGCTGAAACATCATGTCGATCTCTTTCATAAGCGAATCGTGTTCTCCCAATAATGCAATTGAGATTTGAGTGATTTTACAAGTTCCATGTGGATACCGCCCCAAAACAAAACGTCCTATCATTCTACCAATCTCGGTACCTAGTAGACCATGGTATTCTGGCGATCCATGGAGGAAGTGGTGTGGATTTGGAAACTTCCCCTCCATTGGAGGGAAGCTCGTCCCATTGGGTTTACCATAGATCTGATGCTGGATAAAACCCCTAGTATCTATGTTTCTGATATTTGTCACAAAGATATACTTGAGTTTATCTTCAGGAACAAGATGAGTGTATATAGCATTTGTTACCTCGTGCATATATGCTTCGCCAGCGTGGCGCTTGACATAGGTAATAACCATACTCCCCTTAGCGACGACTCCATCCCAGCCTGTCACAACATTCATGAATGGATTGTCGAACGGGTCCTTAGTACCAATATTTGTTTCTGTGGAGGCCCTTAGGTCGTCCATACGGCCTTCACGCTGTCTAGGATCAATTGAAGCCTCGAACGGATCATATTTCATGACGCGATGTGCAGGCTCATCTTTTTGGGCTTCTTGATCGGCTCCAAATGGCAATGTTACGTTGAAAGGTTTCGCTGTTTTTTCAATATGTGCCCATGCATTAACGTAACTGCCTTCTGGAGTAGGACCAGGCTTTCCTGGGTCTGGAATTGGACTCTCATATTTAGCATCGGGACTTTGACCTTGCGAAGAGCTTGGAAATATCGAGTCACTGCCGCCTGAGTCGGGATAGCCAGGTTCACCGCATTGCTCGTCTGTGAAAATGGTACAACTCTGGATATCTGATATTCTAAGTTGACATGGTCCGAAAGGGCATACTTCCCCCGCAGTTGGATCGTTATCAATCCATTTCTGATATTTGACACCCCTTTTATAACGAATACCATAGTCTGGAGCCGGAGCCGCGGGGCCTGGAACTGGAGCTGGGAGGCCTGGAACTGGTGGCACCATGACTCGAATATGTCAGGGAAGGTATCTTAAAAGGAGGAAAATAAGGCTGCAAACTTTCATATGCCCAAGTTATCCCAGTTTCCCTATGAGTGTTCACTGTCAGATGCGAGACTTCCAAAGGTTGTTAAAACGTGATAATCAGTTTCAGACTGAATTCCCAGTTCATAGCACTCATTTATAGGATATTATCCATGCATGTAATTTCTAAAAATATGTGTTAATTCTGACTAGAGAGTCCTATGGTACTCAATGGACGTTATTTCATACAGGTTTAATCACTCACAAAGCGAATGGGTGGGAATAGTAGCTCTTGTTGGTATTGGCGGTTTCATCATTCGAATCATTATTCATACATAGTAAAACTTGAAAACCCTCTCGATTTGTGGACAATGCTGGTAGTGAAGTGTTTCCTGGATCAAAGAACTTTTAGGGGCTACCTAACATAAGTTCAATGGGATAAAAATGGAATAAAGCCCACTCCCGTAATCGCATTTTCCTAAGGAAATCATGGGTGGGATTGAAGGTATTGCAAGGCTTAACATTATTGGGCTTTTTTTTATATTGATGGCATGAAGTACCAGGGGTTTGACTGTGAAATTGGCTAAGAATAATGTTCATTATTTGCCGCCGAGTATTTCAGTCCCATCCTGCCATGATATGGTAACTAGTATGCAATTCGCGATTGAATTTCATATCACTGCTCTCATCCCGAGATCTGTATGCTAAGAGTTGATGAATTCAAGAGAAAGGCACAGGACTTTGGCTGGCCTAAATTTGGTCAGGTGGTGTCTTTGATTTGGGATTCCATACCTTTTCCTCGGTTTCTTTCTTCAATTCTTCTCTTTGTCTTTTTCCCTCAGACCAAATTGAAAATTTGAAACTTTTCATTTTCTGGAAGGCCGGGTATTCGGAGTATCTCAAAGGAGTTTTTGAAGGACAATCCTGTCACAGCGAACATTTGAAGAAGAGAAAAGGATGAATTTGGAAGAACAAAAGACCTCTGAAGAGGAGCGGATGTCTCGATCCGACTTAAGACTTGAATTTCTTTCTCTTTAAGTCCTATCTAATCTCTCGGTAGTAGTAAGTCGGAAAATACTTCATTCTCCTTGAATGTACCCATATATTAACTTGTCCAGATTACTTATCTTGACCTGTACTCGAGCAGGCGATCAAAATCCTCATTTTTCAAGGCTTGAGGTTCTTTGTTATCATCTGGAACAATGTATGCTCGTATATTTCCCGTAACTTTGAATGCTAGTCTAGCCTTGGATTTTTGCCCCAGATCCTGCAGCAGTTCTGCCTTGGCCCACGTTGTTCTCGCGAGTTCTGGTTGGAACAAGTCTGAATTGAGGGTCCAACATTCCAACGCAGCGTTGAACATGACTCTGTATATCTCCATCAGCTGGTCTGGAGGGATGGACACGAGAATATGAGTAGGGCTTACATAGCATCTTCGTAACGTTGAAGCCTAATAAGATGAACAGCGCATTTGTGGCGCAGATCCGCGGCCCGATAAGATCGTATTCCCATCGTTTGGATGAAGAAATTTAGCGCTTGCTTGTGATACTCGTAGGATTCATCGAATCATCCTTGGAGGTTGCGGAGGTTTCCAAGAGCCTGGAAATGTCGGGCGATCCTATACCAGATATGTTAGCGCTTTCGAATCCTGACATCTATCATTTTGCCAGTGAATCATTTAATTTGAGACTATGCTGATTCCTACCTGAGTGTGACAACACTTCCAGTAGACTCCCAAAGCTTTACGCAATCCAGGAGCACCTTCTCTGCAACTTTGAGGTCTCCTCGCAGCATTAGTGTCATCGCATAGTTAGCGTCTCTTGATTGAAGATGCGTAATTCCTATTCTCTTCCTGATTTCCATTTCACGTCTAAAAAATCTGATGGCCTCATACAATTGTCCGGCCTGTGTGAGACTTAGTGCCATCTCAGTGTAAGCATTTCCCAGTCGCATATCCACAAAGCCAGGATCGACACTTTCGCAGATCGATTTTTGCATGTTCAAGAAAGCTTAATTATGATGACGCGCTAGTTGATGCTCATTGGTGTCGGTGTATATCCAACTGAGGCAACAGTGGATACTGCTAAGGACACTATCGCTGTCATCACCTGGTAAAGATTCACATATCGTTTGTGACAAATCAAAGAACCCATCGAAGCCTCGGAATCTCCCTTTCTCATGCTGATACCTGATCTCATTGTTAGGATAAAGACTCATTTCTTTGTTAAACAAAGGGGCGAATTGAAAGATGTTTGGGACATACCAGGCAGCGTCAGTCAGCAGTGCTGCGAAGCGAACTTTGGTGCTGTCGCTGCAGTCGGCCACTTGCGACCACATCTGTTTCAATCGTAGAATGTGAGGATATAATGCCACACACAGTGGGTACCGGGACATTGACCACCGCATATTGGCGACTTTGTGTTCTAAAAGCAAGGATGGCTTTGTCGGTGCTGGCATTCCGGACGGCCAAGCCTGCCACAGCAGTTTCACCATGGTCTCGAAAATCGAGGTTATATCTTCATTTCTCATGCTAGATCTGACTGCATCTTGCACTTAATGATGAATTGAAATATGTAAATCCGAGATCTCACTCTTTTCTTCTCTCTCCGTATCAGTGATGATTGCGATAGTTCAGTACGCGTTTCATTAAACTTGGGCCTCGTGAATGTCTCCGGGGGAAACAGGGAAACATGAGGGCTGCAGCATTAAAGAGGATGCTCTCTTGTATGACATCTGGATCTAGCAAAAGCATAATTTTCAAGAGAGTTTTCGCCTCTGTTGACAGCTTCTCAAATCCCCAAACAGTCGCGATGCTACACTTGTAAGCCTTTGTGCTGGTGTTATATTTTGTGCGATATAGAGCTACGCGATGTTTGTCTTCTTCGTAAATGGACTGGAACTCACTGAGGCTCAACTCCTGTCGCCGAATAATTCCAGCCATCTGGGATATTGCAAGGGGTAGACCGGCAAGACTCGTAGAGATTTGCTGTGCCATCTGGTCCGCATTCTCCTCTGAGCTCCCATTAGACTCAGTTAGCTTCAGTAAAAGAGCGCTTCCATCGACGGGATTCAAGGACTCTAGGTCTAGGCCAGAGGAATTTGAGGGGAAAAGTCTTTTTGCTAATGGGTCGCGACTGGTGATTTGAACACTGCCTCGACCTTCAGGCCAGTAATCACCAAGCAACTTGGGGTCATCGGCATTTTCAAAAATGAGGAGCCACAATGCATCGTTACCACTTGAAGCGGTAGAGCTGATGTCTTCGGCGATTGTTGTACTGCTTTTGATGGGATTTGCGAGCCAGCCTTTGACTAAGGATCGCGAGATAATTTGATTTGTAGCTTCCTCTGCAGTCTCAAGGCCGAGTTCGATCGAGATATCTACGAAACATTGGTCCAATTTGGCGGGCTCGTCAGCATGAACCCAGAAGATGGCGTCAAAGTTTTCTTTGTTTCTCAAAGCAAATTCGGCAGCAAGTTCGGTTTTACCCATCCCGCCAAGTCCACAGAGAGCGAATTGTCGTAATTCGAGCGATGAGGCTTGGCTTGTGCTCTTGTTGATCAAAGCTTCGCATGATGTCCAAAATATGCTGCTGCCCAAAAAATATCCGACTGGGGTCGTTGGTCTCCATTATCACGCAAGGCAGGTTGACCGTCATTTTCTTTGAGACGTCAATGAATTCGAATCCTTGATCGCTTGAGCCCGCCGCTGCCTTGCCTGTAGAGTCTGGTTCATTCTGAGATTCTCGCTATTCTGTTGCAGGAGAATGAGAAAAATTGTTCCAAGTTCATTTGATGTGACTTCCCGCACCTGATAATTCGAAGCACTCTGGACTGGTGAATAGGTGCTAGTGGTCGCGCGCTTGAAATCCACTATTTATTAAATGTGTCAATTCTTCAAATACTGGTGTATTATCTGACATGTTTGAGGGTCCTACATGCTGCCAATCTTGTCAAAACAAGATCTTCGGCTTTATTCAAGGCCTCTCGTACAAAACCTTCAAACGTATTCCGGCTCGGTTCGTCTGCAAGATCTACTCGAAAGAGCGACGCATGCTCAAGGGGAAAATTCCGAATTGATTCAAAGGGAGAATTTGTGGTGCAGAGTGACGAATCAGTTAACTCGAAATAAATGTCAGAAAATACAACTTTGCCCATGGTGGAGTACTGCCTACCAGTAAACGCTTGGTTCTCAAGATCCCTGTGTGAATTTTCGTCTTTTTACCTTCAGTCACACTAAGCACAGGTAATTGAATACAAATGTTTTCAAACTGATCTGCCAGCTGGCATAACATAACCGTTTCCGAGGGAACCCGATTCTCAGGTACGTGGATGGGCTTCTTGATGCTGGCAGTGCTTGAAAGAATAGTCAGCCACCTTGTGAATGGATCGGCGCTTGTACTACCTCGATGTAGAGTGCCGGGAAATGCGACACCTGCGACGGAGCTGAGGATTGTTCCATGGCGATATGGTTGCTCATGAGCAATACAGAGCGCCTGCTTGAAGATCAAACCACCAAGGCTATGGCAGATCCCGAACAGGGGCCGAGTATTACCCTCAAGACCAGACTGTAACTTAAACAACCCTTTTACCAGTGCATCGGCGTATATTAGGAAGTCTTGGATTGAGAATTCTCCCTCTCTCAAAGATATAGAGTAATCAAAGGCTAGGACACGTCCGCGTTTTAGGTCCTCGGGGAGCACTCTTGTTAGCCACTTCGAAGAAGAGAAGAGCCAATCATCCGGCTTTGGAGTCGCAACACCGGGGATGAGAAGGATCCTAGAAGCAAAAATGAGTACTGAACATGATAAATTTCTCTTAGATCGTGGGTGTGGTTGGATACTGACTCAACATCGGCTTCCCCATTTGGTCCGTCCAACAATACTCTTAGTGACCCGGTGGCCGGTGACATCTGGCCGCCTGATCGACTCGTAGTATAAATCAATACTAGAATTTGACCTATTCTTCCAAGGTTGACTCAGCCGCGCAGGTGGAGAAATGACTCGGAGTTGATCAGGGAAATCAGCCACGAGGACCTCGGATCCTTCAGGGTGCAGATCTGACACCTTGCAGCAAGTGCTAAGAGGTTTTCGTGCTACCCCGCTTCCTACATTTACATACATGCAATGCATATGAAATTGATATCAGACCGCTATTTGCCACTGGTCTTGTATACAAAGATACTTATTTGGGCAAAACATGTTTGAATTCTAGTAGATTCACCAGGGGGTCTTCATGTACTGGTATAGCTTGTCTCTATAACAGAAAATGAACATAATCTAGCATTATCTTACGTTCTGCATGAAGCAAGGTCTCTATTGATATAACAAGGACACTCCCAGGTGAGTTTCATATTCAATCTCACTGTTCCCTAAAAAGTACTCAACCTTCTATCTCCGCTGAGGAGACTCTGAGAATCATAGGAGTAACTTGAACATTTTAAAGTACATACATGAGTCAATAGTATGAAATATACCGCGAAAACTATACACCACCAAGCCACGCATTAATGCATACAGTTGCATACCTATGTAGAAAGATCCCCGCTCAGATTGTCCAAAGCCTGATGCTCTTGGACCAATAGAGACACGATTATCAAGCAGGAGATCATATAATATGCTCTCGCTGTATCAAAACCACTCAGGCCACCGTAGATAACCCAAGTGACAGGGTTCCCCGCTCTGATCACTGACGTACGGCGTACTTTGGTGCGTATGTGCTCAGTCACAATAGTTGGCTAGTATGTATGTCCTAGATATAAAGAGGGACTAGGGACTCACAAATTTGGCATAAAGGTGCCATCATTCACGACTATTCTTTTCGCCTGCCTGGCCGGAATCCCGAAACAACAAAACCTTGTGAGTGACACCTGTGCAATGTGTTATATGCCAGTCGGTTATTCAATACTGAGAGACTTCAGCACTTCTCAAGTGCTCTCAATTAAGATCAATCTCATCCGGCAATATGCTCTGCGTGTTTTGCACAATAACATACCCTCCCTCACAGCCCAAATGTCCGAATTGCCATACGCCATCAAGCTAAGTAGGCCATATTACTATAATCTTACTCGAATGTCCCTTTATTAACACAGTACTCTTCACAGATATGAAGAAGCTACTCGGCTATTATGAAACAACTGAATTGTTCATCAATGATGAGTTGGGGTTTGGCCGAAATTGTGTTATGCAGCAAGTGTCAGGGTAAATTTGAATACATCAAGATCCAGACTCCTAAATTCGGCTTTATACTGCCCAGGTGCACCAATGTGTCTCTTATTTGCCATTCTTAATATGGCAAAAAAAGTACTGCATTGCTCCCGAGGTGTTGAGTGTTATTATTAAGGAAATTAAGTAATTTCTCTAGGTCATTGTTTTCACCATTGATTACAAGTAAAAGACTCAATCCTTTAAAGAGGGGCACGTGAAAGTATTCCAGAAAGAGTCTAGCATACTCCAGATCAGTGAATTTATAAGTATCAATAAGATTTTTGGCTACGATAGACTGTTGTGACGGAACACATATTCGGTAGAGTGAAACAATATCTCATGGAGATATGAGTGACGACATCTGAATGTCTTAAATAATGCTTTCATGTCAACTGGGAGCTTCCAAGGTTGATTTCGACTTTGAGATCCTCATAGTAGATCTCAAGTGCTTGTGACGGCTATTTTCCGAATATATCATTTAAAGATAGAGATATAGCAGACTCTTTGGGTAATCACTGGCAAGGACACAACGTAAGTCAGACAAAGCTTTTATTATTTCATCATGCTAGTACAATGGAAGTTCAACCATGGATGCTAAATGATCCTACTCAGAATCACTGCTTTCTCCTTGCTGGTTATACATTTGTCGTGCCAGAATCTCTTGCCATTTACCCATGAACTCGCTCATCCCACCAGTACCAGCTAAAGAAGCGTCGACCACATCCCTTGGAACTTTATGGGCGGAGTACTGTGGTGTAGAGAACTGGTACGCCTCGGGATCGTCCTTTTTGATAAGACGAACCTCCGGTAAGAAGGGAGCAAGGTCGTCATCTTCCTCTACGGTTTCCTCCTGTTTGTCCTCCTGTTTGTCTTCTTCTTCCTCGATCTCATTAAGAACTCCATTTACTTCATCGGAGCTCATAATACTTCCATCCCGAAGCGAGATCCGCAAGAATCCCTCTTCAACACCCGTATTGACATCTCCTTCATCTTCAAAGCCAATCGGATCCTTCATGCGCAGAATCTCCAACCAACTGAACAGTAGCGAATCTGTGCGCTGTGCCCATGGATTAATATCAATGAGCCAAACCCGTTGATGTGGCGCAGGAACGTAGACATCAAAGACGAAATTTGGATCTGGGAAGCTGTCACGTAGTCTCTCGTCGAAGAATGCTTGAATACGGGAGCGGAACATATCGCGCATATCAAACAAAAACTCGAAGTGGTTGAGGTCACGTTGGCAAATGCATAAAAGTTTGCGATTGCGCACAAAGCATCGGAACTCGAGGGATGGGTTGAAGTTCACATATTTGCGCAGGATAAGATGATACGGGACCTCCGGGATGGACGACGTAGCAGAGTCGCCTTGTTCATCTTCATTGGATGGTGTGGTATCAGATTCACAGTCATCAAAAGGATGCTCGAGATCATGAGTAATGAAGTCACTACTTTTCAGAAGCAGATAAATGTCATTAGGTGTAGCGCATTTTGTGTCATTGGTTGCCGCCATGAAAGTCGCATCTTTTGGAGCGCTCCAGTTCAATTTTGGTGTAACTTTCCCAAATTCTGAGATTGTTTCTTTGACTTGTGCGTGCAAGTCAGCCCATTCCGTTGAGGGATCATCGCCCTCTGAGCCTGCATCCGAGAAAGTATCAAGGCCATCATCTTCTCGTGGGTGTGTAGGTTCGGGTGGGAGAACAATGCCGTCGGCGCGGAGGTAGCTAACGAATTGAGGTGGGAGGGGAATCACGCGGGATTTGGGTGTGATGGTACGATATCTGTTCAAATTGTTAGACAAATGGTCTCCTCTGAAACTCATATTTTGAAAATTACGCATACCTTGGGTGCCAATCATGGTATGAGCAGTGGAGGATGTGGGAATATGTAATTGGCGGGAAGGGAAGACGGTCGGGAATATCGGTAGAGGAGTCCCCTACTGGCACATCCACAGGCTGTGTATCTGAGTCCATCAAGGGCATTTCGAATTTATATTATCCAAGATATTGCGAGGACATGGATACTGAATCATGGCGGGGCTTTTCTTTTTTGAGTCACGCCCGCGCCGATAAGATAGATGACATAAGCCATTTATCCCTGAGGCAGAACTTTCAATATGCATTGATGTTAATCTCACATTAGGATTCATGTGTGCATAGCTGCTGAAGCTTCAGAATTCTTCAACCAGGCTGTCATTAACATAATAACCTCTTGAAAGGTAGCACAGCAAAAATGTAATTAACATTAAGAACAGGAAATTCTATAACTTTAACTTGCAAACATTCACATGCAATATTCCATGTATCCTAGGCGGTGTCCCAATGCAGAAGCGGTCAGAAAGGCGGAATATGGGGACTTATTGAACACGATTGACCAGATGGTCATTTCACTCTTGGAATCACTACTCAACACTGTCCATTATGGCCCCAGAGGCTCCTGATCCCCAGAGTCTCAAGTCATGGGCGGATGCGTTTCAATATCCAATTCCCACGGTTCGCCGTGTGGAGATGGAATTGCGCCGGGACATTACAAGCAATAAGGAGAAGCTCCGAGCTCTCGTGGGGTAAGCTAACTTGCTCGCTGGAATATTGTATCCAAGGTTACAAGGTTTATTCACAGTGATTTGATTATAGTACGCGATATCGAGAACTGGTTGGAACAGCCGAAACGATCGTGGCGATGAACACAGAGATCCAACAAGTGGAAACCCTTTTGACCGATGTTGGACGGCGGTGTAATCCACAATTGGTCGAGAAGAAACATCTTCATGCGCGGCAGATGAAGAGTGATAAGGCGGATATGGGTATAGATTATACCGAAATAATTGTTCCTGGCATGGAATTTCATCGCTGATACCTTTCCTAGATGCGGACAAGCATGCCTTCGGAGCGCAACTTGCCCTACTTCACCGCTGTACAGCTTCCATTTCCCGACTTCTACGCAAACGAGCCTCGCTATTATTTGTCGCCAAGATTCTTATTGTGTCCCGCCAGCTGGACATCACTTTGTTGAAGCATGAATCAAGTCCACCGTTTCTCAACGACCTCCGCAGCCAGCTAGCGTCTCTGCACCAAACCCTTCTAAAGCGAATTAATAAACGCCTAGCTTCTTCAACAGCAACAGAAGACAGTATCATTGAATCATTGGCCGCATACTGTCTAGCTACAAAATCCTCTTCCGATGATGCTATCCACAAATTCCACCAAGTGCGGTTGGATGTCATTACAGCCAATCTTGACCTTTCACGGGAAAATATACCCAAGGCCCTTCGACTTTTCATCCTCACACTCCAAACTTCCAAGACTCTGCGATCTCGACAGTTCTCCGACGTGCTTTCGAAGCTCAAATCTAGGCCGATTCTATCTGATTCAGATATCCGCAATCTGGACTCGTTAGATATCGAAATACTCGGCCGCTGGGCATCTTCAGAGGTGAATAACTTCACTCCCTGGATTAAACTGAGCGAGTTGAATCGTACAGAAGGAATTGAATCCATTAGAGAGTGGTCTTCTCAGGCTTTCGAGAAGCTCGCCGAGTGCTTGGACCGAAGCCTTGCTCATAGTAACGACTTTACTGAGTTACTTTTCTTGCGTGCCGAAACCGTTGAATTGTGGCTCTCCTCTTGGGGATCAACAATCACACATCGCTCTGCCGATGTACTTAAGCGACTCCGTGACATTTTCAATGATCACACCAAGCGCGTATTGGTCTCGCAAGTCAAAAAGATCAACGAAATCGGATTCCAGATCTCATCTACAGTATCCAAATGGGACTCAGCAGAACATTTTTTGACGGGCTCGTTATGGGATTCAGATCTTATCACAGCAGACCTCTCGGACGGCGCAAACTCATTCAAGCAAACCGTGACAGACCGACTACTCGGCCGCAATCATGACGTGACTGCAGTTCTCAAGAAGTATCATTCTTGGCTTTCATCTATTGGAGAAAGACAAGAATCTATCGAAGCCCTACGTCGCCTCAAATGGACTGATATTCTTGTCGGCGGCGAGGTGGAAGACGAAGACATTGACATTACGCCTTGTCTAAACGATAATGATCCGAAACTCTTGTCTGATGCTCTTCATTCGGCTGTAAGAGAATCACTCAAAGAGCTGGAGAGTAGATTCAACGATACTTTCAAGGTCTTTGGAGATACCCACCAAAGTGCAAAAGCCACGTTCTTACTGCGGCTCATCCGCCTTGTGCGCCGAGATATTCCTGCAGGGTTTGTTGAGAAGGAGTTTTTGTTCTCGCGCCCTCTGGTTCCACAGTTACAGGCACTGCTTGCATCTGATGTAGTTGCGCAGGTTGGGAAATTGTCTCTTGTGTTGACATTCAAACCTGAATCCAATTCCAATCAATTAAGAAATGTGCCTGGTCGCACACTTTGGGAGGGTGAACCTCCCGTGCCGACGCAGCCATCAGCGAGCACTTTCAAGTTCTTACGACAACTGACTGCCGTTATGGATGAGGCTGGAACTGATTTATGGGATCCATCCACAGTGAGTGTCCTGAAGACTGAGCTGCACCAGAATTTCGAAAATGCCATCGGGTCTACACTAGATGATATGACAGCCTGGGGCAGCGCAGAGAGAAAGATCGAGGATTCTCCAGCTGCCGATGACCAAAGCAAAGGAGATGTTAAGGAGAATAGCAACGACCAAGAAAATCCGACATCTCCCAGCCCAGACACCACCCAGGCGAAGGAAGATATTTCTCAGGTCGATGTGCTCCGAGATTGGCAGGTTCAACTTCTCTTCGATTCGACCTATCTAGCAAACATGCTTGGCAACCCAACGACTCAGCTGGCTGGAGTTATTGAACGGATCCAGAATAGCATGGAATCAGATGCTGCGACCGAAAAGGGTATCCAGAAGGGAGCTGTGGAGTATTGGAACCGAACGGAGCTGCTCTTTGGTTTGCTTGCAGATCGATAGAGCTTTCTTCCATGTAAATAGGTGGTTCGCCACTTTTCTTTCGTTTCATGAGAGCGTGTTAGATCATCATACTAGCTTACACCTTCGAAGGTTATGATATCCATGGGTGTTTGCACTCAAATCGAACAGCAAATAAACATTGGCACTAAGGTACTTGAGCCAATCACAGCGGACCTGAAGTATGACCCTAACCCGCTTATGTAATGGCTTCCGTTTCCGCGGGGGAGATCAACGTCACTCACACTTCGCCGACGGGAAATGTTTCTTACTCCTTTCAACCTCATCTTCAACCATGGCCACGCCCCGGCTCCCTTTTCTTTACCCTAATCTTATGCGCGCGGTCCGGGCATGTCAACCGAAGATATACCACTCCCCCCGATTCACACCTACCCGTTCCCGGTTCCATACAAGTCGCCGTCTGGGGCAACAAGCCTACCAACGACGCTATGGCCCAGCCGTTGCACCAAACATTCCTCCACCATATCCTCCAAAAGACGGCCCTCCCTCAGATGTAGCTGAGAATGCAGACGAAGTTTCCAAGGAGATTGAAAGTAAAGACGAGGCTTCTCCCCAACCAGAGCAATCGGCTGCACCACCACAATCGCAACCGCAGCCTGAGTCACCGCCAGCCGAACCGGAGATTGAGCCAGCCGAAGCAGCTGTTTCATCGTTATCTGACCAGGTGGAAGCTGAGTTGATCAAAGGCAACATCTTGATAGAGCTTGAACAAACCCTCGATCATGAACAAGAACAACACAAATCACAAGAGGATAAAGCTGAGGCCAATTCCTCGTCGCCTTCCGGTGACGTAGGAGAGGAGATGTCCCAAATGGCTCCATATGCGAACCGCAGTGCTTTCGATGAAGTCTATCATATGCCTTCCCCGTCGACCTACCTAACACCAACGGAGCCTCCGGATTCTGAAAGGCCGCCACATATGTCGCCGGCGCCTTATGTACACCATTTCGATACATACTCCCTTGTACAAGACCTCTCCGGTAGCGGGTTTACCAAGAAGCAATCCACGACAATCATGAAGGCTGTGCGGAGCATCCTACAAAATAACCTGGACTTCGCCAAACAAGGCTTGACGTCAAAATCGGACGAAGAGAACGAATCCTACCTGTTTAAGGCGGCTTGCTCTGAGCTCCAGCAGTCTCTCCAGATGGCAAGAAACTCCGAGGTTCAGCGACAGCGTGCTTCTCGAGGCCAACTGGAACATGAGACAGATATCCTGTCTCAACGCCTGAACCAGGAGCTTGCCGGCATGAAGGATGAGATCAAGGGCATGTTCAACGACCACAAGATGACCACCCGTGAGCATCAGCGCAGCATAGACACATCCGTGCAGGAGTTGAACTACAAAATTACTGTTTCACTCAACAGTGATGGCAAGAGCGAGATCGAAGGCTTGCGTTGGATTCTGACAAGACGTGCCGCTCTAGCAGTTGCTATATGTGCCTGTAGGTTTCCACTGTTACGGATATCTCCATCATTATTCGTATGTTTATAATTCAACGCCTGAATGCTAACATATTTTCTCAGTCATGATGATCGTCTTCCTCAAGTACGCTTCCACGCAAAAGGTACATGAGCCACCCAAGACCGTGAAAGAGGTCGAGAAGCCCGTCAAAGAAGCCGCCAAGGAAACCAGAGTCATTCATGAAACTGGGGGCCGAACTGAGATGCGCTCGATCTCTGAGATTCATCTCGGAGAGTCCTTGGGTTAATCGCTCTGGGTTATTCGAGACCTGGCACTAGTCTCCTTTCTTATTTTTTCTCTTTCCCACATTCAACGCCCCAGGTCATCCGTCCTTACGTCAGTTTTTCTCATTGCCCGCCGTCTCTCTAAGATGACGATTTGTATAACACCAATAGACAAAGATACCCCACATCATACATCGCTCAAGTCCCCATAGATTCCATTTTGTCAGAACATTTCGCTTTCTTAATATACAACAATATCAAATCAATTTCTATCCCCAACAACTCAAGTCTTCTTCAACCATGTGATCTTCTCAGGTAGATAGTTCTAAGCCCTTGAAACAGAACTTGAAGGATTGAACTACTTGGCAACCTTAAAATCTACAGGGCTACCATTATCTACAAGGCACTCTTTTGGGGGGTTTAATAATACATTAATTGATGCTAACGTAACTTGAATGCTACATACATGACATTGACAACTCATTCAATCCATCTGGGCAATCAGGACGGTAATTAATGAGTCAGACATCCAAAGTTGATCTGATTCTCATCCCCCGGCTTTTCACAGAAACTTGACGGAAACATAACATTGGGTTGACTTGCGGTTTTGGTACATCGTGTAGTGCGTATTTCTTTCATAACCTGAACGGAAACATAACCTTGATATCGTCTCATGATCAAGATCCTGTGAAGGATCTCGGAATTGAAAATTTATGTCGGACTAAGCTTCGGCTTTTTCGGCTGCAAGTGCGTGCTTTCGGCGTATTTCAGCTCCATAGAGCAACATATCATTAATCTTGAAGATTCCCTGATCCTGGTACTTCTTGGTGCGACGGAAGTTCGGTAGCAGTTTCTTTTCAGTGAGGTCGCATTCCTTGCGGCATCTTTCCAACTCCTTCGACGCCCAGGCACTTATGGCCTTCAGCTCCTCGAAGGACATACCCTCCAAGTCTTGAAGTGATGGAAGGACATCTAGAATTGGGTCAGGCTCGAAAAGACACGCAGTCTGCTCGTCAAACCAAGCCGTTTTTTGTGCAATTTCCTCTTCAGACATGTCACAAGGAGGGAGCGGAGGCATCTCGGGCAGTGTGGTGTCAAAATGGGTAAGTCGGTACAACGTTCGCTGGAACGTGTCGCTATCCGCGTCAGCGAAGACAAGATTGAATTTTTCCGGTGTGGCGAGAAGAGCCGACACTCCACCATTCACATTGACCTTGTCCTCTTGGTCAATGTATGGAATATGTTTTCCGTTACGTTTCACCTCCCGTTCAAGGTACAGCTGCTCGTTTGCCTCATCCAAGCATCGAAGGACAGTACCACGAGGGGTGATCATACAACGGTGTTTCGTAGAATCATGACCAACCTGGATTGGTTCACCACTCATAAGAGCCTTGCGTTGCTCTGCAGTAACCACATTGGGCTTCTTCATCAGTTCATAATCCTCGGCAGTAGATTTCATATCAGCGCGATCGCTGAGACGGGCAGGGTTGGCAATTGCCCAAGCATGAAGGTCGATGTGACCACATTCGTGCATTTCAGCAAGTACAACAGGAATGGACGGAGTTCTTTCCATGACAATGTCTTTGAAACTGCGACCCGTCCGCTCCGCATCTTCCATCGCGCGTCGGATGGTGTTGCACAGTGGCTCGTCATCATCCAAGTCATCGTCAGGTTCCTGATCCAGAGCAGCAGGCTCGGTCTCTGGCTCAGTTTGATCCACAGCTCTTCCCTTCCCCTTGTCTAAAGTGGTCGGAGGGTCAATATTCTCAGTGAATTCATTGTCACTCTTAGGGGCGCTCGCCTCGCCTGTAGCAAGCACTGCAGCTGTATGACCCGACTCTGTGGTGCTGGCAGGAGCCTTCTTGGTCTTGCGCTTACGACCCATTATGGGGGCTTGAACTGGAGCTTCATTGGCAGTGGCGGACTCTACCTTTTTGGCTTCGGCCTCTCTTGCCTTCTGGCGGCGTTCTTTCTTTGCTTGACTCTTTGTCATTGCGCGAACAGGGGCAGAACCAATGCGACTAGAGGAGGCTGGAGGCGAATTGGAGCGAGAGACTGAGGTTGATGGATAGAGATCGGCCTCAGATCCAAGATAACCAGGTGTATCCGGTCTGCTGGTAGACGACAGACTCTGTCGTCGAGAGTCTGGCTTGCCCATTCCTGTAACAGAGGCCGCTACAGAAGGAGCAGTTGGAATGCGCGAAACTTCCGGCTTTGGTGTTTCCACAAGACGGAGAATGCGCGCCTGGCGAGGTGCTGAGGAATCTGAAGCGCGGGAAGTGGTGGTGAGGGGAGTATTCGGACGTGATGCAACTGCTGAAAATGAACCAGGAGCAGCTACAGAGGTAGCAGACAGTACACGCTCAGATTTGCGGGGAGAGGATTCGTGCATAGAAGATGGGGTAGGCAACGCAGCAGGACTATCAATTCCACCTGACTGGTGGTCTGTCTTTTGTAGACCATGAAGGTTACCGAGGATGTCTGTTTTGGCGGTAACACGAGGCTTACGAACTGACTTAGCCACAGGAGATCCAAGTGATACCTGCGAGGAGTCCTTAGTCCGAGCTGATGAAGCCTCTGCACGTGTGCCCACTTCGGGACTGATTGGGCGCGAATGAGATGGTGTGCCACCGAAGCCTGGAGGGACTATGGGTGCAGGAGAAGGTGGCTTCGAAGACTCTCTTTGGTCTTGAAAGACCGGATGAGCGTGAGGCAAAGGAAGACCAGGAGGGAGACTGGGGGTTCCTGCACGCCCACTAGAATCGTTGGAGATCTGTGACTTCAAAAAACCGAAAGTATCAACAGGCTGGCTCTCCTTAGGCTGGGCGCCCAAGGGAGGGAAATCATCATCCACTACTCGAAACCAGTTAGTGCTAGATTCATAATGAGAGGACATTGCGGAAATGGGAGTTGAGGATAGAACGAAGAGACAACGCATGGGAGAAGAGGTGATGGTAGAAGATCGAAGCCTGGTGGAGACAGAAACACGCTGCAAAAAGTAAACGAGTCACCAAAGTCTCGGCGAGTCCCGAACAACAACGCACGACTAAGCAAAAGCAAACGCTTATGGGCAGACTATGCAGGATACAGGTGGGCCAACAGATAATTACACGATGGGCACTGACCCGTTCGGGCCAGATACAATCAGGGATAGGGAGTCTATGTAGACAGTAACAGTGAGACAACTGGTTTCGAATAAGACCCTGTTCCAGCTGGTGATATCAGGGCAGGGAGGTCTTAACGTACATTAATCAATGCGTAGACCATCCACGGTCATCAAGACGCTGTAGATAGTTTGGAATGCAAAGATCCTCATGCAACAAGAGGAAAGGACGAAGAACATGAAGGGAAATACCAGCCGCCAGTAGAAAATAAAGCCCATAAAGACATGCAATATGTCCACAAAATGCGGAAAGAAAAGAAACAAAAAGTATCAAAGACACCATGGACCGGGAGAAGAAGGTAAACCGGAAAAGCATTCGCAGAGGAAAACATTAAGACAAGAGACCATCACAACACACCGATGGCATACCAGCCGACTGTGTTGATCCGTGTTGCTTCACAACCCTGAAAGAATAAAGTAAAACATAATACAATCCCGGTGTATCATGGTGAGAATAGCAACGCAGAATTGGAAATATTGTCAAGGGGATGATTGGAGGCCCAACAAGTGCATAGGGAAAAGAAGGAAGAAAAGAAAAGATTCATGAGCAGAGAAGTGCACGCACATAAGATGCAGTCGGAATTCATAAGATGTAGGGTAAGAGGAAAGTGAAAGGGGATAAAGAGAAATCACATTTGGGAAAGGGAATCAATAGCGGCTCAACCCACTGCCATACATCATTGGAGGATTGTACCCACCTTGACCCTGACTCCCATACAACACTTGACCAGCAGTGGCGTTGGCACCGACCTGATGCATTCTCGCCTGTAAAATGCTCGGGTCCGCAAGATCTACTACACCACCTCCACCGGAGGAAGTGTTAGCGTGTCTCTGCTTCTTCCCCTTCTTTTTCTGCTTCTGTGAGCCACCAGAGTCAGGTGTTACACCTGCCTGGGGCCCATAGAAAGAGCTGAGAAGGCCATTGACGGGAGTCAGGGGAGGTGGGGTTTGGTGCTGTTGAAGGAAAGGGAACATGAACTCACGCTTTGCGGCCTCCTGGCCCTGCACACCACCAACATTTGTACCACTTCTGCCTCGCAGTAATTCACGCATCAATTCAGGGGTCGCATCTTGCTTTCCTAAGTTTCCTCCCAATCCGGCATTGACGTTTGAAGTAAAACCATGACCCTGAGCGAACATTCCTCCTCCACTGATCGGGGGAGTTCCGGCGGTCTTTAATCCAGGAGGGGGGGCCCTGCACACCACTGGCATAGAAGCCACTCGCGAGTGCGTGTTGGGGGCTCGGGGCAGAGAGCGGATTCGGGATACCAGGTTGTTGCATTTGGCTCAACATCCGGGCATTGCTGATATTCTTAGTGTTGACATCGCCGGAGAAGGGAAAGCGGGAGGATTGCCGATTCTGAGCTTGAAGAGCATTGTACTGAGCCATCTGGCTCTGCAAAAGACCTTGGCGAAGCTGTGCAGCCTGATCAAGGGCAGCTGTGCTCATAGGATCAGCCAAGCCAGCCTGCTGGTTGCCCGCGGATTTCAGAAGCATCAATTGCTGTTGTTGAAGAGGTGTCAAGCTGCGACCAGCCAGGTTAAGCCCTTGAAACTGGTGACTTGTAGCCGAGACGGGGGAGCCAACGGTCGAATTGTCAGCAGTACCTTGCTGAGAAGGGGGTTGAATGGCACCGTGGCTTTCGCGAGTTTGACGACCACGGGGAGGGTTAGCATCCTCCGGCTCTCCACCGAGCTGTAAACTTCCAGCCTCTCGAGTATCCTCCTCTGCTACAACTGTCTGTAGAAGTTCTTGGTCGCGCTTTGACCGCTCCTGTTCTGCTTTCTCACGCATGGCCCGGCGCTTGACACCACCGTAAGGATCGATAAACGAGGGATAGTTTTGAATGTGTTTGATTTCCTCCGGGGGAAGATCAGCCGGGGAGAATATGAAGCGAAACTCTGGAGACATCAAATCCTTAACAAGTGTATCAAAGGGACTAGGTAATTCCGGTGCAGGATTTGAACGCCTTGGTTCGATTGGACTTGTCGGAGATCGGGTATCGACTGGTGAGGGGGCTTCCTGCACAACCTGGGTGATAGGTGATGGCTTCTCAACACGCTTCGGTTCTTCAATGGTGGTGATTGATGTTGCAACCGTTACACTGGCCGGGCGGGGGCTCTGAGATGCTTGACTTCCAGTTAGACTAGCTCGTCGGGTTCTGATGGCAGCATCCTTATTGGCCCAGCTCGCAGAGGATGGAAGTGCAGGTCCGTCTGGAACAGCCGATCGTCCACTAATAGAATCGTCCTTGCTTGGTTGCCGGCGCATGGCTTGAGAAATAGGCTGCGCAGGGCGAGGGAGGGGAATAGTCGGGTGATGCTGACGTTGACTAGATATGGTGTTCATAGATGACAGATCAGAGCGACTGTAACTTTCACTGTCTTCGCCAGTCTCATGTAAGAAGGTGCAGTTGCGGTTGTTGCATTGCTCATTGCGCAGGAAAGACGAGCAATATTTGGTCGTTCCATACTGAGCCCGGAGAACACGATCGCCGTTAGACGAACCATCCACCGCGCCGATGCAAGTCGCAGCATCAAGCTTCCGAGAGAAAGTCACATAAACACCAATTCCCTGGTGAGGATTGCCACCAGGCTTGGCTTTGCTAACCACAATCTTCTCAATATCTCCATATTGACCAAAGTATTCTCTGCCCCGCAGTGTCTGTAGGAGTTGATTCTCATCGCGAATGGTTGGGTTAAGGCCGATGACATAAACCAGGTTCTTCTGCACAACACGAACACCTGCCAGATTCTTGCGACTGGATGCCTCGATTTCGCGTTTTTCGGCCTCCTTTTTCTTGGCGGCGGCGGCCTTGCGGTGCTTCAAGGCGAGATCGGCTTTAAACCTAAATAGTACAATAATTGCTAGTGGTCAGTATGACGGATGCAAATTTTGTTTCAAAAACTGCATTAGTTAACTTTGCACTCACTCTTCGGCGTCGGGAATCTTGTATTGAATGGTACTATCATCGTAGGGACGGCGGCAATTTGGGCATCGACCCTCCTCGCTATGGGTTTTGATATTGTTGTAGCAAAATTGGCAAATCTGGGTCAAATGTCAGAAACGAACAAATGAATGCAAAGGATGATCGTGATGAGGTAACGGTTTGTCGGGGCTGGATGTACCTGATATCCGCAGGGACATGGCTTAAAGTTCTTGTCGGAAAGATCGAACTCTTCGATACAAAGGGGACTTGAGAGGTCAGTTAGAATCACATGTTGTTAAAACTCATCCAATATAGTCACAGCATACCAAAACTCATCGTCATCATCGATGACCGAGTCAATCTGTTGGCGACTGGACATGGTCGCGATGAAAACTGTGCGAACGGGGAAGGCAATCCGGGAATCTTAAAACGCGGGCACCCAATCGAATCGGGTATGGAAACGGAAAATAGACTTGAAGACGTTACTCCAGAAGCGTTAAACAAATGAAGAAAGGAACCCGCAATTAGGAAAAGGAAAAAAAGAGGAAGGGAAAAGAGGGGGGGTAGTTGAAGATCGTGGGGATACGGCAAGGTGAGAAGAAGGAAGGAAATTGAAGCGCGGCTTCATTTTGCTGGCATTACCCGATATCGCCTAGCGCATCCCTGCTTATATCAGCATCACGTGATCTGGGAAGGTTCAACCAGTCAAGCATCTCAGAATCCACCTTACGAACGTCGTGCCTTTTGTTCCCCCCTCTTGTCCGTAGCCATTGCTATCCCACCACAATGGCATCTGCACGTTCTTTGATGCGCCTGGGAGCTGGCCGCTCCATGGCCCCAGCCTCAAGGTCCATGGTCCAACGCGCCTTCTCCTCTTCTGCTCTGCAATATGCTGCTAAGGCGCCGACACAACCGGAGCCAGAAAACATGCGCCAGGCTCAACGGCCTCGTACGTGATCATTCTTAGCCAATTGGACTGGACACAGTTTTCATATGATTGAAATTAACATGTTTTACGTCATATCAGCTCAGGGTCCCCTCCGTGCTCCCGTCCTCAACCCGGCCGACAAGTACCAGGACAAGGCCGATGGCCTTCACGCCTACGGCCAGTACATCATGTCCTGCCTTCCCAAATATGTCCAGCAATTCACTGTTTGGAAGGATGAGTTGACTGTGTACACACCTCCCGCCGGTGTTGTTCCCGTCATGAGCTTCCTCAAGAACCACACCTCCGCCGAGTACACTCAAATTTCCGATATCACCGGTGTCGATTTCCCTACCCGTGACCAGCGTTTCGAGGTTGTGTACAACCTTCTTAGTGTTCGCTACAACTCTCGTATCCGTGTCAAGACCTATGCCGACGAGGCCACTCCTGTTCCCAGTGTTACTGGTCTGTTCGAGGGTGCTTTGTGGTACGAGCGTGAGGTCTACGATATGTTCGGTGTTTTCTTCAGCGGCCACCCCGATCTACGCCGTATTATGACCGACTACGGCTTCGATGGTCACCCTCTCCGCAAGGACTTCCCCTTGACCGGTTACACCGAGCTACGCTACGACGAGGAGAAGAAGCGTATTGTCATTGAGCCCCTCGAGCTGACCCAGGCTTTCCGTAATTTCGAGAGTGGCTCTACTTCTTGGGAGCCTGTTGGTGCTGGTGACAACCGGACACCTGAATCGGTAAGTCGTATTCCGAGGTCTTCCATTTGACGTCAAGGTCAATTACTAACCTCAATCTGTCTATAGTTCAAGCTCCCTACTCCTAAGCCCGAGCCGCCCAAGGAGGAGGAAAAGAAATAGAGGGGCTTGTACGCGTATCAATTTTCTTTGCAATGTCTGTATATACAAATCGTTAATCGATGGTGTTTTTTGGTCACCACCAGTTCTTCGGCCGCCATGTGAGGCGTCTACTCCTAGCAGTAATTAGCCGTGGACGTATGTATGCACTCAAATTCCCTCGGCCTGGATATCTCCAAGGGTGTTGAGGTGTAATATCCAATGCAAACAACTTGAACCTCGGGATAACATTTGAACACTGTGACCCTCGAAAATGGATCAAGTTTGGATTAGTAGGTATTGGACCTTAGGCTCGGAATATACTATAGTAGATCAGACTACTACTACTAGTAGGTAGTACCAGGTATTACTCATAATATTATGAATCTACTCATCCGAAGCGTCTACTTTATACTAAATCACTGAGCCTTCCCCTCTGATAATTTTCCCACTCGATTCAAGTTTGTTTCTACAGCTACGTAGTATACTAGGTTGTCCGAGTCTAGCCTGGATATACAAGTGGAGATAGGCGGAAAGACCTGGCAATTCGAGTGACTGGCAGAAAAAAAAAGTTGCGGAACATTTAGACGCTTGATACATGAGCGAGCCACTACACACAAAACCGCAATTTACAGAACAACCTGCGAACAACTACCTGGGTTGTTGTATTTCGATCTTTATTTGTGAAGGATCTTGGGTACCCATAAATCACTACTAAAATGCCCAAGCGCAAGCTTTCCGATCTCAACGGCTCCGAGCCATCGGGCGGCGCTAAGACTCGCAAACTCTCGATGAAAGCAGTCCGACTCACAAACAAGTTCGATCTAAGCGTACAGATCCTCATCAAAGGACTTAAAACCGCTCGAGGATTCGAAAGACAGAAGCTCAGTCGGCGAGAGAAAGCCGCGCGGACACCCTATGATTCTACGGTATTAGCACGACTGGGTGAAGAAGTGGATGCGCTAAAGGTAGGTGATGAAATTGAGATTATATTTGGTAAATCAAATATTCATTAACTTGCGCAATAGAAACTGGATTACCAAGCCACCGCAGAGCGATACCTGTTTAAGCAACTTTCCAAGACGAAGCGGATTGCGGAGTCTCCGATTTTCCAAGAATTCCTACAGGAGAAGAATGTATCCACTGAGGGTCCGAAGAGTACCGCGGAGGCCAACATCCTGGCTCGATTATTCAAATCCACGCCCGTGAAGAATGTGTTACCGACTATGTTGGCCGAGATTCGGAAATTATTGGGAATAGAGGACATACCAGCTGGAAAGCAGGACAAGACATCAGCTAAGAAAGATGTGCCGAAAAAGGAGAAGACTGAGAAACCCGTGCGCCAGAAGAAAGAAGTTTCTGTATCTGGATCGGAGTCTGAGGGCGAGGAAGTACAGAGAGGAGAATTGGATGTTTCGGGAGATGAGTCTGGTGTTGAGGATTTCGCGGAGTTTGATTCACGGTTAGCGCCAGACTCTGACGCAGAGGAATCTGATGGTGAGGATGACGAGGAGAACGATGGGCGCGCCCTCGATGATATCTCTGATTCTGTTTCTCGTTCGCCATCTCCCGACTTCTCAGGAGAAGAATCGGAAACCTCTCCACCTCCTAAAAAGACCAAGGCTAGCAAAACCTCTTCTGCCCCAGCACAAAGCACGACATTCCTTCCGTCCCTCATGATGGGCGGTTACTGGTCTGGATCCGAATCAGAAGCGACGGACGTTGAAGAAACTGTTGCTCCGCCTAAGCGTAAAAACCGCATGGGTCAACAGGCTCGTCGTGCTCTCTGGGAGAAGAAATACGGTGAAAAAGCGAACCACGTGCAGGCGGAGCAGATTAGCCAGAAATACAACAGAGATAACGGCTGGGACTCAAAGAGAGGAGCGACTGGTGGTTCTGGGAGAGAAAATCGTGGCGCACGTGGTGGTGATTCAGGACGGCCGCTCAATCGTTCAGAGCGTCGTCGCGCTGGTATCCCGTCAACAGGACAGCATAAACAGCCTACAAAGGATGATTCAGGACCTCTTCACCCTTCATGGGAGGCAAAGAAGAAACTCAAGGAGCAGACTACTGCAACCTTCTCAGGAACGAAGGTTACGTTCGATTAGGAATATTTTCATTAATTGTGTACGAGCGTTCAATATCATTTCGCGATGACCAAAAACAAATACTGGCTTTCTTCAATATAATGGTAGTTCTATGTCCGCCGCGATCAAAAAGATAAATCAGTACGATCGTGCTAGCATTGAACAGCGAATAGATGTTTTGTAGGAACGGTTTCCAACTTGAAGACGTGGTATATTGAAGAAAATACGAGATGAATTGTTCAAGATAATCGCTAACGCTAATATCAATTTCTTGGACCATCAAGCTATCACTCATTCATGAACTGTAACCAGTGTGAATCCGTACTTCCAGTTGGAGTCTTCATCTCTGCACCCACCATACCAGAGGGATTACCCTGGTTGTCCGTCTCAAAACAAGGAATAGCAGTAAACTCTCCGAGTTCCTGCGGGAAGTTTGACACGAAATGATCGAAACCAAAATGAGGTATCTGCGAAAGTGATTGATGTGACAAAGAGAAGTTATCTGAAGTAGAAATACCCCCATCTGGGATATCGCCATTCAGAATCTCCTGATCAGGTCCCCCGATGACAGGATCTGAGCTATTGGTATGGGCAGGGAGAGAAACAGTTGATGGTGTAATAGGTATGCCAGAAACAATAGCATCGATGCCTAGTGGGGCTGGGGCGTGAGAGACCAGGTCTTGGCGAATACCAATATCTGTCCCAGTGTAAGGTTCCTGCTGCTTCCAAGATGATGCTGTGCCTGGGGATACAGGGCCGGTTTTCCATAGCATCTCCCAGTTCTTGAAACGATCATAGGCTGACTCAAGGGAGCCACCATTACTATGCGCTTGCTGGGACTCACTCCACATTTCAAGTCGACGGATTGCCCGCTCTAGTGCTTCGATGACACTAACGGCTGATCGAGCGGAGCCGACACCCATCGACATGATCTTGATCAAGGATATACCCTGTTCCAAGGCAGCACCAAGTCGCTCAGTGCGCTTGGCTAAACCTTGTGCCAGTATGACCAGAAGAGCTGCACGGCATGAGCTGAATTCCGTGAATGATGCACGGGCGAGGCCGGTCTCATCTCGGAGTAGCCTGCACAGATCAATGATTTCCAGTGCGGCTTCAACACAGTCAGTTACGAGAATAGCTCGGTTCTTCGAAATTCCCGACGGGCCCTTCAGTGGTTGGGGTGGTGTTTGCTGGAGAGCTTTAATATTGCTGAAGAGGAACGGCCGCCCAATGAAGATCCGGGTGAGACAATAATCGAGTTTCAGGTGTACGTTAGACCTGAACAATGGACCACTGGGGTTCAGGTCTCGACAGCTTGTTTCTTCGGGTAGTGTAGACCACCACTCAACGAGGTGTTTCCGAATGTTGAGCAGTCGTTCAAGACAATCTTGCTGTTGACCCTTTGGAAATGTTCGCAAAGAGGAGATTTCGTTCGAAACCTGCCCAAGTTTCAGTGTCAAAGTAATTAAGGTTACCATATTGGTATGATTAGACGGCTGCGCCGCTGGCATTAATTCTGGGAAATCAAGAGGCAGCGGAGCATCGACGTCTGCATCTGCTAGAGAGGCTGGCCTTCCGTGAAGAATGCTAATACGCCTGTTTTTTTTGTTAGGATATTGCTCAGGAACCCTCGGGGTGGATCAATTGATGACTCACTTCTCAATGGTGTAGGCTGTCCAGAAAACTCGATTGCGTATTTCTACAATTCTGGGGGACAGGCCTTCACCGTGGTATCTTCGATGCATTCCATTTTGAATAGCCAGTTTGAGGGCCAGCCCAAAATATGTATAACATAGACCAGAGGTATCCAATGGAAGTAGGTAAGTTCCAATCAAAAGACAGGCCTGAACACTCCGCACAGATGCCGTGGCAATGATGTCTGGGAGGAGTTTAGAGGCAAACTGGTAGAATGTGAGACCAACTTCATCTTCCGAGAAATGGTGGTCTTGGTTAGCAGCGGCATCAGACGGTAAGCAGTTAACAGGAGTGGGAGACTCCATATGTGCAAATTGTGTGCCAACGGCCAATACCATCAGAATGGCACAAACAGCGCCAGCATCATCAGATGATAAGCTAGATGGATTGGTATAGCAAATATTTAGTTTATCGCAGAGCCAATCCTCTTCAACGTAGAAGTTATTGGTTTGTGCATATTTGAAGAATATTTGAACCAGGAATTCTGCCACATAACGGGGAGGAAGACAGGTAATTGAAGACGAGAGCGATGATCCCGACTGAAGCTGTGTAGCTCGCCAACGCTCCTCGAACGGTTCAACCTCAGAGGATGCCTAGAACGAGAATTAGTCTCATGACATGAAAGTTATAGGGCAAGATGAGGCCATTACTTCCGGAGCCGCAGTTTTCATCCATTCGTCAATTTGCTTCCTAATTTTCATAGAGAAGTTCAAATATGAAAATTCACCAGAGTACTCTGCCGTTGACCATGTTAGTAAATGGTTAGATATTCTAGGGGAAAGTCACCTACGAGTACTATTGTCAGGCAAAGCCTTAATTGTGAAATCCTCTTCATCAATAGCCAGGTCCTCTAGTTCATTAGAGTCTACCCTTGTGGAACGCGTATCAGATGCAGAATCTCGATGTTTTGTCTTAAGATCCTCAGCGGCCTGACGCAGCGATTGAATATCGAATGTGAGATCGGGGGCATAATAAGATAAGATGCGTTCCATATAGCGCACACGTTCTGCTTCTGCGATCTCATGTCGACTATGAGAAGCTGCGCGTTCGAGTAATCTGTTCCCGCATTTGCGGCCTGTCAGCACTCCGCCTTTATGGGATCCTTTCCACACCGCCACAACTTACGAAACAGACGACGATCGGTTCTTTTCATTCGGATCGATATGAGTGAAATTACATTGTCGACGATAGCGAAGACAACGACGGCACGGAACACCTCCTTCGCACTTCTCTTTCACTCTGCGACAGCCATCACATCTGTACGAACCCGAATGGTATTAGCCGGGACTCAGTCCGTTATGGATGCGTATAAATTGAGGATCTTCATACGCTCTGACCGCTCGTTTGCGATTCTCTTCTGCAACACGCTGGCGTTTCTGCTGCGGTTGGGGAGTATTCGAGGTCGAGTCGTCCATTCCGGGCGGTTTTAACGGGGAGGTTAGCCAAGCATGGCCTGCGGGGGTATGAAAGCGGAGACAATGGCCAGTGCTGGTGGAATAGACTTGCTTCAGTGATTTTCTTTTGCCAGGAACAGTCAATTAGCGGTGTTGGAGAAGCAAGCGGGGGAATAAGTTGGAGAGCAAAACGGAAGTCGGGAAAGGAAATGAGTCGCACTTATCGGCTCTGATAGCGTCCCCGCATAAAAGCCTGTGCCCCATTGCCCCAGAACTGGTCTTGGTACATTGGTTCATGCACGATTTTTATTTTTATTTTCTCGACTAGTAGTTTTTCATATTCTACCGCATGAATCTGCATATTCTAGTGGAAGTCAATAGTTGGGTAGACCTACTTTTGAGTCATAGTACTACTTTGAATAGTACTCCTATTTCTCTGATCTATATCCGTACTAGTCATCGATGGTTGGACAGAAAGACTCGGAGTCTCGGACGCTACTCGAGGAATATTCCTTTGAAACTCTTTATATAGAATTTACCCCAAAAGACTAGGGTCTTGTAAAAGCAAACGTGAATTTGAAATAGACGCTGATCATCTCTCTAAAACCCATCAACATTTGTCCCCAGACCTTCCTCCTTTCCAATATCAAGCAACTTCTTCCCAACTAGAAGATCCATTAACCCCATTCCCACGCATTTAAAAATCACATTACAATCAGTCGGAATCTCAATTGTATCCGATGACCCTTGTGCCCCAAGAATATCCCCCATCTCCAAAAGCTGGTCTTCAGTAATGCCTGCCGTGATCAATTCGCCCGACTCTTCCAAGCAAGCCGATTTAGAATCCACATAGATTTTTCCTCCACCCGAAAGTAGAGTCTCCGTATCAATCTCATGCATATGTGGCTTATAAGATCCAATAAGTGAGATAAAGCGTTGCTTAGGTGCTGACTGTAGGGCCGAAAAGCTAAAGTTAGGCTCGGTAGATGGCGTGCAGCTGAAAATCACATCAGAGGCCTGTAATTCTTGCAGAAGCCGGTCCTCATAATCCGCAGCTCCTTCTTTGGCAAATGTGCTGAATGTGATTTGAGGGTAGCGTTTCCGTAGGTCAATCAATACATCGCCCTCCATTTCGTCCAATCGTTGGCGACCACGGTTAATGAACGTGACGCGGCGGATGAGATCGGGGTAAAGTAATAATGCAAGACGAGCGTGCCATTCGGCTTGACGGCCTGAACCAATGATGAGGATGTTCTCTTTGTGAAGACTGCTGCAGCGTACGAAAAGGATCATGGTTGCTAGCGCTGTGCGGAACGCTGTTACTTCTGATGCAGCGAGAAGACCAAGTAATCGGCCTTCAGGGGAGAAGACATTGATCGTTCCCTGGATTCCATTCCTTCCAACCGTAACGACTTTAACGGCTGTACTGGCAGTGTCGGAGATCGGCATGAAAATACAGGAGTTGTTGTCCCTGGTTGCGAAGACCGTGCGAAGGGGTTGATGGATCAATTTCTCTGATGCTGGGATTGTCGGTTTGGATTCAGCAGAGTATACTGTGAGTGCGTTACCAAGGGCGCTGATAAATTCGTGGCATTGCTTTTGTGTTAAACCCCGGAAGACACGGGTCACATCTGGCTCAGAGAGGATATGCATGGTGCTGAATTGAAAGTGTGTAAAAGTTCAGGTTGATTCAATCACTCGGTATGTGGTATTGAACTGAAAAAGCAGAGTTAGTAAGAGGGGGAAGAAGGAAGAAGATATACTGGCTAGCAAGTTAAGAACATCTTACTTCCAAGGTTGTAATCCAGATCTAGGAAAACTTGAATACTTACAATTAATTCTCGATGGATGGGTATTTGTGATAATTCTTGATGTGAAGATTCAAATTATCTCGGGTTGAGTAAATGTAGGGTGGGATGAGGGGGGTCCGATGATCGCAAGTCCGCGGCGAGACAGTGTGGGGGTGCCGAATGGACGACCTAATCTATACTAATCTATGCTAACATCCCCACAAATGCACAATTGGGAGGACGTTCCAAACTTACGAATCTCCGATGCAATACGAGATCAAGTGAATAATAATGATATATTCCAGCTATCATTAGGGGGGAAACAAAAACGTGAATCATTAAACGCTAACGCCTTTCTCAGATGCTTTGAGCAGGCTTGAATACAATGGGGACAAAACAGCACCGTCTTGAAACCTTGAAAAGGCGATCAAGATGTTAAAAAGGGATCTCAAATGACCGCCAATCCAACGAAAAAATACCGCTCATTCAAAATAAAATTCAATCGGGTATCATTAGTTGCGACGGCTGATCACACCACGGCAGCGGCGTTTCAGCTCACCGAACATGGCCACTCGGGAGTCCTTGGTGCGCCCAACAGCTTCGGTATTCTCGACAGCACGACGCAAGAGGAATCCCATACACTCCTTCACCGAGCCCCAAGTCAAAAGCTTGAACACATTAGGGGCCGCCATTGGGGTGACACCCATACTAGACTCAGCGCTCTCAAACCCTTGAAGAAGCTCACAGCTTACTTCATCGGCCATACCCTGAAGCTGTGCATAGCTCAGGTCAACACCATAATCTTCTCCATTGGTAACCTGTTGCATGCGGAGAACATGGGCCTTGCGTACGGATTCACGGTTGTGTGTAGCAATAATAACATCCACCGGGGGGAGCTCAGCAGGTGTGTCAGGGGAGGGACGTTTCAGCATAGAATTGTACTTGCGAGTCAGAAGGGACTCGACAATTTCGTCGTAACATTTATCGGTATCCTCCTTCTTGGCCCAGATCAGCTGGCGAGGCTCCGTCTTCATGTAAGCACCACGAACAAGCTTAACGCCCAAAGTATATCCCTCGCTGCGAGCAGTCTCAAGATGACGTGCCAGAGTTACAGGTGTAGATTTGAGGTAGCCTTGGTAGGTACCGTAGAAGATGGCACGCCCCGGAGTCTGCGAATTGCAGTACTTCTGGTATTTCATAATCCAAGCTTCAATACCGGGTTGAACAGCCTGTTCCTCGGCATCGACCAAGAGGCGTACACGGCGAGAAATTGCCAAATCACAGATTTCTTGGATAGAGGAGTTCATGAATTCGGTTGGCGGAGCCTGTTTCTGGAGCAGGCGTAGGGCGTCGATACCCATTCCGGTGAACCTAGTAGGGAACATTAGGATTCTGTTTCCCGGAGGAAAGGCGAACATCAACTTACTTCAAGGCAACAAAGTCACCTTCCTGTGCCATATCAACGGTTTTCAAAGTACCATCCAGCCATGTCTCAATCTCAGCAAGGGCAGCCTTTGCGTCATAGGCCTTCTGGTTCTTTTCAACCAAAACCTCACGAGCATAACCAAGCAGAACACCACGGCATCCCAGATCCTTAATGTGTCGGATAGACTTTTGAACCTCGACCTTGTTCTCACCAGCGTTGAACTGCTTGTACACGGTGTGTTTAACAAAAAAGTTCAGAACTGGGTTCTTGGCAACATCCCAGAGTGCAGAGCGAGGATGAGCCAGCAAGGATAAGGTGTAAATGCATGGTTTGAGGAGAAGTGGCGATGAGGAGACCGATAGCACTAATAGGGAGCGCAAAACAGATGACAGGGGCAGCTTGGCAAGTGGTGCAGCCAGAGCCTTTCGGGGTAGAGCAGGTGCTGCTGGTGACAGGGACGGCAAGATGCTGTTTGCCGCCATGGAGGACTTCACATTACCAGTTCCACTGACAAGTCGGGTGCTGGAATGACTGGTACCCTTGACGCGGGGCACGCGTACCGAACGAGCAGCTTTCATCTATTTGATAGTGGCAAGAGGTTTGTTTTAGGTGGGAATAAGCTGAGAGAAAATGAGGAATAAAGATAGATGTGAGGAAGGGTTTCTTTCTCCAACAAGGAAGAATAACAGTAAGGAGAAATAAAGATGAGAACCAAGGTTGCGACGAGATAAAGATTGAAGTCTTGATAACTATTATAGGATATTGATTGGGCAAGGACCGGTGGCAAGCGCCTGCCACCGGTACGGTGTGACCTCTCAGCACTATTACCGGTAGGCCACTCCCGTCTCAAATCTAGGTACATTGTTCCATAAAGAAAACTATTATTCATAGAATGAACATTTTTTTGAAGTAGATCCATACAGGCCCTCCCGAACTAAGTAGCCCCACTACCCGATATTCTCGAATCTCGGCATCAGGGTATTCTAATAGTTTCACTTCTTTCATGAAAAGGATTTCTTTCAATTTCGCCACCAAATTCGAAAGCTTATGAGAGGCTCTTGGTAACATGCATGAACGCATCATATGGTATAAGATTCCCTGATAAGCTCGAGATGTCAGCTGAGCAAGTTCATGTACAAATGCGGGCCGGTTTGATAATAAGCACGGACCACAAGGGAGACCGGGCCGGTCAAATGGGGTCACGTGCCCGGATACCGTCGGTGATATACAACTTTGCCCATACTATTCCACACTATTTAAACTGATCATATTTCTTCATGTCAACGTGAGTTCTCAGATAGCTTATCAGGCTGCATTTTTCTATTTCAGACCAATATATTACTAAATGAGCTTGAGGATGGGGACTCGGAGCGGTCAAGATTCTAACTTGACTTCAACTTGACAAGGCTACTCCCTGCAGGTGGAAAATATACATTAACCTGTACCCAGATAACAGCACGTGCACGTGTGAGTTTCATAAATATATTAGTGATTGATGTATCAATCCAACTTGAACTTGAAGAAGATAGGAAGTCTAGTATCAGTAATATTATCCTTCAATAATAGTATGATATGCTCAAGTGCTAGTAGGTAGCTACTATGTAGTATGTGGAGCCTCAATCGGTTGACGGGTCTAGTACCCCCATGGATGTATAGGGCCTGGGATATACTGGTAGAAATCATGAGAGCAGCTCAGATATGTAAACATTTGATCCTAAAATCCGAAAATTAAGAAATATTCAAAATATTATAAATAACAAGTCTGATCTTATCATTCAATCGCTCCTTGAAGAAGCTCTAAAGTAGCCGGTACATCTAAGGTATCCGGCATCCCCACACGTGCATGGTGGATCGTCCAAGTTGGTCCAACCACCTTTGTCCCTGCACTGAACTCCGGCCCGGTTGCTCCACCGGGCTCTCTTGCCGGCCACATCTAATTCGTTGTCAGTTCAACCTTGTTGTACACAATACCGATGATAGCTTTGTGGAAAATGCTATCGGGATACCTACCGGTGATAGCCGGTCATTTCATCATGTGTACCCCGCGTTGTTGCACTTTTTCAATCTTTTAGTCTGTACTTGTCCTTACTCTTATCCTTTACGACAAAGTAAAGTGATTTGGATTTTGTGATCATTTCGAGCGTCAAGCTTTCAATCTCACATAACACAATGCAGTCGACTATTCTGCGCTCTAGAGTGCCCTTGTCGCGGTGGCAGAAGCTCGCATGCCGCGTCCCAAGCTCCAACTCGCGTGCCCTCAACACTTACGCCGCATTCAAGGTCCCTCAGATCAACAATGAGCCCAACGTGAGTACTACAGATCATAATAGGTTAGATCTTTGTATTAATGAACATCGTCTAGAAACACTACACCCCAGGATCCCCAGACCGCAAAGCTCTCGAAGATGCGTTGGCCTCATACAAGCAGAAGGCTCCTTTAGCTGTTCCTCTCGTGGTGGCTGGAAAAGAGGTAAAATATAGACACGAGATATCAGTGATGGAACGTAGCTAACATTTAGTAGATCAAACCCTCTCAATTGTTGACCCAGAGTAACCCTGCTTCTCATGCGCCTCTTGCGACCTACTCGAATGCTTCTAAGGCCGATATCGAAGATGCCATTGCTGCAGCTCTTGTTGCCCGCAAGTCCTGGGCTGCTACTCCTTTCGCGGAGCGTGCTAGTATCTTTCTCAAGGCCGCTGATCTGATCTCAACCAAATACCGCTACGATATCATGGCTTTGACAATGCACGGCCAGGGAAAGAATGCTTGGCAAGCAGAAATCGACTCGGCTGCCGAGCTCATTGACTTCTTCCGCTTTGGCGTCAAGTATGCCGAGGAGCTCTACTCTCAGCAGCCGGCTCACCACTCACCAGGTGTTTGGAAGTAAGTGATCTACTTTAAGTATGCGTGTAAACAATACTGACTTTTGTTAAGCCGTCTCGAGTACCGTCCTCTGGAAGGTTTCGTCTACGCTGTTAGCCCCTTCAACTTCACTGCGATCGGTGGCAACTTGGCTGGCGCGCCCGCTTTGATGGGTAATGTGGTACTTTGGAAGCCTTCAGCCTCGGCCATTGCTTCGAACTGGCTTGTGCATCAGATTCTTCTGGAGGCTGGCCTGCCTAAGGATGTCATTCAGTTTGTGCCTGGTGATGCCGAGGAAGTCACCAGCACTGTTCTCAACCACCCCGAATTTGCCGCTCTACACTTCACAGGCAGCACTGATGTCTTCCGATCGCTGTATGGCAAGATCTCGCAGGGTGTGGCGGATGGCAAATACCGCAGCTACCCCCGTATTGTGGGCGAGACTGGTGGCAAGAACTTCCACTTGGTCCACAAGTCGGCTGATGTGCGCAATGCTGTAGTCCAGACCGTCCGTGGTGCTTTCGAGTTCCAGGGCCAGAAGTGCAGCGCCACTTCCCGTGCGTATGTCGCTTCTTCTATCGCTGATGAGTTTGCGAAGCAGTTGGCAGAGGAGGTCAACCAACTTACAGTTGGTGAGCCAACCGAGTTTACCAACTTCTGTGGCCCAGTAATCCACGAGGCATCTTTCAACAAGCTCTCCGGTGTTATTGACGAGGCCAAGAATGACCCTGAGCTTGAGCTCTTGGCTGGAGGCTCTTACGATAGCTCCAAGGGCTGGTACATTCAGCCAACTGTTTACCGTACCTCCAACCCTGATCACCCTCTGCTCTCTCGCGAGCTGTTCGGTCCTATCATCGTTATCTACTCCTACAACGATGCCACCGAGGCTGACTTCGTGAAGATCTGTGAGAAGATCGATAGCACTGGTACCTACGGTTTGACCGGTTCCGTGTTCGCGCGTGACCGTGAAGCCGTCCAGATTGCCGATGAAGCTCTGCGCAACGCAGCTGGCAACTTCTACATCAACTGCAAGAGCACCGGTGCCGTTGTTGGTCAGCAGCCATTCGGCGGTGCTCGTGCTAGCGGTACCAACGACAAGGCCGGTAGCGCTAACCTGTTGTCTCGCTTTGTGAGCTTGCGCTCGGTCAAGGAGGAGTTCATTCCTACCTACACTGTGGCTTACCCCAGCAACGCCAACTAATTTGTGCCGGATTCATGAGTCTATTCCTGCTTTCGTTATCGCATGCCTTATGAAATCACGGCGTCTACCTCGCATTTCTTACTTGGCGTTTTCTTAATGGGGTCCATCTAGGACATTAGGCAATATGGCCTGTTGTACATCATATCCTGCAAATTGAATCTTCGATTATTACACATTATCCATACCAAGTTCATTCTGTAGCACAATTCTTCAGTAACTTCTGCATATTTTCCATAGCCTTCTTCGCAAATGCCTCCATCTCATACTTCTTCCCTTTCCCTTGAGGTCCTGCATCGAAAATCTCCATGGAGAACCATCCCTTGAACCCAGTTTGGAGTACAGCCCTCGCAAAGTCCTCGATTGGTAAATACCCACCATCATATGGCATAGGTCGATAATCGTGACTCCAGCGACCACGAGGACGCAAACCCCCAATAACCTTATCCTCCAAAGGTGGCGAGACTTTATACGCATCTGAGATCTGAAGCAGATAGATCTTGTCTGCGGGCACAGTACGGATCAGATCTTGCATGCTCGCATCAAAATTTGCTTTGAGTTGATCCTTCGGTATGCTTTCAATCAAGCCAGAAGATGTAGTTGGGTCTCCCCATTCACTTCCACAGGATTGGAATGTGTCAAGACAGAGGCCCACGTTGGGAAGGTTGACGTCTCGTACAATCTCCCATACTTCTTTCCAGCCGGGCGCATGGGTGGACCAGCACCAGTTCTCGTATGCCATTCGGAAGTCATTTTCTGCGAGTAGTTGTCCTAGCTCACGAAGATCGGAGACAATGGTCTCTCTGGATGTGGAGATCTTCTCTTTAGGTGTATCTGTTGCTCCGACCTGATCCATAAAATAAGTAAGACAATATTCTTTTAAATGTTTAGTCCAAGTTGGAGAGAAACAGCATACCTGCAGTAGATCCGTTCCAACAACCTTCATAATCGAGATCCACCCCTTAGCTCTCGCGAACGCATCATCCCTATCAATCGACCCCTGTGGCCAGCCCTCAAAATTCGCGAAAGGCTGAAGCATCATGATAGTTAATGCATTAGCATCGCATAGCTTGCGGATCTCCCCGGCGACGGGTATCAGCTCAGAGAAATTCGCCGGATCAATAATATGGCCTAGTAACTGTGAACCATATTCGAGAATATCAGGAAATGAAAGCTCAATGGAGAGGAAGCCAGCTTTGCTGATAGCTTCTAGTTTGCGAGGGAGTGTATCGCTGGCTGCGCAGCCTATCGAGCAGGATGCATACGAAAGCGGAATCTGTTGTAGGGATTGGCAGCTTATAGGTACCATTTTCGCGATGGGTTTTCGTATCAGCGATGAGAATGATCTTCTGAGCATTGAGGATTGATATTCAGCCCTGGGAGAGTTCTATAATAATACTAGTAGGTGATGGTTGTGAACCGACGTTTGACTAACATGATGCAATAGTCAACTCCGCATGGCAACTTTCGTCAATTATACATCATATCCCTAGGTACCTTACACTCATCCACTATACTAGGCAATTTGAGTGGCCAACTTCCTTCTTTTGTTCGATTTCAAGGGGAATCGCTTTCTGTCGCCCTTGCCTTCGTTCTCGCCGCCACTGATAACATATTGACAAAATGAAACTGGACTCGGATCTCAGGGCCGGTTGCCACGATATCCCGTTAAAGAATATGAATTGAGGCCTTGTTTTTCGTTCGAATTCCTTATACAGAAAAACTTGCAAATAATTTGAAATTCTTTTCGAACATACTGGACGAGGTTACTCGACCTACACAATCACCATGCTGAGCGAAGACCCAACCAATAAATTCAAACGCATTGGCGTTGTCGGAGTAGGAAGTATGGGGTCCATGATGACCTTTGCTTTCTCCGAAATGGGCCTTGATGTGTCCGTGTGGGATGTGGAGAAAGCAAATGTCGACAAAGTGACAAATTGGGCCAAGAGCGCCAACGACGTGAAGGGAAAGATTGAAGGATTCTACGATATCAAGAAATTCACCAAGAGTCTTGAAGGTGGTGAACGCAAGTTATTCATGTTCTCCATCACACACGGTGACCCTGCCGATCAAGTTCTGAAACTGATCAAGCCTGATCTTAAGTCTGGGGATATCGTTCTGGACGAGAGGAAACGAGAATTATCGTCGAACTGAGCGCCGTCAGAAGGAATGTGCGGCGATCGGTGTATATTGGATCGGTGTTGGTGTCTCTGGCGGGTACCAATCTGCACGTCGTGGACCTAGCCTTTCACCAAGTGGAGATGCTAAAGCCTTGCAAATGGTTATGCCCTTGCTACAGAAATACGCAGCCAAGGACCCCAAGACCGGGAAGCCCTGTGTGGCTCGTATTGGACCAGGTGGATCAGGTCATTTCGTGAAGATGGTTCACAATGGAATTGAAGGCGGTATGCTGTCAGTACTTGCAGAGGCATGGTCATACATGCACTATGGTCTAGGTATGGGCTATGATGAGATTGGCGATACCTTTGCCAAATGGAATTCCGCTGGTGAACTGCGCGGCAACTTTCTCATCAAGATTGGTTCTGAGATCCTGAAAACTAAGAGAACACCCCAAGGAGATGGCCACGGTGAGGGAATTGGAAATGGTGGATATGTTCTCGACGATGTTCTGGATAAGGTGGTCCAGGATGATGACGATACTGAGGGAACGCCACTCTGGTCTCTCATGGAGTCTGCTGCGCGCCATGTATCTTCTCCCACTCTAGCAGCCGCACACTACATGCGTATTGCGAGTGGAAATCGGAAAGAGAGGGTGACAGCTGCTCAGAAGCTTAAGATGCCCACTCCTCAGCCTCTCAAAGACGTCCAGAACAAGAATGCCATGGTTGAGAAATTACGAAAAGCAGTTTACAGCTCTTTCCTTTCCTCATTCTGCCAGGGTCTGGAACTGATTTCCCGAGCATCTGAGGATGAAGGCTGGAATATTGATATGGGCAATTGTATCCAGATTTGGCGAGCAGGCTGTATTATTCAGTCCGACTATATTGCCGATTTGTTGCAGCCGCCACTGTCTGCGAAGACAACCATGTCTAATATGAAGTTCATCGATGCTGTTTCAAAGGAGCTGCGTAACAGCTTCGACGCATTGAAGGATATTGTGATTGAGGGTACTAAGACTGATCAGTACATGCCGGCTCTTTCTGCTACACTTGATTATCTGAAGTATGAGGGTGGTCTTGTGTTGCCGACCAAGTTTATGGAAGCACAGATGGATTACTTCGGTGCTCATTGTTATAACAAGCCTGGAGTTGCTGGTGAAGATCCTGGTCCTGTTATGAAGGGTCCTCATCATTATGAGTGGAAGGTGGCTTAGTTCCAAGACCTGATGTGTGGGACCATAACCATGGCACCTTGACAGGAACAGTCGTGGCCATTCAATGTTTAACGCATTAAAATGTTCTATATTTTATAAAAACGTGTACTTAGACTATTTACGAGTTCCATATGACCCATTTTCATATTATTTTACTTCATATAACATGCATAAGTCGTGATTAATGATGGTTTAGTCATCTATAGATATCATCCCAAAATAGTAATTCGCCGCCTCAGGAACACAACACGTGGGGCAGGGATCCAATGAGGGAGAAAGTCGAAATTTACACCATGAACTGGATCTCTGGATTTCGTCAACTCTCGTCAATCTCTAAGCCCTTTCGTCGAATTGAGTCCGCAAGACAATCTGCTCTGAGAATGGCTGCTCTTCCTACTACCTACGAGGGTGCGTCTTATCCCTCTGAAGGACTATCGAGGGCTGCTAGCCTTCTAAGCCTCCGCACCCCTCCCCCCCACTTCGGCATAATCGCTGACAATCGCAAACCCTCTAGGCTCGGTCCCAATCGCTGTCATCGGTGGCACAGGCTTGCGTGAGCTCCCTGGATTTACTCAGGTTGCTTCGCTCTCTATCTCTACTCCCTGGGGCGAACCCTCCTCTCCCATTACTATCCTCCACCACCACTGCAAGCACAATGACAAGGTCGTCGCGATTGCCTTCCTGAGCCGTCATGGCTCGCACCACCAGATCGCCCCTCATGAGGTCCCTGCCCGTGCCAATATCGCTGCCCTGCGCTCCATCGGTGTTCGTAGCATCATTGCCTTTTCGGCGGTCGGCAGTCTGCAAGAGGCTATTAAGCCCCGTGACTTCGTTATCCCCGATCAGATCATTGACCGTACTAAGGGTGTGCGCCCTTGGACTTACTTCGAGGGTGGTATGGTTGCGCACGTTCCCTTCGGTGATCCTTTCGATGAGGGTATTGCCAAGGTTGTTCGCGAATGTGGACACAGCTTGGAGGGCGACGGTGTTGTTCTGCACGACCGAGGCACTATTGTCTGCATGGGTATGTTTGGAATACACCTTTAGTCATTGTGGGAAACTGAACTAATTCTGTAATTTTTTTTAATAGAGGGCCCTCAATTCTCTACCCGCGCTGAGAGCAACATGTACCGTTCCTGGGGTGGTAGCGTGATCAACATGTCCGTTCTGCCCGAGGCCAAGCTCGCTCGCGAAGCCGAGATTGCTTACCAGATGATCTGCATGTCCACTGACTACGACTGCTGGCATGAGGCCACTGCCGATGTCACCGTTGAGATGGTCATGGGCCACATGAAGGCTAACGCTGAGAATGCGCGCCGCTTCATCACTTCCGTGCTTGATGCCCTTGCTAGCGATGAGCATTCTGATCTTGTTCATGCTAAGCACCTGGCTGGCTCGGTCAAGTTTGGTATCAGCACCCCTCAGCCATACTGGAGCCCCGAGGCCCAGAAGAAGCTTAACTGGCTGTTCCCCGGTTACTTCCAATAGAGTGATTGTACACGAATCACGTATTTTTACGATAACGCTTGGCACAGATATGATGGACATAGACAAGACATGAAGCGAACTGCCTTGAGATATACTGAGTATATGGACAGGAACTGGTACAGTGTGCAATAAGATCCTGATACATAGTATTCTTACACCCATGGATTTAGTTGGCGATTAGCAGATACTCCGAATTCAACTTCAGACTAATTATTACTATGAAAAATAAACAAATTGCCGGAGGCCACAATAGTAGGCTTGGAATCAATCAAAGAGATGTAAGAGCGACTATAAACCGCTATATCGACCTCACTGATAATTCCAATCCTAATAAATTGCGTTCAGGCGCATGTCAACATACTGCTGGGTCGTCACCGGCTCATACTTCTTCGGCCGATCCGGTCCATAACATCCAGGAAGACACTCAATCACCTTCTCCCGATCAGGACTGATAAAATAGGGAATGGAATATCGGTCAGGTGTGATCTTAGACCGTGGTGCATCCGAATCCATCAAAGGTGGTGCCCGAACACGATGCAACGTCGACTTCAGCTCATCATTGCTCCAACGCATCAGGAGATCACCAATGTTGACAATCGCAGTTCCCTGAATATACGGCGCTGGATTGAATTCTCCCTTCTCATGGATATCCTCAACCTCCAATCCACCAACCTGGTCCTGAAATAGAATCGTCATTGTACCGAAGTCTGAATGTGCCGCAACTCTCTCCGCTTCGCCTCTTCGCAATAAATCTTCTTCGACAGCGGGATAATGCAGTAGACGACATTGATTTGTCTTGTTTTGATGATAATCCAACAAAAAGGACTCTTCAAGTCCCATCCCAAGAGCAATTGTCCGAAGAAGTAACTCCTCTGTGGCAGCGCAAGCCTCGTAGAATTGATTGAAATGGGCCCGGAATCCAGGAATCAGATCTTCTTCAGGCCAAATATTCGGCAAGCGTGGATCATTTTCATTGCCTAGATCATAGGTTTCTTTCACATCGGGTGTTTTGCGTTTTTCAGCTAGTCCTTCTTTATCGAAGATCATTTGGGTGACTTTCTCGCGCCCTATGCCTGAGTATCCACGTTGATACCAGCCATAAGGAGGATGAGGAGACTTCAATTTGTCGGATTGGGGGAGATCGAAGAATTTCTGACTCTGAAGGTGTGTTAATGTGGATTCTAGAAGTTTGGAAATTTACATACCCATTCAAAGGCCCCATCTACGAGGCTTTGTGGAATACCATGATTCTTGATGTAGGCGAAGCCGACGTTTTTGAACGCGAGGTATACCTCTTGCGCCACCTGAGCGGCTTGCTCGGGAGTTCCTGTGCGGGCTGGCTCGAGGTCAATGAGTGGAATACTGAGATTTTTGATTTGAAGCGTCATTTGCAGTATCTCTCGTGATTCTGAGTGAGCAAATATTGGTTGTGGTAGGGTTGAAATCATTTTATGAAGTTGGGCTCCCAAGTTTTGAGCTTAAGGTTCGGCCAGCTGACATTTTGATCTGTTCTGGGTGACACAATGCCATCATGTAAGCTTTTGATTTTTCTTCCCTCGCATGCCAGGTGCATTAAACTCATCGATAAGTAAAAGTGATCGACATTTCCCTATCTTGCTATCGGCCAACCTGATGTGATACCCCGCAGCTACAACAACTCAGATAGGCGACATATGAGGGGAAGAGGTTAAGATTGAAATGCATTCAAAGTTTTAACAATTTCCAATTCGTGTTCCATCCAATCTTACTTGCATTTCAACTTGTCTCATTTTTAAATCATTCGCGAAATATGGATAGTACTATCCAGTCAAAGTACCGCATCGGTGTTGATGTCGGGGGTAAGACTATCTACAAAAACAACTATGGATGAGCATATCTAACTGAAATTCGCATCTTACTACAGGAACCAACACAGATGCTGCTCTTATCTCATTGGATCCCATTTCAGTGATTGCATCTCATAAAGCGCCAACAACTCCAGATGTTACTACTGGCATCACCAACGCTGTCAGGACAGTGATAGACACCTCTAAGGTCTCACTATCTTCAATCGGATGTGTTATAGTAGGAACCACTCATTTTGTCAATGCGGTTGTACAGCGGGCACCTTCACTGCGTCGTGTTGGGGTCATTAGACTATGTGGTGGTTCGACTGAGGGCTTTGGACGGGGAATCCCTCCATTTATTGACTTCCCTGCGGATCTCCGAGCCTGCATTGAGTCCCCGCAGGTCTATTTCTGCAACGGTGGATATCAGATCTCAGGAACGGAAATCAGTCCTCTAGATACTGAAGAGATTGAGGGCATAGCTGCTGATTTGATAAGGAATAATATCTGGAATGTCGTAATTTCGGGGATGTATGCTCCACTGAACGATGCGCAGGAGATTGAAGCAAAAGATATTCTGCTTAAAGCGATGTTAAATCAGTCCGAGTCAAAGATCAAGCCGCGGACCACACTTTCGCATGAGGTCTCGGGTTTGGGATTCCTGGCACGAGAGAATGCTGCCATTTTGAACGCCACGCTACGTCCCTTGGCTGAGAGAACGATCTATGGCTTCCAAAAGGCAATGGAGGATATCTTTCAGGGAGGCGATTATACACTTTACCTGACACAGAATGACGGAAGTGTGTTGAGTGCCTCCGAAGCGATAGAGTTACCTATTCGAACGTTCAATTCCGGCCCCACAAACTCCATTCGTGGTGGTGAATTGCTTTGGAGAGCCGCTGCTGGAGCAGACGGACAAAAGCAGGCTAGTCGAACTGAATCTCTAGTTGTGATTGATATCGGAGGAACAACCTCAGATAGCGGACTTCTGCTTCCAAATGGCTTACCACGAATGAGCTCCGTAATGAGTCTTGTTGGAGGTGTTCGTACCAATTTTGCCCTACCTGCTGTAGAAAGCATAGGACTCGGTGGAGGCTCAATTATTCGCATGGCAGAAAATGGTGAGGTCACAGTTGGTCCTGATAGTGTGGCCCTTGAGCTCCTTGAAAAAGCAAAATTATTTGGTGGAGAATATCTCACCTCTACAGACATTGTAGCTGCATCTGAGATTCACACTCCAACAGGACGCAATCCTTTTCAGGGCATGGGACAGCCGGAGCGACTTTCAGATATCAGTCTTGACACGGTCAGGAAGGCCCAGGCTGCTATGAGGAGCAAAATTGAAGAACTTGTGGACAGAACCAAAATTCAGAAAGGGGATGTCGATGTCCTAATTGTTGGCGGCGGTGCTCCTATCATTCAAACCGATGAACCCCTTGCGGGTGTCCGCATGGTTCGGATGGTCAATGGTGATGAAGTTGCCAACGCGGTCGGAGCTGCAATTTCGCGAGTATCGGGTGTTATTGACACTGTCGTTGATACATCAAATCGGACTATTAAAGAAGCCCGGGAAGATGTTATTAAACTGGCTATCGAGAAAGCTGCCGCAAATGGAGCCAAGCGTGACAACATTCAAGTTGCCGAGATTACTATGCTCCCGATTCAATATGTGGACGCTAAAGCAAGGATGGTGATCAGAGCGGTTGGAGAACTAGATGCAGCCGCTCAACAGAAATCATCAAAAGAGCCAATGGAAATCACAGCGCTTAACGACGAATTGCCCGAAGAGCTCAAGGGGGAGCTGGCTACACTAATCCAAGATGAAGAGGTGGATATTCATACCTATAAACCTGAAGTTAAAGATAAGCAGTGGATTGTCTCAGCCACAGACCTAGAATTTATCGCTCGAGGATGTAAAATTCTCGGATGTGGTGGTGGCGGCGATCCATACCAAGAATACCTCAAAGCAAGGGCCCTTATCCAACGGCATCCCGGCACAGTCAAAGTAGTTTCAGCCGAGTACTTTCCCGATGACTGCTTGATTGGATGGACAGGTTGCATGGGGAGTCCAGAAGTCAGCATGGAGCGATTGGAGAATGACGAATGCTTGAAAGCGCACAGCGAGCTAATGCGGGTCACTCAAAGTCTGCCAGTGTCTGCATTCCTAGCACTGGAAATTGGCGGCGGAAACGGTGTCCTCAATCTAGGTGTTTCGGCTCATTATGGTGTTCCTTGTCTTGATGCTGATTATATGGGTCGAGCATACCCGACCTTTTGGCAAGTAACACCTAATGTATACGGTGCGCCAAATGGCGATGCACTCGTCCCCGCAACAATTGCGAGCGGGGATGGGACATTTATCACGATGACGAAGTCTCGCACAGACAAGTTGGTCGATAAGGCCTTGCGAGCTGCTTGTGTGGAAATGGGATGTCGTGCTGGGAAAGCTGGGCCACCTAAGGCTGCTCGGGTTGTGCGAGAACAGGCGATCACGGGTACTCTCTCACTTGCATGGTGGATTGGACGAGCTGTGGCACTTGAGAAAAATATCAACGATAAAGCCCAGCGGATTATTGATGAAGTGGGAGGTTCAGAGAGCGCTGCAATTCTTGGGCAAGGCAAGATTACTAGCGTGGAGAGGGTCCTTAAGACTGGACATACGTATGGGGTCTTAGAGGTCGAAGGAACCTTGAATGACTCAACCATGGCTCTGATTAAGATCCCGTTTAAGAATGAAAATGCCTTTGTAGAAGCGGTTTGCGACGGCGAGTCGAGAATTCTGGCGTCAGTACCGGATCTTATTGCTGTGATTGACGCGGAGACGGGCTCTGGGCTGGGAACTCCAGAGTACAAGTATGGATTGAAGGTTTTGATCATTGCTATCGCAGCATCTCCTCGCTGGACAGATACTGAGCGAGGAATGCAACTTGGAGGACCTGGGTCAATGGGATTTGATGAGGTCAAGTATACTCCTATTGGCAAGTACAGCAAGCCTCGAAGCGTCATTGAAGTTTTTGGATGAATTACTCTGCACTGATGAATTTAATACTAGATATATAGAGAAATATCAGTGGATGATAGATATCAAGCTACTACATGACCAAGGTCACGGTTAGAATTAGCAACCCCTGTTGTCTTATCCTCTTCCTATCTTCAGGGTGTAGGTACTTCCGTACATAGAGGAGTAGGGAACCGTTCGCCTACAGATACGACTACCAGTCCAGCTGAGTACGTAGTGAATGGATGAGTGCTTCGTTAAATCCCAGGTTTATCGCGACACATGGTATCCTTTCAATAGAGCTTCCTATCTGCCTGAGTAGTAGGCAGCTACTCAACTTTGGAACATAACTTATATCAACAATAATCTGATGTCTCCGTCAACTGTTTTCACTCCCTCAGTCTCACACATACACACACTCTCTCTTTCCTTTTTCTCCTCTCTCTGACTTTTCTCCTTCCTGCGGAATTTCCAGCTTTGCCCTTCTTAAAGTCTGCAAATCCTCAGACAACGGTCAATCTAATCGTTCCTTCTTCTCAAAGATATCAAAAATCAACGCTTGTCTTCCAGCTCTTAAACGAACTTGAATTCCACTTGAAATCAACAGCCCACATCACCATCCCACACTACCACCCGGTCTACGTTCAAAATGGATCAACAGGTATTTCTCACATCATATCCCCTCAATCCCCTGAATGTCTGACATATCGATCTTTAGCAAGGAAAATCCTACGCAAACAGCACAGGGCTCCAACTCTACCTGAACCAAATAACGCCAAGTAGTACAAAGATCGAAGTCTGCAATTTTTGGCAAAACATGCTAGACTTTTACTTTTCAAAGGACAATCTGGCTGTTCAATACGGAACCTGGGCACCATTAACCTCAGAGAACTCACAACAACGACGTGTGCCCTTCTTGGTCGTGAAGCGTCAAAACCATGATTTTCGGGAACAGGTATTCGTTGAATGCAAACGACTACGCGCGGATGGAGAAAAGGCGGATGGAAAGGCTTGGGAGAATGCGAGAGTTCAGTTGGAGATGGACATGCATATCTGGCAGACCCAATATCAGGTGCCGCATCCAAGTTACTACGGTCTCATTAGCATCGGTGCTGAGGTTCGATTCTTTATTATGAATCGGCGCTGCTGTGATAAACTTGAGCCGCTTCATGGTGATCCTCGGAGCTTTTCGCTTAATGATGATGCGATTGAAGTTCATGATAATATGAAGGAGATATGTGAGAAGATTTTGGAGGATTAATGGCTCATTTTGATGTACTGGGGAGCCCATTGTGTTTTCCGTACATGGTTCCAATTGTGTTTAGAGCGAAGTGGAACGAAAATAGGGGAATGATAGGAAGTGATTAGCAGATGACTTGTCTAACATCATGTAAGAAAAGAATTTCGTTCATGTTTCTATTAGCATCCCACCCGTAAGTGGAATTTATGATAAGAATACAGCAGACAAATGTACAAATCGACTAGACGTTACATAGACCATCACCAAATCTTCTTAGCAACCATTTCATACCGAAAGACGTGGTCGATCTTCAGATCCTTGTCCTTATTCTTGTCCTTATCCTCCTTTTCTTTCACCCGTCGTAATCCCTCGGGGTCATCACCATATATCCACCTTCGTTTTTCATCACTGATCTCAACCATGCCCATGCCCCGGCTCGACGACTTCCTTCGACATTGAACTCGTCTTTGCGAGAGGTCGGGGGAGCTTCACTGGGGTTCTCTTGCTGTGGGGCTTGATGCGAGGCCGATCGTGATGCTTTACGCTGCTCGGTCTCAGTGCTCTTCACCATTTTCTTGTATCGGGAGCGAGCAAAAGCGAGCAAACCCATGCCGAGAAGAAGTTTGAGGATTAATAGAACGATGAATCCTGTGAGCAGAAGAACAACAGTGAAAATTTGCACTGACTGAGCTGGCGAGGGGATCGCATTCTCAAGGACCGTGCGGAAGAATGAGTTGACGTTTGGTATAATGGTTCGGAAGGTCAAAGGGGGCGCAGAGGGAAGAGGCGACGCGGTGTGCTGGCTATGAATCGAAGATAAAGTTGCCACACCCATAGCGGTAGAAGAAGAAGGATATTGTGGAAGTAAGGATGCCAGGAACATCTGGTACGTCTGGACTGAAACCCGGAAAAAGAGGCAGGATAGGGGTATCACAGGTAAACCGAGGCGACGAGTAAGACTATGGTCGCCTCCAGCAAAAGCATTCGTATAATAATCCTTGGCAAGGACATCAAGGTATCGAACATATAAGGCAGGTCGGTAATTATTGAACTTGTTGATGTACGCATGTTTCAGCCAATCAACAAACATCTCGGATCCCAGAACAATCAAAAATGGGCCTAGCACCTGTGCCAGTGTTGGGATGAACGAGTTTACGTGGCTGAGAGATAAAATCGACGAGGGGAAGAATGTGAAAGATTGAGGAAGAATGGATGAAGCGCTACGTGGAGGAGTCGACAACGGAGTGCTATTGGTACTTGTAGACTGGCCAGAGAAGCTTGAGCCTAGTCCGATACCAATGAAGCTGAAAGCGCCAGTTTCCACAATGTTCCGCGATGCGATGATAGTGAGCATTAGCCAGAGCTGGAATCGTTCGACAACATCGGAACAAGTTAGCTGGAAGAGATTTTCTTTCTCGAACTTGCGGAAGACGGTCGACTTGATTTCCACAAATTGGTTGGACAAAAGAAGCGTGATCAGAGCATTCGAGTACGAATTCACAGCCACATTCAATGTCATCACCTGGTAGAAAAGAGATATTGAGTGGGCTACTGTGTATGCCAAAGCGAGAAGAAATAGCCAAGCTGGACGGAAAATTTTGCTTCTCCCGTTGGGCCGACGCTCCAGGGCCTCTCGCGAGAACAAGCATTCCAGAACATCTTGTCCGATAGCAGCCAAAAGTCGGTCTCAGGACTTCGAGAACGTTGTAAATAACGTAGAGCTTGATGGCCGCCTGTCCACGAATCCAGTGATACATCCTACTTGCGTCAAAATACATCAAAGCACAGCAGGTGGTGACCATGAGCAGCCCGGTAAGAATATCAGCCTTATCATCTGGAAGGAGAGCAGAGGGCATAGACTTCTTTCTGCGATGGTGTTTGCGAGATTCAGAAGTTCGGTGTCTCCTTTTTGACGCCTCATTCTGTCGACTCTGTGGTTCGAGTGAGACCATGTCATCAGGCAAGCGGGGGGTAGCATCACATTCGCTCTCATTTTTGTCACGAGATCCGTCTAGAGAATGATTCCTGCGTCGCCAAACTCGTCCAGATCCGTTGATAACAAATTTCCAGATGAACCGGGCTTCTGCTGCAAGATTCAATGCCCAGGATTCGCATAAAATGTACAAAGCTTTTACGAATCGTAGAGGCAAGATCGTGAAGGAGTAAAGCCATGCATCCAAGCATGCAAGAGTTCCAAAGCAAAGTGTTTGTTCCAGTACCGGCGGAAGAATGAGAAAGTTCAACAATCGTTCGATCTTCGCACTTGATGATTCGTACGGGAATTCATGGTTGTTTCCAGTGATATACAGTGGAGATGGGCGACCAGAGGCTAGCTCAAGTTGAAGATACGTTGGGATCGACGGAGGAGGCAGAGGAATAGTTGGCATGGGAGAAGTTGAAGGCGTCTCAATGATATGAGGTGAGGCTGCCAGCTGGGTTTTCAATTCTCGATCTTGTTTCGACCGGGATGTCCATGTTTGTGTAAGACGTTCATTATTAGGTGTTGATAAAGTTGTACGCCGAGAAATTGGAGTTGAAAAGGTTCGCGATGGATGTGGTCGTCCTCGAGGAATGCCATTATTCAAGTTCCTTTGCTGGATAAGGTCTGTCCTCGGCAGCTCCTCTGGATTCGGATCTTTGCTAGATCGCCGAATCTTGAGGCCTCCGTCAGGAGACGAAGGGGCCTCACTGAGAGCTTGTAAAGGTGTATCTGACGCCTCGGTCGGTCGACCAAGAAGACCATCCAACGACCGAACATTCTCAGACATTACTCTTCTTCCGGTGTTGATATCCGGTCCAACGGCACGGTAGGGGATCGACTCAGGCGCCGAGGTGAGCTCTTGAATCTTCTCTGGTGATAACTTCAAAACCTTGTCGTCTGAAGACTGTTGAGATGCACCCTCCGCTAGCTCTGCGAGAGCCGCCTTTATCTTGGGACCTTCAAAAACATTAACAATCGACATGCGGCCTGTCTTCATTGAATGATCATGTGAGTGTTCCACCAATATGCCAAGCCCCTGCTCTGGCGACCCAGATACTAAGTCGTGGGCATCAAGTTCGGATGAATGGGGCGGTGACTCGGGTGACTCGGTGCCATTGTGATGTGTCTTGGTTGATGTGCCGTTCTCCGTCCACTTCTGTTTCCCTTGAACCTGGGCCTGGGTTGGCACAGGCTCCTTATTTTCTACCAACGGGGCCATGTCATTCAATGCCCTCCTATTTCCGTTCGGGGTCTTTGTTTGTTGTCTTTGTCTTCGAGGATAAGTCGATCATCCCAAGAGGATAACAGCGGTGAGTCGCATCCTCTAGAGCTGGCGAGCTAGGATGTAACAGGCTAGAGGTGTGGATCGAATAGGAGGGATGCGCAGGGACCAGGCAGGGTAAATGACGAGATGAAAATATCAAGTGGGTCTGAATGCTAGGTGAGCAACATGCGTTAGTCACTCAGCTCACATTTTCGGGATTAATGTACCAGGTGCAGCATGCGACCGATGGGACTTGAGCCGGGGAAGGAGATAAGGAGGCTCATTATCTGGTCATAAAGCCGTTGTCGACACCTCAGGCATCTTTGCGCCACGTGACTACAATCCTATACCTACACGACGAGGTATGAACTTGGGAAATTGATGAGGAATTTTGAACTCTTGGGTTCGATAAAAGATAAAACTGGCTTTTACTAGAGAAATCTCAGTTCTACGAAATGGACTCTGGAACGAGTGTATCTGGGAATCACAAATAAAAATGAATATTCGGATGCTAAGAGATTCGAGGCCTAAGGCCAAATGGACAGAATGGGGTATGGGTATGTGCAAGATGACAGAGACTTGCTCACTGGTCATGAATATATTAACAGACAAACCGGGCATAATCTGCAGTGAAATAGCCAGCTATTTTGCAATTCATCGTAACGAAAGTGTGGGGAATATCGCTCAAAGAAGACTAGGCAGAAGCTAACGCTTCAAAATCGGTCGGTATGTGCTCGAGAGAAGGAATATCCTTCAGGAGGACCGTTACGATTCATAGAAGGTGATGCTGTATTAGCACGAGAGAAAGGCTTGTAGCCAGCAGGCGGTTGGATCCGAGACATGGAGGGTTGTGTTGTCTGAGAGGTTGCCGAAGGGTTGAACGCAGTGTATGCACTTGCAGGAGGGCAAGTAGGACTGTCTGCACCCATGAGAGTGTATGTCCGCGCAGGCGCTTGAATTGACTGTTGTTCAATTTGCGGGGCTGGTGTTCCTCGGCTAGCAGGTGTCACGGATCGCATGGGTGTGGCATTGTCTTGAGAATAGGCCGTGGCATCTGCATTTGCTGGAGTGTACAATCTGCTTTGGTACGGATCCTGGGGATGAGGCGTGGCGCCAGTGCTGGCCGGGGTATACGATCGAGCCTGATAGGAGTCTGAAGACTGGTACGGGTTCGACGATTTGTATGAGTCCTGAGACTGATATGGGTCCTGAGCACTGCTAGATACACTGGCATTCGCCGGCGTGTAAGATCTGTTCTGGTACGGATCCTGAGGATGAGGGGTGGCACTAGTGCTGGCTGGAGTGTACGATCGAGCCTGGTAGGAGTCTGAAGATTGGTATGAATCCTGGGACTGGTATGGGTCCTGAGCTCTGGTTGATACACTGGCATTCGCTGGGGTGTAAGATCTGGCTTGGTACGGATCCTGGGGATGAGGCGTAACTCCCGTCCTTGCTGGGGTATATGATCGATTTTGGTATGCATCTTGGTCGTGTGATGCTACAGTTGCGGCGTTGACTGGGTTGTAGGACTGATACTCTTCACTCGCCTGGGCTGCACCAGCACTCGCAGGAGTGTACGACCGAGCATTGTATGGGTCCTGGGGACGAGATGCCAGTCCAACAGATGCCGGAGTATATGATCGTGTCTGGTACTCGTCATTGGATGGGTAACCTTGCTGTGTAAGATGGTCATGCTGTGTGACAGGAGCTCCATACTCCTCATACAAGTCTTCATCGCCATACGCGTGCTCATAGGCATCTTCGGTAGACCCGTACGGATCGTAGCGAGCGGCCGCATGTGATTGATCATTGTCATCTTCAGATGCAATACCTGGGCCATGATGGGCTGTAGATGAGGCATATGGATCAGCAGCAGGGGTGAATGTGCGATACGGCTGAGGAGCTGAATCCGTTAGGTTTCGGTACCCGGTTGCCGGGCTGCCACGACCCATCTCATTTCCGAATTGTGGAGGCCCGGGCGTTCTACGAGACTGTGCCGAACCCAAGCGCGAGGGTACCGTCGAGGGCAAAGGCGGGACTGGGGGTAGCGTTGGGTTCTGATGATCGAGAGGGCTGTATCCCATCGGAGCAGCATTGGCAGTCAAGGAGGCAGAATCCGTCGAGATAGCCGATGCTTGAGTGGTTGTACGTGATAGTGGAGGTTTGCTGTCGAACTCAACATTCGGCAGAGTAGGTTTTTGGTCTGGTCGAACTGAGTTGGCGCGCGAGTAGGGAGGCAGAGTCGTTTCGGTGGTACTGCGTGACAAGGTGGTCACAACCGGTGTCTTGTCCATGTCGATTGAAGGCAATGTAGGCTTTGAATTGGCAGTGACAAGACCCGGGCGGCTCGGTTCTCGATCCTGTAATTGTAGACCCTTGGCTAACGCCTTGTCGACCTTGACCCGTACAAGTCGCTTCAGTCGAGTGGTGGCTTTGCGACGACAGTACGCTTTGAGAGACCCATCCTCGGGCGGAATATGGTGCCACAGGAAAATCAAATAGAGAATGACGGCAGACGCAAGTTTCAGGACGGACAAAACCCAAATAATCAAGGTGAACAGCATACCGAACAGGACCACCGCTTGAAGGGTGTTATCTTCGGCAAGAATTTTCAAGTTGTTGAAGAATTGGGAGATGCCCGAGCTGTCGCTACTAGTTGTATTCTCACCTCCGGGGAGAAGGTCCATTTTCATGACGGAGTACAAAGTGATGGCGTTGAGGACCTGTCGAGGCCCATCGGCGAAAACAGTATTCATCCAAGCTATCGATTACAATCAGCATCCAACCCACTGTAATTAGAGAGACAAAATTGAAAACTCACAATTGAAGGCAAAGTATGTGTACAGAGCGACATACTCTGCACCTTTTTTGCTTTTAGTCAAGGCTGCAAAAACAAGGAATCTTTTCCATCCTCGGCCCTTCGTCCCGAACACTCGAACACTCTGCGCTCCAGCGGCGAGGGGATCAAGATAACTACGGACAATGCTTCCTGATCGTATCGCACGAATTGCAAAAATCCAGCGGAGTGCCAGCAGGACAATGGAGATGATGATACACACAGCAAAGATCCATCGAGAGATTTTGAAGGGGATAGCGGGTTCAACGCTACCAGACCAACGACCATATGCCAACAAATTAACGGCGGTGAAAATATCGACACCATAAACAGCTACGGCAACGAAGAGCATAATCCATAGGAAGATGTATGAAAAGGATGACAAGCATGACTCGGACTTAAAATCATCGAGGTTCTAAGAAAGCACACTTAGTACGTATATCCCTCGCACATCCAGCACACTCCCAGCAGGGGTGACCTACCACATAGTCCCATTTTTCCTCCAGTTGTACTTCCCCTTTTTCACGATCTCCACCACAACCCATGGTGCTGGAGAACCTGGACCGGCCAGGAGACGATCGACAACGGATAAAATTGTTTAACGAGGGTGTAAATTGAGCCGATTAGATCAGTAGACTTCCACGGTCCAGCCGGGCAAAGTCACTAATGGGATATCGGAAGTAGAGGGGTTGAACGAGAGACGAGATACAACAAATGTATCAATCAAAAGAAGAAAAGAGCCACCTGAGGGTTTTTTTAACCGCGTGAATGGCGCATATCTAAAAGAGGCTAGAGGATATTGACGGAGACGTGGTAGGCAGACAATGGCCTCGAGAAATTGACCACGCGCGCAAGATGTTTCAGGATGGCATTCACTACAATCCTAGAAGAACAATGAAGCATTGATCGTCAAGTGGCAGATCGAATAGCGTTGTGATCGCGCCAAGAAAGGGGGGCAGATTGGGATCAGCTGTGGATCGGATTGCGGAGAAAGAATGGGCGCTTCAAATAGAGGCTGGAATGAATGACTGGGTTTGCACAGAGCGAGATAGATAAAAGAATGTTTAAGAATGAGGGATGGGATGAAAGCGAGAATGAAAAGAGAGTGCTTCACTTTGCCTAGGTGACATTTGAAAGGGGGAAGAAAGAGCAACATGAAACAAAGGCTAAGAAGAGTTTAGGTGGAGCTCAGGGACCCGGTTAAGGCTGATAACCCTGGAACCTGACATTTCTGTGCCCCATCCTCTTTCTTTTTTTCTTCTTCTCACTCTTCTTGATCTATTCTTACTCTCTATTTGTCGGGTTTTATAGTCTTGAAACTTGATCTGCAGTTTTACAGCGCCTGTCACCCTTGGCTGCATAACCATTGGCGCTCGAGGGAGAACTCTTGTTTGTCCTTGTTGTTACTCTCCACTTGGTCATATTCGAGACACTTAATATGGGGCTGCATGCTAGCACTTGGACCATCCCCACCAGTCACAATGCAGGAACATACTGAATTGACCTAAGCGCCGAATGTTATCCGGCCGAACCACGATCAACATCTCTGCAGTACGGAGTAGCCGCCAAGCTGATTCCACCTGCATACATCATCGATGGCTTCTAATTTTTTTAAATTTCCCGTTCTTCCCGTGTCCAATATACCAACCTAATTACCTACAGGTTACGGAATACTCCATACTTGTCTCGGATTTTGATTTGTTTGGTTATGGGGGTGGAGCCACTAGCAAGCTACAGCGAGTACTAAGAGTGCGGACTCCGGGCTAAACCCTCGGTTCGATTTTAGTTCCTCTGGTGGCTGTATCACCAGTTCACTGCGAATAGGAGATTCAAAATCGTAGTCTCCATACCTGGTCTTTCAGGATCCTTTTTCCAACCTGTAAACTTTATAGAGTATGGACGATTACCTAGTGTGGATCATATCCCCGCGACCACAGGGCTGATGGAATGTGGATTATGTCATACTGTTCAGGTACCATATTGACACCTGAGGCGTCAATGTCTGGGCGCAACCTTGGAATGCGTATCCCGTATAGCAACATCTCACTATAGACTACGAAACAAGTGACATGACCGCTCAAGTCGACTTAATCCTATGAGAAGAGGATATCAGTCAAATATCACGCATTGTTTCAATGGACCATAGTACCGACTGAATGCGTTCATTCCAATGATGACGTCGATTAGCCATTTCGGAGCTGCAATTTACTATAATCCGGTGGATAATTGATTGCAAATCCGGACCTCGGGATAATGAGAGGTCATATTTGAGGTCATGCAACTACGGATTAAACTACATACTTTTATTCTTCCTCTTTCTCAAAATTTCAGATTATAAAAATCCTGAGATCCATATTCTGTGAACCCTTCTTATCACCCGTCATGGCCAGACCCAACAACCCTGATATCGCCAATAAGCCCGCCGAGGGAATCTCTTACTTCACCCCCGCTCAGGTCCCACCCGCAGGATCCGCTGCCATCCCTCAGTCTGATGGCGACCAACCGCCCAAGCTGTTTCAGCCTTTCAAAGTGCGCGGTGTAACATTTCATAATCGCATTGGGGTAGGTTTACTCATTTTCATTCACCTAATCAAAAAAAAAAAAATTAAGACACAATAAAATAAAAATACTAACATCGCTCTATAACAGTTGTCACCACTATGCCAATACAGTGCGGAGGATGGTCATATGACCGACTGGCACATGGCACATCTAGGTGGAATCGCCCAGCGCGGACCAGGCTTCCTAATGGTTGAGGCAACAGCCGTCCAAGCAGTAGGCCGCATCACACCTCAAGACCACGGACTCTGGAAGGACTCGCAGGTCGAGCCCCTGCGCCGTGTGGTTGAATTCGTGCATAGCCAGAATCAAATCATCGGTGTTCAGCTAGCCCATGCAGGCCGGAAAGCTAGCACCGTCGCACCATGGCTCAGTATGGCCGACACGGCCACCGAAGCTGTGGGCGGTTGGCCTGATAATGTTATAGGGCCAAGTGATATTCCCTTCCACGACAAGTTCCCCACACCCAGGGCCATGACGAAGGCAGATATCGAACAGTTCAAGAAGGATTGGGTTGACGCTACGAAGCGGGCCGTGAAGGCCGGAGTGGACTTTGTGGAGATCCACAATGCTCACGGCTACCTGATGATGAGTTTCTTGTCTCCGGCGACCAACAAGCGAACCGATGAATACGGAGGCAGCTTTGAGAATCGGATTCGCTTGACTTTGGAGGTGGCAAAGCTCACCCGCGAGACCGTTCCGAAGGATATGCCGATCTTTCTACGTGTATCAGCAACGGACTGGCTGGAAGAGGTTATGCCCGATGACCCGAGCTGGCGAGTGGAAGATACGGTTCGCCTCGCTGAGATCTTGGCAGAGAGTGGTAACATCGATGTACTTGATATTAGCAGTGGGGGTAATCATCGGGCCCAGCACATCCATGCTAAGCCAGCATTCCAGGCTCCATTTGCTATCAAAGTCAAGGAGGCAGTGGGAGATAAGCTGATGGTTGGTTCTGTTGGGATGATTGACTCGGGTCATCTGGCCAATTGTTTGTTGGAGAACAATGGTCTGGACTTTGTTCTGATCGGGCGTGGGTTCCAAAAGAATCCAGGATTGGTCTGGACCTGGGCTGAAGAGCTGAATGTGGAGATCGCCATGGCGAATCAAATCCGGTGGGGCTTTTCAAGTCGAGGAGGAGGGGTATATCTGAAGAAGCGAGACGGGAAGATGTAGTCGTGGCCCTGCAAGGCCCTGCAAGGCCCTGCGAGTACCTCAAGGTGAACCTCAGTGTCATCTCATAATCTGATAGATCTTGAAATCGCAAATCTCCATTATTATGTCGTATGAATCACCACTAGTAAGTATGCAAAATTTTGAGTAGTAGCAGTAGCTCAGAGTCTTTCAAGTTTATATCAATACTGGGCCATCAGGGCATTTAGTTTCAGAACTACTACCCAGGTATCGTAGAGTCTGCAACCTTGTAAGAGTCCCATATAATTACCTAAGTAGTCAACCGATAATACCCTCAGGCTTGTACATAGGTGCATAATGCGCCCTTTGCTACGGTCCGTGTATCATATGGAGAAGATATCCGCATGGCTTGCTTTCAAACTTTTACCCACTTGGCAAACCTTCAAGTTGGAACGTTTGAAAGAGCCCTGGAGGAAACCCTTTCAATGTTGGGAATACCACCTGCCAGTGGGTAGTAGGTCTGTAATGTACCTAACAACCCAGAAGATGTACTGTTGGGCTTATGATTGATTGGTAGATAAGGATTCAAAATTAATATATACACATGTATAATACCACGGTGAGCGGAAGTAAGCAGCACGTCATCCATGCAGTCTAGGTACTACATAGATTCTCATTCAACGTTTCTTGCATACTACCATGTACTTTATCATCATGATCCACTAATCCAATCTGGACTTCAAGGCGACTCCCGAGGTCATGGAAATTTCCGAGTCGGTCCTTTCCTCTTTTTCCAGAGGTGCAATAATACAAATAGAGATACATTTCCAACAAGTAATCTCAACCTTGTGGCAACCTCTACTTCCGATTCATACTGTGTCCATCATGGGATCCTTTTCTTTGGATCCCATTAGTGAAGAGTACACTGAGATATTCCAGTCATTCCTGCACGACATTGATTTTCAAATTCCCAATCATGAATATCACGCAGATCTACAAAGTGAAATGACATTGCACTTCATAGAGGAGGGCTTCTCAGAAAAGTTCATCTGCCGTCTTCGCCCGGTATTGGAAGCCAGCGCGGGCATTGCTATGACAACTTTCTATCACGCCTCCCTCGAGGTCCAAAAAATTGTTGGGATATATACCGCATACGCAATTTTCATCGACGATCAGGCGAAAGAATTGGAACACGATCTAAAGCAGTTCAGTCTGAATCTACTTTCCGGGAAACCTCAGAACAACAAAGTCCTGCAATCGTATGCTCAATTCCTAACGGGAATGCACGACATCTTCGGTCAATTTGGCGGCGATATGATAATCAAAGACACCATCCAGTTCATCAGTGCATGTTACTTTGAACTCAAACTCGACACCAACAACCTATCGTTTCCGAGAGACGCTCCCGATTTCCCAAATTATATCCGAATCAAGACCGGTGTCGCCGAAGCATACGCCTTTATGGTATTTCCAGAGTGCCTGTTTCCAGAGGAGCACTATCTGGGAACCTACTTGCCCATGATCTCATACCTACAGGCATATCTCAATTCTGCGAACGATATCATGTCATCTTACAAGGAGGCCTTTGAAGAGGAGGATTGCAACTTCGTCGACAACTCCGCCAAAGCCCTCGGGGTGACACGGATTCAAGCTTTAAGAAAAGTTTGTGCTGATACCGTGGAACTCGTTGGGCGATTGCGTTGCTTGAGCAGTGCCAACTCTGGTCTTTGTGCGACCGTCGAAAGCTTCATTCATGGATACGTCATGTACCATCTTTGTCAGAGACGGTATCGGTTGGAAGAGCTTGGTCTTCCTATTGCGAATGAGGCACAGCGCCTTGTTGATTTCTCTGCTATTCAATAGACTTCAGGTTTTGTTTGATCAAAACTTTAGCGGCTAGATCATTACGGGTTAGATGCTTCAGCATATGAACGTGAAATCGTCTCAGTGTTGTGACAGCGAAGGGAATCAATTTTGCGCTACGTCTCTAGACAAGATGAGCAAATTTGAATTTTCATATGAATACTATTATTTCGGGGCATTTTGAATATTCCATAGTACATAAATCGGATTCAGACTTATCCGGGGTATCTTCAAGTTCAACCTTGGAAACTGACAGAAAGTAATGAAACAGCACCTAAATCTTTCTACTCAGCCTGACTTCATGCGCAAAAGTTTTCAAATAGCCAGATACCTTTTTATTCAAATTCATCATCTTTGTAGATGGCGTTGATATGTTAAGAATATTTGATTAGCATCCCGTGACTAATCATCTGCATGATGACATCTGTCCTGCGGGGTGGATCCAGGGTTGACATCCATGGATGTTTACGCTTACTTCCGAGGTTTCTTCGTATATTTCATTCAATATTCGGAATTCAACTGGAGCCGAAATAATGAGTCAAGATATACAGCAAGAGGAGCACGATGCAACAGACGCTCTTTCGCTTTCTTCACCACATGAGAATGAACTGATAGCAGATTCAGGGCGAGTTCTGGGTATGTTATCTTTGATATCTTTCGTTTACTTGAAACTTTCTCACTTAATCAATTGGCGAGTGCAGAGGATGGTCGTGTCAACATTAACCTTGATTCAAAGGTTGCAAGGGCAATAGCAGAGAGTATCAATTATCAACAAGAGCTCCGCAGCTCATCGGTGGATTACAGCCAGAGAGCCGCACAGGGGACATCCTTTGATTTGAAATTAAACATAGTCATCCAGATCGTCGGCAGTCGCGGAGATGTCCAACCATTTGTTGCTCTGGGTAATGAACTCCAGAAACACGGTCACCGAGTTCGCATCGCAACACATGGCGTATTTGCCGATTTCATTCACAGCTCCGGGCTAGAATTCTTCCCCATTGGCGGCAACCCAGCAGAACTGATGGCATACATGGTTAAGAATCCAGGTCTTCTTCCCCAGATGAAGACTCTACGTGAGGGAGAGATCGGGAAGAAGAAGATTATGATTGGCGAAATGCTTGAAGGGTGTTGGAGATCATGCATTGAGCATGATCCGTATACCCAACAACCTTTCATAGCTGATGCCATTATTGCGAATCCTCCCAGTTTTGCGCATATACACTGTGCGCAGGTACTGGGTATTCCTGTCCACTTGATGTTTACAATGCCTTGGAGCAGTACAAAATCATTTCCGCATCCGTTGTCGAGTTTAAAGGCCGATCCCCAAAATAATGGACTTGATTCCTGGGTTTCATATGGTGTGGTTGAGTGGCTTACCTGGCAAGGGTAAATTTTACCCCATCTAAAATTGAAGTGATAAAGGCAGATTTCTGACAATGTGATTGATTAGATTGGGAGATGTGGTGAATAGATGGAGGGCTTCTTTAGATCTTGAACCTGTTCCCATGACTGAGGGTCCAAGTTTACATGAGGCATTAAAGATTCCCTTTACATACTGTTGGTCACCTGCTCTGGTTCCAAAGCCAAGGGACTGGCCAGGTCACGTTGGTATGCACCGCTCATCTGTCCTGCTATTGAAAACTACTAAGTATTTTCTAGATGTCTGTGGCTTCTTTTTCAGGGACCCACCCCCCTATGACCCTTCACCTGAACTACAGGAGTTCATACTACTAGGAACGCCGCCAGTGTATATTGGCTTTGGAAGTATTGTCGTTGATGATCCCCAAAAGCTAATCAATACAGTTCTTGCAGCGGTAAGAGCGAGTGGGGTGCGGGCTGTTATCTCTAAAGGATGGAGTAATATGGATGAAGAGCAGGATGAGAACATCTTCTACATCGGTGACTGTCCACATGAGTGGCTCTTTCAACATGTGGCCGCCGTGATTCATCATGGTGGAGCAGGAACAACGGCATGTGGTTTAATAAACGGAAGACCAACAGCCATCGTTCCTTTCTTTGGAGAGTATGTACCCAAACCCCGGATCTATAAATTTTGTCACTTAGATCTCTCGCTAACTGAGTTGAACCAGCCAACCCTTCTGGGGTGACATGGTTGCCAACGCCGGTGCAGGGCCCAACCCTATCCCACATGCCTCATTGACCACTGAAAACCTTGCGGCCGCCATCAAATTTTGTCTGACTCCTCAAGCTGCGACTGCTGCACAAGAGCTTGCTTCGAAGATTCAATCGGAAAGAGGCGTGACTGAAGCTGTCAAATCATTTTATCGAAATCTACCGCTCGACAGGATGCGCTGTGAGGTTCTACCGGATCAAGTGGCGGTCTGGAAATACAAGAAGAACAACCGGTCACTCAAATTATCCAAGGCCGCTGTACAGACCCTGATTGAGTTTTCACGAATCAACACAGAACAACTCAAATGGTATGTAAAGAACTGAACCACATTATGAACCGAAGTTTCTTGTTAACTGGCTTCACAGCCATGACATCAATCCAATTTTAATCGCAAATCATCGCTGGGACCCCTTGACGGGTGTTATATCGGCTGGTATATCCACAGGGACAACGATGCTGAAGACAAGTACCGGGATGATCAGAGCACCATACAAGGAGCTAACACGTACAGCTTTATCACCAGCAGCTGGCCAAAGTCGACCTTCCACATCTAGATCATTATCAACACCCAACTCAACAGAACCCCGGTCTGCAACAATCCAACCAGGGCAAACCCGGCCTACAAGTCCACGGAGTCCATCATCCACCGCCGGAAGAATGGCTACCGCATCATTAAATAGCTTCGGTCAATTCACTACCGGTTACTTCAAAGGAGTTCTCGTGGATATTCCCACCGCTGCAGCCGATGGATTCCGGCGCGTATCGCAGGTATACGGAGACAAGCCCAAGGAGTACGGAACTGTATCGGATTGGAGATCTGGGGCGAAAGTGGGCGGGAAGAATTTCGTTGGAGGAATCAAGGAAGGAGTTGTAGGTCTTATGAAGCATCCTTGGAGAGGGTTCCAGGAGGATGGTAAAGACGGTGCTTTGAGAGGATTGGCCAAGGGTGCTGCTGGGTTAGCAACGAAAGGCCCATCTGGTAAGCACCTACTTCTCATCACTCTGTCTTAGTACATTATTCATGTACTATGAGGTCATAAGAAAAGACATGTGCTAATTTTAATATTCTGTTTTAGCCGGAATTGGATTGTGGGCCTATCCATTTCAGGGTATTGTGAAAAGCATTGAAGCCAAGTTTCGGACGAAGACTCGGAAGGCAATTGTTGTGTCACGACTCCTCGATGGATACGCTCAAACCATAGAGATGGGTATGTCTGAGGATGATAAAGCTGCCATCGTGGAAGAGTTCGATCGACTCATGCAGCTAGACTGAAAGTGAATGTTGACCGAGGCTCAGTGTATTAGTGGTGCTGGCGCAGCTGGGATTCATTACAGGTTTAACATGACTCGGAATTTCTGGATAGTACTATGTATAGTAAAATCTAATATCCGATTAGAATTTCCCAAATCATTGTTCGTCCAACCAAGTGTTGGATGTTGTCATGTCGATAATAGGAGGCGGGGACGGAGACGGAGAGTCCTGTCAACTGGTGAATATGACCTCGGGCCAGTTGTCAGCATCTCCCGTATAATCTGGCAGCCTTGAGTCAAAATCCACACCTAATGAGGTAATGAATTCGCCGAGTTTAATGTGACTGTGGCTCCACAACCTTCAAATGTTAAACTCCTTTTTGTTTGACGCGTCTGCCCAAATTGGTAGTATTTGCGAGCAATCCCGCACTAGGTGGAACTCGCTCCGATCGTGATCTCAAACGCCATCATAAGAGCTCCATTTTGACACGCCTAGTCGAAGTCTCCTGGAACTTGATCATGTTCTTAAACCTTTCATTGTCACCGAATCCCGAAAATCCCATTCAAAACCGACATATTTCGCATTTGGTTACCTAAATCTGTTTTCATTGCACCTCTATCTCCGGGGCAGTGACGGGGTCTGTGCTAGCCGGTGACATCGATATAAATCAACGAGTTACCTCGGTCACCTCTCACTCCGAGTTTTCAAGTTCATCTTCAGCCTGAGCAAATTTGACCTTTATTCTTGAATATTAAACGATCAACCGTGCATCAGCAACTCTCACTTGTGCCTTTCAAGTTTACGATCACTGTGAAAAAGTTTCTCATTGTTCCATCTAAGACAATGGGTTTCACTATAGCGCGCTCAAGCTTTAATGAAAGCTTGATTGTCATCGCTGTCGGTGGAGCTGCCGCACTGTACTTCAAGCCAGAATATGCCATCGGTAGCTCGAGACCAGTCACAGCTGTCATTCTTGTGATCTTAATCACATTAGCTAAGATCATCTACGAATTGTTCCTTTATCCTAAATTTTTTACTCCTCTAATAGGAATACCAACGCCAGCTGTGAGTTCACTTATGTATGATTTCCAGTACTTGTCACCTTTATACTTATGCATCTCTTTAGGACTGGCACTTCCTGAAAGGGAACGGCAATACAGGCTTGGTTGATACACCACACGACCTCATTCGAGAATGGGCCCAAACAATCCCCAATAATGGACTCATTCGTTATTATATTGTTGGTCAAATTGAAAGAGTGGTTCTCACAGATCCCAAGGCCTACAGTGAAATACTGGTTACCAAGGCTTACGACTTTGTGAAACCAGAAGTTGCTCGGCAACAACTGCGACGGGTCGTTGGCGACGGTCTACTTCTTGCTGAAGGAGATGAGCATAAGGTGAGGAATATATTCTGACTGGTGGAATAATTAAAAACTAACGGTCCAATTCAGTTTCAATGTAAAAACTTGATGCCCGCCTTCGCATATCGCCATATTAAGGATCTCTATCCCATATTTTGGGCAAAGAGCAGTGAAATGGTGAAACTGATTCGACGTGACCTGGAAGCCAGAGAATCAACTGAAGACAACACGATTCAGGTACGTGGTTACGCAAGCCGGGCAACTCTCGATATTATTGGTCTGGCCGGTATGGGCCACGATTTCGACTCGCTGGAAAACCCAGACAATGATCTCTATCAGTCCTATCGGGCAATCTTCACTCCAGGAGACGCTTTTGCTCGAATCTTGTTCATGATCGGCATGTTAATTTGCGACATGAGACTTGTTCAGAAGCTTCCTACCAAGCGCAACCGGGCAATTACCAAAGGCAGGGAAGTGATCAGTCGGGTTGCACGGCAGATGGTGCGAGAAAAGAAAGCCAAAATGGAGGACCCAAAAGCAGATGCTGGTATTGATATTATCTCGGTAGCAATGACGAGTGGTACATTTGAAGAGGAGAACCTTATCGATCAGTTAATGACATTCCTCGCTGCTGGCCACGAAACCACGTCTGGTGCTCTTCAGTGGTGCATTTATGCCTTATGCAAGAATCCCAAAGTCCAGGATCGTCTCCGTGAAGAGGTCCACGCTAATCTCCCTCCTATCAATGTCGAAAACCCTGAACCGATCACTGCCGGTGCCATCGACGATATTTCTTATCTCAACGCCGTCTGTAATGAAGTCCTGCGTTTCTATCCCTCTGTTCGAAATACAGTTCGTGTCGCAGTCAAGGATACTTCTATACTGGGTCAACCAATCCCCAAAGACACATTTTTGATCCCTTCAGTCGATCTTCTCAATCATTCACCTGAGTTGTGGGGCCCTGATGCAGACAAATTCAATCCCGATCGATGGATGGCACCTGGTCAGGCCAACACTGGTGGTGCTACCAGCAACTACGCGTTCATGACATTCCTTCATGGACCACACAGCTGTATTGGTCAATCTTTCTCTCGATCCGAACTTGCCTGTTTGCTTGCCGCTGTTGTGGGAAGCTTCAAGTTTGAGTTTAAGTATCCAGATGCCGAATTGAAACTGCGCAGGGCTGCAACTGTTACACCCTTGGATGGTGTCTTGGCCAAATTCACTCCTTTAGAAGGCTGGTAATGTACGCTATCACGCCTTGTTCAACCTTTACTTCCTCCGTTTTTCCCTTTCAAATTTTATACTTGGGCCTTATAACTTATACCCTTAACGTCACTATTCTTTCACTCTTCTCTTTGTCTGGTCTACTTCTAGTTCACTGGGTATGAATAATGAAAGCTGTATATTAACCTACTGACAACTGAGTCTGCTCATATTATTTTCTCAACATCTGAATTCTTATCTATCCAAGAGACCTTGTATTTTTGATGCACATAAATAATGTCACGATTCATGTGAATTTCCATCAATTTCAAAATCCCTCTTGATGTTTGTTTGCACCACAGGCACCTGAATCTTCGTCCGATCTACTGTCACGATTTATGTAATTTCTATCAATTTTGAAATCCTTCCTGATGTTTGTTTGTACCGCAGGCGCCTGAATCTTCGTCCGATCTAATGTCAACAACGCGCACTATTTAACCCCGCGTTCCTCTTCTCTTCCTCCTTCTTTCTTCTCTCTTCCTCCACCCCATCTTCAGTATCTTTTCCTTCAAGGTAGATCCGACACGTCAACCCCTTTAAGAATCTTTGCTCAACATCATCATAGATATTCTTCACAACATACCAACACGTGCATGCTCAGCAAAAATCATGGAGATAGTCAAAGAAGAGACATCCCCGGGTGCGGTTGAAGAGATGTACTCCAGTGCGGTTAACGAGTTGTCTCCTTCCCCCGGTCCACCTATGGGGTTCAATCACCCAATGTTGATATGGCCTTCAAGCGGGTCTTTCAACAAAGATGTCCATTTCTGGAAGACTGAGGAATTTGGCTACTTTTACCCTGATTACCGCGTCACCGCCAAGCACATTGAGACCAAATATCAAGCCGAACTTGGAATGCACGTCAACATTTTTCACAACGTTGAGGCTTTCGTGGATCAAGTCCGCGGCTTTCTCCAATTCAAACCTGAGAACCTTATCCGAGACAACCTCCACCTCTGTTTGCGCGGCGAAGCTCTGGGCTGGTACAACACCGAGCTCGATTGCAACGAACGAGAGGATCTCAGTGAGTTCCCTTTGGAGCATGCGCGTGGATGGTGTGGTCGAATCACCTCCCGCTTCAGCCTATCTCTTACCCGAACTCGTCTCTACCTGGTCTGCGGCGCTTCTGGAGACACCATCTGCGAGACCGCCCGCAATATTGTACACTATGCTCGCGCCGCCGGAGTCAAGGAGCCATATCATCACATGCTACAGATCATGCGATACCTTAAGCATACTCACCCTGCTCATGCTGCGTGTATTGAGACTCCTACTCCGTATACTATGTTCACGGAGTTTATGCAACAGCTTTACCTTGCAGAGCAGAACGTGTTCTCTGATTCCGATACCGATGATAGCAGCATGACAACGGATACTTGGGTTGGTCTGGATGAGGGCTTGCTATCATACAGCGTCTTCAAGAAGGGCATTTAGTTGGCGGATATTTGATCTTCTGAGGCTTAGCTTTGATACTTGCGGTTCAACACCTTTAGTTTGATGCTGAAAGTTCAACACTTTTGATTATTGCTTCGAAGGGATTCTTGTGATCTTGCTGGCTGCATCTTGCCTTTTTTTGACGTTCTTTATTATGGAGTTTCTTGGTGAGGACTCTAGTTTCTTCTTTTGTTTCGTTCACTAAGCCTTACCGCCACGCCCTTGAAATCTACTCACCACAAAAAGAAAAAAAGAAAAAAAAGAATGAAATCCAAGCATTCTTTCTTTCCTGAATGTGCCAAGTCTCTAGATATCCGTATTATGCATTGGCTATTCTTTGTTCTCTATGATGTAAGTGATCGTATTATCAAATAATATTCTCGTTTGTTGCGTTTTCTTTCTTAGTATCTGTATCCCTCATCATGTTAGCAAACGAGATTAACAAACGAGATTCTCATTTTTTACCATTTCCTTCTTAGTATCTATATCCCTTTTCCTACCTTGATCTCTTTCCCCTCTACTTACTAACCCTGCTCTTGATTCTCTTTTCAAATTTATTTTCATCATCATAGAGATTTGCTCAATTTCTTCAAATCCTCCCATCATGGATTCTGGACGGTCAGGCCCCTGGTGTACCCAAGAAGTGGGCTATTTGGACCCCAAGACTGATTCTGAAGAGGAACCTCCACACATCATCAACACGAGATCCGACTCAAAAGGGCAAGGATGTACTTTGATTTTTCAAAATGTTAACGCCTTCATCAGCCATATTTGTGGAATTCTTGTCTTCGAGGATGAAATCACAATTTGAACCAACATTTACTTATGTTTGCGCGGCACTGCCCTTGAGTGGTACATCGCCGAGCTCACCGATCAAGATCGAGAAAATCTCCGTCTCAATGAAGTTGAATCGCCTTATGGTTGGCTCCAAAAAAAAGCTTTCTCAACGTTTCAGTTTGTCTCCCAAGCTCTGTCGCGTGCGACTTACAACCGGGGCTGGAGTGAGCTTGAATGCTTGCGAGGCAGCTCACCAAATTCTTCGATATGCCCAGACACTCGGTATTCACAACAAAGATGACCAGCTCTCACTGGTTTTGAAGCATTTTCAGCTGAATCGTGATTTGGAAGGGTTATACCACCTCCTTGCTAAGCCCTCATGTGGTACTTCAATCAAAGAATTTATGCGAATGTTGGATGTGGCAGAGCAGGAAAATAAATTCATACATGAATGGGGGCACGAAATTTCAGTTTTTGATCAATATGTTATTGAGGAGGAACTCAAGAAGGGGAAACCTTGAGTGACTAGTCGTATTAATTCAACATGGAAGCTTAGGGTGAATCAGCATCATGCTTAATGATGAAACTTGGGAATTGTTTCATTTATTCGTTGTTGAGAACTATTATCTGGATTTTTTGCAATCTCTTTTTGGCCAATAACTCTAGTTTGAAATTGATTGATATCTCCAATGACTTAGACCTGACTCTAAGCTCCATATGTACTAGTAGTAGTATTCACACCTCAAGTGCTACCAGTGGATGCGCTAATGAACTTTGCATTAATCCATCTAGTGCATGTACTATGTGTTGTATTCGAGGCATGTGAGGCCGCTCTTTGCCGCAACTTGAGCATTGAATATATACTCTGGATAACTTGAAATTGTGCCAATGATAAACGTCACTGAAATTTGATTGAGGGATATTTTTATATCAAATTATAGCTGAGGTTAGACTTGTCAAATAGATATCATAGAAAGTTACCTAACTAGGCACCAGCAGATCCATACTAATAATTGATCAAGTAGAATTTAGGGGAACTTGAAGTAGAATCATGCCCGGGTGGCTTTACTAGTCTGCTCAACTCATACCTAGGTATAGTATTGATTAGTATCTAAACCTTGAAACTAACTTAAATTTTATGAGGTACTATTGTTGGTGGTTAAAATACACATCTCCCTTTCATGAACCAAATCCTGTTCTCCGCTACCTATCCCCAAAGATTTTCGGACCTTCTGTCAGTCCTCAACACCACATACAAAATCAAAGTATTTCGGCTCTTTTAGCATTTCTCAAAGCTCTTTGGAACTTTAAATGGTCCTGGGGTATTCAATCTGTCCTGATATCATTTTACAGTCATTTGTGTATGAAACTGGATACAGTACTGATCGCAGCTATTGTCTAGCTCATCATACTTGTTATTCCATCCGCTCTTGCTATAAATACCCAATTATATCGGCTTATGACTCTTCTCTCATTATCTTTTCCACGTATTCAGGCCTGAGATCCCCACTTTCAAAGATATCACCCACTATGCCCCCAAAACGAAAATACACCAATCCTATGGCCCCGAAACAAACTCCTGGCCAGGCCGATGATCCTTGCACCAACTCGGTCGTACAATTTGACACTTATCCTCTTGAGCACGTCTATCGCCTAGTTGAGCCGGATCCAGTCCTATTAGTTGCAACCGGATCCCTACACGAGGTCACACATAACATCATGGCCATTGGCTTTCATATGATGATGCAGCATGAGAGCCCACCATTGATTGATATCACGCTTGGTCCCTGGGACACTTCATTTGCGCTTCTTCAGAAGTACCGTACTTGCGTGTTGGCTATTCCCTCAGTTGAGATGGCCTCGGATGTGGTTGATATCGGGAACTGCTCGGCTGCAGATGCAGATGCGGACGGAGATAAGTGGAAGCGTTTCGCTCTAGAGGCCCGGCCCATACAGCAGGTCGCTACTTTGCTGATAGCTGGGCCCCACATACTAGCTAATATCGAGTGTGTGGTTGAGGACACGGCCTTCGTACGCAAGTATGCAATGTGGGCACTCCGTCCCGTTAAGGCGTGGACTAGACGCGGGGAGCCCGGCACTATATTCCATCATCGAGGCCAGGGGATCATGGTTACTGATGGAGAAGTGATCGACTTGTCGCAGAGGATGGTCGAATGGCAGGAATTCTTAGATTAAGGATCGCCTTGTCCAAGTCCGAAAAGTTTCGACCGGGAGAGCTACATAGTGTGATCTATTGTCTTGCATAGTATTTTCGCTGGTTGCGATGCTTATAACAACCACAATCGGCTTTGTTTCTTTCTAATCTCTTTGAGAAATATTTAATAACCATTCTATTCCTATCTCTGTTGAGTTTTCTCTGTCACTCGAAAAATAACTTTTGAATAAAAGTGCTCTCCAACCGCGTGCCGCTCTTTCAGAAATTTGGGCTATACCTCTCTCCCGTTCAATCTTAAAATCAAAATCAAAGCCATGGAGAAGGCAGATGACACCTATGACAGTCAAGGGACTATCGAAGAGGTATTCTTTTCCCCAAATTCAACTGTTACACCCGATTCTTCTTCAAGCGACGCTTCGTTGCGCGAATCCAACCCCAAGCCAGACACGGCTCCCTCGCAACTGGGTCCTCGCACCATCACAGGAACCCGTTGAATAGGCGTGTGTATCCCATTATGTGTGTCACTATTCGTATACGGCTTAGATGCCACCATCGCCGCAGATGTGCAATCGAAGGTCGTTGAGGTGTTTGGCAGAGTTGACGAATGATCATAGATCGGATTCGGATTTCCACTCGGATCTGTGTCGGTAATCTGTGTGTGTGATGCTCTTTACGCACGCTTCAACATGAAATGGTCGTACCTGGAGTCAACATTACTGTTCGCGGCAGGCTCAGCGCTATACGGTGCAGCTCCCAACATGGCATCCTTGATTGTTGGGCGCGTCATTGCCGGGGCTGGTGGCAGTGGGCTCTATATGGATTGTCTCAATCTTTTCACCAGTTTCACTACTCCCCATGAGCGCGGTGTCTATATCACCGGTACAGGTATCACATGGGCTTGGGTGCTGTACTAGGGCCCATCATCGGCGGTTGCTTTACGGATTCCTTCGTTACCTGGCGTTTCTCTTTCTATATTAACCTCGTCATTGCAGCCGTCTTCACCCCAGTTACCATGATATGCATGCCCTCTATCAACCCGGGAGCTAGTACACTTCTGTTTAATCGTCTACGTCGTCTTGACTGGGTGGGATTTGTACTCGAGGCTGGGACCTGGATGGCATTTACAATGGCATTCACTATGGCTGGAGGGAAATGGCTTTGGAATGACTGGGTCACAATGATTGTGGTTTTTGTGGTACTCTGGTCCCTATGAGGGAATTCAGCAGACATGGTGCATATTCACAACCTCCAAGGATCGGTGTATCCCAGTCCCGCTCCTTCGCTCTCGGGCGCAGATCATGTTTTACGTGGCAACCTCTAGCACAGTCACTTCACTTTCATTATTGTGCACTATATTCCCATCTACTTCCAATTTCTGCATGGGGACTCAGCGCTAGATGCGGCGGTGCGATTACTTCCCTATATTGTTGTGACTGTACTACTCAACCTGAGGGCTGGCTCGCTCGTCGCGCGCGTGAAGTACTACAAACCGGTATACTGTGTCTCGGCTGTCTTCATAGTTCTAGGTGGCGTGCTACTGACGGTCTATTTGAAACCCGACACGAATGAGGGCTACATCTATGGCTTCACGGTTCTCACGGGAGTTGGTTCTGGTCTCACCCTACAGCTTAGCTACGCCGTTGCCAGCCTCAGAGCTCCTGGTCAGGAAAACGGCGCGCTCTGCCTGCAGAATATTGCACAGATTGGTGGCTCTGTCATAGCCCTTGTGATTGCTGGCCAGATCTATCAGACTTACGCCCGCAATGGGCTGACGACAGTTCTCGCCGGCACCGGCTATATGTCGACTGATATTCAGAGTATCGTGGCTGGAGCTCAGAGCTCCTTGTTTGAGGATCTCGATGCTGAAAACAACTTGAAGATTGCGGCCATTACCGCCATCACCACTGCTATGCAAAAAGTTTCCAAAGTTTCATTCTAATTTGCGTAGGCGGTGGAACAAATCTGCTGTCGAGCGTATCGATGAAACCACCAGTTGACTGGCAGAGAAACTGGTGGTGCACATGTGTAACCTTGGAATCATTTTGAGGTTGAGAGCACCGATCTCATTGTCAGGACACCGTCGGAGCTTCCAAGGTTCTATGGATATATACCGCCGCGATGCCAACTAGAATGGCACCACTACCTATGTAGTTAAGCCTCTACAATTCAAGTTCAAGTTTGGAGAACTGGAAATTACCACCACTTTGTAGGAATCTCAACTGCGGCTCATTGACTCCAATGTCAACTAGCCACCTGGGCATTTTTGATGATTGCGTCGTACTACAATGATGTGCACCCATCTGGTTTTTGAAGAGCCATCTTCTGTAACCAGAATTGATGGTGTCATTTATTACGTTGTATCTCAACAATTGGCCGGATGGTGTAGTTGGTTATCACGTATCGTTAACAGTCATCTGATTTGTATTCCGATAAGGTCCTCGGATCGAGCCCGGGTCTGGTCACTTTCTTTTTGAATCTTGGTGTTGAGAAAATTGAAGAACTTTTTTGGAAAAAGTGGATTTGGTTTAGCCATTTATGTGGATCCCATTCTTACCGCCATTTATTCTGCCGGTAATAGTAATACTGGCTGCGGGCTTACAGTGGGAGGACAAAAGTATTTGCATCCCGGGCCCCACACCAACTTGATTATATAATATACTGCCCGCAGAAACCTCGCAAAATAACCTAGTGTAATATTTACTATACCATCCCTCTAGCTCAATAATTACCTCCACGCGATGTATAATAATAGCAGATAAGTGTTTGAAATAATTGTTTTAAGCTATTCCAATGCTTATCATGCTACTTTTACTAAAATAGCCTCTGTCTCCGAATTATTACGTATCTAAACCAGATTAGGCCGAAGCTTATAAATCATGTCTTACACTATATGATTTAGGTAGGCGGTATGGGCGGTGAGGAGAGTGGGGCTTTAGGGGGTACAAATACTTATATCCTCCTACTGTAGGTATATATACTATAAGTATAAATAACTATCTAATAGTAGTTTATTTCGAATATCTTCTCTTAAAATTACAGTTATCTATAAGCCAGAATCCAAAATCCTTTGTTCAAGACATCCTGTAGAGATTCAATTTTTATTTAGCGCTTATTTATGCAAATAGTCAGTGACTAAGCCGTGGTTCCCATTTATCTGAGACCCCGACTTTAAGTTTGACAGCGTAAACTATATCTGTGTGTGAAGGGCTCTATAAAGACTGAAGCAGAACGATATAGGCCGTCATGCAGTTTACATTCATGCTTGAGGAAGAGGAAGCTATGGTACATGGTGGGGCATATATGTCCTTCTGTGGATCACGTGTGGGGCCGTACGATTACGTAAGTAGACGTTCGTGGGGGTTTGTCTTTTGTGCACAAACAGTCGACTGTTGTCGAACGTGACCGTATGGGATGAGTGGCTTTGGGCTTGTCGAGGATTGACAAGCCCTCATCGGGTTCAACCCGTTACAGTAGTTCCCTCTTTATAGGGTATTCTAAGGTTATATCTAATAATAACTATATATATATCTAAGTACTCTGCGGAGTATAGTTAGTTTAAGTATAGTATCCTAGAGATCTATAAATTGCCCTATAGTACTAAGTTTGGTATATATCTAGGAAGAATTTAGATACTCTACTGTGGACTATAATGTTACGGACCCACTACGGGGAGGTCTCCCAGGAGCAGCTATGACCCAATCAGTTGGCGGTCGGGCCAAGTACGGACGACCAGCCATAACAGACGCACGGCCCAAAAGGGCGCAGGGCTACAGCGGTGCCTGAGGCACCAATGGGAAGCCGGATATGGCCTGTTGCTTACCGTTGCAACATATACTGGCTATAAGGGAAGGACGGTGCATGAGAGGCCACTTCTGGCTCCATGGCACGTGACCGCGGATCTATTCCAACAATAGATCCTGTCCGTTCAACGGAACGGACCTGACCTGATACAGGAACGGACCTGTCCTGTCAGAGGACAGGACCACAGGAAGGACTACAGTGAGGACTGGATATATAAAGGACATTCATTACCATCATGTATTTAGTTCTTCGCGATTATTACTCTATTGTTATTGAGACCTACAGTACAGCTCAGCTTGATACTTTGATCACAATCGAACCCTTGAAGATAAACCTCAACTAGCTTGGGAGCTCACTCGTGATAACCTCACTCGTGACTGACTCGCTAGCGGACACCCTGATTCACGCATTACCGTGCAAGGATCCCTAAAGACTCTAGCCCGTGTAAGGCCCGGACGGCGACGGTACAGTTGCGGGATAACGGCTTGCGGTAAGTAACACTTTGGAAGTGCATACTCACGTTGCTTGACAGCCAGTTCGTAACATATAAGCCCTAGTAAATTAAACTAGCTTATATACTATAATTTATATATAAGTATTATCTTAAAGGTTTTCTCCTAAGAGTAGAATATATAATAGCTAAAATATAGCTAGTTAGTATAATAGATAGATTATCTAAAATATACTAATAGTATATATTTGTCACGGGCCTGTGCCCGCTGCCTGATCACGTGTAGTACACGTGCCCTTATATACCTCCACTGCCCCCTGTGTTCCTCTATTCCTCATGTTATTCTAGACAGTACGTCTGACATAGCTTGTTCTGAATTTAAGTCCTGCTTTAGTCCGTCACATAGAATAACATCCTTCTTGGTTGATGTGAATATATCAAGTCGTACACAATTCACCCCAGAAACCCTGCCAGAATGGCCTCCGACCAGCAACCCCTTTTTTCTCTGATACAACAATTACAACACCAGCTTGCACAGCAGCAAGATCAGATTCAACGTCTCTCAGTCCCTGTACCAGCCCGACCAACCCTGCCAGACCCTCCTAGATTCGATGGGAAACCATATATGCTACGCACTAGACCTGTGCAAAGCCCATGGGTAAAACCCATGGGCCTGGCCCATCACAGCCCATGGTCCAAAAGCCCATGGTGAAAAAGCCCATGGGCATTTGGACCATGGTCCATGGGCTAGGACCCTGGCCCATGGGCACCCATGGGCAAAAGAAAAGTGGAGCATGTATAATATGCATATTTAAAAAACATTATGCAGTATGAGAAGGGTATGAGAAGGGTTTGGTATAGATCTAAATCATATACTTCGTATCGTTGAATCAAGTATATAAAGAAAGATAAATTTAAAAGAACAATTAAATTAAAAAGATAATAATCTAATACTGTGTAATGGTAAATCCTGGAGCCTGAGAAGGAGGTTTTCTTTGTCGTTTAGGGAGTCGATGATGATGATGATGAGATCATCATCATCATCATAGACACTCCTTCGAACCTGAGTCCGTTTCAAGGGTGACTTAGGTCTGTTGCATGGTAGACCTGGAGTTGAATCTCCTATGACGGAGACCTCTTCATCAACCTCCTCTACATCATCATCACTGATATAATTAAATACATCATCCACTTGAATCTCTTCCTCCACTTCCTCTTCTGGATTTTCAATTTCATCACTATACTCATGGGATCCAATGGCTGCTTGTTCCTCGAGCATTGAAGCACGTATGAACTGTAATCGATCCTCCTCTGTTTCAAACTTGGTTGAGCACATATACAACATTAGATTCTCAATAGTCTCCGGTTTTAGAGAACCTCGGCGGTAATGGCATAAATCTCGAGCATAATTGAACATACGCTCAACACCTGCTCCAGTAGCTGGGACACAGAGTGTATCACGGGCGATTCGGGCCAGAATTGGATAATCATCAGAGTGGTTCCGCTACCAAGTACAGGGGTCAGCCTCAATAATTCCACTTTGGAGATAGCGTGTAAGCTCATCCTCAGTATTTTATTGAGTGGAAGATTGGTGAAGAAGCCGGTTGAGAAAAGTTTGGGGTGTTGGACGTCTGGAGGTAGGTGGATCAGGGCTGGTTCGTGCATACTCCGTATACTGTTCACGTACGAAGCGCTCATACTCCTTAGCCCAGTCAGCGTCATCTCCACGCCATGCGTCAGTTTGAAAAGCTTGTAGTTTGCGAGAAGGAGCTAAGATAGTTGCAGTAGCATAAAGATAACCTTGTTTCCCATTGGTCATTTCATAATATTCTGCAAGCTTTTCTCGTCCTGAAATAAGTGCATTTTTCATTGCAACTTTCCATGGAGCTCTTTTGGAATTCAGCCGTCGAATAGATGTGTCAAGGTGGTCAAACAAACTGTTATAAAGGTCGAATATGAGGTGAATCGTAACAGTTTTGGATGATGACACAACAGTGGTAAAATTAAAAAATGGCTGAAGGATTGAAAGAAGATAATCAACATGTTTCCATTCCTCCGGAGTCAAATGGAAGATCTCGGTTCCATTTTGAATACAGTATGAATCAAAGGTTGATCGGAGACGTTTCGCACGTTGTAACATCAAAAAGGTAGAATTCCATCGTGTTTTAACATCTTGGATTGGAAGGAGTGGGCGAGGTTGGTCTGTGTTTTGGAGAATAAGAAAATTTTGTCGGCGTTGTGCACTGGCTCGGATAAATACAGCGAATCGTCGAATCTAGAAAATAAAACATTGTTAGCATAATCTGCTAGGTCTTCCTTTGGTGCTCCTTCAGCCTTTGGTGCTCCGTCGGCCTTTGGTGCTCCTGCTAGCAAGGCAAAACCATCAGACTTTACTCAACCGGTCAAGTCAGCCTTTGGTGCTCATTCAGCCGTTGGTGCTCCTTCAGCCTTTGGTGCTCCTGCTAGCGAACCAGAACTACCAGTCTTTACTCAACCGATCAAGTCAGCCGTTGGTGCTCCTTCAGCCTTTGGTTCTCATTCAGCCTTTGGTGCTCCTTCAGCATTTGGTGCTCCTTCAGCCTTTGGTGTTACTCCAACAAAACCATCCGCTTCTTCTCCTGAATTTCAGGCATCGACACTATTAGCTTAGGTGGAATCAACATAGGATGATGTTGGGATGATGTTGGGATCTGTGATCCGCGTAAGTGAGTTCGAGAAGGTGGTGTGAAAGGGAAATATGCTTTAAACGGCCTGAAATTGACTCGGGAGCGAAACGAAGGGAGTGAGATACGGGATTCCGAAGACGAGCAGGAGCGTGGAAGAATAATACTCTATTCTACAAGGGGGGTTGGAAAACCTTGGAAATACACAGAGCCGGAACACTAGGCTCTACATCTAGATATCAACCGTTGCCTGACGCGTAAATGAATTTATCAACTTTCAATGTTTGAGTCACTTTCACGCACATACGTATTCCAAGATTTTGGATAGCCAATCATAGCATACTAACATCACATGGATATCTAAATGCTCCAAATTAACTGGATGATTCTTACTTAGCACAGCTGATACGATTACCGGCATCTATTCCAAAGCCCGGCGCTTGATCTGTAGGAGCTATTCTTATTCTGTAAGTTGGCCTATGGAGCTATCCCTGTTCTATGAGTTGACCTATGGAGCTATTCTTGTTCCGTGAGTTGACCTGTGGAGCTATCCCTGTTCTGTGAGTTGACCTGTGGAGCTATTCCTATTCCAGCACTAGCCTGATTTACATAAATCAATAAAACCTACCCAGTAAACAGATATAAGTATTAAAATAGATATTAGGAAGTAATTATATAAGAAATAAGGCATAGGAGAGGCGCCATTTGACCATAAACTCAAGTTTCCTTACCTAGTAGTAAGCGGCCTAGGCAGGCAGCACTTAAGGGAATTTATATAAGACAAGCCCCCGAGGTACCTCAACTACTCTTAGGTAAAACTTATTCTCCTTTCGCCATAACTATAAATAGCCTTCCCTCTGAGTTGATTTGGATGATTGTGGAAAGCGTGAAAGTTCTTAATTGCCGAGTGATTAAGTCTTTGTCATGTATCAGTAAGAAACTTAGGGAATTCTGCTTACCAATTATGTTCCATCATCTCACCTTTGGTGGTGAGATTTTGCATGGGTCTCTAGAGATTCTTAAAGAATTTTTGGAATCTGACTTATATACTCACGTTCGCTGCTTGACATATATCTATCCGGTACTATTAGATCACAGTAAGAGTCCCCATATCACATTTTTCAAAGTTGACTTTGATCTAGTATTATTGAATGACCGTGGAGAACTTCCAGAAGTATTTAATAGCATACACCAACGGTATATAAAAGATACCTTCTCTAAACAACAAGTTATCCTGAATAGCAAGAGGGATGTCAATTTGATTTTACTGGCTTTTCGAAAGCTTCAACGATTAAACAAAGTGGAAATCCAATTTTCCAAAAACTCATTTCTCTCGCCGTTTGTGCTCTCGCCATTCGCGTCCTAGGAATTTTCTGCTCGCCGTGTTGAATTGATTGCTACTGTTTTAAGGAATCATACATCTACCTCATCATCGAAGTTAAAAGATATTGCTATTAGCTTTTAAGTTGTGGGCTGCTTATTACTAAGTAACTCCGCTTGGCCAGCTTCTAGATGATGTACCGACAATATGCTGGACAGGATGTGCAGAAACTCCTAAGGTCTTGGAACAGCTCGAGCTCGGTATAACACTCAAGATATAAGGAATTGATATATGCATAGGTAGGAATACATATAAGGTGTTTCTTAAGGTAAATATAAAGATAGTATAGTTTATGTATCTTAGTGATAGCATACCTTTAACCTTAGAGGATTAGCCGAATATACAAATTCAAGACTTAAAGTCTTTGAAGATAGTCTTATTACACTGGTAGTTGTTCTTAAACTATTATGAGGTAAGGGAAAAGTGCGTGGGGAAGGATGAGCGTTATTATAAGTTTTATGTTACTCCAACATCAGCTGCTGTCCGCCTCGAACCAATTCCTTTTATTCTTGTTTTTTAATTTATATGTACTTAATTCAGTACTAGACTAACAGTGATATCTCTACTAAATTCTATTTAGATATCTTTTAAATACTAGGTATATACGATAAGCTAAATGACTTGTAAAAAGCTTTTATGAAATACGGAATACCCCTTTCTGCATACCATGCTTGCATATCTTGGTCAAGAAATTCTTCTATCTCTCTTAAAATCATTCTTTACCTGTTAATCCATGTGATTCCAAAGAGCTAGAACCTTGAAATATCAACCTTGGAAAGAAGCTAATACTACCTATGGTGGCGTCTGAGTTGTTTAATATTTAGGATGTCACCGAACCTTTATATGTTAGAACTCGATGCCTAGGGCTATTCTTGGAATGACTTCAAATTAACTGGATGTGTTTTACTTAGCTACTTGACCTATAGGAGCTATCCCTGTTCTGTGAGCTGATCTATGGAGCTATCTCTGTTCTGTAAGCTAACCTGTTGAGCTATTCCTATTCTAGTACTAGCCTGATTTATATAAATCGATAGAACCTGCCTAGTATACTATACCTAGGTATATATATAGTAGGCTAAGCCCTGACTTAGAGCCCCGTCCAAGATCTGAAACTATTTCAAGTTACCTCATCCATAAATATCTTTTTAAATGAGCGGGTCTGGTTGTAATAGAGAATATTCTGCCTATGAGGAGGAAGTTCTCATTTTTTCAAAAAAGAAGAGTCTGACTCCGACGTAAATCATATATGAATTTAACAGGAAGGTTGATCTAGATCGTTAGAGAATGCTTATGGCTTTGGAGAAGAAATAGTAAGAGATAAAAACAAGACTTTCCGAAGATTTAATACTTCTTACGCTAAGGCCTCGTCTAGAATGTCCAAAATTGACTGTTTGTTCACCTAACGTTTACTCCATTATGGCTTATAATTGGGCTGACTAGATATCTGGATAGACCGTTTGAATCTAATATAAATACAGCGAGCATCCGTTGGTTAATTTAGTGATTAGAGGATTAGATAATGCCGTCCTTATCGCAGTGCTGCTTGGTATCGATCAAGTCGATCTTGTAGTTATTCCCGACATAGTTACCCGTATTTCCGAAGTATATGACTGTTTAGAGATTGAACATTTTGGTGCTGCTGATCCTGCAATCAAGGATCAAATATGTCACAACGAAACATTGGATGCTTTCAAAAATCGGATTGGAAAGGGGATCTTTGATTCCTACCGATAAGAGTTTCTTTGAACGTATAGAACTCGAGAAAATATGCCTCCTTTATTTTCAAATGAAGTTTGGGCCTAGTTTGACAGTAGATTTATAACCTTGAACAACATGCTGGGAAACCGTACTTAAAAGGTTCTAGCGCTAAATTTCGCTCAAAATATAGTCTAAGACTGACTTACCTTAGTTTGACATCCGTGGGATCTTTCTTCCCACAGCCCAAGTTACGTTAAAATATCTCGCTATCATCGCTTTTGGGCCCAATAAGTCAAGCCCTAGTTTGGACAAATCTTCTGATCAAACGATCTCTACTCTCGCAATAAATATGAGCCAAGAATCCCTTGCACGTCTCGCGGTTACTACATAGAGCTTTGATATATCTGTATCTCCAGCGCTATGTCCCTCATTGATTGAATTCATATTTAATTTGACACAGAGCCCTAACCCGGCTCCGTCAGCTATCTATCGCCTATGCAAAGTGGTACAAAATAAACATTTCCGTGGTTGGCGAGACTCAAAAAGGCATATGGCATTTTTGATTGGACTTCGCAGTGAGTTTGAGAAATGTAATTTGTAAAAATACCAAACTTATCTATATCTACTAGTGAATATCAAAGCCATTATCCAATCAAAACTGTTAATACACTCCGGAGAACTGCAAATACAGAAAGCTTAGTGGTGACTTCAAGACTATGTTAAGTATACTTAGTACCAGGAACCATTTGAACGTACCGCCTACATAATAGATCATTTCATATTTGAATCTATAATCATACTATGAATATATCAAGTAGCCTAAACTCTAGATACCAGCCCTTATTGCTAAAGCTACTTATAATTAAGCCCTAACAGTACATCCTCACTATCTATCCTAGTCCTTCATTATCTATTCGTAGACCGGAGACCAAGTTAACAGTCTAGGGTAGATACAAAAAGGGATAGCGGGATGGTTCAACATGGACAACTAGATCTAGGTTGAGCTGTATTAAATAGACACAGGCTCCATGAAGCTTGCCTATACCCAAATCGTAGAACATCTCCAGCACTAGGGTATAATCTATCCCCAATGAATTAACTTAAGAGACCGGTTATACTAAACTAACTAAGAACCTGGGGTCCTGCGATTTTAGATAGTCAATAAGTAGATAAAGATTCTGCATATCTAGATTCAAGCTGTCCCTCATGGTCCTAGCCAGTTGTTCAAGCTCAAAGAGGAAATAGAAGAGGATCCTTAGTACCATCTAGATTAATATCAGCGTTCTCCAGAGTTATAAAGCTTTATTCAACACACTGATGGCTTTTCCTCCATATAAATAATAGAATTAATATCACGCAGTACCTCTGGCAGGAGCTCTTCGGATTTAATATCAATGTACGATAGCTCGGAATTAAGCTCTTATCCTCCGGTTAGAAATATTTCATTTGCTAAAACGGATCTTACGTACCAACACATTTGTGGATAACAAAAGCATATTCGTAATCTGCCCCTCTAAAGTTTAATTTATATCTACATGCTTTCCTGTCCCAACTATCATCATATCAGTAATGTTCATTAGCAGTAGAGAATCAATTACTTCATACATTTCCAAGATCGATAAGGATAGGGATACCCAATTCTTAAACAATTCGAAGTCATCTAGAGTCGTATCAATTAGAAAATTAGGATGAACGACATTTTGATTCGTTACAGTTAAGATTTCGGCGACAGTAGATTGATCGCAAGTGATATCCATCAGTAACCGGTTCAATAGAGTCGCATCAAGGGCTTTAGAGGGCTAGCCCTGAGCGAAAGGCGTCGACGGAGGCCCATGCTTTGGATCCATATTGTTTCTTGAAAGAATTGAATAAAGCAGCTCAAAAGACTAAGAATAAAATGGTAATGTAAAAAGACAAACAGTATCCAAGGGGGTTCTTCCTTTTTAGTACTGAATACCCCAAAGCTCAAATATTCATAGCTTAAGATATTCCTTCGGCTCATGCATTCAGCGTCTAGATTCATGAGAGTGCATTGTATAGTGCATATACATATGTGCATGTACATATAGTATATGGAGTACTTTCGATTTTAATTGGATGGATTACTACCGCTAGTTAGTGGCTACTGAAGTTAGAGTAGGTATCGGCAATACTGGGGGACTTAGCGACCAATTATAACAATGATCACATATATATGATCCCTGTATAAAGGTATCACACATTTATGATCCCTGTAACGAAGTATCACATATATGTGATCCCTGTACGGAGTACCGGTATACCTTAAACGGCAAATCGCAACGGGGACACCCGACGAGGCAAAAATGGAGTTCACGATGGAAAACTTATTTTCCGGAGACTTGCATCTTACCACTAGCCCGCAGCTATTTACGTCGTTGGCTTCAAGCATAGCTACAGTCATGGCATCGAATGAATTTATGCTAGACGTGGCAAGGAGGGTTCTGCAAGAGGTGGGGTTTCTTAATTTAAAAGAATCATCAGTGGGCGACCGTGTCTTGGAGATGGAAAAGCTCGGCTTTCCATACCTCACCGAGTATGGAATCGATTTCTGCAAGCAATTCGCCTTTGACGAAGTAAGAGAGTGGAAATTCACTGTGAATACCAGCTAATCATCATTAGCGAATCCGATCTATTCTTGAGGCCTTCCTCAAACGATGCAGCCTCGGCCATTGGTTGAGATATGAAGAATTCCCTGGCCATGTCGAATGCTTCAGGAGGGGCGGTCCAAAAGCTGGTTGTCGTGTTTTGATGGTACATTTGTGGGCCAAAGGCTCGCGAGTGTTATATTATCCCCTTTCCCATCTTCACGATTTAGCGACGACAAAGGGGAGAAGATCTTTATATAAAATATCTGAATCCGAGTTGGATCATGTGGGCTCTAAGCCCGAGGTCAAGGATTTTCCTAATGGAGGCTTGTAAGTGGAAGCTTTATACTCCTTGGTCTATACTCTAACAATTACAGAGTGATTTTGGATGCTAGGCTCGGTTTCCAGATCAAGCAAGGATATATCATTACTTTTCCTTTTGCCACTGATGAAGTAATAACCACTGGGTAAAGATAATAATTCCTTATTCAGAGGAACTGGAGTCCAGAGTTCAGGATCTGGAAATGCTGAATGAGAGAATTAGAATGAACTTTATATTTGATAAAAAATCAGATAATTGTTTATAGTATAGTATGTGATTTATGTTGATCTTTCTATAACATTATTTTGAGTAAGCCAGTTGGCTGTAAAGGCTAGGACACTGTTCATGATTTAGAGAATAGGAGCATCAAAGCCTTGGGTTTGTTCTTCTCTATGATTGAAAAAGATTTCTTCCGTTAGAGAGCTGCCAGGATAAACCGGATTACTTATTGCAGCTAAGCGAGGTAATAAAGTAGGTAGTTGTGTAGGAATAAGGTTCGTAGATACTTCATCATGAGTCAAGCCGAGCTGGCGAAGAGCGTCATCCCCATTGATATGGCTGAATGTTTGGTCAAAAGCCGATATCCCGATGTCTTCGCCAAGTTTAGATTCAGCTTCCGGAATATCATAGTCTAAAGCTACCTTGTCCCATTTCCGTTTCTTCATGCGAGATCTAGTTGCCTGTTCGACTGCTCACATAATTCATCGTATGTTTTCTGAATGAATGATCGTTTTCTTTCGTATACTCCTTCATTATAATGTTTATCTGTATGTCTGATGAACTCCCTTACTTTTGTGAATACTTTATAACAGTAAACACACACTTCTGCACATGCAATATCTGCATCAGCAATTAATAAAAGGGGCTTTTTTTCCCTTTTCAAAAGAATATCACTTACGTTATTGGAAATGTCGCTGGAGTCCCTGCCTTTTCGGAAATGGCTTTTCTCGTTCACAGGATGGATAGCATAGATCCCTGACGTGTTCCTTATCTTCGCTTTTACATTAAATCTTGTCGCCGCCACTGACCATCGAATGGATCTGACATCGCTTAAGTTCAGCTTGTAGGTGCTGTTGGCGAGACTGGAAGAAGTCAGCGAAGGTTTACTTTTTTTCAGTCCTAATAACCTCATATTCTAACCTGATATTCTTCGAGATGCTCTTGTAGGTTAAGTTCTGTTTCAAAGAATACGGAACAAGCACACCGTGGCTGTGTCTTTGACATTGTCGAGAGTAAGAAGCGGGGTACAAAGTCTGTTATGAGTACCCAGGTGGGCAACCTTGGAACCCGACCTAGCCAAATCTTGATTAGTCAGACATCGAGAAAACTTTGGAAGCTAATTGGCTTTAAGTCCTAAGCCAGGTCGGAGGTCAGGCACCTGGGTAGCGACCTCGGGAAAACATCAACTTTTCGCTTAATTGATCGTACTTTCCTGACTTGCCCTGGAATCAGCACTCAAGTCCAGAATATACCAACTCTCTACCTCAAAAAGATCAAAGATGGCCTCATGTGAAACATGTGGAGGCAAAAAAACCGTGAACGGTATTGCATGTCCAACTTGCAGTGGCAAGAATTGAGCCATTGAGATCAGCCGGTAAGCTCGTATTCTAGCCGAAAATACTTGATCATCGACATTCTTAGGATGGATTTTTAATCTAATACTTGTCGATATAATTCTAGCCTTCGTGCCTGCCGTGGAAGATTATGTGGATTTTAGTTGATACAATGGCATTTCCTACAACCATAGCCGAGATCATGATCGGATATTTTTCTCAGTCAGGAGTGCGGACATAGGTACTCATAATTCTCCCTCGGGAACTGCTAGTACTTTTACATATTCCATACCATTTGAATTTTTACACCTATGTATAGTGAGCAAGCGCTCCAAAAACTTTTCAATGTTGCCATGGAGGGGGGGAAGATAAGTAATTTCCTTCGCAGGTTGGGCGCTAAGTCACATGACCAAGCGTCATTTGTGCCCAGCATATAGTATTCTTCCAAGGCTACATAGATGTTAAATATGAGCCTCTCAGGTCTGCATGGTAGGGATGAACCAATATGAGATAGATTACCGGTATAGAAAGGAATTATCACCAAAATTGAATAGATTGCCCAGTATACGAATAAATATAAAGTCTCACTGATATTGACTTTTTATAGAAAGTTTCTTGCAATGGAGACCCTGAAATTAAATGACGAGGCTGATGCTATTCGGAAAGACATAAACTCATCCCTAGTGACATGCCAAGTCGACTTTTTCGTTCGATTATGGCATATTACTACACCCAACGCCTTTATAAAAGGACTGAATGAGGACTTCTTTCCCAAAAAGGATTTAAATACGTCAATGCCTTTTGCAATTCCCCCGGGGTAGCTGGTAGCTTCATTTAGCACTATAAATAGCAGATTTTTACTTTCGATAGACAACCCTTCCATTATTCATAACGAATCTATCACATGTTTTCTATTAGATCCCCACCATGTCTGCATCTGGAATCCTCGCTCAGTGGCAAGCCTCTCGTGCAGTCCTTGTGGTCCCAATGGGCGACGTCCAGTTTCTTTCTTTCCAACGACTAGCTGCAATTGGCACCATTATTGGTTCCTGTGATTTCTCTGAAACCGCCGTCTCTTGGCATCTGTACATGATCAAATAGCAACCCAGGATTAGCGAAAAACGGCAATCTTAGGCTGGAAAAGCAATTCCACTTGGTGTCTTGATTGCAGCTAAAATACTTCGGATGCCAATGTGTGAAAATTCTCCAGTTTCATTTTAAGCTATTCATCGGCTGCTCTTTATCTCATCTGGGGACTGATACTCTAGAGAGGCTCAGGAGCCACAAGCGTTTTATCAGGCAGGTAAGCTAAACCTAATATAAAAATAGGAAAAACAATGATCCGAACAACTTGGCGCTAGCCGGACCGGATGACTCCTGGGTCTCCACGACATTTGCTAGATCACAACATGTCAGGGAAACGACGACTGCTCCAACGAGAAGTCACATATGAAGATGTGAAAGACGAAGAATTCAACATACTCCATCAGCTTGACTTTTATGGTCAGCAGCTCCAATTTTTTACTCGCCTGTGGGACAAACGCGACTGGATGAAAACAGTCGTTGCACATCATCTCAACTTGGCAACACCCTCTATGTGCGAAGTTTCGAAAGTGGAAGATTGGCTCTATGGTAGCTTCAACGTTTGTGTGCCGATCAATATCAACCGTGATCAAACATCCCGGGTTCTTTTAAGATTCCCTCTTCCATACCGCGTCGGCGAGGCTCTAAATCCCGGCAATGGCGATGAGAAGATACGTTGTGAAGCAGCAACATATGCCTGGCTTCAAGAAAACTGCCCTGAGATACCAATAACTCAGCTCTATGGCTTTTCATTGTCATCTGGCGAAGTGGTATGTGGCGAGTAAAACTCAATTTCATGAATTCCTCTGACATGGCCAAGTTTACTTTTGTAGGATGTATGCCTACCTTCCCTCGGTTTTACTCTTTATTGCGTTGTCGCTTGTTACAGTGGCTCGGAAGACCCACCCCGTCAAACTACATTCGTCATCAGTACCGAAACACCATATCCATTGACGGCCTGACTGGTATTAATACTGGTTATCTTCTGGTCGACTTTGTCGATAAAGCGAAAGGTCAAATGCTCTCGACTACATGGAGCAATGGTCGACATGACCCTATGTTACAGACAAATCTATTCCGTGATCTATCTCGGATTTTTCTTAGTCTTTTCCGATCTCCGCTACCGAGAATTGGCTCGTTGATGATTGATAACCAAGGCTTCCTGCATGTTGCTAATCGACCTCTTTCAGTCCAAATTCAGCAATTGGAGAATGAGGGGATATCTACTGATATATCCCGTGACTATACATATTCAACAGTCGACTCCTATCTAACTGATCTATTGGGGGTTCATGACAATCGTTTCCGCTTCCAGCCAAATGCAGTCAATCATCTCGGAGACTGTGCCTACCAGCTCTCCATACTCACCGCTATGCGAACGGTTTTTCAATCAATCTTCAGCCGAACTTTTCGAAGAGGTCCCTTTATTCTCTCCTTCACAGACCTCCATCAAAGTAATATCCTCGTTGACGACAAGTGGCAGATAAAATGCATTGTGGATCTTGAGTGGGCTTGCTCCAGACCAATTGAGATGGTCATACCTCCCTACTGGCTTACAGACAAAGGCGTCGATGAGATAATTCCAGAAGAATACAATTCTGTCCGCCAAAAATTCATGGAGGCTTTGGTTAGCGAGGAAAGGAATCCAGTCTTTAATACTACGATCAAGCATGAACATGACTCTTCACCGTTACGTCTTTCAGAGATCATGAACAAAACATGGGAATCGGGGGCTTTCTGGTATACAATAGGGATTTCAAGTCCCTCAGGGCTTTTCAATATTTTCAATCACCATATCAAGCCTTTATTTTGCGCTAAAGAATATGATGAAGATTTCGGCGTGGTTATGCCTTTCTTCTTTGAGAAAAATGTTGGAGTTATCGCAGCTCGTAAGCTTGCAGACAAGGGGAAATACGATGAAGACCTCAAGCGTGCATTTTATTGCCATACCGAAAAAGAATGAACAATAATTATTTCTTCTCGGAATTGTCTTGCTCGCCATTCCCTGCTCCTTTCGAAACGCCTTGCTGGATTGCAGCACCCAAGGCACCTAGTACTCTTTCCTTTTGATTGTCGTCTCTTTTCTTCCGTGCAGCCTCTCCCGAGGAGCTTAGTTGTGTAAACTCCCTAAGAGTTCCCCCGATTCCATATGCTGCCTTGTTCTCTTCAGTTCCGGACGAGGGTTGCTCAGCCATTTCGAGAATGCGGGGAAGAAAATTGGATCTGGTCTACTTGTTAGTGTTGCCATTCAACACGAAGAAGGGAGCTTTCTTTCATACGTAAACGAATCTCAATGAACCAAACGAATTTTATATATGCGTTCTTGTAAGGAGTCAGAGGTATTTGTGGAAAGGAGATGCCGAAACTTTCCCGTCTCAAAAACTAAATTTCCATTAAACAACCACCTGACCAGAGGTCCTAACATGATAACAATTTCCCAGGCTTCAAGGCCAATCACACCAAGCTATCCACGTAACTGACTGCCACAGCTGTAACTTGGTGATGTGGCACTCCAATAGCATATCCGAGATGATTCCGGCAGATGAGAAAGGAATTATTGTGCATCCATAACGCTCGCATTTTTTCAGCCGGTTATTGAATGCAAAAAACCAATAATGACAGAACATTCAAATCAAAAGTCTACGCGGAACTTTGATATACAGCTAACCCATCCAAATTCCTCTAAGACCATATATTTTTCTTTTGGGAGGCTCCATTGCTGGCTGCAGACAAGGAGTACAATAACCTGACGTGACCATCTCTCGAAGAAGACGTTCAGCAGCGAAAAGCCCCGATCCATTCGCTTTTAGCATCAAATGGTAAATACGAATTTTTTGAATCCCCCCTAAGGCTCTGTTTTAAAGCATACAAGGTGGAATTTAGGGTACCTATAAGCTACTAGATAGCTCACTGTGGGAATTGAGTATAGATATAGGCCCCTAATATAGAGATCTTGATTATGAAAATTATCTGATATAAGTAAGCCTTCATTTTTACCACACCTAAGGAGCAATGCTTCCGTTAATAATGTCCCAGTTTGCCCTCTTCGTCGTTGAAATTCCCACTTCGCCGCTTGCTGTTGTGCCTCTCCATGGAATCTGGGTCTGGTCGCTCTTCGGCTATTCGGATGACTAGAGGAGATGCGTATATAGGAAAGTTCATGGTCGAAGCCACGGGATGCAGATCGCGTAAGTGTCAGAATGCTAGCCATTCTTGGTCACAGGAAAGCTCAGTGGTGATATGAAGTGTTAAGTGTTAGATGTTGATAGGAGTTGGAGATGTGAAGTTTAAAGATGAAGAATTTGGAAGGAAGAAGCTGGAAGTTTATAGTAGGAACTTGAAAGACGACCTCGGGAAGAACTTGAAGGTGGAGGGTGGAAATATGAACAAATTTTAGGTAAATAGGTTAAGTGAAGTCAAACTTGATATGTCACTGCTAGGATCTAGGGAGGGCTGATCAAGAATGAGGCTCAATCCATACATTGAGCTGCTCCAAAGGTTTAGTAATATTTAACTTTTTCAGCATAAAAGAAATATTTCTTTTGTTTTTCTTTTGTTTTTTTTTCTTTGCTTTAATTAAACAAGTGGACCTAGAGATTTATTCATGAAGTTGTACTTACCTCTAGGATATTCATTCTATTAATCTTTCCTCTCCTATTCATATCTATAAGAGTCTAATGTGGGTTATTATCGCGTGACGCGTCAAATGTTTGCCCAGGTTTTCTCCCACATGCAGTGGCCAAGGTGAAAATTTTTCGAACACTGTATTTCACTAAATACGGTAGTTGATTAAAACCCCAAACGAATACTACCTATGGTACCGAGGCAATATCGGAGAATATCATCTTACTACCTGTGGACACCTGGTCAGTATTCCACATGGTATTTGACTCCAAATAACGCATCTAAACGTGCAGGTGAATATATATCTCTTTATTCTGCTATCTCTTAAGTTAGATATTCCTAGGTTTGGTTGCTGCTTATATGTATGTATCGAACTATATAACAGCTAGCCTTCTCCGGAAGGCACCCATATAGGTAACCCTGTAGGTACTTATATACAAAGAGGTGTAGGTAATCAGTCGCTAGCACCTCCATAGTATTCCTTTGAGAGAACTGCAGAAAACATACCTATTTAACTAAATATCGACATATTTATACAGCTTGGCAGTCTGCGGTCCTGGAGGTTAGGGCCAGACCGTACCATTGAGAGGTCTACTCCGTAGTGAAACAACGGACCAAGGGTGGTTTAAAAGGTCAGATAGGCAGTGATAAAAAGGGACCGAACATGAGACCAAACACTGAAACATGAGAATTCAGATAAAATGTGTATGAAAACAAAGAAGGTCACAAAAAGTTTCGAAATGAGCTAAACCTGACAAGTTTGGCATCAATAAGGGACTTGGGATTCAGGTATGTCAATTAGGATCAGTTCAAATATGGCCGAGGCACCATTTCTTTGGCAGAGTAAGTCCATCCCTCTGACGAAGAAGGAGGTAGAACTAAATATGCTCAATAGAAGCAACTGTTGAGCATTCGAACTCAATATTCAACACTTACAAAAACTGACCTTGGGATTTTATCCAGATATCTTAAATAAAGTAGAATTTTAATAAACCTATTGCAAACTAAACTAGCACGTTAAAAATAGGCTTCAGGTTTATATCTTCTAAGGTTGTTTACCCCGAAATCTGGGCTTAACATGGAGCACTTGAGGATATCGACTGAGGTGCAAAATGGACATTCATTGAAGCTATCAAGGAACTAGCTGACTACATGCGGCTTCGGCATGCTACTGCTCAAGAATATCGCTTTGAAATGCTTTTGAACAGGAATGGCTCCCTTCTAGTAACTTCCCGTAGCATCGGCAGCCCGTGTTCTAAGGTAATGAGCAGCGTCAATACGATTTGGCTTGCTCACTAGATAGTCCAGCGCAGTATAGCCGTTGACATCAGTATCATTGATATCCACAAATTCAAGAAGGCGGCCTAGTATATCAGCCGTAAGGGGTTGTTTCCAGGTAGACATGCAAAGCCTATGGAGAACATTACGTCCCTTATTGTCGCATAGGTGTGCATCAGCCCCATTCGCCAGGAGTGTCAAAATCGGGCCCATTATCTGTTCTAGAGTGCCAGCAGGGGATGTAAAAGGCTGTAACATATCCCCAACAGCTGTTGCGCCTCGATTATTTCGGACCTTTAAGGTATCAAGAGATGGGTGGGCATCTAGAAGCTTTTGAATAGCTTGAGAAAGAACCTCATGTCCCATAAGGTTCAGGCGGGCCGCATAGTGGAAAACTGTAGAGCCGTGATGGTCTCGTGTGTTGATTGTGTCTGGATTTGCGTCAAGCAAAATTCTCATAGTGCTTGTCATATGTGAGATAATCTCATCCAAATTATCCTTTTCTTCACGATTTTCCCTGATACAAGTAACAGCCCAGTGGAGTGGAAGTCGGCCATCATCATCAGCTTTAGAAGCCATAAATTCTAGCCCAACATCACCACAGTGATCTATAAGCGCTTGTATGCCGTCTAAATTCCAGAACAAGGATGCAATATGCAGCGGTGTCACATTTTGCCCAAGTTCAATACCTGTGTTCTGGCTAGACCAAGTCTGAGGAGTGTGAACATCACTTTCCTTAGTAATAAGACGTGAGACCATTCCGTAGCTGGCATAAGGAATCGCCTGGCCTAGAACTGTAAACTCCCTTCTTAACGCATCGTCTGATTTTCCTTGTAGACCATCGTCGTGATTTCTCTCAAAGGTATTGGACTCGGCGATTGAGCAACCATTGTCAAGTAGCCAATGGATAAAACTCTCAAGACGCTCTCGATTCTTACTTGCTTTCTTTCTAGCAATAGCAGGAGCCTCTCCAACATCGGCATCTAAGATAAGACCACCTGCCATTCCCAGCGCCTCAGCAGCGTATAATAAAGGTGTCCAGCCTATGTCAGTGGGATCTCGATCGTGTAACGAACCCAGTGGTGGCTTATGGTTTATCAACCATTCTACCATGTCCTGTTCCCCGGCAGAGCAAGTTCGATGAATCAGAGAGAGCCCACAGCGGTTGGTATATGTTTGTAGTGGCTCGGTCATCGATGGGTCTGAAATGTAGATACTAATCAAAGCACGTAGCACATCGAAGCTACGGCAGCCCAAAGCAACACTGAAAGGATCTTGACACTCTGAATCGTAGCTTTTCAAAAAGAGACGTGAGTTCGGGCTATTATTATATGAATGCAAAGCCGTCACGTCATTGCGCTTGATGATTGAGGCAAGCAAAGATCCATAGGGAGCTTCGTATAAAGATGAACCATCTATATCACAGAAGATCGGTTTTTCAAAGTCCGGCTGAGGGTGGTGAAATTCTGTATATGCCATTGCGCGTAAGCATAAAGTAGAGGTTGCGGATAAATATGATAGGAAGAAAGAGGAAGTTCATAGATAGCAGAAGAGGGGTAAAGCAAGATAGGGGAGAGGAGAGAAAAAAAGGAAGACAGGCGGGGCGGAGTTTCTTTTATACGTAATCTATTGTATTGTTGGCTAGCTCCTTCTGTAAAGCGAGTTTTTTAAGTGCATGCTTGGCAAATGGTTAACGTCTTCAAGTTGTAGCACAGCACAGCACTGAGCATAGTTACTATCACACAATATATAATATTACAAATTCAAGTTCAAATGTTGTATTGATATATCGATCACAGTCTCCACTGTCCAACATATATTGTCAATTCAACCTTGGAAAAGGCGGTAGCTGACGAATCTTTTGACAGTAGTCAACGTTTTATGCTTCTCTTCCTACATCTTTGTACACGACTTTTATGTATAAGATGATGTCGAGCCTCGAATATTTACAGTGTTACCCGCACTGTCCCAGTTCACAGTAAATGCGTTGCTAGTGGGACTATAGCCGTTATTACCCCTGGGAGGCATCACATTCCACCCAGGTCCATCCTCGGGCACCATCCCGCCAACTTGAGGCCAAATGAGTCCTAATCTGGAGTTGGAGAGGATCCCTTCTGTAGCAAGCCAAACCCCCCTAGTGGTAGAAAATTAGCTCTTACATCCTCTGTATAACTAAGAATGATACTTACAAAATCATTAAGCGCTTGGGCATACACGACTGGGAGTTGGTGACCATTTGCCAATTGGAGATTTGCTGTGGAGTCGATACCAAGTGACCAGCGTCTACCGGATCTGCAACTCAGTGCTTGAGCTCGCGCATTATAGTTCTGCATGTCCCCTGAATTGGCATCTCCCTGGTAAGTCGACGAGAATCGGAATTCGGCTCGTGGAGCTTGGCCCCTTATACGGTGGAGTGTCTGACTATGATACAGAACCATCGCCGAAATTCTTGGGGAAACACCTCCAGACTCAGTTGTGATACTTCGGAAAGTATGATCGTCGCGTGGAATATGTATGTGGATGGAGACCCAACGGTCGGTCTGGATGGTATCTTCTGAATCACCATACGTAGAGAGATTCTCTGTAGTTGGTGCCACGCCAGGGGTCGGCCCGATCCAAAATGCCAGTTCAAGAATGACTTCCGGGACATCATCTCGCAAAGTAGTTGTTGAGACCCAACGTCTGTAGTGGAAGGTCAGATCTCCCTATAAGAAATGAATCGTTATATTCAAATTTGCACAAGTTGGGGATAGGCCACAAAAGAAGAATGTGATGACTTACACTGGCGATTCCATTCAAAACAGTAAGAATTGTAGGTCGAAGCCCATTGGCAGATCGTGCATTATCGCTAATGCCATCTATCATACGCTTGCTTAAAGATGAAGATGAGGGCAATTCACATAGAATATCGTTTGCAACAGCCAGACTTTCTATGCCAGCTTAAGACTCAGCAATATCGCATAGCATCTGTGAAACCATCGTATTGGCTGGAAAGACCGGTGTACCAGTCCAGGGGTCTCCGTATCCGTACGTTAAGTCTCTCATATTCGTGAGATTGGCCGCCTCAGCTGCATAACCAGCAGCAGACATGTCATCGGTCCAGATCTTTGTCAATTCTGCATCCGGAGACGAGGAGGTAACCCAAGTAACGACATATCCCACGAGCATAGTAAATAGCAAATATTGGTCATTAGTAGTCTTTGAGATAGACGATGATGCTCGCTCGTACAGATCTCGCCTGCCAAACGTGGCGACGTATTCATCATCTGAGGCTGAACAGGTGGGATTTGCAAGCCATTTCTTCAAATAAAAGTCAAACTCATATGCGATTCCAGTAAGCTCATCGCTTGAACTTTGTGTTTCCACGGTTTCCACGACTTTGGCCGTACCGTTGCAACAATAAGCCTCATTGCCATACACACAGCCAGCCGTCTTCGCATCCGGGTTCGTAAGGGGCACAGAAGTGGTTGAGATCGAGAAAGCTTCCTCCGCGATGCGAATGGCGCCGGATGGACAAGCGTCGCTGCAATAAATAGAGCTGGTACCTTGCAATTCATGACCAGTCCAGGCACAGTTGGTGAAGGCATCAGGGATCGAGGTTTTGCAGCAATAGTTGTAGTTCTTAGAACCGCTGCACTTCTTCCGTCCACCCCAGCCTTGGCGTGAACCAACGACAAATTTATCGTAGCCAGAAGGACATGTATCATCAGACTCACAATCGGAGGTCCACGCACACTCCGACCAAGGCTCTGTAGAATCGACGATAGTGCAACATGCCGACTGATACCCCGAACGACAGCCGGCAGTGATCGTGCCGACTTCAGCCTCACCACTGTCACAACCTCCCTTACACTTTCCACCATTGAAGCCACGCCATTGGCAGGTAGGCAGTGTACTCGAAGTCGGACAGCACAGCGTCTGCGTCTGTTTGCTTCCTGTCATACACTCGGTTGAGTCCAGCATGAGCTGCTTCTTGTTATCTTCACGGGTTATCTCCGAGAAACCACTCGGGCAGGTTTCGCCACAATTAATGAATCGACAGTAATTGTCTTGCCTGTATTCGGTGGTCGTTTTGACTGTGTCAACGACCGGACCCGTAGACGCCGTATCAGAGCTATTGAGATTGACCGTGTTCCCAAGCGCAGCGGCAAGTCCATTGGAGTAGCTATGCATATCGTCATCCTCATCGATTGACCATACCATTACACCCCCAATGCACACGGATTTAGCATAATCAGCCTTCAGCTTCCAAGTCTCTTCATCGTCGTAAGAGACCCACTGATCGCCATCCCAGGTAATCGTCTTCACCGCAGCATCTTTGTATAGAGTAGGAGTGAGGTTCTGGTCGCTGATCAAAGCCTCAATCTCACTGTTAAACAGGATTCCTGCAGATTGGCTACAGTTGCCCATGGTACCGGCGGAAAGATATTGACAGCCTGGCTCTGAGCATGAGGAGCTTTGAAGGGTGTAACTGCGGCCGTAGAAGGCCATGCCAAGAGTCACCTTGGACGATGTGATGTTGACTCCCCATAGCAGATCAAGGGCCGATTTAATATCGGTCAAGTTTGTGTGAGCGTCCAAATAGGGTCCGGTCCATACGTCAGTCATATCCCATGTACCATGTAGGTCATAGCTCATAACGTTAAACCAATCCACCGAAGGCTCAATAGCAGTGAGATCAAAGTTCTGCAAATACCAGTAGCTGGTTGGCAATGTGATGGATAGACCGTATTTATAATCAGATAACGCCTTCTTCAAGCTAGCCAGGAAGTTAGGATAGTTCTCAAAGTCTTCCGCGCGACCGTTACGGTCACTGGCAACGGGATACTCCCAGTCAATATCCACTCCTGTGAAACCATAGGTGCTCATGAAGTTGATCAAAGACTTGAAAAAGGCAGTTTGTGTACTGGTATCCGCAGCAGCAAGATCAGAGAAGGTAGTAGCTGTCGGCTGGTCGCTGTCTGAGAAGTCCCAGCCACCGATTGACAACCATAGTTCTTGATCCGGATCACGTAACTGGAGAGCTGCTAGCCCTGCATAGAGTTCCTCATCGCTACTTTCAGCAGGGATAACATCAAAGGTATCTGGATCGATACTTCCGAAAGCAAAGTAGATATGGGAGTAGACTCCCTGGGGAACAGAGTATGGTGCCATGCCATCGCAGCTCCGAGTTGCAGCGGCTGAATTATAGTACCCAATCACCCGGGTGATTGATTGGGTACTAATGTCACACGAAGGGGCTGTGACAGTTTTATTTCCACAGAATTCCTCAGTCGTGCCACAGAAACCATACTGGCTACAGCAGACATCGAGGGGACAAGTAGTTGCATTCACATATTCTGAGGCCCAGCCTCCTGGGTTGCACTCGGCTTTGGCGTCACAGTTGTTGATACACACATCGGCACCACAGTAATCGGGCCCCATACCACAGACTCCATATTCACCACAGCAACCGATAGCACATGGTACTGTTGCGCTGCAAGTGGTATCTGCAATAACAGAGGGGAGAAGTCCTATGTAGAGCAGCAGCGTAAAAGGCACGCCTAGGAACATAGTGCTTGGTGGATGCGCACATGCGCCTTATGAGTAAGTATATTATCAACAAGCACAATAAGTGGAAGCTGAATAGAGTTCAGGAATAGGGAGGGAAGCAAATTTCAGCAAAAGAAATAAAAAGTCAAGGAAACAAAGAAACTGATATGCCAATAAAGACGCTATAGGGGTATATATGCGGTATTTAAAGCAGTACTAGCTAATCTCCAAATTATGCATTAATACATACTATATTATAGGGGATTTTGAACTACCAGAACTAGCCTAGTATAATACATACTACGGAGGTTGATTTCAAAATTAACGGGGAAAAATCATAATTTCTTTTTCTTATAAATTTACAACACTAGTATGGCCCCTGTCACAGGCCCTGGGCAGCCCTAGAAGCATAGGGGTACCAGACGCTACAATCAACTGGATATAGCCCCGAGACCCAAGTCTATGTTTATGATAAATCGATTAGGATAAGCAGGTATTTTAGGATGAAAATAGGCTAGACACATGTATAATAAGAGATAGTTTTAACATATTTATTAATCTATAAAGCTGGAGAGTATTCAATGTTCACTTAGAATATAGGAACAAGTAGAGAGTAGGAAGGGACCACCTGGCACAGCCTTGGACTTAGGAGTGCTAGGGCCCAAAGATGCCTAGAAGTTTAGGGGTGTGAACTTACTAGATTTCAGTCGAGTTTCACTCAAAAATTACAATAACTGCCAAATATGGTAAGGTGGTGAAATTTAGAAGAAAAAGAGATTATGATTTTTTCCCATTAATTTCAAATGTTTGAAATCAACCTCCGTATATTCGGCTAAATATCAAGACGCAAATCAGCTCCGTATAGCAGACCGGACCAAAAAGCGGCATTTCTTTCATGACCTTATGAATTTAGCGGAAAAGCGGTTCCGATAAACACCTTGGTCTTGGCCAATGCTTGTTACATATCTCGCCCCGGGCCGGCTCGGCCGGCGAACGTGCAGGCGAAGACGGCACGATCCGAACTCCACAAAGATTTCTTCTCCGTTTTGAGCCTCCAGAGGTGAGGTGATTCTGATAGCGCCGGGGCCACTTCAAGATTTTTCTTATAATGAAATTAGATGTCTCACTTTAGCTTCCAAAACTCTGTTAGCTCCAAATATATATATTAGGTCTAGCTCAATTGGGACTACTATAGTATGGGTTGAATAGGCTCATGGACGAACGAGAATAAGGCAACCTAACTTTCTCTACAAACGTTCCACGCCAAATCTCTGAATAAGATTGACCGTCGGGGAGTTGTAAGCGAGATACTTCAAAAGCCGAGGTCCAACGAGGTCCCCCCCACATCGTCCCTGACCCTTGACCCCAATGAAACTACTAGCGTATATTTTTAGGGTGCTAGAACCAAAACTAGTATGACTAATTCGTATCAAATAAAGAAGCCTAACCTTGGAAAATGCCTAGTACCAAAAAACACGGGACGAAAGTGGAAGCGAGGTAGCTAAATCCAGTAGTTAAGAATTTTTGTTCCTTATAGCTCGGCTATCTTGGGTCTCGAGCCATCTATAGGAAAAGATATCTTTCAAGCCGGATAAACCTATCGGCTCCAAGGTGTGTTTCCGAAATGAAGCTAATCTAGCGGATCCCAATGGCTTTTATGCTCGGGAGAGGTGTCCTGGATTATAATACCGTGACAAATGAAAGAATGAACTCCGAGGTCGGGATACATAATATACCTCTTCCCTTTACACTGCTGGAAAATATTTGAACTACTTGTCTTCCTCTTTCTGACTGTCAGGTCCCCTACTATCCATCTATCTGGTTTCCGTCCCACCGGTTTACCTCTTTGAAATATGGGTGGCTATATTCAAATTTGCCTCTTGGTCTTCTGCTTGGGTATAGCATACGCCCATTCTATTTCTCATGGGAGATTTCACAATCCTAATCATCACATCCAATCACGTATGGTAGAGACCAGGGATGTGACGTCTTCTGGTTTGCAAATGTTCCCCAATGGCACATTGTCAGGGCTGGGCCTGTCATCGGCTTGTGAAAATGCACTTTACCAGACTATTGATTGTGACGATCACATTTCATCTCTCTCCATAGATGGATATATTGGTAGTTTCGACAACGCCACAGTGACGGCCCTGGTCTGTGCTACTACTTGTGAGATTTCAATCGTCAAGCTACATAACTTAGTATCGACAAACTGCGGTGATTCAGCGGAGCTCATTCCTGGTATGCCGTATCTAACTCTTGTTGACCAACTTTGGAGCAACTGGAATCAATCCTGCTTTGTGGATCCAACAACCGGCGAGAACTGCAATGGTGAGAAATTTTCTTTTCTTTTCCCTCCATACCTATCCGAGGAATCACTTTATTAATAGCCTTTTTCTTATATTTAACTTTAGATCTTATCGCCACTTTTGATAATGTCACTTCTCAGGCAGATATCTCTACCGCTGATCTGTGCTCATACTGCTACGTTACAAAGCTAGCACTTATGCAGCAGGATGCCTATTCGGATGTTTACAATGACGACTGGGAGTCAGCGTATGAATATGTTGCTAACACCTGTAACCTCACCGTGGCCGACTTCAATGCTACCGCCAGCGCATTCAACGCGTCTGCGCCGGTTAGTGAGTCTATCTGTGTATCTGGTAATATCTATACAACAGAAGATGGTGATACATGCGACTCGATCGCGCAGGCTTTAGGTGTCTCAGCGGCTACTATGTACTATACTAACCCAAATATCCTTAACTGTTCGGATATCATCACTGGAACTAGCCTTTGCTTGCCCCTTACCTGTAATGAGGTATATGCTGTGCAACCTAACGATACATGCTCTAGCATTGCGGTGTCCAACTACATCACGACCTCGAATGTCATCAACTGGAATTCTCAGCTGAACTCAAATTGCTCAAATTTGGTATCCCCTGACCCCTACTGGGGCTCGGTGCTATGTGTCTCCGCCCCAGGAGGAACTTACACTGGCCAAGCGTTAAACACTACCTCCTCCACTGGTACATCAGATCCGATAGATCCACCAGTTGACGTCACAGTAGCCGCTGGATCTACACTTGACTGCGGGGCATGGTTTGTCAATGAAGCCAGTTTGGGCTACAATTGCTCAGATATCTGTTTGGATAACTCCATTGCCATCCATCTATTTGTTGATGCCAATCCATCACTTAACTACACCACCTGTGATTATGATCTTGTCGCTGGGGACGCTTATTGCGTTGATCCTTTGGCTGGTTGGGAGTATTATAATTCGACCGCGGCTGCCAGTTCCACGATTACTGCAGCTACATCCCCGACATGGCCAGTACAGACAGGTATTGCCTCAAACTGCAATGCATACTATGAAGCTCAAAGTCAGTATTTCCAATTCCTGTTCCAATAGTTTGTTATATATTAAAATTCCCCTAGGTAACGATACATGTGATACTATCATTGCCGAATTCGGCATCACGCTCGCTCAGTTCATTGCCTGGAATCCTGCCGTCTCATCCGACTGCACAAGCGGTCTTTGGGTAGAAGAGGACTACTGCGTGGGTACAGCAATAGGCAGCAATGCCGTTTCTCTTACAATTACCAGCACCATTAGTGTATCTACACCTTTCACGATATCGTCTCCATCTACGGTGACAGCACCAGCACCAACTCAATCAGGTATTGCCTCTAACTGCAACGAGTATTATATTGCACAGTGTATGTTTTCTCCCCTCTCTCCTTCATTGTCAACAATCCATGGCTAAACTGTGGCAATTTTTTATTTATCTAGCGAACGATAATTGTGCCACTATTGAAGCAATTTACGGCATCACATCTGCTCAGTTCTTAGAGTGGAACCCAGCCGTCTCATCAGACTGTGAGACCGGTTTCTGGGCAGACGAGGCATACTGTGTTTCTATTTCTTGAGTCGATCAATCGAGCCGTCATATACGAGGCTACTGAAATGACCAAGGAGGACATTTATGTAGTGAGAGGGAATAAAAGCATCCTGCCAATCCTCCTCACCCACTCTAAATCTGTGTGCTTAACTTAACTGATTGCAATTTAATCAATCATTCCTATCCAAGAGGACTCTGGCAAACAGGGTTGTTTGCTAGTTACTCTAGTTTTTTCTCCATAGTAAAAAAATTAGGTCAGGGCTGTTTGTCCAACTTCCCCTGGTACGATTCTTCTCAAATTTTCAAAACGTCTAATCTACCTTCTTCTTACTTTGAAGCCAAAATTTTCAAAAGAAATATCATACTCTGAGCTTGTGCGAGAGGGCTAGAAATCAGTTAGGTTAATATTGTTGTGATATGAGGCTGGTGCGGATCAGGAAGCAAGCCGAACCATCAGAATTAATCCCGAAGTATGTATATGAAGAGTCAAATTGATTGAAAAAATGTGAATCAACTTGATTCTCTCGCTGTATATATAGTATCGCAGTGTTTTGCTCTGAACAACATAACAATATAATTTTCTTATTGAACTACAACAAATATCAATTGATTGATGCCCGGTAGTATACTTCCCAGGTGGTTTATGTTGAAATGAGAATGGTTCAAATTACGCCCTGACCTAATGTATACAGGTCATTCCTGAGTAGCTTCCTGGTTAGTCTGATTTTCTTGTGCTTCTAAAGCGTGCGTGGTGGAATATTCCACAAGATGCGATCGATAGGCTGATTCGATCCCACGGCATTGTCAGGCTGTTTACAACATCAAGGGCTATTACACCAAGTATTAGTCGTTATTATAAACTGGTATCATTTATCACCATCTTCATATGAATTAGAATCAAATTTATTATGATACCGATTTTTAATAATTCTTTTTCAAACTTGTGGTAAAACAGCGGATGCTATGTATGGTGGGGCCAAACTGGGGCCAAACTGGGGCCGAATTTTGAACACTTAACTTACTCCGGACAGAGTTACATTTTCATCCTTGGTTAGATGCTTATGTAATGATATTAATGTGCTAACGTGATTCCCGGTCTCACGGATCACCCGGTCTAACGGATCACCCCACCAAAAATCGCGTCTTTCAACCATCCTACCCAATTCAAACACCTACCATGCCACCAACTCGCAATATTTCGGCCGAAAAAAATTCCAACCAGGAGGGCAAGATCTTATTAGCCATTGACGATATTCAGAATGGCCGAATCAAGTCTATTCGCGCAGCTACGAAGCTTTATGGAATACCCTACACTACACTACACGCACGCTTGGCTGGAAGGCTTCCACGCGTTGAATCTCATCGTTCTTGCTCTAAATTAACACAATTAGAAGAGGACGCGCTTGTTACATGGATTATCTCTATGGATACACGTGGCGCAGCGCCTAGGCTATCTACTGTACGAGAAATGGCTAATATCCTACTGGCTGCGCGTGGTAGCCACCCCCCGCCTACAGTTGGCAAGAACTGGTCATCAATCTTTGTCAATCGACGAGATGAGATTCGAACACGTGTCTCTAGGCGACATGACTATCAACGTGCCCTAAACGAAGACCCTAAATCAATTCAAGCATGGTTTACAACTGTACAACAAGTTATCGATGAGAACGGGATCCAACCTGAAGATATTTACAACTTTGATGAGACAGGCTTTGCAATGGGCCTTATTTCAACACAGACAGTTGTTACACGACAAGAATATTACGGTCGGTGTGCTATTTTACAGCCTGGAAACCGTGAATGGGTGACCGCAATTGAAGCTATCTGTGTAGATGGCTATTCGTTACCACCATGTGTGATTTTTAAGGGGAAGGTTGCTGTCGCTAGCTGGTTCGATAACCTACCAAAAGACTGGCGATTTGAAGTCTCAGCTAATGGCTGGACTACTGATGAGATTGGTCTACGTTGGCTATAAAAGCTATTCATCCCATCAACAAATTCACGTGTCCGTGGTCGATTTCGGCTATTAATTCTTAATGGCCATGGTAGCCATCTTACACCTCAATTTGACCGGCTTTGCTCAGAGAATAATATTATCCCACTTTGTATGCCAGCATATTCATCACATCTATTACAACCATTAGATGTTGGTTGTTTTGTAGTATTGAAACGTGCATATGGACACTTTATAAGTGATCTTGCACATACTGGCTATAACCATATCGATAAGCTTGATTTCTTAGCTGATTTCTAATGTGCACGGGCTGAGGCATTTCAGCCAAATACTATCCAAAATAGCTTTTTAGCTACTGGTTTAGTTCCAATTGATGCAGAAAGGGTGCTTTCTAAGCTAAATATTTCTCTTCGAACACCTACACCATCAGGTAGCCGACCAAGCAGCAGATCTAGTCAATTTACACCCAAAACACCTAGAACTGTGGTTCAGCTTCAGAAGCAAGCTTCAATGCTTAAAGATCTTCTAAAACAACGATCAAACAGCCCTCCAAGCCCATCGAAATCAATGCTAGATCAAATCATCAAAGGCCACTATATAGCACTACACAACACAGCGTTACTAGCACAAGAAAACGCTAATTTACGTGCTACAAATGAGAAGAAACGACAAAAGCGCAATCGATCAACTAGACAAATACCCTGTGAGCAGGGCTTGAGTGTTGAAGAAGGCCTATAGCTACTCACGCAGCTAGAATTGCCAGTAGAAGCACCTGCGGTCGAATCACACACCCAGGTTGAATTGCCTATTCAGCCAAATCAGCCAGCCAAAAAGGCTCCGCCTACGTGTAGTGGGTGTCGAGAGGTTGGTCATCGGATTAATGTATGTAAAAATCGTATTTATAACTGAATTTATTTGAGTTGGGTTAATATATTTGAATGTAAAAATTTCTAATGTAATGGGGTGATCCGTTAGACCGGGTGATCCGTGAGACCGGGAATCACGTTAGCCAACCTTGGAACCGAGGAAACTTTCAGGTTAGTATTTCTTCCACCTACCCCTGATGGTATCTCTTAGCAATCTGTTACCCACACGTTGGGGAAAGGACGCCCATATAATTCGCAATTTTTTGTTTTTTATTCCCATATATATCCTCCTTGTCTTGTACGCAACGAAAACCTGTTCAAGAGATCCAGGATCCGTATTCTTCAGACCATGGACTGCGTATGACTTCTCTTATTCAGCCCTCCGACTCCAACAAAGCGATGCATTTATTCAGGATGTCAATGAAATGGCTCAAAATGAAACAACTAAATCTTCCAGTCATCCAGAGCTCTGTGTGGGAATTGCAACTGTTGCTCGACGAGGCGCTCGGTATTTTAAAAGTACCGTGGGTAGCCTACTGGAAGGCTTGAGTGAAGAAGAACGATCCGGCATCAACTTGATATTGTTCATTGCGCATACAAACGCGTCAGAGCACCCTGCGTATGCAGAGCCATGGCTATTCAAGGTGGCAGACAATGTGCTTCTATACGATCCGCAAACAGTAGATATCAATCACATACGAGAACTTGAGACAGACGCCGCCAAAGTTCATGGAAGAGAGAAGCCACTTTTTGACTACACATACCTGCTGGAGGCATGCGCAGCGACCAACGCACCTTACGTTGCGATGATCGAGGATGACGTTGTGGCCCAAGATGGATGGTATCACAAGACACGCGAAGCGATAAAGTCTGCTGACAAGCAAATAAAGCAAATTGGCGCACCACACTGTATGTAAACACTCTTTTTGTCTAATGATTCATTAGAGACCGAGGCTGGCTTAGACATAGCTAAAACATCTATCTTATTGCCAGGGCTCTATTTACGTCTTTTCTACACCGAGGAGTTCTTTGGATGGAACAGTGAATTTTGGTTCACATATCTTACAGCATCCATTTCTGTTGTCGCTCTTATCGCTGGCCTTTGCATAGCTGCTCGCTCTTAAAAAGCTCATTTCAGAACGTACTTATCGAATGGGAATATTTTCCTCGTCAGTGGCGTCTGTGTGCCACTACTTATCGGGCTTTTCTTTATGACTGGTAGAGTGACAGTACACCCGCTACCAGCGGGTGTGCATCAAATGCCTCGCTTTGGCTGGTGCTCACAAGCTTTCGTGTTTCCACGATCACGAATCCCCGATTTACTGGACCTATACCGATCTAAACGTGTCGGATACGTGGACATGATCACCGAAGAATATGCAGATGCAAATGATGAGGTTCGCTGGGCTGTGCAGCCTGCAATTATGCAGCATGTTGGTCGACAAAGTTCTAAGGGTGACAGCACTAGTGTGGCAGGCTCTACGCGGCATAATTATAAGGAAGAGCTTACTGACGTGGAAAAGCTGTGGAACTTTGGATTTGAGCTGAATGATATAGAGAAGCTTCGAGCTGAGCATAACAGAGTGATAGATGGATAATGGGTATTGATGGACTGAGTGATTGGTCTTTGATCATGTGTTTATATTCAATGTTCAGCTAATATCCCTAAGCAGAGCTTAGCTCCATACTTAAAGTTGTACAGTCACAAAATATTGATTACAAACGAGATAACTTTTCTTGAAACTCCTGTTGATAAAAGGGTCAGTTGGTTGGGTGATAGTTGGTGAATTGTTATTTACCCTGCCTCATAGAATGTAGGGACTTAGGACTGAAGGAACGTTGTTTAAATGTCAAGTTTGCTGTATCGTTGATTGTGTTGTTTCATAGTTTTCTCAGAGCTCATATATTGTTGAGAGCCCTTGCTTGCTCCAGATACCCTCCCATTCTCCACACTCGGGCGAGCCAACGTTCCGTTTTCAGTGTGTCCGGATGGAATTTTCCAACTTTAGACCACCTAATATTTCGAACTTCTTCATGCATACAGGCCGCACTATCGCAGTCGCCTGCCTTGGCATATGTGACAGAAAGATTATCCTTTGCATCGAGGATGGTTGAGCTTCCTGCACCCAAATGGCTGTTTTGACGCTTAGAACATTTCCCTCAAGCTTCCTGGCTCGAATCAGAGCGATGAGGCTGTATATTCAAATCCTGACGGGGCTTTCCGTCCATACAAGCCCGTGCGCCACGTGCTTCGAGCGGGGTTGCCACGCCGCCACGCGGCACCACATGGTGCCCCTGTCGAAGTACAAAGCCAAGCCCATCTCTTCTTGCCACGGCTCACTAGCTATGCTGACGACCCAAGGGAGATCCTTGCAGCCCCGTCATGTAGCCTCATTCAAATTTCAATATTTATTTTCTATACTTCCTGCACTACTGTTGATTCCAACTCGAAGTCAACTGGATGGATGTTCAAAGGAAAGAGGCTATTAATTCAATTCAGGTTGGTAGTAAACATTCCAAGGTTCAAGTTCCAAATATGCATAGTAAAAAATCAAAAGAATTCGTGTAAGGTTGGAGAAAGTCGTTCAGACTTGAAGGGTCTAGCTATCGACAATGTCTACTAGGCCTACCAAAAGTGGCCTCATTTAATACCGAAGCGATCTGTGGGAAGCGCAATACGAAAAGGAGGATTGATCAACGGATTCGAATAGCAGATTCATTACCACATGCCAAGACCCTTTATAAGTGAATTGATAGACTAGATAGCCTAAGGCTAAACACCACTTAATAAATAATCTCTAAGTCCACTGGTTTAATTCCTACAATGTAAGTAACTTGAAAGCATTTAAAAGTATTTAAGAGTAAAGAGTAAATAGTACATATAAAAAATAGACATTTAAACATCTGAAGTATTAAAACAAAAAAGAAAAAAGGAAATATTTCTTGTATGCTGAAAAGGTTAAATATGGCTAAACCTATTGGAGCGGCTCAATGTATGGATCGAGCCTCATTCTTGATCGGCCTTCCCAGATAGGCCTAGCAGTGACATATTTGACTTCACTTTACCTATTCACCTCAAATGTTGCCATATTCAAGTTCCCACATGTGCACCCTTCACCCCCCACATTCTTCGTCTTTCCCACTTTAAATTTCCAGCTTCCGTGTTCCAACTTCTTCCTCTTCCAACTCCCCCATCTTCAAACTTTACATCTTCAACCATCTTCAACTCCCATCAACATCCAACACTTAGCACCGCATATCACCATCGCACAGAGTGCTTTCCTCCTGCCAAAAATGGCTAGCATCCCGACACTCACGCGATCTGCATCCCGTGGCTCTGACCATGAACTTTCCTACGCATCTCCTCTGGTCATCCGAATAGCCGGAGAGCGACCAGACCCAGATTCCATGGAGAGGCACAACAGCAAGCGGCGAAGTGGGAATTTCAACGACGAAGAGGGCAAACTGGGACATGATGGACGGAAGCGTCGCTCCTTAGGGAGTAGTGACGACGAAGGTCTACTGACATGGGATAATTTCCACAATGAAGATCTCCGCGTCGGGGGTCCATATCTGTGCTCAATTCCTACTACAAGCCGACCAGTGCCTTATAGGCACCCTAAATTCCGCCTGACAACCCTTGAAACGCCGGAAGGATGGAGTCTTGGCCAAAAGATCATGAAGATTATTGACAAGTTCCATTTGAAGCCAACCACACTGAAATTCTCCTTCATAGGCAGGACTTCAGTTATTAACCCAGAGCCAGAACCTTGTTTGATCCTTTGGGTCCCAGCGGAAAGAGTATCTGTGGATGATACTTGGCTACAATGTGCCCGAGAGTTGCGAAGTCTACTTATTGCTAACGATCTTGATTCTTGCTCAGTTGAAATTGCCGATCCAATGGCATTTTTACCCATGAATACCTTTCCTGTGCTGCAACAGGATAAAGTGTTCTGGCAATGGGAGCCTCTTCTGCAAGAACTCCTTGCCCAGTTAAACTTAACGGATATTCGATCAATTGGATGCTTTCGACGGGGTAGAGGTACCGCCATCCTTGATTGCTCGCCGACACTGTTGATCCTAGTTGATCGTAACAAGGACTGGACCTCAACCCGGGAGAAAGTGATCTCTATTCTAAAGCGGTGGCGCTTCCAGATGCTAGCCGTGGAGATTGTTAAAGACAAGCCGGTCCGTCAGATAACCCGTGAAGGGATTAGTGTGGGCCTTCTAGGAGGGCTCATAAATAATGATGGCCGAACTATGGCTACAGAGTCCATCGCTTCGTCTAGGAATCACAACTATAGTGGTACTCTTGGCTGTTTCCTGGAGCTTCAAAACCCTTATGATGGTCAATGGAAGATTTTCGGTTTGACTTGCTGGCATGTGGTTGTGCCCCCTTTTGCTGATCACCCCAATGACGATAAGAAAGGTCAGTGATTTTTATTATATGTTAAGACCTGATAATACGGTACTGATAGAAGGACTTAGTGATCGAACGGTGGAATAAAAATGGCATCAGGATAGCGACACAAAGAGAGGAGATTAGGCGCCTGCTTCGTGTCGATCACCCAACTCGATTGGCTCACAAAGAGGAAGTCACAGCAATGGAGCATCGACTTGGAATCAGTGAAAATCAGGAGCAGTACCAAATTTACAAAGAGCTTGAAGAGCAGGATGCGCTTGAGACACTTGATGACCGAAAACGCCAGAACTATGAAAAGGCGAAATCTTCAATTCAGAACCAGAAGAATGATCTTAAGACCCTTAATGATCGGTTTAAGAATGGCGATCAACAACTTGGATGGGTTATTACAGCCTCCGGTTTCAAACGGAAGGATGTAGAACTCAAAAAAGATGGAAAAGGGTATCCCACCAGTCTTGATTGGGCCCTGATTCACTTGTTGGATGTCCGCGAGCCATCTAACCGGGTATGTGAATATCAATACATCTTAATTCTCTATCCACTAACTGTTATTCTATCCATATAGTTTGACGAACCCCCCCGGTGTTATCCCAGGGAAATTTGCCCCGCTTTCAATTTCACAAAGCCTAGAGACGCATGGGGAAGAGGTTTTCATGTATGGTTATCGCTCTGGGAGGGGAAAAGGTTTTTGCAATGGACTTCGAGTTGCCTACATTGAAGCCATTATGACTGATAGTGGTGTCGAAACTGTTCATACATTTGAGTATGCCATAACCGGTCTCCGCAGCGAGCCTTTTTCTATTTCAGGGGATTCTGGTGCAATGATTGGCTGCAATACGAAGACAACGACTCACGAAGAGGAAGTTCTTATTGGTATGGTCTTTGCGGGCTGCCAGAAGGAAAGCATGACCTACATCACTCGAGCGGATCACTTGCTAAATGATATCATGCAAGTGACTAAAGCCAGGAATTTCAGGGTCTTCTGGTCACCTTAAAGTTGCTTTTGAGTTTTGATTTCCCTTTTTTTTTTAGTTTGGTCTTCACAGATTGATTTGAACTACTTTGTACACAAACCTCGTTGCTTTTTCTTTCTCTGAGTTTTTTTTGTTCATTATATACTTAAATTCAACTTGAATTCAGTCATTTCCCCCCCTAAATCAAAAGGCTGAGAACCTGCGAACATATTTAAAAGCAGTCATATCTTCGTTCTGTAGAATTAGTATGATTACGCCAGGGCGAACCTTGGAAAAGATGAGAGAGTGAGTGATTTTACAACGTCTGGAGGAACAACTTGAAAGAGTAGGGCAGTTCCTGAGAGGAACAACATACAATAGTATATCTAAGGTTGTGGTCACCTAGCGCTCACGATTTGGACGTGGGCGGCTCGCCGCTCTATTCAGGGGGATCCGGGCGGATATTCACCCACTTACCAAGGTTATTGTTCAGCACACATACCAAACCATACATTCTCACATTTTTCAGATGTCTGTGTTACACAATCCCTGTTTTCCACTTTCTTTTCCTTCTTCCATCCTGGCCCGGCAGAGATTTATGTGCGAGAACCACACGGAGTAGTATTAGAAGAAGCAGACTTGTTATATGAACCGCCTACTACGTACGGAAATTCAGTCTGATAATTTCTAAAGATAGAATACGTACTCTTAGTAGCAACCGAGGCTCAGGATATGGAAGAAAATTCTATTTTTGTATTGTCTAAAAGAGGGGCAGTCCCCAGGGGCCTGCGAATCGTCGCTGGGATCAACCTGAACGTCCGTGGAAACAGCATTGCTCGTTCCCGGGAGCTTTCTAGCTTCTGAGATCACTTATGCAGTTCCTAGGAGCTCCTATGGGGTCTTTGGGATCGCGTAATTTTACAGGACAGTTACATTACTATTGCAATCTCCACCTGCGCAGGGGTTTCAGGGCTCGGAACCTGCCTATGGACCTGCCAGGTGTCTCAGCCCTGGACCTCTCTGGAGGTGGGTCCACGGGTTCTGTCACAACGTTACTAGCTGTTTTATAAAGCACCCGAGCCATCTGCCCACCTGGGCATGCGGAAGGTTAGCGTGTCGGCCCTGAGGTCGAAATAAAACCACGCAGGGAGCCGTCACCTTCAAACGTGTTCACTTCAAACTGATCTTCATTTAAATCTCTTCCCATCCAAGTGCAGCAGTGTTCGAATTTCTTTGCTGCTCACCTCACTTTGCAGTATGGCGTACATGGATTTTCACCACTGTGATCCGGATATGGAAGACTGGCCACCAATCTTCCTCGATACCGACGACTCACCTGTGTATGAAACGCCTTATGGCATTCTTCTGCAAACAATCATCAAACACAACGACCTATCCGCTATAAACCGCTACAACGAGAGCCCTTACTCTTGTATTTTTGCGCAAAAATATGAAATACCCGGCGACGATCCTTTCAGCCTGGCTTTTGGTTTTCATAGCTTTGATGTGCTGCGTGCACTGATCGGCATTTATAATTCTGATATATCACTTACAGAGCCTTTGAATAAATATATTTACCGGATCAGTATCTCCTTTATCCATAAGGCCTGCGCTATAGGGGATCAAGACCTAGTTCTTTGGTTACTAAACCAGGATCCTCTATTAGGATCTTTGATATAGCAGGATAACAAAGGTAAGACACCCTTGTCTTATACCACCAGGGCCTTAGGGAGGGTAGATACCCTAATAGTATCTCCAAAATCTAGGGAGACCCTTATAGCCTCTAGGTAAAGAGTGTATAAGGATCATAAGCGTATAGAGAAATTTATCTACTAGCTTATAGATAACAGGTGTAATTTATTCAACTCCAATATTCCTGAGAGAGATAGCAGGGAACGCTTACTAGCAGGGTCAGAAAGAGGCCTAGAAGAAGGCCGAGAAGAAGTCTCTCAATTTAGAGGCACTGTTCTTGGGCTAGCAACTCCCTTTATAAGCTATAAGATGATCTTGTATCTTATCTCTAAGGGGGCTAATATCCATACCTAAGAGTGGAGTCCTGCCAAATACTTTGGTATAAGACTTAGTTATAAGGCTATACCACTATCTATTACTACTATATTTTAGAATCTAGAAGGAATCTGTATATTGTTTGACTATTAGGGTAATGTGAGCCTTATAAGTTTAGTATCAATTTCCGATAGCTATAGATAACTCCCTCTTTATTGGGCTATATATAGTATGATTAACCGCCGGAAAGAGAAAGATAATACTAATTATCTTATATCCTAGATGCTTACGACTATCAAGACTCTTCTTAATATAAATCCGGAAACTGTTAACTTATACAACTAAGATAGCTCTATAGTATTCTATAATATAGCTATTAGTAAAGCGGTCAGGATATTCAAGATATATGGCGGTATGCTTAAAGAAGTCACCAGTTTGATCGTGACTCTCATCGAGAATAGAGCCAACGCTTACCTATGTGATAAACAAGGATGTAATATCCTTCATAGAATCTATATACATTCTTTGGATAAGCCTATTACTCCGACTCTAGATCAACTGCTCAATTATATTGATGTTAATAACACCGATCACGATAGTCACACTCTACTATATTATCTCGTAAATTCCGTGGAGCAAATCGATGTACTGCGGCATCTCATTACTCGTGGAGCTGATGTGACTAAGAGTGATCGCCATGGGGATACTCCTCTTCATGAGCTGATTAAAGGGCAAATTGTTAAGAAAAGACGTGATGATAAGGGGATAGCGGCAAGAGATGAGGCAATTCAAGTGTTGATCAATGCTGGTGCATCTCTGGATTTGCCAAATGAAGCCGGTCGAACACCCAGAGAGATGCTGGAGGGTCTCTGAAAAGAACGAAAAGGTCGAATTCGAAATGCACAACTCTTGAGACACAAATGTGCATCGTGGCAAATCGCCGTTTCTTGTGTTTTCCAATGCAAGAGCCCGACAACAGTTCTGAAATGCAGAGTGACAAATATATCCACAGCCCTCTCTTTAGTAAGTTGCCAGAGCGGGACCCGATTCTCGCGACTCGAGGTCTCATTAATTCATGCACATGTGGATACCTAGACAAGTGCAACATGAGTTAGCCGAGATGTGAACAGAAGAACCCTAGACTATGGTTTCCAACACGCCTGATCCAGGTAGAGAGAGGCGACTGTCGTATAAGCGCTACAGGCACATGTGGAATATTGGTGTAAAAGTTGGTGTTTGTGGTATTACGATGAAGGGCCTGAACAGGCTGAATAGTGGTCTGCAAGCGAGGATTTCCAACGAATCAAAAAGACAATGAATGAATAAGAAAAAAAAATACAAAAACATACAACAGTCAGGATTCGCATGTGGTCACCCACTATACTACTAACTGACCAGCGTGTGGCTTAAGTACGGCTGAGCGGACGGGAAGCCCTGTTCTCCACACCCTGTGGTCGTATGTACTAGATATTTGATGAGAATGGAACATATAGGGAGTGTGGTAGGTGCCGCCTAGGTGAGAATGGGTGAGCGCCGCTTTAGCCTGACGTCACGGGGGTGAGAAGGGGTGAGTGTGCAATAGTTAGGGTGAGAGACGGGTGAGAGCGGGTGAGAATCATCTGAAGCTATTTAATTAGAATATGATGGCGCTTACGGGCTAGTATTATATTGACCAATGAATTACAGAACCAGTGACCTTGAACTGACCAAAAATTTATTAGTGCTTTGCGCCTTATGCGAAAGATAAGAAAAATATAGTCCTCCTTTCCTTAGCGCTCGTTGTTCCCAATAAGCAATATTAAACCCGCTCAGGCCCCGCTGACAGCCTTAAGTGGTAAGGTAATAGCCTCGAGGTATTAATAGTTCTAAGTTAAAGATGATTAGTATAGGACCTAATCTAAATAATAGAAAGAGCCCCTGGAGGCCCGTCTCTGTAATATTTAGATCATTTATAGTACTAGCCCTGATTATATATATTAGTCTTCAAATGTTAGATGATATTACTAGTAGAGTTTTGGTATGAAGGATATTATAGAAACTTTAATAAAGAAGATATTACAATATACCTAGCTTGATTATTACTGACACCGTCCACTAGGAATTGAGAATTAATAATGTAAAATATTCGCTACTGGAAGCCAGCGAGGACTTTATGGCTACTGTTCTACTTATACCCAGCGGTTTTATTACTGAGCGACTGGTTGGTGCTTGTAAGGATTCTTCAGCCATACTTGGGAATTAATTCGGTAACTTCGTTCAGATGTCTTCTCTGAGTAGAGATGATTGAGTATGGAAATATCGTCTATCCCCTTGGATCTATCCTCATGACAGCTGCAGTAAGTTTCAAGATGAAATAGTGTAATCTGGATATCCCTTACAAGAAATTTGAGAATATAACCTTCTATTCACAGTATCCTGGGGTAAGAACCGCGGAGCCAGGAGGGTAATATGTTGTTATTGGTCGCACACTTCCGTGTACCTTGTCAAAAAGAAATGAATAAATAAAACATGAAAAGGAATTTCGATTTTCCGTCTCATAATTCCTTACAGAAGATATCTCACTCAGAATCCGAATTAATAAAGAAATTTCAAACAACTAACTGGTTGCGGTCTCGAGCAGAGCCGTAAAATTCAACCCTGGAAATAATGAAAGTAATCGCTATGTTCGTTCCCTGTTCAACCGGAATTGCTGAATAAATCATCAGTGTCAAGTTGGTCAGGCTGTATAAGAGTAGGATCGACATGTAACCTATAAAGCCCTTCATACCTTTCAAGCCTAAAATAGTATGACTTATCGATCGATAGCCCGTGCCCAGGTGATCGGCAGGACGTCGCTGATTAACGGAACGGGCCCCTATTAGCTGGCATAGAACCCGTTAAGTGACAGTCATGTGGCGTTAGCAAAAAGCCGATCAATTGATCCAAAGTTATTTACCCCTCGCTATTCACTAATCCAATTGACTTACCCACCTATAGTAAGCTAACCATTAAGCTAGGGTCTCTACTTTCACGTTCAAGGCACCTGGGTTTTTGCTTTGAAGAAATCTATTCAGCTTCAAGTTAATAATAACGACATGATTCAATATATAACGTGATTCCCAGTTGAACGGATCACCCGGTTGAACGGATCACCCCATCAAAAATCGCGTCTTTCAACCACCCTACCTTATTCAAACACCTACCATGCCACCAATTCGCAGTAATTCGGCTGAGAAAAATGCCAACCAAGAAGGCAAGATCTTATTAGCCGTTAGCGATATTCAAAATGGCCGAATCGATTCTATACGCGCTGCAGCGAAGCTATATGGCGTACCCTATACTACTCTACACGCCCGTGCCAGTGGGCAACTTCCTCGCGTCGATATACGCCCAAATCGCTGTAAACTAACACAGCTAGAAGAGGATTCGCTTACTGAGTGGATTATCTCTATGGATACACGTGGTGCAGCTCCTAGGCCATCTACTATACGAGATATGGCCAATATTCTACTAGCTGCGCGTGGTAGCCACCCCCCACCTACAGTTGGTAAAAATTGGCCATCAGCCTTTATTAATCGACGTGAAGAGATTCGAACACGTGTCTCTAGGCGATATGATTATCAACGTGCCCTAAACGAAGATCCTAAATCGATCCAAGCATGGTTTACAACTGTACAACAAGTTATCGATGAGAATGGGATCCAACCTGAGGATATTTACAACTTTGATGAGACAGGCTTTGCAATGGGCCTTATTTCAACACAGACAGTTGTAACACGGCAAGAATACTATGGTCGACGAGCTATTTTACAGCCTGGGAACTGTGAATGGGTAACAGCAATTGAAGCTATCTGTGCAGATGGTTATTCATTACCACCATGTGTGATTTTTAAGGGAAAGGTTGCTATGGCTAGTTGGTTCGATAACCTACCAAAAGACTGGCGATTCGAGGTCTCAGCTAATGGCTGGACTACTGATGAGATTGGCTTAAGATGGCTTGAAAAGCTATTTATCCCATCAACAAATTCACGTGTCCGTGGTCGTTTTCGGCTATTGATTCTTGATGGCCATGGAAGCCATCTTACACCCCAATTTGACCGAATCTGCACTGAAAACAACATCATTCCACTCTGTATACCTGCACATTCATCACATATTTTACAGCCACTGGATGTTGGTTGTTTTGCAGTGTTGAAACGTACATATGGGCGCTTTATAAGCGATCTTGCACGTACAGGCTATAACCATATCGACAAGCTTGATTTTTTAGCTGATTTCCAGCGTGCACGCGTTGAGGCTTTTCGGCCGAATACTATCCAAAATAGCTTTTTGGCTACTGGATTAGTACCAATTGATGCTGAAAGAGTTCTTTCTAAATTGAATATTTCTCTACGGACACCTACACCACCAGGTAGCCGACCAAGCAGCAGATCTAGTCAATTTACACCTAAGACACCTAAAACTGTGGTTCAGCTTCAAAAACAAGCTTCAATGCTTAAGAATCTTCTCAAACGACGGTCAAACAGCCCTCCTAGCCCATCAAAATTGATGCTAGATCAAATTATCAAAGGCCACTATATAGCGCTACATAACACTGCGCTACTAGCACAAGAAAACGCCAATTTACGTACTACAAACGAAAAGAAACGACAGAAGCGTACTCGATCAGCTAGGCAGATACCATGTGAAGAGGGTTTAACTGTTGAAGAAGGCCTACAGCTACTTGCGCAGGTGGACTTGCCTATCGAACCACCTATGGTCGAATCAACCACCCAGGTTGAATTGCCTATTCAGCCAAGTCAGCCAGCCAAAAAGGCTCCGCCTACATGTAGTGGGTGCCGAGAGGTTGGCCATCGGATTAATGTATGTAAAAATCGTATTTATAATTGAATTTATTTGAGTTGGGTTAAAATATTTGCATTTGAAATTTTCTAATATGGTAGGGTGATCCGTTCAACCGGGTGATCCGTTCAACCGGGAATCACGTTATTAGGTGATTTAATCTCTATTCTAAACTTGATAAGGTTGAAAAAAGCAGTTATCTTTGAGTCATCCTACATTTAAGCAAAACAGCTGAAAATTCACGCAGAAAACGATGATATAATAGTCAACCCTTACATAGTCATATCCGGCTTACGTAGGGGATATAAGTCGACATAAAGGAAATTATTCAAGGGGAAACCTGCCAGCGGGCTGATAACGAATCCTTCTATTTTGATCTTTGTTATTCCCAAATACTTTATTATGGTGCCTCTGCCGCAGTTAAACTAGCTATCCCTTACAAAAACAAAACCATTCCTGAGTTTGGACAGCTACTTACTATATTCTTTATGTCCTAAAGATTGTACTTATTAAATTCCAGTGCTCAATTGTTCTTCGATAGACGCTGTATATAATATCCATCACGGTAAAGAGCATTGTGGCAGCACTAAGAAATCTATTACGCGGCAGCCTTGGAAGGATATAGGGAACTCCCTGTTAGAGGTTGTTAATGTAGGTTAATTCATTATATTAAGTCATTCAAGATCGAAAAATCACTCTTTGAACAATATTAGCAAAGGGAAAGATACTAGTGCTGATGGTGTGGCAGTTCTTAGGATATAGGCCTGGGATCATCGAATGCGCAGAATTGCAGGGGATTAGTTACATGCGCACTGTCCATATTGCGCATGAACAGTCCAATTCTTTTTAGATCAACTCCCGAGGGTATCTTGAAGTCCGTGCACATGTGCCATTGGTGGCTATTATTTCCACCCAATCACTTACCCCTATTATCGGCCCCTCACATTCCTTTGTCGTGTACGGAGTAGTCAAACGTTTAAATATTTTTGCATGAACTATTTCTAGGTAGTAATTGAGGGCTCCCTGATGATTCAACACAGCTTTAACAATACATCAAGCGAGCGCTTTAAGCAGCGCAACTTCAATGAGACAGTCATATTGAAAGATCATGATATATAATACACATGTGGCTATCGGATTAGTGTGTTACTAGTACTTGAATGCAGTGTATACACCCGTAACCTCCAGGGCTTGCAGTACTCAAATACTCCAGACGTCTGGACTGAACAGCATAAACCCTATCTGACAGCTCGGGAGACACTAAAGGAATAAACGGCCTTGATTTACAGTCTTATGAATGGAGTCAAAGCATGATTTGCGATAACTTGAATTAGACTGCAATGTATTTGTCTATCTAAGCCGCTTTTCATCTTTCCGAGTCCCCGTATGAGCCATCTCAGTCAAGGATATTAAAGGGATGGAATTGGCTATCAATATCCTAGTTTCTTTCAATACAGCATATCCATATCCCTTGCTAGCCTTTAGACTATTTCCAATCGGTCAGAACAGGAATTAAACCGCGTACGCGAATTGACTTCCTATAAAATGTGAAGATTAGAGCAAAAATCCTTCAACCTCCCATTTCTATCTGAAATCAATTCTACCCGCTACAAGAAAGCTCAGAATGCGTTTCCTCCACGAGAGTCTGTTAGGGCGACTGTTGCCTGGTGCATCTAGGGTGGGTTTACTTAATATGGGCTATTTGATTATGAAACTGGAAATTTTCTCATGAACTTCGCAGCGATCGAGAGAGAGATTTACTATTTCTCACGAGACAGAGTCATCAGCAAGCTCGCTGTGTTTGGTTGAAACACTATCCATTCCTTCCACAACAGTCAGTCCACAGAGCCCCAATGTGGACGACGTACGCAAACGGATCTTAATCGACCCTATCCCAAGCCCACCTATGTCAACGAGAAATTCGAACAAAAAGAGGCATATACTGAGCCTGCGGCGTGCGATCAGCTTTGGTGCATTCCTCGACATTTCTGATAGTGAACTGTGTCATTTCCGCACACCAAACGCAAGTTTACGCAGTCTCAGTGTGCAAACAGACATGGTTGAACAGTCTGATACCGAGAAGCATGCTGAACAGGTGAAAAGGCACAACGCGAATGTTCGAATAGGGAGCCTGTCGTACAACAAGGCGATTGCTCTTGTTCGGCGCTTGTTCAACAAAGCCAGTCTCGAAAAATCTTTTTGAAATGATGTATGTAAATATCAGGTTAATTTCAGACTATTTCCATCCGATGGTAGAGTTACACAGGACGAGAGAAAATCTAAATTAGTCAGTATCCTGACATATTTTGTTACTACAGCGAGTCAACGTCAGTTCTATATAAATGTGCAACAGCTTGAACTCAGGAAAGTAGGTTATTGGGTAGATCAGTACTAAAAAATATAGAATGTGATACCTATATACTGTAGAGTGGAGTAGCAGCGTGGCATATAAATAAGCAGTGTATTAGTATACATATATAGTCGTTCTGTACGTGATACCTAAACATCAGAGACCTCTTGCACTTCCATATCTCCATCTACCCTGTGGTCTCCTTCTATCCCCCTACTACTACCCCCAGTGGTGGACCTTTTTTCTATCCTTTCATGGTTCGAAGACATGAGGAGGACTGCGTTCCTCACCTAGGCACTACAATACGTAGGACAGATAAAATTCATAGATCTATCATTTAATTGTATATATATATATATATAATACAATCACTTGATACGGGAAGTTCAGCACCTACCCAATTCAACATGGTACCTAGTATGTTATGTCTACTCAACCGGACGTCCACCGTAAGGAAAACCATCGAGCCTAGGTAGGTATTATTGAACAGGAATGTACTATTGGGAAAATATCTTGTGTATTTACAAAAGAAAGAAAAGTAGCACTTGAGAATGAAGATAACCTAAACGATGGGCCGTGGCCTTTCCCTCATGACTACCATAAGTGAAACAAAGAATTTAAAATGACGATTCTGGTTATATAATGCTTGTGTCTTTTGGTTCATTGTCGGCAAATCATTCCCTGGAGAAGCGGGCTAAAGAGAAGAACGCTTCATGTCCCGTGTTCTCTGCTAAGAGATCATGCTTACTATGTGCTTTAGCCACAATGATCAAATAGGATAGTTTCCCTAAATATGCGTAATTTTATTCCGGCATTGTGCTTTTGGGTAAGACCTTTTTACTAAGGACCAAGAATGTTTCCAAGGTTATAGCGGAAGGAGCCGGTGGAAAGCAAGCCTATTGGCCGGAATAGTTACCGCTGCGCTTGACCCCTGGATTGAACGATGTTAATAAAAATAGACTCTAAGCTTTAGCTACTGTGAAGGAGTGGGGAACAGAAAGAAGGGGGACCAAAGTTTAAACATAGAGTCAGAACACTAGCTGCAGACTTCTTTTCTTCTAGCCAGGCTTCTGTGTAGCCTATGCTCTCTAAAACATTGATGACGACACCCCCTAGCAGTGCATCTATGTAGTCGTGGGTAACAATCAAGTGCGGCTCGAACGGCACTGGCATACATAATCTACTCTAAAATTGCTAGTCATTGAAGCGATAGTGGGTTAAATGATCTATGCTATTTGCAGCTTTCCCTTCCACGGAGGAAATTTGTTCTGATGATAGGTTTATATGTTATAATTATGTCAATTCGGAGTTTTGGCGTATTCGCGAGGTCGAGTGCTAAGACTCCCTTCATACTCTGACTAAAGGACAGATAGAGTCGGCAAAGAAGAATGTGTACTTCCTTCACGCCCTTATTTATCGGGACCTGGGCTTGTACCACATCTGGCTGATGGGATTTACCGCCTGAAAATACATGTGCGATCACGAAGGTATAATACCCTTCCGCAGATGCTAGTCTCAATGAAAGATTGCTTTCGAACTCTACTTTTTTTAGTTTCGTGTAATAATAATTTAGATAAAGCGTAGACGACTTGAGGGATCAGAGTCTTGGGCTACTATCAGAATGAGCACAATAACATAAGATCCTACATTCCAGCTATTATGACATTTTGCAACGTTACTGCAGGGAGCCTCTCTCATTCTCCATACATACCACGCTGATTTAGATGTTTGTAAACAATTGAACATACACATCTGTATACCATGGACAAAGTATATATAGCATGGTGGGGCATAACCTCAACCATTTGAAAAGAGTTGATCAACGCGACAAAGTCCTACAGCAAGGACTCGGATCCCTAGAAACTGTCTGGTCTCTTCCCGCTTCATCTATAAGTGGTGACCTCGGAACATCAGGTTTTCCCTCACATTACCATGAGTGCTATGTCCCAAATAACAGTCGCCGATGCGGGTGCTGGGGTGGCGTCTGCAACACCGCTGGGCACCGCCGATGATGGTCTTTATCATCCAGCAAAATATCCACATGGAGCGGATAATCTATACGTGAGCGTGCAGACCAATCAAAGCCCTACTACGTCACCAGGTGCGCCTGTGGTAGCAAACGCAATAGTGACAAGTATGCCACAGTCACCAGTGTGGCATACAACTAGGCTCGCTGAGACTGAAATTCCGGTCTCTACACAGAAACCGGCCATCACAACGGATATTTTTGAAAGTTCGTCAATTGCTATATCGAGTGAAACCCCATCAGCAACTGCTTTCAACTTTCCAGTCTCGTCTACACCATCAGTGGCCAACAACGTACCGCAACAGAAACAACTATCACCTGCGGAATCTCGCGTTTACCATTTATTGATCGTTTTTTTTCTTGCATTTCTCATAATACTCGTGATTGTGAGTTGGTTCAAGCGACAAGCTGAGCGAAAGAAACCTATACTCGCAACATATCAGCAGCCGCGCATTCAGTCAAGCCCCCAGCCAACCGTCTCAAAGGAACGATTTGTGGCAGCCCTCTGTCAATCCAGAGGTCTGTGGACGGGTGTACTAGCGACAGGTGCTGAAGCGATTAGTGCAATCCGAGCTTCCTTTTCCTCATCGAAATTTAAATCTGAATCGTCTCCCAAGGATGGCGCTACAATGGTCGAGACAAGGCGCCCAATTATGGAGAAGATTCTTGAACAAAATACTCGAATTTCTAAGTGTGCGACGATGAAGTTTTCCAATTTGCGACGCTGGATTTCCTCTCAATTGGGGCGACAGAGAGTTGATGATGAAGCGGTCGTTGAGAAGGACGAGAAAATGGCATCTGGATCATCTTCCCTTCACGAGGAATTCGAAAGCTCGTCATATGATAGCGCCGATGAACAGACTCATCTGGATACAAGCCATCCAGTCGTGACCAAAATCCGACCTCCACCACCGGCGATAATAGTCGAACGAAAAAGTGTATTGGAAGATAACCCGATAATCCCACCAGAAACAGTCTGCTTAGAGGAGAGCTGTACATCAAGCACGAGTTCTGATACATCAAGAGGATCAGAGACTAAATCCCTGAAAAAGATCGACGAGTACCATGAAATCTGTCACTCACCAAGTGTGGCACTACTAACAGTGAATGTTTACCGTATTGAGATGGAATTCGCTCCACGCTGGGATACGCAGCTAGAGGTGGAGCAAGGTGATGAGGTTATCCTTACACGTCTTTTTGAGGACGGCTGGGTAGGTTGACAGCCAACGTGGTATTTGAACAAGATCGAAGCTGATAAACCTCTTTAGGCATTTTGTGAACTTTTACGCACAAAGCAACAGGGCCTTGTGCCCCGTGCATGTCTGTCTGTGTGGCCTTCTAGGCGCCACAATACTCCACCTAGCGTCGCAAGTCTGAAGCTGGTCCCCCCCAACTGCGAATTCGCGACCTACTACACCTGTCTCACCAATATCGCCGATCTTCCCTCGATTTTACAGCTCTGCCTCCTCGACTGCAAGCCTTTCTTAGGGCTTGGGAAAGGTTCTATATGCAAGATTGAACACGCACAGTCGGAGAGGGACTTGAAAAATTACTGCATTACGATCAAAGGCTATTGACCCCATGATAACTTCATTTGTAAATATTGATTCGTGTATAAGCTGTGTTATAGCGCCAAGGAATGCCATTTGCGTTCTTGGATACGTTCATCTTTAATATCTCTAATTAAGTTGGGGACGAGATTATTCCATCGATAATCGAGTGTACGCGAAAAAAATCTGCTAACGCATTATTTGAATTCTTTGCAAAATCAAATTGGAATTGAGACCATCTCTGTAGGTGTATATCCACACAGCCCGAACTTGATATGCATAAGAGCACGTTCAAGATGTTCAAATGCCAGTGATTGTGGAATTCCTTAAAGTATATAATACGTCAAGTCCAGACACTGCCCAGGTGGGTCTTCCGGTGTCACTGCTCATTGCGATCGGGTCGAACTAGACAGCCTATCGCTTGAGGGCTATAGTCCTTGAAGGAATTAACACTCGAATTCTTTCACAAATTGAATTAATGGAATAGAATATGTGAGCGAATGTGTCGCTCAATCACACAATTTCTTCATTTACGCGCCCGAGAAATTACTGTCGGAATGTACGACTTGAGTCTTCAGGCAGGGAAAAGATACATGACTGGATTAGGAATCGGTTTTCATAAGGTAGTTACGAAATGGTGGGTCAGATCACTAGTACTTTAAGACCGATACCTTTCAGGCCTCAAAGATCACACTTGTGGATAGTAGGTATTAGAAGAAATGAGTTGGTATTAGTAAGAGATAAATTTCAGGGGAGCTCATGAGACTTTATAATCCCCATTAACAAAGAGGTTTTGGGAACCGTGTTGCGCTAGGATATTGTTGCAGATCAGCCATGCTTCCTTCGCTGAGGGGTCACTGGTAGACATGAATTTGAGCCAACGCAAAGCTTTTTGAACCTGTCTAAGAACCCGTCTCCCTTCAATAGATCTTGCTTCAGAGCACAGCTGGAGCTCGATCATGAGAACAGTAATAGAGAGCATGATATAATGCAACATCAGCCACCATTGGGTCGTACGATAGAGCCAAGTGGGGTCGATCGTGGATTGCAGAAGGTCAAGCATTTCGAAGGCAGCTCGCACGCATAGCTTTGCCGCAGTCTGATAGAATGATCGCAATATATGTGGTACAGTTGACTGATAGGCGAGATGATGCAGACATGGTTTATTGATGAGGATCTTGGCAACATAGAAGCGGCGGCCAAGACTTACAGTCTGTGCCGAGAAAGACCGCATATTGTAGCTCTGGTGAAATTAAATTCTTGTGGGAGATATAAAAGCCATCCATCGACTGAATCATTGAAGCTTGAGATCAGGATCTCAAGATCCGACGAGGACCTCTGAGCTGGCTCCGGAGAGTACAAGACCTCGATAACCTTGTGTGTCAGATGCGCTAAGTCCACGGCGTGAACAAAGAATAGTGAGAGCTTAGGGGTCGTAGAGGTCGTAGAAGACACGTAATCGGTCACCCCTTTTGTAGTTTGCTCATCTGATAACGCCTTATCCCACTCAGAACCAGCGATCTGTGTACAGTCTGATGGCGTTAAACCTGTCGCACGGTCTGCCATTCCAGTAAAAGAAAGAAACCGTCTCAGAAATTGGTTCCGTGCGTGCAGGTCAGTGAGGAGGTGCCTTATAGAGCCTTGTACCAGATCCTCTTCACGGAAAGGAATCGGTAGCGGCGTGGTACAGAAATTTGTGTTGGTTTTGGGTGGGCGGCCAGTGATCACTTGCAACAAGGAATCCATCACGAAAAGTGCCCACCACACGCGATAGCGAATCTCTTTTGATGAGAATTGGACTTCATTTGCCGAATTGCGGAGGTGAAGCCCCATTGCCACCGCGGATTGAAAAGCTGTGCCAAGCATTCGCCATGCCCTGATTTTGAGAGGTTAGTCACCAAATACATTTCTCATCAGTGGCAATCGCAGGAAAATGCTAATGGACTACACCTATTGATATCTCCCACACAAAGAAAATAAAATGCCGCAAGAGCTTCCACTTGCACCTGCTGTATATCTGGATAGTTCTCCAATGCAACGTGATGAATGCCTAATCGCCAGGCCCGTGAAAAGTAGATTGCGTGGCGTTCAGGGTTCTCCCTATGAGACTCACTTGCTAATGAGGAGACTTTCGCAGCAATCGCAAACACGAGATTCAATAGGGCCACCCACCGCCTCCCAGGCCTGGCGTTGGGATTTGAGAAGTAGGTTTGATATTGCCAGCAGAACGTTAACTTCCCAATAACCGGAAACTCATGGTGAATGGCACGGAAATAATGGTCAATAAGCCGATCTGCCGCCTCTTTGGGTGGCAGGGTCCATTGATTATCGTCTTCGTGGGTCTCGACCTTGGCCTCGTTCCGAAAATAGTTCATCGCGCTGATTGATGGCGGGCGAGCTGTGTCCCCAGGTTTGGGAGTGGTCTTCTTTGCAAGACGGCGTTTAATTTCAAAGAGCCATGCTATTGCAGAGTGTTCGCCTATAAAACCCATCGCCTGCAGGCGTTGGCTACTATTGAAATCTTCGTCTGCGTGATCTTTGATTGCGTATGGGATAGCATCGTTCCCGAATTCCGTATTGTGCGCGATGCCTTTCAAACGCTCCACCGGGATGAATGATGAACTGACTGGACTGGTACACTGAGCACTTGAATGTACGGTGGGCTCCACTTCGATTTTTGTGTCACGAAGGAGCCGTTTCACTTTTTGAGCAGATAAGATGTCAAGTCCAGGGTATGTTTCACACATTAGATCCTGATAAAGCTTGTTTGTGGCAGAAAGCTCTGCAACTGTGCTATACAGTCTATTTAGAGGCATGCAATTTGTGTCTGTGAGTGATAAAGTCCATCACGTACCGACCTAGACTATCCCGGCCCCGAAGTTTGTAGATACAATCGACGCCTCTTTCTTTGCAACGTTGGCACGGTTGGTGTCCAGTACACCTGGCTTTGAACTCTCGACAATGGTTGCATGCTTGCCTAGCTCTGAGTCTGCTTGGGAATTCGATGGGAGCCGCTCGCGGAATGGGGACTTTTGGATGAACGGTAGAGCGGTCGACTCGATGAGGGGATCGTCTATTATTGCCCGTATGCTCGTGGGGAAATGGAGTCGAGGCCGAGGAGTTATGTATGACTGGAAATGATGCATACTGTGGGGTGTTTTGAAGGAATTGAGAATCAAGCAGCTCTTGGGAGGGCTTCCAACGAGCCATACTTCTCTCAGAAACAATTAGCGGAATGGACGCGTCTGGTACACCCAATTCTCCATCCACTTTTCCAAGTTCCGTGCACCATTTGAAATTAGATGAAGTCTTTTTTTCAGGCGATCAATCTAGTCTATAAATGCTGAGAAGAAACAAGGGAGCTACAAAAATGCATGACAAAAGTACAAGAAAACAGAAATGCAATAAACTGGCAGCGGGATGATCGAACATACCCATCATTTTAAAATATGTATGCGTCCTACCACATGTGCAGTCATAAACCCGAAATTTTCCAGGCGCGTCCGGCGCATCCATTAGGTAAACAAAGTTTTATTTGGAAATGAAGATGGGGTGGTCTTCCATAGTAATTTTTTTTTCATCGAAGATACCACTGAAGATAGAGAACCAGAAGTTGTTTCATCGTTTTTACGCGTTTCATTGATTCCGGGGACTTGGATGGCCATGCCTTGGGAAGCATAAGGTTAAATCTCTAATTACGGACACTTCCCGCTTATCGTGAGCTTAAAATGCTCGCATTTTTACATTTAAACGGAAGATCATCAAAAACCTGGGAAATTATACTCAGCAAGGGATGCCACTATTGAATCAAAGTTCATGCTGGATACGCCTGTCTCATTCAATGTCTGTGCGTGGCGGTTACAGTAAGATATACGTCTAAGGTCTGAGGCTCGCCAAGCTTGGTCCGTCAAAGTAATCATGGATACGAACTGTTGATCAGTGTGTTGATCCCTATTTCCATGTCACATTAAGGCCAAGTCTCCCCTCGTGAGCGGTGGATGGTCTTATGAAACTGCAAGTCGTTTATGATCCGTCCCAAGACTTCCCAGTATGAGTTCTAGTCTTCTCTAGGGCCAAAAAGAGCCATGCTCTGGACTCTGAGCAGAATGACTGAGTGAGCACTTGCCATCCCACCTTAATAGATCTCAATTCCACAACAAATTTCACAACCTTGACTGCATAGCTCGGCACTACTCTATAAATTCGTCGTAGGCAACTATGGGGACAATAGATATCAGATGGTACGCAATGACAGGTAATGTGGGGTAATGAATATGCCCCAGAAGTTAGTAGACGTCGGAGGTTCTCTGCAGTAAAGCCAACAGGCTCATCCGGCTCCACTCGCGTACTTTTGAACGCAGATCGGATGCATGCGGCTTTTCTCCATTCCGGGCGACCAGCTGTTTTACCCAACCAATAGGTATGCGAGCTGTGGCCCCTAAGCCTTGCCGTAGGGTTACCCTGCCTACGACCTTTTTCCCTGGCCCCAATGCACTGTAATGCCAACTGATCCTATGCTGGACTTGGTAAGAGACTCAAAAAGCCCTTGCGTATTGCAGCTCCTTGGCGGGAAAGTCCACGTAAGTCCAAAACAACGATTTTTCTTTCCGGTCAAGGTAGCAGGGTTTCGCTCAGCTGCTTACCAGGCCTCTAGACCCTCAAAAGAATTTCCAAGGCTTTAATCCGTAAAAGGTAGCGGACGGATGCTCGAGCAATTTACATGCTATTATATACGATCTTTACAGACGATCATGAAAACAACGGCCACAAGTTTACTTAGGTGCGGTCACACAACACCCTCATCGCTTGTGATTTTTCAAGAACTAGAGAAGCCCATTGAAGCTTCATTGATCCCTAGGAGGTACAGTATTCTACTGACTATCAAGCGTTGACTGCGACTGTGGAAAGGCTCAATCGTAGCAGAGAATTGAAGAGGACATGGTTATAGCGAGCGTCACATGGCTGGTATTGGACAATTGCCATATCGAGTAATCGAAATCCGACTATATATATACGTACCCCTTAAATCAAGTTATATCATAACTTATCAAGCGGCTAAGGCACCTGATTCCGTGGTCTAATAGTGTGCATCTGGTGTATTCGCTAATATGGCTACTTGCATTTATTACGTGCATGTACTACCTACGTTTGATGACTCAGTTATTATGGCCTTATTGAGGTAAATGTACTTCCTGCCAGAGCACGGGACCGAGAATATGTATTGCAATATAGAAATGACGAGATGGCGAGTCAATTATTAGCTTACAGATTTCATAGTCCATATATTCAAATATATCATCACTGGCAGGTAATATGACACATGCCATTTTAGGGACATGGGAAGATAACTCTCGAATCACACGTGCATAACGCGGTGATACGGTCAGGCATATCCCCTTGGCTGTGCATTCATGACAGCACTTGAGTACTTCCAGTTCTATTGCTAGTACAAAACTGCGGCAGGTTATATATCTAAATTACTACCATTTCAGGACATATGCTTGTTCCACTTCCTAATTGGTACTATTTCATACAATTGCAGCTCGCTAACAGCTTGAGTAAACTCCTTTGGGGCTCGAGGCCCTATGCAAGTACGTCCTAATCAATGGGTAATGAGCAGACAAGATAATGGAAAATCTGTGCCTCGATGTCAGCAGGATCAGAGCGCCGTTTCCAGTGAAAATTGAAGGAATTAGCCTAAGCCTATGATCGGAGCTCAACACGTATAGGGTCTTCAACAGTGGTATAGAAGACCAGTCGAGTCTAGCAAGCTCTAAAGCCGGAGCCACTTTTTGGTTTATGGGACATATGGGCCGGCGAAGACAGAATACAAAGGCCAAAATTCAAAGCAATCTGGCATAAAACCAGGCTTTTAGCCATAAAACTGCAGCTATCCCCGTCTACTAATTAACTGCAGTACTTGCAGAGCATGCATTTTTCATAGACCCTGTTTTTGAATTCCTGTCAATCATTTTTACTCCGTCGCAACCCCTTGCTATCTTTTTTCTGTTTTCAATCTCAAATTTTGTGATTGGCGGATAAGGGAGTTGTTGACAGGGTCGGCACTCGGAATCTGCACTTACAGCCTCTGGCATGCATAATTTGGACAGCTCCGGGAGTACTATTGTTTTGTGGTAAATGATACACCTCTCAAACACCACAATTTCTATGTGACAAATGACGAATATTATCTTGAGGATTCTCTCCTGGAAGCAGAATAAAAACAGCCAGACTATAGCCAGCTAGTAGGAGAAGCGGGCCGTTCAAACTCTGCATACCAGAGGCCGTAGCATGGGTCTTTCTTAGGAGAGAAAGTGACCAGCGCTAGCTCGTCGTAATATTCCTCCACGCAGTCTTTTTTATTGACATGGAAAACATGGAACACAGCACCCTGGCTTCTCGTAAATTCATTTTAGGTAGATTCTTTTCATTCCTCCCCAAACCCTGCCCGGGCAATCTTGGCTGCGTGGCGTTTTATAATTGTCAATACGACGGCTGATTCGATGATTTAACTGGAACCACTTGAAAAGAATCCCCGAGGGTTTAGAAGATTTTGCAGGTTTCGTGTAAATCCATTACCCTATCGATTCAAATTTTCTAGCCATTGAATGCAACATCTATGCTGTCGAACACCCGTGTTCATATAGGGGGACTGGGCATCCGCTGGTAGTCTTGTTCTCCAAGAGGAAGGTCATAATTTTGGCTTGACTGTCTCTCCAAGAGATTCTGTCGTTGAGGCTGATATCTATGGTCCTTTGCCATACTCCCTTGTGTCAATTAGTATGCACTGCCCATAAAATTGGACATCCGATTGGCCCGTTGTGCTCCCGCACCCTTGAGTCTGTGATGCAACCATGGGCATCCCATCCCGCCTTGCCCTATCAGGATTGGCACTTCTAGGTACGTGCTTCGAGAAGGCGGTCAGTTTTCAGTGAAGTTAACTTCCTCTACTATAATATTAGCGTGATTTTACTTGCTCCGAATGAAACTTGCGCGACCATAACTATATCGGTGCCACGATTCTGATAATTAGGCCACAATAATCAGACCACAATAATCATCAGTCTACGCTCTTGACCATCTCATATGGTTTGATAGTTATTATTAAGGTGGATATTATGGTCGAAACTGTGGTCTACATACCCGTGAGTCGTGACATGCCATGGTTTTCTCACACACCATGATTTTGAAAACTAAAACAGGGCCTTTCCCGGTAAAAATAGAAGTGATCCAACGAATAATTTAGCCCAAACATTCAAATCTAGCGCAATCTCACCAAGCTTGGCCTTGGCCTATGGATATAAATCCAGATGTCTAGCCACCAAATCTCCCTATTGACAACATTGGAAGATATACGGAACCGGCTTTCCGTCTAGACCTGCACAGGTCCACTCGCAATTTTTATATCCTCACTGTTTAAAGCCGTGCCTCTTGCCGAATAGGTTCAATCAGCGACTTGACCCTTAGGCTATCCCTCAAATGACCCTAACCCCACGCCTGTCGGTGTAATGGCTCGGTATACTATATAATTCTCCTAATCAACCTCTGTAATAGCCTAGTGTGGCTTATACATCCCTAATTTAATCTTCTAGTCCGCAGCTATAACCTGAATTGTCCGCTGAGCCTTCTACTTCTCTAAGTCAGTGTCCGGGAACTTCTATTTCTATATAAGCTAGACCTGTTCCTAACTCTTTATCTGTTCGATCTTTTAGAAGTAATTCTAAGATAGGAGATTAGGTAAGTCTATGGAGGTTAGACTGGTTAAAATTCTGTAATTCTAAGTAGTTATCTGTAATAGACAGAATTTAACTGTATTATGAGTAAGCCTTCTAAGAAGTAACTTCTTCTTTGTGTATACTATATAATAAATTCGTAAGAAGGCTAACTGTTAAACTTAAAGCTACTGGATGTTACGAACTGGCTGTCAAGCAACGTGAGTATACACTGCCGTAGTGTCGATACTTACCGCAAGCCGTTATCCTGCAACTGTACCGTCGCCGTCCGGGCCTTACACGGGCTAGAGTCTTTGGGGATCCTTGCACGGTAATGCTTGAATCAGGGGTTCGCTAGTAGGCCAGTCACGAGTGAGGGTATCACGAGTGAGCTCTCCTAACTAGTTGGTGGTTTGTCTTCAAGGGTTCGATTGTAATCTTAGTCTGATTCGTAGAGTCCAATAATAATAGAGTAATAATCGCGAAGAACTAGATATATGATGGTAATGACCGTTCCTTATATATCTAGCCTATTCTATCTATCTGATAGGATCCTATCCTATTGCTGGGATGGGATCTATTGTTGGAATAGATCCGCGGTTATATGTTATAGGGCTAGAAGTAGCCTCTTATATACTATCCTTCCTATATAGCCAGTATATGTTATGATAGTAAGCAATAGGCTATATCTAGCTTTAGGCCTCTCAATGGTCCGGTCCCAGTCCCATTTTTTGGGGACCGGGGACCGGACCGGCGGTCTTTGGTCTTTTTTTGACATGAGCAGGACCGCACTATGGGGGACCGCAAATACATAAAACTGCCAAGAGTTACCCCTTTTGGATGGATAATTTCCTGACTTATCCTTTTTTTTACATGTATCAATCGCTGTTTTCAGTGTAGCATCTCTATTTATTAGTAAATAGCCCCCTCCTTACTAAATATTTCAAAAATAAGCTAGTATTTAGATAAAATAGTTCTCTAGAATTTATATAGTAGAATTTTTATCACCAAATCCGAACATTGTTATAGATAATTTATAAAATATTATTTAAGATTTATATATAGCTAGGTGTAACGGGTTGAACCCGATGAGGGCTTGTCAATCCTCGACAAGCCCAAAGCCACTCATCCCGTACGGTCACGTTCGACAGCAGTCGACTGTTTGTGCACAAGAAGACAAACCCCCACGAACGTCCACTTACGTAATCGTACGGCCCCACACGTGATCCACAGAAGGACATATATGCCCCACCATGTACCATAGCTTCCTCTTCCTTAAGCATGAATGTAAACTGCATGTCGGCCTATATCGTTCTGCGTCAGTCATTATAGAGCCCTTCACAATAATCCCTAGGGCCTAGGCCTACTTTTAACTATATAAGATAATAATAATATATACTATACTACCTAGATCTATATTATAGATTAAAGAATATTTAGGGATAATAAGTGAATTTTAGTAGTAGCTTGATAGAATTCCCTTTTAAGAGAGGGTATTCGAGTCCAATAAGCTTGGAGAAAAGCCCAATAAGCTTGTAGGAGATCCCTTATCTCTCTTATAGCTAGGGAAATCTCCCTAGCTAGCAAGATAATATCCTTCACGACGGAGAACAAATCGTTCGCGGCGGACAGAGTATTCTTCGTCGCTTTCAGGGAGTCTTTCACTCCCTCGAAAAAACGGAGCAGGGAGAAAGAAGGCATTTTGAGCAGCGACATTTTCGGCGGGGTTTTCGGCGGTGTTAATTCCTACAGAAAGTTCTTCATGTTAGCCTGCGAGAAAATGGAGATGGAATAAGAAACAATATTACCGGATTCAGGATTGGAGTGGATTGGGGAAGAAGGAAATAAAGTTGGTTGGAGGCGGTGAGGAGTTGGGAAGGCGGTCAAGGAAAAGAGAAAGTACCTTTTTGGTGGGGGAAGTACATACAATGGCGAGTGGCGCGGCGGTGGTAATTTCAATTACGTTATTGATTCCAAGCTTATCAACATACGACCCCCGTGGCGAATCGCCCGGGCGGGGCTGAGCTGCCAGTTTTAGGGTGGGCCAAAACTTAGCGTGTTTGTCTTTTAAATGGCTTCTCGGTATACAGGATGCTAGGTGGGAATGCCATGGTTTTCCTCCCGAATGCCACAATTTTTCCAAAAAGTGCCACGCACAACCGTGGTTTTTCCGCCAGCACCCTCAGGTTATCACGTATCGTTAACATTCCATTGGATTATAAACCGATAAGGTCCTCGGATCGAGCCCGGGTCTGGTCACTTCTTTTTTCTTTTTTCTTCTTTCTTCTTTCATTTTTGATTTAATTTTCAATGAGTGGAGTTCAATCGACTCGAGGATAGCAGAGGCGATGTAGAATGTTATGACTGAAAATCTAAGACCAGTAGTCAACCGGCAGGTGAGCGGGTAACATTATCAAGTGCGCTACTTATACCGTTGCGGGCAATGATTAAACACAGAGTGCAATCATTTTTGGTCTTTTGGCCATGTTGGTTAGCGTACCCGCAAACAATGACTCGAACACTAGGGGGTATATTTCATGTAATAACTATAGACACTGAACGTAATAAGATACTGCCGTTAAAGGGTTTGAAGAAGTGGATCACCAGATGAAAGGGCTCTTCATTAACAATTGACAGAATGGCGAGGGTTGAAGGCATTTGGCAGATTTGCTTTGGAGCTCTTCCCCCAAGGTATAACATTTAAGTCATGCTTAAACCTAAGAGCAGTGAGATAAGAAAAGAACAATCCCGGAACACACGAGATTCGAAGCACACAAATAAATCAGCTAGTTAAGTTAGTCAGTGGTATCATAAATAGTAATAGTACAAAGCTTGGAAGAGCAGAACTGTCAGTACTGTACCAATAAAAACAAGTCATGTAATCTGGCAAGGACGAAAAATCAAGATCAAGAACTCAGGGGAACGGTTGAGACCTCCGAGGATATTTCAATATCCACCCTTCAGCAACCAGATCATCGAGGCACGCACAAAAGGCGAAGGTACCGTTTGTGAGATGGAAAAACCCGGCAACTCCACCTGTTTCAATGTCCACAATAGGAGCCCCACAAACACCATCGGAGATAGTATTATTGACATTCCCAAATATGAGATTCACCGATCTAGTATCCCATTTCGAGAATGAAATCTCCGGATGCCCAATCGGACGCTTGGGCCGCATAGGGTCAATGCCAATGTTCATAAGACTAAAAAACCCCGAACTCATTCCGTCTGCCTCGCTCCACGAGCCCTGTTTAATTTGATTTGTTACCAAAAGTTGGGTTGATGGTTCAGCCTGGAAATAACAGGAATTGGTGAAGCTACGAGAGGATGCGGGTGTCAGCGTCACAAGTGAAATATCCAGTTCCGGTCGGGTGTCGACGACGGTCCCAATAAGCTCCCCATCGGTATTTGGATGGTACACTTCACCAGAGGTGAGAAAACCATGGTGGGAAACTGTAACGACATCTTCTTCACCTCTACAAAGTTGAATCCCTAATGTGGTCGCCGCATTTATGGATTCGGTCTGTGTCCCTGGAAGACCAAAGCCACTTTCCACTCGACACCCAGGTGTAAGAACGTATTGTTGTTGAAGATAATTAGAATCATCTTGCGGTATATGGGTATCTCTCTGTGTCTTGGAAGGGTCAATTAGGCGAGGTCTGGTGAGGCTTTTGATTGTAGCATGGAAGGGTGTATCTCTATGATGGTATAATGCAGTGCGACCCGCAACAACCCCGGGAAGTGATTGTTCCGGATAGGTAAGATCATCTCCAGTCTCAAGTTCAAAAACTATCCACATCGGGAGGAAGATGGCACCTCGGATATTGGCGAATTGCGCGATGGCTTCAAGGACGGTGGTTGTCTGACTATCGGCTGGATTGCTCATTCTGGGCCACCGAATATTCGGGCAAGGATCGGGGATACGAGGGTTGGAGTAACCAGATGTTGGAATGCTATCTGTAAACATTTCACCGGGGGGTACAAACAGGACTGGCATGGTACCAAGGGTCAAGGGAATGGGCTGAGGTGGACAAGCTGTCTCAACGCAGAGAAACCATCCGGAATAATGGGATTTTCCTTCGCCAAACTTTGTTTCAATCCATCGCCAATTTTCTTCGGTGGGGTAGCGGAACTCGCGGTTCTCTTTGTCCCATAGCGTGAAAGGCGCCATGTCGTTTATGTGACGAGCGCCCCACCCGCCGGGATTGACCCATCGGACCGGGTCAGGATGAGCATGAGGTAACATATCAAGCAAATGCTGTGTGTTTACTCTTGAGCGAAGCGGGGAGATAGGCGCATTGGTGTAAATGTCGGAATAAGGAGAAGTCTCTTGGATGTGCTGCACCTGCGGCAGCAGCCGGGAGGGGGTTGTCATGGGCGTCGCCATGGTCCTTAGGGGGAAAAGACCCCAAGGTTGAAAATATTCCTTCTTATTGGTGTCTGGGAGGGAGATATTGGGGGGGGGGGGGTTGTTTGGTGACGAATAGAGCGAAGGAATGAGCAGGCAAGTTGCCAAGCCGAAATACTAGTCACGTGGCACAGGAATCGTGTCAGACCAGATATTACCCAGTGTAGTGGGGAACCATATCCCCACTCATTGCCGAGGTCTCCCTACAGAATGTGTTTCAACTCTCAAGTGCTTTCATTACGGTTTTGTTTATGTCAAGTCCTATCTCGAAATGTACCTACAAGATTGCCAGTCCTTGCAGATAGAGAATGGGCACTCTTACATATCCCAATTGTACCCCTACGGGTGTATCCTCGATCTCTCGCATGTTAGCATGTGGGTTGTAGTTTGTCCAGTGTAGGGACCCATGCGGAGGTTCAAAGCCAGGTCTAGTCACTCCCACTGGGAGTCATCATAGAAATGCTATTATCCGAAGACCAAACATTTGAAGAGCTCTTTGAGCTAGTTCATTGCGTCCTCTGTACGCAAAACGGCATTTTGGCTGTTAGCGATATAGGCAACGCACGTAAGCCTTGTAGGATTGCCAAGAACAAGACAAAAAGACATAAGTTCTACACCAATTTTGGCAAAGTGTGATACTATAGCGTGTTTGGGTAGTTTTGTTAAGAGCCTTGCTAATACTGGATGGAAGGGCCATGGCTTTCCTAGCAAATGCCACGGTAGTTTACAAGAATGCCACACCAAAATCATGGCTTTCCCGCTGTCACCCTATGGTTATCACGTATCGTTAACACTCCAATGGACTGTAAACCGATAAGGTCCTCGGATCGAGCCCGGGTCTGGTTACTACCAAGATGTATTTTTACCTTTGGGAATTCCTTTTACTATTTTTTGTCTGTTGTATAATTTTAATGGGGGGAGCTCCTAAGACATAACGAGAATTATCCCTTAGTTATCATAATTACCTACTTAGATACTAGTATGTATAGTAGATCCAAGACAGAAATAGCTAGTAGGTTCGATGGATACCTATGAGGATAGAAGAAGTAATTAAAAAAAAAAAACAAAAAACGACAGCTGTCGGGTTTGAACCGACGCCTCCGAAGAGAATTGATTTCGATAATTCAAGTCAATCGCCTTAGACCACTCGGCCAAACTGCCATTGGATATTATTTCCCATAATATTTGGGGGTTATATTTGCTTAACTGCACTTCCCCTACTTTACATGACATATCTATGTGTCTTATAGTCCTATGTTTCCAAGAGGACATTCTTAGAAGTTTTCTCTTTCCCTTCACTATTTCCAGCAAACATCTCCCCTTTTTTATTCTATTTTTCTCTTTCCCTCACCTTCTTGAGAGCCTAGATTACCCAACCTCTGCAAACATCTTCCTTTTAATTCTACTTTTCTCTTTTCAAAATATCCATTCCCCCAAGCCCTAAGTGATAAATATGGGGTCATACTTACCAGCCAACGTCATGGAATGTAGTAACTGTAGCTTCAACGGTTATTTTGCTTGCGACTGTGACAGACACTGCAGATGGTGTCATACCTTTATAAAGCCCAACCACTATGCCACTTACCAATATACTCCTACCTGCTATAATTGTGGAGAGAAAGGATATACTAAGCGCTTTTGCCCGAGGGTTAAGAAACGTAAGCGTGGAGAGTGCTGTAGATATGGTGAGATAGGCCACTTACAACGCGACTGCCCACGGATTGAGCCCAGACTCTCAAATCCTATCGAACCAGACTCTTCATCTGCTCATCTCCCTCAAGGTAATTGTCTCTGTGTTCAAGTGATACAGTCCTAAATTTGGCGATAGTCTCATGAACTCCCTAGAATTTGGAATGAAACTTACATGCTGTGTTTATTTGACCATCTTATCGAGTTCCCTCAGCTGAAGCCTATGATCACCTCCCTCGTGCACAGTCTGCATAATGGAACCATCAAACTTACAAGCGATCTGATCAACCATGTTCCCTACCATGCAGTAGTCGATGCTGTTGGCGGTACTGCCGCCTTTTTAAATATTGCATTAAATGCCGTGGACCCTCGGGTCCTTGCACTACAGGGTCAAACCATAACCGTGGAGAAGTAAGTCAAGCTTTATTTTCAAGTAATAGTGGATGGAATTTTGACATATAATAGACTGTATACCATCAAGGTATCCCAAGAGCAAGAGCAAGACCCCTGACCCCATTCCAATGGAGGCTACATGGACTACGTTACAGATTCACGAGATAAAGAGTATTGGCGTGCCTACGTCGGACAGACTTAGAGTCTAGCAGAACGAATTTCTCAACATTGCAGAGCCATACGGAAAGGCAAACTCAAAAGTCTCCATTATTGGATAATTTGTAACCCTACAGCTCGAGGATACCGTTTTGCGAACTTCATTCGGCTTTGGTCATTTACCTTTCCTCAGAATACGGATAAAGACGTCATACATGGCTTCGAAAACATCCTTTAAATGTGCCTCACGCGTGTTTTTCAGACGCTTGATCTCTCTGTTTTGGATCTATTCGGGCTGCGACCTGGAGGAAACTGCTCTAATGTTGGGCTTAACATAGTCCCTCCGCTTGCTCAGGTGATAGAACTCGCACCTACCGTGCGTGGGGATTTTGCAAAGCGCTTGGAGGCCTCTGATGACCCTGAAATCCGCGAGTGGCCTAAGATCCGAGCAAAACAGCAGCATGGAGAGGAATCTACCAGCAAGAAAAGGCTTGTGTCAGAAAACATGCGTTTGACGCCAGAGCAAAATATCCAGGCCCTTTGTGATGCAGTTCAAAAGGACAAGATGCTATCAGAATCAGTCTGTTGGCAAAAAAAGAAAATGTGCCATGGACACCTTACAGGGAAGATCAGGGCTCAACAGTACTTCAAGATTGGTGGAGACAGGTGTCTGCCTCAATATTGGAGAGTAATATCTGTAACCCGGGCGATCTGGCAATGCCATTTAGAACTACTGCAGCATCCCTTGTCATGGGGATGGGGACGAGGCTTCAGTTCCATTTGGGCTAAAAAGAACTGGATTTACTGAAAGCAATTCTCTGATATGGGCATCAAATCTCCAAAGATACAGGGTAATTCTGGATACCCTGCAAGTGGGCCCTCAACGTCCCAACACTGGAATGTTTTCAGCATGGACCCAAAATCTCATTGAAAGCAGCAACCTACGACTTATCCTTCTTTGTGGCTCATTTAAGGAGGATATCGCTCTTACCACAAATGACCAACAACATAGTCTTACTTTGAATCTCCAAGGTATTGACTTCAAAATCTGGCTGAGACTTGGACTTAGTGGTGATACTATTGAACGAATATTTGTGCGATCCCACGCACCTCTTGTCAGGATGTGGGCAAGCAAGGGAATGGCAGCACAGAAACTAGGGGCCTTGTTCAGGTTTGTGAATTCAATAATAGGCTTGAAGCTTTTCGCGGCCTTTTACCAAAGTGCCTTGACACTTCTGTTGATTATCCGTGGATGGGACGACGAGCGATCTGGAAATGCTCAGCCCCTTTCTCCTGAAATGGAGAAACTTGACCCAACGCTTAGGATATGGCTCTCTAGGCTAGGCTTCACAAAGGATGGAGATATTCTCCGTCTTGCATAGTATAGTGGAGGCTCAGTAAGATTTGGTCTGCTGGCCCTTACTCATGCTGTGCGTCAACAAGTTGGACGTACTGGTGGTTCTGGTGGTCAGAGAGTTCCACGTCCTAGTCAGAAGAACCGTGGCGCCATTCCAAGAGAAACCATGCAGGGGGTCCGCTCCCTTCTTAAAGGAGTTCAAGAAGCCCAGTTCCATTGTGGAGAAAATATCAGTCAGACTATTCTCCCCGAAACGAAAATGCAGGAGGAAGCCCAAGAAGCCAAGTTTAGTTCTGAGGAGTTGAGCAGTCACGAAGCTCCGCTGAAGAGTGATAAGCCGGATTCAGATGATTTTAATGAGGAGTTGGTGTCTGAAGATCTTTTGGATGATGCGATTTCGAACGGTAGTATCATGGTTGAGCCATATGTCCCTGAACAGCCAGCAGAGATTCTTCGTCGAAGGACAGAATTTAACAAGCTCTCTTGGAGGAGGAGCCTTGAGTTGATGACAGGGTACCAGTTCAAAGGACACGAAACAAAAAAAGGCCGCGTCAGCTCCTATTCCTTTGGCATTTACTACGTATTATTCTACATCCATGAAGCGCCACCTGATTGCAAGTTGTTTTTCGTCAAAGCTGAGCTAGCACCCCCTGGCAAGCATCACCCTAATGCATATGCAACAAGGGCCGATGAGATTGACCCAGGTGCTCGGTTTGCTCTTCGGATCGCCATACATGATGACAATGGAGAAGAAACCTTTTTTCAATTTTCGACTAGTCACACATGGAAAGGGATTGCCATTGCAAATGCTTTTGTGGACACATTCTCTGGCGATTCATTGCAGGTGATCAGTCAGCGAAAGAGAAGATATCTTTATGTTCATAAAAGAATCAAAGATGTCTCTGTTGAGTTACAACCGCTCATTTCTGGCGCCTATCGGAATGAAAGTGGGGAAGTCGTGAAACGGAGTAAAGACATCCAAAGAGACACCGGGTGACAATGGGAATTGCAACAGTTTCGGGTTGAGTGACCGTGCGATGCTCTAAAGGGGCCATGAGGGAGGGACCAGGTTCTGTGGAAGTAAGGATCGAAGGATTGGCAATTGGATAAGAGTGGTGGCTTTACCCGGAGTTAGTCCTGATGAAGTGTCAAAGAGAGGAAGGATCGAGGCAGGGATATCTGGGGAAGGAGAGAGAGAGTAGCGAGGTCTGGCAAACACTTGAGGGTGGAGGCTCACTGCCTTCAACATTAAGCGAGCGGTTAACTATTCTACCAGTGGATTGAGAGATAATTAGCATGTAAGGGCCATAGATTTCCCAGCAAACGCCACGATAGTTAACAAGAATGCCACACCGAAATCATGGCTTTCCCACTGTTACCCTATGGTTATCACGTATCCTGGTGTCACGGCGGAATGGCTATGGTTTTCCCATTGGTCACGTGACAGTGTTTCGTTGTTCCGTAACCGATTGGATAGGGTTGTCCCGCGGCGGGACTCCCTCAGTGGGTTCGTAACAAGCACCCCCAGGGGGTCTCCTAGCATCTAGTCTATGGATTATTGGGTGTTGTTATTGGTGCCTGTCTAGTCTGTCTCTACACGTGTATTCTGATTACCCATCACTACGTTCCCCTCTTCACTAGCTACCTATGTAGGTAATGATATGTGAATATTTAGTACTAGGGGGAAGGGCAATACTACTAGTAATATCTACTCAACTTAAAGTGCTAGGTTTGATCCAACGTCCAGGTTCAGGTTGGAATTGTGGTGTGATATACAAGTATTGAGCGATTAAACAGCGAATTAATGGATGCAGATTGAACTTCGAATACCATATGCAGATACGATGATACTATGAATAAGGTTTCTCTGTCTTCATCACAAGGTTAATCCTTGAGGGTATGTTACCTACTCTGGCCAACTTTTTTAGCAGTGTGGCTTGAGTACAGTCCAAGAGGGTATCAGTAAGTGGGTATGATATCATAACTATGCATAGATGCGTGCCTATATGTAGCGTGATGTACTACTAGTAGTCCGAGACAGACTACCTACGTATCAAACTTTCTCTTCTCTTTCATGGTTCTCATTCTATGCCTACATAATCTATGCTTGCTTCCTACATCGATGGCAACGCTCATGCTGGATGAGTACTCATATAGTTCTCTTTACTAGTACCCAGGCGAGACCGTAAAATGATTCTACGTCTAGGTTTTGTGAACGGAACACTTCGCAGAAAACTTCGCGATATCTTCATTTTGTAGTTCTCCGTTCAAAAGTCTTTAAATATCAAAAGTCAAACTAAATTTGAATATATTTGTGAGCTCCCGAGGCTATGAACAAAGCTTTAAATGTTACTGGAGTTCAAAAATTTGCCTTTTTCTCATTCATGGGAGCCTCGAAAACGCGCCGTTGATCGTATGTAGGGGCCTCAAAAACGTTGGGAGCCAGATTTCCAGGGGCCTCAAATATCATGGCCGGTCTCTCGTCGGTTCTTCCATCGCTGAAATCAACAATATCCGCCGAAGGGAACAAATTTGTATTGAGCTGGCTACCATCAACTTGGCTTGATTCTAACTTTCTTTTGCGAAGACAGAAAAAAAGCCCGCCCGCAAAAACCAATATACCAACTGCTCCAGCACCAACACCTATGCCGACTTTTGTATCTATTGAAAGTCCATGATGTCCAGTGTTGCTCCTGTTTGTGGCTATAGCTGTTTCCGTGGAAAGAGCCCGAGATGTGGTCGTTATTGTTGGAGATGCAACTAAAGGGACAGAAGAGCTTTTTGATTCCGCCGATCTTTGAAATGCTCCTTGCGTGGTCGAAGTACTGGGAGACATCGTCGCAGTCGAGGATTTCTCCGTAATATTGAAATAGTGGCTGGCAAAGAGTTCATCTTGGTCCTCAAGGTTGGAGGCATTTCGTATTTGGAAGAAGAAGACGTTGCCGTTACTGAGGTTCTGATTTGTCGAAACAATCCAGTCATAGGAGGTCAGGTTGCTTATATCGGCTGTCATTCTCAACAATGTTAATCAAGTTTCTGAATCAATTGGAACTTCGCACATATTCATACTTTGAACCCATTCATAGTCTGCGTTATCATTTTGCCATAGCAGGATAGAGAAAGAGGCCAGGGTAGTTGTCCATCGCATTTGCAATGTTTGGCCAAGTGTATAAACAGGGTTTTTTGTGTAGTCATGAATTTTGCCTCCTGTCGGTGGATTGTAGAAGACTCCCGACTTCGCGACAACAAGGGGTGAGATAAAACTTAAGAGCCAGAAAAGCTTCATGGAGCTGATCTGTAATGACAGTAAATTTGATCAGGGTAATGAATGAATGAAGGTAAATGGCAAGTCAAAAGCAACCGATTTGACCTGGGAGAAGCGCTCTCTTCGGAGCCAAGACAACATGCAGGTCACAAGCCTTTTAGGCCCATGCCGCCTGTCCCTTCCCAAGCTTGCAATGCACATATTAGAATATTTCTGAGCGCGTGGCTAATTATAACTTGACTCACTATTAAGAATATCAAATTGCAATAAGTACATGTTGCTCTACTGCCAAGTTGGTGAATCCAGTCATTTGGAGGCCGCCTTGTACTCTGGTTATAGCCACCTACACCTTGAGCGGATACCTGGCCTATGAGAAGAGCTGTTTTAGCGCTAAGTGTGCGTTCAATGTTTCACATACCCTAAAAAGAATCTACGGGGTTTTCTATGCTTATAATTGGACCAGCATCAATATCTCTGGGAAGCACCATTTGTCGAAGGATAGAGTGACGAATACGGCCGGGCTTTGCATGAGCCCCTGCATGAGATAGCCGCCGGGTTTATGCCGCATTGTGCGGCATGATATGGATGTAATTTCATGTGAATACAATGTACGGACACCTATGGCACCATCGATATGTAATACCTAACGACCAGTACTATTGATGACTCGGAGTGATTTATATCAATATTTGAATGTAGATACATACCTACCTAGGTAAAGTGGAATATTTAAACTTGAATATTCCGTACTGTACACTCAGTAGTCAATTTGAATTTTCGGATACAATGGGATATGGGAGAGTACCAATTACGCAGGAATCAGGTCAACTGAACACTTGGGGGACCTCACCTGTACACTTGGGGAAAATCCGTACCTAATCGGGATGTTCCGGACCCACCCTCGAAATTTTTCTTTGTTATTCAATTACACGTGCTCCACCCCTTCTCCATCGCCTTTTCTTTACCGCTTTCTTTCCTATCCTTACCGCTTTTATTATCATCATCAAAGATCTTGCTATTATTATCACTAAGCGCTAGGTCCGCACTTACCATCAAGGTTGATCACCCCTATCATCACCTACCCTCGATATCGTTCGATTACACACAATTATCCATGATGGACCGTCTAGTAGGCCCAAGATGGCTACAAAGCTTTGAACCATACCAGGACTATCTCCAGAAGGGCAGACTTGGTGGATTACAATACACAGGCTATGAAAAGGTAAAGGAGACTTCTCTAAGTGCTTTCGAAGTACTTATAGAGATACTAACACTGTCTAGAATGATGAAGGCAAGATCATTGTCCAGCCTGGAGAGGCCTTCTGTCGTTGGAAGGATTGCTCTATGTCATCACATGCCATGGAAACACGAAATCTACGAACCCATCTTCGATCACACTTCCCGCCTAGACAAGAAAGCCCCATTGCAAATGGGCCCACTGGGAGCATGTCGAATTTTGAGAAAGGGAATATAAGAGGTATGGGGTGTCTTTTCAGTACTCCCTAAGTGCTTCCACAGTGCTTACAGGTTTTTAGCATGGTATCGAGAGGCTTTGGAGCTTTGGGATGTAGGTTCTATCCAGGTATCTCCTGATTCACTAGGACCATCCCAGGATGAAAGAGATACTATCAATATCCAGCTACAGCAGTCATTATCCGATGATCAGGTGTTATATCAGAACCAATCTATTCATTCTTCTGCTACTAAGCCACCAGTCCCCTTGACAAAGAATGGAAATGTATACTATCCCTGGATACTAAGTGCTTTTTTAGTGCTCCTTTGGCTAATATCTTTTTTAGATCTCCAAGAAGAAGACACGGGATATAATTCTTAATATTGACCCAGAGGCAACTTTTCCTTGTTCTGCTTGTACTAGTAAGAGAAAGGGTGGCTGTAAGTGCTTCATTCTCTTTATATTCTAGGGCTTTATGACTAAAAATCCTATTAGCATGTGGTGCTAATTATGGGATATGTCAATGGCTAGATCTCTTTGATCTATCAGGGACAGTAGATTGGAAACATGTAAACCAGGGGAATCAAAGACAGGCAAGGTTACAAAGAGAAGAAGATGATATTATTGTTGCCTAGATCTTTTATAGACTAGAAGCGCTATCTTAGTACATAAATCAAAAAAGTCTTTTATTTATTTCTACAGTTATTAGTTAGATAGAATTAATTATAAGAGATAAAAGTGGTATAATCTCTATTGGCCATTACTAAACAAGGATAAAGGTTAAGCAAAGTGAGGTCCAGCAACAGCTAGGTGAAATTGGAATTACCTAGTTCCCCTGTGACACATATGCAGCTGATCCAGGAATTGATAGTGTAGACCGTAAGTATTTTCCAAGTGATTCCGAAGTGCTTCTGGAGTGCTGACTTGATTATTCTATCCAGGATGCCCCCTTGCACTTAAGAATTGTGACTATGCTCGTAATCTCAACTGGACTGATGCAGCAGAAATTGCCTTTATTTATTGGATTAATGGTTAGTAGGTATTAGGAAGTTTGATATTTGATATTTGATTCTGTTATCTTATGTTATGTTGTGTTATGTTGTGCTATTTAGAATATATATCTTTGAAGATTATAAGTTTTACTTTTTTCCTAATTCTTTAGTCTTTTATCCATAAAACCATAATCTATTTTACTATAGTCCTAACTCTAAGGCCCTTGCCTGATTCTTTGCTCTTAACTCTAGGTATTTTGCCCGAAGTTCTTCTTCTTTGATCTGATCTTCAAGAAGTTCAGTTGCTGATCTCCTATAGGATTTTAGTAACCTTATAAGTAATCCCTAAGTGCTTTCGAAGTACTGGACTTACTGCTGACCCTTATGGGGTTTTTTCTTTTTAGGGACACCTGTTGTTGAAACATCAGTGTTTCCATCCCTGTCCTGGGTAGTTGAATCTCTTTGCCGTATTGGGACCCTGGATTGATCTAGAAAATATTAGTATTATAGTGTTTATTAGGATATCTTTATAAGTAGCATACGTCTCTGAACCTATTTTTGGGCAGATGGTAGCATACCACCTTGACGATACTGATGACGAATTCCATATTCCTGGAAGGCTTTATGTGCAGATGAATCACGATAATCAAGTTTGAATGTACTATATAAAGATCAGATAAGTGCCTTCCTAGTGCTTAGTAAAGAGCCTATACTTACTTCTCAATTGCAGGTAATAGCTGTAGTGATTTGCCTGTTAGATTTGCCTTATTATGGGTCTGCTCAACTGCATTTGTATTAAGGACTAATGAGCCCTTGATGGATGGAGGGCAATAGGCAAGGTTATGACAAAGGCCATATGCAACAGCTACCTGTTTCTTATGCCGTAGCCAATTGGCAATCTCAGTAAAGCAACCGTAGCCTAGGAAGATAGAAATTAGGGCATAAGCACTTAGCCAGTACTGAGGAACCACTTACAGTCTTCATGTAGGAAGGTATCAATAATATCATAGAAAAGCTGTAATGTCTTTGCATCCTTAATCCTATAGAGAGCAGTTCGTACCCCCTGAAGCTCATCCTCTGTTGTACCACATTGTAGCTGGCGCTGGAGAAGTTCATCAATCCCACGGCGAAAGTGGATATGGCAGAACACAGTCATCTGTAGGGCAATAGTCCCACTGTCTAGTGTAGCTGGAGGAATTAAGGATAGGTAATCTGCAAACCCTATATCATACCATAAGCACTCCGGAAGCACTTAGAGAGTAATTAGCAAATCACATACCATCTCGTTGCTTCCAATCCATATCAACCACAACAGCCCATATGCCACAGTTATGAATTGGTCCAAATTGGCAAGGCCGCCCAGTGAGCTGCTCAATCCGCTCAAACACTCTCTGGAACATTGCCTTATAGGCCACACGTTTATCCTGGTTCGTAAAGACTCGACAGAGGGTAGTTACTAGAAGATATTAGTAATAGGTTATCTAAGTGCTTTGAGAGTACTTAATAAGAAGAATCAGACCTTTTGACTGTTCAGGGACCCTTCGTGCAAAGACAAGTTCATGTAAATCCTTATCATGAAGCCGCTTGCTAGACATATCCACCTCAAAGGACTGAATCTGATGGAAGTGGTCTGCTTGGTTCTTTGTTAAACAGACAATAAATAAATGGCCCTCTTGGCCCTCAACCACATCCTGGATATAAGTCTATTCAAATTAGAACACAGAAGTACTTCGAAAGCACTTAGGAAGGACGGAGAAAGGATATATTACTTACAGATAGTGTTGGACTATTAGCCTTTGCAAAGACTACCCCATTAAGAGACTGCCCAGCAGGGTAATGTATCAAGCGATGTTTCTGAATAATCAGACCTAGTCGCCCCTCATTTGCAAAGCTCCTGTGGATATCTGTAAGGCTCTTTGCCTGATATTTCTTACAGAGGTCCCTTAGCTCTGGACTAAAGAGGAAACGCCCTATATTTCAAATTAGTATTTAGTATCAAGCTCTTTACTAAGCAGTCTCTAAGTACTTACCAGGTGTTAGGGAGGGTATCTGCATCTGTTGTATCAACCTTGTTAGATCATTAATGACCTTAACAGGCTGTGTACCAGGTGGTGGGGGTGCATGGGTATGCTCGCCCTTTGAGATAAAAAGAAAAAATGGACATTCAGATAAATCCACTGGAATAATACTCCACATCTCAACCTCACAGCCAGTCTGCTCAAGTGCCTGGGGATATCCAATCTTATGTGGATAGTCTATATAGCAATATCAATATCAAGTACCTACTAAGTAGGTCGAAAGCACTTAGAAACTTACTACATCTTACCCTTGATCGGGTTCTTTCAATTGTACCACACCTGTCTGGCCTTCCTGGATCATCCCATTGAAAGAAAAGGCTCTGAAGATAGATAAGATCTATTGTTCCATCCCCTGGGATAGACCATGTATGGCTATGCATTTCTGGATCAATTTCAAAATTAACACATTTTACATGCCAGAAGGATTTACCCCATGGATCCTAAAGAAATTATTAATAATCTGAATATCCTTCTATAGTTAGATTAGAACTCAGACTATCTTACCTGGTGATGTGACTCATAGAGCATAGGCTTACAAGTCCTCCTAGCATCATCACAGGGCGGAGGTCGAAAGAATGATTGAAGGGCTTCAAATCTTCTATAAAACATATAAGCTTTAATCATAAACGTAGCACTAGCTAAGCAGTACGAAAGCACTTAGCTAGTACATAAGACACTTCCATAATCTTACTCAATTGCCTTAGTCTGAGCAGTAACCCCATGCTCAAAGGGCCGTTGACGGATACCAGCTAATGTCTCAAACATCGCTGGGGTAACCTCAGTATGTGCCATCCCAAGAAGCCTTTGATGTCCCTTTGGACATAACATAACACCTGTACACCTCATCCGCTTTATCCGACATGGAACATTTCGAAGAAAAGATACCGAACGTGTTACCCGCTCTGGCGTTGCTCGCTCTGTGCTATACTGGATCTAAAATATATTATAATATTAGTTAAGCCCTGTAAATAGTTCAGAAGTACTTCGGAAGCACTTAGAATATCATATACACTCTGTATTGATTCCCCTGCTGCTGCTGAATCACTATCTCTGCAGTCAACAACATACATATACCCTTGCAGATCAGTTTTCGGATATTCTGGTAGGGTTGGAATATAATCCACATAGTACACAGTAATTGGGTTCCGCTTGGTAGATGTTACTTGGATTTCGGATGACATCGTAAGTACTTAGACACTGCTAGGGAAGTGACAAGGCTTATTTGATTAAATTTATTTTAATCTACAATTTAGGGTGGCAGAATTTATTGTGTGTAAATTCTGTTTTTTATTCATGTTCCTGCTGTGTAAAATTACCAAATTAGACCTCACCTGTACATTCAAATTTCCTCTTTTGGATTTCCCGAAAAAATGCCAAGATTATCCGAAATGTACAGGTGGGTACTCCCAAGTGTTCAGGGGACCTGTACTCTCCCAATTACGGAGTACATACCTAGGTACGGAAAAGGGTGTTATTGGCTTGAGAACATCGGAGGTGATAGCGCTAAGTGCAGTGCATTAGCCTGTTTCAGCTACCTAATGAATTTCAGAGATCGGCTCCACAAACCAACACAGCGCCAATCTGGAAGGGCTTTAGAGGACTGACCTCGGGAACGGATACAGCCCAAGTCCGATAAATTTTCTTGAACTTGGCCTTGAGATCTCCTAAGCAACATCATAAGTAGCGTATACCATATCCTCGTTTCTAAAGACTGTCATAATGATGCGTCGGGATTTGTTTCTGCTGATCCTTGTTTCTTTTGTCGCTGCCTGGTTTGTGATCTATTTGTTCTCCTCCCTTCCGAGTTACCGCAGACCCCTCACCGCCTCTGGTGCAAAAGATGACCCTGTCGACTGCGCAGGAAATGAAACTTTGGGAGTATCAAACCACCTTGAATTTTATCTCTTATATGTTTCCTCTTAAGCCCAAACTAATATAGCACAGTTTGGACAAATATTAGTGCTTTCTCATGGCCCCTCCTGGCGCACTCGTGGTCTCGCCGCCGCTGCAAGTCTAACTGGACTCCACTATATCATACCCCCACAGCCACCTGTGCATCCAGATTTAAGCGATGCATTTGCGCAACTTGGGTCGGATCAAGGGAAAGATCATCCAACATCTGGTGGCAGTCGTGCATGGCTTGCACATCTTGATCTTATCAAACATGTCTACCAATTAAATCTCGAGACCGCTCTTATCATCGAAGACGATATTGATTGGGATGTGTCTCTCCGAATTCAGATGAAGTCAATTGCCTCTGCTATTCGTAATTTGACTCATACTTACAACCACGATGACTTACCATATGGCCGAGAATGGGATATCATTTGGATGGGTCATTGTGGTGAGTTCTGGGATAAGGAATTCGAGACTGTCATATTCGACGATATTGCAGTATGTCCACATGAGAAATATCACGGCTGGGCACAAAAGTACATTTCTCGAATCCCGAAAGGGAAACGAGGTGTTTATTGGTCTAAGAATCCTGTCTGCTCTTTTGCATATGCCCTCTCTCATGATGGGGCAAGGAAGGTTTTAGAGCTAACAGGAGCTGGGCAAGGTGAAGCATTCGATGTGAAGATGATGGGTGAATGCAAATCCGGTAACCTGAAATGCATCTCAGTTATTCCAGAAGTAATTCACCAATACTTCCCTGCCGAGGATTTTCGAGTCAAAAGTTTGAAAGATCTTGGCGATGAGGAAAATCTAGGGTCTACCAGGGATGATGATATCTTTGAGTCTATCAAAGGCTCTACAGAAAACATATTATTCAGTGCGCGCTGTCGGGCTTTGTGGGGTGAAACATGCATCCGAGATTAAGTGCCACAGCCTACATCCATGTAGTACCTGCCAAGAGTTTGAGATAACCTTGGAATAATCAAGAATTTCTTACTGTTTAATTGCTAATCCTTTTTTGGGCAATGAATTCGAAATCTAGATTCTAACCTTGGAAATCCCCGACTCATGTATTATCTGAACTGCCTCAAAAAGTACCTACCTGGTGTAGTGGGGGACCATGTCCTCCACTGTGGTATTGTCACGTTCTGTTTAATGTATTGTTCTGTTCTGTTCTGCCGTTTTGTTATATCTTTACCGCCCTGTCCTTACTATAAGACAGCACCTCAGTTATAGCTGAATATCATCCTTTTTCTCCACCTCTTTAGGATGGGACCTTTGGTTCTGCATGTTGGTTGTGGTTTCGTTCATCTGAGCTGGATCGACCCGTGTACCTAGAGTGCACTGCCGAGAGCGTTCCCCTCTTCACTAGGTAATAGGTATTATGCTGTGAACACTTGAGTAGCCCTTAGTTTAGAATACTATAGTTACAGTACATACTAGGTACTACTAGTATTAGACACCGTGACCCAATCATTGTTCTAAATAGACAGCGCTAATTTGATCGGCGCTATGGAGTAGAAATTTCCTCCTTGCCCCCAAAATAGAATTGAACTAGTAGTAATTACCCCGCCAGTATCCACGGGTTTAACATACATTCATGTGCATCCTTATGCGGGTAGCCGCCCTATAATCAACGGCGCGTGTGTATCTTCTGAAATCACAAAATCAAGCCTAAGAGTCGCAGCCTAATATGTCTGTCACCCGTACTAGTAGTTAAAGGGACCAGCCGGTAAGAATGTTCTAAGAATATCGATGGTACCCGTCAATAGTACCCGTATCACCCCCAATAAAACATTTGAACTTGAACATAACGACCTTTCATCCCGACAAGAAACTGCAGAGTGACACCTAATATGGCGCCCAGTTTTCGAGCCCAGGTATTTCCATTTATCTCTTCTATCATTGAAAGCACATCTCATTTGCATCATATATTCTATCTATAACACCATTGGGAATTATCATTCCATCAAACGGGCTCGAGACAGCTACAGTAAAGTTAAAAATGACACACTAGGTGTACGGACTTTTCCGTGTCTGGTGACGATACTGATTGTTCCTAGAACTGGAATCATGCCCACCTACCGACAGAATATGCGCGTCGGCGGGCGCATCTGAATGGAATACAGCAGTATGTGACTGGTATTGTCCATCTGTCATTGATCTTCTCTAATAAATCATCAGGATAATTGAGCAGAGACTCGGAAGTGCAATTATCATGGAGGATGATGCAGATTGGGATGTATCAATTAAAACTCAACTACAAAATTTTGCGATCGCACTTCGACAGCTCCAAGGTAGCACGGAGCTTGTGCCTGCTTCTCCTTTTGGCGACAACTGGGACATTGTGGACTACAATGCAAGCCTATGTTGCCCGCTTATTTGACCCGGCACGACCCAACTGTGCCTCCATCCCATCACTTTCTTCCATATCTACGTGAGCAACCTCCCTTTGAGAGACCCGAGAATGGGCGCTTGACCTGCGCTGCACATGATATTGCGTGTGGTGGCTTTTATGCGGTAAGCTACCGGGGTGCGCAGAAGAGCCTTGCTGCGCTATCAGTCATTTCCCTAGGCTTAGCGGAGGAAATCGATATTAGTGACCAGGTCGATACATCGCTAGGCCGCTTGTGTGGTCACGGCTACTTGAAGTGCTATGCAACCTATCCGGCTTTAACTGGCAAATTTCGAGCTGCTGGTGCTAATGAAAAAGTTTCCGATGTACACAATAGAACAGGCATAGCAAAAGGATTTACAAGCTGGGGTGTGATGTATAGCATGATGCTTAATATTCAGCAGGTTATGAAGGGAAAAGCCTCTGTCCGGGCAATATGGGAAGATGTGCCAACATCAGTGGTCCCATCTGTAGATAGATAGTTCGGACTACCATGTTGTTGATATCCAGCTCTCAGTTCGTAGTTTCCTTCCTTCCCTCACGCTTCACCAGATATCGTTCCTTGCCTTCCTAGTTTGCGCCCTTTCTAGTATCAATTGGTACTAAACCAGTAGCTAAAAAGCTATTCTGGATAGTATTCGGCCGAAAGGCTTCTAGCCAGGCGCGTTGGTAATCAGTTAAGAAATCAAGCTTGTCGATATGGTTATAGCCTGTACGTACAAGATCACTTATAAAGCAACCATAAACACACTTAAGCCCTGTGAAACAGCCAACATCAAGTGGCTGTAATAAACGTGATGAAAATACAGGCATACAGAGAGATATAATGTTATTCTCTGAACAGATTCGGTCAAACTGAGGTGTAAGATGGCTACCATGGCCATCAAGAATCAATAACCGAAATTAACCACAGACACGTGAATTTGTAGATGGAATAAATAGTTTTTCAAGCTATCGTAAGCCAATCTCATCAGTAGTCCAGCCATTAAGTAAGACCTCAAATCGCCAGTCTTGGGGTAGGTTATCGAACCAGCTTGCCATAGCAACTTTGCCTTTAAAAATCACACACAGCGGAAGTAAATAGGCATCTACGCAGATTGATTCAATCAAAGTAACCCATTCAAGATTTTCAGGCTGTAAAATAGATCACCAACCGTAGTATTCTGATCTAGTAACAACCTTCTATGCTAAAAAAGGCCTATTACAAAGCCTGTCTCATCAAAGTTGTAAATATCCTCAGGTTGGATACCATTCTCATCAATTACACATTGTACAGTTGCAAGCCACTCACGTAGGGATTTAGGATCTTTGTTTAGGCACATTGATAGTCATATCACCTAGAGAAGCGTATCCAAATCTCTTCACATCGATTGATAAAGGTTGATAGCCAATTCTTGCCGACTGTAGGTAGGGGGTAGCTACCACGTGTATCTAGTAGAATATTGGCCATATCTCATAATGTAGATGACCTAGGTGCTGCTCCACGTGTATTCATAGAGATGATCCATTTAGTAAGCGAAATATTTTCTAGCTAGGTCAGTTTATGACCAGATGGGCGTTGATCAATGCGTGAGGGTCGTCCACCGCCACGCGCTTGTAGCGTAGAGAAGGGTACATTATAGAGCTTCGCTGCAGCGCGAATAGACTTGATTCGGCCGTTTTGAATATTGCTAAGGGCTAACAAGACCTTATCCTCTTGGTTGACCTTTTTTTCGGCCGAAATATTGCGAACTGGTGGTATGGTAGGTGTTTGAACGAGGAAGGGTGGTTGAAAGACGCTATTTTCGATGGGGTGACCCGTTCGACCGGGAATTACGTTATTCAGACGCACACTGCCTTGGTACATGTTTTGTTGGCGCTGTGGGCCGCCCAAGCCGGAGCAAGGAGTAGTGTGAAAAACGGTCAATGCTCATCCGAAATCGTGTGTGTGCGTATCCCTGTGAAGGAGAAATCATGGCTCCTGGGAAAGCCGTGGCTCAAGAGGGAAAACCGTGGTCACCAGGTAATCATGGCCCATAAGGGTCAGTCCCTAGGATGAGCAATATTTATAAAGTGATGCACTGACAATATATAGATACGCAAAGAGACCTGAAAAGATGAATGGGATTACCTCGACCGACATAAAAAAGCAAGCCTTCACCTGTCCCCACTGCTTGAAGTTATGTTTTCTACCAGGTTTCCTGGCGACTCCAGATCCTCTGTCAGAGAGTGGCTACAGGTTCGGTGGTGTTTCACTACTCTGACAACCAAGAATTCTCTTGAAGATGCTCCCCAAAGAATAACAGCTTTTGGTAGACCTGTTCATACACTGTCTGACACAATGCCTGACGCACCGAAACGTTCTCTTGCTACTCTTCAAATATCAACATTTGGGAAGCCATCTACCTGGATGTCAGATTCTATGGCTCCGATATATTATCTATCTCATGATACTCGCAAGATCTCAATTTCTACGCCGGCATTTGGAACACCAGCGCTATCTGATACACCCGAGTCCTCATTTGGCAAGCCAGGACTCAGGTCAGTTTTGACTCCAGGCTTTGGGACACCAGCGCTACTTGATACTAGTACACCTGAGATCGCTCTTGCTGAGTTAGTTGGTCACTTCGACCGTGTTCCACTGCCTGCTACATCTGAAATATCTCCTGGCTTAGGTGACACCAAAGTCCAAGATGATGCTAGCACCTCGGACTCGCGTAAGTGATATCCTGGTGATGAGGGTCAAGTGTAATGGGCTTGAGATGACCCGGGATGGACTTGAAAGGGAAGCAGAGGGGGTGCAAGACAGAAAGTACTCTTGGGGTTATGAAGGCGAGCAGGAAAGTAAGAAAGAATGGTCCCTGTCTACAATGATCTTATGTTGGAAATATATCCAGAACGGGTCGGATCGAATGATTGAGCAACCTCGGAACCTTGGAACGGGAGACTGATCAAATACTAGTAGTCGGCACCTGGGACTGGGAGTTTTTGCAATGGAATCTATTTCTTCATCCAAATGCAATGTCAAGTGCCGTTTGTTCTCCTGCTCGACGCGTAATACCTTTTGTATATTTCGGATAGCCAATCATAGGCATATGATAAGCATATTTAGGGTAGGACAAGTTTTACACTACACAATCGCGGCCGATACGATGGCCAAAGTACGTATGTTAACGCTTCAATGTTGGCCTGTGGAGCTATTCCTATTGAGTGAGTTGACTCACTTTCATATTTCCAAGGTTGACGTTAGCCTGAGAGCTCTTAGAATAGCTGGTGTTTAAGGCGAACGATGTTAATAGGGAGTTCTAATTTAGGCTACCTGATAGTTAAAATTTAACAAATGTGTAGAGATATTGGGGGAAACTCCAAAGAAAGTGCTTGAAATCTCAATAATACTGAACAGAGCACTTTTCTGAAGGACAGAATCTTATTTAGAATCTTATTTAGGAAAAAGAAACTCTTTTGTGACGAGAAAGAGGTAGCCTTATCTTCCAAAGGCCTTCTCTCTAAAGAGCTAAGTCCTCAAGTGAATAGGATGTACTAGCACTAGCTCATACCACTGCTCCAAGATACTACTAGACAGGAAGCTCCTGGATTTTGGAGTGAATTATTACCCACGGCAGCAAAATACTAACAACTTTGAATTCAATGGAATTTTTTAGAAGGGGTATTGCCTAAGGCATCTTAACCTTAAAGGAGATAGCCGCCTTCAGGAGCTTGCTACTATCAAAAGCACCACTCGGTGGCGGGATGAGGCAGGGATAGTGCTTTATTGAGGCAAGACAACATGGCTGGTACGAGAACGGGATATTAAGTCCAAGGCTTGTCAGTGATGTTTGGGAAGGTGGTGAGTGGTAAGGAAGAGAACGAAGGTTCGTGGGAGAGGGCGCGAGATACGCACGCGTCTTCAATCTACGCGAAGACAAAAAGAAACAAGGCAACAGAGACACAGTGATACACATGAATTTCTCTCAGTCGTCCCATCTATGCATTTATATTACACGGCAGCTGTAAGAGGTAAACATCATCCCATAGATAAGCCAGCTCTCTCTGACTAGCTTCTGCCCACAAAAACCCGATTTCAATTATGCCTGGTCGGTGTCTATATAAACTTGAAACTTGGACGAAATCACATCTAAGACCAGGTGGGACTGCATTGCAGTTCGGGGAAAAGGGCCTTTCTTTCTCATTAGCACACAAGGACTCAAGATCTTGGCGTACACCTGAAGTATACCCTTTCCCTCAAGATCGATCTACTCGCAGTACCATGGCAGACCTTGTGCGCAGTAAAGAAGAAATACCCTGTGTCATGGGCGATGTCTGGTGCGGTAGGTCTGAGTATTGAAAGCCAAGTAGGTTGCCAGGGATCTTGTCTGAGCTTCGGAGCAGTTGGCTCACTGGTTCTGCCCGTAGATACCGCCTTAAGCTCCACCTTCTGCTCTCCTTCCCTAAGCACCTACCGCTGATAGATCTGCTGCAGGATCAAGTATACCTCGCTTAAAGCGTTATCTGAAATCGCACCAAAAATTATACAAGATGAAGAGGTAGAACTTGGATGGGTTTGCTGGATGGACAATGGATCAAAATCGTTGGACATCGAAGGATCATGGTATCAAAAACGCGAATGATAGAATAAGCGACCCTCCCAGGTGTTCGTGCCGGAAAGAGATTTTAGACCATCTAGAGAGCATGCGGTCCGACACAATGGTGTAACCCCCTGCTGGATAGAGGCAATAAACTGGGCGATATGAGTTGCAACTTCTGAAAAATTCCAACTTGGAAGGTTGTAGTTCGCTACCGAGCAGATCTCGGGAGCTACATAAATGTATGGCGGCGCTTTTCTGACAGGAAAGGATCGCAAATCTTAAAATTTGAAGCTGGAAATGACAATGTAAGAGTCCATCCCAAGGATAACTATGTTTGGATTCCCCTCTCATCTACCGCAGAATGTGATGCTTATAAGAGTACGCGAGTATTATTAGACTATAAAGCAGATCCAAATATCCCTCACAATATTGGACAGACCTCGCTTTTGAGAGTTGTTAGCAGCCAATTCCTCGAACTACTCATCGATCGAGCAGTCAATTACTATCCTCTATATCGATGGAGAGGTTTCAAAGTACTGTCTATGAGGTTGAAAGACCTCCCTTATCAAATTTCGGAGATGGTGGGCCCAGTTGGAAGCCGCGACCTTCGGACCTCCCCGCCCAATCACATAGTGCTGGGCTTAGTGCCCAGCGGGTCTCCGGGTCAGCCCCGCCGGGCGGGGCCGTGTCACTCAAGAGTCAACTGGCAACCTGGTGAGATCACTGACCTGAGCGGCTACACTCGGGCAAATTGAATTAAAAAAAAATACAAGATGGGCAAGATATGATGAGGGAATAAGGGTTCCGGGCAGGCTCTTGCAGTAAATGAAAGGCAGTGAAGGGACTCGGAAATAGAGTTTTTCTTTTTTTCTCTTTTTTTTTCTGGCTTTTGACAAAGTGCACTTTCAGATCACGCATAGGCGAAACGCCCGTAGTATGGGCGGTACTCCGACGGGACTCGCCGTATCTCCAAATAAAGCCAGAGAGGATCGACACATCGCACGTGAAGGCTCCTAGAACTTTCCTTTGAATAGGTCCATGCAACTCCAAGGGGAAGAAAGAGGAAGCAGCAAACCAACCTCATGTTGCATTTCTATGCTTGTTTCCATATTAGCAACACCGATGACGCGCGCTACGCAGGCTGTGGCGATGGAATAAGACAAGGTAAAAAAGAAAAAGGAGAAAAAAATCAAAAGAGAAGTGAACATACAAGAGCAGCAATTAGAATTCTGGATAGGCAACGGAAAGAGGGAAACAACTTGAACTTGAAACAAGGCGGCAATTCGAAACAAGCTGTCACTTCTCCAACACGAATGCGAATGGAGAAGAGCACTGTATAAATATCCTCTGTCTCAAATGTATGTTTGAACCTACTAGTAGCCAATGGATTAAGCGCCTATCCATTCGATTCGATTCTTGGAGGAGATGCAGATTGGAAGATAACCTTGGAATCGTTAAGGCGGCACTAACGCATCTCATCACACAGACACCTGGGCAGCGGCTACGAGTCCTGGTAAATAGTTGGGCAACTAGGAGATACATAGATAGAAAGGCCCTCAGAGACTCCAATTGCAAACCAGTTTTAGAGAATAATCTCCAGAGCTATTACGTCGAAGCATCCTTTATACAGTATCCCGTCGCGGCCCAATTAGCGCCAATTCTAGCTATATTTTCGAAGATCGCTCAAACAATGCCATCCAACAAAGATCGTCTGTATGCTGCTCTCTATGTGGAGGCAAAGCCACCGTGCCAGGCAAGGAAGACACGTGAGTTAATCATGCAAAAAATCGTTCGGTGAGTAGTAATTAAAAGACTGATGTTTCGTCTGAGCTAGATACCACTGGGCCTTGATTGTGGGTCCAAAAGTTGAGGCAGATGATGGTATGGGGGTCCGTTACCACGCAAAGGAGAGGCCAAAATTTGGAGGGGGCTCTGAATGGTCCTTCGAGGAGCGCGATTGTCCACTTGCGCCTACTAGCATGCTGCTTGTTCGTGTCATGGTTGGGAAGGTAGCGGAAGGAAATCGCCTTGTCGAAATTCTGCGGAATGCGCCTATTCGGGAAGGCCAACCAGGTTGGAACTGTGTCTTCTGGGTAAAGGAGGCCCTGGAAACGCTTCAGGTCGATCCTAAGGCTTTAGGCACAACGCCGTTGAGTGGGCAAAGTTGCGCAACAGTGCGATGGATTATTGTCAACGGAAGAAAGATCAGCACCGGTTTGATGGCCAGGGCAATTTTAATATGAGAAAGGCTCCAACGTATGACTTTATGGGGCAGAGGGAGATCATTGTATAAGTTACAGGCCAGGATTGTTTAAACATCTCCAAAGTGTATTTGGCGGATCCGTTCCATCGCCAGCTCTTCAGGCATTGGTTGTAGGAATTTGTCAATCTCGTGAACCCAAAAAGAGTTTTGTGGGTTAACTAGGTGGGCAGAAGTGTATTCCCAATATGATGGGTACCAACCAGCAGTTTCCCAATCAATAATACCGACAATATCATCTCCACGTACAAGAATATTAAGGCTACTAAGGTCACCGTGAGTAAACATCAAAGGCCAAGACTTGCTTTGTCCTTTGATAAGTTCCTGAATATCAGTGTCAAGCCTTGAATCAAACTCCATGCCCATGCGTAAATGCCTATGAAAGTCCTGGATGGTGTCAAAGGGACCGAAGCGCAAGGAAGGACCAGGAATACGACAGTCAAAAAGTGATCCATCATCAACAGAAGCAATCATTGTGCCCTCTGGAGGCCGAAGGCCCCGCATCTCGCGAATCTTTTCTGCTAATTGCGAAAGAAGTTTCGCCTTTGAGTCCTCGCTTCGTTTTACCCAGCCGTTTCCAATTATGTCTCCCTCGATCCTCTCCATCACAATGTACGTCCACCCGGAACGAGTAAATGCACATAAAACTTTTGGTACCGGGATAGATGTATGTTGTGATATAAACCGCATTGTTGATGCTTCAGACAAATGAACACGGCGTCCATACTTCACGCATATCCCGTCCGTCAACATGAGAACATTCCCTTCTCGAGGTCGAATGCGCTTAAGGATTCGAATCGCTAGAAGTGTCATAAACCGAGACAAAGCGGTGCTTTTGACTGGTTTGGAACCGCCCAACGAAGAATCGGATAGCAAGGAGTGAGGCCCTTTTTGACTCAACGACATTATGGTTGTGTTCGACGCAAGGTGAGTGTTGAATGGAGAGTATTTCGGGTAAACTTCGTCCTTTGTCTGCAAAAGAGACTTCGTTTTTGATAGCAAGCAAGCTCAGAAAACGATGATTGAAATCCGGACAGTATTGGAACAGGAAGTCTTCGATGGGAAGGGATGAATAGTGGGTACTGAAGTGAACTTCACGGTTCCTGGTTCCCCTTAAGCCTCCTGCACCTGAGCATGTGGTATCACCTGACCTCGGGATGCGGAGCTATTGCCAAACTCAATACGGAGTACGGAGTACATAACTTAATTCCCAAGCGAGCGGGCCACCTACCACCTACACGATGCTAGGTGGGAATGCCACGGTTTTTCCAAAAAGTGCCACGCACAACCGTGGCTTTTCCGCTACCACCCCCAGGTTATCACGTATCGTTAACACTCAATGGACTGTAAACCGATAAGGTCCTCGGATCGAGCCCGGGTCTGGTCACTACCAGTTGACCAAGATGTATTTTTTTACCTTTGGGAATTTCTGTTGTATAATTTACTAAGGGGGGGGGGGCTAGTATATATAAGCTAGATCTAAGACAGAAATAGCTATGTAGTAGGTTCAACGGATATAGGATAGAAGAAGTTATAATAATAAAAAAAAAAAAGAACGACAGTTGTAGGGTTCGAACCTACGCCTCCTAAGAGAATTGATATCGATAATTCACTGCATGGAAATTAGTATAGTCTTGCATAATAATAGGCGTTAGGTACTCACAGTCAATCGCGTTAGACCACTCCGCCAAACTGCCGTTGGAGTTGAAGTGCAATTTTGATCGATGGACCTTATAAGCGATATTGAAAAAAAGGCATAAAATAAAACCTATAAGTTAGACATCTACTGGATGGGAAAATATAAAATGAAAAGATGAATCGATAGCTGCACATGTACTATGCCTCTAACATCGTGACGTTTTCCTGTAACTCACTCAAGTGCTCCGCCCAGATTTGAGCCTTACCACCCTATGTACCAGCTTCATCCCTGTAGGCTCCATTTCTAAAAGGCTCTAGCACAGGAGGTACATTCTAAAGCCTATCATGAATGTAAATGTATCTCACCGGTAATAGACAGATAACCACAAGGTGGGTTCCAGCGAGTTGATTAAACAAGGAGTTCGAAGTCGCTCTTGCTTTCCATGTTGAGCCTCTGCAATACCGTGACAATATCTCTCCCCGTCCTCTTCATAAGATAACACAAGAATTGCAAGCCGAGAGCCAGGATCATCCTCGGTTGCATGGGTGGCATACCTGCTCGGGTGGTTCTCCTCGGCTGGTCCGATTTTAATTTTGATGAAGAAGTTCTGGAGGCCAGGAGGTGTATTGTATATTCGGAAATTACTCATCCGGATGGTAAACTTCAAGTTGTAGGTGCTGCAATCTCTACTGATATACTTGTCTTCGGATCCCCAAAGATAATATCCGTTTAACAGCTTACACTATCTCTTGAAAGATATCTTATACGGCGATTCCTCTTTTAATACCTCGACAAGGGACCGAGGGTCTTTTTCGTAATACATCAAGCAAGTGTCTCCTACAGTAATATCTCCACAATTAATAACCTTATGTAAATCATTTATTTCGTTTTAATCCAAGACATACTCACGCACACTAAGCTCTACTACTGAGGGGTCTTGTGAGAATCGAGTACTCTTAGCTTTGAATTCTTCCAGCAATTTATAAACTTTCCCCATCAATTTAAATGTTCTAGAGGGATAACCCCACTATTCCTGGCACGAGACTGAGGGATACATCTATAGCCACTCCGTTTTTTCGTGGTAGCGCAAGATTTAGCGCAAGCATGCCAAGTCTTAGAGACCCCCCCGACACAATCAGCAAGACGACGAATATCCTGATCCTCTATGAATCCAAGCCGTTTTAGCCAAATAGCTAGGGTTGGATCAATAGAATCAAACTTAGGTGCTAGGGGTAAAAACCCTTGACTTCTTTCTGCATCCCATCCTCGGACAAGAAGTGCAATAGTAAGAGCGCTTTGATAAAAGGCTGGATAGAGCTTGAGGTTTGCTATTGCCGCGACGAACCTAAAAATAATACCAATCTTCTGTGCTCCAGTGCTATTATTTGACCATAACTTAACCAAGAGAGCACATGTGCAGGGGATCTCACAAAAATTCGCTCAATTGCTTGATCTTTACGATCGATACATACCTTAAAATCAAGATCCTGTAGGTTTAACATTGAAGATGATGAAATCCAATCTGCTTCCAAGACTATCTCTTCTGTTGATGAGCCACATAGGATAATAATCTTTAGGTAGCTATTTTGAATTAAGGTATTTGTGTTGTCCCGAAGAATAGTCTGATTGCAATAAGGAGGGTGTGTCCGCCCAGGTGCAATGTATTAGGGTCAAGTTTATACCTCTGAAAATTAGCAACTTGAATCCATATCAAGGAATTTGTTCTAGTAAATCCACTCTCCCTCAGACCCCATGGAAGACTGATGCCATCGGCCCGAGCCCTGGATAACTAGTAAGATCTTCGGCTTGAGCTCGGGCCTGGTCACTTGTTTCGATCTTTCATTCTTTATTTTAACTTGGCATGCTTTGAGCATGATCCATGGATGGTCCCATGCGGTCCTATTTATTTTGCAGAACTATGTATAAGAAGGAAAGGAACGGTCATCGAAACTTGAAGATTTATGACTCCTAGTTAAGAATTTGAGTCAATGTAATCTTGCCAAAGAGGAACCGAGAGATTCAAGTATGTTATATCAGGATCCATGACGAAACGGGTGGCATAAAGCCCGGAACTTGAATCGCACACTCCCAAGCTGAAGACATCTGGATCAATGTGCGGGTTTCCAAGGTTTGCAACTTTCTACAATAAGCGTGTATGAATGCTAGGGAATAGGCTTCCGGGGACTGAGGATGCTCCATTACATACGTATTTTGGTCTGTTCAAAAAAGAATTATGATTCCAGTATTGTTAAATACATATGTAAAATTAAACTTTGATTGAGCTATCTAAAGCCCAAGAGAATTGTTCGTATGCAACGAAATATGCCCTGACAAATCCACGAAAGGTCTTTCTAAGGGGCGGTACGCTCCACTTCACCGATAACCATCCCCTTTTATTCAAGACGAATGTGATGCCATGTCAAACACATCATACCCTAGCCAAGGATGCGGTTCCGAGCTGAGGATCTTTATGCATCAATTGGAATATCACGAACGGCGGGTATGAGTGCACCTTTTCATCCACCGCACGTATCCTCAAGATAACCCGAGACAATCACTCACACCTTGACAGGCTTGAGACCGGCCTTCATCACTCGGACCACCATCATGATCAATCCAGCAACACATGCGGCCACGCCTCCGTAGACCCAAATGGCCGTCCAGTCATCATCAGACCCTAGGATAGCACCGCCACTTGGCCCGCCAATTAACAAACCAAAGCCGCCAATGGCAAATCCCTGCCCAACACGAGTGCCAATCATAGCTTTGTTTTCAGTAAGCATTCGGAAGCAAACTGGTGGTAGTGCAACGACGACACCACTGAAGAATCCCGTGACAATGGCTTCGACGATCATTCCAGCCTTGTTAACAACACCGAGTAGGCATAGAATAACGACTCCCAAGAGGAATGAGACAGGTGCGATTGTGTTGAAAACTCCGATGCGGTCGGATAATGCATTTGGTGCAATACGTCCAAGGATCGATGCTGCATTGAAAACTGCGACTAGGTAGAAAGCCAGCTCGGTATCGGTGAAGCCTTTGTTCTCCGAGTAGAAGGAAATGTAGAAAATCAGAATCGCATTGCCAATGAAGAGAATTAGCAAGCCAAGTGAAAACACAATGTATGGCCCATCAGTAAAAGCAGCCCAGTCAATGATAGCACGCGGCTTAGGCGCTTGGACTCTGACCCGCATAACAAGCACAGGCAAGATAAATGTGGCGAGCGCGATCAATCCAATTACGCGCACAGCCCAAGGAAAGCTGATTTTGTTGTTGAATAGGAGCCTGTAAAGCACGGTAGGATAAATGACACCACCAAGGGAGGATCCTGACGAGGCAATACCGACGGCGAGCCCAATACGTGAGCTGAAGTATGTAGGCAGTAAAGACACAGTTGGCGTGAAGAGCAATCCACCTCCAATGCCAACGCAGAAAGCCTGGGCAAGTAAAGCCTGCCAGTACTCCTTACATAGTGAGAGCATCATAAGCCCAAAGACAACCATGAAGCTACCTGTCACAAGCAGCAATCGAAGATGACCACGGTCGTAGAGAGGGCCCGCAATCAGCCCAGTCAGCTGGAGGAGGAAACATTGAATCGAACCAATCCAGGAGATGTCAGATGATGAGGCCGTAAAAAGTTCACCACTCTCATAGTAGGTTTGGAAAACTCCAAAAGTATTGATCATGCCCCATGTGTTGAAGAAAAGCATAAAACCGGCCGCTACTTGGAGCCACGCAACAGTCCCACCGTCAGGAGGAGGCCCGGGAGCAGCAGGGGGTGCCGGGGCGTTCTCCTCGACCTTGATAGGGTCGTGGATGCTATTGTGTCCGGGTCCGTCTTCAGAAGCTGTTTCAGAAGCCATACTGGCAGATTTGGCTCAAGAGAAAGCAAAAAGTTCTGCGATTGATGGCGTTGAGGAGATAGAATGGTAAGGGAAAGACGGATGTAAATAAAGTTGGTCCATTATGAGCAAAAAGATCAACAGTACCTAAATGTTACTCATTAAATATATGTGATCCCTGATTTTCTTTGAGCACGTATGTCCCTGGGTCCGGTCGGCGGAGTAAGTTAACTATAGTTCTTTGTTGACAAATCTACGTTCGCCCGGTCGCCCCATCATACCCAGGTGCTGACCAACCACGCCGAGACCTCCAGGGCTTTGCCCGAGTGGCGGGGAAGTGGAAGAAGACTCCAGACTGGTTCGCCCGAACGGTGGAAGAACATCATATGCCTCTCTTCGCCCGAGCGGCGGAACGTTATCTCGTTACTTTCTCTCTTCAAGCCAGTATATGAGATGCTTTCTAAACAAAGCCATTCTCAACCCTGGAAAATCTTGAGTGTCTACCTAAGCTTACGATTTATCATTTTCTGCTTCCATCATGAATGACAATCTTGAAGAGGAGCCACTGGCGCCGAACCAAGAGCAGGAAGCCAAGCGGAGGAAGATCCGTAAAGGAACGAGATCTTGTTGGGAATGCAAACATCGCAAAACTCGCTGCATATTCCTATCTCCCGAGGCTACCACCTGCGTCGAATGTCAGCGACGGCGTGCCACCTGCATTAGTCAAAATTTACCGGAAGATCTAGTCCCAACAAAGCAATTCAGCAACAGTCGGCGCCTTGGAGACCGCATCGCGCGAATTGAGAACATTATCAAGGACCTGGTAGTTGCCCAAAGTGCCCAAAACCGGAACGAGCCTCTCCAACAAGAAGAGCAGACAAACCAACCTTCAAACTCAACCGCATCATTGTCTCATCGCTATGACCGAGCTTTAGTCCTTTCTCGTTCAGCCTTCTCTGCAGATTCTCCAGGTTATGAAAGCTCTGAGGAAGAAGAAAACCAGATCAATGCACGCCCAGAGAAAGAAAAGACCACGCACAATATTCATAACGAAATTAGAAGAGAAAAAAGGAAGCGAATCCAAGGAAATTCATCCAGAGGACCTATTGGACCTCGGAACGGGCCAAGGGCTGATATTCCTACATTGCAAAGACCATCCAGCCCAAGTGAAGTTGCGGCTATACACCATCTACTGGCGGCATTTCCGTCCCGAGAGAATGTGAAGATATTGGCCAAGCAAAGCTCCAGACCATCGCTCTACACCCATTTGACCAATTTTCAACCACACAACAAGTTGACACGCGATGCACTTGCTACTGCTAATGTGGCCGACGCCGTTTACCCGACATCCTTGTCTCCTGGACCAGACATACATCCGGTTCTATTGGCAAGACAAATGATCATATTCGCAATAGCTTTACAAAGTCCCTGTGGGGAAAAGGTTCATGGTCTTTCGGAGCCACAAGAAGTACTGATGCGTCGACTCATGACAGCTGCAACAACATGGGTGACAAAAAAGGAAGAGTGGCAAGGGACTCTGGAAAGTGTGCTCTGCATCATGCTCGAGGGGGTCTTTGAAGTTAACTGCGGCAATCTGCGACGGGCATGGGCTGTCTATCGCAGAGCGATGACGGTAGCACAACTAATGGGTCTTCACCGCGCAACTCTTCCACCCTTCAAACGAATTGACCCGCGATTGAGCATAAACCCTGCTTTCATGTGGTTCCGCATAGTCTATATGGATCGCTATCTTAGCCTCTTGCTCGGTCTCCCTCAGGGTACGGCTGATAAGAACATGGGGTCGAACCTACATGATGATACACCTCTTGGGAAATTCGAGCGTCAACTAGCTGTGATCGCATCTCAAATTCTGGAGCGGAATGAGACCTCCTTCACGGAAAACTCTTTTACAACTCACTTCGGAATAACCCAATCTATCGATGCGCAGCTATTGGAAGTCTCAAGAAGTATGCCTTCAAGCTTCTGGCGACCGGCAAATTTCCACGGTCTTGCTCCGGGCTCACCGGATTCTCTATTGGAGACCGTCCGACTTGCAGGCCAGGTTTATTACAACAGTCTGTTGATTCACTTGCACCTGCCTTACGCCATCTCTAGCATAGGTAGCCACACAGGGCATAAATACTCAAAGGTCACCTGTGTGAATGCTAGTCGCGAGATAATGACGCGTTTTATTACTCATCGGACATTCAATCCCATGTCATCTTGCTCACGCCCAGTGGACTTCTTCGCGTTTCTGGCAGCCATGACGATTCTACTTTCTCATCTTGATGCCCATCGCGAAGCAACAAATTTTCTGGCTCATCAGCGATTGAGTGATCGTGCAATGTTAGGGCAAGTTCTCGACCTAATGGATCTCGTCAGTAAGATGGACAAGGATGCAATGGCTCAAAAATCTGCTGAACTGATACGACACCTCCTTAAAATCGAATCCGAAGCCTCTCAAGGAGTAACGTATATACGGACCATGGGGGAAGAAAGCCAATCCACACGGGACATTCTCAAAAGTGACAAAGAGGTGTGCCTCCACATTCCTTACCTTGGAACCATTAGAATCGCTAGACAGCCTTCCCCTCCATGCATTACAGGAAGATCCCATGAAGCCGAGTTCATGCTTCAACAGTCAAACATTACCACTGATCCTGGTAATTTTGTGTATCCTGAGATATCACTGACAGAGGAGGGCCAACCTCAAGTGGATCTTCCTGGAATCACTGCAGGTGTTGATGACTGGGCTTTCCAAGGTGTGGATATGGCGTTCTTCGATAGTCTTACGAAAGGAATGCCTGATGTAACTTGAACAGACCCTGGACCAAAAATATAGTGATCAATGCTCCTTGGAGGCTCTTTACTCCCCTGGATGACATAAATTTGATTTTGTGACCAAGGATATGCATAGGTATGCGCATTTCAGACGGCGAGCAAGCTGAACTACAAGAAGATCTATGTATCATTGAGACTCTCGATTTCTATGTTATGCCAACTTCTTTTGCGACATCCATCACGGCACCAACAATGGGAAGTACGTCCTTCGCTTTGATGGCCACTCGATGATCACCATCCCACTCAATCACCTTGGTGCTTCCGTCCAAACAGCCTCGGCTTACCAATTCCCGATGGGCAAAAATACCTTGATCCCTAGTCCCATGAACATGTATGGTCGGGATGCTTAAGATAGGCGTGGGTGACAAAAGCCATCGTGACTCCTTACCTAATTCTATCAAAGGACCTCGGCCTGCAAGTAGAATGGCAAATTTATACTGTTCCATGCCTTCATGTCTCTTTGCATCCTCCTGATGACGAAGTAGAAGACATGCAGCCATTCTAGCCCCTTAGTTGAATCCAAGAAGCCCGACCAGTGGCCCAGTACCACCCGCGGCATTTCCCGCAAGAACTGCGTCGGAAATCGCCGAGTCAATTGCTTCAACGCTCACAGATTCAGAGTTCCAAGTCATTGGTATCGATCCCGTTCTTAGCCGCACCCAGCTTCGGAACGGTCCCCATTCTTTGTATACGGAGTCAACATCTGGGCCTGGCCCGGAAAGAAAAGGAGCATCAGCGAATACGAGACGAAACTTTTGCTCAAATTTTGAGCGCAGAGATTGACACTGAGTAAAGAATATGTGCGCATTGCTCCCACCGCCATGTAGACAGATGATACGAGGCAGGTGGAGACCACGAGGTTGAGATATCTGAACGCAATCGAGACTCATCTTATAAGAGAAGATGATGAGCAATTGAAACCCTTCATGTATAGCCAATGGATCACATACGTAGATGCAAATAGGAAGGGCGTGAAGGAGTATAAAGAGAAGGCAGTATCGACTCGAAAGGCGGAGAGGGAGATTAATTTGGGTCTATACATACTTATCTATTATGACGGCGAGTACATTGACGTAGATGATTGGCAATCCATACTCTGCAAATCATATTACGTGGGGTTCTCAATTCATAGCTGAAAATGACTCGGAGCGGACCGCGGAGCAGAACTTGCTCAGGCCAAAAGCCCGAGGGAAGGTGCAGTCACTAGGCAGAAACCGTATGTAAATGATTGCCCAGGTGAAATTTTAGTTAATTGACCCAGAGTTCTGGTCAGCATTATGCATGTGGAATCCATCAGTAGACTAAACTCTGACATGCAGATGCGGGCCGAGAAATGGCAAGACTAACGTATATTTGATACAAGGTCATCACCTTGGCGAAGAAAAATTATTAATTTACGGTTGATTGGACGACTTAAGGACTGTTAATGGGGAAAAGCTGCAGGCAGCACGTCATATATTCCATGTGGTCATCAGAGGAGTCCCGTTGCATAAACGAACACATTGGCTGGTCTTCATTGGCCTTTCACGCCATGCATCCTCATATGGCGTTTTCATATATCGACATCCCAACAACCACATTATTTGGTGAAAGCACTTCACAATAAATTCAATTTCGGTAATGTATTTTGTCTTGCAGCAGACATTTCCCTACCCCGCTGCATACCCCAGCTAGTCCGTCACATATTTCCTGCAGGCTTATCTCACACAGCCAGGATTAAAATCGTTTGCTACTGTTAGAATCTGCAGCACGGAGTTACCGATGCAGGTGGCAAGAAAATATGAGGGCTGGAACGTTGAAACGTCGTTCCTGTTGCCAACTCAAGGCTGCATAAGGTAGTATTCAGCCTCTAAGGATTTGCCGAGTCCATCTAATGTAGGTAAGCATAATTAACATCGGAGTCACTTTACTCCTGGCCTGTAGCAAGCATGGACCCATATTAAAAACCCCAGACGGTAATAATTTCCAAAGTCACTTGGTCCAATTCTACATAGGTGTGACGACAACTCCAACAATGGCTGATATCGAGGTTGAGGATCTTTTCAACTATCCACCGTTAAGCTACACACGTAACTACATTGATGGAGCTTTCGGACAACTACCGGACATGGCGTCCCTCGAGTCGCAGGCCTCAGTGGAGACGGCTACGATGATGTATTTGAAAAGCCACAACGACATCGAAGAACTTTATACGGGGCTCCACAGAGGTGTAGAACAAGTCGCTGCTAGATTGTCAGCACATACCCCTCCACAACTGGATCATATAAGGGAACATAATCGTCAGCTTATTGGAAAGATCAGGAGTCTAGATCGCGCGATCACTGAGAATGTAGCGTCTGTTAGAAGTGGTTCAAGCTCACGCTCGAGCCCACATTCAGGCCCATCAACATCAGACGCAGAGCTGAGCCGCTCGGAAACAAACAAGGAAAGGGGGCAAATCTCAAAAGATTCCAAGCTAGCCAAGAAGTTGCTCCTAGTTGGCAATCAAAAGACAAAGTCCCAGCTTGCCGAATTCAAAACACGACTGGAGGCCCCCGAATTTTATGTGGCCCCTTCTAATAACGGTCATATCTCCTTTGGGTCGCAAATTACGGATACGCCACAATTCTTACGAGTGATCATGAATTTGGGCATGGCAATCGAGAACAGCAGCTTTGGAGAGCAAAGCTCACGCATCAAAAAAAGAATAGCTCTGGCACAATTTTACAAAGCCTACAGCTTAGCACAGAGTCAGCCTGAAATCTTCTTGTCTTGGTGTGGAAGTAAAGAAGGTGCAAGGAAGCTCTTTAGTTCCCAAGGGTGGATATAAATCGATTGTACAACATCGGTTCGCAGAACTAATCTTTTTTCGGACCGAAATTGTCGATGGAGGAATATTGACCGGAATATCTAAAGACGAAGATGACATCAAGAAAAGAATTGCAAAAATTCAAACATGGAGGAAGACTGGGAAAAAATGGGCTGAAATGACTCAGCGCTTTGGATATGGGGTGTTACTATTGCTACCACCTTGTCTCTCAGATGAAGAGTAAGAAGCTCAATTCTCTATGACTTTGAAGTCATGCTCACATTGAACTAGTCACGTATATCCTCCGATCAAGACTTTACACGCGGAGTGGATTTGATCGATTCCCGAAAACACCTATTTTTGAACGTTTTGCAAGAAGCGAACCATCTTTTGGATTTGCAATTGACACCAACTGGCCTTGAAACAGAATTGATTCAGGCAGAAATCTCTTCTCGAACTGAACGAGTTGACTGGAATAACATCATGAACGCTCCTGTATTTGGAGTTTAGGCCATGGAAATGCTATAGACTAAGTAGACTGCTTTTGTCTTGTCTTTCGTCAGTGAGGGGTATAAGTTGGACTTAAAGCACCTAGGTACAAGTGGCCATGAATAGTCTCCAATTAGTAGTAAATAGTAAATTTCTTGCGTATACATGTACATAATCTCAATATCTTTTCTTTCATTTTCTGCATCAAGTTTGCCTTATGCTGTAAACTCTAGATACAGGAGGGAAGAGAGATAAAAAACAAAAGACAAAAGATAGAGAGGGAAATTAATCGAAAACTAGAAAGAGGCATACAATATTTCTCGCCCTAGACTGTCACCCCATATAATTTATCCCACAGTGAAATCATCTCACTGAATTGAGGCTCTACTAGCTCCGGTCGCGAATCAACATCCCAAACCTTAACAGAGTGGTTGCTGGGGCTCAGCTTTAGCCATTCCCCATGGTTTGCCTTCTCGATACTCGGATTTTTACTTTTCAGAAAAGACACCCAAGCTGCCATCACGTCCTTTGACAGCGATTTATCCCCATCTGTCCAGTTCCACTGCAATGCATCGAGATTTCCAAACGCGTATGGTGTGCCGGCCACATGGAAGGCCCCGGCAAACGTTCTTTCAATAATTTCAGAATTTGGAGGAATTGGTGGAGCTCGTTCAAATTTGTAATACCACACAGGTGATTTCAAATTTCGAGCTTGCAGGCGTGCTGCTGTCCATGTTGAATAGACAAAGACTTGGTCGGCCAGCAACTGGTTTGACAGAACCCATGCTTCGGAGTCACTGGCTACAGGGTAGATGCGCAATGCTTCATCTGCATATCCCCCAAAAGTAGCATTTACATAGGCGCGATAGTCGTCAATGGAAGTTAGGTGCGGTAGACCGGAGCCTTCATTCCCAACATTGCCTGCCAGCATAGGTACATCAACCACCTTTCCAGAAATAAATGATGCCAAAGGTATTTCAGAAAGCACATGCCCGTCAATTATAGGATTGACCATGTCGAAAATACTTAAACTATTGGACCCGGGCCACAGTTGGACTTCCAGGGCCCTTTTCCACGAGGAAGGTGCTCAAATCTCTTACTGTGACAAGTCTATTCCCACGCCCCGGACGTGAGCTGCTGCCTACTATTCTAGATGAATTTGAAGTGCAAGGCCCCAATGGAAAACATCTATGCTACACAGTGCCATCTGCGCAGTGTAATCTGCGAGAAATTTCATTCAGTCGACTTTTTTCTCTTGAAGTTGCCCGGGCACTTTCATATGAGCTTGTTCAGGCTGTCGCTTATATCCATTCTCAAGGTTATGTTCATGGAGGTTTGTTATAGCATCTGTCAAGTCAAATACTTCATACTGATTACTAAACCTTATGTAGATATTCATTTGAACAATATTTTAGGTAGACTTGCCAATAATTTTGACAGGCTTTCTATCAAGCAATTCGACGACGAATACGGTGAACCTGAGACAGTGCCCATTTCAAGGCAAGATGGAGAACCATTATTCCCGAACGTCCCTGGACATGCAGTTGTACCTCTCTTCTTAGGAACATATGCGGAGGAATTCACATTATCAGATGCCAACCTAATACTAAGCGACTTTGGTGAAGCATTCTCACCTGCGACAGAAAATCATATTGGACGGAACTGCCATACACCACCGGCGTTTCGGGCGCCGGAAGCAAAATTTGAGCCACATTCTCCGCTTTCATACCCATCTGATATCTGGAGTCTTGCAACGGCCATATGGGAGATCGTTTGAATGAAAGCAATTTTCAGTACTGACTATATAAGTGAGGATGGGATAGTGGCTCAGCAAGGTGATGTACTGGGACCTCTTCCTTCTGAGTGGTGGCGCAGCTGGGAAGCAAAATTTAGGTACTTTGATGAGCAAAGACATCCAACAGAGTCATACAAAGTCAATCAACTGCCTCCATTTGAGGAGTCACTTGAATATGGTATTCAGAGTTCAAGACGGAGGCGTGGGTTTGAAATGGAGGAAAGTGAAGTCAATGCGTTCCTGGGTTTAATACGGCCAATGCTGTCTTTCCGACCCGAAGAACGGCTGACAGCAGAGAAATCTCAATGTCAGAATGGATAGTCAAGTGGGCACTACCTTGCTATGAGAAGAGCCAAAAGCAGCTTCATTGAGAGGAAGCCGATAAAGGCCTCGATATTTACACCTTGACATCTGGAGATACCGCATTTTGAATATTTTTCAAGGTTACATTCAACGCATACTATAGATAGGAGGAATAGATATTAAGACAAATATAGGTGATGGATGTTCCTTATATGTTTATGTAGGTGGCAGTCGAGTTGAATGACGCCTTAGCTGCACATGTGTAGTGAAGTGAATTCCAAGCCCTGGAGGTTGAGTCCGAAACTAAAATCTGATCCAACTTGCCCAGGTGAAGCTACTTGAAATCGGGGACAGCTATCTGGAGGGTGATATAATTCCAAGATTGTTCTATATCATAATATAGTATATATTAAAATGAAACTTTCATCAAGAGTTGAACATTTCAAGCGTAGAACATGTAGTCTCTGGGTAGATTAACCTCAAGTCATAACCAACTATTCACTTTCTCAGATCACCAATTGATGAGCAACGATATTGCAAGATACAGGCTAACAAGGATGACAAGAGAAGGAATAACATCCCTGGATCCCTCGCTGGAATGTCCACTGGTATGATGTCCACAGCTAGAATCCTTTCCATTGCTTTTTCCCGAGGTACAAGAAGGCGCAGGAGGTGGTGCACTTGCTGTTTCATTATTTGAGTAACAGACATCCTTGGGACAAAAGCCATAGTAACAAGCGAAAGAGCACAGTCCTTCAAAGCTATCATCACCGTTCCTAGGCTCCCCTTCTTTCTTCGTGGCCTTGGGCCTCTTCTTACCAGCACCCATTGCAGTGCAGTAGCAGGTGTCAATTGGGCAATATCCATATTCGCACGTAAATTCGCAGATCTGGGTATAGTTTGATGAGCCAGATCCCTCAATGCAGACTTGGTCTGACAGCGCAAGTTCAGGAGAGACTGCTGACATATTCTTTCCTGAAGTCGCACTTCCAACCCATGCATTAAAGTTGATAAATCCACTCGTACAGCTTGAGGTCAAAGAACGACCGTCCATGTGCACCACTTCTTCGTCTTCACGTGAGATCAAAATGGTCGTCTCTCCCAAATGTTCGGATTTCAATCCGAAATTACCATGATAAACACCTATACCTCCGTCTGGCTCATACTCCCATTTTGCGTCATAATCCTTCCCTCCGATGGTCACTTTAACCGATGCGTTGGAAGCTAAGAGGGCCGAGAAGAATATTTTGTCCTTGACCCAGTATCCGGTACTTGTATCGATTTGTAAATCGGTCGATGTGAAGCCCGTGGTATTTCCTCCTGAGCAAGAACTTCCAACCTCAGTTCGATACCACACAACCAAGCTCTCCTCCGTCATGTTCGTCATTCCCGTGCGGTAAGTATCGATCACGTAAGGGAGATGAAGCCGCCAGCCATCGTGGGGCATGTTCTCTGCGTAGTTATACGGGGCTTTTCCGGAAGTGAAGACACCGTATCCCTTTGAATTCAGGGGTCCTATATAATGTGACTCTCCAAAGTCGTTCCACGAGATTACCTCAACCCACTCTGGTTGAATAAATGAGATCTCCACCCACCGATCATACCACAAATCACCACCATGAACTGCCCAGTTCTTATGGTACTCTGGCATGTTTGTATAAAACCACGGTGAGACGGGCATCATATAGGGCTTCTCAGCTTGTCGGAGACACTCAAGATACGATGCGTCCACATATGTGTTCATTTGTTGAGAATCTGTTGGCCAAGCTGCCCATGAGAACAATCCATCGACAACACCGCCCGCAAGCTTGAGTGCAGCTGTAGCTCCGACCGATGACCAGTCAGGAACCAAGAAACAATTCGTTTGATTCTTGATGGCGATCCAGTCATTGGCATTTTCCGGTCCTTCGAATGTCGACACAAAAGTCCTCTTTTGATGCTTGTAATATGCCGGACTTGACGCATATTTTTGAAGGTAGTAAATGATCTGCGACTGCGGCCACGACCCGTTTCCTGCATAGTCAAATGAGAAGAAGAGCTGAAAGCCCAAATCCTCAGCTGTCAAGAATGCATTCGCGGCTGATTGTTCGTTCCCTGGCATACCGTACGCCATATTCAATGCAAAAGCGTCGAGATGGGCTTCTTTCGCGAGTGAGATGTCTCGTTTCCAATCAGATACATCGTATTGGGCCGTATTTGCCATCTAGGATAGTTTCAAGTTATATATGCCAGTTCATCTGAGAAGAGGATTGAAAAGAGAGAATAGATTTCTTACCATGAAGTGAGCAAATACGGCTTTGGCCACAGCCTGACATGGTAGGCCAAGTAAAGTGAGTAACAGCCTCATTTTTCTTTGAGATCTCTTATTTATGGCCGAAATCTGGTTCCTATCAGTCCTGGTTGTTTATTTAATAGATTGGTCTCAAGTTCTTTTAATCACTTAGTGGAGACGAGAGATATGAGAAACAGGCTGAGCATCTGAAGAACAAATTAAAATCCGTCCAGAGTCAGATCTCAATCTCAATGCTATTTATATCCTTCATGTTTCACAGAGTAAGTGCTTTTATAAAGTGATACCGATATTCTTTCTCTCGATCGTAAGATGAAGAAAAGTAGCAAATACTCTTCGGTTACACCACAACGGAACGGAGACAAGCAGGCGATTTGTATAGATGATAGAGCAAACAAACTCGGAATAAAATATGGAAAGACATCTAAAGTTACTAGCAAAAAGTACTTGGCATGTGTATTCTTAGAATATGGGACCTGCGGCCAGCTTAATCTTGTTAAACCACTTATGACTTTCCAACAACTTCCATACTCTCCTAAACGGTTTCACGACAAGGTAGCCTGGTCTGATCCGGTAAGACCCGATCTTACAAGACCAGCTTTGCCCTCCGACTCAGAGTGGGATCATCCGGGACCCTACAGTCTGCATTGTCGAAGGGATATGCAAGTGAATCAACATGAGAGTCGTACTAGTTGCCCTGGGCGTGAAGGAATGAGCACCCGATTCAAGACTTGACTTATTTGAGCAGCTATAGCCTAAGGAGCGGAAGACTACATTTGTAGCACGGCATTTAAGGCACAAAGATTTAGTACCCGTAACTGAGTCTGACAAGCACTATGTGCAGAGGAAAATCAGGCTAAAGATGCAGCCAAACAGATATTCTTTTCTCAAAGTAGATCGATATCATCTCCTTCAGGCGACGCACTTTCATGCACTATTGAATGATTTTTAATAATTCAAGTACTGTCAATCAATAGATTACATTCATTTATAACCCAAAATCGGCCATGTAGGCAGAGATCTATCCTTTATCCCTGTGATAATTCTCGGACATCCATCATCATTTCTTCAGGTGCTCACGACAGAACATCTGGGCTTCTACAGAAATATCAGTCCCATTAATCCACATCGCACCACCAGGCTCAATGGTACTTTTAGCATTTGGATCAGCCACCGGTCTCTCTTTGATGACCTTCTCCTTGAATCTATCCACTCCAAGTTCAGCTAACTGCGCCCGCTGCATGTCCCGAACAACTTTCCACTTCTCATCTCGTGCAATCTGAGGTTGACCATCTTCAAGTGTCATATCACTAGCATTTCCACGGCTGATTTCTCGCAAGTGTTCCACACGAGCCTGTCGAAACTGACTTCACGCATTCATAACATCCGGCAGATCATGCCTCGGGTTCGAGTGATCCAGAAACTCAGCAAGACTTGCGGCATCCTCCATCGCCATTCCAGCTCCTTGTCCTGCATGTGGCAAGAGGGCATGTGCTGCATCTCCAATCAAAGCTACCCGTCCAGATACACTGACATAGCTGGGGATGGCGCGAACTTCACCAAGAGTCCAAGAGGCACATTCTCCATCTTGAACTAATGATGCTAGTGCTCGTACCTCTTCACACCACTCTGATACAAGTTCCCGCATTATCTCAACGTCGCCGGGTTGGTTCCATGATCCGAGGGGAACACCCGAGGGCCGGGGGACACTGATTGCAAGATTATACAGCGACTCGGAGCCTACCGTATAGTCCAGTACACATGCACCGGGTCCAAGCCATGATTTCGCTTCAAGGGAGGACATCAACGGTGCAGTAATGGGATTAGACAGCATACGCGACCGTGGAATTACTGCACGGTAGACATGTTCCCGGTACGGGGTGGGGACAACATCTTTGGTTGCCGGAAGACATCGTCTAGCTCTTGACCAGATTCCGTCTGCAGCGACCGTGAGATCTGCCTCAATTATTTCACCGTGGGATAAATGGACGGTACCTGTCTCGTGGTCTACGGATACCATTGACTTCCCGAATAGCACGCTCACGCTGGGGTGTTCTTTGGCGCACTCAAAGAGTACTCGCTGCAGATCTGGTCGATAGATCTGCCATTGAGGCGACCCATACAGCCAGGTGCTGACGGGATTATTCATTATCGAGACCAGTTCGCTATTATCTTGCCATCGACGGACAGACATCCGAGACGACTTGAATGCGACTTTTTCTAAGGATGGTGTCACCCCCCATTTATGCAAGAGACGAGTACTGTTTGGGTAGAGTTTTACTCCGGCTCCGAATTCGCTGAGCGATTAATTGGATTCCAACACTGTGATTTCATGTTCTGGGTTGATATCCGAGAGCGCCAAAGCTGCTGACAACCCAGTTATGCCAGCACCAATGACAGTTATCTTGAATGGGATCCCTGAGGAGTTGGAAGACATTTCGGGTGTTTTTTGCTGTTATTCTCAGAATTTGCAAGAATATAGGGTTTCAAACTCTTGGATAACCAGGTCATTCCTTCCAGTTCAAAAAAGACTCGACAGGGTTTATATGTCTAACTGACTACTAGCCTCGGGGGCCGCCGGGACGCCAGCCTCATTTACCATTTACACCGTTGCGCAATGACCAATCATAATTATGGACAATATCAAGCATTCCCAGCCTTAATATTGACAAAGTCAATGCGGGATTTGAGATAGGTAAGTTGTGCGGCACGTAAATTTGCTTCCAAGTTTATCCCTCTTTGTCCAAATTATCAGCACATTGAATAGACTGGGAATGAATGAACTCAAATTCCATGTCTTCGAGTCCTTCAATGTTTATGTCTAATGCCAAAATGTAGCACGAGTATTGAATAGAAAGTCGTTTCATTGTTGAAAAGCAACGCGCTCTAAAATAGTCTTCATTATATATGGCCGCTCAAATGCCTTGGCAAACAGTAATTGTGCCGTCGTATTATTTTAAGAGGCAGTGCATGAAAATACACCACCAACGGTGCCGTCAGCGTACGAGTTGATCTGGTCGAACAGGTTAGCATATGTGGATGAAACAAAACAATAAATTCGGGTGCAACTTACGATGTCCACAACACTGGCGTAAGTACCAGCAACTAGCACAATAAGACCAATGGCGAAAATGATAGCATTGATCACGGTGAGGAGAAGGTTCTTGGAGCTGAACATGCTACCCTCGCGGATGAACATAAACCACATGATGGCCGGGAAATAGAAAGTGAACCCGGACACGAAAAGAGAAGAAATGATGGAGAGCAGGTCGTCGAAGAAGGGGATAACCTCGGCGACAACAAACTCAAGGATGGTCAAAACAGCCACCACAACCAACCAAGTAGTCCATCCCATCTTGGTGTTCACGAAGCGAATGTTCGATTTCTCGAAAATGCGGCCGTGAATCAATCGTCCCAGTACCACAGTGTTGATGGAGCCACTGATGAAAATGACAGGTAAAGCGACGCCAAAAGCGACTCGGCTCAGAAGACTGCCAGCGGATAGCAAAGCGGGACTCTGGACATCCTGTCCAACGAATGCATAGCAGAGGGCACCGGTGAGAGTGTAAATGATAATTTCAGCGATACCGAGGGCCCAGATGGACTTGGGGAAGTCGGTGGGAGTGTGCATCTCGTCCATGAAAGAGAATTGGCACAGGGCGAAACTGTAGGCAAAGATAATGTTGGACAGAGCGATGAAAGCGTCGGCGAAAGTGATGCCCTCCTTGGGCCAAGCAGACCAGCTCACAGCAGCAAGACCACCAGTGCTGTTGGTTGCCTCCACTCCAGTTCCAATGATTGTAATACCGATAGCCAAAATAACAGAAGTGAAGTCGATATAACCGAGGATAGCCATTTCCGAGAAGCTAGGCGGGATGGCGAAGATCAGCAGGATGATGGCGGACACCACTCCGAACACGACCGCACAGACATTGCTATCAGTGATATTGGTGAAAGCAATAGTTCCAGTCAGACAGTGTGATCCAGCAGACAGTAGAAGTTCCAGACACAACATGATGTAGAGAATTTCATATCCCCATCGACCAAACATCTGTCTTCCTGCCTCAGGGTAGTTCGAGATATGAGGGAACTTGACCTTGACCTGACCGATAATGTAACTGGTGTAGACTGCAATAAGACCGATACCAACACAGCAGATGACACCTGCCACCATACCAAGAGTTGCAAAGGTTCCCGGAATTGACAGACTTCCCAGGGCGACAGCCTCCACAATGAGGACAATGGTCAGACGCTTCCATCCAAGTCGGTTGAATTTCTCCATACCACCCTGGTAGATCTGCTTCTCGCGGTCGTTCATATCAGCATCCAGGGTGACATCCTGGATTGGGTCAGACCCAACTTGATCGACATCGGCACCCTTCTTGGAATACATCGTAATTATACGCGTTTGTCCTGACAACTGAGACAACTAGGCTCCAAGTTAATGAAGACAAGCAACAAGAAGACCACAAAAGAGTGAGTTGTCTTGATGCGATGCGATGCGACAGGGATGAAGAAAGAAAAGAAAATCTAACCTGAGACAAGAAAAAAGAAAAAGAAAAAAGGTACGGAGTGATCCCTATTCCAAGGTTCGCGCCTTCGCGCCTTCCATAGATTTTCTTTTCGGCTTCCCGGTGACTTCCAAATTCGGCCCGGTAGTGGGTCTCAGTGCCTGTTTTATATATTCCTATTGGTGAAAAACTTTTTCGCCCCACTTCTCGCGTGCGCGAGTCCGCCTTTAACCGACTTTAAAGTTATCAAAAGACCCATTTTGTCTTGAAGAAAGAAAATTACCTAATGATTTTACAATTTTACTTATGAAACCCCTTGTCCAGATGGTGATCTTGCTAAATTCAGCTCAATTAGATGTTTGGAGATTCAAGTTTGGAGAAATGAAAAGCTAATTTTGATAAGCTTCTAAGTACTCCATCCTCCGGACCATGACCAAGATGCAGAAATAGAAATAAATTAGTATTATGGGGCTAAAGCAGCCCTACGGCCACCTTAATTACGGAATAGCTAATTCCAATAGCTTCTGCGATTAAAATTTCGTGCCAATGATATTTTCAAAGTTTGCCACCAGCCCATATCGTCTGATCTTGTTATCTTTACGCATTTGTATCGCGTTAGAAAAATTTGATAAACTTGTGGTTTATGTAATTGTTGAGCCCCGCTTATAACCGTCTCTACGGAGTAAAATAAAAGCGAATTTTCAACATTAAAAGCTTTTGTGGGTCTCCCCAATTTCACCCTAACTCCGCACTGTGGTCTCATCTCCATAGTAATGTAGGAATGCTTATACCTCTAGGCCCGAGCTGCACTAGTTTACTAAAGCTTAGTTCGTTCAAGACTCCGATCAACTATACTATAGGCGGCTGCACTATCAGGGCCGGATAGGTACCTACATCGTTCTGGGTTTGCAGAATCTTCGGCGCTTCATTCTGATACTTCTCATATGCAATATCATCAGGCACTGACCGTTCCCATCGGTCCGAGTCATGAATCAACCAGTTGACTCGAATATGGTTCAATAAATAAATCATAATTTTGAAGATTCCGGCACTAATTTTAGGCCATCCTCGAGTGTAAGTTAGCTGCCTAGGTGGCAGGGCGCCTGAATGTAAGCGCTTACATTCTGAGCTGAATGCTTCCTATTAAGCTTTCCCAGTACTTAAAAAGCATTCCTTCCCCGCTCAAGCCTTGCACTTCTCATTTCGTTCGGAAACAACATTTGAAAGCCCTACCTTATCATTCTTGTAAAATGGCGAACCTCCCCTCGCAATATGAGATTCGCGTTCTGGGCCCTGAACATGAGGAATGGGCCCGAGCGATATGCCTCTACACAAATATGTTCCATAGTTCATTCTGGCCAGTCGTGTATCCAGAAAATAGAACTCGGCGGCTGTATGAGTCCTTTCAGGCAGGGAAATACCTGATCCAGCACCAAATCGACTCAGGATATTCCCTCGGTATATTCGACAAAGAATATCAGTTCAAGCGCCCCGAGTCTGTGGCCACTGGCGGCAAGCTGTACTGGGACCTCGATGATGAGAGTGCCACAGAGAGCGAATTAGAAGATCAGATGGATTTCCCGCTCGTCTCCATCGCGATGGCCTATGATGGGATCAATGAGCTCGACATGGCTCAGATATATCCACTTATCGATACCCTACCGCTCTTTGGAAAGGTCTACCAGGTTATCGGAGATATTGACAGACGTGACCCTGCTTCATGGAAAACCACAGGCCCAAAGCAGGTTCTTATGCGTAATGCCACCAATACTATGAAAGCGTACTCTGGTCAAAGACTCATGAGACAACTCGCCGATGAAATGATGCAGCGAGCAGCCGAACAAGCATTCCGTGATATTCAGATTGAGAGTGCCAATCCCGCGGTTTTTAAAGTGTGGTCTGAGCCAACTTCCTTCAGAGGGACAGTTGTGTCACAGTTTCATACCTGGACATACGAAGAAAAGCGAGAATCTGGGGAGATATTGAATCCTTTCCGGCCAGCGAATCTCAACCTTGCAAGAATATTTGTGGACTTATGTTGAAAGTTCTACCAGGGATTTGATGTGATAGTCTACATAGTGCTTGGGGCGTGCAAATTGACAGCCTCGCTGATGGCAGCTGGTCAACATCAATCATTCTACTAGTACTGCTGAACTCGGGAAGTCACTGCACACATGATGTGAATACGCATATGTAGATTTAAATATAAAGTGAGACTCTTAATCAAATTTGCCTTTATCAAGCCCGAAAACGTATTTCAATTCAAATTTGAATAACGGTGATTGATAGCATACACAGGGAGCTAGAGAATAAAAAAAGCCGCTCGATCAATTGATAGGACAAAATCAATAATGGATAAACTCAAGAGCATAATGGCAAGACATCAATCAAGTAGAAAATTCAACCCGAGATTCCACTTCTCTCCCATTTAAAGCATTCTGACCCGCATCTCCTGGTACAATCAGGCTCAAAAGACTTCGGCCCGCTTGAAAGGAAGTCCTAGAGTGGGCTGATTACGAATAAAAACGGTTGCTTGCGATAGAGCCTCATTCCACATCGCCTTTTGGTCAGTTCCAGAGACCTGAATGGAGAAAACGTTAGGCTGGCCTGCTTGTTCAGGCCAAAGTGTGATGGTGCCCTGACGCGACTCGATACGAGATTGAATATTTCGAACGATGTGGGCATCGTTCAAGTGGCGGTCCATCGGTCCGAAGAAAATGTTGATATACATATCGAATAGATATAAGTGGCGATAACAACAAAGAGGCGGGAGATGATATTGAGATAGTGAAATATAGTTCTGGAGATTTTTCACTTCGGCAAGCCTGAGAGTCAATAACTGATTTGATGGTTTGACGTGTCGTGTCTCAGTAGACCAGATGATGGATGTTGATGTTTTTAAATGATTCCTGTTAATCGGAAGAGCCTTAGAAGTCTTTCAAAGATTTCAGAAAGGGCTTTTGAAACCTCCTGATGGATCAGTATATTTTGGGGTAAAGATTAGCCAGGCGACTTTGAGCCTGAGATGGATGTTTCCTAAGGCCTCTTGGGTTTCAGATCCACGCCTTTGTGGTGGTTGTTTGCTTTGTATCAAGTGGAGTGTGCTAAGGAGGGAGAGGATTAGTGGAAAGTGCAAGGGATATCTCAAACCGGAACAGGCTGAGGATAGATCAAACTCCACGGCTTGTCCCAACATGTTGCTCTGCTCGCTCTGTTTGCTCTGCTCTGTTTGACTGTTATTTATTGAGGTCCTTTCTAATGCCATCCACCTTCTCCGAAGTCCTGAATAAGTTCCTTTGTCAAAAGCAAGTCATGAAACACACTGGTAGCAATAACTTCTAAGATTGGATAGATTAAAGCTTTTATAAAAGGATTTGATCAATGGTGATTTACTATGATGTTTCTTTATATTCATTCTATTTGAATCCATGATTTGTTAGTATATAGTCTATTAATCCAAAATTAGAACAATAATTATGTTTCTGAATGGAAGTTTTGGCATATTTACTATTTGTCAGACAAATCTATTTTTTTTTCTTTGTCTCCATACTCTGGCAGCCATGGGCTGTTTTTGAACACAGTCCAAACCTTGAAAACTTGAATTTGATAAGCCACGCATTTAATCAACTGTCTTGAACTCAAGACCAGTCTCTGACAGTTAAGCATCTGATTCCAAAGGCTTTCGGTGTACAAATGTCTATAAATTTTGGAATTCAAGCCTGCTAGGCATGACGTAGGCTGTATACACCTCAACCCACACTAGTGTGAAACTCAGCCCCAGCCTCACTGGCCCCGGGGTCCAATAACTAGTTATTTTGCTCATTGTTTTGTTATTGTTTTCCTTTCTTTTTCTTTCAGCTCTTCTCCCTCTAACTCTTATAATCTCCCAAAACTTAACAACACCTGTAGTCCTTGACTGTTCAGACAGCCCCCTTTCAATAACCGGCAATGTCATCGGAATGATCACATTTGTTTATGCCGTCTTCATGACATTTTCATATCGCTCCCAGGCTCTGGTCAGATCAAAAGATGAGACCAGAAGATTCTACACACGAGCAACTAGAGTGTATAATTCTCTTGTCGAGGCACAAAAGCGCATTGAAGCTTATTTCTCCATATTCGATTTAACGATGAATAAAGAGATCGGATCATTACTGGAAGATGCTAGATACTGATCTCTCCAGTACAAACCGGATCGGTGTACGGATGGATTCATTGGAAAAGGCACCTATCTACTTAAAAAGGAAGATATGGCCAGAGTCCTTGAAGGCATGTTGGAAACTCAAGCCAGGCTCGATGGGACATACCAGGTCCTCTTAAGCAGGTATGAACTCATGGAGAATTGCAGTTGAAATTAGCAATTGATTGACTGTTTAATCAGCATGATAATCAATGAGATCCGAGAGCAAAAGGCCGCGTTTGAAGTGCAAACACGAAGTTTCTCAGAGCAGAGGACTATGATAGCCCATATAATGGCTGCACTTGACCTGAAACCTCCAGTATACTCAACCTCGGTGGATTTGAATGCCAAATATGAGCCTCCGCAGAAGGGAGCCTATGTTGATATTTCTGAGATTTATCTACAACCATCAGAAATGGGGCGGAAGGAAGATAAGAAAGACGGAGAAGATGGAGAAGACAGAGAACAGCCCTCCCAAATGTCCGAAAGTCTTCAGTCCCAACGACCTCCAGTCTGTGGCTGTGGTGGATCGAATGCACGCGACGCAAGTGACAATCACCGTGTATGCAGTGACGCATACGGCGAATCGTATTTTGATCCAGAGGAAGGTGTATGGAAGAAGCCTTCACCACCTGGCACTAACATCTATTTTGATTCAGAAAGAGGATGTTGGCTAAGGAGTGAGGTTGGAGAATGGTTTCCCATACCTGGACGTATTATCGGTCCGAGTCCCTTTGCGTGGCTATTGTCAAGATTCAAGATGATTTTGAAACTTGAGGATTAGCTATTAATGAGTGGACATGGTATATCATGATGCTAATTTAGGGTCAAGGTGTATAAATTGGTTTCCATATATGGCTTTTGTATACTAGTTGAAACTTCAAGGACTCAGCGAAACTTTTAGTGATTATGCCAAATTTGAATGTTCAAATTCAAATGTTGACTTCTGTAGGATGGGAACAGCGGAGCACTTATGATACGATTCTTTTCTGGAAGGCTAGCTATTCTCTCAAAAGAAAAAAAATCCCCCAAAGGGAGCAAAAAGGAGCAAAATGAAGTGGAAGCAAAAAAGAATTCTCAGGTTTTTGTTTGTAGGAATAGCCGAACGGGGGGGGGTCGAACCCCCAACCTTGAGATTAAGAGTCTCACGCTCTACCGATTGAGCTAGCCCGGCAGGGCTGGTTGGAAGTGGTTCAACTTATGGCTACATAAACCTGGTTTAATTTAGGTACATTTCAGCGACTAATTAATCTAATAATGCTAACTCTTGACATTGAACTTGGGGATGTTGGTTCAGCTAGAATTTATTTCAACATTTTGTATTCCAGCTGTACCTCAAGACTTCTCTGAAGACCAGTGGTATCTGAAATTTTGAACCAACTTGAAGGTTCAACTTGAAGTTTTTCCTAGGATTTAGTCAACCTCTGGCAGACTGCTCGAGCACCTTGACCTGGGCAGGGATATATTATGTATAGTTCTCGGTTCAGCACATTCGAATTTTCAACAATAAAAGTTTTGAAGTTCGAACCTGAAACCTCCAGAACTGGGAACTTTGACCCAGGTGCCTATTTAAACCTTCCACCTGGACAAGGTTCCAACATTAAAGGTTCAAGCCCTGCAGGTGGAGTTGGAACATGATTGATTGAACAAACCCGACTCACATGTGCACCTAAGTGCTTAGGTATGTAGAGCATGTTTCACAGGACATCTCCAGGGCCGCCCACATGTCTACGGGTGTAGGTGGAGATTACGAGGTGGCATTAGACCCTACTATGTATGTATATACTATCCAGATGTCTCAAAGTACTACTAATACCTCCTTGAATCGGAGGGCTAGTAGGATTATCATCTGAGTCATCAATTCCAAGGTTGGCGGTGACTCGGACTTCAGGTTCAAATGTTCAACTTCAACCTACATACTACAAGTTCATGCAACATTGAATATTGAAGCACTTCAAGTCACGGTGTAAAGTGTCAGTGTTAGGATCATTGAACATTCAAATTTTCAAATGACACATGCAGTGTTCAATGTTGAACTGGCCCAGGGCTTAACACCTGGACATCAGTTACAGGACTCGGTTTACTGTAAAAAGTAATCTAAGGGTATTTCTAGGGGCCAGGTTTAATATATGACGATAAAATTTATCAATTTATCGCATGCTATGTAACTTATATTCACATCAAAAACTTTTAAATGTCATAAACTTGAATCCACCAGAAAAGTAAAAACGTAAACGCCAACCATGATTTTCAGGGATATCACTGCAGAAATCATTCTTCATCACCCATGTTCAGCTCATCAAAGTCATCAAGCAGCTCATCCATGTTAATCTGTGGCACTTCGTCTTCACTCTCGTTATCTTCATCCTCGTCCATAGCATCACCCGAAGCACGCTGTTTCCGAGCCTTGTAAAGGTCCAGAGTTTGACGCAGCTCTTGATCTTCCTCGATGTCTCGCAAGAAGGCCTCAAAGTCCTCCTCGATACGGTTAGCCTCTTGCTCCTCACGGCGGGTTTTCTGCTGAGGAGCTGCATTGGCCTCATCTTCATACTCGCGAGCCATACGCTTAACACGCCAAGCACGGTTCTTAGGCTTCTTCTTGCGGGCGTAGAACTTCTTAACGAGAATAACATCGGGGACAGTCGAGCTATACTGAGAGCTACCCTCAATAGCCTCAAAGTTCTCGTCGTTAAACATAGTACCACTGATGTGGTAACCGAGCACAGAGTCACCAACATGCAGAACACCACCAAGGTGTGTGCGGGTGAAGTATGTGATATCATTGGAGCCCAAATCAGACGCGCGAGCAACTGTGGCTTCAGCTAAGTGGAATTTGCCAACGGAATGGCCAGTTGGCTCAATATCCAAGATAATGAATTCCTTCAACTCAGTCACATCAGCGAGAGTCCTGAACGGAGATCGCCAGTATGTGTTAGTTGGGACATCACTAGTTTGGAGAGTGCTCGGGTCCAAGAGGTTGACGGAGGTTCCGACGCGGTAGCACAGGGAAAGAGGTGAAATATTTCCAAGCTGACGGGCGAGCTTGATAGGAAGTGCGACAAGGTCATCCTTGCAAATAGGAATCAACTCGACTGAGAACGAGAACTTGTAAGATTTCGTAGAAGTGTGGATATCCATGGAAATCAATTCCTGGGACTTCTTTGTCTTGCAGGGAACGACGGAGCACAGGAAGTCGACCATCTTCTCAGCGTGGTTTCGCTGAGCAAAGAAAAAGTCCAAACCATCCTTTGCTTCCTTGATGTTGACAGTATCCTTGTGGGCACCATTCTTGAGGATCAACTGTTCAAGGTACAAGAAAGTACGCTTGTGAGGAACCTTCTGTCGAACTTGGACGGAGGCTCTCCATGTGTTGTGCGTATAGGACTTCTTACAATCTAAAATATAAACCATCAGTACACCTCGACTAATCTGAGAAAGGTGGGGGTTTGTGCCTACCGTCACACTGCTGCGATGCAACCACATATTCAACCTCAAATGTCTGCTGAATAATTGTGCCCTGGAACGCCTCCTGTTGGATTGTGATTTTGACCTTGATACGGCGAGAATGGGGCTCGGTCCAGATGAAACTGGCGTCGATAATGCGGACTTTCGACAGACCACGAAGACGGCGCAAGCAAACGGCAAGCAGTTCCTTCGATTCGGGGGAGGCAACGACCCAGCTGTTGGGGGGCTGGAGCCAGCGCTCACAATCTCTGCAGGCGTGAAGAGTTCCCTCGCGCTGGATACTATATCCACAAGTAGGTTAATCAATCGATATTCGGTATGCGGGGGTTTATTTGTCAGGGTCAGAGGTGTCGCTTACCCTTGAGAGACGTCAACGTTGAGTCTCAAACAATCCTGACACAGCGCGCCGGCAGAAGTGGTTCCATCAATGGGGGCACCACAGTTGCAACAGAGGATACTAGACCAAATTCATTAGCAAACCATGCCTAGCATTTTTGTAATCAAGAGAGGCGATAAGAGACTCACGTTGCGGCGATGGGTGCATCCTGCATCCCCGTCATGGGGACAGGGGCATCCAAATCCATCGACATCTTGAATTCAAGACGTAAACGGCAAATCCTCGAATATTTGGACAATAGATGAAGTGATTTGGATTGTGACTTTTGTGCCCCGCCTTGTGCCAGCAACTTTTTTTCGGCTGACTCATCTTTTGCCTTGTTTGCACCTCGCGATAAAGAAAATGCCCTCGGACTGACGGATCGGACTTACTATCTCCCGTGCAAAGATAAGAGCCCCGCAGGTTATATTACGGGGGGGGTTTATGATGTCAAAAATGAAAAAATCTTTCACAAGTCATCCGAATTGGTGTAGTGGCTAACATCGTCGTCTCTCACACGACAGCCGGGGGTTCGATTCCCCCATTCGGAGTATCTTTTTGCGATTTTTTTTCTGTTGTCCGTTAACCCTGGACGAAAGCTCACTGGCTTCACCCTCGACCATCAATTTTTTGACCAAAAAGAGATTGTGATTGTGCGCATATCGATATAAAACAATCACGTGACTAATCTTATCGTGCTATCTAATCGCCGCAGCCCGAGAAAAAAAAACCTTAGAATCGAGAGGTCATAGTAACATCCAAGTCCACAACATCGATTTTATCTCAATTGTTCTGAAACTTTCATTCAAGCGTCGCGCAACTAAGCCAAAAAGTCCTTGTTATTCGAAGTCCCAATTTGCTGCGAAGTTACCTTGAGTCGTTTTCGCCGTACAATCCACTCTTTCTGCGGGGCATCATCCACCGGGCACCCAACCTGAATAACATCAAGCCCACCAAAATCTTCAAAGGATAAATCCTACAAATCTACTCAAACTATATCAAAATGGATGCTCAATCAACTGCTCCCCCGGCTACCGATGCCGCCTCTTACCTCGACCTGGGTATTACACTCGCCCTGGACAACTGGCCCGCACTCACACTCGCCGTGCAATCAAACTGGGGTGGACCAACCTCTGCCGACAAGCGCGCCTGGCTTTGCGGTGCCATTTCCGAGATGTTGAATGAGCGCGCCGAAACCGATGCCGAAGATCTCGAGGATATTTTGATTCAAGTCATGAACGACGAGTTTGACGTTGTGGTCGACGACGAGAGTGCCGGAAATGTGGCGGACCTGATCATGGAAATTAAGGATCAGACCGTGCGTGGAGAGTTTGGTGCTATTCAGCAGATGTGGCATATCTGGCAGCAAAAGAGTGCGCAGAGATCTGCTGCTTCAGAAATGTTCAAGCAGGTTGAGTCGAAGGATGAAGACCAAGAGACTGATGAGAGTGACGACGAGGGCTCAGATGTCGAGATGGGAGATGCGCCTGAGAGAGCGCCTAGGGAAAGAGTTGAACCTGAGATTGATGATGATGGGTTTACCAAGGTGGTTAGCAAGAAGAAGCGATAGACATGTGTTGGGTGCAACCGATCATGCTAGGTAGTAGTGCCTGGTTTGAAGTGAAAACAAATATACCTAGTAGGCTTTTTGCATTGAAGCCTTGAGGGTTGATGAATTTATATATACCATCTACAATAGAATACCAACTTCAACATTTGAAGCCCTGGAGTTGAAACAAATTTCTAAAATCACACTTCTTTTGGTAGTATATACTAGTATTTATGTATCTGCTTCTTACTAGAAGTTGGAGACTACAGGGGTTGGAATGCTGAAATGCAATGATACTTTCTTCTTGAATTTAAAGGAGATGGAAGTAACTTGGATCTATACTGACATAAAGGGGGTAAATATCATCATCGTCACTTGGGACTAGCAATGTGCTTGGCCTAACTTGGCTTAACCTCTCCTCACTCAGACCTCTCGTTGATGGAGGCTTCCTGCTGAGTGCTAGCATTTGAGTGGAAAGGTATATTAACCTTAGACGTGCCAGTCCTTTTTGGGTTCTTCGTTTCATATCGGGTGGAGCAAAAATCCCAATGTAGATTCGCGAGCATTTATTTACTCTTCGGTGGAGTGAATGAGCTTAGTAACCATACCAATGGCAATGGTTTGTCCCTGGGAAAGAATGTTAGTAAAAGAAACTCCTTACAAATCAAGAGACGTAAAGGGGAGAAAACCTACCTGGTCACGAAGAGTGAAGCGGCCCAGCTGTTGGTATTCGGCGAATTCCTCCACACAGACGGCGCCAGCAGTGCTGGTAACCTCGAGACGGGCAATGACGGTCTGGCCCTTGCTGACGAAAGGAGGGGGACGCTTGCTCTTACGGCCGGTACCAGGCTCAAGCTTGTGCAGAAGGGCAGCGAAGGTGACTTCCTCGACAGCAGAGTGCACGTGAAGGACACAGTTGAAACCGGCAGTAAGAATGCTCTTCAGGTCCAAAATGCGAATCTTGGCCTCAAAAGCAGACACACAGTGCACAGGACGCTTCGGGGAGCAAAGAACGAATCCGGGGAAGAAGTCATCCTCTTCCACACCACGCAGACGGAGACGAACCTGGTCACCGACCTTGGCGGTTTGAAGCTCGTCTTCGGTTTCACCGTACAGAGCTGCAATTGAGACCTCGGTCTTGTTGGGCATCATCAGGTAGGTGCCGTTCTTCTTGATAACTCCAGACTCAATTCGGCCTTCAGCCATGGTACCCATGTCACGGTACTTGGCAGTGACGGGCATCATGAAAGGAGCGTTGACCTTACGCTCAGGAAGTTCGAAGTCGGTCAAGAACTCAAGAAGGGAGGGTCCATCATACCATGGGCAAATTTCCTTGGAAACCCGGTCCTTAATACCGATGGTACGCTGGGCAGAGATGGGCATACAGAAAATGTCGCTCTTCTTGTAACCAAGGGCCTCGAGGAACTTAGTGACCTTGACAGTACATTCATCGAAACGCTCCTTGCTCCATTCCACAGTGGGGTCATCCATCTTGTTGACAACCAGGCACAGCTTTTGAACTCCAGTGTTGCGAGCAAGCAGGGCGTGCTCGCGGGTCTGACCACCCTTCTCGAAACCGGTCTCATACTCACCCTTTCGTGCGGAAATAACAAGAACACCCAGATCGGCCTGGGAAGCACCACCGATCATGTGAGGAACGTAAGACTTGTGGCCAGGGGCATCCAAGATAGAGAATTGTCGCTCAATGGGGCCCTCTGGTGAGGGAACCTGAACCGTGAAGAATGCACGACCGACTTCAACGGTCTTACCCTTTGCACGCTCCTCGTTGGTCAGATCCAAGGCCCATGACAGGTACCAAGTCTCACGACCGGCCTCCTTGGCCTCTCGCTTGTACTTATCCATTGTTCGGTCATCCACCATTCCAGTGCAGTATAGAAGAGAACCACCCAGAGTAGACTTTCCAGCATCGACGTGACCAATGAACACAACGTTAACGTGCTCACGTCGCTCACCGTAAATCTCCTTCAATGTAGCCTCATCAACATCGGCAAGTTGCTGCTTGGCAACAGCATCGGCCGCACGGGCTTGCTTGGCCGCTTCAACACCACGGGCAGGGCTAGAGCGACCAGGGCTGGAACGTCCAGAGGATGGCGCGGGGGAGGCCTTGCCGGAAGCAGCAGCCTTTTGGTCGGCCTTCTTCTCGGTCTTCTCAATAGCCTTGCTGGCGGTCACCTTGGCACCGGCCTCGGCGGCGGCAGTGCCCTTAGAATCTCCCTTGTTCACAGTCTCAGACTTAGCAGCCTGAGGGGCAGGGGTGGGAGTGCCGATGGAGAGAACCTTGGTCTTGGGGGCAGCGGCCGAAGAAGTTGCGCCAATTGAGAGGACCTTGGCCTTGGGAGGGGCAGCGGAAGCGTTTGCGGCGGGCTTGGGGGAGGGAGCGGCAGGAGCGGCGGCGGCGGGAGTTTGCTGAGGGACGTTCTGGCGGGGCTGCTGGTTGTAGTACTGGTTGTAGCCACCGGGCTGCTGGGCATATGCGCCGTACTGGCCAAAGGCTTGCTGTTGCTGCTGGGGGTATCCGTAGGCTTGCTGCTGCTGCTGCTGCTGCGGCTGCTGACCGTATTGACCATAGCCATATCCACCACCGTACTGCTGGTAAGCCTGACCAGGAACAAAGGAGGCGGCACCAGGAACGAAAGAGTTCGCACCAGGCTGGAAGCTGGCTACGCCTGGTTGAAAGGTGGGTGCTTGAGCCTGAGGGCGGCCCTGTCCATTCAGGTTGACACCCTCTGCTTGTCGGGAAAGCTCATCCTCCCAGGATTCAGGGGTCTGGTTCGACATCGTGAAAGAGAATCCGAGACGCAGTCAAGGAAACAGTAGGGACGACACGAGAGTCAAATGTGGATGATGATAGTGAGGGGCCGGTTACTTGTTAGGATTTTACAGAAAAGCTGAGTCAGCGACGCAGACCCCGCGTCACGTGGAGATCAAGGACAGTGAACCGATTTCTATATTGCAATATATTCTCTTTGTTTTCGCATGAATAAGAATTAGAGCTCAATATTTCAATCCGAAGCTTTACACTTGCCCGAAATTTGGCATAATTCTCACTTTTTACATGATTGTTGTTGGGGTTCCTCTTACATCCCCTTAGCCGTCGGGCAACTACTTTGACGCTATCGATAAGCAGCACCCCTCCATGCCTTGTTGCCCAGGATCCCTATAGCAGCAGCCCAGCAGTCTCAGCCCAGTCAACGTGTCCAGAACAGCCCAAGGGGCAACCGTCAATAAAGATGGATGTGTTTCTCACTCGTGTATGTCCTTTGGTCCATCCGTTCGGCTGTTTCGGCTGTGTGATTGAATCTAAGGTCTAATTGAAAATAAACATGACAGCTCACCCAGCAGGCAATGAACTATGCAATTCGGTGAATCAGGATGATTTAGAATGCAGAACTGAATCTTATACTGACTATAGTAATTAGCTCGGGAATTGCCATTACAGCTACCTATGCGATGCGCCAGTCATCTCGTTTACTAAAAGTACGTTCGGTCAAAAAATGGAATAATGAACCGCGCTGATATTTTTGTATCGTTAGAGCGTGGATGGCGAAGACCGTGCAGAGCTTCTTTCACTGCAGCAGCGGCTTGAAAGCAAGATACAAGTTATTTCACCGTCTATCGACATGATTGAGTTGATGTGAGTTGCCAAAACATGGACTAAAGCGATACTCTCTAAATTTCTAACTAAATTGTTCTAGCGCTGCTCGTGGGAACACATCTCTTGAATCTGCAGTTGCGCTCACAAAATCCCTCAGATGGGATATTCAAGCGCTAGGGCAGCGACTAGCAAGGGCAGCTTCATCTGGAGAGTCCATGCGAAAAAGCTCCAGATCCTCCAAAGATAGAGGCGGTATGGACGTGGAAGTCAAATTCATCATTAAAGACATCAAAAATTTGCTGCTCCGCATAGAGGACGCAGTACCATTGATGAATTTGGCCATTACAACCTCTGGAGCCAAACTTTCTACGAACTTGCCATCCACAGTGTCCCCATCTCGTCTTCTTCAAGCTAGCACATTCTTGACTGCTGGAGATACACAATATTCCATGTCTAATTCCCAGGCTGTTCAAATCGGTCCAACGTTCACATTATCCATGTACATGCTCTTCTCGGGTCATTTGCGTCTTCACGATGAAGAATCCGTCCGCGAAGCAACATGGAAAGAAGTCATGCACAAGGCTCGTTTGAAGCTTCGACGTGTGCCAATGAATTTGTACTATTCCGAGGATAACATGAAAGCTTCCCAGCTACCAGGATCAGCACGAGCCGATGAATATGCATACCAGGTGATGATAATTGAAGACTTGGACGATGGCCGGGTTCATAGTTTCGAGGAAGATGAGCCAAAGCCTCATTCTTATGAGGGCATTGCTACTGTCGGTATCCGAGAGATTCTGCCCATTCACCAGATCTCCAAGATCTTCTACGCAGATACAGGTCGGATTCTCAACATTAATACTGAAGGGGAAACAAACAACCCAGTGATCTTATTAAAGAGAGATTTGAATGCTCTACCGCCACGTCGAACGATGGAACGAGGAGATGTTGAAGACGACCATGCTTCTCACAATTCGGATGATGACTCGGTAGATGAAGAGCAAGCACAGCTCGACGCTCAGTTACATGGAACCGGCAATTCTGACAATGACAGCTTCCACTCTCTCCACGAAGACTCAATTCCTGCAGAATGGCGCCTGCCTCCTGGCCTTGATCCCGAGTGGATTGCATTTGAAGTGTACAACGAAGACGAAGACTCCGACACAGAGTCCGAATCAGAGAATCCTCCACGGATCCCGACTGCGGAACCTGACCCAAGCATGATGGCAAAATTATCTTTGAGTGACAAGTTTGCTTCTTTATCGGCATCTCCAACCATCAACAAAGATATCGCCCAGTCTACTTCACTTACCACAACCGTCTCCAACCCCATGTTCGAAAATATCCGCACATCCCTCTCACTCCTCGAAACGCTCCTCCGCCTGACCTCCCTCCAACAATTCCAGCAACAATCTCATCTCTCTATCAGTGACGAACTCCTCAACTTCTTCCTCGAGGAATCCTCGACAACTGGTGCTGGCGGCGACGAACAACATCGCCAAAGACTCCGCTCCGAAGCCCGTCGTCGTGTGGGCTGGGACCCATACGATGAAAGCCCCGTCAAGCACCGCGGTGAAGATTATCAGTACGGCTGGGGTTCCGGTAGTCCCTCTGCGTACCAGCGTGAAGCAGAAGAAATCTACACGCCTGGTGGCACGTCACATGGTTATCAGATTCGATCGAGAGAAAGTACCCCAGAAACACCGACGCAGAGACGTGGCTCTCCTTCCACACGCTTGGATCGGAGTCGGCCAAGTGGGCTGAGGGGTATGACACCGGCATATGCTGAAGGCGAGGGATCGAGACAGAGTTCGCCACGGGCTAGGAAACCGAGGAGTGCCGCAAAAGACAAAGATACTCGAACTAGAACGGCGGAGTAATGGGTTGCCTCGCGGAACTTGAAATTTGTATGATTACGAACGCCAACTTGTAATGAGTACGGTCTTAAGAAGATAGATTTATTACGCTGAGCTGAATAATAACCTTGGAATACACTTCATGAGTTCATAGAAGTCCTAGTCTTGTCGTAGAGCGTTGCAAGGTCGAAAGTATTCTGTATATACGCAGTTCTAGACGTCCCTATAGAGACACACAAACAGAGTACTCAATTCCAGGAGATAGTATGTAATAGGTAGCAGGCAATGTGCATGTTCAATGATTGAACAAGGAAGGATAGCACTAGATGTCGATCGCTGAAGTCAAACTACAAGAACAAAACTGGGAATAAGAACACTCCACAGAACGCCTATGAACCAAAAATAATAACCAGACGCCGGGAAGTAACCTTGAAAGATACGATACGGATTCACGAGGGGGAAATTTTGGCTCAACAAAGAAACGGTACGATCTCACACCCGTGAATATGATGAAAGGGTAGATATAGTCTACTCCCAGTCGTCGTCACTGTCCTCGGCTTTTGAGTCTGTAGTAGGACTCTTCTCTTTGGGACTACCAGGGGTTCGACTAGCAGCACCGCTCACAACATCGTAGCTTGATTCGCTGTCGGCCTGGGACTGTTGGTCGTTGGATCGACGAGGCTCGATTTTCTGGGCTTCCTTGCTGGGGGCGAGATTCTGGGTACCAGGATGAACCTGGGGGGTGGAGGGGGACTCGGATTCAGAGTCAGAGTCATCATCCCAACCGACCTCTTCGTCGTCGGCGTTGGCACCTAAGAAGATTAGCTACAAGATCAAAACACACAATAGAAAACCCTCGAGACATACCCTTTAGAAGTTCCTTGCGCTTCTGCTCTTCAGTTTCAATGACAAGACGTAGGAAGTAGTACCGAGTCCAAAAGTCTGCGTACTCTGCTGTCTCAGGGACAAGCTTCTCCATAGCAGACCGGAGCTCAGGGTACTTCTCCAAGTGAGAAGCGATCTCAACAGTCTTGGCATCGACACTGAATTCATTCTTAAACTCCGCGTACTTGTCACTAGCAGGGTCCTTGGTAAAGCTATCCAAGTTCGAGTGAATAACATGCAACTGCGCATCGAATCGAGTCGCATGGATCACCCGTTTACCATCTGCATCCTTACTCTCGAAAAGAAGCTTCCCGGATTCATCCGTCTCGGGTGGGAGAATGCTGACAGCCTCTCGGAGCTTCTGGCTGATGTTCAGTCCGAACCGTAAGATTGCCTCGTCAGCAGCCTCCTCCGCCTTTTCGATCTCTTTGAGTCGGCGCGCAGCTTCAGCCTTGAAGCGGGAAATAAATCCCTCGCTGTTGGAGCTACCAGCCTGGGCTTCTTCCTTGGGTTCACCTTCTCCGGAGGCGGTCGGTGTGGCAGCCTCATCCTTGTTTCCTTCATTGCCACCGGTCAATGTTGCGGTGCTGAGAGAGAGCCCCTTTGTCCGATCAACAATAGTGTCTCGTAGACCAGAAATACCCTTTACTGCCTCCTCACTTGCTGCAGCATATTCCTGTCGAGCTCCTTCGTAATAGCTCTCACCCTGCTTGCGGACGTTATCCCAGAGTCCTCCGATTCGAGTACCCCACGGACTGGCGGAGAAAGCGCGGAATGTCTCTTGGAATTCGGTGTTCAGGTTAATGTTGGGATTTTCGGTACTGGAGGAGGCAGTACCCTCCTCCTTGTTAGAAGAGAGGATCTCCTCTTGAATGTGGTCGTATGCGATATCCATGGTGCCCAGTGAGGGGGTTGAAGGGAGGAAAGTTGTAGCTTCGGAACAAACAATTGAGGTTGCACCTCCGCGTTCGTCCACGGGCCGACCGCCCCGCTTTTTGCAGATCAATAAGTATCAAACATGACATTCCCCTTGCAGAGGATTTTGACCAATGAGTAACTTGAAATGTTCAACGTTCGCTCATAAATATGAGATATGAATATGTTCGTGGCTGAATATCATTTGATCTACCTATCTATAATATACGCTGTATGTACTAGAATGATCAATCATGATGCAAATATTCAAGCTCAATATGAGGTAAATGCTAAACAATTTTCTGAGAGCATAAGAACTTTCAGGGATTATTAAAAAGGAATAATAATAGTTGAAGACCTCGGAGCTTGATATGGCCAAGTGCTAATCAAGTTTCAATGCATATTACTAGAGAGCAGGTATAAAAGAATGTCATAATTCATCATCAATACTGTAGTCAAATAACTCCCATATTAACTAAATACTGTAGGGTTCTCCCACACTATCCTGACTGCCCATCCAGAAATTAGGCAATGGAACACTCTCCATGACGCTCGAAGTCAAAAGTTGACTACGCGATAGAAGTCTGCCAGCACCAGCATCATCGCCTCGTTCAACAGGCTGAGAGGATTCAACTTGAACAATTGACGCCGGAACATGAGGGCGTTGAAACACGACCTGACTTGCTTCCGTCGTGACATCCTGTTCTCGCGCCGGAGACGACTCTGGTACAATCTCAGGCTCTTCTCCTTCTTGACTTTGTGTCTGACTTTGCAAGAAAGGGCCAGGGAATTTTTGATATGAGAGGTCTGGCTTATGTGCAGATCCAGATCCAAACTTGGTGTATTGTGTGGCTCCCTCGCTTGGGAATAGCTCGGAGAGTTTTTGGGTGTTGAGTGTCGGTATAGGTTCGTGAGGAAATTGGGTAGCTGGCAACCTTTGATAATAAAGAGAAGCATCTGACATTGGGGCTTCTGATTGTGGGCCATCATCCAAATTACTAGAAAATCCATCCCCAGGCAAAGGAAGCTCTTGCGACTCGTCGTCGAACAATGGCTCTGAGTTCTGATCTTGCTCATGTGTATTTTCGACTTGAGATTCTTGCACTCTAGATGGTGTCCCAGGAATTTCGTTCAAGTCATACTCAGAATCGCTTTGGTTGGTTTCGGCATCAGTCTCATACACCACTGTTCTCTCTCCCTGAGTACGCGGTGGTTCCTGATCATTCGATCTTTGATTCGTCGATTCATCCGATGCTCCGCACAATGCTAGCTCTTCAGCAAATGTTGCAGGATTCTGAGTTGATGTCGTCAACCCTCGAGGTAGGCTAGCTCTAGGAGTTTTCCCAGGAGATGAGGATACCTGACATTGATGGTCTTTCGCTAGTTGTGGAGATTTTGCAGGCTCTCCCTTGACGCGATTTTGGGAATAATGTGCGGAGTTAGGGGATTTCCGTTTTAATGGAGAGCGAGTCGCACTGCGAAATTGAGACGATGTAATAATGGCAAGCCCCGGGCTTTCGGGTGATTGAGAGGATGGCACCTCGAATTTTGGATGACGCGGTGTCATTGGGCTTTTAGGATTTGATTTCTCATGTGAGACACTTCCATTTTCCGCCGCCTGACTGGTTCCTGGATCTGATATTGGTTCTCCTGTGGAAAGATCCAATTCTGCCTCCAATGCTCGGCGGGTACGCTTAACAGAAGTGGGAGTAAGTCTTTCCTTGATCCTCGGATTCTTGCTCTCGAGTCCCTTCGGGATCTTCTCGACTGAATGTTCCGTAGACAGATATCCCAAATTCACGTCGTCATCATCGTCAACAATCGGGATAAACCGTCGTACGAAGTGCATTTGCGTCAAGGTCTTGTTATCGGATTTTTCGGTGGACTTTCGCTTGCCCTTTGGTCCAGCACTAGCTCTAGGTGTCTGACTCTTGCGTATGCTCTCACCCCGGGCCGTCATTTTGCTGCTTTGCGTGGCGCTTTTTCGACGCCTTTTGGGGTGATCATCATTTGATTCGAAGGTCGAACGGGCTGACCTAGCCTGCAGTGGAGGCTTGTATTCGGTATCATCATCGGAATTCTCGTTCAACGTTTTCGACTCATTGTGTTTGGTATTCGGCCTTTCGTCGCCATCGAGGTATTGAAGTTCTTCTTGGTCGTCCGGCTGTGTTGTCTGTGTCACGAAATCGATCTGTGTAAGGGTTGACTGAGCGTGTGAACCGAATAGAGGGGCTTTCTTCCGGGGATGTTTTGACGCCGATACGCGAGGAGATGCCGTTCGTTTCGAAATAGTGTTTTTGGAGATTCTTGCGGTTGATGGAAGACTGAATCGCGACGGAGTTTCGAGGTGAGTTTGTGGTGTTTCAGGCGGTTTATTTGACCTCTGATTATGTGTCATCGCAGCTCCAGATAGGCGTGAAGTTTTTGCAGAATGACTTGGTCACCGAGAAAGATTGGTATTGACCTCCAAATCATGACGCTTATGGTAAGTGGGCCCGGAAGCCTGGAGAAGAACGACCCTCGCGTTGAGCGCGTCAAGGGCGAGACACAGTCACGTGTTTATATTGATATAAAGTACCTATATAACCTTGGGACAATATAATCTATCCATCTTATTAATTCATAAATTAAATTTGGATTACTCTGTACAAATGACTTTATATTAGAAATCAATATTTACTATTGGCCTTTGAAAAAGTGACCTCCGCGGGCCTTTAAGGGTGCTTGAAGGATAACTTACGGAAACTGGACTTGGGCTGGAATAATTCTTACATTGCCCCCGGATGGATGTGCATTCCGGTGGTTAAATTCTAATAGTACATGTTCGAATGTTGATTCTTCTAACTCCACATGGGTTCATCCGTGTCCGGAAAGAACCCACCGCCACCCTCAGCTGAGCCGTCACTCATGTCCTCCGCAAACGAAACTTCTTCATCACGTTGCTCATCATCTGATGCGTAAGCTTGGACTCGTCTCGCAATTCGTAGTTTCAACAGGAACAGCCGCCAAAGTCGGAGAGTTTCAGCGGTTTTTGCTTCAACGGCAGCCTGCTCTCTTTCATCATTCATGCTCTCCATCACTTCATTCAGGGCTTCCTCATATTCCGCGGCAATGACAATACCGGTGATGACAGCAGTTCCACGTCGGCCTTTGAAATTGAACCCAGTGACGGCATCTGAAAAGTCAACGCCCAGAATTCGTGCTGCCTTCGATGCGTCAGGTGATTTGATGTGAACTCCTCCCTGCGGCACCATGCTAGGGACATAGATATCGATGTTCCTGAAAATATTTTTTGGAACCCGACCATCCACCACTGGTGGAGGCACGTAGATCTTTGTTTGGGATTCTGCATAAAGAGCACTTCCTCGGTCATCCTCGTCCTCGTCACTGGCAAAGTCATTTTTAGGACGAGCAGTAGTGACGTGTTTCATCGGCTGCTCTCCCTCCTTGAGTTCCCGTCCCAGTCGATACCATTTAGCCGCGCTGCGCACAATGTGTACATTTGCTCGACGATAGACAGCTTCCGACGTTTTACCCTTGCCCGTAGAAACACGGCCAGTGACATGCTCCGGATAAATCACCTCGTTGCGACGCAAATGTCTTTTGAGCGCAAAGAAAGGGTGGTCTTTAAAGTCTTGGATGTTGTTAGGCATTGGTTCGGAAGCAACCATGTTAGTCATTGCGGTAATTTCATCGACATCTCGTTCGGAAAGTCTCTTTTTTTTCGAATCTTCCCATCACTCGTTTCCACCATTCTTCTCCCTTTGGGACAGATTCAACGCGGAGTTTACGTGTTTTGGCGTTGAAAAATTTTGTGTATCGCCGTGTAACGTCTCTCGCGGATCCATCAGCTTCGAAAGCAACAACATAGTTCATGCTATTGTGTAGGTTGTTGGCTGGAGGCTCCAACGAGTTGGGCTCTGGAAACTTGGCCCATTCTACGTATCGATTGACTGGTTTCCCGAATGGCTTGACTGGTTCCCAATCTTTTGTACCTTCATTGAATACCTCTACCCAATACACCGGATAAGGGGGTATGGGGCGTATCACAATTTCTTACCAAATGTGAGTTCAACTTCAGCACAAAAAATGGTTGGAAAGACTTACCTTGGGATGGCGAGGGATCGGCTGGGACGGATTTAGCTGGTGCGTTTTTGAACTGGGGGCGCCCAATTCGTTGGATTCTTGCGGGCTGAGAAGGGTTTGCGGATTGCTGCTGATCATTTGGAGATGTGTCGTCGTCGGAAACTCGAGTGGGCGTTTGTGCCGCTTTCGATGGCATCGTGTTCTTAGATGTGCCTGAGAATGGCAACGGCTGCAGGGAGCATACTAGCCTTGTCTCTACACCGAGGCCACGGAGGATACAGCAAAACAATTGGGTTCCAAAGTCTTGTGAGCCTTCAAGCTTTCTTGCAGCATTCTGAAAATCTTCTTTCTTCCAAGATGACTCGTAGTCATACATCATTGACTCCTATATAGATCAATGTCAGCATATTCTTTGAAGATTTCCATCAAGTGCTAGGTACCAATACCATTCTTGCTTTCAGATGTGATCGGTTTTCTTCCCAGTGCGCCCGACTTAATCCCTTTTTCAAGACAAGAAATTCATCTTCAAGGTCATAAGCCACTTCAGTGACTCCAGTCTTGAATTTTTTTGAATATCCGTGAGGTGGTTTATCTTTAGTCCCACCGGTGCGTAACATGGCAGCGGCTCTCTCCGAAATCTTGCTTTTCAGAAATTGCTAGATACATGTTAGAATAAATTCTACCTGCTTTAGCTTTCAATACAAACCTGCGTCGAAGAATCATTGCACCATGCATTGCGCCATGCCACATGAAACAATAAGCCAACCAAATGAAACTTGTGGAATTGAAAACGCCGTGCCCTGTCAGCAGCTGTGAGAGGCTTTCTTTTGGTCGATGGCTTTTTGGGAGCCTCGGTCTCATTATCCAATAAAATTTGCAAAGTCTCGTCTCTGTCTTGTACTGCATCGGGGGCGAGAGAAGGTCCGGGTGCTGATACATCCTCCCATTCAATGTCCGATTCGTCTTCAGTTGTAGAGTCGTAGACCGTTTGCAGCTCCCTTCGAGGAGACTGAGCGATATCTGATTGCTTCGACGTAATCTCGGTTGGTAATTTTGATGGAATGGAAACGGGTGCAGCCTTGGTCCCAGCTCTGCGTCTCTTGAGTGGTTGGTGATCTGATCTGAACTGCTCAGGGTCGCGTGCTTCAGCCTCATTTAGCATTTCCTGGTAAACATCTGAAACTTCGTTTTCGTCATCGATTTCGCGTGATTTTCCACGGCCCGACTGACGACCTCGGCCTCGGCCACGGCCACCAGCTGCCCTACTCCGGCTGGAGCGGGTCGCGGGTTGGCGTACCATACCTGACGTTCAGGTATTGGTGCACCCGACCCTCCGGCCCTTCGTTGGTGTTGATTTTGTAGGACTATCTTCAGTAGACTTGAGATATGTATCCGAAACCTGCTGATAGTTAATTTGTCTCTTCGGGGTGGAAGCTTGCGACCAAGCTAGGGAAACGCGAACGAGGCAAATTGATTTGTTGGTTGAACCGTGGGGCCCGATATGCGTCATAGGCGCGTTTGGGGGTTTTATTATACCGCCTTGGTGACCAGACCATACTTTGTACATTGTAGTACATTTTCAAGTTGTGGCTGTGCCATTTTCTTCTGCAATTGACAGACGACCTGACACCTGGGCAGTATTGAGAGTTATTCAAAATTATTTCTTCTTATGATCTACTTTATCTACCAAATAGACACAATCACCTAAGGTACATGTAGCATTAGTCTTATTTGATGAACGAGTATACTGGTAGCTTAAGAAGCTTTTTTCTCACCTGTATACTATACTATCTGTGGTCAACATTGTATATCACCATCGACGTCTATTCACATATGTAGTCCTCAAATATTGGATAGCAGTATAAATGAAACTTTTGTAGTGAGCGACAAGGGTCTATACATAAGCAATGATAGTTCCCTGACCGTTTAGAGGAGATTCACAGCGACCCAAAATGCCTTTTATCTATATTTATTAATTGATGCATTTGCATTACAAAGTTTTGCTCTCACGGCACAATTCAATGTGCTAGTCAGAATATCTTATTCAAGTTTTCTTTGGGTGAACAGAGACCTCGAGGTGTGCCGATGGACTAACATTACCAATTGCACAGGTGAGATTAGAATGTTGTCGTTCGATAAATTTGGGTTTCTTCACAAATTAGGGCTTCGAAAATCATACAAGACGGTGAAGCCATTTGGTACCCAATTAAAAAGCTAGGCCTCAAATTATAGCTATAGTTACTCCTACTATTATAATAATTGGTCGTGCTAGTTGACCGGTTCTTCATCTAAAGCAAGTATTTGGAGTCACTACTCAATATTAAGACGATCTCAATCAATTTTGAAATTATAGAGATGATCATCTCAGGCTATTCCTTGAAAATCATGATAGATAATAAGTTATTTTAACTTATCTGGAATCTGATGAAGAGATCTCAATGTACGGAGTATACTCCGCAAGCCCCGGAGTGACAGCTGATTGATTGGCTTGATCTGTATCCTCATCAATCAGCAAGGGGCACCTAGCGCCTCACAGATATCCCCGCTAGATTTGCTTGGTCTTTCTTCCGATCCCGATCTCGATCTATCGGGGACTCCGAATTACATTTTGCGGTCAACTCGATAAACTCAGCCCCAGATGGAGAGCAAGATTGCCGTGGTGGCGAGTGTACAAGCCACATATGAGTAACTAGTACCTGTGGCTTACGCGCAAGGAGAGTAGAAGTAGAAGAATCCTTTGAGGGGGAAAAGATCCTATTGGTTTCTTTCTTTTTTTTTGAACCGTTTAGTTGCTACCTAGGTATTTTTTGTGGCAAGTGAGCACTATTCGGCATTTGCTACCATCTCTATCTTTGGATTTATCCTGATCTGGATGAATCTGTAAAAAGAATATGGAAATCACGGCAAGTCTTGACCGCATACTCCAACTGTCAAAAATCACAATCGGTATTGATCTCTTTAGTCTGTACTACGAAAAAGTTCCGTTTTCTATCCAATATCTACAAGTGGAGATTCCTGACTGATCCGGAAAGCCACGATCTCAGGCTTCCAGTACTCCCACATCATTGGATGGCAAAGTGATGTACACCTACACGCGCCTGATCTACACAAACAATTATTTTTCCCTTCCATATCGCTCTCGCTTACAGTTGGCAGCAGAGCGACCCGTGTCATTCATGCAGGACCTCCTCTAGAGGGCTCTCGTCCAGCGTGCCGATTGGCCCAAGTGTCCACTAAAAGTAAGCGTATATGGAGTAGCGATGATAGAGTTCCGACATCGTAGTTGATTCCAAATACTATGACGGGATGGCTAGGCCCTCTTTTCTTTATTCTCTCTCTTCAAGTTTTGTCTCCGCTTGAGCAGATTCCTCACTTCTCCGTTCTCGTATCTAATGATTGGATATTCCAGCGGTTTAGTTCGTGTGCCCCATAGACCAAGTTGGAACGTGCTCTTAGCCGAGTGAATGTTCCGCGTGTGTGGGCCTTTGGCGGATCTTCGACAAGTTCCCCGCAGCAATAGATGGCTTTCATGCCTTAATAGTACTTAGAACCATGGAACCGTAGTCGTAACGCCGTATTTCGCCTCCATATTTGGCAGTTTTCAGCTCTCTCGTCACCAAAGTTCGATAGGCGACGACAATGGGTGCATTATGGAGTAGATACGTCAGTAAATTGAGGGGCTGGTTTGTGGAGAAAAAAGTACCAGTGGTATTTGTCACTGAAGCGGTCTACTACGTACTTTACCCTGCCACCGGAATTGAAAGATTTCTCTATTTGAAATGTTCTGCGAGCCACGTAGCCTTTGAAATGATGTCTTGAGGGTGACGAATGGAGATAGCGGCGGAGAAAGGGGCGTAGAGAGGCCTGCATATGGATCCGGCCAATTGATCGAGGTGAAAAAATCCTGGAATCTTCATTTTTTTTATTGTTTTGTCTTAGTGAGCTATAAATGGAAAACGGGGCCGAAACGAGGCCGAACATAGTTCTAGACAATGACAAATTGGTTTGGTTTACGAGGTAAGTATTCGGCATATCTGGTCTTTTTATCTGAACCGATACATCTCTTTGACTGGGAGCTGCCTACTACTCCGTAGGTATGTGCAATAAACAAAGCTTAAGAACACCCAAGTGTTTCAAATTTGGACCAATTTGTCATGATTTGATCGTATTTTTATATTCCATCGGTTCTTTTCTGAGCCTCCTGATGCAATATGCAGGGTGCCATGCATTGACGAAGGGAGTACGGAGTATATGGTGTAACTTCAAGTTGATAATAATGAACTACAATCTCAAGCTATGACGGTGTTCTCCGTGTGTACTCCGTACCAACCTTGGAACTGTTTGGACCCATCTAGTACCGGGGAGAACGAACCAGCAAACCCTTTCATTAGCAAATAATTTCCCTTCACTTTTTCTCCGCGGCATCGGGGATGAACCGATCCGATCACCGGTTCCACCATAAACAAAGCAAATCCTATAATCCATCGGAGTATTCGGGGGCCTGATTAAAAAGAAAAATAAGCTAAAATAAACTAAACTATATTTGATCAAAGAGTCCATGAGTGAAAGCAGTCAATCATTATTCAACAAACTTCTTGTTAAATGTCTCCACTACAAAGGAGACTCGGTCGCAATGGGCCGACGCGTGCAGAAGGATGATTCCTTCGCGCCCGTAGAACCACATCATAGGTAACAACGCTCTTGCACTTCAATCTGCCGGCAAGACGAAACAGAATTAGAGCCGATGAAACATTCTTCAGAAGTACCTGATCTCCCTTTAGGACTCCGAACTGCTGGGAATGGCCCCTGCGCCGGCGGTACCGACACTTTGGATCCCGTCACTTTCCTAGTAGTCGGGTCGACCAGGATGGCTTTGACTCGTCCGATTGTGAACAAAGGCCCGGAGTTCCCTTTGAATGGAATCCCAGTGCCATGGACAAACCTGGGGCCTTCTTTAGCTATGGAATATGGAGAACGGAAATATAAATGCAAGGGTACTATTTTGGCCATGAATTTGAAGTTTTCCTTACCCGTATTCCCAATTATTATTAGGTACTTTTATTCTTTCCGTTGGTTTATTTTTATTTTATTTTATTTTACTTAATTTTTATTTTCTCTTTTCGCCCTACTTTCGGGGTACTCCGAGTATTAGAAGGCTAGGAGGTAACCCCCAGCATCCTAGTACTACTACCCGTACAAGAGTAGTTTGGACCCCAAATTACAGATTATGGGGTAGGACGGAACGCTCGTATCCTCGAATAGTTAGTAGGCTGCAATCATGCATTCCCTGGAGTGTTTGGATCGACAGCTACTACTAGTACTGGAATTTGTATTTGACCGAAGACAACCTTGGAAGGTTCCATCATGATATGAGAGGCGTAAGGATATCATGAGTAGCATAATTACTCCGTACGGAGTACAGAAACGAACTGCAGCGGTTAACCCTGGAACCCAAATAGATTTACAAGGCTACGAATTAGACCAGGGTATCATGATTATCATGATTTTCATTATTTTCATCCCAAATCCCGGATCGTCGGAGTATTTTCCCATCTCCCGTCAGTGCAGAACTTCCAGATCCCGAACCAAACCCCGCCCCAGATTGATCTATCTGGTCTGTGTGAATTTTTTTTATTTCTTCTGATCTCTGTGGAATTAATTTTTGATCCCTTTGCTTTTTCCCCTGGTGCTTATTTATGCAGCTTAATAAATCAATGATATCATTAATCAAACTTGAAAAAGCCACCAGGTGGGTAACTAAAATCAGGAACTGGAGGAGCATCAACCGTGGGCCCTCCGCGCCATAGAGGGGTGTGCCCAGACGTCTAGATTTTGCAGCACAGGGGACGCTAATTCTGACAGATCAATTTGTCCACCGCTAGATCAAATATAGAATTCTTTGAGACGGAATTAATTGTCAGCCGATAGTTCAGTTCATTGTTCTGGTTACTCGAGACTTTCCCTGTAATTAAACCAAGCTATTCCATACTTGGCTTATTATTATTTTTTCATGCAATTTCAAGATGAAAACAATGATAAAGTCCCGAGATTCAAGTTGGAGTCACCCGGAAAATTGAGAGGCAAGGAGTAATGTACATAATGTACCTACGGAGTGCACGGAGTACGGAGTATAACATTTGAACATTGAAGATGCCAGTGCTCACTATAGAATGAGTCCTGATGTACCCCGTATAGAAGAAATTGATGAGGCAAGTGCTAATTAGCGAGGCTTTCATGTCTCCATGATTACGGAGTAAACAGCCTTCCTTTTGTATTTCCGTATAGGACCCAGAATTACTGTCAACTCCACCCTAGAGGCGCCTCCACTATCGCTCTGCGGGGCCGATGATTCCCATTCAATGGTTGATCAAAGGAATTTCTTATCACGGTGGTCATTCCTCTCTCGATCTAGTATGGTAGCCGGACCTTTTTATCCTAATTTTTTTGTTTTTGATTTTTAATTTTTGCGAGCGAAACCCTCGACACGATACCACTTTGCATATATTGCTTTTCACGGAACCAGACTGTCGGGGACAAATGACGACTAGGATCACCCATGCAGCGTTCATGCACACATGTTTGAGAAGCGTGTTTTTTTTGTTCTTTTTTTTTCAGATACATGTATGTACTCGGCGAGATTCCCAGGATACAGGGTAAAAGCGGCCCGTGGCTGGCCCGGTTATGAATACCCAAACCGCTGGGACTGTTAACCATTGGTTAATCTTGCCTGCAAGTTCCAAGGTTCAAGAAGCCCTTGAAAGCTGATTCATGCAAGAAAATCCAAGATGATTCAATTATAAAATCAAAATCAAAATCAAAATATAATAAAATAGTAAACCTTTTTTTTTTTTTATGACGGACCCCAAAGGGTCCACAATCAAAAGAAAATGGAGCTTTTGTTTGCAAAGTTTAGCGGAGAAAAGACCCAGACATATCGATTTGGGGATATTAACCTAGTTTATTTGATTTACTTTATGACCGAATCAGTTTAAAATTTGGTTCAATTTCTTTTTCTTCCTTTTTCTTTTTCTATTCTTTTTGTCCCAGGATCTTGGGACACCCCAGCACCTGGATATTTTAGTTTCCGATCTAGAGGGAAATAAAACAACTATAAAACAAGGTGAAAGAAAATAGAAACCCAAAATAAAGTAAAAAAAAAAAAAAAAGCAGAATTCGAATAAATAAGGGTTCTAAATCAAATGTCACTAAGACTCGGATCGACCGCGCTCGAACCACCAAACAAGGAAAGGATCAATTCATTCATGTGGATTTTATGCGTATCGTGTAATTCCACCTGAGCAGTCTCCGCTTCAGTACTCTCCGTATGTGGGAGATCGAGATGATTTTCTCGATTTCTCTTGCTCTGGGAATCTTTTTTCCTGGCCCTAATTCCTGTTTTCTACCAAACAAAATGTATCATAATAAAATAAAATAAAAACCCTTAATTCCTAAAATTCTAAAAATTTACTATAATTCTGAAATTAAATTACCATGAGTGCAACTAAGATTTTGATTCTGACCCATATTTTTTTTGTTGAACTAATTTTTTTCTCCTTATCTTCTGTCTCTTTCTCTAGCTCATTCTTTCAAGTGACGGGCCAAGATAAGTCCGTAAATAACTTGAAATAAAACCACAGCAAAAAAAGACGAGGTTATATTCCCACTTTTCAAACTACACCAACCGCCACCGCTTGATCTTTTGCCCTAGAAAGCACTGGTGTATGCATCTCTACAAAGCGGAAATACGAATTTATTTCATGGTTGTCCGCCGCCCGAAGCGCTCCCCCGCTAAAGATTCCCTGCCCGACACTCTGACGTCCCATGGATACCCAGTATAGTCTGGCTTAACTTTGTTCCCCATCCTATGCACGCCCTTGACTCCACTCCCCCCTGCGGGCCTTGGTCTTTGCGACATTTTGAATGTCGATCCCACCCCGGCAGCTTGCCAACATTTAGTTTATAGTTGCCCGGATCAGCTTCCCGTCCTGCCAAATTATAACTTAACCCGAGCTGTCGGGCTCGCCCATGAAATTGACATTCCCCCCTCTTCCCCCGAAAACCCATTCAACCTTGCTCCAATTTTGGACTCCGAAACTTTGGCCCTAGCCCTCTCATCATCCACTCTTCTCTTCCCCCCTCTTATCCACCATATATCGTCGGAATTTCCCCACTGAATACCACTGAAAGTCAATGCTGATCCAGTGTGGGACATGATATGGTGTATCGCTAAATTTCTTGATGCTCTCGCCTATATCAGTACTAGCCCCTCGCTATCCTATATACTAGACCCGCGATAACTCCGTTTTGAGTGGAACGAGTATTAAGCGCTCGTTTCCCACCTTCTCGCGGATCTTCTTCCATGTCCCGTTTTCTATCTCCCTTAGACACTTCGGCCGGTTTGGAGCCGCTGTTCATCCTTCCTCTTCCGCCCTCATTTGGGTTGGTATGCAAGCAATCGCCTGCCTCGGTTCATTCCTCTGGATATAGATCCGAGGCAGACATGATGAGCCCCAAGTCTTCTGTAAGTATTATCTCATCCGTGAACTCAAGTGCTTCTGTTGTTATTACCGTGAGCTCGTGATATTTCGGTTTTTCTCCTTCAAGAAATTTGGGAAAATTGAATTGTTCACGGGACCAAGGTTCTTCCCTCAACATTATATACCACAAGTTGCTGACGTAGAATACGCAGGAACCAAAGAGTGAATGGTATGACCATCTTGTCTATTTAGGATCTGTCCATCATGATTCTACCTATTCTCGAAAGATCAACTAACAAGATGACGACAGTGATACGCAGTCCCTGACCGACAGTGTAACAGACTATCCCGTGGAGAATGGAAGACGGTATCACAAGTACCATGAAGGATGTAGGTCACTCAACTGCACCATATATTACTAGTATACTCTTCGGGCTTTTCTGACCAACCTAACAGTATATCCATACCCTAATGATGAACAAGAGCTTGATCGATTGGACTTGCAACATCACATGTTCAGAATGCTCATGAAGAATAAACTATACCATGTACCCCTTGAAAAACCACTTGAAATCCTTGACATCGGCACTGGATCTGGGATATGGCCGATAGAGATGTGTATGAGTCCTTCGCTTCTCGCTGACTGATACCGCATGTGTGTGTCACCTTCATAAAAAAAAGGCTAATGAATCCTCTCCACACCTCGCAGCCCAGATTTTCCCCAATGCCACCATTACAGGAACTGATCTTTCACCGGTTCAACCAACAGAAGTTCCCGAAAATGTTCACTTTCTGGTAGATGATGCCACAGAAGAGGAATGGCTCTGGGAACCAAACACTTTCGACTTCGTTCACATTGGACACATGACAGGCGCTATGCCATCCTTTAAACAATTATTACGACAATGCTACAAGCATCTCAAGCCAGGTGCTTATATCGAGTGTCAAGAGTTAGATCCTAAACCGAAGTGCGATGACAATACCATGCCACCAGAAAATCCAGACGGATATAGTGCCTTCGCACTCCATGACTGGGTTGATTTAAGCGTGCGGTCTAGCCAGACCGTTGAACCATGTCGCCAATTTCGAATCGCACATCGCATTGAACGGTGGATGAAGGAAGTAGGCTTCGTGGATATTGAACTACGGAAATTCAAACTTCCAACCAATCCATGGCCAACCGATGAACACATGAAGCAAATCGGGGTATGGAGTGAGAGAAACTTTCTTGAGGCATTATCTGGTTGGTCATATAAGCCGTTCCTTGCACTAGGTTGGTCCAAACCTGAAATCGAAGTCTTTCTCGTGGATGTGAGGAAGAGTATTCAGGATAGGAATGTGCATGCCTACATGGACTACTATGTGGTAACTGGCCGGAAACCACTGGAATGAGTCGATGAAAACGAGAAAAAAAAGAAGCGGCAAGCGCTAAATCAAAAGTTGAGATGAAACCTTGTGTGGAAAAGGACGTGTTTTCTTTTCCCTTATGACGACCATTACGCTGTTCGATAACCTTGGAATGTCTTCGCTGAGATGATTAGCATGATACCAGTGGCGGGCGAATAACATTTTGCATTGCATTGGCGCTTGGGAGGATTTTTGCATTTTCTATTTTTTGCATTTACGACATTGAAACATCAATTGGTCTCATTTGTACATTCGTTCTCTTATATATGACATATTTTTTTTTTTTTGTTTGCCAGTGGTGGTTGGGGTCTTGGAGATCAACAGATGCTTCAAGTTGGACATGGCAAAGTTACAAGGGAGGTATTCTGTCTACCATGTATTTACGTATTATGAAAGCATTAGCATATACTTAGACATATCAACAGTCATAAGCAACATTTCAATATGGAGTCTCCTAAGTATCAGTGATAGCGATGGCGATCTATACCTTGGTATTGATGCTGCCGGTGTTATAGTAAATTAGTGCCGTTTGATTGGGTGGCTGGGAGGATTAGTCATGTGCCAAGAAACCCCGTCCGAAGCTGCTTCCAAATGTCGATGAAAGGTGAAAGGTGCCCTGCCAAATCGCCAATGCTGCAATTGGCTTACATATGCCATATCGCAGCTCATGTCTTTTGGTAGGCATGCCTACCGTCAGGCGTTGAAGCCCCCGGTAATTCCAACTCCGGATCATCCCTGGGTCAGTGACGATTTACTCGCAGCGACCTTCCGCCGATTTGCTCATGGACAGCGACGCCATGGCAGCTGTGTTCCCGGTCCCTTGGAAGCAAGAAGGCGTCTTGCGAAACGTCGGAATACAGCTCTAGCTGGATTCGGAGGAGCGGCAGCAGATGATATCGCGTGCTTGTTTGGACGCAATGGGAGAGAGCATATGAAGTGGACCGACCACTCGTGGCAGCGAACGCATATCGACACCCAAGGTAAGAATATGAGAGATAACTTGCGAATGAAAATTCAAAGTCTAACTTTTTTATTAAGATATGAGCAGCTATGCTTTTGCAACAGCCGATACCTCGCTTCCATTTTACGACCATAATCCCGAACCTATTGACCCGCGTGTCCCCGAAGAACATACCTCACATTTGCCAAAAAAGAAAGAGCTCAGCCAGGCGCAACTGTTCGAACAATTTCTTGATCGCAGTGATTGGGGAATTGAAGATGCTAGAGACACGGCTCGCCTGCTTGGAATCGATCTTCAGCGAGAGCCAGCATACAGTCGACAAATATTCGACAGATTGCTCATGCGGTCCAGTACGAACTTGACGCAAGCAATTCAGTTTCTGGAAGATCCATTTTTGAATACTCGAGGCTCTGGGAATTATCTTGCTGCAGTCGAGCTGTTTGTTCGATCGAAAGCAAGGCGTTCTAACCGAGTGGCCGTGCTCAATGCAATCTCGCGTGCCCTCGAACTGGGATTGGTCCCCTCGGACGAAATCTCACAAATTGTCAAGGCTTTGCCGAACATTATTGTTGAGCGAAATAAGACTCTGAGATCATGGGATACAATAACATTATTAAAGCATTACCGCTCCATGTGGAAAGCCATTGGGAAATGCAATATTCTGGGATATGGTGAACTCGATAAGGAGATTGTCAACACTTGGCTTGAAGAGTTGATAAGCATTGGTGAATTCCATTTCGCAGGTGAAATTACAGTCGCAACCCATGATGCCGGCTCAGATATCTATTGGCCGTCAACGTTGGTTCTGACATGGCTGGAAACAATCGGAGAAGCCACTGTCCAGCCGAGCCGTGATTTTCCCTCTGCATTATTAGGCCGACTAGATACCGAATGTGCAGCTAAATGCCTGATTGAAGTCACGGAACGCTTGATCCTAGGCGTCTCAGATAAACAAAAGCAGCAAGACCGGAGCCAAATACTTGAGCAATGGCGAGATTTCTTACTGAAAATCCCCAATGCCTCAGCCATCGGTTCGTCCCAAGCATGGTCAGATCTTCCTCTGGCCTATATTCAAAACCAGGAGATGGCATTGACCGCCTTACTCTCGCGCTCCAGCCTTTCAGCACAGCATCAAATCATCCTTCGGTTATGGATCTTACGCAGTCTAAGTCGTTCTTTGGGGCCTATGTACAACCAGAGTCCAAGAGCCACGGACCGGTCAATCTACCTGTTACTCAGCATGTATGAAACAACTGTGTCACAAACAGCAGGATCCTTTCTTGCCGACCTCCTTCATGGCATCCACGGCTTGAACATGCCATACAACGGCCTTCTTTTGCTTGCAACCGACATCAAGCTAAGAAAACTGGTTACAAAATCCACACGCCGAACTCTCGAACAACTCGAAACTTCACAAATTTCTCTATCAGACATCTGGACAGATCCATCTATCTACAATGGCGTCCGTGACCTTTTTTACGGAAGCTTCGAACAGATGTTCCGCCGTCTAGACCTTACCAGTCCAGAATCAGCAAACGAATGTCTTAATCTCGCACGAGTCGGAGACTCAAAAACTATCTGGTCAATCATTCGATTGCTACAGAACCACACACCATTCAAAATATCCCTCAACAAAGCTTGGGTACCCATCCCACACAAGGACGAAATGGCTCTTGTACGGTATCATCCCGGACCACGGAACAGCGAATGTCCCGATCCTTACGCAGCAGTTGACTTCATCCATCAACTTGCCGTGGCCTTTTCCTGCAGTCAACAGTTGACGCCCTCCCGCTCTTTTCATCTTGTTCACTGGCTCTACGATTACTTGCGTAAACATGGTGGACCTGTTCACCCTTCTTTGGTGCGGGCTATGTATCATGCTGGTGTGGTTCGGTATCGGCAGGATGGACGCCATGTCGCTCCTACTCAGTATGAGTATATTATGTGGATTATTGAGAAATTCGAAGGGTCAGAGGTTGTTGAGCAGCTTCTTGAGGGCCCGCGAATTGGAGATTCGCGCTCGAACTTGGACTAGTTCGAGTTTGCATGGTCCTTCCAGACCACTTTGTACATTTTATCATAGTATATACCTTCGAGTGCTTAGAGCCTCGTAAAATTTGAAATAGATACCAACATCCAGATTGCTTAATCCTCAAGTTCCAGAAGTAACCCTTTAGTCCTGTACTCTCGCCTTTTCAGTGATTTGAATTCGCTTAATATTGGCAACCTGAAGCCTGATGAAATATAACTCCTGTTGATTTCATTGATAGACTCGAGTATATTAGTTGCAGCCAAGCCGCATAACAATATTCAAGGCTAATCATCTTTCATGAATACAATGGCATTAACTGAAACAAGCGTAGTGTATATTAAATCGCCGCAGAAAAAAAAAATAACAACACTAGCTTGCACGTCAGATCACTGGAACCCTCTAGCTGTCCACCTCCATCTTCTCCGCGAGGTTGCTGTCACCAGAAAGCGTCTCAATAGTAACATATCTCTTCATATCTTCCTTGCTGATAACCTTCTGGTTCAACCAAGCAGTAGTACCACGTGGGAAACGGTAGTTCCGCTCCTTCTGTCCACGCTCGTTGGGCTTCTCATAATTGCGCATCAACTGAGTTGGCTTGTCCTTTTCAATGACGCAGACATCAACATTGCTACCAGAGCCCAGATCGTTGAAGATACCAGCCTTGATGGCCTCAGCACACAATTTCACAGCACCATCCTTGTCCAAATCCGGTTGCCACATCGACTCAAAGACAGACATCGCTGCCAACGATCCGGATCCCATGGTCACGTATGGCAACTTATCTGTGGAGCCGTGTGCATGTACAGTGTAAAGACCAACACCTGTGGGGTCAACACCTGCAACAACCAGGTAGGCACCGATGTGACCTTGGTACCGGAAGAGGTGCTGCTTAAGCATCGTCATGCAGGTAATCACACGGGGGTCGCGACCTGTCGATAGGGAGTGCAGTTCGACGTTTGAGCTGATCAGGGCGGTGGTGAACTCGGTATCGGCGGCTGTACCGGCACCAGCACACCAGATCTTCGGGGCGATGTAGTGAAGCTTCTCACAGTTCTATTTCCATAAGTCGAGTCATCAGTATTCTGCATCCTATTGCGAGTCTCACTTTCTCGATGAAGAGCCATGCTGTACTCTGCATCGGTATAATTCATCCTACCTTATCTGCTACTATGGGTCCACTGGTGGCTCTGGTATCTGCCGCAATCTGTAATTCCCCAATGGGTCATGTCAGCTTCCGTTTTGTTGAGGTTGTCTTCGGGGGTTTGGGGTTGTTATTGCTCTCGTACCACAACGCCATTATCGTAAATGCATCCCACAATTGTAGTACCGGTACTGGTGGCTTTGGGGAGGGGAACGCCCCTGGCGTGAAGAGCCGCGTTACGGTTGTAGTTGGAGAAGTCGAAGCCTGTCATCGTGACAATGCAGGGGTGAATCGACTGAGAGATATATGGCTAGCGGTTGGATGTAGGGAGATGATCACGGTTCGGATCAAGCAGAATGGATGGCAAAAATCGAGGGAAAGTCAAGATGAGGATGGATATGAGCAAGCTGAGGCAGTCGGAGCTGTTTGAAGTGACGAAGCTCCCGCAGCCTAGTTTACCTAAGGGTAGAGAAGGCGGTGAGTGGGGCTATATTAAATGTTGGAGCCTCAGGCTGTCAATATATTTGATGCCTTGCGACTTTACTGATGCCCATATGGTAGTACAAGTAAAATACCTCATTCATCGTGCGGACAGACTTCAGGAATAAGAAATCTTGGGAAATATCCATGGTCCTGACTTTTATTACGATATATAGTCGAGATAGAAGGCACTGGCAGACACAGCGGATAATGATGCAGTGATAACCAGGCTGTTTACATCTTACTAAGTTGTGTCAAGGTAGTTGATTTAATTTCTAGGGCTCCAAATATCCATATCAGTAGTTAAATAGAAACAAAAAATCTGGCTTTGTAGCTTGTGGTTGAAATGATCCAAGTCTGAATCAGGACTCTTTATTAATGTTTCTATGCTCTTTATGAGTAAATGAAATAGCAGCACTTGAGTGGCAAGTTTTTGTCATTGTCAGAAAAGTTAGTCAAAAGGGCGTAGTTATTACATTCAATTAGGAAGTAGTTGGGATGATTAGAACTGTTAGTATCAACTGTTGGTAATGCATAACATTGAAGCTGAAGCTCCACAAGAGAAAGCTTTGTTTGTGCCTTACCCGTCAGGCCATCAGCGCGTGTTTTAACTAGCCTCCATCACATTTTCGGGCAATTCAAACACCTTCCCCATCGAGACTCCCTTCGATTCACCATCGCGGTCCTCCCAGGATCTTTCCTTCTCTTCTCTCTCTTTACTTGGAGAGAGATAACGTGTCACGATTTTTGCGCGTACCTTTCAGCTGTTTAACCGGAGTCCGCAAACGCTCCACCGTCGCTCTTTCTCTTCAACGCCGCCGAGTTCACCATCGCTCAATGCTTCCAGGACGAACTCACCTCTAGGCGACTCTTCCCGATCAGTATCTGCCGACTACAATCAACTGAGAATGGCCTTCAATCTAGTGCCCACTCACGCGGTGCAGGAGCTTGGACCGGAGCTACCTGATCTCTACACGGATGTATGTTTTTGAAGAGCTTGGGTGATTGGTGAATAAACTAACAACAGATCTAGGAAATCGGTTTCAGAGGTCTCTCAGCTGATGCTAACATTCGCCTCCTTCCTACACCATGGCCCGAAGACGCCCTTCCATCCTCCACCTCCTCCCTTCTGGCTGTCGCGCAAAGCAAAGGACTAGTCATTGGTGCCGGTCCTGATGCGCTTGTCGTCGCAAGCGCTGACTCTGTGAGAAAAGCCATCGAGGCCCCCTCCGGAGAGGGCAAAGTGAAAACAAAGCCCTTCCAGCCGCAAGCAACAATCCCACTCCCTGCGCGCCCGACTCATGTGGCGTTCACCGCAAACGATGAAGCCTTGATCCTGGCGACGGAGAATGCATCCCAGATCTCTGTCTTCCAGACTACAGCTCTCTTACAGGGCAACTTCCAGCCAGCGACATCAATTCAAACCAGTGGCGCATCCATCCGCGCTCTGGTACCTAACCCGGATCTCAGCTCCACTCTTGTTGCCCTTGTCACCGTCAATGGTGAACTATTGGTTGCCGACTTGAAAGCTGGTAATCTGGTTCCAGGCGCAAATGGTCCAGTTCTCAAGAATGGCGTGAGTAGTGTGGCATGGAGTAACAAAGGAAAGCAGTTGGTGGCTGGATTAGCAGATGGAACAGCGGAACAGATGACTCCTGTAGGCATCAAGAAGGACTCGGTTCCTCGTCCATCTGATCTGGAGGGTGATTGTCATGGTGAGACTTGAAATTTCGACATTTTTTTGTTTTAATTCCTGCTAATATTCATACAGTCTCCTCCATTTCTTGGCTTGAGAACGATGTCTTTTTCATGGTCTATACTCCAAATGCCGCTGAAGATGACATGGGACAGAATCCTGCATCATCTTACTACATCATCACACGACGAAAGCAGGCGCCTTTCCTTGTCCAGAAATTGCCCGAGATTTGCTCCACCATGGGCTTTCAATTGAAGCGTTCACCCGCCTACAACTTCATCGTACGACTGCGCGACTACAATCCAGGCTTGAAGGATGTCTTGATTGTGTCATCGACTGCATCCACCGATGTTGGCCTCATTACACGACCTGAGAAGCCTCTGGGCGATGACGAAGCCTCTAAAGCTGTTGTTGGCCAATACACCACAACAGAAGTAAATGATGATGCCAAGAGGGCTTCAGTGCCTTTGAAAGACTCAGTAGATGAAACTTCTGTGATCGGGTTGGCTGCAGATCTTTCTTCCAGTGCGAACGTCGAGGCGCCCATTCCGGGTGAAGACATTGAAAACTCTTCCACCCCTCTTCCTGGTCTGTTCCTTCTTAATAATGACGGTATCCTTTCATCTTGGTGGTTCATCTATTCCGATGCCGTTCGTCAGAAGGTGGCATACTCTGGCATGGTCTCTGCTTCTCAATCGTCAATGAATACCTCTCAAATGGGAACTCCTAACCCGATCCCTACCCAAAAACCCATTCAAACATCTTCTCCAGCACAGCAGAAGCCTGCTTTTGGTCAGTCTGGCTTTGGTGCACCATCTCCCTTAGGATCATCTGCCTTCGGCGCGCCGTCAGCCTTGGGATCATCTACTCTTGGAAAGCCAACTGGTGGTACTGCCTTTGGCAGTCCATCTCTTTTGGGCGCATCTACTATGGGCGCAACGGCATTTGGAAAGCAATCCGCACCATCATTTGGTAGTCCATCCCAAATTGGTGGAGGTGCGGCTTCATCATTTGGTCAGCCATCGTTCGGTACTCCTTCCCAGCCTGGGGTTGGGTTTGGTTCTGTAAGCACGCCTGGCCAGGCCAAATTTGGCCAATCTGGCTTTGGTGCGGCGTCTGGGTTTGGACAGCCTACTGCTCCAGGAAAATCACTGCTTGGAACTGGAACTGCGTCTTCGGGGGCCGGCTTCGGCGCATTCTCTTCTGGTGGTGGTGGATTTGGTGGCCTTGCAGCATCAAAGACAGGCGAGTCACCCTTCGGCAAACCTCATGAACAGAGTGCTTTTGGTGCACCGCAAGCCTCTTCACCATTCGGGGCTCCGCCGAAATCTGACACTGCATTCCCTCCACCTGCGGCTCAGGCCAAGAATCCGTTTGGTAGCGGCGGTAATGCGTTCTCATTGGGATCTTCTTTCAAACCTGCAAATCCCGATGCTGCTGACGAGGCAAAGTCTGAAAAACAGACCTCGGGTGCGTTTTCTTTCGGTAACTCTTTCGAATCCATGGTTGAATCACCAAGTAAGACAAGTCCTCAGCCAGAGTCGATGGACGATGGGGAAGATTCTGCTGTTCCCCCTTCTGTACAGCCACTAAAGACTGAGCCAACCTCACTTTTTGGTAAGCCAGCACCTCAGACAAATTCTTTGTTTGGACAACCGACACCTTCGACCACACCCACATCGTTGTTTGGAAAACCGGTGACTCAGCCTACATTGGCCAAATCTCCCTCGCCCATTGAGACCAAGTCTGGATTTTCTTTCGGAAGCACGACTATTCAGACGAGCAGCCAATTTGGGAACCAAACCCAGATCACAAGTCCTCTTTCCGCACCCTCAGACAAAACGGTCACACCGAAGAGAGAACAGTCGGTGTCCACACCCAAGATATCGTCTTTCGATCAACCATTGCCACCTGATTCGACCAGCAGGGATAGCTATGCACCGGGCGATACATCGGCATCCTCCAATGTATCCAAGAGCTCAGCAGAGGACGCTCCTCTTCCTCCTGACTTTGTTGCCCCGAAAAAATTCTCCCTCAAAGCAGAGGATGCACCGCTTCCCCCGGACTTTTTGGGTCAGAAGAAGGCGCTGAAGAGCGATCCCTCGCCTCCTGCGAATCCATTCGGGCAGATTAAGGCTTCCATTAAGGCTGAAGAGGCCCCTCTCCCTCCCGATTTTACCAAGAAATCTGTTAAACCCGAAGAAGCCCCTCTTCCTCCTGATTTCGTTGCTCCGACCAAATCTGCCGCCAAGACAGAGGATGCACCGCTTCCCCCGGACTTTTTGGGTCAGAAGAAAGCGCGAAAGAGTCCCTCGCCTCCTGCGAATCCCTTTGGGCAGATCAGGTCTTCCTATAAGGCGTCAGAAGCCCCTCTACCCTCCGAGAGAAAACCGAGACGTGCACCGAGACGTGCACCGAGAGCTCCCGCTAAACCGGCCCCCGATGATTCAGATGCTGATTCAGATGCTCATTCAGAGGCTCGTTCAGATGCTCATCCAGACGCTCATTCAGATGAGGGATCCGAGCAGGATGAAAGTGAATATGCGGGTGAGTCTCCAGAAGAAAGGGAAGACGGGTCGGACTTCAGCGACAGTGGTGAGGAGATTACACATGATGAGATCAAGATCCCAAGCCCTAAGCAATCGGCGCAAAGTTCATTTGGTGGACTGTCTGACAAGAGTTCTACTGGAGGCCTTTTTTCCGGATACTCTAAGACGTCTCAGAAGCAAGGAGAAGCCCCAAACAAGCTGTTTGGCGAAATTCCGAAGCAACCTCATCTTCCACCCCCGGCCCATTACTCGTGAGCCGTACCGGTCACCCAGCCCCACTCGTATCAACCCACAGAGGAGTTCGTTGTTGAAGAGCCGGTCAGCACAGCCTGCTGGAGGCGCATTGCATGCCCGCAAGGCTTCTCTAACTCAGATTGCTCAGCAACGTGGTAGCAATTTGAGGAAGGCTAGTGATGTTTCCCGCGAGGAGCAGACTCGTGCTCACCAGGCCGCGCAACAACGCCGAGAAGAGGAGGAAGCTCTGTCTCTGTCTGACGATGACGAAGATGAGAGGCTTCGTGCCGATCTTTCTCGGCCGATTGAGCCTGTTTCTACGCTTGATCCGTTTTTGCCTCACCAGAACTACATGGGAGAGACAGCCAAGCCTGGTGTTGCAGGGATGGTCGAACGACTGTACCGAGACATTAACTCTATGATCGACACATTGGGTATCAACGCTCGTTCACTGGAATCTTATCTTCTTTATCAGCAGTCGTCTAACTCCTCAGATGCCAACAAGTTGGTGGAGATCCTTAAGAGCGACCAACCCGCGAACGTCTTGGATGAGAAGCTCTTTTTGCAAGATATCAGCAAGTTTGATGATGCTGTGACCGGTCTTGCCACTTCTCTTAACGAGCAGCGTGTGCATGGAGTAGAGGAGAAGCTTGATCAGTGCCGAGAATTTCTGACCAAAGACATTGTCACTCTTCGCGGTCAATGTGCCAGCATCCGCAAATCACTTGATGCGTACACAGATACTGGTGCAATCTTTGCAGCCCCCCTTTCTGCGGAACATGCTGCCCTTCAGCATGACCTTCGATCATTTTTTACGGATATTCAGAGCAAGATGGCAGATTTGGAACAAGGCGTCTCTATGCTACGTGCTAAGATTGCTGACATCCCTCGTGCTGACGGCGACTCACGACACGCATCAAAGCGACCCACTGTGGAAGCTGTTGCCAAGACCATCTCTACTATGATGAGCATGGCCGAGAACAAGAGCAGTGATATCGATGTCCTTGAGGCTCAAATGCGTAAGCTCGGTGTGGACATAGCAAACACTCTTCCCAATAGCCGCGAAGGATCTCCATTTACCACCCCACGCAAGAACACTGCTCGATTCCCAACCACACCTGGATCGCGTGGCTCTGTGGATAACAACAACAGTGCCTACCATACGCCTGAATCCGCTTCCCGCGGCGTCAGCTTCCGGGCCAGTATTAACGGCTCTACAAATCACAGCCGCCTTCGAAGTGTTGAGAGCATCGCACCTGTAGTTGCTCAGGAAGAGAGTGCTCTCTGGAAGGCGAAGACGCAACGTCGTCAACATCTGATTGCCAATCTGAAAATGGCCATTGACAAGAAAGAGGACAAAGTTCGCGGCATCGATGATATTTAGATAGTACAGGGATTTTCATTTTGAAGATTGCAACGAAAGAACTCCACCATTTGCATACTTCCTCGTTTTGAAGTTTTTTTTTTCTTTTCTTTTCTCTTTCTGTTGCTCCCCGGCGTGCGGTTTTCATGGCTCAAGAGCGCACTCAAAAGATCACTTGAATCCTCTTACGAAGGTGTATATAAATTTCTTGGTTTTTTTGGACGCCTTTTTGCCTGCTCACTAAGTTGTGTCTTTTTTCTTTTTTCTGTTGTCCTTCTATCATTAATCACCACTCGATACGCTTAGCATGATGTTTGAATGAAGATCGGAAACACTGACATCATCTCGGTGTGACATAAGTCCCAAACTATAATCTACAATCTACCTCATAACAAGTAACAAGTAACCTTTCCGTCACACTTGCTCGTCAATTATCACAATTAAAGTGGGTTATCATGTCTAAAACAACCACCGAGTTCATCTTCTTCAAGGTGAAGCCTTCCGTTCGTCCCGAAGACCCAAGGAATGCAGAAGGCGTCGGTCTACTCAAAGTGTTCAGCGAAGCTCAACATCAAAGCGGCCACGAGAATTCCGTATGGGGTCGTGCAGAAGAAGATGAGAATATCATAGTTTGGGTACTTGGTAAGTCACTTAAAGATTCGAAAACAAAGTCAGACAGAGTGTGTATAATAGAAGATTTGACATTTCAATTCTACGACGTTAATCTACATAATCAGATTAAATACATGTGATGCTAACTGACCTTAACTCACCAGATTGGACCGATGCACGCAGCTTCGCTAAAACAGAGGATCTATCTTCCTACCTTGATCCAGATGCCCAACCACCAACAACAATCTACACAACTCTCACCCCACCGCTCTCCAGCACGAACACCTTAACCAGTAACCCCATTACGGAGCTCTGTGCCCTCACATTTTCGAACGCGCTTTCCGTGCCGGAAACCAAAAAGTTGCACAGCGACTTGATCAATTTCCGAACTGCGCTATTGGATCACTTGCCGCAGGAAGTGGCGCCAAAGTCCTGGTCTATGGGACAGGTGGATCGACCGAGTATAGTGCAGCATGCCAAGAGTCCGAGTGGAAAGGCTGTGATGCATTTCATGGTTGTGGGTTGGGAATCTGTGGCAGTGCATAAGAAGGCGAGGGAGACGGATCAGTTCATCAATAGTATTACTCCTATTCGGGAGAAGTCGCTTGGGGCAATTCCTGGATTAGATATGAAGCATGTTAGCTTTCGGAAGATTTGAAGCGGGAGTTTGGATTGTTTTCATGCTGGGTTGAGACGTGGTGTTATAGATAAGATGAAAGAACTCGCTTAGGAATTCAAAGCATTGTTTGCAGGGCTGTTCTCTTCTCATGTAGGTTAATGTTGATGGTGTTAAGGCAGAATAGGAAAGGGTAGATTCGGTGCTACTGGTATCAAGACAGGAGGGTACGGGGAAGAGTCATGGGATTTGGTTATTAGGAGGCAGGGGTTTCAATAACACGCCTCAAATAAAGTACAGCCAGAAAGAGAGAAAGAAAAGGAACAGGGAGAACATAAAGACCAGTGAGTTTGAGAAGAATGAAAAAAAAAGAAAAACAAGAAAGAAAATAAATTGACAGAAGAAAACGTCGTAAACCACCGTGGACTTTTTGGGCCGGGCAGGGCCAGGGCACCCATGGTAGAAAAAGGAAGCAGTGTGAGTTCCAAGATTAGACGCGGTGCTTCTCACTTTCTAGTCGGGAATTAGATATCGGGTCCTGGGTCAATGGGAATAGGGTCGGGGGGGTTGACGAACCAAGTCGAGAGTACAGCATGTACAGTGCCATCTGGTTGCACTCTTGGGTACCGGTGATAGTGACCAAACGTTCGTTGCTATTCTCCTGGGGCTCGTTTATCTTGATGACACTACCGCTGAGATGGCGTATTTCGTTAATCTTAGCACCACCTTTACCGATGATGGCGCCGACCATGTCGTTGGGGATATAAATCTGTTGGGTCAGTGGCTGGCCTGGCATAGCAGCAGGATTAACGGGGGCTGGGGCAGTCGGGGCACCACGACCAGGAGTTGGCTGTGGCCCAGCAACATATGGAGCTGGCTGGTGGGGAGCAGGGCCAGCAGCATAGGGGGTGTGAGGAGCGGCACCATAAGGCATGGCAGGTTGACCAACAGGAGCTTGTGCGGGCTGGCCATGCATGTACGGAACGCCGTAAGCACCTGCCTGAGCACGGTTGGGGTGGGGGTGGTGTCGCTTGAAAGTGTCAGGGTGACCATACTGGCCACCAGCAGGCTGAGGGACATAAGGAACAACCTGCATACCACCTGGAACACCACCAGCAGGACCGCCACTACGGGTAGCGTAGGCAGAAGCAGCAGCACCACCAAATCGCTCAGTGAGCTGTTCCACTAGTGTGAGGGCCACGTAGTAAGTCGCAATGTGCACGGCGTCAGCAACGCCAAGAATTACCAGAGAGCGCTCGGTGGACAGGGCAAGGCAAGCATCGGAAGCGTTAAGCCGGGCACCTGAAGCATCCTGGATTTCACGAATGCGGCTACCACCCTTGCCAATGATGGAGCCAATAAGAATGTGCGGGATTAGCAAACGCAGAGGGTATGTCTTTGACTGTGCAGTGGAGACATCTTCCAGGGGTTCATTGTTCAGGGTACGAATGATAAGGCCAAATGCCTGCTAGGTTTAGAATATATTTCTTAGACTGAAGAAGTGGGGGAAAGTTACTCACCTTGGCAACTGCGTCCTGGGGACCGCTCACGGTTAAAATCCGCTCCACGGCACCCCGAGAATAATCGCTAACAGTACATTTGGCGCCAGAGAGACGGCGGATTTGGGACACATTCTCACCTCCCTTTCCAATGACAGTAGCTGCCTCCTGGCTGGTAATAACAGCACGAATGTGGATCCAGTTCGATTCATCCTGGACAGCATGCTGGTCAGACTGGGAACCCGCTCGTTCGCCGTGAGATGCAGTTGACTGAATGGGCTGAGTCTCAGAGTGATCCTTGCCGTTAGGAGCATCTGAAACTACCGTATCACCTTGGATATCCTTGGAATCCTCGACGGTAGGGATCTGGTTGCTCGAAACATCGGTTTCCGCCTCAGCATCGCTGCGTGCTACTTTATCCAGAGCGGGTCGCTTGGCCTCGGGTTGATCATTCGGAGCTGAGGGGGAAGACGGATCCTCAAGAGGACGCTTGGTGGACTGAGTGTTGGATGGAGATGCCGACATTTTGTAGATTATGCGCCGTGCTGTACTATTCCCACTTACGTAAGAAGTCGAGTGTCAAGAACCTTGGAATGAAGTCTGCTTTCTTCTTTTATGGATCGTCTATGTACACCAGGTGTTCTCGAGGAAGACGTGCTGGTGCTGGCGATCGGGAAAGGGATTCTGGTGCTTGATGCTGAAATGGAGAAAAGGTGGTGTGTAGAGTCGGCGACAAAGTGCAGATCAATGGCAGAGGGCTGGGGGATTCTTCAGGAGCAATGAAGCTTCAATTCTTGCTTTAATTCTCCGTTTCAGACACAAGAGATAATTCCGGAGTTCTCGAGGGAATGAGGAGCAAGACTGTGAAGGAAAGTGTAGATGGTCGTGTATGCGACTGGGGGTTGGGTAAAGATAGGCGAAACAAGGAAAACCGGGTGTGAAAAGGGGCTTGTCCAATCCAAATCAGGTCTGACTTAGGGGGGAAAGACGACAGGAGAGCAAAACCAAAAAGACCAGCGAAACTGGGGGGGGGAGGGAAATGAGATAAGAAGGGGAGATGAGGTTCAAGAGACGAAGCGGAGCGATGAGGTTACTCGCTGCTGATTACATGCGCTAAACCCAAACTAGTCACGTCACGTGGTATCAACGCGACGCGCTTGTGTTTTGTACTTCTATCTCATTATTCAATTGGAATATTTCTGGATCCTTACTGTTAAAAAAGAAAAGTCGAAGATGGAAGTCTCTGAAGATACGGTGCAGAAGATCCAAGCATTTGCTGCAAATCGTGCAGCTGTGGAGAAAGAGTCCACCAGACAACCTCTTAGTGCAACGGCCTTGCATGCCTATGGGCGACGTTTGGATGGAACCCTGCGGGGGCTTCAAGAGCAGGTCCAGCGCCAGGAGGAGGAGTTACAGAAGGTATGCTTGTATTCCTAGAAGAGAAAAAGAACCTTGGAAGTAACACACAATTTTTACTAGCTTCGGGAAATTCGTTCCCATGGCCTTTTGGGAGATGAGAATGACACTTGGACGCGGATCTCGAATGTGCGACGAGCCAAAAAGGCATATGATTCATTGCTCCAACTTGAACCAGGCCTTCCAGGCACAGATTCAACTCTTCCTTCGCTTGTAGCGATTCAAGAGACCTCGCAACTTATCAAAGAGAGCAAAGCCTCAATTACAATAACAGCAGAGAAATTATCTGAAGATCGAGAGCGACTTCGTGTTGAGGAGGGTAATTTACGAGATTCTCGTGCAATTGCCAATGGACTTCGAGAACGGCTCCAGCGGATCCGCAATACAAACAGCAGAAAGAAGGAGCAAACGCCTTCCCAAATTGCCCAAGAAACACTTAGCCAACAGAAGAAGAAGAATCAAGACCTGGAGCAGGCATCTGAAGACCTCAAGATATCTCTAAACATTTTCATTGACGATATCCTGGCTCCGATGCTTGCTGCGGAGGATCTAGGAGGCCCGACAGTGGGTGATGCCCTAGAGGTATCAGATGCCACGCTCAATGCTGGCTATACAGCCCATGGGAAACCAAAGAAACCAAAGCAGCCCCTGTCAACAGAAACCGACGATGGTCAACAGCGTATTGACCAATTTGTTCAACGCAGTGGGGATGGGTCATCCTCGACAAATAAACGAGAAACAGCAGCAAGAGAAGTGCATGACCTTCTGAATTCCTTAATGGAAACAGGCAACTCCTATGTGACTTTACAGCGGGACTCGGCTATTTCACGGTTTCTTGTGAGGGCAAAGGTGGCACAATTCCATCCACGAGATGCCCGGCGTTTGCGGCTAATAGATTTCGGTCGCTCCGTGGGCGAATAGACCAGAGATATGGTTAAAACGAAAGGAGATTGTTAAGGTGGTGGTATTATGTCTACATAAATCCTAATCTAATATCAATGTGTGGAAGAAAATGAATCAACACCTCCTATGCCCGATCGGCACAAAAAAAGTACAAGGAACAAGGCTCCCAGGGATGAGAGAACGCCTAAAAAATGCTTAATGCACATAACGCCAAGTCATTATCAAACACACCATACAAAATTAGAAAGCACAATATCAAATAGGCATCATTCCAATCGTAGATTTCGAGGTCTTGGCTTTCGATGTGGTTTTTCGAGGGGCGGCAGAAGACCGAGGTGCTCGACTACCTGTATTGGTCTTGGCTCTGGCACCTTTGGCTTTCCAGCTACCAGAGCCACCATTCTTTCGACGTGGTGCCTTCTTTGTGTATGGACGTTTGTGTCCTCTGGAACCAGAGGTCGATAGCCCAGGGTCAAAGTCACCAGATGGATCGAAGCCCGGGGATGGTGGGGGAGGGAAATATCTGCTTGTGAGGTCCGCTGGGGCGTCTGAGGCGCCATCGAGGCCAAAAGCAGATACCGGATCATCAAAAAGATCGTCACCGTCGCTGTATTCATCACTACTGCTGAGGTTGATGACATTGTGATGGTTAGGGTCAGGCACAACCCCATTCGACTCAGCTTCTTCTGTCAATTCGTGATAGCGTCTCTTTGCATTATCTACCAGTCTCAGTATCTGGCGACCATATCGTTTGACTTTGTCTTGGTCAATGCCTGGCAGCGCTGCAAGTTCCGACAGATCTAGCATAGAATTAGTATTATCATTCATTTTGAACAAGCTGGTGAATTTGATCTCACTCTTTGGGAAAGAAATAGCCATGTCGCGCAAAAGATGATCTGGGAATGGCTGGGCACGAAGACCTTTCTCAACAACAATCTAAGCCCAGTGTTAGTATTATAATATCCTTGAGTAAACAAGGAGCTTGACTTACCTCTTGGAGGTATCTCTTAGCAGTGACTTCGAAATCCTCGACAACAGCACGGTGAAGGTGATTGAGTCGGTCCATCTTTTGATCTGTAGTAATTGGTGGGCCAAGCTCATGGCCATTTTGTTGCTTCTGCTTGCCAGGAACCCGAATTGGTTCAAATCCGTCACTCTCGTCTGAGTCGTTTGAAAAGTTCAGGCGCACGCCACGTTGCTGGCTCCGGGCTTGACGGCGCTCATTGGCAGATTGGATGGGGGAAGAGACCATTGTAGACTGGGGATATGCTTGACTACCAGTCTTTGCGGTCCCTGGTTTTGAACCTTGAGATTTGCCATTCGGAGATACGCGTACTTGAAGCTTCATTTGCCGCTTTCCAGTTTCGAACTCCGCGGCGCAACGGCCGGGTATGATATACTGAACAGCGAAATCCTTCCCGTTAATGACATTGTCTTCGGCCAAAGCGTCTTCGCCCAGCAACCTGTAGAACATCCGTTCCACTTCTCCTCTATCAAGTGCTGCCCCCTTCCCATATCCTGGAGCTTGGCGATGTGAGGGTGACTTGGGTCTTTTCAAGTCACCGCGAAGAACATCCGCACAATACAGCACAGTCACGTTCTGTTTCAGGGCGCAGAAATGTCGCACAATTTTCACAGCCCATGAGGCGTATTCAGAGAAGTCATGATCCTCGAATTTACCGTCAGACTTGCAATTGTCACACGTCTTGTTACAGTCTTCTCGGCGGAACTGCTCGTTGAAATAAGCAAGTACTTGTACACGCCTGCAATCACTGCGATTCTCACAGAACTGGACAACGTTTCTAAGCATCAGCTTTTGGCGAGATTTTTGTTCAAAGCTACCATCGCCTTTATCAATCATTCGTTTGAGCGTAGTGGTGTCCTTGTAGCCATAAAAGAGGTAGCAGCCGGATCGTTTGCCATCTCGACCAGCGCGGCCAGTCTCTTGGTAGTACCCCTCAAGACTCTTGGGAATACTGTGATGAAACACGAAGCGTACATCCGGTTTGTCAATTCCCATTCCAAAGGCAATGGTGGCAACAATAACATGGGTCAGTCCCATTTGCCATGCCTTCTGTACGTCGGCTTTGTTTTTCGTTGGCATCTTAGCATGATAATGAGCAGCCTTGATACCGTACACTTTGCAAAGCTTTTCTGCCACATCTTCACAGGTCTTGCGAGATAGACAGTAAACGATGCCGCACTGGTTTCGATATGAGCTTTTAATTGTCTCAGCGATGTTTGCCAATACTGCATCATTCTTGCCCTTTGGTCGGACTTCATAGGTAAGGTTAGGACGATTGAAGCTCTGCAAGAATACTTCACAACCTCGAATTTTCAAGTTATGCATGACATCCACCTTTACATTCTCCGTGGCAGTAGCAGTCAAAGCCATGACTGGTACGCCGGGAAATCTCGCTCGAACTTCACCGAGTTCTTTGTAGTCTGGTCGGAAGTCATGACCCCATTGACTCACACAGTGAGCCTCATCAATGACCAAGCGCGCGATTCGATTGCGGCGGTGAAGTTTCTCAAACGCTTTGATAAGTGTCAGGTTCTTGCTGAGCATCTCTGGTGTGATATACAGCAATTCCATCGCTTCTCCGCCTTGGCTTGATAATTGGTCAAGGATCCATGCTCGTTCAGCCTTGTCGGTGTCCCCATTCATCAAGAAAGCCTTGATGTTAAGCTGTTTCAAATGGTAGACTTGATCCTCCATCAGACTCAGTAAAGGGGAAACCACAATTGTTACACCCCTCGTTTTGCCACTTGACACAATGGATGGAAGCTGATAACAAAGTGATTTTCCTCCGCCAGTTGGCATCAGAATGAAGGTATCTTTTCCACCGAGAGTTGCATCAATGGCCTCTAGCTGGTTTGAGCGAAAACCGCGCAGATGGAATCTATCCTTCAATACAGTTCTGACCTCATGAGACCATGGGTGATTAGACCAAAAATTGCTTCGAACGGGTGATTTCTTTGGTGGCTGCATTCGGGAAGCATTTCCAGAAGTTTCCGCAAAGACTGATCGCTCCTGAGGGTTCTGATTATTAAGAGAGACTGGCACACTTTCATTGAAACTGGCAGAAGCCTCGAGCATTTCGTCGTCGCTATCATTCCAATCGAAGTCATCGAAGTCCATAGCCGGCGAGCCCATGTTCCGAGACACTCGTGCCTCGTTACCCTGGGTATTGACATCCGCCTGCTTGTCATTTCGAGAAGGGAAGTTTTCATTGGGGATACTTGTGTCATTGAATGACGTTTGCTGACTCCAAGAAGATTGTGGTCTATCGATGGGTCGAGACTGCGAATGAGCGCTCGCCGAGTCAAATTCAGGGCACCCGATCAAATCAAAGATTCTTGCTTGGGGAAGAAGTTCGCGAATCTTTGTTTGAATTTGCTCCAACTCCGCCTCAACTGCTCGACTTTTAGAGAGCTCGCCCGGCATGCTTGTTGGGTCAACACCTTGGGAGATGGCTTGCATGAGACTCTGTTTCAACTTTTCTTTTCGCGAAGCGCAACTGTTGTAAGCCGCTTGCTGGGACTGCAAACCTTCAATGGCTTGGATTCGGGCAACGAGGTTCTTATTCTCAGCTACCAGATCTGGAGCTTGTCGGCCTTCCATCGCCTCGTTGTAAACGATCTCTGAGTTTTTCTGTACATTCTTCTGTAATTCCAGGATGGATTTTTTCAAAGTTGACGGTGAAATAGCCACAAAATTCATGACAGTCTCATCCCTCGGCTGAGAGCTGGGAACACTAACACGAGGTGATGGTCGCGGAGCCTCTGTTTCTTTTGGTTTGGTAGTCTTGGGTTTGACACTACTTTTCGCTGGCACCCGAGTTGGCGAATGCTCGGGTATTGGCTTCACAGGGCGTTGTTTCATCTCATTATCTGCTGGACTAAGGTTGGGCAGTTTGGGGTACAGCCCGGCGTCATCATCAATGATCATATCATCCATATCACCATCCACCCAGTCATCAAATGGATCATCGTCAGAATCGGCAATCTCTCTGTTATTGGTGCTCTCTTTGGGTGTCGAAAGATCATTCTTCTGCTCTTTAAGATTATTGTAAGTCTTGAGAGGACTAGAAATTGGCCTCGCTGCCTTCGAGGAGTTTCGTAATTTAGTAGCATGTTTTGATGGCGAAAGCAGGTCGGATGTGTACTCATCGCTCTTCCGCTTCTTCCCACGCTTCTCTGCAGGTGATTTACGTGTCGCGGTTTCCTCATTCCATAGTCGACGCGGTCCTCCAAAATCAGTGTTTACAGGAATAAAACGTTCTGGGTCTCCCCGTCAGATCAATAGATTCGATATCACCAAAGGACGATGTTTCAAGCTTGGCACGAAGTGGGGTTGATTTAGGTCGTTTGTTCGTAAAAGAAGGTTGTGGTGGTTCTAGCCCGGAACCTGCGCGTTTTTTTCCAATGTTAGAAAGATAGTGCTTGTATCCTCGGTCCGTGTTTATACTTGCCGGAAGCAAAATTGTTTATCGAGGCCGCCTTCTTGGAAGTGGAAGGTGGTTCATCTTTCCATGTATCAGTATTGCCAGGTAACCGAAGCTTCCTGGCTGATAAGGAAACCTGCAGTCGCGCCATTTCGTCGTTTGTTACATCGTCGGCGTCCTCAATAATCGCATCCAAGAACTCGGTCTCGTCGGAGGGTGGAGTGGGTTGTTGGGAGACGCGCTCGGTTCGAATTGGAAGAGCTTGAGTAGACGGCGAAAGGTAGGATGATGGATCTCGGTCTAAGAGCCATTTAAGATGCACTTCAAGATTATTCTTCGTCATGGGGGAGTAATAATCTCATGATGTTATGATTCGAAGATTGATTGCACTTAACAATTGTTGCGCGAATCCTTGGATGAGACGCGTTTTTCACGTGAGCGGTCAGAGCCAATCTAGTAGTATTGAACAACCAGACTCAATATCATACAATTTACTATAGAGATTTTGTGGAAATTTTATATGAAAAATATTATAGATTGGATTATGACAAGATAGGCATTTGACTATATCTTTTTGATGTGTATGCTTGCCGTCTAATGTTGCCAATGGACCATATAGAATGTATGTAATGGCCATCGAGGTTCCCCGCGGCCCCGTTTGATAGGGCCTCTAATCGGTAGTCTTTTTTTTCTCTATGCCCCACCAAGATTTGTCAATCTGCACAATTTTGGGACATAGACCACAATTCAATCATGGGCAAAAAAGATAAGAAGTCCGCCGAGCATAAGGCTCGTGTGGCTGCAAAGCAAACCAAGAAAACTGCTCAAAAGGAGAAAAAGTCCAAGGCCAAGGGCAAGGATGTCGATAGCGATGTCGAGGATGCCGACCTCGATGCCATTCTCGCCCAATATGCTGAAGAACAAGCAAAATTCTTGAAGGTTACTGAGGTGGTCTCGGAGCCTCCTAAACCACGCTCGTCTGCGACTGTTCTCGCATCTCCGTCTAACCGCAATGAATTGCTGCTCTTCGGCGGCGAGTACTATGATGGAACCCATGCATCCTTCTTCAATAACCTCTTAGTCTACTTGATTGACAGAGGTGAATGGAGAGAGGTGACCAGTCCCAACAGCCCATTGCCACGAAGTGGTCATGCGTGGTGCCGTGGAGGTAATTCTGGAGGTGTATACATGTTTGGAGGTAAGACATTGACCTCAAAAGATATGTTGATTTTTGGTATATCTAATCTTGGTTCATAGGCGAATTCTCGTCACCCAAGCAAGGTACATTCTACCACTACAATGATTTCTGGCACCTAGACACCGCCACGAGGGAATGGACCCGTCTCGAGACCAAGGGCAAGGGTCCTCCAGCTCGAAGTGGTCACCGAATGACATACTACAAGGTATGTTATACACGTTGAGCAAAAAGTTCTCTAGCATTTGAGACTGGTGCTGACTTGTGTTGTTTAGAATTACATCATTCTATTTGGTGGCTTCCAAGATACTTCTCAGCAGACCAAGTATCTGCAAGATCTGTGGATTTACGATTGCCAGAAATACACCTGGTTCAACCCAACTTTGACCACCGCGGCACAGAAACCCGATCCTCGGTCCTCGTTCTCATTCCTTCCGCATGAGACAGGTGCTGTCATCTATGGCGGTTATTCTCGCGTGAAAACTACTAGTGGTGCAGGTGCAGGCGGCAAGCCGGTAAAGGGCGGTACCCAGAAAATGACCATGCGTCCCATGGTTCATCAAGACACCTGGTTCCTCAGAATCACACCACCCGCAGCTGAGGCACCCGCAGCTGCCGGCCCAACAATTCGTTGGGAGCGGAGAAAGAAGCCTGCGAACACTCCCAACCCAGCTCGCGCTGGAACGACCATGGCATACCACAAGGGTCGTGGTATCATGTTCGGTGGAGTTCACGATGTCGAATTAACTGAGGAAGGTATTGACAGCGAGTTCTTCGATACTTTGTTTGCATGGAACACTGATCGAAACCGATTCTTCCCTATGACTTTGCGAAAACCACGTGCTCCCGGAAAGAAACAACAAGCGAACCAAGCTGCGCGATCGCGAGGAGATAGAAGCAAGGCTGATGAAGAGGAGCTCTTGCGGAACCTCAAGGCCCTGGAAACTAAGGGAGGAATCCGCGATGATGACGATGATGATGATGACTTTATGCAATTAAGCACTCCTAAAGAGGAGCCTGTTGAGCCCGCCAAGCCTGCGGTAATTCGCTTTGAGATGCCTCATCGCCGTTTTAACGCACAGCTTGCAGTGCAAGATGATTTGCTGTTTATCTATGGTGGTACTTTCGAAAAGGGTGATCGCGAGTTTACATTTGACGATATGTACTGCATTGATCTTGTCAAGCTGGACGGAGTCAAGGAGGTATTCTACAGAGAACCAGAGAACTGGAATCTTATGGATGAAGATGAGGACAGTGATGAGGACATGGATGACGAAGATGACGATGAAGATATGGATGATGAAGATGGCGACGCGATGTCCCTTGATACCTCTTCACCTGCTCCAACAGATGTGACCGTGCCATCAGTTACTCAGGACATGGAACAGCTTGAAGTTGAGGAGCAAGATGATGCCGAGCCTGAAGACAGCCGGCCATTGCCTCGAGCTTTCGAGAGTCTCCGTGAATTTTTCACTCGTACTGCAGACGAGTGGCAGAAGATCGGAATTGAAGCTCTGACAATGAAGGGTATGGTTGAAGGCAAGACGATCAAGGAGCTTCGGAAAGCTGCATTCGATATGGCAGAAGAGAAATGGTGGGACAGCCGTGAGGAGATCATGGCTCTGGAGGATGAACAAGAAGCATCCGGTATTGGCGAGGTGGTCAGCATGGCTGAGCGGTCTGAGAATGTGGGAGGAGCTGGCCGCCGCCGTTGATCAATCCGTTACATCATGATATCTCAGAAATAAAAAGTGACATTTGATTGCATTATTTATTAAAATGGACGTATGAAGGCCTCTATGCAGCCTCGGTTCTGTATCTAGTTTAAAATTTAAATCTATTCGCCGGCGTTCATAGTTGGGCCACCTGTGCCAAAACATCCGTCACCAGAGCAGCATCCCTGTTAACGTCAACTCGCCAGTTAGAAATAGCAATCCGAGTTGCGGGGGCACCATCCCAACTGCTTCCAGACACAAACATCCGTGACGTCTCATTAATTTTACTCGTCAGCTGTTTGTTCAAAGTATCATCTTTTGCACGGAACAAAACACTCATGAAGGTCTGGTCCACAAGCTCAGCCTTGGAATTGGTCTCTGGTAGAGCTGTATAAGCTGAACTATCGAAAATCCACTCATAGATAGTACGTGCAAGTCGAATTTGGCGCTCAAGCATGTCTCGGTATCCATCTCTTCCATAGCATAGAAGCGACGCATAGACTGGCAATGCTCGGAAGCGACGAGAGTTCTCGATTCCAATGTTGAGGGGAGATGGAATTGATGGGCCGTCTGTTGCACCTGCAGTCAGATAAGCTGCGTTCGCGTTCTGGAAAACACATGCAGCCAAGTCTGGGTGTCGAGAAAAGAAGAAGCCACAGTCATAAGGCACATTAAGCAACTTGTGACCATCACCAGTGATGGAGTCGAGAAGCTCAATGCCATCAGAGCCCTTTTTTATTGTCGCAAATTCCGGGCTGTCGTCAAGAATGCGAGCAAAGATTCCAAAGGCACCATCAGCGTGTAACCATGATCCATACTGGTCACAAAGCTTGCGGAGTTGGCTTAGTTGCGCCATTCCAGATGTCGCAAACCGACCAGTATTAACCTCGCCACAAGATACAGATATAATGCTGACTTTTTCGGTCCTTGCGAGCTCCTTCTCTAGCGCGACCATGTCGAATTGGAGCGGATCGTCATCACGGCAGATGTTCCGTACGTTGGCACGGCCAATTCCTAGAATTCCAGCGGCTTTAACCACGGATGAATGAGGTAATGTCGATAAAACTTGAATCCCTGAAAGGTCCAGGGCTTGTAGCACCTCAAATAATCCGTGCTCACCGACACTGCCCAGTGTGTGTCCCTTTCTCTCCGCTGCTTTTTGGAGAACAAACTCTCGCCCGCATGCCAGGCCAAGAATATTGCTGGCTGTCGCACCGGTGGTGAAGGTACCATTATGCCATTGGGAACGATCTAAATGGAAAAGGTCTGCGAGCAAGCCAAGCGCATGGTACTCAACATCGGTGACAATAGAGTGGTTTGGCAGGTGTACCTGGACATTCTGATCATATGTCGATACAATATTGTCAGCGAAGAGAGCAGCCGGTGTTACTCCTCCTGTGATGAAGCCGTAGTAATTAGGACTGAGACTGCCTCCATTGAAAGCCGGCACAATATCATTCACGATGTGTTGCTGAACGGACTCCAGTCTGGCACCAGCAACGGGAAGCTGAGTGGGGATGGATGACCGTGCTCGAGATAAGCTCTCCTGGCTAGGGAGAACCCCAGAAGACCAGGATCCCTGGGCAACCTGCCATAACTTTTCAAGGAATTGATCTTGCATGGTGTCTTCTTGTAGTCTGGTCAAGATTTAGAGATACTCTCAAGTCAATTTATACTTGTCTTCGGGATCTCACAGATATGTCGGGATCTGTGTAAATGGATTCGGAGGATCGGGTTTCCGGTTGGACCTCCTGAAAAGAGATTTAGTAGAGCTGAGTCAGACCTTAGTTTCAAATCAAACTAAACAATTAATTAGGCTGCATTCGATAAGTCTGAAGTGATTGGCTGCGTCAATCGTCTCAAAGAAAGTGGATTGACGCGGGATTGAATCAGGAACAGTGAGCCCTTCGAGTGGTACAACCAGTGTACAGCGTGTCTCCGCAGTTTAAACCCGCGTGCTCCACTCCCAACTCTTCCTCCACACCGATCTTGGAAAAATGGCAGCAAAACTCATTGATAGACGGTTTCACAACGTCCCTGGTAAGTTTGAGCATGAGTTCTGGGTTTAAGGCGAATGCTGTGATATGAAAGTAACGGATCACTAATTAAAGCTCTGATAGGCAAGCTGAGAGTGGCTGAGCTGTTTTTCGATGTCCCCGTCGATTACAGCAAGCCAAATGATGCCACGTTGAGATTGTTCGCTCGGAGTGTCTCTCGTCTGAACAAACCTGTCGAACCTGTCAAGGAAGAGGCCAAGCTACCCTGGCTCGTCTATCTGCAAGGTGGTCCGGGCTTTGGATGTGCTGCCCCGCAGAACTACGGCTGGGTTGAGCCAGTACTCAATAAGGGGTACCAAGTATGTATTCTTTCAATTCATTGTTGAAAAAACACAGGTGGAGCGTTTTCTCACAATCGATTTTAGATTCTTTTCCTGGATCAAAGAGGAACTGGACTCAGCTCTACTCTTACAGCAGGAACCCTCGCTCGCCAGGGCAATGCTATTCAACAGGCTGAGTACCTCAAGCACTTCCGCGCAGATAACATTGTGCGTGACTGTGAGGCTATTCGGAAATTCTTAACAAAAGACTATCCTGAGGATCAACAGAAATGGAGTGTAATGGGCCAGAGCTTTGGTGGCTTTTGTGCCGTCAACTACCTCTCAAAATTGTGCGTTCAACCCTATACCACCCCATCTCAATATCTTTGCTAATCTGAATAATCCGACTTACTAGCCCGGAGGGTTTGAGAGAAGCATTCATCACTGGTGGCTTGCCTCCTCTAGTGGATGAGCCAGATCCCGTTTATGCCCGCACTTATGGTTAGTGTTTTTATCTTGTAGATTTGGGTCTTGAGCTAACATCTAGACAGAAAAGGTTATGCAAAGAAATAAGGCATACTACGAGAAGTTTCCTGAGGATGTAGAGCGAGTCAAGAAGATCATGGCATACTTGACGAACAACCAGGTAGCCTTGCCGTCAGGATCGCTCACTCCAGCTCGATTCCAGCAGCTTGGTATCATCTTTGGTTTCCACGGTAAGATCTATAATTCACCCAGGTGAAGCTATTCTAATGATTGATTTTAGGTGGTCTTGACATTTTGCATGGTAAATAAACCTACCCTATTATTAGTGGTACTATTCTCACCTTGACGTTCTAGAGATCGTCCTTCGTGCCTGGAACGACCTAGAGGTATTCGGCTCTCTTACTGCGCCTACTCTGGCATCAATCGACAGCAATGGTGGCATGGATAAAAACATCATCTACGCCATTCTTCATGAAGCAATTTACTGTCAAGGGTAAGGCTTTTTGTTATTATTTTTGATAGCCTGTCTTACAACATGAAAATAGCAAATCATCCCGTTGGTCTGCGGACAGGCAGCGTGCTGAGCACCCTGTATTCCAGACAAGTGGTTCTCAGCCAGAGATTTACTTTACCGGAGAAATGGTAAGAATAGTTCATCCAGAGTTTAGAAGGGCAATGATGTCTAACTTTTTTTTTCTAGGTCTTCAAGGATATGCTTGACTCATACTCGGAGCTTGACCAGCTCCGAGACGCCGCAGAAGCTCTAGCCAGTACCAGTGATTGGCCAGCGCTCTATGACGAGGCACAGCTTGCTAAGAACGAAGTTCCCGTCTATGCTGCCTCTTACATTGACGATATGTATGTCCATTACGATCTGGCTTCCAATACTGCTAGCAAGATCAAGGGTATCAAGCAGTTTATCACCAACACTATGTATCACGATGCACTGCGGAGCAAGTCTGGCGAGGTTATGCGCCAACTCTTTAACCTTCGAGATGACTCCATTGACTAGAATGTGACTCGTTCTTCAATCCGACCTCGGGAGTCAGCGGGCTCAGCCGTTTTCGGAATCAATCAGATTGAAGCACTTATATACCTACCAATGGCACTTAAACAAAATTAACATATATTTACTCAGTCGGAAAACACTTCTGGTATAGCTTTATGTTCATGAAGAGATGTATATACAACTTGAAGCCATCATTCGTCACATGAGTAAACCCCGGCAACTTGAATGACCATTATTGGCGTTTTCAAAAGACCTGAAATATACCGTCAGTGGGAATGTAAACCATATAAAGCCCAGAATTCATTCACGTACCGCACCGCCAATGATGAAGAGTCTCTCCTCTTCTTGCTGTATCCACTGGGCAATCTTGGTTGCGCTCTGGACTAATGCATTGCGGTTTGCATTTGGCTCAGCCACACAGTAGAGCTCGAATACTGGGGTCACCCATGCGAATGAGCTCGCTGACCTTGACACGCAATGGTGAACCTTCACATGCGTATTTTTGGCATGAATGCTTGCATGCAGATTATTATAAATGGACATCAATCTGGGAAACAATTAGAGCGGATCAAAAAAGAAAATGTGGAGAGTGGGCTAAGAAGTTCCAGTACTAACCTTCGACGCCGAGCAATCGAATCGAAAGTAGGAGCAAAGGAGGACATGGTGAATTGTACGTTTCCCCTTGATTTGTATAAGAAATGATGCAGAACACTGCCTGGCACGATATCTGTTGTTGCTGGCCGGCCTTGATCAATTGCAGCTCTTATTACCTTCAGACTACCATTCTTCTCCATTTGTTCAACAAAGGCATCCCGCATCCCTTGCATCTCGAAGAAGCTCTCTTTGTCGGGGCTAATCAGAACAATAGCCACGGATTCATCTTTGGAGATATCCTCGTTTCCATCGACGTCACCTCGAAGATCGAGAAAGCTGACATACATATATAAGTAGCCGCTGCTGTTGAAGCCGGGTAGACATATGGGGATCCAGCTCTCTCCACCACCAGCCTTGACTCCATCAGCTTCGAAGACCATGTTGAAAAGAAGTTGAAGATCTCCAGGGTGTAGCGAGTGCTTCTTCGGCCTCACAACACTGACAAGCCGTCCGCCGGCGACAACCAAGCCATAGAGCAAATTGTTAGCCTTCGTCTTCAAAAGAGCGTTGTTAATTAACTGGCGATGTTGTTTCCGGATCTTCAAGCATTCTAACGCTGACAACAAAGTAGATGGTGAGCCACGCGTAAAACTATCAGCCAGTGAGGAGAGGAGAGTTTCGGATCCTTGCAGTGGCCTCTTGAGATCGGTAGATGGTCGGATGGAGAATAGATGAGAAAGAGATGGTAGCGTGAGAGTTGACAATATCTGCATGTACAGCGCTTCAAGTTGAAGTCGGAGTTGGGTTTCGCTCTCCATCATTCGACTGATTGCGACAAGGTGCAATGGCCCATGGGTCACAATGACGAATTTCGTATCCCCAGCAGAGAAGCTCTTGAGTTGATCATCCGATTCTTCATAGAAGGAGATAATGGTTTGAATGATTCCAACGTAGGTGGATATTAAACCACCATCCCCGTGGCGTGTCCAAATTGGCTTGCCGGCGGCAGATAGAATCAAATAGTGTTTTTGCTTAGCCTTGAAGCGCTCGAGAAGAAGGTCTTGGAAACGTCAATTTCATTCTTGCAACAAATTATATTTATATATTGTTGAAAAAACATACCTTCGTTGCCAGCATTTTCGTCAATCTCACCGACAGGATCGAATTCAGTTAAGAACTCATCATCGTCTAAATTGTCGGCTGGAAACTCAGGAAAATGAAGGAGCACTTTGGATTCTAAATTCCCTTCAGGAGCCGAAGCCACAAAGTCCTTGAATAAGGCATCCACATCTCCCACATCGCCATTCTGAACGGAGCTCCGAATACTGGATGTGTCGCCAGCTTCACTTCCCCGCGAACTGGTCAAGTGACCGAGGCTCGCTTTCGCTTTCAAGCCCTGAGATAGTCCACGGATGGCTAGCGATGGGTATGCACTCCCTGCGACCTCATTCGTTTGTGTATCAATATCTGTTCGAGAAATGGCCGTTGTAGGCCCCGCTTGTAGAGTTGCTCGGGATGCCGATTCGTCGTTAAGCAAGCTTAGAGTATTCGGCCTCGGTGGCAAAGGGGGTCGCTCGCCCTCTGAGCTCGGACTGGAGTCTCTGGCCGCATGAGAGGAACTGTGGTTCGAAGGTGTTGTGTTCTCATTGACAGGCTCGTCCCGGCTATCGCACTGGGGTAATTGCGGCGCATTCATCCCCACTATGGGTGTGCGCTGATAGATAAAGTCGCTAGGCGCGGGGACATTAAAATCATGAAATTCGCATCATCAGATTTTGCAAAGATCCAAATCCAGTCCTTGAACCTCTTGTTAGTGTGGGGGAAGAGTGGGTTAAAGACGCTGACGTCGGTCTCGGTCGGTGAAGCGGAGCTCCCCTTAAGGCGGACAAAACATCTAATGTGGCCGCCTGCGTGGCCCTTTCTCCAACGTCTTCAACAGTCAACTTGCCCTCCACCTTAGGGTCTTCCTCGATGTCCTAAGTAAGATGAGGTGCAGTCTGCAGTCTTTGTATCAATTTGACGTTCAACATTGGCACCATGAGCCTTGATCCCAGTGCCTTTCCGAGGTCGAACTCCCCCGCAAGCTCCGAAAGCTCCCTGACGCGCACGCGGTTACAGGGGAAGGAAGGTATGTACTACTTCACAAAGAACATGTTATAGTGGTAAATTAAATATCTAACAATTTGTCTATTGATATAGGATCCCTTAAGAAAGATAAAAACTACCGCCGATATGCATCTAGTGTTGAACGAGCGCTATCGCTGTTCGACAATGCCCTGCAAGAATGGGCTGACTACATTTCCTTCCTTAGTCGCCTATTGAAGGTTATTTTGATCACAAAGCGCATTCAAATGGGGCCATTTGGCTGACATATGCATAGGCGCTTCAAACTCATCCTCCAGATCAACCGGTTGTTCCTCATAAGGTGCTTGTCTCAAAGCGCCTTGCTCAATGCTTGAACCCATCCTTGCCATCAGGAGTTCACCAAAAAGCTCTTGAAGTCTACACATACATATTTGGACTGATCAAAGTAAGTACTGTGCAAATTCTGTATCTAAATTGTTCCTCCTTGATATAAACTAACAACACGGCTTCTCCTTTAGCTTGAGGGACTATCCTACGACCTATCTTTGTACCTACCTGGCCTTGCGCCCACCTTGACCTTTGCTTCCCTCACCGTCCGCCCCCTCTTTCTATCTCTTATTGAAGGTTACGTGGTTGATCTTGAACCATGGGCCATTCGTCCTGCTCTAAAATCAATCCTCCTGGCTTTGTTACCTGGTCTAGAAGAGGAAACAAGCGATGACTTCGAACCGACTCTACGTATCATCAATAAGCTTCGTGAAGTGGGTGGCAGACTAGAGACACAAAAAACATCCGATTCCGGGGCCTCTGGGCAATACTTTTGGCAATGTCTGTTCCTCGCATCGATAACAAACCCAAGCCGGCGTCTTGGTGTGCTAGCCTATTTGAATCGCTATCTTCCAAAGTTAGGTATTGCAGGCCGTCGTCAAAGTGCAGCTGATAAAGGGGATTTGAAGGATATTTCTCCAGAGATGCTAGCTGCAGCAGACTCTGTAATCCTCCCTGAGCCAGGTTTGTTGATTAGATGCTTCGCGTCAGGTCTTTCTGATGAACAAATTTTGGTCCAGCGAAATTTCCTTGATCTTTTGGTCACACATTTGCCATTGAACTCGCCTGTGCTCCAGTCGCGCATCACGGACGGTGATTTGGAAACATTGATCATTGCGGCGGTGGGTGTTGTTACTCGACGAGAAATGGGCTTGAACCGCCGACTGTGGGCATGGTTCCTTGGGCCCGAACCTGCAAACGAGCGCGAGTGTTCGTCAACTGATGGAAGAAAGTTCTCGACAGAAACCACTCGGTCAACTTCTACAGAGGTGGAGAGGTTTTCACAGTCGCAATACTTCAGTCAAGTCGGCTTGCAGCCTCTAGTGAAGGGCCTTCTCAAGATGATCAGTCAAGGCTCTCAGGTTCCAGCTGAAAGGACGAAGCCTTTCCGAATTTCACTATCCTTGATGGATCGATGGGAAATCGGAGGCTATATTGTCCCTGCTGTATTCCTTCCCACGATTCGCAGTGTTCAGACATTTGAAAAACAAGCCTCCAAACCTTACTTTGAAGAAGTCTTTCGCAGTGCCAGTGCTTTCTTCGACGGTGTGGAGAGCAGTGTTATCTTTTCTGAGATTCTAGGTCTAGTGGACTTCCGCTCTATGGATATGGAGCGCGAGCCAGACCAGGTCTTGCAGAACCTCGAGCTTGCGCGGTTCATCGTCGAAAATTTTAATGTACGGGAGGAGGATATGCTTCAAGTCCATGTTCCCTTATTGGCTTTGTCGGTTCTTGTCAGGATGCGTGAAATCTCGCTTTATACCCCTTCTGCAGGAACCAGTGTGGATAAGAAGACCTTTTCTATGGGACTGAGTGGTGTACTCAAGTCACTTGCTCCACTGCTTACAGATCGAGCATTCTCAAGGAAAACAGGCCAAGAGAAAAATGCTGCTGATGGAAAACCTCGAGAGGTCGATATTCTGAAACGGATTCACAGTCTCTATGAAAGCAGCAAAAACAGCCTTGATCTTCCCTCTCTACCATTCAGCCCGAAACAAACGAGCGAAATGATCATCCGCGAAGCCCATGATCTCGCAGTTGATGCCCTGGAAAATGATAGCGCCTCAGCTCTTCATGATAAAATCGATGTGCTCGTAACATTACTCATGAAACTCCCGAAGTCCCGGGTACTCTGTGACAGACGGTTCTACGAGGGACTATCACGGAGACTTACCAAGGGAGAGAAGACGCCAACGACAGCTGGCTTTGCTGTTCTTTCCACAATCACATCTGCGTTGTCTAACTTGTTTTTCATACATAGTCTTGGGTTTTATGTCAGCTATGAAGATGCGTGCAGCCTGGTACCAAGCCTAGTGGAACAGCTCTGGCGGTATTTATCACCATTAAGCCCAAAGTTTCATGTTGAAGCTGTAAGGTGCCTATGGTTGCTTCACTCGATCTCATGGGTTGACCATCTTGTTGAAGCATCAATAACATCTTTGATGGTTAACTCCTCAACCACGAGCTCATATCATCTCTCATCGGAGGAGCAGGCCGAAAAGTTCTATGTCTTGTGGAACCACAGCCACCATGGCCAGCACGAGCAACCTCCAAAGCAAGTCCTCGAAGTTGGGGGAACTCTGTTTTCTTACCAGTGTTCTATGCTCGAACGACCGCTCTTCATCGTCCTTGACATGCTCTCACAGGAACCCGGAGATGTGTCCCAAAGTGTTCAGCACTGGCTTCAAGACTTACATTCCATTCACAGAATTTTCCATGTGATAGTTCTAAAACTCGAGGAGTTATTTGAACATGATACACCCAGTGCAGTAGCTGAAGTCGATCTGTCGATTTCCCCGGATGACTACAAAGAATGCAAATACCTTCTACGGACTGCATCGAATGTCATCTCAACACTCTCTCATAGCGGGTGGATGACGCTTCTTACACATACATTGGGTCAGAGCGAAAAGCGTCCAGGCACATCGAAGTCTGATGATAATTCAAATGTGAAGAGCTTTCACGCGACTATATTTGAATCTTGTCACAGCATCGTCAGCGACAAAACCTCGGCGTCAACACAGGGTAACCTGGAGGGAGAACGGCTGCAACGGGATGCCCTTTATCTCATGCGACAGCTTCTTTTAGGCCCCGGTGCAGAGGATCTGGTAGAAACCGGAATCGATGACTTCCTGGTGGATCGTCTCCTAGCCGCATCAGGTGAAGGTGGTAGCGTTGCGGTGCAGGGTGCTCTGATCGACGCACTTCTTGCAGCGATCAAGGTCAAGTTTGCCCAGGCATATGCACCACCTCCTCCTCCTAGGCCGAAGCATCAACGAACAGGTTCTCGTGAACGTCTGACAAGTCCATCCATACTGTCTTTCACTAGTGACAAAGTAGATAGAGGACAGTCATTGCCGCAGTTTCCTCGTCCTCCTGAACGTCTTTTGGACTGTTTACTCAAGGGTATCAGCTCTAAGAAATCCCATGAGATCGTGGATAAATGGATCGGATTACTTTGTGAAGTGCTCCCACTTTATTCAGGCTCGCTTTTCCAAATTCTTCTCATGTTGGTTGAATGCTTCTGCCGAGAGATCACAGCTTCCTTTGGTAGACTCCAACTTGCATTTCAACAAACCGAGGACTGGCCACAAGATCGGTCTGAGCATGTTACCATAGCCTTGCTGAGTGGCCTTGAAACTTGTATTGCCAACGCACATGAACGCCTGCTCGTAGAAGAGTCAAACGTCCCAGCTGCCAAAAGTCCAGACCAACCTCAAGGATTTTTCGGAAACATGGTTTCGGGTGTGTTCAACTCAGATGGCCATCACGGCCGCTCTAATACCGCTAATGATCGTTTGACCGTTCTTCTCTGTTTCCAAGATGCCGTTCGCCTTTGCTTCTCTATTTGGGCATGGGGCGCAGGTGATCGAACTGGCTCTTCACCAGATTCTGAATCAATGGCATCATTTCAATACACATCTTTGCGAATGAGAAACAGATCAAGGCGGCTTCTGGAACACTTTTTCGCCGCGGAGGCGCTTGAGTGCCTTGAAACGTTAGTTGATATGTGGAGCAAGTCCGACGCAGAGACTGCGATGCTGATTTTCAACCTCCTTCATACTCTTGATGGTTCGAGTCCGAAGATCACTATCCCCGCAATGTTCAATGCGATCTACACGAGAACAAATCCCAGCGCATTAGACGCCAATCGGAAATCGTCGTTGACCACCAGTCTCTCGGAATCCGAACTTGCTAGCTTCCTGGTTGCCTATGCCCGGTCTTTAGACAATGATGTGCTCGATGAGATCTGGACGGACTGCACAACTTTCCTGCGTGATGTGCTCAGCAACCCTTTCCCACATCGGCAGATTCTTCCGCGTCTTATTGAGTTCGCGGCTATCCTGGGAGTGAAGTTAGAGAACACAACGTTTGGTGAAGACCGACGTATGCGTAAAGAGCTCGGAGTTAGTGTGCCCCTCATCTTATATTTCGTGAAGCCTTTCACTAACTGTTCTCTCATAGGATGTCGTTCTTCGTTTACTTACTGCCGTCTTCACCAGCAAACCCTTAGGGCTCAATCAGGATGCTAGTCTCTTGGCAAGGCCATCTCTTGATTACGACCGTACTGCGGTAGCACATACAGGCCCCGATGATATGCTAAGCATTCTTGCGGTCTCCATGCCCTCCTTCCTCACTACTCTGGGTGACTCTGATCGTATTAACACTGCAATTACTGGTGTGTCGACCAATGTAGTTGGTCCCTTAATCCGCTCCCGACTTTTCCCCAATAATCTCAATCGGAGTGTCATGATTCTTTTGCAGCAAATGGCCAAGGTTCCCGCAGCTGCGAAGGTCTGGAAGAAGGATATTTCTGATGCATTTAATGACCCACGCTTCTTTGGCTTGCAAGTGGACCTTGTTAAGGAAAACTGGATGGACCTTTTCCGACACTGGGTGCTTGCCGATAAGGACAGATTAGCAGAGCTTCTTACTCGATTAACACCACCCAGCACAGCCGGAATTATGTTTGGTGTGGGAGCTTCTGCAGCACGATTGGAAGCAGACCGCAAAGCGCAACTCAATCTTCGCCGCATCGCTCTGCTTCTTCTATCCGCTACTACCGATTACTTTGTGGGTGAACTTCCAGCTTTACTTCGGAAATTGGAAGATCTACTTGCAGCTACCAGCTCGTCATCCCCATCATCCGCGACTCGAGCGGAGATTTTCATGGTTCTACGTGCTCTCGCTCTCAAAACTTCACCTTCGACTATGGCGCCTTTCTGGCCGCTAGTCAACTGTGAGCTCCAAGAAGCGCTCTCTGCTGTTCCACAAAATTCACAGTCAGAGGTTTACAATCCTTACTCGCTTCTTCAGGCTTGTAAGCTATTGGACCTTCTTCTTGTGATTGCTCCCGATGACTTCCAGCTTCTAGAATGGCTGTTTGTGACCGACACCATCGACGCGGTCTACCCACCGAATCGCTGGGAACCAGTTGCATTGGCAGATGAAGTATCTCAGACCTTCGGATCACGTAACATGTTATCTCCAACTGTTTCCAATGAACAAGCGGAGCCCGTGGCACGTGGTGGCCTCAAGCGACCATGGTTAATCTCAGATCGTATTCGAGAGACAGCCAAGGATGAGATCGTTGAACGAGTTTTACGACCCTTCTTTGACCGGCTGAGTATCTATGTGTTTGAGAGCACATACGGTATGGAAAGCACAGACTTTGGTATTTGCCGAGACGATTTATTGGCAGATCTGTTCAACGAGAGCACGATGGCCAACTAAACCCATAGACGTCTATTTTCCCATTTTGTACAGCTGCAGGACTCGGGGCTCATAGCGATGATCATTCATATTTAGCTCCATCATACAATTATTCATTCAAATTTTGAAGTAACATCATGATGCTTTAATCCATACTAAGAGGCCTTAATCCCTGTCTTGGGGTGATGATGAGATGGATACATACTTCCCAAGTTCAGGTCCTCAAACTTGATCTCTAGAAACCCACAGACGGACTCAAGCTCTAAGTCTATATTTACAATATTGGTCAGTCCAATATTATAAGATTAAATGTGTTGCATACTAGTAATCCTACAAAATTCTTTTATGTATGCAACAAAGGTTCATACTACCTAGTAAAAACCTTGTTAAATAGACACCCCATGCCTATCTCTATACCTATTATTCTATCTTTAGTCATGGTAGTGGAGAAATACCCTTTTATAATAACAACGGCCCAATCTACTGTGTAATGCCTTTCAGGCTTTGCCAGATTTCCAGTGAAACAAGAGCTGTGCATTATAATGATTCCGAGGTTGGGCTGTCCATTTAACAGGCGTGAATATCCGCTGCCGCCCGGACCTCAGATCAGTCAACGTCACTTACCTCTTTCACTCCTCTCGCCACTAAACATCTCAATCTTGTAGGGACAGTCCTGGTTTACATCTAACTAGTTGGGCACTAATATTCAAATAGATCTACTGTGTCACCATGACTGTGCGCTCAAAGATCTTTTTGCCTCTACGCGTACGCGTCGTCGCCCGATCTTTCTCAGTTTCCCGTCCCCGCTGGGAGGGCACACCTCTACCTGCTAGAAAGCCCGTTGGCGCTTTCCGTGGAGGGTGAGTCTTTATATTCATTCTAACATGAATAATTTGCCTTTATTACAAGCTTCTAGAATACATGTCTAACTATGCACAGTGTCTTTGGATTCTTGTCTGGCGCTGTCGTTGCTGGCGCGTCGGTTTATTACTACATCTTAACTGATTACCGGGTTGCTAATGAGATGTTAACTGATGATATCTCGGTATGTGGACATTCTATCAAGACTTATATCTTCTGGTTTCTTGTCATTTTGTCCCAACTAACCTCCCTTTGTTCTCCCTGGTACATCTGGGGAGATTCTCTTTGGCAAATATAGGCACTTCAATCGGCAACCATGAAGCTCCAGTCATACATTACTGAGTTGGAGACCAAGGTCAACAAGCTCCAGAAGAAGTGATGATTCGGTCACATCCTTATTTTCTACTTGTATTTTCATATCTTTCATGGTGTTAAAGGTGTCTTTTTTTTGCATCGGCTTGGAAACCAAATCAATCTTACAAACACATTTATATTTGAATGAAATATTATTTTGACTAAGTCCTTGAATGATAATTTATCTTCTAATGATGATAATAATAAAAAAGACCAGACTTATTGTGCAAATGCCTCGCAATCATTCTCATACCTCCAGTGCCCAACTCCAAATTTGATAGAGCTGACCTAATGCAAACAAACCAAACACCTTATCAGCCTGAATCAATTCATCCAACATTTCCCTTTCCATCTACTACCACTCCCTTCCTCACTCTCAAAAAGACTCTCTTAAGGAACTTCCAATATGTTCCGCGTTGAACTCATCTCAGATAAGGGCTCCGCCCCAACTCCAGGCTGGACATACGTCGCCGACCGATCCTTCAATCCAGCCAAAGCCGCCAATGCCCCAACACTAAGCCGCAAACGCGGTATCCGCGACGCCGGTAAAGGTGGCGATATGTCCTCTCGACGAGCGAACGCGATTATTCGTCATCTTGCCGAACTAGACCGTGAAAACCAGCGCGATGTCTCGATTCCAGTCCCCGTGAAACAAGCCAAGGAGGCCGGAGCTCGTGGCACGCGCGCAAAGACCACATCGAATGTACGACGAATCCTACAATCTCAGAAATCCTTCCGCAATCATCTCGACGACGAAGAAGCTGCGCTAAGTAATGCTGCTGCGAGTGGCGCTGGTTTGGGAGGTGGGAATTTGGCGTTAAAGGGGAATAAAGCTGTTGCGGCAGCTGCGAGACGGAGCTCAACACCTGTTACTATTGCTTCTAGCTCTGCGGCGAAGAAGAAGCGTGTCTCGACGGTTGGGAGTACGAGGTTATCGAATACGACTACCACTGCGGCGTCTCCTGCACCTACGACTACGACTATGGAGGTTGATGAGGAGGATTCGGAGCGCAAACATAAGTTGTTAAAGACGGAACATGATGATGATCCTCTGTTACGGTCTTATGCACCTACCATGCCTTCTGATCGCATTATTCAGCGTCTGCTTGCTGAGCCGCCGCTATCTTATAATGCGTCGCGTGCGGGCCCACCGAACTCGTCGCGCTTGCCGAGACATTTCTGTTGTATGTGTGGATATTGGGGGAAGATTCGGTGCAAGAATTGCCATGTGAGGACTTGTGGGCTGGATTGTTATCGGGTTCATGAGGATTCGAGGTGTGGGGCGTTCTTTTAGAATGTCCAGACGTTGGTCAAAACTGTATGTATACTATCAGAGGATTCGATTACCTCTTTTTAATGACTGTATGAACATTATGAAACTGTACAACTACTTCTATGTTGTTTTATTTTCTTTAATTTTTAAAATAATTTTTCTTTTTCAATTCTTGGAAATTAATGAGTCAAAAATGCATCGCTGTATACTTAATCAAAAACACGGTTTAACACTTCAAGTCGATGCCCATGCGGGATTCATCCTCGCGGATCTCAAACATGACTTGGATGCCAACAAAGAGCACGGCACAGCACGATATCATATATGCAATACCAGAGTATGAACCTGTCAGACCTGCAAGCAAATCCTTCAGACCATCTAATCCGAGCGCAAATCCAACCAGATTCGCAATCATCAACATAAGAACATTACCCACGGACCCGATGCCCGTAATAATCCGATATGCGGTAGGACGCGCACGCCAACGACGAGCTGGGAAGAGGATCCCACCAATGACCTCGGGAAGAACGAAGAGGGTGATGAGCCAACCCCACATAAGTAGACGGAGGTTGATATCATGCCATAATGCAACGAATGTAAAGACTAGAAGAACGTTGCGAATCTGCAGGAACTTGCTCATAAAGCCAGACTTAGGGGGCGATGCTGCTTTTGTGCCCGCTGGGCCCCTTGGACCGCCGGCGCTACCACCGAGTGGGATATAGATATAGCGGACAATCCAGCGGTTATATGACCGGTGCCAGCCACGCCAAAATCCGGAGACTGAGTAATTGTTGGACATGCAGCGTACCATGTTCTCTGGCGGGTCAATGCCATCAAGAAGAGACCAAAGACGGAAGAATCGCCAAGGAATGAGCAGTTTCAACCAAATGATGTGCAGATTGAAGAATGCAAGCATGCTAAGTTGTCCCGGTGTAAAGATGGACCAGTCTGGCGAAGCCTTGGAAATGGCTACCGCATATATGTAGTGGAGAATAAGCTCCATACATAGAACCGTGAAGAAGAAACGGATACCATAGAGGGTGGTGCGTGTGCGTGTCAGCGAGGGAGGTGTGTACCGTTGCTGTGATACATAATCATTGAAGGTCAAGATAGGACCAGCGAGGTATAGCGGTGAATAAAGCACGTAAGCAATATAGTTCCGCACGCCGAATGCAGCTGGCTCAGCAGGGATTTTGACCCGGTCTCTATCGGAGAGTGTCGAGGGGTCAAGCTGCTTCTTCTTGTGGAATTCGGTCAGTTCTACGTCCAGGCGAGAGATTGGAAGTCCGGTGCCGGACACCATAGGAGTACATACTTCGATTGGACTTGATGAGAGGTAGTCCACACTCCAGTAGTAGTCCATGTTGAAACTGATCAGCCGCAGTACGGTGACTTTGAATAGAACCTCCCATCGAGGCATGATGCCGCCGAAGTTATCCAGAGTTTGCGCCCATTGTACAAGGGAGGATACATTCTCTCCCGATGGACCGGATCCTGGGGACAGGAGAAGGGCAATTCGCTCAAGCGGATATCCTCCAGACAGCTCATTGGCGAAGAGAATAGCAATGTTGAAGGTCCATGTGACGGCAGGAACATAGGACTGGGGGAGGTATTTGCCAATGCGGTAATTTATGAGTAATATTAAGAGCACCTTGAGTGCGGAGATTCCATGTAGGGCCGTGATGAAAATGAGTCCGAAGGCGAAGTCAAATCGCATGCGCTGTTCTAGCTGTGCGTTTCCCGCCGCAACTATGGATTGGTTCGATGGTTTTGTTGCATTGCTTTTGCCACTTGCGAAATAGTTGTAGGCTCGACGTACCAGCGGGTGGGCAATCAGAAGCAAAAGGAGGTAGGGAACGTTATCACGAAAGCTGGCGTATTGCGCATCGGAATTGTCCTGGTATCATTCAGACAGGGTTAGTCGAGCTTCGACTCCAATGTCCAGAAACGAGAATGTAGAGAGGGGTACGAACGACTAGGCGACCAGGAATCCAACCAGGCTCAAGCAAATTGGAATAGGTAGGGTAAATAGGGTGGGTGTCTGTAAGATTTGAAGATCTTCGGTCAGCATGTGCTCAAACTGGGATGCTGATCTCTCGCCGGCTTGCTTGGACTCACCCTTTGAGGCATCAACCACGGTCTTGAACATCAATGGAACGAGCGTGATGAAGAATAGATAATAGACGAAGAATTCCGGCGTGCGCCAAAGCGGTGCAGGGGCATTCTGGGCAATAGCATTTGCGCGGGCATCTTTAGCGGCAGCAGGTCGCGTGTCGGCGGCCGCGTTGCCCGGAGTACTGGCGGTAGAGGTAAAACGAGTGTCGAGGGTGTCAAGCGAATAAATTCGCCGTAACCAAGAGAAAAGAGAAGGCATTTTATCGCAGTAGCATGGCGTAGTGTAGATGATGGTGGTAAGATGTGTTTACTCAGGGGGGCCGAGGTTGACCATTCAGCCAAAACCCAAGTCAACTTTGACGATCATTTCCCCACATACCCAATCAGCGCCCATCAATTATCACTTTATGCCTCTGTCAATGGTACGCGGATACCAAAAAGTCATGAGGATTTAATGACGAAATGGTGTATAATTATTTACCATGTGGATGAGTACATACAGGATTACCTACTAGGTAATTCTACCAGGTAGTTTTTTGATCATCTTTACATCGAATCCAGATCTTACAGATATCAGATAGCCACACTGACATATACCTCTCAGGCAAACCTTGAGATGGAAACCATTTGTCTCATAAGTGAGAAGCTTATTTCGAGGACTGGAGATATTGAATCTCTGCAAGACTTCAGAGCCTGGTGACTATTCATGAGCCCCGACTATGATGGATATCCCGCAACAACTTCTATGTCAGAAAACAAGAAGTATGATGCTAAACTTCGACGAGTGACTCAATGTGAAGAGTATTCCTTTAAAAAGGTCCAAATACTCGAAAAAGATGAAACCACACCGTTGGACATCCAAAATCTGCAAAAATTGGAACAAGAGTTGGATACTATGTCAAAAGTGTATTGGCTTTATGGATATAAATGGATCATGTTCAGGGACAAGTTGCATGCTCCTACTCTACGAGGCTTTATTGAGTGTCGATCAATTGAGTGTCGATCAAACCCAAAGTGGTACCTCAGCAATACCCTTCGCCAACGTTGTGCATTATTCGGGGGTTGCTGTGGCCGTGAATGCCAATGCTGTGAAAAACGAAGCTTACATATCAAGCCTGAACGAAGTTTAGCTATTGGCCGTTCTCTTGACTGTGGATGTTGTTCCGAAGCTCGAGGATACGACAACACATGGAAAGCAGAATATCATATGCTTCCCGATAAAACTATCGATGGTCGTACTGCTCACCCTACACATGTTCAGCTGGTGGCCTGGTCAGAAAGTGGAAATGGTGGCTATTTAAGAGAATTGCGTTGTTGGGCTTTATAATTCTATTATTAATTTCGCCATGCCTATGGTACTGGATGAAACGCATGAGGCAATGATCTCATTATCATCCAACATGATTAATCTGATCAAAGCCGAAGTTGAGGATATTAGCTTTCATCTAAGGCTAAGGGATATGGTCTCATCTTAATTAAAATAAATGATCAGCGATACTATGCACTGGCCGATTCAATAATTTCGAAATTGAAACCAAAGCCAAAGTATTTTCTAGTCCTATATACCCAGTCTGTATATGTACTACCTACTGACTTGTAGGAACATGATATTGTATAGATCTACAGTGGGGAACTTGAAGCTTGAGGTGTAAATGCGGATTATCTCAGCAAAACAACACTCAAATGACATCAAGAATGCTCTCCACAGCACTTCCGTACCTAATCCTCTTCAATCCAATCTCACCATGACATCTAAACGGGTACGTCCTGATAAGAAATCTATTCCTTTTATATCCTTTCCCGGGCCGGGTAATATCGTCACCCCAATTCAAGAATCATGACCTGATTGACACCATATAGGTAGCTTTCAAAGTCCACGGCACTGTACAAGGTGAGACTTCTATTCCCAGATGAATACCCTCTATCTACCTTATGCACCCATATTTATCTAGACACAACTCTTACTAACTTACCTCTAGGTGTCGGCTTCCGGTAAGACCCCAGTTGCCCAACGACATCGATGACATCATCTTACTGCATCTATCAAAACAATCCTTCTCACTCACATGCTCCAGTGATTTTACTCAGAAATGCGCGACGAGCTACGGCCTAATAGGCTGGGCCCGGAACACTACCTGTGGACGTGTACGTAGCTTCTCACATGCTACGCTTCTCCATTCAACGTTCTGACCGATGACTTGGTTTTATAGGTTGAAGGTGAAGTTCAGGGTGACGATGAGACAATCAAGAAGTTCATACAACAGATTGACAAAGGTCCTCGTATGGCTCATGTGGTGAAATTAGAGAAACGTGACATGGACCTACTTGAGGGCGAAGATCATTTCTCTGTACTGCGAACAGCAGAGTCCAGGTTTACTTCGAAGGCCTAGTTTTTTTATGGGTCTTTAACCGAGCATGTTATTATTTTCTCGGGAGATTATGGATGGTCATGAACTTTCTATCCCTTTTTTCTATTAGGCGCCATTATCAGCTCAGAAATTCAAGCAGGTGAAAAACGAAACAATAAAAACCCATATACTGCAGTGATCGTTCGGATCCAAGCCAATGCCGGTGTTTGATCTATATCTGCAAATATTCGCAACCATGCTTTTGCTTCCTGTGCATTGCTTATGCATATTTGCATATCCCCACTGGCAAGCTTCAGAACTTCTATACTAGTAATTCGGCCAGAATCGGAGACGGAAAGATCGCTGAGAAGAGCGGGCTCGTGATCAAACACAAAAAAAGAAAATCTCACTCATACTTCAAGTAGTCGCCGGTGAAAATTGCGGATCCCGAGTTTAGCGCCTTGCAGACGGGATTTTCTCGGGCTGGGTATATGGATGACTCAAAGTCGCCATGTATAGGAACAGAGTGAATTTGAGGCATATCCCGACTCTTCCCGAAGTCACCTGCCTGGGGCAAAAAACGATTATCATACTCAGGGATGCTGCAGCAGATATACTAGATCAATAATGGGGAGACTATTTTATTTAGTTTTTGTTCGACTGATTTAGTGTGAGGCTATTATTGTATGATATCGGGGTTTAGTGCATGTTCATGGATCTACTGCATAGGATGAAGTAAGTGGAGATTTCGTGTATAACGATCCGCATCTGGACCCAATAAATATAGTGTATTGTCAGCAATCCAAGGACAGCCCCGAATGTTCACGGGTACTGATCCATATTCCAAGATTACCCCTTTGTCTCATTTAGTAATAGAAGGTGAAAGCGGGATTTATTCGGGATTCGTTGAAAGTCGGAAAGAGCCATGGAGGTAATAGATATAAAAGTCAGATTGTTATGCTAATTCAGGTTGAGACCATTTTCACTATCAAGCATAATAACTTCTTGAATCTTCCCTCCAACTCAATATTTTCTCAAACACACCTCTTTCTACACAGAATTCGTCACCACATTATCGTCATGAGCTCAGTCTCAGTATTATCGACAACTACCCTCCGGGTAGCTGCACGCCCTCACACTTACATACCTCTCATTGCGAAAAGCTATTCGGGAGTGACTATCGCCAGACTCCATACTTCACATGGTATCAACTACCACGCGGTATCAGGTGTCTACACTCCCAAACATGGAATCTCATCCACCCCACATCATCAAATCAAGGAATTCTTCCCACCTCCTCAGGCTGAAGGCGTAAAGCAAGTAGAAACTGCATGGGCACATCCAGTGTAAGTCTTTTATAAACAAAGCTCCTGATGATCTTGAGACAGATTCTAATTAAATATACAGGTACACTGATGCTCAAATGAAAGATGTCGCCATTGCACATCGAAAAGCCACCGATTGGTCAGACTGGGTTGCTCTAGGAATGGTTCGTGTCTTTCGATATGGCATGGACTTGACAACTGGATACAAGCACCCTGCTCCGGGTGAACAGTTACCGGCTCGGTTCAAGATGACAGAGAAGAAATGGATGAGTCGGTTTGTCTTTCTGGAGACAGTGGCGGGTGTTCCTGGCATGGTTGGTGGTATGCTTCGTCATCTACGCAGTCTCCGTCGTATGAAGCGAGATAACGGCTGGTATGTACTAATCTATAACCCTTGACCGACTATAACAAATCAAAAATCAGGACACTGACCACCACAATAATAACAGGATTGAAACCCTCCTCGAGGAAGCATACAACGAGCGCATGCACCTCCTCACCTTCCTCAAACTAGCCGAACCCGGCTGGTTCATGCGACTGATGGTCCTCGGCGCCCAAGGCGTCTTCTTCAACGGTTTCTTCATCTCCTACCTCATTTCCCCGCGCATCTGCCATAGATTTGTCGGCTACCTGGAAGAAGAGGCTGTCATCACATACACCCGTGCAATTGAGGAGCTGGATGCGGGCAAGTTGCCAGAATGGAAGACGCTTGAAGCGCCCCAGATTGCAATTAACTACTGGAAGATGCCCGAGGGCCAGCGTACCATGCGGAATCTTCTTATGTACATCCGTGCTGATGAAGCTAAACATCGGGAGGTCAACCACACACTTGGAAACTTGATCCAGGCTAGCGATCCCAACCCTTACCAGAGTAAGTACCGGGATCCCAGCCGAGAGCATCCGAGTAAGGGGATTGAGCATCTGAAGGGAACTGGATGGGAACGAGCGGATATCTTCAAGTCTTGAGAAATCTTGACTCTTCAAAAAGTGTTGGTGTAAATAGTTTGTTTGCATAGCGTTTGCGGTCATAGAAGCATCCCCTCTCATTCATACACAGGTGAATCTCCAGCTTGATTGTTGATATTCATACATGTACGAGGTCATTATGAAAATTCTGACGGCCTATTTTGATATTTGGAATAAACTTGGAGTTTTACCAATTTGATGACTTGAAATTTCTTAATTTTCATGATTGTTCATTCTTCTCATTTTCTTACCTTGACTATGCAAGTTCATTACGATGCCGGATCCACCCGTGGACCCACATTCATGATCTCCGTTCCAACTGAGCCTATCAGCGCCACTCCAATCAGAATTTTTTATATCCAAAAAAAAAAATTAAAAAAAAATTGGGACCAAAAAAAGAATTCTCAGGTTTTTGTTTTTAGGAATAGCCGAACGGGGGGGTCGAACCCCCCAACCTTGAGATTAAGAGTCTCACGCTCTACCGATTGAGCTAGCCCGGCAGGGCTGGTTGGAAGAGGTTCAAATTATGGCACTATGAAGCCCAATATTTGGCCCGATATCAAAAATGTTTCGTCTGATCCAGCCCGGACTGTTCTCTCTCCATTGCCAGGTGACCTGTGCAGTCAGACTGTTAGGAAAACTTGAATAAGCATCAATTTTGAAAATTGCATATTCAGTGCTCTATTGTCACTGAACTCATTTCCAAGGTTGCACTCCAGCCTGAGGCTCCGAATCACTATGGATACTCCGAGTCCGGCCATGGATATATATACCTAGGTACCTCCACTGGCAGTGTTGGCTTGGGATACTAGGCTCCACGATTCTCAGGCTGTACATACTTGATCGATTCAAGTTCCAAAATTCCACTCATGTGTCTACTAGTAGTACTAGCCATGAACAGGTGCATGTGGATGAGCTCTCAGCTGAGCCATGATTCAATGATTGAAACCTTCAAACATTCGAACATTGGAATGTTCAAGCACAAGTTCTGATTGAAGGTGGAGCCCGGGAAGGAACCATTGTCAATAGACCAGCTCGATATTTCAATCTGGGCCGGGCGCACATACATATATTCTCAAGTGTTCCCGAGTATCCAAGTCCGAGTCTCAAATGTTGGAATTTTTCATGGATATGTGTATACATGTGTATAATTTGGACCCCAGATGATCCTTGGAAGGGGAATGGAAGCTCCGAAGAACGGGGATTAGACGCTAATAAACGGTGATCAAGCCTCTTTATAGCGAGCGTATGCAAATGGCGTGGCCCAAGTCGCCGAAAGCTTATTAAATTTCCCATATAGATCAGACAATATTGCCCCTTTTATCTTAATTACTACCAGTAACCTTCTACTTGTGAATATCATAAGTTTCTAGAATCTTTCCCTATATCATATAGATATCCAAGGTTATAATGTGGCTGAACCAAAGATTAAAACGTGCGCGGACCGTTCAACGGGTTTTCTTGGGACGCGGGACCCCTTTAACATTTGAACGCGGGGCCATAAACATAAAGATCTTACGTTTGTATAAAATCAGGTACTCAAAGAATACTATATTCCTAGGTTATATATATTTCAAAATCTTATTTATATTATCATTCATCCATCTTCCCTTCTTCCCATCCCCAATTAATCCCCTGGGGTAGCCCTCGAGTTGCCCCCTTAGCGTTGTTGTACTAGGAGAGCCACACCCCTTTTAGCCCGAAGAAGATTCTCGGCCGTCGATCGGTCACGTCTCATTAAACCTCCATTACAGTCCCTCATCTGGGTTCCAGTCTGGGTCGATCACTTAATTTTATATACAGAAAGTCATTCCCGTTGAATTGACACTGTGGCATACCATTATCTGTCCATTCAGTGGCTATCAACCGATCCCTCGACGCGATCCTGCCATATTGTGGACAAGTAGTGCGACACCAGTCTCAGAACTCCCCTCAAATCCACAAACAAAATGGACGAGCCACAATCCAGAGCATCAGAGGTCATTTCCCTGCCAGAACGTTCCTCGTCGCCTTCACCATCTATTCCTGCTACACCTGCCATTTCTTCATATTCCTCCCCAGACCGCACCTTCTCCTCCGTCTCCTCCCGCTCCGCTTCTTCTTCGACCTCCGCCGACGCTCGCTCCACCGTCTCAACGTCCTCTAGACGCCATGGATACGTCCGGGCATTTGGCGGCGAGTTCGCTGAATCGGCTCGACACCGAGACAGTGTCATGAGTCTGGGCAGCATCGCCCATTTACAATACTACTTTGCTCGTACGGGTTTACTAGACGGGAAGACGGGCCGAGGCAAGGAGTTCAAAAAAAAGAATGGCGAGAATGTGCCACGGGTGTTAATCACCCCGAACGCAGCAAATATAGATGATCAAGATTTTGTGGCCAGCCCCTCAGAAATCACAGAGTCACCAGAGTATGATCTCAACTTGGAGGATGAGGATGGGGAGGTTATGCTGCCTCCTACCGTCAGTACTTACAGCATTAAGACACACCATATCCCGCCACCCCCAGATCTGATCTCCCTGCGTCGCGATCTGCAGGTTGCCCTGGAGAAAGCAGACAGTAATATCGAGGCGGTTGAAAATGGCATAGAGCCACCACCCCGCGAACCAATACGAACTAGTCTCTCACCAGGAGATATACCCGAGACTATGGATGATAATTCCGCGCGAGAACCTCCGATACCATCTAATAAGGAGGAAGCGCAAGGAATGTCCATCCTGGATGATGTGACGTTGGCCATTCGCGCCGCCAAAATATACTATACCGCGCACCCGCATCCAGAACGTCTCGCGTCAATTAAAAGTGATAGCGAAATCCGCAAGGATCTTTTCCACGTTCTAGATGCGTTAAAACGCTGGGCAGCGCGACATTTTGCCTGTGGACTCCGGCCTGAAGAACGCGACGTGATTCAGGGGTGGATTGCGGGAGTTCGAACAATGCTCGTGAGAGAAAAGGCGCTGGAAGATCTGGAAGCTCAGGAGCGAGAAAACTGGGACTGGGCTCGTGGGGATTGGAAGGGACGAGAACGGGCCCGCGAGGAATCTTTTCTCCGAAGTTTGATGCCTGGTGGTCATACCTTACCAGAATGGACTCCGATTGCAGATGATGCTACGGTTGAGACTCTGCCGACTGAATTTCTGGAACATTTCAGGGACGGCCGCATCTTAGTCCAGTTACACAATATTGCGGTCAAGAAGTCGAAGCGACCCTTTGGTGAAATTAAGGCCTTTCATGAAGATATCGCGAAACCTTACCGACAAGCAGACAATCTCCGGTTCTGGATTAAGGCTGCGGAATTGCGATGGGAGCTTCGGTTTAAGGTGGATGTAATGGGTGTCGTTCAAGGGACTAGTGAAGCAGCTTGGATACAATTTGATACCGCACTACTGGCTTGGTGCAAGACTGTCCGAGAGGAGCTTGTTCGGGACTGGCAGGCAGCCAACCCGGGACGACCTCCCAGTGCAGGACTGATTTAAATATGGATTGGAGCGATGGCTGACGTTGATATGCATCTCGGCTTCTATTTTTGGTTTCTTTGTGGTTTCTGATTTATGTTTTCTTTTTTCTTTTTTCTTTTATACATCTTCATGGGCCCCTTTGGCTAGATACCCCTGAATTGCCGTTGCCCTTATCCGCATGTGGTGTTGGTCTCCTGTTTTATTCTCCGCCTGGTTCGGTTTGGAATCTTGGAATCGGAATCAGTTGCATTTGTTTTGAAAGGGAAATTGTTTTGGACATATTGCATAAAGCAAACCTAATGGGGATCTTGGTCTTTGTTTTAGTCCATGACTCGGGTATACTCCATATATTGACTTGAATTTAAAGTCATTCAACTTGACTTTGATTCCTCATCGAGCGTTCTGCGTCTGCCAGTGTATACATAGAGTATACCTAGGTATAGTATAGAGGGTGTAGTACATGTAGTACCTAATGCATGTGGCGGGGAAACCTCACATTTATGCACAGCTTACTCCATACAGCCTCTCATTTTTGGGTAGCTGCACATACATTGAGTACATGTATCTTAGTTATCAGACTCCATGAAATAGAGATGGCCCAGACTCGCGAAATGACTCAAACTATTCTATTGTCTTAAACCTTACTCCATACAAGGTGAAATGTAGAAGTAAGTCAACTCTGTACTCTATACTGGTTCCAGATGAGTGGGCAGATCACTCATGCTGTAGTATGATGAAATACTACAAACGGGATTTGGAATGACTCGTAGACGCTAGGAGTGAACACATGGAAAAACCCCTTGAAATGAGACTGGAGTAACTAAATTTTAGTGTTATTGAAATTGAAATTAAAGTAGACATCTAGTTAGGTACCTAGCTATACTAATATAAAGTGATGAACACCTATACTAATACCCGATACTAATCACTACCTAGGCAATATTAATAGTAATATGAAACCTTTTTATTTATCTTAGAATCATGTATTTGATATCAATTCATCAGAATACTCCCTTTTATGCAACAAACGCCCAAATGATTTCATCTGATCGTCGGGTGCCGATCCCTTTAACATACCGGTGTACTTGTGTTAGCACCCACTTTACTATGGGGAATTAAGTGACCCGTTTTCTTTCTGCAACGATAACTGGCCACTTCATCCCTCGTTTTCTTGTCTCAAAAGTCATTGCGGCCCAATTTATATTCAATTTTGTCTGCTCTTTTAGACCTCAATCTCTTTCTATGGTCATGTAGTTTCAATTTGTGTCCATTCCCTCCCCCAATTTTGATCCACTCCAAAGGGGGTACCCCCTCTGATACCTAACCAGAACGAAACATTCCTTGCCCATCCCTACCTGAATTTGAATCGCGCCGCTTTTACTTTTCGGGCCTCCGTTCTTTGATCCTTGTCTAATCTTTCAAATTTGCCCCGGGCCTTGTAATCCATGCATGCCACGGTCGACGATCCCCCCTCTGCGACTGACCTCGCAACACATGTCGTGTCCGTTCAGTCCGCCTCTCCTCCCCCCGCCGACTCCCCAAATGAACACGGCCCCCTCCGCCGTTTGAAATCCAAGTCCTCCTTGTGGAGTATAGGGAGTAGCAACCCTGACGAGGAACCCATACCCGAGCCTTCTAGTGCGGAGAAGAACGCTGGCAAGCAGTCTATCTTCCGTCGCTTATCTCCCGCCCTTGCGGCTAGGGTGAAGCTGCTCGACGGGGGTAGCAAGGTGACCAGTGCTCCACGGAACCCAGGCGCAGTCGGTCGGATCCCAGAGGAACAACTGAAGGAACTGGACAGTCAGCACAAAGACCTTTCGATCAAGGTGGAGAGGAGAGGTCAGGCGTGGAACGGAGTGGCTTTGACATCACCGGCGTCAACAACATCCCCGGAGCTCCTAAAACGAAGCGCGTCCAACAACCTCGAATTACCATCCCAGAATCTGCTCCAGGAGTTTGAAAAAGCGCTAGAAGAAGGGTCAGATAATACCGACGCGGTCGTCGACGGTCCAGAACCGCCTGTTCTGGCGGATGCCCCCTCGGTAACTGCCCCAGATACAGAGACAAATATCTCATCGACATCCATGTCTGTGGTGGAACCGGCGCCGGCGCAGCTGCGCGCTGATCCCGATCCATCTCCCCCAGTGCCCGCGCAAGACGACCAGGATACTCGAACCGACTTTGAGAAATATGTCGACGATACCAAGCGCAGCGAGGAGCAGGCCGAATCAGCTCCAGAACCTCCACCAAAAGATGAAGAACCTCCTTCGTCCCCTACATACTCCCTCTCTTCTTCCTCAAATCCACAATCATACTTCAACCCCCGAGGCTTACAGCGCGCTGAATCCATATACTCCTTTTCTCGTGCCTCTTTCAGCAACCAGCTCTCTCAGCTCACTTCGATTCCTCTACCACAACCTGGCGCTCTAGAGACCAGTATTCGAAACATTGCTACAGCGCTGGCCGCGGTACGTGCGTTGAATGGTGCGGCCGAACAGATTCATATATGGATCCGTAAGGCATCCGATGTGCTTAGCGGCTTAGATTCGGAGGATGACGTGGAGTGGGCAGCAGCAGGTGGTCGCGAGGGACTAGACGGAGTGGATAAAGCGATTACACGATTCGAATCCCTGGTGAATGTATATGTGAAGGCTATCGAGAATGTACAGCTTCGAGACGATATCGCGAACGTCGATTCCGAGAGTCTGAAAACCATCGTGAGGCAGATGGAAAGCATCTTACATAACTGGGCTCAGATCAAGATAAAGCTAAGGGGTGTAAAGGAGCAGGTGGAATTGGCTATGGAGTGGGAAGAGCTCTGGTCCAATGTTCTGGGTGATGTGGGCATGGAGATTGATAATCTCAGCGGAATGATCTTTGAGATGGAAGAGAAGCGACACCAGTCTCTTTTGGATAATGGAGAGTCCACCACTGGACTTGATATCAACGAGCTTGAAACTATTGTCGAGGAATCACCTATCAAAGGTCGCTCGCCTGCAAACCGTCACTTGAGCCTTGGGCCTATGTTAGCCGCAGCTTCTGGTACCCCTGTTATCAAAACCCCGCAGGATGATTCCAGTTATTCCAATCTGATGGCCCTGTTCGCGCGGATGCAACCTCTCCGAGCATCGTTGGATTTCTTGCCCATGAGACTTTCCATGTTCCAGTCCCGTGCTGAAGGTGTCTTCCCTAGCGCATGTGAAGAAGTCGATGATCGACGCAGTCGCTTGGAGAAAAGCTATAAAGTGCTCGAGCAGGATGCTGAGGCTTTGCGAAAGGAGTTGGGCGAGGACAAGTGGATTATTGTTTTCCGAAATGCTGGCAGCCAAGCACAGAAGATGTTTGACTCGGTTGAGCGTAGCATTGCCAAGCTGCAGGAAGGCTTGGAGACGAATGCTCAGGTTAACAATCCTGCTAATTTGACCAAGCGGATTGAGAACTACGAGGCGAAGAAGATTCACTATGTACCTGCTATCGAGCGTGTGATCTCCATCATTCAGAAGGGAGTAAACGATCGCCTCACAGTGAATGGTGAGGTTCTTCGGCTATTGTCTGATATGACCTCGCGGACGGATGCCCTGAAGGCCAGCTTAAGAGTAATGGATTCATCTCTTGAAGATGTCCAGATATTCAAGGGCCAGCAACTACGGGATTCCATTTCCAGTATCATTACCATGGACAGTCCGGCCACGGGTAGTGCTATTGATACACCTGGAAGTTCACCTGCATCTTCGGTTATTATGAGTGGTAGCGGATACAAACCTGCCTCAACGCCCCTGGGTGGCTCCAGCCGTCGCGAAAGCTCTGTCAGTAGCGTCGCGGCTCGTTCATCATCCAAGGTCCGCCGATTTTCAGGTGTGCCACAGCCTACCACGGGCATGACAGGTCGTAAATCGTCTCTCCCCAAGCCGTCAGGACTTACATCCCCGACCCATGGAAAGCCGAGCTTCGCCGTCACACCCACCCCTGCTGGCCGTAGAATGTCTCGCGTGCCACAGCCATCGCCTATTCCCAACCGTCCTCGATGGAATACCAGTACCAATACGAATGACCTGGATGTTGGTCACCCTTACAGGCCCCTGGGTGCTACAACCCCCAATGGATACCGCAGGACGTCCGCCCCAACGCGAACAACACCTCGACCTGCCTCAACTGTTCCATTCCGACGAGACATGTCTGGCTCGCCGGCACCAAGTAGCGGCCGGTCAGTCAGTCGTCTATCAACTCGATTCGCATCCTCATCTCGGAGTCCCGTCCGCAATGCTTCCTCTCCCACACCTGAACGCCCTTCATTACTCGACCCACCGCCATACAGCCGTCTTCGCAGAGCGTCCCCTATGATGTCCAGTGCCGCTACAGCGGGCATGAACAATGCCCCTCGCAGTCGACAGAGTTTTGCGGGTATGGGAACAACATTCAGTCGTAGTGTCTCACATGCGCTAGACATGGATGCGAGCCCTACTAAACCCACACGCCCTGGTACATCGCTGGGTCATTCTGGCAACAGTCGACGAACCAGTCTCCTTCCTTTACCGAAGCGGACTGCTGATCAGATAGCTGCACAGAAAAAGGCAGATAACCGTCCTCCATGGCGAGCGTGATATCCTCTCATCTTCTTCCATATTCCCCCTGCCATCATATCATCTGTTATCGCTTCCTCGCTCTATCCTATCTACCTTTCATCTCACCCACATCTCATACCAATTTCTCCTCTACCTGCTTATCTCTTTTCCTCTTCCTCTTCCTCCTCCTTCTATCAATCCTGTTCTTTATCTGTTTCTCTACTGCATTGCGCTGGGCTCGTTTGGACTGTTATCGAAGTCTAATTGAGCACAAAGTGCCAAATGATATTGAGGCTTAGGTTTTGCGTGATATCCCCCCTGTTGCATGGAATGGTCTGAGCGTTGTCAGTTTCTGTTCGGGTTTGTTTGATTACTTTCATAAATGTGAATATTATCTTGTAGTTTATTTATTATTTGTATTCGGAATCGAGCTGTTTAGAATGGTGTATGAATTCATGGTATCATTCAGTCCGTGACACTTTGTACTTCTATATACCAAATTAAATCATCAAAAGGGTAGAGCATATTTACCAGTTCCTAGTAGGTACATCTAGTTCCCCAATTCCCGTCCAAAAATCAACGCATCAACCAACTCCTCACTGTTGGCCAACCGCGCAGCCTTGGGAACCCGTCCAATAACACTGAATCCAAGTCTCTCCCAAATGCGAATAGAAGCTGGGTTATTCGCAAACACAAGATTGAAGACAGAGTACTTGTATCCCTGTAGATCAAAGTCAGACCAATGTTGTCAATCAAGATGAAAAGGATTATCAACATACCAACTTCGGCGCAAACTCCAGATAAGTCTCACCCATTGCAAGACCAACACCCTTTCCACGGGCAAGATTCGTAGTTAAGAAACCCGCATTACAGATATGAGAGCAGCGACCTGGAACCCGTTAACAATAGTCCAATCCACCATGAAATTAGAATAGCGATGAACATACCAGGATAATTCGGCTTAATATAAAACGTTCCCAAACAAACATCCTTCCACTCCCTTCCCTCTCTCAATCCTTCCTCACCATCATCCAGAACAGCAACAACAGCAAAAGTCCCAAACCAATACTCCGCGAATTGCTGCAATCCCAGCGCATGTTCCATAGGATACGTAGCTCCGCGCTCGATCTCAGCGCTGAACTCCGCATGCAGGAATGCGATTAGATCCTGAGGAACGCTGCTAGGGCCCTGGGTTACTGGGTACAGGGTTATCGCGGCGCCATTGGATTTGGGGAGGGTTGTTTGGCGTGGTTTTAGGGTTTGTGCTGCTTGGATGTGTGCTTGTGGTGGGGGGGTTATGGGATGAGGGGTCTTCTAATATGGCGGGCATTTTGGGCAATTGGGTGGTTTGTGTTCAAGTTCTGAAGGGGTAGGTGATGGGGTTGGGTTTTTGGATTGAAAAGTACTGAGTATAACTTGAAGGTATTCTTTTAGGAACTGGGATCTGGATGAATTGATATAGGTTGAGTGTTGTAGATAGCTGAGTCATCGGTGTCGTTTGTAGGGCGTGATCTCCACATTGATAGAGATGGGGAATTGGAGAATGTTCTTTTTTTATTGTATGAGATTCTATCGGTGTATGCTTTGGGATTATTGGGTTGTTTGATATGATCTTCAAAGACTCAAGTTTAGATATAAAATTGCCAATGGGAGCTACAATGTAGTATGGTCAGAAGACTCAGAACTATGTGCCGAGTAGAGGTCCAGCAGACGAAAATGGGATAGAATAGCATTAGTCAAGGCCTGATCTCAACAATTGGCAAAGACATAATATGAGATTTGACATGCCAATGGATGCAAAAGAACCAAGAATTCAATTGACAGTCTTGGTAGTTGAAAGAATCAATTGAAGTAACGCCTAGACAATACTAGTACAAGGCTTCTGGTATGCATGTATGTACAACAGGGCATACAAGCATCGAGAGATGCCAGCATCTCCCAAATCCCACTGCGCTAAATAACGGTCAAATATCTTATTTATCCTCGCCCTCGCCCTCCTGACCTTCATTCCGAATGGCCTGCATGAGCTCAAACAGCTGACCGAGCTGTTGGTCTATACAAAAGTCAGCGAATCCAAGTCACCAGACCCTTAGAAGGTGCTGTCCATACCACTCAGCTTATCAAGCTTGGACTTATCCAGTTTCTCTCCAGCCCACTTATCACCCTCCATCTTTTGCGCGTAAAGCTGCCACTCAGTCAAGAATCCGATCTGCCACACCAGTCAGTCCGTATCACCAACACTCAAGCCCCAATGCTCTTGCAATCATCCCAGAAATCCAAGAACATACAATATGTAAGGGATTCTCCGCAGTGCGATGCGCCCGAAACTCCTTCTTCACATATGAGTCGCCGAGCACGCGCATTTCCGGGTCCAATTTGCGGTGGACGCGCAAGATCCGACGGTAGAGCTGAAGGGGTGGAAGAAGGGCCAGTGCTTCACTGAGACTGGATTTTGAGCCGATTGAGGCCGGCGCAGCCATTAAAAGACGGTGGGCGAGACGCATTTTGGTTTTGGTTTTTGGAGGTTTCACGGAGGGTTCACGGAGGTGAATGACATAATTTTCTGGGGAACCCGATCTTCGGGATTTTTTGGAGCGGAGTGGAAGGCGGCGAGGGATTTCGGCGACAATTTAGATTCTTCTCTACAGCGTCCATTTGGTGGTACAACACAGTGGTTGATAGCGACATTCGAACTGCATATTTGAAATTGCAATTTTCATTACGATAATACCACTGTGTGGATTGTTGGGTTTCCTACTTCTCATACAGGACATTAGCCCACATCCGCCAATACGATTCTTGGGCACCCATATCTGAAAAAAATAGCATTGCGATTGAAGTATAGCTCCTGAGCCGATGGTCTATATCTCGAGACAATGCTTCCCACTCCTGATACCTCGCATGTCTCTTTTGACACCATTTATGAACCCTCTGAAGACTCATACCTTTTCTTGGACACACTTTCATCAGCATCAGAATCAAAATGGCTGTCTGAAAGGTTTCAAAAAGGCACCGACTCGCCAAATCCTAGTACAGATCCCGTGCCCTTAGTGGTAGAGGCAGGTACAGGATCTGGTGTTGTGCTAGGATTTGTAGCAGCAAATTCACAAGCGATCTTTGGACGTCAAGATATCCTCACACTGGGAACAGACGTAAACCGAAATGCCTGTCTTGCCACAAGAGAAACTGTGTCTCTGGCCATTAAAGAAATTCAAAAGAAAGACATCACCAACCACCCAAATCTACATACCGTCCATGCTTCTTCTGTCACAGCAGACTTGTGCACGTCTTTACGCCCAGGAAGCGTAGATGTCCTGCTTTTCAACCCACCTTATGTACCAACAGAGGATCTTCCACGTCTACCCAATGCCTCTGATAATGATCCAGCCATCTCAAAGGCTATGTCTCGGTCTGCAAAGTTCGATAGCGACTCGTACTTCCTTTCGTTGACTTATGCCGGTGGCGCAGATGGGATGGAAACGACAAACCGCTTGCTAGATGCCATCCCCGGCATTCTGTCAGCACGAGGCGTGGCATATGTTCTGCTCTGTAAACAGAATCGACCAGAGGAAGTAAAGGAGCAAATTCGAGGATGGGGTTGGAGTGCGGAAACTGTTGGCTCAAGTGGTATGCAAGCCGGCTGGGAGAAGTTGGTCATTGTTCGCATATGGAAAGAGAATATCTCGATCTGAGATGAAGGATGATGGAATGGAGATACGAACTTGCACACTTGGAACTCTGATGACCTAAGTGTTAGACTAGGCCAGAGCATCAAATTTCACCCTCGGATTGCAAGCCCTGTATAGAATCAATATTCAGATTCTCGGGCTCTATTACTTGATCACATCAGGCCAGAGTTCAGTGTACCTAGTACCAGGTATACACAACATCTGAACTCAACCAGTACCATAACATACAAGGATAAGAACTCACTCCGAATACCTACTCCGTACCTCCACTCCGTACCTATGACCCGCTCGCTCGCACTTCTAAGTTCAAAACCCGACAGGGATAAAAAAGTACCAATTCCAAGACTACACGCAACCATTCTCCTTAAAGAATGCCTACGGATCTATCCGGATGACAGCGTTTACTTGCAGATGCAGGATGCGGGATATCAGCAGACCCAACCAGTCAGTGAATAACACCTTGACACGACATATTCATGTTCCCGCCGGCCCCCAAAGCAGTGGGATCAGATCACCGCCCCAAAGATGAAACTCGTTCGATATGGAGTTTCATGGAACAATTTACACATGAAACTCAGGGACACGGAACATTCCCGTATCACATCCCCCAGCCTGGGGGGCGATCGGGGCCACGTGGATCTACCGGGTGTTTCATGATGCGCTATATTTGCAATTCACACCAGGATTCGCTTAGGATGAGGGGAATACCCTCGTCTATCGTGAGAGTTCGCGCTATGGGATATCCGCTGGCGTCATTTGGCCCCCGTGAGGCTTTTCGAGAACTCTATAGTGGATATCTAATTTTATGATAATTCCGGTATCAATGGAAATGGTTTGACGTAATGACTATTCCTAGAACAAAATTGAACAATGAATCGGAGTTCTCTCCTGGAACTTGAAATAAACACCGATAGCGGAAACATTGAATCATGTACATGTGCGTTGGTCCGAGTCCTAACGCTTACATTCAAATTATTAATGATAGTACTTTTGGTATTGATCTATACTCTTCGTAGTATGCTGCACGTAGTACTTAATGCCGATGCTAGATTCGCCTAAGTCTTCAGACTCCGGTTAGTCATTTTACTTAATATGGTCTAGTCTTCTGGATTCTATAATCCATTTTCCATGTGGCTTTTCCTATACCCTCCCATGTGGCATACCCTTGTACCATGTGGCATCGGGGATTCGGGAGACAGGCGCTAACAATCCAACGTGGCTCGAGTAAATTGGCACTAAGTTAGCCCCCGCATGAATATCGGGGGGGTTACCAAGTTGGGGCCATGGTGATCGGCAGAAGCTTTGTGAGCTTCATGAACAGAGTAGCGAGTCAGTTTTGTATATTGTATCCATAATCTTTAAACCTGATCCTTCCTACTGACTCGGTGATATACTAAACCAATGAAAAATGCAGGGGGCTAGAGAGGATCAAGAGGATCAAGAAGGAGCATTTGAAATGAAATCCTTCCATGTCTTGTTGATAAACTCTTTTGTATTAAAATGTTCCACTCGGTTTCAAGGGATCATAGCGGCAGAACCCCCGAGTCAGTCGAAATGCATCAGCATGCATTAGTCTGCATGGACCTCCACAACGCAAGGATCCATAATTCATTAGACGAAAGAAAAAGAAAAGAAAAGAAAAGATGATAATAAAAAAAAACTCGGCTAAAAAAAGACCTCGTATACGGATAGTAAATGACTTCTTGACCGCAAGTTATTTCCCATGCGGAAAACTCGGGTAGATGGTGGAGCACTTGGAGAATGAAGAGCGCTAAGATGAATAGATCTTGGAACTCTCAGTGCTTACTCCGCGGATGAACTTTGTAAATGTTTCGGCCTTAAGGTACGAGAGATCGAAAGATCTCCACACACGGGATCAAAAGAGTGCTCGCTCATTTCTTCCCTTTTAAGGTTCAACTAACACTCTCTTATTGATCCAAACATGAAGCCTTGTCCGAGCATGAAGTCATATATAATCTATTTGTATTTTTGTTACTCAAATACGGAGTATACTCCGTACACTTCACCTGACTCGATCAAGTGTCCATTGTGGGAACTTGATCAAATTTGAATGATAAAAAAAGACCTGAAATTTCCACCTAACGCTAGTAACTTTTTTTTGCTTATTTCGCATCATCCACTCCACCCGGAAAAGGCTGAATTTCCGAAATAACCTTGGAATAATACCTGGGTACTAGTAATTGATGGCCGCAGGGTTTATTACGTTAGTGAGTCGGATCTGGTGGCACGAAGGGAACTAGCAGGGGGGTTAATATGTAAATGTCAATCAATTTGCCCCAGAACCACGTGGGTCTATGACGATAATAGAGTCATGGATCCGATGGTTTGGTAAATAGAATGGAGCTACTTAGTAGGCGAATACTAGTAGCATTATCCCAAAACGAAATACATCAGACAAGCTCAAGTGGTGTAAGATAGACATCGGCTCAAAAGCCATGGCTTGATCAGGTGGAACTGGAAGATAACGAACTTGAATACTTGTGGGCTTTGTAACTATGCAATTAGTAACATTTAAAAGAACAGCGGACCGCCGGCGGAGTTTACTCGGTTGAATCGGTCATTAGACATGTACGGGGAAATAGGACTTGAGGACGGGATATTAAATTGTTTGGATGAATTTTCAAGTTTCCACTATTTCCATGACTTTGGAAAATGCATTTCTCGATAAACGACGCACCGCCACTATAGAGTACATACATTGGATAGCTATCTTAAGCACCTTACCTCATTTCATTCAATGGGGCCCCAGTTTGCTTTTGGCCCCGGGGTTCTTAGGGGGTCCTACGCGTAGATGACACGCAATGCCCGACAAGCGGGGACATCGGAGTCCATTTTTAACTGGTTTTGTGCTAGTGGACTCTAGCTTAGTCCCAAGCGCATTGCTTACCAGAGTGATCATTAGGAGTTTGCATCGTTCCAATCATATCCAACCCACAAATATTCAAACTTGAATTTGGAAGGGTTCATTTGTCTCCACATATCCCTCTGATGGCTTTTACGATTGGTGAGTTCGGTAAAGTGTAAACTATATGGAGATGTATCCTATGAACTTGAATATGGACCATATTCTCAATTGATTGGATAATGGATACAAACTTGATAGCGCCGAAATAACAAAATACTGACGAATCTTGAATCTTGAATGGATGATCATACTCTATACTTCCAGTCTGACGCTTCCATTCCTCGCAAAATGAACACTGATCATTCTTAGTTGCATGGCCCCCGGCCACCTAGTCTAAGGGTCTGCAGATATCCCCGCCCGAAAGAGCATACGCAAAATGATAATCAATATGAATCGATCGGGGCATCCGATGTTGCAGTGCATGATTAGGCAATTCTTAGCTTACTGACGCTAGAATATCGGCACTCGGGTTTAAAAGCGTGGCAAAGGACCCGGCCCAGTGGTTCTCAGGGGCGCTGGCCTGTAATTTCAGGGAGCTGTTGGTTGGATGTTGGAAGAATTTGACCCCATCAGTGGCGGAATACTGTCAGTGAGGGCTTCAAGAAGCGTACCTACATTAGCGCCAGGATCGGATATTCCCTAGCCTGATTGATTGCGTGGCAATATTCTGACCATGTAATTTTTGTATTGGTTTGGTTGGTAACACTGTGTATGATCTTCTAGAGCGGTGCCGAGTAAGCCGTGCATATACCTATTCTGGACTCCTTACGGGGTACGGAGTATTAGACTGTCAGCGCATACTATTTGCTATTTACCAAAAAGGCATGTTGGATGGCTGCTATAGTGAGATCGCCACAAGGTCATCCATTAATTTTAATCATTATTTCTTTCTTTTTTAAATGAAATATAGATCAATGTCATCAAGTGCCAGTGGCTTGGTCTTTCCAGCCCATGAGGTGGTAGATGGGATGTAGTTAGGGCATGCTGCATGCCCGATGTCGAGCTACTGCATGAAGAGTCACGTGTGCTGCAACAGGGATTATAGGCGGTTTTATAAGCCTGCTGAAATGGGTTGATCCTCCAAAGATAGAGCATATGGTTGAATATTCCGTTCTGAGGCTCAAAAGATGTTTGTCTGTCCTTATGCAAGGACGACCTGAAAAGACTCGGTACCAAAACTCAAGGCCCATTGCTTGAATGCGGAAGTGGCTTTATAGATATCTGGAGCAGATGGATTCTGGATTCTCGGCCCGCAGCCCAATTTCAGAGCCAAGGATGATCCTCCGATCCTACATCCTTGCTGTCACATCTCTACTTTGTATCGTGGACCATAAAAGTCCATGCAGATAAGTGCCCCGCAATAATTACCAAATTGTTCGCCGCATAGAATTTGCCTAGGTAGACAGTACAAGCTTTGGTAAGAGATTCTGGATTGATAAAAAAAAGATATTGCTTTTTCTCTCACCCTTCAAAATTTAGAAAGAAGCCCCGGGGTAACAAGATGACATCCCATGATGATGCAAGGTAAGAAAAAAGAGAAACCAACTCGAATACAGAATAAACGCCAGTCTGTACTTTCAAAAAGAGCAAAAAACTTAGAAACCACGTCCCCGGCCACGGCCACGACCACCACCGCGGCCTCTGCCACCACCACCGCGGGGACCTCCACGGCCACGACCTCGGTCTGCTTCCTTTCGGGCCTTGTTCTTTGGCTTGGGCGCATCATCAACGAGGAGAGTGTCGAGCGGCAAGCTATCAGGGAGGATGTAATAACGGATTGTGGAGCCACGAATGTTGATGGTCTCAAGCGAGATAGGATCGCGACCCTTGGGGGTCATCTTCACAGTGCGGAGGGAGGTGTTCATCTGCGGAGAGACGGCAGTGATTGTGCCGTGCATGATGGTACCTAGATAGTAATTTTTTCTTGTCAGACTTGATTGATTTCTAAAGTTTGGTGGTAGAGGGTATGTGTGGGCGACTGAGACACGGTAGTCCGCAATTTGCCGAGGTCGTAGGAAGACTCACCATTCTTGAGCTCAATGGTCACAGTCTCATTGGCGCATTTCATCAAAAACCTGGATTCATGGTCAGCTTCTAGCTTGAAAAAGATATTTCGCGATGGAGCGCGCCTGAGGGAGCTTGGTCCATCAGGCGGAATTCGAGTAGGACGAACCGAACGAGCTTCATTATGGGCGGATTAGAGCGGTAGTATTTGAATTAGATGATATCAGGTAGCTCTCCGTGGCTTTGAAGGGTCTCGGTGGGGAATATTCGTGAGCAACCAACACGGGTTGACGATGCGGTCGGATTACAGTGCAGTCTCGATTTCGTACACGTGACTTGGGAGTATATCTATCACGTGACTTGTATCTTGTTGCAGTCAAGTATCATGATTGCACTTAAACCTGATGTCAGTAAGATATCGATTCACTTATTCAGTGGAATATTTGATTCAATACGAGTTTGCTTTTGATGCCACAGCAATGAATTCATTGAGCTCAGATAATCTGAATGTGGACTCTTCACTCATGGATTCCAAGCTTTCACCTGTGGAGCCTGCAAGCATTGATCTGTTTGAGGTCGTCACGCATTTGAGGACCATTACAAAGAATAGATCTTCAACTCAAATGATTCAAAGTACAGGCCCAGAAGAGACTTGCCAATGAGTAAAAGTCAAGAGTCACCTGGCATGATTCTACATCTCTGCTGCGCATTTTCCCCCACCCTGGGGAAAAACGCCTATTTACCAACTATCGTGAACTAATTCAATTGATGCTCCACATTACGGCCACTCCGTTTTTTTATATACATACTTACCTCATGGGTAGCTATGTTGGTATGACCGAGAGCTAGCTGGTGTACATCAACACCTGGGCATTCTCCACTTTCTTGACCCTGGTGGAGCCGCCGCCTACCACTCACAGACGGACCGACGGGCAGGCCGAAATACGATACACTCGACCGGGCAATGACATGAGATTTTTTTTTTCCCCATGGTGGAAATTGAATATCAAGCTCATTTTAATCGACATAGATACGAAGTACGAACATTGCTTATTCAAAGCTTGATCGGAATTCGAGTCCAATCCCGATATTATGCACACTAAGTTTCTGCATGAGAAGGTTTGCAGCCTTTCACATGTACTACACCGATCGATATGCAGATTGAAGTATTACGTGTACGGGGAGCCAATGCAGGATTTACAATGCAGAGAATAGCGGGAAGATGAGACCCATGTCAATCTACAGAGAACGGAGTACACTTCCACCTGGGCAGGATCCTTTACTTATGCGGATCCCAAGCCCTGAATGTGGAGAGTGCCGGTCGATCTCGAGTTGGCCCGGGAGTACACCCGGAGGCGCCACTCCCCCGGGTCCTGCCATGACAAATTCCTGGCGCTAAGTAGTCATCTACCCGGTTGACCCTCACCTCGATATAATGCCATTTTATTTCATTTTTCGGCCCTTGACTCGCTACCATGATGTCGGATTTTTGTAAATTAGCTCCACCTTTGGCGTGAGCAAACCACATGGGCGCCGGGATCCTGGGATCCTCCTGCATTTGTGGCTCAACTTCGACGCACTGTTCCTACAAGAGGCTATGGGTGCGAGCTTGGCTACTGAAAATCCCGAAGTGGATTATCTATCATTCGATGAGGCCGCGTACCCAACTTGACAACAAGGCTGGATACACAAATGTACCGCCAATTACAGCTCCATTTACTATTTACTATATTCGTTGAATGTTAACCCGTACTTCGTACAGAATCTTTCAAGGGTGGATCAATTCAAAGTCCCACATTTTGGGGATGACAAAAAAAACAAACAATGCACTTGATATGCCAGATCTACACCCGCATCGCTTTTGCCCAGGATGCATTCCTGATGGTTAGATCCGAAGGCCTTAACGGCGTGTTCGTGGGGGGCTCAGTGTGCGCGCGCAAACAAAAGTGCGAGGGCGGAAAATGTCCACCGTGTCCCGTCGGGTTTTCCTTTTTTTTTTTCCTTTTCTTTTCTTTTAATTTATGAGGCCACCGCAAAGACGGCCTTGGTGGAAAGTGACTAACTTCTTTGGATCACCATGTCAGCCACATAACAGGCCGGCGTCATGGCCCCCAAAGTTGAACCAAGGCGCCCCATTTTCTCAATGGGGCTAAAAAACCCACTTTTCTCTACAGACTGCGAGGAGCTATCCTTCTGCCGGTCAAGGATCATTACACACACTCCGCCCCATGGGCCAATCCGTCCCGAGATTTTTTGTCCCATTATAGGCTCTTGGTCTAATAACGGACGTTCCGGTGTCACTGGTGGGGTCCAAAATACCCATGTCGTCTCTATCCTCGATACTGCGATGGGATCCACTGCTTGAAGATCATAGGATCTTACGTCCCCTTTACGGAGTACTTCCTCATACTACATCAGATAGGAAATGATTATAGCCCTTCCGGTGTAAAAGCAGCGGTCCCACGCCGACTTGCCCCAAGCGTGTTTCAGGGACAAGATTCCACCCAACGCATCACTACGAACACCCATTGGTAAGGAAGTTCTAGAAGACCGCTGTTTGCCTTTTTTTCTCTTTCTTTCTCGAGTGGGCCAGTCTCACAGTGTACCCAACTGGGCTCCGATTCATGATTGCGGGGACTGTTTCTTCTTCGTAACAACGCCCTGCTATCCGCGTGAAGATTTTCGTCTGATTTATTCCTGAATATTCTCTAAAAAATTCCTTCCGGTATCAAATTTTAAAAAAATTCTGCAACTTCTATCTTGCGCCCGTCGCTCACTCCGAGAGCTATAGAACAGAGTCAGAAACAAAAACCCAGGCCTCTGCCAGTGCCGACCCGGGAGACCATTTGAATTGTACGTTGTATTTTTCATTATTTTTATTATTATTTTTTGAAGATTGCCGCCCCTCTTTCCAAATACACCCCCTATGTTTTGCTGGTCCATTCTGGCCCCCTCCTTGTAGTTTCGCGCTAGGTCCATGACCTAGACCCGAAAGCCCCAATGTCTGGCGAGAAGACACAGTCAAACTTACAGGATTTCTCGTCTCACCGCAGGAACCCTGATCTTTCTAAGGACCCAGCCTTGCTGCAGCAATCTGAACTTTTGACCACTCCGATTGAGTCAGTGCAGACACCAGCGTTCCAACCTAGCGCCTTTCCCAAATCGGCCTCGTCTTGGCCCTTTAATACCAGCCGGGTTCCGGTCCTAGAAAACGCTTCTTTATCAACATTTTCTACAGTTTCACCTCATCCAGACTCCACTACTTCTCTACACTCTAACTCAAGTCTTCCTAATTCATTTTACCATCATCAAGATCTATACCCTGATCATTCCTACTCTGAGCCTTCCTACTCAGAACATTCATATTCGGAGCCTTCATACTCTGAACATTCATACTCTGGACGGTATCCTGAACAGCCCGATCAATCTTCATTTGATAACGTCAATTGCAAGGAGCAATTGTCTACTGAAAATCCAAGGTAAGGTTCTCATAGCTTTTGATTTAGCAGACTTTCAAAGAAGAGAAAGAAATGAAAATATGGAGATAACGAGGATCTATACTAATCAGATGTCTACTATAGCGGTCTTGGAATCACACCTTTCCCTATGTCCGTAGCATCAGAGTCATACTTTGCTGGCCCAATGCAGCCAAATTCACACCAACGTAAGCAACATGGTCTTGCTAATGAAATGCTCAAAAAAGAAACCCATGAACTAACCAAAATTTTAGAATATGTCTGGGGCAACCGCCCTTATCAGCCACTACAGCCTCCATCTGGGCATATGAACCAGCAATTTCCCCCGCCACAGTCATATCCCTCATCGGGATATCATGTTGGCTACGGGAGCCATCCCAATGCACTGCCTGCATACCATCATGATTCACATGCACCACCTTCCTATCTCCCTGCAGTTCATGCGGCCTCTCGCCAACCTCACTCTCGCAGGTAAGTTACCTCGGATTCCGAGTTGACTATTTGATCTAGTCAAGATCGAGACAGCTGACAAGTTGCTTCAAAGCCCATCAATGCCTCGTTCTTATCCCCCTCATTCAGGCCCTGGTCTCTCAGACCACCCTATTATGACCTCGTAAGTTTGTCCGATCAATCCAGCAGTATAAATCTTACAATTTTTTGGTTCATTTGCTCATTTCATAACGTTCAGCGCTCCTCCTTATATGATGAACCAACCATCCTATTACCTCCCAGAGGCGCCACCGATCCCGTGAGTACTACCATGATCAATAATTTGTTTCAAGACACTGACTAAGCCTGGCAACTAGATCTTCACATCCTTCTTCTATGAGCTCGCAAACATCTTCAATGGTCGCGGAATCAGTTTTCTCCCCAGCCGACTCTGTACACGGATCAGATGACCACCCAGTCCGTGTCGTTAGTTCGAGACCTCGACCGCAATGCTGGGATCACGGTTGCAACGGTCGTGAGTTCTCAACATTCAGCAATCTTCTACGACACCAACGCGAAAAGTCTGGAGTAGTAGCAAAGGCCGAGTGTCCTATCTGTGGAGCAGTATTTACCCGGACAACTGCACGCAATATCCATGTGGCTCAAGGGAAATGCAAAGGGGCAGGTCGTGAACCCTCAGCAGAATAAGATGATTCAAACAGTTTGATGATTTTCTTGGGCTTTTTTATCTTTATTTTTCGGTGTTTTGATATTTGGATATCCTGATCTGTTTTGTTCATTTTCATTACCTTTGTTTCTTCCCTTGTATTTATCTCTCCCCTTTTCTTCTGATTCCTTCTCACTCTCATCTTTGTTCATATTTTTCCTCTTCTCAATGTTTTCATCTCTTCATGGACATAGAGAGATTTCTCTGGAAGAAATCCATTTCCATCTGATAGTTAATTTTATGCGTTGGATGATGCACGTGATGCCTGAGGCATCAGCGTGACTCAAAACGATCATCAACGCCAGTCATAAGTGGATGAATCCTCCCCCCCATTTTCAATTCAAAGAATGCTTCCTCTTTTTATTTCTTCAAGTTCATTGATGCAGAATCCTATTCATCCTAAATCCCGAATACATTTATTTGCAACGTGAGTTGTAAAAGCTTTAATTCGCATTAGCGTCCCCATGGCATCCATATTCACATACGATCCTGACCCGCCCCGGGTTTCGTCACCGTGGTCAACCTCGGGGTCATCGACTCCTCAAGTCAACGTGTCAGGGAACCGGGGTCTAGCCATTCGGACCCGGTCCAGCTCAGCCTTAAACACAGGCAACCATGACTTCTTGTCCGACTATGGTATCACCAAATTGGAGCCTGAACCCCAAGAGGGCCCCACTGAGTACAAGTTGCACTTGTTACTCCGCCCGCGACGGCCCTATCTGTCCATGTCAACGGGCCATGTCGTTGCAGGCTCATACCATTTCCGTAACAATGTAGCTACGCCCTCTGCCTCTGCGTCTCCGTCCCAGGATGCGGCTCCAAGGCCTATGCAGGCTAAATCAGCGCAGAGCCGGCAACAGCGGCTCCAGGGGCTGACAACGCAACTTCTTTGGCGGCTTCAGCAATCTTCACCATTTCATTCTTCCACTACCGCTAATTTGGTAGTCCCCGTACTTCCAGATGCAGCGCTGCAATTGGGCGTACCCGCCAAACCGGCTCGTTTACTTCCGGGCTTGGAAGAAAGCCAAGGTGCCCTGTACGAGATTGGAGTTGCTGATGATGGCACGTTCGTAGGCCTGACACAGGATGAACTCGAGGAAACTGTGATAACTTTACAAACTATGGCAGCGAGTCTGGGATGTAAAGTTGATATACTTCGCCGGGTTATTGTTGGGAAATGCGAGTGGACAGATGATCTGGCAACGGCGGCACCAGACACAGACAAGACTCATACAGATAGTCTCTGGGTTGCAGAAGCTCTGGTTACACCAGACTTGGATTTCTACAGTATTTCAACGTCAAAGTCAAGACAGGGCGGTGATGATGCTCAAACTTCTGAAGAAGGAGAGAAATCTGTTCCAGGAGAGGACTACTCTCACACCGAGCAAATTCGAATATCTATTGCTGGTCCTAGTACTGCAGGGAAGTCATCTCTACTTGGTACTTTGACTTCTTCACAACTGGACAATGGAAGAGGAAAGAGTCGACTTAGTCTACTCAAGCATCGACACGAGATATCATCGGGTATTACTAGCTCTGTGGCACAAGAGTTGATTGGATATACGGATGATGTACCTCCAAATGTTGTCAACTATGCCGCAGGCAATGTAGCAGCATGGGACGACATCCACGCCACTTCCCGAGGAGGTCGCCTAGCTTTTGTATCTGATCTTCCAGGCTCGACTCGATACATGAAATCCACAATAAGAGGTCTTGTGAGCTGGGCACCGCACTATGTGATGCTTTGTATCCCAGCCAACTGCGGTGATGAGACGGTTGAAACGGAGATAGCCAACGAGCATACCGCTGAGATTGACCTTTGCTTGGCATACCTAGAGCTTTGTCTGAAACTCGAGATTCCTGTCCTGGTCGTGATTACAAAACTTGATATTGCCTCTCGAGGTGGACTGCGCGAGAATCTTACAAAAGTTCTGTCTGCCTTGAAGACAGCAGACCGGAAACCTGCAATGCTCCCTGCCGCGCCAGCCGGAGACAAGCTCCCAGATCTACAACAGATTAGTGAAGCGGAAAGCAAATCTGTTCACGGCCTAATACAAAAGACCGATGGGGATTGGAATAATACTGTGCCTATTATACTTTCCAGTGCGGTTGATGGCTCGGGGATAGGAAAATTGCATGCATTCCTTCGCTTTCTTCCAATATCCTCAATACCTCCTCAAAGAGTTCTGAAAATGGGGAAATCAATACAGCCCCACGAAACTGCCACAAATGTCTTCGACGTGGATGAGGTCTTCGCTATCCCACCATCCAAAGTCTACTCAATATCCAACGAGAAAGCCACTCAGCAAAGCCGCGGAATGGTTCTCTGTGGCTTAGTCCGCCATGGAAGCATTTCCATCGGCGATGAAATGACAATTGGACCCATTCTTGTTGACACATCAACAGATAGCAGCAACGAAAACGCTCCACTAAGCATGCTTTCCCGCAGCAGCGGACCCGGTCCTTCAAGTGACTTGCCCTCGTCATTCCCACAGAGCACACTACCAGGAAGAGATGGCTCGTCAACTCAAGCAAAATGGCAGCGCGTCCGTGTAGTCAGCGTTCGCGATCTCCGCCTGCCTGTTCGCGTCCTCATGAAAGACCAAGTCGGCACCATTGGAATCGAGCTTCTTACTTCCCCAGACGATATCCAGCCTCCACGTCTTAGCCGCATTCGCAAAGGCATGGTTCTTACAAATCTACACACAACCTCATACCTTCCCATCCGCAAATCTTCTTCACAAACCAATACTCAACATATGCCATCCACACTCCCTCTCCCCTTCCACACAGGCTTCATAGCCACATTCCCTGCATCCGAATTCTCTGCTCTAAGCTCTCCGCCTCTCCTCCTAGGCGGGAATGCTATCGCTTACATCGCCAATATCCGCACAACCGTCCGCGTCGTGTGTATGGCCCTAGCCGGGAAAGATAATGACGCAAACTCAGAACCTCCTTCTCCCTCCGAGCCAGAATTCTTCAGCTTTGACAGCGATGCACATTCACCTGGACGTGCCGAGAAAACTAATACAGCTCAAGGAATACGACGATCATCAGCAACTGATATTAGTAAAGTGCTTTCTGGTACAGCCAGTAATGCAGTACAAGGGAAGACGGGGGCATTTCAGGAGGATGTCCAGATTACCTTTGCACTTGTGACGTCTGTGGAATGGATTGAGCTTGGATCACAGGTTCTTGTTATGCCTGGTATCTCATCGGGGGCGTCTTCTGGTGCGGCAGTGGCGTCAGGACCTGGATCTGGTGCCGCAACTTCGGGAATTATGGCGTTGTCCGGGTTGGAAGGGTTTGTGGGAACTGTTAGTGAAGTTATTGTTGGGAGAAATCATGTGGAATAAGTCTATATGATCATATGAGTGCTGATGCCTTTTTTCTTTCGATGTTGATACTAGTTGAGTTTTTCTTGATTATTTTGTTTGATTTTTCTATTCTGTTTTGCATTTCTTGTCAGCATCTAAATAGATCGCTATGACTTTATGACAGCGCTTTAACTTTTCATGCGAACATTGGAGGAATTACTAGTAATTAGGATACTTAACCTGTGGTATCATCGTATCCTTCTGCTAGGCCATTATGCAATACATTTTACGTCCAAAGGTTTTCAATAAGATTTCAAGAAGCAATTGGCTTGATCACTATTGTACCGCGCACCCGTGGAACAAAAGTAGAACAAGTCTTATGATATTGGTGGAGATGCGATTCAGCCCTGGGTTTGCTTTGATGCTTTGAAAGTTGTCGCTGCACAAGCTTTGAGCATGTGGAGATGCTCATGCATGTATCCTGTTCGGTTTCAAATAGCAATATCTATGGTAGACAGCTATCAAAACCACCTAGTACAGATGATTGATTCCCATGGACCCACTGGTTGCCCAATGGAATCAAATCTCATTTTTCACTTGGATTATTTGAGGGAAATGGAAAGGGGAAGGGGAAAGGGGGTATTTTCCATGAAGGTTGTTAAATATCGAATGTGGAATGATATGCCATGACAGGCTGTTGTCATGCCACTCAGAGCAAGCTCGGTAATAATTCAGATTAAGCACATTTCACCATATCACCGAGAAAGCAATACCCATAACAAACTATAATCATTTCTCGCCAATGATTTGTTTGTAGGTATCAGGGAGATGATGGTGCTTATCCACCTTTGCGTTGATCACCCGAGTTACGGGCGAAGGTGGTAGTCGAGCCAATAGTGGCGCTAGCGCTGCGCAACTCGATCTTCTTGCGTTCCATCTCGAGCTAGAGGTAAAGAGAATGATTAATAAAACATGTCTGGGACAAGTAGGGAACAAAATTCAAGAATAAACAAGAGTATCTGTAGGAACTACTCACCACCTTGCGCACTCGAGCGAGGGCGGCCGTATCACCCTCAACCAAGGAGCGGCATTCATCCACCCGGTATGGCGCGGCTATAGTAACCGCATCCGCAACAATAATATTCGGACCATCCCAGCGAGCAGGCATAGTCCGGGCAAACGCATCAAAAATATCCTGCGCCTCACGAGTAACGCCCTTTCCGCGGCGGGCCTCCTTGTCCAGCAGATCACCGACTGCCTTGATCTCACGTGCCTTCAGAGCACGGGTATCAAGGGCCTGGATACCGGGCTGTGCATCTGTGAATGAGGGAGATTCGGTGGAGTTCGAGGAAAGAGAGAGGATCTGGAAGGAGTTGATGCGCGAGACAGGAATGACATGATAATCGCCGCTTTGAGCCTGCTTGGCATCGGAGGTGGAAGCAGGAGCTGTGTTTATAGCGACCAGGTTGGTAATGGGGCATGCAGTGAAAAGAGTTCCCTCGTAGGTGGAGTTAGACGGCGCGGCAGTGCTAATGCGAACACTAATCAAAGAGAATTAGCGCACTGATCAATAATATCAAAAGAATTTGATTTAAAATTCCAGCGAACAACGCAGGCATCACCACGGGCAATTTGAGGAGCTCTGGTGATTGAATGGTCGCATGAATCAATTCGAGGGATAATAAAGGTTGATTGCATTGGTTTCATCATCACTCACCGAGAACCGATTGCACCGCTCAACGCAGCTTCCAAGGGAACCATAGCGGCAGCCATACCAGTACCAGATGCCTTCGCACCTGAGTTCTGACGCTTATTCTCCGCCATGCGGCGTGTGACGTGGGCGGGCGGTGTGATTAACTTGTCGACCAGCGCACAAAGAGTGCAGGGAAGCCGCTTATTTGACGAGAAACTAAGACTGGTCAATTGATCAACCTAGCATAACACTCGAGGTTCAATCTCAATTGATGTCTGTTTGTTGTGTTGCAGGAGCTTCTGAAGCTACAGGGCCCTCTTATCCTGTAGAGAAAGCGGGTTAGATAGCAAACCCAGACCTTTTTCTCAAAAGGACTAGTTTGATGTCTGTGGCAGGAAGAATCCCTTCACAGCCCCCTGTAACAGCGAAGTGGGATAAAAAAAAGATGAAAGAAGGGGAAGGAAGCGAAAGACCCCGGGGAAATTGGTGGAGGAAGGAGGGGACAGCGCGATAAGATGGCGTCGTCGAGGTCGATGTCGCTCTATTCCTAATCGGGCTTAGTTCGGATTGAAGTACTCAGGCACCAAGGCAGAGAATCTAAATTCTGAGGTACATAGCGATAAAAGCCCACTTCTTCCTCTATATAACTTGGAACATTTTTTAAGATACCTTAGGTAACTTCTATTAATTTCAGAATCCACAGATGCAGCTTCTCAATATTATACGCGTTCATTTAACAAATTCGTTACGTTCCATTCATGGTGACATCTAAATACATAAAACCCAGTTTTTTATCTCTCTACGCAATGTAGGTGGAGGCAGACACGTCACCGCCACGGCCGGTCCAGTTGACGTGGATGTCCTTGCCCTCGGGGAAGGTCTCGCTGGCGTGCTCGGGCTTGATGCGGAAGGTGTGGGCACCGAAGTAGTCACGCTGGGCCTGCAGCAGGTTGGCGGGCAGATCCTTGGTGCGGTAGCCGTCGTAGAAGCTGAGGGCAGTGGAGAAAGCGGGCAGAGGAATACCCCACAGGGCAGACTTGCTGACAACGTTACGCCAGCCGCTCTGGGCCTTGTGGATGGCCTTGGTGAAGAAGTCATCAAACAGCAGGTTCTCGAGGTCGGGGTTGTTGCGGTAAGCGTTGGTGATATCCTTGAGGAAGACAGAGCGGATAATGCAGCCACCACGCCACATCAGAGCAATAGAAGGCTTGTTGAGCTTCCAGTTGTACTCCTTGGCAGCCTATATACATGTAGTTAGTACCGATGCCGTACGGAGGTTCATGAATTTGTCATTGAGATAACTTACGTTCTGGATGAGCATGAAGCCCTGGGCGTATGAGATAATCTTAGAGGCGTACAGAGCCTGCTCAAGGTCATCGACGAAGGCAGCCTTGTCACCCTCGAATTTGGGGGTAGGACCCTCCAGGATAGTGGCAGCACGGGTACGCTCGTCCTTGAGAGCACTCAGGCAGCGGGAGAAGACAGCCTCACCGATCAGGGTAACAGGCATGCCCAGGTCGAGAGCGTTGATAGCGGTCCACTTGCCGGTACCCTTCTGGCCGGCCTTGTCCAGGATCTTCTCAACGAGGGGAGTGCCGTCGTTGTCGTTGTAGTAGAGAATGTCACGGGTGATCTCAATGAGGAAAGAGTCAAGAACACCAGTGTTCCACTTGGCGAAGATGTCACCAATCTCCTTACCAGACAGACCCAGACCACGCTTGAGGATATCGTAGGCCTCACAGATCAACTGCATGTCACCGTACTCAATACCGTTGTGGACCATCTTGACGTAGTGACCAGCACCCTCGTCACCGACCCAGTCGCAGCAAGCCTCACCGTCACTCTTGGCGGCAATGCTCTGGAAGATGTCCTTGATGTGGGGCCAGGCGGCCTCGTTACCACCGGGCATCAGAGAGGGACCGTAACGGGCACCCTCCTCACCACCGGAGACACCGCTGCCGACGAAGCTGATGCCCTTCTCAGCAAGGTAGCGGGTACGGCGGTTGCTGTCGGGGTAGTGGGAGTTACCACCATCAATGACGATGTCACCCTTCTCGAGGAAAGGAAGCAGGGACTCAATGAAGTCATCAACGGGCTTACCGGCCATGACCAGGAGCATGACACGACGGGGACGCTTGAGCTTGGAGATGAACTCCTCGATGGAGTGGGCACCAACAATGGACTTGTCTGGATGATTCCTGCGTTAGCATTGGCGCGCATTGAGAGCATTGTATATCAGGGATTAGAGCTCTTACCCTTGGCCTCGTTAGCCAGGAAGCGGTCGACCTTGGAGGTTGTGCGGTTGTAGGCGCAGACGGTGAAACCGTGGTCAGCAGCGTTAAGAATCAGGTTCTGACCCATAACGGCCAGACCGATGAGGCCGAAATCAGCACTAGGAACAGAATGCGCCGGAGCGCCGACATTGATGCCGGCGAGACGGGCACTATAGTCAGCGACCGTATTCTCGTGTCAATAGATGGTAAATTTAAATGAAACACGAGGAATAAAAAGCAATAAACCGCCCGAGTCCAAGGAACACAGCTCCGCGGAGATTCTTGGAGAAGCATTATGCGCCGGTGCAAATGGAAGCTCTGTATATCACCGAAATCGCCTCATAGCCTATGGAAAAGCTTCCCACGGGTTCAGAGAGCTCATCGGTACTCCTTGCTTGAGAAGCTTGGAGTCCTCAGACAGAGAATTGACCGGGATGAAGCAAATGGTGGGGAGCCCGTTGGGGCATCCCGAATCCGGAGGGGTTTTTTTTTGGAGGGGCTTTGCAAAGGGTATGATAGATTGTAGGAAGAAGACATAGGGTAAGAACTTACACAGCCTGGTCAGCCATGATGAATGTGAATTGAAGAAAGAGAGGGCTGAAAGTGAAGGGTATCTACAACACAAGAGGTTGAAGAAAGGAAGAAGTTGGGAGGGGGTGGGAAGGAAGAAGAAGTAACCGGGCTGACGGAGCAACTCTTCCGTCATCTAAGGTGGGACACAAACGCCGGGGATTACTTGTATTGGGAAGTACCTATGGTACCGTATACTTGATTACTGAGCTATTACTTTTTACTACCGCCGGTGTCGCGCCAAGTATTCGGTACAGGAGCAGAGTCGTCCGGTGGTCATCCCACTCGGGTTCTGCTAAACTCGGGGGTCATGGGGGTGGATTTTTTTTAGTTTGATATGAGGGGCATTGATGAGGATTATCCGATGAAATGATTGGTATTTCTATCCACCCGTTGCCGGAGCGTTATATATAGGGAATTGGGGCTGCATATAACCTACAAGGTATGTCATGGCAAAGAGCGCGGGGCATGGAGGGGTACTGACTTCACCACTACCTACTACTTCAGCTACATTTAGTAGGAATGGCCTACTGATAATGGGTTGTATAGCTGAAGATGTAGGAGCTATATCCCTTAATACATACCAGATATTCCTCAGAGCTCAAATGATACTGAAAATCAAATGAACACGAAGAAATCCCCCATCCATCGGTGAACTGTTCAGGATATTCATTTGCCGTGAAAATCCACCCGAATCCGGTCGTTGGTCAATCTAGTCCGTTTTCGGTTTAGGGTGGGGGTGACCTCATTTGTGGACTCAGGCATCAACTTAGTAATCCCAAGATTATGTAATTGATAACGGCGAAATTATTTTCCGATTTCCATCATCGAGTCCAGAACCTAAAAGTTCCTAAGTCATGTTAATGAAGAGACAATTCTTTCATTGAAAGAACTAAACCACCCACCACAACTCCTCGATCTACTCACCTCTTTACCTTCACCACTACTGGGAGGTTTTGATTTATTGATTCTCACTTAGAATCGTGCAAGGGTTAGGTCCTCAAGTGTGAACATCTGGTGGATTTTGGACTGCCCTGAAGGTACGTTGCGGCTGCGATCTTCGAGACAGCTCAACCGTTTCTCCTATCGGACCATCCATTCATCATGTCCTTTCCACCTCCTCCAGGTCTCAATAAGGCGCCTTCATCTCTGCCTCCTCGACCCCCGCCATCTGCCAATGCTGCCCAACCAGCCGCCCCGGGCTATGCCAGCAATGCGCGTCCTGCATTTACAGGCTTCCAGCCACGCTCCGTAGCCTCCAGCCAGCCATATCGCAACCACAGTCCCGCAATCTCCAAGCCACCCGTCTCATCTGCGGCGTATGCTGCGCCCGCGGCGACTTACTCCAATTATTATCAACAACCAGCGCAACAAACTTATCAGAGCGGACCTTCCTATTACGGGGCTCAGTACAATGAAAACACATACGGTCCGACCGTCCCACACATCCAGAATCCCTTTGGGTCAACACCTGGCCAGCCATATGGGGGTCGACAGTCCCGCGACGGCGTAGATGCAGAGACGGAAGCCCAGATCGCTCAGTGGCAAAGTGCTTATGCCAACCCTGAGGACCCGGCTGTTGCCGCTAAAGCCCAAGCTCCTCAGTCCGGCCCTGGCGGAAACAGGGGCTCAGGAACGCCCACTACTGGACCAGCAGGCGCTGGTACTCCGATCCCTCAGCCCGAATCGCAAAAGACAGTGGCCCGAGCCGGTGGCGGACAACAGTGGACAGATTCCTCCCTACTGGAATGGGACCCAGCTCATTTTCGACTATTTGTCGGTAACCTAGCTGGTGAGGTGACCGACGACTCTCTATTGAAAGCGTTCGCACGTTACACCTCAGTGCAGAAGGCACGCGTCATTCGAGAGAAGCGTACCCAGAAGAGTAAGGGTTATGGTTTCGTCAGCTTTAGCGACGGCGATGATTACTTTAAAGCTGCGCGTGAAATGCAGGGAAAGTACATTGGTTCTCATCCTGTGCTCCTGCGCCGAGCCGTGACAGAGGTGAAGCCAGTTTCGAATAACAAAAACAAGAAGGGTGGAGGTGGCGGCCGTGGTGGACACGCAGGCACCAAGGTCAAGCAAGATGGCGTGAAAAAGCCTGGCAAGACCAAGGGTGGATTGAAGATTCTTGGCTAGACGTGAGCTTCACCCGAAATGTACTTAACTTATTCTCATTCTAATACCAGGATGACCATGCTGAGAACATTGAAATTGTTCAAGAAATAATGCCTCTCTTACGAGATAGACATCTCATCATAATGATACTGTGCCGCACCGAACTGCAAGAGCTGATTTTCGAACCAACAAGAACATTTGAAGTCATTTTTAACAACATACTGATATTACTCAGCTCATACAGTCTGTATATCACCCGATAAATGCTTGATGAGAGCACAAGCTATGATTCTGACCTCGAGAGTTGTATGTCTAGTAATGACTCAGTGCTCGAACATGGAAGTAATGCAACCAGTAGTATTTAGCATCGCTCTGTATCTGTTTCATAGCTATATAATATTTAATCCAATTAGAATTATAAGCATTTTAGCTGCATAAATCTACATTAGTATATCCTTAATTAGCACAGCAAGGTAGTAATGCGTGCATTGTCCTACTTAGCACAAATATTAATCTTTCACAGTTTCAGTTTCAAGTTGAGAGCACCATGTGTCAAAGAAGTTTATGCTCAAAGACTCGAATTACCACTATCACCTCTTGAATAGATATTTTCGTCATAATCTTCTTTGAATGGATCCTTAAGAGGATCTATAAGCAACCCTGATTTGCCAGCCTTAACTGATAATCCGCGTTGTGGACCCAATTACGCCAATGGGAGTGTCTTCGACCCAAAGAACTCTCCCGTGGACCTCATCCAGTTTCACTTGTTCAACCCTGAAAAGCTCTATGAGCTGCGCCTGATCCTGCAAAATACTACAAATAAATTCAGGTATCAAAAAGGAAACAAGAAAGAAGAATCTTGCGAAATACAATTCTACACATCTACATTACGTGCGTAGATGCCTCATCATGAGTGACCGCGACCCCGCGGTCAAATCGGATCGAACAGCTCAAGCTCGGCCCTCTGCGCCGAGAGTCAGATTAAGCTGTGAAGCATGTCGCCAGCGCAAAGTGAAATGCGACAAACTAAGTCCTTGCACCAGCTGTCAACGCCTAGGATTTGTGTGTGTTCCTGTAGAGCGAGCCCGTCTGCCGCGAGGTCGCACACGCAAGGCTCCCGAGCGAGTTGGCAGCTCTGACAAGGAGCTTGCGGATCGCGTCGCAAAGCTAGAACAGCTCCTAAGAAAAGTTGCAGCTGAGCGCGATGAGCCGATGGCACAGTCTCTGGCTGAAGAAGTGCCCTCATTCAATGAGCCCACAGAGCATAGCTTCGAGGCAAACGTGCATGTGGGCGATGCGGAGGCTTGGCGCAATCAGATTGATGACTCAAGCGAGATGAAGCCAGTCATACCTGAAACCCAGCCTCCTCGACCTCGTGCAATGAATAATTACTTGGGGAGCTCATTCTGGGAGGACATTATGCTCCAGGTATGAATTTATATAACTTTCTTTTCTTCGTCCCTCCACAAGTTTGATCAATGTGCTGATCATCCTATTGATAGACACAAGAACTACGATCAGTTCTTGACACCCGCGTAGAAATTGAGCAGCACGAATTCAAGAGTCCAATCGGCCTAGGAGGTGGCTTTGGCGGCTCAGAAGGCTCAGAAAGTGTTTCGAACTCCCCTCAGTCCTATAAAGGGCTCACAATTTCCCCCCCAAACACGCCGTACACTATGTGACATCTATTTATCTAACGTGGACCCTGTATTCAAAGTCCTACACCGACCATCATTACGAGCATATCTTCATGACGACCAACCCTATCTTGATTATGAGCCTGACCATCAGGCCCCCATTACTCTGGCGCTCGCCGTTTACTCAGCGGCCGTATGTACAATTGACGATTCTCAATGCCATTTCCTGTTTGGAATGGATCAAAAGTCTGCATTTGCCGACCTTCAAAGAGAGACCGAAGCCGCGCTGACCAGGGCGGATTTTGTGACCACAAATGACTTGACCGTTTTGCAAGCATATGTCATCTCACTGGTAAGTCGGCCATGATTAAGGAGTATTAGAGAAACTGGTAATGTTAACAGTATGTAGCTTGCAGCCCGTTGTCAAGATCAAAGCCGTCGAGTGTGGACTATGCTGAGCATGGCACTTCGAGTAGCACAAGCACAATGTCTTCATATGTTCGAGCCATCATTTCATGTCGACCCATTCGAGCAGGAGATGCGCCGGCGTTGCTGGCAGGCAATCGGGCAACTTGATATTGCAGCTTCGTTAGACCGAGCCTCTGAGCCAATGATGCAAGTCGCATGGCTAGAGTCACACCCTCCAGCAAACATCAACGACGAAGACATCTGGCCTGGCATGGAAGGCCCCATCAAAGTACCCCCGGAAGGCACATTCACCGAAATGACTCTTGCGTTGGTAGTCGGCGCATCTCAGTCTGTCTGTCGATCAGTTGGATTTGCCGACTTCATAGAAATATCCGTCAAATCACTCAGTGTGCGCCAACAGCTTCTCGCAGACTGCCAGAAAAGAATATCCATTCTGTTGGCTGGATGTCATCCAGATCGTCACCCTTTTCATCTCTACACAAAGCGAATAGCAAGCATCATCAACGGCTGCCTGCAGCTTGCTTGCGTCCGCCCGATCATACGCAGTCGAAACTTCAATCCGCCCGCTATTCAAGGTGATGTTCTTCTTAGGATGGCCGGTGAGAACTTAAAACGCGCATCCGAGTCATACAGCGATCCGGCGATGACACCGTGGCGGTGGTTTGGTGCATTATGGGTCCCATGGCATGGGCTTGCAGTCGCTCTTGCGGAACTTTGCGTTTGCCAAGACCCTGCGACCATATCTAAATTCTGGCCTATTGTGGAGCATACCTATCAAATAACCAGCACTTTCATTGCCGACTCGCAACATGGGATGCTATGGCGCCCGTTAGAGAAGCTCATGAATCAGGCACGGACGCGGAAACGAGAGATATTAGGCGATGAGAGCTTAACAAACGCAATCAGTCAGGTTACATTGGAAGGCATGCCTCTCAGTTTTGCCGCAGAGCACTTGAACCATCAAAACGCTCAAAACCCACATAATTCAGTGAACTTCTCTTTAGGGAGCATGGAAGCGCCCATGGTTCCCGTTCAGCAAAATGCTCCTGTCATCCCAATGGCACCAATGACCATGGGATTTGGCTCCGATGTCGAAACGTGGCCAAATGTATGGGATGCAATGGATCTAAGTGGCACGGTCCCTCAAGGTGGCTACGATGTTGCCTGGGCAAGCTACACGAATTTCATTGGGGATGTATATGATAGTGCGGATTCGATGTTCCTGCCACGGTGATCAATATCACTGGCATTTTCTATAGACAGACTCTCTTCTTCTCCCATTTAAACAAATTCTGGTCTAGACTGGGTAATTAAAAAGCAAAATCTCTCCATTCATACCACTTCTTCATTTAAACCGTAAACTGTGTGAAAATTCAAGGAATATAAACTCTCATTATAACGAAACTCCTTTGGTCTGAGCTATTTCTGAGAATACTCAGGCGGAGGCGAAAGTACATGTGAGGTTACTACCTGTTTTCCATTTCCCTTCCCCTTTATCCATCCCATGATTCCTCAGAATCATTGTGATTTCAGAACTGGTAGAGTCATTCTCTGGAGTTGCTCCAACATGATCTTTTGTCTTAACCGAAGCTCCATGTTCCAAAAGCAGTTTCACCATCTTAACATCGCCCTTCCTAGCAGCAATATGAAGCGCCCTTCTCTTATGCAAGCCTTTAATATCAACCGACACTCCGAATTTCAGGAATATCTCAACAATCTCCCGATTCGAAGCCTCCACAGCATCATGAAACAACAACCTCTTATCCGCATTCAGGGCATCTGGGGAAAAGAACTTGCTGCGCAGGAGAAGCTCAACCATATTTACTAACCCATCATGCACAGCAATAGCAAGTGGTGTTCCCTGCATGCCTTCTCCTCTCCCTTTAACCTGAGCTTGAGGTTTAATTCCCCACATTCTCCAATAAACATTCGGCCCATTTCGCTTATCATATTCGAGCAAAAGTTCACATATTTCAATATATCCCTTCTTCACAGCTAAGTGCAAAGCGGTCTGACGAAGACGATTGGAGGACGTTGTCAGAGACTTTACGTCGAGGAGAAATCGTACCATGTTGATATCACCCCGATCAGCGGCGATGAGAAGGGGTGTTTCCCAGAATTGATTTGAGCTGTATTTGGTCTTCGGGTCACATTCAACTAATAATCGAACGATTTCAAGATGTCCGTTTTTCGCGGCATCGATTATTGGTGGGATAGAGTCTCCGTCCAAGACGGATAGAGATGCGTTTCTCTCTAGTAGCAGTCTCGCTATATTCCAGTGTCCTTTTTGTGCTGCGAGGTGAAGAGGCGAAATACCCTTGTCATCTTGGTGATTTGGATCCGCTCCCTTATCGAGAAGGGATTTTGCAGTGGCTAGGTCACCTTCTGATGCGGCTTTGTGTAGTCCGGTGCCGAGGACCTCCTGGTCTTCTTTTCTGTCGGCAGTGCTCATGTTCATGGTGTAAATTGATTTCGGTTCAAGTACTGGACTGATATGTGCTGCTCAACTGGGCCTTCATTCAGAGATATTGCCTTGCGCTGCCAAGCCCGCCAAGATCTAAGCCTCGGGCATAGTGCTTCATAGTTCCAAGCGGGTTCTTCTTATTGGAGGAATTGGGATGAAGCTCGTTAATGTGAACCTGATATGGAAGCTCAATGATGATCTTAGTGAGATTTTGTTTCTTGTAATGGTCCCGTTCACGGATTTCTTTTCAATCAATCCTCACGTCGCCAAGGAATCACGAAGAGTTCGATTACTGGAAATTTGATAATATAGCTATTCATTCGAGAAAATTGAATTACAGAGCTAGCTATAGTTCGAAAGCTAAGAGTTGGAAAAGAAAGTACTTAATTTAAGAATCTCAGTGACAAACCCAAGGAGATCAGATCAGCTACGAATTCAAAAATAAAAAATATCAGAGAAAATATCAGAGAAAAGAAACAACGGTTCAGACACTAATTTGTGTTAGTTCCCATGCATTCCTAAAAGAATGCTCATATAACAGTCGCAGCCAGCCTATCCGCAATATCTTCCACTTCATGAAAAGTAGTTCCCTCCTGTGCCTTGAGAATTGGAGATTCTGGATCATACAAATGGTGATGAGCAGCCATCAGCTCTGACTGGCTCTCAATAACTCCAATCGCTTCCTTAATCGATGTTTGAAACCATTCAGTATGTTCCCCGAGGCATAAATTGCAGTATATAGTTTTCCGACAATAATGCAATTTGTGATGGCACCATGCCTCTACACGCTCAGCATAGGAAACTTGGGTTGTCAATTCAGACGAAGTAGGATACACCAGTTTGAACTTCCTGTTGCAATAAAAGGTCCAATTCTGACAGCGTTTCTCGATTGAATCAGTTGTATAACCGATTTTCAGATATCCTGCATTATTTTCCTCCTGGAGTATGTAGATGTATCCGGGTTTTTTCTCCCTTCCGTTAAGAGGACCATCCAATGAATGCCTCTGCCTATATCTAGCTGGCTTGTTCAGAAATTGAAACGGACTCGATTCAAATGCAGCCGGCCAGAAAGTAGCTGGATCTTTAGTGACATACACTGATCCGGGTGATGATTCCGTGGATATGGCTATCGATATCGAGGCTTCATTATCGGAAGGTGAGTGTGGCTCTGTCAAAGTGATGACTGAAACTTGACTTTGGAGCCTTCCGATAACAAGTTCTTCGTCATTTTCAAGGACCTTGACTGGGTTTGAAATGTGCACACTGCGAATTTCCAGGATTTTCATTTTCCAATATATCGACTTGGTTTGATTCACCTCCTCTTCATGCATCGGACAGTAGATATTTGCTTCTAAAACCTGAAGGAGGTAGCCCAGATTTGTGTCATTCATATAGACCTCTGGTCTGATAATCTCATCAATTGTTTTTCGGATATTCCGGACCTTTTGTCCACCGATACGTTTTCCGCACTGTTCTGGGGTCTTGCAACTGCAATGACGTGAAATAGGTCCAAACACCTCTTTTATCTGTTCCTGAACTGACTCAACACTATGAGCGGAGTGTTCACTGTCTTCACGCATAAGAAGACCAAGCCAGACTGCGCTTCGAACGTCCTTTAGACCTTCAACTCCGTGGGAGGAACAATGCGTGAGCTTGGCAAGGGCCTCGAGTTGTATCGGTATTTGCGGAGAAGACTTCCTGAGGGTGGATAGGGTATTGACCAAGGAATTTATTTGATCCCTGTTGGCTTTCACGATCTTCAGGCTACATCGGAAGCCCGTTCCAGCCCTGATGCGTCCACAAATCCATTGATCAAGGTCAAGGGTTTTCAAATTCAATGATTGTTTTTGGGCTTGAAGAGAGGTGCCTTCAGGCCGCATTGCGTTGGTTCGTCTTATTATCCAGCTGAACCGAAGAGTCAGTGGGTCCCAATACTAGAGTATTGGATAAAATTAGGAGATAGTCTCACCTCAAATGGAATTTTCAATATCATCCAAAGTGAGAAATATTATAACCTCACAGCTTGAGAAAATCATTCGCTCACTCAAGTGTACAGCTTGAACTTATATCAGTCTAGGTGTTCCTCGATCCAGACCTCGGGACAATCTCTGTACTATGAACATGTGGGGAGAAATCGCTTTCAGTGTCATCAAGTAAGGCGAAGAATATCTAGGCAGGATCATTTTTCTATTGGTGAGGTGAAAAATACTTCAAGTGCTGGGCAGAATCATTTTCCTATTGGTCTCATCTCTAGCCAGTGATAAATTAACACAACCTTCCATTTTCTCTAAAATATGGTTTATACAGGGAATAGGTGCACATGATTCGTGAGATCCTGGAATTCCTCGGCATATTTTCTCTCAAATGGATGATTCATAGCAGGAATCTCGTATAATAAAGTAAGCACTAAGTCTGCCACCTATAGTAAGCCATATAATTCCAGGGCGACCAATCATCACGTTTACTAACCAGTCGATCAGCTATTAGCAGTCAAACCCTGTGATAATCGCCACCTCTACCCAACTGTTTTCCTGAAACGGTGTCGCCTCAGGTATTGCCCATGAGGCTCATCAGAGAAATGAAACCCTCAATAGCAATGGGTTGAAACACCTACACAAAGTTTATCGGGTTCAAAAGTCCATAAAACTGTTCTGGATGCCCATAGTCTAAATTTAGACGGTAATCATATTTGAAATCAAGACACCCGGGTAAGATAAATATCTTAAAATCCAATAGTTCATTTCTGATACGATCTGACTACGGTCATGTTTACTAATAGGAGGCAATGGGAGATACGACGAGCCTCAGATGACAACAAAGCAAGGACATATTCGGATCAAGGGCACGACAGGAGCGATCAGGTACAAAGAATGCATGGATTAACTTGAAAAGGATCGATAATTTGAAACTTCTCAAAACGAGAATGTAATTGTTACAGTCGAAACGCTCGGAATTGCTTATGTGTGGCTATGTCTGTTGGAACTGGCGTCAAAAGCGGGGCAGTGACAGTCTGTTGACGCATGCATCATTCCAACAACATTGGATGAGATCAAACGACAAGAAGACTCGATAGGTCCGGAGAATGACAGCGGACCGAACCCTTGTGGGTTCTTGATACCCACACGCGTGTCAAACTCTTGAGCGTTGACCAGGGCCCACATGTGCAGACCGTTGTGCATGGGCCTTCCAAGTTGGGCCGCAATTTCAAATTTTCGCTCTCATGGGGGCTGCAACAGTCGAATAACCTGTCAAAGTGGATAAGTGGATACAGAGTATGCATGCAAGAATATGAATTGTCCTGCAAGGTCAGGATATAGCCCAAAACTATGTATACTTTAGATACAAATTCCAATAGAGCCTGCTGCGCTAAATCAAGTGTGCCATGGGTCACCCCCCAATAAACCTAAGTATTCATCGACTAGAGTCAGAATCGAAAATGCTTGATTGGACCCTATCCATTGCAGCTGAATTTATCCCGATTCTTTGCCACTTGCACCTGTGGACGGCAGCTGGTGAGCCTGTTGGGTTCTCCAGGTCGCAAATTGTCAACGATCCATGAATGCTGATAGATACCTAATTGAAATCTGCCTTGAAATTACTGTATCTACCTTACCGCCAGTGACTCCATATTATTATAACCGCTGCTTGATTCCCAAAAATCCTATTCCCTTCACATCCCCGTTGAAGTTTTCGAAATGCCAGTGTATCAATTGTCGGATTCGGATTTTGAAAAGATGGGTTGGACTGGATATCTCACTACTAGTGAGACTGGAAAGTATGCGCATGACAATTCCGAGAAATCCCAGCAGAACATGATACATCAGAATTTTGATATGTCGGAGCTTGGTAAGTTATTGCCCCATATGAGTTCTAGAAAGCCTCAATTTGAAGTTTCTATCTAACTATTCAAATGTGGATCTCAGGGACTCGAATGAATGATACCAGATCATACAGCTACAATCACTTCGGCAATGCCCACGCCTCGACCGAGCCCAAGCCCAGCGATAGAAGCATTTTCCTTCAACCTCCCTTGACCTATTGGAATCCGATCAAGCATGATCCCTTTGTCTCCAGTGCACCGGATTTGGAAAAACACGAAGTGCCATTTGTTTGCCACAAACAACTTGAGAAGCAGTAAGTCTCTTCCTACTTGACTAATTTTACCCTATTTGCGCTGACATCATGACAGAATTCCAAGTGCACTTAAATGCCGCTGGGAAGGATGTACCTACAAGGGAACTTTTACCAAGGAGGCTTCCCTGGTGCGCCATGTCAAGGCGACCCACATCTCCCCTGAGATGTATCAATGTCTCCCGTGCAAGAAGACCTTTGGTAGAAAGGATCGATTCAGCGCTCATATGCGTCTTGTACACCCAGATATGTGCGCTGCAAATGGCAAGCGCTGCCATCATTGTCATCATGACGCCTGACGATGGTTGAAGACTGACTCAAAGTATATAGCGGGGCAGCCTGAGGGGCAGTGGGGCTCATCCGAGTCATTCCCCGCTATTGATTAAAAGAGGAGGGATAAGATCTAGTGGACCAATTTATGACTTAGATATGATTAAAAGTATATACTGTGCTTCCATCCATTCCATCAAATGAGATGTCGTTCGATGAAGATTAAGATTAAAATGCCACATGGCCAACACGTGTATCATAGTTAAGATGAAAACATTAATCTAGTAAATAGCTCATCACTGGAAGTGACACCTGCATCTCCAAATGATGTCCACATAACACGAGAAATATTTCGCTATTTCCCCCAAGTGCTGCAACTTGAATGTTAATCCTTCAATGTTCTGATGTCTTAAGCGCTAATTTCTTTACTACATCTGCATATACTAGACCGCAGGGTGCATAATAGTAAGAGAATATGAGAATTTGAATGGCTGATGCCAGTGACCTTCAAGTTAACGCGTAGTTCAAGTTCCCAGCCTGAACGAATTTAGTACTGAAGTAGTGAGAAAATGTTAAATAATCTATCTTTTAGATGGAGTCTGAACTATGCGAGAAAAAAGAGCACTTAAGCTCCAGATTTCTATAGAAAGTAAGTCGAAGCTATGTATCTTTTCCCCTCACCAGGCTTTGATCGTACATGCCAGTGGTGATTTCCTGTTTCTTGTTTCCCACTGGCAACTCCTCTTTTCCTGGGTAGAAAGGATAAGTTTTGTTATCAAAAGAATCACAGTTTTATATGCCAGTAGTACTAATTAGTAGCACTTGAGAGTCAGGTACGATTAAGTTATATTGTAGATAAAACATTTGAGGATCTACCTTTATATTCAAATGTTATTAAGCCCCCCAAAATAAAAGAGCTAAATGTACTCCGTAGCTGATGGGGTGATGTGATAGCACAAAAAGCGGAGCTGGATCACCCTCCAGGGCTTTCAAGGCAAGGACTTAGCATCGTGACTATTATGTTCGTATGTTCAGTATGTACTCCGTGCTCTCAAGTGCTGTACAGTTATTGGTTGAAGGAAGCAGAACGGAAAGGGGGTTGCGTTCCCGCTCCCCGGGACATGGTGGGGAGCAGCCGGTGCTAAACAAAGCAAAAACGGCAATGTTTGACTTGATTTTTCTTTTTCTTGCCCCCCACACTTAAACCTCCATGGGGCGTCAATCTGGCAATGTCGGATCTCATAGGCTCCCTGATTTATCCCATTGATAGGATACATGGCCGAAGATGACCTAGAAAGTCTGGCGAAAAAGAATTCTTACTTTAAATACACCATGAGTTTCATTTCACTTCAAATTTCTCAAATACCCTCCAGGCCTAGTTGATCACTTTAATGCCTTACTGCATACTCTCAGCCTTGGAATGGATCAGTATTCGGCTCCAGGCTTCAGAAAGCCTGATGAACAGCCCGAATCCCACAATCTCAACGCCGCAAATGCTGAGTCTTGCTACGTATGTCATAATTCATCCCAATTTGACATGATGCCTTCATTCTTCGGGACTTTGCCTGTCAACAGTAGGTTATCGCAGAAGATACACCTGGACATATCAACAACGACTTGTTTCAAACCTTTCCAATGTTGTATCTAGTCTTATGCTATATTATCAGGAGCTGCCCATGCTATATACCCTCCAAGACATTTCAATCCTTTCTTCGGTGCCTACAACTCCGAGTCGAATCCGTCCAACAACATCGATGCCTTTCCACAGCAATTTGCTGCGACACAGGGCCTCTGGAATCCAAATCCAAATGATCCTGCGCAAGTCGAGCCTCCTACATCAGGTTGTGACAAAAATGGGAGATCCTTCGGTTGCTACCCAGAAGCTGAAAAGCAGTGAGTCCCAGTGATTCAGGATAAACTTAGAATGGTTTATGACTGACCATCCTGTGATAGGAGCAAGGAAAGCGAGTTTCAATGTCGCTGGCAGGAATGTGTCTATAACGGCACTTTTGCTAAGGAGGCTACCTTAATGCGACACATCAAGTCAACTCACATATGTCCTGAGCTCTATAAGTGCCCTGAAAAAAATTGTAACAAGTCTTTTGGACGGAAGGATAAGTTCTAGGCTCACGTACGCCTCGTGCACCCGGAACTCTGTACTGAGAACCCAAAGCGGTGCATTCGTTGCCATGAATAAGACCTGTTGAAGGAGTGAAGATGGCTGGATAATCTTGGGGAACCTTGAATTGGTATAGTCTGAGTAGCTTCAATGAATTGCGTTGAGAAATTCATCATTACAGATGATTGATGTGTATAATACCAGTTTGAAGATACAAATGGGTTGAAAGAATCATGTACGAAGTGTGCGTTTCTTAAGCCCTGGAGGTGACCAAGTCCGATTTAATAACCCGCGCGGGTTATTAAACGGCGATCTTATTGGTGCCGACTTCATGCACCTGACCATTCCTGCATCAATGCTCCACTATCACATTACACGAGCCTTGCAACATACATGATCCGTTCATGAAGAGGCCTGCAATTCCAAGTGATGTTTGGAGTATTAGAAGTTCTAAGTACCAGTGTGAAGAATGAATTTGAAAATTTCAGGATCTTTGTTGGGATAACTTCAAAATCTGTGCACGTGAGATCGTAGATATCCTCAACTCCAGTTATTTAAATTAAAATGCAGGTTTGATCGAACAAGCGACTGGTCACAATTTGATTTTCCGGTCCTCTTCGATGACATTCTTCTTCAAGTTTGCCTCCGGTCTATGCCTCAAAATTCCGGCGAGCATAGACCTGTTGAGACACTTGACTGGGTGGATAATAATTCTGAAGTCCCATACTCCAAGAAGAAAATGTCTCATCCTCTCTCGTGGCATCTTGATTGTGCTGAAATAGAACACTGTCTGCTTCTATCTGAGCAGCTAGTGCATCGCTATTCTCCTTATGAACTCGTTCATAATTGCACACTCTTCCCCGATCACGACATTCCGTGCAAGGAATTTCCCCATTGCATGCTTTTCGGATACTCGCACAGCTGTCGCAAGCTCGTTTCTGCTTACCTCCTCGGTGTCCATCGGGGATCTCGTGGCCGCTCTCTATTCGACTCTTGCATGATTTCCAGTGTCTTCGTAAAACATCACTTGAATTATTGATTAGTACTTTGAATGTTAATGACTATTGTAATTTTTGAAGGCACTTCTTCTAATACAATTAACGAAAAAAAATGCCTACCTACCGTCGGGCAAATAGAGAACCGCAGAAATGGCAGGCATGGTTTCTGTCTGTGTTGTCTGAAGAATAAATTAGAATCGGAGTGATAAGTAAAGGAATTTTGATCTCACGTATTACTGCATGTCGTTTTAAATGATCTAATCGTCCGAATATCGCAGAGCATTGATCACATCTCCACTGTTTCACAAACTCGGTTGGTGGCGGGGAGAGTTCCATCATTCCATGTGGGTGCTAAGCCGTTTTGAGCAACGTCAGGCGAGAAATCGTTTGCTAACTTCGTGATTTTTCATCAACCATTTGATTTGTTCCGAATGTCGATACGAAGATATATTGAAAGGATCTGAGTCAGATCTTTCATTAAGCGGATGGATCCTAGCCGGCCCGGCGAGAAACGGGATCGCAGATTGCGTATGTTGTTTCTAAGGAATGGACAGATTTTAATAACCGCACGGACTCAGTGCGAAGTCCGAGGGTCCGCGGGCGGATTTCTAAGCGTCCAGGTGGTCAATGAAGAGGATTATAAGAGGTTGTGATTAGTGAGATTCCCTGGTCTGTGAATCCAGATGTCACTAGTCCGTCGCGATTCCCCCACATAACCCCATAACCCGTGGTCCGTGGACTATCCGGACCCACGTATAGGAGCTCCGAAGTATGTAAGTCGATTAATTTGAGGTTTGACATGTCTCACTGTCAGTGAGTATATAATGGAAGGGAATATTATCCAAAATGTCCAGAATTTCTTATCTCACACCTCCCAAGTGCTCAATCCCCATCCAAAGACATCACTACATAATTAATCTCAAGTGCTTGCACAGCAAAATATCAAAATATCAAGATGACTTCTCTCATCGTATCTGAATCCAACACCTCAGAACATTGGAACAACTGGCCCACTGAAAAGGGTGTATGTTTTCACTCTCACTCATCATTGTTGTTATTTAACACCATCTAGTTCGACCCTGAGTACGAACAGCCCACACCAGTTGAGCTCTCTGTGACAGGACACATCCCTGCTTACGCTGCGGGAACTCTTTACAGAACTGGACCGGGTAAAAGTCAGATAGAAACAGAAAATGGAGAACTGTTTAAATTATCACACTGGTTCGACGGGCTCAGCCAAACACATCGGTTCCAAATCATCTCAGATGATGACTCCCAAACACGAGTCCTATACAATTCGCGATTCTCGACCGACGATATGCTTGAGAGTATCCGGAAAACTGGCTCATTTGGACGCCCTGGCTTTGGACAGAACCGCGACCCTTGCAAAGAAGCCTTCAAGAAGGTGGAAACCGAATTCGAACCACGACAGAGTCTCTCTACAAGCAACATCGGCGTGACCCTTTCAGTGAACATGCCAGGTTTCAAGAAACCATCAGACGAAGAAGAATCCTCAGCGGAGCGGTGGGCTGACTCAAAAGGAATCCGAAATTTGTATGCAAAGACCGACTTTAATGCATTCAAAAAGCTCGATCCAGAAACACTCGAGCCAATCGGAATGGCGACGCAAGCAAGTCTTCATCCAGACCTCACCGGTCAAAGATCCGCTGCGCATGCTCGCTCGGATCCGGTGACGGGTGATGTGTTCAATTACAATCTCACAGTGGGACCGACATCTATCTACCGAATATTTCACGTCTCTGCTTCAACAGGAGAGACTGTTATCCTTGCTGAGTTTCCCGGCTTACCATCTTACATCCACTCTCTGATTATCACAGAGGACTTTGTAGTTCTTTGTGTATGGAACGCATTTCTTGACCTTGAAACATTGGAGGATAAAAATGCTCCTTTCATGGATGCTATGATACCCACTGATCCAAGCCAACCTGCAACTTGGTATGTGGTGGATCGCAAGCAAGGCCGTGGTCTGGTCGCAATATACGAGAGTCCGGCTTTCTTCTGTTTCCACACAGTCAACGCTTACCAGGAGGTCTCGAAGGAAGATCCGACTAAAATTGACATCGTCGCGGATCTTATTCGTATGGATAGCTGTGAGTTTTTGGATCTTTTCCTTTACGAGAATATGAAATCGACAACCCCTGCTGCAAAGGCACTCGCAGAGGGAAGGAAAGACAAAGATTTCAGCGATTTCACCCGGTATCGTCTTCCTTCAATCCCGGAATCTAGCTCGGAACCGCTCAAGGCTGTGGTAGAATGGTCTTCATGCAAAGGCCTCTCACCAGAATTACCCACTATGAACCCCAAGTTTGTTACTCACAAATACCGGTATACATACGCCGTGGCTATTGGTGCAGAGTCCACATTTACAACTGGTATTTTCAAATTTGACGTTGAAAATCACGAAGTCTTGAAGTGGACTGTTCATGGACATTCGCCCAGTGAGCCAATCTTCGTTCCTAACCCAGCTGGTGTTGAGGAAGATGATGGAGTGCTGCTTAGCGTTATACTGGATGGTTTCCAAGATCGCAGCTACCTTCTTTGTCTTGATGCTCGGAACTTGAATGAACTTGGCAGAGCTGAGATGGATGGCGTGGTGGGATTTGGATTCCATGGTCAGCATGTTCCAAATGCAGGCTTGCCTACTGGTGATTACTAGATGAAGGGTGATATGATCTAGATCGACAGACTGACAGCAAATTTGAGTTCTATTCTTATTGGAATCTTCATTTTCTTAATACTTGGTCATAAATATTCGATGTTTGGTATAAGTGCCTACTTATAAGTTCTCTTTAATCCGGAAACAATTCCAGGCGAAAAGGACGTATTAGTATTTATCTAGGCATTGAGGTAAGATGATTAATCGTACGTGTTTAATCATTCAAAAGTTAAAACTTGAAGAAATAAGTTCTGCGCCCTGCGGGTGACATCGGATCCACTCTATGAATAAGAAAAGATCAGAGGATAATACCTAGGTACTGTCATCTACAGCTTGAAACCTTGATCTCTCCTACACATCTCTCAAACTTGACCTTCCAAATCCTCAATATCTCCAAGGAACTCGATATATCAAAATCCAAAAAATTACATTCATTCAAAATGACAAAATCCGGCATTGAAGATCTCACCACCCTCCTGGCAACGATGAAACCATCACTAGACCCAGAAACCTACGTCTTCATTACAACAACCAAGCCCCTCTCATCACTAGCACTCCCAACTCTGAATCCACAATTAATCGCCCAAGAAAAAGAGGGCACCACTATTGTCACGACCGAGACCCTAGCTAGGTCCCACGGTTTCACCGAGATCACTTTTCCATGTCAGAAGATCTCGTTGACCATCCACTCCAGTCTTGAGGCGGTTGGACTCATTGCTACTATTACGGATCGGTTGAAGGATTTCCGTATTAGTACGAATGTTGTTAGTGGCTTCTTTCATGATCATATCTATGTTCCTGTTGCGCGGGCAGAGGAGGCGATGCGGGTTTTGGAGAAGTTGGCGGAGGACTCGACGAGGGAATAGAGTCAATTGAGAATGGGTTGCGAGTTTCGTTTTCTATTCGTCTATTGTCTAGGTTCTTGTTTCCACTTGAAGATTCTTACAAGGAACATTTTAAAAATATCAAATCGAACTAGATTGGGCTTAAAGCCTCTGATCTCCCTACGCCACCCTAATGATACATACATCGTCGTTGAAGAACCATCGAAAATCGAAGGCACATAGCACACCGAAATATCCCATAACATGAAAGAAGAACATCAAGGGTAAAAATGCTGAAGCAATGGCAGTTCGTCTTTCTATCTTCCTCATCCATTGACGCCTGAAAGATGAAACCACCGACCTCCGAATCCCGTAGGAATAACTCCATAGGCTTTTTTTGGATTTTTTTTGTTTCGCTTTTGACCGACCAGAGCCATTGAGAAAGCTCTCACAGTAAGTCCATAAGAATGCAAGGCGCGCAGGGTATTACTGGTACATGATGAAAAAAAAAATCAACTTCCTTGCTGACGGAAAGAATCACATATCACGGCACATCACACAAGATTCAAGTAGTCATGATCTCACATAAATGGATCAATAGTCCTCTTCCTTATCAATAAGCATCATCAACTCGGTCAGCTCCTTGCGCAAGGCACGGTTTCGATCCCACATGTCGACGATTTTGGCTCGCTGTGTAATGAAGCAAGTCTTCTTCCAGGAAAGGTCTCCATGGGCCGTAGCCTGGCGATTCGGAAGTCCTCGGGCAATGTTGCGCAGGATCAGTGCAGCCTTGTATGCCGCACCGTAGGGCTCGCCTTTCTCGCTGACGGGAGTGTCCATGTAGTACCACTTACGCACAATCCGCTCCTGGAGAACAGCGCGCTTGGTGCTTGGGGGCTGCGCATCGGCAGGACGATCCTCAGGCAGATGCGAAGAGACGTGACCAGCAACCGTGGCGGTGTTAGTGCTGGGTCCCGATGCCTTGAATCGGGTACAGTTATCCCACTGACAGGTATGAATGGGTGTCTCGGCTGCATCCAGCTTGAATTGGCCGGGAGTTTCTTCGGCTTCCAGGTGCATGTGATCCGCAAATACATGGCGACGAAGATCATTGGGAGAGCTGAAAGCACGTTGGCACATCTGGGATGGCTTAGAGTTATCGTTCCATCGGCAGTAGAGGTAAGGGAAACCCTCGAAGGTGTATGCAGTTTCCAAGGGTCGGATTCCCTTGATGATGAACTTGGTCGCAGTTCCCGGCCCATTGATTACCTGAGCTTGGGCATTTGTGAAAGTGTTGCTGACATTTTTAATAAACTCAGCAGCCGGCAGGACACCAGCACCGGGAATTCGAGAGTCGCCGAATCGGTTCTGGTAGGCTTGCCACAAGGCAATTTGAGTGATCTCACACTCAGAATCTTCAACGAAGCAGCAGCGGAGCCACTGTGAGCTGCGCTCTGGCTCGGACAATTCCATCAGCTTCTCCAGCAGCTCGGGCGGAACACGCGGAATCTCAGATGGCGCAGGTGCAACTTTTTCTTCCTGAAGAACCGTTTCGGTCTTGTTTACTCGTCCTTCGTACGAGAGCAATGCAATCAGGCGAGGGACGAAAACGATAGGAAGGTTAATAACATCCATGAGGGTTTCGATGTTGTCAGGGCTCAGAGTGTACTGGTACCAGATATCCAGTGTACCACTCAGTATCTCCTTGTCGTAGGTCATGAGTAGGTTGTAGTACATCTGCTGCAAGGTTGGCTTCGGGAGGCTTTCCAAGGCACGGTTTGCATCAGAGTCATCCAAGGCAGTAGAGAAATGTGACAATGCCCAGATAGCTCGCATGATGTGGGCACGGTCGCTTGAGTGTAAGCACTCTACCAAAGAAATCCACAGAGGGTCCTGGGCATCAGTTCTCATGAATTTTGTGACTTCTTCGGCAATATCGAGGGCATCATTCTTCACTTCGATGAAACGGGGGTCATTTGGGACGTTAATAAGAATAACAAGGAAATCTCGGAGAAGGCCACTCGCATAGCGTGAGACATAAATGGCATTTTCTTGAAGCAACACCATGTTTCTCAGCACCAGACTGGCTTCTTTGATATTTCGAATGTGGTGAGCAAATTCCTCAGTTTCAACAGTGTCTGTTGGGTAAATCTTGGGAAGTTGTTTGATCTTGTCGAGGATATTTCGAGTCCCGTGAAGAGAGTTCAAAGCAGTGACCCGGTCTGTTGGCATACGAGGATCATATTGGTACTCCCAATTGACTCCACTAATCACATGGGTGATCTCCAAAGCCTTTCGCATCAGGGTCTCAGCAAGCAATGGAAATCCTTCGAACTTGAACTTGTCCCATCGCTGGTTGGAGATCTGAACAAGATGGTACAATGCAAAATCGACCTCAGATGGAATACCTGACTGGAGGCCATAATGCGCGCGCTTGTAGATGTGATCCACTGTTGGAATTAGTAAACAGAACATCATCAAGCCAACGAATGATATATTCGGACTTACTTCTTGGAACGTCGAGGAAGTTCAGTGGGAAATAAGGGTCGTAGAAATCTGGTTGTCGCGCTTGTTTCATCCTTCTGAAACCGCCAAAGAATGAGGGTCTGTTTCCGGGGGTGTAAATGTCTCGAACTGAGAGCGGTAGTTGTGTCTGACCCTTTCCTTCCCAGCTGTCCACGGAAAAATGAGCACTGTTTGGGTTGGCGGCAGGGTTGAGGTTTGAGTGGGGTGAATGTGGGGGTTGAGGCGAGGCGAAGTTGTGAGTATGCTTTTGACGTGCGGGAGCTGTGTCAGGGACAAATGGTTGATTGACTTTTGGCGCCTGGCGCAAGCCCTCTGACATTTTGTTAGCAGACTCGTAGGGGGGAGAGTGTGGAGGGAGAGGATGGAGGATGGAAAAAGAGGGTGGAGGTTGGAAGAGGGAGGTGGGGGAAACCAAGGTAAGTCTTACGTCGCAGGGATGTTCGTTGAGGTGTTGACGCCGACATTTTGATTGTCTCAATCGGAAAACTGGGAGATCGACGGCCTAATAAAGCAGCTGCAGATTCAATCTCTGCGCTGCGACCCCTCCCTTGAAAGCCAGGTCCTAGCGAAGCTTCTATCAAGCGAGTCTCTTGATATTGATATTGAATCCTCTTGATTCAAGGTGTCTTGTGTATGGGTTGATTCACAAGTATGGACCGATGCCTCAAAGCAATTCGCAATCACGACCAGCAAAGTTGTTCAGGCGTCAGACACAGGGGCTGTCTTTTTTTATGCTTGAAGCTAATAAGCTATCAAGCTGGCCCAAGTTCTGAGAAGGATTTTTCGATCTTTCTTGAATAGCTTTTTGGCCTTCGAAGTTGGTTGTTCGCCCAGGGCGGAGTTGATGGAGCGCGGTCGAGGTCCAGGCCAGGATGCGCAATGAAAGAACGGATGTCTGCCAGCTGTCTAGCAAGAACCGGCGCAAGCTGTAATTTGCAGGAAGTTGGCGCAGGTATCGAGATATGTGGCGACCGGCATCAAGGAGTGGATAAATGGCAATGCCTTGAAAGTGGCGCGTGGAGGGCAATGGAAAGCAGGTAGGCTTGCGATCACCGGGGATCGATCAGCCAAAAGTCCGCGCTTCATGTCAAAGCGCGTTCGTCGGAATAACTGATACTCCGAGAGCCGTGATGCTGATGCCGCTAGTCTTGTTTGGTATGGAATGCATGCCTGAGGCGACCAGATACATCTATATCAGTGTGAACACCATTTACAGCTGAAAATAAAAAGGAATACATATTATTGGGGGTAAATAGAAGATAAATGATCAGAATTGACCTGAATTACTGGAGAATTTGATCTATATCCTAAATAAATTGACGGGTGAAAGGCAAAAATGAATGGGTGCTCAATTAAGCCTGGAGGCTATGTGCTCCGGTGTGATACTATTCACATCCCAACTTTTGGTTTAACCTCTTCCCATAATTCCCACAATTCCCATCTTTGGTCCCAGCTTTCATCATCCCCTTCTGACTTCCAGGAATAGCCTGCTCTATCTCAAGATGAATCAAAGAACTCTAACACCTAATCACCCTCAAATCACCCGGCTCCCACTGGCCAAATTCTCCCATACCACTACGACCATTGATCACGGTGGCCTCTTATCATGGAATCATATCAACAGCACTGGAGATCTTACCTGTATTCTAGAGTTACTGGCTGGAGGTGGTGCAACTCTGCCCAGATTGGTCATAAGGATTGCTCGGAACGATGGTATTCTGGTATGGATTTCTACCTTACTCGGTCGGAACCTCGAGTAACTGACCATGTCGGTAATCAATCAGGAACAACTGGATTTATCCCATTTCTCCCACATGCTGGCAGCTCAGAGTCAATCTGGTCAAAGTGCTCTGCAAGCAAAGGCTCCTTTTGCTGTGGTAGTTAAGTCGCCCTGTCTGGCTGTCAAGTACCCTCATAGCAGTACGCATGTATGTCCTACACATAGACATCTATGAACTCAGCCCAACTTCAGCCCTGCAATATTAACTGGAAATAGATCCGTCGCTTCCAAATCAAGTTCTGCCAGAGTACCGACTACTTTACAGCCCTGGCTCTTCTCAGTCAGGCTAACTGCCCATTCACAGAAGGAAGCACGGCCACACAACCACCAGGCAGACCTCCCACAGCATCATCATGGGCATCTTTCCATGTTCCAGGGGTAGCCTCAAATGCAGGAAGTACGACCATAACTTCGGACAACGAAACCACAGTGCCCTACTTCCCGATGCCAGGTTACATGCCCAGTGGACTAACAAGTATGACCCTTCCACTTCAATATGAGTCTAATATTGACCCATGTCAGCTCCACATCCGCCATCTTCCTCATCAAGTACAATGTTCAATCTGATAACTCAGAATGCGCAAGCTCAATGCCTAGCCGGGCCTACAGATGTTCAACAACTAAAGAAAAAGCCCGCGAAAGCATCCGCAAAACAAAAGGCTTCAGGCAAAGCTAATCCCCGTCCCGCAACGGCTCCCGCTTATCATGGTCAACAACTGGATGAAATGCTTCCTCCTAGGAGGGATCTCCCATTCCTCAAGTCGAGTCAGAAGAAGTCACAGAAAGAAGAAAAAGAAGGATCCCAAGCATCGCAGCTGTCGCAGGCTACACCTACAGAACAGATAATCGATGTATCTAGGAATCAACAAAGCGTCCTACCAGTCAATCAAACTGTACCAGTCTGTCCTGAGTCCCAAGTCCCTGATTCCCAGGTTTCAGACTCTCAATCTCAATTCATCGCTCCAACACAGCCTTACCTGGACCCTTTTTGCCCAGCGCCATCATCCCAGAGACAGGATACCCAGCTTGGCAAATATCTCAGTCACGGATCTACCGAGCAACAAAATGTCGTATCTGGCGTTGAAACGATTCCATGTAGCCAGGAGCTCGATGAGGACGTTACAGCTACTACAGACAAAGGGTCGAAGTCGGCCATTCCTGAGGATCAACTGTCGGCCTATCTATCTGCGCCAACAGCAGAGAGGGTTGCACTCTTGGAAAATTGGATGTGTGACTTGATCGAAGACGACAAGTTCATGGTCTTGTGTCAAGATGTTGAGTCGACTTGGAAACGATTTGCGTTTGGGATGAGAGAGAAGGATTAAGGTTATCTGTGGTCAATCACTGCAGTCGAGCGTTATTTCACGATGCGGAATAAGTGATACTATTTACTATCTGTTTCAGCATGGGTATCTCAGTGATTTCAAGGTTGACTTCTGACATTCAGTGGAATGGTATCTCGGGTCACTCTTACCAACCATGAATTAACGCATACAATTATTAAGAGCCTTGCAATAGCTCGGCACGAACTCAAAAGTGGGATTTGTTATGGATGTTCGCGAAATCATTGATAAAATTATATAGCAACCTTGGAATACATGTACTATTGTCAACGGCTTCAAGCCCAATTTCACATAGAGCGGACAAATGGCGCAAAGCAGAAAACCAAAGTGGAGATTTGGTTTAAAGTAAGATCATACTGAGATAGGCATATTTTCCCGTCCGAAACATAACTCCAAAAGCCAAAAAAAAGAAAAGTAAGAAAAAGTTACAATAAACGTGCATGAAATGTACCTGAGTACTATACAAGACAGTACCTAGCGAGCACGCCGGTTATAAATCAAACCAGAGAACACATTCAAGTAACCTTCTTTAGTTAGCATAGTAAAATCAACAACAATACGACCAGCTCCACCATGAGGCTGTGTCAGCTGTGGAGCAAGGTTTGGTGAGGTCTCTCCATGTTCGGCAGAAAGAGCTGGAGGAGGAGTAGCAGAGGTATTCTGACCCACAGAGCCTTCAGCGCCAACTGCCAAATCGGCCAAGTGTTGCAAAGAGCGCTGCTCGTTGGGGCCCATAGGAGGCTGCGCGCTGGAGGATGCCTTGTTCATACCGCTAACCGCATCCTGTAACTGGCTTTCCTGCGATTTAACGCGCCGCCATTCGAGGAAAACGCGGATCTTCGCATCCCAGCCGGGAGTACCGAAAATGTTCTCGTATTCACCCAGCTGGGTTGCGTTGTTTTCACGGTGATCCAGGATTTCTTCCAGCTTGCTCAGCGAGTCCCAGCATTCATTTGAGAATTCAGGAATCACTGTGGCTTCGAGCAGAGTCATCGATGCAAGAGCTAAGCTATGCAGATCAAAGGGTGTTGCGAGTCGACGCTGCACAGTAGCCTTGTGTAACTCATTGATGACCTCTTGAGCACAGTAAACAATCTCGTACGGACTCCAGACAAAGACATGACGCTTGATAAGGAGACGAATAGTCCAGTAGAGTTGGTTTTGGAGGCTTTCAAACAGTGAACGGGAGGCGGTGTTCTCAGGCAACTCATGAACCTTGAGCACATCGTCCATCTCTCCAAGACGTTCAAGCGCGGCTAGCATGTTGTTTGCAACCACACGGCCAAGGCCAGAATTGGTTTGGCAAACGTTCTCGTCCGTGCTAACCATGGTAACCAGTTCGATCAAAAAGGTTGAAAATGCTAGAGAATGGGGAAGATTAGAAGGTTGATGGGTCAACGGACAATTAATAGAAAACTTACAAGCAACGCCCATTGTGATATTGCCAACTACTCTCTCATCTTCACGTCCGCCGATCTCCTGGCCCCCAAGTACGGTCGTATCTGCCAAACTGATAGCATACCAACGGGTCAAGATGATCAATGAGACCCAACTGCGTCGTGTCAAATTGGCGTCGGAATCAACATCGGGATCTGAGACACGTTTCTGCTTCAGCTGGCCCTGGTTCTTGGCCAAGTCATGGCCAAGCTTGTTAGCTGCTTGAACCAAGATGTGCTTTGGAATACCATCTTTCAGGACGATGTTGTCAGGCCCACGCTGGTCGCAGTCTATGATCATCAGAATAAGAGTTTGCAACCAGATTAGGTTGACTGCTGTGGAGTGGACAATGAGCGGCTGGCGGGTGTGGTAAAGCACCAAATCCTGGGCATTGTCAAACGAGGTGACGCGCTCAAATCCGCCCATGACTCGAGACATGTCGGTGCGAGTCGCGGTGTAAAGTGCGTAGCAAAAGATTTCTTGTGCCTCTCGATTGCATTGGTGCAGGAGTTCCAGGGTTCGCTCCCTGGTGTGAGGAAGGATTGGGAATATTGTATGCACCTTTTGATAGTAGCTACAGGAAGTTAGATCAAAACAGCAGAGGGTTTGGAACAGATTGAAACATACGCATCAAGGGCTCCCTCGTCAAGAGAGACCGGCGACATGTCGTCATCACCTTCATGCTTGTGCAAGTCGGTGATCTCCAGGCCAGTCGGCAGATCTTGCTCATTGCCGGTTGGGGTCCAAAAGAGGTTAGCCGGCTTGGAGGCGCCGGCGTTAGCAGCAACTGGGTTGTAGGGATCTGTGGTGGAATCAGGTGCATCGAAAGCACTCTGCGGACCGCGGCTGTTGAATGATGGCTGCGCAAATGATGAACTTGGCAGCCCTTCAAATACAGAGTATGTTCTCTTGCGGTTGGCGGAGCCCGATTCGACAGGTGGTGAAGCAAAGTCCTGGTAGCCTCGCGGCAGAGACACTTCATTCATAGACTGGTATGGGACATCAGGTTGAACAATTCCGGGCTGCATCTGGCTTTCGAGGGTATGGAGTCGTTCGGCAAGTTCCTTAATGTAACTTTAAATCCATTAGTCCCGCGATCTCAACCGTATCAGGGCATGTTATCGCGCCGGCGCGTAAATGATTCAACCTACCCTTTGCTAGGTCCTCGCTTCATCGGGACGCGACTGAATTGACAGACAACACCCAGGCGACGACAATTCGAGCATGTCTCGAGACCAGTTTCAGAGCTCGCGTCACATCGTACCTATTATCAAAACAGGGCAAAATTAGAGACCAAATTTGACGCGTCTTAGAGCATGGACTGATTCATGACGTACCTTTTTGCGCCGGCATTCATCACAAGCGCGCGAAATCTTCGATCTCTTTCGCGCACTTTGTTCTCCATAGCTCAAATCATGGTTTGGATCGACGCCGACTTGTTGGCTGGGGGTGAACTGCAGCATGTGCTGGTGTTGATGTTGATCGTCGGATGAGGGGCGACCCATGTCTCCTGCGTTGGAAGAGCCCAGAACCATGCCTTGATTATGATGAACTCCGTTATTCGAGCCATCTCCTAGCCCTGGCCCAGACGCTTCGCGTGATAGTTCAGCAGAAAGAAGCTCGTCGGTTGTCATTTGGCGATTGCTGTAATACGGCATCCCGCCCTGGGTCATCTGAGCACCGTTTGGAGACGGGTAGGAAGGGGCGGAGGCCATGTCGGATTGATCTCGGTGGTTCATTGTATGAAAACAAATACTCTGGAAATTTAAAATCTAATAGGATAAAAGGTTGTGGTGGAAGGCGAGCTTCCGGTGGTTGTGGAGTGAAGAATCGAGGATAGAGTGAAGGACACGACGTTGCCGCCAGGTTTTTTTCTTTTTTTTTCTCTCTTATTTTTTTCTTACAGGCTAACTTTGCGGGCAGTTTGACAGGGGCTAACACCGCCGCATTGAGCAACACCAACATGATGGAAAGTGATATGAAGAAGAGATTGCACTTGGGAGTCAATTGTTTTTAATTTTTTGAATATCTCTATACTCCGGATCATCATACGGAGAACGGCTTTTTGTTTCTGCGTGGACAGCGGATTAACACCTTTTCCCACTTCCCACCGGCCCCGTTCTCCGACCCGAACCTTGACCTTAGACATTTGTGATTAAGTAGTAGTCAAGAGCTACAGTTTATTTCCTGACATGAGGACTTCTATCTAGGATATATGGACAGCGCGACCTACATGAATCCGATTCTGAGTTTGGATGCTATTTGGATGCTATCTCAGCCCTGGAGGAGCCCTGGAGCCCATGCTGACTACACATATATTCTGCCGGATGCTTCAACATATGAGTTTGGCGGTAACATCTATATAAGACTACTACTTAGTAGTAACTTGAATTTCAAGGACTTTAAATGTGAGGAAGAAATTGAAATCAAAGCGAGTCTACATGTCAACACCTGAAATCTTCCATTTGTAGACTAAGCGGAATAATTAATCCCTCCGTAAACTGTAGCCTTCAAGTTGGGAAAACCAACTGGCTAAAGGGATGATAGTTCAGACTAAATATAAAATCACACTCAACCCGGTGCCGTAGTACCCTCTAACATATAGTCCATCTATACATATTAGAACGTCCATTATGTATATAACCAGTCGAAAGGAGCCGCAATATAAACATTTGAAATTTTGGATTTTAAATTCAAGTTAACAGTATTGGTCAATTCCAAGTTCGGGAGATTTTATGGATGAACCTTCAAATGCTGACTCGGACATCTGGAGGTGACATTTTGAGTTGTAGCCCTGGCAACCTTGACTTCACAGCACTCAAGTGCTCAAGCTCCGAGTCGGGATTTAAGGAACATTGAAACTTGAATCTGAATCCGAATGTCTCACGAATCCTTACCAGATTATCCATATTTGGCCAAGCCCCTGTTTCATTCTTGTTCCCATAATAACTTGAATCCATAGTAGTATACATGTCAATAGGCTTGGTGTTCTAGTCATATGGTCATTTCGCCGGATTCATCAGGTCAACTGGTCGACGTCGAGTCCAGCCTCCAGGGTTGATAGTCTCCATTGAAAACATCTCAGCGGCACATTAGTGGTTCAGGTGTCGCAAGGATTCTCCCGTTAACCACCAACTGAACTCTCCCGGACAGTGCTAACGCCTTTTGTCAGGTTCATCCCGATCGTATTTCGTGCCTTAATTTAGATTTCATCCGAGGCGGCGCATGATTGGATCTGACAATGACCCTCTCTAGTGTACTCTAGTGTACAATACCGTAAGACTATGTAAGCCGGAATCCACAACCACAACCTACATGATTGGTGCGAACCTCCTGTAGTTGCATGCGCAGATCAGGGCCCACCCGCTGGCCGGCGCCAAAACCCTCTGCAATCCGCCCGAAACAGGAACAGTGACGCCATAGAACCGCGCGAACGAGACGCTATGACATGCAGTACCGTATGGTGCGGTAAAGGTTTCGTGGATATTGCTCCTTTTCGTTATACTGTCACAAGGAGATGGCTTGCATGGGCATCGCAGGACCCTAGCTTATCTGTAGTCAGTTTTTTCCGATGATGATTTACCAATGGTGATTCAGATGTCTTGCTGGTAATATCTTGCAGGGATTATGGAAAGTTCCCAACATTTTTCCTGGTACCTGAACTCTACTTAGCATGGTCAAGTTTTCTTGTAAAATAGGCCCTTGTCTGATCCAGTTTAGCTTCAAGTTGCGCTACCAGTTTTGCTTCTTTCCCAAGCCCTAGGTTGAGACCCTAACATTCAAAAAAGCACATTTGAACACAACCATGTCTCAGAGCTCAGGAAAGGGCGGAGTGTCCAGACTGGGATGTGCGGCCCCAGATTTCACTAGCGAGATCCATCCTGGTGGGGGTCAAGTTCATGAAAGGCCGTGCTCGATTCGCGGCATCTCCAGTGTAAATTCAATATTAGGGTACAGAGTACATGTACTGAATTTTTTCTATTTTATTTTCTTGCGCAACTTGAAAATACTTTCTGGCCTCACAAGATGATCTACATTGCAGCGAACATGCTTCTAGGGAAATCTGGGAATTGTTGCCTCGTGGGAATTTCGGCGAAACGGCGGCCTGAGCGAATCAAAGGGGGAAGTAACCACGCAAGGCGGCTCTGAAAGAACTGTCCAAGCTGACCATCGAATGTTTCTATATTGTTTCACTGGTCTCACCATTGACTTACGTAGAATGATAGTATGAAAGATACAGGAAGATTTTGAATAAAATAGGGTTCGTCTAGATACCCTAGTTTCTTATTCCTTTTCCGCACCGGGTCAATGGACCTTTTCTGTCTTTTCTGTCTTTTCTGGTACACTGAATGTACATTTGGTAATTTTTCCTTTTCCCTTTCAGAAACCCTAACCCGGACCATACACTTTGACTCCCGGGTTCCTTAGTGGGACTGCCACGTCGTTGAACTCTTGTGGATACGGATAGAATCGCAAAAAAAGGGGGTGGTACGATTCAACTTGGTTCGCAAAGGAATCCAATTGTGAAGATGCACAGGGATAATTCTGCAGGTCTAAAATCCTGCTTTCGTTTCTGAGAATGCGACCACTTGATTCGATTATTCCGATTATGGTAGGGGATCTGGAACCTGAAATATCAGGTGTACACTATAACATCTGTAATATTGAACTGTAACGTTCTGGTAAAGTGTAGTTCCAGCTGGTATGAGTATGGTTACAAGCAGTATTGTTTGGTAAATGTTAGGGTGCATCACAGCTTAAAGGATGGCAAATTGGAGATAAATACTGGTAAATTACTGTAATTCACTGTGCCTGTACCTTATTCCGGTTAATCACAGCCACCAGTGACGCAGCAAAAATCCCATCCCTCCCCCCCATTACCGTTATTAACTCTGATCTCCCTCTTTCTTCTTCTTTTCCTCGTCCGCATAGGGTGTTCTCCAACTCTCTATATCGAACGCTTTTATCTTGGCCGCCACTACCGGTACTTGGTGTCCTGTCTCACGGCCGGCGCCAAACGGTGCGTAGGCTTGGTCCCCCTTTGGTTTCTCTACTCTCTACTCTATACCTCTCCTCTCCTCTCCCCCCCAAAAAGAGCCTCGCCTCCCCGATTATACCCATTTGATTTCCTTTTTGGTTCCTATTTTGCCCCCCCAAGTCTCTCAGTACGACCCTCAGTTACCTTCTTGTATACTGCTGGATCGGCGTTCTGTGACCTTCGCGCGCATTGGGATATTTATTGTCTGAAGATACCCTTTTGTTCGTTCTGTTCAATTCGGCCTTCTCGAAGAAGCGGCCGAATAACCTTGCCTTGACGGCCTCTCGAACGGTGGTTCTCTTTTGGATCAATCGTTGCAAAATCCTATTTTCTTGATATCTCCCAAATTCTATTACTTCATTTCAACAACCATATCCCGCGATTCATCGCATGTGTGCCTCGCAGTAACCCTCCGCGATGCTCATTGATGGTGAGAAGTGGGCGTGTGAAGCTTGCGTCCGGGGTCACCGTGTTAGCAGCTGTCACCACAGTGGTATGTGAAATTAATGAATTGGTTCTCAAGTTACGAAACGTCGACATCTGGCTAACTTACATACATCATAAGACCGCCCTTTGACCCATATCAACAAAAAAGGCCGCCCAGTCTCTCAATGTACTCACTGCCGCGGCCTACGCAAGTCTCGAACAACCCACGTCAGGTGCGAGTGTGGCGACAAGAAAAAGAAAACCGAATCGGAATGCCATGGTGACAAGCGAGATCTGAGTGAGCATAGGCGCTGGTTGTTTTTATACCCGATTTCCCTTTTCTGATTGTGAATTACAGAGGACTCCCTTCATCGCTGTGGCTGTAGCCATGGCCAGCGCTGTACTTGCGCGCTGAAAAAGGAATCTCACCTTGATACTGTACCTGAGACAGGTTTGCCTGTGCCTCAGCCGTCGGTTGCTACTGAACATCCACGAAAGCCATTGCTTACGTCGACAAAATCAGAGTCGACGTTGACAATATTTCGTGATGGTCACCACAAACCCGCCCACAAGCATAATGACATGGCCCACAAGTGTGGATTGCCGTACACAATCCCACGATCACATACCATCCACCATCCGTCCGACATGCCTCGTCGTTCGGTGGACCACCTCCCTTTGACACAATCCGCCTTTGTCCAGGAACCTGTCTCTCTTTCGATGGAGCCAATCTCCCAATCTCAGCAAACCTCCCAGAATGGCTCCCCTCATAGTGCTCCCGCAACCGGCTCTGACGATGTTGCCACCACATTATCTCTCGAACAGTCGTTCCTGGACAAATTCGCTCCTCCCCCTCTTCCTGCTGCAATGGAGAATCCGACAGATGTCTCGTCCAATCTCACATCTGCGCCGCCTACCATGGACAAGTTTCCCTTGGAGCAAATCATCACCAGCGTTCCCCCGTCTCTCGACTTCGCCTCTTTCCCGAATACCTCGTCTAATTCTCCGATCACCTGCATGGCATTCCAAGATCCTTACCAGGACCAATACTTCACTTCCCCGGATTCCGAATTTCCCTTAGGATCCGCAGGCATGGGGGCGCCATCAGTCGACTGGTCGAGCTTCCCGTTATATTCCGATGCCCCTGCTACCACTAGTACCCAAACCCCATCATACGCCAGTTTCGATTACAATAATTACCCCTCGGGCCTCCCACCTCCTTCTTCCTCCGGCGATATCTCCGAAGTGGATGAGTTTGGACCGCTTCCTGGTTTGGGACATACTGGTGACATGCATGACCTCCACAGTGTGAGCGAAGCATCGGATATGGATCAACTCCGTATAAGTTCTGCGTCCTCATTGGTGGGACTGCCACAGGCTCAGCTCTTGTCGTCCAATGATCTTGAGTCGATCAACATCGATGATTTCCTCAAGTCTGCCAATGAATCGACTGCCGCGCTCGAGCATCAACTCCAGGCTAGTATGGGACTTGAGCCAAAGCCCATCCCTGCCCAGGACGTATACACCATGCCTTCGGCCCAGGATACTGTCCCCATTTGGCCGAGCAATCTCTTCGATGCTGATTCCACGCCACCGATGGACAACAGTTACTTCCGACCGTCCTGGTCGCAATAGCCAATGCAACTATCACCCAACGCTGGTTCTTGAAAAACCACCTTTTGCTTCCTGTTCCAATTAACTTTCCTTTGAGGTCTCCGCTACCTTGCGGCACCTTACCACCACCTCCACACCGTCTTTATGACCTTGATGAGAGATGATGATAAATGCCTTGTTTTGTCTTATTTTTGACTAGCCATTCTAGATCTCTTCGTGATAGCATTTCAATCTAGAGGGGTTTCTGTGATTTTATGGGTTATCTATTGACCACCGTACAATTTTTGTCTTCGTATACAACTCGATCTCACTTGTTTAACTATAGACCTGCCTTTGATGTACAATCACTACACGCTCTTTAGCCATGAATACATTGAACCTATATGACGATTCTGACCGTTGCAATTCTACAATCATACACTGGTGATGCATAGCACTCGAAGCAATACGATCTTTCTGATAATCAATTTCTCAATTTATCCATCATAACTCGGTCTACAGGTACATACCTGGTATACCTACCACCTGATAAATCACACTGGCAGTTTACATCATTGTACATACCCTCCACCCCTTTAATCAACCTTAGACACGATCGGTCGGGATAGCCGAATCAAGAAGATCACGAACCCAACATTAAAATCATTAAGTAACAGTTTCACAAGAAAAAAAACATTGTAGCGGTGAGACCCTCTCCGCACGAACCAAACTGTCTCGGATCGACGAAAAGCAGGTTTTTCCTAGTGAAAACTCTCGCTCGATCTCGCTCTGCAGGCTTACATTATTACTTACAGGAGATCAGGGTCAGCTGCTTCTGCTTGTGTGGCTCACCTGGTCCTATACGTATGTGCTTTATTGCTCCTGTGACTTCAGGGCTGCAGCTTAAACCTGAACTTGACCTTCTACTTTGGGCTTGAACGCCTAGGTCACGGTATGTGTACTCGTACTACGTATATGTACTACGTGTTCAGATAGCATCTACCAGTACTCCGTAGCGCTGAGTACATTGTGATGATGATCGTGCTATGAATATTATGCATACGTACTTATCCGCTTACTGTACCTCGTACAAGATGATCGACAAGTAGCGGTGTGCATGATGTAGTTGCGTTGAGGTACCCCATAGTAGACCAGTCATGTCCATGCTCATGTCACTGTGAGATGAATCATACTATCAAGTTTAAAAACATCACGGCTTTTAGCTAAGAATAATAATATCCAGACAAAAGAAATTACTAGATTTCTGACCTTCTATCCTAGTATCTCCAGCTTATCCTCTATATTCAACCAAGTCCACCACCATTCATCCTATAGTACAACCGTTCAATCCAACCATTGAAAATGATTCAATAAACAGATACGTCAGTTTAGAACAAGCAGTACGGAGGTCGGTCCGGAAAGTTCTCGCCAGAAATTATAATTTCTTTTTCTCACACTAGGCTATATACAGTAAATATTGAAATATATCGCGTAATCAAGATGTATATAAAACGGAAATATATAGTACTGAAATATAATAACAGCTTGAAACAGTAAATATTCACATATCTTCCCATATATCGCTGTCGCTGTCGCTGTCGCTGTCGCTGTCGTTGCCGCTGCCGCTGTTATAGGCGTTATCACCTAACCCGCTAGGGGCTACTTCACCTAATTTATCACGCCCCTCACCGTATTCGTTGCCCCCTTCTAGTCTAATGACTTGCTGTATATGCCATGGTATACGTTCAATCCAAGCTTGAATTTGCGCCTGTGGTAGATCACGCCACGCAGCCTCCCATACTTTAATCCCTTCTTTACGCGATTTAGGTGCTCCTTTTCGCGTAGTGTATCTCTTCATCCAAGGCCATGCAGGTTCAATCATATTTAGATCAGGCGAATTTCCAGGCCAGATCATTCGTTGGACCCCCATTATATCAAATATTCGCTGTTGGTAGTGATGTGAATGGGCTGGTGCTTTATCCTCTTGAACTATTGTTTTCGTTCGAATTCGAGCACATTCTTGGGCGAATGGAAGTAGTTTTGGGGCTAAAATCACGGTGTTGTATCGGTACCAATCGATTCCACCTTTCGAATTGCGTGCAAGCTTTCCATTCTTCTGAGTCCATCTCCACTGAGGTTGTCTTCCAGGCTTATTGCGTAGCCCTAATCGCTGTATACCTGAATTAAGCTCCCATTCTGCACGCATAATAGGCTCTAATTCAGTATTCCATTCGGCGATTTGGTGTTCTGCTTCACGCTTTTGGGCTGTAGTTTCAGGTACCCAACAATGACAGGGGCCCTTCTGATCATAAGAAAAAGCACCCCAAAACATGAACTCAGAGGCCCCCTTCCAACGTTCTCGAATACAGCTTCGGACGAACCGCTCACTAGAAGTACGCCATACACGATATCCACCCCGACGGTGTAATAAAACAACCGCAGTTTCATCAGTCCAAATCACATTCTTCCAGTCTTCTATAGTCCAATGGGCGTGTTTTAAACACCATTCAAGACGTTGTTTTTTCTGCTCAGCGGCAAGCCCAGGCTTACGTGTAGGCTTTGTTTTTCGTAGGCCAATTTTTCGTAGTACATGCCAAACTGTTGTTTTTGATATATTAATCCCTAATTATAGAAGAAATATTAGAGGAAATAACATATCAAGTAACATATGAGATAACATATCAAATAACACACCAAGTAACACATCAAATATTATACTAAATAACATATTAAATAACACACTAAATAAAATATCAAATCTTAGAATAACTAACCTGATTCACTGCGTAGCTCTGCAGCTAGCTGTTCACATGTTTTCTCACGCCCATAGCGGTCTACACGGATTTTCGCCCCAAGTGTGGTTTTAAGCTCATCTGTTTGCTTAGATGGACGCCCAGAACGTGCTTTATCAGCTAACATTTCATCTGATATATTGAATGGTCGCTGATTCGGCTGAAAACCTCGTTCGAGTGCACGGTTCCATATGTCTCCTATAGTACGCCGTGGAATATTCATAAATTCACTGATCTCCTTAGGGGCATGTCCTTGGGCCCTTAGGTATACAATGACAGCACGTTGCGCAATATTGGTCTTCATTGTAGCTGTATAGGTGGGACAAAAGTGTAGCTGTGTAGGTGGGATAAAAGTGTGAAGGGGTGTACGGACTGTAGGCGGGGTAAAAGATAAAGATCTACGTGTCCACGGGTGTTATAAGCAATATTTAGCCTAGTACGTAACACGGCAATACATCCAATATACAGCAGGCTATACACCTGACATACAGGGCCGGTAATATATCAAGAAAAAGAAATTATAATTTCTGGCGAGAACTTTCCGGACCGACCTCCGTACATACATACGAGTATCATAAACATACGCATACGCATACCTACACATACACGTATAGATACGAAACGAAACTCGAAGGACAAAGCTCTTGCATACCAAGCCTTCAGATCGTACATGATACATCAACTAGGTCCATGCCAATGCCACGCATATCGGCATCTTCTAGCCTTACACGGCGCTTCTCTGGAATACAAGCCTTCGATGCATGGCCTTGGCTAATGCTTAGCTCTGCACGGTCCGTCGTGTTGTCGCGTGTAGGGATCTCCTAGTCCTTGGTCTAGTGCTTGTTGGACGAGCCTGAGTTTATGTGGGATCCTTGCTAGGATCTGGGATTAATGTGGTTCAATTTGGAACTAGGTATAGTACTACGTGGTTGATAACGAGTAGATTTACTAGTATTCAGACTGTAAATATCGGAATAAATGATCAATATTGATTCAAGTTGCCAGTGACACTATGCCAAGGGTGATCTAGATCAGACTATCATTCCTAGTAGTATTCTGGTACATTCGTACTATGTAGGCTTTTGGTACATACCTCGCTCTCGGTGTTAGGAGAGTCCGATTTCTATTCTAGGAGTATTTTCAGGGCTTGAGACGAATAATTTGTAATTAATAGTCGAGTTGGTGACCGGATCTAAGAATTGTAATCGCGACGACCGAGATTCGTGGACGAAGCAAGGGAGACTGATACATTGTCCGTGTTGCGAGGAGGCTTCCATTCCAATGAATTCGTGCAGAACTAGTATGACTTGCTCGGATAATTCGGCATCTGTGGCAGGTTCAAATTTTCTTTGGTGACCTACAGGTTATTGCATATTGATACGTCGAATATGACATGATGGAATATTCTGAAATAAAGGATCATCGTGACAGGGAACAGGGTTGTTCCTTATTGCAAGGGACTACAATTGGAGTCTTGTTTGAACGGACTAATTTAGTCTCTGGGATGAAAAGCTTGTATCTGGCCTTAAGCTTACGTGCTTTAGGAGATGGATTGCATACTGTCTATATTAGTGGCGGTACTAGTCGGGTTGTCAAAAGGCAACCGACGTCTCGAACTATGCCCAGGTGGTTCGCTTTCATCACTAGTACTACCTGTGGACTAGCGGGTACCTACCAGTACTTTGGCCCCATAGGTCAAGTATTACCTAGGTATAGAAGCACTGGCATCTACAAATCTACAAATTTCAGTTGAAATGAGGGACTAGTATTGATAATCGGACAAATACAGCATGGAAAATAGAAATTGAAATTGAATGAGATTGGACTAAATTGAATTCAAATGTTCGATATAGCAGTTCGTAGTAGTAAATATGTAGGTAGAGTCACGGTCTATATGGTATCAAATAAGAGGAATAACAGAGCCCTGGAGGAGCATCGGATCTATGGCAATCCAATCTACCTTTTATATATCTCTGTTATAATTTATGACCGGTACTTCTCCATGAACTCGGAGTGGAACTTCACGATGCGCTCAACCCAGTCGGTGCCAGGTGCAAGGAAAGTTGTGCGGAAGTGAAGTGTGTTCTCCTTCTGACCGAAACCAGAGCCTGGGACGACACAAACACCGGTAGCATCCAGCAAGGCCAGACAGTAGAATTCATCGGCGGCACGACTCTCAGACTGAGCGGCTTCGACGGCCTTGCTGGGGAGGTTGATAGTAGGGAAAAGGTACATAGCACCCTTTAGAAGAAAATTAGCCTAAACCGACAAGAGACAAAACGACAACGGATAGAATGAGATTAAAGTTGAACTCACCTGAGGTTCCTGGCACTCTACACCCTCCATCCGCTGGAAGGCATTGTACAAGGCAAGAGCACGCTTGTGCAAGCCATCGCGGATTCCATTATACTCCTGTTGATACAGCTCGTGGCTAGGCTCACCCTCACGAGGAGGGTTCACCATAGTCTCCAGCAAGCACTGTGCAACGACCGGCGGGCACAGACCAATGCTGACGAGTTTGTAAATCTGTTCCTGAACCAGGGGGTCGAAGCCCACAAGCTCGAAATAACCACCACGGTGACCACACTCTCCAACCATGCCCTTGGAGGTACTGTGCAGGGAAACCAGCTCCACGTCATCGTACTTGCCAGGCTGCTCCTGTTGGAGCTGGCGAAGGCGCTTCTTGAAGGAGACGAACTCGCCAGTGAAGACGTTGGTCTGGTAGACCTCGTCGGCAATAACGACGAGAGCCTCCTCAGCGGCGATATCAAGTACTGCCTTGATATCATCCGGACTGAGAGAGGCTCCAGTCGGGTTGCCTGGATTAATCACAGCGATAGAGCGCACATTAATGTTCTTAGCCTTGGCTTCGGCAATCGACTGCTTAATTACATCGACGTTGGTTCCCCAGGCCTTCTGCTCCTCCAAGTAGTAAGGAACGCAGTGCGCATTCAACAATGCCAATGTTGCAGTGTACAGCGGGTACTGGGGAATTGGGACCAGTACACCTGCGTTGGAATCATTACAAATAACATTCAGAAGAGTGGCAACACCAGCCGAGGCACCACCAGTCAAGAACAGATCCTGCGGGTTGGCAGGGAATCCATCACGCTCCTCAATAAACTTGGCAACGCTGTCGCGGATTCCGGGAGCACCTTGACTGTGACTATAAGCACCAACGCTCTGCACATTGCCCAGTAAGACTTCTGCCCGATCAATCACATCCTGTTTATATCCAAAAGAGGTCTTCAATACCTTGGGGTTCTCCAAAAGTATAGGGTTCTCGAGGAGACTTAGTACTTGTCGGAAGAAGGTAATAGGCTTCTGGTCCAATTGCTGTGGGTTACCAATGTTGGCGAAAATGACACTGTCAAAGGGCAGCGAGCTATCACCCTCGGTGAGGCGCTGACGGTAAGCCTCAGCCTTGACAGCCAACTCTCCACGCACAGCGTACTTGGCCGCGCGGACGTTCTGGTTTATGTTATCGAGGTTTAAGCTTTTCCTCGGTTGGGTGGTGGACAAGGTCCGTTTAGCGTAGGTGATGGTTTGAGTCATGGTAGAGTCTGAGATGGTTACCCAGAGGATGTTAGTTCGAGATATGTTAAAAATAAAGACGAATGAATGCCAAATGCTAGAGTAGAGCAAGTTCAAGTACAAATAACGATTGAAATTGCAGGATGAAACGGTCGACACACGACGTCGTCAGATGGGGGTACAATCCTTCCCCGCGGGAGTCGACCCATCTATATATGGCGCAACAGATCATCCCACCCTAGCACGTACCTGACCAAGCGGAGAACCTCCCCGCAGCACCGTATACGGTCGGGCGAAGTAGGAGACCATTATTCGGCCGGGTAGTCAGTGCCCGCAGCGGAGACGCCCGCACACTGGCTGTGAGCTTAAATTGCCAGGACATAGTTGCGGGAATTGATTTTTTTTGGAACACCCAAACTGGGATGCGCGGTGACAAGTTGAACGGCTACAGCGCGAAAGAGAAAAAAAAGTAGACCTTGTGTATCAATCCAGGGACCGAGTGGGCGGTGTGTGAGTCAGCATGCTTTATCCCCACATATCGGTGACCCAAGATAGATATCTAGTGCGGAGTTGAACTACAATACAGTCTATAAACAATAAGGATCTCCAGATGTCCTCGTAAACATTCAGCTGAGGCTTTTTTTGTGAGAAAAATAGCTCAATGATACTTTGGTAATCACACATGTGCATGATAGTACAGCATGCCAGGTGACTAGTCTAGGCTGACGTTAGGTCGATCTTCCCCTCGGAAAGCCTGTTGTCCGAGCCCAAGTGGACTCTCTAACTGCTGAGGGGAACGCCCCATCATCACTCCGTTACTCCGTCACTCCGGAGCCGCCCGACTGCGGGGGCCCCTATCAAGATATATACGATCCACTCAAGGTAATTTCTAGATCAATTATTCATAAAGATCGAGATAAGAGATTATTTTGTCAGCAATTGTTCTAGATCTGAGAAAATTAATGCTAAAAGAGCTAATATTGAGCCGTGACAACATGGACTATGATTTCTGTGGGTTCGTTTCTAAGGTACAAACAATTCCTCTCTACTAGGTATCTTAACTGCGCTCACTTCCACGAAGACGGACAGCTTGTCCATACTTCTGAAGCTTGGTGATCAGGGCATCACCGTGCTTAACCACGTCTGCGTATTGCTTGTTCTTATCGTCGGGTCGGTTGGTCTCAATGATTCCATTGACACGGTCGATCGTGCAGGCAATGCGGTTGCTGGAAATGAACTTGGCCAGATCCCTATCATCAATTAGCATTGTCTATAAATATCATGGGGAGTGCGTGCAAGAGTTTCATACCGGTCTAGATAGTCTACGGTCACACCAAAATCGTTGGCCATGCTGTTCAGGCCCACCACTCGGTAGCTCTGAAGGAGCTGTTGGTAGGCGCGTAGTCGCATCTCTCGGACGAACCATGCTCGGTGCTCATGCAAGTAGTGATCTTGGGTCAGGAATTGATCCTCCACAGCAGCAAGGGCCACGAAGAATGAGCGGTAGTTTCCATTATACAGGCTGTTGACCAGGTTGGCCAATGGGGAGAAATCGACAGGCACCTCACTCTCTGCTTGCTCGCTGGAACCTGTGCCAAGGGTGGTCAAATTGATGGCGGTGGTGGCTGCAGAGGGAGTTGATCGTGTCACAGTAGCATCCTTCATCTCTTCCTCACGAGCACCAGGGCCTGATGAGATCTCGCCCTTCAGAGCCGCAAGTTGATCTTCCCCAGAACCCAAGATGGCCTTGATCTCCGGTGCATCCACTACCTTCGCCTTGAAGTCTACCCGCTTGAGGGACAAAGATCCCGCCAACACTGAGTAAATGACTAGCGAAGAGTAGCTACAAAGTTCATAGCTCGTAAATGTTGACAGACTGTCAAGGAGGAGGGGAGCGGCCAGGCTGTAGGCGCGGACGGTAAGCAGATGCAATCCCTTGTATGCCTTGAGGCGATTCCTGCGGTCCCAGTCACCACCACTCTCGACCAAGGTCTCTGCGCGTTCAATTGTCTTCTTCACAAATGGAGCATCACCGAAGAACATGCCAATGCGAATCATGGCCAGAACCAAGTCGATCTTGGTGCCGAGGAATCCAATCTTATCAAGGAGAGCTTCGTGCGATTCGATGGCTTTTTCCTATACAGAGAATTTAGGTTAAAATTTGCACTTCAATGCTCGATGGGTTGTGACTGGGAGTTCGCTGTTACCTTATCACCAACTCGAGACCAGAATTCTGCTCGCTTTCCTCGTGCAGCCTGTACTTCCGTCTCGCCGGCAGCCTCCTCTGCCTCCTCCTCCTCCTTCTGAATAGTCTCCAACTCCTTCTTGTTATCCTCAAGTAGAGATTGATAAAGTTGCTCATCCCATGGAAAGTCGATGTTTTGGGGTGATTTTCGGGAGGCAAGCATGTTGGAGCTGATAAGAGGCTTCGAGTTACCGACATGGTGTTGTGTGGCACCCTCACCGGCATTGTTCAGGATACCCTCTGTTGGGTGGGCCAGATGCCGGTAGAAGGGAGCCATCTTGCGCTCCGTGATGACATCTTGCAGCTTCTTCAACGAGGACTGGCGGATGGATGGGGCGCATGCAGGGTTGGAGAGGTTGAAGACATGTTGGGCGAGCAGGAGATCGGGGAACTTGATATACTGGGGATCAGAGCCCATGATGGCGGCTCGATACTGATGGCTAATGAATGGGCTAGAAACAGAGGGAGAGATCGGAATGTGGAGGATGTGATGAGATGGACCTTGAGGAAGCGGTGCATCACGTAGCTGGACCCAAGCTCAGCTGGCGGAATGTTTCTCCGGCCCGAGTCTCCTTGATGCCTGAGGCGACAATGCCCTACAGCGTAATTAAGAGGACTTAACCTTGAACCTATGTCTACTTCCTCAGATATCTCAAGTCATTCTTTCCATGAGACGACTTCAATGAGTCAAATTGAGTACATAATTACGGGCCATTCCATACAAGTACACCAAGTACACCAACTCCAGCTAACCAGGAAGATTCCACAATGACCTTACCTTCCTGCACACATCGTCTGAGCCACCTCTTTGTACTGAGTACAATGCAAAATCCTCCTCATCACCAAATTTAATAACGCATAATCTTGGAATTCTAAAGATCAGAGCTTTGGAGACCTACATGGTGTCTCAAATGGCTTGAAAACCTGTCCACGATCGGGTTATGGTCTCTCAAGGTTAGTTTTCGGGCGCCATACTGGAGAGTACTTGTTTTGGAGTGACTTTCGACCCTTCGTTGGGCTACAGAGCTTACAAGAAAGGATACCTCCGAATTTCAACTTGTCTCACTTTTGTGATGCGAAAACATATACAGAAAGAGCAAAAGAAATTGCTTAGCGGGCTCAGCTCTGATAAGCGGCTGCCCTGTTTAATCATTCTTTTGTATACCTTGATATGTGCAATACAAATTTTTCTGGTGCCGAAGCGACAGGTCTGGCCCATCATGTCATGAAGCATTTTTGTTCAGCCCTGGCAGATGATTCTCGTCGAAGCCGTGCCCTCTCTCAAAGCTTTGACATACGGAGAATACTACAGTCAAGCTCGACCCATAGGTCATCCTATTTTGGCTCAATTACCAAATGAATGCGATTTACGAGGCTTCAGGAACTCCATATTTCCCGCATGGAGATCACTCGCACTAGCTCTGAGACATTTTGCGTACTGCAACGCCAACCCCACGGATTCTTTGAAAACGGGTTGACTTGAATTCATCCTGATCCATTGAATGATCAGCCAAATCAGGAGTGACGGCGAGCTTGGGACATCCGAGATCAATTCCTCCTACAGTTTATTTCCTTGACATACCTCAAATACTGTGGCTGAAAGCTTCCAAGGTTATCATTGAAGAAAGCATGGGCCTCCATGTCTTATCTTAGACCTTTCGCCGCCTTTTTGCTACCTATGACGCCCAATCCTATTCGTGTTCTAGATATGTTAAACCTTGGAATTTGGTGATGAAAATTCTTGGGGAATGACATTCCCCATAACCCTTTGTCTCGTTCAATCAGGCACCTCATCAGTCATCTTGGGAACTTTGAAAATTCATATTTGTGCCTGTCCTCACTTTGAGTCTCGAGAGCATACCGTCAGAAAAGGAGTACTCACGGTGGTTGTGAGGAAGAGTGTGGGAGATATATAAGGAAATAGCTTGTTATATTGACAAGATCATTGGTCATTCTGCACTGGTATGTAGTATGAAGTCCTTTTCTCTAGAAAACACACCTATAGAAACCCGGCCAATAGTAAAGCCGGGTCGGGAACCCGCTACGGGTAAATCATTCTCCAGACTCCAGGTACTAGGCACTAGCTAGCTTATGCTAGCTCATGATTCCACAACCACCTAGGAACTTTCAAACACCCTCTCCCAACCGGTTTAGTGCAGTGCCACGGAGGAAAGTCTCAAATCAAAACGCCGGGCATTTAGTCATTAAGTTTCAGGACACAATAATGGCTATATTGTTAGTCTTCCGACCATAAAAGACGAATAAACTCTTCGAGGTCTCTCCTCGAATATTAAGACCACATCTCCTGGCTAATCTTCATCTCTTGCTCTGTCCGTTGTCCCTTGGATTTCCTCTCCTCAATATCCCACCGGAAAACTTTGAAATGATCCTTTCACATGACTGAGAAGTCATATCAACATGTCCATAACAAATCTTCCAACGGAGCTTCTGAGTCAGATCTGTGGCTATCTCGAACCATCAGAGTGGTGTGCGCTTCGCATTACTTGCCAAATTCTCCACGCAAAGTCAAGAGAGGCATTCGCTGATCGATTTTTCAAGAGCATATGCATGCTTGTTTCACAAGACGGATTGAATGGCCTCGAACAATTTACTACGAATGAATTTATTCGAACGCATGTCAAGGAGCTTCTGATTGTTCCAGTATTATTTGAGGGAGAAAGCAACATGAGTGTTGCCCGTTTTCGAGACACCTCCCATTCAGTGCAGGACTATGGGCAATATCAGTCAGAGGTTGCGGAACATTGTCGCCTTCTCGATTCCGGGGCTTTTGAAGACACCCTTACTCGATGTGTCGCACAGTTTGAAAACTTAACAATGATCGGACTACAGTCTTTAACGATGGCCTACCGAGTAGCAGGTCGAGAAAGATATTTCCCCAGATGCTTAGGGCTGCGCAGCTTGGTAAGAAGGGTGCCTTGTGGCAGAAGTGGGATTCAGCTCTACATTCCACGGCGGGACAGGGTCGATTTCGCACGGGCCCACTCTAGAATATTGTCGGTCCTATTCAAGGCAATCGTTGCTTCCAATCGCCCACTCAGAAAAATCGATACGTGCAAGGACTTCCATCTCGGCTGTACAGCAGCGGCTTTTACGATTCCAGAAAGTATACAGCAATCTTTGATACCACTTGTGCAAGAATTGGAAACTCTGCATCTCTGCCAACTTGCTGAGAGCCCCGAAGATAATTCACTCGACTTCATGCACACCATTCTTGTCGAGGCTGCTCCCTCGCTAAAATCTCTGACTTATGGCCAATGGTGCCCCAATCGAAATATGAGCCCATATTCTTTGACTTCCCTTGTCGAGCGCGTAAACTTCAGGCGGCTCATGGAACTCCACCTTTGTTGGGTGGAGATTACTTATAATAGCTTCGAAGAGCTTTTACGCACAGCGCAGCCAACCTTGCGGATACTGAGCTTACATCACGTGAATCTCAATTACAAATCCATGCCCTCGTCTGAATCTAGTAGTGCGGAGGACTTGAAAAAGACTGAGATTACCAAGGACGAGATGATCCAGGCCTGGCGCTGCATTTGGAACACCATTCGAGATGAATTATCCCTAACTTGCCTATCACTATATAAGCTCGGATGCTATGGTCTTGAGGTCAATGTTCGAGATGGCTTTAGTCGTGGTTTTACTAGTACCATTGGACACACTGAGGCATGGTACAACGGTACGCACACTGACATTCCCATCCATGAATGGATCAACAATCTGCGAGCCAGGCCACGAATGGAAAGAAGCAAGCTTCTACCCGGGGGTAAGTGGTCCGGTCATGCTCCAACTTCTTTGTGTACTATGCTAATTCTGCCTTTCACAGGCCCTCTAATTGGTAATGACCCCTCAACTGATGTGCAATCTTATGTCTCTTTAGTAGCTTCACGCTAACAGGTGATAGGATAACTGAAAAATAGGCTCGAAAGACGGCTATAGAGAAGGCATAGTGTCAAGAGAAATACCAAGATGATAATTACACACAGTGCATCAGATTTTATTCTTCCAGTCATCTCCTGAACACACCGGAAAGCACAAGAGAAGAAATGTAAACCAAAACAAGACGAGAGAGCATACACGATGTTCAAAATTTTGGATTCCTCAATAACAAGAAGCGGCTTTACTAGGCCAATTGTGCTCCTTACAAAAGCTTCTTCATGGAAATCACGAATCATATCTATACCCCACTGCTCCCGTTAAGGACTCGCCAATGAAGTCTCGCGCCACATATTGAAGCGGAAAACTCAGGATTCATCGTCAGAGTCAGAGCTGGAGCATGAAGTTACAGGACCCAGCCAATCCCAGGACTCAGCACATCCAGTATAGAACACCGCCGAGTCCCCTTCACTCCACGTCTTTGCGTAATTCCACCAGGATACAGCGAAGAAAACATAGGACTCCGCATTCTGCGCAGCTGCTTCAAATGAGTAGTATTCAACGTCAGTGGACCCCGAGTCGCTTCCTGAGTCTGCATCGCTTCCTGCGTCCGAAGAACTTTCGTCGGGAGGCACCACGAGTACACCCATTGCAAGGTCGAGGGCTTTGAACAGGTCGTCTGGAGTTGATGTTAGTGTTTTTAGATTCCAGGTTGATGTCGGGAATATCAATTCCTGATTGTGAATGGACTTACATGTAAAATCCTTAACATAATCGGAGTTTTCCTCTGCATCTGGCCCTACATCATCACCCTGCCAATATGTTGTCATATGAAACAGTTCATGGAAAAAGGTAGATGATAAGGGCAGAATACTGCTTAGCTCTGTGTCCGTGAACGGCGCCGTATATGGGACATTTGCCAGCAGCTCCACATCTTCAGCTTCGCCCATTAAGACAGTGGGGCAGATGACCACAATCTCCGATGAAGCTTCATATGCCTCGTATTCTTCGCTGCCATCGGCCAGCGTATAGGGAATTGTCTCACCCTGGTAGCCGTAAACGGTCCATCCAATGTAACTTGTGTCACCCCCACAGAAGCTCACGCCATCGGTGCCCGGTTCAGTGAATATATAACGGTCGAGGCCTGGGATCCAGTACGGCACGGTTGATTGTGACTTCATGTATGCTGTAGAGTATAGATCTTGAATTGATGGCTGGTAGCCATCACTCATCTCAATTGGGTTTCCTTCTGCGTTCTTCGCTTGAGCATTCCATTCGTACTCGTTTCCGAAATTGTCGCAAAATAAGACCGGAGGGAGTTTAGCGCATGTATAAGCCTCAGTCTCAAGGAACTCGTTGACATTATTGATTGCAGCTATTGCGATATTAGTAGTGAACAATGCTCTTGATGTGATGGATATCTTACTCACATTGAACAATAGCCCATGCATCCTCATCTTCAGCCAAAACATCATTGCCATCGAACGCGATTCCGAAGAAAGAAGTGAAGAGCTTTTGTGCCACTATCTTATCTTTTGCCGCTTGTTCAGTTGTAGCAGATGCTGTAGCGGCATCCATTGCGTCTACCATACCCTGGATGAGCGTAGTGGCATCATCTAGCATCTCATTTAGGAAGTTCAAGGTATTGGCGCCGCTGCATTCCCCTGCCCCTGTTGGCAACGTGAAATAGCTGTCGATATCACTGCTATGAGCGAGCATGGCCTGGCCCACTATTAGACTAATAGTGAGCCAGATTGATGCCAGTTTTAATCTGAACATCTCTTCCTATGGCAGCAAGTGACAGAGCAATGAATCAAGAACCAAATGAGCAGAATGGAATCCGGTCAATATTGTAGTACAAATTCTTAGCTTATATTCTACTGCATGCAGGCAAGCGACAGCCTATATGTGGAAGCGAGCAGCCGGGTGCACACTAGAGGGGCTGAACAGATTTTTGTCATGTTTTCCAGGTCTACGGAGTACTAGAGCCATACAGAGATATTACGACTCGGAGCTAATTCAATACTAGTACTGCTAAATGTCCGGAAACAGCGGAGATGATGGTAAACCGGACATTGAACTAAAATGTGACCCAAGTTTCTAACTTGCTTTGAAACAATAATTCAACCTTTGAGATAAAAGGAGTGAAGTGGACCTTGAGAGTCAAGCTATGAAGTACGGATAATCTCCGAACAATCAGGATTGAGGCAAGGCTCGTATAATCTCCTGGTTCGAATCCGAACCCTTCTATGGGTGTTACCATCTGTGAGGTTTGCCATCTCGGTTCGGAGCGGAAGTCATACGGGCCCATAGGGGCTCAGGGGGCTCTAAGCCCTGGAGGGGCCAAGCCACAAGGAAACCATGCATGAACTTCTTGAACGCCGGCAGATGAGTGGACGGGCTGTAAACTAGGGTCTGATAGTAGAAGCTTAGCGCCAACTTGAACATTTGAGCGATCGAGTCAAAGAGTACAGAGTGGGGCGCCGGTAGCCGAGGCAATATAAATGGTCCAAATATGTTAAACATTTGAATAGCCCCCCGGGGCCGGGGGCGGGTGACGCGTAAGCCTGACCCTGTTGGCATCCACTTTACTAGTAAAACTTGGAGACAGCAAAATTTGAACCGTCGGCCCCCGAGAAGAGACAACCCTCAGTATGTAATGCTGGGGCTGATTCCATGTTTGAGAGCCGAGCCGCCAGGGAAGTTCAAATGTTAAAGTCTAAACTAATTAATTTACCCGGGGGGATTTGGCATAGATCAAGCAATATGCACGTGCGGAGTATAGATCCCATCATATATAGAGGGAAAACATTTGAAATTTTTCCCATGATAGACCATAGTCGACGGAGCTAGTCAAAACATTGAAGTGTGCTACTACATATTAGAGGATCGAAGATGATACGAGAGTGGGTTTAAGGTCCTGTCACCGGCAGTGGACCCTATGGCCCCTATTTGTTCACTGTTCAGGGAAGTCTTTAACATTTGAAGTTGCACACGTGCCCAGGTGGAGCTATGTACTATGTATAGAGCCAACATTTGAACATTTGAACTAAAGGTTGTAAAGACTCGGATTCGGACTTCTACATAGTCTTGATCTACCCTCATTTAGGTAGGCAAGCCCGATGTTGAAATGACTTCAAATGTTACATTCCCACCCATTGCAATGGATCCGTTAGTAAAACCTCTAGCTAAGCGAAGTCATTTACTACATATGAAGTTTTAGCGCAGAAAGAATTACATAGTGGCAAAGTTCCCAATCCAGCACTAGTACACGGCACCTGGGGTCTACTACTCACACCCTGTACCATGATCTCGGAACTTGGGTGGAGTATCAAATCTCAAGTGCTGCTAACTCGTAAGGCCGTATGCGCTATTTTAGTAAATTAATGTTGTAAATGAAGCGCGCGAGAGAACAAGCACGTGCACATGTGCGTTTTTAAGGAAGCATGAAATACAGCAATTCATACAGAGTACCTAGTTTCCGTACAGTTTCTTGCCCTAAGTTCTTAGTGTATCATTTCATGAGCGACCTTCACCATGAGGAGCATCCAAAGTCCGGTGCTAAGCTATAAAAACTACTAGTAACTACCTAGTCTCATATCGAGAAATTTCCATAAACCACACACGAAATTTGCTCTGAGAATAACTCTCGTTTAGTATTCAACAAGAAGTCACTCTTTTCCCCCTTCTCTTCTATCATCTCTTCTCTACTTCCATTTTGTTTTTTATCCTACATTTCCTCCCAAGACGCCTCATGGTGCCCTGAAGTGCAATGTATTCAACTTCTTGGGCCACCGCTGGGCTCTTGGCCCTAAGTTGGGCTCTCACCCCGGTATCTGCTCTGTCCGACTATGCTGCCATTGAGCGTGTCCAGAGACCATCTCGCTGTCCTGATACTTGCTCAAGCTATGACCCATCTAGCTGGTTTGTGTACTCAAGCATGTCTCGAGTGGCGAGGTGTAATGAGACCGTACTACTTGACTTCAACATCTACAATGACCTGAACAACACACAATCCCATTCAACTATCCATACGTGCGTTGTTGATGGTTTGAGCAACTTGAGTGGGGGATCTCAGGGCTTGTCCGCGACAGAAATTGTCAAGTCGAATATCACTTACGTGATTGGCACCTGGGATAGCACAACTACCTCGCCTTCTGACTCCTCTGATAATGGCTCTTCTTATCTACTTGAAGATTTGGCGAATTATATGACTGCCAACATCCAAAAGTCTTTAATCTTCGGTTATTCCAACTCCACTGCTGCGGGAATTTATGTCGGTCCAAACCTTCAAAGTTCCAACAATGTTGAACAGGCTCTGAGGCTTCTCTCTTCAGCCGTACAAAGTGACAGATATGGTGCCGTGGTTATTCAATACTGTGGTGCCGATTCGAACCGTACGCTAGGAATTGCACTTGACCTCAATGGCGATATGACGGCTGTACAAAAGTATGTCCAAGCATGGCACAGCGGCGAATGTATTACTGGTTTTGATCAAACTACCTCTGTCAACACGCTGGGGTGGATGAGGGAAACTGGCAATATCAAGAAGACTGCCCACAACAATGGCACCACTGTTTCCATTCGATCACGTCATGGTCACAATCATCTACACCCTCGGACGTCAACATGCTCATACGTTCAGGTTGTGTCTGGAGACAGCTGTGCCACCTTAGTCTCTGAATGTGATATCACTGATGCCGAATTCTATGACTATAACACTGCATCTGATCTCTGCTCAACTCTTGCAGTCGGTCAGTATATTTGCTGTTCTTCTGGCGCGTTGCCAGACTTCGCTCCCTCCGCATACTCGAATGGAACTTGCTATACGTATGATGTGCAGTCTGGTGATACTTGCTCAGAGATCGCAGCAGAGAATAGCATTACTGTGGATGAAATCGACAACTACAATAATAACACCTGGGGCTGGTACGGTTGCGATGATTTACAGGCCGGCCAATCGATCTGCTTATCTACTGGAAACGTACCTTATCCCCTCCCAATCGCTAATGCGGCTTGTGGTCCCCAAGTGAATGGAACTGTCTTTAATAGCAGTGATTCATGGGATTGGGGAGGCTATAACCCATGTCCTTTGAATGCATGCTGTGACGTGTGGGGCCAGTGTGGAACGACACCAGAGTACTGCAATGACACCCTTGCTAGTTCAGGTGCTCCTGGAACAGCTGCCAATGGATCTGATGGGTGCATTTTTAACTGTGGCACAACAATCACTAACTGGGTTGTTCCTCCTTCCAACTACTCTGCCATCGGCTATTATGAAGCAAGTAGCGTCAACCGATCATGCCTACAGATGTGGCCTGAATCAATCGACCTATCTGAGTGGACACATGTTTACTTTGCATTTGGAAATATTGCTTCCGACTTTTCTATTAATATGGATGACATGGAAGAGCAATTTGAACAATTTGTGGCTCTAAGTGGAGTTAAGCGTATTGTCTCATTTGGTGGCTGGGACTTTTCTACGGATATAGGTATGTTATTCCCTTACTTTACTCCCTCCTCAACTCTACTAAACTTGAATTTCTAATAATTATATGATATAGACACCTATATGATCTTTCGCGAAGGAACAGATGCTACTAACCGAGATACACTGGCCCAAAATGTGGCTAACTTTGTGAGCGATACTGGCGTGGATGGAGTGGACTTTGACTGGGAATACCCTGGGGAGCCAGATATTCCTGGTATCCCAGCTGGTAGCTCTGATGAGGGTGATAACTACCTTGCCTTTTTGAAGCTTGTGAGAAGCTATCTACCCAGTGACTCGATTCTGTCTATCACCGCACCATCTTCATATTGGTATCTAAAGCAGTTCCCCATCTCCGATATGGCTGATGTGGTTGATTACATCAACTATATGACCTATGATCTTCATGGCACTTGGGACTTGGGGAGTGAATGGGCTGACTTGGGGTGCACTGCTGGTGATTGTCTTTTCTCACACATCAATATGACCGAAACCATGTGGGCTCTAGCAATGATCACCAAGGCTGGAATCGCGACCAATCAGGTCATGGTGGGAGTGAGTAGCTATGGCCGCTCCTTCCATATGACGGAGGCCGGATGTACAGCTTCAGATTGTACATGGGATACTGGCGGTGCCGCTGGTGAATGCACTGATACCGTTGGTTATATCTCTAACGCTGAGATCAATTCCATCTTGGCCAGTGATTCTTCAGCCAACTTTACGTCAACGAGTGATACGGATTTCATTGTCTACAATTCCACACAATGGGTTGGATATATGACGAATGATACCAAAGTTGAGCGACAAGCCTACTATGAAACCTACAATTTTGCGGGGACATCTGAATGGGCTATTGATTTAGAAGCTTTTGTATCATCTGATTCCACTTCCTCAGACTCAGACTCAGATGATACTGGGGGACAGACAATCTACATTGACCCCGATCTCTGGACAAAGCCTACTCCTGTGGTGACTTGCTCGCCGCCATGCTACATGATCATGCCACCCAAGCCCCTCGCCACCAACACCACCATTGACTTCCCTGAATGGTGTACCCACATCAGCTGGCGGGCTACTGAAGTTCAAACAACGACGTTGATCGATGATAGTGTCGATGTGTATAGCTTGTTCCCCACCTACACTATCCCAACCTGCTTGACGATCCAGCCAAGTGAGATTTCAATACCCCCTGCTCCTTTGATTGTCAACATTAATATACTGACTTCACTTTCAGTTCAAACGAATTATATCAATGTGTGGAACCAACAAATCACTCCTGGTCAAACGATCGTCCACCAGACGAGTTCCATTGAGCCTTCACCATTCCCTATCACATTTATCCCGTGAGTAGATATCCAAGGAAACAAACTTGGCTGAATCACAATAATTGACCATTTCTTTTCAGTACTGTCGGTGGTAATACTACGGTCATTGGTGGTACAACTAGCACGATCTCCGGGGTGGCATTTTCCAGTGGAAACCTCACCTACACATCTTCCCCATACACTGGTGTGTTCGGAGGCTCTACATCAGTCGTCGGTGGGACAACACTATCTCCAACGACGTCCACAGTGACACCTCACCCATATCCAACCACCACTAACACACCTGATCCTGAACTAAACACTGTCACAACGACTGTCAAAGCTCAGTCTTCCACATCTCTCTCCGGACCATCATGCCCTGCATCCTCGCATTGTGGAGGGCACTGTAAGTACTCTTTGGCATCGCGTGATTGAAATTTCTTCTGTATGCTCTTCAAATCTGACTAAATCAATAGGCTGGATCTTCTGCGTTGGCGGTTGTCCTGAATGTCCACCAGGATTTGGGGGATTTGGTGGAAGTGAAATTGGAAGCAGTGGGGGTGGTGGTGAATCTGGTGAAGAAGAAGACTCCTCTACATCTACATCTTCATCCACAAGCACTCCTATTGGTACCGTAACTGTATGGGCTGCAGGTGTCTCTGAAATTGCCGAAACAGGTATGCCAAGTACGGACGACTTGGCAGATCTGAATTCAGTTGGAGAGGAAATTGGCGCAAAATTTTCTACTCTATACGCGAGCGCGCAGTACTCCGCGACAGCATCTGGAGTTTGGGCTACAGCCACATCGAATCCTCTTTGCATAGAGGAGCAAGATCCCGACAGTGGAACAGATGACACCTGGTGCTCTTGCAGTGGCTCATCCGAAAAAGTTACAACCATGAGTGGCTCCAGTCCTTGCGGCTACACAGCTCTGCCCACAATGACTACCTCAAATGAGTATCCCTACACCTTTGCTGATGCCTACGGTGACGCTATTGCCTGTGCCACAGAAGGGTTTGTGGATGGAACAATCTCCTACTGCAGCGGATCACGAACAACAATCTCGATCAACCCTACTGGCGATCCATACCCTTATACCTTTGCCGATCCTGATGGAGACATCATTGCCTGCGCCACAGAAGGATTTGTGGATGGAACAATCTCCTACTGCACAGGATCCCGCACTACAATTAGCACAGCAACTCCAACTGCTACAAGCTATCCTTGGGCAATGTGGACAGAGTATGAATACGAAGATGACTGTATCGATGCGCATTGTGTTGAGGTAATGGATTCGCACCTAATGTATGCTGGACCAGAAGCATCAGGCAAAGTGTGTGATTCATCGGAATTGTCAGTGGCACAGGGTTCAGGCGGTCTCGGCTTAGGTGGCGTAGCTTCGGTGATCAAGTTTGAGGATGGTATCTGTGGAAGCGGCATTGCATATTGGTGCAATTCAACCTCGTCGGATCTCACGGCCTGGAACTGTGCAGATGCAGACGGGGGCAATGTTGGTGAATGCGTCTATGTACATCCTGGGACAATTACTGATCCAGCTGCTACATGCTTTGATTGGAAGAGGGAGGGTGATACGTTCTACTACATGACGGCAAATTGCACGGGTCCTTGGGAATGCACTTAATCAGGTGGTACTTTGTCAATATAAGACGATGCTCATGTGAGAAGCTTCCAAGGCTCTGTAAAGAAGAAATGACAGTCAAATTGAGTAATTACCGAACATTCCATCATGATATTGATAAGTACACCAACTCCAGCTAAACGGGAAGATAATATCCATAACCTTCAAGTTGGAATGACCTTAACTTCCTCAGGCTCCACATGTGTATATGCCTTATCTCCAGATGTCAGCCCTGGAGGCTGAGCTACCTCTTTAAATGTACTGGTACTAGGGGAGAGATTCACGGGAATGGCTTGTTATCCCGTTGTATAGCCGCTGCGTTGACCTGGTCTTTAGAGCTCTATGATCAACCAGTTGAATTAGTTATAGCTTGGTATACTCCTTCAGATTCTTATACTGCTATGGGCCTACGGCCCTTTATCCTGCTGAACTAGGGTATGCACGTGCAGATCGATCTAGCTATGTTGAACGGTACCATGAGTGGTTGGACCCCACCTGATCCGTTTTACTGCATTATGTCTGCATATCAGCCCGGGCCTGTACTTAAAGCCCTGGGTCCATGTACATCATAGTACCATCGACTCAACTTTGAGTCCTCTACTTGCTTCTGCGCAGGTGCGCATGTGGGTATTTCTCCCGCCATCTAGAATAGTATCTAGAACCTCAAATCGAGACCTTTATTATGGCAGTGTTTTATTGTTAGTTCTATCTCATCTCACTTATCGACTATCTTCCCTCAGGATTCCAAGTAGGTCAGTTTTGTCTTGTTTTGCCCCCCAATAGATTGCCCCAGTCGACCAGTCATATAGATAGAAATCAGCCCTGGCGTACTTCAACCAGCTTATTATGGTTATTCCCGAGGTTGTGGCGTTTTCTCTTACCCTTGTGCCTTGTACCTTGGTACATTGAGTTCTCATTAGTTCCCACTCGTTCCCAAAACAAAAGGGTTTCGGCCCCACCGCACGTGCACCTCTTCATAGGATGACAGTTTAACAATGATCTCAACTTGCGTGTCTTTTAATCAGATCATACGGATTGCCAGGATTCCGTGATTGCATACGTACCCTATACTTAGTTACAATAGTACTAGTATGAACAAGCTTTCTCTTATGCATCCACGGAGGAAACCGATGAAATTGTAATTCTAATTTCTGGCCCCAAGCCCGGGTGATAGAGATACAACTTTTAATTGGTCCTTCCCCGGCTTGGAAGGTCGATGCTACCATAATCCCCACTTACTTTTATCTGATTGGTGAAATCAGTCTAACTAACAGGGGGAGTTACGCCTATATAGGAACTAGGTCACGATGAACAAGTTAAACAAGCCCTCCAGGGCTGCAGTTATTCGGTGCTAAACGGGCTCGCCGAGTCCCGCGTAAATATTTTATTATTTTATTTATTTTTTTTCTTAGCTTGATGATTTTTTTTTCTCTAAGCTATTTCACCAGATCCTCCACTACTTAATCTCTTCTTCTATCCCTCATTTCTCTTCTGATCTTCTTCCATCGCTCTTTCCCCCAAAGTGCAGATCCCAAATTTGGAAGTCACGTTGCCCTCGTGACATCACGTTCTTACTCAAGGTGTGAGATCCCCAAAGGAAAATCTTACTCATGTATATCGAATTATTTGAGCTTACCCCCATCATACAGGAACTCGACAATCGAAGCTCCCGTAATCATGAACGAGAAAGAAGTTGAACCCCAGACCTACCCGGAGAAGGCTCCTGGTCCCTTGGAGGAGGGTGCCCCACACGACCTCCCGCCGTTGGAGGACAAAAGTAAAGGTCGATGGGAACGCAGTTGGCCTACCATCGCCTGTGGTGCTGGTCTCTTCTCCGATGGTTATCTGAATGGTGTAAGTTCAAATTTCTCCAAGTGTGTGCGGCGTGCCCCCGAAATATGCGAAATTATGAAATCCTCTGTAACATGATTTGCATGTGATTCTGGGAAGCTGTATCCACACGGACCACACCAGCAATTTGCTGACATTTTCCCATTTTAGGTCATTGGTCAAGTGAATACCATGCTCAGCAAAATTTACCAGACAGCCTACGATAACTCTAGCGCCAGTCAAAATGTCTCGTCGATCGCGTTCGCCGGCACAGTCGTGGGTATGCTGATCTTCGGTTACACGAGTGACCATTGGTCGCGAAAGTGGTCCCTAATGATCTCAACCATCATTCTGTTTGTCTTTGCTGCTTTGGCAGCTGGTTCCTATGGCTATAAAGATAGCGACTATGGTCTGTTCGCTGCCCTGACTGCATACCGATTCTTCATGGGTATTGGTATCGGTGGTGAATACCCTGCTGGCTCGGTGGCTTGTGCTGAGAACACGGGCGAACTCAAGGAGGGCCACCGTAATCGCTGGTTCATCATGTTTACCAACTTCCAAATTGATTTCGCATATGTGCTCTCGGCCTTTATCCCCATGATTCTGTGCTTGATCTGTGGTGAAGGTCACTATCGGGCTGCTTGGCGTATCTGTCTCGGCCTGGGAGTCATTCCTCCATTGAGTCTGTTTTATCTCCGATACAAGATGAATGAACCGGAGGAATTCAACCGTCAGCGCATGCACAAATTCCCAATTACCTTAATTATCAGGTTCTACTGGAAACGCCTGGTAAGGATTGAATCCTGATGGACCAAAATATCGGTGGCTTGTTGTTTGTTTGCTAACTACTAAATAGTTTGTGGTCTCTCTGATCTGGTTCATCTATGACTTCTCGTCATACTCCTTCAGCCTGTACTCTTCCAAGTGGCTGTCATTGATCTTGCCCCCCCACTGCGCCCCTCTGGAAAACCTTCGGCTGGACGACTCTGATCTACCTGTTCTATCTTCCAGGCTCTTACCTTGGAGCCCTTTCCAGTGATTGGTTTGGCCCCAAGAAGACCTTGGCTATCGGAGTTGGCGTTCAGGGTGTCGTGGGCTTCATTATGTCCGGATGCTACAAGTGGCTTGCCACCACAGAATACATAGGTGCATTTATTGTGGTTTACGGGTATGTTTCAGCACATTAATTCTTCACTGTTATTGATGCTAACCTATGAATAGTGTTTTCCTTGCACTGGGTGAGTTTGGTCCCGGTGACAACATTGGTCTGGTTGCAGCCAAGACCAGCGCCACCGCTATCCGTGGACAGTACTACTCGTATGCTGCTGCCATGGGCAAGATTGGTGCCTTTGTCGGCACCTACGTTCTTCCCATTGCCAAGAAAAACGCGCCCAACCCGGTTCGGGCTGGCCAAGACCCTTTCTTCATTTCTAGTTCTCTGTGCATTTTCAGTGCTTTCCTGGCGTGGTACCTCCTGCCTCAGATCAACCAGGTATGTCCACTCCAATTTGTTATCCGTTCAAAGCTAATCAATTAAAGGACACAATCACTCACGAGGATGAGCGATTCCGCGAATTCCTGGCGGAGAATGGATACGACACCTCGACCCTCGGCAAGTAGATGAGGTCATCCAGACCAGAACCACCCACACGCGCCTCGCCCATCGCCCATCGCTGCACCAGTATACCGTCACTCTAGTCGACATTATATTGCTTAATTGCCCTCGCCCTGATCTGCCTGACCCGCCCTACCCAGCCCAGCCCTCGCCTTACCTGTATTTTTTCCCATTGAATGTTACGGATCCGACCCCACGCGACAACCTTGGTAATCAGCCCGATGATTTGATGACAAGATGTGACCAGCAACGATGACCCATTGCGACGTGATTGATATGAGAATTTTTATCCAAGTTTATGACATGCTTAATGTGACATCTGAATGGCAAGCATCTTCCGTGACGATCTGCTGGTGGTCTGTCTCGGTGGTGTATTTCCGAGACTATCTTAATCTGAAGATTGCTCTATGTATGTTTTAACCATGCTTGGAGCCTTTCTAAAGTGATATACTTAAAAATTAATAGTCCTAAATCCATAAATGAACATATTCACTTTGCTAGTCAGGCAATAGTCCAGCACTCTGTCCGTAGTCCGTATATGCAAGGTTGATTTTGTGATCAATCACCAAGACACAAATTCCGATCGGAATATTTCGCCCCAGTTTCGATTGGCATACGGAGTAGAAATGACAGAATAGGATCGCACAAAAATAACAACTTCGAAATAAACAAAGAACTGAAAATAGACTATATAAATCCAACTTCAAAACACGTTTCACATGCACATCTCGTGTAATTAGAGAAGTTAGGGGTGTCACGTCAGGTCGGGAATCACTCCACACTCCGCGATTTTCAGCCGAGGTTGCCCGCGGTACCAGACACCGGTCAATTACCGGTCCGTCTCCAGTTCCTTATTACATCAACCACCCGACCTTCATCCTTATCCTCATCTACCCCGGACCATCCACTTTCCCTCTATCTTTGGATCTCCAACCTCACTTCAACCACACCCATATTTAATCACGAATTGAGGAAAAAATGGTCGTCGACGCTCTCGTCCACCACCCTGCGCTGGCGCACTGGTTGCGCTTCGTCGCGACAACCGGTATGTAGACCCAGTTTCGATTATCCCAGCCCATCACTACATCGAGAAGACAACTTCTGGAAAGAGATGAACCGCACTACACCCTACCACACACATCACACCACACATCCTGCCCTCTACTACATCTCTCCCTCATGAGAAAACAGCATCAAAAACACTCCCCATTCCGCCCCATCAACTTCTGAAAAGCGCCCCCGAAATCCAAAACACAATCAACTAACAACTCTACAGTCGGTCGTGATAAGCTCCTGCGTACACTCCAATACTTTTCCCGTTTCTACGCCTGGTACCTATACCGCACCAACCGCCCCCAATCCGCCATCGACCCCTACAATGCCGTGAAGAAGCAATTCGGCACAACCCGCAAGATCATGCGTATTGGCAAATTCGCCGAACACCTTAAGGCTGCCTCCGTAGCCCTCGATAACAAGGCTCCTATTGATCCTGTTCTCCGTTACCTGACTGTTGGTCGTCAGCTTGGTTACGCGGGTTACCTTACCCTGGATACTATTACCGTCGTTGATAGTATTGGATACCGCAAGCTGGAGTCTGCGAAGAGACTTCAGGAAAGTGCTTACCGTGCTTGGGGTGCTGGTTTGCTTTGCAGTGCTGTTGCGGGTGTTTATACTCTTTTCAAGTTGCAGGAGCGGGAGAAGTCTATTAACCGAAAGGAAGGAGAGGGTGTTGTTGAGGCTAAGAAGATTGAGAAGTGAGTTTATATGAAGTGTTGATTTTGATGAATTCGGTGGAATATGTGCTAACTGTTCTTAGGGAGCGCGCTGCTGCTCGCGTCCAGCTCTTCTCCGACCTCTGCGATCTGGCGGTCCCCGCTGCTGCGCTGAGCATTGTTAACATTGATGATGGTCTGGTTGGTATTGCGGGTACTGTTAGCTCGTTGATTGGTGTCTGGTCCCAGTGGCGCAAGACTGCTTAAATGGGTGATCATAGTACACAAGCTTGATTGTTCATATCCCATCTTTGACTGGCACAAAGATGAGTTCCTTGAATGGAGAGAGTGGGCATGGGAGATGTTCTTTCCCACGAACTCCTCTATTCTCAATTTGTCAGATTCCGCGTTGATATCCTGATTGTGTTATGAAGGTCTTGTACTTTGTGCGATCTTTTCTATGAGGGCAATTATTAGACGCCCTTGTTTGAGTAAATAGCAAATTTTATTCTGCTCACTAATTATGTACTGGGAATACTTTCTCAAGTTCCACTAGTGTTTACGTACTCGGCTGATTCTTAATGAAGGACAAAAATGATATTGGTATCTCGTTCTGTGAACCCGCTATGAATAGTCCCATCCCACGCCCACCAGATCCGAGTCATTCTATCTGTGGACCATGATCTCGCTTATAGATTCCGGAAACATCTTGTTCAAACAGGGCAAGTCTAAAATCGTTAGTTTGTCACCACATCCCAGTAGATTCGGATAACGAACCGCGCCGCAAGATCCACAGGTCTTGGTTTCGCCAGCCATGGCGGTACCGCACTTAGGGCAAGAAGCGTGTCCAGACATTATGAGTAGAGGTATTTTTGTTCTGTCAAGTCATTCAGTTAGCAGTCATTTCTTATGGCCACTTTCTGTTTTTCTTCTTTTCATATTCTGGGACTGATGTCGTGCAGTGTATGCATGAGGTCTAGTGTACACATGTGCATAGTCCAAATAGAGTGTTATTCTGAGGACCTTGGGGAATCATACCTGAAAACAAGCGGCTCTTAGGATGAAGTTAGACGAGTGATGATTATGAGAAAGGTCAACGAGGGGTAAAGAGAAAAAAAAAGCGAAACCCAGTATTTACCCCGCCTTGGGCCCCGCTTTGGGATAAGCTCATATAGATGCGGCATTATTCGTGTATACTCCTAGTACTAGTATTTACTAGTATACTTGAGAACAACTACTACCTTGATCTCGATCTGATTCAGATATCTTTCTATACCTGGAAATATGCATATTGAATCATATACCAACGAACATCTTATACAGTGATATCACTCCCTTCCTCCTCAGACTCATGCTCACAAGCCCACATAATCCCCAACTGTTCCACCGCATCACTATACATCTTATCTCGAATCTCATTCCCAAAACAAAAATTCGGCCGTTTATCAAACCCATGGATCGCCTCTTCAACTTCATACCCACCACAATGTCTCATCCGGCCCTCATCCACAAACCTACAAATCCTTTCCCGGAGAGTATTCCCTTCAACAAGCAACTGATCCCAGCCACAGGTATAGATAGTCACACAAGGCGGGAAAGCCGCAAGCAAGAGATTCGTCGGTGTAAGTCCAGGTGATAAATACGGATGTCCCATATCAACCTCAACCTGTACACTCCCACCCTCACCCTCATCATCCCCCTTAGAATCCCCATTCTCAGCCCCAGTAGTACTAGACCTTCCACACTCCCTCTTCGGTAAATGCTGTTCCACCAAATAAGATTCATCAAAAAACGTAAAAACCGTCGGCGGAATCATACTCTTCTCCGCAGCAATCGGATTAGTAGCATCTCGCTCTGCACGACTCTTCGTCCAATCCACACTAGGATAAAATGCCAAAGAACCAGCCAATTGTATCTCCCTCTTCGTATCCCTTCTTCCTCGTTTCTCTAATTCCTCATATAGTCGTAGCGGAACGGTTAATGCGAGATTCCCACCTGCACTTCCACCGCAACATATGAATCTCTTTCTATCGAGATTGTAGTTCTCGGCATGGTCCCATAACCATAATAAAGCATCGACGCAGTCTTCCATTGGTATTGGAAATGGATATTCTGGTGCGAGACGGTAATTCACCGAGACGACGAGGCTGGAGGGGTGTTTCTTAAGGACTGAGGATATCCATCGCGCGTCGTCGATTGCGTGTCCGATGCTGAATCCGCCGCTGTGGAAATTTATGAGGGTTGGGCGGCGCGGTGTATCGATTTCGTGGGTTGTTGAGTATGTTGAGATTGGGGGATCGTCCGGGTTGGTGTATATGTAAAGGGTTATTTTCCCCGGGATGGAACTTATTGTTGTTGGGATTGTGAGGGTTAATGCAGGTCGGAGGGGAAGTGGGAATGTGAGGTAGCGATCTAGGAAGGAGAGGATGGTTTGGAAGAAGCGGAGTTTTTTGGCTTGTCTTTCGAGGGAGGTGCGTGTTGATTGCATTTTCAATGGTTTTTTGATTCTGACTCTATTGGGAATTACTGGGTATTGGGGACTTTAATATACCATATTCAGTTCTATAGTATAGATAGAGGGTTAGATCCGGATGACGTAGAGTAGTTGTAACGCTGTGGCGTTGCCTCTATCTTTCGAATTAGATATCCATGATCATTGCATGAGATGATTCTTTTAGCAGATTGATCTAATACCATTATTGCTATCTTACTTTTAGTGCCTAGAATCAGTGGATTATGCTACTTGGACTCCTTTCAACAAGGTTCGGTCCACCAATAACCACGCTCAATATTGAATATGTGGAGTGGATAGGTGAATTTATCCTGAGTATACAAGAGATGAACCATAATGGCTAACCATAGCTTTCTTAAATAGTCCAAGTTGACGAAGAAATCAAATGATTAATGCTTTCTGATCTTATTTCTCAATATGACGTATAGGTCTTCCACTGTGATTGGTTCTCTTCATAGACGCTAACAGCATTCTCGTGTATGGTTTAGTTTCATTGGTCACTTCATCAATTGTGGGGATGAACACTTAAGATGCACCATCTATGGAACTACAGCCCCCAAAACATCCCGCTGAGCTCAAATATAAAAGGAGCAAGATCAATCTTCTAATTCTCTTTTATCTTATTTCTGTATTCATCACTCACAATTACATTCTTGAACTTGAAAATGTCCAACCCTGATCATATCCCCGTGGTACTATGCGGCCGCTCAACAGCGGTCGGCAAGCCCGTCTCCGAAGCTCTTCTACCTGAACTAGAAGGTAAATCCGCCCACTACAACACATAACCAATGTGGTATGGTATCTATCAATTGAATGCGTGTGCTAAAAAGCTTTATGAACAGTCATCCATTTCATCCAAACAAACGAAGCGGCAATTGCCGAGATCCCACACCTACTCAGCGGCCAAGATCCCAACTCCCAGGAATCGGATAGCGGCGTCGGCACACACAATTACACGCGGCCCGCTCGGGCGGTCATTTTCGGGCGCGGCTATGATCAATCTGATATTGATGCTTTCCGTGCGGCTTGTGAAGGCATTACTAAGGGGCCTGTGGCTTGGGTTATTGGCGATCCCGCTAAAGCACCTGCGCCGGGTGCACCGCCACCGGGTCCGGGTTATTCTGCGGTTGTTGCGAAAATGGTTAAGGAGGCTGTTTTGGGGTGGATTAGTGAGGGGGCTGTTAAGGATGAGGTTATTTTGTATTAGATTAGATCAATCCATTCAGTTTTGGATGAATCAATCTGTGGTGGAAGTTCCAGATGTCAAGTTGAAGTTGATGGATCTCGACCTCGGGAACCTTGGAAAGAGTACTAGTATCAATATATAATGCAGCAATGCCATTGCATATATTCAACTGAAAACTCGATACTACTTCAATGTCAGGTAGGTCACGGTAGTACCAGTAGTAAAACTTGAAGTTGTAGTATGGGCATGGATATGTATGAAATCAATTAAAATCAATGCAAATCCTCAATTTGGAAATCGGATGAACACATGTTTGAATATTATTTTGATCTCTACTTTCAACGTAGTGGCGGCGGAACGACTTTGTTCCATATTGATATTTTAGCCTGGAGGGTGCATCTGATTGAGGAGTATACTATTAGTATGTACAGTACTAATGATAGCTTGAGGGAGAAACTTGTACAAATGTCAGTGGATTCGATCTATGCAGTCCAGTGGATCACGATCACTATGTAGGGAATCGGAGATCTCTAGATCTGAACATGGATATCCAACCTGCGAAGCTTCACCCACGGTCATCGAGATTGATATTTTCCTCATCAAAGTAAGTTACAGTCGGAAACGCAGGTGAACTGTTAACTTGAGTTTCAAGCTGGAAGACACCTGGGCACTGTACCGTCTTGATCCATGTCAAATTATGCGTGACCCTAGGACCTCAAGTGCAAGTGCCCAAAATGATGTTAGGATTGCTCCTAGCGCGATACCCATTCACATCATGATAGATCATCTATCTACAGAACTACCCTCAGACATGCACCATATTCCAGCATCATGTAGAACTGCCCAAGTTCGAGTTATCAAGTGGCAAGTGCTATCTAGATCGTATAACCTACGTCATTCAACTTGATAACGAATGAGGCATTTATCTTATTGACTGTTGAAGCCGTCGGAGTCAGCTTCCGCAACCTGCATGGTTGCACGGGTAGAGACGGCAGGTTATTCAAGTATCCATGTATACAAGCTGCTTCGTATGAGTATCGGAGGTCCAAGCAATCGGAAGGATCGAGCTGCAAGTAGCCCAGTGGAGGAAGTCTACTTATACCCCGCATCCGCGAGCCACGCGACAACTTCCCCAGATGGCCAAGATCCGCCAAGCCAGGAAGAAATCCAGCATTACCCGATGTCCAACAGGATTCTATGAATGGAGTAGTTGTAATATGTACTCTGTCGGGGTATCACTGGCCGAGCATTAAGTCCTTGAATCGGTTAACATTCAGTCAAGACTGCCGATCAGTGACAAGAAGTCTTTAACCATGACGTGAGAGATCGGGTCGGGGAAAATAGGAGAAGGATGATCGACGTCCCTTTTGTCCCGCCCCAGGCCGTTTGAAATCCCGGAGTAAATGTGGCTGGGCCGGGGGTGTGATAGGCGGAGAGAAGTTTAGAGGGTAGAGAATCCTTGATTCTAGTTCACGGGTAAAATAGGAAAGGGGAATCCTGACGTGATTGGTGAGGGATTTCAATGTTGATAATTGTTGACCCGGCGAGAATAATGAGATAAGGGGGAAGTTCCGGGGATGAACACGGGGAGACCGGGGTTAAACGAAAACCGGGGCCTGCAGGTCGGGACGAGGATTGAAATCTGTTGCAGAAGTTCATGAAAATTGTGGAGAGAGAATATATCCTTTCTCCACCATAATGAAGCATCTCATCCCGAGTTATTATTAGGCCTAAAAAAGCCTCGTTCCAGACTCGGGTTCAGCTAGACAACCCGAGTCACGCGTAATGAAGAAAAAAATTAATTCTTCACTAGAGAATAGTTTTGATCACCTGAGTGATTGAAACATTAGAGTAACCCATAATAGAATAATAATAGAATTTACTATAATAATTTAATACGTAAGCTCAGGCAAAATCGCGCACTTGGTATGGAATGAGAGAGGCTCTCCCGAGAACACAATCCGGGTCGGGATCCGCCGCTAACCACCGGGAGAGGATCTGGGGTTTTGAGATTTTTACTGCAATCGAACATTGCCACTGGAAGTTTCACAATTGGGCATTGGGTCTCTAGAGCCGAGATAAAAATTGAAAAATTCAACAATCTGAAAAAAAAAGACACTAAAAAAAGACCTAATGGCGTACGGCGTCCACGAGGCCCGAAAGACAAAACTTGTCATTCTCGGGCATCTTTTTTACGGGATTTCCTAGGACTCGATTCGTGAGCTAGACCGAGACCGAGAATCCTACACGTAACCTGTAACCTGAAACTCACATGGTTAGGAAAAAGAGGGTCTGAATCTCATTGAACTAGAAAAAAAAAACTCATAAGGACCCAGCGGCAATATCTTCTGCCCACCCGACCATCCCTGGAAAGTGGAAATATGCGTAATATGATTGGGTGGAGACGCCGCAATGGATGTGGCAGATGCATCATCCTCGGCTGACTCAAATGATTTTAAACGCCGTTATTGGCGTTATTGGGGGCAATCTCGGAGGTTCCCCTTAGATCAACTTCAGTTCCGAAAGGGTTTCGTCATGAGAGATTTTTTGAACATCCCTTGTATTGAGAACCCGATATGATCAATATGCAATATCGGAATAGATGGAATTATACTATAGGTAGTAGTATAGTCAAATGTTAACGTGTAAATTAATTGTAAAGTTAAGATCGACATTATGTCAGCTCTCCCCGCGAATTCCTTGTATTGGACTAGTTTCGGAGCCCTTGTATGGAATAGCCTGGAGTACATACACTCACAGACTCTGGTGAGATCATTGTGCGTCATTTCCATATTATTTCTCTATGAACTTCAAGTTCACAAAGAAGTCAAAACTCATATTCAGATGGAAACGGTGCTCAAAGAACCTAGGTTCATCGGATTTAGAGTGTATGATTTCATCCAACTTGCACTTATCTCACTATAATTATCTCTCTTCTCTACTCTATCTTTCTATTTTCTTCAACCTCTAGAATCACCTAGATCAGATCTCAATTCTAGTCGTTCTAGTCGATTCATCTTTACAATACAAGTCTCCACTTCATTATTCCCCTCCTTACTTTTCCGGTCCAGAATCCGTCCCCCCGGGTGCATTTCGTGTCCACCTAGAACCGTTCGGGTCAAGTCGGACGCTCTCAAAGGCATTTGCAACTAACGGCAACACTTCATCCATCACCAACCGTGTGCCCGCTTCAGCTCGGCCCTATCCCCCGACATCACCCGTGGAACTGTGGAGAAGTGAAGGGGCAAACGACATACCGACCCTCATCGCCCTGACGATGTTTCCTGTTGGAAAGAATTATATACCCCCCGATCGCCCCAGCTCTCCAGGCCTTTTGACATCTGATTTCTTCCAACAACAAGTCGCGAAACAACGCAACAATAACTATCATTCTACTTCACTCAGAAACATGGTTGCCACATCAGTGAATCGTACTGCCCTCCACCCTGGTGGTGTCCAGTGAGTGCCTCTGTCGTCTGTCTTTTGTCTTGGTCGTCGTCGATTAGTCGTCGATTAGTCGTCGTCGCCGAGACTTGCCCAAACACCTTCACCTTTCCTCTTGTACATTTAACATGTTACTTGTCTCGTCCTTTTCCCTTTGTCGCCTCTTTGTCGTCCTCATTGTCAACCTTTTGTCCATCCACTAACAATGACTACCAGGCCTGGCAAGGGTCACACCGAGCTGGAGGAGGAGCTCCACGAGACTGCCCACATTGACTACGACCGTGTTGCTATTGTAAGACACCCTGCTTCATCCTGACTTGGATCCACGCATGTGGCGAGTACCTTCAGACCACTAACATCTATTAATAGATTGCCAACCCTGCTGTCCCTGCTCTTTACGAAGATGCCCTTGTTTACGAGACTGGTACTGCTATCACCTCCAGCGGTGCTCTGAGCGCCTACTCTGGTGCTAAGACTGGTCGTTCCCCCTCCGACAAGCGTATTGTCAAGGAGGAGTCTTCCGAGAATGAGATCTGGTGGGGACCCGTCAACAAGCCCATGACCCCTGATGTAAGTTGAGGCTTTTTTTTCGCACTCGTTCTATGAGTGATTTTCCTCCATTCTATGTTTCATATTTCTCGGAACTACGTGGTCGAGGGCTGCCCTTGCAGATTGGTTGATTGGCTCCACTCCAGGGATCCCTTGCATATGCAAGTCCGGGGTCAAGCTTTTCTGGCAGCCTGTCGTCTGATCTCCTTGAATATGCCTCATACTTCCCCTGGCAATAGGAATCTCTATGAGAGATTTACTATCTGTCTCTTTTCCTCTCTCCCTTCCATCTCTCACTGCTACTTCTGATCGATTATTGTCATGACGTCACTAACACCCCTCATCAGGTCTGGCGCATCAACCGTGAGCGTGCTGTCGACTACCTCAACACTCGCAACCGTATCTACGTTATCGATGGTTTCGCCGGCTGGGACGAGCGTTACCGTATCTCCGTCCGTGTTGTCTGCGCCCGTGCTTACCACGCTCTGTTCATGCGCAACATGCTTATCCGCCCTACCGCTGAGGAGCTTGAGCACTTCCACCCCGACTATGTCATCTACAATGCTGGTTCTTTCCCCGCCAACCGCTTCACTGAGGGTATGACCTCCGCCACCTCCGTCGCTGTCAACTTCGCCGAGAAGGAGATGGTCATCCTGGGTACTGAGTACGCCGGTGAGATGAAGAAGGGTGTCTTTACTGTCCTCTTCTACGAGATGCCCGTCAAGCACAACGTCCTGACCCTCCACTCCTCTGCCAACGAGGGTGAGAACGGCGATGTCACTGTCTTCTTTGGTCTGTCCGGTACCGGAAAGACCACCCTGTCTGCCGACCCCAAGCGTAAGCTGATCGGTGACGACGAGCACTGCTGGACTGACACCGGTGTCTTCAACATTGAGGGTGGTTGCTACGCCAAGTGCATTGGTCTCTCCGCCGAGAAGGAGCCCGATATTTTCAACGCCATCAAGTTCGGTTCCGTCCTCGAGAACGTCGTCTTTGACCCCGTCAGCCGTGTTGTCGACTACGATGATGTTACCCTGACCGAGAACACCCGCTGCGCTTACCCCATTGAGTACATTGAGAACGCCAAGATCCCCTGCAAGAGCGACAACCACCCCACCAACATCATCCTCCTGACCTGTGATGCCCGCGGTGTTCTTCCTCCCATCTCCAAGCTTACCCCCGAGCAGACCATGTTCCACTTCATCTCCGGTTACACCTCCAAGATGGCCGGTACCGAGGACGGTGTCACTGAGCCCCAGGCTACCTTCTCTTCTTGCTTCGCTCAGCCCTTCCTTGCTCTGCACCCCATGCGCTACGCTCACATGCTCGCTGAGAAGATCAAGGAGCACAAGGCCAACGCTTGGCTCCTCAACACCGGTTGGGTTGGCGCCGGCGCCACCACCGGTGGTAAGCGTTGCCCTCTCAAGTACACCCGTGCTATCCTGGATGCCATCCACAGCGGTGAGCTCGCCAACGCCGAGTACGAGACCTACGATGTCTTCAACCTCCCCGTCCCCAAGGCCTGCCCCGGTGTTCCCGACGAGCTGCTCAACCCCAAGAACAGCTGGACCGCCACCACCTCCTTCGAGAGCGAGGTTACCAAGCTCGCCGGTCTGTTCAACGAGAACTTCAAGAAGTACTCCGACCAGGCCACCCCCGAGGTTCTGGCTGCCGCTCCCCAGGTCTAAATTTGACCACGAGGACGGGTCCCAAAAATGGCATTTATGGTTTTGTTCTGGTTTTTCTGGCTTCTTTAAGTCATTTGCATGGCGTGCTGCGTTTGCTTGATCTATTCCCCTGGATCTCGGTCACCTTACTTGTATCGGGACAAGTTTGAGATTTTCATATGGGTTTTCCTTTTTTTTTTTCTGATTTCTTTTTACTTTTCTTTTTATCTCTATCCTGATGACTGGTACAGTCGAAGGTTCTTATCGATTCCCCTAACGATAGCAATGAAATCAGATATTTCAAAACATACTTCCTAGTAAAAAGTAGATGATCTAGGTAAATCAATCACCCTGTAGTCAGAAAAGAAATGATTCCTCAATCTTGGTATAGATAGTTCGACTCCTCGAGTTGACTTACAAATTAAGGTCCTAGGCTACTCCCTACTCCATCTTTTGCAAAGTGGAGTGAAGTCTTTTAGTGTGAGTCCACCACCCGAGTGAGTCCACCACCCGATGAAAGTGCCTTCTTCATTCTTTAGATTCGAGTTAAATTTTGACCTAAATTTGATCCATATCCTCTTACTTTTTGGGAAAATTTTATGCATATATGCGTTATGGAATACGAAAGAATGCCAATAATGATGCGGATAAAAAGAACTATGAATGATGGATTGAGACTTACAAGGCTACTTTATTAAATTCAAGGGCACATTAGAACTATACCAACATGGTCCAAATTCCCTTTCAATTGGAAGTTCTCAAGCTAGTTTGAGAGATAAAGATTGGAAATAGGCGATATCCGGTCCGATTGCCGTGCAGAAGCCGGCTCGCGATGCGAGAACCTAAACCTTATTGCGCCATTCTAGTACTGGATGAAATCATGGGGTAGTATGGGGTAACTCATATTGATAGTAACATTTGAACTATAAAAACACGGCAGAACAACACTTCCTGATTCCTTGCCTTGATACAGGGTAAAGAATATCTGACTCTTTATTAGTTGGAACCTCAATTCTCACAATGCGCTTTCTTTCTTGGAAACTGTTCGCCTTTTATAGCACATTTGTGTCTTCTGGCACGGTAAATCAAGCGATCAAAATACAAGGATCTGCAAGTCTACCTATAGGCGCCTCTCTGCCAGTACCCCACGATTTTGTATCTCTATCATTTCCAATCCACTTTTTTGCAGACTACGCCGGTATGTTCAAGTTTCTGATGTCACTACTAAAGGAGCGAAGAGAGCTAACAATCCACATGTATACAGGAAATATAAGCATTCCTAACACTTTCTCCCGAGACATAATCGAACTCCTGCATCAGAAGACCGGCGCTTACCCACAAATTCGCGTCGGCGGCACATCAGCGTATGTTCATGATCGGATTCTATCCATCCTTGACTAAGCACTCCTAACATTCCAACAGAGACAGAGCCATTTTCAACGCCATTCAGACGGAATCGATCATCCTCTCCACAGAATATTCCAATGGAATCCCCCTCGAAGTCTATATTGGCCCTACACTATTCGAAGGGTTTGAAAGTTTTCCCGGTGTTCCCTGGACCTTTCAAGTGAATCTCGCCAACAACAAGAGCAACGCGCTGGAGAATGCTCTTGCTGAAGCACGCGTTGCCTTAAGCCATATTAAAGAGAATCTGGTTGCTTTCGAAGTTGGCAATGAACCCGATCTCTATCCTGGTGCAGTGCGGCCTTTGAACTACTCGACAGCGGACTATGTTCAGGAATGGACTTATTTTGCAGACGCCATCTCTAATCAGGTTCTGAAGGGGAATTCATATGGGTTGGATTATTGGAGGATATTTCAAGCATTAACTTTTGTGTATAAAGGGGATCGCTTTTCCACGTGAGTTGCGGATATTAAAATTTGTTTTTACTTTCTAACAACTCGCAGGGCTAAGGCATTTAGTGATGGGATTGATATGACAGGTCATGTCAAGACAGTTTCCTTACATCAGTATGCTTGAATTCGCACCCAACTTGAGTCCGGCTATATCTTGCTAACTTGGTTCAGATACGCAGCAGGGAATCAAGGATGGGTTCGACTACAGAGTAAGTTTCCCAGATCTTCCTAAATGAAAATACAGAAGAGAAATTGATCACAACTATGTAGATTCCTTCATGAATCATACTGCTGTGAAGGGGAACCTCACTCAATACATTCCCGACATGGAAGCAACGCACGCCGCCGACCCCAAAATTACGTTTTTACTTGGTGAAACAAATAGCGACTACGTCAATCTCAATATGGCTCAGGTCGAAGGTGTTTTCGGAAGTTCCCTCTGGTTGGTTGATCATCTTCTTTACGGCATGAGCATGGTAAGCAAGATACCCGCTTTCGAGATCGTCTAAGGAAGACATTCTAAAACCCAAACTCCATAGAACATCAGCCGTTTCAACCTTATTCAAGGAACAAACTTTGGATACGCATCTTGGGTGCCGATTGAAAGCAATGGCCAAAGCCCAGGTGTCCGGCCTCAACTATATGGCCAACTTGTTGCAGCAGATGTGATAGGTCATCATCCAAGGGTGCAGGTGAAAGCCCTTGATCTCGAAGAATGGAACTTATCAGCCTATTCAGTGTACGAATCTGATATTCTCTCGAGATATGTGATCATCAATTTGGATGAGTGGAATACTACTACACCATATGCACGTCCCAGTCGGAGGTTCTCGCTGCAGGTACCACATGATGTGAAGTCCGCTGAGATTAAACGATTGACTGGGCCTGGAGCTAGTTCCATAACCGATATAAGTTGGGGTGGATATAGCTGGAATTATACAAGCGATGGTACGCTTGGTCGATCTGGCAAGAGTCAATCTGAACTGGTTCGTCCTCGAGGAGGATTCGTGTATGTGGATCTGCCATCTACAGAGGCTGTAACTGTGGAGCTTCACCGGAAATAGGAGATTCGGGGGGGCTCTATGCATATCATAATTTTGCAATACACAAATCTTTGATGAACAGTACTTGGGACGAATTGATATTTGTATGCTCATTTTGCAGTATCAGGTAGCTGCACCAAACATCTGGAAGATTAGACGACGGATACTGAATCAATCAAATACTATTATTAGGTAAGATGTCGCATGACGTGAAGCAAGCTTCCAAGGTTGGAAGGTCTGTTGTGGGACTTGATGTCTTGAACATCAATCGCCTGATCATTCAACTTGAAGTTCATCCGAGTCATGAGCCAATTCCTCCGCAAAATCACGCATACCTGATTCAGTGCCAATATATGCATGCAGTTCTCACGCTGAAGAGGTTTACAACTTGAATTGCTCTTCAATTCTGTGATTTCATTGGATCCACCCTTGAAACGTAAGGATGCGACCAATAATTGCAAGTCTTTGGATCAAATGTTTGGATATTTAATGGATAATGCCAAAGATCTAAATTCAGCGATCTACCTCCTGGCCTACATAAAGCGAACATTGGCAAACTGAGCCAAGGAGACTGAGTATTGAGCATAATATCAAATACTTCAATGTTCCCAATGAGCGATTTCGCTGCTAGAATAATGTAGAATGAAGTCACCTCCTCAACATCACTGCTCAAAGTGAAGGACTCGGACTCCTATCAGATGCAAGTCGCATTTCAAATGTTAGGCTCCAACTCTTCATAGCCTGCATATTGTATCTATCATCATGCAAGAGACGAAACCAAGCACTCAATCAACGGCAGTCGCAGCATTTTAATCGCCAAGAAAATCCGGTGAACACGTTTTATTGCATCATCATTCGATGGACCCTCAGTGTATTTCAAAAATTCATAAATTCCATAGTTGATCTCACCGGATCCTTCAATCAGGTCAAGAAATATGGCCTGGGCCTCTGCGGGTGGCTTGATTGACATTCCAATATCAAGCTATGATCAAGTTAGGATCCACGCGGAGCCCCTGTATTCAAATCTTGTGAAGAGAACTTGATAATGACCCCTGTAAATGCTCTCAATTGAGCTACTGTATCTTCCTATCACAAATAATCGCTGGATTCAAAACCAACACTCTAAACTATGAGCCAAAAATTGCAGAAAGATGTTCACTTAGTAGAACAAATCCCCGAGGAGAAGATATTGTGATAGAAGGAGATCTTCCTTACTTTCGATCTAAATAGAGGCCAGGAGCTCCTTTATCTACTCGATGATGAAGAAGATGAATTATTGGCAAATAGAACTCCGCTTTAAAAAAGATAGGGCGAGTGCAAAGTTCACTAGTGAAAAGGTGGAGACGGGAAGGGAAACCCCAGACACATTGACGCGGCCTCCTTGCATGATAGATCAACTTGTTGGGCCAGTAATGTTTACGATGATCACTTTCGCCTAGCCCCATAACTTGCCACACCCGCCCCTCATGACTTCAGTACTTTGCGTCAGAGGACTTGACTTGTCCTTCATGTTCTCGACCAGATGAATCTTACCACGTGCGATATTGACTATTGATCACACTTGACGACCTTGACGACCTGGTAACTCACAAAATCCTCCATATTCGAAAACATCTTTGCCGCGCAAAATGCCTCGATCGCCTGCTACTACCGCCTCCTCCGTTGACGAAACTGCAGCCCATGCTGCTGGCCAAGAACATTCAAATTCACCATCAAGCGAACTATCGATTCAGAAGCGCAGCGCACGGATGAGATTTTCCTTTCAAAAACCACCAACTCGCGCCCCAACTGTTGAATCTTGGGAAACGCCTGAACCACAGAGTGGAACAATGTTTGGTTTAGTTGGGGGATGGTTTCGGTCGCTACGATCAAAGAGATCTGGAAGGGATCTCAAGAATGGAGACTCTGAGAGTCATGGTGATGCCCGGGGCTCATCGCCACCTCGTCTTCCCGATCTTGGTCTTGTTGGGTCAAAATTAGACCTTTTGTCAGATGAGACGCATGGATTCTCTTCCCAACAGAGATGAGGCTTTGATCAAGTGGCGTCGGAGGAACATGAAAATTGGAGAAGTGAAGACTAGCGGTCAACGATTCGACCACGCTTTTGATGGCTTCATGTTATTTTGTTTTCGACTAGTGTCTCGGAAAAAGCTTGGAATTGTGTCAAGCTGGAAGACTTGCCATTGAACCTCGAAATCCTTGCATCGAGTATTGCTGGTCAAAAAATACTGTTGTTGATTTTCGCCTTCTATATCCATTCTGTTTGTTTTTGTTTCCATGTCTTATCTGAGGGGCCATGGTGTGAAAATGTCTGGGAGCTCCAGGCCTGGCCTTCACTACCAGTGTCCACTTTGGATTTATCGATGTCGTTACCCAGGTGGAGACGCTAGTATAGCGCATGTTTTTCAGTGATTACAGCTTGTTAATAGTTACTACCCAGGTGGTTCATCCAAGTTTTTATTTTGCCTATATCCTTCAATAATACTTTTCTCAGTTCCAAGGCTCAAATGTGATTCGCAGGTTTATATTTGATAATGAAAGGACAAATCGCAATGATGTGATCAAGTTGCCGACTATCATTCGGTGAGTGGGTATGTTGCCGAAGACTTCATTTTGAGTCTCCACATGCGGTGAGCCGCGGTGAACTGCGCATCCTTGCAGCTGGGGCGGAATCCATTGATATTTTCAGGATATCCGCTATCTTAAAGCATGAAATTCTAGTGAATCACCATTTGGTTCTCTATATTCTCTATATATTATCCCAACTCTATAACTTCTCATCTAGTTTATATCAACTTCGCGCAAAAATCCAACGATGCGACGATACATCTCCACCGGGTTCGAATACATCGGAAAGTGTCCACTATCCGGAATCTCCGCCAGTTCCACACCTTGACTCTCCAACTGAGACAAATAAGACAAGCCCCGATTTTCCGCCCCAAACATGAACATCTTCGGGAACGGCAAGGACAGAAACATACCCAAAAGATCCTCCTCATCTGACAAGTGCACCATCGACTCAAATATCGGCCGTATAGCCTCAGCACGTACCCGCGCACGCAAAGTGCTAGAATACAACGGACTAGCAAATGACTCCGCTTGACGAGTTCGGTTGATGAATTCATCCAGGAAGACCTCTGGGTCATCTGAGTGGAATGTGAAGATCTGACGACTTAGGAAACAGTCCTCTGGTGCAAGGTTACCCTTGATATCGATGAAGCTTAAAACACGACTTGGGTGGCGGTGAGCGAGTAAAAGCGCGGTTAATCCACCCATTGAGTGGCCCATTATATGGAATTTCTCGATCTTGAATTTCGCGAGGAGCGCCTCGGCTGTTGCGACAAGGAAAGGGATATCCGTTGCAGATAGCTTGTCGCTGATGGAATGTCCGCAACCTGGTGCGTCGAAGGCAATGAAGCCATATTTCTTGAGGTCGGAGTGTAGCCCTATATCGGCTAGATCTTCTTTGCAAGAACCGAATCCATGTAGAAAGAAAATTGGTGGTTGGGAGTTGAGATTGTGGATTGTAGCCAGTTGGAGGTTTACGCCCTTGACTTGTAACGGAACGGTAGTGTAGGTGAGTGTCATTTCAATGTAAGGAAAATGAGTATTCTCAGGTCAAATGATAGGTAATTTAGTCGCAATTGAGGATTTTGTCTTATATTTCAACATATGTACCAGGTGGCGAAACGCTTGCAGTCGGCGAAATGATATTTTACCGGGATTAATAATACTGAGATTTTTGAATATCTTGACCTCGGGATCAAGGATGGTATTTTCGTCGAGTATAGTTGAAGGCGAGATGCAATCAATATTTGTTACGTCGCATTAAATCCAATAGTTAGGAAGCTTTAATCACATCCGAGGTCCTGTCTTTGGTATGCATTCAAGATTCAAGTTCAGAGTAATGTCGATATCTATGGATCTTCAGGTTTCCAACAGCTTCAAGCCATCATCTTCTTCCAAAATAACAATAATCTTTTTTGAGACCCTTCTCGCCTCGTCCACATTTCTCAACGATCTGAAACTGTATTCAGGTGAAATATCAAGATCAGCCATGAGCAAAGGTAATACTGAACTTTTCCAAAGAACGGTATTCTCATTCCTCGTGGCTATCGTGGTTGCTAACAGCAGCAATGCGGATCCCAGAACAACAGATAGAGGAAGGATTATCCACGGCCATCTCACTTCAATAAAAGCCTCGTCTCTGAAAGCTGTTCCACGGATTCCCTGATTTGACCGCCAGCACGTATAGTATCAGTGAGTCTGGTGGCGACGGAATCCACGACTTCAGTTATGTTACTCAGCTGGAGCAGCCCCGTGAGGGTCAAGCCAGATGTAACACCGAATGTATCGACGCCAATGCTGTAAGAGGTGCCGTCAAAGACACTAGCAAGTGTATAAGGTAGGTAGCTTAAGAGGGTGTCCGCGACATGATAGGATGACTCGTTGGACAGAGATTTTACGGTGTCAAAAAGTCAGACGCTGGTGACACCAGGTCACCCCCCAGGAAAAAGATTTCCCAACTCAGCTGCTGAGTTTGAGAAATCGGGGTTCCCGCGGCAGAGTCAGAGTAATTGCTTGGAGCATACTCCTTCTCACACCAATATAGTGCGCATTCCGTGAATGATGGCTTTGGTGGTGCTGCCGTGAGGTTGCTGGAGGCATAGTAAATTGTTTCGTTTTGACTGATCGCAAGAAATGAAATTATAGAGCGGTCAATATCAAATATTGGTACTGCCAATTTTGGAACAGACGACCAGTAATCCACTTAAAGACTGAGCTGTTCGGTCCCTCGGTCCCAAAACCTAACAGATCTTTTAGGTAAAGGGTAGCGTTGAGCCCGTAAGGTGATGTGTAAGTGCATTTAATACTCGGGTTCGATATCACCAAATCTACACCATTGCTTTCCAAGGCATATCCTTCGCAAGCCTGGGTTGTCTGCTCAGTGACGTTTTTGCATTGGCCACAGACACCCAATGAGACAAATCCTGGATAGGTACAGCTCCCGCTACTGCATTCAGGCTGGAGGGAAGTATTTGAAAGTGAAATTCCACTGAGGATAGCGCGTGGTAGTAGTGGAGAAAGCCCAGGTTGAGGAAGACCCCAACTAGGATATTCGGCAAGTCCAGAGCTGTAGTTATGTGCGTATTGTATAGACGCCGTATCGTTTACAGATTCAGTTGGACGTAAAGGGAAAGTGAGGATTTGCTGGGCAAAGGGGTCGACTGCCAGGGCCAAGATGGTGAGAAAGGCCCCGAAAAATGTCAATACACCCATTTTGGATCCTGAAATTACCCGGTATAGTATCTGAAATGATCCGAAGGAACCACGGCTTGCCTCGTCAATGGCTTGCATGTACTCAAGGGGGACCGACCTCCGGTACAAGTTCCATTTGAGCTGACCGAGACAGGCTGTAATAGGAACAAGAAGCGCGGATTCGGTAACAGTCACAATAATCGAGACCACCGTATTTGGCGCTGCAGTGTATTGCCAGTCTGCATACTTTGTTCCGTGGATTTTGATAAGGAATCCGACCAGTAAAGCGATACCAATCACGGCGACAGCGGCACTGCCAATTTCCCATACCCAAGAACCACTGAAATCAAAGTCGCGCTTGTGTGCTTTCTTTTTAAAGAGTTTGAACGGTTTGGCTGAGGTTTTCTTGAAATCAGATGTCCTCGCGTCGGGGGTGAGACGATCAGTTGATGATCGGGGCTCGGAGAGATCGACGCCAAGTTGAGAAGAAATTGCTGTTAGCTCGAGTGACTCGGAGCTTCCGCTTGCGTGATGCATGTTTCCCTGAGCTAGTAATTAATTATTATGATAAATGGTTGTCTTTGATATGTTCAAGTTGAAGGGAGAATCGAGAGATTACTAGTAACAGTCGAGGATAGCGACGTCCAAGTAAATATGCAAAATTTCGACACCTGAGCAGTACTGTTGATGGTCAGGGGTCAAACTTGAATTCTGGAGGGGCTGACATCTTGTCTGCTCTGGGCATTGGGCAACTATGCGCATGTGCAGTTCGAATATTGATGTAACAGACCTCAAGAGTCCAGAAATCGGGGTTTGCTACTCTATCAAGCAAGCGGCTCTAGGCTGTACCAGTACATATGGGGGGGGGGGGGGGCCTGATATGCAAACATTTGAAGGAGCTGAAACACCTGGGCAGTGCATATATGCACTTTGCGCCCCAGGCGCCGTTATCAGGTGGGTATTTTTACTTTGGAAAACTAGCAAAATCTGTATTCAAAATTTCAAACTATGCCGGATCATCTCAGGTGCTCCCTCTGACACCTATTAGTACTAGTACTGGCAGGTCTGACATTGTCAGCCCCTGTCGGAAGGATACATAGGTATTCACCTGCCACTGCCAGCAGTGGGCAACATCCATGGATTTTAAGTTGGTCTCTTCACGATAACTGAGTGACTGATTAAATCTTCTCGAGGTAGGAAAGCTTCCAAGGTTGGAAATAGTCCACGGTATGGACAGCTTTATTGAGATGAAAATGGAACAGACGAGAATTTGAAGCCAGCTTCTTTGCATACTGTTTAGGACTCGGAAATTGAATAGTTCTCTTCAAATCACCTATATATTCCTGTGTCAACATCCATCAGGCCCGGGCTATTACTACCTAGGTAGTATCTCTCAAAAATCAATACACATGCCCAGACACGTCAAGATTAATCAACATACAACTTGAACCCCGCATAATGAGTGCGGGGAAGGAAGACAAAAAGTGGGACTAAAACGAAAGGGCCAATAGAACGAAAGCGATATAAGGAGAATCATCGATATTTCCTCTACACCGGATAAATATCCAGAAAAGGGAAGTTGAATAAAATCTCATAACAAGCATGACACTGGTAGCCACTATCTCTAACTATCAACCACTGGCATCATATTCCCTTAAGTGCTCGCCCTCACCTAACATCCGACTCGGAGTCAACGCCCAACCCTTCATTCAAAATGGCTCCAACCGCTACGGTCCTTCTTAACGAAGACAAAAACAATACAGCAGCTGGTGCCTTGGGCCTCACAAAAGATGGCAGAAAATTAAAGATCCGCTCATACCCCCAGTTCGAGACCTTAATCGAAGAGAGAAACTACAGAAAACAGCACCTAGCAGCTGCATTCCGTATTTTCGCAGAGCGGGGTTTCGACGAGGGTGTCGCAGGGCACATCTCTGTTCGAGATCCCATTTTAACAGATCACTTCTGTAATTCTTTCTCTCCTGGCCGTTGAGAAATCACACTAACCATTGAATACTCAGGGCTAAACCCATTATCCATGCATTTCTCCCAAATCAAAGTCTCCGATTTGATTCTCGTGAATGAAGATGGAGAGGTCGTCGAGGGCGATGAACCAATTAACGGAGCGGCTTTTGCTATCCATTCTGAGATTCATAAGGCACGCCCAAATGTGAATGCGGCTTGTCATGCGCACTCGGTTCATGGAAAGGCATTTAGTGCGTTTGGGCGGGAACTGGATATGATCACTCAGGATGCATTACGCTTTTATAAGAGTCATGCTGTGTATGAGGAGTTTGGTGGAGTGGTTCTTGATCGAGAAGAAGGGATGAAGATTGCGAAGGCACTTGGGGATGGAAAGGCTGCTATTTTGCAGAATCATGGGTTACTTACAGTTAGTTGATCCCTGCGCTTCTCTATTTATCTTCCTCCTGGTTGCTCACAAGTCTTCTCAGGTTGGTGAAAGTGTCGACGAGGCTGCTTTCTGGTTTATCAGTCTCGATAAAACTTGCCATGCGCAGCTGCTTGTCGATGCGGCAGAACTGGGAAGTGGCCATAAGAGAAAGTTCATCACTGGCGATGAAGCTGAATTTACAGCCAAACAGATAGGAGGGCCTGAAAAGGGGTGGCTGGCGTTTCAGCCATATTATGATGAAATTGTTGCGAAAACACAAGGCGGGTTTCTCTTATAAATGCCCTGTTGTGGTTGTGGTCTAGCAGTCTTTATGATTTACAAGTGCCAAATTCAAATTGTTACAACCACGGTCCACGGCTATCCAGGCATATGACTGCCAATTTTATTTTACATTTGGATATTGCCGATTTTACAATGAGCAAATGGATAGCTTAGCAAAACTAATATTCTCAGGCTAACAAGTCATCAGGTGGTATCTAAAAGGCATGAAAAGTGAAATCAAAGTTCCAGTCTGATACGCCAAAATGCTTTCCCATTTCGACGCCTAAACAATGAAGAGATAAAGCACGGAGAAAAGGGAAAAAAAGCAGGAAGCAGCAGATTCACAACGAGGGAGCAAAACTCAGAATGAAGCCGAAGTAAAGAGCAGATAACGAGGTAGAGCGATTGAAAGAAAAATGCCCATTCCATCAAATCACGCCATGACGCGCCTTAAAAATGGATATCTTGTCGTCGTAAAATAGGATTTCTAGCAGTCGAAAGTGCACTTGAGGACCATCTTTGTCCTCAAGCCCGCTGTCCGTGTCATCGGAGTCCTCGGAGTAGCTAAATAATGGATCATGAGCTACCTCTGCAGAATCATGTTCGTCATCAGTGGTATCCATTGGTTCATCATCAAAAGCAGAAAGACCATCATCACCAGGATGAGAGGGAGAGTTCGTAAATTGAGACTCATCGACATCGGGGTCATTCGCGGAACCAGACCGCTCAAGTATTTGGTAGCATTTCGTGTGCAAACCAATATAGGAGATTTTGAGGTCCGGGCGAATGCTGACAATGTCAAGAACTTGTAACGCCAGTTCTTTCCAGTCGCGGTGCACATAATGGCTCACGTGAGGCAAATACAATGCACGGAGTTGTGGCATCTTGGGAAGTCTTTGCAGGAAATAATGCTAGGAACAGTATTAGTTGGATCTTTTCTTTCCATAATGTGATTTTTAGATGTCATCTTACCCAGTCTCGATAATGCAATGCCATTCCCAATTCCTTCAGCTGTGGCATTCGTCCACTTGTAACGAAAGAGACCATCTCATGGTTGAACATCCATTTATGCCACCGCGTGTTGAGAGTATCTGCAGTTGGAACTCGGTCAGAAGCATCAACAAGAATCTTCCGAAGACTCAATCGGTGCTTTCGAATGATATGTCGATAAATGGCCTCGATATTCACGTTTGAGTCCGAGTCCGAGGTCTCATGCAAGAATACGCTCTCTAGTGTATTCGGAGCCAGGGCATCTTTTATGAAGAGCATCAGGTATGGAGTGACGTTATTTGTGCGCAGGTGCTTAATTTTCAAAGAATAATCTTGCACGCTCAGGCTGGATCGACGGCGCTCTCCTTTTTGCGCTTTTTTCTGTGGCATTGGAGGGGGTGCGTACTTTCGTCGAAGGGCTCTCCACAGGTTCTCGTGTTCATCGCATCCCATTAGTGTGAGAGTGGTGAGGCGGGTCCATTCAATTGACGGCAGGAGATCTGCAATGGAGAGAGGAACTCGCTCTAATTCTAGAACTTCAAGGTTCAATTTGTCCGAGTTGGTCTGATTGTAGAAATAACTGCTTGCCTTGAAAGGGGGCGCATTTGGCGGGGGTGTTTTTGCCAAAACACCTTCCTTTAAGGGTTGCTGGGTGCTATCGAGGGATGATTTTGAGCCCTGTCTGGTAACCAGGTCCCCGCCCTTAACGCTTCTTCCAGGGGACTCCTCGGCTTGCATCAAGTCGGAGGCTGAGGATAACGACAAAGAATCATTCCGCTGAGACTGCGGTTCCCGCTTTGACAGTATACTGAGTACACCTCCAATTCTGGGCCAAGACGAGCTACCGTCGGCTGGGGTTTCAGGGTCCTTAGCACAAGCCAACCAGTCGGCTGCGTATGCCTTTCGTGCAATCCCAATCCGTAGCTCGACCAAGCGACGACGGGACCTTTCGATCAAAACGGCTAGCTCTTCAACATATGCTGGCTCATCGATGTCAAGAACTGCAATGCTCCTCAGCGGTGGCAGGACAGAGAGCGAGGGATGCTCCACATGCTTATACTTTTGGAGTAGTCGGCTCCCAGATGTTAAAGCTGATGTGGGGATTCGTAGGATGTTGTCGGAGTTATCGTGCCAACGGACCCAAATGCGCTCCAGGCGACATTGATCATCGGGCCTCTCCGCAAGTGAAGCAAGTGCAAGCCAAATCTCGCGCACTACCCCTGTTGGCATATCCCATATGAATGCTTCAAGGTTGACCATCCGCGCCACCGCTAGTGCCACCAGTGTTCCCAGCATCTTGCCAACCTCTCTATTCACCGAGTATTCCTGTACCCAGCTTAAGGGCCCATTTCCGATCGAAAAAGTGCGGGTGTACTGCGCATAGTGGTTGCCTCGCCGGTTGAGACTGGTCCCCAGAGGTGTCGCGTGATGGCTGTTATTATGGCATCCACAGTGTTCACATCCTTTCCTCAGTCCCTGAAGATTCATCGATGGTGCATGATGAAAAACATCCTCTCCCATGACCAGGGTTGACAGTCCATATGACAATGCATCCACTCCCGAATAGTCTTCGCTCGATGGGTTCAAGGATTCCGGCCACACAATGTCGAAGCGGGAGTACATATGGGGAATTGTCAGGGCATGCATGGTAGAGCATGTCAGCGCTAGAGAGGTAAGGTCATTGGTGTGCGTCACCTACGCGTGCATATGTTAGCTGCGTCTGGAAGCATATAGATTGCTTAAAGCTGAAACCTCGCACTCTTACCTCTTTGATAATGTCCTTCAATACATCTAGAGGCAATTCTAGAAGCCTCAAGGGCCTCTTCATTGACTCTGAGCTCAAGCCAGACAGAATGGAAGCCGCAGTGCCAGGCGTGGATATCCGAGTCTGAGTGATACTCTGCTCAGAGCTCTCACTTGAGTTAACTTCGAGATTAAACCTCCCAAATGACGAAGAAAGCTGCTGCTTAACCAAGGTTCCTGGCTCCGCCGATGCAGTACTTTGGCTAGAAACGAAGTCCTCTTCGTCAGAGGATAACACCGTATCGGAGCCTGGCCGCTCAGCCCAATAGGAGCTCATCTCCGCCATCAGGGAAGGTGAATTTTTCGAACGTTTTGTAACAGGTGCGAGGTGTAAGTTAAAAGAAGCACACTTCCTTTGCCCTGAATGAAGGAAGAGCTCCCAGCTTGGGGGAATCAAACGTCACATCAGGGGGTTGTTGTGTTGGAAGGAAGGGGTCTGGGGGAGATAACCTAGTGGAGTGAGCTGGCGGATCGCTCCCGGGGCCCGTAGCGGATCATCAGATGCAGTTTAGGTAAGCGCCACTATATTCAGCCGCAGATCGAATTGTATTTAGTCCCGAATTTTATGAAACAAAGAATTAAGTTGGATTATGTTGAGCAAAATAGAGAAATTCCCAATGCATTAACGATTAAATTGCCTCTTAAATTACCCAAACAAAACTCGCAAAACAGATTTCTTTTTGGAGGCTGAGCAAGGCTCATCATATCAATTTTTAAGACTCCACATCGTTTACTCACGACCCAATTTCTCCAAATTGAGGGCTGCACTGATACATGCCAAGTGACTAAAAGCCTGTGGAGTATTTCCCATTTGTTCACCTGAAATCGCCACTTCTTCAGAAAACATTCCCAGGTGGTTTGAGTACGACAAAATATTGTCAAAGTGGGAGAGTGCCAGTTTCCAAATATTCGGAATGGGGACATCATACTTGGCTGCCTATATACGAGGTTAGGGAAAGGGCCCAGCCTCAAGAATGGTCTCACAGAGAAGAGGTAAAAAATACTTACACGAGCCATTGCCTCGACCAGCCAGAAGGTAACCATAATAAAGGCACCTTCGCCTCCAGCCATGCCTGTGAAACACGAGTATTAGTAACAGTAGTGACAAGGGACCTTTCTAGATCTGTGGAACGAGATCAAGCAGGATAAAAGGAGGGATTTGATTTACCGTCATTCGCTTTTAGATGGTCATATCGGAACACCATCTTGGCACTAGAAAGACCCTCTTTCTCGGGGCTTTGCAAGATTCTTTTCAGTGTGTTGATGAATCGTGGATCGTTAGGTGCCACAAAAAATACCAAAGGCGCAATCAAGATTGATGCGTCAAGAACTTCCGGGCTCTCGTAACTCTGACAGAAATGCTGGCGTTCGGTATTAAAGCCTCGTGTCATGATCTCGTCGTACAATTCGTCGCGCACCTGGATCCATTTGAACCGGTCCGGGCATGGGAGACTAGATCGTTTTTCTGCAAGCCGAATACCACGGTCTAGCGCCACCCAAAGCATGACTTTGGAGTAAATGAAATTCTGGATCTGACCACGGGACTCCCAAATCGACATGTCTTTCTGGCCCCGGACACCCATCACGTAATTCACCATCCGGCGAATTGAAGACCATTGGTCATAGGTGATGGGGTTTCCATGTTTGTTGTACAGGTAGATGCTGTCAAGAAGCTCCCCGTAGATATCCAACTGAGTGTGGAAAACAGCCGCGTTACCAATGCGGACCGGCTTGCTCCCCTTGTAGCCATCAAGATGCTCCAACTCGACCTCAGGAATGTCGTATTCGCCTCGGATAGTAAACATGAGAGGGAGGAAGGGCCTGTTGCTTCCTGGCTCGACGTCCTGGGCAGCATGCGGGAAAATCCGGTCGAAGATGAAGTTCACGTAGGCTTCTGCCTCCCGGCTGTAGCCCATCTTGAGGAAGACGTACAGCGTAAAGGCCGTGTCTCGCACCCACGAGTAGCGGTAGTCCCAGTTACGTGTACCGCCCACATTTTCTGGGAGTGAAAAAGTAGGAGCAGCAACAATGGCACCGGTGGGCTTGTAAGTGAGCAACTTGAGAATCAACAGACTCCGCTCCACAGTCTCTCGGTAGTGACCGCGGAAGGCACACTTCCGAGTCCAATCGGTCCAGTAGTCAGAGGTCTCTTCTTCCATCTTGGCCAAGTATGCTGCAATGGTGGCGGAACTGGGCACCGCTTTCTCGGGGCTGTGCAGAATAAAATGAAGAGTCTGTCCCTCGGAGATTCGAACCCAAGCCACTAGCCCTCGGCCTTGCAAGCCTTGTCGCTCTTCTAATGTGAATTTTGCCTTGGGGTATCCAAGCTTATCAGGCTCTCGCGAGTCCGCAAAGATCTCTAGCTGCAACCGCTCTGTTGGACTTTCGAAATGAATGGTCTGCAGTCTATGTTTGCACATATCATCCTCCAGCTTGGCTCGAGCGTTGTGCGAATCCCGAGCATAATTGAAAGCTGGGAACAGTTCGATCTGCAATTCCATCGACCCACGACTGCACTCCAGCTTTCTGATCACACCAGAGTGTTGTAGGCCAGACTTGAAACGATTGGCACCAGGATCATTGCAAGGACAATATCCAGATAGCAGGCGGCCTGCCTGGGCACTCTTCTTGGGGGTGACAGGAAAGTAATCTAGCATCGTTACGACTCCATCCTCGTTAGTCCATCGAGTCTCCAACATATTCGAGTATGGCAAATATCGCTGCTTGTTGTGGGCATCGACCACCGTTTTGTTTGGCAAGATAGACCAGAACCCTCCTTTTTTGTCATCCAGGAGACGGCAAAAGACTGTGGGTGAATCAAAGACAGGCCAGCACATATAATCAAGACTGCCAGCCTTGCTCACTAGGGCACAAGTGTGCATGTCCCCAATCAACCCATAGTCTTCAATGGCATTATACTGATTGTCGGTCATGATGACGGGCGAGTTCAATTGAGGGCAACTGTTGGATATAGTGTTTGGCACAGAAAACGTCCGTAAACAAGAAGAAGAAGAAATCAAGATATGGTAGTTGGGACTTCACAAGCAGGGACAGATGGAAATCCACGCAAAGAGGTAGGAAAGAACAGCTCCAAGCTTTCTGTTGCGGGGCATCCAGCAGATGATATATGATCCCGTATGCTGCCCGGAAGTGCCAGGAAGCAATGACATGATGATGATAATGTTCTTTGGGTTGAGGTCATGTTCATAGTCATTGAATGGCTCTACCAATAATGGCAGCCCGTCTTGATGGGGATTTCCTGCCCTAGATTAGCATAGGACATAGGTCACACATCATAATTATCGAAGTGATCTCCCGTCCGCTCAGGTATGCATAAGGTTAGTATCGATCAACTATCAATCCTGCGATGATCTCCAATGATCAGCCCCCAAATACCGGACTCGTTCCCAATCGGTGTCCCTGACCCCTCCTGGGGCGGTTTTCACGCTTTAGGCGTTGCTTCCAGCTAATTTCACCTTGGCCCATCTCTGCGTGTTCACAATTCGACCTCTTCCCAGGCGATGCCCGGGGAATTTCAAGTCGGAAGTCATAATCCACCAATGACATGAAACTAGTGTTTTGCTCATTTCCATGTCTTGATCTCCCTGGACCCCGGATCGACCGAACAGTGGAGCGAGGGCCAAGGTGGAGCAGTGGCGACCAGTAAACAACCAGTTAAAGAACAGGGTCAAGCAGAGGGATATTGGAGTCATTAAAGTCTGAATCTACTTCCTTGACCGCCTTCTCCCTTTATTCAGCTTACCAATCTTCAACTCCATATCAGTTTGTACGCTACGTAGAAGATAAGGTATTCAGTAGCATAATTTTTGCATAATTCTTCATGCTAAAGATTCTTTCATGGAGATTTGAACTGAAATCACCTTTATAGTTAATTTTAGGGCAAAAATATCGCTTGTGAAAACAGAAAGTATGAATTATACTGCATTAGATAACAGTAACTACCCGATTCAGACTTTAGTATTAAGAATCCTCCGTGTATACATTAAGACCTGTATGGTACTTTTACCCACCCGAAATGACTGCAGAAGAAAACACTCCTTATCACCGCCCTTCACTTTCTTTGCGTGACCGCTCCATTCATTTGATTTCCTCTTTCTAAAGCTTACTCGATCATTCGCGCCATCTATTGTCTCCCGCCCTTGATTTCGATCTCTTCTTCTCCCCGTCAAGAAAGGGTGCTACTGTCGCGTGAACCCCCCGGTCGCACCCTTCATGGGGCTCACACATTGCCTCTGCAACCCTTCCCTTCCGATCTCTATTTAAATCCTCCCCCTCGAAATGGGGTTATCTACCGCCGCCAACCATCACCGGCGGCGGAGCTCGGTGCTCACAGGGGCAGCCCGACCGGGTCTCCCGGGCTCCTCGGAACCGAGGGATGATAGTCTCCGACCAGGAGAGGAAAGATCCAAATGGGATGAAAATGAGCCTTTGACGGCTGAAGATACCGATGCATCTGATCTATCTGCGGTAGTCGATACTCGCGAATTGGATATGAGTTCAGATGAGGATCAATATGATGAAGAAACAGGCCTTACAGCACATCAGAGACGTCAGCGACGTCGACGGCGCAGGCAACGTCGGAAGCTTGATGCTCGTATTGCTGACACCAAAACTACTCACAGCATCTTCCAGCTTGGTCTGGCAGATCGCAATGTTGTCAATAAGCTTATGGTGAATGCCGGTCTGATTCTGATGTGGTACTTCTTCTCGTTGTCCATTTCCATTGTGAGTTTATGATTCACTGGACCCTTATTAGCGCGCTGATCTATTTGGCCATCTTAACTAACAATTACTTTCCCTTCATCGCAGTACAATAAGTGGATGTTTTCTGAGAACGATGTCGTCTTCCCTTTCCCTCTTTTCACCACCAGCCTACACATGGCCGTTCAATTCACATTCTCCGCTCTTTTACTATTTTTCTTCCCATCTTTGCGCCCACAGCGCCCCCCGCCATCTGTCACGGACTCGTCGGTCGATGGCGACAAATCTGAGCCGGTGCTCACTAAATTATTCTACTTTACACGACTCGTTCCTGCGGTGCTGCAACATCGCTCGACGTTGGTCTGGGCAATATGTCGTTGAAGTTCATCTCTCTCACCTTCCTCACAATGTGTAAATCCTCTGCACTCGCCTTCGTTCTTCTTTTCGCTTTCCTATTTCGACTCGAGTCGCCTTCTGTTAAACTCATTTTCATTATTGCCACAATGACGATTGGTGTGGTGATGATGGTCGCCGGCGAGACTGCGTTCAATGCGCTCGGATTCAGTCTGGTCATCGCTTCTGCTTTCTTTTCTGGTTTCCGATGGGGTCTCACACAAATTCTCCTACTTCGCCATCCAGCAACCTCTAACCCCTTCTCGACTCTTTTCCTTCTAACGCCCGTCATGTTTGTTTCCCTCATAGTCATCGCTCTTACTGTGGAAGGCCCCACTGAGATCCACAAGGGTTTCCTCGCCCTGACTGAACAGCATGGAACTCTGTTCGGAACTGGTCTGCTAATATTCCCGGGAGTGTTGGCATTCTGTATGATTTCATCTGAATTTGCCCTATTAAAGCGCTCATCGGTGGTTACCTTGAGTATCTGCGGTATTTTCAAGGAAGTAGTCACAATTAGCGCCGCAGGTGTTATCTTCCACGACCAATTGACTCCCGTGAATGTGACCGGACTGGTTGTTACTATTGGCAGTATCGCATGCTACAACTATATGAAGATTGCCCGCATGCGCGCTGAAGCGCAGACTAGCTGGAGCCGTGAAGGCAGTCCAGAATCTGATACCGAGGATACCGACCCCAGTGGAGGTGAAACCGGTGAATACCACCGCGTTATCAACCCTCCGACCAGCTCTTTGCCCGATGGCCCTTATGACGATGACTTGCATGCTTCTGGGTCGGGTGACCAGCGACGCTCGTTCCGTGTCCGCGCGAGCGGCGCTATGCAAGGGTTGACCATTTCCACATCCACTATTCCCGAGGATGATGGAGACTCCCCCATCAAATCCGCCCCTCCAAACATTACCTCGATGTCCGATGCATTCCACACACCGCTGCAACCCGATCGACATGCATCTTCAGATATGCACTCCGCTTCGTCCACCCCGCCAGTCCGACATCAAACCCCTATGAACTAGCACCCTTCCCCATTCGTTTCTCGATAACTATGTTTCTGCCCCGATCTACCTTTGTGACATTTTGGAGAAGTGCATTCCTCAGTTTCTTCAGTGACTGAACCAGCCCTTTATCCTGTCTATGCTGGGGTCTGTCGCCCATTCTTCAGGTTGATGAGCTGCTTCAAATACTTGGACCTGTTGTTTGCCAATGTTTGATGTAAACTCTACTTGCCTTACGAGCAATGAGTGTTGGGATTATGTTGGAGATGGGTGTTCTTTTTTTTCTTTCTTTGCATGGCGGTCGTGAGCTTCATTGCACTTGAGAGCGGCAGCTTGACTGATACCACAATTAAATTTCTTTCTTGGGCCCAAGGCCACTTTTTTTTTTTTATCTGAACTCACTTTGATCATGACTCGGAAATCCCATATCAAAATTATTTTCTCATGCGTGCTCGATTGGATTGATCAGACACTGGACACTGTTGGAATAAAACAAGACTAAAAATACATTCAAGCTTCATACAAACTCAGCTTAACCGATCATAGACTACTTCCCCTTCATCATATCCATAAGGCTTTTCTGCCCCTTCCCGGGTCCTTTGGCCTTCGCTTCCTTCTTCTTATCTGTCTCAACCTTCTTGTCATACTGCTGCTGCTGTTTCTCTCGCGTATCTCTTCCCTCCTCCGAAAGCTTGGCCTCAAGAGCCTTAAACTCCTCCCCTTCAGGATCCATCCCAATCAACGACTCAAGCAACTTGATTTCCTTCGCCCAGATACCCGGGTCTTGAACAGTAGCCGCCGAAGCTCCAGCAGGGCGCTTAGCTTTCTTTCCCTTTTTCTTCGCTCCACTCTCACTATCACTTCCTTCATCCTCATCCTGCCCTTGAACCTTGTCAATAGGAGTCTCCAAAACCATGGGCAATCCTTCGAAGCGCGGCTCATTCATAACATTATGGAATGCCCGAAGACCCAGGAACCCAGTTCCAATATTAGCGTGTAAATCTCTCTTGCTAGCGAATGGAGCCTTGGAGTCATTAAGGTGCAGCGCTTTCAGGAATCGAATTCCAATGAGCTCATCGAATTCATCCAGGAAGGCTTTGAAGCCCTTGGGTGTGACCAAGTCGTATCCTGCAGCGAAGCTGTGGCATGTATCGATGCAGATACCGATGCGGTCGTGGTGCTCCTTTGGAATTAGGGCTAGGAGGTCCTTGAATTCAGAGAGTTGACCACCGATTGTGTTCCCGTGGCCGCACATTGTTTCCAGCACGGGAATCACTGTGGATGTTTCGGTGATGGCTTTGGTTAGTGAGTTTGCGAGGCGAGATAGAGCCTCAGGGAGTGGGGTTTGGTTTGTGCTGCCAGGGCTGGAGGTGGAAATAGATTAGATATTGAAATTAATTTGCAGTTTCCAGATGGCTGGACTTACTGGAAGTTGTAAAGCTTGATACCGAGGGCTTCACAGCGGCGAAGATCATCGAGGAATGAAGTATAAGCTTGCTTGGCTTTGGCTTCGTCGTTTTGGGCGAGATTCACAAGGTATGAACCGTGTGGGAGAACGTGCCTACGTCCATTAATACAGGTTCATCAATACTCTTCTTCGGGGTCCCATTAAACTCACGCAGCCGCATCATATCCTTTCTCGGTGCATAATTTGCGGAACTCATCCCGATGTTCGTCCGATAGCGCTGGGTTATCCCATTTGCGCTGGGACTTGAGAAACAAGGCGAATGCATTCCCTCTGTATTCGGTCAGTTCCGGTCGAAAAAGGATTCTCCTCGTTTCATTGGCGAAGATTAGTACATACCCGATCTGCTCGGTGTTGTGGATTGAGTTGAAAACGCCCTTCGCAGCGCTCACGTGGGCACCAACGAACATCTTCAGGCCCTTTGTGCGTGGCGCTAGTGGCATTGCTTCGGTCTCTTTTGACTCCTTGGTCTTGGTTGCTCTCTTACGAGCTGGCTTCGGCTTTGGAGCCTCGGGTTCCGCGTCAGGATCAGCCTTAATCTCAGCAGACTCTTGAGAGACAGTCCTCTTATTAGCAGCGGCCTTTTTGGTTACTGACGCAGCCTGTGTCTTCTTCGTCTGCTTGGGCTTGTTCTGTGGGGACTTCAAATCCTGGTCGGACTCAGAGTCGGACAGTTCTTTGAGGTTGGTGCTCGATCTTTGTCTCTTAGATCGTCTCACTGGCGATGCGTCTGTGCCTTGGCTGAGGTTTCTCTTGTGACCTTTAGGCTCTGGAACTTGAGGCTCCTCGTCATCGTGCGAGACACACATGTTGCTCTGGGTTTTTGATAATGGTAGACTTAGATGTTGGTGTTGAGATGGAGCCAGTGTTCCAAAAATCGACGGCTAGTGGATCTGATTGGTTGCACCAGGAAAAGACCCGGTGCCAAGCAGCAGTAAACTTGAGTGAAAGCCTTGCAGGTTCAAATCGCAAGATTGCTGACAAGAATGTGATTTCACAAAAGAATTGACTATTCGGAGATAGCAGATTGAGATCAAATTCAAGCTGACGACTTGGCAGAAGCTGTAAAAAGTAAGGGGACAAACTACTCTCTCTCAGACATTATCACGTGCTTATCACCGCAGCAACAGTCATGTGATGTTTATCGACAATCAAATACGCTAACAAGTAACAAAGTTTCCACCCCTCCACAGTTGCTATCCTCGACATCGACAGTTGCAAAAGGGGAAGATCCGACATAGATCTTGGCAAGATGGCGGATTCAAACGAGCTTATCGACTTCGACATTATTGAAGCCCAAAAAGAAAACGTCCAATCCCTCCCCGGTGGCCGATCAGCTCGAGAACTTGCTCGGATTTTCTCTGGTGGTAGCAACACTAGCGATAAATATGCTTCACCAACACCGAACCATACAAGGACACTAAACGATGCAATCCGTCAAGAATACGAAACCGAACTAGAAGCAATCGGTGAATCAGACGACCCACTTGATGTCTACGACCGTTATGTGAAATGGACTCTAAATGCGTATCCGTCCGCCCAAGCCACCGCTGAATCAGGCGTCCTACCACTACTGGAGCGTGCCACAAAATCCTTCCTCTCATCTACACACTACAGAAACGACCCACGATACCTAAGGCTATGGCTTCATTACATTCGACTTTTCTCCGATGCACCACGGGAAACATTCGCCTTCCTATCACGACACCATATCGGTGAGGGGCTGGCATTGTTCTATGAAGAATTTGCCGCATGGTTGGAAGGTGCGGGGCGCTGGACACAGGCAGATGAGGTTTACAGACTCGGTGTAGATCGTGAGGCTCGGCCGGTCGAGCGATTACTCCGAAAATACAGCGAATTCCAGCAGCGATATGAGCAGCAGCCACAAAACGCGGGTCCTTCATCGCCTGCTATGCCGAAAGTTCGAGCGGCTTTGGGTGTGAAAGTTGATCCATTTGCGTCTGCTGATGGCTCTCCAGATCCTCAGTCTGCAGCACGAGCGGCGCCTGCTCCTGCGAAGACCAAGTCTGGAAAACCAAAGATGGCCATTTTCTCCGATGCCGATGAAGTTGCACAGCCAGCTACTAGTGGTGGAGCGACAAAGGGTTGGGAGAATATTGGATCGATGGAAGAACGCAAGAAGGAGAATCGGGTAGAGGCGAAGCCGTGGGCGGGAGAGACATTAAAGGCAGGGAAAAAATCTGGACCAACACAGAAGATGGCTATTTTCCGAGACGAGGTAAGTTAATAAGTCTACATTGCGTATCCTTCCTCTTTCAGACCTCCAAATATTTACGATCACAGGACTAATTGCTGGCTTGAATGCATGTGCTTCGTTTGTTTGTATACAGTCCAATCCCAATTCATATGAAGAAAATCAAGAATCAAGTGCTCCCCAGCACGTTCCGGAACATCATGTAAGGGAAGCGGTAAATCCACGGACGGGTCGTCGAGAACGTGTTTTCGTCGATTTGAAGGCAGTATATCCAGATCGTCACAACCCAGCGCACGAAATCAGTTTTGAAGAGCTACGTGCCATGAAGCGAGGATGGACGAGCAAGAATTGGCGCAAGCAGAAGGAACCACTCAAACAGATTTCCGGTAATGCTGTCGGTATCGAGTCTCCCGGTTCGAAGCCTAGTGCACATATTTCTATGAAGGACCAATCTGAGCAACCTGAACAAAAATTCGCCACCAGTGAACAGCGTGGACAATCGCCATCTCTTGACCAGGGTGGATCTCATTCAGGCAAGTCTGGAAAAGCACGACGATTCAAGGTTCAAGGGGAGACGCAGACGAGTAAGCTTTGTCTTTCCATCAACTCAACTGACTACCTTTACTCACCTTTCATCTATAGTCAAAATGAAGTTCGATTCGCCAAATAATTCCAAGGTCCGCCGGAAGAGTACTAGAGAGCCAACTATGACGATGCATACTCGGGCTGCCACAGATGAGATCTACGACCTTTTTAACCAGCCATTGAAAGCAGAGACGGAAGATGCTGCCGATAGCGTATTTGGAAGCGACTATGAGGATGATGATGATCTCGCCAGCAATGCCGATAGTACAGTCACAGGCCACCTTTCTGCCGCATCAAGTGACCTTGGTGACGAAGACACACACCATTTTCATCGGTCCTATGATGATACTGGATATGCAGACACTACCCGAGCTGAGAGCGTTGTCGACGGAGATTGGACCGAGTTCAGCGTCAGCAAGGATATCCCAGGCCATGAATACGGCGATGCTACATCTCAATCAGTTTATAGTGACGGTGCCCCGGATCAATCTGACCATGGAACTCCGGAGAAAGGACGTTTTGTCCCACAAATGCCAGAAGACTACGCGGCGCCTTATGGTACTTACAGAGATCCTGCAATTATGGCTCAAAACCGTCTGCCATTTATGACACCAATTGTGGAGCGGACCGAATCTTCCATCCCGTCACAAACAATTGCTCGAAATCACCTGTATAACACCAAGACACCATCAAAGCCTCAGATGGGCAACCTTCTTTCCAGTCCAGTCGGGGGCGCAACTCCGTACCATGGGGATAATACTATGTTGTCTACTGCAGATGTCCCATTCAGCCCTACTGCTTTCAGGGCCCTGGCCCCCAAATCGCGCCGACGTGGAGAGGTCGTCATCAAGGACATGCAGTGCAATCCAACTGATAAGGGAATTCGAAACACAATCCTGAACGCCTTGGAACCGTCACTGGCTTCTTACGCGGGGTATCATAGCCACGGTAAAGAGAGTAACTACACCTCCATGATTCAAAAATTCGTCCGAACCCATATTCGAAAGTCTAAGGGCAGCGACGATGCATTCGATACTCCGGCCTTGGAGTTCCCTGGTGCTGAACGCAACTACATTATCCGACGGGAACTTGGTGCCGGTGCGTATGCTCCAGTCTACCTGGCAGAAAGTGTTGACAGTCCCGGAGCCTATGACTTTGACGAAAATGATGAGAACGACGAGAACGCCCCCTTCGGCAGGGATTCCCGTTCCAAGACCGCTACTCCTTATAAATCCGCACGATATCCATTTGAGGCTATTAAGGTCGAGAATGGGCCTTCCAGCGCCTGGGAATTCTACATGATCCGCACCGCGCATGATCGCCTGAGGCACTCTGCCGATCACCTCCGCGCTACCGATAGCATTGTGCGTGCGCATGAGCTGCATGTGCATCCGCGCGAAAGCTTCCTTGTAGAAGACTATCGAGGCCAGGGTACCCTGCTTGACCTGGTCAATATCCTTCGCAATGATCCTTCCAGTCAGCATAGCGAAGGTGGGCTCGAGGAAATCCTGGCCATGTTCTTTTCAGTCGAGCTCATGCGTACCATCGAGGGCCTCCATGCTAACGGCATTTTGCATGGTGATATCAAAGCTGATAACTGTCTCGTCCGTCTTGATGACGCGACTCCCGAAGCTGATCCAGCATCCGCAATGTCTCTTCTTGATCTGAACGACGAGCCATCTGAATCTCGGGATAGTGCGCACTACTCACCCAACGGGTACCATGGCTGGCGCCACAAGGGTCTTGATCTGATTGATTTCGGCCGTGGCATTGACATGCATGTCTTCCAGCCTTCCGTGCAATTTGTCGCTGATTGGGAGGTGGGTACGCATGAGTGTAACGAGATCCATGAGGCACGGCCCTGGACGCACCAAATCGACCTTTACGGTATTGCCGGTACGATCCATGTTCTCCTCTTCGGCAAGCATATCGAGTCCATGCTTGTGCAAACAGGTGGCAACCCATCCGCCACGGCACGCACCTACCGTCTCCGCGAGTCCTTGAAACGGTACTGGGATCGAGAACTGTGGTCCGAGGTATTTGATCTCTTGTTGAATCCTGGTGCTGAGCATTGGGCACAGATGGAACGTGACAATGGTGCTGGTGAATCTCCCTCTCCCATACTGCCTGTTCTCCATTCTATGCGCTATGTGCGTCGCAAGATGGAGGATTGGCTTGTTGCCAATGCTGAGAAAAAGGGACTTGTGGTTCAGCTCCGCAAGATCGAGACACTACTCGCTGAGCGAAAAAAGAAACTTGAGCGGTCTTGAGTGACTACCCTGGTGCCTTTTCTTTCTTTTCCCTGTATTATTTCTTTTTTGTTTGCATCTTCTGTCTATGTGATTAGACATCTTTATACCCATTTCGTTATTTCTATATCCTCATTCAAGTTCGGCTATTACCTGTTAATATTTTCTTTCACCTGTGTAATAGATATTAAAGTGGTTTTAATTTCACAATCAATCTTTCATATAGACTGAAAGTGAAATTTTCATTTTACTATCATAGGTAGCCCTGCAGGACCCCGTAGTCATCTGATTGATCCGAGTCCCGGGTTTCAAGGCAACCTCGGGAATCCATGCATGTACGAAGTACTCCATATAGTAGCTTGAGCTGTCTCCCGTGCATGTTCCACAACTTGAACTTCGAGGAATTCCCATCCCGTCAAGTGGATCGTACAACCCCAGGTGGATCCTGGTCGTGATTGAAAGATTCCACACATATAACATGGTGGTAATAATGAATTATGAATCTGGACTAAGAAAAACAGAAGGTTTGTTCCTGAGAACCTTGGAAGAGCTCGAGCGCGGACCGTGTCACGGGATCCACCTTGTAACCAAACGGTAATTGTGCACGCGACGCGACGCGTGAGTGGAGACGCGTTTCCCGTGTTCTCCTCATCTTTCCCCCAATGAGGTTATATTGGATTCAACTTCTGGCCCCACGACCTCCATCACTCTACACCGCACAATGAGATCCCAGAAAAAAAAAATGAAAATGTGAAATGAATTTGGATCCATTGTGGGTTTTGTGCCTTAGTATCGCTATTTATATTTATGGAGACTGTGATTTTATACTGATTTATATGGAGTACGGAGGGCTCTGTTCTCTGTACTCCGTAAGTACCCCATGTACGGTAGATCAGGTGGCTGGGAAAGAGTAGGTCAGAAAATCTGCAATGGACATCAGCAGACATCGTTCTCGGGGAGATCATAAAGCCCTTGCAGATAGGATCACGGTTGATTCTAAGTTCAAGTGTCTCTCTCTCTCCAGGGCTTCAAGTTCAAATCTGGGTAATGGTGGATTCTCGGCTAAGGCCACGATCAACCGTACATTGCACATTACGGAGTACGGAGAACTAGGCTCAATTCTCCATTAGCCTGTAATCCGTTGGTTCTCTTTATCTTGGTAACTTCAAGGTTCCCAGCCCCCCTCATTTCTTATATAGGTCCCGATTCAAGGACTCGGGGGTTGTATACTTGTGCAGCTTGCATCAAGTAAGGTCCAACATATACTTAGATGGGAAAAACTTGAAGAAAATCTAAACAAACTGTTATCCCAACACATTCCATGTATGAATCAAATAGATTAATAGGACTTTTTTATTTTTTTCTAAAAATTTTAGATATTTTTTTAATCAAGAAATTACACCAGTTTTAGTTGCAAGTAGCGCCAGTTAGTAGCCTTTTTTTTCGTGGGTGGTATTTTTTCACTTGAAAGTACTAAGTACTGAGTACTTCTATTATGTACTGATTCACCCTCTCTTGTTTAGGTACCCGCTACTCCTCTTCCCCCCCCCCCCGACGCCTCACTTTCCCAGCGCCCAATCTCTCACCTTCTCCTCTTTCCTTCCACCTCTCTCACTTCTTACCCTTTTTTTTTCTTTCCCACCCGCGATTCTTTTCGCAACTGTGCTTTCTTTTGTTTCTTGGGCGTTCAGGTGATGACGAGATCCATTCCATCAACTCGTGGATAACGGGATGGAGCCGCAGTTGTAATCTGGTGATCCCCCCCGATTTCCAGCGCGCGCATTCCGCAAACACATACTTCGACAACCTCGATTTCCTTGAACCACCTAGTCGTCGCTTTCACTCGATAGTTTCCTTTTTTTGTTTCCTCTTTACTTTTCTTTTCTTCCCCATTTTCTCCCACTTCTCTCACGATTCACGACCCTCATCTCCCACGAACTACTCTTGACGCGCTTCGCCGGTTCGAGAAGCCCCATTCCATATCCGGACTCTCACCGCGAAACAACCCCCATCTCACATTCCGCATCGCAATCAACCCCTCACCTTTACTGAGAGCTGTGCCACGAGTCATTGATCATCATGGCTCAACGTCAGCTCTCGCGAACCCTTCCCAAGAACTTCACGTTCCCGTCTCTGAGTATCGACGAACCCAAGACTCCCGAGCGCCCAGCCTCCCCCTTCAAGGTTCCTGCGCGACCCCAGAACATCTCCAACGGACGCCGACGTCTTCGCGGTGAAACAATCAGTGCTGCCAGCAGGGATGTCTCCGCGTGTATCGATTTAGACTTGTTCCAGTTCCGCGGTTTGCCCGATGTTCCCTTACCCTCGATCGAAGTGGGTCAGTCAAGCGCGCCGGTCGAGTCCTCTATCGGACACCAGCCTATCAATGACGAACGCTATCTCGCTCCCCCGCGCCAACGACTAATGTTCAAAACTCCCCCGGCTCAGATTCGCGGCGCTGAATTTGAATCCAATGACGAAACCCAACCGTGGCCCTCGTGGGATCAAACGCCCTTACCCCATGATATCCCGCGCCCGGGCTCCGCATGCTCCACCATGTCCGATTCGTCAGTTGAATCGATTGAGACGTACGCATCGCGTCCTTCGATAGGAGGCAGTTGTTCTAGTGTTGAAAGCGATATCTTTGATTCCTTTCCGATTGAAATTAACAAGGACGCCGAGCTGTCTTCTCCCACTTTGCCCAAGAAAATGAAGGTCCAGCGATCGCAGGTACGAAGTACATCGTGGACTCGGGATATGGACAACCACCTGTGGAACACCTACCAGATTTATTTGCAAGATCCGACCATGACTCCCTTCAAAATGACACCTGGCAGTATCCCACCTTTGGGAGTGACCACTCGTGTGGCACGCCGAGCTAAGAAGACCTGGGAGAAGAAGCACCGACTGATTAAGTCCCTGCCAACCCAGACTTCTGATCGCAGCGGCAGCTCGACCCCTACTGCCATGGATGGCATCGTCTCCCGAGTATCCTGGCCCAAGTCAGATGCGAAGACCCGCCACCGACTGAAGATGCTGTGTCGTCGCAAGTTCTCGATTATGCCTCATTATCACCGTATGATGCAGTCTTGCAGCCCAGAGCCGGCTGAAAATGAAGATGACAGCCATCCCGCTTATGGCACCCGCGACCTCGGCGTATCTCTTGTTACATCGTTTGCGTCGAATCCTCTATCCCAGTTTGCGGAAGAACCTGCTCCTGAAATCAAAGTTGAGCCATTCAACAATCATGTGCAAAGCGATCTCGATCTCACACTTCCTCCTATTCCGCCCTTCAATCAGCACCTAAACGTTGATCCCAACAGTATTCCGCGATTGGGATCGCCATTTGTGTACAGTACCTGGGGACCTGGAGGCTCAACCCGACAGGTTGAGAGTATTTCAGTCTCAGCTCGTCGCGAGACCGTGCATGTTCCAAACCGTGTACGACGCAATACTCACTTTGCTGCTATGACTCCCCGTGATCCCGATGATGTCTTCTCCCCCAAGACTTATGTCGACAATGATCCTTCCGATGAAGAAGTGCACCGTCGTCTGAACGAGTACATGCGTGAAAATAAGGGCCAAAACATCGTTGATGGTCGAGCTCGTGTGCCCCGTAGCCGTGGTCTCACAACTGGCGCAGTCAGCCGTTCCCGGGATGTCAGCCAACTGTTCTCTCCTCCTTCATCTTTGAACTCATCCCAGATTGAGCCTGAGGAAACCACGCCGGTCACCAAGCCTCCTGTCAACCCATTGTTGAATCTCGGCGGAGAGCATATCAAGCGCCTGGGATCCCCCTTCAAGGCCGAAGGTGGTTTCAAGCGTCGCACCGCCCCTGGAAGATTCATTAGACATGCCCCCTCTTTGTCCGATCCGTCCTGCAATGTAGGGTTCCCTGCCTACCCAGGCTCCATGGGTCCTTCTCCGATTCAGGAACAACCCAAGCCTCAAGGACCCCCTCCTTCTCTTCAAAATCCATTTGAAGAAGGACTTTCAGATGCTGAGCGAATTCGCCGGCAGATTCTGAACATGCATTCAACGCGCAATTAAATGCGCATTCTGCTGTCCACCTTTGCAATTACCGTTCCCCATTATGGCGTCGATTCCTTTGCGAGATCTTTTTACCTCGATTTTTTGCATGATGACCTGAACGAGATAAAAGGGGGGTTTTCTGTGCCGCCCCCTCTTTTCCAGCTTGATTTTTTATTACGACAGCAACGGCCTTTGACGATTGTAACGATATTTGAGACGGCTCAAGTCTCAGATACTATCTCTGAATGACTTGAGCAAACCCCTGAAAATCCAACACATCACCCTGACCCGAAGAGAAAATTTTGATGGGCTCTTTCTCTTGATTGGTGTCAACTTTCCTCTGTTGACCTCTTGATACGTTTCTTTTCAAGAAGTCTTCCACTTTGTTTCACTGAGCAGCCAGCTCAGTGGCCTCTTGCCACTATCTCGGCTCTCCATTCTTCGCAGAGGACCATTGACACCCCTATCAAGACTACATTCATTATCTTAACACTGCATATGGAAGTACTTGTGTCTTTTATGAGACTCATTATGCTTTCCATTGCACTTTCACTCCCTCTCGCTATGCGATCGACTTATTTCCTTTTTCCTCTCCAATTGCTTGAGTCACTCGATGTGGCCAAGTGCAACAACAAGAAAACAACAAAAAAAGCAGAAAACATCACCGAAAATCAAAACAAAATACCCACTCCGCCATTGCGCGATACATTCTCTACCTTTCATTTATCTCTTTCTTTTCTTTTTCCTATTACCTGTCGTTGTCGCCTTGAGAACTTATAGTTGTGTACTCATGCCTTTCACCATACCAACTTAAGTCCGGCGACACGACCTGAACATCTCCTCTCCATTTTCTCTTCGGCCTCTTCTGCCCATTTATGGGCCTCAAAAAACGGAATTTCCGTTAAATCAATGTCACGCTTCCCCAAAAAAGAAGAATATGCACGATGATACATACGCAGCATAGACGAACCGAAATGAAACGACGCACATGAAATGCAGTGGCCAACGACATTCTGAGACGCAAGCGAGGTGTTTGGTTCTCTTCTTTGCCTTTGCCAGCGCTTCTTCAATTTCTTCTTCAATCTTTTTGCTTCACTTGACTTCCAATTCCTATTTATTCTTGTTCTCCATCCATCTCTCTACCCTAATATGATTTGTGCTGCCTTGACTTGCATTCTGCTTGATCTTACCTTTGATCATGGCAATGCTTGACTGAGATACTATCCGTGATTCCTAGGTGTGTTTTAAATGCCGAGGGACACGAAGCAGAACAGAATAGGGATTGGCTTGTCTTGTAGCTTCCATTTTTGATTTCTTTCAATTTTCCCCGCGAGATTTACTACAGATTTGCACGCTCCACAGCCGGTGTCTTTGTTTCTTGCGCGTTCTTTGCTTTCGCAAGTTCGCCTGGGTCTTTCCTATGGGGGCTTTTTACTAGCTATGTCTTTTGATTTACAGACAATCTACCATCTATTCTTACCCCCATGATATCATGATTATTATGTGTTTTATTAACACTCCGTATATTTGCTTTACCAGGTGGGCCGAGGGCTGAAGACCGTGTTACTGGTGATACTGCAACTCTCGCCACCTTGACGTTGGAATTTGCGTGGTGTCATGGATGTCTCAGGTCCCATGTGTACGTTGCTATTCGGACTGGTTATTCTTCTTTGAATGTTCCATTTGGATCATATTTCTGATCTGCCCAGCTCTACTTGGATTTTTCGGTTGACCATGTCTTAGGACAAGAGAATATTAGTCAACTGACTAGGATACACCTACCATGACGTCCCAAGGTTAACTGAAGGTAGGTCGGTAATAGTTAGGCCTCTTTTACTTCTACTAGGTGTTTTTCCTGCCACCACCTGGCATAAACAGAGGGCCTACGCCTACAGCTTATCCCTAGGCCAGAGCTCCCAGTTGCCTATATCCAACGATTTACATGTAGCAGCTAGCCTGTCTTCCTCTCCAGGTAACCCCGTAGGTAACCATCAGACACCTGTAGATGCTACAGACTGAGCCTTGTACTTAAGTATGTGAATATTCCTGTCTGAGAGGATGTGATCACACCTAGCCTAGCATTTGAGTGCTGGGGACATAACTTTCCCAATTTCGCTCCTACAGTGCCACGCGAAGCTTGGCGGGAGGACTTCCAAGGTTATCGTCGGCAGGTGGCTGTCATCTTACCAAGACAATGCTACCTAGGTAAATGGATCATCGGAAGACTAAGACAACATGACTCAAACTCTCTTACATCAATGGATGAGATCTGCCGTATACTAAATATAATATCACCCAGGTGGGCAGCTTGCTTATAGCTCTGTCGATCATCGATCACCTGGGACCCATCAAGCACCACACCTGGTCACTGATGTAATCCTGCAGTCTTCCGACAAATGGAATCCCAGAATAGAAATAGATTTGCCCCATGTCAAGGCTGCAAGGGTAAACTTTGTTAATCATTGATTATTTCAAGTTCCTAAAAATTGCAAAAAAAAAAAAGCTGTGTTAGAATGTAAAGAATAGATTATAGCTCTTCAAATCCTCCTTTACTGCCAATTCTGTCTAGAACTCACTAATCGATGATGTGAGATATCCTGGGCATCAAAATAGAACTTGAAAACGGGCGGGGCTTTGTGAGACCTACATACTTGGGCTCAAATGTATAATCCAGTGGTCAGATCATAGCCTACCTGCAAACCCCGCATCCAATCATGACAACGCCAAGATAGACCCTGAGAAGGCAAAGATCGATGTTTCACCGCGCTGAAGCTATAAGAATGAGGATTCCCTTATTCCCTTATTCCCTTGTTCCTACAACCATCAACTTGAACATTCAATCAGTCTACCATTTACACATCCCACTCTGATCTACCAAATCAATAATCAACACTGATCTTATCTCCACTCAACATCAACATCAACACCTCAACACCTTACTTCACAATGCATTTCACCACTCTCCTCACTTCGACTCTCGCTCTCGCAATGAGTATCTCCGCCGCCCCAACTCCAGCGACTCCAGCAAATACCCGCTATGTCCAGCTTCGGCTATACAGTGACCCAGCCTGCGGCCAAGATGGAAACCTCGGCGAGTTAGGTGTTTACGGGGACGACGTGAACAAGTGCAATGCTTTTGGGGATTATACCGTTGAATCCGTGAGCTTCGAATATGCTATTAATAATTGCACTGGTGAGTCTTGCATTCCTTCATTTATTTTGCCTTCTGCCTACCTACCTAGGCTTCCATTATATTTCATGTGGACTAGCTAACACATTGAATCCAGTGAGTGTTTATACCGATCAGTCCTGCCAGGCGGGTGCCCAGAGTATCACGTTGGATACTTGTCTTTCGGAGAATGCGCAATATGGGAGCTATCAAGTGTTCTGCAGTCAACTTTGAGTCGCATTCAAGTGAACAGACATATGGAGCGGGTTTAAATTTGCACTTAATGAACTTAATGTTTGGGGAGGCGCCCGGGCGGTTTAATGATTAATATTTTTTCACGAGACATACAAAATACATACTTATTTCAACGCATTTGAAAACTCCTCCAGTATTTGACCACAAGCTTCAACATTTAAAGTCCACTCATATACCGATGCTGAGTAGTCTCCTCCAAAACCTCAACCCGCATCCCAACCTCAATAACCCCCTCATTCCTCGGCGCAGCCATCATCCCAAAACAAGGCTTATACTTCAACCCCGGATCCACCCTGCGATACGACATAAGCGTATCCCACGGTTGACGTTTATGCTTAACCGCCGAATCAGGATCAACATTCGGAACCTGACACCTTCCACACCTCGTCACGATATCCATAACCAGCGGCGAATTCTTCAACCCAGCACCAGAGTTAGGATTAGCATCCGCATCTCGAATCCGAACAAGTTTCCACAAATCCTCACTCCAAGCCTTCTGTCCCTTCACAACAATATTCGGGCGAAACCGCTCAACAGTAATCGGATCCGCATTCGCAACTCTAAGCCTTGTATTAAGTTCCTTTAACGAGGCCTCAGAAGCAATGAGGACTGGGAATTCATCCGGAAACCCGATTGTTTGAACGCGACCGATCACTTTTGGTGCACCATTTCCTTGGACAATACGTGCCGTAGGACCCTTGTAGACTAGAGCGACAGGACGATCCAATAAAGAAGAGAAGACGGCGTTGATATTTTCAGCATAGATGTAACCATCTGTATCCTCGCCCCAGATATTTACATTTGCGATTTTCGTGTTCGCTTGAAGCCATTCCTGGGTCGGGTATGCTGGGATTCGAATTGTTGTTGTGTATGTTTTTTCGATAGGAATGGAGTTCATCTTGGTAGTAGATGGAGATTCTGATTCTGGACTTGGAATCGAAATGATAAGTTCTTGACCATCATCACTAAGTCCAGTTTTGATAAGTGTCATTTTGGCATTTTGACGAATGGTGATGAACTCGTTTTTCTTGGATGAATCAATTACCATCCAGCGTCGATCTAGCGCGAGTCCGTGTTCTTTTAATGTGGCTTGCTGCACTTCGAATCCCCGACACGATTTAATTGGGTACATCCATAACGAGATGATCTCGCTGGATTGCTTGGGTCCCCAGCTCCATAGACGTAAGCGTGGAAGTAGATTTCCTGGTGATGATTTGCCATTGCTGATCCATCCCTTCAATTGAGGGAGGAGTAGGATTGGGAGGAGTAGGATTGGGAGGAGTATCAATCCTAGAACTAGGACTGAGGTTGTTGGTATTCCTTCAATCATGACCTCGAATTGCCAGTGTCGATTGGTCTGATTTATTTCTTTGGAATCCTTTTTTTTGCTTTTTGGACGGATGACGGGAAGAGTCATACTAATACTATTAAGTAGATTGTGATTTTGCCGGATTGTGCCGCCTCGGATATATCGGTGACGTCAAATGACAAGCATTTGAATTTCTTATTACCGAATGATAATTATATTGTTTTTCTCTTTTCATCTTGTTCGTGGGTCTCCAGAAATCTCTTCCGTGTGTATCTGATTTGCTTGTGTAGATATGCAGTCCATGAACACTCCATTTCCACATCCCAGCAAGGCTTTAATGAGTGGGTCCTGTGGCAGGTTTCAGGGTCTATACTCCGTATAGCCGCTTGCAAAAGAACGAGGTAGAGACCGTAATGGAACTTGAAGGAACAGCGAGTTCAACCTAGGTTTAACGGGCTCTTGAGCAAACATTGAAGGTAAAGAGTAAAGAAAGACTCGGACTCAACGTATTCCTCCTACAATTGAAACCTGTCTCAATAAGCGGCGAAACCCTACAAAAACATTGATTTTCTTGCATATCTTGCATAGTAACGAGTTGATCATCGCATTTATCACAGGGCTCCAGCTGTAGATGGCAAGAATACATCGTGTAGCTCATTGATTACCTTGGTGAAAGAGATGCGTGTACTATGTACAGGCTAAGCCTAATTTGTCAAGAGGTGTCCATTTAACAACTTGATCCTTGGAATGCTCCTGAGTCCTGAGTCCTGCATACATCCAATCCGTGTGCGTTTCATCCAACCTGGGTTCATGAACCAAGTCTGATAATTCTGACCTATAGTCTCAAAATATTGACTTAGACAACCAGCTAGCATTCTCTCAGAGCCAAAAATATGTTCAATGGCCTCTGATAGTCATACCAGGCAAGAATTTGTCCGAATCGCCCCAGCTCCTCCTAAGCCCGGCCATGTCATCCGAGAGATCATGAGACATGCTTGTCAGGCTTGTGCCATACGCAAATTAAGATGCGACAAGATTAGCCCCGCATGCTCCAAATGCCTCAAGACAAGACGGGAGTGTTCATATGAGTCACCTCGAGCTCGCAAGAAAAAGCTAAACGATGATCTACTTCGAAAAGTCGCCAGATACGAGTCGATTTTGGCACAGCATGGATTGCTTGATACTGCTAATTCAGATGTCGTTGATGATATTCCACAAGAGACACAATTGCCGCTACCCGTGGGGTCTATCAGCCCTTTCAACTCAGGCACGGCAACAGGAACACTAAGGGCGAGTCAAGGAAAATCAAGATACATCGAGAGCCATATTTGGAATAACCTTGGAGATGAGGAGATTCGTCACATCTCGGATGATGAAGAAGCAGATCAAATCACTCCTGATGATTCAGCTACCGTGCTGCCAGATCCATTCACAGGAGCTTTCCTAGGAATGCAGCGGAGCCTCCTTGATCTCCACCCAAGCCATACGATGGCGATGATAATGTGGGAAACTTATGCAGAAAGTATTGAGCCACTTTGCAAGGCACTGCATATCCCATCAACGGGGGAAATGGTTAAGCGTGTCTCTTTGGATCCCATAACAGCGTCCAGACAAGAGGAATGCTTGCTATTTGCCATATACCACGCCGCAATTTTCTCCATGACCGAGGAACAGTGCATCGACAAACTCGGTCAGGCGCGACCTACTCTGATGCCACGATATCATATGGCCACTCGACAAGCCCTCGTGAATGCCTCATTTCTCAAGACCACTGAAATGTCTGTCCTGCAGGCTTTCTTCCTCTCTCTTCTGACCAGCCGCTCATCATACGATCCACACACATATTGGATGTTGACAGGGAATTTGCTTCGCATAGCCCTTCGTATGGGTCTTCATCGAGACGCAGAAAAGCTTGGACTATCACCCTTCGATGTTAAGATGAGACGACGACTTTTCTATCAGATTTTCCCGATGGACGGCCGAGCAAGCCAGATTGCCGGTACGGAAATGACTGCTCTTCCCGAATCATGGGATACTCGACACCCTCTGAACATAAACGATGATCAAATTTGGCCTGGAATGACAGAAAAACCTACAGAGAAACAAGGCGCAACTGATATGATATTCTGCCTATCGCGTGCATGCGTGGGACTGAATCTAGCTCGCGCTGGCAAGCCAAACTGCCTTGGGCCGTTCATGCCTAACCAGCGTAGTGAGATTAACATACTTGTCGCTGCCGCTGAGCGCGAAGTAGAAGAGAAATTTATCCGCTACTGTGACATTGTCAATCCTCTTCATTTTCTTACGATGGGATTGGCCCGATCTGGAATCACGGCAATGAGGCTTAAGGTTCGATTTGGAAGGCTTCTTAACCAGACTGCTACTGATGCAGAGCGGAAGGACACCTTTCAGTTGGCTCAGAAAACTTTGGATACTGATGCGGCCGTGCATGCTCATATGGGACTTAGCAAATATCAGTGGTTCATCAAGCCATTTTTTCTGTGGGGAACATGGGATTCATTCGTTCTTATTCTGAGTACCATCTGGAAAAGACGCGATCTGCTCGCGGTTGGACAGATTGAGACTGCCTGGAAGATCATTGAGCAGCTTTACAAGAATCATGAGGATCTCATGGTGTCGAAGGCCGCACTGCATACTGCACTTAGACGATTCACACTGAAAGCATGGGATTCTCATCCAACAAGCGATAAGGTGAGGGAGCCAGAATTTATTGTTACGTTGCGATCTCTGCAAGAACAGAAAGGAAGTGATAAGTTGCGAAGGCGACTCGTTAGTGATCCTTCGGCAGATACAATGTCACCCCCCTGGATCTCATCAGATAAGAAGAATAATCTGTCCCTTGAGTTTATTCAGGATCTTGATCTTGAAGCAGATGATTGGATATTTTGGAATGACTTAATTCAAGATCACGATCACAACGCTGTATAGTATGACCTACGTGATTGGCTGAAAGCTCGGCCCCGAGCTATCCTTCTCATGCACCAATCAACGACCCGGATATCTCGGGCTTCTATATCAAGGATGCGAAGCTCGATTTACAGCAAATCATATTTAATGAGCTCAATTTTCCAGAAAATTGTCAGTCAGCATCTTGTCACAAACAAATCTCATCTCATCATAATGTCCGACTTGAGAGTCCTCATTGTGGGCGCATCCATCGCAGGCCCAACAACAGCCTACTGGTTAGCCAAAGCCGGTGCAAAGGTCACAGTTATCGAACGATTCCCTCAACTACGTATGAACGGTCAAAACATAGACATCCGCACCGTCGGAGTCTCAGTTATGCGCAAGATTAGCGGCATGGAAGCAGCCGTACGATCCAAACTCGTCCCCATGGACGGCGCCAGCATGGTCGGAAGAAACGGTCAACTATACGGAACCCTACGATCTACCGGAAACCCAGACCAGCAATCCATGATCTCTGAATTTGAGATTCTACGTGGAGATCTCGGAAAAATCCTACATGACATGAGCAACGAATACGAAAATGTCAAGTATGTTTTCGGCGAGCAGGTCGTCTCCATGCATGCAGATTCAGAGGATGGCCCCATAACCGTCAAATTCATGAACGGGTATCCGACCACAGAATATGACCTCGTTCTTGCTTGTGACGGCGCGATGTCCCGAACCAGAGCTATAGGTTTTGATTGCAATGTGCGAGACCATGTTCGACCGACCAACGCATGGGCAGTCTACTACTCTGTCAATCAAGATTTTCTCAACGGAAGCACAGTTGGAGAAGCCTACAGTGCACCAGGAGGTCGCATGATTGCCATAGGCCCCGACTCACCAGGTGTGAATCGATTGACATTGATGAACAATGGTGAAGAGTCCACCCGAAGATTTCGTGACGCCAAAGCCAGCGGCACAGATGCACTCAAAGAGTTTGTCGCAAGTCATTACAAGAGTATGGGCTGGAAATGCGAGGAGGCTATGCAGGGCATGTTCGAAGCGAAGGACTTTTACGGTAGTGAAATTGTCCAGGTCAAAATGCCGACTCTTTCTAAGGGGCGTTTCGTACTAGTTGGTGACGCCGGCTATGCGGGTGGTCCAACTGGTAATGGAACCAGTCTTGCAATGGCTGGAGCGTATATCTTGGCTGGGGAGATTGCGAAATGTGAGGGAAATGTGGCGGCTGGGTTGAAGGCGTATGAAGAACAGATGCGTCCTCTCATTACTGAACTGACGAAGATCCCGCCACTGGTTCTTACTTTTATTGCTCCGCAAACTGTGTGGGGAGTCTGGCTGCGAAATTGGGTATTCGCATTCATCTGTTGGAGTCGCATCTTGGATCTTGTGCAAGGATTCTTCGGAGCCTCGTTTTCCAATAGTGAGCAGTACAAGGTTCCTGAGTATGAGTGGGCTGAGTGATGATGCGCTGGAACCTTGGAAGCTTTTTTGGAGGTCTTTGTTTTGTACAAGTGAATGTGTATATTGATCTTTTTATGATAGATTTTTGAACCTCATTATCGTTAGAAATCCATAAGACAAATAAGAATGCAATTGATCCGCAAATATATGATGAAAATGTTAATCTTGATATAATATAGGCCCGAAAGATGACACCGCGCGCTGATAAAATGCGATTAAAACGGCATGTTACTATGCAAAGCCTCATTTAAGCAGAATGCTTATCATCGATCCAACAAGTGATCATAGTCTTAATCAGAGCCAGAGTGATTTCACGACCACGCTCAATATCTGCATCCTCTGCTGCCCCAGGAACATGCAAAAACAGCACATTGCGATCCTGGCCCTTCTGCATAGCCAATGACAGGCTAGTATAAAAGATAAAGTCACATAGATAGTGACCCGCATCATGAGAAATTCGAAGATCCAGCCCAGCAGACGCATTCGATTTCCAAGTACCCAAGAAATTGTCATTGGGCGGGCACGGGCCGCTCCGAACACCCTGTTTCTTTTGCTCATCTTCCTGTTCTTGAGTAAGAGGAATAGCCTTACCCGGACTTAATATCGCTGGTAGTCCGAGATCCTTCCATATCTTCTCTCCATCCTCGTAACCAGAGCATCCTTTGATATCCGTAATATTGTAGTCATCGCGATGCGCTAATGACTCGACGGAGTAGTACAGCCTTGGTGACGCAATCCCAATATGGATCACTATATCTGGTCGTCGACCCTGATTGGCTGCTTCGAAATCACTCAGGATCGAGGGAAGAGCTTCGCGAACGGACGAATAGGCAACAGGTATAGGGGACGGGTGAACATGTAGAATGACTCGTCTATCGGCTTCGTGGCTGTTCTTAGGAGCCGGGAAGGTAAAGGACGAAGGAAGCGATTGAGCGATCAGAAAAGAAGCGTTCACGAGGTTGGTTTTGAAAGGCTAATTGCACCATGAGGTTATTGAATCGGAATCGGAAACTTCTCTGGTCCGGGCGCAGATCACTCACACCAAAGCCTGTTACTAGCACGGATATCTCGTTGGAGGGAGCCTGTTGTAAGGGTTGATCCACTTGGGTGGAGTGGTCAGGCAGGACTGTGGGACCATAGTCACCCATTTTATCTTGTATATTGGATTTGAACAAAGTCAATATAGTTTGAAAGTAGTATTTCTCACTTCAAAAAAGAGTGAGTTCTCAGAATTCAATAATGTAGAAAGACATGAGGTTCAAGTTTGGAGAAGGGGAAATGCGGGGAAACTCAAGTCTTGGCTCTTATCTTGGTTTGCATCATTTGCATCCTGATTGGACTTTCCATCTATGGATGTACTAGGTAAGGTCTACAACTTGGCTTATGTTTTCATTTTGATCATACAAGGATGCTTCTTGTTGCAGATACACAAAAGTCACAGCTCATTCCATGTTTCACCTTCGATGTGTTACCAATTCTCAGACTATTCCGTCCACGCTGATTGGCTTTACTCGAGTCATGGAGAGGTGGATCCTGGCCTCAGTCTGTACCCTTGAGATACCCTTTTAGGGCAGGGATCGTTGACTTGAGCCGAGATCAATAATGACAAAATAACAAGGGCTATTGAGACTTTTCTCGGAATTATCAGTTCCCGAGCTGCCCCAGTCTACAGAGTTTCTCTCTTGATCACTCTGGGTTTATCTCTTTGTCGGAGCAAGCTATACCCGTGACCTGATCAATGTGCGTTGAAGTGGAGTGACAATTTCGGATGCTTGGACGAAACCCGAATAATCTACAACAGGCTCGATCTGACTGGCGGAGATTGCTGGCATCATGATTCCAAGGTTATTATCTCAATCTTATAAATTATGTCGGTGCCCGGGGTATTGACAGATTATTTCTTTTCAAATCCACGCTTTACCTCATGGCTCTTCTTGCCAAGTTGCTGGACTTCCCCTATCTAACTGAAGGCCTTTGTGTGGCTCTCTTATTGATTCTGATTTCTAGCTTCTGGGAGGATCTGGCTGAGGAAATTCCATACTTACGAATTCCATTGATTGGTAAAAGCTGGTGGGATCTTTCCAACAAAAAAGCCAAATCGAGATTTAACAGGTCGGCTCGCTCTCTGATTGCTGAAGGGTTTGAGAGGGTGAGAAAAATCTTAACTAAATAGGTCCTTGGAGATATCACAAATACTGATTAACAAACAGGGCAAGGATGTCTTCCAACTCATGGGGGCAACCAAATCATTGATCATTCTACACCCGAAGTATATTGATGAAATCAAGAACCATCCCCATCTGGACTTTGAAGGTGCCACTGAGAAAGTATAAGTGCCTTATCATTAAAAATACATGAGAGATGGTAACTAATATTGACGCAGAACTTCTTCTCTGGTCGCATTCCTGGCTTCGAGCCGTTTATTCATCCGAATGGCGGATCCCAGGTACTCTTGGACTCGGTCCGGATCAAGTTAACTCAGGCGCTTGGTATGTGAACCCCAAGCTTTTGATATGATTGATCTAATAGGTATACAGGCGGTTTGACAATTCCCCTTTCCAAGGAAACGGCCGCTACAGTGAAAGATACATTCCCCATATCAAATGGTATGGCATGACCTCTGGACAAAATATTATGACATGGTATGAAATTCTTAATGCTGACTACACTGTCCAACACAGAGTGGAAGCCGTACAACTTCTCACACAAGGTCCCTTACATGGTCGCGCGTATCTCTACATTGGCATTTCTCGGTGAAAGCGTCTGTCGCAATGAAGACTGGATCAACGTGGCTGTCAACTACACAATCGATGCATTCAACGGAGCCCGAGAATTACGACAATGGCCTACCATTTTACGTCCACTAGTTCACCACTTCCTACCATCCATGCGAAAAGTCCGTGCCGATTTGTCCATCGCCCAAGGTATTGTGAAACGAGAAGTCGAAAAACGCCACATGATTCGTGATGGGACATTGCTTCCCGATGGCCCACCTCGTACCCATACTGATGCTCTCGACTGGTTTGAGGAGATTTCGAAAACCAGCAACCTGCCATTTGACATGACACGCGGCCAGGTTGGTCTGTCCCTAGCCGCTATTCATACCACCTCTAACCTTCTCACGAATATCATGTACGACCTCGCTGCATACCCGGAGTATATCCAACCCCTTCGCGATGAGATTGCCGCCATGATTGCCGAGGATGGAATTCTGAAGAAATCCAGCTTATTGAAGCTGAAGTTGATGGATAGTGTGATGAAAGAGTCACAACGTATCCATCCGGTTAGCTTGAGTAAGTTCGATCTACTCCATCTAGACCACTCCATATACTGACATTTCCATGTGCCTTAAGCATCCTTAAACCGTCTTACTCTCAAGGAGGTTTCCCTGTCAAATGGTACAGTAATTCCAAAAGGAGCTCTAGTTGCCGTCTCAGCACATATCAACTTTGACGAAACCGTCTATCCCCACCCTGAAAGATACGACGGCTATCGATTTTTGAAGAAACGCCAGGAACCAGGTCATGAGCACAGACATCAATTCGTGACGACTACTCGGGAAAGTTATGCGTTTGGGCATGGTGTCCACGCATGTCCAGGTCGTTTCTTTGCAGCGAACGAATCCAAACTCCTACTTATTCACCTGTTACTCAAATATGACTGGAAACTACAGGATGGTCGGGAACGGCCAAAAAACTTTGATATTGGAAGTGAGATCATCACTGATCCCACTGTTGAGCTACTTTTCCGATCTCGGGATCCGGCTATTGACCTTTCAGCACTGGGATAGGTATCTTCCTAGCTGTGTTGTGAAATCCTGCCAGTGGACTATCTTCAATCGCATGCTTTTGCACAGATTCAACACTGAAATTAATTATTACGCCTGTATAGTCTTGGGTTCAAATTTGGGCTATGTGTATAATTTATTTTTCTATGTCACGGTTCAGTTGATCATCCACTCACGTCATCAGGCTTTTACAAGTCCTCACGCCGCGCTTCGCGCGGCACTGTAGCAGTGAATTTGGGAAAGGTACTCCGTATGTCTTCAGCACTTAGGTATTCAGCTAGGAAGCGCCGCTCGATGGACATAGTATATCATCCTGATCAAATTAACTTGTAAGTGCCTATACGGTATACTGTGCCTGCACATGCCCAGGTATGCTCATATCCTCTCAGGCAGGCATTTTCACATAGTACTTGAGTACCTACCCAGTCAGTAGTATCTACACATGTGCAGAAGACTGACAATCCACCCTTCTAGATGTATAGGTACCTACAGGGTTACCTACATAGAAGGGAAGGCTAGCTGCTATGCAAGTGGGTATAGGTAACGAGTAGCCCTAGGGATAAGCTGTAGGTTGATTTTTCCCTCGTCTATTATTATGCCAGGCGGCGAGTAAAAGTGCAGGAACCCAAGTAGAAAAAGAGGCCTACCTACTACTATGGGACTATAGCATGTTCAAATTTTCTTAATACACTAGTGTAGAAAGTCCGAGGATTTCGCAAACTTGCTTTTGTTTTGTCTTTCCAGGAAAATCAGAAACAGTAAATGCTAGGAGAGCTTAAACTATGTCTTTCATTTCACAGACATCATAGTGCTCTCCTCAGAAAAAAAAATCACTTTTTGTACTTCAGACGTTTGCAAAGTCTCTCCATTTGATATTCAGGCCATCTCCGGGTTACGAACATCAATCTTCAAACTATCCCGCTGACCCTCTCGGTAAGCATCTCCATCTCGAATAGCCGTGGATCCTCTGTACGAAGCACGGCTTAGTTTGATACCTTGTCCGCTCAAATAATCAGTCGCAACCTGATCTGCCGTTTGTCGAAACTGCACGAGCTGCATGCTCGATTCCCATGGAGAGACATCAGATACAGACTGAGCAGCAGGCTCGGATTTCACGGGAACCTCTGGCTCTGCCTTGAACTCAGGAATCTTGTCAAGACTGACAACCTCTGGCCCCACTACTGGATCTCGTTTCATCAGTCTGTTGATGATATCATCATCGTCGTCACGTAGATCAATGGTTTCAATATCTTTGGCACTAAAGTCCATCTGGATGCCGGAGTTGACATCGCAGTCGAAGCCAAATCCATCGTTTGCGTCCATCTCCCCATCATAAGGATCGTTGATATCTCCCATTGACTGATCCTCTTCGTAGATACGAGTGAGTTTATCGGAGGAAGGCGTGGGTGGCGGAGGAACGGTGAAAGGCGAAGTTTGAGATGACTGTTTTTGGGCTTCCTCCTTCTTAACAGCCTGATATTCCAGCTCCTTGCGCTTTGCTGCTTGTAGCTCTTTATCTTTCTCTCGGTTCGCCATAGCCACAAGGCCATCGGCGACACCGAGACGATAACTGAATGACGGTGTACCTCCTTTGTATTCACAAGCCCATACCGAGATCTGATTATGTGTCATCTCGAATGCCTTTGCCGCCGCGACGGTATTCGGAGCAATCCCATAGAATGTCCATTCGATACAGTCGTAGAGGTCACTGACATAGAGTTTGCAATCGAAGAAGGTACACATGGCTCCAGTCAATTTCTCTACAAAGCTTTCTTGTACAGCCTTCTTCATTTTGTTGCCATCCGTTCTTCTAACTTCCACAACGCTCTGCCCACCGTAGTGACTCTTTGTGTTGTCATCTTTCATAATATCAGCTTGAGTGACGTTGTGCTGGCTCATGAGTTTCTGTGATAGGAAAAGAGCCGCTTTCGCTTCTCCCTCAGACGAATTTGCGTGATATGCCCGTGCTAAGCATTTTTGAATCCTGTCAAGGATTTTTTGGTCCACTGAGTTCTGGGACTTCTGGGTGTCTGTGGCTAGCTGGGTGATCTTGGCACGCTGAAGGGGTTTTCGAGCATTCTTCTTTTTTCTCGGTCGGGTATTTGAAGGAGGCATGTTCGATATTGGCACTGGGGTTGAACGGAGGGAATATTAGGGGAGAGATAAGGAGAGCCGAGAGACAAGGGGACGAGCTGAGAGGTTGGGGGCTTAAAGACCTTTGGCACAGATGCCTAATAGGCAGTTGCCTCGTACTTTTCTTTCGTACGTGCGGCACTAGCAGGGGACCCTGTCAATGTGATGAAAAGAGGGATCAGTGATTGGCCTATTATCCTTGTCCTTTGTGATGAAGGCGCGCAGATGGAAGCGAAGCTAACACTGAGGAAAATGTAAAATGACGCCTCGAACAATGAAATTATGACTCGTCTTCTCCAAAATCAAGGAATAATCAGAGTCAAAACTAATCTTATAATAATATACCTAGCCAACACCCGCTCAAGCCATGAGAATTCCATGGATGCCCAACTCAATCGAAATATCAAACCCGGTGAACAAATTAGCCTCCCAGGATTCCGATCGAGTGATAACCTGGTCCCCTAGGCAGAGTTCGGCATCAGGAGATGGTTGCAAGAATGCCTTCGCCTTCCAGTCACTGTCTTCTAATTTTGGGCATGACTGGAGGCTGTTTGTAGATGTGTAGTCGCTTTTGCATGTGGATCCTGTAGGGTTGGCACTGGCGATCTCGCTTGCAAAGTACTTGAAATTAGAGGAATTATTGACGTTGAAAACTTGTTAATATTTTTTTTAATAATCCATTCCCTAAAATCTATCATCATAACGCTGCTGTACAGATACGCCCCATGGACATATAAAACCATGTAAAGTCACATTTATTTCACTTAGTTCTTCAACTGCTTGCTGGCTGAAACACACCAGTTGTTCCAGTCAGTGAAGAACGAAGGCTGGACATGGCACTTAGTACTGCAAAGCTGCTCCTTGCGAGTGTCAGCATACACATCCACAACACCAGCAATAGCAGCCTTATCATGCGCAACTAGAACCTTCACAACCAGTAAGCTGGCCTGGCTAGTAGCAGTGGCATGAGCGGGTGGGCCACTGTGTCTAGCCTCCTTATGGATAGAGCGCAGAAGCTCCCAGACGGGCTCATTCTCATCCTCAATTTTCGGGATCGCGGAACCCTTACACAACTTGGTGTACTCGCGGAGTACATTATTAGCCTTGCTAGCGATCTGCTTCACAGAAGAGCGACGCGCAAGTCGGAGAAGAGGAAGAATCAGGTCAAGAGCTAAGGTGCTAGAGTGGCACTTCTTGACGAAAATCTCGATCAGATCGAGAACACGGTTCTTGAAGTTGACCATATTCTCGCGGGCGTGTTTCTTGTCCTTGATTTTGGAGGTGACCTGAGAACGAGCTCGGAAGACCTTGGCGAGTTGTTCATCGACAGCGTCCATCTCGTCGTCGTTCATGTCAGCATCTGAGTCGGATTCTTCTGCGGTCAGATCCTTGTCGGCTCGGTGGGTACCCAGCGCGGCGGCAAGCTTGGCTTCGAAGTCAGCGACTTCAGCGGCGTCTTCCTCGTCGTCATCTGAGGCCTCTTCTTCGTCTGAATCGGACTCGGGCTCAGAGGCGTCACCTGCCTCGACGACTTCGACGTCGCTGTCGAGGTCAGAAGCATCCGCCATTTCTTCATCTTCGTCACCTGAAATTTCTTCGACGTCATCCTCATCATCGTCTTGCTCGTCAAACATTTCTTGCTGTCCAGCAAGACTCTCCTTTGCTTCCAAGATCTATTAAAAATGAGTTAGCAGTACTCTTGAATGTCAATTTCGTAGGGTATCCATACCGAGATCAATGACTCCAGACCGTTCTCAGTGACCTGATCAGCAAATGCACCAAAGACCTGCTCGCTCATGCGGCGGAAAAGTTGTGACTGCTTCGATGCAAAGCTGAGCAGGATCTCAACAAGTGCATCAGATGCATCGGCAGTGTCCTGCTTCTTTGAGTCTGACTCGCCCATGAACTTTGAGTAGCAGAACTCGAGCTCTTCAAGCATTGACACCGCATCGGGATCAGCACTGTAGACCTGAAGGACAGTCATGGAGTAAAGGAGCTTGAAGGCAGAAAGACTGGATGCCTCGCCCTTCTTTTCCCGTGAGAGTGTTAATAAAAGATCTACAAATGTTGACAAAGTAGCAGAGAGGGTCTTACCTTGCTAGACAGTTTCTTCAAGGACTTAAAAGCAGTCTTCACTGAATCCTGCAACTTATCATCCATGTTGATATTGAACTTTCCGTACTCTTCGGACTTGATGGCATCGCGGATCTGCTTCACGACGGCGTATGGGATTGTCGCAGCATACTTCTGGCATGCAAGAATGCTGTTCAATGATGAGTTGACACGGTTGCGCAGCATCTCTTGAGTTGCATCTGATAGGGCAGGTTGTGGGGCTGTGGAAGCGTCGGCGGTGTTGGGGAAGTATGCATATCGGACAAGGATAGACAAAATCTGCTCTAGGATCGATTGGAAATCTTCTTCAGAGTCACTGTTTCCAGTTGCCGCCTTTGCGCGCACGATTGAGAGAAGGAGACCAGCAATGAATTGACGGTTGGATGCAGCGGTCTTGTCATCATCCGCACCAGGGTTACTGAGAAGCTTGCCGAACACAGGGACAATATCCGCCAGAGCTTCATTGTTGGCATCCGCTACAATCTTCTCGATAGTCTTTGTCTTTGTGGCCTGATCAAAGTTCACAGCTCCAGCAGTACCCATAAGTCCACTAACTGCTGCCGCGGCAAAGCCAGGCTCCTTGGAGACGCGAGTTTGAATAACCTTGGAGGCCTTGACAGCCATGCGGTGCAGATAGCGGTCCTCGACGGCAAGTTGGTTGGTCAAGCAGCGAACAAGGTTCTTGGTGAACACCTGAGCCGCCTGTTGAGGCGAGCCCTCGTTGAGGATTTTGTTAAAGAGGAGGAATCCCCAGTACTTGCGTTCATCAGATGATGAGGCGGCGAATAAACCGTCTAGAAAAAAAAGTTAACTTCGTGCGACCAGAAGAGTTATTTCAAGTATTGACTTACTGTCCACGATCTCAGTCCAGAATTCACCAAAAGACAGGCGAGAGGATTTAGATTCCTTCGACTTGGTGGTCTCGCTGGTTCGCGAGATAATCGCATCCCAGGCAAAGTGCAACTTGGAGTTCCAAGTACCAGAACTCTTAGCCTTGTTTTCACCCTTGTCCTCTTCAGTGGAAGACTCCTTCATGATTTTTGCCAAGCTGCTGCGCTCCTTCGTATCCAATGGGTCATCGTGCTTCCAGATCTTGTTAGGGAAATTGGCAGCAGGGAACATGTCCTTGGCCGCCAGCCAAACGGCAACACCCTCAGGCGACCGAGCCAGATCATGAGAGCACAAACCCTCCAAAGCCGCTTCCAGGTACTTAGCATCCATATTGCGAGCGGAAAGATCGTAGACGAGGCGGTAGACAATCCAACCGCATTCCTCACGAAGCCAGGGCTTCTTCTGGGCGATTTCGAAGACCAGACCGAGGACCTTGGGCCATTGTTCGTATACAGCGTGGGGTTCGAAAAGGACAGCGGATTTGATAATGGCTTCGGCACCGAACAGACGGCCAAAGATGTAGTCACGTTGTTCCTGTATTGAAGAGTTCTCCATTAATGCTGATCTTGTATAAACCTATATAGTTCGAGTGCAACTCACCTGTCCAGACTCGCTATTAGATGTGCTTGACTGTGACTCCCAGAGTCGGAGTGCATCCACCAGCTCAAGCTCCGAGCCCTCGCGCTTAACAGCAAAGATCTGGGTGAGCATCTCGGTCAAGGCAATAGAGAAACCGATTCGAGCGGCCTTACGGCTACTGCAGAGACCGCGAAAGAGTCTCAGCAGCACCTTCTTGATTTGCTCATCGGTGGGGTTCTGATCAGGAGTGAACTGCGAGATGAGGCTTTGCGCAGCCTTGAGCCGGATCTCATCTTTCTCGCTGGCCAGGTCCTCATAGATCTCGACGAGCTTCACATCGACATTGTAACGCTCGCGACGTCGTTTTTTCGGGCCGTGGAAGTTGGGCGGCATGGCGTATGAAAAGGCTTAGTGCCTGGAATGCTTTGACGTGACAATCAAGGTCACAGCTCTTTCAATGGAGCTGTTCGCGAGGATGATTCCTGGGGTGCATTGCTCGTTGCGGCGCAGAAAATTCGGGGAGGCGGTTGCCATTTACGGACTAGCGTGCTGCGATAAGCTGATAAGGATTTACTTCATTTGAGACTGAATTAATCTTCAAGATGGAAATACCATTTTTAGATATGAAAGATTCATTGAATCACTCTAGTATGATAACAATTAAAGGTATAAGCTTGATTTGAAGCTGTTCAGGTTGTGGTGCAGGTCAATGGTTCAAGTTGCCACATCGTGATTCTTTGAGTGTGAGACCTCGGGATGAATATATAACGAAAGTTCAGATGACAGCGCTACATACCTACGAAGCTTTGTGTACTAGGTAGTACTATGTACTACTACTAATATTCCAACAAGTTTGGAGAAGCATTCAAATCAATGCTAGTATATGTAGCATTGGTCCATCATCGATAACATCCATCCCCATGGCACGTACTATATCAACTCACCTTCCACTGCCTGTCAGTGAGGTCTTATGTAGGTCAGGTCACTATGTCTATAAAATGGCAGTGTGAACCTGGGAACTTGAAGGACGACCAGTTGACCTCTGAATCGCACTTGAGCTATTGAACAAGTGTCAACGACCTCAAATTGAGATCAGCCAAGTCCGACTCGGAGTTCTTCCGGAATTCCCCTTTACCGGTAGCTGTATACCCCTATTCATGTTCAGTGGCATAGCAACCATATGAGCAATGAACAGGAGATACATCTACAAATGAAACTTCAAGTTGAAATTTTCAATCAGTTAGTACTAGTAGTAACTTACCAAACTTTGAAATCCGCAAGTGATACTCCGTAAGTACCAAGAACCAATATACTCGCAATCTACATTTCAACTGGAGCCACCAAGCAAGTCCAATCGGCGTCGATCCCACCCCGAAGAAATTCCACACTGGCACCACCACGTCACGGTAGCACGGCGCAACAAAATTGACATCTCCGCCGGACCAGAAATAATAACTTTTCGATACAATAGTCGTTTCTTGAATTCTCAGGTTAATTGAACCCCGAATCCTCTGCAATTGCCCGATATGATCCTCCAAATCTTGCGTTGTCGGGGGTACCTGCGTCGACGATCGGGCGTTAAGAATAAATTCGAAGGAATGGTCTAGATGCATGTGTAGATCACTGAAAAATGAAGCGTCAGGTCCATGAATCAGAGTCTAGATGGATCAAACATTCGACTTCTCTTTTTTCGGGTAATGCGGGTTCCAAGGTTGGATGGCTCCGAAAATATGAGATGTGATGGATGAGGCTGAGTTCGAATTCAAATGTATTGGTGTCCTCTGTGCAGTCACAGTGCGTAGGAGTACGCAGTAGTTCCCGTTTTCCCGAGGTACCGATGCATTATTCCAAGGTTCATGTGCATTGATGCATCTGCGTAGGCAGCAGAGTACAGTCCGAGAGTATATTCGAAAACCGAAATCGTGTATCCAGATGTCAGTGTGCTGCTAGCGGCGACCGATAACCTTGGAAACCATCTGCGTAGGTTCGCTAGACAGTACTAGTAATTGGAGACATTGAAGGCCGGTGGGCGTGTACTCCGCAGTATTGATCCATGGATGCAAAGTGTCCAGGTGAAATGGATATATCGTGGGGCGAGACCAACGAAACCCCAGCAACGGGCTTTATATATTTTCGCCCCGTCTTAGTACTCAAGGCGACCAGGCTACCCATGAAACACGTAAGAAAGAAAAGAAAAGAAAATTGCCAATCATTGACGAAAATAGCCTTCTATTGCAGTTGTGTGGAACACGATACGTAGAAGTGACACGACGTGCTGTTCGTGGGTCTCTCAGGGGGCCATGCGTCTCGGTTTCCGCGCGGATGACAGGTACCGGAAATGATAGATCGCATGCGCTGAACACCGCGTGGATGGTACTATGGGCTCGGCTGCGGCAACAGATGTACAAGATAGGGGAAAGAGATGTGATGATCAGGGTGAATTGGCTTATTTGCTTTTTTATCTGTCCGTTGGGCGCTACATCATACGGGAATGATGTACTGTACCTCGTAGTTGGGCGCACCTCCCCAAAAATAAGTCTTGGATAGATCAATTGGAACATGTCAATTTTGGATGACCGTTTTCTTTTTCTTTTGCGATTTGCATTACTGTGGATATGAGGCATTGGATATTGGATATTTGAATTGATGGTCTCTGATCTATCTGGATCCGCTAGTTACACTATCTATTTCTGCAAGCCGTGTAATATGGTCATATACTGAATTGTTAAACACTTACCCAAAGTTAAGCCGGTCGCTGACTCAGATCACCATACGGGCTGTGCGATTTTAGTGCACATGTGGAGTGCGACCGGGCCTGAAAGTACTGAATAAGGAGCTAGCCTTAACAATAGCACCTGGGCAGGGGGGACAGCGGCTTGGTAGTGTGGTATAGTGACAGGCACGAAGACCAGGTGGGTTTGGTCGCATGGGTGATGGCAGCCGGGGCTTCAATAGCGCCGCAGATCGGGGACGCCGGGCTGGAGAATTTAGTGACAAATGACCGGGGGATAAATGGGGTCCGGGAAAAATAAAAAGTGGGAGATGGTGATAATACCCAAAATGTGAGCTAAAGAGATTATTCCGAGATGATGGTATGGGTATTTCAAGTTTTGTAGAATACAGAAAACCCAGGGGAAACAGAATACGATACTCCATACGCAGATGAGAGATCGAAGTTGTTAAAATCAAGATCTTGATCAAGATTGATTGTTGTTCTGATGTCAGTGATGATCACGGGGTTACGCATAGAGTTCGCGTTGTTCTTTGTTTACTTTTCAATGCGAAAGAAGTTATTGACATCACGATAAGACAGAATGAAGAGGGGAACCCCAAGGCCCAGAATCCCAGATGCCATGAGATGTGATGGACCCCGCAGCTACAACAGGCATATCGCTTGGAAACTCAAGACGACTGGTCCGTTGCACATGGCGCTGTGACGCAGATGACGGATCACATCATCGTGGGCTGTCCCCGAACCCCACTTAGCTCTTGGGGATGCAGGTCGTGGCGCAGCCCTGCAAGATACAGACCGGACTGGCCGACCACCTACCCCGGTCAAGAGATCCCAGCGGGATGTCCAAAAAAAAGTCAGCTTACGAGGATGCAGCCGATTCGTATGATTGGAGCACTCTCATGCATGGGTGAAGTAGGCGAGCCCATCGAGACAACTTGATGCAACTCACGACGCGTCTTACCCAAAAAAGTCAAAATTTGCTTTTCAAAACACTCGGATTGTACGAAGTAAACAACCTCGGGATCAAATAAACGTCATGCGGTCATTGATTTCCCGGATTCAAAACATGCCCACCGTCTAGATCGTGGATCAAAATAAATGAAATTGACGGATCATGTCGATACGGAGTAGTGATGATAAGGTGACGTAGCCCCACGGACCAGCATGGGGTCACTTCGGAGAAGAGACAAAGCAAATGCACCGACTCTACGGAGTGCTCCCGAAGCTACCCCGGAGCACCCGAGGACAGCGTGCAAGTTCACACCGCAATGTTTGTGTCTGCTACGGGGGTACGAGGTTCGCAGTCTGCAGCCAGATGTATGCGTCACGGCGGTTACACCTTGGGACGGATCAATCGGCATGCATGTTGATGAGGATTCTATCCAATGGAGACAATGACAATCAGAACCAGTTCGGGGTTTCGAAAAGAGGGGTTGCTCGTATGCCCAGAATAGAAAGACGTGGGGTCTAGGATTGGTCTCAGCTCTTTGTCCCATTGTGACTGGGTGGGAGATCCATGCTAGCTCCATCGACTAGGAGTTTCAAGTTCATGAAAGAGCCGCTTCATATAGCATGGTGGCGAATTGATCGAAAATGGCGCGCCTGATCGATTCTGGTTTGCTCGCTTTGGTTGGTCACTTTCTGATATCTCCATCGGCTCCATCCACTAAGTTTGTAGATGGAGCAACGCCATTGAACCGAGCGTCCCATGTAGTTGCGACTGACCAGGTATTGGTCAATGCGTTCATTATTCACGCTTGACGGGGATCTCAGATGGGTGCTAGCAAGCGCTGGTGACGTGATTCGGAAACAATGTTTTTATGGCTCCATTGTTTAGCGATGTGCCTAGTACGGCCAGCTGAAGGGACTCGTCATCCACCACGATCGGAGCCGATATCTCGGGAGACCACACGAGGATACCCCATTTTCGAGGTTTGGCCGGGCGACGAGCAAAAGCACTGGGTGTTGATTCCCTCCCACGTCCTTGGATAGCAATTAATACCAGAAACATCCTGCGAAGGGGCTCAAGGGATGCGCGACATTGAAAGGTCCCCTCGCGGACCCTTGATCAACCGGAATGCAAGTAAGGGTATGATGGTATGAACTATGCCATCACTCACTAAGGGCTTCAAAACCGTGAAATGCCATTCATGGACTTTCAGATAACCTTCCATTCCTTACTCAATGCTACCTTTTGTCTTCTATCTTGAACCTTTCTCCAAGCTGGGGCAGTATAGTGGGGTAAACGAGCTGTCCCGATCGCGTTCCTCCGCCCACTCGGGTAATGATCATGCAGGGACGAACTCTCTGTATGGCCATCATGCGCCGCCTATTGAGTCACACCAATCAGTGCCTCGGCTATCATCTCCGGGGAATCGATCCTCATCACCGTAGGCCAATTTCATGAGATTATCTTCAATTTCGGGAATTTTTGTACGCAATCTCTTATCGGATGCAAACCCACTTTAGCTTTGCTCCCAATGGGAATGATCGTCACGAAGTTACAACGCACCATTCACGAGCTCCAAACATCTCTGGGGGTTTTACCTATTTCGGTGATACCGAAGAAGTCCGAGCTTTTTTGAAGTTTGGAGTTTCGACAAAGAGGTTTCAATGCCATTCTCGAGGATGGGACTGCGCAGTGACGTCGAGGGATTGGTCAATCATCGCCGTTTTGCTTGAGTTTATTTGCGATCTTACATGAACATGAATCTGGGGGGGAGGTCATTCCATTGGAAAACCCTCCAGTCATGCATTTCCTTGCATGGACGATCCTCGCATCACTTGCATCAGGGCCTCGTTTGACTTGTTCCTGAAGCTCTAATTTTTCCGAACGGGTGGAAACGCCTAAGTGGAGCATTGACTCCTTAGGCTCGATCTCGCTCCATTTTTTCAGCTGAGCTCTGCGACGGCACACACGGGATCTTTTTTGGAGACGAGGAAGAAAGAAAAAAAAAGTCTTTTTTCCTTCTACGGTGGGTACAAATGGTAAGAGACCCATGGATGAGGTACTGTGAACATCCATTTGGAGGCTTAGGATAGTATATGCTCCGCCCGTACCTGAAAATTTTTCTATACAAGGTGGACACCATAATGCAGTATAACCCTAAAACCGTTTTATGGTTTCATGGAACCGAACAGCTAAGAACAGTTTTAATGGATATCCCCTCACGTTCAAGATTGGGGAGATGTTTTATGATATCCAAGATTTTCCCCATATTCTCGGGTCTACTAGGCCAGGGGGAAAAACATCACCATGCGAACAGTAGTGTACCTGACAGTGTTTAAGCAGGCTGATAGCTAATAACTACTAGTAATAGTCCGAGACACATGGCGCCAAGGATTCCCTGTGTTTGAATTAACCCCTGGAAGCCGTGCACTTTTTTTTTTTCCTGGTTGAAAGGAATGAAGATTAAGTCGCTGATAGGCGCTGGGGTTGCTGAGCAGCCGGTAGTCTGGACGATGGGCGGCAAGGGAGCCCGGGCAACCAGACTGGGGCCAAAGTGAGAACACTACCCGTACTGGTACGTCCGTCCAATCTTCTTCCCCCCTGTGCAGCAAAGCATGGGGAAAATAAAACCTGAAAATCCATACTTAATTGAGTAGAAGTACATGAAGCCATAGATACATTGCATACCAAGGAAATAAAAAGATTATTTTAAAAAAGCAGCACGAAGTAGAAGTCCCACTTTTCATAGTAGAGAAACCGGGTTCCCGCATTATTACGTATGGGAAGAATTGTTGGAGGTTGATACACTACGGTAATACTGACACTGATACTCTTACCATACAACATCCGTACCCTATCTGGAGATCCTCCCCACTTGCGTTGCCATTGCAACAGACCCATCCCTTCAGCTTCACGAGGTTTCTTTCTTCAAACCGCTTATTCCACCTTTTTTCTTCTTCTTTTCTCTCTTCTATCACGACATTTTTCAACACGACAACCCTTCTTGACATTTTCCTTTTACTAACGTTGACCTCCGCCCGTGGTTTCATAGTTCCATATCCTCCGGAACTACATTCTCACCTGTAACTGCATCGCCCCCTCAGGCCCACGAGCTCTTCGGCCCCTCTCCAATTGCAGCTTCCGACTACGCCGAAAAAAAACCTACTCCGCATTTTCGGCCATGCCTCTTTAATTCCTTCACGTTAGCTTAACGATTACTTCCTCGCCACCGGTGGTTTCTGGGGGTTTTGGGAAATCTTGGTACTGGGTAGCTTGGAATACGAATTGGTCGTTTGCGGCTCGGGAAAAAAGTACCGTTTGAGGAGGAATTGGATTTCGACAGTCTACGCCTGATAGCTGTGGAGTCATATTTGGAGAAAGGAACAGAGCAATCAGCATTTGCAAGCAGTAATCTGGATTCGGATTATTTTATGATCGTCTCTCTGGATTCTACTTCATATCTCGTGTGTGTTCCCGGCTCGGAATTTGGACCAGTTGATATTGAATTTTGTTGAAAATGGAACATTCATCTCCATTGGCTGCTATGCAGCCCAGTCCTGCATTGTTTGGTCGTTGCTTCAGAGCTGATGCTCCTACTTCGTATCCGTTGTCTGGGTTTGGAAATGGCTTCAACTTCAATGAACTGTCAATGAGGAAGTCTGGGGCGGATTACTTCAACATGGGTCCGTTGCAGGGTTCATCGCCAGCTGCTAGCTTGGCAGCAGACCTTTCACAGAATTTCCACATTGATCAAAGGTTCGTGAAGTGCGGGGATGAAAGCATGGGTCACAGGGCATCAAAGAAGTCTAAAGACTAACTCTATAATTAGCCCGCAACTGGTAACACCAAGACGGTCTTTGTTCTCATCGAATTGCCTTGCAAAGGCTGGACGTGGTAAGTCGTTTGCTCATCGATTACAAAGCGCTGTGTCGTGTATGTTTGCTAAGATCATGAACAGACGATGTTATGACTACCCCACCGTTGCCTTCTTCTCCTGCTGGACCTGGGTTGGATATCATGGAAATGAGCCCTTTGCCCCACAAGCCTGCTTTCGTTATGACTACAGAGATTGAAGTGCACTCGCCCTCGCCATTGACTACTCCCATGGATTCTCCAGTGAGGTCAGCTGCACCCAGCCCGTTGCAGGCTTCTCCCATGGAAGCCCCGACCAACCGTCCGCCTGAGTACGTGCGCTCGAATGTGCTTGGCCCACGGGAAAAGTCGGCTAATGAATGGAATAGGAGACGTCGTCCTGCCTTCCTTCGACCCAGCTTGGCTAAGAGCAAAGCCGCATCTTTCCAGCTTGGGATGAACCGACCTAGCCCTGAGGCCAAGGCTCCCTTCCGATTCACTACCCAGACAGCTAAGACATCTCTGAGTACCTCGACATCTCTGGAGGATATGTTTGGTGACTCTCCTCCTCAAGAGAGAACTAGCTCTCGTAACAGCTCTTCGAGTAGCCTGGCACCGCCCCGTCTGCGGCCACCCTTCCAACATGCTCGTAGCAGCGGCTCGCCCGCTCCTAACTCCATTCGCAAGCCCTCTCATCCCTTGATGCGCCCTCGCAAGCAATGCCGTCGGTCATTGAGTATGTTTGAGCACCCAGCGGATGTTATTGCCGATAAAGAGGCCAAGGTATCAACAAATGCACCCCTACAGTCCATCAGTGACATTACAAGTTCGCCCCAGCCACAGCTTCCTCACTTTACACCTGAGGATCGGGCGGACGGTTTACCTCGCATCGACAAGAACACCATGCTGGAGCTCCTTGATGGGAAGTTCAATGACCAGTTTGACAACATTATGATTGTCGACTGCCGCTTCGAATATGAGTATGAGGGTGGCCACATCAATGGTGCCCTGAACTACAATGACAAGGATCAACTCGCTGGAGAGTTGTTCAACTCGCCCAAGTCCCGAACTGCCCTGATTCTACACTGCGAGTACTCTGCCCACCGTGCGCCGATCATGGCCAAGTACATCCGTCACCATGACCGTGCTGTCAACGTTGACACTTACCCCCACCTGACTTACCCGGACATGTACATCCTTGAGGGTGGATACAGCGCTTTCTATGCTGAGCACAGCTCTCTTTGCTACCCTCAGAACTATGTCGAGATGAATGCAAAGGAGCACGAGTTCGCGTGTGAGCGTGGCCTTGGCAAGGTTAAGCAGCGTTCCAAGTTGAACCGCGCTCAGACTTTCGCCTTTGGCCAGCACTCCCCTCAGATGGAGGACAGCCCTACTGGTCGGTGCCGATTTGATAACGATCGCAGTCGTCTGATGAGCTCCCCCTTCGCTGAGAGCCCGGTGCCCAACCGTACCCCAGGTCGGCGTATGCTTTCCTACTAAGAATCTTCTTGTGCTTTCTGCTTTCACGGCGCCCAACGGATACCAATGTTTCTGTTTTGTTCTTGAAGCGAGGAGTTTTTCATTCCGTGGCATTTTTCTTTTTCATCAATTCCCTTTCTTGATTCCCGGTGGCTTCAAAAAGCTCTTCGACCACCATTTTCTTTTTTCTTTCTTAGCTATCGGCGCAATGATCGACTCTGGTAGCTTGGCTTGCGATACCGATCTTTCAACCTGTGCATAGCGCACATACCCAACATCTTCGCCTCGATTTCGACAGCTCACCTTTTTTATCAACCATATTCCTTGCCTCGCGAGATATCTGATGATGATACCGTCTTCTCTTTTCTTTTGGGCTCTTTTTTTTTGCCACGGAGACTTCTCTACGATTCAGCGATTCTTTTGTTTCTCCTTTCCTACCCCCTTTCCTCGTGTTATCAACACCATTCGGACATGCGATTTTATCAATTGCCACACTACCCATGAAAATTCCCGACGACGCTTGGGCAACCAACAACTATCATGACCAACCCTCAGATGAGAAACTATCTCTGAGACAATCAATTTTCCTATGTTACCTCTATGACCTTGATCCGACCGACCCGACCCCGCCTACGACGCCTCAATGGCATTTTCTTCCTTACGTCGGACACTTCTCCTCATGCTCTTCGATCGTCAAAAGACGCATCATCTCTCGCCTAAACTTTGGCATTTCCTTTCTTTCCCCATCTAATCCCTTCACAAATACTGCCCTTTAATCCGCTTTTCACCTTCTGTGTACAGAAATTCTTTCCCCTGTCTTTGTCTGGACCAGACACTCATACTTTCCTTCTTGCATATCGCGATGCGAACCATCTCATTTTGAGCGCTTTCTGCATGCATTGCAAGCGGCACTGTATTTTGAATTGCATCTTGTCTTTTCCCTTGCTAATACTGTTTCTGACCCCCTTTCTTTTTCCATGTATCGAAACGATTTGATCTTTTTGTGCTAGGACTGGTTTGGTGGTTGAATTTTGGGGATTGCGTGTGCATTCACGAGTGACTGATTACCAGCTGTACATAAGACTAAGCCTGGCAGCGTTGCAGGAATCGAAAGTTGATTCCTGTTGGATTTAATGGGTTAATTGTGGCTAGATGCCTCTAGGAGGCTGTGTTGATAACATGTCCCTTTGTGAAACAATGAAATCACATAACGAATTATTCAATCTTCGAGTTTCTAAATCCTAGCTACCTACTCTTGAGTGTCTTTCATCCAAACATTTGGATAATATCAGATCAAATGAGTTAAGCTTAAGATGGCTATTCAGGAGGCTCCTCCATTGTTCCCATAGCCTTCTCAGCGGCAACGGTACAGTGATAGCCTCTTCTCTACTCCACCCAGATAACTTTTCTGACTATTTCAATTTTTGACCTCCCCCATCTCCATGTCTACTTTGAATCCCATCTCTACTTTGAATAGGTGGTAGATCGGCAAAAGATGCAAGACGCCCCGCATCGCCAATGTTTGTACTGATAATGTGCTAAATAGTGTCAAACCTTCCCGCTCCACAGCATGCATGATATGACTCTCCCGCTATGCTACTATGTATCTAGCCCTAGAGGTAGATAATTCTCCTTGTCAACGGGGCTGAATGTATTCATCCTCGTAATCGTGTGTGGAGGCTATGGAGGATTAAGGCCTCGTCATCTATGGAGATGAGCAGGAGAACCTCGTCACTACGGATCCATTGCAAGGTGATCATTTAGGCATTAGTATTCTGTGTGGAGTGCACACTCCATAGTGCGTTGATCATGTGAAAACCTAACCTTAGGACTCAATTTGCACATGTTATACTATCCTGCTAGTATAATGCGTCCTGTCCGGACATCTTCCGAGTCCGGGTCTTTTCCGGACCGAATCGAATCACGGTACAAAGCGATATATATAGTATGTGACACACATGATAGCTGCTTGCGTACTAGCTTCATGTTGGAGTGGATATGTGGGCCCGAAGCTTGGTGATGTATCCAACGGTCAAACCGTGAATCAGATACAGTCAAGCGTGACCTCCGAGTCCTTGTTGAAAAGCTCTCGGTCGAGTGTTGCGCCAAGGTGTGGATAGACGAGCCTATATCGCCTATCTCGTTCTTGGAGCCTCAACAAGCTCTCGAACAGATCGGAAGGGGGAGAAAAAGCGGAGAGGGCTACATGGTAGCATCTTTATCATGGCCACGATATTCAAGAACTTTCAAAATTGGAGAATGACCTGGTATTGCCCATGTATTTGTAATGACAGGCTTCACGTCAAGTCTCAAATGTCCGATATGCTGCATATTCCGCCGAGGTGTGTCAAATTTGCGCGATCGGCAAACGGTGGAGGCGGCGGGTTGCATAGTTAATGACGATTGGCGGTTTCAGCTGCATAGAGTCTCTGATAGGTAGAATGTCAACTTTGCGGATAACCCTTACTCCATTCCCCCTCCGTGTTTCAAAGGCCCGCACTTTTTCTCTTCACAACTTTGGATCTTAATTCCTTCGAACTTCGAAAAACTTCTAGGGACTCTTCACTCATTTTGGGTCCCCAAGGGTTATAGTGAATTGAAGAATATCACCGCCGGCTCGGCTTCAATTCCAACCCCCTGTTGTCTTGGCTCACTCGTTTTAGCCCGGACCCCGAAGAGCGTCGTCATCTTGGACCCTTTCGCCCCGTGTCATTCGTTCTCTCAATCCCCCCAACTTCAATACTCCGGACTTTCAGGTTCAAGCTTGCCTATTTTCGTCTGCGCGCGTCCCGCCCCCCCATATCGGGTTGGCAGTTGTGTGAAGACTTCTTTTGCTGGGATATTTGCCTGTGTTGCTGAGCTGGGCTGTGCATCACGAAGACACCCGTGTTACCTTGAAGATCGCATTTTCCCGGTGGCTGGTTACCTGGTCGCATGAGGAATTTGTTCATTTTTCGCGAAAGAAGACTTCTTATCTGCAGCTTTGCGCGCTGCTAGTACTGGATACATCATGCCTTCGCTTCGAATGGGCCTGCCCCATCTGCCAGTTCTGGCGCGCTCGCTTTCCTCCACCGAAGATACGTTCACAAGCTGGGACAAGTGTATGAGCAAAGCATACTGCAAGTAAGTTGAGAGATTGGGTGTCGACTCGGAGATGAACTTAGTTGCTGCGAACAAAGCACTAATCAATATTATCAATCTAGGTGGCCTGTTATCGTCGCGATCATCGTTGTCGCTGTTATTCTCATTGCGGTCGTCGGTTGTATCGTCAATTGTATTTGCTGTGGATATCGGATCTGTGCTTGCTGCTGCGGTTGCTGCTGTCCCTCTGGACGCCGAAAGAACAAGTCACCTAGAAACAAACACTTTGATGACCCTCCTTTCTACAATCATCACAGCGAACCCCCACCTCAATCATACAACCAGCCCTCATATAACCAGACCCCATACAATCAACAGCCATCAATCCCAGCGCCACCTTCATACCGAGGAGCTGTACAGACAGCCACATTTGACACAAGCAAATCGGCTGCCAAATCTACCGCCTCTAATGTCAACGAGGATGCGCTCCCTGAAATGCCAACATGGGCCTCTGCCACCGATAAGCATGTTGAGGATACGAATGTCCATGAGGACGTAGAGATGGAGCCATTGAACCCCCAGGGTCATGCGCCGGACCGCAAGTATGGCGCAGGTACGCCAATGCACAGTAACACGTATGCGGACTACTCTTCGGATCGAATTGCAGGCGCAGTAGCCGCAGGAGCTGCAGGAGCCGCTGCAGGATACCGAGGATTTAACCCGACAGACCCATATGCCCGCCGTTCGCCTGCTCCTGCTGCTACACTCGCTGCCACACAGGATCCCTATGGTCGTCGGTCACCAGCCATGCCTTCGCCTGCCGCTGCCGCTGCCATTGATCCGTACGCCCGACGCTCCCCAGCCCCAGCAGCTGCCATGGATCCGTACGGTCGTCGATCTCCTGGCCCCGCAGCTGCATTTGCAGCTGCTCAGGACCCCTATGGTCGTCGTTCACCAGGCCCTAACAATGCTTTCGCGCCTGCCCAAGACCCTTACGCCCCTCACTCCCCTGTGCTCGCCTCACCCATGGGTGCCGTAGGTGCTGCTACCGCAGTCAGCTCGTATGATCACCAGCCATATGACCAGCATCAAGCGTATGATCAACATCAGACATACGATCAGCACCAACCTTACGACCACGCTCAACCCTACGAGGACTACAGTCCCGGTGCTGCCAATCCTATGATCAACACCACAGGAACAGGCTACACACCGCATACTCTAACTTCGCCTTCCCCTGTCGCGGCTTACCAGCCGCAAACAGGCTACAACGCTTTCTCTCCAACTGCAGAGACAGCCCACCACGATGTTGGCTTTACCCGTCAACCATCTTTCGGCTCTAGCCAGTACCCACCCACATACACCTCTCAGCCGCCTTACCGCATTGCCTCGCCCTCTCTCCCTGCATCACCACCACCTCCTTTCCAGGCTCCATCACCCCACGACATGATGGGCCACGAGTATGGTCATGCGGCACCCATCGGGATGGCAATGTCAGAACCTGTTGGGCATGCAGTTAGCTCGAATGAACCATCGCGAGACCGTCCGCCCACTCTATTAATGAGTGGAAGACAACCCGCAACGAACTTCTAGGCTGGTCCGATGATAGTTGTATGTATTTTTGTATCTGGGATCTACTTCATTTATGTCATGTTCTTTTTTGTGTTCATCTCGGTTCACCTTTCCCTTCTGCTTGATGCAGGCAGGTTATTAGGGAGAGCATCCATTTTGATACCATGGTCGTTTTCGTTCTTTCTTTCAATCTCATGTTCATGTCGTCTCTGACCCCCTTTTTATTTGTTTATGTATTCTCCATGGGGGTTGAATCCTCGCAAGAATTCTTGCATTTGTATATGATTCATGTCTCTATACGGGACTTTTCTCATCTTACTTCTATCTGGAGTCGATACGATATAGGCGTACTTCCAATAAAAAGGAGTTTCAAATTTCTTCACATGTTTCTATTTACTCGTATCTTATACAAAGTCATCATACCACGAATTTAGATCAGAATTTTTCATGTTCACTTATAATCAAGTGCTTCGTATCTTACATCAAACCTCGAACTCACCAATCACTCGAGGTATCAACGCCACACGGTATGTTTCAAGACATCACTATGTAGCAGCTTCCAGGGAGAAATCATACTTCTCAAACGCCGCCTTGAAAGCCACCGCATCAGCCTCTTCCTCCACCTCAGTCTGAGGAGCATCCTTCCAATACATTCTCGAATCCAACTCAAGCAACTTCGCCATAACACGACGACCGAATTGAAGATCAAAGCGAAAATCTTGTGACAAGTCCAGCATGAGCATTTTCTCTGCTCCCTCTGTAGAATCATCCGCATTCCAGATCCACAATCTGAAAAAGTCACCAGCCTCATCTGCGCCCTTAGATTCTGATGCAGGGAGGGTTGTGAAACGTGGGTACTTGAGATTCTCAGCCTCGACCTTGAATGCAGCGTCGACGAGTCCATCGCGGATGAGGTTGATTGGGACCGGGAGGAATTGCCAGTGTGTGTGAATACCACCTGAGCGACTAACTTCCCATGTTACGGCGCCGAGTTTTCCTTCTGAGCGGTCCATGATCATCTTATGGAGAGAGGACCGGTAGCGTTGCATTTCTTTGTAGGTTGATGCTCGGCTTTCTGCTTCTTGGATGGAGGCTAGTGTTGGGGAGTGGGAGAATGGGATAATGAGCATATGTCCTGGGAACCCTAGGGAAGGGAAGAACTCCTTTGTTGGGAGGGGTCCCTTGGCGATTGTGAGATAACTTTCATCACCGATGGATGTAATCAGGTGTGTGGCAATGTTGGGGTTAGAGAGACAGAAGAAACATTGTTCTGGGCCTGGAGGCGGGCCTCGATCACGGCGATGACGCTTGTGCGAGTGATTTTGGTTGTCATCGTCTGTCATTGCGAAGCGGTGGAATGATTCCCGTTGAGGGGCAAGTGCCTTGCGTTTGGATTGAGGAGCAGACAAGGGAGATGCGGTTGCGCCAGCTGGCAAGGTGACGGATGGCTCAGCCTTTGGATCTAATGTAAAGGCGTACATGGCCTTTTGTTTGGACGGGAACGAGGCCATTGAGATGAAACGGGTCAATGGTTTGCCATTTGGGTTGTCTTCCGTGGGCATATGGAAGAATGGCTCTCGCTCATAGAAGAATGCATCTGATGGCGAGAAGTGGTATTTCGGTTTCAAGGTAGCACAGATATCGGCTACACACTGTACTTCAGTAGGCAAATCTTCTGGAGTAGAGACCTTGGATCCGGTTCTAATGCCCTTGGGCCATTGGTTGGTGATCAAGATGTCGGCGCTGTGTGTGCCGAAAAGCGCGCGAGCATCAGCCTCGCTGTATGTTGTTTGGAATTTGCCAGTGACATTGCTTTCTGGCTTGTGAGAATCACTACTGGCAAGAGTACCACCGAGAGCAGCAATGCGAACACCCTCTGAAGTCTTCAAGGATCCTCGCTTGCCAAGGAAGTACAGATTAGGGCACACCTCGTCATCGGCTTCGATCTTCTCCACTATGCGAGTGGGAAGAGGCAAGTCTCCGACAGTGAAATAGGTTGGCAGAGGTACGCCGATGTTCCCATTAAGCAGAGCAGAAATTTCATCTAACTGATTTTCAGTTGAGCAGTCTCCAAAGAGATTTCCAACCATAATTGCAAACGCAAAGTTTTGTTTGGCTTGCAGCTTGGCCAGTTTTGTAAATGCGGCTTGTAATTGGCAATTTACACCTCCAAGAACAATACTATTATCGCAATGTGTTAATTCCAGTTCAGTTCACATGTTCCAGGGTACTTACATTTTTGAGGCCATTTTCTTTGATAGTGGCCCGGTCGGGGAGACGACCAATGATCAAATAAAAAGACGCAGGTATGGTGTAAATAGCAGGATATTCGGATATCGGCAGGGATCGCTGTTTTTGGTGTGAGCAAGTGTATATGCTACTGCTAAGTAAGACGCGAAGTAGAATACAGTGAGGATTGCGGCGTATTTCTTGAAGGAGCTTGGGCCACCTCGTGACAACGCTAGACCCGATGGGGATTAGACTCTCTCCATCTCGGAATAAAGTGACTCCGTAGCCGGATAACTTTTTTTGTATTGAGCATGCGGGCAACAGAAAAGTTCCCCGATTATCTTTCTCGTTAGTCTTGCTGCTTGTCGATTCCGTCAAGATGGTGACTCAAGGCTCTCGGGATAAGCACATTAAGCGCACGCAGAATGGCACAAAAACCACAAAATCCCACCGATGGGAGCCATTCTCACAACGTATCGCAAAGCTCAAAATCGATCCGATCCACCGGGTGCGCCGAGACAGCTTTGGTGAAGATGAAGGCGAGACCACCTCTTATTTCCGTTCTGCCCTGGATCATTGGGTGGACATGAACCTGTCGGATAACTTCTCGAACTTTTACCGCCGTATGAATCCTATCTCCGAAAGTCTCGCCCAGATCCTTCACCATGAAGAGAAGATTATGGGCCTGTTGGTGGAATTCATTGAGAAAAAGGATGAACATTCAATGGAACCACTTCTGAGTTTGCTTGCTCAATTTGCACGAGACTTGGGCGTTAGATTTGAAAAGCATTTCGCAACATCGGTGACATTGGTTGCATCTGTTGCTGGAACACACCCGGACGTTGAAGTCGTCGAGTGGAGCTTTACTTGTCTAGCATGGATTTTCAAGTTCTTGTCCCGTTTGTTAGTGCCTGACTTGCGACAGCTATTGACCATCATGACTCCTTATCTTGGAAAGGAGCGACAGAAGCCTTTCGTAGCTCGTTTTGCCGCCGAATCCCTGTCATTCCTGATTCGCAAAGCAGGCCTTGTTTATTATAAGAACAAGGTTCCCCTCGAAAACGCCATCTCTTATCTTTACAACGATATTTCCGAAACCGCAGAAGAAGGAAAGGATGTGGAGAGCTACAAGGAAGGATTGATGGTCATGTTCTCCGATGCTATCAAGGGCGTTAACAATGGCCTTCATTCCAATGGTGTGGATGTTCTCCGCTGTGTGTTAGATCAACTTCCTCCTGTGGATGAGAACCGTGGTGCTCCTGCCGAAGTTGTGTACGGAGTCGTCACCAACCTCATTCACCACACCACACCTGAGACCTTTGGACCTGTTCTCAATACAGTCCGGGAATTCATTGAAGCTCGCTCCGAGGGAGAGAACACCAATATTCCAGAGTGCTGTCACTTGATGCTAATTTGCATTGCCACCCGCAAAGGTGTTCGAGTTCGAGATTGGAAGTCTGTGCACCAGACCCTGGTCTCTCTTCTTGAGCAAGTGTCTAAGATTCCTGAAAAATATACTCAAGCGAATCTTCAGATCCTTACAGCCACCGCATATGCTCTCGAAGTTTCTCCAATGGACGAGATGCTTCGGTTTGTCCGCCCTCTTATGGATCTGGTATCTACAGGGCCTCTCTCAAAATACTTCCTTTTCTTCTGCGCCACATTCGCGGAATGGGGTGCAGACCGATTCCAAAGCCTGCTTCTTCCTTACTTCCAAAAGTTCATTTCCACTTCCTGGCAAGAACGTGAATGGGAGTTATGCTTGACCCTTCTCCGACTGAACAAAGCTGGGTGCATCACCTCAGAGGTCTCCAAGCCTGGTTATGTTTCATGCCCTGATGCCTTGAAATCTCGCATTTCTGCTTCTTTGAAATACCCCACGGAGGATGAGTTTGGTTTGAACGCTTTTGTGAAGCTTCCAAAGGCCATTTCTTTATTCGCTGACTCCACCGCGCGCTCTGATATCGTGAAGAAGTTGCATAAGAACCTTGTATCTGCCTTGGGCGAAGCCTCCAAGTCAACCACTGAGTCTAATGGTTTACTCTTCTACCTTGGACAGGGATTTAAGACCTATGTTGAATTGGCTTCACAATCTGAGGATCTTGATCTAAATCTGTGGAAGGGTATTTTGAAGGCGTCGTCAAAGTTTTCTCGATTGTCTCTATTCCTAGAGGCAGTTCTTGCATTTATTTCTGCCACACCCACTTCAACAAATTTGGAGTCCCCCGAGGTTGAAGATTTTGCCAACAATTTGATTCTCAACCTGGCCAGCCCTTCACATAGATTAAGACTGGTTTCTCTTCAGATTCTGCGAGAGCTCGTTGGTCGCATCAATCAAGATGATACTGCACCAATCTCCTTGGCCATCGAGGTGGAAGAGAGCGCCTTGACCTTGCAGAGTGCGAGAACCCTCTCAATGCATGTTCGCAGGCTGGCAATTCTCTATCCACAGATTGCTTCCCAAAAGTGGATGGCTACCTTGGTACCCTACTTTTGCTTTGGTTTGTTCTCGAAGAAACTGACTCCGCTTTGGGACGATTCTGCCGCTGCATTGAAAGCCATCAGCGAGCATCCCGAGGGTGAGAAAATTGTCTCTAACCTGTCTATCCAGTGGTTGCAAGAGCGGGACTCCGGCGCCTCTGGAGAGGATGATCTGGATGATGAGGAGGACAACAACCATCCTGCCGGTTACTTTTCCTGTTATAATGTTGCCAAGGTGGAAGGTGTCCTCTCATCCAACTTGAAGACCTTGGAGAACCCAACTGGAATCCTCTCCGAGCAGTTCAGCAAAGATCACGCAAAGGCAGACCTCATTCCTGCTACCCCTCGTAGTCATGCACTGCTTGTTCTTAATGCTGTCCCCAACATTGCCGAGAAGCGCTCAAGACAGATTGTGCCTCTTTTCCTAAGCTGGGCACTGCGCGATGACCAAGATGATGCTCCTGCAGCCAACGACACCGATGCTCAGTCTGACAACCAGCCAATTAAATGGGGCTTCAAGGATCGCCTTTCCATCTTGGGTTTATTTGGTCAATTCTTGAACCCTATTGTTCTTTTCAGAGCTCCAGAAGTTCACAATGCTGTTCTCGGCCTTCTCTGTCACGGTAACTCGGAACTTCAGAAGGCTGCTTTGAAAGTTCTCTTCACCTGGAAGAATTCTCACGTCATGCCTTATCAAGAAAACCTTCTCAACATTCTCGATGAGACACGTTTCAAGGATGAACTGGCAGTCTTTGTCCGTGTTGGCGGTGAAGACAGCTTAATTGAGCAGGAGCACCGTCCTGAACTACTCCCCGTTCTTCTTCGCTTGCTGTATGGTCGCATGATTTCAAAGGCCGGTAGCTCGAACCAAGCCGGACAAGGTGGCCGGCGTAAAGCTATTCTGCGCACCCTTTCACATCTCTCTGAGCAGGAATTCGGTCTTTTCATGCATATCTCATTTGGCCCTCTCGCAGATGTACATGTTGTTGAGGACAATAAGTGCAATGAGGCGGCTTTCTCAGAGGAGTTGACCAGCCCAAGAAGACAACTTGGTTTGCTCAAGATGATTGACACGGTCTTTGACACCCTCCAGAGTACCATGATCCCCTATTCCGAGCAAACTATGAATGTGATTCTATACTGCTTGGTGCGGGCTTGCAGGGCTATTCGGGATGAGTCTGGTAATGTGGATGATCGCGTTGGAACAACCTATCAAAGCATTCGCCAATCCGCTATCCGCTGCCTGAGCCTAGTCTTTTCGGTATCTTCGGACCGTGACTGGACTCCGTACGTTCGAATTATCTTCGACGAGGTGATCAATGACAGATTGGACCAATTCCCCATCGAGACTGCGCAGGGTATCTCCGGATTTCTACGTCTGTTCCACACCTGGGCATCTTCCCCGCGATCTACGTTCTACTTTGTGCAGCACAACAAAGATCTGTTGAACAAGGTCATTGATTGTCTGAGCGTTGAGTCTGCGCGTGATGAGGTAAAGATTTTTGTTCTGGATGAAGTCATCGTGCCTCTGGTTCTTTTGGCTAGTGGCAAGAAGCTTGAGGAGGATGAGGAAATGTCAGATATCCCAGCTGAGCAGATTCGCTCTGAGGTTCTGTCACCATACCTTGAACATGCTCTTGCTCATCTCGGTCGTCTCCTGAGGAGAGGCCCATCCAAGCCTGTGCTATTCTCAGGAGTCACTGCGCTGTCCTTGACTGCTCCCTGTGTCGAGTCCTCTGGTGAGACTTCTGGTCTGATCAGTATTGCAACATACCTTCTGCGTCAACCCCCCAGACCGTGTCAACCCTAAGACCAAGTCTGGTCTTCTCAAGATTCTGGAGCACTTCCTACCTCTTTACAACCCCAAGGAAGATGTTGAGCTTTCCCAGCAGGTGTTTGAGGCTGTTTCTGCCTTATTCGACTACTTCAAGGATGATGCGAACAGAGAAGTACTGGGCAGAGTCTTCGTGGCTCTTGCGGCCCACGATCAAGTCATGGGCGAGGTGGCTGGCCTGTGCGCTGATCTGAACTCTCGCTCAATGAAGAGACTTGAACCAGACTATGAGCGTCGCCTTCAGGCTTTCAGAAAGGTCAATGATGAGCTTTCCCAGACCCTTAGCGCCAGACAGTGGAGGCCTCTTCTTTACAACATGCTCTTCTATGTTAAGGATGAAGAGGAGCTTTCAATCCGATCCAGTGCCTCATTCGGGTTGAAACGATTCATTGAAAAGGCCGCCGCCGAGAATGGAGTGGAAGAGTTCGAAACTCTCATCAACGATGTTCTGATTCCATCCATTCATTATTGTCTCCGACAGAAGTCCGAATTGATTCGTTCAGAGGTTGTCTCTGTCTTGGGCTACTTCGTCAAGCTAAACCCCACGCGCCCGTCTGTGCAGGATATGCATGTTCTTCTTGTCGGCGATGATGAGGAAGCTTCTTTCTTTAACAACATTCTGCACATTCAACAACATCGTCGTCTGCGCGCGCTTCGCCGATTGGCTAGTGAAGCTGGCAAGGGCATGATCCAGCCCAACAACCTGAGCAAGGTTTTCTTGCCTCTCATTGAACACTTTTCATTCGAAGAGGCTGCCGATGAGAGTGGACACAATTTGATTGCCGAAGCTGTTGCAACAATTGGTTCTCTAGCAGAATGGCTAGACTGGAATCAATTCCGTGCCAATTTCCGCAGATACAAAAGTTACATGCAGAGTAAACCAGACATGGAGAAGAACATTCTCAGACTTTTGGGACGGATGTCAGATGCTTTGTCTTCTGCAATGGACCAGAAGAAGATATCCAACAAAAGCGATGCAGACGCTGTTACTGATGCCGTTGATGCAGTCGATGCAGCCGATGCAATGGATGTTTCAGATGTTTCAGACATGGCAAAGTGCACACTTGCCACGACAATGCCCTCGCTTGCGCAAGTCTCGAAGGAGCTCACGACCAATTTCATTCCTTTCTTGACCCAGTTCATCCACCACAAGAACCAGGCAGAGATGAGTTTGCGTTTGCCTGCTGCAGTCACTACGATCAAGCTTCTCATGATTCTTCCTGAGCAAGATATGGCAATTCGACTCCCCCCTGTACTTCTTGATGTCTGCAGTATTCTGAAGAGTAAGGCGCAAGACTCCAGAGACACTGCCCGGAAGACATTGAACGATATTGCGCTCTTGCTGGGTCCGTCATACTTTGGCTACATCCTCAAGGAATTAAGGAACACTCTCCTGAGAGGTTACCAGCTCCACGTCTTGTCCTTCACGATTCACTCTATGCTTGTAGTGACTACAGATCATTTCAAACAAGGTGACTTGGACTATTGTTTGGACCAACTTGTCGCAGTTGTGATGGATGATATCTTTGGTACTGTTGGCCAAGAGAAAGAAGCCGAAGACTATGTTAGCAAGATGAAGGAAGTCAAAAGTAGCAAGAGTTACGATTCGATGGAGCTTCTGGCCAAGAATGCAACTATCCGCCAGCTTTCAAGCCTTGTTCGCCCTCTGCAGGCTCTTCTGCGTGAGAAACTCAACTCAAATATCGTCAAGAAGATTGATGAGCTCATGCGAAGAATTGGTATTGGTCTTCTGAGAAACCCTGATGCCGAGAGCCGCGATTTACTGGTGTTCTGTTATGAAGTCATCAAGGAATCTTACCAGGAGAATGTTGCTGTCGTCAAAGAGAATGCCCCGAAGTTCAAGTACGAAGAGCGTTTCCTGGTCAAGCTCCAAGGAGCTAAGCGAGGTGATAAGCGAGGCACAACGTCTTCTCACAAGCACAAGCTAACTCGATTCTCCCTCGATGTTCTCCGTGCTATCCTCAACAAGTTCAACTCTCTGTCAACTGCGACCAACCTGTCTGGTTTCCTGCCCATCATTGGTGATGCACTCGTGCAAGATCATGAGGAAGTCAAGATCTCCGCTCTGCGACTCCTGTCAACTATCATCAAGCTTCCTATGCCTGAGCTTGACCAAAACTCGCATGTTTATCTCACAGAGGCAGTGAAGCTGATCAAAGAATCACAAACCACCAACTCTGAGGGTTCCCAGGCGGCATTAAAACTGATTTCTGCCATGATCCGTGAGCGAAAGAGTACCAAGCTTCGTGATGGACATCTTGCATACCTGCTGAAGCGCTTGACTGCTGATATCGAAGAGCCTGACAGACAGGGTATCACGTTCAACTTCATCCGTGCTGTCATGTCTCGTCAGTTTGTGGTGCCTGAGATTTATGAACTCGTGGACCAGATTGCCACCATGATGGTCACGAATCAGACTCGCTCTGCACGGGATCTTGCGCGCGGTACCTACGTCCATTTCTTGATCGATTATCCTCAGGCCAAGAACCGTTGGACCAAGCAACTCGGCTTCCTTGCCAAGAACTTGGACTACAAGCACCAAGAGGGACGCCAGTCAGTCTTGGAAGCAATCCACATGCTTCTTTCAAAGACTGGCCCGGAGTTAGCTCAGGACATCGTCAGTACTTTCTTCCTGCCTGTTGTCCTTGCCATGGCCAACGATGAATCATCAGAGTGTCGCGAGATGGCGGGTACACTACTTGGACAACTCTACAGTCGTGCAGACCAAGAACAGATGAAGACTATCCTGTCACCTCTGCGTTCATGGCTGGAACAGACCGACAACATGGCTCTCAGCAGCATTGGATTACAAGCCATGCGTATTTTCTTTGAGGTTGAAGAGACACAGAAGGAGAAGGAAGCCAAATTCGTGGTCGAAATTTTGCCAGATTTGATGGAACCTATTCTCGCAGACCATGAGAACGGAAACTGGGAAACTCTCTACTTTGCCTTGCAGCTTTTCAGCAAGCTCTGCAAGACCGTCCCCTCGTTGGCTCTGAGCCCGCAGTGTGCATCAATCTGGACTGCTATTCAGGAATCGCTGTTCTTCCCTCATGCATGGGTCAAGACTTGTTCTGCCAATCTTGTTGGTATGTGGATGGCTGATCTAGCCAAGACCAATGCCACTGAAGGTTACAGTGCCCTTCCTCTCACAGGAAGCTCTGGTCTTGCTCTCGACCGAGAGGCACAGATCAAGCTCCTCCGTGCTAGTTTGCGCAGCCTGCGCACCCCCGGTGTCACTGAGGAGTTAGCCATGCAGAGTGTCCGTAACATGGTCTTCCTCGGCCGATGCGTGGCACAGAATGGTATTGAATTCCAGAAAACTGCAGCTGAGGTTGCCGAGTCAGAGGACGAGGATGAGGAACCTAGTAGCGAAGCTGGCGATGAGGAGGACGATGAAGAAAAGGACACTGCTGCCACCGCACCTGTTCGGTCTGCCATTGGTTACATTTTCAGACAAGTCTCTGCTCTCCTTCGTCATGAAGTTATCTCAACACGACCAGAGGCCCTTATCCCAAAGACAGCCACCATTGCTCTTCTCGCCACACTGGTTCGTCACGTCGAAGTTGAACATATCGTGCCCTCTATTAGTGTCATCCTACTGCCGTTGCAGCATATGACCGATTCCTCGATTCCCGCACCTCGGTCTCGTGACGAGAACTTCCAGAACAACTACAAGGCTATCGTTGCTAATTGTCACGAGGTTCTGGATACTTTGCAGAAGAAGCTTGGTGCATCCGAGTTCATTGCGCAGATGGCCAGCGTGCAAGAGAGCATCAAGGCGCGTCGTGAAGGCAGACGGACTAAGCGTCGCATTGAAGCAGTCATGGAGCCTGAGAGGCACGACAAGGACAAGAGGAGGAGAAATGAGCGCAAGAAGGAGAAGCGCAAGGAGAAGGGCCTTGAGCACCGAAGCAAGAGACGTGGCTGGTAAATGGCTACTTTTTTTGGCGTACTATTTGATGATTTCTTTTCTTCATGTGGCATAAAAGCTGGTGTTTGGGATGTTTATTTCAATCTTCTTGTATATACCTGGAATTTGATTTGCAAATCATTTAATTCAAGTTATTCTGTATACTACTACTCCGTACAAGTCCTAGTAGTAACTTTAGCAAACGTCACTTCCACTGCAGTTCAAGTTGAAAGAATGTACTTGCCAGTGATTACTAGGAAGCTGTGTTAAGTGGACATCCTATATCCCCCCTGGCAATGGGATTTAAATATTTACCTACTCAGTTCAGGCTGGACTTGATGGACTCGGAGGACCTGATGGATGATGGAAATGCCAGTGTCCTGTTGGTCGTATCCCGAGATTCATCTGTAGGTGAATGGTTATGAAAAATCAAGTGGAATTTCTCATACTTTTGAAAGTGATACAGCATGACTATTATTATTGACATACAGACAGACCCCTATAAAACATACCACATCATGATGCCCGGTGCTCATGCCTGGAACCCGCCATGCCTAGAGTGGAGAGCATAATACTACCTATACATTTGACCCAAATCCAACCCCAATAACAAAATCCTTTGAAATCTCAATTCAATCACTGCAGTCTGCGGCAGAAGCAGCCTTGATCAGATTTCACGCCATCATTGTTGGCCCTCGTTGTCCATGTCCTTGATCTCTGCCTCCGACCTCTGGACAGTGCCATCGTCCAAAAACTCCATATTTCCATCAATTCTTCCATGAGTCAACACTTGACCCTTCTTCTTCAGAATATCTTCCAGCGTAGTGCCCTCGTCGAAGAAGATTCCCAGATGATCACTCATCATATGGCGATTCTTACACGAAGGACACTGGATCAGGACTGTGCCACGGTGATAGCCTTGTTTCGACATGCGATGTGTAGAACGATTGCCACATGGTTTGCAGGTAAAGGTGATTTGGTATGCTTCTTCATTTTTGCGGCGCTCCTCATTTTGTCGCTTGTGCTCTGCATCGGTTTCCGATTCGGGGGGTTGAGATGTAAGAGGAGAGGTGGAATTGTGACGAATGGTTGAAGGAAAAATGATATGTGGTTTGATATTAGGAATTGCACTTCGGGTGAGAGGTTGAGAGCGAAAGAGCTTCGTAGAGATATGACGAGTTGATGGGTTGATTGATGCCGGCTTCAAGTTCTTTGCGATAGTACGCAAGGCGCGGAGATTATTTGGATTAAACGGGCGCATGATGTGTGGTTGGTATGTATGGGAGTAAGAAGCTTGAAATAAACTGTAAGAATTATGTTTTTCAACCTGGGTTGTCCTTTTGTTTGTTGGAGGTGTATGTTGAAATATAGGTATGAGATTTCGTGTTGCGATATGGGGTTTATGACGCTTGCCCGGGATACGGACAACCAGTTTATCCGACCACTTCCGCGGAGAGAGGCAGAAAGCGAGAGGTAAGAACCTCGGGAGCTCTACCTTAATCTTTATAACTCTCACACTCTTATGATCATCACAATTTCACTTCCCTATTGATTTCTCAAAACTCCCATCATCATGGCGGCCATGCGCGCTCGCCAAAAGATTCGAGCCCCTCGCCATGTACGTTCATAGCCCACTCACTGAATATAGTGCCAACAAGTTGGAACTTAAGAGAGCTATAAGTAACCTTAACAACAGAGACCTGTGGCTACCGAACAAGATGTCTTCGAGGATGCCTGGATCAAGATTTCCACCTCACTGACTGAGATCCACACCAAAAATTCATCAACTATGTCCTTCGAAAAGCTCTACCGAAAAGCATACGCCCTCATCCTGAGTGGACGAGCCGAAGAGCTGGCTACCCGCGTTAGAACCCATGAGGAGACATGGGTGGCCGGGCCACTCAAGAAGATGGTGACGGATTCGATCTCAAAGTTTCTTCTACTTGCACAAGATCAAGGTGCGACCGAGCTCAAGGATCAATCGATTGAGCGTCAAGCTGCGGGGGAGAAGTTCCTGAACGTGTTGAAGACAACATGGGAGGATCATCACCTTTGCATGTGCATGATTACAGATGTTCTATTATACATGGTAAGTCATCTCCGAGGGCCTTTTGCCTACGATAGAAACTCTGCCGGGGACCACAATGAGCTGATATACTCCCGCCAGGATCGCATTACCGCCGTCGATCGCCACAAACCAACAATCTACGCGGTAGCCATGGCTGCCTTCCGAGACAAGGTTCTCGGTGCTGATATTCACACTGAAAATAAAGAAACTAACACAACTATTATGGAGTTGTTCAAATCCACGGTCCTTTACATGATCCAGCTGGAGCGAGAGGGGCAGTTGATTGAGCGCAATCTCATTAAACACTGCACCAAGATGATGGAGAACCTTTACAAAACCGCCGCTGAAGAGGAAGGCTCAAAACTCTACTTGACAGATTTTGAACCGGCCTTCCTAAAAGCCAGTACAGATTTCTACACTGCCGAGGGAGAACGCCTTTTAGAAGCCGGGGACGCGGTCTTTTTCTGCCGAGCTGTCTCTCGACGAATCGTCGAAGAACAGGAACGAGCCCGTACCACGATTTCTAAGCTTAGCGAACCGAAAATCCTCCAAGTTATTGATGACGTGCTTATCAGACAGAACATTGCTCAACTTGTTCAGCTCAAGGGTACCGGGGTCAAACATATGATTGACACCGCTCAAATGGAGGGGCTCCAGAATATTTACACGCTGAATGCGCGAGTTGATAAGAGGAAAGCTGCACTTTGCAAAGCACTTACTGAACGGATCGTGGAGCTTGGGAGAGAGATAAATACCTCGTCGATTCTCGGATCGACTTCCAACCGCGAAAATGACGCAGAGAAGAAGAACGAGAAGACCAAAGAAAAGCCGGCTAGTCAACAAACAATACTGGCTATTAAATGGGTTAACGACACCCTTGCTCTGAAGCGACAGTTTGACAATTTCTGGAAAAATGCGTTCTTTTCTGACCAGGGGGTTGAAGCCGCGATCATGGGCAGTTTTTCCGACTTCATCAATATGAACAGTCGGAGCTCAGAGTACCTTTCTCTCTTTTTTGACGACAACCTCAAGAAAGGAAATAAGGCCAAGACCGATGGTGAGATCGATGCCCTCTTGGAAAATGGCATTATCTTACTGCGCTTTGTCCGGTCCAAGGATCTCTTCGAAACCTACTACAAGAGGCATCTTGCTCGCCGACTGCTGATGAAACGAAGTGCCAGCATAGATATGGAGCGAAACATGATCTCCAAGATGAAGGTAGAAGTCGGCAATCAGTTCACGCAGCGTATAGAGGCCATGTTCAAGGACATCACTATCTCCGAAGATTTAACCCGCGGCTACAGAGAATACATCTCGAACACCGGTGACCAAGAGGCAACCCGCATTGACCTGGAAATGACTGTTCTTACAAACACCATTTGGCCGTTGGGTGAGTCCAAGCTAAGCGGAACGGAGGACGATGGCCGGAACTGCGTCTACCCACGAGAGATTGAATCCTTGAAGCAAAGCTACGAGAAATTCTACCTCGACAAACACAGTGGCCGCAAACTCACCTGGTACGCTACACTGGGCACGGCGGATATTCGAGCCAATTTTAAGCGAAGCAACGGCAAAGTCCAGCGTTATGAGCTCAACGTCTCCACCTACGCCCTCGTCATCTTGTTGATGTTCAATGACCTTGAAGACGGGGAGTTCCTTACCTACCAAGACATCGAAAACCGCACGCAGATTTCGAAGCATGACTTGATTCGAAACTTGCAATCGTTGGCTGTTGCTCCCAAGACACGCATCCTGCGCAAGGAGCCCATGAGCAAGGACGTCAAGCCTACAGACAAATTCTTCTTCAACAATGAATTCTCGAGCCAGTTCGTGAAGGTACGCATCGGTGTTGTCAGTGGTGGTGCCAACAAAGCCGAGAATGCGGAGCAGCGCCAGGAAACAGATCACAAGGTGTCCGAAGAACGCTATGGCACGATCGATTCTGCGGTTGTACGCATCATGAAGTAAGTTCTACTACACTTGTTCCATTTTGATTCCTTAGACTAACTTTTCTCTTATAGACAACGCAGAAAATTGAGTCATAACCAGCTCATTGCTGAAATCCTAGCTCAACTCTCCGCGCGGTTCATTCCTGATGTGGATATGATTAAGAAGCGCATCGAAAGTCTGATGGACCGCGAGTACCTGGAGCGTCTTCCAGATGCTACTTATGGTTACTTGGCTTAAAGACTGTTGCAGCATGAATCATGCGAGCCGGTTAGGGATGTTCTCTTCCTCCGCTCGTCCTTTTATTCATGCGGCCTCTTGCATCCAGGGGCCGCCACAGCTCTGCATATGGCATTTCAGATCTTCGACAGTCCGTCCTTTCTTTTTATCTTCTCAGTTCAAATTTTCGATTTTACTTCTTTGAATTAGCGACCGGCGTCATGGGAGGGACCAGCATTAATAGCTAGATGAATCACACGATACCTCGGATGGACGAATGACGGCAGAAATTTCATATCTATGATGATGGGCGTTTACAGAGTGGATGAAACTGGATCAATTGATTTATCTATTAGTCTTACTCATATAGCCCCAAGACGAGAACATGAACTAAATGAGAATACTGCTTCTCCCATAGTGCACCATATAAATAGTATCAGATGTAAAGTGTATATAATAGTATGCTGTCGGTATAGGTACTCTATACGAGATGCTCCAGATGATAAAACAGACCAAGCGCCAAAAATGCTAATGTCTGAAACATGAATCCAATCCTTAAAGAACAAACCTCAACTCCAAGAAATTGATAAACCAGGCCAAAATCAAAGTAGTTCCACCTCACCCCTCTTCCAAGCCCCTCTAACACCCTCCCACTGCACAACCCAAACATCTCCCATACGCATAACAACCCCATAATCCTCCTCTGAATCTCCATCAGGAATAACAACCGGAACTTCCTTAGCAAGACAGCGCGCAAAGACAACCTCCTTCATTTCCGGTCCCTGAACCATACTCGTTCCACCAGCATTATCATCCAATCGTCTAAGCTGTAGTGGGAAAGCACCCATAAACGAACCACCATAGTGACTCGCTAGTAAAGTCTGATGCGCGTGTACAAAAGAAGCTTCTTGTTCAGATAACGGTGAGAAATCCGATACAGAGGAGATATCAGGGACCGAGTCCTCTGGTGAAAGAGTTTGAGAATTTGGTTGAGATTGCGAGGGTGTTTGTGATTGGGTTTGTGAGGGATTTGCAAGGGGATTTTTTGAGCGTGAAGCTAGTTGAACCAGGTAGTGCATGCTGTTTTTGGAGAGTTTTGAGAGTCGTTGACGGAGGAGACTGCGGAGGAGGTATTGGGTTCTTGCGAGGTCTGTTTGGAGGATTGAGAGGCGGAGGTTTAGATTGGGGTTATTTGTTGATTTGCTTGGTTCTGTAGAAGAAGAGGCGAGGTCTTCGATTGTTTCGATCTGCGGTTATGTTAGTTATTTATGGTGGTGTTTGGTTAATGCGTGGATGTGGGCAAAGTAGAAGATGAGATTCTTGTATTTTTTGGGGATATCTCTTTGTGGAACAGAATGGGATGTGCAATTGGTATAGCAGAGTATGTATCACTCCGTATGCGCTGGAATCTCACCTGGATTCGCACTCGGTCCATCATTCGCTCCATTAGCGGTGCGGGCCATGGGAGGACCTCCGAGACGGCGCGTTCGGCAGCCCAGAATCGGGTGAGCAGTTGATGGTCTATTGCGGCGGACTCGGGGCTTGCGCCCGTTCCGTGGTCAACGGAGGCAAGAATATCGTCGATATCCATTTCTTAGGTGTAGTGGTTCTGCGGTGACGCGAAAAACGCGGGAGATGATGGTGGAAGTGGAGTCTATATGCCTGGGGCATCCGCGCATTAGCCTAGTGGATTCATTTAATTCGGGCTCCTAATTTGTAGATGTATACTTCATATTCTGTACCCTGCAAGACATTAATCTGAGCTAGTACCTTGGTGGTTATTATTATGTTTATGGTCTTATGATCACTGAAGTGCTAGCAATGATTGCCTGGGTCTGGTATTTTAATAAGACTGGTTATGTGTGAGCTCTATCTTAGTCTAGATTGAGATTCAATGTTGAGTTGGCATGTCATTAAGATATCAATAATGTACGAAAAAAGAAGAAGCCTCAAAATTTGAAACTCCAATGCGAAACATAGCAACAGTCATGCTCGATGCAACCCAGCGGATCGATGCGAGTGAGGCATTAAGAGATAAAGTCCATACGAGTCTTGCGAGAACAGATCGCAAGTGTAATAAGTAGGGGGAAAGACAACCATCAAATAGAAATAAAACGCCTTGATTTTCAGGTTTTCATATCATGATCAAAGAACCATGAAATCAACTCAGCCTTGCTTACATCTGACATCATAGATCGTTGACATGGTGATTTGTATGTTTCAGAACAAGGTCCAAGTGTTTCATCATTACTTAGGACTTAGCGGGAGGAGGGCCCGATGGAGGAGCATAGTCTCGCGCACCAGAAGCATGGGCATGTTGGGGCTGTTGGAGCTCGATACCGTTCTGTTGCGGTGGAGGAGCCTGGGCGCCAAAGTAACCGTAGTTGTTCGGGTTTGCGGAATACTGCGGTGGGGGCTGACTCTGGTAGTAAGGGTCACCGTAGTAAGGTTGTTGATATGTAGGCTGATTAGGCGGGGGTGGACCTGGAGGTGGTGCCATCCATGCTGTGCCGGTGAATGGTTGTTGGCCCTGACGACGGCGCCGGCGAGCGTTGAAACAGCTGTTTCACAATGAGGGTTAGCGGTCGGCGAAAGGAGAAATTCATGGAAAGCAACTAATTTTCCTGTAGGCGACAAAAGGAGAGAGAAATGATGACTTACGCAAACGCGAAGAAGATAAGAACGGCGATTGCGACAATGACGGCAAAGGCGACCCAGCGACCCCAGCGATCCCAGGTGGAGTTATTGTTGCAGTTAACGGAGTTTGGATCGCTATATTAAAGTCAGGGTTGAGAGTCAAAGTACATCAAGCAGTAAGTACTTACCAGTATCCTAAATAACGAGCTATCAAGGGAGCCATGGCGGCTCAGGTGCGGCTGGGGTGTGTATGAGAAAGGAAAGAGAGCAGGCGTTAGAGAAGAAATAGTAAAGCAAGTGGCTGAGGCGTTAATCAGTGGGTCTCATTAGGCTGCCAGTTTATGGGGATGACTAAACCTTGCTTTTGGCAACTATCACTTTTTCTTTCATATGATTATTGAACTTTACCCTTTGATCAATCCCATTGAGATTTTACATTTGAATAATCCAGTTTAATCCAATTGAATCCACTTTTAAATCCATCTTATCCGGACTACTGAAACGCCTTAGTGTATACGTAGGCGACTACGTAGTATCTAGTATCTTTTACCTCGGCGGCACAGCCCGGGGATAAATGAATCAAAGAACCAATCATGCCTAACATTTGAAGTGGAGATTGCCAACAATGGACATTTCGGTATTAAATTCATCCTACACGAATGACTAGCTCCTTGGAGGAACAACAGAGGGGCTATGGCTTAACGCCATTGTGGATATTTTACCCCTCTAGAGCGTATACAATTCCACAGAATAATGTAAGCCGGGTGAACCGGTGTCAGTGGCAATGGCTGTGCTTGATCATACCTATCATATGTTACTTGTCAACTGATCGGAAATCCAAATAACATCCACTAGTATGGAGTAGCTGTACCTTGGAACAATGATTATGCCTATTCATAGCTGACTATGGGGGCTGGGGAAACCCGATACGCGAATACACTACGCGAATACGATGATAATCTGAATAAGCTGATTCAAAGTTCACATTGAAAGCAATACTCAAAGGCAATACTCAAAGGCAATACTCAAAGAAAGCAGTCTCAAAATTCAAGAACAGTTCTGCCTCACAATCTCAGTAACTTCTGACTCATCCAGCTCGCGAACCCCTAACAACTCATTATCCAAATGCACAAACCGATTCCCATAGTCCTGACTGAAGATAGCCCTCCAAATCATGTTCACTGCAAAGAGACGATGATCCGGCGGCGTACGCTGCAAAGCATCCATTGCTCTCTGCTCCAAATCCTCCGTTCGAACCGACTCCGTCGAAACAACGCCCGCCCGTCCAGACATCTGTAGCAACTGATTCTGTGATACCTCTGCCTCCGCAACGAAGACAGGGCAATTCTTCGTTTCATCTGGATGTTTCAAGACCCCCACAACAGCTTGTGCGATACCATCCCGGGTAGTTGTACTAAAAAGAACATCGCCACCATCATAGATTGGCGTCACAGGTCCTTTCAGGTCAAGAATGAAGTTCTCTTTCAAACCCCAGTCAAGGAAAGGTCCATTGAAAAGTGCAGTCCAGGTAAAGGCTTTATCCTTTTCAGCGAGCTCTTGCACATGCTTTAAGAGAGCTGCCTTGCCCGCGAAAAAAGGCAGCTGGGCAACGAGTGGGTTGGTCGTGTCACTGCCGAATTCTGAAGGGAGAATCCGTTGCAAACCGGCTTTATATGCTGCGTCTACAACACGTTGGTGGATTTCTTTTGAGATTGTACCATATCCAAGAACGTTGACAAGGGCATCTTGACCGGTCAGCGCCTTAGTAAGAGAGTCCAGAGAGTCGTAGTCCACTACTTCGATCTTGGTTCGTGGGTCCTGCTCGTCAGAGGTGGAGCGGGTAAGAAGGGTGACTTCGAAGTCTGCGTCCAGGAGAGCTTTGACAATTGATGGACCGAGGTTTCCAGTGCCCTTAGAAAGTTAGTGAGTGGAAGCTATATGGATTAACTCGTAGTCCTAGTTGTAGACATACTCCTGCGATGGCCACCTTGGTGATGGTCATGATGGTGTATCCAGTTGAAACTTTGGAGTGGCTGATCAGTTATGGGTGAGTAAAGATAGTTGTAGGAAGACTCAAAAAATCAGAGCTTGAATACGTGAGGCCAGGCTTAAATATGCCTCCATACCCCTGTTTGGTCTTGATGTCTTGCCCTAGCTGGAGCTATCTTCTGAGTCGGCCTTTCAAGGCTGATAGTATCACGGATAAAAGGCCCCAGGTTCAAGTCTCTGTATAACCCGATGTATTACGCATCACAGATTCCATACCATAGGGCTAGATTAGTTTTTCCTAAGTCTATGGCATACATAGTGACACTGGGAAGTCTCCGAGATGCTGTCCTTCATGCTCATCATATTTGAATGGTCAATTGCCTGGTGGGTGTACGGGCTTGACTCTTCAGCCTGAGTTTGATTATGTGAGAATTTCTCACTCAAGTGCTATATCACTTAATTAACTTTGCTATTTACTTGATCATAGAACTCAAGTTGAATTGAGGTTAAATCACTTAAGCCTGAGGCTTCACTGTTTCCCCGCTCCAGCAACCAGCTATGTAATTCTATCTTTGAGTATTAATAAAATACATAAACCAGTCTCTAACAAATATTTGAATCACACAATAGGCAAAAGATTTGACAATGTGAAAATAGTTAGTTAACCTTGAACTTGAGGTTCATGGTCTCTTAAGAGCCTTTAATGCCACGGTGAATTTCTACTCATGATATCACTATCGTTATAGTCATCCCGGTAACACCTTGAACTTAGTATAAACAGTACCTGTATCGTGTATCGAATATTTAATAATATGAATATCAGAAACTGGAAATATTAAAACATTTCAAAAAAATATTAAAATAAACCTCGTGGAAGCGCCGGATTCGAACACTCCTAGCCTATCAACTGGTCGGCGAGATTCACAATATCAACACGGCATAGTGGGCCGGAAACAAAAGTCCAGTGCTTCAAAGGCTACACCGATTGGACGAGGAGTGTGGAACTTCAAGTTGAACACATCATCCTCGCTAAGATTTGAACCTTGAAAGATCTGGACTCTGGAATCTCATTGTTTCAGACCTATTGCGCCGGACTAATATTTAGGTGGAAAATGACTCCGTGGATAATAGTACCCGTGGGCCCACCAGCTTTAGCATTTTAGATTCTTACACAAAATTCCTAGAGCACTGAGACCTAGAGTAGATTAAAGTAATAAATCATGGACCTTATGCTCAGTAATGAAGAAATCTCCCTAGTAAATCTTAGGTAAACCTGCCGTGACATACCTTGGCGGGGGCGTTGGCCACTCTGCAAGGCCAACGCATCACTTGGTCCGTGTGTCTTATTTATGTCCTTGACCCCCAGAATTTCTTTCTTTGCCTCGAAATGCTTGAACACTTCCCAGTGACTCTCCTGATTTTCCCTGTCGCAATTCGAGGGACTGAAAAAACCAAAAAAAAGACTGGCAAACATCTCACTCTAAACCAAAACCAAGGAATCACCCAGAAAAAAAAGTCGCATTAACATATTACCATATTAACATGAAACAAGATCAAGACCAATTTTGATCAGCGCTGTGTGGAACCCCAATTGCATGCACCCAAGAACATTTGAATCATGGAGAGAAAACAGAAATTAAGACTGACATGGATCGTTGACGTCGTTACATCCGAGGCTGCGAGCCAAAACGCTAGTCTACGGGATATAATCACAGGCATAAGAAAGACGCGCTCAGAGAGAAGGCAAAAGAAAAAGGACAAAAGAAAATCAAGACGGTTCTGGAGGGTGAAGAAGTGAAAAGAAAAAAATAATGTATCAAGTCAGACTCAAAAAAAGTCATCGACTGGCTCGCGCAATGAGCCAGTGCAGCACAGCGTCGAGGTTGGTCTCCTCTTTTGCACTGATACCATAACAACTAACCTCACGACGGGTGATCGACTTTAGATCCATCGCCGCGATCAACTCATCCACTGACAACTTGATCGGTAGATCAGACTTGTTGCCCAGTACGAGGAGTGGGATCCCATCTAAAGTAGGTTTGGTCATCAGGTCATGCAGTTCCTCCGTGGCCACCGGCAAGGCAGCCTTATCCGCCGCATCCACGATATATCTACAACCTGGGTGATCAGTTCATGTTCATGTTTTGTTTTCCCCTTCCCCACTGTCAGTGACTGATTTCATGGGATCTTACACGATTGCATTAACTCCCCGACAGTATCTTTCCCACATAGGGCGAAACCGCGGCTGGCCACCCAAATCCCAGCTTCATCGTCGTTAGCATTCATCTCGACTCGGATCAAAAAAAAAAACATCTTACCACTTCAAGGTTACATGACCCTTCTGCACTCGCTTAGTGTTAAATCCGATCGTCGGGATAGAGCTAGAATCCGGTTAGCTGGTGACGTCTGCTCACATTCCCTTTTTGGGATCCTTTGCACAACCACTTACTCGATTGTGAATTCCCCGCCCTACCACATGATCAGCAAAATGCAACGCCGGGAAAAAAAAGAAAAGAAAAAAACACAAAATACGAAACATGAATAGAAATGGAAGAAAGATGATGAACATACTGCCAATACACGGAGCAAAGAGGATTTTCCTGCATTTTGCAGGCCGATCATGGTGACATCCATCTCGGTGGCCCTGCAGAGATGATCCGAATTAGAGGCGCCTTTCATCTGCGGGGACGGGCCGGGAATGATGATGGTGTTCCCGAGAACCAAGAAACGCCTCAACGGTCCCACTTACCAGAACATCCTCAAGAGCCAGTCATATATGGTGCGAAAGATCCCAGCCATGTTGGGCAAGTTGGTCCTTTGGAGAGAGAGTGGAGTGGGGGAGAGAGGGAAGAGTTGGATAAGAAAAGAGAGAAGGGAAGAGACCGAGCTCAACCCCTAAAGAAAAGAAAAAAGCAAGAAAATCAGTGTTTTCTTGTAGATGAAAAGTTCGGAGAGGTTTTTTTCCCCTTATGATATAAGTTTTTTTTTCAACCTCTTATTATTTTTTGTGTTTATCCTGTGAAGCAGGGATTTGTGGGTAAAGTCCACAGAGGGGGAAGGGAATTAATAGGGAAGAGAGAGCGCGGTGTGAGAATCCTAAAGGGACAAGGAAAAAGAGGGAGCTAACAAGCGGCTCAAACAGAAACACGGAAAAGAAACCAAAATTACAAAAAAGAATTAGAATTACCAGAAGAACTTGGAATGGAAAGCGCTTGTGGTTTTAAGTATACCAAAGAGGTGATTGTAGCGCCAAAGATCTACGGGGGCACACATGACATGAGGGGCGCTTAGGCTTTCAGCCTAACAGCGAGGCAGAAACCGGAAGAAAATAATATGAGAATTTAGTGAAAATGGATTTTTGTAAATGCGACTTAGATCCATGTACTCCGTACCTTTTGGTCTTATAAAGTGGATCTATTGCTGCCTATGATCTAAGTTCTCCATCATTCTTGTCTAGTTCCTGTTATGTGGTAGTAGGTCAGGTGTTCATAATATGCAATCCTGAGGCAGAAACTGATTCATATCTTATCAACACCCAGACACGTGATGATAAGACCCGGCTCCACCTCGAAAAATTTCCCCAAGCAGTAGAGAGAGGAACATCTCCAATTCCTCAAAGCTATCATCGGCTCAAATCGCTTTCCTATTTCTGGGAGGCTGAGCAAGCAGGGGTCTTGTTTGGGTCGTTGATTGCTATTTTTCTACATCATTATACTTTTCCTTTTTGTTGAGTTGAATTGTTCATCATCTACTTTTATACCGGAGCCCTAAGGAAGAAAAAAAAGGACTATTGTGAGCTTTCATCATGGCTCCTGCCGCTACTGACACCAAGTGGTCGGTGCAATTCGACACCCAGCGCCGGGAAAACCTTTTCAAGAACCCTCCCCAAGATCATACCGCCTACCCTACTCTTGCAGAGTCCATTCGCCCTCATATCGACTCATTCAATGCTCTCTTTGAAGATAGCAAGATTCTGGATGAAGGATTGAAAGATATCGGTATCAAGACATTCCTCGATGGAGAGATTGAAACACCTGAGCAGAAGGCAGCTCGCTTGGAACAGGGCATTCGCGCCCCCAAGCGCAACCGTCTCAATGTTCGTGTGAAGGAGGTTTTCCTCGATAAACCCGCTCTCCCGCCCACCAACAAGTTCAGCACCAAGAACCGTGAAATCTACCCCTCCGAGTGCCGTGAGCGACACGCGACCTACCGTGGTAAGCTCCGTGCCCGTCTGCAGTACCAGGTCAACAATGGCGACTGGGTTGAATCCGTGCGCGAGCTCGGTCAGGTCCCCATTATGGTGCGCACCAACCGCTGTCACCTCGAAAAGGCCACCCCCGAAGAATTGGTCCGCCACAAGGAAGAGTCGGAGGAGCTTGGTGGTTACTTTATTGTGAATGGTAACGAGAAGCTCATTCGTATGCTGGTTGTCGGCAAGCGTAACTTCCCCATGTCTATTATTCGTGGCTCGTTCGTCAAGCGTGGCCAAACCTATACCAAGTTCGGTGTGCAGATTCGATCCGTCCGTCCCGATCAGACTTCTCAGACAAACGTCCTGCACTACCTCTCGGATGGTAATGTCACCTTCCGATTCTCATGGCGCAAGAACGAGTTCCTTGTTCCTGTCATGATGATCCTCAAGGCGCTGGTCGAGACCAACGACCGCGAGATTTTCGAGGGCATTGTCGGTGCCGCCCACTCCAAGGGAATGCAGAACACTTTCGTCACAGACCGTGTGGAGCTGTTGCTGCGAACCTACCAGTCCTATGGTAAGCACAGCAAGTACGACTGCCGAGCTCACTTGGGCAAGTGCTTCCGCCCTGTCATGGGCGTCTCCACAAACATGCCTGATGAGGAGGTTGGTACTGAGTTCTTGCGCAAGGTTGTCCTCCCCCACCTGGGCTGCTACAATGTCACAGAAACCCAGGACTACGACAAGTTCAAGATGATCATCTTCATGATCCGCAAACTGTATGCGCTGGTTTCTGGAGACTGCGCTCCCGATAACCCCGATGCCGTCTCTAACCAGGAGATCCTGCTTGGTGGTTCCTTGTACGGTATGATTCTGAAGGAGCGTATTGATGAGTGGCTCCGATCATTGGGTCCCCTCCTCCGAGACTGGACGGGCCGCAACGCTGGAAAATTCACAGACGATGTGTTTGAGCGCGAGTTCTTGGGCAAGGTTGTCAAGCGCTCTAACGAGAACATTGGTCATGCCCTTGAGTACTTCTTGTCAACCGGTAACCTTGTCAGTCCTACTGGTCTCGATTTGCAGCAAACATCTGGTTACACCGTCATTGCAGAGAAGATCAACTTCTACCGATTCATCAGTCATTTCCGCATGATTCATCGTGGTAGTTTCTTCGCCCAGCTGAAGACCACGACTGTCCGTAAATTGCTGCCCGAGAGTTGGGGTTTCTTGTGCCCTGTTCACACTCCTGATGGTTCGCCCTGTGGTCTGTTGAATCACTTGGCGCATAAGTGTCTGATCGCCACTGACAACCTCGACGTCTCCGACTTGCCTCGTCTTCTTGTTCAGCTTGGTGTCAAGGCCCAATCTTCTGTGTCGATTGACGAAAGTGTTACCGTTCAGCTTGACGGCCGAATCATCGGTTTCTGTTCCCCCGATCAAGCTCGCAAGATCCACGATACCCTGCGTTACTGGAAGGTCGCCGGTAAGAACAACGTGCCTCTCGGCCTGGAGATCGGATACGTACCCAACTCCAACGGTGGACAGTACCCCGGTATCTACATGTTCTCGCAGTCCGCAAGAATGTACCGTCCTGTGAAGCACTTGGCTCTGGATAAGATGGATTTCGTCGGTCCCTTCGAGCAGCCCTTCATGGAGATTGCCTGTGTGGAATCCGATCTCATCGCCGGTCTCTCCACCCACATCGAGTTCACACCCACCAACATTCTCTCCATTGTTGCCAACATGACTCCCTTCTCCGACTACAACCAGTCTCCTCGTAACATGTACCAGTGTCAAATGAGTAAACAGACCATGGGTACTCCTGGTACCTCCATCGCATACCGTACAGACAACAAGTTGTACCGTCTGCAGACTGGTCAAACACCTGTTGTCCGTTCTCCTCTGTACAACGCCTACGGTCTTGACAACTTCCCTAACGGCATGAACGCCATCGTTGCTATCATTTCTTACACCGGTTACGACATGGACGACGCCATGATTATCAACAAATCATCACACGAGCGTGGCTTTGGTCACGGAACGATCTACAAGACCAAGGTGCACAGCTTGGCCGAGAAGGACCGTCGCAAGTCCCGTCGCGAGGTGACCAAGTTGTTCGGATTTGCTCCTGGTGACGAGGTCCGCGCCGAGATCCGCAACTTCATCGACGACGATGGTTTGCCCCATGTTGGTATCCGCGTGCAGGAGGGTGACAAGATTGCTGCGTTCCACAATGTGCGCTACGATGCTGCGACTGACTCTTACGTGAACGTGGACGGTATCACCCACTTCCTCAAGTACAAGGATGCCGAAGCTGGTTACATCGAGAGCATCCGCGTTATGGGATCCGAGAACGGTAACGAGCCTATCCAGTCGCTCAGCGTCAAGTACCGTATTCCTCGTAAGCCCATCATTGGTGACAAGTTCTCCTCTCGTCACGGACAGAAGGGTGTTTGCTCCCAGCTGTGGCCTGCCAACGACATGCCCTTCTCCGAGAGTGGCATGCAGCCCGATCTGATTATCAACCCTCACGCTTTCCCATCTCGTAAGTTTACCTTCAGACCCATCACATATTGCCTCTCACTAACATTATTCATCAGGTATGACCATCGCCCAGATGATCGAATCTATGGCTGGTAAGGCCGGTTCCCTGCACGGTCACCCACAAGACTGCACACCATTCCAGTTCTCAGAAGAGAACACCGCCACCGACTTCTTCGGCCACCAGCTCAAGAAGGCAGGTTACAACTACTACGGTAACGAGCCACTGTACAGTGGTATCACAGGTCGCGAGTTCGCCGCCGATATCTACATGGGTGTCGTCTACTACCAGCGTCTGCGTCACATGGTTAACGACAAATTCCAAGTGCGTACCACCGGACCTGTGAACGCGCTCACCGGTCAACCCGTGAAGGGTCGTGCCAAAGGAGGAGGTATTCGTGTCGGAGAAATGGAGCGTGATTCGCTCATTGCCCACGGTGCTGCATTCCTGCTCCAGGACCGTCTGATGAACTGTTCCGATTCCCAACTCACCTGGATCTGTCGCTGCTGTGGTTCGTTCCTGTCAACTCAAGTTGCTGTTTCCGGCTCTGGTGCTTCGCGCCGTGCTGCCATTAACCCCGGTGCTGCTGCTGCGGCTGCGAAGGCCGCGCCTAACCAGCAGGCTCCTTCTGGAGCTGCCTCTGTTGGTGGTGCTGTTGGTGGTGTTAACGGTATTGTCCGCTGTCGTCGCTGTGCTCGCCAGGCTTCGTTCAATGATTCTCGGGCGGAGGCTTGGGAGGATGGTGATGGAGTGCGATATGTTGGTGGTGATGATGTGACTGTCGTTGCTGTGCCTGGTGTTCTGAAGTTCCTTGATGTCGAATTGGCGGCTATGGGTATTCGTATGAAGTTCAAGGTTGAGAACTAGATATCATCTTTGTTATGATGGTGTTTGGTTCGTAAAAATTCGTGAGATTTGTATCATGTCATAGATGGAGCGTTGATTTTTCCTTTTTTTCAATTTCTCTTTTGTTAATATTCTATACGCAATTGTACGAACTGTTCAATATCAAGTTTGAGTTATATCTGTTGATCCTGGTAATTAAGATGAGTCCATTAAAGATTTAAATAGTTAGTAGGAACGACTCAGATGAGACCGTCTATATCCATATGTCCATTTCTATCATTGAATCCTAACACATCCCTTCTGTCCGATTATATCCAACATTCCTTCCATCAAATCCAATCCAATCCAAACCCGAACCCAATGTAAATCTAATCTAGTATACCTCTATGCACAATCACCACTGAAAAGTCTCCGTCCTTACACTCTCCGAATCAACTTGAACCCCTGAAACCCCAGAAACACGACTAAAATAAACCACCGCAGACCGACGATCAATATCAAAAACAGGTAAGAAATACGCCAACCGCGCCGAAGCAGGAACATCCGCATAAGAGTTCACCACACCCAGCCCCTCCTCTTCGATCTCAATCCATTTTTCCGCTACCGCGCCAACAACAGCACTGTTCCATATCCCCTCTTGCACGGCTGCAGTACGGAGAATGTACACAGCACGTCGTCGAATACCTGGATCACGGCAACGGGCAGCAACATTAAATAACGAGCCGACAATACCAAGATCCAGAGAGAACGTCGTTGTAAAAGGGGAAGGATGTGAAGATGAGTAAGAAAAAGGAGAAGGAGAAAAACTCGGAGGCGAGGAAGGAGAAGCGATAATCGACTCTCCAAGAGAAACGACCTGCTCAAAATGAGGACAATACTTATCCCATTCCATATGATCATCAGGAGTGGTTTCTTCCGCTAAACGGATAATATCCAGCGCGATGATAGAGTCGATTTTCCGTAATTGGAGCACTGCTGCACCGCGACGATCACGATCCGTAAATGTAGACTCGTTTTCATGTAAAAACTTTTCTAGGCCCGCGGACCAATTTTCAAGAAGTGTCAGAGCGAAATCACGGAGAGCGATAGCTTCGAGACTTGTGACTGTGACGGATTGTTGGATTGTCGTATCCATGACTTCGCCTTGCAAGGATTGACTATGTAGCTCTAGACTTCGTTGTTTGTAGTAGAAGGTGTAGATCTCGAGCATTTCGCGTGCGTCGGATAAGGAGTTGAATATGACGGGTTTGGTTGGATCGATGACTAGTTCTGGCCAGATGTTGAAGAGCGTTCCGCCGGTTTGGTAGGTTGTCTATAGTATACTTAGCTTGAATTTGTTTTGGAGATGTGGGTATGGAAGAATATGATACCACTGTGGCTTGTGCCTGGAGTCGAGAGAAAAGTCCACATAATACGTCTATAGGGACGTATGACGTTCGTCCGATAATAGAAGGATTGGAAAGACTGCTGTTGGGGGACTTGCTTCGGAGCTCGCTGAGGATTTTTAGTCCACTGGTGATGTGCATGATGGCTGCGCCGTAGTGTCCACGCATGGCCTATGTATTGCTTTGCTAGTATCCATAGCTCATAGCACAAGGGAGGTAGACAAAATTTCACAAACCTCATAGCAGACAAATAGGATGCAAGCCATCAAACAAACGTCTATTGACTGTGAGTCGCCCGACGAGGGCATGAGACAGCGCATCGCGCTTATGTACTGTCGTAGGGAAAAGGAGTTATGAACAGTCATTGGACCAGAGCGAAATGGCGCACCGACATCACGATCAAAGTTTTCATGAAGCGAACCTAAAGCGATCGTGATATGTCGAATGGCCGGCTCATGATGCGCCGACTGTAGTAGTAAGCGTTCCCAAAAAACGCACTCAAAATCACCAGCCAGCTGCGGAGCAGTTTTCGCCAAGAAGAACTGAAATGACCGGCGCTCCTGGTCCGATCCAAATTGGTAGTATGAAGGAATGCTTAACGGCCTAGCCATTAGCGGCCTTGAGCCTGTATTTGGTCGTGAGGCGACTACATTTTGCTGAGTAAGATTTTCTGGAGGTGTAGCGACTCGCTCCTCATATGCGCATTCAAGTTCCCGACCAGTTGATTTGCAGCGTAGACAGATGGGGCGTTCCTCGCCGCATTTGACTCGTCTTTCTATCAGCTATGTGAGTCATGTTTAGATCCACAATGGCAAATCTTCCTTACTCCTATATCTGGGTTAGTTGAGGAAGTTAATAAGGTAAAGGGGGGGACTAACTTGCAAGACAAGCACCCGGTGCGTGTCTTAGGATGATATGATCGCTTCCGATTTTCCGGAGCGACGCGGGTCATTACTGATTTTAATCTTGATGAGATGGAGATATGAGGCTGAGTGAGATGTTAGGCGTAGATGGTGGGGACTGGGGAGATTCTTTGTCAGCGACATCTAGACCTGAGGTTATATCCGAGAAATCACCGACGAGTCTACATGGATGCCTAGTATGAGTACCTTTGGACATGGAAATAATGATAGTTTTCTAGTAGGACTCGAAGTATTGAACCCCGATTGAATAAATACACTCGCATTATTGAAACGTATAGTCATGATGGTGAATGGAACGAAGATGGAAATTGTGAACAGCTCCGGAATTAGACCGCGATAGCGCCAAAACGACTCAAAGGACACATTGATCAGCATTATTTCCAGCCGATCTAGAAATCAAATCTCTATATAGTATATAGTCCCAAACACAGACATAATAAATAACCAAGGTCTAGGTAAGACCTTACACATTGGCATACGGCCCGGCCATCTATTCAATTCAGCGAATTGAAGTCAGCAAGTGTGACGATGTTCCTTCGCCAGCATAACATACCGAATCATTTGATGCCTCCTTGGTATAGATATTCATCTGTTTCCTCTCCTTCCGGCTCGGCATCTCACTCTCTTTGCCAGGCATGAGGCGACCGGGGTGGACGACGTTGAGCATAACAAGCGCGATGAACATGGGAAGTGAGTCGAGACAGTACTGGTACGCCTCGTGAAGAGGAATCTGGCTATCAAGACCCTGCGAGTATTCACATAATCGGAAAATGATACGCAGCTAAAGCATGTTAGTATGACCCAGATCTCTCGAAGGAATGCTATACTCACAGTAATCAAGGCGAGGACTCCGTAGAGGACGTAGAGAAGAAGCAAAGCTGTCTTCATATCTTGTCGCCTCTGCTGGAGAAGCTGACGATGGAAGAAGATGGCGCAGATCACAAACATGATGACGAAAAACTGCTGTAAGCCCACACCACCCATGTAAACGTGAAGACCCATCATTTCAGTGTCATAGGGGATGTCGTTCCCAGATGCAGATGCCGCTCCGTATACCTGGATGATAAATGCACTGTACTATAGTTAGATAGAGGCTCAATAGCAGATAGGGAATGCACATACATGATATCGAGAGTGACGAAGAAAAGACCGAAATTCCATGGTCGCACTTTCAACACACGCGCATCGTTGCTAAAGTTCCATACCATTCGTCCCACAACCATATAGACAAAAGCGTTGGTCAAGAGCGGCGCGATGAGAATCAACACAAACCATGCGACGTAGTCACCATAGTTGTCTGGGTATTCAATACTCAAGACGCGGAACATGTAGGTCAGGGTTTGTGTTATTCCAGATAGACAAATGACCCAGCAATATACTTTTCGATAAATGATGGCTTGCCAGATGTGGGCGATGGAGGTTAGGAGGAAAAGTACTAGAAACAGGTAGGCAGGTCCAATCTTGGGACAAAAGCTCCACATGGAGGCCTCCGCAGTTAAAGCTGTATACTGTTAGCTTTCTAATTTTCTTTCTCTTTTCAGAACCAAAAATTGTACCTTGACATGATGCCATTTTGGGCGGTAGTTAGGGGATAAAGAGACCCCAGGGGATGATTTTGACTATGCTGCTATTGAAGAGACATCAGGAGGGAATCCCTCTGGACTTATATCCCTGTCTCATCTTCCAAGGTTAGGCTCTATTTAGTTTGTATATTGCAGCCTGGGAATCCTTTGCCCATACGAGAGTGGATCCATATAGAAATGCCATATGGAATTGCCAATGGTTGGATCAACTTCATTTGGACATAATCAAAGTGGATCAATATGCACTACAAGTCGTATGGACGAACCAATCATGTCGGGAGGCAGTGCTGATAAACTGCGCCTAGCCCTACAGGATCTCAAATGTCTAATTAGGAAGTGAAATGAGAGATATTATTAGTAGTCCAAGGTTCATTTATGGGGCCAAATCTTTGATCTTAAAGGAAAAGCCCCGAAGCCCAGATCATCATCGGGGGCTTGAAACCCCACCCATATGCACAGTGAGAAACGCCAAACAGCCAAGTTCATATGATCTACAAAATGAAGACATGATGGCCTCCGGTCGGCCATTACAATAATTTATGTCCAATTAAAAAGACTAACAAACGTGGGCCAAGGGTCTTACACACGCCACAGCCTTGCGTACCGCTACTCGTTACCTAAGATAGGTAATTGCGGCGACATAGTTGTCGTCAATCTACAGTGCCAATGTGGTCGTCATTATAGTTCAAGTTCTAAGGTTTCCTTTCTTATGGTTTTGAGCTCAACGATACTATTCAAAACGGAAATATGCGCGATAATGTTCGAGGTCTTCAACTTTTTCCTTACTGGAACGAACACCATGATGTATCCGTACAGATCGCAAAACTGTGTTGACTAAAAGAACACTTTAGCTCAACCACTGGAGTTAATTATTAGTGAAGCCTTGGAGAAATCCAATTTTACTGATTGCGACACCTGGGGTAAGTCTTTGACGTTGGACCCACTAAAACATTTTGAAGCTCGAAGAATATCCACAAGATCTCACAAACATGTTCAAGTAGGGGCTAAAGGTGGCGGGTCCTTAACTCTGATGAAGGAATCACAATGTAAGAACCTAGATTTAGAAAGACGACAATAGCAAGGATCATGAAAGATCATTGATAGTCACCAGCGACGTGCTAAAATCCTTGCGCCATAACCCTCTTTGAGTTGGCCCCAAGTAGGAATCGGAGTACCTATCAGAGGAAATGAATGGAGATCCTAGTATTCAATATGTCTATCGCTGGCCCCGGGGGGGGCCTTACCGAACTAGGAGAGACTTATGTATTGATGACTGTGGAACCACAGTGGCCCTCATTCAAGTTCAAGTTGATCTCGATTCTGTGACGTTGTAGTAGATCATTGTTTATAGCACGTGGTATAAGAACAGAACACACGGCCCATATAACTAGAGTATTGATCAAGGATCTTGATATCCGTCCTACTGTTGATCACTGGCATCCAGGTTACTTTCTCTTGGCAGAACGCGTTAATCTCTTCAAATTAGCTCTTGGAACACGATTAGCTATCTTGGGGCTGATCCTGATACACGATGCGAGGGTCTTATGACTCAGAATCATATAAGACACCACCGGGACCTGCAAAATATCACCAGTACGGTGCAATACAATAATCCATCCAGGCATCGTTCCCATTATCTGCATCTCTGAATTTATCAATCCCTCCCTCCACGCCTTCAGGACCCACTATCCATACACCAGCTTCAATCAGCTCTGTCCAACGTTGAAAAAGCCTCTCCAATCTCTGCGACCTCCATTCACCTCCGAACGGGTGGAAGCCATGTTGAAAGAGCTGAGTGAATGAGCCCGCGGCAACCAATCCACCATCGCTCGTTCTCGCCGCTTGATCACTATAATCAGGTCGTAGTGCAAATGGAAGAAGGAGGCGGAAACCTGCTTCCTCCGAATCAGAATTACTTCGACATGTAGGTTCACTGTAGAGTCCTGTAGGAACAGGATCACCGTCATTCATAGTGAAATTCTCATGTGCGGTGTTGAATAACCATCGAATTTCATGATTGAGATTCACTGTCCGATCTGGAGCGGCAAATAATAGGACTCCTGGGATAGAATCTTTTTCAGAGGGAATATGAGCAAACTTTTGCCGCCGTGCAAAAGCCTCCTTATCGTGCGGAACTTCTAGACCAGGTGCAATAAACTTGAACCGCGGAGTCTTTAATCGCGTCAAGAGGGAGCGAATGAAGCAATCTTGTGGAACTGCGGCTGCATCAAGGTCTGCATCGGTAAACAGCGGTGCAGAGATTGACAAAAGCGAATCAGGAGGCATTCGAGATTCGACCGCAGCCGAGTAACGTTCCATGGTAGCTATAGTGCTATCAACCTGGGCATCGCAGTAGGGAAGCCATGACCACAGCCCAGTTTGCGATCTGGAGGTGGGGTAATCACTGCCATCAGGTACATATAGTCCGGGAACAACCTTACCCAAATCAATCATGTGGATCCAATTAGTGAGAATGGTCTCAAGTGGGAACCACAGGTCGTCGTGCTCATCCACAGGCTCCACGCTTTCACAGTTTTCTATAGTCATTGGGAACGAAGCCCGATGGAGCTGCTGATCATAGACAACACCAAGGCAATGCGAGCCAAAGTCCACATGAGTCAGATAGATCACAATAAATCGAGATTTTCCCTCATCCTCCAGCTCATTATCTTCAGCGAGGAAACTGTCGTCACAGCTCTGTATCGAAAGACCCTCAACCCAGTAGAAGAATTCCTGCTCGGATTCATAGATTAAATCCAGGAATGAGATGAGCGGCGAAGTCAGACGTTCGCGAGTAGCTTGTATGTGTTCATCATCCATTCCGGAATACCACCTTCTGCTGGCTATCGCATCAAGGTCAGGTGTGTATTGTCCATGGTGGGCCATCCAGCCACATGCCACTATGTAATTATGCAGTCTGGCGCAGCGCTCATAGTCGAGAGTGCCATTTTCACGTGCTGGATTCTCGTCGGATACCAGCGCGTCATTGATATCGAGGATTTGGTCTGGGGTGGTATTCATGGCGACGGTCCAAGTTTGATGTCGAGGTAAGCTGAAGTTTGAACAAAGCAGCCCACCTAGCGGCAGCCTAGGCAGCACAACCCTGGAGGTGACTAGTGTGGCTTATTAATCTAGAACGCCGTCACCTTCCAGCCTTGGAAGGTTGGACTCTTCAAGTTTTGGGGTCATTGGTCAGTTGCTGTGTCGTCGTGGCTTGGATACAACCTGCGACGCTGACATGCTGCGAGTTCTCATCTCAAGGTTACGCATAGATCTGCGGAAGGTTTATCTCTTCTTTTTGTTTCTTTTTTTTTGTGTCTTCGACTTAGGCCGGCAGGGATAGTTTTTCAAGCCACATCCACCTGCCACAGCGGCTTGAGCGCCACTAGTCCTGAAGTTGCACTGTTGTGAAGCATGTCCAATCACACGTCAATCTTCCATTTTTGGAGAGCAAAGCAGCACTTGAACGCACTCGCCACCACCGCTGCTCATGGACGTCTTGGTCAAATCATATATCTCGTGAAAGAAGAGAGTGCTGACAGCTGGGTGCCCAGGTGTCTAGCAATTCGTGGAAAATTCGACGTGGTGAAATAGTATCTTCAAGTTGTAGAGGAGCAAGAGCTGATATGAACCTCTCACTCCAAGTTAAGATAAGATAAGGATATATCATTTGAAGCCCCAGGCTGCACATCGATGCCCAGCCTGGAGGTATAACATCAAATTGTTCTCGCAAAAATCAGGACATCGTGGATTATCTCACACACTGGCAGGGAGGCTTGAAATTCGTGAGCTGCCAGTGGGACACCGATCAACTCGTTCGAGTCGGTGTACTCCGCACGACTCATTCCATTTCCATATCCTTCAAAGCCCTTCCATTCCGATATAAAGTGGGGTTTCAGGATCATTCGCTTCCAGTGTTGCCCCTCGTTGATGTCGTATAAAATTAATCTCAACTCGGATAAATCCTGCGAGTCATTAATGCAGTGGAAGTCGCGGTGATCAGTACCATATACGGCGTGCACCAGGCGGAATGACTCGTCCGAGATATTGGATGAAATTTTCCGCTCTCGGCGCCTGGGAGATCAGTATCGGAGAACGACATTTGAATGCGACCTATAGTAGTTATACAGAGTGTAGACTGGCAAGAAATTCATCAGTAGTCAACTGGGTTTTCTAAATAAATATCAAGGTTGACTGTGGAGAGGGTGTCCTCCCCATCTCTGGGGTACATCTTGTTTATGGCCATGCATTGAATGTCCTAAGTGGGCACTTTAATCCGAAGTCTCCGATTAAAACTAGAGTAAAATTGTATCTCCGTATGTACTCCAATGTACTCCGTCGGACCTAGTCTTATTTCCCCTGAATGTACGTGGACCGGAGTACTCCCCATTCCACCGGATACGAGACTTCCCGATATCAGCTTGATTCATATGCACGAAAAGGGGGAAGTTTTTTTTCCCCATAATATTGTGATAGTCATATTCAACATAAGCATCTTCAGTCAAGGAAAGTTAGAAATTGAATTCGGAAAAACACTGCCGATCATGACTGAAATGCACGTATTTCCGCTCCACAGATAGGAATGAACGGAGTTTAGCGTACGAGATATACGAATCGATAACGAGTGTTAGGGCTCCACTCTCCGCCCCATAACCCGCTTAACTTGGCGATGACCCGCGGGCCACGCACGTGTAAAAATTTGTTATGTTCATCATGGCGAAAAAAATGTCAGATATGGTGCAATCAGAACTAGATCTATACTTATAAGAATAATGTAAGACTAATATGAAAGATGGTCCTGGGGGACTTAAATGATATTTCAACTCATTTCTTATCAATCATGCCGGTTTCCGATATAACCCAGAAAAGTGTCTCCATGTCCTGGGACGCTAAGACAGCTGGACGCGTACGCAAGCTACTACGACCGGCCTACGCGGTTTTTTATTCATACAGCTAACTATTGGTTGAAGAGCCACCTAAGCAATGAAAAATAACACCGATTTAGCCGCTTTGACTTAGTTGGATCCTATTTCGTCGTCATGACTCTCCAATGTCTATTCTTAATTTCTCTCTTATATTCAAATGTCAGCTCAATGTTCACTGTGATCTCCTACTTAAGCGGCCTGACACCGTGACACCTTTTACGCCGTGGTGGATGATCCAAACCTCGGAAAATTCAATATAAAAGATTTCAATATTCGACCCACAACATATTGATAAGTAGAGTTTATCTACTAGTATCTGCATTTTCCCGAGTGCCGACCCTGGAGGTCTTTTGTCTCATCATGCCTCGACTGTTCAACTGGGCATGGTTTATTGCCGCTATCGCTCCATCAGTATCTGCGGATTTCGTCTCAACCGATTACGATGGATATAATGAGGGTGATTTAGGACATCGACCACATCTGGAGTTTCAATCCAGTACGGAATTTGCCCCTGTTTTACAAGCCAACATATGGAACTATAGCGCCATCTCGTCAACTGGTTCACATATATTTTTGAAGCATGATGGGAATGACACGATCCCGCTTTCATCGCCACTTATCCTCGATTCGAGAGATTTATCCGCTATTTATATGAACCGCACATTTGAGAATGTATTCGGTACTCGTATCCAGGGACACCTGGGAAGAAAATACCTCACCTTCTGGGAAGGACAGAAAGGCGATGGTATTGGAGATGGATATGGATTGGTATTCGATGATACCTACCGTCTGGTGCATAAAGTCTCAGCGCAAAATTTGAGAGTGCATAGTGATTTGCATGAGTTCGCCTTGACAGAAGACGGAACCGCGTTGGTGACTGGAGTTGACAGAAAACTTATCCACGGATCTGAATATGATCGTGCGTGGGATATTCCACGCTCGCTCAGTATCTTAGATGCTGCTTTCCAGGAAATCGATTTGGAGACGAATGAAGTGCTGTTTGATTGGCGTGCACTGCAACACATTAATCCTATGGAATCATTTGAGCCTCGTGCAAGCGGCTGGGATGCCTATCATATGAACAGCATTGAAAAGGTTAGAATAGGACAAAAGCTGCTGTTACTTGTGTCAGTTCTAACAAAGTGATTTCTTTAGACCAAAGCAGGAAATTATCTGATCTCAATTCGCCATACACACTCTATCCTGCTTATCGACGGACAAACCGGTGATATCATCTGGACTCTGGGCGGTCGTCAAAATGACTTTGTCGAGTTACCCGGTCGTAATGGCACCGAAGATATGGAACCAGTGTTATCTATGGCATGGCAGCATCATGCACGATTTGTCCCCGGCACCGACGAGACACAAATTACTCTATTCGACAACCACGTCAAGGTCACCACACACGGCGAATGTGATTCTGAGTGTTCGCGCGGTATCCATTTCGCTATCAACGACAAGGTTTCTCCACCAACTGTTCAACTCCTCGGCGAATTCCAGCATCCAACACGTCTACAGGCTCAAAGTCAAGGAAGTGTTCAAGTTCTCGGCGACGGAACCGGCACCGAAGATCTCGGCAATGTATTTATTGGGTGGGGTCGCTGTCCCACTTTCACAGAGCACAGCGCTACAGGTGAAACAGTCATGGATGTGCAGTTCTCGCCGTGGCACAGTCGAGATATCCCCGATGCGTTGGATAATTACCGCGCTTATAAGATGGATTGGGTTGCGACACCGTGGTGGGATCCCTCGATTGCGCCGAAGAATGGATCAAATGGTGAGCTGCTTGCCTACGTCAGCTGGAATGGAGCCACAGAGGTGGCTAAGTGGGTTGTACGAGGTATTCAGGAGGGCGGAGTGTTGAACAGTGAGGGCACAGTCCTGGCAACTTCGAAACGAACTGGTTTTGAGACGAAGTTAGTGCTTGTGGAGGCTGGTGGAGAGAAGAACTGGCAGTATGTTTGGGCCGAGGCTCTAGATTCTCACGACAATGTTCTTCGTAAGAGCGAGGTTGTGGAAATCAAGCCCGAAGAATTGGTGGTTGCGGTCGATACTTTTGATGAGTTTGACACCACTTTTGCTCACATCCTTGCTGCAGCTGAGCAAGAAAGCGCAATCACAACTACAATCACAACTACAACCGCATCAGCAACAGCAACAGCTACCACATCAACAACCACAACCACAACCACAACTGCAGCAGCAACGGCTACCACAACAGAAAGTGCTCCAGCGACAGCAACTCCTACTCAGAGATCGAGCCCGGAGGAGAAACATTCAGGATTATCAAAGACTGTCCTTGTTTTATTGGCAACAGGCCTTGGGGTCGCCGGTATGGCATTGATAGCCGCTGGTGTATTCTGGTGGTACCGCAGAAGGAACTACAATCGTCTGGACGCGGGCGACTTTGCTATGGAGTCCGACAAATTTGCCCTCGATTCTGCAGACGAATACAGTGATAGCGATTATGACGATGATGAAGGGCGTCCCGCTGCTGGTTATGACCGACCAGCAGGTGATGATGAAGAAAGTCAAGCACTTGTTCCGAAACAGCATGCAAAACAGCCCCGGTGAGGGTAAGCATAACATGATTGCATTAATGAAATAGCGTTGCATGTGCGTCCTGTATACTAGCATCAAGCATTTGAATATCAAGCCATTAATTAATAACATTTGAAAGAAACATTTGTAAGTCATATTCTCAGCTGTAAGGAGTGATTCCACATAACCTGAACTTTCGGGCATGGCTGGCTAGTTATAATATCAGCCCACATTCCTTTCAATCGTTTGATTACTAGTACTATGTAGTATGTCTGCAAATTGAACATATTTTAGTATTTGAATGTACCTGCATCACATTCAATTCTCTATTTAGGTGTTGGAGAATTTCGGACCTAGTTCGTGCGACGTGCCTCCATGGCAAGGGCTGCAACATGCACATTGAATACAACCACCGTAACATTGAAGACATCCACGGAGATTTGAGAAGCACTGACATCAGAATAGCTAGATCTTTTCAATATCAAGATTTGAAAGACGTAAATAATAACCAAAGTTTTAATTGATACTTTCTTAGTGGGGCGTGCAATGAATCGGGATTTGTAGCGTTGAACGGCTCACGTATTTGCCACATCTGATCTCATCGAAAGATTTAGCAATAAATAAGACCAAAAGGCTCCATAAGTCTGGTATCCGATCTGTGATTGGCAAATCACATTCCCGCTGAGCTTCAATATCATATACTGCATTCCTAGGAAATCTTGGAAATCAAATTCTCTTTCTAAATCGAGTAAATGCATTGAAAAGTAATATCAATATATAATAAGATAGTTCTCAATCTTCCGAATAACTGAGTCTCTTGGAGGTTGTTTTGAATAAGTTGGATGAAGCTATCTTAACTATTGACTGCTCTTCGAAGCCCTCAAGTATGATTTGTTTCCGCCCTCTTTTAGGAAATATTTTCTCTCTTGTAGCTTTGATATTGCTTCTTCTATGCTTGGTTGCTGGTAGCTCGCGCCAATTTCTACCAAATGCACCGATCTTCAGAGTATGTGACTAAAAAAGAAACTGCTTCAAATGTTATACTAAGTTTTCCCTCTCTAGGTAGATACATCGCAATTATCTCTGAAAGATCCCCCGGACCTTTTCAATGTATACCTAATGTTGTGGATTCGAAAGAGAACGTGTTCTCGACGATGCCTCAAACACAACGACAATCCAGAGGACAATCACCTCGTGCTCAGACCTAAACCCTCTTTCTCGCTTTGACCCCGGTGAAGCTCTTCTCGAAGCCATCAGTGAAAGTGGCTCTGTCTCTAAGACCGGCTGGCCTAGCTATCTTAGCGATGACTTCATCGCTTTGGCGCCTTCGCGTCAGGCTATGGCAATTATGTTCGTACTAGGAGCATGTGCTGTCGGCTTATCAGTTCTTCTTCGCTTGGGCACCGTTCGCTATATTTGGCAGCCCATACGACCTCAGGATCATTTAGATGGTGTTGAGCCTCCTAGCTACCCTGGATACCCGAGACAGCCATCCCCTTCCGAAATACCTCCGTCCAAGTTACAATTGGTTACTTTCATAGTGAGAACCATCTGATTGAATATCGAATTGATATGATGCTAATCTGCAACAGTCTAGTACCATTATCCTGGTCATTGCTTCAGCCATTGCCACTGTGATCTCTACACAATTCGTCTCTTTGGTGGATAAGAGTGGAGATCCTGGTATTTCAGCTGCGTCTACCAGTGACTTCCTGGGAATGGCATGGACTACTGTCGCAATTCAAATTTTACTCACAGGTGAAGCGGTCATTTCTCTCCTTCGTTACCGTGCTCGTCATTGCCGTTGCGATTGGGAGGAATTACCCGCTGCTCCAGGACCAGAGAGCAAAAGGCTTTTCTCTGGACACGACTGAAAAGCGTACATACATACTATAGGGTGGAAATCTTGATTCAAACGTCACTTTTCTCGTGAACTTTGATTTTTGATGTTCTCATATTTGTTGATGAGTGTCCTTTTGGTGCCTAGTAGACGATTGGTTTTGATCGGCTACCTATACGGTCGTGCCGCTTATTTCGAACTTTCTTATCCAACTTTCAACCTAGGTAGATGATAGGGAATGAATATAAAATAAAATATTAGTATTGACATATTGAGGATTCGTTCAGTAATCTGCGCCCGCATGTGGGTAGACACGGGGGAAGAAAATCGATGTTGTGTCGAATACCAAGCATATGCGTTAAATGAGATGAATTCAAAAAGCATTCAACTCATCTAAAGACAGGAGGCGAGATGTATGATACCAAGAGGAGCATTCAAGCGGCCAATTTGGGCTCCCTCACCATAACCGTAAAGACTTCTTCACCTGCGACTCCATAAAGCTTCAAGTTAAGCTTGAAATCCTCGATTGGTTTCCATCCATACCGTGTATAAAGTGCTACACCCTCGGGAGTGGCTTCCAGATAGATTCGAGCTTGGAGCGCATCTGCTTTTCGATACCCCATTCGAGAAGTGCAGAGGCGAGGCCCTTTCCTCTGTGGGAAGGGAGTGTCGCTAGAAAATCAAGAACTATGTTTCAAGTTAGCTCAGCCCTTGATACATTGCGTTAATTATGTCTGAAAACTTGAAGTCTAGACTGGTCTGATCTGTGGAGACTTATCGACTCCACTCTGATCACTGATCAGTCCGAAGAGGATTGATCGATGAATGAATATATGTGGATACCAAAATTTGTAGCTAGGCATGGGGACCCTCTGTATAAAAGGAGGGGAGGAAAAAATGAAGGTCACAACTTGAAACAAAATATTGAGATGAACTAACCGATATCTCTTTCGTCCAAGTATTTCTTCCTCGCCTGCCCATATAATGCACGCGACGCATTATAGAGGTCCTCGTTCATCGGTCTTGGAGCATACTGCAAAGGCGTCTCAGCTGCAGCTGCCAATTCATGTCCATGAGGGCTCAGATGGACGATGTGTGGACCATCGCCCAATATTTCAGGGATGAGCCATCTAGCATACGCGACCACCTCAATCTTGAGATTATCAGACTCGATGGCAAGGCTTGGGTCTTCTGATGTGCTCAAATTCGGATCCGAATCCTCGATTGCAGTAACATGCAGGCTTGGATTAGCCAGAGATTTTATGCAGTTCAATGACTTGTATTCTTTCAGCACTGGCAGCGAAGCGTTGGGGAAGATAGCAGTACGGGAGCGGCGACTCTGAAAGCTCAGTACGTTGACTTTGTTCAAATCGGGAACGTCGGACTCGGTTGCATAGCGTATATTGTGCTTTGGTGACATTTTGAGTGTTTTGATTTGATCAATATCTTCTTCAATTGGATGCCCAGGTGAAATAGAGAAGAGAAATTTGTTGACTCCATAAATTTGTTGGGACTAATTTGAACTGGCACTACTAGTACTTCGGCGAATTCAGCTAGTAATATGGGCCCCGGGGCCATTGATAAATTGGAGTCAACCACTACTGTGTAACTACGTAATATCAATAGCATCATGATTCAAGTTTAGCTTTACCCTTCAGCTACACTGTATGTATTAGTAGGTACCAGCCCTATAGTAGATAGTATCTAAAGTGAGAGATAACTAAAGTGAGAGATCACTAAATTGAGATATATTTAAAGTATGTAGAAGTTTCAAGTGAGAGATAGCTAAATTAAGAGGGATATATCAATTTATGTTTAGTCGTCATAAACAAAAGAAAAATCTAGTTTATTGGACCAAGTGCTGCAACCCAAGTAGAAAAAGAGGTCTACTTGCATCCACCTGGACATTCAAGCTGATGGGGAGTAGGTGGTCGGTCACCTGTAGGTACTACTTGGTAAGTACTGACAACAGGTGCATTCTGGCATAGCATCTCCAAGGCCTGGAACAGTGATGCATTCGAGATAGGGGCCTTGCCCGGCGATGCAGTTGCTGCATCTTTTATCCCTTGTCCTCGCAATACCCACCATATCCCCAAATCGAGCCTCGACATTCTCCTTTTTGTTGTCAACATACTGGTGGAACTGATGAAGAGTCATTCGACGGGTGTTTCGATGTATTGGAGCGCGTTTTATCTCAAACTTCTTGAGATTCCAGATCAACGTGCCTTTTCTTCCCGCGGCCCTGCGGCCCTTTGCCAAAAAGTCTTTATCGCGAATCCCGCTCCAGTACAAGAGGCTTGTTGGGATCCCATGGTCTGGGGAGTTTGATGTTGGTTCCGCTTTGTCTTTCGTCTGCCAAAGGCTTGTTGGTATGGAAGTATGACTTCAAATTCGTGAAAGAATGTGAACAAACCTATTTAGGCCGGCCTGATTGCTTACAATTTGAATCTGACTCGATGTTAGGACTCGGATAATTTTGTTTGCTCTTTAAATGTTAATCGAGCTTCCTACCAAGCAATCAAGTGCTGAGTACATAGCTTTCCCAGTTTAGCTACTACAGTCCTGCGTGAAGCGCGGCTTTAGGACTTGTAATAGATCCATACAAGGCGGCAAGCATATGTAAACATTTGAGAATCCAGGTGAGTATACACAAATGTGCAGTGACCATATCTGCGACTCGGGGTATCATCCCTCAAGTGCAGATTATAGAGATCATTAAGCAGAGCCCTGGAGATCAATGGTCCCCAGTAGTGAACCGGCACACACCTGGGCAGTGAGACATATCTTCAAGTTCCGCAGAGCCTCAAGCTCTAGGGTATTCAAGTTCCAAGGTTTCAGTACTATAAGACTAATATCTTTTTCGATACCTGCGCCGAAAGACTTAACTCGTACTTAGTCTTCAAGTTTACAAGTTAATCCGAGTCATTGCCAAAACTGGCATTAGATGAAATTATCACCCTCCTATTAGGTGTGCAATGGTACATACTAGTCTCATAGCTGAGGTAGTAGACTTAAAACTTGAAGACCCAGTATTTCTATGTACTTCTAACAATTTTTTAAAGACCTTCCAAATCTGGAGGCCGCTCAATTCTTCCATCTCAATCAGCCTTGCCTTCATGAGTCATTTTTCGTTCAAAATTGCACTGCATAAAGTCTGCCTTGTGGTTGTGTTCGCCAATGAGGGGCTGATTTGTATTTGAAACCCAGCTAAGCTCTGCTCCAAATCCTCAAATCAAACTTGAAAGCCAACAAAATTATGTATTGTCTAACGGTAAGGCGGAATGTGGCGCTGTCAATAGATAAAAGTATTCCGAGTCTTCATAGCCACGTTGTTCTGCATGCATGGGTACCCAAAGGAATGAAGCGGGGAGGTTGAAATGACGCCGTTCATGCATGACAAGATAGATAAGATACTAACAGGACATCTGGAGGCTCAAACAATCCAAATGTCCAGAATTCCCATCTATCTCTACTGAACCAAGATAGCAAGCCCTCTGAAGATTCTTAGTAAACCTAGTATTCCGACCTCGAGATCTTAAGTGGTGGGACTTGTCACACAGAACCGACCTTTTACCCCTCTTAAAATACCATCTGTCTCAAATTTCATGCAATACAATGTATAAGTCCTGGATTTATCTCCCGGCATGTGGAGTGAAATGCAAATAACTGCTGACGTGGAGTCACTCAGCGGCAGACCTCGTCATAAGGAGCGGGGTTTGAGCTCGGGGGCCGGATGCTTCGCCGCATTCATATCTAGTGTGGTTAACGATTTGTCAAATGTAGAAGCAGAAGGATCAACTTGCATAAGCCTGCGATACCAAGAGAGATCTAGATCCAATCATTAAATTACCAGCCGCCATGCTGTTCGGCGACTCGAATAGGCAACTTAGCGGCTCAACAGTACTGATTTCCGAATTCACCACACGTGCACTAGGCATCAGGCTATATAATCTGATCTTTCCGTGGCTTTTGTCTGATTATTATTTTATTTGTGATTTCTTCTAATACGACCAACATGGGTGAGATCGCATGCAGTATACCAACGCCTCCGAGCAGTGATGATGCTATGGATAGTGGTAATGACCAGCCCACACCTCAGTCTCTGCGAGATATAATCGAAGCGGAGATCAGACAATATGCATTCAGACATGAGATTATCCTGCCTAGCCCATTTAATACAACTCGGCCTCTGCAAACCCCGTTGGGGGAACTGGACGAAAAAGAGCTAGGGCATCTCCGCATTCATTCCTCACGACTTCAAACAATGCTGCATAATGCAATCCAGTCCGAACTAGCTTGCTTAACCACAACCGGATTCCCTTCAAAATTTTCTATTGTTTCACCAATATCGAATCTTCTCTTCTGGGATGAAACCCAAAAGGAGAAGTCCACTGAGAATGAAGAACCCTGCAAAGACGATGACGACTGTAGTATCGACGGCTGCGAATGTCATCGTGCAGTTAAGCCAAATGACAATGAAAGCTCCAAGGAGACTCCAGAAAAGTCTCAAGATCAAGTACAGCCATCCTTGCAGAAGTTGATTGATTTCAGATCATGCGATGCTGTGTATAATCATCAACTCGGTTGCTTGGTTGCCAACAATCAATTACAGAGCCTAGGGTCTATCATCGGCGATGAAGATGATCCTAACAAGCAACATCTTGATATTGGTATCAATTTCCCTCACAACTTGCATTGTATCATTCAATATATGAATGGCGAGCTACCATCATCAACCGCGCAAATCCTGAGACTGGAAACTCCCGCGTCGAAGATGATACCGGTTATTGAGGCTTTGCAGAGACGCGAAGAGCTGCCATTATGTGAGGAGCTTATCCATGGTGATCAAGAAACTGTGCCGCGCGTGATCTCTAACGAGATGACCGAGTTCATCAAGTTACTGGGAGAGAATGACGCTCGAAAGGTGTACGAGAGCTTGCAGATTTCAGAAAGGATTGAAGATGAGGTTCCATCTACTATAGTTGATTATTTGCCCGCGCTCAATAAACGAGTCTCATTGTACCAAGAAACAACAGGTACGTCCTTTTGGCTATTCGCAGGGCATTTAATCATGTTTCCTTTTGCTGACAGACTATCATTCAGGAGATCTTTCGGCAGAGCCTTCAGGAGACGCTTCAGGAAACTCTTCAGGAAACAATCTGACATTGAGCCAACTACTCATCAAAGCGTTTTATCAAAACTCTAGTCAGAAAGTCCTACTCATTTGTCCGTCTGAAAAGATTGAGGGCATCCGCAGCCAGCTCGAGAAGACGAACATTCCCGCAGATGATATCCATACCCTAGACAAGGACGCCAAGTATGATTTGTCTGAGCTGTGGACAACGAATCCTTACCGTAACAACGATCCCCACTTACTGGCTCGCCATCAAATTGACGACTTGAGAGTTCGGTCCCATAAGATGCAAAAGGAAATGGAAGAACTGGCAGAAATCATCAAAAGCCCTCTCTCCAATAGCTCCAAAGTGCTGGAGTATCTATGCCAATCTGGAATTGTTGAAGCCGATCGCCACTTCCACGCATTTTGGGACACCGAGTTCAATGGCAAGATCGAAACAGGGACTCATACCGATTTTCCCCTTTCTCAAAAGTACAAGTTGGTAGCCGCTTGGATTGCTGGAAAGTCAATTGATGATCTCCTCGAATACACTACTCCAGCCCAATATCAAGATATATGGGATGCGGATGAAGCAACACGAAAGACTTCATACGCGATTTGGGAGTGTGAGATCCGACAGACACATATCAAGAAGCTGTTGAAAATCCTCGAAGATTTCAGCGAATGTCAGCGAGAGCTTAATCATTATGTGATAGAGCACTCAATGCGAGTTTCAAAGGTCCTCAGTAAACGCGTCATTCTCTGTGCTGCCCAAGATATTGCCGCATGCTTGCCTCAATTATCTTGCATCAAAGCGGATACAGTTCTGGTCCAGGGGGCAGACCAAATAGATGAGGGATTTCTACTTGCCGCGTTGCCGGAAAATACATCTCGTCTCGTCTTGATCAAAGAGCATCGATCATCGCAAGATGGAAGTCAGAAAGATGGCGAAAGCTCGCATCCAGAGCCAATCAGTAGCTCTCTATGGGTTAGGCTGGAGACAGCTGGCTTCCCTGTCACCAACTTCACCTGGCAAAAGAAAGACACATCTGATGAAGCGAACAAGGATGAATCAGGTAATAAGAAGGAAACGAACAAAGAGGTTGCTGCATTGGATACCGCGTTGGAGAACAGCGGGGCATGGAAGAAATTGCAGGAAATGGTAGGTTTGGAAGAAGTGAAAGAACGGGTTCGGCTGTTGCATCAGCAAGCCAAGGTTAATGCACAGAGAAAGTCTAAGGACCTCTCTGTGCATCCAATCTCTCTAAATGGAGTCTTTCTTGGTCCACCAGGAGTCGGCAAAACAACTGTTGCCGCACTCTATGGTCAGATTTTGGCCGATCTGAAGCTGCTTAGTATAGGTAGAGGTAGGAGCATTGACCACTTGCATGCTATCTTTTTTAACTCTCGTACTGACTTGTACGGGTTTTGCAGTGGTCGAAAGATCAGCCCCTTCATTGATTGGAGAGTACATTGGAGAAACGGAGAAATTTGTCCGCGACGCTATTAATTCTGCTGAAGGAGATGTGCTTGTCATTGATGATGCCTATGCATTCTGGGGCGGACGACAAGGCAGTCACTGTTTTCACAAAGCTGCCATCGATGCACTTGTCACTAGTGTATCGAAGAATGGTACGAAAGATCAGTGCATTCTCCTTCTTGGTTACGAGCATGAGCTTTCTGAGATGATGCGACAGGCCAATCCAGGATTGCAGAGCAGGTTCCCCCTTGAGATGGCCTTCAGATTTGTAGGATATACCCTGCCACAACTCGAGGATATCTTGGATTTGCAACTCAAGAAGGATGGATATTCACTAACGGATGAGGCGCGGTCTGCTGTTCTTGCTATGATACGGCAGGCGATGATCTCTCCTCGCTTCGGAAACGCTCGTCATGTCCAAACACTCCTAGATACCGCATACTTGTCGCTGGGTAAAAGAGCACTGGAAAATCCAGAACAGGATCCAACGATCCTGGAGCCAGAAGACTTTTCGAAGGATTGGAATCGAGTTGTTGATGCCGAGACGGAGTGTAGAAGCCTATTTGAAGGCGTGGTTGGGTGCGATGCGCTGATTGAACAGCTGCTCGACTATACACGGATTGCGAAGAAGGCAAATGAGCGGAAACTGAATGCTCGTGATTACATCCCATTCAACTATGTTTTCCGAGGGCCTCCAGGTAAGCAATGTTTCCACACGCAAGACGATACCCGACTCAGTCAATACTAATGATGAGTAGGCACCGGCAAGACGACCACAGCACGCCGAATGGGTGAGATATTCTATCGAATGGGCCTTTTGGCTACATCCGAAGTCATCGAATGCTCAGTCACCGACATGATCGGCGAGTACGTCGGGTCTACAGGACCGAAAGTCCTGGAGGTATTCGATCGTGGGCTGGGAAAGGTCCTCTTCATCGACGAAGCATACCGTCTCTTCCCAGGACCAGACCAGAAGGGCAGTTTTGCTTCTGAGGCAATCGGGGAAATAGTCGGCGCTTTGACTAGTCCCAGATTTCAGAATAACATGGTAGTGATTCTGGCTGGCTACGGACCAGGCATGGACTCTCTTATTGCCTCGAACCCGGGTCTGCGAAGTCGTTTCAAGCAGGTCATGACCTTTGACAGTCTAAGTGGCGAGCAATGCGCCCAGTTGCTGGTGCAGGTACTCAACAAGCAAGGAGTATTGGATACGTCGCCTGTTGGTATTCCGAAACATGCAACACATACGGACTTGTGTAATCTGTTCACGGCCCTATCGAAAACAGAAGGCTGGGGAAATGCTCGCGATGTCAACATGCTGAGCGAGGATATCACTTGCCGGGTGATTCTGCAGTCAAGCAGCTCTGCTGATCCGTTGACTGTTAGTCGAGATGTGATTTATGAATCCCTGCTGGCCTTGGTTAAGCGCCGCGGCGGTCGCCAGTCTGGGCCTATCAAGCCGCAAAACAATAATCGTTCTCAGTCGGCGCTTGATCGCGCTAACCAGTACGCAAGGAGTCAGTTCTAAGGCGACGAACGAAATCCACCTGGGCATCCTACGTCACGTATACACGGGATTGGAGGTTTGCACGATACTGTTGTTCGTTAGCTAGGTTGTCTCTCGGGGTCTTTTTCATGTACATAGACGTTTTCATCGCTTCTGAAGTCAATATACCAGCCTTAGAGCACGTTATGTTCAACACTGTACTTGTCAATTCACTAGTCGCATCAAATGGAGAAGAATTCAGGTATTGAAATAAGAATCACGTTAAATCCTAGCATCAGAATAGTACATTCATCGCCCAATCCTTTAGCCCATTACAGCTCCGATGTAACATTGGAGAACTCGCCCTGTTCCAGCTTGGTCTTCCAGAAAATGGGATTCATATCATCGAATCCGTGGTGAACCCATCCTTCTTCCTTAACGTGGTATAAGTTGATGAAACCACCAGAGTAGGCATCACGATGCATAGCGGCCAAGATGGCACGACGACCAAGTGCCAAGGCCTCCTCCACTGACAAGTCGTAGCGGTAGTTTGAGTCGAGCACACCGTAGGCGAATGTCTGACCGGATCCAACACAGAACAGGTTACCTGGCAGGCGGGTGCCGTCCGAATCGATGTAGTATAGAGCGGGACCTTCTTGAGGAGTGACCTATGAGAGATAGCTATTAGTTTCTGCAATACAAAGTATTGGCGATACTGTGACAAAGGTACGTACACCACAAAGCATGGTTCCCATACTGAGGCCGTAGCCCTTGTAAGCATAAGTCAAGTTGGCAAGAATCTTGGATGCGGCAGCGACAGTAATACGGCGCTTGTGTCGGATTTCTATTTCGATCAGTACTAGTTATCTGGAGTTCTTCTCTCATTCTCGGCTGTGATATCAATGAACGTACCATGCAGAGTGCACTGCTGACTCAAATAACGCAACCAATATTGGCAATCCTATCGAATCCATCATCAGAATCCGCATCGGGAGCTCATCATAATATCCAGATCAACTTACCGCCGCACCACCAGCCATGGTTCCCAAAAGACCCGGGGTAGGATCATTAGAAGGCTTGTCTTCACCACGGCTTAACCGCGATACAGGAATGACCTTCTTTACTGTCTGACTAGCAATCCAATTTCCAGCTGTTGCTCGAGAATCGGTACACACAATCTATAGTCCGTCGAGTTGTAATCAGTGATTTGCTAAATATCAGGCATCAGGGCAAGCCGATCAAGATGAAACGTACGATACCGCCCTGGAATCGGAAAGCCAGGGTTGTTGTTCCGTGAGCGAGCTTGATGGGGCAGCTGGGGTTGGAGTGGTCATCGGTCATAGCACGAAGGAAAGAGGCGCGCTAGAGAGAGCATTAAAATCCAGCGTTAGCTTTATTCTTTGTCATGGAGCAGAGATTCTGCTGCTAGGAGCTTAACTCCCGTGTTGTCGCTGATAGGCCCAGGTTCGACATATGAAGGGAGATGGATAGTCATTGTATAGAGACATTCCATCAAGAATCGGGAGAAAAGATGCGACACTGTAATCGAAAAGACTCACGTTGTCAACGGGAGGAAGGCTGAACTTGAGGGAGAGCGGAGGGAGGCTCTCGGTGAGGTCCTGTTGCTCTTGCTCTGAGTAAGACTCATTTTGGTGGTGCGGACGAGAGTACTGGGCGACAAGCTTGTCCATGCTGTGCTAATGGTGGAAAAACAAAGAGGGAAATAGAGCTTAAAGGTTGAGGGAGGGGATGAAGAGCAGCTGAAGTGATTGATGGTGATGATGAAGCAGCTCCGGGCTGGAGCTTGGATTCCGCGTCACTCGGGCGCCTATGGTCACGTGAAACGATACCAAATGAACAGCTACAGTGCCACCTTAACCTTGTGATATTGGAGAAAAATTGGTATATTCACAAAATTAAGATAAGTTGAAAGATGAGAGAAAAAGCGTCTGATTTTGAATTCTGTTTATCGAAACACACGAAACTTTGGGTGCTTCAAGTTGGAATTGACATTCAGGGTCTGGCCAGTTGGTTTCTCTAGTACTACTGCCCGTTTATGCTACCAGTAGCAGTGCCAGTGGTTGATGTGGTGGAATATGAGTCCACGAAATAATTAATCTTGATACTAGAATTGGCGATTGGTTTGAAAATTAGACGAATAGAGGTCTTGCATAGTAAGTTTTTGGTCTTGAGGAAATCTCAGGATCTATACCTAGCTACTGGTAGTGCGAGTTCGAGTCCGGCGCTCACATCCATAGAAGCATCCTTAAGCTGACAATGGTCCATGAATGTTTAGTACTAGTAGCAAGACTCCAGGGCTTCAACTTTCAAGGTCGAAAACAATACTAGTAGTACGTATAAAATTTGCATATAAAACAGAATTAATACCCGCGCATTAATTACAGACTCGAATACCCCGATCACCTTTAAACCAATTTGGGCCCAACTAAAAAAAAACAAGAGTGTACACGTGAAAATAGCTGCCAAATTCCGAACTGTGCCCAAAAGAGAAACTTAGAATTGACCTGAAAATCTTTGCTTCAAGTGCCTAAGAGGCCAAGACAGCAGGCTCTCCCCTTTCAATCTCAGAAGCAACATCATCTGGAGGCCCAGTAAGATCGACGCCGTTCACACCGTTCGTCAGGACTGACTCAGTGTCGCCGTTGACACCTTGCGCATCCACCTGGCTCTCGGATGATAGAATAGGGTCAAGGCTTGGCTGCCATGCCCGTAAATCGGCCTCCGCGTCTTCGAGTACCTGGCGAGCCTCGAGCTCGTGATCATAGGCCTGGCGAGCATCACCGGGAACAACAGGAGTATCATCAATGAAGTTAAGCAGACGGCGCGCATGACGAGCCAAGATAATCTGCTTCTCAGCACGTTCGATGACAGCTGCGGTGTGGATATCGAAAGCTTCCTTAAGCTTCGTGCGAGTCTGTTACTGTGTTAGCAGGCAGGAAACACATATGTAATGAGACAAGCTTCGTGAATAAAAAAGACTACATACGGTGTTCGACAATTGCGCCTCAGCAACCAAGTTCTGTGCCTCAGCTCGGACAAGTTCATGCTCCAGCGTCACGATTCGCGTGCTTGTAGGCTCCTTATACTTGAGCTTCGCAATCTCATCCGTAACCTTCTGTCTCTGATCGCGACTCGGCTGCACCGAAGCTTCCATGTTCCGAATGTGTTTCAGGACACCACGGTAGTCTTCCAGATTCTGCGCAAAGCTATCCTCTTGCTCGCCTATCTCGGACAGCATCACACCGAGCTTATCCGAGATATCAGAAATGGTGTCGTCCTCGGTCGATTCACCCCATTCCGAGAGTTGGGCAGCGATTGAGCCCCGCTCGCGACCGGCAGCTTCATAGGCACCGATTGCACTGTTCTCCGTCTTGATGAGCTTTGAGAGACGCTTGCTTAGTTCTGGTTGTTGAAGACCGCGGAAGGTTGCGATGCTGAAGCGGTGTCTATTGCTACTGCCCGAATCGCGATCGCGGCGATTGCGAAAAGACATGGTGCGGTTCCTAAGTAATGTTAGTCATATAGTGGGGGAGGAACTGGAAAAACAATTATTGCTAAAACGTACATCGTGTGTGATGATGGATAATCTCTGTTTTCGAAGGAATAGTTCAGAAAATAGTGTATAGTTCAAGTTTTAATATAACCTAGGGAAAATCCTAGGATCGTGAGCAAGAAAAGAGGGCGAACCAACTTGGTTCAGCTTCCAAGGTTATATGCAGGAGAGCGCCTTCCCATAGATGACGATGTGCCCAACCCTAAAGTGCCAATTCGTGTTGCAATGCATCAGGAAGTCCAGTCCCGGTGGCTATCTGACGTCATGACGGGAGGGGCGGATGGTGAGCTCATGCACTATTCCGATTGCAGTCGAATGCATGACCTATTCTCTTTAGGTGTTCGTGCAATACTCAAGTTTAAGTGGAGGATGAATGATCTAAAGTAGTCAGTGACAGGATTGGAGATCTGGTTCATGGTTCAATTGGAGGAGATCGTCAGTTCTCCACTCGGGTGTACCGATTATCTGATGTGGAGGTTGGTGTTGGCGTTCTTGATAGATCTTGATAGATCTGCGCACAGATGCCTGGAATTTAATCTCTATAACTATACGAGAATTTTAGTAACAGGAGTTCTAATCGTATAGACTGTTCATAGAGAGAAATAGGCTGAGCTCCTGCCTATTGAGGCATACTACGGCTGGGTTGACATGGCGAAATATCATGAAGCTGGATCTAGGATGAAAGCGGATTGGTGCTAATGATACCTCATAATTGCCTAGATTCATTAATACTTAACATTTTAAGCAATAGAAATGGTAAAGCAAATCCCATAGAACCGTACACGCATCACTAGACAACCATACCAGACAACCATACCCGCACCACAAACACCGGAAGCAGATCGCAGGGGCTGCATTGTGCTAAGAACGCAAAATAAAAACCGACCGATAAAATAAAGCGCCTTTGGACGAGTAATATAAGAAAAGAGCCCGATTAAGACATGTCATCAGCATCCGGGTGGTGGGTGTGCTCATTATCAGAGGCGTGGAAGGCATCTCCAAAGGCAGAGTTATCAAGATCAGGAAGATCCAGTCCGTCGTTCTGCTCGGAGTAGGCCGCCAGAGCATCACCGGCACTGTCAATGTTGGTAAAGTCGAAATTGGCTCCCTCCAAGTTAGTTTCTCCAGCACCGGCCCCGGCGTCCTTGTTCTCGTTATTCACCATCACCCAGTCACCACCTTCACCACCATCAAGCTGACCACCAAGATCCATGTCGACGTCACCAGCACCATGCATGGGCGGTGCTTGGGCAATCGCGCCGATGGCTGAGCTGTCGAATTGGTTCAGGAGATCATCTGCCTGGTCCAACACCATGTCGTTGGCGAAAGACTCGGGGTCTTCCTTTTCTTCCGGTTCAATCTTCTCAAGAAGACCACCCTTCTCAACGCATGAGACCTTGGGCACAGCCGTGATTTGTTTGTCCCAGGATGCTTCAACCTCGCGAACCACATCGTCGACCTTGTACTTGGCTTTATCTTGGGGATAATCGGGCTGTGGGACCTCCTCGTCCTCCGAGGGAATGGGAATGCGACCTTCCAATCGCCAAACCTCAGGTCCTGTCTGTGTAGGATCAGCGGCAGATTCTCTGAGTCGCAATTCGGCGTCCCGGAAAAGTGAGGTGCGCTTGAACTTCTGCAGGCGACGAGCATGCTGCTTCTTAAGTCTCTCAATCTCAGCTGTTGTGTCTGCCACGTGCTTGGCAGTGCGCTCCGCAAACTCCTTCGTCTTGGCTGGTCCCAACTTGGCTGCCACGGGAGCTTCTTCATCAGCTGCACCTGTAGGCGCATCAAAGAAACCAGTAGTCAGTTTCTCCAGCTCTCCCTTACGACCCAAACCAAGTGAGACGGGCGCAATTTGAGACATGGTGTAAGGAGAGTCGAAGATCTCGCTCATCATCTCATGGTTGTGTGTGTAACGCATCTTGCTGACATCTCGAGGGGTCAACTCATCCATCAAGTCTCCAGTAGACACATCCTCATCTTGAAGTGTAGGGTCAACAGCCGAAGAAGTCATTGCGGCGGTGGAAGCGCGAGGGGCGCGCTGAGCCTTGGCTGATGGGTGGACTGCAGCAGCAGCGCCGGGATGACCTTGAGGTGGGTAGAAGCCGGGTCGAGCTTGAGCAGCAGCGGGGTTGGCGTAAGGTGCCTGGGGTTGGGCGAAGCCTTGAGGGGTGACCTGAGGTGGGAAGGGAACAGTGGGCCAGTTGTTTCGGTCGTGGAGCATGAATTCTTTGCGACTGAGCTGGCCGGAGGATTGTAAGAAGCGTCGTTGCGAAATGACGTTTTGAATTTGAGGAGTTATTTGAATTCTTTGGGTGGGCAAATGGTCATTGTGAGGAGCGCGAGCGTAGTGGACAATGCAGAGCGCTGGGTCGTAGGCAGCGTTGGTCTTGGACGCGACGATACGGTAACGTTTGCGAGTGTGCGTCGCTACAGATTCATTCGGAGGGCTAAAGCCACAGCGGTGGACAGACATCTCGACGGTCTGTCAAATACAAATATTAGTTCCAACTTATCACGCCAATGGTCGCAGAATATGGGACCACATACGAAACCCCGGGATTCAAAACTAAAGGTCTGCTCAGGATCAGCCCAAACATAGCCATCGCTAGCGAATTTGTTCGCAAGGTGCGCCAATGGCAGCCAGGTGAGCATAACAGTCCCATCAGCGGGGGATTCTAAGAACATCCAATGCACTGGCTTTGCTTGACAGACTCGGGGTGCGCTGGTCAGGTATTCAACCGCCGTCTCTGTTGGCATCATGTGCATTTGCGGATAAGCCTGCTGCGAGACCAAATGCATATGGGGCAGCTATTACAGTATGAGCAATCATTCTCTAGTCCAAGCTCCTCAATTGAGAAATATAAAAGGCACTGGTCTGATGGAGATACGAAGTCTTACCAGTTGGCCATGCATGCGACTTGCTGGGTCATCCATCTTGGCTGTGCCCGCTTGGGGATATGATTTCAGACCCTGTTCCAAAGATGAAGCGATAAAAAGCTTCAAATTACCGGTAGGTGGTTAATGGTAGTGGATGCTATTAGCGGACGCGATCAGGGAGCACAGTGGGACTTGTCTATGGAGCTACAGTCAACGCGACGCGGGAGATTTTTTGACCGACCCTTTCACCGGACATCAGCCAATGATATATTGATCTATATTAAGCGGTGTAAGTTGAGGCGGTGGGGTATAGATCTGGCACAAAGTGGATGATGCCTGAGGCGGAATTATCATTGGTAACTAAGAGTATACATAACCTTGAGGTTGTTACTGTGCAATAAAAATTCTCTTCAAATGTTCAAATGTTGCATGTGCACACCTACATACGTTTGAAGCTTATCGTCCAAAGAGATTAAAATAGACCAATGTCGGTATGTGGATTAAGGTCGGAATCGAGGGAATTGCTAACAATATATGGAAATACGCGCAAATTCCCGTTTGGAGACCAAGTTTCAAGTTCCAAGGTTGTCAGCATTACCGGCGGAATCATCGGCATTTTCAAGGTCTTTTGTGGCTGCATCATCGACAATGGTCACCAAGATGGGTGCCTTTGGAGTCATTCATGATCAAGCGGAAGTGTCAACAGTTGACTACAATTAAAAATGGGCCTGCCAATGAAAAGGCCCTCAAGTCAACCAGAATCGAAAACAAGCCTGGCGAGGAAAAGGCCATCGAAGGCTCAAATTTTGAGGATGATATACGAGATTGCATCGATGGAGTACGCAAGAAAGTTCATCAGACGAATAAAAACACAAATCGCCTTCATGAGGACTTGATTCGGACTCGGAGCGAGACATGGATGCGAAGACAACAATCGGTTATGGCAGCAAGTACATGAGGCACCGTCTTATCCAGATGTGTTTTCTTGTTAGTGCACGATACATTGGATTCGATTTTTGGATCAACATCTCGATGCTGGATACCCAGTGACAGTGTTAACCCATCGGGCCGAACAGGCGGCAGGCCTCAGAGCCGGGAGTTGCGAGAAGCGTGGCGTCAAACCCGTGTCAGGCACTCCACCTCCAGGGCTAAGCGACACGGAATTACTTAACATATTTCCTAAATCTGAAAGTAAGATAGCCTGTTCAAGCCCTGGAGTGATTTTGTGAATAAACTATTTTTGTCTTAACCATTTTAAGTTTAGCTTCAATATCGTCTTACCTATTGCAATCTATGTTGGTAAGCCACCTGGGTATGATACGATGTCTGGGTGGATTTCTAAGAAATTAATAATCCAGCTCGCACTATGATCTGAGGTAATCATAACGAAGTTCGAGAGCTTGAATATCTAAGTGCTTAAATACCCAGGGCCTAGATAATTCCAAGGTTAACCTTGGAAACCATTCATCATCTTTCGGATTCTTTTTTTACCAAGATTATTCACGTTGTGTTCACGTTGGGAGAGGACCGACCTATTTACTAAACTGCTACAATGTCATCTCATCCAAGCGTGTTTCTTGTTGGTGCAGGATACATTGGACTCAATGTTCTTGACCAACTTCTCGATGCTGGGTACCCAGTGACAGCATTGACCCGTCGGGCTGAACAGGCCTCCGAGTTGGAGAAGCGGGGCGTCAAAACCGTATCAGGCACTCTAAGTGACACGGAATTACTCACTGCTCAGACGGCACAACACGAAATCACTATCAACACTGCATCTTGTGATGATCTACCCAGCGTGGAAGCTATACTAGCTGGTGTAAGACAAAGAGTCGCATCAAGCAAGCCCGTTATCTATCTCCATACTAGCGGAACCGGAGCCCTTGAAGATGGGGCGGCGGGAATGTACAAGAATGAGAAGATCTACAGCGACACTATCCCGGGAGAGATCAACTCGCTTCCAGGTACATTGATGCATCGCCATGTGGATATCCCGATTATTCAAGCCCAGCAGGAATTTGGAAGCAAGGCAAAGATTGCTTTGATGCTGCCCCCGCTAGTTTATGGGATAAACCCTGCACACAGCCGGCACTCAATTGCGCTGCCAACCCTGATGCGCTTTGCTCTGAAACACGGATTTGTAGGGTATGTGGGCGAGGGTCAAAATGTTTGGAGTTTGGTCCATGTCAAGGATCTGGGACGTGCCTATCTGAAGCTTCTCTCATATATTGAGAGGTCTGGACCTGAGGTTCTCTTGGAGAATCCTTACTTTTTTGCCGAAAATGGATCTGAGGCCTCAATGCTTGAAATCGCACAGCATCTTGCTCAAGCCCTATCTGACGCAGGAAGACTGAAGGGTCCTCAGTTGAAGTCTTTCACGGAAGCTGACTATGCTGATATTTTCGGCCCCTTCACAGAGCGAGGATTTGGCTGTAATTCAAGATGTTCTTCAGATCGATTGCGCGCCTTGGGATGGAAAGCAAATGAGAAGGATATCTGGCAGAGCCTTGAAGAGGATGAGGCTCCAGAACTTTTGCAGTAGCTGGATGTATTGTCCTCAAGTACTGATCAAGTGATGTGAGCTCAATGTGGTAGTCAATATTTTTGCCATCTCATTCTAGAAATACATTAAAACTTGAACATATTCAAGCTCCCCGAGGTCATACACTGGCAGACACCATGAAGTCGTCTCGGCTCTAGGGCTGTGCTTTGTAGAAAAAAAAAAGCTTTCAGCTAACTCCCAATCACACTGTGTATCCAAGAAAAACAACATGGTCTGATGCTAGGACCAATAATAGCACTGTCGGAACAAAGCGAAAATGGTTGTGCATAAACGCAAAGCATTTTCAGCTGTGTGGTTCCACTTTATGGTGATTTCTCCGCATAACACCATTCGATTGGTTCTACCCCGCCGTGTCCACACTTTGAACGCCTTGACGCCTTTCCGGCTTGGGCTTTCTTTGTGGGGTTCTTCTTAACTAGTTGGTGGCGCCAGTCAATGAATTCGACATGAGGTCAGCCGAGCACCCCTGCGGTTGATGGTTTGCTAAATTACGACTTGATGTCGATCAGTCACTTTCTGTGGCCCTGAGCCCCGCGTTATAAAATATGGAAACTCCCCGGATTTTTTCCGAGGCCCCTGGTTCCTTTTGTTGACATCCACTCTTTACTTCAGTGACGATGGGTTTCTTCGATAAGAGTGAGCCTCCTGAGGATGAGATCCAACGGGCGCCTCCGGATCAGGACGTTGAGAAGGCAGTTCCTGCGCAAGTCGAGAGTGCGCCAGTTAATCCACCTACCAAAATCATACCGAGAGCGATTGACCCGGAATTGGAACGTCGTGTGGTGAGAAAGCTGGACCTGCGCGTTCCAACGCTAATGGGATTTTTCTGTGAGAACTTTGAGTTATTGAATACATGCGATAGTATCATACTGACCTTTTATTTTCACTTCTAGATCTCCTTGCTTTCCTCGATCGAAGTAATATCGGGTTTGTCACTCACCCGTCTCCGAATCTCTAATTTCTAACGAGGACAGAAATGCGAAAATTGCTGGAATGAGCGAGGACCTCTCACTCACGGGTAATCGATATGCATGGCTTTTGACAATCTTCTACATCTCCTATACACTTTTCGAATTCCAGGCTTTGATGTGGAAGATTGTGAAACCTCATCAATGGGCAACCTTCATCATCTTTTCATGGTATGTCCCCAGTTTACGAGATTTTTTGTTGCAAGTAAAAGATACTAATCAGAATATGTGTCTAGGGGTTTGATCGCATCATGTCAAGCGGCAACAACAAATTGGCAAGGAATGATGGCACTTCGGTTCTTGATGGGTGCTTTCGAGGCTGGATTCGGGCCTGGAGTCCCTTATCTTCTTTCGTTCTTCTATCGTCGCCATGAACTTGGTCTACGCTGTGGCTTGTTCTTGTCTGCGGCACCGCTGGCCAATACCTTTGCCGGAGCACTGGCTTACGGGATTACATCCGGTCACGCATCTATGGCAAATTGGCGAATTCTCTTTCTTGTTGAGGGCCTCCCAGTGTGCGCAGCGGCGATCCTGGCATGGTTCTTTATACCGGACTCGCCGTCATCGGCTAAATTCCTTACCAAGGAAGAGAAAGAAGTTGCTCGTGCTCGTGGGCTGCAACAAGCCGGTGACGCAGACCGTGAAGGCAAAATCCAATGGAGGGAGCTTGCTATGACATTATTGGATGTGAAAGCCTGGCTTACTGCTGTATGTTTTCCTGCAATTTTGGCACTTTGATCCTTGGATACTAATATGGGAACTAATTTTACTGGATCAGCTCATGTACTTCAGCTGCAACGTCAGCTTCTCATCTCTCCCTGTCTTTCTGCCGACCATTCTGGAACAAATGGGCTATTCGAAAATCAATGCCCAAGGCTTGACCGCACCACCATTTTCCGCCTCCTTCATCGTGACGATCATCACGCCTTGGGTGGCGGATCGGGTTCAGCAGCGTGGACTAATGATCGCAGCGCTATCCCTGATCGGCGGGGTGGGGTATATTCTTTGTGCCGCTTGCACAACAGTGGGTGTACGCTATTTTGGCGTGTTTCTGGCTGCTTGTGGAGTCTTCCCGGCGATCGCAAATATCCTGCCGTGGGTTCTAAGTAAGTGACAAACAATTTTTCAAACTGGCGGTTTTTGTCTTCAACGTAATTGATCGGCTAATAATTTATGTTTCTCTTTACAGACAACCAGGGATCAGATACACGTCGTGGTGGTGGTATCATCCTGCTGAACCTTATAGGCCAGTGTGGTCCATTCTTAGGTACCAATGTATTCCCCGATAGCGAGGAACCACGGTACATTAAAGGCATGTCTATTTGTGCTGCCTTTATGATATTCACGACTTTCCTCGCTTTGGTTCTGCGTTTCTTGTTGGTGTGGGAGAATAAGCGCTTGGACGAGAAGTACGGCCCCAGGATTGAGGTAGACGAGTCCAAGGGGGAGGTCCCTGTCGCGGAGGACAACTATGGCGCTAGCTTTCGTTATATGCTATAACGTGGTCTATTGAATTTGATTTAAATTTGATTTACCCGAGCCAAAATTCGATTTTGATACCCTACAAACCTTGGAATGATTTTCTCGCCTGGAATGTATGTTGTGGGTTATCCTGAACTTGGAACTATTCCCTTCGTAGCGGCAGGATTGCTCTCGAGGGAACGCTCAGCAACGCTTTATACCCGTTACATCATTCGATTTCAAGCAATCCTGACAATACTTGGAACTGATTCCTAAACTAGTGCCCTAAACAGCTAACCAATACTATCCTCGACGGTTATCACGTCTGAAGCTAGAAGAGTCTATGGGCGTGCGAGAGCCTCAGCTGTACCCCAAAAATCTACTACGACAACTGTGATAACCTCTACTGATATACGCATCTTCGCACAGCTAATGAGGCATATGTGCAAGTGAAAGAAATCCGAATATCTTACTTTGATATTCCCCAGTTCCGGTTACCTAGCAGATTATCACCTGATCAACTCTTTCTAGCTGGATATGGACCTCGAATGAGCTATATGACAGGGGTTTACTGTAGCGCCATGACTTAGGTGACTATATAAAATACACTAATATCATCTATAGGAAATAAAAAAAGAAACGTAGTACGATAACCTCAAGGCAAAAGTATTGTAAATTGAAGGTAAGAGTACTATAAGGTGAAAGAGAGAGTACTATAAGATGAAAGAGAGAGTACTTTGAGGTGAAAGAAACAGTATTATAAGGTGAAAGAGAGGAGATGCTGAGTAGGAGCCATTGCTTTATCATACAGCAACATCATCACCTGGGCAGTACTGGAGAAGTTATCACTATCGAACCCTGAGCTCTCAAAATCATCATTTTGCGCAGGTGAGGTGTAAGAGTAGTGACTATCCCAAACTGTCGTAATAACCCATACAATATTGAGGAAGGTATTTCTTCCGTTTCCAATGGTGGCACCCACATCCAGAGTAGAGTGAGATTGTAATCCATCTCCGTTTCTGTCCGTGATTTGGAGCTCAAACACGCATCACCCCTTTTCGCAGGTAACGACCCCATAGATACTGGAAATATGGTATCCCATGCCTAGAAACCTCAGTGACTCAAGCACAAGAGCTGGAAAAAGTGAACCAGCTTCAACCAAGGACATTTCACTGTAGTTTATAAGGGTGATGAGACGTAGGTCACGATCTTCACCGTTCTAGCACTGTAAAGACCACTGTAAGCGAAGTGTCGGATGTGCTCTTCCAGATCAGATTGTGGCCTAATAATCAATGCTGTCAGATGAGGTCACAGCTGCAGCTGTAGGATATGAGAATGGTGCAGATACTTACAGATCCATGTTGGGATGGCCGTTGATGTGTATGTTGAGGAGAAGGAAGAGAGTGAAGATAAGGAAGAGGTTGAAGAGGTTGAAGAGGTTGAAGAGGTTGAAGAGGGGAAGGAGAAGGAAGAAGTTGAAGGGGTATTGCAATGACATGCAAACACTCTTCAAGTTCAAGTGTCTTCGGTCAGGTGTGCAGTAGAAAGCATCAGCTTCTCTGGGCGTAAGGATGAGTGTGTGTAGGAGTAAGTGATTCGAGTAACGAGCTGTTCAACTTTTCCGATAATCTCCTGTTGGTATGAATAGACGGGGGAGGATGGAGATGGCCTGTACGTGTAGCCTGTAGGCGACAGGATGGCGGTGCTTTTTTCGTGAGGAATAATAAGGGAAGTGATGGATGCGAGAAGAATAAGATTGGATAAGCTTGGAAGAAGTAATGCCTAGGTAATGACCATAATAAAATAATATGTTCAATGTTTCTCTTAGGAAGAAAACTTGGAATATTGAATTATCAAGATCTTTTCTATCGTCCACCTGATCTACCCAAACTCGCTACTTTAGCATCCTTCGTCGACTCAGACCGATAGACACTCCACTCCCTAATCTCGGAAGACTTTCTACTCATCCCACAGAAGCAAAGCATATTTTCCTATCATCCATCGCAACACATATTTCCCCTTTTCGATATACACCAACAGCCCTGAAAATGGATCTGTGAGTACTGGCAAAATCATATCCGTGCATTGCAGCTTTTGCTAATGGGATTAATGACTAGACCACAGTTCGATTGGGAAGACCATATCTGCCGAGTCGCCTTCAGTGGCCTATACGGAGCTGAAAACGGTGACCACAGATTGACAAGCACTATACTTGGTCGCCAGCATGAACGGAATGCTATTCTTGATGTCATGGACATGCCCTATGATTTTTCACAATATGATACTTTGGGCACGTCCGAGACAATTCTTGACGAATGGTTTGAAGGTACTGGTTTCTATTTCCTGCGTGGTGTGCACACGATGCTCCACAGCCACAGCATGGCTTTACTGGTCATTTGTGATGGCCCTGAATATTATGATGCTTACATGATCGTCCTTCTTAACCGTGGCGAAATGTCTAGGGAGGACGCGATACAACTCTTTACAGCAAGTGCTGTCCATTTCATGGAATATTTGCCTGATACCCGCGAGTACGAAATTTCATCTGCCTACGGGGTTGTCCTTTGCGAGACTGAATGTTGCATTTTCTATCTTCGAATTCCTGATGGAAGCAATATCGGCTTGCATACAACGCCTGTGGATCTTCATGTTACAGTTGGCAATGGAGGAAGTACTTTCCTCAATTTTGCGTGTGGTTTTACTATGATTTGGAATATGCAGCATGTTATTCTTGGCGATTCATCATTACTAAGTTCAAGTTCCCTTGCACAAACTGAGGATTTTGAGAACTCAAGTTTTGGTAGTGATACTTCCTCCAGTACTAATGATTTTGCTCTATGATGAAGCTATTGCTCTGATTTAGTATCTCCCTTTTGCGTTATAGTGACTCTACTTTCAAGTTAGCCCACTTTTTCCCTTTTTGATTCCCTGTATTTTATTGCCTAGCTTGGATTGGGGGTTTTTATGCCTAGAATCGAATTTATTTCTTGATGATCACCGGAAATAACTAGGTATTGGCATGTAAAAATATTTCTTCTATTTAGATTTCCTACCTAGGTAAGTTAGTGTAGACCTATAACATTTGAGAATGGCCAGCAGGAAAAAAGAAAATTATAGTACTACTATACTTGAATAGTACCAATCTCTCTTAATTCAATTACTAGTACTTTATTTATCTCTCACTGGCACTTGAGATATCTCTTACTAGTAGTTTATCTATCTCTTACTTTGGCCTTAGATATTATTAGTTCTATATCATCATGATAATAATAAAGCAACTGGTGCCTAGGTGGTGAGCTAGGTGATTAAGATCTGCTATAGGAAGATGAATTTTGGCTGCGTGCCAGTTATAGGCCCTTATAGTACTTAGATATTAGTAGTAGTAGACAGAGAAGCAATCAAAAGCTGATTCTCTACTGGTGGAGAAAGATCGGAGAGCTGGATCTCGCCCGAGGGCCATCCGGACCAGAGTTCCCCGATGCACCCACTTCTTTCCGTGATTGTAAACCTTGAAGGCAAGATTCGTATCAAATTTGGGTACTTTATTGATTTAAAATAAAAGTCGAGTTTAATGGTCGTAATTCCATAGATGAGATGTAGCATGGAACCTTCAAGGTTGGAAGACTGGTATGCTGACCAAGTCATGGTTTGTATGAGTCTGCAGAGTACAATGCTTCGAAGTACATACATGCATCAGATGGATAGAAATGGAAGTCCGGAGGTTCATAGGAAAACAACTCAGAATATCAACGAATTCAAAACGTCATTATGCGATCAGGATTAGCATTCTCCTCCCAAATTAAAATCCACCAGCTTCTATAAGTATCCGGTGAACGGATAGACTCGGGAGGACGATGACAACATATTGTCTGGGATGAGTGGGGTGTAAACCGTGTAATGCATATAAGGTTACCACCTGCCCCTCATCTCGTCTCACTTTCTTCTTCTTTCATCATATTCTACTTCGAAATTTCAATTCCAACAAGAAAAAAAAACATTCTCAGTAACTAAAAGGTCCTATGCTCAGCGTAGCCCGTGCTAACCATTCCCTTAGATCTATAACGAAGTACATATCTCCACATTCATGTGGGAAGTCATGATGACACTTTGGTTGGACACATTATCTTTTAGGGATCAAGGTATCTCAGGTAACTTCTGTGCGTGGGCCGGTGTTCGTTCTCGTGTCGTTGGCATCTTCTTGTCGCCTTCCTCAAGATGAGTACTCATCCAAAAGGATAAGCCTCAAGTGATGTCAACGACATGGGTTCGTTCTGAGAATATACGGTCATAACTTGATCTGGATAATACCAGCGAAAGGATCATGCCTCCCCATTCCCCATGGTGTATGGAAAAACTAACAAGACCCAAGACAACTCGACTTGATCCCTAACCCACAATGTCTCCTCCCGCTGCTATCTTTGACGCTGCTCCGGCCACTACCGGCATCAAGGGCAAGGTTGTTGTCCCACAGACGGCTACTACCACCCTGACCGGTGAGGGCCAGAGCAAGCTTCTGGAGCAGTTCCGAAACAAGTGGGATGAGTTCAAGTTCGCCCCTATCCGTGAGAGTCAGGTCTCTCGTGCCATGACTCGTCGCTACTTCCAGGATCTGGACAACTACGCTGAGAGCGATATTGTCATCGTTGGCGCTGGTTCATGTGGTCTGAGTACCGCCTATGTACTCGCTAAGGCCCGTCCAGACCTGAAGATTGCCATTCTCGAGGCTTCCGTGTCTCCTGGTGAGCCAGATCAACATGGCAACCGGCGATGATACACTGCTAACAAATGATATAGGTGGTGGTGCCTGGCTCGGTGGCCAGCTTTTCTCCGCTATGGTTCTGCGTCGCCCAGCTGATGCTTTCTTGACTGAGCTCGGCGTCCCCTTTGAGGAGGAACCTAACAACCCGAACTTCGTGGTCGTCAAGCACGCCGCCTTGTTCACATCGACCCTTCTGTCCCGCGTTCTGGCCTTCCCGAACGTGAAGCTTTTCAACGCTACCTGCGTTGAGGACTTGATTACCCGACCCGATGGAGCCGACAAGGTCCGTCTGGCCGGTGTGGTCGTCAACTGGACTCTGGTCACTCTCCACCACGACGATCACTCCTGCATGGACCCCAACACCATTAATGCGCCCGTCGTCATCAGTACCACTGGTCACGATGGTCCTTTCGGTGCATTCTGTGCTAAGCGTCTTGTCTCCATGAACGCCATTGAGAAGCTCGGTGGTATGCGTGGTCTTGACATGAACCTTGCTGAGGATGCCATCGTTAAGAACACCCGTGAAGTTAACAAGGGTCTTATCATCGGTGGTATGGAGTTGTCTGAGATCGACGGCTTCAACCGCATGGGCCCTACCTTCGGTGCTATGGTCATGTCCGGTGTCAAGGCTGCTGAGGAGGCGCTCCGCGTCTTCGATGAGCGCAAGCGCGAGTGTGCTGAGTAAACTTTGAACTCAGGCTGGAACTCTGGAATATGTGTTCCTGGTGGATGGTTGGATATGCTACGGGTAGCTTTCTGCTAGTGATCGTTTTGATAATGCACAATTCACACTCATTTCGTGCAACCGACAAATCTTCCCATTCGAGTTCTTGTAGACATGATTAAAAGTCATTATATATTATGTACTGTAGTTTCTAGTATATATTAATGTCACAGAAGAGTTTTTCATAATCACCACGGTAAAAGGTATGGCAGCCTTGAGCGACAATAATCCATCACCCGGTTTTGTCCTCCTCCGAAACTCTGGCATTTGATCCAGGCACTCGCTTTTGAGCTGCAGTGGCTAAATCCTTCGCATTGCGAACCTCCCACTCAAACTCCTTGAGAGCACGCAACTCACCCGACACAAACAATCCTCCAATAAGACCATCCAAAATTCCAGCTCCAAAGTTCAGTGTGCTGAGCAAAATGAGGATGAAGCCGATATATGTTCGACTGCCGACCCACCAAACGCCCACCATGCATCCAATCGAAACAATCAGAGACAGTACAAAATGAGCAAGACGCCAGCGGCGCTGCGACCGCTCACGGAGAACATATACACGGATCATTTCGAAAATTTCATCGTACGTTTCCAAAGAGAGGGCGGCATTTGGATATATTGGTTTGGATGAAGATTGTGTTTCCTCGAGTTGATCTTCGGAGACTGTTGCAGCAGTAGGCGAACGGGTAATCACCGCCTCGACAGCAAAATGGTCGCTCAGCGAGCAACGGAGGGTAGGATGACGTTGAGTCATGCTCACTTGTGCCGATTCAACAGACCAACGTGGGGGAGGGAACTCAGGAGCATAACCACCATCGCCAACAAAGATATAATCAAGACGCTTTGCGCGAGGATCAGGCCCGTCCTTGTCAATAGTGATCTCTTCACCCTTGTCCAGTCTTTTCTGAAGAGTTTTTGACCAGCGCCAAGTATTGAAAGCACCATCACAAGTGGCACCGTTTTCAACCAAGTTAAACTCAGCAGAAGGGATCGGAAGATTCCTAGCTTGTTCAATGGGATTGATTGCGGCAGCAAGAGAGGAGTCGGGATGCAGCACACGCCAGACATCACGGACAGGGCTTTGGGCGCTGATCAATCGATGGGCGAAAGAGGAGGGGAGCATGTTGAAATCACCCAGACCTATAACCAAATGTCCTCGTTCCGCAGCGCCGCGCATAAGCCTGGAGATTTCCCATGCTTGTGCTGTGCGATGACACAGATACGAGTCATTTGGTTCGCGCTCATAAGGGGCGTGCAGATGTGTACAAAACACCTCGGCAACATCTGCTATACCAGGTCCAAAACGTACCCGCGCGCAAGCAACTCCCTTACCCACGAACCAGTCGCCACGGAAGAAAGCGGTAGGTCGCCCATTTAGCGGGTATGCGTACATGCTGCTCTCCTCAATCGGCCACTTCGACAGAATCGCCAGCCCCGCACCGAAAATGCCTCCAAAATAGAATTTGCCATATGGTAAAATGTGACGTGTTTGGTCTCGAATCGACTCATAATCCTGTTGCGTCCAGCACTCCTGGAGACCAACTATCTCTGGCGGTGGGCTAGCTAGAGCTAGTTGTCGACCGATCTCAGCTAGACGTTCATGGCGATAGGTTGAGATATATTTCAGACCCCAACAGTTCAATGTGAGGATTCGGATATGACTCGGAGGCTCGTTTGGTATCGCTTGCGAAGCCATTTTTATCGAAATTGGCGTTAGCTTGGACTCCGTACAGTTCTCTGGGTCCGTTGCGACAAGTGGATGTCGATCACTGATGTAAATCCGGGCCTCACCGCCTTCAGAACGCGCCTTTTCATTTTCGCGGTCCATCACATCTCCAACTCACGTTTGTCATTGTCCTAAATTGGGCTTTAATTCGTCATGGAGCATGCACATACTAGATCTCGCCGGCGAGAGGCCCGTCAATCTCCCTCCGAATCCTCCACAGATGAACTAGCGGCCGGCTCGGAACCTGAAGAAGCTCAGCACCGACGAGCAAGCTGGACCGCGCATAAAGATTTCACCCCGCAACGTTCAAATCGCCAGGAACACCCCGCGAGCGAATCGGAGAGTACTGATGAGCTGGCTGCAGATGAATATTGGCGCCGTTCGCCTCGCAATTCCCGCAGTCTTTCGCCGATTGACCACTCCGCGGATCGGTCGCGGTCGCGGTCTCGGTCTCGGTCTGGTCCGATAGGCTTTCTGAAGATCGATTGAGCACCGCCGATGACGATGAGAACGCGCCTATTCGTGATGATAGGTCCGACCGATCTTCGACTCCTCTTCCTTCCGTCGCAGCTTCCCCTCCTAAGCCCGAACACCTGGACTACCGCGAGAAATTCGTTCTACAAGGTCACCTTCGAGGCGTGTCCATCGTTCAGTTCTCGCCCGACTGCTCAATGATCGCTAGTGGTGGTATGTTTAACCTGAGCTCTCGCTTTTAGAGTCAGTTATTGATAAATTCTTCCATGTGCAGGTGCCGATGCATCAGTCAAGGTTTGGGACACCCTTACTGGCAGATTGATCTATACCTTTGATGGCCATCTAGCGGGTGTTTCGACGCTTGCATGGAGCCCAGACGGACAATGGATTGCATCAGGGTCCGACGATAAAACTATCCGATTTTGGGACGTGAATACTGTATGTGACCAGACCGATCAATCTGTATACATGAAACTAACTTGTTTTTACAGGGTCGAGCTCACCCAAGGCCCTTCATCGGTCACCATAATTACGTTTACCAAATCGCATTCGCACCGAAGAGTAATATTTTAGTCAGTGGATCATATGATGAAGCTGTCTTTCTGTGGGATGTGCGCCGAGCACGCGTTATGAAAACGCTCCCTGCCCACTCCGACCCCGTTGCTGGCATCGACGTGACCCATGATGGCACGCTTATTGTATCATGTGCCCTTGACGGCTTGGTCCGTGTTTGGGATACACACAGTGGTCAATGTCTCCGAACTCTGGTGCACGAGGATAACCCGCCCGCGACGTGTGTCAAGTTCTCTCCAAATGGCAAATACATTCTTGCCTGGACCCTGGATGGCTGTGTCCGCATGTGGAACTATGTTGAAAGTCGTGTGGTCAAGACATTCCAGGGCCACGTCAACAAGAAATTCAGTCTGTCCGGGTGTTTTGGCAATTATGGCCTGCCCGGTGTGCGGTATTCTCCACCATTATGCTTTGCTGTGAGTGGCAGCGAGGATGGAGCCATTTTGTGCTGGGATTTGGTTAACAAGAATATCCTTCAACGCATTGAAGGACATACTGATGTTGTTCTTTCTGTCCACTCTGGAGTTTACAATGGCCGCCGTCTCCTTGTAAGCTGCAGCTTGGACAAGACGATCCGAGTGTGGGAAGAGGCATCGGAGGGACCTCTTGATGAAGTCTCTGGTGACTCTCCAGTGGATATCAGTCTTTCCAATGAAGTCACAGACTCTGGTGATGTTGATGGCGATAATGCTATGACCGATGCCCCCGATCCTTCCAATGTGAATACTCCTGCAGAGGACGTGATGATGACATGATCCTCAAAGCATAATACTCTCTCGATTTGCATCACGGTTTACATCGGCGGATGATTTTTATTATTTTGAATGGGGAAATACCCGGTGTTTGGAGTTATGAAGGAATATGAGCATAGAAAGGTCTTGGGATTTGAGACATCATGGTGATCGAAAAGCCAATCTTGCATAAATTAAATATTTGAAATCAATTTGATCTGCATAGATCATCGAAATAAGCATAGCCCAATGTTGATAATACATTTGTGTAAGTCAGAAATTCAAGTTCAAGTGAACTGGGGATGGGTGCCTGCAAATTCTGGCCTGGATATCATTTCTCAGTTATAGGGGTAAAATCAGAAGTTCAGGTAACCGTCCACATCGTAGTAGCTCAGCGGGCTATCGTGTCTGTCCCAATGTGATTTGACACTATGATACCATAAGACTAGAATGCTGGGACTGAGGGTTGCTCAGTAGCATCAGCGAGCGTGAGACTTGCCTAAGTGGAACACCACCGTGAGAAAGCATGCAGCGGACTATGTGAAAGGCTTCTGTGGATGGGCTTTTTTTTGTTCTTTCTTCTTATACCCATTTTATATTTTTATCTATTTTATTAGATTTGTTATGATTTTTCGAAAGTTGAAGCTTTCATCGTCTTCTCATTTTGATGCCTCACTTGGTACAAACATCGCGAAATCTAGAAGTCCCTGGTTCGATCTCTGCTTACTCCATTTCTTTTTTTCTTTTTCTCCTCCTCGTAACCTGTGCCTTCAAATGTTGTCGATATAAAGGATCTTGAAGACTCTATACTCCCAGGCTGTCTTTATAGTTATCCAGATGTGGGTCCTTATAGCCCAAGGCCTCGGTTAGGTACAAGTGGAGTCTAAGATATTTTCCCATTTTGCCGTCGGTTGTCTTCAACAAAGGATTTCCAGTATGGCAAGCATGCGTCTGCGGAGTACAATTCCACCACATGAGCATATTGACACGAAATATTGGTGGGATAGCCGAGTGGCGTTATAGGATATGCATTTCAGGCTACAAAAACGCAAGACTTGCACCATTTGACTAACCTAATTGTTGATTTATAGGCTGAAGAAAAGCTCTTTCCGACTCCACTCATCTAAATTAAGCATAACACATATGCCATGATCGTTCTAGATGGCTCGGATCCGTTCACATGATCGGCTCAAGCTCCACTAAAAGTCAATTCGCACAGCTTGGCTTCCTATTTGGGTTAAATACTTGTCAATCCCATGATATCTCGATTTTTTTCTTTGACTAATCTGATGGAGAGCTCAGGTACGGAGTATACAATATTAATTCTCCAACAGCTCTTCTTTTCAGACTTCACTTTCACAATATCATCTCTCTTCCCTTCATCATGCATTCAAGGCTACAGCTGGTCTGTCCCTCGGAACACGACATATACTTCAATCTCAATGGAGATGGATACGCGGAGCCCGTTACTGGCACCGTCGTGCTAAAGGACCACACCTCGCTCTCCAATACAGCTGCTCAGCTACAACTACGTCTAGTTCAGATCGTGGTGGCTGGAAACAGCAACCAGCGTCCTCTGCCCCGCGATAATAAATTTTTGAGCAAAATTCGTCGTTCATTTCTAGGCGCCCCACAACAAGAGGAGACCCTTGCCACCGAAACGTGCTCCATAATTGAAGAAGTCATTCAATCTGTCATCCCATCGGACCCAGTGACAGATGGCTCGGTCCACCTTCCATTTTCTATTGCCATTCCAGTTAACACACCTGGCTCGACCAACACACCACTGGGAAAGATCACATATTCCATAATAGCCACCATATCAACACCGCAAGGCGAAATAATCACCACTGTTCAGTCTCTTCTTCTGACCCGCCACCTCATCCCGGATCGACAATGTATTCAGAACAGACGATCATACCCGAAATCAACTGTGATCAAGGAAATCACACTTTCTCAAAATTTGACGACTGATCCAAAGTCGGAGATCGCATTATCTGCAAACATCTCTCTTCGTCGTGGATCACCCCAGACTCAGCGTGACTCCGAATTCAGGTGTCCTACCGTCCGAGCGATTCACTGGCGTGTGGAAGAAGTGACTAGATTGGTCGACCAAAATAATAATGATCTCCGAGACACTGTGGAGAACCTCATCTCCAAAAAAGAAATTGTCAGAGAGATATGCAGCGGAAAGCAAAAAGGATATTGGTCTTCGAACGACAACCCGCTACTGAAGAAGAAGCAAAAGTCTGAAGAGGATTCCACTGTTGAGATTTCCTTGGATATCTCGATCCCCAAGAATGGGAATATGGGTCCTGCAATTGACGGCTCTTGCTATGGGTCTTTCCAGGCAACGCCGCACATCACCTCAGAACATACTGAGAATGAAGATCTGATCATTCTGGTTGAACAACGATTGAGAGTTGAGTTCATAACGGGCGAGGACACTTTCGATGCTCGCAACAAGAATCTGGTGGATCGTCGGCCCCTGCAACCTACTCCGTCTGTCAACTTTCCTCTTCTGGCCGGAAGTCATGTTAAGACCGATTTTGAGGATCTTGTATTTAGTGGTCCCCCGAGATATGAGGACATCACGATATCGCCTCCGGAGTACATCACCTTGGTCTGAGTTCCAAGCTTCTACTCGAATCTTACTATACATTATCCAATTATCTATAATATTTAATGAATCAATGACACTTATGTTCTACGTCCAATCACGAATTCAAAATTTGCTCAAACTTGAAATCACAGACGAGAGGTGGGCGGTTAGTATGTAGATTGGAGATCAAATGACCATCATACACCTCACTTTTTGCTATTTCCCCTTCCAACACTCTACTCTGAACTGATTGTTCAGTTATTGCCGATCTACCCTGATTATTCTTGCCAGTCTCCCGTCCTCTTTTCATCCCTTTAAACTTGAAGCTGTTCATATATGCAAGCACTTGAGTGATCATAACCGTCGAGTCGGAGTCGCCGGACTCAGCCTCACTTATCTTAAGTTGCTCTATATGCACACAGGCTCGGCCGCACTAACCCTCTTTTCAAGCCACAGGCCGGATTTTGAAACATAAATAACGGTATGATCCCAACACAAGGGCGAATCCCTTTCGATTTTGTCAGATTTGACCTCGCACCTACTGCTAATCCTGATCTCCATAAAGATTATGATAAGATGCTGAACGACATTTTCCATTCTGCACCGACTGAGAACACTCCTACAATAGCGCCTCCTATTCGGATAATCCTACAAATTCAACCTGATTTACGAAGAAATTCAGAGCTCAAGCTCAAAGAGAAATGTCTCAGTATTACTCATGCGGTTTTCGAGTATGTTATGCCGCACAACTTTGACCGCGACCAGACCTACATCCATTTTCCGTCCATCCAAGGTAGATGGGAGAGCCAAGTGGTCATCGACTACTGCACCGGCGAGATTTTGGACGGATCCATTGCAGACAAAGTACAGTTTTGCGGTTATATAGTAACCCAAGAAAAGCAGGGATTGTAGGTATGCTCATGTCACAGGGTAAATGAAGCCTCCTTAACAGTCGGTCAGGATATTCGAGAAAGTGAGGCCGGTCTCACTGAAACACCATGCACAAATATCCACAGACACTCTTCCCTGGAAAGCAGAAAGATGTATTTTCCTTCATATCCCAGCTTCTCTAGTCGATATTGACTCCAATATCCAGTCCGAGAACAACCCATCAATCTCGAGCCTCGAAAAGACAATGAACTACTTACCAAGCAACGCCTCGATCGAGCCGAAAGACACCAAATGTGGGGCAACTTTTTAAAATATCTTGAAACAGAAACAGAGATCAAAATCCGTGAAAACGTATCACGCGGCGTTCCAGATAACGAAACAGCGACTCGAACTCAGCCTGAAATCACACCACCACAACGTCATCAACCCAGCCGCTTCCGGCTTTCAGATATACCCGTTCACCTCAGATATTGCCCTATACGTGTTCTCCTTCAAGTTTCAAACGATGGTTTCCCCGGTAATCTCCGAGAGCGATGTATCATCGCTTCAAAAAAATTCTTAACGCTGATGCTGGGGGATGAGTATCAACAGACAGTGTACCGCCTCATACGAGGAATGGACCAACCCCATTCCGAGGGAATTGAATGCTGTATAGTGGTAGACTATTGGATCGGACGATTAAATATGATCCAAAGTCCGCCATTCCTAGCGCTGAATTATCGTGGGCGCATGCAGGATGGGCTGATGTAAGTTGACTTTTCACTCTCGTCTCCCCATCTCACTTCCTCAGCTGTGTTATGGCGTGGCAGGCATGAATTGGTGGATTTTTAAACCGGATCCTCGTCAGCTGCAGTAGGCGTTGTGGCTGATCCCTTGACTTCATATAGGAAATTCCAGCCGACGAGACTGGACAATGCCGCAGCACAAGCCACTTGCGTGAGTAATTCTACATTTCAGCCCGGCCCTGTCGTTTCGAACCTCCAATCATATCCTTTGCTTGAACTTGTACTGATTGGATCTGAAACCAGTCTATGTTTCTTACTAAACTTGCTCTGGGGCGAAATGGTTCAGTCACGATTGAAGGTGTGGAGCCGATGGGCGCTCGGGATCCCCATGTCGATCATTTGGGATCCTCTCTAAGGGGATTGACTCCATTTTCTCGGCCTCATGGAAATGATACTAGGTCCGATATCACAGTCTCGGGAAACTGGGTTTTGCCTGACTGCGAGAGTACTAGAAGTGGACTGTCGAGTTGGGAGTTTAATAGTGATATATGAGGCTGTGTCCACCGTCAACTTGATGGATGTCATTGGGATTTTTATGGTATTTGCCTGCCAGTGGAAATGCATTATTGCTTGAATCAGGGTTCATTATGGGCGTGGGTAATCTCAGGCTGTATTATGTATATAGCTTAATGAATAATTCAGCTCCAATTTATTTTTCATTAAATGTAGGAAATTTTGTTAGATGTATAGCGTAGAATCGTAACATTTGAACATCAGAATGCTACAATCGGGACGAGAAACAATTAACGTGCCCACTAGTACTGCCCAACATTGAAGGGAATTTCTCCGCAGCCTTGTCCTAATTGATGAGCGCTCGGATTCGTCTTTGAATCTGTATCTCCAGAGACCCATGTATACACAAGATCCACTTGGCCAAGGCTCAAGCTTCGCTAAGCTTTGAGGTCTTAGCTTCTTTGTTACCACCTCGGGCCATTTCTCACAACCCATATCGAATAATGTTGCGCCATTCAATTTTTCTTCAATACCATCTGGAGACAATACTTGGCTCAGTCAAAACGACTTGAAGTCGATGAATTCGTGGATAGACCCTTTCAAGTTGCTAATACGGACGTCGGAGTCGAATTGGAACTTCCATTTTATGGGCCCCATTTGCTTCGTCCGAGTCTCAGGCTCCACAGGTGCACTAGTAACTTGAAACACATGCACGATGAATAATCAAGTTTCAGGAACACGCTTTCTGCCCAGGTGCACGGAGCATTGATCAATGATATGCGATTCTGGCCTGGAAACAATCCTTGAGCGTGCGCCGGCCGCCAACACTGATGGAATCCGACAAGTAAGATGAGAACGAAGACCATGAGTGGCCATATTAAATGGGTGGGTCGAAGCGGGGAACTGAACCAATTTCGCTTGTAATTTGAAGCCCCTCTTCTGCCCTTCGAAGGGGTATATATGGTTTGGTCTGAGACTAGGATCGAATCCGCCGTGTTAGCAGAAGTCTCGAGCAATATGACCGTGACACCGGCCACCCTTATTAAGGTCTATTTCTCTCAAACCTCAGTCTCCGATATGGCACCTGTCGTTCTTTTCGTTCCAGGCTTCTGGGAAGGCCCCTCCGTTTTCAATAAAGTAACTTCTCTCCTCGAAGCAGATGGAATCGCGACGGAAGTAGCAGAGCTTCCCAGCACGGGGAAAATCTCACCCGGCAACCCTACTATGAGAGATGATATTTCAGCGGTGTGGATTCGTATCAAGACAATTCTTGAGGGTGGAAACAACATTATCCTAGTCCTGCACTCAGCCGGTGGATTCATTGGCAGCGAAGCAATTGAAGGTTTGGATAAGCGGTCTCGCAGAGATAAGCATGGTGTAGTTGGTATCGTTTTCCTTGCAAGAGCCGTTTTTCCAGAGGGCTATGAACATCAGCCTCTGCCTTTTGCTGTTGTTGAGGTTTGTGCTTGTACCTAGAATAACGCCCGGTGTATCATATAGTGCTAACTTGGCCGTGATATTAGGGGGGGAGCTTCTCACTGCGCCCAGCCGGAGGTCCTCCTTTTCGGCGACTTGCCAGAAGATGAAAAGGCTCAATGGCTCGCAGTCCTTAAACCACAACCAGCCCAGGGCTGGGATGACACGGTCCGTTATACGGGTTGGAAGGATGTGCCCAGTACCTACCTGATATGTGAGAGGGATAATGCTGTGCCAGTCCCGCTTCAGGAGCAACTGGCTGGTCTTGCCGGAAGTACGATTGAAAGATGTAGTGCAGGTCACCTACCGATGCTTAACCAGCCGGAAGCTGTGGTGGACGTGATCAAAGCCTCTTTGGCCCGAGCATAGGAACACTCAAGTTTGTTGCTAGATGAGAGAGTGTTCAATTATTGTTCCTGATGGATGCAGACCTCAGCCTCGAATTGAGCCCATGGGAGGAATCCGGCTTCAATTTTCACATGTGAACGAATAATTTCCTTACCTTGGATTCAATCCTGGAAGACTTAAGTCGTTTGATGTTATAGGGCGGGCCAGTAGTGTAGCTATCTTGATATTCCGCTCCGGCATAGATGTCAACGTTGCCTCTCTTCACTATGCAGGCTGCAGCCTGATTCTAAAGAAACCAATCAGAAGCTATCAACGTGAACCAATAAGCAAAACTCACATGAGGAGGGGTAGATCGGGGTACCTAGATGTTTTACCGCCATTAATGCCTGGTCAGTGTTAACCTGTCATTACACTGAGATTCTACTCGGGGTTTCACGTATAGGAGGTATACACGATGACCTCTCACCGGCCTCGCAAAAGAGATATTTTCAAATGGCCATGACGCAGCGCAAAAGACCCTGTAACAACAGAGTCGACAAATAATACCGAGTCTGGTCCAGCACTGAGTCTCCGTCTCAGAGATGGATAGAAGATAGTACTGTTGTTGTGGGTTCCACATCACTGAACTTGACTGGTTTCTGGAAAGAAGCTTATGAAAGGCTTGAGGCTGAGAATCCTAAAATTATCCAAGCATACGAAAAGGGAATCGCGCGATTCGGCGTGAGTAATGATGGGTCGTCTCAGAATCAGCTTGATGAGGCAGTCAGAAGGCGTCTTCAAGAGCTAAAGGATGTCAAATTGAAATTTGTTATTTCGGGAAGAGAGATCATCGTGCGCGAGCAGGTTTCTCGAGCTTTTCACGTTCTCATATCTGCGAAAGATCTCATCTCCGCAGCCATTTCGTCTGATCCACATGCGTCATTGGCATGGGCGGGAGTCTTGATCCTTCTTGATCCTATCGCCAAGTCAACTACCCAAGATGACGATGCAATGGATGGACTAGAAAAGATCTCGCATCTGATGATCCGATATAGAATCTTGGAGTCTACCCCTGCGACGGCCCCGGCTGGAAACTCAACAACGCCCTGGGAGGAGCTGGAGGCATCAATCAAAGCTCAGATTATCCACCTCTACACGGAAATTCTGAAGTATCAGATGCAGTTGGCTGGCCACCTCTCAAAGTCAGGTCTTTTTCGGTTTTTTGATGATCTCACTGGTTCGGATGACTGGAAGGGAATGATTCAAGGAATGAAGGACATTAATGAGGGCATAAATAATAGTTTGAGAAGCTTGAGCGCTCATTCGCTCAAGAGTATCGAACTTCAGGTGGAAAAGATAGATCGTGGTATGGACGATCTGACAAAAACAATGAAGGAGACTAAAGAAGAATTGACGGTTAGCTGATAATCCACATAAATCAATCGTTCAGTCGGATTTTAAGTACTAACGATATCTCAGGAAACCAGACATACTCAGTTACTGGGCAGCTTGAATATTGCCGAGGGCGCGATGTTCAATTCATTTCAGGGTCGACACAAAACTCAGTGTCTGCAAGGGACTCAAGCCGATCCATTGAAGCAAGTTCAGACTTGGTGTGAGAATTCAGGATCGAAGCAAATCTACTGGCTTGCTGGTATGCCAGGAACTGAAAAATCCACAATCGCCAGAACGTTGGCATCAGCCTGTCACGATGGGAATCCATTAGTGGATGGAAGGTTTCTGCCTGAAAACATCGTCTTAGATGCTTGCTTTTTCTTTGACAAAACTCAAGGTTACCGAAGGACGACCGGGAGCTTTTTCACAACGCTCTGTAGAGGCCTTACAGACTGTCTACCTGCGATGAAGCCTGCGGTCTGTGAAACTATCTCCAATAACCCAAACATTGGGAATCAGTCTATCAGCACTCAATGGCAAGATTCAATTCTCAGTCCCCTTGCGGAAGTGGACAAGCAGAGCCTCGTCCCATTAACTTTGATTTTGGTAATCGATGCCTTGGACGAATGTGAGGACGAGAATGACATCGACACCATTATTCAGCTCCTCGGTCAACCTCAAACTTTCAACACCATTTCACTGAAGCTGTTTATTACCAGCAGGCCGGAAAATTTCATCCAGTCAAGCTTTAACAGGATTTCGGAGACGATGTTCGAGAGATTCTTGTTGGGAAAAATCGACCATTCCGATGATGGTTTTGATGACGACATCATAAAGCTGCTCAAGCACGAGTTAGCCATCATTGCAAATAAAAGAGAGCTTCCAGATGACTGGCCTGGCAAGAAGGAAATTGAAACACTGACTAGCAAGTCCGGTGGTCTGTTCATCTATGCAGCATCCGTGTGTCGTTTCCTGGGTGGCTCTAAATTGAAAAACTATCAACTAGAGATACGGTTGAAGAGCATATTCAGTGATCGACTTGGGACAGATTCGCCACAAAGTAGCTTGGATGAGGTTTATACCCATATTCTCAAATTCTCAGTTATCGTTGATGCAATCGATGAGGAGATGGGAGAACTTTTTAGCCGATTCCAGACTGTCGTTGGAGCTATAATCAACTTAGCTGAGCCCCTCTCAATTGCCAATGTTGCTCAGTTGATCTCTTTGAAGAGCCTTGATGTAAAAGACACGCTTCAGGGACTACAATCAGTGGTCTCCTTTGGCAAGAATGAGAGCTCTCCTATTCAGCTACTTCACTTGTCATTCCGTGACTTTTTACTCGATGACACGAGATGTCTGGTCAAAGGATTCCTGATCTCACAATCCCAAGCACACACCTCGCTCTTGCAAAAATGTCTTGATGTCTTATCGGAAACATTAAGGCGAGATATTTGTGGTCTTTCAGATCAATCTAGTTGCGCTAAGGATGTCGAACCCGCTCGGATTGACAGAGACATTCCAAGGCATGTCCATTACGCCTGCCTTCACTGGGTTTATCACCTTCAACAAGCTGCTATAGAGCCTTTGGATGATGGAAATGTGCATGAATTTCTGAAAGTTCATCTTCTTCATTGGCTTGAAGCGCTGAGTCTCATGGGGAAAATGTCAGAGGGCATGCGACGGGTGATAGATTTTTCGAGCTATATTCAAGGTCTCTCTGTGGGTTTGTTCTCTTCCATGACCGTCTCGCTATGATGCTCACTAACATAAAATAGCCGACCGGGAGAGGCCAGATGCGTTCATTTGCCTATGATGTGAGGCGTTTCGTACTTAAGTTTAGAGGACTCATTGAAGAGACTCCACTTGAGTTGTACACTTCGGCTCTGCTATACGTGCCCGAAAATACGTGCATACGAAAGTATTTTGGGAGGCCAGACATCTGTTCAATCAGTCATTTTCCTACTTGTAGGAAGCACTGGGACCCATTGGAACAGACACTCTTTACCGGTTCTCCGGGGGTTTCTGATATAGCGCTATCTCCAAATGGAAAGCTTGTTGCGTCATCCTGTATAAGGGTATGGGAAACCGCAACTGGAACCCTGATTCAGGAATTCAAGACCGAATTTGTTAATATAAAGGTTGAATTTTCCTCTGACGGAAAGCATCTCATCTCACTCTCACCTGAGCCCGCTGCCAGAGTATGGGATTTGGCAACTGGTATCCTTATTAAGTAGATGAGGGCAAGCCTTAGGGCCAATTCAGCATTAGGTCCTCTGTGCTATCAAAAGACCTGTCACTGGCTGCCTTTTCTTCACATCTTAATGGGGGGGATTCAAGTTTTTCACCTTGACTCTGAGATTCGATCATCCATACATAGTGGCAATCAATCTGTAATTTCTCTTGCCATTTCAAACAATGGAAAGCTCATGGCATCATCATCTGATGAGAACAGCATTCCAATTTGGAACCCAGTGAGTGGAGCTTTATATAAGGACCCGCTTTGTCCTAGCAACGTCAGTAGCCCTTTGCTTCGGTTTTCACCAGACGGAGCAATCCTTGCCGCCGCGTCAATTGAGGGTCAACCCCATCTCTTTTGGAGCTGTAAACCCAGGACCTGTGAATTCCCGCATGTGGTTAGTTTAGCGCCCCATACGCCGTTCTGTAAGCTTCCGCCTTCTGATGCGCCGGCATAAAAGCTCGCCGCGCCCGCTCGACCTCGTCTGTCATCTCTTTCTCCTTCCAGTGCCTCTCTATCCTGCACTCATCGCTCGCCCCCTTTTTTTCATTCTCGTCCCCACCACGCGGTCCGCTGCGCCCTTCGCTTCGACGCACTGCCCCATTTCAACAGAGATGCCGCTGTATCCGACGCCAAGGTCGATCTGGCCAATGTTGGTTACCATGCCAGGCAGTAGTTCCTGGGAGCAGAAACATAGCGGTGATTCATGCCCCAGTCTTACCATGTAATTGTGCGTGGCTCTTTCTTGAACATTTTGGATTAGTCTACGATGCGTCCCTTTGAACGATTAGATCGCTCCGCCCGCCTAGCTCATCGTTCCAACGTTACCAACTATCTTTGAATCTGCGTGGTCTTGTATATTCGCCTGGCTTGGGTTACATTGCAGAGCTCCTGATGTCGCAGATTCACCCAGCTGCTGTTGTCGTCATCGTCGGCCTCTCCAGTCCCGCCACATCCAATCAGTGACCCTCGAAGGCATTGCAATAATGCTGGCCAATAGAAAATATACCGCATACTCCTCTCGTGCGAGCCCATTGATGCCGCCAGCCACCGTGAGGGCATAGTATTGCAAATACAGTTGCGTTTAGTCATTTTCGGAACGTGGCTCCAAATAATGCTCCCGAACGGGCTGAAGATCCCGGCACTGCTGAAGACGCGTCAGACACGTTTAGCCCGTCCTCTCCGCCGACGGCATGGTCTACATCAAAGCGTTTTCCTTATCCCGGTGCGCTACCCGACCATAGCTGTGGTTGTACCATCACCATCACCGCCCTGGAGGCAAGGAGCCACCAGGACAAGCACAAGTGCCGCTGCAGCAGTATGCAAGAAGCGACTCCGCTCAGGTCGAGGCACCGGCAAGCACCAAGATGCGAACACCACCTGTGACAAAGAACAGCCTTGTCAAAATAGGAAGATACAGAGACCTTTAATCAGGTCATTTTCGACTCTTCGGACTCTTCCATTCCCGTTTCATCACATTGCTCTGGTGCTATCCAGGGTATACGTGGGAATGCTCTCCTCACGGTCGAATCTCATGCTGGCCTGAAACCGGCATATTTCTTTACTTTCGTACCCGACCCTAGCCCGATGCTGTCTCAACCCCACACGGCGATTATCTCAGGGAAACAAAGACGGTACACGTCAGACGAGAATGCGCTGCTGGTACGGCTGAAGGAGAAAAGAGGCAATGTCATGGCCAGAGATTACGGCTCACTTCCCAGGTCGAAATATGTCATCTCTTCAAGTCCACTATTCAACCAAAGTACGCCCCAAGACCAGCTCTCGGTCTGGAAAAACCGAGGAGATGCGGATAAGAGACTATGTTCTCGGTATACTCCTTGGCTCGCGCCTGTCGATTTTTCGCTGTATACAGCATCTTTCGTGGTCGTTAGTTCCAATAATACAAAAATGAGGGGTAGCTTTGTGTGCTAATAAAGATTGGTCTTGTTTTGACTCCTTTCCTTGATTGAAAGAAGCTCTGGATTTCTATTCGGCAATTCTAAAGATGAAAGCAAGTCATGTTAATTGACATGCCCGTCACAATAAAATATTCAAGCCAGACAATCAAGAGGGCCACTGCCGGGCCGGATCTCATCCGAGGTCTGCTAGCTTTACGAAAATTCAATTCATTTCTTTCCTAGGCTGCCGACAGAGCTGCGACTTGTGATATGGCGCTTATGCCTCCCATGTCGCGTATGGGACACGGATTGGCCGACTGATGAAGGCGTCTATTGGGAGGTGAATGATGGGCCCTATCCCTGCCTAGTCACTCCCACAGCGAAACTGAATGGGCTTCCACCTGTCATCGCCCGCGTTTGCCATGAGTCACGCCACGTTGCCAAGGAGTCAGGGGGTGTCTTCACGAGAGAGACCTTTAAAGATTTCCCAGCCGATGCTGGGTTTATCTCTACCACAACTCTTCGGGAGGGAGAGGATTTCTAGGTAGACACCAAGCGAGATTCTGCACTTCTTAATTGGACCCCTTATTACGAAGCGGTTTACCAAAACAGCTGGGGTAGTGCATTAGCCTGTATTGCTGCGAAAAGTCGCCTGGTAGTCGGTCGTCCCTCAATTATGATGTTCTGGCTTGACATCGGGGTCGATAAGAAAGAAGAGAGATTTGATGTTCTTGAACAGATACCCAGCTGGTGGGTTATTATGCGTGTTGTTGTTATGCATGCTAGCTTCCGAGAAGCTGCACAGACTGGTTTATTTGGCCACCTAGGCGACGCGACCGTGCAAATTGTCTCCTTGGCTGACGAGAAAAAAGCCAATGCACTGTACGATTTTGCCGAGAAATGCGATTGGAAGGCTGCTTCTGTGGAGGAGACTCGAAGGGATTCCGAGGAATGCTTGAAGGAGGAGCTGAAAGAATGCATTGTGAGAAACAGGATATCGGAAAAGCTATTGTCGACAATGCATCCAGCCGTAATGTTTCGTCTTTGCGTATCCAAGTGCAATAAACCCAAGGAGAGCTCATCATGTCCGAGTCAATACCTGTCCCATTCAAATCGTGAATAGTAATTCAGTTTTACTAGAAGAAAAAGAAAAAGAAAAAAGAAAACCTCTAGAAATCTTCGTCAAACAATCTCCACAGGCCGTGTTCCAACCTACTAGGATAGACAATCATAGGATAACTTGAAACAGAAGTTGAAGATGTCTTCATAATACTTTCAAAGTTCCGCCCACTGTAGAACTATATAATACATGGGCTAACATTTGAATGGGTTGGGCACGGAGTAAGAAGCCAGTTGGATGGGCCAAGTTCTCAGTCAGGTCTCAATATGAATATCGATAGCCGACAGAACTAGGTGGGATATAGGATATTCTCTTCCTTGTGGCGTAGATATTCTACCGGAATTTTGTGAAACGAACCATTGTGGCCTGCTTATCCCAAAACCACCAGATGCCTTGCTCTTCCCATTGGGGTAGATCAACACCGGGCGGAATCGATATATCATACCTCCAAAGCAATCTCGCAAGAATGATCCTTAGCTCTAACCAAGCCAGGTTCTGACCTGGACAATTGTGTGCGCCTAGAGAGAACGGATTGAAAGCAATTTTACTATCGCCTTCAAACCTTGAGCTAGACTGATCATCAGAAAGCCAACGCTCCGGAGCAAATTCTGTTGGATGACTGAAGTTACGCGATGCGCGGTAGGTTGCGAATGGGGGAACAGAGATCATGATTCCTTCAGGAACAAAATGTCCAGCAATAGTCGCTCCGCCAGCGGGAACATTGCGACGCATGCCATCTGGGATAGTAGGGCATAACCGCATGCCCTCATTCAACACGGCATCCAGATATGGGATGGATTTTAAGGCAGCTCCGGTGATCTCCTGTTCCGAGGATGGGAATTTAGTCCGGAGTGTTTCAACCAGCGCATTGAGTTTATCCGGGCTGCGAAGAAGATAATTGATCACTCCGGTGAGAACTGTGGTGACGGATTCGCTTCCTGCTGCCACAATCATCATGGAGTTGACTTCCATTTCTTCTTGTGTCATGGACTCAGATGCCATCATAGTTCCAACCAAATCAGGACGGTTAGCGCCGCTGGCAACTCGTTCCCGGACATTTTGCTCCGTTAGTTTCCACATGTCCATAACAGCTTGTAAAGCTGAGGGTGGGGTAATTGCCATGAGGAAAGCATAGATAGATGGGTAGAACTTGAGTGCGCCCACGACAATTGCAGCCTTGAACTGGCCCACTGTTTGAACCCAGGGGTGGTAGGTCAAACCATCTAAGCAGCCAAAGGGTGATCCCCAAGTCAGATCTCCAATCAAGTCAAACGCAAGATAGTTGATCCATTCAACGACATCCACCGCTGAAGATTGGTCATTTTGGACACGATCGTCCAGCTTCGCAAATAACTTATCAACGTAGGACTGGATGATAGGCTCCTGTTCCATGGCATATTTTTCAGAAAACCCCGGTGTAAGTATTTTTCGCAGTCGGGCGTGCTCTGATTCTGAACACGCGATCAAATTCGAGGCTGTCTTACCAGGTGGTTGGTCTTTGAATTGGTCTGGCCGCACAAACTCCCGACCTTTAGTGTAAATATCTCGCCAAGCGTCGGGGTCGATAAAAGACAGCTCATCAGGGGCGACGCGAATAATATCGCCGTATCGTTCATGGAGAATCTTGACCTGGTGAGGGAGTTTGCCGCCCATCATGGAGCGCAGAAAAGGAAATCGAAATGCGCGCCATAATAGCGGGCCCGGATACTTGGACAGTGGATGAAGCCATAGGTTGTTGATGACTTGGAAAGCAAGATACTTGGAACTATTAGTGCTCGGAAATTCAACTTGGAAGCGAAATTTAATGTATTACCAGAATGGGCAGAAGGATGAGGATAGCGGCGGCGATCCCCATGATGGATGTCGTGACTCGTGATCTGACAGAAAGGATCGATACGGCGAGTGGAGAGGCCGTCGCCGTGGAGAGAAGGTCTCCGGGGCGAATAGCCAAAGGAAAAGTAACAATTTACGAGTGAAGTTGATTGAGAGATCAAGGAAGAAGACATACCACCTAGAAAGCAGAACGAGTAGTATGCACTCAGCCACCTTTTCTTTGTTCGCCTCACTACCACCACGCACCAAAATCATGTTTCCACGCAGGATTCCACGCATTAATTCCACGCCCAGCGTTGTCCGATTATAAATTACCGAGCACCTAATGGCCCCCGGGGCCGCCAATCAGGGTCTCAAGGCTCTTGCGAGATGGCTCGCCCCGACTATACCCCGCTCACGGGCAGAAGCGAGCAACCAAAAGTACGCTAATGTACCTTGCTCGCGCCCAGCTGCGCGATTTTCCGTGTTGGTTTAGTAGCGAGGCTCCGCTGTTCTGACCCCCAACTGTGACCGACCAATTGCGAGCAAATACTATGCAGATCAGGCGGAACGCATATGATCGGGCTCGGCCGTAGAAATCCATGTCCAGAAAGTACGGATAATTCGAACGTATGCATTTTTCCAAAATTATTGACGGTCCACGTAGTAAGTACTCAAGTGCTCCATATTTTTGTTGGCCTTTGCATCTAGATCCACATCTCACGTCGATAATGATGATATACAAGAGCTAGGTGGGAACATCCGAGACTCATTCTATACATCCGCGCAACAATCACTAGCAGGGAGCGCCATGAGCCCAAGAACGCTCCTATTTACGGAGTATACGGCGTAGGCTTAGGCTTTCTACTCGTTTTCTGCCACCGCCTTTGTAGTACGGACTCGGACTATTGCGGCAATATTGGCAGGCGGTGATTTTTGGCAGAACACAATGTTTGTCCCTAGTGTAAATGCTGAGCAGCAGTGCAGCACGATTATCTGAATTTGAACTCCATTTCTGACGGAATATTTCGATCTCTATATGTCCTTTGTGGCAATATCCCGTGTCCATGGAAATTCTGTGTTCTTGATGATGTGTAGGAGATCCGTTATAGGACCGGCAAAATCTAAACATTATACGGAGTATAAGACTTGGAATAGGTGACTAGTTGGCTTTATTAAGGTTTATTACGATACTTCTCAACGGCGGAATGCCTGCAATTCTTGAACCTGAGAGTCCCCAGAGACAATTCTAAGGATAAATAAGCTACTAGGTATAGTAACTCGAACAGGTAAACATTCAAAGATTCATTGTTCGATACACTTGTTAATTGAGAACGGGGTTATTTTCCATGGACCAGCCCTGGAGGTTGATATTGATATATGAGTGGTGGCTGGCATTGACGGTGTTTTGTGCACACTATAGTTCATATTTTCATGCCGAAGGGGCCTCCAGAAGTACTACAACTCGAACTTCCAAGCACGTTGAACCTTGGAATTCCAGGCAAGCATGGAATCAGAGGATTCAACCTATAAACCGGAGTCTATTTGGTCCACGAATTCCGTATTACTGAAAGCGTCCCAATCCCGACACGTTTGCGGAATCACCATGGGAATCGCCATGTCGCTCTCTATCGAGTTTGGTTGCTCCTACATGATACATTAGTAAATCCTCAAAAAGGGAAATAAATATCGTGTCCTACGGAGGACACGGGGATATTTTACTCACCAAAACCAATATGACCATTCCTGCGCTTGAGTGAATGGACATATGACAATGCAATGGCCAAATACCTGGGTTGTCCTGTTTCCACTCCAGCACTAGGTACGATGGTTCATCCGTTGAGCCAGGCTGCAAGATATGCGTGTCCCTACGAAGTGGATTTGAGGGATTGACGACTTGACCGTCCCATTCGCCCATGCCCTCGGCAAGTACCCAAAAGTTATGACCGTGAAGGTGCATAGGATGAGCAGTTGCATATGTGTTATTAAAGATCATCCGCACACTAGAGTTGGTACCAAAATTGTAAACATTCCGTTCTTCAGGGAAAGAGAGATTCCCTACTTTGGCATCGAGCAGAACTGGATCATTGTAGTCTGAGCGAAATGATGACCCGTCCATGAACATGACCACAAATCCCGTGGCATTGTAGCCCGCAGAAATTGTGACGGTCTGCTCAGTTTCGGCGGTAGGAGGCTTTAATGGGTAATAAGGCACTGTTTGATTGAGCGGATCATTGCGACAATTATTGCTCTCCCACGTCGTTCCGATCGTTTTGGGGGTGGCTCTGGTATTTGCCGACTCATAGTGGATTGCTGCAAGCGCTGTCGGAAAAGTCGCCGTATCTTCCAAGCATACCATGTCAATGTCGGATCGCATCCAGACCATGTCGGTGGCTGAACCAGTCGCGTTGACGATAATATCTGTTCTTTGGCCAGCACCTAAGGTGACCACATTGGTTTCGTATGGTTTCACTGGGACGTAATCATTCGCGATGACTGTCATGTTGTGGCCATCGATGCTGAACTTCTGGTTTGCAAGAGATCCAGTATTGATAAGTCGCAACCGATGAAGCTTCCCGGAATGAAATTGGAACTTTGCTCGCCCTGCTCCGGGCAAACAGTCTCCGGGTGTACTAGTTGCATTGCAATCATAAGACCCCTTGCCGTTGATCAAATTATTATCAACCCCTGCGGACTGTGGTGGTTTTGAGAAGCTCAACTCAAGTAGCTCATAGTAGCTGATATGATAGTAATCGGAGATCATAACAGGGCCCAAATCGTAGTCGTAGCTTATTTCGGACTGCAGCGGGCCATAAATGACCATTGGCCCATAAAGCCCGTCGTCATACTGCGCGCTGTAGTGCGAATGATACCAACCTGTGCCGTATTGGTCTGCTTGAAATCTATACGTGAAGCTTCCACCCTGAGGAGCAATCGGACACTGAGAAACACCGGGTACACCATCATGCCACGGCGTTTTCTTCTGAGTGATCCCATGCCAGTGTAATGTGATACCCTCGTCAAGACTATCAATATTGTTGGTAACCGTGACCTCAATCATATCTCCCCAATTTGCCTCAATCATGGGACCTGGAAATTGATCATTAACCAAGATGACGCTCTTGTTGTAGCCATCAGGTGATTTCCAAGCACGGGAGATAGTAAAATTGTAATGACGCGTCACTCCAGTATCAGGTGCCTCTCCTGCTGGATTCGCAGTTCCCCATGGCACTCCATTTTCCGAAGGCTACTCAAAATGCCAGGTTAGCGGTTATGTAGACCTCATAAAGGGGTTATGGTACTACATACTCCATCACTTAGGAACTTTGGAAAATTGGGAGATGGCACGGTTCCCCATGAGGATAAACCTATGAATTGTTTTTAGTCAGAGACGCTCATCAACAAGTCAGATCAAAAGAAAGTGGAACAATTTGAATTAACGAACCATTAGTTGAAAATTGCGATAAAGCTGCTGCAGTCGCTGCGGTGAGCCCAACTTGAACAAACCGTACCAGTCGGACCATTGTAGTAGGAATTGACAGGCACTATAGCTAGGTAGCCACTATCACCGCTTAGACTTAGCTGGCAGTGCTGAATGACCAGGTGTGTAAGGGGCTCGGGGTAGTACTAGTAGAACTGAAGCAATTTAAATGTCATCTATGCTTCATTTATATATACACATGCACACACGGCCCGGACAATCCATCAAGCTGCATAACTTGATCTTGGAATCATTTCAAAAACCAAGGGCAGCTCCTGGGGTCCGCACTCATCTCGGAAGGCGCCTCAAAATGGCATGATGGAGAGTGGACCACGCCAGCACAATTGGTCTAGTACAGGTTTGCCGCTAACAGCAATCCTTCGCCCCCAACTAGAATATTCAGTTGTTTCTTGTAGGAAAGTGCTTGTATTGTGATGTTGGGGCTAGGATGCCCCGGGATACCGCGTAACCCGAGGTCTGTTCGCAGTTGGTGGGTCCAGATAATACATCACAATCCTGTGCCGAAATGATGGATATAGCCTGGAGGTAAATATGGATTTTAGGTCCACGGGCTTGTAATGGAGGCCGATGTGGAAACGCATGGGGCTTCGTAAATTTGGCCCCACTGGCATTCAAGTTGCCATTTCCCATGCAGGATAGCTATTTTCAACCGAAATTTATCGGACTCAGGCGGCCTTCAACTTGAAGTTCAAATGTTGAACTCAACCTTGGAAGGCCGCGCCGAGTGTTTCAATATTCCCAGTTGGCCTTTAGTTCTCACACTTTTGAAAGACCTTTCCCTAAATAGTAGTTCGTTACGGTCTCCAGCAGGACTCAGGAGCATGGGTAGTAATAATTCTCAAATCTATCTACCCTACCAATTACTACGAGATATGTAAAGAAGAAGGTAATACGCTGGAAAATTGGCGGTTCAAAACTCCGGCACCGAAAATCTGGCGGTTTGGACATTATATAGTATGTATAACTGGGCTGCTTAATGTAAGGGGGAGTAGTTGAGAAAAAGGCTTAAGTACTAGTATACGAGTCGCCCTATAGCGAAAAAACATAAAATCTATGTACTTCTACTCCAGGGCTGTAATCCGAGTCACCACATAGTATGCACTGGCACCACTCCACCCACATCAATTCAAGCTGAAGATGATTCCCGAGGTCTTTCAAGTTTCTTTCAATGTTTGATAGCAGTGCACTTTAACATTTCTCCCCTTCTCTACCTATGAAGAGATTTGAAAGTTATTATACACAATATTTTCAATTGGAATATTTCTGTGGATGTGGAAATAAAAAAGACAACTGACTGCCTTAACCGGCGTTCGGAGTCTAGAAAAATAAAGCAAACCTCGGTGCTCATTTTGACATTACTTCTACTTAGAATAATGACTCTTAATGGGGCTCATGAATATGCATTTGAGATAATATCTTGTTTAAAAAGACTCGGAAAATGAAGCGTTGAAAACCTAACTCGAAAAAAGTAGAAGAACCAGATCGTCATGAAAGATTGTATCTGGATTTATGCTGAGAGAAGCGGGAATTAGAGCTCTAGAGCTCTAGACGCTCCGACACAGGACGCCGACGCATCAGAATCTCTGCGTCAGGATTGGGGAAGATGAATTCATGAGCACGCAAATTCTCAGGACGTTTGTTCCCATGCTCAGGCTTCAGTTTAAACTCATAGTCCATCAGTAGTCTAACGAGAATGACCTTAATCTCAAGGCTGGCAAAGAAGCGACCGGGGCATGCATTGGCACCGTGACCAAAATTTAGGATCCGCTCCTGGGTTGTCGAGAATTGATGGAGATGAGATTCACCTTCACGCTGACGGAGTTTGTAATACCGGAAACCGTCAAAAACATCTGGTTCGGGGGTCACATCAGGGTCATTTTGAATAGAGTTGACTGCCATGCTAATGTGGGCACCCTTGGGTAGAACCATACCATCCGATAAGACCGCCTCTTCAAGAAGCACCCGGTGCATAGATAGGAGTGTTGGAGGATTGAATCTCTGAGATTCACGCATAAATGAGTCCAACTTGCGTAGCTTGGAAAATGCAGGTTTCTCCCAAGACATCCAAGGGCCAACTTCATTAATCACAGCGCGAATCTCATCACGAATAGGGTCAAGGTATTCTGGATGTGCGAGAAGATCGTACAGCACGTGGACTGCGTTCATTTGTGAGGTATGGATCGAGGCAAGAGACATCACAACTTCAAGATGCGCTAAAGATGCAGGATCACTCTCCTCTGGTGTGGCAATCTCCATCATCCAAGACAGGAGGTTAAGTTTATCATCTTTCTCTTCCTCATTTCCTTGTGCTTGTTTCTCGTCTTCCCGTCGGCGGAGAATTTCTGGAATGAGAAGCTTTTTTGCCTTCCTGACATATGCGGAGCCCTTGTATGCGGAAGGCATGAGCCAGTTTAGAATCCCATGTGTCCACATCGGGAATAGGCGGAGGAAGACAAGTGAGATGAATACTAGTTTATGATCAGCATAATCTCCTTATATTGGTGAAATCGTATCATACCATTTTCTGTGAACTGGGTTGAGACCTCTAGCCACTCTGGGTTACGACAGATTGGTAATCCGAGAAAGATTCTGGCACTAACACGAGCAACAAAGTCTAGAACTGTGTGGTACGGCTTGATTGTTACCCACTCGTCTAAAAATCATCATGTTAATAGGAGTCCGGTATAGATTGAACAATGGGCAGTCAAAAGATCAATCTCCTTTTCATATAAGGTGGACGAGATACGGACCTTCTGAGTCTGTGAGTTCATGCTCAATGGCATAGTTAACCTCATCTTGCATAGGACGTGTCAAGGCATTCAGGTTGGGAGTAAGCTTTAGCTGCAGTGTGCGGAAGTGCAAGTTGCTGCGCAAAATAATATGCATATTGGTTGATGAGCCCATCAAATTATGGACATGAGCTACCGTCGGGCTGGCAACATGATTCGGCAGTTTCCGAATGTCATCGACATATTTCGGAGGCAAAACCAACATATCCGTGTCAGCGCGGCGAAATTGGAAGACTTTATCCTTACACTATACTCCCAAAGTCATAGTAAGTATGGGTTTGGCCCATGTAATTTCTAAGAGAAGTAATCTTCAAGAGAATACTCACTGCGCGATAACCCTCTTGCAAAACTTCTTCCGCACTGCGAAAGAACCTGAAGTTGGACACCACAATTGGCTCCCATAGTGACTTCACACCAAAGACTGGAAACTTGTACCCAAAGATACTGGACCAGGCAAAAGACAGGCAGTAAGCTCCAACAAGAAGAGCTGGGGCTGTGAAAAACCATGAAGCCAATTCATTATCAGAATATGACCCACGAGGAGGGGCCCACGACTCAGTAGTGTTTGTTGCCATGGTCCCGAACAATCAAATCAAAGAATTTCTCCAATGACATGGGAATGAAGAGCAGGGGAATCGACCTTAAGAGGGTATGAGAAAGACCCCCAAACTTGTTCCTTATGTGGTGACTCCCGAATGTACCAGGCAATGTGGGTCTGAAATACCTGTGTATGCTTTACAGAGCATGGATATTTATTACGTGGCTTACGACCCGTCCCTTCTTAGTGTAAGTGTAAGGCGCTAAATGGTGCGAGATAAGAATGGCGTGCACAATAATATCCGAAGTTTGCCTTTCTGGTAGCGACGCTTGCTTCTTCACCAACATTAGCCTCATGCGGGGGCGAGGCCACCACGACCACTGAAATTTCGCTTATTCTGTGCAATATCGCTCAGGGACGAACTATTTTCGGGGACTCTGGAGTAGTTGCCAAGAGTTCTATTTTTGATGCAACTCTAGATAAATTCATGCCCAAGTGATAGGCACGTCACAAGTCCAAACATGGTTTATGGAAGCTAGACAGGATGGGAGCATTGACTTGCGTATGCATTAGATAAAAATATGGAAATTTTCGATAACTTGAAGAGAACCGACTTGAATAGACAAATAGCACTACAAGAAATAAACAGTTGACAATCTGTTGAGAGCAAAACGAAGACAACAAAGCTAATTCTGCATACGGCTGGCAATGTCCTGCGCAACGTAGATTTGGCCAAACAAATCTGTAACATCAATAAACGCTAGAACCTGCGCCGCTGTCGAGCTACTTATCTCTGCTGAAAGGTGTGTAAAGCATAGCTGCATACATTCTCTTTCGAACTCCGCAAGTTCCATCAGATCTTGCTTGCCACTGTTCAGCTTCCCTGACATATGCTCCGTAAATTCAATGAAATCGAGGCTATTCAGGTTCCTTTCTGCAGCATCACGGAGCTGAGATCCGTAGTCATTGTACTGTCGGCACATAGTTGCCAGGTGAAGACCCAGAGCCCGCGCAAAGAATCTTTGCTTGGCAGAAGAACCAAAGGATCCATCACGACCGATGAGACAACCGAAGAAGGAAAATGAATAGGGGCAGCTGGTATCATGGGCACCTGTTGTGCGGACCCAGTCAAAATAAGAGCGACTGATAACACTACCATCGGTAGCGACGTTTGGGGCTCTCATCCGAGCATTGTCGGCATTGTGGGCCATGTGCGCGAGCAGAAATTTGTTGATTTCTTCAGCGACCTGCTTCTTTGAGCCATCAGTGGTGCTAGCAACACAAGGGTGCTGTAGTACATGTCGTATATACTTCTGGATCACTATTCCGACCTCGTAGACCGACGCCGGAGAGAGCTGATCTTCGCTGTTCTCCGACTGCGGGGATCGTGACCCTGTTCGGCTGCTAGGAAATGAGTGTTCATAGAACAGTTCACTTCCACATTCAGCTCGAATGATGACTTTGAGCTCAATCAAGCTTGAATCCGGCAGATTAGCGACCACCGTCTCCATATATTCGTCGGCTTGATAGTTAAGCATTGATATCACCATCATGTCCCATAGTATCTTGCCTGAGAGGGGATAATTCGATGCGGAGTTGACAGTGGTCCAAGCAATTGGAATAAAATCCAGGTATTTGTCTTCTGTCATTCCCATGCTATCTCGGGGGAAAATATCAAGTCGAACGGCTTTCAGCAGCTTCGTATAAAGATATGCCTCGGCAACAGCAAAAAGCATAGTCCGCTCTGAAGTTTTATTGAACAAAGGTAAGCTTCCAAAGAATTTTGACATCTTCACCAGCTTCTTTTCGGACATAGCAAAAATATTCACGACCTCTGTACTCCATGCGATTTCCTCGGTCGGCGCCCTCATTGCCGCAAGACTATACGCCTCTGACAAGATAGGTAATCTGTATGAAACTTTCTCAATCCAGATGTAATCACCGTCGGCCCAGTTGTTGGCATGTAACGTAAGGTATTGTCTTGCTCTAAGCAGGGCAGTTTGGGCAAAGTCACGAATAGACTGCAACCACGGCAGTTTGAGCATGGAGGCAAGCAATAGTGCGCTGTATGCAGTCCTCTCAATAGAGTTACCCCAGGAGCCATTTTCACGCTGGCGGGTCAATGCTCTGGAGAATAATTGACTGAGTGTAATAGGGACACGGACTGCAATCAGTTCACTGGGCATTTTCTTTAAAAGACCCTGACTCCATGCCTGAAGAAGACGGAGCAACGCGCTGCTCAAAAGCATTTCGCTATACTCGGATGCTAAGTTCCACTTATCCTTCAGCGCACCATCGTCCCAGATCGAAAGCATAAACTTCACAGCCTTCTCAATCTGTGGCTCATACATTGAAGGCTTGGTTGCCGCCAGCAAAGCATGAAGGATGTTGGCATTCGCGCTGAAGCTTGGGTTGCGCTCCAGCTTGTATGTTTGGAAATGGTCTGCGGCCTCGAATTGTTTGACCAAGGGCGTCGGATCCGCTTCGATACCAAGGTGCCTGAGGGCTAAAACAGTTTGAGCCGTGTCGTCGGCATCACATAGAAATCCTGGAGCAAAACCAAGAAGCCCATTCTGATCTTGAAGGAGCTGTCTGAGATAGGCCGTGAGGATTTTGACGTCCGAACATGGAAGATCCTTGATGGAATATCCACTGGCAAGTAAGGTTGAGATCGTCCAGGACACTTCGAACACCGGTGTTGGGAACCCGCTGGGAACTCCGCCACAGCCACCGTAGCTTTGAATGACATTCCTGAGATACTTCTCCGCGGAATCATCCCATTGAGTGGAGTTGATGAGGTAGGCAGCTGTAGAGGCTGGAGATCCTAACATGCCTCCATACCCTGTACAATGGTGCGATAACTGGTCAAAATTGACTTTGCCAATCAGCCCTTCGAGCGAATGCAAAAGAGTGGTTTGATATTTCGATGTCACCATTTCCGGCCTGAAATGAGCGAGCTTGCGCTCATAAAGCTTCATCAGCTCTGGTCTGGCAGGGAATTCAAGATTGACGCCTCTCTCACTCAATTGATTCAGAAGGCTTGGGACTAAGATTTCGAATCCCACATGAAGGGTTGACTTGACATCCCACATCTTCAGCGCTTCCGAGACAACGGTGGTTGCTTGGGATATTTTCCAATCGTAATTGATAGATTTCAAATCGCCACCAGTAGAATGCATGGTGATCGATGCATCACGATGAGCTAGCAAGCACAGCAATCCTGCCATAGTGTTGAGTATTCCATCCACAGGCGATGCGTATGTTCCCCAAGAACCGTCATCGCGCTGCTGATCAAGAATATAGTTGAACGACTCCGGGAAGAGCCATTGAGGGGCGCCATCAGCGTCGAACTTGGTGATCATCGATAACCACGCAGTGTCATACAGAGAAATGCTGAACCCCCCGAATCCATTTTCATTTTGACAAGCTTTCGAGATCCTGGTCACTACCTCATGAGCTCTTTTGACCAGGTCAGGAGCTTCATCACTCCGTTTTCTTTTTTTCTCAGGAGTCATTGCGTTGGAAAATGTGTGACGGACTGAAAAAAAGGAGCTGCAGCCAAGGGATCTCAATCAAATTCTGGATATGAAGTAGGATGCAATTCACTCGATGAAGGGAGCAGGCCTACTAGCAGCATGCTGCACAAATTTCATTATTACGCAGTGATCCCCTTTTTTGGAATGGGCTTTGAATTAACCACTAGTAATGATGGTTGTAGACCGTTTTTTGGAGCTTACTGTCTACAGAGCATGCGAAATTTGGCCCACCTGCTTCCCGTCCCAACTGACTAGAGCCTAGCTGTAAGATATGCTGCCTTCAAGGGAAAATACACAGGATTATAGATGCAGCGTCGTATCCTTGTCAAAACCAACGCGAAAAGATAGCGCTCACAGTGGGTCGGCCGAAGTATGCATGCTTGAGGCCTATCCCAGTACGTCGGAGGTAGCATCAACATAGATTGCTTTGTATTTTTGGATGTTTTAGCAAACGATCCAGCCGTGTGTGAACCCAGAAGGTCCGCTTTGATGACGTACTTGAATCCTTCAACATCGCGACATCTACGGAGTACTCCGTACCAACGTGATTGTGCAATCTTCCAACAGTGGTGAGTTATGGTTCACACTTGCAGTGGGCCTCGGGCGGGTCCTGCAGTGGGGTTCGGGCTAAGCACGCGCTAGCCTGCGGTGGGCCTTGCGCTAAGCATGCGTGAGTGGGTGGCGGCGGCCTATTAGCTGCATATGGAGTAGTCAACTCCGTGCACAGACAGTCGTGGAATTAGGGGCCAAATTATGGAGCCCACTCCCGGCCGAGCTCGCTTACAGGCCAGTTGTAGAAGCGACAAACCCCGTACATTTGTCGTGCATGCAAATGGATTATTCCGTACCGTAGTACGTACATACGGAGTACTCCGTAGTCAAACAGTGCGAGCGGGGCAAGTGACATGGTTCTTGAGACACCAATGGACAACTCTCTCTCCTGCAGGTCTATCACGCGGTACGGAATACAGGGACAGCTTTAGTGGGTTTCGCTGATCATACCTTCCTCATATGGGGCCAAAAGCAAACACTTGAAAGCGAGGGGAGCAAGACTCTGTTTTCATTTGAATCAACGTGAGTAGAATATCGAAGAGTGGAGGACCAATATGAATATCCTTGCCATAAACAAAGAAAATAGCCCCCCGACAGCAGCGGCTAAGAACACAATCCCTGTCCAGACCCATGCTTGGTACCCCTCCTTTCCCCCCCTCATTTTCGATGGTTTGGGAGAGGGGCATCACCAGTTAATGAAAACACTTTATAGCAGACTCGACTGTTTCTTTTTCTTTACTCACTCTCTATCAACAACACATCGACTACTCACCTTGAAAGAATATCCTAATCATGGCCCTCGCACCGATCAAGCTGTACTGGAGAAGTGAGACTGCCAACAAAGACTTGAAAATATTTAACTGACATTGTCTTCCAGGCCAGGTCCCCAACCCTTCCAAAGTTCTCATCATCCTCGAGGAACTCAACCTCCCTTACGAGAGTGAATGGGTTGAGCTCGAGGGGCTCAAGCAGAAACCATTCACAGACGTGAACCCTAATGGACGTGTCCCAGGTACGTTGAATATCCAACCCCCTTTAGCTAGTGCCATGTCTCACTGAATGCGATGTTTTAGCCATCGTTGATCCCAACACTGGGCTTACTCTGTGGGAGTCTGGTGCTATTGTGCAGGTGAGCCTTAGCATATTGCCAATATTGGAAACAAGCCTTATGGTTGGCTAATGTTTTCAAATAGTACCTGATCGACACCTACGATAAAGACCACAAACTCACTTATGATTCTTCGCCGGAAAAGTACAAGCTGATCCAGTGGTCTTACTTCCAAGCCTCGGGCCAAGGCCCCTACTTTGGACAGTCTGCCTGGTATGTGAAACCTGATATTTTAATGGATACTCTATTGTGAGCACTTTACTAACATACAAAGGAATTAAGGTTCAACATCTTCCACGAAAAGATCTACGGTGAATCCCCAGAGTCGGCTAAAGTGCGATATGGAACAGAACTCAAGCGTATCGCGGGTGTCCTGGACACGGTTCTGAGCAAGCAGGAGTGGCTGGTTGGCGACAAGTGCACTTATGCAGACTTGGCTTTTGTCATGTGGAACATGCAGATTCCATTCTTCATGGCCAGTCGCACGGGTGAGTATGCTTGGAAGCCGGAGGAAGTTCCCCACTTCACCCGCTGGCAGAACGCCATGATGGCTCGTCCCTCTGTCCAAAAGGTTCTCAGTGTGCTGAATGAGACCGAGGTGAAGAGTTCGTAAATAAGAACCGCGATGCCAATTGGTCGGTAAATTCAAATTTCACATAGAACGTTGGATACCTCAATTTGAAAGGAAGTTCGGATATGTGACGTGTGTCGATGACGATTAAGGTTATATTCAGTACTGAATGGCAAAGTAAAAAACTTTTTTTTCGAATTTTATGCAAGGATCTTCTTTCTTTCAATCGTAGCTTAGGACTTTTCTACCTCAGGCTATGGCGATCCCTTTTTTGCGTGAGCTCTCACTATCATCGGGTAGAATATCAGTAGTGTAAGTTCCGAGCCCCTTCAAGGTCAAATTCCTATCACTAGTCCAGCTGTGAACTTGGAGGCACTCAAGCTAAAGCTTGGGCCTTGCTTATTAGGAGAATCTAAAGGGCTGTCTCGAGTTAGATGATATACATGTGCACCTATGTAAAAGGCGTTCGCACATTGAAAGTCCTGCATAGATATTGAAAATACTAGGACATCGGACTGTCACAAAGTTCATACTCATTTCTTAATTTCACACAGGCATTCAAATACTATTATGTTCTATCGATGAAGACAACACCTCTTCCCTGCCCAGAAGCCTAAAACCCATTCTGCTGGCGTGGTGGTCCACGCTCAGCCTCTTGTCGCGTCACCCTTTCCACAGTGGTTTTCATATTTTATGGCGGGCAGTCCACCAATGGATAGTGATCCTCATACCCATTATTTCCCAATTCGACATCGACACTAAAGGTCTTTTCAACCCTTAGTCGCTGCCACTGATCCCGACTAGATGGACCCTGAGAGAATGAGCCATTGGAAGTTCTCTGAGCTTCAGAAAATTCCTCCTGTGAGACCCCACTTTGTTTGCCAGCGCTGGTCGTGCCGGTGCGCGTGGAAACACGGGACCAGAGATTTTGGACAACGGACCGAAGACCACGACTCGCGCTGAACAAGTGGCCGAAAGTAGGAAGACATGCGGCGACGATGCTAGCATTAGGCTCTATAGTACCCCAGGTAAAGGCGTTCGTGACGACTGAGTAGCGATCGGTTCCCGTCGTGGCTGTGGACTTATAAATGTCGAAGTAGATGTAGTAGAGACGGATAGCGGATGCGATACAGCAGCTGGAAGCAAGGATTAATTCCCGGGTCAATATAGTCATATCATGAGTTCTGTGGGACTTACAATATTCCCAGCCAAAATATACCGAGCACTTTGAGCTTTCTGTGCGTGGACATCATGAGTTGGTGAATGACCGGAATGGGAAAACAGAGCACGATCAAGTCAAAGACCAGACTCATGGCAGCGAACGTCACGCTAAACGCATCGTAATTAAAGCGAAGGGCATTCACCGCGTACGGGTCCCAGGCGGCAGTGATGGGTTTTGAGCAGAAGAGCTGGGCCTGTAGGGCGTGAGTTGATACTCTCCTGGCAGTTTCCTCGGCATTCTACTTACCATGATCATGGCGAATCCCCAAGCAAGCAAGATTGAAACATAAATCCATACAGCGATTTGAAACCCACGTGTCACGAAGATTCTCTGATAATAGAGGAGAATAGAGACTTTGACGAAAACCAAACTACCAATCAGTACAAACCCTTCAATCCATAGTGTCTGCAGGTCATGTTAGTTGACTAGTATCGTGTGAAGGAATCAAGAATAAACCCACCCGGAGGAACACGATGGTGGCCCCGATCACGCTGCCTTTGGTGTAATTGACACCCCCGAGCGCAGCGGCCACGAAAATATCTATTGAAATTCCCCAAGAACAGATCTGAGCTACCACAATCACATAGTCATCTGCAAAAAGGCGCTTGACCTTGGCGATACTCAAGTAAACACGGAGAAAAATAGCAAGTGAGCCCAGAATGGGGAAGATGATGGCGACCGCTAATAGGGAAGTGGTCACCAATGATGGACTGTCCGAACTCATAGTTACACGTGGGTTTGGTGGAAATGACTGAAAGGAATCAATAACGATAATAGCAAACCACGGAAAACAGAGCCACTTGAACTTGAAATGGATGTCGTGTGGTTTATATTATCGCCTTCAAGTTATACTAGTATTATACAACTTTAGATTTGTAGGCTCAAACTACTCAGATATACCACGTCACTCATTACCTGGACATTGATTTTGCATTCCTTTTGGCCCCAAATCTGACGCTGCAGGTGCGAGACCCAGAACAAGAATAAACACATTGTAGAGGATGGGAGTTACTTTACCCTAGACTCGAAAAGGAGACATTCCCGGGGGGGCCTTTTTGTTTGTTTTCATCGAGTAAAGAAAAAAAAAACAAAAAGCCCTGGAGCCCGTGTATTCTATTGTTTCATGTTGAGTGGGTCTGTATTGTACTAGCTGGCCTGTGAAATCCTTCCTGCCGGGTCCTTTCGGATAGATCCCTACTATCGACCCCCACACGGGAGACACGGCTCAGGCGCTGGCCCCGTACGTGTTGCTCCAGAACCCCTCTTGCATATTTCGAGTTCGTTGGGTCCTCCGCGAAGGATTGACACTAGCTGATACTTCTGAAATATTGAGGTTTCTGGAGATTAAGTTGCATTTTATTGGAAAACGAAATCAAAATACAACACGCCACAGCCGAAGAGGGTTTAGCGACGGAATTGGTCCAACGAAATATGCACGCCAGACGGCTCGCTTGTACAATTTGGAAATATCGCCAGGGCTCTGCAGACTCGAAGACAAGTGGTATTAATAGTAGCAATTTGCAGATCATCGACCTGCACCTCGTCTAACCCACTTGAGCCTAGTGCACGGATTAGATGACCAACCCAAGCCATTTTAGTATATACTATGGGAACGCCACTCCCGGTAGCGGCCTGATGGCCTTCTCTTAAAGGACTTAAGGGCGAGAATTTCCAATTTTCAAATTTTGGCTTTCTTCACATAATCCTGCTGTTATTTTAGAAACATTGAAGAACCCAATCAATCTTCCAATGAATCCTGAAGACCCCTCTATTTACTTATCATTCAAGGCTCAGCAACCACCTGGCAGGCTTTCATTGTTGAAGGAATTATGTGAATTGAAGTGCCGGTCGTCTTAGCAAGCTTGGGCTAGTATTTGTAGTAACAGCCTGAGTGGCAAAATTGATCCCGTCGTAGACTCCCATGTATATGAGATTCGAGTGTTGGATAATGATCTCCAAGTTACTACCTGGCCTAGTCTGCCTCTGAGCCTAGCCTTTTGTAGAAGCGATCCGCTCCTAAGGCGTGCTACTAGTATGGTATCCACCGACTTATTATGATTGGGGTCCACGGCCCCCGGGCGCGCGCAATATCTTCACACGGGATGATAGTAGACTCTTCTAAGTCTCGGTCCAAGGCTACCATGCCTGTTATATACTGATGATTTTTAATAGGTAATAATTGAATGGTACTCTGTCTCGCCACCCCTCAACCCTGGCATAACTCCAATAGCATTGTGCCGAGCCACCATGTTCCCGCTTTTGCATATACTGGTCACATCAGTGGCCATCTGGGTGACTTGGTGTCTGGCTAGCTTGATCAACAATCTATCTCAGGCGCGAGCGACCGGCTTAAAATATGTGATTTTGCCATGTTCACTACTGGGTGCTCCCTGGCTCTTGAGTCAATCCGTGTTCCTCCCGCTTCTGGGGGCTCTTCCCCACCCGTGGACAGTCAACTGGCTTCCACTGCTCATCTTCAATGACGCCTGGCATAATGGCTATGAACCCTTCGAACGAGTCGGTGTCGATACTTTCCTTGCTGTCTCGCCTGGGGGTATCATTCTATACACTTGTGATGCCGATGTCTCTTCCCAACTTTTTCGCGATGGTCGGTTCGGAAAGCCGGCTCATCTGATGCAGATCTTGAATATTTTTGGTCCGACAATGACAGGTACAGACGGAGCCGAGTCCCGGTTATATCGTCGCATCGCAGCTCCATTCTTTAACGAGGCCACACTGCGACAGGTCTTTTCTCATTCTGTCGAAGGCGGTCGGGAGTTGCAGCTGGTATTGAGACAGGATACAGCATATCGTCAGCTTCGCACGCTCGCGGCGCGAGTTTCACTTCACTTGCTGAATCGAGTGTGCAACCAGAATCAAACCTCTGAGGATTTAGTGCGCGCATTACGGTTTAAAGAGAAGCCTACAGGGACACATCGCATGACTTACACCGATGCTGTGCATACGCTGCTGAACCACTATGAGACTGTTTTCCTGTTCCCTCCTGGCCTGCTCAGTATGTGAATTTCCTTTCCCTGGTGCCTGTTGACATTGACTCACTTTTGTTATTAGAGCTGTCGCCTTCCCACGCACATCGCAAGGCCGCAATGGCATATATTGAAATGGATCAATATATGCAGGAGCTCGTAAGACGGGAACAGGTTAAGCCTCGACCGTAAGTCAACCAGCTCGTCAACAGAGCAGAAGACCCTTCTAGGTACGTGTTCCATCACTTGCATTTCCCAATACAGCAACCAGTTTTCAATCTAACTCATGTTCCAACACTCAGACCGCCTTGTCGAAGCAGCCCTCCCCTTCTCCACTGAAAGTAATGGCGCCATCCTCAACAAAGACCAACTGTTTGGCAATGTCTGGCTTTTTATGTTCGCGGGCCATGAGGCCAATGCCAATACGCTGACATTCATCATTATCCTTCTTGCGTCCCATCCCAACATCCAACGCGCCTTGCAAGCCGACATCGACTCGATAATTGGTGATACCCCATCAGATCAGTGGAGCTATGACCTTCATTATAAGCATTTGATGAGTGGTTACGTTGGCGCCGTTATCAACGAAGCCCTTCGTCTATTCACTGTTCTTCCTGTGCTCCCAAAGTACGTTGCCCCGTCGGGTCCTCCGATTCCCATCACCGTCCAAGGGCAAAGCCACCCCTTGCCACCAGGAACAGTCGCATTTGTCAATACTAGTGCCACCCATCGCCATCCAAAATACTGGCCACGTAAAAGCGAGTCCGCGAAAGCTGCATTAGGAGACCCTAAAAAGCGACCCTTCGGAATGTCGGACTTTGACCCAGAAAGGTGGCTCAACTTGAATGAAAGGGAGAGTCAGATCGATTCTCAGAACCTTGATTCCTTCCTCAATCCTTACCCTGGGACATTTGTCCCGTTCTCCGAGGGAAGCCGTGCGTGTTTGGGATATCGCTTTGCGCTCGTGGAGTTGTGCGCCGTGGTAGTGAGTCTGTTCAAGGAGTCTTCCGTTAGACTTCTCACTCGAAATGAAGAAGTCAGAAACGGTACATCTGAGGAGGTCGCGGATTCATGGGAAGCAGCAAGGGATCGTGCGGAACTTGCTCTGTCGGAGGGTGTGAAATTTGATATGAGTTTACGAGTCACTCAGAGTGTGCCGATAAAGTTCGAACCGCGGGTTTGACCTGGACCTTTTGCTTCCAAACATTAAGGAGGAGAAACAGGTGCTGAACAAACATGCTGTTGTTCAAATGTTATCTTCCAAGGTTTGAATCCGTTGATAGAGTTTCAAGTTCTTCAACCAAAATACCAGTAGTACACAAAGCTAGTATCTATCACTACTAGAATATAAATTATTGATAGTATCCAAAGGACAGTGGACATTGGAATTTGAAGTTTGGATGTTTATTGTCGTGTGATACTCACTTGGACAGTTCTGATGAACTCTATTCAAATGTTGGGAGCTCGTCTGCCCACCATATAAAACCACTGCACATCTATACTGGCACCAATTTCAAACTCATCACTCAGCTGCTCCAGACTTTGTCGCATCGCTAGTGCCTGTGGGGTGTTTGTCCCGCTAGTCTCGAGGGTGAGGCAAAGTTCCTCCATACCCATTAGGATACAGTGATTCCAGAGGGCTCGTTGGGAGGGCTTCAGACCAAGACGCTGGTAGGCAACAGGTTCAAAACCAGCTGATTGAATCATGTCGCAATTATCGGTAAGCCATCTTTACAAAAGTTAACCCTTTTCTCTTTGGGGCTAAGAATGTGTAAACAGGAAGAGAAGAGGTACTGACGTGGTAGCATCCGATGGAATTCCTTGCATTAGATTTGCAACAGACTGTGTCCGAGCGATCGTGGCAGACGGCTCGGTGGCTATGGCATGCACAGATCGAGGGTCCAAATCCAGCCATTGGAAAAAGCCACCTGATTCTATACGAGATGGCGCTTGAGTTAGCACAAAGAATTCCATTCGCTTGCATGGAAATTTTCATACTTAGGAGGCTCATAATGTTCTGCAAAAACGCATGTAGGGTTTCCTTGCTTAGCAAGGTGATAAAAAATCGTACATTGACGATATCATACATGCCCAAATGTTGAGCCGGGAATGGCTGAAAGACATCTTGTTGATGCAGGCTAACCGCTGACGGTAGCCAAGCAGGTGAAGGGTATTGGTCCGTGGATATATCAAAGCATTCTATGCGCAGATCCGTCTCTATAGCGAGAGATTCTGCGAGCTCGATAGACCAGATTCTGTTGATAAGTCAGCAATGATTATGCCACCTGCCCATGGTGGACACGTCGGAGGCCGAAGGTTGGAATTAAAGGCTTACGCTGTTCCTGCACCAATGTCTGCCACGCGGAGCGATCCCGATGTATTAATTCCATCACGGATAGCGGGATGTAACAGCTGATTCCCTGATAGTTTGGTGATTAGGGAATGCTGATAGTTGAGCCTGTGGAGGGTCAATGACGGTTAGTGGCGGCGATAATGCGGAATACGAGTCGGGCAAAGCATGATATTCTCACCGGATACTGGAGCGATAATTTCTATTGAAAATGTAAAGTCCCGAATCAGCGCCGTGGGAATCCATAATGGTCGAAGATGGAATAATTCGACTGAAACAACATATGCTTGTGGAAATTGCTGTGAAGTTATACGTTATACGGACTCGTAGTAACTTGAATCTCCCGGTCTTCACATTTAACACGCTAATTATTGCCCCGAATTTGGCCGTAGGCTCGTAGCTAAGCCTTTATGGCGGACTCAGACTCGGACTCATGCAGTCGGGCGCGGTAGGTGCGTCGCCATGCGTGGAAGGATTGTGGAGTGGGTCTCATATGCAGCTCTCCGAGTCCAATAAACATTTGAATCAATTAAGGGGAAACTGCATTGCAACAAGAAATTGAAGCGAGAATCTGGTGGAGCAAAAGGCGCAAAGAGTTGCCCAGCAAATTAATGTTACAGATTGAAATGTGCGTGACCATTGGCTCGCTTCCAAGAGATTCACGCCATCTCAGATCCTGTCCCCACTATTAACTCTTTCATACCCCTGTCAAAAAGTCATCTGCGTCGCATGGCAACTCCAAGGCTCCCATTCCCCCTATTCAGACATTCCTTTTATCAGGATCACGAGAGGATTTTGATTTTCTCCTATATATAGGTCATCCTCCTGTGTTCAGTCGAGAGAGACATTATCTTTTGAGGTCACGATACACTATCTCATCATGAAGAGCTTCTTTCCATTTCTTTTCACCACGACTCTTGCAGTCCTGCCTGTTTGCGTGGAAGCAATCTCCACTGCAGGGTTGAGTGACGCCTCCATCGGTAAATCTACAGGGGGCAACTCAATTTGTGCCTCGGGCTATATCACGATCCCCATTTCGGTGAATGGTACTACATTGAACTATACGCCTCCTAAGAAAACCGCTGCGGAGATTGAGTCTATGATAGAAATGTACCAGATCACGAATTCATTGTCGTCAACTGCGCCAAATGGTACCCATCTCATAGAGGGAGAATTTAAAATCTACACCAAGCTTTGCATCCCAAGTTCAAGCGCAAAAGCCGCTAGTATCAAGACTGTGCAGCTTCTGACGCACGGTGCCACGCTGGACCATACTTATTGGGATATCAGTACTGGCCACAGCTACATCGATGCTGCCACTGAAGCTGGATATGCGACCTTGTCTTACGACCAACTGGGAGTCGGCAACTCAGACCACCCAGACCCCATCCAGACCGTACAGGCTACAAGCCAGGTTGCAGTCACGCACGCTCTCGCCCAGCTACTGCACGATTCAAAGATCGGAAATTACAAATTCGAGAACGTGGTCGGTGTAGGCCACAGCGCTGGTAGCACCTTAGTGCAGGCCATCACCACTGAGTATCCCAGTGACTTTGATGCCGTGATTCTGACCGGCACAAGCACAAACGAAGACTACGTCGCTCTCTCCATGGTCGCTTTTAATCTCATAAATGCGAACACGGACACTTCTGGTCGCTTTGATGATCTGCAAGCAGGCTATTTGACTCAGCAAACTGCGGCAGGTATTCAATTTGCATTCTATCGCTGGCCAAACTTTGATACCACCGCCTTCCAGAGTCAAGTTGCCAACAAGCAAACCAACACTGTGGGAGTTTTGCTCACCCTTGGTGGTGTCCTCGCAGAGGCGCCTGACTTTACTGGTCCCTTGGATGTTGTGCTTGGCGAGAACGACTTTGTCTTTTGTGGTGGTAACTGCACATATCCTGAAAACCAGGCTGCACTGGTTGAGTCGACCTTCTACCCCAATGCAGCCTCGGGTAGTCAGTACTACCTTGCTGCAGGCTCTGGACACGCTATTGCTGCCCATGACAGTGCAGGTGATAGTTTTGATCAGATGATCAGTTTTCTACAGTCCAATGATATCTACTAAGGATCGGCTAGGTGTGATATGCTACCAAGGGCTTCTAAGGTTGTGCTGTTCTTGTATTACCATGTGGGAATGTCTCAAATTATCTACTTTTAATAGCATATTTTGCGCTGAGGCTTTTGAAAAAGCCATTTATTGGAATTCCTAATGCAATTTTGACTCATTATACCACCAACATCTTGCAATTACAAGTTGAGCTTACATAGTGCTGGGAGGAGGTCGGGGGGGGGGTCTTACCACTTCCTAAGGTTTAATTTAATTAGTGCTCCTGCTCAAGACAACCGTTTCCACTCATATTGAAATGAATAACGTCATTCAAATACTATTGGATTGTCATTTTTCAAGGCACCTTCTTCAAGTTGTTCTCAAGTGCTATTGAACATAATGTTACCTCTTGGAACTTCAATGTTGGAAACAAGTTAACCTTACTAGTCCATATCATCTCCAGGGCTCTCATCCCTCATATTCACCTTCTACCTTGACCGTAAGATTCCCTCTGCACCTGGCACACTATCTTCGGACTGTTCCTGGATAGTCTAGTTAGCACCTCGCCCTCCAGATGTCCCTTCACTATTATTCATGAGGTCCTGATCTATCCTCCAGGAATTCAACATCTCAATATGCTTCGCTCTTCCATAAATGGTAGGTATTTGAATTATTGTTCTTTGCCTTATGGTCCCTCTTAACTTAAAGCTGACATGAAATCGCAGACCTGTATTGGGAAGAGGAGATTATACCCTCCGCCGTTACTTGATTTATCCTTCAACTGTATTGTTCAAACTAGCTGTCTGTACATCAAAGGCGATTGTTGATGATATTTGTGTGACTGTCACAGCAATCGGGACTGCCAAAAATGACTTTTGAGCCAACCTCCAGACAGTTAATCCATTAGTTATTAAAGTTATTGTGAAGATTTACCATGACCACCTGTGATTCGGTCGGTCCCTGCCACCAACGATATGACAGTATTGAAGGAAATCAATTCGATATTTGAGGGATCCGAGCCTCCGCCAAATCCAGAGAGTTGCATCATGTCGAGGGGAAAGCAGAGAATAATCCGACCTCGGATAGAACTATGTATAGCTGATGGAGAAGTCGCGTCTACGCCCTCATGCTAAATCTCGCTGGCACTCGTAAAATGTCAATTCGATCCAGAATTTGAATTTCAAAATAGCACGCCATCATTTAGTCGGCCAGCCCGTGAAGACGAACTTCACTTGTTCGGACCATCACCCGATTCCTAGTATAAAAGCTTTGACTTTTTTATTTTGAATTCTTCTTCTTCTCTCTACCACACATCCACAGTATCTTTCGACTCCCAATCTGAACGATAATTATCCTTCATTTGATTACCGCTTGAACGGATCCTCTCAGAGCAGTTCCATCTATTCGTAATTTATTCAATTTCTTTCTCTTACTTCTCATTGACGTGTCTTGACATCAAAGCAAAATGAGGTATTCACACCCACAAACGCCCCTTCTACACTATCTAACATGGAGCTAACGACATGCTGTATAGTTCCAGAATACCCGGCTTCATTTCCTGCTTACCGCCTCCCGCAGTGCTTGCTACCTTCAAAGCGATGTTTTCGAAGGAAATTGAAATAAGAGATGCAAAGGCAGACTTTCAAGCAAGTTCCAATACAGGAAACGCCGCCGACACGAAGACTATTGCACAGAATATTGTGAATGTTAACCACGATATGGATTTCCTCCATCTAAGACTTTCTATTGAACTCAACCAATGTGAACATCTCCAAACAACAAGGTTGAAATCGCTACCAATCCGGCTTACCAGAAACCCTTTATCGCTCCTAGCTATGAAGAACTCGATAAAGCATGGGAGGAAGACATGTTTGGGAAGTAATAGAGGGGAATCGAGTATGACTTGAGATATATTTACATGAATAGAGATCTCGCTTATGCCTCCAAGTCCAGTGCTGATAATTCAAATGTTTACATCTCATTTAATTTTAAAATTCATCCAGGCTTAAAAGCATTACTAGAACTATCCAGTTGCTGACGAAAAAAGAATATATATATGGAAATCAATTGCAGATAGTTCAAGCTCAAGTCCGTCCTGGAGAACTAGATCTATTAATTGTATAATACTACTGCCAGTAAACCCTTCAATCAGTAGTATTTCAGTAGGTACATAGCTATCAATATATATTTGGAGACCCATAGAATCACTCGTAGTAGGATCTGACCTGATTCCTAGTATTTACATATTTCAAATATTAAGCTTTGACTTCCTTACTTTAAACCTTCAAAGATTGGAACTCTTCTTCTTCTCTCCAGCGCATAACCTTGTCTAGTGGTCCTGCTTTACGCTTATAACTCAGTAAGAATCATGAGAGCCCTTCCAGACCAAATATAGACCTGTATAGTCCACAACGTGAGAGCATGGGAAATATGAGCGATGTTGCCCGGTGAGAGGCATCTTAGGAGACTGGTAGAAATAATAGCTGTTTCTTGGGTGAAATCCGGGATTGGGCAGAGCGTTCCATGAGCGAAATCTTGAGAACGTGTTAATAGAAGCTTGTTTTTGGGCAGATCATCTTAAAATATATGGGTACTTGGAATCCTAAGAATAGGATCCTTTTTTTGAGAGGGTCTGGCTCTTGGGAAAATCTTCTTGAGACGAGATTGGTCACGGAATGGCTTAGTGAAGAGCACAGACGATAACGTGATTCCCGGTCGAGCTGCGCACCCGGCCGAGCTGCGCACCCCATCTAAAATCGCGTCTTTCTACCACCCTACCTAATTCAAACACCTACCATGCCACCAATTCGTAATATTTCGGCCAAAAAAATGTCGAACAAGAGCGCAAGGTTTTATTAGCCTTACAGGCTATTCAAAAGGGCCAAATCAAGTCTCTTCGCGCAGCGGCCAGGCTATTTAGCGTGCCTGAGTCCACACTACGCAGTCGCGCGCACGGCATTCAATCTCGCGTCGATACACGCCCAAATGGCCATAAATTGACCCAGTTGGAAGAGGATTCGCTTATTGAATGGATTATCTCTATGGACTCCCGTGGAGCGGCGCCTAGGCCAGCTACTGTACGAGATATGGCCAATATTCTATTAGCTGCACGCGGTAGCCATCCCCCACCAACAGTTAGCAAGAATTGGCCATCAACCTTTATAAATCGACGCGAAGAGATTCGAACACGCGTCTCTAGGCGATATGACTACCAACGTGCTCTAAACGAAGACCCTAAATCAATCCAAGCATGGTTTACAACTGTACAACAAGTTATCGATAAGAATGGGATCCAACCTGAGGATATTTATAACTTTGATGAGACAGGCTTTGCGATGGGCCTTATTTCAACACAGACGGTTGTAACACGGCAAGAATATTACGGTCGGCGAGCTATTTTACAGCCTGGGAACCGTGAATGGGTGACGGCAATTGAAGCTATCTGTGTAGATGGTTATTCATTACCACCATGTGTGATTTTTAAGGGAAAGGTTGCTATTGCTAGTTGGTTCGATAACCTACCAAAAGACTGGCGGTTTCAGGTCTCAGCTAATGGTTGGACTACCGATGATATTGGCCTACGTTGGCTTGAGAAGCTATTCATCCCATCAACAAATTCACGTGTCCGTGGCCGTTTTCGGCTATTGATTCTTGATGGCCATGGAAGCCATCTCACACCTCAATTTGATCGAATCTGCTCAGAGAATAACATTATACCTCTCTGTATGCCACCGCATTCTTCACATCTTCTACAGCCACTAGATGTTGGCTGTTTTTCTGTGTTGAAAATTACCTATGGTCGCTTTATAAGTGATCTTGCACGTACAGGCTATAACCATATTGATAAGCTTGATTTCTTAGCTGATTTTCAACGTGCCCGGCTTGAAGCTTTTAAACCAGCTACTATCCAGAATAGCTTTATAGCTACAGGACTAGTACCAATTGATGCTGAAAAAGTTCTTTCTAAATTGAATATTTCGCTACGAACACCTACACCACCAGGCACTCGACCAGGCAGCCGAAGCAGTCAATTTTCACCTAAGACACCTAGAACTGTGGTCCAGCTTCAAAAGCAAGCTTCAATGCTTAAAGATCTTCTAAGACAGCGATCAAACAGCCCTCCAAGCCCATCGAAATTGATGCTAGATCAAATCATAAAGGGACACTGTATATCGCTACACAACACTGCGCTACTAGCACAAGAAAACGCCAATTTACGTGCAGCGAACGAGAAGAAACGACAGAAGCGCAGTCGGTCAACTAGGCAGGTGCCATGTGAACAGGGGTTGACTGTTGAAGAAGGCCTGCAGCTACTCACGCAGCTAGAATTGCCAGTAGAAGCACCTGCGGTCGAACCACACACCCAGGTTGAATTGCCTATTCAGCCGAATCAGCCAGCCCCCAGGGCTCAGCCTAGGTGTAGTGGATGTCGAGAGGTTGGCCATCGGATCAATGTATGTAAAAATCGTATTTATAACTGAATTTATTCGCATTGGGTTGAAATATTTGAATTTGAATTTGTCTAATGGTGGTGGGTGCCCAGCTCGACCGGGAATCACGTTAACGTGATTCCCGGTTACCCGAACGTCCCGGTTACTCGAGCGATGCTCCAAGAACTTCAAATTTCCTACTTTTTCAATCTCAAATTTCAACACCAAAACACAATTAAATATTTAAATAAGTTTAGTAGAACATTTAAAATAGCCATATCCTTTAGTTCCACAACCAGAACAAGTGACCTGGCGTCGTATGATAGACACAGGGGGTAATGGAGGCTCTACCAGTGGCTCCGTAGCACCCTCCGTTGTAGATATATATTGCCTTCCACCATCTTTTTCTTCCACCACATTACATTCAATCTCTTTCAAACTTCGTAGACTGCCTTCATGCGAGATCTGCTTTTTACTAGTAGTCCTCTTGTTTACCTGCTTCTTATTGGCTATCTCTAACTTGGCGCAACGATCTTGGATAAAGATAAGCTCATAAGCTAGTCGAATAGTCATATCATACGACCGGTC